AAGAAGGAAGGATAGTAGAATATTTAAAGAGAGTGAAAGGTCTATTATTTTTACTTAATATCTTACGCGTATTCATAGACAGAAAGTGCTTAAAGTCATATACTTTATATTAAATAAATAGGATAGAATCAGGGAAGGAAATATAATAGAACTGATAGTGTGATAAGGGATATATTATTAATCTAGTGGGGTAAAAGGGGTAAGCGGTTTAGAGGGGTAAATCATATCTATATCTTTTTCTTTCTTTCTTCTTCTTCTTCTTCTTCTTCTTTTATTAAATAAAAGGATAGCTTCACCTTATATAGTATTTATTAGAATATCGACTAATATATATAAGTAAATCTATCCTCTTATTATTTAACATAAAAGAGGACAAACTAGGTTTAGGCTAGGGAACCCTAAGCCCTAGTTAGATATTTATTATATATCCTAGCGCGAGGAAGATGGTTAGTGGTTACGTGACTAAAATAGACCTTAGCCCTAGAAGAGTAGGGGGGACTAGTCTCCTAGGGGGTGAATAGCCCTTCCTTTAGGGGTAAATGGCACTTACGCTAGGGGGTACGTATAGGTGGTTAATACCGCCTAGATTCTTAACTCTTTTCTATACTATTCTATCTGCTTCTACCCCGCTTAATCTACGTTTACTATGCCTTATATATGATATTATCGTCTAATATTATTATCTATAGTCTATATACTTCTATTCAGTTCTATCACTTCTATTTAAGGTATTTCCTTTAGTCCAAAGTATATAATACCGAGGTATATTTATCTATAAATACGCGATAGATTACTAGGTAGAAGAATTAGACTTTTTACTCTCTTTGGAAACTACCTAAGTTCCTTTCTTGCTTATCGTATATATAAAAGGGTAAAAGTAACCCTTAGTTAGTGTGATTATTCCTCTATAAGTTAAAGCGTGAATTATTCTTATTTAGGCTATATTAGTGTGTAGTCTATCCTAAGAGTCTTTCTTTATCTAACTTAGATCGACTAATTAGATAAAGCGATATAAGACACTAAAGGGGTACGCAAAGCCTAGTTAGCGCCACGAACGGCTTCGTGGTATCACCGCCTTTATTATCTAACTTTATCTATCTATAATAGTGATATTAATAATATTACTTACCTTACTCCTAAGAAAATATAATTATTTATACCTAGTCCCTCTAATAGCTAGTAACTACTTAATTCTTTAATACTAAGTTTCTTTGGTCTCCTTATTCTCTTACGATATCCCCCTCTCTTACCTTTATTAGCCTTATTTAGAAAAAACTCCTTACCCTCTATAATATAGAGATATATATTAAGTAGGTAAATTAGTACCTTAAGACTAGCTAGAGGAAGCTAAGTAAGATATAATAGGGTTCAGTCTATCTCTTAGATACCTAGAAGTAATTTTATTAAGTAGCTAATACCTTTAATAGTGCACTAAAGGTTATATGAATATTGTAGCTAGGTTTTTATATATCCTTATTCTTTTAAGGGGAATAGCTTAGAATATAATCTTTATAATAGTAAGGTATATTAAAAGTTATCGGCCGTGCAGGGAGGCGGATACCACGAAGCTTTTCGTGGCGCGGGGTACGCTTTTGTAGATGCTTCCCCACCACGGACCGTTGAACTATCCGACCAAGGAAAGGGTTGATCGGATAAAGAAAGAATAATAAGAATAAGATAGAGTGCAAAGGGCTTATGCACTCTAAATGAGTACAATCCACAATCCTCAAACAAAGGACTAAGAAGAAGGTCTTTCTAAGCAGATAGAAAGGGATAGTAGAATATTTGAAGAGAGTGAAAGGTCTGTTATTTCTACTTGGTGTCTCGCGCGTATTTATAGACAGAAAGTGGTCAAAGTCACATGCTTTAAACAGAATAGAATCAGGGAAGGAAATGTGATAGAACTGATGGCGTGATGAGGGATATGTCATCGATCTGGTGGGGTAAAGAGGGGTAAGCGGTTTGGAGGGGTAAATCATGTTCGCATCTCTTTCTTTTCTTCTTCTTCTTCTTCTTATGTTGAATAAGAGGATACCTTCACCTAAAGTAGCATTGGTCCAAATTCCAACAACTATTAAGCTCCTAAATACAGAAGAGTTTAATATATATAAAAAATTGAAGGTTTTTAGTCTAGGTTAGACTATAGTATATAGTTTTAAATATATAGATATTGAATTTCCTAGATTTTAACTTTATTCTTTAGAAGGGACTTCTAAGATATTATAGATAGAACTAAGTGAAGCTCTCCCCTAAGAAAAGGATTTAATTAATTAAAGATTCATCTATCTATAGGAATCCTAGTAATATTTATAGAGAAATATATATATTAACTATCAGGCCTTTAATAGCCTTTTATCTATTTGATATAGTTAGGACTACAAAGGTAATATTGAAGATTAATTCACCTTACTTTTAGATACTAATAGATATAGATAGTCAAGGATTTAATCCCGAAAACTATATTTAGTATAATGTAAGGTAAGTATAAATAGCTTATAATACTATTTAGACTATTTAATATACCTATAGCTTTCTAATAAACTATAAATTATATACTTTATCTACTTTAAGAGAAGTAAATAACTATATATCATAACAATACCTTAATATTTTCTTATAATTATATTAATTAGTCATTATTATTATTCTTATGAGAATCATATATTATACATTTAACCGTAAAAAATTAGTATATAACTATTATAATTATTATAAAAGTACCTCTATAAGAAAGACTAAAGGAGGCTTTGGTGAATTTATTTATGTTAGTATGACTAGATCGTAAAAAGCCCTTTTAGATTAAAATATATATATAAGAGTGTTAAAATTTGGACCAATGCTACATAAGAAGAAGAACAAAAGAAAAGAGATGCGAACATGATTTACCCCTCCAAACCGCTTACCCCTCTTTATCCCACCAGATCAATAACATATCCCTCATCACACCATCAGCTCTATCACATTTCCTTCCCTGATTCTATTCTGTTTATCTGATATAGAGTATGTGACTTTAGCCACTTTCTGTCTATAAATACGCGCGAGACACTAAGTAAAAAAAGACAGACCTTTCACTTCCTTCAAATATTCTACTATCCCTTTCTATCTGCTTAGAAAGACCTTCTTCTTAGTCCTTTGTTGAGGATTGTGGATTGTGCTCATTTAGAGTGCATTTTTTTAACCCTTTGCACTCTATCTTATTCTTTTCTTTCTTTATCCGATCAAGCCTTTCCTTAGTCGGATAGTTCAACGGTCCGTGATGGGGAAGTATCTGCAAAAGCGTACCCCGCGCCACGAAAAGCTTCGTGGTATCCGCCTCCCTCCGCGGCCGACACTAAGAAATATAGTACTAGCCTAATAAGCTAAATAGTCACTATAACATAACGTATTTCCTAAGTGGGTCGCTACCCTCTACAATATATACAAACTACTTTACTAAAGCTTAATAACTATATCGTATTGGAACTCTAAAATCTATCTACCACTATTTTTTGCTACTCTAAGCAATCCCTATCTTTATTAGAGTGATCTAGAGTGATCTAGTTGAAAGTGAAGAATATTACGAAAATTAAAATAGTCCTAGCGATAAAGATAAATATCAAGTAAATGACACATTCTAGAGCTTATGTATATATTTTTTCGGTATCCGTTAAGTAAATTAGGAATTTGAATCATATTACTTTGAATTCTGTCAAGAATAAGTTGTTCAAAGAATTTAATAACTTACTATATCTTCTATGTGTTTTAGGCGTAGCGACCCACTTTGTATTATCTATAATACTTATTAGTTCGATATTATATGCAATGAAGTAGTTCTAGTCAAGGGCTTCATAGTCTCTATAATAATAGTCTAAGGTTGCTACAGCAACTTTCAATAAATTATGTGATGAATCCTGTATCATGTTACGGTACAATCTACAACATGAAGCTATCCAGTCTCCAGTTCACTCTCCTTCGGCAAGGATTAGTTCAGTTCTATCCAGTCATACCATTGGTGTTATAGTTCGATCAGCTAAGCTCAAAACTATAGTAGATACGGTAGATTCTAGTGTATATCCTACTAATAACAGGTTATTTGGGAGTTTAACTTGATCGTATGCTTTCTTGTATATGTTCAATGTAACGGTTTAGGCTAATAATAAATTTAGAGTGTCTGTGTTAGATATATAATTTGTTGTCACGGTCAGAGTAATTTTCGGCACTAAAGTATTGTAGTAATCATTGGCTTACTACTAGATCGAGAAATCCTGTTCCAGATATTAATTAGTCACATTGAGTAGGAATCTAGCCTATAAATAACAACAGTTGTTGACCTGTAAAACCGTCTTTTATATAGAATTTGGGGGTTGCGGACTGCTTGTGGATTACATTAGTACAGCCATCAGGTGTTCCAGGGTAAAAAAAAGTAATACCTGTCGTATCATTAAATGCACTTTGGATTAGTTATAACCCCGAAATTTGCTGTAAATAAACCCGAGAGAGTTACTCATATACCACTAAATAAAAATTCCTTCAGTAACTTGTTGGTGAGGTTTAAATTGGAATGTATCGCATTTACTACGGCCCTTGGGCCTGGCCGGCTGCCTCGGATCGCGAGCCGCCTGAGAAACTTGTTACACAGTGCCAATCGAAGTTCATAACAAAACATCAATAGTTTTCATCGGCTTATCTTCAAATTTTATCTCCAAATTTTATCAAACTCATTGCAAAATATCTATTTCAAATTGCCGTGGCTTTTATGTCTCGCTTCACGGGAAACGCCGTACAAATTACAGTTCCATAGGAAGTCTGCAACATTCAACCCATGCAAAGTCACCGTAATATTAAATACATTAAAACGTCGATTGTGTAATCTCTATCCCATGCAGAGTAAGGCACGACAGGGATGTTGAGGGTGAAAACCCGGGTCTTCCAGGTGTGAAAATAGAATAAAAACCATAACATCGAGAAGCAAGAAATCGAGCCTCTGCGATATGTTATGGTGAGAACATGTCGACGCGGGATTACTGAGCCTTCTCGGTGGATGCCTTGTTGTCCCTGCGACGCTTCAGGGCATCGGGAGTGTACTCGGTGTCAAGAAGGAAGTCCCACCAGCGGAAGCTGCTCGAGTAGTTGCCAATGAACTTCTCGTGGTGGAGGTCGTGGTGATCAGCACCAGCCCAGAAGGGAAGGAAGTGGTGCAGACTCCACGGGAATTCGTAGCCGCTGTGGGCATCAATGGCCTGGAAAAGGCGCAAGACAATCCAGACGTACATGGTCAAGATGTGCAGGTCTCCAGTGAACGCACACCATACGATGGGGCAACCGACGGTTCCGAAGCCCAGGATCATGACCTCGATCGGAGATGCGTATTCCGCAGCCAAACCAAAAGGTGCAGAGTATTGATGGTGGATCTTGTGGATGGCTTTGTAGAGGGGACCCCAGTGAAGAGCACGGTGAGAGAAGTAGTGCCAAGTGTCCTCCATCACGAAAAAGATGGCGATCTGATAGGCCATGGTCCAGACGGAGGGGAAGGGAACGGACGTAGAAAGACCGAAGAATTGAGCCATAGGGTGGAAGAGCCTGAAGAAGCAGTATTGTAAGATCACCGATCGTGCGATAAAAGTCCAAAAAGGCGGCATTGAAACTCACCAGATCTGAGGCAGCTCAACAGTGAAGTGACTCAGGAGCACGAATCGAGCGCATTCCCACTGTTCCCGTAATGAAGGAATCTTGCCCTACAGAATAATTAGACTTTCAATGCCACATAACGCTATTTCGAGTTACACTCACGCTCTGAATCTTGTAATTATTGAAGATACCGAGGGTGTCGATGAAGATCCACGGCAGCGAGCGACCGAAGTAGACCAACTCGTGCATGGCGAAAGACATGATCCCCGTGGCGAGGACATCATTCTGCATCCAAGCATACCAAGCAGCCCAGAGACGTTCGGCCACATTGAACTCGGGATTGTATTGGCCGATTTCCTCGAACTGGCCCCAGTAGGTACTGGAGGTTAAGGTGGAGTTCCTGCCCAGGGGTCAGCGCGTGTTCAAGTTGCATCGAAAAGGCAATTCTTACATGATGGTTGTTCTCCGTATAGAGAAAGGGTGGATTGTGGAGGAGAAGTGAAGAAGGGGGAAAAAAAAAGGTGGGAGGAACGGAGCAATTATTTGGCGGAGCAGAAAGAACGCAGGGACGAAATTCGGAAGTGGCGAGACCCGTAATCAGGGGAGCCGCTGCAGCGAAAAGAATAAGGCCACTTCGAGCCGATCTCCATCCGAGCCCCACTCAGGGGATAATGGTCTTTGCCGCGCATGTGTATGGCTGAGGCTCCGGGGTCACACCACACATTGCGTGTTGTTGTCTATGAGCAATTCTACTGAGGCTGGGAATGAAATCGATGGAGCCATGAACTGTGATCTCTATACGACCATTGTGAAACCCCGATCAGGCCACTCAGAGCCATTCACTCAGTTGACGTTGACCCCCTTTTCCCCTATGGTATGCGCGCTACGGTGTACTCAAGAGTACACCATTTGTCCTGTTTGCACCCTTGCACGGTTTACCCTGTTTACCTCGTTTGCATCATGACGTCTCCCATTTTTACTCTCGAGCTTCCCCGTAGCTGTGTAGCTGGTAGCCGTGTAGCTGTGTCCGAAATGCGCCATGTCGATTGTTCAAGAGTAAGTCCGGTGGCTCAATGATACCCCTTCCAGTCTAATCTTTTTTTTTCCCAATCTAGAAATGCATGCGTCCTGAACGCCCAACTTGATCGCTTCCAACAGCACTTCGCCCGCCCGGAGAAGCTTCTGTACATCGACGATGTTCCCCCTCCGCTTGTTCGCAGTTTACAGAATGTAGTCAACTCTGTATCGGTGACGTCAAAGACCCAGCCGCTCTTGTCTCCCAGTCGTTTGGTCGAACTGCTGTCCGATCCTGCTTTAACCCACACTCCACCGACGGCAGGGGCCTGGACGGACGATGCAGCAGATTATCTATGGCTGGTCGCTGCCAAGGCGGCTGTGCAGGCATCCGGCCTACTCATGAAGACTTTGCTCGATCATACTTTGCAGCTGCATGAGGAGACGTATTATTGGAATGAGGTGCTCGGGTCTATGTGGCACAGTGGTCTGTATGCGGCTCAAACGTCGCCTGTGCGGCTATGGCACTGGACCAAAGATATCTCTCCAGTTTGGAATTCCAATCAAACCCAAGGCTACCTCTCGACATCTGTCGCCGCTAAATGGGCCCGGTTTCACCAGATCGCCCGGCAATGTCTGCGGGGAATGTCGGAATATCCCCTTCATCTTAACTTGTCATCCCCCATCCGATCATGCCGGTCTGAAATTCGCCAGAAAAGAGACCTTTTACTGAATATGAAGGATATTCACACCAGCAGTCTGGGGCTTCTCATGGAAGGCTGGCATTCCTTCCAAGCGAAAGACTTCGCCTCTGCCGATTATACTGGAGAAAGGAGACAGTGGCAGGAGGCAGTAAACAGGACGGTTGTCCTGACCGAGGCCATCCTGCAGCAGGTGGCCGGCCCGTCCAGTACCGTTGAATTCGAACAACTGGTGTCTGCGACCCTTGAACAGAACACGGCGAACCTCCAAATACAGAGCGGTCTTTCCTCCAATCAGCCTATCCATCTGATCCAGCGCCTTACTCATATCCTTCACGACCAGTTGCCGAAGCATAAAGCCTCCATGTCCGTTTTTATCAGTGATCATGGGCGCCCATCAAGGCTTACCCGGTACTGGCTACCGGTATTGGCGGCGACTATGTCAAGCAGTGCATCTCTACGGCTGTTACTTCATCGCCAGGATGAGATCATTCAATGGATTGTCAATATTGGAGGCACCATCATTGACTTCGGCAGCAATTGGGTGGTGGAACCCATCCACAAACTCGTCGGAACCATCCGACACGATGAGAAAAGCGAGATTGCTATCATGAGTAAGAACAGCCTGTTGGCTGATCGAGCCAGCCTGGAGAGGATGGTGATCGACTTTGTCCGTGACCGTCCCGACCCCGATCAAAGTCACATGCTGGGGCAAGATACCACCGCTATTACCAACGCCGTGAAGGAGGGGGATCTGACGCCAGTGCTAAGAGCCTACGAGAGGGACCTACGATCACCCTTTGTTGGGACCGTGCGAGGCGATCTCATTCGCGCTCTTCTGATCCAGATTCAGAAAACCAAGGTGGACGTGGAAATTGCCATCAGTGGCATCAATGCTCTTTTGAAAAGCCAAGAGCTCGTATTTGGGTGAGTCTTCCATTCCCTTTGATACGAAAGCCTCGCTTTTGCGTGTTATGCTAACTTATCGTATAGCTTTGTTGGCCTCACGCCCGGGATTCTCGTCTCGTGGGCCACTCTGCGGTGGATGTTTGGGCTCTTCGGCAACCGAAGAGGTCTTCGAAGAGGCAAGCGCCAGCATGAGCTGCGACGCGGATTACGGTGAGCCTTCTGTGCTGCAGAACCGGAGAGATTGCTCGACGCTAACAGGAACATAGCAATGTTACTCGGGTTCTGACTTCTGCGCCGCTTGGCGATGGGGTGATATCACACAAGGACTCGGGTCGACTCATCTACGAGGCCGAGGCTCTTCTCCAGCAGGTGCAAGGGGTTCTTGGGGGCATGCAATATCGAGAATTCCGGGAAGATATCCAGGACTTACTCGATGTGGAGAGGGGAGTCGATAGGCAGCTTCGGGTGGTGGAGAGGATGCGATGGGCATATTTCCACTAAAATCTTGCAACAGGTGTCTTTTTTGGAGAGGAAATCAATATCGACTGCTCATATCATTATAGGAGTAGTCTAGTAATTGAATATCTACCTAACAATTTTCGGAGTAGAGCCAACCTCAAACCCGGCTTACGTAACGGGATCAACGATCACAGTCCATCCCCGTCATCACCTCCACTCGTTGTTGACCACCCTTTTCATCCTCGTGGCCGGGACTATTTCTTTGCTCGTGCTGCTGAATCCTGAATAAACTCCACTCTTATCTAGGGAGTTTCTTCATTTGACTCTCTGTGCTCGTGTGTTCCCGTGGGCCACCTGCACCCTTGACCCAGACCCTCCTGATAAAGTCCTTGGAGACAACGAAACCTGTCCACCTTCCCTCTTCCTCAGGCTTGCGATCCACGACGTGTAGCCGCCGAACCGTATCTACGAAAACAGTGACCCTGTCAAGCTCTCCGATCACCGTCGCTGATCTAACTTCATTTCTGGAGCCAGTCACTTAATCTGACTTTCTCCTATCCGGCACCACCACCCCCTCTCTTCACCCGTTCAACGCAACAACCACCGAACTCCTTCGTCATGGCGGGTACAAGAAACTATGATTTCCTGGTGAGTACCATTGAGATCGGAAGGACCCATTCGCTAATCGAATCCTGTGCAGATCAAGTTATTGTTGATCGGAGACTCCGGCGTTGGCAAGTCTTGCTGTCTCTTGCGGTTCAGTGAAGATTCTTTCACCCCATCTTTCATCACTACGATCGGAATCGATTTCAAAATCCGCACCATCGAGTTGGATGGCAAGAGAGTGAAACTGCAGATCTGGGACACGGCCGGTCAGGAACGCTTCCGTACCATCACAACTGCATACTACCGCGGCGCGATGGGTATCCTCCTCGTCTATGACGTGACTGACGAGCGGTCTTTCCACAGTAAGAACTCTTTTATTTCCCCCATCTCGTACAAAGGTAGATTGATCTGACTTGTCTCTTTCCTTCTTTTAAAGACATCCGAACCTGGTTCTCAAACGTGGAGCAACATGCCAGCGAAGGGGTACACAAGATCCTCATCGGAAACAAGTGCGACTGGGAGGAGAAGAGGGCCGTCTCGACCGAACAGGGTCAACAGCTAGCCGACGAGCTCGGTATCCCATTTCTGGAGGTGTCGGCGAAGAACAACATCAACATCGAAAAGGCGTTTTATAACCTTGCTTCGGATATCAAGAAGGGCATGGATACCTCCAAGACCGAACAATCTGCCCAAGGAGTCAGTATAGACCAGCAGGGCTCGGGTCTGAATGGTGGCACTGGAGGAAAGTGTTGCTAGACCCTGTACCATTATCTGTTCTTGATTGTCTTTGCGCAAGTTCCCTTTATCTCACTGTGCCTTTGATCTCTTTTTGTGACGCCCTTGGTTTCCTACGCAGCTGCCACATATCCTTTTGTTTGCCCGCAATTTCATATGCTAAGATCTGAATATCCAGTTTTCATGGAGAATTGGCGCCCGTTACACCCCGAGTATCATACATTTATCTGTCCATAGTTTGTGACAACTTATTCCCCTTTTCAATATAGCCTATTCCGTGAGTAGGTAGAGGCCTATATAGATGGGTAAATGTGAAGTATGGAATAGCAAAGTAGTAGTGTAGTAGTGTAGCAAAGTAATGAACTCAGTGTCCCGGCCCACTTTTATTTTTTGCCTATCGATAAGATCTTCCCCCCACCATCTGAATTTGAATGCGATCAATCTTCCCTCTGTAATTGCCGCTTCTTTGCACGTTACAATACTCTTGTGAGCTTCTTCCAACTCCATCACCTCATCATGTCCACTGTGTTCATAATCCTGGGCTACGGTGCGCCATACCTTTCTGGAAGCTTGAAGACCCGCACGTTTGAGCTATTCAGGCTTACAATATGATTATAGGACCCTCTAATCCTATACTGCCGTTTATCGCATGCCACAAAGTTATTCGTTGCCTTTTGCTAGGAGCTGCGCGAAATGTCCGAGATTCGCAGTTTCACCGTTCGGCCGTTGTCAAAACAGGCCCGGAGTGATTACAAGGATGCATTTCGGGTCTACCTATCATCATCCTCCCTGGCTGCGTTGAGGCTCCGCGCTGATGATCTCTGCTGCCTGACCTCTGCTGAAGGAGCCCCGAAGACCGCGATTGCTTGGACTGCGGTGGAAAACATTCAAAGCACCGTGGTGCAAACCTCGAGGGCTCTCCAGGATTGCTACGGAATTAAGGTAGGAGAAAAAGTCGGAATTAGCAGGATAGACGGCGCTCTCGACAACGTTGAATCTGTTTTCCTGCTTGATTGCTCCGAACATGAGAAAATCGCAAGGTATGGATCGATAGCCGCCGAAGAACGGTGCCACTGGGAATGGGCTTTGGAATTTCAACTTCTGAGATGTGAAGTCCTCGCCAAGGGCCTTACTTTTGAGTTAGAGCTTAAGGGCCAGCGTCGGAGCTTCCAGTTGATGAATATACACGCCCAGAATTCAAGCCCCAACCGCACCATTTTTCGGTTTACGAAGGATACCAAGGTTTGCATCGGAACGGAAATGGAGGCGCCCGAAGAGCCTTCCTCTTCCGACATCACCGTTCAGTCTACAAAGCTAGGGGGTCTCTCGCGACAGATTGAAGACATTAATGAGAGCTTGTCCGACTTCAATATCGACCCACGCAAACCGAATATGCCTTCATTCTATGAGCACAGCCGGGGTATTCTTCTCTATGGACCAAAGGGAACTGGAAAGACAGCTTTGCTGGAGCAGATTGAGAAGGCTGGCTGGAAACAAGTCTTGAAAATTGGAACCTCATCGCTCGGTCGAAGTATTAACGAAAGTGAATCGAAGATTCGCAACGTTTTTCAAGAAGCTGCGCGCTCAAAGCCTAGTGTCATCATCATCGATCAACTGGACTTTGTCGCACCGAAGCGAACTTCTCTAGAGTCTCAATCACTGGCTTCCGTCCTTTGTGAGAACTTGGACGCGATTCGGAGCGCGTCGATTCTGGTTGTGGCCGCAACCAGGCATCCAAACAACGTTGACGATGCGCTCAGAACTCCACATCGATTTGGCGCAGAGATTGAGCTACAGGTTCCAACGGCCCAGGATCGGGCAGAGATTCTTCGTGCGATCCGTGGGCCCGTTTCCGCTGGGTTGACAGATGAGCTAGTTGAATATCTTGCAGAGAAGACACATGGATATGTCGGCGCGGACCTCTTTGCTTTGCTGCAGTTGATTTGTCGGAAAGCCCGCCAACGGCAGCTGCTGGAGCAGGACTCCACACCCCAATGCTCTGATCTGTCCACTGAGATAGAAAATAACCGGCATGTTAGTGTCGACCTAGTGATACAAGAGACTGATATCATGTCATCCTTGCAAGAGATTCGGCCTACAGCCATGCGCGAGGTGTTCTTGGAGACTCCAAAGGTGAGATGGACAGATATTGGCGGACAACACGAAGTAAAAAAACGCCTGCAGCAGGCTGTCGAAAGACCTCTCAAGGTAAAAATTATCTTTGATCATCAAATTGACCGATATTGGTGCTAACAATCTATTTTAGTATCCTCAGCGGATGCAACGGCTCAATGTGAAGAGCAAAAGGGAGTTCTTCTTTACGGCCCACCTGGGTGTTCTAAGACATTGACTGTCAAAGCCCTGGCCACAGAAGCTGGGTTGAACTTTTTGGCCGTTAAGGGTGCAGAAATTCTGAGCATGTATGTCGGAGAGTCTGAACGGTCGCTGAGGGAGATATTTCGCAAGGCTCGCGCGGCACGACCCAGTATCATCTTCTTCGACGAGATTGATGCCATTGCCGCTCGACGTAGCAGCAGCTCCAACGGCGGTGTCAATGTTCTGACGACTTTGCTCAACGAGATGGATGGTATTGAAGAAATGCGGAACGTGCTGGTCATCGCGGCCACGAACAAGCCAGACGTCCTTGACCCAGCACTCATGCGGCCCGGTCGTTTGGACAACATCCTATACATTGGACCACCTGATTTTGAGGCGCGGAAGGAAATTCTGCGAATCTGGTCAAGTAAATCTGTCGTCGATCCGGAAGTGGACCTGGACGAACTGGCGACCCTCACCGATGGTTATTCGGGAGCGGAGATGGTGAGCATATGTGAGACTGCAGGAGATGCGGCCTTGGATGAAGAAGAAGAGACTCAGCAAGAGCAAAATGTGAAATTGAAGCATTTTGAATACGCCTTGGGTCAGGTGCGGCGACAGATCACAGACAGCGTCATTGCGGAATACGAGCAATGGAGAGATGGACAGTCCTAAATTGATAGAAGATAGAGGAGACGTTGAGTCATAGAAAAATAAACCTGTACGTTCCTAGATAGTTATCATTCCAAATATCTTTGTCAAAGCTGCCTAAGGTGATTACCTCATGCGGCTAGCGTAAGGTTCCAATCGCCCTTGATTCGCGAGTTGCGCCTTCAACATCAACTTCACCTTCACCTTCACCTTCACACACTCACTCTCGCCCTCTTCGTCTTACTTCCTTCAACCTTTTTTTGCTTTTTACCCACCCCCTCAAAGCATCGTCAACTCTGACATTCAATGTCCATGCCTTCACGAGAGCGCTCGCCCGTGCGCTCTCCTCATGGCCCGGCGCGATCTGCCTTGCGTCCATCCATCCCCCCCGTGAAGACACGCGAAGCCCATCTCCAGCTCGCGGTCGCCCCAAGAGCCGATCGCGATCTTCTTCCCGAGGCCGATCACCATCTCGTAGTCGCAGCCGTGGCGGGCGACGCTACCGTAGCCGGAGTTACAGCAGAACACCAAGCCCCAAAAGCCCTCCAAGGAGCGCAAAAGTGAGAGTTGACAATTGCTCGCGGAAAACAACTAGCTAACAATTATGTTGGTAGATCGTGGTGGAGAAATTGACCAAAAATGTCACGGAGAATCACATCCGCGAGGTATTCGGAAGCTTTGGCGACATCGAGTACCTGGACCTTCCCATGAATCGATCCTGTGAGACTTTCTTCCCGAGGACTTGGAAAGCATCGCGCTTGATCTTCGTTTTGGAACATTGTGTCTCTAACTGTGTTTTCTAGTCATGACCAACCGGGGAACCGCCTACATCTTGTATTACGACCCCGCGGATGCTGAAGCTGCTATCGCTCATATGCACGAAGCCCAACTAGACGGGGCCATTTTGAACGTTTCAATTGTTCTTCCCCGCCGGACATTCTCAAGATCACCCCCCCCTGCGTCTAATCGAGGCAATGGCAGTCGCCCCAGATTTGGCAAGGGATCCTATGCGAAATCACCCCCGCGAAGGCATGGTCGGGCGCGGCCTACCGAGCGACATGATGTTTACCGACCTCCTTCTCTCTCTCGATCTCGATCACCTGTGCGCTCGCGGACCTATTCTCGCTCGCGGTCCCCACCAAGAAGAGGCAGCCTCCGCACCGAGAGCCCACGGCAGCGCCGCCGACGGAGTCCCAGCTATAGTAGCTACGGATACAGCAGCCGGAGCGGTAGTCGGAGCCCGAAAAGAAGCCGGAGTCGCAATCGTCATTAGTCTCTTCAGCAAAATCACATCATTGCAATCGCAATCGCAATCGCTCCTCTTGTATGTTTAACTTGCTCCATGACTAACCTGCACGAACTCTAAATCACCAAATGGATAGCCAAATTGTTCTGGGAGCACTCAAGGACACGAAAGTTGTAAGGAGGTAAATATTGGCGTGATAATTGAGATAGTATTGAAGCTACGTGGAAAAATGAACAAAATGGGGGTTCAAAGCTCAGAAAAAGGCACACCATCCGATATACATGGACGCCAGGTTCTTCTTGTCGGTCGCCTGCATGATCAGCTCATCTACCTGACCGTCCACTGAAAGTGGAATTGGCTGCTTGGACATGAACCCCCGAAGTTTGTTGCGGACATCTTCCAAAACTCCGGCAGGAGTGTCGGGCACACTTACATGAGTGCGGCGCTGTGATCCGGCATCAGTAGCTGGCCTTTGTGATGGAAGGGATTGCACTCACTCTTTTCCCGATGAAGTCGGTGGTTGGGTCATGCAAGAATGTTTCGAGGACGGTCATCAAGGCATCCTCGTTCTGCCGCAGAAGACTGAGGGTGATCTCACAGGTTCTCCGGAAAGGCCCTATACCATGAGAATCAGTTCCTGTTTCCCAAGCATAAGTTCTGGCGAGCCTACCATTGTATCCATAGGCACCAAAGGCGTCAACCATGTTGTTCGTTAATCGGAATGGAACCACCTCAGGTTTTTCAAACGTTTGACCCTGCATACAATTAGGCTTTGTGTAGCACAACCCGGACTTTAGACTCTTACTTTGTCAAACAGACAGTTAAAATCAACGTGCAGAATGCCTCCTGTTCCTTCTTCGAATGAAAGGTTCTCTCCGTGTCGATCGCCAAGCCTACAACATAAATCACTGGATTAGTACGAAATTATCTCAACACAAGCTGGAATAGCTGCGGCCGGCACGATACATACCCTAGAACGTATCCAACCATTGACATGACCGCAGAGGACCTCGTATACCGTAGTCTTGCCGTGAACCAGGTCTCTGTCTCAGGGAACATTTCGATAAACCATTCATGAAGAACTGGAGGCAGCCTGTCTTCGTCAGCATCAAGTAGCTTTTCAACTAAGTCGAGTCTGTCTCACTTGGCCAGAATCTTTGTTGTAAACAATGACAACTTGGACATTGAGCGATCTGCGCATATCTCATTCAGGTAGTGTTTGATTTCCGTATACTATTTTGTAAATTTGTCAGTCAAACAATGAAGCCTCGAAACAGCCAATGTTCTTACATTTGGTGCAACGCCACGCTCGCGTAGAATTTTGATGATGATCTCTCTTAAGGTCCGGAGATTGTCAACCCACTCAATTAAGCCACATTCCTCATTGAGCGGTGTCACGGCATAGGTTTTGATGTCTCCGTTGTGTTAGACTTTCATAGATCATAGATATACTGAGCGGGAGAACTTACACATTCGTCGCTTGCTTGATTCGACGTCCCGTTTCAAGAATCGATTGATCATGTTGTTGAATTCCATGAGACGCTGATCCTTGCGCAGGTCATCCTTGGGCTTGCAAAGTGCATTGTAGATCTTTCCATCGGACCCTCGAATACTGATCTTGCGTGGCTTTTGGAGTGAGTTCAAGATCTGTGCCTCGTCAAGAACGGCTGTTACCGGTTAGCTCATCATTACAAAAAAAAAACGAGGTTTAACATGCCCTCTATGGTTGTCGGGTCCCGTGGGAAAGGTCTGAATCCCTTCAGGTACTCTGAATCATGACTGGTCGGCAGGCTTGGAATTAACATTGCTTGGAATGGTACTACAAGGCGACACGGGACAACTTTGTGATTAAATCCGAGGTGGCGAGCAAGGCTAACCCGGGAGGCTCTTTCCTCAACGCGTGCGAGGCATAGCTGAAGTAATTCTTCAGAGAACTTTTGGCCCTGGTTTATCATGCGGCGAATGTCGGATGACGTTGACTCTGATTTGTGTTTAGTGGTGTAGTCCTATTTGACTTAGCAGGGTCCCTGTTATCTGGCAGAGGGTCAGATATACCGTGATCTTTTGTAGGCAGCTGTAGCCCCTGGACGCTCGATCCTTGTTGGAGGATTTGACTACTGCAAGGACTGTCCATAGTCCTTGCTGTGGAAAGCTATGGACGGCTTTAGCCACGATTCGCGTCAAGAGGTCATACACCGTGCTGTTGGTGTGACAGATTCGAGCGACCACCTGGGGCAAAATTGTAAAGAGCTATAATTGAGTGAGCCTATTATTTCGGGAAAAACAACAACAATAACTTGTATGAAATGTTTGCTCACCAGAGCAGCTTGCAGGCGGGATGAGATGTATTTTTTCAGCTGAGCATGCATCTCATCTAAGCTCTTCTGTCGCTGAGCTTTGGTGTGTCTCTGGAAGTCTCTATTTTTTTCGAAGTCCATATTTAGCGACGTAGACCTATTCAACTTTGCCGAGGACCACTTACTCGTTGTCTCCTCGCTTCGGATCAATTGGCTGATCGACGATAGAAGCATGTTCCAACCAAAGCGTCAAAAGTTTGGGTAGCGTTTGAAACACATATTTGCTCCCATAAGTTAGTGAGCGAAGATAGTTGTCAATGACGAGCTTGGTGGCTTCCCCGCTAAGGCTGGAAAGGACTATTAGTAGTTGACTCGGTCCGCCATGGCAAAGGATATGCATACTATATCTGAGCTTCCTTCCCCATGGGCTTGGTTTTCTCCGAGTCAAGGATCTTGTTGTAATGTTTTCCCAGGTAGTAATGTGCTTTCTCCCATCTGAAAGCTTGAATTAGCCGATATTTCCCGAGATCGAAGAGGTCGACTCGCCTGGGGTATAGCTTGATAGCTTCCCGATACCGTTGAACAATGACCTGAGAGTGAGTTTGACCCGCTCTGTCTGTCCATTTAGCCAGGAGGAGATGAGCCTAAATGGACCAATCAGCCTCTAGATTTTCAATGGAATTGAATTGACGAGACGTACCCGTGCCGCCGTCACATTTGCGTTCTGCCCACGGCTGGAGAGGAATGATAATGCATCGGGATCCGCCGAGGGTGATGTTGCAGAGGTAGCCTCATTGGCTGATATCGCACCCTCAAGCGTTTGGATTGCTTTGCGATGGTGCCCATCTTTCCAGAGAAGTTTGGCATGTTCAATGGTAGCCGATCGATCCTTTAGTAGAGCCGCGTTGAGCATTGAGTGATATGCTTGACTGGTGAAGTTGCCCTTTCGCGACAAGTGAGCACTGGTGAGCCAGGCTGATGCTATGTCGGAGTTGGCAAAGTTGCCTCTGAAAGAAATGTTAAGAAGTATCATGGCGATGGTGACACTATGCACTTACGCTAGCTCCATGGCAGCTCGCCTCAGTCCCAGAAGGTATTGTTTGTCCGCAAGATAACCACCCAGCACATCCAAACGTCGATTCAAAGCTCCTAGTATGTCTAGGCTCGGATTGGAGCCTGCAGCACCTGCATTCGCAATAGATTCTATGTCAGCCAGGGCGTGTAACCGAAGCATATCATCATGACAGGTTTGTAACGAGGCTACAGAGTTAGCAGTCAATGATTTCGCAACGTTGAGCCTGAGCCCATTGATGATCTCGATGAATTTTTCGGCTTTGTTCTGCCGAAGAAAATTGAGAGCTGAGCCCATGCCCGCATTGAAGTCCCCGGTACCTTTTTTCGCAGATAACTCCAAGTAGCCCTTGAGTTTATCCCATCTTCCCGTGATCCACGATGCCTCTACTGCGAAAGGCAAAAATCGGGACGCTGCAGATTCGTTGTCTTTGACAACCTCGAAACGGGTGAGAATCGCATCTAGATATGATAAGCAAGTGGTTGGCAAAATTGATGAGAACAAATTGCTGGAGCTACCTTGTTGACCGGATTCCTTGAGGCAAGTGACAAGGTTCCATTGAGCATCGACATTATTTGGTTCTTTCTCAAGCTGAAGTTCGTACCAACTTTGTGCAGTAGCCCACCTTCCCGCCTTGCGGTGTTCCAGAACTTGCTGGTCGATGTTGAGCGCAGATAAGTGGCTTGAAATGCCCTCAATGCCGTCAGGTTCATCGATTTGACTGTATATATCCTGTAGTCGTTGATAGAGAGGCTCGGTATTGGAGCGCTCTTGCATGTCCGGCTGCGATTGGCATTTCCGAATATACTGTTCCCAATGGAATAAAGCCCTAGAAAATGACTTGCATTCGACGGCTCGTTTGGATATGACCTCTGGCGGAATAGAAGCTAAAACAGCTTCGACAGATTTGATCTGACACGTGTACTTTTCAAGAAGTCCATCTCGGTTGGCATCTCTGTGGGAGCGGCTGGATTGGTAAGACTGGTAATTCAGGCTATTAAGCTGCTTTTTCTTTCCCTGAAGCCATCTCGACAAATAGTCCAGAACCTCGAAAACGCTCTGCACACACTGTGATTAGCAAACGAATAATAAAAGTCCATATCCGAGAGGTCTTACCTGGCTACTACTGATGATAGTTTCACGGACACTATTGTTAGTGTCAGGGAGGGGGTGCGAAAGAACGTTCATCAACTCAAGCTGGAGAACCTGCAACTCTGGTTGAGTCCCCCCAACGATGCGATTCAGGACGGCGAACGGTAAAAGAAATGATGAAATCGAGATGTCTTGCCCTTTTACGACTCGGCTGCATACTGCGAATATGAGCTTTGCGTTATCCCCATTCCCAGTCTGGAGCAGATCCTGTACAAGCGTTCGAAGCCACTCGCTATGGGTCATTTTGGTATTCAACAAAGGATATATAACCTTGGAGGTAGCTCCGACAACAGTGACTGTGTAAGTAGAGGTTAGGAATGGCGTGAGAGTGTTTCGGACGCTTTCTGGAAGCTCTATCCACCGCTGATATTTCTCGTCGCCCTGATCAAAATCTCGATTCCGCTGAGTCACTGCTGTGTTCAGATTGCAAATTTTGAGAAGATTTTGCATGGCATAAGCCAAGAATCCTTGAGCCCTGGTGTTAGATGCTGACAAGAAAGCCTCAACTAGGACATGCTGGAGGAAGAACAGAACGAATTCTACCGTATCTTCCATTCGGTCAAAGTTTGACAGAACAAGAATGTCCCTCTTTTCCTTGACTGTCTCTACTCGGTTCGGATCAAGACATCCGACGAGACCCAAACATCGCGAGGACAGCAGAGTGATTGAGTCCGAACTGGTGTTAAATTTCACACAGCAGTCAAGCAGCGCCCTCGTTAATTGAGCGATCACAGGATCTGGCTGCTCGCTGAGAACAGAAACATGCAAGAATTCCTCGTTTCCTGACAGAAAAGGCAGTAGTTCATCCAGAGCCTGCTCAACAACTGTGGCATTCTCACTTTGACAGCGCCGGATGAGGGCAAGGAACTGGCTTCGAACGTCCATTTGCGTCCTCAACTCGTTGATCTTGGCTTCGAAAGATGTCATTTCAGGAATCGAAGCTAGAGAGGGCATGGTGTTGAAAGTATCCCGTACCAAGTTCGGATGATTCGTCAAAATATGGTCAATGAGCTGATAGGCATGAATTCGACTATCTTCCGTGAATCTATCCCAGTACCTGATGACAATCGCCAATGTCTGGTCGATGAGCGGCTCAATGTCCTCTTCACTAAGCGAGCCGATCAAGGTCTTCCAGGCTGCAAAAGCATGGTCGCAAAGCTCCTCAATATCAAGTGCTGATCGGAGACAGGCACAGACTTGGGGCAACGCATTGCTAACATGGCCTTGAGCGATGTTGATCATCTCTTCTATGGCCTTGAGATTTCGCCTTTTTTCCGCCAAGGTTTGTCTCACTTGGAAATCGTTGATCGCATTTGCAAATTGAGTGATGATGCCAAGAACATGCTCCTCAATAAAGTGGCTCAACAAGTCTGTCTTTTTGGAAGAACTTCCATGAGCACACTTCCGCGGAACGAATGTGGCCAGGCGGCTTAGCGCTTGATGAAACTGGGTTGGCAATTATTAGCGGCAAGTCCACCATCGCCATCTTGAGACGAAGTGCAAAGTATCCTACTCACTCTCTCCTTGTTCTGCTCTCCAGCATCCCCGAGACTCTTGAGTAAGTCACAGGCGATGAGAATCGGCTCAATCCGCACCAGATCGGCTAGTGTTCGACTTTTGAAAGCAGGATCTATCTCAGCTAATAAAGACATGATCATCGCCTCCGGGTTGTTCGATTGCTGAGACAATAGGAAAGCAAGGATCGCAGCGAGGTTGTTCTTTTCGGAGCAGACATCAAATGGCGATTCACCTTCATTGCGACTTGCCCCAATTCTGCAAATGATGTCCCGCTTCCGGGTTAGAACCAAGTACGGGAGAACATGTACCTCTGTCAAGCGAAGGAAGCCATCAACTTTCATCCCAAGCAATTCGCAAAGCTGCTCTGCCATGTATGGGCGAGTCTGGAGGTTTTTGACGACCACCACGGATAGAGTCCTCCAATAGGGCCGAAACAAGCCAGCAGGAGTCAATGCAGATTGCTGCGCAAGTTTAGACAGCTAGTTCAACGTATTAGCTTGCTAAATGCCGTATATAAAAGGGCAAAGATGCAATCTAGGCTGACTGGGTAATGTGACAATTGAAAGTGCTTTACATACCTCATTGTACGCAACTGCACAGACATAGGGATTCGGATGACCGAGATATTCCAAGAGACGAAGGAGAATAATGTTTTTCTCTTCGTCTTCTGAAGCACTATTTTGAACCCAGTGAGTTAGATATTTGAAACCAAGGCGGCACATAGACAAACCTGGCAAGTCGACACAATGTCAGAACGCAGGTTTCCTGCAAAGGCATGTCATCTTTCTCCGAGAGGTTTTTCAACCATTCCAAGACAATGACAAAATTTGCCCGGCGGATGTCCGGCTGGAGATTTGAACGCACAAATGCTACCATTGAAAGTCTGCCAGTGGATTAGTACATTACCAATAACAATTAGTGTCCAGAACATACCCGGTCGCGATCCGAAGCTCTCGGATAGAGCTGCGAAGGGAATGAAGGCAGAATTCTCCAGCTGTAGATGATGAAAGGTGCATCTGGTTTGAGCCAGGAGAGTGCATGAGAATTCTCTTTAAAGCCACCATAGCAGCGATGCGTGGGCCAGGCGTGCGTGTAAGTTTTGGCAATATGAAATTGAATATTGACCACAATTCCTCGAACTGAGGCGTTTCTTTCTCCGGAAGCATTCCAGGCTGGAGATGTTCATCGTCACAGACGTGACAAAAGAGGGTCTCCCGCGTTCCAATCTCCGATGGCTTCTGCACCAAATTCTTCGTCACGGAACAGGAAACCTTGCCCATTAATTCCAGGATCTCCACCTTGTGGGGTTCAGGTAGGCTCTCGAATGAGCTCCTATTAGATGTTAGTACCATACCAGACGCTATTGTTGAGATTAAACAGGCAAAGCACCGGTACTCACTGAATGGCAGCGTGTAAGTCTGTCAAGCTTTCAATACGATCATGGCCCAGTAGCGAAGAGAGGGTTGCCGTTAAACTCTGTTGAAGATCCTGGCCTGAGGGCTCAACAGAAAGGCAGATCCGCTTTGATGCGCGTGTTTCATTGTTCTGCTCTTTTCTTTGACCCGTCACATCAGGTATCTGACTGGCAAGGGACAATTCTTCAACCAGAGCCTCTGATGTGACCGCCAAGGAGCGTCTTTCAGATATTGATGTGGCCAACAGCTCAGCACGAAGGGATTGAAGAGATGCCTAGAATTGTGTCAGATCACGTTGATATACTAAAACTGAGCGTGGTCATTACCCAAAGACAAGAATCCATTGACTGCAGGTCAAGATCCCGGTCCTCGATCTCTGCCAGGATCGGCAGGATTATTTCCCTCAGCAGCTGGGCGGATGTATTGGACTGTCTAGTTGTTTGCACGAATTCGTCTAGATAGTTACTTATCTCCACTTGCATTGCAAGAAATGAATGGCTAATGCTTGGATAGATTAGGTCGCTTAAACATTGAGCCCAGGTCGAAGCCAAGCCCATGTCCGACGGCAGAGCCGGTGAAGTTGACCTAGGCACACAGAGACGGCGGATAGATGCTAGGAGTTGAAGGCAGGTTTCCTCTTCGTCTGAGGTCAACTTCGAGCGTGCAGTCTGTAGCCATTTGACTAATACTTTTCGTAGACGATTGTATCCGTTAATTACCCAAGAGAGATTCTGGCGAAGAATAAGGACTCGGCGCTTCTCCAGGCTTTCAATGGTCGTCTTGGGGCTGAACGAGTCCAGTAACATTAATGCGAGTTTGAATGCCTGGGAGAGAGTACCCAGCGCCAGACTTCTTCCCAGTAAACCGCGAGGAAGGTGTAGATGGTCCAATTCCGTAAGAAGAGACCCGCTGGATGCTGGTATGGACATCTTCACGAGGCGAACATTTTGCCAGTCATGAACCCGAGATGTTTCCAGTGACCATAAGATATCTGCTTCCTGTTAGCCTAGTTCAGCCAAATCAACCGACTGAAGACATAAACGGACCCGATGTGCAAATTCGGAGGAATATCGAGATGCCATTAAGCGAAGGAGATGAAAGAGCTTGTTTGTATTGCAAACAAGCGATGCTAGTGAATACCAGGCGAATTTTGTCCTGAATAGCTTCGGATTGCCAGATGCAGGCTAACCTGATCAGTCGAAGGATCAACCATGCAAACAACGGCGCTTGAACTTCCTCTCCCAGTATAAGCGGATCCGAAATGTCCCACAGAGCCTGTGGGGCTTTTTCGATGCTTGCTTGAATGATATCCAGACAATCAAAAACCTGCCCTTCCAGATCCTCTTCCGAGGCGCTGCTGGTCGGACTAGCTTCCAAGCCGGCCTGGAGAACAATACATACTAATTTGTTGATATCGGTAATACCTTCATCAACACGCATCTGGCTATGTTTCTCACCGAGAAGTTCTTGCCGAAGCTGAGAAAAGGTGTCTCGCGACAGTCGCTGCTGCGCTTCGTGCCCTTGGGATGCGAGACGCGGGGCGAAATGTGCCGCAAGGATGGACGAGGCTGGCTCTGCGGGCTTCCATCCATTTCCAGGCACGCGGCCAGGAGGGTTATCTCCATTAGCTGCCATCGATAACGAACATGGCCACTAGGCTGAAAGGCTGGTAGACGCGGGTTGGTAAAGAAGGGCAGATACGCGGAGTTGAACACGGACACCTGAGGCAACGAAAAGTACACCCACGATTTCGATCTTTCGATTTGATCAAAAGAACTCGATATATGTGAATTTACCCGGAATGACTAGCGCAAAAGTCTAGTTTTCTACGGATAGAGCGCTAGGCGGGTATTGAATCACACGAAGTGCATTACGAAAGAAGGTGATAATAGCTTACTTGCCCGGGCGCATTCGAAGAGGCATTTGCTATGGCGCTATGGTACATTAACTTGAAAACAACAACAAAATGTCTGGTTCTTTAAGCCCGAAAATCTTCCTACCACGAGATTTAGAAGGATTTAATGGTTTGGTATCATTTGCATGATCTCCTTGGGCTGCACATAGAAAGCCCTGCTTTCGCCGCTCAAACGTTCTATTTTATTTCAATCTCCCTTTACTTAACTACAAGATAATATTGATCTCTTTGCGATTCTATTCATTGAATCATAGGCTCAGTAATCATGGATGGAAGAAAAAGCAGGTGGCCAAGATTATATTACCTTGATCAGTGGCGGTCCGTTAGAAATCTCCTCGTGTATCGGTCCATCTCTCACTTCCAGTTGCGCCCCTCCCAAATAGAGCCATGGGCGTTAACCCCCAACACTGACTCCCCCTCAGAAAAAGTTCACTTGTCATTGTCTCTTCTTCATGGATCTGCTCGGTGCGGAATCTGAGTTGGCGCCCTCCGCTCTAGTGGAGGACTCGCGTCACGCCTACTTCATGCAGGAAGCTCTGTCAATGGTACGTGATGCCCTTCCGATGTCAACACCCTCCACGCTGAACAAATGTTACAGGGTGAAAAGGCACTGGGATCAGGCGAGACCCCCGTTGGATGTGTTCTGGTCTACAATGACCAAATTGTGGGACGGGGCATGAATGACACCAACCGGTCCATGAATGTAAGTCTTTGAGCACGCGTGGCTACAAATTTGACATCGCTGATGACTCTAAGGGAACCCGACATGCCGAATTCCTTGCGATTGCAGAATTGCTGCGAACCTATCCCAGATCCACGTTGCAAGAAACCGATCTCTACGTGACAGTCGAGCCGTGTGTTATGTGTGCCTCAGCCCTAAAGCAGTATCGAATCCGCCGCGTGTACTACGGCTGCGCTAATGACCGATTTGGAGGTACTGGAGGTGTACTGAAGCTGCATTCCGAGTTGGTGGCCCCATCCTCTAGCCGAAATGATGCATTGATTGCTTACTTGCTCCAGTCCTTCCCTTGATCCACAATATCCTGTGCATGGTGGGCTGTTCCAAAAGGAAGCGATTATGCTTCTCCGCCGCTTCTACATTCAAGAGAATGAGAAAGGTCAGTGTTTGATCCCGACTACGGCGGAGCCATTGCTAACGTTCCCACCAGCACCCAACCCGCGGCCTAAGAAGAATCGCGAACTCAACACATCTTTCGAGGACAAGGATTAACTTTGTCCCAGAAAATATTCTTACCCTTACTCATGAATCATGTCATCAGCTAAAAAAATGAACGCAAATGAATATCTTTATGACTACACAGATCGATAGGAAGGGCAGATTGTGCACAGCCGCCATATCGATCGCGAACTCAGGACAAAAGTTGTAAAATTGCAGCTGCGCCGTGGGAAAAGAAATACGAAAAGGATATGTGTACAATAAGTTTGTAACTCCAGGCCAAACTTTCGACCTAATTTTTCAAGCGATCATGCAGTCTTGACCCGCTCGGCTTCCAACTCCCGCTCCGCTTGCTGGTAGTACTTGGCCGTGTCAACACCGTGCTAGAAAATAGTATTAGTATCGGATGGCCACTTCCCGAACAAGTGCGCAAAGGTGGGGGGCTCACCTGGTCGTGGTTGACGATGTTGAACCACGGAAGAACGTGGATGAACAGTTCCGAGTATCGAGAATTACGTGCAGCCACACCCTGGATGTAATCGGAGACCTTCGAGACACCGTACAGGGGCTGTCCCTGCTTCACTTTGTCGACCATTTCCCTCATGTCCATCTCAATCTCCCGGGTGTTCTCGGTGAATCCGTAGAAACGTTCTGCAGTCTGGTGAGTAGCTCAATCTGGGGTGTAGGGCCTGAGAGACATACGACAGGATCGCTGGTAGAAGACGTGAAGTCCACCGATGAGACCAATGGCGGTTGCAAGGCGCATCACGGGGGAAAAGCCGCCGCGACCGACATGCGACGGGCTCACTCGCTCCATAACCCAGAAGGCAATAGGAGAGACGGTGGCGGCGCCAGCACCCACAGCATAATCCGAAGGACGAGCATATCCGAATACACGTCGCAGATGCCTAGATATATGGTGAGTTTGGTTCAAAGAGCATTCGGGGCAGATCGTACGGGTCGGAGTCAATGAGCTATTAGAGACCGAATTAGCCATTAGCAGACAAACGGAAAGGAAACAATTCATACGGGATAATCAGTGACGGCCCGCTTGGGGGGCACAACGGCCGTGCTGGAAGAAGCCATGATGTCGTCAAGGGAGAGCGATGAGGGGGTTTACCGTTGTGCAGAGTCGAAGTTCGGAAGATGGAGGAGAGAGACCGCGCTAGCTGCTTCAGGATTAGCGCACTCCGGGCGGACAGCTCTTCCACCGCCAACCAGATGCGTGATGATCAGTCGCGTTCCTGAACATCGGACGCGTTTCTGCCCAAGATACATCAAGTTCCAAGATATAAGTCTCACCATGGATGATGAAAGAGCCGGTTCACCTGTTAACCTGAACGATCTCTTTGATTACGACGTTGGTCTGGATGAGGTCTTTAACGATAACAACGCATCGAATGGCAACGAAGCCAAACCATCCGGGGATCCCTCCTCTCTCGGTCTGGGACTCGACGAGGAGGTCAAAGTCACAAAGAAGAGACAGCCGGTAGCGAAGCTGGACGAGGGCCGGTGAGTAGCTTGTCCAACCATTCATCGACCACAATTGACCGTTCTTTCTCAGACTGCTTTCACAACCAGGCATTCCCAAACTACGACGCACCGCGAAGCAGAAACTCAGATTTAAAGGCAAAGGACATGAGGTTAGTCGGATCCTCCGGTAACCATTTGCCGACATGGAATTGACGCGCCTGCTTGATAGTTCTCGGATGCGGCACGCCTTTTGAACTTCTACCAACTATGGCTCGATGACTTGTTTCCACGCGCCAAATTCGCAGATGGCTTGACGATGATTGAGAAACTAGGTCATTCCAAACGCATTCAGACCATGAGACGAGAATGGATTGAGGAGGAGAAGCCGAAGCTATTTGACGATCACGACCTCTCTCGACATATCTCAGACACCCTCGACCTTCCAACAAGACTTTCCTCCGATCAAATAGGCGCAGCGGCAACGGCGCCCAATGAATCAGCCAGCTCGGAGCCCTGGAAGAACGCGTCGGCAGCTGCGGACCCAGAACTGTTTATTCCAGACCCCGAGAGGGAGACCCGGCCTTTAGCCAGCCATCCGGAGCCGGACGATGACGACCTGGAGGATCTTCTCAGAGAACAGGACCAGGCCATGTCCGGAATGCCTGAATCGACTTCGCGGCCAGCGAATAACAACCCTGATGACTTTAATGCCGAATATGAAGCCATGAATGAAATGGGGATGTAGAGGAAAGCAATAAGTAATTTTGAATGACAGCTATGAATTCAGTCCTTCTTGCCTGTTGTAGGCAATCGGCATTCACCTAAGTAAACGCTTAGATAACTTCACAGGCTTATCCAGGCTCTACATCATACGGATTATTACCCAGTAGAGTCACGGGTATTTCAGACGTTCACATGTGTTGTAGGCACTCGCTTGACCCGACACTTCGTCCCGGGTTTGGAAATCTGTGTTCAATATTACTATGATCAAGGCTGATACACGAGTGGAGCTAATTTGACATTTGATGCGCCGAAGATTGAAGAAAATATTGGAAACAGAAGATAACAGAAACGGTCGTCACCACCTGACTTCAGCCACTCGGGGGAGGGCCCAGGGCAGAGCCAAATTTACTCGTCGGCAGGCGACGTGAAGACAGAGAATTGGCCACCGGCGCCGGCCCAGTTCAACTGCTTTCCACGGACGGCAGTGTTGTCGATGATGGTGGCAACTTCGATATCATCCTGGGTACCCTGTCCAGTCTGGTACGTAGCAGAGAAGCCCCAGGACCACGCACGGCCATCGGCATCAATTGCAAGGCAGTGATCGGAAGCAGCTGAAACCACCTTGGCCTTGACATCAGGAACCGGGGTGGGTTCAATCAGAATGCGAGGACGTCCACGTGCATCCTTGATAACTGCGTCGTCGTGAAGAGTATCGATCTTCAAGCCACTCTGGAAGCCGTCCAGGCGGCCCCATACCAGGCACTGACCATCCTCAGTCCTTGCAATGGAGTGGTGAGCGCCACCGCAAAGTTGGGTGATACCCTGACCGGTGAGCGACTCGACGACGGTGGGCTGTACAATTGCAGCCTCGTCATCACCAGCACCATCGCGAATAGCTGTTGCGCCGAAGCTGTTCAGGCCCCAGGCATAAACCTTTCCGTTTGCGTGAACCGCAAAGGAGTGGTAAGAGCCACAGCCAATGTGCGCGATATTCTTCGGGAGCCCAAACTCTCGAGGGATCAATCCATGGAGCTTGTTGCGCTCAATGATGCGGCGGCCGAGCTGGTTTTGTTGTCCAGAGCCCCACGAGAAAACGCTACCTTTGTCGTTCAGCGCAAGGACGTGGTTCGCGCCACATGACAGGTACTTGATCTTCTTCAAGGGCGAAATGAGAATTGGAGTGTTCTGAACCCGATGGGTGGTGTCAAAGCCGAGAATTCCGTCGTTGCTCTGAACGAAAAAAAAAAAAAAAAACATGGTTAGCGCGAAGCAGGAGCAAATAGGATATAGCGTTCAACCTACTCGGAAAGTTCCCCAGCCATAGACCTGTCCATCGTCCGTAAGAGCAAAGCTTGCGCTATCCGCAGCGGCCACTTGAACAAAGACCGTCCCTTCAGGGAATGCGCCAGAAGGAATTGCGGTAGGAGTGGACTCGACTGGATTCAACCCACTATCTTCATCATCCGAGTCAGAGTCGCTGTTGTCCTCAATATCCTTGTAGCCGCCATTCCAGGTGGTGTCCCGTCCCAAAGCACCTTGGTCGTTCACACCCCAGGTGAAGATCTCGTTGCGGTGGGTCAAGGCCACGCAGTGCATGCCGCCAACAGCAATTTGAACGACACCCACCTTGTCGGCCGCTAGGAGCTGGTTCAGACGTGGCCTCTTCACATCAATGACGTTTTTAGCCGTGCCCAGGCCCAACTCGCCGGAGCTTCCCTCACCGCAGACATATACGTGTAGGCGAGATTTGGGGGCCTCGTTGATGATGACCTTAGCCTTAGGAGCCTTGAGCGCTCGGGACTGGGTGACGCGAGGTTTCTTCACTGGGCGAGACTTCTCCTCCTGCTCGCGCGGCTTCTCTTCTTCGTCGGAATCATCGACCTTGCGCTTCTTCGAAGCAGATGTGGTAGGTGCCGTAGTCTTCGTTTTACGCGACTTTTCAGTGAGCTCTTTCTTCACTGTCTCCTCAGTCGACATCTTCTTAGATCGACGGCCGGTCGCAGCAGGCTTCTCGGGTTTGGCAGCGGGTTTGGCGGCAGCCTTTGCCGGTTTCTTGGTAGTAGCCTTCTTGGTGGCCTTAGCTGGGGCCTCCTTAACCGGAGCAACCTTCTTAGCTGGGGCAGCCTTTTTAGGAGGCATTGCGAGGAATGGGAATGTAACGGAGGAATTTAGGGTTGGACAGGGTAGGAAGGGAAGACGCGACAAGACAAAGGAAAGCGCCAAGGCCGGGAAAAAAAAAGGAAAAGGTAAATAATGAATAATGCGGCATTCCCGGCCTCCCGAGACTAGAGGAAGAAGCTCTTAGTTGAACCTCGCGAATTATAATAGTCCAGTTCATAATAGTAATTGCATTTATTCTAAATCATTCCTCATTACGTGTAATTATTCCCAGTGTCCGCAATCAAACAATCATGGGGTATCTTGTGCGCGGATCTTACCACACATGATAACGTTTTGTCCTAACGGCGTCCACTTCACATCGCGTGGATTCAGAGCTGCATTGGGTTTACCCTCTTGGTCCAGTTTGGAATCGGGACTGACTCCGACACCCCCACGACCGAGATACGTTGGGGCCACGGTGACGATGATAGAGTCGATGAAGTTTGTATACTCCGGGTTGAGTAGTTCGCTCAAAACGGTGCCACCCCCTTCAATCATGACGCTCTTGATACCCTCTGAGGCCAAGGCTCGGAGAACGGCCTCCCATCGTAGGCGCCAGTGCTGGTTATATTCCACAATCCGCAGAAAATCCCCCCCGTAGCCTTTGAGCATCATCAATCTCTGCGGGTTGATCTGAGCGCCAGGTGACACCACCACCCACGGCGCTTTTCCTTTCCCTTCAACGGCTGTTCGAAGCATTCGACATTCCGGATGAATGGGCCAACGGCCCATGGGGTCGACAACTACCGGGCGTGGTTGCCACATCCTGCCCAGTCCGCCAAACCCTCCAGCTCCTTCGAGGCGGCAGTTCAGTCCCGGGTTGTCTGCAAGGACGGTCCCAACACCAATTAGAATTGCGTCATGGCGAGAGCGGAGGTAATGGGTCATCAATTTTGCCTCTGGTCCTGACAATACCGTCTGCATCCCCGGGCATAACGATATTTTCGAGTCCATCGAAGACGCATAGGAGAGCGTGACATGGGGAAATTCGCGTTTCTCTGAGTGGTCGGGAAGGTAAGGCTGAAGAAATTCGAGGGAGAACAAGGGGAAAGATAGAGTATCCGGTGGGAGCAGAGGGGATGACCCCGACTGAGCGGGCTTTTGTTGTGTGGCGTCATTGGCACCATCTGCATTCTGGGACTTCACAATCCCATGTCCTTTCTGGTATTCGTAGCCCTCGTGAGGAACAAGCTTAACCTCGGGGTTTTGTATGCGCCACTTGGCAGAGACGTTGCGCACGTCCGTCACGGTCAGGAACCGACCTCCTGCTTCCTGAAGCTTATCCGGTTCCTCTTGGAATTTGGTGAAGATCGAAGAGGGCAAATAACCTTTCACGGATTCCTTCCTTGCAAATTCCATAAGTCCAGAATTGCGCTTCACTCGGTCAATGTAGTCGAGGTCATGAGTGTGGACACTGCTGCTCCCGGGGGTTCTCGCAATCGTGACCGTCGAGTACGCGCCTTCAAAGCGAACAACTTTGATCTGGAAGTTGCACATACCCCCTTCTCGTACACGTTTCTTGCGAGGACGTTTTCCTTCAGGTAGGGGACGTGTATCAGAAGTGCGATGTGTCGGACGTCGTAACCGACACATATAGTAATCGGTGGTACAGTGACCTTCCTTGCTTGCGTTTGACCTTTGCTTCACCCACACATTATCGATAAATGGCCAGTATGTTTCGAATTCCTCGAGGCTGATTTCGATCGGGTCTCGGCATTCGAACAAGACTCGGCGAATCCTGGACAGATTCGGCGGGTTGTTGAACATACTAGGAACAGACTCCGCATCAGCGCCCGGAGTTCTCGGCTGGGTTTCGCTTGTTTCATAGGATGCATCGTGAAGGGGAGAATCGTGGACCTCGCTCTGTCTAGCTTGCTTCTCAAGCGCGCCAAACAGGTTCATGGGTGGTGTGATATCCTCGTCCTGTGGATGGTCGTTATTCATTATATCCTCTCGCGCGAGCTCCGAGACAACTTCGGCCTCATTTTCCGCATTTTCCAATTCATTTCTTGTTCGTCCGTCTTCATGTCGTGGGGAAGCCGAGCCATTCGTCGATGCCATCGCCTGCGGGCTCGAGGTCGACGCGCGGGAGACATGGTCCATGTTGTGCAAGAACCAGCGACACACGCCGGGATAAATCAGTGGATTCCCGATCGTGAGCGGTGGTACATCTGGGCGAATGTGGACTCCATCAGTGGTCAAGATGAAAGTGGGATCTGCGGACGTGCAATGTTATCTCGAAGAAATCCCCAGAGGCTTGGCACACGCGGCACGCATCCGCGGAACTCGTGTGGGGACGATACTTGTATTCTATGTTGCCGTAGACCTTTTTCGATATTGATGTTTATTTCATGCCCCCATTATTGTGCTCAAGGTTTGGTTTGATTATTAGTAGTTACGACCAGAATTGAAGACACAGTCTACCTCGCCGACTTAAAAGTTCATCATGCAGTTATATACCCACGGTCACTTGGCTCCTTGAAACTACTCGTTTATTCCGAGTCCTCTGACTGAACAATTGCAACACTACGAAATGAGCATAGACATACACGGTGAATGAATCGTCAAATACTGTATTATCTAAGAAAGGTACACGAAGAGAGCTCATCTGCAATCTAATATGCCCCAATGTCTGCCCCAGCGCGGGCGAGGGCCTCGTAGACCTTTGGTGGGAGTTTGTATTTAACCATTCCAGAGAAGACCATGAGATCCTTCGCCATGTTTAGCAACTGTTCTGCAAATCCATGATGCATGTCAGTCTCATAGGGTCCCGAGACTTGTTTATGACGTTCTTGGCCAATGCATGCAATACTCCACATGATAACATGTCCAATATTGCGCGAAATGATCTCCGGGAAAGATGAGAATGCCTGAGCAACACTCCGAATATATGGCATAGAGCCTTGGGCTTGCAATGGAAGGACTCCCAGTCGGTCAATGTGCTGTTTTGCATGTTAGCTTGGAGGACGCGGGTGACTTGGAGTGGGAAAAACACTTACGTCGAGGGCGGGCGCCCATCTGCCTGCTTCAACCTCCATCTTAGCTTCCATCATGCGAAGGAGGAGTCCACAAGCGTCCCGATTAATCTGGCGGATCTTATCGAAGTACATCTGGTTGGAATTGTAGAGACCAATCATGTTCTTGCCCAGAATGACGGGATCGTCCACCGTGGTCAAGCTAAGACTGCTTCCAGGCGCCACAGTGTCTGCTTGGGTCTGCTCGACTCTGGGTCGCAGAAGTTGCAGCTTCGGCATGGTTCCTCCCAGCTCAACCGCAATGGCATCCGACAGGGCCCGGTTCACAATATCAATCACACGGTCGTAGTTCTCAGCCAGATGATACAAAAGCACTGCATCGGTGATTAAGCCTTTGTCGTCGGCCACGCCAGCGGCTTGAATGGTGATGTTTTTCAGGAAGTCTTGCTGATCCACTAGGTTGATCAAATCAAGACGCTGTTCGATGGCGCCCTTGATTCTAGTACCATTTGCATGAATGTCGCCCAGCAGCTTGGCGAAATCCCTAGTCTCGAGGATGAATTCTCGCAAGGCCTCGTGACAGACTGATGATTGAGACTTGCCTAGAGCGCCCGGTAGATCCGCGTTGAGACAAATCAAGGCAAAGTAGTCAATGGCGGCTTCAACATTGCCAGTGCGGAACTCTCGAGTGTATTGAGTGATGAGATACCCGAAATTGATCTGGGGGTATTGTTTCACAGTGAAAGAAACTATACAAAATAAGAACAAAGCGACGTTAGTGATTCAAATTCTGATGATTAGAAGCTTAACAGCTCGTTAAAGGGATTCGGTGGAGTTGCTTACGGATTTCTTCTCCAGAAGCGTAGAAGTCCGACACACGCAGGAGACCATAGTACGCCAATGCAACGGCGAAATGGACTGCAGTGACCGGCGAATAAGTTCCCAAATAGGCCACAGCCTGCTCGAACATTCCTCCCAGGATCTGGAGCATGAAAAATGTTCCATGTCCGCCCGGTCCATCCTGGTTCTTGTTGAAATGTCTTTGTCCAATTTCAGTGATATCGGTCTGAATGTCTTCCAGACCAAAGACATCGCCGGCTACCTCCTCAGAGCGATCATCCTCTCGAGCGAGACTGAATTGCAACCACATGAAGTCCTCAACGGTTTGGTTCACACCATCCAAACGGCGGCGGGAGAGGTCGCAGCGGCCAATGATCTTGTAACAAATCATCCGATAGGGGTCAACGGTGTTGTCGGGCGCATTTCGCAAACGCTGCTGGTACTCGCCATTGATCTTCTGCTGCAAATCCCGTGGAAGTCGCCTGTTTTGAGCGTAGGTCGTCATGTAGGTCACGAATTTATGATCCAAAGACCGGAACCCGGGATCTTGGCTCACGTACTCGGCCGCCTCGGTGACAAAGCCGCACCGAAGGAGGCAGAAGATGAGAATCCAGCAATAGTCTTGCCCGACCATCTGCAATTCCGTTCCATCTGGAGCAAGGTCTTTTCTCGTGGCACGAACGCGGATGTATGCTCGAATCTTGTTGATCACGGTGGGAATACCACCTAGTTGTGCCTCGCGCAGGTTCTTAGAGATGACATTCTCCACCTCCTGGAAGAACGTGTGCTCAAGGTATCCCCTTGAGCCTTCAATAATCTGCTTCTTCAGCTTGGTTCCGTTTTGAGCTTTGGATGACTCTTCCAGATACTCAGTGGCAAACTGTCGTTCCTTCACAGCACCCGGGTCTGATGTGCTGGTTATAGCCGGATTCTCATGGATGATTCGGATCAAAGCTTGATAAGCATCGAAGAGCTGCCGAGGTGCCTAGACAGTATGTTTAGCGACATTAGGTCAAGGCGAGGAATTTAGGAGTCTTACATCACCGCCATTTTGCAGTTCAACTTGCGCGAACTCATGAAGGATGGGGTAGGCTTGTCCTTGTAGCCTAGCCACGTTCAGATTCTGAACCCTTTCAGCGTAATTGCCCATCTTCTCTCGCAAGAAGCGTAGGTCGGGCGACGGTGCAGCCAGCCCTTCATTTCGTTCCGACGGGTCCTCGAAGAGTTGTCGACTGGCCAAGCCAGTTCCTGGTGTACCAATAACGGACTTGTCCAAGGCAGAGCGGCCAAACACACTGCGGCGGGATGCACCCGAAGGCCCATGGGCTTGACTAGCACCCCCCTGTTTAGATTGTCTGGCCGATCGACCGAAGGCTCCCCGAGTTGTCGACCTCATGTCTCCCGTGGTGGATCCATCCTTTTGGGAAAGTCCAAAGTGCTGGAAAATCTTCCGACGTTGGTCCTCCCAGTCCATATCTACTTTCTCTTCCAAAAAGATATCGAAATCTCTCTGGGCCCGTGAGAGACTCTCCGCAATCATCACCTGGCGGCCACGCTGCTGAATGTTTCTCAAAAATCTCTGATTATCAGGGTCGAAGCCGTCAGTCTCTCTTGCTGTAGCTAATGATGCCTGTGGATCCAGAGAGCGGAGGTCTCGTAACGCCCGCCCAGGGGAGATGCCAGACGATGCGAGTAGATAGCGGCTATATGTATCAGAAACAAGAAGTTAGCCAAGGACATATATTAACAGTCTAAGCATGCCAACTTACGCCTTTGTACCATTCTGCTGGGGATCTTTGCTCCCCGATGTACCCAGCTCCCTTGCCTTTCTTCGGATATCATCAAGACCTAATTGCAGGCTGGGAACATCCTCGAAGTTTCCGTTACCGTTTTGGCCAGCAGTAGACAGTGGTCGCTTCTTCCCGCGCTCCAGTAAGCTATTGAAAAAAGCTGGCTGGGTTGCCTGGGCCGAAACTCGTCCTTGAGCCAATCCGGAGCCATTCTGGGTCTGCCCTAGCATAGAAGACTGGGCAGGTTGCTGCTGAGGCTGATGCTGAGGCTGGGGTTGGGGTTGGGTTTGACTGAAGAGAGAAGAGGTCTGCGCGGCCTGGGGAGCTGCAGCAGATGTAGTTCCAAATGTTCCTGTCGCATTGGTTGATCCGAACAAGCTGGTCGATTGAGGGGTCGAGCTCCCAAGGCCGCCTCCTCCGAAAAGAGACCCCGTGTTGGGGTTCATGATGTGTCTTCGGTACAATCACGTGTAGCGTGAGGTTTGACGTGCAAGAGTGTGTTGCTGGGGAGGGAGAAAAAAAGAGGAAGTTGCGCGCGCGATTGAGGGGATAAGGGCGAAGACCCTTGGAGGAAAACAAATAGGTCAGATTCACTGTGAAAAGTCACAGTGAGAATTTGCCTTTGAAAAATGGCCCCAAGATTCAAGAACCTCGAAGGGGACTGAAGAAGCTCAAGCTATGCGAGCCCAAACAATTCCGTCCCGGAGGACGGACAATGGATCTTCCGCAAATGTGCCTGCGTTGGCCCATTCTACTTGTCTGGCCCAGGTTTTTTCTCGAATTACACTGACGCCTTTCTTTCTCTTTCCGCTGCACGGCAACCTTTTTGTATTTGACACGTTCTTTCCATTCGGGTACGACAATGCCTGCTTTTCAGTCCAAAACCTTTCGCCGGGCCACTACGGCATCGTCCTCGCTGGGAGAACGGATCGGCGCCTTGTATCGAGCAAGACTTTCTCAGCACCCTTTCCTCCTCTTCGGACTTCCATTCATTGCCGTCATCGTGGCTGGCTCCTTCGTGCTGACTCCCGCGGCGGCTTTGCGATATGAGCGTTACGATCGGAAAGTCCAGCAAGTCAGCCAAGACGAGGCTTTCAAACTCGGTCTCAAGGGTCCTGATGGAGAAGAGGGAATCAAGCGGAACCCACGGAGGAGAGTTGTCGGCGATGAGCGCGAGGAGTATTATGTATGGAGCTTTCCCAGCATATGGGCTACAACCGAGGTTGGGTGAGATACTGACTATGCTTGCAGAGGCTGATGGCTAAGGACCTGGACGACTGGGAACAGAAACGGGTACAGAGGTTCAAGGGCGAGCCGGATGGGAGGATATAAAATGGGACGCCGTATAGCAATCGAGTAGCGGATTTAATCAAGGCTGCAGAACCCCCGATTATGCACGCCAAACTTCTTCAGCGCTCGCCTTGCACTTGCACCTATACATTCCAACTTCCAGCCCGCAGGACTCATCGCTATAGTCGACGTCAATCGTGGCTCTGGGAAGCATTTTGATCGCTAAAGGGGATCGAAGCGCTCGGGTCACTAGGGTTTGCAGCAAGTGAGCTCATCTTAGTGGCCTAAGATCATACTGATAAATCTCGATTTTACCGTGGCCCGTCATGTTGACGTGTGACTGTGGAGAGCCAGGGATTTCTGCGTGGCTTGAATACCGGCTTCAAGTGCTTGAAGTCATTATCCCGAGAGGGTCGGTGCCATCATTATGACCCCCACCCTTCGAACTTGCCTTGATAGATCTGGTAGGGAGGCTGGTGGGAGATCAGCTACATCTCTCACCTGTACATCTGTGATACACTTATAAAGAAGCATCAGTCATTGTAAGATTGACATAATATCCCCGATGGTCGACTACCTAAGTGCGTATTTGGGCTATTTCGGGCGGGGGGAGGACACATTGAACAGGCCGTGGACAAGAAGTCAACAGATGCCACGAAAACTTGAATGGCGTACCTGCTATCGTAACACTTTTGACCCCATGTGTTCGCAGCCTTGAAAGGGGTCAAAAGAGGTAAGAGAGTCAAGTACATAGTGATATAGTGAACCGAGGGTTGGAACCCGTGATCCCCACACATAACGTCATGCGGTTCTCGAAGCCCCGATTTCATAATCATGGAATGACACCACCGATTCTTCTGATATCAGGTTCCATCCCCCTTCATTGGTCGTGGGTTTGGCTGGACCCTTTTCGCCTTCCTCTTTTTCCCCCTCTCTTCGACCGTCGACTTGGTTCCATCTAACTGACGTCAGTCGGCTTACCCTGTCTTTCAATCTCTACCTTTATATCGCAATTGTGCATCGTTCCGATCCGATGGTGTCTTGATCTGATCTTTTCCCCATAAGTCATTCGTATCCGCGGTGGCCATGACGGGCGGGCGATCACCTTCTTCACCATGGGTGCAGAGTGCACAAGGATGTTCCCGCGACAGAACCGCACCCTTTCATCCAACCCTATCTCCATCCAACACTGGCCTGCAATCCAGTGGTGAACGGTCCAGTCCCAACTACTTTGGCATCGCCGTTGAGAACTCCAACCCATCCACCTCAAGCCCGGGTCTGCATACTCAGAAGAACTGGGGCTCATTACCACGGGCACATTCGGCCCTCCCCAGCCCGAAACTACATCTGTATTCACAAGAGTCGGTGTCGGAAGGCCTGGTAAATTTGCTAAGAACCGAGTCGAAAGTCGATAAGGGACGCCGAGAATCGGCCTTTCAGGGCCGTCCTTCGAACGGCGATGGACACACGGCCTCAATGGAGTCCTATCATGCGCATCCTCACGGACAAAATTGTGAGGCCACTAGCCGGGTACAGGAACACTCCAATGGGCGTGGGCCGACGATGACGAAAACCACGGCTACCTCCCCACAAAGTAAGTCCAGAATTGCCCTGAAAATTCAAGCAAGGAACTAATTCACTGCTCGAAAAGATTCTTTGTCCGGTTCATCTCAGTGGATCTCCGACGAGCAGTGCGCTCACCTACTTCAAAGCTCTTCGCAGGATATTCTGTTGCTGGATGTTCGCCCTTACGCCCATTTTTCGCAGGCCAATATCAATGGATCCTTGAATCTCTGTATCCCTACCACTCTTCTCAAGCGTCGCTCTTTCGATACCCAAAAGCTTGCAGCCACCTTCACAAGCGACGCTGATAAGAAAAATTTCGGTCGCTGGAAGGAATGCAAAACAATTATTGTCTATGATGCAGCCACAACCGACGTTAAAGACGCTGTACCGCTCCTGAACGTGATCAACAAGTTTCAAGCAGAGGACTGGAATGGTCAAGGACTGGTCTTGCAAAATGGCTTCAAGGGCTTTTCTGATCGGTTTCCTCGCTTGATTCACCGGCCACAATTGCGGACTGAAGTTTCTCCAAAGAAACGTTCTCCAATGAGCCTTGACATTCACTCGATTGCTCCTGTTGTTGGAGGGTGTGCTCTTCCGGACTCATCCTCGGCGGCGAACCCATTCTTTGGCAATATCCGTCAGAACATGGATCTCATGGGAGGCGTTGGACAAATCCCTCTGAAAGTCCCAGATCATTTGTCCGAAGCCAAGAGACAAGGTCTTCCTCCTTGGTTGCGAGAAGCTGCCGACATCAAGGATCAGGGCCGAATAGTCTCAGAGAGGTTCTTGGACCTAGAAAAAAGAGAGTTGAACCGCATGAAGCAAGCGTTAACGTACGAAGGAAATTCAGCTTTGGCCGGCAGCGCCTCAAAAAATACCGCGTCGCCGGCATTGAAAAGGGCACCAAGAACCGTTACAACGATATCTATCCCTTCGACCATACCCGAGTTCGGCTGGAGGGGATCCCGTCGGGTGCTTGTGACTATGTGAACGCAAACCATATCCAGGCAGAGCTTAGCAACCGGCGATATATCGCCACCCAAGCCCCCGTACCAGACACATTCAATGTAAGTATCTCCTCCTCACTTCTTTCAGGTCGCACCACTGACAACACCTATCAGGACTTCTGGCGCGTAGTATGGGAGCAAGATGTTCGACTGATCGTCTCGCTGACTGCCGAGCTCGAGCGAGGGCAAGTGAAGTGTCATCCGTTCTGGAGATCTGGAGATTATGGGCCTTTCTTGGTCAAGACTTACTCGGAGAGGTTCATTCATGTCGAGTCCAAGGGACGGTCAACCGACCCTACGGCGAAGAGCCCTTTGCCATCGGATGCACCGCCACAAAGTACCGACTCCTCCAATGAGAATCCCGTCATCATTGTGCGACACTTCAGCCTCTATCACACTTCTTTCCCCTTCCAGCCACTTCGAGATATCACGCAGCTTCAGTATCCTTACTGGCCTGACTTCGGGACTACTTCACAGCCGACACACCTTCTCAACCTGATTGAGCAATGCAATAAGGTTATTCGCTCCACCAGCACTCGAAGTTTTGGGAGTCAGCATCCAGAGCCGAGTGGCCAGCGGCCGGTCCTAGTCCATTGCAGTGCGGGCTGTGGTCGCACGGGCACTTTTTGTACAGTTGATAGTGTGCTGGACATACTGAAAAGCCAGCGGTCGCAGAACTCAGGCGCTAATGAGTCCTCTGAATTGACTTGTGATACCAGCCTGGACCTCATAACGAAAACAGTTGAGGACTTTCGAACCCAGAGGCCTAGCATGGTACAAAACCTTAGTCAATTCGTTCTCTGTTATGAAAGCGTCCTCGAATGGCTTGTCTCTCAGACAGACAAGAGTGGATGATGTCGAACCCTTGAACGATAGCAGATACCCCTATTTATTTCGACTCATACTCTTGATTGCATTTGTGGGAGTTCGGGCCTGGGTAATTTACTGGATAGATGCATCGAAGCAAACGAATTTCCGCGTCTCTTCAATATGTTTCTTCCAAACCCTGTAGAACCCTTCACACTCCTGGCCCTCGTCACTGTCTCCCAAATCAAGGTTATTTCTCATTTTTATATGCATCTTGTAGGAAGAAGCGCATGGGCAAATAAGTCAAGGCTGCCTCTCGCTCCGCCATCTGTGATACCTCAACTACGGACTTCCAACGGCAACAACACAAATTTAAACAGGCCAGGCCTGCATGCTTAGAAATAGAATATTTCTTTTAATCAAGATTTCATCTTGTTTCTCTCAAATTTATTTCAGATCAAAAGTGCCTAAGAAAGAACGCGTTACACTAAAAAACACAAATTGACCCAAAAGAGCGTGAGCGATAGGGCCGGATGGTTGTGATCTGCGCTTAGGATGAGTTCCAGTTCCCTCAATGGTTCGCGTAGCCCGCTTCCTTTCCCAGTCGAGGTGCCTTCAGTGTCCCAGATGTCGAGCGAACTCTCGACTTCCAGCGTGTCTACGTGACGATCCGAAAATAAGTCTATCGGCTCCACTATTCGTGTCTCTGCCTACGATCCAAGGCAACAGGAGGCGCGTGCGCCGCAAACACCGACTCTATAAAAACCCATTACCGCCTCTCGCAATCCCCAGTCAATTCCGAGATGCTTCTCACTCTTCCCATCGAGCTGGTCCGGCTAATTTTGCGAAGCTGCGATCCTCCAACCTACCTGCAGACGGCTTTCTGCAACCACCTTCTTTTCAGCATTGCATCACAGAGCCGTGATCTGATTCTCCATCAGTTGCATCAGAGTCCTGGTCGGAATGATGGAGTTGAGTCTCTAACAACATATGAGCTTTTCCGAAATTTAATGACCCGAGCCTGTCAGGAGTTGTTTGGTATTGAACATGATGGAGATCGCAAGCTCTTCGATTTCCAAGGCCAAGTGATCGACGGCCGAGCATCGACACTAGAGACTGCAGGTACTCGGGACCGGGTGCTGCTTGCCTTCCAAGGCCATGGGACAGTCTATTTTCTCACGGTACGCGATAGAGGCTTGATTCTGGAACGTCGAGTCGAGTTGCCTGCGAAGTGCTTCGGAAACGTCCAGATTCTTCATACCGCCTTTGATCCTCACGGTATCTATGTACTTCATCGATTCAAACCACTCATTGATCGAGATCTGGATACCGAGCATCCTTTCGTCAAGCGGGCCTTGAAATCCAATGCTCATGGAAAAATCTTCCTGTCTTACCATGAACTGAAATCGACAACGAAAAGAATTCGGCTCTATGCCTTTCCTGACCATAAGGACTACGAGCCTCTTGCTCTGGCTGTGCACGAGAGAAAGTTTGCCATATCTTGGCAACACTTGAATCATTCCCATGATCATCAAGTTGTGCATTACGATGCATCTTACGGAGGCTATGACAAGGAGGGCGAGGACAACGAGCTGGAGAGTCGAGAGACGGGGGATCCTACGGGGGATCCTCAAATCACCTGTTCGTTTCAACCTCATACCAAGAGGACCCGGAATTTGCAAACTGACGCTACTAGGTTCTCCCTACGATTCTTTCGTTCTCACAGAGGTGAACGACCAGGGGCCTAGCGACGCCGCACTGGAAGGGAAAGGACCAACTGTGAAGTTGGCCTTCAACGATCGAGGCTACCAAATGCTCCACTATTACAGAGCTCATACCCTCTATAGCTCTTTTCAAAGAATCCGCTTTCTCCCGGGGATGGGCGAGCACCCTGGCGTGCGCGATAATGCATGTAACGTGCAGTTCTCGGACTCACTCACTTTGAATTTCTCAATCGGAATACCCTTTTTCGGTACCCATCAACCCGATGCTGAGACCCAGGGGCTGCGTTGTCGTTGGAAATACCTCGCTATAGGGATTGCGACCCACAGGGTGGAGCATTGGACCGTGGCATGCCTGCTAAAGTCTGAAGCGGCCTGTATGGCTATTACCTGTGGGCATGTCCTAAACCTTGACCGTGGGAGACGGTATGGCTCTTGGGAAATCATGGCGCAGCTCGGAGGATTCCAAGAATCGAGCACTTCGCACGGATCTCTTATTGCAGCTTCGACTCGCGGCACTCGTATCGCCATTGTTAGCTGGAAGACCGTTCATATCTGGTCGCTGGAGCCGAATGTGGTAATCGAAGGCGAGGACGACTTCTACCCCCAGTCGTGGCAATCACCCTATGGCTTTCCGGAGTTGAAGCCTGCTACAGTCCAACTCGATGCTGTCTGCCACCAACTGCGGTTTACGGATAGCGAAGACGAGCTCGTTGCCATCACTGACCGAGGGCTCCTAGTCATGAGTCTCAGAGTCAATGGGAAGGGAGTACGGGTTGTTGATAGTCGAAGCGATTGGATCGTGGATGAAGAGATCGGGCAAACTGTAGCTGGGTGATTGAAGGAAGCCGACGAGAAACCTCGAAGCAGAGGGATCGCTTGATTTGTCCCTAGACATGGAGACTGCATGATACCAATTGCATAGCGTTGCTTTCGATTAAGTCGCATATCTCGTGATATGCCTCGCCCGCAAATGTCAGGAAAGGGATATTGAAGATTGAGGGCATTGAGTATTATTTTCTAAAAGCTGGTCTTATGACGAACCCCCCTCTGCACTACCAGACATGCTCAAGAATGCAATGATCAAGAACACCCACCAGTATCTATACGAATCATTCTTGTCAGTCCGGGAACATGTGGTTCATAGCGGGGGTAGGGGATTTTACTTCTGCAAGAAGGACTTCTCCACCACCTCCTCTGTCTTCCCTCCATCGGGGTTGACAACGACCGGGCGGTTCAGGTGTGGTTGAGCGCCGGGCTGACTCGGTACTAGCTCCACATGGGGGCCGGTGGCCTTGGTTCCTATGCTCGAGGCCACCGAGATGTGGTACACATCGCTGGCAGGACCGAGGTGAAGTCGCAGGGTGGGTCGGTTTTCACCAACTAACGAGGCAACTGAGACGAGGCTTCCAATCCATTGCTTAGAATTGGTGGGAGTCGACGTGTAGAGGCCAACTCGAACGAGGCCGTCGCGGGTATCGGTGGGTGGGTGATAGGACACCAGCTCGGACTTCAACGAGGCCGGATCGAAGGCGATACGGGCGAGAACAGATGGTCTGGCAGCCCCCACGGGCCAGTAGTAGACATCAGTCGAGATATCAGCAATGACGGAGACGATCAGGAGCGCGAGGGCGCCCAGAAGGGCGAAGAGATGCATGGTTGTGGGAGTAGAAGCGGAAGCTTGTGCTTTCGAACTGCCAGCTTTGTATTTTGCCCCGAGCGGTGGACCTCCTCGACTCCACTCCCATGTACTGTATACTTACTTCACTGTACACAGGGTTGATTCTAGCTAGATATCATATAAGCTCTGTCTCTGGTACTGAACAATGATACTATGCGATATTCTTGTCCTAAAACAGGTTCGATCCAAATTGTACAGGGACCACAAACCAACGAAATCGGTCATCTCTGCTCCGCGTTCCCCACAGGAGTTCAATGCTGTCATTCTCCCCTACGAAACTCGAGGTCTCCTTAGTTTTTTTGCCCCTCCATTCTTTCCTTCTCCCACTACTTTCGTAATTCTCTCAGTTTCTATAATTTCCACGCTCTCCGAGATAAACAGCTCGCCAGATTTGAGCTCCGCATACTCCAATTCAAGCTAGATACACGGCGGCATCATGGCCTCTCTACCATACCGTCGCCCCTCCCGTCAGGGCTCTCGACAGGCCACTAGTGACCCTCGTGAGGACCTGCAGGTGCATCTCGACCATTTTATTGGGATTGATGTGGGGACCGGTAGTGCCCGAGCTTGTATCATTGACGCCAAAGGTGACATTGTGGGCATGGCCTCTGAGAACATAGGTCTCTGGCAGCCGGAATATGGTTACTATGTAGGCCACTCTGCCCCGGGAACCCCTTCTCGTCTTACAGCCCGACTGACTTGCCCAGGAACAATCCACCACCGACATCTGGCGGTGCATTTGCGCTGCAGTGCAGCGTGCCATCAGTCAGCACAACATTAGTCCCGAGACCGTGCGTGGGATAGGCTTCGACGCCACCTGCTCCTTGTCCGTTTTCAATCATGAAACGGACGAGCCAGTCTCAGTGACGGGGCCCAGTTTTGATTCGGACCGTAACGTGATCCTGTGGTTGGACCACCGTCCAGTCGACGAGGCCGCCAAGATCAATGCCACCAACCACAATCTGCTCCGCTATGTCGGCGGGAAAATGTCGATCGAGATGGAGATACCCAAAGTATTGTGGCTGAAGAACCACATGCCCAAGGAACTATTTGACAAGTGTACATTTTATGATCTGGGTGATGCCCTTACCCATATCGCGACTGGCAACGAGAAGCGCAGCTTCTGCAGTGTGGTTTGCAAGCAGGGATACGTTCCTGTTGGTGTTGATGGCAGTGTCAAGGGCTGGCAGGAGGATTTCCTGAATGACATTGGTCTTGGGGACCTGACTGAGGATAACTTCAAGCGCATGGGCGGTGTTGACGGGGTGGTGAGCCTTGTTTCTTAATAGCCTAGGACAACTTCGCTAACCGGTATTTCCTTTAGAACGGTGACTATCTGAGCGCTGGTGAGCTCGTCGGCCGTCTGTGCGAGAAGGCCGCTGCAGAACTCGGACTGCCGGCTGGTATTGCCATTGGCAGTGGCGTTATCGATGCCTATGCCGGCTGGATAGGAACTGTGGGGGCCAAGGTTAATTTGGGTCCCAGCCAGTTGAATGATGAGGTGGCCAAGAATGATAAGGCACAGGCTTTCTCTCGTCTGGCTGCCGTTGCAGGTACTTCGACCTGCCACCTGGCCATGTCGCCCGATCCTCTCTTCGTATCTGGTGTCTGGGGTCCCTACAAGGACACAATCATTCCTGGATATTGGATGGCTGAAGGTGGTCAGTCGGCGACAGGAGAGCTCCTCAAGCACGTTATTGAAACCCACCCTGCGTTTAACCAGGCTACCTCCATCGCCGAGTCATACCATGCCAATATCTACGAATACTTGAATGAGCACCTTAAAGAGATGGTGCAAGACCAGCAGGCACCGTGTGTGTCCTACTTGGGCCGACACTTCTTTTTCTATGGTGACCTCTGGGGCAACCGTTCCCCCATCGCCGATCCCAACATGACCGGCTCCATTTGCGGTCTGACCAGCGATAAGACTGTCGACGGTTTGGCGATCTACTACTACTCGACATTAGAGTTCATCGCATTGCAGACTAAGCAGATTGTTGAGACCATGAATGAAGCAGGCCACAGTATCACTTCGATCTTCATGTCAGGCTCACAATGCCAGAACGATATTTTGGTTGGTCTCATTGCCTCGGCTTGTAACATGCCGGTTGTGATCCCCCGATACATCCATGCGGCGGTGTGTCACGGTGCAGCCATGTTAGGAGCCAAGGCTGCTAGTGCTGATTCTCAGGGCAAGACTGAGGACCTGTGGGATATCATGGACCGCATGAGCAAGCCCGGTAAGAAGGTAATGCCGACTGAAGATGCAAAGGAGAGAACTCTGTTGCAGGCCAAGTACAAGGTCTTCTTGGAACAGTGCTATAAGCAGCAGAGCTACCGTCAGCTTGTTGACGAGGCTATAAAAGGGTGGAGCTCGGCTTAGGCCAATAATAGGATGATGCACATGATAGATGCTTTAAGGATCGAGGATAGATCATATAGCATTCATTGTACTGCACCAGTTATGACCGCAGGGGTTAAAACAGGACCAAGTCTATCGAGTCTAGTAATGCAATTGTTTGTGCAAATAATTTAAGCTCGCCGGGTAGCAACCTTTCCCCCAAAAGGAAAACGGAATAAACAAAAAAGCCAATAGTCTTAAGGATACAGCCATAAGGCCATTTGGTCGGTAAATCAGACTTCATATCCGCTATGCAAAGATGATCATATCAAAGGCGGTCAGATCACGAAGATCCTTGGGTATAACAGGGGTGAGTAAGAGTGCTGAATCACAGACTATGTTCATTTAGTATGCCACACCGGTGGTGGACCGGCCAATAGTGTAGAATTTTTTCGGATCGGCTGGCACCAAGGGCCAGAGTGTCGAATCGATCCACACCCATGCCGTCCATATTGCTGTAACCAGACAGGTAGAAGCCGACGATGATCACGAGATACGTAAGAACAAGGATGGATCCCTTGAAGTAGTTGCTCTTTCCTTCACCGTAGACGTACGACAGCAGGAAGACGCACAGGATCACGGTAATCATGTCCCACTGTGGAAAGATGAGGCTGCGTTTGTTGTTAGTGGCCATGAACCAAAAACATACTTCGAGGGAAATGCAAGAGATACTTACTTGAAGGAGTGGCTCGCCAGGGAAGCTGCATCAATACCGCGAGTATACAGGGCACTGAACAAAACCAGAGCGGGCACCTGCAAAAGACAGACCTGTAGTGCATAGGCCGAACCAATTTCCATGGATAGCGCGATGTTGCCATTCATAGCAAACGAGATAGCATTCTGTCCGTAGTTTAGCAATGTTGATTCGTTTCAATGGGAGTTCAACTTACCAGAAACTCAGTCGTGTTGGGCACCAGAGCGAACAGAGTGATACCGAGGAACTTTTCGTCGATATCAACACTCTCCAGCACCACGTCCACTGTGTTGACCAAGATTTCTGCAATGATCGCATAGAGCAATGTGGCGCCCAGCAGAATGATGGAACTCTTGGATTTACTCCAATTCGGGGCATCATGACCTCCACTAGCGTGGGTGGGCTCCACAACAAGACCGATGTCTTCTTGTTCTTCTCTCGGAGGCTTGCCCTGTTCTTCTCCTGAAGGCTTGCTCTGCTCAGTAAGCGTGCGGCCAGCCTGTCGCCCGGCAGTTTGCGATGTGGCATGCCTTCGATTCCGAACCGCATCTCGGGCATCACGAGCAGCTACTGTGGCAGCCGTGGTAGCAATCTCGGTAAATTGACGAATAAGGCGCTCATTATCTTCACCTGTTAAGCCGCGGATGGCCTTTGGTACAGGACGAGAGGTGTCATCACCGAATCGTGGGGGCACCAGATGGGGGGTATTGGCCCTATTATCTGTTGCTGAGCTGCAGTCCGTCTGCTCCCAGTTACCTGAGCTGCTGTCATCTAAGCCAACATGCCTGAGCGATTGGCCGAGGATTCGCTTGTACAGGTGAGATTCGCGAATGGAGTCTCTGTGACCAAGATTGGCACCAGATGCTTCGGGGCCACCGGATGAGAAAAGCTGCCTTGGCTCAAACGATAGTGAGTCAGAAGTCATATTGGCGCCCTTTTTCTCCTTCTCTTCATTTTCGGCCCAGATCAACGCGGCATGGGTCCTGAGAGTAAACCAGAGGCCGATGACGTAGGAAAGGAAGAGGAGGAAGGCAGCAAACCACGCATAAGGCTGGACGGCATTTTCGAAGAACGTGTCTTGAACCGCCGGAGTTTGAGAAAAGTAGCATTGGCGGCAGTCTCGACTCTCTGCACCAAGCGGTCCAGTGCATGCATGACAATTCAATTCATGCTAGGATGGGGAAGTTAGTTTGTGACTTGATCGGTAGTGGAGGAGAAACGGCACTTACACTGCCATAAACCTGGTAGAACAAAGTGGGCCCAAAGGCAGCAATCACGGCAAACAGCAGCATCGTCGAGGTTACACCGGCCGATTTCACATTAAATCGCTGTGTCTTGCGCTTGATGGCGCCGAAGCACATGGATAGGCCAGGCAAAAACAAAACACCAGCAAAAATACTGCCGATGATGGATCCCTCGACGAGCTGGGCCTTGCCCTCGGTCAAGGCAACACAATAGAGATACACCTCTACGATGGTGGAGAAAAACGCATTGATGGCGGCGCCCAGGCCCATCGAGGATTGGGCTGAGATTGAGGCCACAGCCTGGCCGATAAAGTAGGCCAAGGGGATGATGGAGAGCAGGGCAAGAGTAAAGATTAGTCCCGGGTGCGTCAGCCAGCTTTGCATGCCCAGGAATTTGCTCAGGAAATGGTAGTCGACAATCACGAAGACGACCAGCCCGAGCAGGTTGATGAAGAAAATGTTTGTACCGTCAATCGTGTACTTCCAGTATCTCGTACCGGCAGCTCGATAGGTACATAGCAGGACAGATGGCGACGATGCAGAAGTACTCAGTCTAGCGTAGGATGAATCGGAATGGAACGACAGGGCAAGAGGATGTCGCCGGAGATGGCTCGCCAGGATGGTGGTCACTCGGCCCATCGGAATCCAGAAGACCAATAGCCAACAGACGAGGGACGCCACGAGCATCAACGGGCCCACGAGGAAATAGAAAAACACGAAGAACACCACGCGGCCGAGGGTCCACTCGCCACGACCAAAGAGACGGCGTTTCGAATGATTGAACTGCAAGTCGTCGCCTTGCCCCCGCTGGGGTCGGCCCAGAAGGCTGTCTTGTTCGCCGGCTGAATCGACGCTGTTTCGTCGACGGCCAACCAGCGAGCGATCTCTGCGGGGCCCGAAGAAGAGGCGACCATATTCCAGATCGCCGTTCTGCCACTGTTCATATTCGCTGATACTACGCCCTTCACCTTCGTCTTCTTCCGCATAATGCTCGTCACTTTCCAAGAGAACAAAGGACCCGAATGGATAGAACAAGTATCGCGACAGGCCCCAGAAGACTCGGCCATACGCGACCGCACTGGATGAGTAGGCAAAGAAAAAGCAGGCAGCTGCAGCCAGTAGGGAAGCAAGAGCAAGCCACCATCCGAAAACCAAACACCATAAGAAGTTGCCCCAAAATACTAGACCAGGAACACGACCACCCGGGGACGAATGAATATCCCCGTCAGCGGTCTTTTCGACAGAGCGGCTTTTCTTATACACAGCCGGTTTCCAGATCCTAATACCGAATGGATGGGTTTCGTTGATGGCTTGCTGTCGGTCCTTTAGAGTAAAGCTCTCGGCATCGCTAGTCTCGCCTTCATCCTCATCGATGTCTTCGGCTTGGTCGACGCTGTCAGCATCGCTACCTGCATCCGATAGCCGAATAGAGGGCAGCTCGCCCGATGCCTCCATCGGGTCCGGCATGCCGGTCTCATCCCCGCTCAGATTGTCCGAGTCTCCTCTAGCGAGTGGACTGGGCCGAGCACTCGGTCGTCGCCTCAAGGTGGAGCTCTGTGCACGTAAGGGACGAATTCTGGGCGACTGGGGAGTGGTGGGAGCCAAATGCAGGGCAAAATCTTCCTCAACCTCTTTAACATCATCATCAGTGGAGAACTCCTGTCCCTTTTTGGGCACCTGTCGTTTGGACGACATGCGACGTGTCACTGAGGGTTTCCTGGGCCGATCCGGGGCCGCAGATGAGGTCAAAGTGTGACTGAAGAAGTCGTCCTCTTCTTCCAGACGCGCCTCGGAGGGCGTGTCGGCGGAATGCGCATCGAGGGTCCCTATCATCAGGCATCAGTATCAACATCACCGTTATTTCGCAGGTTACACGAAGGTACAATTCTTACCGTAGTTTCTCCGTACCGAGGGCGTCGACCTTGCAGGAACCGAAGGCCCTGCGGCGTCGTCACTGCTAGTCATCGCCGGCCGGGCCGGGTCTGGGGTCTCGAGATCTTTCTTATCTCCCGTCATTTTTCTTGGGCGGATCCGCAGATCAAAACAAAAAGTAAATCCTAAACCCTCTCAAGATCGTCCGATATTGAGATGTTTTTCAAAGGCTCAATAACATTGCGGGGTCTTAAGAAGATGAAACACTCAAGATCATCCGCGTTTCATCAGCTGAGATGGAAAATAAAGCGCTGCAAGCGCAAGGTAGCAAAGGTAGCACACCGCGCGGAGAGCTTCCAGATGACCCGTTGACAACACAAGCCAATGGCATCGACCGCTGACTCATCGGATTGAGAGACCACATCACGTGATGTATTTGTTATTGCCTCATATATCAGGCATTATTTGGTCATGTGCTGGTTCCCGCAGCTTCGAGCTGTTCCAGCTACACGGTCCCAACTCAAACATCCTCATCTTTGCCGCCGTATTCCTCCACCTCGATTCTCATCCACCTGTTCAGTCTGGGTGGTATTCGTCCTACGCGTACGGACACTACCCTTTGGACAATCACTACAAACCCTTGACCTCCCGCTGATAGCGTCATCCTTCCCATCATGGCGTTGGATAACTACTATCGCAACAAGATTGAGGGCATGAAGCTCGAGATCATCCAGGGCCAGGCAGTTCTGCGACGACTAGAGGCACAGCGCAATGACTACAACTCGCGAGTGCGTCTATTGCGGGAGGAGCTCGGTCTGCTCCAGCAACCTGGCTCCTACGTCGGCGAGGTGGTGAAGGTGATGAGCACAAAGAAAGTGCTGGTGAAGGTACACCCGGAAGGAAAATACGGTACGTGGGCTATCTTAACAAAGGACGTGGGACGGCTTTGCTAATGTGTGTCTCGATACATAGTGGTCGATATCGCAGACAGCGTGGACATTAGCAAGCTCACCGTGGGCAAGCGAGTGGCCCTCCTTTCGGACTCTTACAAATTGGAAAAGATGTTGCCATCTTCGGTTGACCCCTTGGTATCGCTGATGATGGTGGAGAAGGTGCCGGACAGCACATACGACATGATCGGTGGTCTGGACCAGCAGATCAAGGAAATCAAGGAGGTGATCGAGCTTGGTCTCAAGCATCCGGAGCTGTTCGAGTCTCTGGGTATCGCACAACCGAAGGGTGTCTTGCTGTACGGACCTCCCGGTACCGGTAAGACGTTGCTGGCCCGAGCTGTGGCGCATCACACCGACTGCCGGTTCATTCGAGTGAGTGGTTCGGAGCTGGTGCAGAAGTACATTGGTGAGGGTAGCCGTATGGTGCGAGAGCTGTTCGTGATGGCCCGAGAGCACGCGCCGAGTATTATCTTCATGGACGAGATCGACAGTATTGGATCCAGCCGTATAGATTCGGCGGGAGGCGGTGACTCGGAAGTGCAACGGACAATGCTGGAACTGCTAAACCAGCTGGACGGTTTTGAGCCAACCAAGAACATCAAGATCATTATGGCCACCAACCGACTGGATATCCTGGACCCGGCCCTGCTGCGGCCCGGGCGAATTGACCGAAAGATCGAATTCCCCCCGCCCTCGTCCGTATCACCCTGCTTCATCGTGTTATTGGGATTGTGCTAACTATTTGTACAGTGTCGAGGCCCGTGCTGACATTCTACGGATCCACTCCCGTTCGATGAACCTGACTCGTGGAATCAACCTGAACAAGATCGCGGAAAAGATGAATGGATGTTCTGGAGCCGAGCTGAAGGGAGTGTGTACCGAGGCAGGCATGTATGCACTGCGTGAGCGCCGGGTTCATGTAACACAGGAGGACTTTGACCTGGCCACCGCCAAGATTCTCAACAAGCACGACGACAAGGAAGTCGCGGTGTCGAAGTTGTGGAAGTAGACGTGCATATGCGGAGGGAGGAAAAGGTGATTCATCTCCGGGAACACGGAGGTGATCGACGATCCTGTACCACTAGTTCTAATCCTACCCAGATCATTTCTCATCCGTGAGTCGTGAACCGTGAATCGTAGATTACGAATTTGATACCATCTCGAGTGACCGGACTATTGAGTGTCTAGGCCCCTAGAGTAGGTTTGCGAGCTCGGGAGACTGCAGCGGAGTACGGAGAGCCGGTTGACACAAAAATGGAGGAGCGGAGCAGGGGGGAACCTATTTCAATTGCTTGGCCCTTATCCCTTTCGTCTTGGCCATGATGCTATCGCGGAAAGCGGGAGGCCGGAAGGGCTTCGTCTAACACGTCGCAAGCCGAGCCGCGCATGCCGAGACGAGAGAGGACAATCATCACACAGCCCCGGAACTTGGCACCATTTTTTTCTCTAAGTCGAACCAGGATCGACGACAAGATGCCATCATTTGCTTGGCGTGGATCAGGCTGTTTTATTGTCTTGGCAAGATTCAGATATATACCAAAAAGAACCAAGTACAGTAGACCGACGTAGAAACTGGAGATTGGGGATCGGAGATCGGGGGAAATCAATACAGCACAGATACCGATATACCGATAGGAGTTAAGATTCCCAACACGAAGGCCCTCATCCGTTGCCACCGTAGAAAATGGAAAAGAACGATTCGAGAAGGCGAAGAATGGTGGATCCTGCACAAGACCGCGTGACCGGCGGATCAGTGGGAATCGGTGGGGCCTTTTGATGTTGGCGTGTGTACCTAGGGGTACCTGGTTCCCTTATACTTCTGATAAACACGGGCCAACATTCCAGGTATCACCACGTACCTTTCTCCCCTGTCCCCTTGTCGCCCAACATGCCATGCAACTGGGCCCACTGTGATTGCTTTTCCTTTTTTGCCCTTTTTTGCCCTTTTTTGCCCTTTTTATTTTATTTTAATTTTATCCTTCTTTGGGGTTTCGATTTTGGGATGATCAGCCCCCAAACCCTGTACTTATATCTCTGGTATTGTCTACTTCTTCTGCAGTATAAAGAAAGACCCGGCGATCGGACTACTACGTCTGGGCTTCCCGCTTTCTGCGTTCGCTTGTGCCATCTTATCGTTACTCGAATCAATCCCCAACTCTCCGCGTTCTCCACCCCGGATCTCGGATTCCGTCTCCACCAGAGCTGTCCGAAGTACTATACTCCTTGACGCTTTCGGTCTTCGAATTTACCCGTCTCTCGCCCCTGCCCCCCACCCACGGTTCACCGGTGAGGCCCTTTGTGGAACATCTATAAAGACCCCCCTTCCGGATCATGTCCGATCTTTGGTGTTCTTTGATCTCTGCCATTGCCCCCAACACTGAAGCCATGCCTGCTGTACTCCAGTCCACCATTCATTTGCTCGAATCTGAGCTGGTGAAGGCTCGGGCTGCTCTCCAGGAAATTCAACCCGATGCCACTCTCCCGCGCATTGGTGACGAGATCGCTGTCGGCGCCATGGCCGCCTATAGACAGAATCTCATCGGCCGTGCCCCCGATTTCTACGGTGCTCGTCGTCTGACCCTCAAAGAATTGGGCCTCCAGCCTGTTGTGCATGAAATAACATCTGAGGTCATGCCAGAGATGATGGCCCAATCTGAGGCCATTCATCTGCGAGCACCTCTCGAGGAAATGCTCACCAATAGTCTGATTCTCGATCACATGGCACCGTATCTCTCCGTGCCGTCCTTAATGGCCCTATCGATGGCCTCGCGACACCTTCACGATGCGATTACCAAAACTCCCTATATATTCAGACATCTCGATCTGACTCGCTGTAAAGGCGCTCAGCTTCCCGCCTCGCGGCAAGACGACGACTCTCAAACAGAGGATGAGGTATACTCGGCTCCCTTGCGCCATATTTTCTCCAGCCTCGGAAAAAGATCCCTGCTACAGGATGTGCGCACATTGGTTTTGGACGGTCTCTCCGTACCCGCCGATCTAGTTTCGGACATTATTCTCACCGATCGATTCAACGTCAATATTCTGTCCATCCGCGAATGTACTCATTTGAATGAGCATAAGCTTATGCAGATCATTCAGCACGCAGTTCGACCCACTCGCCCCGAAGGAACTCCACGGGTCAAAGGCATTTATTTCTTTTCCCCGGTGCGTAAGGCGCCATGCGCCGTAGTGCGCCGCCGTTATCGAGACTGGTGGGGCGCTCGGGTGGGTAGCTCACGGAGCCCCAGCCAGAGCTCGTCGAGTAGCTCGTCTGACAACGAAGACGAGGTTACAGTCACCCGCCCAACACGTCAACAACAGAATGAATGGTACAGTCCTACTGGCAAGATCTTCAAACACGCCTTGGAAGAAGGTTGGGCACGGACTCTTCAAAAAGCAGAAGGTATCATCGCCTTTGATGCGGTGCTCTGTCGCGGGCCGCGGCACGATGTCAATCAATATACATCAGTGAACGAGGAAAGCGCACCATCTGAAGGCCCTCTCCTGGAACCAGCTGTAGCTACGGTGGCTTTGGGACCCCGCGGCTGTGATGGGTGTCATAGTTCCCCCGAGGGTCCCGCCATTTGGGGCCAGTCTCCCGATATGCACTTCCCACTACTGAGCCCGATGCCATTGCACGTTTCAAATGTTGCGACTGCAAAACGACCAGAGATGATACCGGGCAAGCACCCGCTCCTATTTGCAAGCTGTGCGGATTGTCTCGCCGATCGCTGGTGTCAGCGCTGCAACAAGTGGTTCTGCTCCAACTGCCTGTCCAATCCACAACATGTACGGGCTAATCTATCGCCACACCAGACAGCGGTACGGCCAGAGGACCACAACGGACCACGGCTCCCAGATCGAGAGGTATGTGAAGCAACCCATGAACCGATGTTTGATGCCGTTTGCTGACAACCTCCATCAGAGACTCGAGCGAGGCGTCAGCAAGGACTGCTGGGAATGCGGCCCAACTGTAAGTAGACTGCTCAACTATGAGAGTCGTCCGCTAAATCTCAGATCCAGTGTGTTTCTTGTAAGTGGGACTGCCAGCACACCTGTCAGAGCTGCCGGGGCGATTATTGCATCGACCACAATGAGGGTTGCTCTGCCACAATGGTAAGTTCTCGCTCAGCTGCCCAAGGAACACCACTAACATGGTTCAGTGTGATTGGTGCAACACCAGTGCTCGCCACCGGATACGAAGTTTCCATTAATAGCATGTAAATGGCATATAGTTGGATTTCTAAGCGGGAGTTGGCTGTACATAGTTGAATAATTGAATAATTGTGGGGGTGGGGAGAGTCTTCCAGAACTTTGGAGCTTCCCGCCTTAAATACCCAAATGGACCTTTTTTTCTCTCTCATCATGGATACTTTGACCTGGTCAGCTCAGCTGGCTGTTGCGCCTCCGCAACAAACTCCTCGTCTTCCCGGGGACAAAATAATCCTTCCGCAGTCCGCGCTAGAACAACTCTTAGCGGCTGCCCCTCTTCAAGCTGTCGCGCCGGACTCGCGTGTTCACACCACATCCTTCGATCCTTTCAACCCTCACACCTTCGCCGCTGAGACTCGCGCACGCCAACAGATAGAGCAACGTCAGCAGCAGCTTCCTCATCCCCTCACGTTCCGCATCGAAAACCCCGAGAATGGTCGCTTCGTCTATGCGGGGATCCGCGAGTTCTCCGCAGCGGAGAATGAAGTTGCGCTGAGCACTCTCCTTCGGGACTCGCTTGGAATCCAAGATGACGATTTTACATTGGAAACAAACGGCGAGAAGCACGATCTGGAGGGAGACGGTCCTGAAGGGCAATCGTCACGGACTGGGCCTGCGGTCACAGTACATGCGAAGCAGCTTCCCAAAGGCACGTATGTGCGCCTTCGTCCACTCGAGGCTGGCTACGACCCCGAGGACTGGAAACCCTTGCTAGAGCGCCATATGCGAGACAACTTTACCACCTTGACGGTCGGCGAGCTTCTGACGGTTCCTGGCACCCGCAAGGAATCCTTCCGGTTTCTACTTGACAAAGTTTATCCTGAAGGCGAGGGGATTTGCGTCGTGGATACGGACTTGGAAGTCGATATTGTAGCGCTATCGGAGGAGCAAGCGCGAGAGACGTTGCAGAAAAGGCTGGAGCGAGCAGCGCGTGCACCGGGAACTACAAGTGGCAGCTCCGTTGGTGGGGTTTTGGCCCTCGGAGAAGATGTTACAGCCCAGGTCTTGCCCGGGGAGTATGTCGACTATGAGATTCGAGACTGGAATCGGGACGGTACCCTTCAGGTCGAGCTTACAACAGATGATCCATCCATGTGTCTATTCGCGAGCCCGCTTAGCGCTCGCCAAAGAGGTCGTCCTCGAGAGGACGTGCATGTCTGGGGAGACTTTTCGGATCAGACGTCCAAGAGAGTAAAGATTCGTCCTACAAATGTGGCTCTCGAGGGCGCCGAGGCTCTCTATATCTCGGCTTATGCTTTGGCCTCTAGCACTGAGTCGGCATCACAGCAGCTACCAGCGAAATATCATTTACGAGTAACTACAAATAACTCTGAAGAGGAACAAGATGATGCGGTAGAGGCTCATCAACCCGGCGACGTCATGTGCCAGAATTGTCACCAATGGGTACCTGAGCGAACATTAATGCTTCACGAGAACTTTTGTCTCCGCAATAACGTGCTTTGCACTCAATGTCAGAACGTTTTCCAGAAAAGGTCATCTGAGTCGGAGAACCATTGGCATTGTCCTCACGACTCATCTCATGGCAACGATGCATCCAGTAAACTCAGTCACGATTCGATATTTCACAGCAACTACGACTGCACTGATTGCGGTCTTCAATTCGAGGGTCTCCCCTCCCTTGCACAGCATCGAACTACCGAGTGCCCAGGGAAGTTGATTCTCTGTCAATTCTGCCATCTTCTCGTCCCACAGAAAGGCGAATCTGACCCAGACTTCCTTGACCCCGAGGTCATGCTCTCCGGTCTCACGCCGCACGAATTGGTAGACGGCGGCCGTACGACCGAGTGTCATCTGTGTGGAAAGATCATCCGACTGCGAGATATGAACACCCATCTCCGCCATCATGATCTGGAGCGCGTCTCACGCCCGCCTCCCCGAATATGCTTGAATCAGAACTGTGGCCGCACGCTCGGCAGCACAGGTAACGACTCTTTGGGGCTGTGCAACATCTGTTTCGGACCGTTGTATGTGGATACATACGACCCTGAGGGCAAAGCACTCCGCCGCCGGATCGAACGTCGATATCTTTCACAAATGATGACTGGATGTGGAAAGCCTTGGTGTCAGAACAAGTATTGCAAAACAGGAAAACAGAAGGCGCATCCCGATGCTACCACTTCCGCGGCCATGAGTGTGGCCGATATCATGAAACTGACCCGGCCGCTTGCTGAGAGTATCAATGTTCAGCCCGAGGTTCCAAACACTGCACCTTTCTATTTCTGCACTGATGAAACGGGCCAGCACCGCCGCAACCTCGCCGAAATGATCTTCGCTGAAGGGTCTACGGCTGGAGGCAAGGTCTATGAACTGGCATGGTGTGTCGCAGGCGCTGAAGCAGCCGGAGGCGATTTAGACAAGACGAGAGAATGGCTCTCTCGGTGGGCACCGGCGCAGGGCGAGACGGCTCGATGATCGTGACATACATTTGAGACCATTTATACCGTTTGTATACAGGATCTACGGGGGTATTACTAGATAGAAGATTGTTGACGATTTTAATAAATGCATAATGATATATGACAGGCTGAAGCTCGTAACATTCATAATTAGATGCAAAAGACACTCCGGCGTAGTCCAGTCGTTTCTCGAATGACCTCCATAAAGTAGTCGATGGCGTATCCTAGACATCAAGTCCTATTTTGAACTTATGTCTCCAAATGACCCTTCTTAAGCAGCACCAGTCTTGGCTGCAAGAGTGCCTGTGCCCCGAGAAGAGAAAATACCCATAATACCGAAGACAACGTAGAACAAAGCCAGCGGATAAGCAACCAGACCCCGCATACCGCTCATACGAGCCACGGAACAGAACATCCCCGAGGAGCTGTAGGTGCACCAGCCAACCGCCGCGGTTGTCAAAAGGTAGCCGAACAAGGTATCCATGGGGAGGAGAATACCGATAAGTGCGGTCAACACGAGCGGCAAGAAGCAGTAGCCCAAGACGCTAGCGGAACGCGGGAAAGTGAGAGTGGCAGAGAAGTGACCGGCGGCCGAGGCGCTGGACATAGAAGGTTTGTGGTGAGGGTTGTAGTTTGTTGGGTCGGCGGCGTTCGGGGTAGGAGCCGTATCGAGGACTGGAGACATGAGACTCAAGATGAGGTGCAAGGCAACGGTTCCAAAGACGGCGACGCCGTAGATATATCCGTAAAAGACCTTTCCTGAGAGGAGGAGGAACGTGCCGTACAAGACGATGTAAAGTAATGCGCCGTAAAGGTCGCTATCGTCCATAAGGTGGTTGTCAATGGAAGCGAAAGGATTGAGGACAGTCAGAGTCTGGTAGTAAATAGTTAGTGTCTCGCTCTATAATTGAGATGTTTCTTATGAAGTAGACACGAGCACGTCTCCAAGGAGACAGTCCAAATGTTTATTCACGGGCCCGGCGCATTCTCCTGAAAACAACACTATCGCAAGCAAACTCACCTTAGTCCGAATATGCTCAAAGTTAACACCTAATTCCTCTAATAGAGGAGGCTCGCCATCATAGCCCTCTGTGCCAAATGCAGCCAACCAACCCGTCCGCAATCCGCCCTGTTCACCCATCCGCCCGCTCACACCACCGGAAGGAGACCCAAATCCACCATATCCACCACTGGGATAGGCCTGTGCAGATGGATTGGGAGCACCACCAAAGCCTGCGCCGTAGGATGCTTGTGAAGGGGTTGTGTGGCCGGATACTGAGCCGTAGGAAGAGGGGAAGAACTGGAGATTCTGGGCGCCAGCCTGGGGCGGGTAGCCTTGCTGTTGCTGCTGCTGGGGATAGTATTGAGCCATTGCCGAGGGTCGGTGAGGTAATGAGCGTGTTATTTTTCTTCTCGGCGTGGAAACGTGGGGTTTGCGAAAGAGCTGAGGCCTGAAGCTCGGGAGCCCGATGTGTCCGCAGCGCGTGCTGACTCAGCGCGTGGAGCGACGCGAAGTATAAGATAATTGGAGTTCACTTGTTATTTCGCCAACTATGATTTCATTTCAATCTCTTTTCATGGAGGATACATCAAAGCTGAGATGGTATAAATTGGACTCCGCTAATCTAATCAGGAAACATGTTTCTACAGGAAATTGATGCCAATACCCAGTTGAAGACCTTTTCGGCCCTCTTCGCCTTTCCTCAGGACCAAAGGCAGAGAGAAGTTCAGCTCGAAGCGGGCGACTGGGTGGGCATATACGATACCAACACCGGCTGCGACACTGGGCAGGCCATTTTGCAGTTCGGAAAGGGTAGAGACCATAGCATCTTGCACCTCGCCGCTGTTGGTAGGAGCGTTCTTTTGCGACGTACGAAGGGGCAGGAGTCTTCCGCCGTTCAGGAAGAGCTGCATGCGGAGGGGCTTCTCAGCACCCACTCGAGGAAGCGGGAAGAGCAAGTTAGCACTTCCAGCAGCGTAGACATCACCGCCAAGAGCGTCAGGCCCTTCACGGGGGCCAAGGCCACACAGACGGAATCCACGGACATCGGTTGGTCCACCAAGAAGGAAGCGGTCATTGACGCGGGACAGCTGAGGGCGCGAGTCCGAGTCCAGCCCAAGAGGGTACAAGAGACCAGCACGGAATCCAGTGGTGAGGCTAACACCACTGTCACCTTTGACACCGGGGATCGGGATGGGAATAGCCCCCTGGGTCTCGATCTCGGACTTCCAGAAAGAAACATCACCCTTCAACGGGCCCCAGCCAGCAACTTCGTTGAAGACCTTCGCGTAGTATCCGCGAGAAGGCAGCATGGGGTGGTCACGCTGATCGTTGACCCAGCTGTGGAAGATACTGCTCTTCACGCTATCACCTGCATCCGCACGAATGGTAGGAGACGCGTTCTCAGCAAGGCCAGTAGTCTGTCTCCAGAAACCATTATAGCCGAACTCATGGCGATGTCCAGACTGGGACAGCCAGCGAAGCTTGCTCCAGCCACCTTTGAGGACCTCCTCGTGACTAGCCCAGGACTTCTGGGTGGCGCTTGCAATGCCTCCAATCTCCAGACGGAAGTCGGGGTCACAGAAGATCGGCGTTTCAAATGCGGCCTGGTAGGCGGACCGAGTACGAGTTCCCAGAGAAGCATTGAGGTTCAGCGTCTCGGCGCCACCAAAGACATTTCGCCAGAGAAGGTTACCATAGGCAGAGCCCTCGGCGTTTCCAAGGTCGGTTCCGGTCTTCAACAGGACGCGGGATTTCTCCCGAGTTGCCAAAATCACATCGATATCGCGCAGTCCGGTGGCAGGGTTCGTTTTCGATTGATCCAAGTGAACGGAGATAGGTTGCTGGAAGAGGTCTAGGTCAATGTTAGAATTCCAGTTATTATACCCATGTAGCTCCGTAGTCACGAACCAAACCGCCCAAGCTTGTCGGCCGTTGCCGAGATCTCCCGCAATGCCTCGGAGAGGGTATAAGGCCGATCCTTATTCTCGCTCAGAAGGGGGTTGACGATGCGCTCGAGGAAGCTTCGGCGAGTGTTGGATGCACTAACAACCTGGACCGACGAGATGGCACAGGGCAGGGTCGAGTTTTGGTCAAGCTGGTAGCATTCAAGGTTAGCCGGGAGCTCGGCAGGTCCAACCAAAGGTGATTGCGGCCATAAATATAACCCTGATTGATACAGATGCATACCAATTCCGAGAGGCGAGACTGGGCCTTCTGGAGAATAGCCTGCGTCCGCTCATTCACGGCCTGCTGCTGCTCTTCCAGCACCTGCGGGTCCTTGCGCTGTTGCAAGCGCTCGAAGATCTACACCAGGAGAGTTAGCGGGAGCCATTATTAGCAGGCAGCATAAGCTAAGCTTATAAAAGACCTACATCTTCATCTTCAGCCGAGAGGGTGGACATCGTGACGGCGGCAATGGCCAGGACCTTTTTGAGGTTCGGCGAACGCTTGATCGCGTGGGAAACGGGGAAGCACGTGATCTTGGGCGATCGCATCGCAGCGGCGACACTATTATCTCCACCTTCCTCACTACTTGCGGATCATTCATTCATTCATTCTTTCTCTTCGATCTGTGTCTTTCTGTCTTTTCTGTCACATCCCCCGACAGAGTCAACCCCGAAACATGGCGACTAAGGCAGCATTCAAGCGGGTGAGTGGCCACTACGAGATACATGATTGCGGACCATCTTCTAACGGCTCTGCCAGCTCACGCGAGAGTACCAAAATATCCAAAAGAACCCCCCGCCATTCATCGTGGCGCATCCTTCCGAAACGAACATCCTTGAGTGAGTGACTACCCTTCCCGGCATTATTTCCGACTCGAGACTGAACGACGGCCAGGTGGCACTATATCCTGACCGGACCCCCGGGGACTCCATACGAGAATGGACAATACTGGGGCACCTTGATGTTTCCTCCGGAATACCCCTTTGCCCCTCCGGCGATTCGCATGCACACTCCGAGCGGTCGATTTCAGCCATCCACTCGCCTCTGCCTGAGCATTAGTGACTTCCACCCCAAATCTTTCAACCCCGCATGGGAGGTCTCGACGATCCTGATCGGACTTCTTTCATTCATGACAAGTGAAGAGATGACCACGGGCAGCGTCAGCGCATCGGAGGGTGAGCGCAGAGTACTGGCCGCCCGATCGCGATGGTGGAACTCGACCGGCGGAGGCTCCCACGCCAGCGCCACACCGGGAGTGACAAAAACCTCCAAGGGCATCAATAATGTGAAGGCGGGAGATGGCGGATTAAAGTTCCGCACGGAATGGCCGGAGTTGGATCAAGAGAACTGGACCTGGATGAAAGAGCACCGCATCGACACCACCACGGGCCAGATCCTCCCGGATCCCGATGCACCTACTAAATGTTCACCAGAAACCAGTGCTTTACGTCGGCGCCCGAACGGTAGTGCACCGGGAATCGGAGCGGTGATGGAGGGAGGCCATGTGGCTCGGGAAGCCGGACAGGGATGGGCACGACGAAACCGAGTATGGATCGGATTAGCGGTACTTTTCGGATATGCGCTACTATCTCGGCTAGTGAGTGATGTGCAGGGATAGGGACGGGGACGGGGATGGGGATAGAAGATATATGATAGTTGTTTAGCGGGACATTGACTTGGCGCATTAGAGAGATATCAGGCGTTGAATGGAATTCCAGAAATCAGAAAGAAATTCGAGATCCCTACCTCGATAGGTAACGCAGAACGAATTCTAGAATATGACATCCATGAGATACATGGAACACAGTTGCTTGGAATACATACTTGGATACCCTGGTTACACCGGTCATCACCGGATCGCGTCCCAGCTCAGCCGCTCAATTGGGCTGGTGCTGGCCCCCGCATTGTCAACGTAACTACTCCTTTTTCTCTTCTAAATCCGCCTTCCTTCATAGCCTTTCTCTTCATTGGCTTTTCGGTAGCCTTCGGGCCCACGATGGATCAGCTGCAGTTCATCGCGGGGGCTCGGCCTTCCCATTCAGGTTCGTGTTTAGTGTTGATTTGGTCTATACCTTCTCGACTTTCCCACCTTTCCTATTTGTCCCAATCTTGCAATTGTTAAACAGCTTCCAGAATCGATCAAACCCGCTGCGCCGCTGGATCGGCCTTCTTTTACATTCATCGACCATGATGATGACTTGACCTCCAAGAGGATCAAAGATGTCAACGCTCGCAAGGCAATCCGCTCCCATGTTATGCGTGATGTGCGTCGACGGGAGCGACTTGCCGGGCTGAAGAGAAGCTCCAGGCGCGAAAGTCGGTCTCAACCGGTGTCCAGATCATCGAGCGAAGGAAATCTCGAGGAGCGGAGGCTAGTCCTGAGAGCAGCCTCTCAGTCATCTACTTCGTCCATAGTAGAAAAGTCCGAGTCCGATGATAGCTTTGTCTATTCAAAACACCGAGGACGACCCGTTAGGTGGAGTGCTGGGAACCCTTTGTCTCCCCCTCCAAACCCAAGTCCACACTCTCTCCCCACGGCATGGTTCTTCGATCCTTTTTGTTCTCTACCGGGAATTACGGAGCTTCCTACCATGGTCGGGCACTTGGTATACTATTGTAAGATCCCCTCCTGTTCTAACCACTTTATGACTTTTCATTGTGGTGGCCGACCTCCACCCCGCCATTTTGATTTGAACTGTAGCTAACGCTAAGCTTAAGGGAAAACCGTTTTTGTTCCCATGACCTTTCCGAACGAGCTCAGAGGGAGTCAAGACACAAAAGAGGTTGAGCTCATGGTACGGTCATCCTTCTCTGATCCAGGAAGCTTTTTCGGCCTTATGAGTATGTGTGCTGCACATCGAGCAGCTTTGTCATGTAATCGCATCGATGCTTCAGATTCCACAAGCCGATCGGTTGAACGAACTGTCAATGACACCGACTACTGCATCATGAAAGCAAAGTCAATTCGAGAAATGAATGCCAAAGTCAGAGATCCTCGTCGAGCACTGAGCGATGAGGCATTTGATACAATTATCAACCTTCTTACAGGCGCAGTAAACATTTAAACCCCTCCTTGTTGAACTTTTCTAATCCATTCCAGTTAATTGCCGGCTTATTTGATGAGGCAAGAATTCATTTAGCTGGCCTTAAACGCATGGTAAATCTCCGAGGCGGCATCATGGATAAAAGTATCCGATCTGCTTCAATGTTGGCTGCAATTATCACGTAAGTGTAACAATATTGTTTGATCGAAATTGATCAAGTTACCTGCTAATAAAATCAGGACCGATATCAAAGCTGCTACGGGCCTTCTGGTCAGGCCTGTATTTCCCTTGACTTGGGAAGCACAACCAGTACCACAAGCGGTTCAGCAGCGATTGCGGCCGCCCACATCCGCACCATCCCATCGACTCGGAAGTGGCTTCTTTGCCACCACCCTGCTGAGCCGCCCATTTATCCAGATTCTATGGGTAGTACGAGATATCATATTTTACGGTACTGCTCTTCGAGCGACTCCTGAAATCATTCATCCGGATGACAACCATCTCTTTCGGGTTCTCAACTGCGAGGCAGAGCACCAGCTGTTGAGCTATATCTATTCGACAGAAGATTCATCGGATTGTTCGAGTCCCGGCCTAGAATACCACCCTATCGAAGAAGTCTCACGCGTGTCTTCCATTTGTTTTCTCAACTACTTTCTCATCGTCTCGCCTCCTTCATCGGGTCTTGGTCGTGCCCTAACAAGGCACCTGGTCAAGGCTGTGAGCAACTGCAAGCTCTCTCTCCTTCTTCCACTATCCAAAAAAAGGTTTGGACTCTTTGCCTGGGCTCTATTCGTGGGAGCTCAAGGCTCTCTCGGTCAAAACGAGCGATCTTGGTTCGTGGAGCGGCTGGCCCACGTCGCAATGATATGCAAATGGCAATCCTTTGAGCAGGTATCGAACATCATGTTGGGCTACTTTTATATACCAGACACGCACAGCATCACATGGCGATCTATTTGGGACGAGGCGATGACAAGGCCTGTGATATCTTCGGATGAAGCATAAAAGTCGATCTTCTGTCATATGTGGAAGTGTCTTCTATAATACTCTGTACATGGATCTTAATGGCAGTCACTCCTATAATAGCTAGTCCAAGCCAAATGGTCTTTGATGGGATACTACCCTAAAGCTCATATCCACAACCGCGAGATATCTTGACTGAGTTTAATTATCTCAGGTCAAGTCTCTTTAGTTTGGTCAAAGAAAAAGTGATGCAAAATGTTTTGCTTATTTTTATAAATTGCCGCCGCTGGATTGGTTGTCGTATACTTCGGGCGATAAGGGAGTATCACGTGTGGATTACTCATCGTCTCCATTTTCTCCCCGATCTTTTATCGCGCGGCGACTTGGTTCAACTTTTTTTTGCTCTATCGTCATTTCTATACTTCAAAATGGGCTGGTTCTGGGCAGATTCGCAGCCAAAGGCGCCCGTGGCGCCTCACCCCACCTCTTCCAACGCGACTCCTCCTGTACATTTCTCCACGATCTCTCCAAGTCGCGACTTAGACTAACCCTTATCTTTGACAGCCCGGATGTCCGATGCATGAGTCGGGTGCAGCACTTCCTGCTGCTCTCAAGAGCGAACCCCCCAGCGAGTGCCCGATGCGCTCAACCGATTCTCCCTTCTATGTTCCCCCGAAACCATCGACCCCGGAGACTCCCCAGGCACCGGCCGCGCCGGCAAAGCCCTCCACCTTGTCGAGGCTGAACCCTCTGAACTACATGTTCGCATCAATCTCTCAAGAGCGCGCTCCAAACCAGACTGTCGATCTCGGCGTCGATCGTGAGGTTTCCTCAATCCCGAGAGGCGACTCGGAGGGTAACTGGGAGTACCCGTCTGCTCAACAGATGTACAACGCGATGCTGCGCAAAGGACACACCGATACCCCCGAGGATGCAGTAGAGTCCATGGTTGCTGTTCACAATTTCCTGAATGAAGGTGCCTGGGACGAAATTGTCGGCTGGGAACGTGTCTTTGCCAAGGGTCTGAATCACGGCTGGGAGAAATGCCGCCGAGGTGAAGAGAACCTAAGCCTCGACCTGGCCAAGGCCGAGTTTATGGGTCAGATTGATCAGGCCCACGAGCCTCGTCTGATCAGATTCCAGGGCCGTCCCCAGGAGCTGAGCCCCAAGGCCCGAATCTTCCAGGCTCTGGGTTGGGTGTACCCGTCCAAGTTTGAGTATGTATCCTCTTTGCCTGGCCTCTGTAACAGAACTAACGTGAACATCAGAACCAACCCGCCCTTTGACCGCCATGACTGGTTTGTTCAGCGCCAAACACCCTCAGGCTCGAAAGAAGTTCGCTACGTGATCGATTACTACTCTGGTCCTCCGGAGCCAACCGGCGAGCCGGTCTTCTACCTTGATATCCGTCCCGCTCTAGACTCTCCTACTGCGGCTGTCGAGCGAATGATGAGATGGGGAGGCGACGTCTGGTGGAGAGCCAGCGGTGCTTCCGTCAGAGAGCAGGTTCAGGCCCAGGCCCACCGATGAAACCACCTACACCCGAAGTTTAATACTTCTCCACTCCCAATTGTATATTTCTAGACATGGCACAGGCGTTCTGCAGTCCGTTTTCACGGTCTCTTGCATCCTACTTCTCTCTCTGTCTTCTACAATGTGTTTTACTACCTTACACCTGGACGACCTGCATCGGCAGACGATAATGGAAAAATGATGTCTCGATTCTGCATGTATGTGACTGAAATCTGCCGGTGTTTTCCATAGATGCTTTCGCTTTCAATGTACATTTATTATTCAAGTTTAAATCTTAGTTCGATTCCACCTATACTAATTGTTTCCAAGTGTATAAACATATCATTTGGTTCTCATATCAGGGTAGTTCTATGTTACAAACACAGGAATTATGTTCAGATATTTGGCGACAGTTGGTCGTATTTGACACACTGTTCCACGCTCTCAATGCTTGCCTGCAGCAATCCGCGAGCTTCAAGGCCAACCCAGACTCGAAGCATGGAGGTGTCACCCGAACGAACCGTCTGCAAGAAGGTAGAACCGGAACCGAGTTGTCGAAGAATAGGTAGGGAACTATAGAAATTGGTCAATCTTGCTTTAAAGTCATTTAGCTCGCGGCACAACTCACCTCTTGAAAATATCCAAGTCGGGATTAAGGCTTCGCCCAATGCCTTCGAGAAGAAGGCAGGAAATAACCACGTTCACAAAATCCCCTTCGAATCGGACGTGATGGCCACGGACCATTGTCAGGACTTCGCTCAGGACGTCACCGATCTTGATATTACCTAGGGCAAAGGTACGTGACTTGATACTTAAGATGAGATGCTGCATTTTGAGTGCGAAGATTTCCGGTTCAATGACCTCCTCTGGGGTACGGCAACGTTGAACCATCAAGTGGCCTGCGCGATAGCCATCAAACTCGGCAATGGCGCGGAAGAGATCTAAGAAGTTCCGTCGATTGAGATCGTTCAGCTCGGTGACAAGGCCGGTGTCGATGAAGATTAGCTGTGGGCGATATCCCTCGTTATTCAGTTTAGCGAGAGCAGATTCCCAAGCTCCACGGTCCTTGAGGTGCGGGCGTAGTCGTGCAAGTACGGCCTCCGTCACGTCCACCTCAGCCCGGGTGGGGGCATCTGTGGCTCGCGTATCTTTGTGAAGGGACAAGTCAAGTTCACTGGGTTTGTAAAAGCGGACCATAATATTCCCTGGGTGCAGATCTGCGTGAACAAAGTTATCGATTAGGAGCATGTGTAGGAACGCATCAAGGCCTTCGTTGGCGATCTCGTGCTGATAAACACCACCTCCGATATCCAGGAACTTGGCTAATGGAATACCCTGGGCGAATTCCTCGACAAGGACTTCTCGGGTAGTGTAATCCATATAGGGGTATGGGAACCAAGCTGTGGTGCGAGACTTGAACTTATTGCGGAATATCACAAGGTTGGTAGCCTCGATCCGCAAATCCAGCTGAAGCTTCATCATCTCCCCAAACTGATGTACCTCATCTGGGAATGACAGCCAATGCATGGTTGGAATAGCATTGATCAATGAAGCAAAGAATCCCATGATCCGCAAATCACGATGAATCATTTTCTCGACTCGAGGGTGCAGGACCTTGATTGCAACATAAGACGAGGGCACTCGCTGCGGTGAGCTCTTCACAAGTACATCAACGTTCTTCCAGACTTTCTCCCCGAGAGTACTGGGACCCTGGCCCAGCTCCTGTGTACTGTTCGCCAAGCTTGGCTTAAGCTTGGCCTTGTAGACTTGCGCAATGGCTCCAACGCCGAGTGGTTCTTCCTGAAACTCTTCAAAAATCTCATCAAACGGCAGTCCATTGAAGGCCTTTCGGATAGTGCGCTTGGTATTGCGGAGGGAATGAGCTGGAGCATTTGAGTGGAGAGAGGACATGATACTGCACATCTCAGGAGGGAAGATGTCGGTTCGGGAAGCGGCCCATTGTCCAAGCTATTAGAAAAATGAGATTAGCAAGCCGATAGATGAGACGAATGAGTGCTTGGTGGCGAGAGATTTACCTTGATAAAAGCAGGGCCCGCGCGCTCCATTGCCTTGACTAAGAAGCGATACCACCACAAAGTCCCAGACTGCGCATTGCTGTCACCGCCAATCCTCTTGCCAACCCATATCATAGGTACAGTCACAACGACCGGCATGAAGATAACGGCCAGATGCAGGAATCGAAAGCCAGTCGCAATGGGGTCCCAAACATAGTAATACCAGCAGACCCAGAGCGAGTGGCACAGCCTCGACAGACCTCGTGCACCCACCGGTACTGTCTTCCGGATTTCTTCGCGCGAAGCCTCTAGCATCTGCATCTCTCCGGTCTTTTCACCACCGTCTGAATCCTCCGCGAGCTTGAGAAAGGCGCTTGGCGCGAGAGCAGCCATGACAACCCCACCGATGACCGGCGCCCGTCGCGGGATGCGCCTCATAGGAGGACGCCATGACAGAGTTGAATGATTTCGTGAAACACGCGGTATTCCGCGAAAGAAACAACGGCCGAGGACCGCCCTCATGTTGAGTTCATAGGTTCATGAGAGGAGAAAGAGCAAGCGGTTCTCGATAACCTGATAACGCCTCGGCACATGCTACGTCATCGTAAACAGCGTGATCTTTGATCTATAAAATTACCTTGGAGCTATCCGCTATCCTTGATATACTCGACTCTATTGCATTCTTCAATTTGTAATTCCCTTCTCATAATCACCGAGCCTTTGCGATGAGCACGCCTTCGCTCTTCACAAGTCGTTGGGCCGTCCTCGGCAGGCGCATTCCGGTGCACATTCCTCGATCGGCTTCCGTCTCTCTCAGCCCAAATCATTACCTCTTCCGGTCGCTGGCAAAACCACTGCGTAAGAAGACAGCCGTGTCGATCTCATGGTTCTGAATTGCTTTCAGTGCCACTGGCCGCGGTGGCCCGAAAGCGGTTCCAAAGACCCATTAAACCACAAAAGTGGTTCGCTCGTCTTCAGCATTAAATGAGACCAAGATGGCCCCCCGGACTCCTCAATGGATTGACTTCCTTCATATCGTCGGATCCGTGTCATTGCGCCCGGCTTGTTCATCATGGGTCGCCCGGATTCCCAAGATGTGGAATCAAACCAAGAACCGTCAGTCTGGCGCGACTGGGTAGCTGTCTTCCTCTGGAGTGCCATAGGCTACCTGTGCATCATTGTGACCGTCGTTGGATATTTCAATCCATCTCTACTTCCAATCGACCCGGCTGCGCTGGTGTTCAATAAGAACATCTCTCCGTTCTTTGCCTTTTCGCAGGGATCGGGCCATTACCCGAAACCACATGGCGTCAAGATTGTCGCACTTGTTCCTTTCCACTATCATGAGCGGACTGAAATTTTAGACTGCTATTTGCAGGTAAGATCAGTCCTTTATGAAGTCATGCAGCGGTTTCTCACGATTCGTTAGAAAAATTTGGTTCGCAACCACGGCTTTCTCGACCAGGTCGTGTTTATTCCTCAGACGTCCGATCCAGTCAGCTTGGAATGGCTCTATTCATTGATCAAGCAGACTCAAGGATATGCGATCTCCCCACCTGGCCACGGCATGGAGTGGCATATTGCCAAAGACAACGTCATGTACATTCGCATTGACGGTGATGTCATCTATCTGGAGGATCACACCATCCCCACGATCGTGAAAACAAAATTGGACAATCCCAGCTCACTGATGGTATCCGCCAACGTTGTGAATGAGGCGGCGCTTTCCTCCCTCCATAGTCATCCGGGCATCGCCCTTCCATATCTCCCAGAGTTGCACCATATCGAACAGCCCTCCCGGTCCAAGTCGCAGCTGAGCCAGGATTGGCGCTCCTCAAGTCTCCCCCAATGGCGTGGACCAGCAAGCTTCAGAGTTCCAAAGGGGTTCAAAGCACCCTTCCAGGGACATCGTTGGCTTCTACCCGCGGAAGCAGGTTCAGATCGCGACCCCATTGCAGGATCAATATACACGGAAACCGGTCCTTCGCTCCAAGACTGGACCGTCAGCGCTCAGCAGCATTACTCTTTCCTGCACCACCTTGAGTATAACGATCTGGCTCCGTACAAGTTCCCACTGTGGATGGATCCTACAGAACCGATTAGCCAGAACTTTGGCTGTTTCTGGGGCCATGATGCCAACGCTCTGGGTGAGATTTTCGACCACCCAGGTGAAGATCTATCAAAGTCGTGGAGCAGACATAATGGTTCCCGCCCACATGTTTCTATCGATGGTAAGGGTCTAGCGGCTCATTACTCGGCTCGCTTGGGGCCTGAGGGGTTGGACTCGACCGATCTTTTGGACCGGTACCGTGCGTATGCGCAGGAGATGGTCTGCCTGCAGACAGCGTGATGTCTACTATAGAGATACTTCCACGGCCTCAGTGATCTGGCCGTTGGTATCTATGTACATATCAGAATAATTGAAACTTTTTTTTTTCTCTGACTCCAAAGGATGGATAATTCCGCTTTTTTCTTCTCTTTAAGTTCCCTCTCTAGAAGTCCATTACAGCACTTCGGCCGACCGGATTAGGTGAGAAACCACCTTGAAGTAACGGGTTTACCAATGTCTAAACACGTTCACCGCGTCCAAATTTAGAGCACACGTGTATGACAATCGTCTTCTCGCTGATCTGTTTTCGTCCGTCTATTGAGCAGCAATTTTCAAGCGCTGCGAGGCATCGCGGACCATTTCTTCCATCGTGTCCCGATAACCTTCAGGAAGTGCACCAGACTATACAAATTAGTAAATACTCATGGAAAAGGCCTCATGAAGCTTACCTCGTTTTTCAACAACTCTTGTACAAGGACAAAAGCGTTATCCCGATCTTTAGAAATTTGGGAACTGTTTGGCTCCTCAGATTCTTTCTTACTAGATGGATCTGCACTCAGTGTCGCTTTGAGAAGTTCCATCACTTCCTCTTTCTGGAGACAGTCGGTCACTGCAACACAACCAGACTTAGTGTTCGCCATCAAAGCCAAAGCAAACCATCCTTCACTTCGAACAACAGGCCATTGGGTCTGTGTAGTCATGGCACCAAGAGGACGAGCAACTCCTTCATGCAGATCGTACAGCTTGCCCAAGATTGAAACGACCTGCTCATCACCCTCGCGGCCTTTAGGGCTGATAGTCCGGCAAATAGAAGCAATAGTGCGACCAATCTCCGTCTGGATCGGCGCAGAGTCTGATTTCTCAAATAGAGACAGAAGCAGAGAGAGATATGTCCGACCATGTTCGGGAGAATTCGGATCTCGAGACAGAGGTGCCAACAGACGAGCAATATTCTCAACGGAAGAAATAATAATCTGTCGCGCAATCGATGCAGCCGAGAACTGGACCTGCGGGACAGAGTCATACGCCCACAACCGCGATACGGCAGGAATTATTCCGGCCTCTGCAAGGCTAACACGGTTGTCACCAGCGATAGCGAGATTCTTCAAGAATCCCAAAGCAGAGTGGAGGACTGCCCCATGCGCATCACTGTTAAGAACAGAGATGAGTTCCTCGTGAATCTTCAGGTCTCGCACCATCACTTGACAGACTTCGTCTGATCGAGCCAGGTTGCCAAGCATAACACATGCACAAATCTGAAGCTGATCCTCGTCAGAAACAACCCAGGCCTTCAATGTCTTTGAAAGAGCAGAGTCAAGAGGGTAGTACTCCATAAACAGCGACGAAGCCGAAACTTCAGCCAGGGCTTGGTTGATCTTGAGACGTGTCTGGAGAATGGCCTTGGTTTCTTCGACGGAAGTTTCGTCGATTTTGATGGAGAAAGACCGGCGCAATATGGCCAGGAAGTTTTCGACCAAGGTATTTGAAATGCAGGCGTTTTGGAATCTCTCGTTTTCCAGGTACTTGGAGAGAGAGCTGACCAGGGGTGAGAAGAATTCAAAACTTAATCCCTCGTCCTGAGCAAGATCTGTGAGTAGCAGGACTGTTCCACTGGGAGAATCCTCGACTCCTTGCGCTTTAGAAAGGTCTGCGTTAGCATGAAATAAGATATTGTCGATTGTGTAGTCAAACCTTGTTCAGAAGCCAGCTCAATCAAATCGTAGGAAAAGCTCAGCAGAGCATCGTTCTCGTTCATGGCACCATCTTTGAGCAGTTTCAGCAGAATATAAGCAGTCTTGTTGGCAGCCATTTGAGAGTGTGCGGGCTCTGAACTCCAATTAGTTTATGATAAGTGGTAAGGAGGAAAGGTCATCTCACCGTAATCCATGCAGATATTGTAGATCACAGGAATTGCAACCTGGGTCAAGTTCGGATTCGAGAAGTGTTTGATGATAGCCGAAGTGTAGTTGTCTTTAATGACAATCTCCCTGTTCTCATCTGATCGGTTCTCAGCGTCTATTAGCAATTACAGGACACGTGAACGTACCAGTATCGGCACAAGAATTGCCAACCAGACGCAAAGAGTGGAGTAACAATTTGGGATCAATCTCTTCCTTGGATGAGATGATCTCCAAGAAGAACGTCAAGATACCAGACTGGCCAAATGGAGTGCGCCATGATGCTTAGAACTGTTAGTAAAGACGTATCCGTTGGGGTTATTCGAACCTCACGATCACGACTTCCGTTGGCCAGAATTTCAGCTGCTTGAGCCAGATACCCGGAATTGCAGGACCAGAGACGCTGGATCGTCGTATGAACGCTCTGCAAAGTCTCGAGATTCCGCTTGCATCGGCGTGCATCGGCGTCTGCTTGCTCCAAGGATGCGTGGAGCTCCTTCAGATCAAAGCTGCTTCCAGCTTCAGCAATTCCCTCGGCATTTTCGATGATACTCTTCAACGAAAGGAGCATCTTCTTTTGTTCATCGGACTCAATCGTCTCCGTATCTCTGGATGGTAACGATGTAGATATTTGGGGCAGGCCTTGGATTACCTGATCCACAGAAGGTAATTCGAGCCCCGAAACTGGGGCAGGAACATGACCAGCGCTTTCGCCAGCTGGCGCGGTATATACTTCGCCTGAAGACATCGTCTTGTTTACGGTGGACCGAGCGCCAAGGTGAGGTGGTTGTCCTCGAAAGTGTGTAGGATCAATTGGAGAGTGGAGGCTTTTTCCCCAGTCTTTGATTGATCAGATGGTATGAGCCTATTCAATGGGTCTCGTAACAGCGGTGTGCTACGTATTGAGTCATGCAAGGCTGGTGGCTTCACGAGTGGAGGTTCGCGAGACGTCGCTTGCAAAGCGTCCTAATCGCAGTTCTGCCTGAGGTGGATTCAGGCATCATCTGATTCCAGTTCGGGTAACGCGCGGTGTTGTCAAGGGATGCTACCTGGCGAGAAATGGCGGTAATTGCGAATGATTGAAGAAGATGACTTGATTATATTGTCTCTATTCGTCAAATAAATCGCATCTTTGAAGCGTTTTCGCCTGAATGAAGTGAATCGTACTCGGTGTCCTACATAGTCGGCCAGGGGACACTTCCGCCTTGCCAAGCATCTTCCCCCAAGTTGGCCTCTCCGTTCCGTCAACATTGAACCCTCGGCCCTGTCTCTCCTTTATACTCTGTCAATTGGGTCTGCAAGCTTCTTGAATTCATTCTATTCATTCTCTTTTGTCAACTACCGCAAATTCCATCCCTTTCCGCCAACATGACGCGCGCTCAGCAGACCCTCTCCGTCCTCCTCCTCGTCTCCTCCGTACGTTGACAGCACGCCCCGAGGACATTTACCTCACATGTGGCTCTCGCTCACTTCGCATATAGCTCTACCTATCCCTCTACCTCGGTCTTGTTCCCCTGAACGAGACCGTCCAGACCGAAGTCATCCCCGTGGTACGTCCCGACATTCGACCCTTGTCTCCGCAAACAGCAGGAACTAACGCCTGATTAACTTAGCTCCCCTTCTACGCCGTCATCACTTTCGGATGCTATCTCTTGGGCCGTCTTGGTCTCGCGATCTTCACATTTAACGACGTCCCCGAGGCACACGCGGAGCTGCAGAAGGAGATCGAGCTGGCCAAGGTTGAGCTGCGCAAGGGCAACGTCGATGTCGACTAAATCCTGACAGCAGCATGTTATCTTGGATTCGATAATCTGGCATGTTCGCGAGCAGAAATCTAGACTTTGGACGCGGGAGCCCTCTACAGCTGTAGAAGCTGCGCCGGGCATTGATGAAGCACGCTGCTTTTGATTGCTGTTCGCCATCAATAAACATCCGTTTGATACCCTTCAAAATTACGTCTTTTATACTGGAGCGATACGTCATGCAACCCCCAAGGGTAGACTGGTATAGATTTGAGGATCAAGGAAATAACTTTTCTAGATTCATCAAGGATATCGTAATATTAACATGCCCGGGTCTATGCCCTACACCGGGATTTGGCAGCCAAAGATGGCAAAACAGCCACCAAGTAAATCAGAGCGCCGCGCAGAACGGAATGCAGTTCGCCTATGCAACACACTCCTCAGATAAGAGGGTTCTCCTTGGCCAGAGCATCGTGCTCATCGATGTCCCTTATCGAAAACGTTAGTTTATCGGATCGGCGCTTCAATTAGATAATACTTACTTAGCCTCCCAAGGGTAGCAGATCCACACGTCCTCGGTGGTGACAGAGGCGTGGTAACGACCGCTGTCCATCATGTCAGCGGGCAGAACACCCTTCTTCGCCTTGTTCTTGTTCTATAGTAGCCTATTAGTACCGAACCATTGACTAGAAAGTGGGTTATGCGACGTACGTGCAGGACGTAAACGAAGAAGTTAGTCTTCTCGCCCTCGCGGCCAAGCTGCTTCTGGGCGATCTCAACATCCTTCTCCAGCTCGCGCACGGCGTACTCCAGAGTAGTACGGGTATCGTCAACCTCGTCGACGATGAGGATGTTCTTGCCGATCAGGTTGGCCATTTCAAGGGAGCTCAGGTCGAGCCATTGTGTGCGGGTGACCTTGGTGCCGGGGACCTCCTCGGGGTCGTCGCGGCCGAGATCTTCGTAGAGGGAGAGACCGATAGCCTGGATGGGGATGTTGGGGTCACCGGAGCGCTTGAGGAAGGAACTGTTGGACAGAGGGTTGTTAGAGATGCGTTCCAAATATGATATCGTTAGGCGCGGAAGGGCTCAACATACCGGAGAATGCGAGCAGGGACGTAACCACCACCGCCAATAGCGATCATGAGGTTGGGGTGGAACTCCTTGAGGATAGTCTCGGCAGACTGCTGGCACAGCTTGTGCACCTATAGGTTCTTCCGATCAGCGCAGAACTCGAGACTCGATGCGATCCAAGATCCACAATCTCATTATATTCCAGAGACTATGATCGGCAATGACAGGGATCTCTTGGAAAAAGATCGCGGATCAAAAGTCAGACCCATACCTGGTTGTAGGTGACATAGACCTTCTGAGGCATGTTGGCGGATTGAAAGGTAGAATGACAAGAGGTGTCTTGAAAATGGAAGAGAATAGAAACCGAGTGTACCGGAGACTTCACAGACCGAAGGGAGCCCGAGTTAGGGAAAGAGAAAAAGATGATCCCACAGAAAAAGAAGAAAATTTCGGATCGGCATCTTTTTATCGGTGCCCCCCGGCGGGGTCTTATCTCCTTGACATTTGACTCTTGCCGAACTCCTTTACGGGGAAGTATACCCCTTCCTTTTTGTACTTTTTATGTCAATTTATATCTGCATTGTCCTTCGTCACTCATATGTTCATCCAAACCTCGTCTATAATATTCCAATCTTTCTTATGTCATGGATCCCCCAAACCCCCACATCTATGTGTACCAAGACGGCGCGGGGTACTCCTGCAGGAGCACGTATCGGCCCAGTTCTCGATTCTTATAGGCCACCGGATCGTGGAGAGTGTGAGTTCGGATATCTCTCCAGAATCGATCCAGGCCGACCTTCAGCGAAGTTGCGCGCGCACCAGTCACCTCGAACACGCCCGAGGTGACGCGGAGCCCGACATCTGTGGTAACCACCTTGACACTAGCGATCCACTCGGCCACGTCCCCTCGCTCCTCCGGCTTAAGCGCAAGTCGATTACTTTGGTACTTGCTGTAAATTGCTGATAGACGATCACCCGCGCGGTCTGCCAGTGCTTCGGTGGCGCGGAGATGGGCGAAGAAGTTGCCGTATCGCTCGAGAATATAGAACTCGTCGGTCGCGGATTCCTTATTATCGCCTCCAAAAGGCCATGCGCGAGTGGTTGCGATGGTGTAATTGGAGGCAAATTCGAGGGCACCGAGAGCAATTCCCAGGTAGAAATTGCTGAAGACGAGTTGGATACTAGTCGACGATGTTAGGGGATTAGTGGCAGCTGGGTGGATATGAATGTACTCACGTGGGAAGAAGCAGAGTTGGGAAGGCACCGGTCAAAACATCTTCGCGAGGCTGCTTGGTGCTCTCCTCCCACCCTAGAGCATCTGCCCAAGGCACACGAATGTTGTTGATCTTCACACCACCAGACTCGGTCAGACGCAGACCGATATTGTGCCAGTTGTGAGCAAAAACCACGCCCTCCTGTTTGGTAGGAGCCAGAGCAAATATGTGGCTATCGGTGCCTTCGAGGACCCCCTCCAAGACGGTCAGATCAGATACGACTCCGCCAGTGTTGAAGAATTTAGTTCCATTGAAGACAATGTGGTCGCCATCCGAAGTAATCTTCAGATCGCTGTCTCGAGGGTTGACAGCGCCGCCGACAAAGTAGTTATTGGTGATGATCAATTCATGAGTGCGCTCGATTTGCTCAGGTGTGCCAACAACATTCGCAGTGGTTGACCAGAGGAGGTGATAGCCCAGAAGCATACCAATGGAACTGTAGATAAATCAGCTACTATCATCAAGCTAAGTATCGGGTTCTTACCCATCAGCCTTGGCGACCTCACGGATGGCCTGGTATCCAACACTCCACGGCTGCTCTCCGCCTCCATACTTCTTAGGACCCAGGAGCTTCAAGAGGCCCGAGTGCTTCAGAAGAGCAATCTCAGCTCTGGGCGACTTGTTCTCTTGATCACGTTGAGCTGCATCCTGGCCCAAAACTTCAGCAACTTCGCGTACTCTGGCCAACCATGCCTCGGTAGTGTCTGGCTCATTGGCCCATTTGGCCTCGTATTGAGCATAGACAGCAGGATCTGTCTGCGGTACGTTTTCTTGGGCCATGACAGTATGAAGATGTAAACGATGCTAAAAGTGGGAGTTGATTAACCTGGGGAAAGGTCCGTTATATCTCTACTTATGTCGAGCCCGTAATTCACGTATGGCATGTTGTCCGCAGTTGATGATGTGATTCAGATTGCCCTCAAGCCTAAAAATTGGGGCTTGACATTGCAACAATTTCGTCAAGCAGGAGGAATATGTCGTTATTTGGGGTAGATCAAGCCCCACTGGGGGAGAACTACAGATTTTAAAAGTACACTGCACAAAGGAAACATTGCAAACAATTGAAGTTTATTGCGCAACAATCTAGGCCTCTCAGCCTCTTGAATCCATGAGATTCTCGGCCGACAAACTACGGCACTCTCATTCAGTATCACATGGCATCACATCACTCTTCTTTTCTTTTTTCTCCCAAAGAATCGCGAAGTATCACCCAATGGGATGTCCAGAAGAGAGTCCTGCAGCAAAAGATGAAATACAATATACCAACCCACCAATCCAGCCAGGAAACAGAATACACCACCCGATTTCCTGAGCGCAGCAGCCGCCGCCGCGTGGCCATCTGCCGCAGCAAAATAGCTGGCTGCCACGGTAAGGAATCCAATATCCACAAGGAAAAACACCAGGATGTATGCTATGTTGGTTGGGAGTGATGCGATGAGAAAGGTGAAGACGAACACCGTCCATAGGATCATAAAGAATCCCACGGCATTATTATATTGAGCCGTATCACTTCCGCCGTATGCCGTGGCAACGCCAAATGCCGGGGTCAAGAGAGCACCAAAGCCCGCGTAGAAAAGGCCTGTGATGCTCAGTATAAACGCTTTGCTCGTCGGATTATGTGTTGTTTCTTACCGAAAGCGCTGAAGACAGTATAGGCGAAACCATTTCCGATCGACAACTCCCACTGTGCTGTGATAACCAGACCGAATGCAGCGATAAAGAAGAAATTTGCCACAAAGACATTCTCTGTGGTGACTCCCCGCCACTCCATCAGGCTCAGTGAGAGGGTGGTCAGTGTCGTTCCGAACGCGCCCAGAGCCAGGGCAGACTGCATTCCACATCAGTTGTCTGATCTGTCGTTCGAGCCCAATGGACCTACCCCGGCACCGAGAGTTTTAGGGGTCACGGCTGTACACGGAACAGGAGTTCCCTGCTGCTCGAGATCCACAGACCCGGCAGCTTTGTCGTTATGAACAACATCTTTGGATGTCGTGGAACTCATCGTTGGCTTCGAAGAGCACTTCAACGTCACTTCAACGGCACTTCAACCGGGACAAACAAGTAAATTGAGAATAACGTTTCAAATATGACAACAAGCTATGATCTTCTACTTCTGAGACGATGTTTATATCGCCTGTTATAAAACAAGCTATCGCATCATCGTAAGCATAGATGGCATCAAGAACATCCCGGAATTGCCCCCTATTGATCTGCACGGTCTCGTTATGGGTCGAGTTTAAATCGAAAATCAGGCTTGGATTGGAGAGCATGACCATTTATCAGAGAGGATCCAGCGATCCATATGACGTGGGTTGGGTATTGCACAATCGGATTTCAGATGATGTGCTTGCCTCGTTCTTGCGATTTGGTCTCAGGTACTCCGCATCTGCAGAATCTACCCAGACAGAAGACTTGGGGTAAGCGCGGTATGAGAATTGAACTTACTTATCACACACAAGATACGCCCTTGTTAGTGTACATATCATCGGACCTCGGAGCTTCCTCTATAGCTGGTTGATCACTCTGTTCCGTGCCAGATGTCGTCTTTTCGTAGGGCTGTCAATGTGGTGGAATCAATGACTTACTCGGCCGAAAGGAGTCAGTCTTCATCCAGCTGCAATATATGCATTGATGTAGTGTGGCTTTCTCAATCCATTGACATTTTGTCGGTGAGATTCCGATGCCGCAGAAAGCGTGAACCCTGACCGAAAATATATCCACCCTCACGAGTCATTACCAAACGCCAATATTGGTTCCCAAGCGCAATCGGAATTGATTATTCAGAGATCGAATTTGAATTAAAAGTATGCCCTAGTTCTTGTACTTGCAAATTACTTGCGTAACAAATCAGACCTTTGTATAAATGCATCGTAGAGTATCTGCGCGACCGTTTTCAGATTCCCAACTTGACACTTGATCAAAAGTGAATTTCTTGTTTTATCTAAGATTCCGATATCTTCAATACATCAGGGCTTGTGGTTTAGGGGTATAATGCTCGCTTCGCATGCATGTAGCGATTCTGCGAGAGGTCCCGGGTTCGATTCCCGGCGAGTCCAGTTTTTTGCCTTTTTTTTTTTTTTTTTTTTTTTCCGTGGCGTTTCCCGAGGCGGGCTTAGTGTGGGGACACGACACACCCGGATGCTAGCTAGGTCGATCGAGACTTGTAATTCAACCTCAAATTTTTTTTCCCTTACAAACAATATGAATTGACAGCCTGTGAGAAGATAAAACATGGTAAGGATAGAGAGCGTACCAGCACAGAAAGAAATCGTATAACCTTCTTGAATAAATTAGATACTCGACTGGAACCAACGCTTGTCAATAGATACAGTCTATCTCCCATATATATAAAAAGACTCAAAAGAACAGCGCTTAAAACCGACAATTTTTGAAGTAGGGGTATCTTGACAGGAAATTGACAGGAATCGTATGAACAGACTGACTCGAATAGTCCTCAAACGAAGCATCTAAACAACAGTGTTTTCGTCGGAGGCATGTGCATCGGGGTTGACGGAAAGAATCTCAAACCCACCCTCATCTCGATCTTCACCCTTCTGGGGCCATAAAATCTGGTGCGAGAGAATGGCCCGAACCATCTTGTAAACAACAAAGAAGTACATGAGCAGCAGAGGAGCAATTGCCGCACATCCAACAATGTTGATCGCTTTGCATGAGAACGCCTTTCCAATAGCAAAGGTAGCAGTGATCAATGCAGTGTTCGGGAAGATGAACGAGTACCAGGTCATCGAGAATTGCAATCGACCTGGGCCAATTGCAGACCAATGGGCTGCACTTGCAATGAGAAAGAAGAATATAGCCAATCTATCGAAAGATTAGCGAGGAACGATGGAAGAAAAGGGACTGACTCACCCCCATAACCACAGCATGGAGAAGTCAACCACCACCCTCAGAATATCCGCTGCTAGAGGACCATTGCTCATGAAGTCCGCGGGGAACGCGCGTTTCGCTTCAGATGCCATATTTACAAGACCTGCGACGGTAAAGCCACTAGGTCCCACGGAGACGAACATTCCCGGTCGAATATTCTCCTTGGGAAGCTTTTGCGTCATAAGTCGATATATAAAGGCAGAATACACCATCAATGACACCAGAAATCCAACACCTTGGATGGTAGTACCTCCCACGATGATGCGCAGGGCGCGTGAAGGCTCCACCTTTGCGCTGAGAATACCAGCATGAGGACCGATAATGAGCATCGGGTACGCAGGAAAGATCCAGATGGGAGTCATTTGGGCGATGGTAAATGTCTGGGTGGACCAACTAGGAGATATTAGCGACGAATATCCCGCCCAAGTTCAGCAAAACTTACAGGGTGAGATAAATGCCAGCAGAGAAAATCACAGCGAGACCGGCATCTATCCAAAACAAGATGCCAACCGCCTCGAGTAACCACGGACCGGCTTTTCCAGGTCCATATTGAGAAATGTTGATGAGGATTGTACCGAAAGATACCATCGAAGCAGGAATGAACAGGGACTCAGTCGGATGCAAAAAGGAGGCTTTAAAAGTATAGGGATAGTAATAGAACCGGGCTAGCAGAAGGCCCCAAATGAGAAGGTAAAGTGCAATGTTTATCAAAAAGATGACGACTCCAATAGTCTCCAGACCGCGGAAACGATAAGGTACTTTAGCGAGTTAGTCGAAGTCTCGGACTGAGGTTGGACTTGAATTTACCTTCGTATAGAACATTGGCCAGACCACCCGTGGCCATAGTCAATGTGAAATAAGCCCAGGTAATATGGCGAATCCGTTTCTTCCAACTGAGACGGGAAGGCGGCGTATCAGTGAACCTCCGATTGAGCGAGAAATCATTCTGGTCTCGACAATGGTTACATTCCTTATTGGCCGTCGCATCCGTCACCCGAGACGAGGCTCTCTGCAGCGCCGCCTCCAAAGCAGTAGTGTGAACCTCGCGCGTACCACTACCGGGGCTATCAGCGAGTTCAGAGAGAATGCGCTCGGCATCTTCTATAGTAGGGGTGCGATAACCGTCGTCGCCGGGACTTCTCATATGCCGGGGCACCTGAAGTTCATCCATGGCGATTTCAGCCTAGCGGGGAATATGGGAGCCCAAGCGCAGCCAATCTTCCCTCTTTTGCCACCTTTTCCTGTGCGACCTGCCTTGAACCGATCATAGATGGGGGCAGAATATGGCTATAATCGCAGAAAGTCCGGAAACCTAGAAGGGTATCGCACGGGGGGTAACAGGTTTAATTAATTGACATAGGGGCGAAATGCGGAGCCCAGTCAGGCAGGTTGAATTCTGGGATCGACCGTCATTCGAGGTGGAGACGTGCATTAGTCGAATAGCCCGGTTTTGTAAGATGACGCGGAGCTTGTGCTATGGGTTTTAGTGGACAAAGAGCCCTTTAATACCCCCAGAATCGAAAAAGGAAAAGGTCATTGCGTGGGGCGGGTATTCGCTCCATCGCCGCATTCGATTAGTCGAGCTTAGTTTTGCTCGGGAATCGGCACGTTCATTTTACAATTTACGGAAACTGCCGCCGCTGACCAGTGCTCATCAGTACTCGCTCGGTGACTGGCAATTGGAGTATTAGTGTGCCGGTGTCACTTTTCTATAGCATATCTAGGATGTAGATCAGTGTACGTGATTGGTATGTTTAGATATATCGTGCCTTGCAGCCCGCGGTTTGATAGAGCGGGGGCGTGACGCCATAGGTCCATCGGACCAGCATAACACGGCCTAGAAGGAATGCATGGCTGCTATGTATGAGTGACAGGCCCGGGTGAAGATGGCTGCATGATCAGTAAGGATGGCCGATATCATGTATTCATTGTATAAATTCCTACCAGGTACAAGCCGAGTCGACGGGTCGGCGGACTCGTGAATGGATCTCCCCGACATCTTGGCAGGCCCTGGCTCAAGCCACGACCTTATTCTGGGAACTAGATTCAACCAGAGATCTGGCTTTCCGATCTAGTCAATTCTAGTTGGAATTCTAATTCTGACCACATTAGATCCAGCTTTCCACCCCAAAGAGAGAAAAATGGCCCAAAGAAGAAATAGGGCTTAGGGTTGCAGCCTGTGGCGTGCCGAGGTATCAGGAGCTGTCACTGCGTGAATACGAGCGTCAATCCTCCATCGAACATCAAACTTCCTCTCTATTGTTCTTCAAGCTCGAACGCGTCAACCATGCCAGGAGTTACGGATAATCGCAAGTCCGTGCTGATCACGGGGTAAGATCTGCTTGACGCGAGATACCGGGGCCCGCGCTTAATGCTGACGACTATAAGATGTTCCCCTGGCGGAATCGGGAACTCCCTTGCGCGCGAATTCCATCAGAGTAATCTGCGCGTGCTTGCCACTGCTCGGGATGCCGCGAACATTGCCGATCTCGCCGAGCTCGGTATCGAGACTCTGAGTCTAGTGGTTGATGACCTCGAGAGTGTCAAAGCGTGTTTTGCTGATGTCGAGACCAGACTTGGTGACAAAGGCCTTGACTATCTGGTAAACAATGCGTGAGTAGTTTTCTTTCATACAGCCAACTAGTTGAATATATCTGACTAACTGTGCATCTTTAGTGGCCGAAGTATGTCAACAACGTGGAGGATACTAAGTGTATACTTCAGAACCTAACTAATTATAGACTACACGGTGCCTGCCATGGAGGTTGAGATCTCTGAAGTGCGAAAGACCTTCGAAACGAATTTGTTCGCCGTGATTACCATGTGCCAGACATTCCTGCCGTTGCTCATCAAAGCCAAGGGCACCATTGTCCAGGTTGGATCTGTGGCTGGGGTGCGTCCAAATCATCATCTTTCAATAGATTGAGACTACATATACTGATGCTTGACAGATCATTCCCTACGTGTTTGGATCCGTTTACAACGCGTCCAAAGCTGCGCTACACTCATTCAGTGATACTCTCCGAGTCGAGCTGGCTCCTTTCGGGTATGTTTGATCCGTGCTGCGTATTGATTATACACCACCTAACATCGATAGGGTGCATGTGACTACTATTGTGACTGGAGGTGTCCAGTCTCGCATTGCGCGCACCCAACGAACATTGCTGCCAAACTCCATGTATACTCCTATCGAGAGTGAGTACTCGCGCCGCGTCACACACAGCCAGCACAACGCGATGCCCCATGATGCCTATGCTCGCAGCGTGGTAGCTCAAGTCCTGTACGGTCCGGCGCCGTGGCGCTGGTTGTGGCCGTGGGCCAAGGGTCGCAAGGCATGGATCTGGGAAGGACACCGCAGCTGGCTGATTTGGTTCCTGGTGGGAGGCTGGGCCTGGAACGGACTGTTTCAACGGATGATGACGAAGATGTTCAAGCTGTGGAAGATCAAGGGATCCAAATAAATACCTAGGTAAATGTGAAGTAAGAGAAATGTACAAGAGAGTCGAGAGTCGCGCACCCTGTAGGACCCGAGGTTCTGCTGAGTCAGCCAGGAACGGCCGCTGGTTGGCTGCATCACCCGATTTTACCGCGATGCAATGTCATCCCGAGAAAAAGAAAGCTGTTCTCCCGGCCCCGACTTTCCATAACTCCCTTGGGCTTTAGACCTACACTTCCTCTCTCACCCCCTCTCCTCTCTACATCCTCATTCATCATGTTCAAGCTTGCCCGCGGTCGCCCCATTGCCGCGGCCTTCAAGGCTGCGACGGTGAGTTCCTCCCGATGCCGTACTCTCGGGCCGTACCCGTTTTTTGTCGGTGTCGGTTTACTGATGCGACGAATACTATCCAGGGTCCCTCCGTCCAATCCCGTCTGGCTATGCAGCAGAAGCGTAACCTGTCCATCCACGAGTACCTGTCCGCCCGTCTCCTCAAGACCGTATGTGAACCGAACCGCGTCTCGATCCCTGCCTCGGTCGCGAGGATACTGGTTTTTTTTTGGACCGAACCGGGTCGCTGATAATCAATACAGTATGGCATCGGTGTTCCCAATGGCGAGGTCGCCCGCTCTGGCGAGGAGGCCGAGGCTGTCGCCAAGTCCATCGGTATGTCCTGTCCCTGCCGCAAACCCCCTTCTGGGCGCTTCTAACCAAGCATGAACAGGTAACGACGATATGGTTATCAAGGCCCAGGTCCTCGCCGGTGGCCGTGGTAAGGGTCACTTCGACAACGGTCTCAAGGGTGGTGTTCGCGTCATTTACTCGTGAGTAGCGTCAAAATGTGTTGATTGCCGAAGATTGGATCTAACTTGCCGACTTTCAAGACCTACCGAGGCCAAGATGTTCGCCAACCAGATGATTGGCCACAAGCTCATCACCAAGCAGACTGGCGCCGCCGGCCGTGACTGCAACTCCGTCCTCATTTGCGAGCGCAAGTTCGCTCGCCGCGAGTTCTACCTCGCTATCTTGATGGACCGCGCTCTCCAGACCCCCATTATCGTCTCTTCCTCCCAGGGTGGTATGGACATTGAGGCTGTCGCCAAGGAGAACCCCGAGGCTATCACCACTACCCCCATCGACATCAACACCGGTGTCACCGATGAGATTGCCCGCACCATCGCTATCGACCTCGGCTTTTCCGAGCAGTGCATTGAGGAGGCCAAAACCACCATCCAGAACCTCTACAAGGTCTTCATGGAGCGCGATGCTACCCAGATCGAGATCAACCCCCTGTCTGAGACCTCTGACCACCAGGTTCTGGCTATGGATGCCAAGCTTGGCTTTGACGAGAACGCCGAGTTCCGCCAGAAGGAGGTCTTCTCGTGGCGCGATCACTCCCAGGAGGATGCTGATGAGGTCAAGGCTGCTGAGTATGGACACAATTTTCCCTGCAATCGCTAAGGCAATCTGAACTGACTTTCTAATCTAGGCACGGCCTGAACTTCATCAAGCTGGACGGTGACATTGGCTGCCTGGGTAAGAGCCTATGAAAACACTTGACATACTGGACGTAGCTAACTCGGAAATAGTCAACGGCGCCGGTCTTGCCATGGCCACTATGGATATCATTAAGCTGAATGGCGGTAGCCCTGCCAACTTCCTCGACGTCGGCGGTGGTGCTACCCCCGCTGCCATCAAGAGCGCTTTCGAGCTGATCACCAGCGACCCCAAGGTGTCCGCCATCTTCGTCAACATTTTCGGTGGTATTGTCCGCTGCGACGCCATCGCCCAGGGTTTGATCAACGTTGTGCAGGAGATGGGTCTCCGTACTCCCATCGTCGCCCGTCTCCAGGGTACCAACATGGAGCAGGCTCACAAGCTGATTAACGAGTCCGGCCTCAAGATCTTCTCCATGGAGGACCTCCAGAACGCCGCCGAGAAGTCGGTTCAGTTCTCCAAGGTCGTCAAGATGGCCCGTGAGATCGATGTCGGCGTTGAGTTTACCCTGGACATCTAAGGATCTCACATGGGGCATGCATTGGGCCTGTGAATTGCAGTGATATTCTAGAGAACATCTGTTATGCGGCGCCCGTTCCTGTGTCATTTAATTTTATTTTGTCACTGTATTCTTGAGTGTTTCTATGACTTTTATATCATTTCCTAATCGGAAGGGGAACTGAGTTGATCTGAGATTTTCGAGACGTACATTAGAGGCACTGTTTTCAAATTTACACTCCATTATATCCTGAGCCACTCTTGAGAAGGCTTCGCCGAAGACCAGCACCTTCCTTTGACTCGCAGCGACAAAGAATGTGTATCGCTATCCCTATAGAACGTCCAGAGCTTGTGGTAGTCTGGCCAGGGTACACATGGCGTTGGTCACGCCCCAGCTATTTGTGTAGAGTTGTAACGATTATCTCTTCGAGAAATTCATCATTCTGTGAGCATACTGATTGGAATTAGTTGGAATATCCAAGGAATTGTGACGATATTTGCACTCGCTGAAGCACCAGAATATTCAATAGCTCCGTCTTCTCAACTGCAAGAAAGACAAGCTCGAAGGGAAGGTTCCCTGCGATATCGCACTGTTGACCATCTGTGCTGCATTTTCTTCCTTGCCTTTCATCAATCATATAACGAGTCACTTGTTCTACACATCGTAGGATTATATCTGGAAAGTCTTCAAATATACCGTAACTAGATGTAGATCTGTTCGAATCTTAGCAGTAACCTGAATATGCTTTCCCACCAGAGCCATCAGAGTAATGTCGGCTATTTCTGCGTTTCTAGAGCCACTGCAGTGGATAATTGACAGAAAATGAGAGATCAAAGCCATTGTGCCATGGGTCCTGATATTTTCAGAGCTCCACGAGTGCCTGTGTCACGAACTCATCTCTTGGATCAAAAAGAAGCCTTAAAGATATAAGTTTATTGGAAGAGTCAACTGAAGTAGAAATATGGGATATATGAACGAAGAAGACAGATATAGAGAGGGGAATGTCGTAGAGCTCGCAGTGCCTGATATTCTGGTATTGTCTGTGATATCGTTAAATTATGATCAGAAGTGAAAAAAAAGTAAAGACCAGATGAAGATCCAGTCCCCGAATACTTCTCACTTATCTGATATCGCGAGACCGTCTAGACCGTCTAGACACATATTTTCCTCGAGCTGTTCCTCACTTCCATCATCCCATAGTCCCCTGTTCCCACTTCGGGCAAATCTTTGCGCAACCTGCCTTTCGTCACACAAACTTCCACCGAGAAGCTCGCAGTCCACTATGGACCGGGATCTGAGTACCGACGTCGAACACATCAACAAGGCTCAGAAAACACCCTCTCTCGATGGCCAGCCTCACACTGAAATCACGTCTGCGAAGACTCGACCTCAATCCCACGAAGATATGCACGTACTGCCTTATGCGAGATTATATTGACCACCGCTGACAATAAGAGCAGGGCCCACGAAGAGCATAACAACGAGCACTACAGAAAGTGCGATATTTTGGGCAAGCTACCCCTAGAGCTCGTGCTTCTTGTTACAGGGTCCTTAAAACTCTCAGAGTTCCTTCACCTTCAGAGAGTATGTATATCACCTCTTTTCGATTACTTCGAAACCTCTTTGGAAATAGGAAACTCACGTCTATAGGTATCACGCCGATGGACCCAGGTCCTATCCCCGCGCTCGGTACGTTTGGATGCACTTCGAGCCACATTGGGAGACTCTGTGTTAGCCTCAATCAATAGCTTGGAAGATGATGCAGCCGACGCAACCCTCCTTTCTCTCATGAAGAGAAGGGTTCGGCTGGAGCGGGGAATCCCAGTTTGTAGCTATACTGCCGGATACCTGCCAAGTTCGTTGGTAAATGGTATGAGCTATTCGAACGGTACATGTGCATGGATCGATTGGAATGCCGAATCTAGCCACCGAAATACCATCAAGCTCCTGGATTTAGAGAGTGGCATGAGAACACAACTGACCACAGGAGGGGAGACCGGAACAGAGACCCATCTGGTGGTTCTTCGAATATCGAACACGCTCATTGCAGCTACTGCAGAGAATGGGCCTTGCCATGTTTGGCGTCGCAGCACCTATGAGCACAAGTTCTTTCAAATCCCATCGAGGCACGGCCTTCCCGTCCATGTTGTGATCAACGGAACTAAGGTCATAGTCACTTGGGTTCATCTTTCGGGAATTGCACAACCACATAAAGGCGTTCACTGGTGCTTTGATTCAGGCGTCGTGCGGAGCTTTGACATTGAAAGTAGTGTGGATCTGTTGGTGCCACATCCCCAGGAAGATCAATTCTCGCTTTTTAGTTTATCATTCGACCCTTTGACAGAGCCGCAACGGCGCGTTTTCTCATTGCACGCCCAGAAGTTTGCCCTCGACAGTACTGACAGATTCAATTTGATATCTTCACGGGATGATGCTCTTCCCACAGAGTTAGTCGGCAGTCTATGGGCTGAGAGGTGGACGGGGACCCCTCCGACATGCCCTGGCCAAGCTAGCGCTTTCTGGATTCGGCAGAGGGGTACTTTTGACCTCCTCTATCTCTCCTATGAGCCAGAGACCGACCAGGTTGTCATCAACACGCTGCCAAATCCTGACGCCATCCAATTTACCTACTCTACCATTGTCCACGTTGATAAAGATGTGGTCTATGGTGTAAGCATGGACCATGGCAAGGTTTTGATTCTGGGCACTGAGATGAGGAGCGATTCGGATCCCTCTGCGCCCGTTGTGTGGCATTATCATTCTATCCGATACCAGCAGACCCTCAAAGAATGCCGCTGGATGTCCGGAGATCAGCGATTCGTGGTCTATGCCCGCCAACGTCAACTGAAGGTGATGGTCTTTGAAGATTCCTTCTCAAAGTATCCTGCAACTTTACGTTAGATCGCTTTGTTAAGCAACCATGAAACAGTTGTTCTAGTCATTCTTAGACAGCTCTTTGAATATAGTTCTAGATTGATCCGAAACGAGGTCGTAAAAGATCGTAAAAGACCTGTAGACCAAGATCTAAAGTGAGGGTGGGATAGATGTCTGGATCAATGTCTTGACATTCGAATGAGTAGTAGGGATCCCCATAACTGGATTTAGAGATCGACAGAGCCAGAGGTGCACAGAGAAACCTGAATCAGGTAGCGAAAAAAATCGGGAAGCTAGCATAGAGCTATCGGGACCGGGACAGAAATAGTGCGGTTTTCTGCAACGAGCTCGGGAAGTAAAGTTCGAGCTGAGATGTGTGGAGCTGCTTCTCATTCCTCTTCACCAACTAGCCCCCTTTTCCTTCTCCGTCCGGGTCTGCTCTCGATATCCCAGCCTTATCCTTTGTGCAAATTCTCCTCGACCTTCCCGCTGAGCTTCCCAGAGCCGATCTCGCGCCTTTCCGCCCCCCCTTCCCCGCAGCTTCCACCTCCATCCCTGGACCTCAATTCGCTGGCGCGATGACTGAACTGATGTACATGCTTGGGTGTTGATCTGCGGGCTCCGCGATACTCCCTTCTTTCCCACGTTCTCCCCGCCCACGAGCGCCCACCCTTAGCGCATTCGATTTGCATCCCCTCCCGACCCCCCCGGCGCGACATACGGCGATACGCATTGGCGCTCATCGCATTTTCGTGTAGCCTCGCCATCGAGCGCCCCCTACCATCCCCATTTCGCGCGACATGAGTGGTCTAGCCGATCCTCCATCCTCTAGGCACACCTTCACCGGAGCTCCCGACGCTCGCGGTAAGACACGAAAACTCCCGGTCCTTCCTTCCTCCGCGCACCACTCCGCCGGCGCAATGGAGATCACACCCCCTTCTTCTGGACCAACAGGCATAGCTGCCGTTCACAGTAGCCCCGGTGGCGACCGGGGGATCAATATCAATGGCCCCGAAGCCGGGAACACGAGCAATCCCCCCAACCCGGCCATTGGGGCCGCAGCCGCAGCTCAGCAACCCAAAGTGGTGCAGACTGCCTTTATCCACAAGCTATACAAGTACGTACTGGGTCTCCTGGTCCTCGACACTATTTTAGGCAGTCGCTAACCTTCAGGATAGCATGCTTGAAGATGGTGGCATCCAACACCTTATCTCTTGGTCAAGCACCAATGACAGCTTTGTCATGTCTCCAACCTCGGAGTTCTCTAAAGTCTTAGCGTCAGTCTCAATTGTCTGCTATCGATATTATCAGGTCGCTGACATCCTTCAAGCACATACTTCAAGCACACCAATATCTCGTCGTTCGTCCGACAACTGAACATGTACGGATTTCACAAAGGTATGTTTGTCTAATCCGATTACCAGCCGATCGCTGATTGAATATTGACAGTGAGCGATGTGTTTCACACGGGATCTCCGGACTCTGCATTGTGGGAGTTTAAGCATGGAAATGGCAATTTCAAACGGGGCGACTTGGTTGGTCTCCGAGAGATCAAACGACGTGCATCACGACATGCCTTGATTCACCGTGACTCGTTCCCTGGTCATAAGGCTGCTCCATCACAACCGGGTACCCCAGCGGAACCCGTTCCTGATGCCACTGAAGCTCGACTCATGAACCTTGAACACACTTTATATGATATGCACAATCGCTTAGCTCGTGCGGAAGAAGGCAATGTTGCGCTTAGTTCCCGATGCCAGAGCATGGCTGAGGGGCTTGCAAAATGCTATCATGTACGTCATCTCAATCACCTTTTATCCGAGGAAGCTGTCACTAACTCATTTAACAGTGGACCCATTCTATTTCTCGCTTCCTCTCCGCAGTGGTCCCTGACAGGGAATCTCCTCTATACCGTGACAGTATGGAAGCCCCGTCTCCCCGTATTGCCATTGACGAAAGTTCACTAACACCGAGTTTAGTCTCGAGCATGCAAAGGGAAGTCGAGAAGCACCTGGAAGCAGTTCGCGCCATGGAAACTGCCTCTGACACTCTAATGCCACCCCGCCAACCGTTTTTTGGGAATTTGCCAGGAGAGGGTGGACCGCCATTGTCCCCTCGTCAATTACCCCAAGATGATAGTCGACGGCCGTCCATGATGGACCCCTCTCGAACGAACATGATTCGACCTCCTGTTCCGCCGCATCTTGCGTCACCTCGTCGATATGGTTCCATCGGAGGCGCCAATGCACCACCTAATTATAATCGACCGCAGGCTCCTCCAATTGCACCGCAACAACCAACACCCCATCCTCTATCAATCTCCACACCCCCGGGGCCTAACCTTGGCCGTCGTCATACGTTTGCCGACATTCGGCAAGCCGACTGGCCTCCATCTGGAACCTCTCCTTTCCCACCTGGCAACGCTGGAAGTGGTCCATGGCCCTCATCCCCGAACCGGGCACCGGCTTCTAGTGATCAGCAAGTCCGGGATGTTCTCGCCCAGTACGAGATGGGTGCACCACGACGTCTTCAGGATCAATCCCGTCACGCAACCCCACCAGCTGGCGCCGAGCCATCTCCATCGATGCTCAGCGCAGACAACGGCTGGACGCTGGGAGGATCTCGATATCATCGTCAAGAATCATCCCTGCCAGCCACCCGCCGCTCTAGCATGGCTAGCAATGTCCACTCGCTTCTGAATCCCGCTGATACTGCCGAACGCCCCGATGAGGAACAGCAGGAGGATCGCAAGCGGAAGCGCCTGGAGTAAAGACCATGACAATAAGAATTGAAAAAATCTGCGACAGTACCATGGTACTCCCGCCTCACCTCCGCGCCATGTATGGCTCAACTTGATCTTTTGGCTCGGCCATATGATCAACAGATTTCCGAATCTAGCCTCCGTCTCCTGGACAGCACCTGTATACTTGAAATAAAATCGTCAAGGCCACTTTACCCACCTTCCGGAGGATATCGACAGCAGCCTGTCTTTCCTTGAGTCTGTAGATGTTCATTTTCTCTTTCCTCTGTTTCTTTCCCTTGGCTTTCCCAGGCTAAGAACGCTGTCGATGCTGAGTGACAAGTCTCTGGGTTTATATTCTCAGCAGCATCTCAAGCAGCATCTTATATACCCTGGGTTGACAGAACCAAAAAAAATAAAATTTGTGGCATCTACTAGAGATTGGAATGGAATTTGTATTCTATACCTGCGCCAATTTAATGTAATCGAGGAGATTATATGTGAATTCCATATATCATGTCGAAGTATCCTGTACAAAACACGGGTTGGCTGCCCTTCTAGACAAAAGAGTGTCAGTGACAGGCAGAGCCGTGTCACTGACACTTCGTCCTGCGTAGCCCTTGGATTGCGTGGGCCGATCCAAGCTCTTGAGACTCGACCAGTCGCTGGCTGATGATGGTTCTCCAGAAAATACCAGAGGTCGAATAAATAGAGAGATCTTAATGCCGAGAAGATACGATCATCTCTTCTTTCGCTTCTTAGATCGCTCTGCTAGTAATTCATCTAAATAACTCGTAGCCTTTTTCCTCCCCTTAGACGGAGCTTTTGAAGGCACCTCCATAGTAGGTACTGGCTCATCACCACCTAGCTTGTCGGTAGCCTCGTTATCCACCACAGATGCCTTCTTGGTATGAGATGGCGCGGCCTTTCTCTTCTTTCCCACCATGGCTGCACGCCCTTCCTCCTCGTCATCGGATTCTTCCTTAGCTGGTGTAACAGACCTTGTCTTCGCAGATAGAGGTCCAGCATTCTGTGTCGTGGCTTTATTTGCTGCTGCAGCCTTCATAATCTTATCATAATTCCTTCCAAGCAATTGTTTCCGTAGTTTATCGTTGGAGCTGAGCTCGGTGCGGTTCCAGCTTCCGTCGGCGGCTTTTTCGGGGAGGGGGGCGCCGACGCCGAGTCTATGACACGTTAGGAACAATACAAAACAAGACACTAGGTATTCGACTTACGTCTCTGGTACCGCAGTGAAGATCTCATCTTCTTCGCGCTGCAGTTCTTCCTCCGACTTGACGTGGGACAGTTCGTCGTCGGTCTGCGCGGGCAGCCATGATGAGACGAGCCGCTGGCTGCGGGCAAGCGCGACGTTCGCACGATTGAGAATCACGTCCGCCTCAATCTTTGATGCAGCCATTTGTTGGGAAGTGAGTTAAAAAGGAGCAAGAAGCGATGCGCAACTTTTTTTGCGATAAGCGCGTCGGAAGGCGGTGAGAGCTACGATAAAGAGGAGATGCGCATCTACACATCTACACATCTACACATCTGCTCTGGCGGTCTGCGCAGTTATGGACGAGGTCCAAACCGTGCTAGAACATTTCCGGGTGCTTCCGAGCTCCAGTCGTCGGGAACTGTACGTGTATTCGTCTTCTACTAGGCAACGCTAACCATTTAGCTACCATGGAATCCTAGGCCAATTACGTCGCAATGAATGGCGGCAGATTAAAGAACGTGCCGATGAAATAACTTTCAGTTGTGACATTTTGGGCAGTCTGCCCATCGAGATTGTTTCGTTAGTTGCTGCTCATATGAACTTGGCCGATCTGGTCGTGCTCCAACGGGCAAGTATACCCCCCTCTCTACAACACATCGCTGGACTAAACATCTCCACAGGTATCGCGACGATGGAAGGAGACTCTATCTTCCCCTGCAGTACAACTTTCTGCCATTCGATCAGTCATGGGACACAAATCAGCAGCACAGATTGGTGACCATTCTTCTCCTGTCCAGCTTATCAAAAAAAGAGTTCGCATGGAACGAGGTCAGCCCACGTCAAAATTCAAACTACGCTCACCCTTTTCAGAGGAATACGATGAGTGGATGGTATCGGGTGGTGCGGGGTACTTCAATGATATCTATGCATGGCTAGATGGCTCATCGGGTCGAACATCCATCTCACTTTTAAATCTTCGAACCGGAGTGAGAAATCAGGTAACGACGGAGAATCGAGAAAAGTTGTCAGAGCTTAATATATCGGAGAAACTTGTTGCGGCAATCTCAATGCGAGGGTATTTCATGCAAACTACCCTTTCTATATCTTTTATAGTCCTATCTGACCGCGAACAGGTATTGCCATGTTTGGGATCTCGAAACTCTTGAACACAAGGCTTTCCGATTGCCATCACGTTCCTACACACGTTTTTTGATAAGTGGAATTCAGATTCTGATTGCTTTTGGGGATCAGCTTGTCCACTGGGGGTTTCACTCTGAAACCGCTCGCACACTCAATGTCGGCCCTAGCGTCGCCTTACTGGCATTGGACCCTGCCAAAGACGAGTTTACAGTTGCTTCACTGACTGACAGCTCCAGGGGTATCCCTGAGTTTCCCCAATGGAGAAATTCTTGCGGCAGTCGACTCCAGCTGCGCATCGAGAAATACACCATTGGCACTTCCAACGACTTCCACCTCCTGTATACTAAATACCAATACCTTCCTTTTGAAGCCGCCTTCGAGTGGACATGGTCCCTCAGTGAGGGACTTGAGCACATAGCCCGTGACCAGAGCAGCGTTATCTTGAACAGATGTCGAATCATAAGGGCGAACGATGACACGCCTCTTAGCGGACTCAATCAAGAGGAATATGTGGTCTACTTTTCAATCGATATGACTGAAGACCATATTGACGTGCACGTGGCCCCTGCCGACGCAAATTTTACAGACCAAGGTCTGATCTATACATTCCGAAATATGGACCCCTTGAGTATAAAAATTTGTACTGCAACGCCCAAGGGGAGCCTGCAGTATTATCCAGTCCGGCGCAAGATACTAGATATGAAGTATCAATGGGTTCATGGGGACAAAAACTTTGTGGTCTTCGTTGGCATGGAGGATGTCGAAGTTTGGAGCTTTGACGAAACTTGGCAACCAGCCGAGATACACGAGGCTTATTGAATGGAAAGCGATGATACATGCAGATGATCTATTAAATAATGTACAAAGAGTCCGAGTGTGAAGAATCTATTCCGTAAGCTCGTCATCTAGAATGGTTGTTTCCCATCGAGCTGAGAGTCGCTCAAGAGGGGAAATGCGGTGGAGGTCGCGACTCAAGACCTCGGTGACTGACTGTATCAAGGCAATGTATAATTCGTCGGTGAGGTTCGTGATTAGGTTTTGCTTTTCTTTATCAGCCGCAGACAAATGGCTTTTATGCACCAGTAATGTGTAGTAAGCGCGCAAGGCCTATAGTTGTGCACAATGTTAGTAGTGAAACACAAACGACCTTCAAGAGGTTCAGACTTACCGCAGAAAATGCATAGCGGAAGTGAGCGACGCACTGGGACGCAAATGCTGGTAAATCATCCATATCCTTCATTTTGAAATTTATTGGCATGAAATCCTCCACAAGAAGGTCGTCCTTGGGCTCTTCCCCCGGGATACGTGTTTTTCCTCCAAAGAGACTCGCGGTTAGAGGACTGACGAGGGAAAGGTCGGACATGACCATCTGACCGGGAGAGATTTGCGTCTTTTTACCGTATACAGCCACAGAGCCGGAGCGATTTCCATCGCAGCTAGGGCTCACGCCATACACGACTGGCTTTTTGTTCTCCGAGTGAGTTTGATATTCGTGAGCGTTGCCGTTCTTGTAGGTCTTGGGGAATGCAATTCGTGGAGACAGGCAATGTAGTAGCAATGTTTTGACGAGAAGGATGTTTTCCGAGTTGACGTTGAGCTCTGCGCCGCCGAATTGATCATTGTTGTTGTCGGCCTTAATTGGGATCCCCATCCGACCTAGCCGGTCGAGGATCATCTCAGCCGAATCCTGACTGGCACAGAAGTTGTGGAAATGCATGAATTTTGTAAAGGCGAAGTCAGATGCGGCCAATTTGCCCTTCTCCTTCCATTCTTTCCGTATAGCTTTGAAAGCATTAATCGATCCAACCTGGTCGCTGGAAGATTTGTTGGCAAAGGCATAACGAATATTTCGGAGCGCAACTTGTTGGTCCTCAAGCTTGGGTCGTTGAAACAGACTTCCATCGACACCGATAACCCCTAAGATCAGCAGAGGATCCAGGCAGCGGAAGATAGCACCCAAGATTACCAATTTGCCAAGGATCGGATGAAGAGGCAACTGGACGAGGAGTTCACCGAGTGGCGCAATATCTTCATCTGGTCGAAGTGCGCCCAGGTGGCCTAGAGACTCCACGGCTAAGTCGACTTTGTCTCTGTCTGGCGACTCACTGGCTTCATTTAGAATGTCTGAAATGGATGAATCCGGGACCATGTGCTTTGCACGTAGGCAAATATCTTGGAGATCGGTGCGCACGATCTCTGGAGCATTGGTGACTCGAAGAGAATCGTAGCACCGCTGAGTGCCGAGGAAGAAATACTGTCCATTCTTGACTCTGCCTGCTCGACCTGCCCGTTGAGAGGAGCTAGACCGACTGATCCAATGCAGGGCCATCCGATTGGAAAGTGACTTTTGGCTGGAAAACATTTGATTCACTCTCCCGGCGTCGACTACATACTCAACATCCGGGAGAGTAAGAGATGCTTCAGAAATGTCCGTTGACAGCAGGATCCTCCGGCATCCACCGGGCACCTTGAGGGTCAACTTTGCAAGCTCCTCTGGGAGTTCGGAATGTAACTTCAGGATGCGGAACAGTTGTTCATCTTGTAATTTGAATTCCATGCTACCTGCGGAACCATGTAGCATGCGCTCTACACTGAGAATATGGGCCATGCCCGGGAGGAAGACCAAGATGGCACCGCTTTTGGTGGTTTTCAAGATGTTGTAAATCGTCGCACAAATTAGACCAAAGGGGACGTTTGGATCTTCACCGGGAGTCTTGACGACAGCCAGATCGGGAGAAGACTCAGAGGGGGCCTCTATGCTTGGGTCCTCGATGTCGGCGTCCGGAACGTCCAGGGCGACTTCTTGAGAATCCTCGGCAACGGGTGAAAGGTAATGTTTGTATTGGTCTTCGATAAAACTCACGGTCTCTCGTTCTTCCAGTAAAGCCGACAAGGATTTTGAATCAGGTGAAGTCTTCAAATCGTCAAGCAGCTCCTCAAGGTAATGCCTTTTAACAAAATATTGGCGTCCCGGGATAGAAATGTGTGGAGCAGGAAGAAGGGTTCCGTTTGGCCCTTTGTTGAGGAAATAAGATGAGAAAAGATCAACGTCCAGCGTTGCACTCATCACAACAATCTTAGGCACAGGGCCCCCAGTCTCCCGTAGTTGATTAATGCGGCGCTTCAAAAGCAGCATCACAAAGTCAATACCAACATCGCGAACATGGACCTCGTCGAGCAAGATGTGAGAGTATAGATTGATAGGGGCGCTGGGGTTTTGCAACATGTTCAACATTATACCTGTGGTGCAATAGGTGATAGCACCGCTCTTGGCTGGCATCTGATTGTCGAAGCGAACCATATGACCAACCATTGTGCCTGTTTTGTCATGCCTTTCCTCGGCAACTCGCCGTGCAAGCATTTGCGCTGCTACCCGCCTTGGTTGAACGCAGATAACATTGCAAAGTCCTCCCTCTCCTCGGTCGGTTGCATCATCCAAGATGATTTGAGGAACCTGGGTTGATTTTCCAGAACCAGTCTCAGCAACAATAATGCTGTATGTGTGGTCATTGACGAGGTTTAGGATGTCTTTTTTGAGCTTGTTCACCGGCAAACCAGACTTGACCACACGAATCGCAAGTGTATGCTTATCGCTGGACTTGCGAATGGATTCCAGCGACTCTGTCAAGGCTTTAGATCTCTTCTCACGATATGAATCTGACACCTGCATTCTTTTATCCTTCGAAAGCGAGGTATTCGGACTCGCTCCCCCAATTGTTTTATATACGGCCTTCTTTGCCGAGTCAAGTTTCTTCTGCGCATGCTTGATGTTAAAAAGAAGGTCTTCATTCATGCGGACGTCAATTCGAGGTTCGGCGTTGAGCGAAGACAGGCTCTCCCAAATTCCAACTTCCTTGAGCTTTACAATCAGGAGATTACAAGCATCTCTTTCTGCTTCTTCCTGGAGGTCATTCTGTGAGAATATGCATTGCATCGGATAATCAAAACATACCTTTGTCGGCGCTGAGCACGTCACTGTCACTGTCACTTTCTCCTGGCCCTTCCTCTGGAAGACAGCACGACAGGTCTCCTCCCCGAACAACTGGGCCAATTCGGAGAATCTGAACTCCAACCATAGATTGCGCGACTGCCGACACACATGGTGAAGGAACCTAACATCCTTCTTCTTGATCTTTTGCTCAATTTCAGACAGGTCTTCGTCCGTCACTGGAGGTGCATCTTCCAATATAGCCTCTAGAGGTTGGTCAGACTCCACGGTGGCAGTCTGAGATCTCGACACAGACGTAGTCACGAGCCCGCGAGCGCCTAATAAGCGTACCGGAGAGGACTGAAATTGGCCTGCTGTGAACCGCCACAATTCCAACACAGGTTTGTTTCCAACGCCCGTTCCGTTGTGTATCGTCCGATCGATCGAGTTCAATGTCGGGGAGATGGTTCGGCAGGTCGCGTGCATCGCTCGTCGAAATCGCGACAGCGGTCTAAACGAACCGGGAGCGAACCGGGGTACATCGATGGAGCGGTCATTTCGAGGGGAAGGGCGGACTCGTTTGATAGAGCGCATACAACTGTATGCGCTCATCCCCGTCGACATTTTGCGGAGTGAGTGTTTTAGTAGAGTCCGAACTCATGGGCCGTACATTGTGGCAAGGGTCTCTGTGGAGAACTCCAGGAATGATATTGAGCGAAGGAGTATAGAATCCATGCGATTTCAAGCGCTGGTGTAATGCGAACGCAAGACTTGTTATGCGGAGGAAAAAAGTTGGGACCCGCAACTGCGGCGAACGGGCTTGGCATCACCGTAACCGCCGCCCGATTTGCTTGAACTAAGTATGAGAACTTGGATATTTGAAGCGATAATATCATCATGGCTAGATGGCGTGGGAATACTATGATCCCATTATAAAGCTTGAAGAGCCTACTTGTAAATGTATATATAGTTGCAAACATTCATTGCGTCATGGTCACTCACTATGTACAGTCAGTCAGTCTATCGATTTATCTTCTATCTTTGGCACCAAATCCACAAACGTCCTCTGAATCCATCAAAAATATATGGCACAGGTATAACAACCGAGAATCGAAAGAAAACAATCCACACGATCTCAGGCCGAGGCTTCTTTTTGGTGTTTCACTCGCAATCTCTTCTCCGTCTTCATGAACTCTCGAATACCCACTGGGATACTGGAGAACAAGTCGTCGTCTTGACTCGGCGCCGACCAGTTGGAAGCACTTCCCCCACCATCATCATCCATACTCTGGCTTGCCGAATCAACTTCTGCTCGGGGTCCAGTGCGCATGTCCGTTGTTCCCTTCTCGGATCCTCCCTTGGCCTTAGCCGTATTGACTCTTGCAGCCCAATCCTCCATCTCATCTCGGAAGTCATCCCAGACGCAGTGGACGCAACCACTCATGCAGCAGTTGTCGGGTTCGTCAGGGCGGGGCGGAATGGGCACTCCATTGACGGTCCTCCACAAAGACTCTGGTGGTGCCTCACCAGGATTGTAGCGCGATTGGCGTCCTGGGCCTGCAAGACGTGTGCCGAACACAATTGCCATTCTGTCTTGAGGTGTATCGGCTTTGGTTGGCGACGCGGGTAGCGACTTATCCTCGGGCTTAACGTTGGTCGATCGTTCGGTCGCTGCGCGGCCTTCATAAGGAGAGAAACCATTTAAAACCAACTTGTAGTATCCAGACAAGGGATATACCTGGGTAGGCTTCTTTTTTGTGCCAGGTTTGGTGCCGTTTCCCTCTGAGGATGCATGGGTATCATGGGCGTCGGCTCGGTTATTGGCGCCCATGCGCCGAGGAGTCGGAATCAATGCATGTTGTCGATGCGGAGAAGAGCAAGATAGGGATCGATGTGAGAGAGGTAAAGAATAGACTTTTGCCCTTTTGAGCGAGTGTCTCCCCGCCGTAAGACACTCCATCGTGTGTGGCAGAGAGAAGATCCTCGACGTCGGGATTGGGGTCCTAGGTGCAAACAATGCAAACACCGTTGTTTATCGTCCGCGGATTGGCGCGAGTCGAGAACAAGACTGTAGATATAATTAATCGCGAGTATGGACTCTCCACCAAAACGCAGGAAGACTGGCGAGAACACAGCCGTGGCCGTTGGCGTGTCGCAGTCGCTTGCGCCTCGTGAAGGGACGCGTCCTTCAGGTCGTCCATCCTTTCAATCGCCAACAAGGTCGAGCCTAGCCAAATCACACCCCGATGTTCTCGAACGCGCGCTCAGCCGATCTCCTACTCGGCGACCAACAAGTAGAGGAAGCCAAAGAGGTCGGTCAGAGCAGCCAGACCCAAGGGCTGTCGGACTTCGCGACCGCAAAGCTCTTCGACCCTCACTAGGTCCTTCAAGCCCACTAAAAGCGCCTCGAGCTACTGTTGACGCGCCGACACTGTCTCCCAGCAGACGCGCAAGTGGAATCGAGGCCTTTTCGAAACCTGCTCGCAGACTGTCCAAAAAGATTCTTCCCGGGGATTTCACATTTGGGTCTCCAGTCAGAAAAGAATTGGCACCACCAGAGCAGGATACCCCGGAGAGCCAATTGGCGCGAGAATTGGGCAGTGCGACAAACGAACCAGAGGATGAGGGAGATGCAGACATTGGTATAGATAACCCGTTCGATGACGAGGACCCTCTCGAACCTGAACTTCCTCCGACCCCGACACAACTAGGCCTCGAGAAGGCACCCGACAGACCAATGGGGCCACTGAGCAGCAGTCCTACAGCCAGACATGAGAAAATGGTGAAACGACGGACCGTCGAGCATTTCCACCCAAGTCCTTTGAAGTCATTGAAATTCCAAAATCCCAGCACCGAAGAGAGCACTGACGACGAGAGTGTTGTTCAAGACGAACTGACACCGGCGATCCTCGAGAAGCAGAAACTGCGCAAGAGTCTTTCCGCGGAACTCAGGAGCCTGAAGGATGACGTGGAAGAACTGACCAAGTGGACTGAGAAAGTCGAGTCTGATGCGAATCTGACGGGCAACACCAAGGCGCTCGGCAAATTCCTGACTCTTCTCGCCGAAGAGTCCTCGCATATCAATCTCCCAGCACCGAGAAAAGCCCCAGTCCCGGTGTCATCACTTCTTTCGACATTACTCCCATTCTCTGCCAACATCCCCCGCCAGACCCGTGAAACCTCGCCTCTCCCTACAAACCCATTTGCGTTGAAGGAATCTTCGCAGTCGCCACTATACCTCACAGTCTTCGCTCCATTAGCTCTACGAGCTCATATAACTCGCACATTGTCCGAAACATCCGGCTTCACTGAGACCCATACATTATCATTCACCGCCCCTTCTCCCTTCCCATCATCTTTGTTTAACGTTTCCGTTGTATACGAAACCCACCCGGAGACACATTCCCTAACATCCTTGTCCGTGCCAACAGACAATGACAGCAAGCAGCGCAAAGTCCCCGAGTGTCTGCGTCAATGGATTGATTCTCGACTAGCAAACCCGCTTCTGAAACTCGATGTGGCAACGCTATGCTGGGGCATCAACAGGTACTGGGAAGCATCAGTATCTCGAGCCCAGCTATGGGCCCAGATCGAACAGAAGCATGGCAAAGAAACATCAGCACGAGGACGGAAAGACCTACCTGGACCTCAAGATGGAGTCATTACAGTTTCTGAACTATGGCGACTAGTCCCTCACCTCGAGCGCAGCACCATGGTCATCAAGACCAAATTCTCCGGCGCCAGCACCCATGTGCTTCTCTCAAACACATTGGTCATGGACGATTGGACCGGTGAGCCTCAGCTACGACCAGAACTCAGCGTCTCTATTCCAGGTGGCAATGGGGGGTCGAGTAAAAAGATCAATAGCGAGGCTAAGAAGTTGTTCCATGGTCTGTTGCATCAGGAAGGTGTTGGCAGAACGAAAGGCGTGGCTGGAACTGTACATATCAATACTATTTCACGGGCTACTAATGGGGCCCTTGGTGCTTTGTTCGGTGTTTGATATTTCGTTTTTGCTTTGAGCGTTGGCGCACGGGAGTGGATGTCCAGTGAACTTACGATACCAAGGCAGTATAATGAAATTAAGATCAGTACTTGATGTTTAAACCTTGATTGTGGTTCTCGGCCAATTTGAGATACTCACCCGGAAGTAGTTGAGTGCTTGAACACTGTCCAGAATTCGTAGATATGTATCTGGGCGAGAACAAGGTCTACATATAGCCATCTGCGGAAATTTGGAATACGATTACGGAGTACCTGAACTAGACTGAAACATTGAACTCTTTTTTGTCATTCATAAGGCAAATGAAGCTCTCTAATGAGCGACTTGCATGGGCCTCTCCAGCCTCTCAGACCAAGGTTCCAAACCTCCTCAACCCTCGATCTTCCATGAGAAAAGACCGGCTTTTTGGGGCCGGTACCAACCCTTACAAACACCGAACAACGAAACAGCGGATGAAAATTTGAGAAAATTGGGCGGTTTTGCATTTCAGAGGATCTTCCAGTTCTTTTTTAGAGACAACGGGGGCAAAAGGTAGAGGAGGGGGAAGAGAGGGAATCAGTTTGAGAGAAAAGGAAGAGGCGCCACGCCATGCCACAGTACACTCATCCCCGACCCGAAAACCGACCCGATCATCATCATCAGCAACGGAAAATTAACACATTTATTTCTTGGCAGCGGACTCCTCATCGGCCTTAGCCTTGACACGCTTCTCGCGCTGGCCACGGTTGCGGGCATCGGCGCGGGCGTCACGCAGCTGGCGGTAGACGGAACCCTCGACCTTGGGCATGGAGTCACGCTTGACCTCAGTGACGGCGTTGCCGGCGGAGAGGTTGTCGATGGGGAAAGTGGCCTCGACGCGGGTGGCGAAGCCCTCGGTCTTGCCCTCAGCGAGGGAAGCCTTGACGGCCTTGACGTCCTCAGCGGAGGAGTCGAGCTTCTTGAACTGACCGCTCTTGCGGGGGAAGAGGATCAGACGGGCCTTGTAGTCCTGGAGACGGGCAACGTTGGCAACCAGGGACTCCTTGGAGTAGTTGGTACGGCGGTGGTCGACGGAGATACCAACGGTAGGAGCGAGCTTCTTGGGGATGCCGGCCTCCTGCAGTTCAAAAAAAATACTACATCAGCAGATGTTCTCACACAAAGATTCTAGTCGAATTTACCTTGAGCTCAGCCAGGGTGAAACCACGACCAGCACGAACACGGCGGTTGTACTTGTTGGTGGGGCAGCGCACAACGGGACGCAGCTTGTCGACGGGACGGGGAGCGACGGCAGCGGCCTTGGTGATACGGTTCTCACGTCTGCGGTGCTTACGACCGGGCTAGATGAGCGCATGTTAGTCCACCATGTTCGGATTAAAAAATTTCTCTTCAAAAGCCAGTCGTTCGTAATATCGATAGGCGAGAGAGAGGAAGCCCATCAGGGGAGAAGTCGAAGTCGTACCTGGTCGAAGTGCACGCGGACGCGCTTCTGCCAATCCTTGCGGAAGTCTGGAAAAAACGAATTAGCACATTGAACAATCATCAAATTGCGATTCCATGCGTCGCTGATGTGATTCAAGCGAGCGCAGGGAATCGTAGCTGTCGGTGTCACTCACGGTTCTTCTGGATCTGGTTGTTGTGCGCGACCTATAAATCCCACAGAGAAGTCCATCAGCCAACATTGTTCCACGCCCAGCACAGAAGTGCCGCAAAGAATATCGTCCAAGCATTCGAAATATCAAGCCAGTTCATCTTCGCAGCACAGGAATCGAGGGGTACGCACCATGGTGACGGTTGGGGTCGAGCCGGGTGGTGGTCGTCGGAGGGTTGCTGGTCAAATCTCCCTTCACGGCAGAAACTGAAGTTGCTATTTTTCGTGTGGCACCCGGTCCCCCACTCACCGCCTCGCTTAGCGAGCCCTAACCTGCCACGATGACTCAGCTCACACAGTGTCACGTGACCGAGCCCAAAGCAGATTAGTCAAAATGAAGTTGAACCGAAGTAGACTAGTGCAAGTGCAGTAGTAAACAAGTGCTGCTTAGTGAAGGTGAAACAGAGGTATTCTTGGAGATAGTTTGATTTCTTTTTCTATTGTACAGCCATGTTGGGTATGAATTTGCAACTTCCCGTTGTATCCATGCCCTGAGGGCTTCCTGGCTGCAGATGCAAGTCGTTCCGAATCGAGTTCATCAAGGCAACCTATGTTGCAAAAGTCCGATTTTATAAACGCCGTACCAGTGGGTGATACCTCTTTACCATGAGGGATACCACCAAGACCCAGAAAAAAAAAGCAAAAACAAAATATAATCCAGTCGCTATTCAATAAAGGTGCCATGATCATTCATCAGTCGTAATAGGGAGGCAGGTCGTAGCAAGTAAGCTAAAGTGGCAACAGCGCTAGGTCATCAATCGTATTCAGATACAAAGGGCAAGTTAAGAGTGGATTCCAAGACCCACTGCGCCCTTCCTGGATCTCTTGACGGAGCCATCTTCCTCGGAGCTGGCTTTGCGCTTGTGTGCCTGAGGCCGTGACACGCCGGGCTTCTTCACTTGACCAAAGAGCTTCGTTTGAAGCAGGGTGCTCGTTCTCGGGGCGGTAGTCCGCACCTGAGGGTGCCGCATCTCCTCGTCCACCTCTTCGCCCGACAGAGAGACAGTGCTGTCACTATCGTACTGGTTGTTTCGGGCAGATGTCATGAACGAACGATCTTGACGAACAGAGCGAGGGTGGTTTGGGGTGACGGGAGCTGAAGAGGGAGCACCATATGAGCCCTGAGGCTCATGGATGTGGTTGGTGAACTTGTCTGCGAAAAGCAGGGCAGCAAGTCCGTCGGTGTGTTCGCCGCGGCAAATAGTGTGCAGCTCATTCTGCATGCCAGGCGACAAGCAGCCGTAGCTGTAGATTTGGGAGAAGTGTCGGCGATTTTCCTCGATGCGCTTCTTCAACATGCTGTTCTGATCGGTAAGTTCCGCAGTCTGTGCAGCGGCATCATCAATTGCGCGCTTGGCATTTCGTAGTCTTCGATCCAGGACAGCGTTCACATTCTCCAAATCTTGCGACCGCTGAACCGCAGTTGTATAGTCATCGGCGGAGAAAGACTGCTTGGGTGTGATGGGTTCGGCAGGCCGCGAGCGGCTGCGGTACTCTGCGCTCTGAAGAATCTCCACCTCGCGCTTAGCGAGCTGGTGTTCGACCTCGGCGCGCTTGACAGCTTCGTTGCTGGCGAACGAGACCAGGCTATTCTGAAGTTTGAAGTGAAGCGCAGACATGCGGGACTCTTGGGCCACGGCAAGAAGATCCTTGGCGATGATGCGCAGCTGTGTCTCGTTGGCGTTATCAATGTCCTCGGCTGTGGGAAGGTTCTCCGATGCGCCATAGGCATCGCAGAGGGACTTGCCCAAGTCCACGGGAGTGATGAGAGAGGGGCTGAGAGAGCGAGAATGGGATCGGCGGAGAGGCGCACCAGGAATCTGGGTGGAAGGGGGAGGGGTCATGTCGGAGGATGAAAGAGGCGGCGGGGAGAGAAACTTCTTGTCTGACTGGGAGGATCGGTTGATTGCGGCACTCAGATCTGGGGACGGAGACAGAGTCGCTCTCTTGGCTGGTGTCGCGGGGGCGAGGATCTCAGCTGGCGCAGTGAGGGGACTTTGAGATCGTTGTGTAGGTTGAGACATGACCGATGATGTAGTGAAGTGAATAAGACAACAAGGGTCAACCGTGGGGAATAGTCCTCGCACTGTATTCGTAGTTAGTTATCGGTTTTGACTGATGGCGGTGATAAGCGGTCTGGCGCATACCGGAGAGATAGAATATGGAAGTCACTGATAATCAGTGAATAATTTCAGATCTGAATCGTAGTTCCAGGAATGAGGTTCAGAAGGTGGATAGTTGGGGATGAGTGAAAGGGAGGAACTTGTGTGGGACGTTTTGGGTTGATATCGTGGAGGAGGGGGCTGGGAGGCTGGGAGCAGCCGATGCGAAATGCGGCTGGGCAGAGACCCAGCCTCAGCCAACCATTTATAGAACTGGCCCAATCATGACCTGCATAAATGGATCCATAATACCCTATGCGGCTAGATTAGTCACGGGATCTTCAGGGTAAGTAAACAGCCGCTGCGAACGACTTGGGGTGACGTTGGTCTGGCAACCGATAAGCTTGCTTTCACCTACATCATAGCCCTGAAATTTGGCAGTTGGGCGGCCTAGCAGTGTAGAGAACATGACACAGAGTGTATAGTCATTCCGTCGGAGATGAATTGAACTAGAAGCTGTGGAACACATTCCAATGATCATGGCGAATGTCCACTATGCCAAAAGCGACAGAGGTTACAGTGCTGGACTTGCAATGGAATACTACATGCGCATTCCAGCATCCCAGTGTCAGGCCGGGGATCCATCTCGATTCAGATGTTCACTGTGGGTGTGGCCAGTTTTGTGCAGAATGGAATATGGATTCATTTCTAAGACCAAATCCCGTAGCTCCAGGAACCCTGATCAAAAGGTGCACAGAAAAGGGTTCTCTATGTCGTCATAATCTTTGAAGCACCGGGTCACCTGTATCTTATTGTGGCTCGTGCAGCCAAAATGACATAACTTTTCATCGCGATCTCTTCCGATCGGTGGAGTCTCGGAGACAAGCACGGTGTGCCACGCGGGAATGGGTTTTGCTAGTAATCCTCCTTGACGCTAGTATCTTATTTTCACTAGACTCAAAAACATGGAATAGATATGCAAGGTACAGAAAATAGATTATGAAACATGGAAAATGGCATAGAGGAAATCGAAAGAACCGTATGGGATTGTTGCCTTAGGCCACTATCGCGTCAAATGTAAACAATCTTTGGCTTCTACTCCGTCCTCTGGTCTCTCTGGCTTCTCTGGCTTCTCTGGCTTCTCTAGCTTCCCGATTTGGCTTCTGGAACGTGGGATACTCCGATCATTTGTGCTTCCCCACCCTGCATTCTTCTAGTCCGGACATGATTCTTCTCTGACGTGTGGCGTCCATACCATAACTCCGTCCCCTCAACCCCCGCCAGAATGGACGGTCAGCCCAGAACCGCAGCTCGCCCTGCGAGTGGTCTCCCGCGACCGACTTCGAGATTACCCCTGCCAAGCTCAACAGCATCAAGAACTCTCCGACCATCACCATCCCGAGACCGGCTGCAGGCGGATCCTGGTTTGGACCATAGCCGACTGCGAAGACCGTCCCGCGAGTCCCTCCTCAAGAAGCCCACTCCGCGCTATTCAACCCCGGCGAAAGTCATCCGCAAAGACTTGCCGACGCAAGATGAGCTCGAAAGCCAAATAAGCCAAATACAGATCTCAGACGACGTGACTCCAGTGGAGGAAGAAGATGACGAAGCCCGTGGTCGTTCTCTATCGGATCGAACAATCGAGACACTCTCAAGTATTCCACCCTCGCCGGCTTCAGTGAGACAGTCAAGCTTTTTCAATGGCACCAGCCCAATCCGTTCTCCGTCGAGGACAACATCAAACGTGTCCTCTTATTCGCGATCGCCGTCGCGGTCATCCTCTGGACAGGCCAGCGACTTCTTAGCACAGCCTGTACCCAAACTTCGCCTTCCGTCCCAATCTCGCATGTCGGTAGCGTCTGTTTCATCTTTGCCAACGAACACTGTTCCGGATACCAGTGGAACCCCCACGAGACTGAAGTTGCCGTCGTCGAGACAAAGTATTGCAATTGGAAATAGTGGCTCCGATTCCAGTGTCACGCCAAAAAAGACGATTCCAGGCAGAACGAGCATGCTAAAAGCGCCCGCTAAATCCTCACCCGCTCGTTCTTCTCCAGGAAAGGTGTTGTCAAAACCCACGTTGTCAGACATGGGCCCTCCGGAACGACCACTCCAAGTACGCAAGACGAGAAAACCTCAGACAGACTCACCATCCTCAGCAAGGTCTCCCTCAGCAGCTCCACGAAATCCCTCACGATATGTGTCTGCTGCATCTTTGCAAGATGAGCTTTCCCCTGAACAACAAGCGGAAAGCGAAATGAGGAAAGTTTCCAAATCATCAAACGCTCTTCGCGACACCATTGCCAAGGCAAAGGCTGCTCGAAAGGCGGCGGCATCGAAAGAAAAGACAGAGGCAGCACCTCAGGTGAAGGCTATTGACCCGGTGGACGGTATCGATAGCGAAGATCCGTTTAATCAGCTTCCCAAGGGCTCAGATACTTCTGTGCTTAGGAAGCGCGTGGAGAGCGCACGCAAATCGGGTATCTTGAACGTTGCAGCCCTTTCTTTGAAAGAAATCCCGAAAGAGGTGATCGATATGTATGTATTCGATCCCGACGCAAAAAATTGGTTCGAGAATGTAGATCTGGTCAAGTTTATTGCCGCGGATAATGAGCTGCAAGAGGTGGCGGATGCCACATTTCCTGACATCGACCTCATGGACCTCGATCCGGACAGCGAGGAGCGAGGCCCTCAATTTGGCGCTTTGGAATCCCTTGATCTTCATGGAAATCTGCTGAAGTCTGTCCCAATGGGTATTCGACGACTACACCAGTTACGCTTCTTGAATCTGTCCAACAATACCATGAGCATGGACAAGCTCCACGTCGTCTTGGAGATAGCGTCTCTCACGGATTTGAAGTTGGCCAATAACCAACTGAGTGGGCCATTCTTTTCGGAGATCGGCCGTCTCAGCCAGCTGGAGTCCCTTGATCTGCGTGGCAATGACCTCACATCGCTGCCCGAGGAATTGAAAGAATTAACTAGTCTCAAGACGTTGGACGTTGGTGGGAATCAGTTGACATCTTTGCCTTTTGAAGCGTTGAGCAAACTCCCGCTGCGAACCCTTAATGCTCCCAAAAATTCGCTACAGGGGACACTGATACCGGAGTCTGTGGATCGCCTGGAGACTCTGCAGTCTCTGAATATTGCTGGTAACTCCCTGAAAATTTTTGCAGCCAACGAGGCGCTTGTCCTGCCCAGCCTCCAGAACCTTTATATGGGCGTGAATCGCATGAAACGTCTACCCTGTGTCTCTTCATGGCAATCGCTCCTGGTCTTGTCAGCAGAAGACAATCGTCTTACTCAGCTCCCGGAAGGATTCGTGAAACTCAAGAGCCTCAAGAGTGTTGACTTTACTGCGAACAATTTTGCTCAGTTAGATGAAAAGATCGGGCTCATGGCAAGCCTTTCATCTTTCAAGGTCGGCAACAATCCGCTTCGTGACCGCAAGCTTTTGAGCATGGGACCGGAAGAAATTATACAGCGCCTCCGAAACAAATGTGAACCTGAACCCCAGGACACCGATGATGAGGGGTCGGTTGCGACTCAGTTTACCCTCGCACCAGAAACCCCAGAATTGGAAAATGCGTGGAAGATCAAGCCTGGAGGCATCATCGATAGATCATATTCGGATCTCACAGAACTGGGCACTGAAAGTTTGGAATTGATAAGCACAGACGATGTTCGCTGCCTTTATTTGCAGCATAACGAATTGCCATGCTTCCCCACCTTGGCACTGGGGATGCTCGCCCAGGGCTTGGTTGATCTCGATCTTTCATATAATCCTTTGGACAGCTCTAAGCTCATGTCTTCATCGCTTGAGCTTCCAAGATTACAGACACTCAACTTGAGTGCCGCTGGTCTTACCTCGCTGGACTCCCTTTTGAACAATCTCCAAGCCCCGTCGCTCAATTTACTCGATGTGGCCAACAACCGCCTGAAGGGAGCCCTGCCGCATATCCGTGAGACTTTCCCAGGACTTAAAACCTTACTCGCCTCCGACAACCAATTTGAAAGCCTGGAATTCGAGGCAGTGCAGGGACTCCAGGTTTTAGATGTCAGCAACAACAATATTGACTATTTACCACCCAAGATCGGACTTCTTGGTTCTGAGCGCAACCCTCGAAACTGGGGCAATGGAACGGCTTTGAGACGCTTTGAGGTTGCAGGCAACCGTTTCCGGGTTCCTCGATGGCAGATCGTCGCCAAGGGGACCGATGAAGTTCTGGAGTTTTTGTTAAAGCATATTCGCGAGAATGACCTGCCCGAATGGGAGCGTGAAAAGGCTCAGGCTGAGGACTATTAATCTGACTGGGCAGATTCAGCCCATGTCAAGAGATCTACACTTTCGGGAGAACCACTATATATGCGATGGTGTTCCGTGTATAATATTTTTCTTCGTTTCATCCCTGTATATATAACCTATCAAATGTATTCTACGATCTTGGTCCACCATTCTGACAAGTCTTCGTTCTGAATATGCTATGCTTTCATTCTATGTACGTCTTTATTTTGATTCATGCAGTTGCAGCTGCATCGATCGGCTTGCTCACTTCATCCATGACCTTAAACCATGCACTCGACCAGATCGAGAACTTGTCCGTCACTCGTTTGTCCCCGGCCGCAACGTCGTTCCATGGCGAGGCAACCGATTCAACAGCTTGTGCTGCATGCTTCTGGGTCTTTTTCAGGAACTTCGCAGCCTTGGCCATGTTGGCCTCATACAAGGCTCCTGCCGCCTCGTCAACCTGCTCAGGTATACTTTGCAGATTCAACATCAGCGCCTCCAACTTGGCGACACCGCCAGCTGAAGATAAAGGCGCCTTCCCGGCATTCTTCAACCGATTGGTAGCGATAGAAGGGTAAATCTGAGCAATAGGCTTGAGGAATCGAAGAGTATTCTTCTTCTGCTCCTTCAGCGCAGCAGTCTCCTCTTCATCATCTTCGTCATCGTCATCGTCATCGTCATCTTCGTCGTCATCCTCCTTATCCTCCTCCCCCATCAAATCCTCAAAGAAATCATCATCTTCCTCCGGATCCCATTCCTCAATCTCCTGCACGGCATCCCTAACAAGATCCCTCCACTGCTCAACACGATGCATAACAAAACCCACGACACCCTTCGTCGCAACCTCCGTAACAGCATCACAAGAGTCCCACACGCGCCCCGTAGCGCGCGTAACAGCCTCCTTCTCACTCTTCACCAGCTCCCCCTCCTTCTTCTTCGGATCCTCCCCCTTCTCTTTCTCCTTCTTCTCGAGCACATCCTTAACAAGCACAACAAGTACCCTAAACTCACTTAGCGCCGCGCGCACAAGCAGACAAACCTCCGCCTGGAACGCCTTTGTATAATCAGCCGGCGTCACGAGCATAGCAGCCGTAACCAACGAAGGGAGGACGGAGTCATTGCAAGCGCGCAATACACCGGCCACAGCCGAGTGGGTGAAAGGCGAGGTAATTGTCAGAAGCGATAGCTTCGTCACCTGTGCTTTAAGTGTGGCAGACGAGGCGGAGAGGAGGGGTAGGGCCTGGGCATCTTTGGAAGAGGGTTGCTCGGCGCGGGCGGATGACGAGACGGTTTCTTGGAATTGATCGATTAGGGCGAGGGTTGTTGCCAGGAGGGTGGCGAGTTGTTTAGACATCTTGAGGGGGTGTGGCGCGGCCACGATGGTTGTTTCGAGAGTTGGAGAGCTGGGAGAAATTTTGGGCGCAGAGACATAAAAGTCCGCGGGGCTGATTAGGGTTCTGCGGGGCCACTTTGGGTTGTGTTTTTTATGACGCGAAGGATTCTTTCTTTCAATTTTATTTGTAAGTTTCGATGATATAATGTCTAGGATGTTCTCATTCGTTTCTCGTATTCAGTTAGTACGTAAATAAATTCAGAATAAGTCAAGAAGATGACTCTGAAGTAAATTCCGAATGTGGCCTGAGGCGCTCATATAAACCAAACTTAACAAACACCGGAGCTTCAACTGTCTTCGCGCATCATCGGCATTCACCATCCTACAAACATGGGAACGACAAAAGCCAAAGCCCCTGCGAAAGCAGCCGCGGCTGCTCCAAAAACATCGCGCAATTTGCCCAAAAAGACATTCATTCTCGACAATGGCGCATACAACATGAAAGCAGGCTATGCGCCCGACCTCTCCTCCTCCGACGTCCTATCTGCGTGTACCTCAATCCCGAATGCAATCGTCAAAACCCGCGACAATCGAATTGTCATTGGCGCGCAGCTCGCAACACACGTCACGGACTGGAACGAGGTGGCGTTTCGACGACCGGTGGAGAAGGGATATATTGTGAACTGGGAAGCGGAGAGGGAAATTTGGGAGCAATCTTTTTTCGAGGAGAAGGCGACGGCCCGGAACAAGGGGTTGCGAATTGGGGCGCCGGAGGAAACTACACTGGTATTGACCGAGGGGCCGAATACGCTGCCGGCGTTGCAGCGGAATACGGATGAGATGGTTATGGAGGAATGGGGGTTTGGAGGGTATGCGAGATGTCTAGGTAAGGCAGGAGTGCTTTTCTACCAGATTTATAAGTCAAGGGGGGCTAACCTCTGGTGAAATCACAGGACCGACGCTCAACGCTTGGAATGAAATCCACAGTTTATTCGGAGATACTCTCACCGGAAAACCCGAGTCCGATATTCTGCCTGCAGACTGTCTCCTAGTTGTTGATTCGGGATACTCGCATACTACGGTGACTCCGGTTTATAAGGGACAGACTCTTCAGCGCGGAGTCCGCCGTCTCGACATCGGTGGAAAACATCTCACCAACTATCTCAAGGAAATCGTCTCGATGCGACAATACAACATGGTAGACGAGACATATATCATGAACGAAGTCAAAGAAGCTGTTTGTTTCGTGAGCAACAACTTCAAAGGCGACATGGAACGAACCTGGAAAGGCAACCGGAAGCTCCAAGCCGAAGAAGGCGTGGTGGTGGACTTTGTGCTTCCTGATCCGAATGCTGGCAAGAAAGGCTTCATGCGACCCCATGATCCGCTTTTACTTGCAAAGAAAAAGAAGGGTGCGGCTTCTGGGCTGAGTGCTGAGGTGCTCTCTGAGGATGTACTTGTTCTGGGCAATGAGCGCTTTGCTGTTCCGGAACTTTTGTTTACTCCGGGTGATATTGGTATGAAGCAGGCTGGTGTTCCGGATATGATTCTCGACAGTTTGTCTGTCTTGCCGGCTGGATTGCATGCTGCCTTTTTAGCAAATGTGTTGGTTGTTGGTGGCAATGCTGCTATCCCGGGCTTTATGGAGCGATTGTAAGCTTTCCTGGTTATCTACTTATGTGCGGATACCGTTACTAACTGTACTCAAAGGGAAACTGAATTGCGCCAGGTTGCCTCGTCGGACTGCGTTGTAAGAGTGCACCGGGCTACTGAGTAAGTTGGCTTTATTTCTTGAGTAATCTGTTACGACGGCATTCTGACTAATTTGTAATAGTCCCGTTCGCTCGACATGGCTAGGCGGAGTCCGCCTTGCCAATAATCGAGAGGAGCTAGGTCGAGTTAGCATTACTCGCCAGGAATATCAGGAGCATGGATCTGGATGGGCCGGACGACATTTCGCTGGCACTATCTAGACCTATGACTGAGCAAAAGTCATGGAAATTCCTTTTCATTTCGGGAGTTTGGGAGCCTTGAACTTGAAGGCATAGTGATACCCTTGTTTAGGTGGTGGTGTTCTATTGAAGACTTCTAGCATTGTACCATGGCTTATACCGAGTCTTTTCCTGGTTCGTCAATAGTAGTTCTGAACTATAATCTAAGATCAGACACGGTGCCTGAAATATTTGAAAACCATTCCAACGATATGACGCGATGCTGACACGCTTAAGGTCCGAAGTATTCACAGGGCGGTTCATTTCGTGATAGCAACCATAGATGGAGAACAAAGTTCTTACCTAAATATCTAGTGATACCAGGGGATCAAATGGTCATAGGATAGTCATTGGCCAGACTAGCTGAATTCCAGGCACGAGGACGTTGTCGTTCAGTAAAGTACAATTGTGAGACACTTGGACATCTGTTGGCAACTTCCATATACGAAAAGCCATTTCTCGAGAGCATCAATTGATGAAATCTCAATTGACGATCAACATTGAAGACTGGTAAACATAATGGAAATGAGCGACGAACGACCCGCGGTTTCATTGGCCTCAATGCTCCCAGCATACGTTTGTTCCGCCTTGGTGTATCTATCACCAGTGCTTCCTACCAGGTTGAACCCAGGGCTGGTCTCGCCAGTCAAGCCGGTATCTGACAGAAAATCTGTCTACAAAGTAGAAAGCTCCAATGCTGCAGATACTGAACAGCGAATCGCATCGCCTAGCTCGAAAGCGACCATCTGCCGAGCTGGCCCAGCACACACGCAACATGACCAAATGGGGTTCGGCGAGAGACTTAAAAGTGTCTTCAGAAGCATCGTACCGAGTAAAGGGTGAGTTCCTGGATTGAGTTGCCTACAACTGCTAAAGAGATGCAGAAATTGCATAGCCTGCGACAAGCAAATTAGATCTACGAAGCTCACCACTGCACCCTGCCAACACAAATACTGCCCTCGCTGCATTCGAAAAATGGGTGAGATAGCCTTGAAGAACAAAGATCTATTTCCAGTCCGCTGTTGCAACCAGGAAATCCCTGCCAAGCGAGTTGCAATGAATATGGAGGCCGAAAAGAAGAAGCTCTACACATCCCGATCAGCCGAGGATGCACTTCCACCAGCCGAACGGTGGTATTGTCCACACACGTCCTGCGGGAAATGGATACCTCCACGCTATCTGAAGCCCGGTTCAAAGGCACAAAAATGCTGTCACTGTCGGGCAACGATTTGCTCACTATGTCAGGATCTTGCTCACGAAAGCCGAGAATGTTCCAAGGATCCTGGTTTAGAGGCGGTACTAGAGGTAGCTCGATATCGTCATTGGCAAAGATGCCACAACTGTCACGCCATTGTATCAAAAAGGACGGGATGCAACCATATGAAATGTATATGTGGTGCGGAGTTCTGGTGAGTGATATAGAAAACCAAATCTGGACGTCATTAATAAGAAATCAGCTACATTTGCGGTGGCCCGCTAGGATGCAACTGCCGACAGACGACCGAGATCTTGGACCATGTCAATCAACTTGAAGAAGACGAAACCCTCGCCATAACAGTTGTTGCGATGGAGATGGCAGAAAGACAAGAGGATGAGATTCGGCGTGGCGGAAATACGGCAGAAGCAATACAAGTACGCCAGGCACAACGTATTCAACGGGAAATCGAAGATGCCGAATTGATGACTACTGCGATGGAAATGGCTGCAAGGCAAGAGGCCGAAAATGAGCGCGCTCGACTGAGAAACTTGGCATTTGTTAGATCGCCCATACAATCACAGAATCAACAGTCTCCAGCACAAGGTCTACAATTCCCAAGGTCTCTTAAGTCTCGATCTAGAAGGCTCGTAAGACCTGATAGACTGACCATGCCTGCCGAAGAGGTTAGAGTTGGACGAGAAGAGAGACCTGAAACACTGAGAACAATAAGACCCGAAAGCCCCACGATGTCCCCAAGGTCGACCAGATCGCCATTGTTGTTGGTTACGAACTCTAACACTGCGGCTTCTGCACGACCGTCAGCGGTGACTCAACCAATATACCCTCCATCGGCCTCGGATCCTTCGGTAATTAATACAGCGGGTTCTGCAGCAGTGCACTCAGTGCGGTTTTATGAAAGACAGCAGCTTTTGAATGGAAGCTGCGATATATCTTCTCAACGAAAAGCGCTGGGAAGGAACAGCTGAGAGGGTAGCTGTTAAGCATGGAGATAATAGGAGAATATAGTTTCCACGATAGCAATTTGAACCAGGATGACTATGTATCGATTGAATCATAGGATCTAAGATTGTAGCATACAGAAGGTATATCGCAAAGTAAACTGTATCTCGTCAGCATCATACCGAGGCATGACAGCGATCAGTAGTCGTAGAAGCCCTTGCCCGACTTCTTACCCAACCAACCAGCATCCACCATCCGACGCAGCAGACCAGAAGGACGATACTTGCTGTCGCCAGTCTCCTGGTGGAGAACATTCATAATAGACAGGCAGGTATCCAAGCCAATGAAATCAGCCAAGACCAGAGGGCCCATGGGAACATTGGTTCCAGTCTTCATGATGTTATCAATATCCTCGCGGCCACCAACACCAGTCTCCAGACAGATTATCGACTCGTTGATATACGGCATAAGAATACGGTTAGCCAGGAATCCAGGCGAGTCAGCGGAGACCGAGGCCACCTTGCCCATGCGCTGGACAAAGGCAATGGCAGTATCCATGGTCTCCTGGGAGGTCTGCAGGCCCCGGATAATCTCGACACCCTTCTGGATGGGGACAGGGTTCATGAAGTGAGTCGAGATCACCCGGGATGGAGCCTGCAGGTCGGTGGGGTCGGTAGTCGTAGCAGCCGCAATCTTGGTGATAGAGATGGATGAGGTGTTAGTGGCTAGGATGGCATGCTTGGGTGCAATGTGAGCAAGATTGCTGAAGATCTTCTGCTTGAGATCGATAATTTCGGGGACGGCTTCAATGACAAAGTCAACTGAGGATAGGTCGTCCATCTTCAGCGTCGGGATAAGAAGACCTCGGGCCGCGTCGGCGGCTTCTCGGGTAAGACGCTGCTTGGCGACATCTTTCTCAAGAAGCTTGTCTGTAGGATAGCATTGGGTTAATACAAGCCCTATGGCATATGCGTAACCTCCAAAGACAAAAGGTCTATGGATCAAAGGAGGGGCTGTGATTACCGGCAAATTTAAGTCCCTTATCCAAGGAGGCCTGGTTGCTGTCGACCAAAGTGACAGGAATCTGAGCCTTCTGTGCAGCAACGAGAGCGATTCCAAGACCCTGTGTTTCGTTAGAACCTCGAATGTCGTGCATGGAACTTGCGACTGACCATCTGACCGGCACCGATCACACCCAGCGATTTGACCTCGGCAGCGCTCGTAGCGGCGGTAGAGCTGAAGCTGCGGGCCACCACGGGGCCATTACGGCAGACTGAACGAAAGGAAGAGGCGAACATGACTGCGATTGAGGACAATGTAAGTGCAGAGGAGAAAAGAGAAAGTCCGAACTGTATAGATATTCACATGTTAGTCCGACGTCATCGGCTATTCTCGGCAGAAGCGGGCGGTGAGTTTCTCCGAAACGCCGAGACGCGTTGAGACGCGTTTCCCTTTCGAGTTACATTTGATTCTGAGATTCGAGATTCGAGATCCGATATCTGAGGTCATCAACTAAACCCACCATGGAGCAGGAGGTGGTCGCTCTCGGCCACGACGTCCAGGTTGTCGATCCTGATGTGCGCGGCTACGTGTACAGTCTGGTGACTGCTGTATGTGTTCTCCTTGTTCCTCACGTGCACTCACTGACGCGACTATCTCTAGCTCGGAGGTTTCAACGGTGAAGATGCCGACAAATACATGCTAGGTGACGATGCGCTGGCATGTTTACGCGATATCAAACGATGGCTGAAATTGTACGACGAAAAGAACAATCGAATGGACGTGGCGCGATGTCTTGGAGAATCGAACCTGGTGAATGGCGACCTACTTCCCATTCTCTCGGTCTGGTGGAACAGCGGGCAGAAGAGCAAGCACATGACTCGTGTTGCTCTAGCATGCTGTATGTGATAGATTCAATTGATTTCTCTGGAAACCTGATGCTAATCCGCACAGTGGAACTTCTCGTGCCTTTGACTTGGCCGGTGGAGTTTCATAGCCAGATGACTGTTAATCACCACCGCCACACCCCATATATTCAGCAAGTGCAAGTTCAATACAAGCGTGGCGTCTTGAAATATGGCGGATCGAATCTTCTCCGTGCCGCCATTCGAATCGCCCTTCCGAGCATGGCGATGCCTAGATCCGAGCGCGAGTCACGAGACGAAGGAATCCTCAAATTGATGCTCTACTTCCTCCGAAACATCGCCATTATATCAACCAGCGCACGTCTCGCGGCTGAAGGCGAAGAGGAGGAGACCTCCAGATCGGCCACGATCAATGCGTTCCAGGAACAAGATGCCTTCGCTCTGATCTTGACCATGTGCTCCAACGTTGGTGATGACTTCAGCATGCAAGATGTGGTATTGCTTGAGATTCTCTTCCATCTTGTCAAGGGTGTGAATGTGGAGAAATTGTTCATGGAGGAAGATCAACGGAAGGCGAAGCGGACCGACGAGCTGGGCGATCTTCTGCAAAAGGAAAACCTTGTGCGACGAGAATATGCTAAGAATGCACCCACCCGACACGGAAGATTCGGCACGATGATCTGGGTAAAGCGGGATGATGCCGGCAAGGTGTCGACTGTCTCTGGACAGGACACTTTAAGGAACGACCAGACCACTCTTCAAAAGATGGACCAGAGCAAGAAGTGGAACAAGCCTCGTCCGCAACGACGAAAGGAGGACGTGGTCCAGAATAACAACTTCAACATGCCCACTCATCTATCCACCCCGGCGTCCAAGAACTTGAGGACATTCGTGGAAGAGTTCCTAGACTCAGGCTTCAACCCTCTTTTCGCCCACCTTCGGAAGGCAATTGAACGCGAAGCCGAGAGAGTTTTGGAAATAAATGCGCGTCAGTTCTTCTACACGATCGGCTGGTTTCTAGAAGCGGAGCGCGCTCGGCGAACGCAGCGGGCAAAGAAACATGCTGAGAATGGGAAATCGGCAAAGGATATTGAACTAGATAGCTATGGACTGGTTGCTGGAGTCTTGAATCAGGAGACATTCATTTCTCTTAATCGATCCATGCAGAACAGCTTCGATAACAAGGAATGGGAGGATCTGACTGCTCAGATGCGTTGCTTCACCCAAATCTTGTTGACTGTCCAAGAAATGACCGCATCTCCGATTGAAGAGGACCAAGAAATTGCCGAAAATATTCAAAACCGCATTTTCTACGAGGAAACAACACATGATCGGATCATTGCCATCATCCGTGGCTACAAAGATCAAGGCTTCGGCTACTTAGATGCTGCTACAGAACTCGTGCATGTGTTCTTGCGCCTACTCGAGCGTTATTCCAAAGAAAATGCCGACATGCAGGTACGATCTCGCCGTAAGGCCAAGCAGAAGAAGAAGGCAGAACAAGACGCTGGACAAGGACGCAATGACGACGAAGCACAAAATTCCGAAGATGAGGATTTGGAGGATGCTGCTCAAGTTACCAAAGAGCGTTCGTTCGACTTCAAACGGTTTGCTGCCAAGTTTTGCAACCAGAGTTGCGTGGACACCTTTGTCACCTTCACCAGCTATTACAAAGAGTTGAATACGGAGCAGCTAAAGAGAGCCCATCGCTACTTCTACCGTATCGCATTCAAACAGGAGATGACTGTTCTGCTTTTCCGCTTAGACATTATCAACCTCTTTCACCGAATGATCAAGGGACCAGGAGCGATGGACTCTAGCAAATCTGTTTTCAGGGAGTGGGAGGAATTGGTCCGGCAAATCCTTCGCCGATTAACCAAGAAGATCGAACAGCGCCCTGCTTTGATCACCGAGTTGCTTTTCAGCAAGATGAACTCAACCGTCTTCTACCTCGAGTATGGACATGAAAAACAAACAATCTCAACTTCCAAGCGTCCGCCGGCCGAGCTTCAATTTATCACGAAAGAAGAAGCGACACCCGAGGCTAAAGTGGGGATTGTGGTTGGTGCGCTCGTCCTCGACGGGCGGGCCGACCTTGCCAAATGGGTTGTCGATGTTTTAAACTCGGCAGCTTCTGAAAGAGAAGACTGGGAGATCTCAGAGGCGGCTCGTCGCGCGGAGAAGGAGAAGGAGAACCCGGATGAGGAGTTCTATAGCGCTCCTAATCCTATGATTCGTATGTCTTTCAACCACCCTGTTCTGATTGTATGATGGATGAAACTGACCACTTCCCAGCTGTGAAACCCTGCGATGATTCTTGCAAGAGTGCCATGTTCTCAAATGCGAAGCTGCGACTACTCATGGGCCTTGTCGGGTTCGAGCGAGTTGGCATGGAGGATGTGCCTGGTGCTACATGGTTTGTTCCCGCACCTCTATCCTCGAAAGATCTACGAGAGACCATGTCGAGTGTAAACCGGTCGTTACTGAACCCAGTGCCCGAGGGTGGCGAGGACGATCCTCGACAACTGCTCCGAAAAAGAGAGACAAGTAGTGGCCGGCAAAGCCTTGCGCAAACCACACTCGATGCCAACTTTGGCTCAGACTCCGAGGGCGAAGACATTCCTGATGGACCTCTCTTCCCTCCAAACCCTCGCTCCAAGGCCAATGCTTTGGACGAGCTAAAGAAAAAGCGCAAGACGAAGAAGTCAAAGGGCGATGCGGAGACAGAGCCTCTGGATGACGAGACTCTGGAAGAGCGTCGCGAGGCACGTCTTTCCAACGCCCTGGCTCGTCAAGCGAAGATCAAGAGTGACCTCTTCATCCACGCCAGTGACGAAGAGAGTGATGCCGAAGCAGACGTCGAGTTCTTCCGACTGGAGGAGGAGCGACGAAAGAAGCAAGCAGAGAACGTGAAGAAGGCCCTCCTCACTGGTACCATGGAACAAGTCAAGAGCAAGAAAAAGGGCAAACGCAAGAGCGGAGCTGGCACCTCCACCGCAGAATCTAAGCGACAGCGTCGTGGATCTGGATCTTCCAGCGATGTAGCCAGTGACGCTGATGGTGACATCCTGATGGCCGAACTAGACGCCCAGTCACTCGGTTCCCCACAAGAACCCTCAATCAGCCGAGACGCGCAGGAGGACACGCCCATCACCTCTGCAGCGGATGACATGGACTTTGACGATGACCTTGTTTTCAGTCGAGATCGACAGGCAAAGGCAGCTGAGGAAGCTGATGCAGACGAGGAAGACACGCCTATGGTCCCATCTCGCCGGCGTATGCGAGGCGGGTTTGTGATTGAGAGTGACTCTGAGTAGCGCACGGATGATGTTTTTATGATGTTATGATGAGGCGTTTTGTGGATTGTACACATGGCATGGAGGAAGGATACCTAGTGATAATGATCATATTGCATACCCCCCTGATATTTGCACTCGTAATTTTGCCTTAGCCTTAATTTTTCTTGGGAGCTACATCTTTATCGGTGTGTGTCCGGACATCTATCTAGACATCTTTTGAAAGCTTACCTAAGTTTCATTGAAATGTGCCCAAGACATGATGGCTGAAGCGAAGGAGAGAGAGGGTGGAGGTGGAAGGGTCCCACTGGGGAGTGAAGCGTTAAAACCAAAAAGCATTCAGAAAGGGGTATATCATTTGATTCCAGATCATTTTTTTGGGAAGGACCATAGATGACATAGTGGACAAATGCAGGCAACCAGTCTACCTAGCAGAGATCACTCGGCTGCAGAGGTATTCGCCTTTAACGACTGAATGATATCAGAGACAGGCCAGCCTGTCAAAGCTCCCCACTCCTGCACTCCCTTGAGGATTTCGGTTATTTTATTTTGATCTCGGAGCCAACACCCGCCTGCTTTTCGTTAGACATTTTCGTCAAAGACCTTGGAAGGAACCAAGTAAACGTACAAAACGCGATAGGGCCAAAAGCATTGATCCACACTGCTTGAGAATCACTCGACAGAGCGAGCGCACATATCTCTGATGCGCGCGTCTCCAGTTCTCGAGTCAAATTCGTAATTTGCTTCATATTCTCAGTCGTGGTCATCTGGCCTTTTGGCTTGGCCAGTTCCAAGATGATGAATGCTGTCTGAAAGTACTGCAAAGCAGCAGCTACAGTGCGGTCAGAAAAAAAGGAGCCCGAAGACATGGTGGAAAGGTTGATACTAACCATGCCAACCACACAACGTGCCTGCAAACTCGAAGTTCCCTTCCTTGTTGACAGGAATTGGCGTGAAAGATGCCGGAAGGGAATGTCTCCAGTCTATAATACGTTTCCGAAGAGCCGACCACTCCAGCAGGTCTACGTGATCTGCATTACCAAAGCACTGATTAATGATCTGACCGAGAAGCACAGTTATATAATTCGCGTAGTCATCGTCCGCTTCCAGATTTCGAGGTAGATGGTCATCGGAAAGCTCGATCATGAGTTCTCTGCGCTCGATCAATGCAACAGTAATATCCTCTCTGAGATAGTTCCAGAAAGCAGCACGGACGAGGTTTGAATGCAGGTTGATTGGTTGGCTAGCCAAGAGTGAATAGCAGCCTTGGAGGTGGCTTTGGGAGCTTAAGTTTTCTGAAGAATATCATCAGCACATGTTCTGTGGGCTTAGAACAGCCTAGCCAAGGAAATATAGTAACTGGGTCTAAGGATATGGTTCTTTGGATCTTCTTGATAAGTTGTCAAACGTCTTTTGAGATATCTTTTAATACTTTGTTAAGGTATAACGCCACACGTCTCTTTGAACAGGCCAGGGCAGATCTCAGAATGCATATCTAGACTCACTTGCAACATATCCTTGACTTGATTATAAATAGGTATATGGGGGCTTCTCACCGGATATGATCTCATATGAGCGTAAAAGGCAGATGGCTGCCAGGACCTCTCCGTTGGAGACGACATCTTGGGCATTGCTTGTAATGCGTAATAAGATTCGAACACTTTCAAAATGATAGAAAGCTGCTCTTTCAACTTCGTGTCGATCAGTAGGCTGTTTACTGGCTGCTGAAAATGCCAGAATAGCGCTCAATAACAGAGGATTTCGCCGTGCCTTGACAGGAACAAGATCGGTGAAATGTCGATGGCGATCATTCAGATCATACCACGAAGCTAGAGTGGTGATATAATGGCGGAAAAGAGAGAAAACCTCGATGTTCTGTAGTGCCACTTCTGGATCATCTGTTGATTTGAAGTCTAAGGTTTGGTGGCCCTGGGGTAGTCGAGGTGATGTTGAAGGGGTTTCTGTAGTTGGCCAAAGACATTCTCGTTTACTGCGGTGGCAGGGTGAACACAAAGGGCGTTTGCCGTCACCTTTGTGAGATTAATCAAACTTCTGGTCGGAACGCAGATGCGTTAGGTGCAAGCTTACATCGTACTCGCCGTTTTCGACATTCCACACTTTTCCCATTAGTGTAATTGGTCGTAGATTGAATGAGGGGTTTACCATCCTAGGTTTCTTGTTAGCGTTACCCCTAGGCCAAGAAAAACCGTAAGTGGACCTAGAGATGAAAGCGTATAGATCTCTCGCATCATCCGCTAGACTGGGGAGGGGTAACTAACTGTTAAAATCAAATTGGCGAGGCATAGCTTTTGCCACTTCGGGGTATCAAGCAAAATTTCAGCCTGCCAATTGAAGGGAAGCGAATCAAACGGGTACGGTTTCCAAATCAGCACGTCCCAACAATTAGAAGACGCTAGGATGAATAAACTTAGGAATGAGAAAGATGCGATGGATCGAGAACGATGAAGAACGAGGAGCGAAAGGCGAAAAGCGAAAGGTGAAAGGCGAAAGACGAGACGTGCGAGACCAATAGTAGTTCACAACTAGCCCCACATTGTCAAGTGAACGAAGTGTAGCGGATTATAAAATAGAGCTCGTGCAGCTCAAGCTGCCTTTTGCGTCTCTTCATTACCCATTGATCTAATCTCTCTCGAAGATTTATAACGCTCTTCAAACCTCAATCTCCAACCCGTCAAGCACAATGTTGGTGGCTGCTCGACTTACAAGAACAAGCAGTTACACCACAAAAATATCAAGAGCAAGGAGACCCTTCAGCATGGGTCGCAGCCAGCCCATTTCCATTAAGCCAACCAAAAAAGAAATTCAAAACGGACGTTTGGGCCCTCGAAACCTAGAACTGGCAATCCGAAGCCTTTACCAAGATGGTCTAGTCGTGGTCAACGACGTGATCCCCCACGACATGCTCCACCGACTCAACGAGAAAATGGTGAAGGATGCCCATGAGCTCTACGGGCGTAAGGAAGATAGCCCATTCAACTACAACCCAAACAACCTCCAGCAAGATGCCCCTCCGATGCGCGAGTTTTTCGAACCCCAGATCTTCATGAGTATGTGATCTCTTATAAAACTGGTTTATTGGAAAAAGCTAACATGATCAGATCCCATCGCCACTCAAATCACGTCAACTGCACTAGGCCCGCGCCCTAAATGGACGTTCTGCTCCGGCAACACAGCGATGCCGCCAACACGAGAGAACCTAGCCGTGTCCCAGCCCGTGCACTCTGACGCAGACTTTGCACACCCAGATCATCCATTCGCTCATGTAATCAACGTTCCATTGATTACAATGACACCAGAGAATGGCTCAACCGAAGTTTGGCTGGGAACACACCAGGAAAGCGGCCTACACATTCAAGAAGGCAAACACGGTGAACGAGCAAGCGGTCGGATCAAACTGGACGAGCTGGAAGACCGCCGCAGTGTTCGTCCTCCGTGTCAACCCACCATCCCGAAGGGATCTATCATCATTCGTGACTTGAGACTCTGGCATGCTGGTATAGGGAACCAGACCGATACGATTCGTGTAATGTTGGCTATGAGTAAGTTGCCAAGCTGCATGTTCGAACGCAAGCTAACGAACATGTTTGAAGTTCATTTCGCGCCGTGGTATCGTAATCCGATGAAGCTGCAGTTGGCAGATGATTTGAAGGAAATCGTGGAGAGTGAGATGTCTCTCGAGATCCCCGTGGATTGGGCTTCGAAGGATGCCGTTGCTGAGCAGTACTTGAATCGGGCGTTTGGGAATGCGTATAACTTTAGTCAAGTGAAGTAAGATAACCATCTTACTCAGCCTTGCTACGGTTGAGACGAACAGGCTCAAACTTAGAAAAAAAGTTCCTCTATTCGAGGCTTAGCCTCCCAGGCAGCAGAGCCTCACCGTCTCAAAGTGGGGTGACTCAGCCCCAGCTCTTCATGTGAATATTTCAGACATAAATGCGCATTCCTCTCGCCTTGTCATACATTGTACCTTATTATGAAAAACCCCATCGCGATGCCATTCATTCCAGAGGACTTCCTCCGGGGCCCAGCCACCGCCAAAGTCCACCACATCGACTTTGAAACAACAACACCACCCATCCCAGCCTTTAAAAACAACTTCGCAGCCGTAATCGACAATCTCATGAGCCCGGAAGAATGCAATGAGCTTCTTCACCTCGCAGAACAATCAACCACAGAATCCTCAAAATGGGAACGCGCCATGATCAACGCCGGCAACGGCAAACAAGTCATGTCCGTAGATGCGCGCAAAAGCGGCCGCATTATCTGGGACTCGTCCGAGGTAGCCCAGCGTCTTCTTGACAGATTAATGCCGTACATGCGAGAATTAAGCCTTGAGCATGTTAAGAACCAACCTATGATCACAGGCCTGGGACCTGCGCGACGGGGGGAAGTGATGCATTTATCCCGCCTGAACGAGCGGTTGCGATTTCTACGCTATGATGGGGGTGATTATTTCCGACCTCATTGGGATGGATGCTATGTGACGCCTGACGGGAAAGAGAAGTCGTTGTTTACGATTCATCTTTATTTGAACGGGGAGGGTGAACAGGACATGGAAGAGTTGATGCCTGAGATTGAGCGTGCGGAAAAGAAGAATTTTCTCTTTGCACAGGATGGCGAGGTGGATTTGATGGATCTTGAGGATACGGTTGGTGGCCAGGAGGTAGAGGTGGACGCGAGGCAGGGACCCTTATTGGGCGGTGCGACTTCGTTTACAGATAGTTACACGACGAAGGAGGCTGTGCGTGTGTTTCCTAGGACTGGGTCGGTGCTTGTTTTCCAGCAAAGGAATCTTCTTCATGGTGGGGATGATGTTTTTCGTGGGGTGAAGTACACTGTACGGACTGATGTGATGTATACGACCGAGAGCCCGAGTAAGAAATAGGTCTGGGTGAATCGAACAACGTGGAAGTGATAATGTAAGAATGTACCGAACGGCCGCTCGGCCTTAATTTGCGCCGAGCTTAGCAACTTCGGTATTTACGTCACTGCCGAGCTGGAGCTTCCGCAAGGGTTCACTTAGTCACTACACGAGACCGCAACTATTAAATGCGCCCTCAATCATTTGATTATTGAATTATTGAGTCACACTTAACCATATTCAATCAATTGAATCCATTTCATCTACCAGACTATCCACACCAAAATGGCCAACAACATCGCCTTCACCGCACCCATCAACCCGCCCGGCGTCACCCCTCTTTCGCTCGACCAAATCTGGGCCGGTCTCCTTCTCAAGATTCGCTCCGCCCAGACCTTTGTGCCAGCCGCAATTGAATCCACTGACGTGCTGAGCGAAAGCACCGATCCGTCCGGTAACGCCGTGACCGTGCGCGAAGTACTCTTCTGCGAAAGCGGGAAGAAAGTCAAGGAGACAGTGACGGCGTTTGAGAAATGTCGGGTGGAGTTTGAGCAACCGGATGGGAGTCGGGTGAGCAATGTTGTCAGTAAGGGGGCTGGTGGGGAGCTGTACATGACCTATATCTTTGAGTGGAGGCATCCTGGGGTTAGTGGGGAGGAGATGAAGGCGTTGTTGGAGAAGGAGACGAAAATGAGTCAGATGGCGGTTGAAGGGACAATCAAGGCATTGAGGCAGTTGGCTGAGGAGAAGAAGCTTTAGTTTAATGTAATTGTTCAATTGAAGACTTATAAAAAGCTTCTAGGCGACATAAGAATTGCTTTAAAGTGTGAATCCCTTCATGGTTCCCCTCTACCTACTCAGGGACAACAATCTTTCCCTCAGACACCTGTACAGCAGTGCCCGTCAATTCCACCTTTTCAATCTTCTTCTCACCATCCAGAGCAACGACAACCCCAATATCACTCCGTCTGCCCATCTCAACACCCTGCACGATATGATACTGATACTCCTCCCCAGCCTTCCCCTCTGTTAGAGCCAACCAAGCCGTAAGCCCACTCGCCGAGCTTCCAGTCGCCGGATCCTCAAACCCACCCAACATCATCCTCGTGCGGATCACCTTCTTCCCCAAGATGTCATCATCCACATCCCTCACAAAGAAGTAGACACAAATCAACCCCGACCTCCACCCCTCATCCAGATACGCCCCATGCTGCACATCAAGATACTCACCCCCATTAGCAGTAGTAACAGCCGCTAACGCTTCCAAATTTGGCAACTCAATAAACGTCTGACTCATCCCATTAACAATGGAAAACAGCGGAAAGTCCGTCCCAGCCTTAAAGAAAGATTTCAAACTCGAATGCAGCCTCAGCAATTCCTCCAACGGGAACCGATTCTGATGAATGCGCGTATTATGCGCAATCTTAGCCGCAACGGCCTGCGTCGCTTGATCAGAGATGGAAATCGGGATCTCGCCTGATTTGGTGACTAAAGTATCAACCCCGCTATTGGAGGCGGCAGCGTGGGAGAGGAACCATGAAGCAGCGCCGATGGTGGGGTGGCCCGCGAAGGGGATTTCGCATTCGACGGTAAAGATGTCGATGGTGCGTTTGTTGTGCTCGGTGACTGGGTAGACGAAGATGGTTTCGGAGAGGTTGAATTCCTTACAGATGATGTGTTTTTGGCGTTGGGTTAGAGGGGCGGATGCCGATGCCTCGGGGAGGAAGACTACGGCTAGCGGGTTGCCGCCGTAGGCCTTTAGGGTGAAGACGTCGAGGGTGACGAAATTTAATTGCATGATCGATTGGATTGGATTCAATTGAGTTGATTTGGGAGATTTAAGAGGGAAGAGAGTGATTCTATAGTTGAAGAGCTTGACTCACGTAGGGCGCAGGGCGTGGGTCAGCTTATGTGGGTCATCATCTACCGCTCGGAATCGGCATCTGCCGATACCGACTACAGTAGCTTGCGAAACCGGCTTGCGTTTTATACACATTTTTCGTGCCAAGGCCCACCAAACTAGATACCGTCAGACCCGACAGCGTGCATGCCGATTTTGCACAAATACTGTATGTGTATTCTTCATACATTACTTATGGCAGGATGAAGTCTTCCGGGTGCTCTTTAGAAATCCTCCACTCCTGCATACCTTCAATCAACGCAGTAGCAAACCCCGCATGATACTTCAACCCATCCTGCAACCCCGATACCCTGCCCGCTCTCCACACGGCCCAGGTCTCAGCCATTGCACCCTCAGAGGCTCGCAAAATCCCAATAGCAACATCTACAACGGTCGGCCTCTCTTTACAACTGTAGAAGACCGTCGCGCCACACGTCCCACAGAACGTTCGCAGAACATCTGGGGTGGACCGGAAGCTCTTGGAAGATCCAATCATCAGATCCGTCGATGGATTCGACGAGATATGATCCAGAGGCACAAACATCCACCCGATGACATGCGTCCCGTTGACTAAGCGGCAATCGTCGCAGATATCTAGACCTGCGAGCCACTTGGTCTTGTCAGAGGGGTGGATCCAGCCTTGGCTGTTTGGACTACTGATAAAGTCTTCGCTAGGCCGGGAGATCTTAAATGATACACCACCACAATGACACTGAGCAAGAAGCTCGGATCCCTTCGTCATGGTTGTCGATGGAGATGGCTTGGGGTCAGCCATATGCAGCTTCCGGCCTTCAACCGATGAAAAGAGTGCGGATAAACCCCCGTCCGGAGTAGATCTCGGATCGTAATGAGTGTTAAACTGCCAAATTCCGGAATCATCTCTATTCGCATCAAAAATGGCATTGGAAATAACCCACTCACCATCCCTGCCCCGATCTCCAATCTGGCAGCCGCACGTGCTGCAAAAGTACTTTGTAGAGGTTAGATGTTCGTAGGCTGTACATTCATTCAGCGTAGATGGTACAATGAACTCTGGCTGCACATCGTCGGGCAGCGGGACATGAAAGCAGCACAATGTGCCGTGTGTATAGCGGCAGATGCTGCAGTGGCATAGGTGTACTTTCAGCGGGAGGGACACCGTGGGGACTGTGACCGTGAACTGCACATTCCTGCAGTAACAGGCCGCTGTCAGGGTCTTGGAAGAGGCCATGATGAATTCGTTAGTCTTTAGAGGAGAAAGAGAGGGGTAATTAAGTATGCTTTATACTTCATGCTTATGGTTGTGCACGGACCAGCTCATAATCTCCTGTCAATCTTTTGAAAGAAATGGCCTTAAACCAAATGGTCCCAAATCATATAACCCCTTTAAACCTTTTAGTTCCGGTACTCATGGCAGCCTGCGTTCCCCTTAGCCACATCCCTATAATTGTAAGTCGGATTCATCTCCATAAGCTGTCCAACCGTACTCCCCACCCTCTCCACAACATCCTTGTATGTCCCATTAGTGAAGGTCACCGGCCAAACCTCGCGCCGACTAGGTCTACATAGCGGAAGCTTATAGACTTGGATTGGGGTGAGGGGTTGAACTAATGTGGGGTTCCAAGTGTTCAGCAGCCTCGTATACCCCCGAGGTACTATGTAGATGGCGTGAAAGAGTACATAAACCTGACACGCAATTGAAACAAAGATGATCCACACTTCGTCATTAAAATCACGGAGAGGGCCCGTTCCTATCGGTCAGGAGAAACCGTACCTAGATATTGGGTAAAAGTAAGACCTTGTTGCCTTGTTCGAAGGAGGTTCGCAACCTCATCCTAAATTGAGCGATCAGGAATAAGCAGGACTGGCCTTGCTCTGAGAGTTGAATCCCGAGGGGTAATCACAGTCAAGGAGTGACTCGGAGGTAACAAATGGGATGGACTGGAAAATTATATGCAAGTCCCATCATATTCACCCCCGGCGTTGTAACTCTAGGAAAGTTTGTTCGTTTCCAAGGTTCTGCTTCAAAGAAGGTTGTGGCCCGAGCCTGTTGGGAAATGTGATTTCTTTTCATTGATACACTCGGAGGACAGCAGAATCTTCAAATTGATTATAAAGAAATGGTTTCCTTAATTTAACAAAGAGAATTAAAGACAACGCGGGCATTATTGGCGAAAAAAAAGCGCCTTTCAAGTGACAGATACTCGAACAAGGCGTGCTATATGAGTGTTGAGCAACATCGGAGCAGGACTTATAAACGGAATCGTAAAATTAGCGCGCCCATCAAAACTTGCGACAGACATTCACTGTAGAGCCACTCAATATCTACTAAATCAGAGAAGCCGGAGAGTTAGCCGTGATCTAGTCCCTACCATGCACGGTCGGGTGAGACATCCGGCTCTTTCAGATAGACCGGCTACTGTCAGCAAATTTTGACGGTGGATCAAGTCCACGAGCCAATGGCTAAAGGCCCAGACGAACCCGACACGATTGACTCAGTGGGCAGACCGAAAGTTGAAAGTTGAGTTGGCCGGTGCAGACCGAGGCCAAGCGCACAAAACCGGGCCGGTGAGTCGGAGTGGGGGTTGATAAACGATAAGGTCTCAAGTCTCACACAACCCCAAGAAAAAAAAAAACGAATGGGGATATGTAAATTGATCAAGGTCAAGGACATAGGAAAAAAGGGTATATTGGTTCTATATTCTATAAATGGAAGATGCATAGCTCATGAAGGGTTGCGACGCTCGTCCAGCTGCTCGTGTAAATAAAGCCGACCTTCAGTATTGACGAAGCCGCCGATTCCAAATGCGGGGATAATGCGACACATGCGCAGCAGTGAAGCGCCGACCCAATCACGACTGATTCGAGCGAGTCGCTCCTTAGTAGGCATGACTTGGGGTCTGTTATAAAGATCCAGACCGAAGAGGTGGATGGGGGTACTGATAAGTTGGATGGATGCGGGGATGGCGAGTTGGGCGATAAGGATTTTGAGATAATCTTGGGAGGCGACTGAGTCTGGAATTGCGGTTGAGACGATCGACGGGAGGGTGAAGGAGCCGAAGATGGTGAGGCCGTCGCGGAGGAGGAATGCGGAGTAGGTGGCTAGGGGGATCTTGGTGCGGCCGATGGTGCGAACAGTTTTAGGGGGTGGTTTGTCTGCCTTGGGGGGGTCGACTGGGGGGAAGTTGGCTTCGGAGAGCCGAAGAGTTGGGCGAATTTGACGTCTTTCCAGATTCCGACGGAGGAATTGACGACAAAGGTGGATGCGAAGGTGGTCATGCTAGCAATGGCGTGGTCGACCTTGGGGTAGACCTTTTCAAGGAGAGTCTCGGAGGCATTGGCGGTTGCAAAAGTGGCGGTATAGAGAGACCAGACGAGCAGGGCGGGGCGTGAAGTTAAGAATGTCGATGGCTGTGTGAGGGAGATCCATAGATGCTTGCGGAACGCTGGAAGAAGTGGTTGGTTGTAGAATGACTTTTCAACGACGAGTCTGGATCCAAGTTAGATGCTGTGTCACGCAACAGGGGTACCACGGTCAAAGCTCACCTGTCAAAGATCATGACCGCTGGTGTAATAAGAGTTGCTGAACCGGCAGCAACGAGGGTGTCTGCCGCTAGGAGCTCACCGAGCCGGCTGCGGCTTCGCTGAATGCCTAACGGCATAGGCTTCTCTTGCATGTTCTGGGTCATGATCCGTTGATTTGGGTCGACAGTGCTACCCTCATCTAATTATAGGCCAATGAAGCCGAGGGGTCGGAGTATGTAAAGACAGTGTATATATGCAACTGTTGTAGGAAGAAGTCTGAGAGCTTTGGAAAGAAGGCGAAGATTAGATAAAATGCATGGAACGCGGGGCAGTGTGCACCATCGCAGAACCAACTCACTGTGGATCGTAGAACGGAAGATAACCGGATTCTGTAGTCCGGTGAAGAGGCGAGAAAATTTGAGATGAAAAGAAGGTTGAGGGGGGGGGGAGGGAGGAAAGAAGTGCAGAAGTACAGAAGTGCAGAAGTCAAGAATTATAAGATAGTGTAGCGAGGGGGATCAAGTAATGAGTGTTAGACACCCAAGAGCTATAGATATCAATAATGATAGAAGATCGGCCTCCAAAATCAGCCCCTCGTCGGTGATTTCACCCAATTAGGGGGGCGACCGGGCCGGGCGCCGGTGCCGAATCTCGGCCTGTAATTGGATGAAATCACCGGACTGATCGCCCTGAGATTTCAGGAACGAAATGCGTTCTAGAAGATCGGTGAGTCTCGTCTTCTCGCTCACCTTCTCTCAACGCGTGGGATTGCCCTAAGCGGATGCCGTGCTCCCCCGCGTTCCCCCGATGCCGTCCCCTCTATGATGTCTATGGGGGACTACTATGGCGGGACGGGGCTCTCTTACTCATTGGACCGAGTGGGGTTTCTCCTTCTCCTTTCTGTATCGAAATTGGGCAGTGACAGGAGACTGGGTTCATGGGCTCGATGGAGTCATGGTTCTCTCGCGATGGCTGTCCAATAGATAAGTAGACGTAGGGCCGAGAATGGTTGAACCCCAGCTTTGCGGCATCTACACCGCCGAGCCCGCGGTTTTCTTTCAAGTAATGCATTTCTCTGCCACTGGAAGTGCCTAACTTCAGCCCAAATCTCAACATACTGTCGGAGGTGCCACCCGACTTGCTGCAGCTGCTTCCTTATCTTTGTTGTCGCGTAGCGGGGTATTCGTTGACACACCAAAACATTTCCTTGCTTTCGTGGCAGGCTATTGACTTTGAACCTTGACCGAGAGCCTTGTCCAGAAGCTGCCAACACAGATGAAAAATGTGACCGCCCTCTAGTTACAGGCCGTCCTGACGCGTCAATCCCGATCGAATTATTCTCATAGCTGCAATCGAAGATATCGTAGATGGCCACTGGCGGTCCAGGCCTGCGTCACTATCCGCGCCACTGAAGTCCCTGACGTTCCATGGCCATCTCTTGCCACCCTAGTATTTATTTTTAGGTGTTGAATATACCATGGAATGCTCCTATGATCGGGTACTCTGCCTTCAAGTATTTTAGTTTTTCCAGGAAACAATGATCATTGTTAGTGAGATGTCTGACCTTTTATGCATTTAAAAATTGTCTACGTTAGTTGACTAGCTATGTCCTATAAAATTCATTTGTTTCTTGCGAAATTTTTTGCAAAGACGTCCGAATTCAGGTTCTCTCTCTAGATTGCTCCTGTCTACAACATAAAACTACCTCGAGGGAACCATTTCTAACATATTTATTTTCCCGGACTCTCGAATAGTCCCTGAAAGGCCACCAACAGTGGGTCCAGAAGCAACACTCAGTACGCAGGCAGCAAAATTCGTACCCTCACATACCAGACTAAAGCCACTTCTCCTTCACAATGGCCCAATTTAATACAGGAGCTGCGTCAGTCAAGGGAAGCTTGTCTCCTCAGCCTATATGGCTGAGCGGGGTCCCTCCTTGGCCCTGCCCAACAAGGGCCCCGCATTACATTGACCAGGAACGTTAAGCGAAGCTAATGAGCAGGTCTCGACGAGGGCCTTTTTTCAACAACTATCACCCGAGAATGATTCATCCATGAATTCGGCCTTAATTCCAGCTCTCTCGATGCATCCCATAAAGCAGACTGATTATCTATCATTACGTCTATGGCTCATATTGGCAGTAATCCAGGTGCCACAATCGCCTTCCTGTTCTGCGAACACGTCGGAATTCTCTGAGCCATGCGCTAGAATTCAATCCAGTATTTTATCAATGCAGGGATCTTCTCTCTGCGTGTACGGGCTACCGGGTCTACATTGTTGATGTGTTCTCATTATGCTAATCGGTATCGACTAACTAAGTATGTTTTGATCTCATTGTCTAGGTAAGTGAGTGCTCTTGCTGGCGAGAATAGGCTGTTTCTTCTATGCTGCTTGCAGATGCGTTGAAGCCTGAAGGGAAGTTTTGGTTTTTCTCCGTCATGACCTGTTTCAATTTATCATGAACTTGGCTCCTTTTATCGGAGACTGCTGGATAGACTTTGGAGGAGATGAATGCACCTTTTGAGTAAGAAATTGGGGGAATTCGGCGCCATAGAGGATGGATATAATGAGTTAGATAGATATTCGATATAGATGGTTGCTCCAATCTTTGATTTTGAAGACGCTGGGCCTCTGGTCCACTGTTCACGATAGTATGTGACGCAGTAGAGCCTATACGAAAAGTGATTTTTAGAGCCAGAGTTCCAGATGCATGTTCTTTACAATATCGCAGAATCGGCAACTCGAATCGAGGACCAATCAGCGTGGGTACTTTTCTTACTATCCCCTGTAAAGAGGTTCCACAAATCGACCGTTTGGGAAGCAGGGGTCTTGTTACACGAACTCCAAGAAATAACGGGGTTCGTAAAAGTGCCACTCCTGAAATGCGCTTCGGAAACAACTAATCATGTTACAATATTCACTCGGTGATCGATTTGCAATGATCCTAAGGGTCATTTATAAATGTTTCTTGAGCGCGGGTGCCAAATCCCATCCATTACCAGGCCCTGACTGTCATATTGACATCACATGCCCCGCTAACTACCACGGAGCTGCGGTTTTGGTGGCTGAGGCTCAGCTGACTGAATCGATGCACAGAGGTTGAACCTCTATATTTCCATAACCTTCAGCTCGTGACTCAGTCTGCAGTCTCTGCTCAGGAACCCCTCTATGGGTGATCGCCCGGTACGTTGCGCAACGTATGCAGAGCTTGGCTGAAGGTCAGGCATCATCGTGAAAAAATGGGGTCAACATCATGCTCGTGGGCGGGTGATGCTCACCATTTGAATTGAAGCAACGCTAAAAGGGATGATCGTAGATGTGATGGCCCGGGGGATGGGCCGTGTATCTCTATTCAGTAATGTGGGAATGCATGCAAAGGATAATTCAGTAGAGTCTTTCCGCAGCCTCTCTTTCTTTTACATGCATCTTGTTTCAAGGAATAGCCTTGCCTTTGGAAGCTATAGAATGCAGCCCCGCTGGGTCAGCTCACAGTCCAATCTCAAGCCCAGCTCCCGGGCAGTCTAGATTCCAATTCACTGACGTGTCTCGACTTTATGCGACCAGGTTTGTCGTACCGGGGGATGGGCTGTAGGCATCACGGGCCGCCCGGGAGACACAAGTGGAGATACTTGTTGACATGTTATGATCGACCTATCGCCTGAGATTGCCCATTTACTTGCGACCAATCGCTCATCTCGCATCCCGATCCGTAGGTGTATTCAGCTACGATAATGCCGCCTTTGTTTGATGGGAGTTGTTGGCTGGCGCGAAGCTGATCTTGCAGAGCCCAGCCAATCTATAATTCAAGCTAATGCAACCACAGAATCGATGGGATCGTGATTGTCTTAAAGAAGAATAATTGCCCTCCTTGAGCGGTCACCGTTCAACAATCAAGTTCAGTTTTGGAACATTGTCGCGAGACTTACTCCAACAACCACATGTCGTTCCAAATTCCTCAGCCCCCTGGAGTTCCGATACTAGGAAATGTGTTTGATGTCAACCCCAACGAGACATGGAATTCATTGATTAAACTCTCGGAGAAGTACGGTAAGGTGCGACTTGATCTACACTTCAATGAGATGCTTATTCTGGATAGGACCGATATTCAAAATCAATGCACTAGGTAAACAAATCGTCTTCGTCAGTAACGTTGCTCTGCTCGAGGAGATTTGCGATGAGCGACGCTTCCGCAAGTGTGTCACAGGCCCAGTCGTGGAGATGCGCAAGTGCGCGAATGACTGTTTATTCACCGCATACGACAACGAGAAGATATGGGGTGTCGCCCATCGTATCATGAGCCCGTACGTTAGCAAGACCGCGACAGACAATTGCTTCAACGATATGGCAAATGTGATTTCGGACTTGACAACGAAGTGGACATCGGGAACGAAGAAGCGGGTTCTCTTCACCGACGACCTTGATCGCCTGTTGATGGCTTCGGTCATGCAGTGCTTCTACGGCCAGCGCGCGGAGCTCCTCGAAGGCCCCGAACCTCCTCTAGTCAAAGCCTGGGAGCGTATCACAATGGAAGCAATGAAGCGGCCCACGCGCCCGAAGATGCTCACCTGGATTCTGTACCAGCGTGGTTGGGATAATGATATCAAGACGATGCGTGATTTCGCGACCGGAATCATCAAGCACCGGAAGGAGAACCCTGACGATTCTCGCAATGACCTGCTGGACGGTCTGCTCAACAACACGGATCCGCAAACAGGAGAGAGACTCTGCGACACATCAGTCGTCGACGAGGTGGTAACAATGTTCATCGGCGCCGCGACAGCACCGAATCTTGTCTCATATGCACTGTATTACTTGATGAAGAACCCCGAGAAGATGAAGAAGGCAAGAGCCGAAATTGAATCGATCGTCGGCCCAAATGAGAGGATCCAGCTAGAGGACCTCAAAAAGATGGAATACTGCGAAGCCATCATCCGCGAATCACTTCGTCTCTCTGCCGCAGCGCCCGGTTTCAATATCGAACCTCTTCCATCAAAAGACCAGAGACCGGTCATGCTTTCAGGAGGAAAATACCAGATCCCCCACAACCAAGCCATGATTGCCATTCTCCACACGGTTAATCGTGACCCTGCGGTCTTTGAAGACCCGGAAGCCTTCATCCCCGAGCGCATGCTGGGTGAGAAATGGGATAATCTTCCAAAGGCAGCGAGGAGAGGCTTTGGAAATGGCAAGCGTCAGTGCTATGGTACGCAGTGGGCCTGGCGATGGTCAATTCTCACCATCGCTAGTATACTCAAGGATGTTTCGTTTGAGTTGGAGGATCCGGATTATGAGCTCACTTCTAATGGAGCGTTTAGCGTGAAGCCATTGGAGTTCTATGGTCTTGTCAGTCCTAGGAGGTAGTCACTTGTTGGAAATATTTGAAGCTGGAGTGATGTTTCAATTTTGTTTACCATGTTTTCTCATCGGGCGCTAGGTATTTGATTACAGGTTGTATATTCCATTGTGTTACACGTCGGTGGTTTTTGGTGGAAGGAAGATAGGACACACAGTTACTAGTCCCGATGATTCACCGGTTATTTGTGGACGTATTGTCATAATTTTTAACCTTGTGATTGATGTTCGCGTACTATTATAGGCATAAGGTAGGGTTTGTGAGTTTGTCTCTTCAAATATTTGTAGGTCCGGGGTGCTAGTGGATAGGATGGTGTACTCACGAGAATACCGAACCCGTATTCATGTAGTGTTCCGGGTACACGAAAAATAAAAATGGATCTGCATCAGTTTAAGATAGTGAAGAAAAAAAAGAAATCGTCAGCACTAGGGTTCGAACCTAGGATCACGAATGAACTAGATATCAAATTGAATTCAAGTCTAGCGCCTTAACCACTCGGCCATACTGACAGGTATAAATTATTTTGTGAGAAACGCATTATGATGCTAGTGCCAAATGACCCGATCCATTGGTAGATAGATTGCTTTCCAGGAAATGGCCAGGTGAAGCAGCCCGTCACTGGAGAATACGGAGATGACAGCACTTCTGGCCTCGAAAGCAGCTGTCCCGCCAATTACATGTTCACATATTTTGAATAGCCGTGAATGGATAATAAGTCACTCAGAACGAACTTTTCTGGCCAAAACTAACAAGAACGGGCGGACCAATGATCGCGCGGGTGTTACCTGCTTATCCAATGCGGACGAGTTTTTCCGCACTCAACCGCACTCAAGAGCCGAGGAAAGAGACACGCGTTCGATATATCCATCCAGGCGCGAGGACTCATCCATTAAGACATAGTGAACTACTATGACCTCCGCGGCTGATAGTGCCCCACTGCGCGTCTCGCAGCGGCGGCCCCTTGCCTGTCGAGGTAGATCTTCCCCCCCCCCTTTTGTGTGGAGAACTGGGCTGACCCGGATCAGAGTGCACCAGGCGGAAACGGAAATGTGACAAGCAGGTTCCTTGTACCAGGTGTCGACGCCTCAATCTTGAATGCTCTGTGGAAACAGTCCGGCTGCGCCGGGACACTCTGCAACATGCGTCTGAGATTCAATTCCTAAGTTCCCTCTTGGCTGATTTGGATGCTGTTTCTGAGAAGGTGCCTCAAGTGGTTCAGAAAATCAGAGATAGGATGGAGCGACTCCAAGGTAGTCCTGGCGATGTGTCTGATCAGATTAACCTGGATTCGGCACAGGAGGATAGGAGATCTTCCGAGGGTCTGGATGAAAAACCGATACAGCATCGACTTCCTGACGTGCTCCCGGAGAGTACGGATCCTCCTATTTTGACTGCGATTGAACATCTTGCCTGGGGACGAAACTCTGCGGGATGTTTCCCACACAGGAGATGTGCTTGCCAATATCGCCGAGACAGCCCGGAGCTGTTGTCGATGAACGGGGGCCCTTTCCAGATCCAGGACTCTGCTTTGGAATCGATGGTTCATATTCCCAAGATCTCTGATGCCCAGAAACTTATAAGATTTCATGTTGTCCATATATCATGGCACCATAACTGCTTTCACGGTCCGACGTTCCTCGAGCAATGCGAACTATTCTGGAGAACAGGAAGGTGTGACCACCCTCTTTGGATGGCGCTTTACCTTGCTGTCCTGAGTTGCACCGTCAATTCTATCCAAAATAGTGGCAAATTAAGAGCGCTCATCGATGTTGATCTCTACCTTGCAATGCAACCAGCTCAGCAACTTTTCTCGTCGATGATCCAAACTTTGTACAGTTCACATTTCCTGAACGATCTCTCGATATATTCCGTCCAGGCGATTGTGATATCAACGGAGGTCGCCCACAACCTTGGCCTCAGTCAACTAAACGCGACTCTATTCAACGCCGCTGTGCGGATCGCCGAATGCCTGGGAATCCACAAAATCAAAGAACACACAGCAACTCTGACCCACACAAAAGACGAATGGGAAGAACGAGTTGAACGAGAAGTTGGAAAACGGGTATGGTGCCAGATGGTCATCCAAGATCATTTCGCCATCCCCTTCACCGACACATACAGCATTTCCCCGATGCACTTCTCGACGGGCCGGCCCCTGAACGCAGACGAACGCAATCTGGTAGAACTACCAACGGAAATACCAACAGTGAGCACTTATGTTCGCGTTCTGGTGGATCTGGCAGCATTGATGCCAGGGCTCGCAGATGGACTGGGTCCATTGACGAAACGGAAACCCCGTCGCGAGCAATACGAACACATCCTACGGGTTGACCAAAAGATGCGAGCGATCGTGAATAGCATACCATCCTTTTTGCTACGGTCGGATAAGGTGAAAGAGGCACAAATACCATGGCTCGGCATCGCCCGCCGCAGTCTTGCCATCACGGCTGCCGAGAAGATAATCATGATCCATCGGCCATTCCTCTTCCGCTCATTTCACGACACAACATATAGCCATTCCCGACGAACCTGTGTCGCGGCTGCAATGACCATTCTACGAGAACACGAAGCAATTGTCGAGGAAGATGATCTCTCCATCTGGACACACACAGCCTTTGCCATCACAGCGGCAGTCATTCTCTGCTTCGAAGGAAATGCCCTGGTGAAAGATCCAAACAACGCGAAAGTCAGTATATACAGGGAAGTCGTAGCAGCTGCTCGCGACCGTTTGGCAATCAGAAGCAGCGACATAATGGCCCAGCGTGGTGTCGCTCTTATCGATGCGATCTCCATCGCCGAAGGCGCAGGATACTGTGCGTCGGATTTAAAGCGGGGCTCATCAATCGACGTCAACCGAGTCTTTGCCAATTTCTCAACACTAAGCCGATCGAATCTCAATGTGAACGCCGAAGATATAATATTCGGCAAGATCCCAGGCGAAAGCCCCGAGGGGCTTACAGGCTCAGCAATTGATACGGACGAAATGCAATTGGCTTGGAACCAGGAAGAAGTTGACTTCGACTCCTGGTTCAACGAAGTATTCCACAACTTTCAAGGTCCTACGTTATGACAAAATACGAAGTGAATGCTCATGTTAATGTATTTAATGATGTACCATCACATATCCAAATTATCCTTTTTAATCCGTGCTAAATCATATCCTTTTAGGTCTTCACGTAGCCAGTATCATTGACACCCCCATATTCCCGGAACGGCTTCGGAGCACTTGTGCTCGTCATTGTGCACTGCCACAACATTCTTCGCTTATCCTGATCGTCCTTGTACTTGACTAACTGACCAGTGATGCTGTGCATAACACCACGGTTATGGAAGATGACCAAGTCGCCTTCCTCCCAACGATGCGCGTAGATATTCTCAGCTGCGTAGATCTTGCGTTGCATGCTGTAGACCACATTTCGGACCTGCTCAACGTCGTCCATTATTGTTACCTCTCCAGTGGCTGGGTCCCTGGTGGTGAGTTTATAGACGCAGCAGCCGTGCACTTGGAGGAAAGGTCTATCTGGGTTCATAGGGTTTCTCCAGACCATCTAAAGATGATATATCAGTACGAAGTTTTCCGGGCTCCTGTCTAAAGGTTAACTCACAGGGTGTTCAGCCACTTTATCCCAGCTCCATTCCGACATCTGCTCAGTGGAGACTTCACGGCCCATAGAGGGTATAGTAAGGCCATCCTCGGAAGCTTTGCACTGTCTGATATACTCGTACGCCTGAGGCGCGTAAGTGACAGTGGTGTTAAAAGCAAATTCCTGCTCCTCGGGGGTCAAAAGAGCGAAAGCACGAGCGCCAGAAAAAACTAGAAATTACCAGTTAGTGTTTCTCTGAAAACGGGATCGTATCTTTGACTTGCAGGCTGTAGCTCCGGCGGCAATTTGCTTCTCCTTCCCACCAGGGAACTTGATCTTCTGATCAGGCATGTTAGGAATGCGGATAGAGTGCAGGATGGTGACTTCGCCAGGTAGACGCTCGTAGAATGGGGTATCCATGTGCCATCGGTACGGACGGGTATATCCATTGTCGAGATCGTCTTGAGAGAGAGGGGCCTCGTGGAACAGCGTGTGATCCTATCGTATCGGATAAGCACTGTGTTTAATACGCCACATGATATACTTACCAGGTGAACAACTTCAATCTCCTTCAAGCCTTCATAATCTTGAAATTTGCCCGAACCAATGATTCCAACCTGTGGGGCTTTGGGGTGTCGGCCAGCCTTGTACGCTGAGAGAATATTCTTTGGGTCGCTCACAGCCTTCTCGCCCGCAGAGTGAATGTCGGACGCACTTGGGTCGAAGATTTTCGCAAGGTTCGGTAGGACAGTCGCGTCAATGCCTTTTTGCTTCCGGATGACGATGACTTGATTATCGAAAAGTGCTTGTCGGAGAGTCTCCTTGTCTTTCTCGGTCAATTTATCCAACTCCAGGAGGGCCATTCCTGGAGGGAGGTGGACTTCAGCGCCGATGGCCGAGCTTTGTCTGATCTCCTCTGGGAGGAGATCGAATATCAAACTTGTGGGTTCAGGCATTTTGAGTGTAGGATACCTATGAAATGGTGGAAAATGTTTCGAAGTTCTGAGTGAATTGTTTATTCTATTGTTTGCTTAGCATCGCATTCTTATAGATCGGTACTACTGAGGCAGAGCGGGTGGGAACGGAAACTCGCCCACCGGGGATCTCGACCGCACCATCGCGATTAGATTGTGAACTGTGGAGCTATGGGGACATTTCATCTAGACAGATGTAGATAGCTTTATTCTAAATTCGATCAAGGTCTTAAAGTAAACAGTCCAGGGGATGAGTTTCCGCAAGTCACCCGCATCGATTGATCTGTTCAACAGAGTTCAGGGAGATTGGCTTCATATAAAGCATAGATCTCCTTAATAGTTAATGACAGCAATCATTTCTTTACAAATCCCAAGACATTTAAGCCATAATGAGTACTTTCACAGTGTGCCTCAACCCGCTCCCTAAGTCTAGCGTGTGTCAAGTGGACTTTGGCACTGAGCTAAGTGGACTTGACCTTGAAAATCTGAGTGGTAAGGGGGTATGAAAGCTGCTTCTTATTACTATGACTGATTCACAGACCCAAAGATATGGACTTTGGCATCCTTCACAAGGCCCTATATGAGAACCAAGTCGTCGTTATTAAGAACCAAAAGAGCCTCTCCCCACATGCCCAATACGAACTCACTCGACGCTTCGATCCATCTGCCGGCATCTACAGCCATGGAAAATCCATCGACAAGCGCAGTGTTCTCCACGCCGACTTGACCACGATCCCTCATCAACCACAAGTCCAAGTCATTGGAAGTGGCTCCGTCGACGAATACGAAGGACTGGTCAAGCTCAAATTGAAGCATCCCCATCACAAAGCATTCCACAAGCACCCAATCTCGGCCGAGGATGATGCCGAATTCACCCATTTCTACCGCTGGCATATTGATTCAGCCATGTACAATCTCGACCCGCCCCTCATCACCTCCTTGCTAGCCGTGCAAGTGCCCCAAGGCCGTCGTCAGACCCTTTGTTACGACGACGGAACCAACACCGAGCTCGACGTTCCCCTAGGAACAACAGCCTTCTTTAGCGGGTACCGTCTCTACGAAATGCTCACCGATGAAGAAAAGTACTTTGTTCGCACTAGCAAAATCGAGTACGCACCGCACCCATATATCTGGATGAGCAAGGCTAAGTCCCGCTCCAACGGGTTGGGCATCGTATCCGAAGGACTCGAGCTGTCGATGGATGGGTTACCTCAATTCGAAGATTCGAAGATCAAGATATACCCGATGGCGTGGAAGAATCCCGTCACTGGGAAACTGGCGATGATGGTCTACCCGACCTGCGTGCGGAAGATTCATCTTGAGAATGGGGAGGTTCTTGATGACCTTGTTGAGATTCGGGAGCGATTGTACTCGTTGCAGAGAAGGGCGATTGATCCCCAGTTTGTCTATCCTCATGATTGGAAGGAGGGCGATTTGGTGCTTTTCAATAACCATGGTGTGATGCATTCTATTGTTGGGTCGTTCAAGGAGGATGAGGTGCGTGTTTTCAGACAGTGTAATATGGCTGCGAGTCGGCCACCTATGGGTCCCGGGGATTCTCTGCCTGCGCAATGAAAGATTTAATATTGGATTTCCGGCTTCAATTTTCTGCCTCAATACCATTCTTTATCAATCTGGTAAATGACAAAAAAGCAAGAATGATACATGAAACGAAATGTACACTATCCAAAAAGGGATACTTCAAATTGAAATCCACATCCGTCACCTTATGCTGGCTGCATGATCATACCGTCCTTGATAGCATCAATCATCTTCCTACTAAAGGGATCTTTCTTATCAAAAGCGGCCTTCCTGCGTTCAGCAGGAGTCCAGGTCGTAATATCCAATTTATCGCCTCCGATCTTGGGCCCGTAATCTTTCTGGTACTGCGCCAAAGTCGTCTTCCAATTCCAAGGATCTCCATTCTTATCATCAGATGCAGGGAGCTCAAGCTTCTCAGCCTCAGCCTCGGCCGTCTCAAGCTCTTTTTCAATGCCAAACAAGCCTTTAAGCTCAATGTTGTATTTCTTGGCATAGGCAAGCACCGTTTTGTCGAGGTCGTTAGCACGAATACCGAAATCCGGGCCGATGGTATGGGCAATGAACCGAACGAACCCAGCCATGACAACACCTAGACTCTTGACTTCAGAGTCGGGTTTCAGTAGACCTTCGCGATCCAACATGGCTAGCATAATAGCGAACATGACGCCGGTCACATCCATGAAAGTTTTAGCGCCTTCGCCATCATCGACCCTGCATCAAATTAGCACCAACGGCTAGTGTTAGATGGAGAGGAACGCACTGGAATAGCGGATTGGCGTCACCTTTCGCGAAAAACAGGGCTGCTCCCTCGCAGATGGACCATTTCTCCTTCCAAGTCTTTGCCTCTTCGAAATCAAGAACGGGGTTCTGCGCCACCTCAAGAACGCCGTAGCCAAAGTGATCGTTGTAAGTGTGCATCCCAAAGCCGTCCGGGTCCCGCAAGCTGCTCATGATGCGCAGCGCGGTAAGCTTCTGCGTGCCTGCCATGGTGACAGCCCAAGGGTGCTCCGGATGCGCTGCAGAGGGCTTGAATCAGACACATCTCTGGCCGGCATCGCAAGGGACCTTGGTTTCCTGGAAACCGTTCTTGTCAGGAACCCAATTAAAGAAGCCGAGAAACCTGTCGACTCACCTTATCTGCGTTTCCTTCCTCCCCCTCTTCATCCTCTTCATCGTCGTCGCCGAGGCCGGTATAGTGAAGTGGTTTGCACAGGCAAATATATTCATAGGCCTCGAGACTGCTAGTTTTGATTCTGTATCCGTCGTCTGCATTGGCGGAACCGGAAACCTTCGACCAGCGCGGGTTGCGGGGAGGGTCGCCCGTTTTGGGATTTTTGGCCGCGCTGCCAGATGCGTCGGTTGACTGGCGCTTGGGAGGCATGGTGATTGTAAATTGGGCTCTATGGGTAAACAAACTACAGGAGTGATCAATGCAACTCAGGAGAAGCTTAGCTATCTACCCACTTAGGTTTGTTGACAGGTGACGTCACCTTGATTAGTTCTCGCGATGCGACGCGACGAAGGCGCGTCCCTCTGCCCCAACATTCAACATCGAAATGATTGATCAGATTTCAGATGAACATCGATAATCTATGAGATATATGAGGCTAGGAAGAGAATGACTTGAATTGCGATAAAATGGTCTGGGAATAATGAGATGGATGATTCCTTCTGCCCATGCGTACTTAGCGGGAGAAGATTGTAGCTTAGCCAGATATGGGCCGGAAGGTCCGCCGGTCCTTTCCACGAGGCTCCGCGGGGATCCTATTGACTTTCAATAGCTTACCAAGCGACGACTCCGCAGGCTCTCGCCACTTCTGCCTAAAGATGCCTAGAAATGCCTAGACTAGGTTGCTACCCAAGGAATCCCAAACATCCTTATTAAGAGTGCATTCGCGCAAGTGAAATTGGACACAGTTTTACAGATTACAAGGAGATTTTTATTGCTCCTCAGACAATAGGCGGAAATGACGGAATTTATCGAGCTACCCCCTGAGCTGCTGGCGCTTATTGTCTCGCTTGCAGACACCAAGTCGCTCAAATCTTTGAGATCGACCAATCGCCTGCTATCCTCATATGCTAGCAGATGTTTATTCCGCGACCTTTATCTTTATTCTGATGAGGACAGCTGTAAAGGTTTCGAGTCCGTCGCATTTCATCCCATCTTCAAAGGCACAGTGCAGAGAATCCATCTAAACACTGTTAGAGTTGACCATGTGAGTGTCATCAACCTGAACTGTGATGCGCTCCGATCTATGGGAATTTTCGATTAACAAACAGAGAAACAGGACAGTGATGATGAAGATGAAAATCCGCCTCCTACAATATGGAAAAAGCCGCTGAGGAAGTTGGAGACATTTCCGAACCTTCAAAGCGTTGTTCTTCGCTTCGATAAACACTGTGCCGTGGAGTCTATGTTTTCTGCCTGTAAGCCTCAAAGTGAACTGTACCGGGCGACAGTTATGCGATGGCTGTTTGCAAAGCTAGCATCTTTAGATCGACCCCTGAAAGAGCTTGCCATTCAGAACCACCAAAATATTTCACTCGGAAACAACAAGACCATCGGTCATATAAAGCAAGTTCTCCAAAAACTGACATCTTTACGACTGAATGTTATACATGAAGTTGATGACGCCGCCCCTGAAACAGAGATTGAGGTATTTTCACAACACCGCGCTAAAGGAACTCCTTCGCTCACCCCAAACACAGAGACCTGCGCCACATGAGTTTTTCATACGGATTCTGCCAGCAATATGGCTCAAACCTACAATGGGGTCTCTTAAAAACCTTGCATTGTACTCCACCTTCTATTGGGGCGCTTATCCTGGAGTCAATCTAGACGGTGTTCACTTCCCTCAGCTGAAGTCATTGTCCCTTGGTCATTTCTCGTTTGTCGAGGACAAGCAGTTGGATTGGATTCTAGGACACTCGTCAACCCTCCAAGAGCTCTACCTGGACGACTGCCCTATACTGATAAGCATGAGGCTGTCCGATTGCGAGTCCGACCTTTCAAGTTGCCAGATACCAAAATCCAAAATGGAAATCAAGGAGGAGAACGATCAGCAAGAATGCCATTATAGCTATCAACGACGGTGGCATGAATATTTTTCTTCTATTCAGAGGGGGCTTCCACATTTACGCCGATTTGGATTCGGTGTCAGTGAATCATGGGATGACTATGTGTTGCCTTTTGAGAATGAAAAGGAGATTGTAATTGCGTTGATGCGAGACCGGTACCTGGCACTTTACGGCGGTACAGGGCCCAGTCCATTTCTTGAAAAGAAGGATTATCTCGACATGAATCCCGATGAAGAATGGCCGGAATGTGACGAGGAAGATAGAAGTGCTCTGAAGGAGTTGTATGCGAAGATTGGACAGCAAGTGGATTATGGGAGAATCAAAGTCAATTCGCAGCGGAAAGTGGAGAGCTTGTTACAGATCCCCCAAAGGTATTAACGGGGAACAAAGCGTAAGGAAACCAGAAATTCTACACGATGAAGTACTGAATGACCAATGCTGAACCAAATATGACTGGAGAAAATGTTTTTCCAGTCAGGACCCTTTGGCTCACCCAAAAAGCAACTCTGTTTTCGTCACGTATTGTGAAAGAAGACCCCTTGCACTGCATTCCAATTTCCTGCAACATGATAGACTCTGGATCAAATCCCAGTCTTGAGCTTTTGAGAGATCATCTCACCTGGTCCGACCTCTTTCGACAGGTGAGCCTGCACTTGGGATCGTGGCTGTTGTCGCTGTTGGCATGCATGAAGCCTCCTTTTGTGTGGTTTCGGGAGAAGAGGACCCACGTCACCAAGTGTAAGGAACTTCGGATGTTCCACTATGGCGACTCTTCCTATTGTCTAAATTGGGTTGTGGAAGCTGTCGCGCAAATCAGCCAATCAAAGAATATGGCTCTGAACATCTCGTTGGCTTTGTCCAGAAGTAGTTGCTATCAAGGTAGCTCGAGCCCTGCTACTGTTAGAATCGTAGAATTATCATTGACCGTTGTTGTATCTTCCTTATAGTGCTAGGTGTTATGGAATTACTGTGGTGGTATTCTAAGGATTTTGCTATTGATCAATTGATGAAAACGAGCGAATTGTGCCAAATCCATAATCTTGGGTTCTATACAGGCTAGAAAAATATGCGTGGAGCATAAGACACAAAGATCCCTCACTTCCACTCATACCGATATTGATGGCGCCTTCTAATATAGGCGGACATTGGTATCTTCTGATACGGTAACCGGACCGATCAAGACAGTTCAATATCTAGACAATTCCAGAAATCTAGATGGATCTAAGCCTGGCTAGGCTTGGGAGGAGGAGGAATATCGGTCGACTGAGGAGGGGGACCGTCAGTGGACTGAGGGGGAGGGGGAGGAGCATCGCCGCGCTTGTCGTTTCCACCAGTGGGCTTAGGTGGGGGAGGGCCATCAGATGACTGAGGAGGGGGAGGGAGGTCTGTTCCAGACGGGAGAGGAGGAACGTCGCTTCCAGAAGGCAAAGGAGGGGCCTGATCCCCGCGCTTGTTGTTGCCGTTGTCTGACGGCTTAGGAGGGGGCACGTCGGTAGACAGGGGAGGCGGGGGAATATCAGAACCCGAAGGAAGGGGAGGAGGGGCCGAGACGTCGGAGGGAACTATAAACCGAGTGATGATTAGAACTGGCTTTAGAAATTCACTATGCTTTGTCAAAACTTACCGGGAGCAGGAGGAGCCGCGGCAACCAGGCCGGCGGCCATCAAGGCAGAGAAGACAGCAGAAATCTTCATGATTATAGATATTTTTGAATGTAAGTAGGTGTTTGAATCACTATTCAAATAGAAATAGCGATTGATTGATTTATTGTTGATAGAAGTCAAGAGGAGGGTTTGGGCACTCCTTTATACCTCAAGAATCCTCTCTATCACAACGAGCATAATAGCAACAGAAACATCATCGGAACACAAGCCTACCTGGTCACCTCACTGACGAGGACCGTGATGGTTGCCTATCATTACCTTGCCGAACGGAGTATGATGTGGTGATCGCTACAGCACGTTGCTGGTGCTCGCTGTGGTCGTCAGCTTTTTCTATATATGGAAGCTGAGATGAACATCAATACAGTTGAAACAAACACATAGCAGGTACCTGGGCCATAAGGATTTAGCTCAGTGTCCCTGGATTGGATAGTAGTTCGAGCTGAAGGGCAACGTCTTACGAATCTAGTGGATCTCGGCACTCGAAATGAGATCATTGGCGCCCTGGGTCACTTTTAGGGTTGATCACCACTTTAGTTGTTACCTATGTACAGTAGAAATACCAACGACCAATAGTCGACTGGAATTGAGCATGATACATATTGTGTGATGCTTAAAATAATGGCAAAATAATGGCACGGGGCAACCTTGAGGGATGCCCAGTACAGTACCTACATAGATGTGGATCCACATGAGACGGCAAGCCTTCAATGACCCCGTAGCTGCCAGACGCCAGTAGGCCCTTGACGTCGTAGGGTGGAACTTAAATGAGGCAAACATTGTTGAAATTTCCAGTTGATCGACAAATTGAGTGGCATTTCTCAAAATAACCAGCCGTCTGATGTCGCTAAATCTAGATGCACACGCGGCTGCCGATCCTCGCGCAATAGACGCCCCACTTGTCCATGGAGCGATCCGCCGGTAATGACGATGCAGGAGCACAAAGTCCTAATAACCTAAACTTCAAGATTTGATAACCCAGTGCGTATTTGATTTAAAATATTGATTATTACCTGAGGTTCCGATATATATTTTATTCGTGATGAAAGGGCAGCGGGAAATAACCTAGCGCTAAAAACACAATATAGCAAATATGTGGGGCATCGCACGTAAGTTGAGACTCATCGGGACTGCATGGGATGAGTGGAGATTAGACATCTTGTTTCTAAGTTCTGAGAGCCACTAAGTAATCGAAGAGGGAAGATCCGAAAACGGCCCGGCGTAGAACGACGGTTTGATCTTTCTTAGAAGGTATCCTTTCGTGTGAATTTATAGGCATTTCTAAGTTTGCGAAACAATTCGAGTATTTCTAACAAGTCATGATTATGTTTTCTGTTCAACAGTTCTAAAGATGCGAGTTGGTCTTCCCCTGTGCAGTCATCAATTGGCTAATGCGCGGATCAACTTGACTGAACATCCCCTTAACGGCTTCCTTTAGCTCCGTAGGCACATCTTCCAAGGTCTCCGAAACATTTGCCACCCACTGCCGTCTTTCAGTTTCATCAAACACATTATTCCACAGTGCTCGTGGCTGAACAAAGTCTTCGTCATTGACTTCGAGTTCGTGTTGGCCAAGCAAAGCATTGTGTTCGATGCGCTCGGTGTGTCGTACGTCTGATTGTACCTGGCTGGGCACGCCGCGACCCAGTGTACTGCGGACATAATTCGGCTCACCTCCATAATTCCGAGTAATCGTTCCCATCCCATCTCGCTCGAAGGGATGGAAGACCGGGCAGATAGCGCGATTGGGAGGGAGTTGGGTGTAGTTCACTCCCAGGCGGTATCGTTGAGCGTCGGGATAAGCAAACATACGCGCTTGCAACACTGCGTCGGGCAATAAGTTTAGTTGTGCTCGAAATGCTTGGAATTCTCATTTGTACTTACTCGGATCGGGAGTCATTGCAATACCGGGGACCATGTTGGATGGCGAGAACGCAGCTTGTTCAATCTCGGCAAAATAATTCTCAGGCTAGGATTCTTGTCAGCAACCGAGCTCCTCTTTTATCGGGAAGAGCGGGCTCACATTTTGATTCAAAGTCATTTTACCGACTTCAATCAATGGGAACTCCTTGTGTGGCCAGACTTTGGTGATGTCGAACAGACCACGACCGTAAGTCTCAGCTCGCTCGGGCTCCATCACCTGCACACATAATTTCCAAACTGGGAACTCCCCACGGGCAATACCATCCGCCAAATCTTGGCTGTGATAATCGGCATTTACGCCAGCGATGCGAGTGGCTTCCGGTCCAGAGAAATGGGTCATGCTCTGGACCGGCCGAAAGTGAAACTTACAGTAGCGGAAACTGCCGTTCTCAGCCACCATCTTGTAAGTATGCACGCCAAAGCCAGTGACACGACGGATCGAATCAGGAATGCCACGAGAGCCAAACAAATGCATGAGTGTATGCACACTTTCCGGTTGGTTGACATGGAAGTCCCAGAACTAAAAGATTAGCTTAATCAGGATAATGTATAGATTGGCACACACCATAGTCCAGTCAGGCCGATTTGTAGCGGGGTGCTTTTTGTGGCTTCTATTTAGGGATGGGAAGCGAATCGGATCTCGCACGAAGAACACGGGCTGTAGGATAAGATGTTATTTTGGGATCAGAAGTCTGGCCAAGAGATGCGAGACATACAATGTGGTTGCCGACGATGTCGTGATTGCCTTCCTCTGTGTAGAACTTGACGGAAAAGCCACGGACATCACGGACGGTGTCTGCGCTTCCCTTTTCACCGCCAGTGGTGCTCAGACGGCACAAGACTTTTGTCTTCTTCCCAACGCCGTTGAGGAATTTAGCTGATGTGAGCGAGGAAATGTCATTAGTGACCTCGAATTCACCCCAAGCACCCGAAGCTTTCGCATGAACCACTCTATTGAGTTTCAGTAATTGATCTTATAAGAAGTACATAGATGATGTCGTTTCCGTACCTTTCCGGAATGCGCTCGCGATTGAAGTGTGCGAGAGTTTCGAGCAGAAGTGTATCTCCAAGCGTCGTGATGCCCCCGCCTCCAAAGATAGGCAGCGTGGTGCTAACAGAAGGATCCGAAATTGGCTGGCCTTTGCAGCATGTCAGATTGGCAAGTAGATACGAAGAGGATGAGAACTAACCCTCTGCCAGTGTAAACTTAGGGTTCGACATAGAGTTGCTTTCTCCAAGGACTTGGCGCGGTGTGGTGGGAATGCTCTATGCTCTGTTCTGCTGGGGGATGAGCCGGCTTTTATGATGCGATACTCACCTATTACGCCTCAAAAATATGGCAAACATACAGCCAGGGGCTACGGATTGTCGACTCATCTTTTCCGGCGATTCTGTATAGTACTGCCTATCAGGGCATGCCGTTAGAAATTCGGGACGACGCAGCCTGTATTGGGCAAATACGAACTGAATGCCGAGATTCCGGGCTCCATTATACGGCTGACGAGATACGATATGACGCACAGTGTAGTTGATAAAAATATGCGCAATAAACCAGGTTCATTCCTCAGCCCTACCGAAACTAAAGGTAAGCTGACCCATTAACCGAGCTCATCCTACAGGCTGCATTCCTCTCCTCGGCCTAATCTCGGCCCTCTCGGTGAACCAGGAACTCCCGCAAGCTGGCAGTAACATAGACGGTGATAGGCTTATTTCACCAAGCGGTGAAGATAATGGCTTCCCCTCATGAGGGGTAACCCGTCGGAGTTTTTGATGTCTGAATTGGAGTCAGTCTTTACGCCTCATTCAAATGTTTGAGGTGCATAATTCCCGCTAACCACATTACGTACTACTACCACTATGAGGGCTGTGTTGACATGTATGCAAGCCACTCCACTCACTTTACGATGATACCACTCGTCCGAACTATTCCCGTATCATATTGATGACGCCCGGAAGACGGCACGGCCACAATGGATACCTAGGTAGAGACATTGGTGAGATGTGTAAATATAAATACAAGGCCAAATGGAGATGCTTCATTCCATCTGCTCTTTACACATTCGACATACACCTATACTCAGTTTCCCTCTCTTTTCCCGTCCATAAACAATCCAATTGAAATCATGGCGATGGTATCAAATGGCTCGGAGTACGACTTCATCATCGTGGGTGGAGGCACAGCTGGTAACGCGGTCGCAGGCCGCCTCGCGGAAAACCCCAATGTCCGCGTCCTAGTCGTCGAAGCTGGTATTCCAAACCCCGACCAGATCGAAGAGATCATCACACCCTCCAAGGCCTTCAACCTTCGGGGCAGCAAATATGACTGGGCCTACAAAACAACAATGATCAAGCGCGACGACTACGAGCGCGTGGAAAAGCCCAACACTCGTGGAAAAGTTCTCGGTGGAAGTTCATGCGCCAACTATTTCACTTGGATTCCCGGCTCTAAGCCAACTTTTGATGACTGGGAAGCCTTTGGCGGCAAGGATTGGACTTGGGACAACTGCGTCGACTACCTGCGCAAGTGTGCGACCTACCATGACGATGAGAAATTGTATTCGACCGATTTGAACAAGATCGGAACTGGCGGTCCTCTGCAAATCTCCCATGCTGAGTTGGTGCCTGAGATGAAGCCTTTCCGCGATGCGCTCACTCAGGCGTGGGTCTCCAAGGGTCATCCTCTGACTGAGGACATTTTCTCGGGCGAAATGAAGGGTCTTACACACTGTGTTGACACTATCTACCAGGGCGAGCGCCAAGGTAGTTTCCTGTACCTGAAGGGCAAGCCTAATGTGACAATTCTCTACGGTGTTCAATCCAAAAAACTGATTATTGACCCGGTCACGCACATCTGCTCAGGTGTCACTGTAATCAGCGAAGCTTCAGGCATCGAGATCAGTGTCTTTGCTAGCCGCGAAGTGATCTTATCCCAAGGTGTCTTTGAGACGCCCAAGCTTCTCATGCTTAGTGGCGTTGGTCCGGCAGCTGAGTTGGCTAAGCACGGAATCGCTCCTGTGGTGGATTCTCCTCATGTCGGCCAACACCTCTTGGATCATCCCATTGTGCCATTTGTGCTTCAGATCAAAGATGGATTTGGTTTGGATGACCACATCCTCCGCCCTGGCCAACTCAATGACACGGCCGTGGCAGAGTACAAGAAGAGCAAGACCGGACCTATTAGCTCGGGTCTTCTAGAGCTTGTCGGGTTCCCTCGCATCGACGAGCGCCTGGAAAAATATCCCGCCTACCACGAGGCAAAGGCTGCGAACGGCGGTCTGGATCCATTTGGACCAGCTGGCCAGCCTCACTTCGAGCTTGATTTCGTCGGCATGTTCAGTACCGCGTTCCAGTGGCACTATCCTCTCCCCGAGAAGGGCAACTACATGACCGTCATCGTTGATCTGTTGCGGCCCCTTTCCGAGGGCGAGGTCACTCTGAACAGCGCGAACCCCCTGATTCAGCCTAACATCAACCTTAACTTCTTCGGCAATGATCTTGATATTCTAGCAATGCGCGAGGGTGTCCGCTGGACATACGATGTCCTGACCAAGGGAACCGGCTTCAAGGACCTTGTCGTCGCAGAGTACCCCTGGAGAATGCCCCTCGAGTCCGATGATGATATGAAGCGAGTTGTCCTGGATCGAAGCCAGACTGGATTCCGTGAGTAGTTTCCTTTGAAGAGAGAGCGAAACCAAAGCTGACTCCCTTTAGACCCTTGTGGAACTACACGTTTGTCCAAGAGCATCCACCAGGGTGTTGTCGACTCCAAGCTTCGAGTGCATGGAGTCAAGAATCTCCGAATCGCGGATGCTTCCGTAATCCCCGTGATCCCCGATTGCCGTATTCAAAACTCGGTTTACATGATTGGCGAGAAGGTGAGTACCACTTCCCTTGAAATTTCGATAACGCTAACGAATGAGATAGGGTGCGGATATCATCAAGGCTGCGCACGAGGATATCTATGGTGGGAAGAAGTTCCCTCGCTTTGCTCCCAGGTTGTAGATTGTTATCTCTGGCGTCCATGTTTGACTGACCAGCTACCTCACCCGAACCTCTAGATTGTTTCAAGATTATTTTGTTAATTTGATTTAAGAAAAACGTTATCCAATATAATTGACATGCGATCGCGTTTCCTGTGTGTACAATAATTCAAACGCAGTAAGAATCAGTGACCATTTGAATGACCATCGGAGTTGCCATTGGTTCGACCATTGATTTGACCGTTAGTGTGACCGTTGGCGTAGCCATTGGAGTGGCCATTAGCGTGAAAATTGGACTCATCGTGACCATCATCGGCAACCTCAGCCTCAATGACCATCTCATACTGCTGTGGATCAGGCCAAAATTTGACAACCTTCAAACCTGCACTGCTCAAAAGACTTGTCCACATCTCCTGAGTACGCTCTGAAGCCGACAGCAGAGACATCATGTTCACGTCCATCGTGGTCTGGCTGATACTCGCTCCCGTTGGGGGAAGAACGATGTCGTAGACGAAGAGCTTGGAGTAACCCTTCACCATTGCGTCTCTGGTATTTACCAGCAGTTGTTTGGCCTTCTCATCTGGCCAGTCGTGGAGGACGGCGTGCATGAAGTACGCTCGGCTCCCTGTGGTATTGCTGTTAGTAAAGGTCCAAATGTGCTGGCATATCTCTTACCTTTGGCAGGCTGGGGTAGGAAAAAGTCATGAGCTACAGCGGTTATCTTTTTATCGACCTGAGCCGTGGAAATGATTTCAGGAAGGTCTTGTAAGACAAGTGATCCGGCGGGAAGCTCAGGGTGCTTGTTGAGAACATGTGTGATATCGATACCAGTGTTTCCACCAACATCAACCACAAACGGAGAGCCATTGATTAAATTAGCGCTTTCCAACAGCTGAGTTGTGTCATAAACCTTGGTCCACGGGGTCTTCCATGTTGTCCAAGCCTCCATGTGGCCAGTGAAAGCTTCAAAACAAGCGGGGCTTTTCTGAAGCCGCCCAAAGAAGGTGAGACCATCTGGATCACTGTTGGTATGATTGTTCTCATTCACGTCGGTGGGTTCTTGGTAAGAGATCTTTGCGAGGTAGGCCGGCAGATTGTGACCAGCGGAAATGTATTGGTTTGTTCTAAGCAGAGGTTCAGCCTGATACGTGGGGTGATGAGAAAAAGAAAACTTACGCTGCTTGAAGTGAGGCACGTACTTTGGTGCTTTCGTCACCAATAGCATGCGAGAAAGGTGTCGGCTTGAACTCGCCTTCGCCTGTCTCTTCAACCACATTGAAAGCTGCCAATAGGCGGAACAGACGACCTGTGTATGTCTTGTAAGCCTCCATACATCATAAAATTGCGGATACAAGGTCTTACGCAGTAGATTGGTATCCATAGTAGGAGTGCTCATCTTGGCGAGCTGGTCGATGGTTTTCTCGCCACCTCCAATTCCAGTCCATGCTTTCCACAGACCCACATCAATGCATGTCTGCAGAGCCGCAAAAACAACGGGATGCTCAAAGCAAAAACCCCAAGCGCGTTCATAAGGTGATTCAACCCTGGCAAGCAGCCGACGCGCCGCAGCACGAACTTGGAGGCGCTCTACCTCATTATCACCAAATAACTCAGGGTGAACTGCATCAAGAGCTTTGATGATTCCTTGAGTTTGAGCTGACATTATCCACTTCAGAGTTCAATGCCCAGACTTGAACATTAATATGAAAGCAGGCCGTGCCAAAAGACAAAAAGCGACGATATGAGCTACTGTATATATGTTCGAATTATTACGCTAAGAGTTGCCACATGGTCGGACCACATTCTTAAGCTTAGCGAATGTCATAGACCCCCTCTGAGTTATCAGCACTAAATCAAGTCAATTACCTGAAGGCGAACTTAGTGGTGTGAACCCCTCACCATTAACCTTCCACAACCCACAGCGCCCCACAGGAGTAACTTGTGCTCTGGCCCCGAGGTTGTCTTCTTGATATCAAGGTATATGAAAAGATACAATCACCAAATCCGTAGGAAAGAGCTACCATTGACGATTCGGTCTGAAATCAAAAGACAATCGGTCTACTTCCAAGAATTTTTCAGGCTTGAGGCGACTACATACGGGCTCCGCAGACTATCAAAGGTAGATAAGACAACTAGCAAGAAAGCTATGATAGCCTGCCAATTCACGCCAGTGTTTCACTACCAAACCCAGTCTCGAGCCACCGGGGGTCCATATCCGTGTTCCCGGATCAGAGCGTTAGGGTGTAATGATGCACGTTCAACTAATATCCAATCCCACGTTCCAAAGTGGAGCAAAACTCCCTCAGAAACTTTGTTGGCTTGACAGGTAACGGCCGCCATTCTCAGAAGCAGGATTTAGCCCAAGCGAAGGACGATCGAAATAAACTGTTCTTCTTGGGAAATGATCGCTGGGAGACACAGTCTAGACGCGGATGGAGGGGAAATGGACGTGTAGGCTTCATGGAGGCTAGCGCTTCCGGGTTTTCGAATTAGAGCGAATACCTCAGTACCTGTCTAGGATTTTAGTGTTGACATCTTCCAGGCTTCTTTGCCACCTGCTGCGGTGAATGGCATTATCCATGAAGTCTACGACTGGCGTGGCCTTCGCTTTATTAAACTTGCCGTTTCTGTCTTGATGAGTTACAATCCTGGCTCAGTGCCTTTATGGGAAAAGCTCTTGTGTCAAGGCTGATTTCCTGGGGAAGATGTTAAGGTTGAACGTGGTGGGATCATCGCGCGGGCCGTTGTCTGTCCTGACAGCTCCCAGGATCATCATGCCGGGTTGCATGTGGGCCCTTTTTACCTGTCAGGAGAATATTTGTGACCTGTCAATCCCGAGTGCCTTGTTCATGTGGGTCCGTGGCTTTAACGATGGGCTCGGAACGATCCTATACATCCGTCCCCGACCGGCTTCTGCTTTTTTCGGTTAGTGTGAAATTCGTGCGATGCACGCTCTTGTTAGTTTAGCATGGCCTCGTGGTGAGTCAAATTTACATTGACAAGCATCCCTCTTATTGGAAAAGTAGAAAGAACCAATTTGCCCAATCTTGCTGAGTTTCTAGCCTTCCGCTTTGAGCTAGTTTTGCAGGAAGATTGGCAGTGGAAAATGATGTCTCAAATTGTACAATCCATAAATGCTTCTTGATCTTGCAGGTATTTCCTTTTCATCATCTGTATGATCCGCTTCGCTCGTTTTTGAAAAAAAACTCTTAACATCTTCAAAATGGGTGTATATGGAGGTCTAGGGCCTATGACCAATGCGGTCCTGTGGCTGGAGGTGGTCATCTTCGCTGTTTTTGTTGGCTTAAGGCTTTATACTCGCATAAGCCTCCTGAACGCCGTTGGTGTTGATGATTATCTCGTTGTTCTTGCACTGGTAAGATTCCTAAATGTAACCTCGCATGCTTTCTGTGACATCTAACAGAATGAAGATCGTTCACATTCTTTACACCATATTCGTCACTATAGGGACATACTACGGCCTCGGCCAACTATACGCCAATGTTGGGGATGCAGACATTTATTACACGGCCGTGAAATATGAATTATTCAGCCAGGTGGCCGGACTTGCCGTGATTGGAATTGGAAAGGCGGCTGTCGGGATGTTTTTGCTTCGAATTGTGAGGAACAAGATCCAGATTGGGTTCATCTGGGCTTGCATTGTCATCACTGCCATTATCACAACATTTGCTTGCGTGACTGTCATAGTACAGTGCATACCTGTGGAGAAGAGTTGGAAACCAAATACGCCAGGGTATTGTTGGCTTGATTTCTCCAGGGTTGGCTATACTGTCGGATGTGAGTAACAGACTCTGTCGCCATTGGCGAGGAAGTCCCATATCTGATCATGAAATTTCTTTTTACAGCATGGTTCGTCGCTGTCGATTTCTCTTTTGCCATACTGCCATGGTTCGTTGTCTGGGATCTCAACATGAAGCAGAAGGAGAAGATCACTGTAGCATGTGGTCTAAGTCTTGGTATTTTGTACGTCTTCAAATCATCTCATTCGCTTAATGGAGTCTAACTTGAATGTTACAGCGCCGGAATTTGCGGCATCGTCCGTACTGTCGCACTATCGGGCCTGAACGCATCCGAGTACATCTGTATGTTACCTTAACCTTCCTGCACAATGACCAGATCTAACCTAACCCCCAGACGACACCGTTCCAATGCTCATCTGGTCCGCCACCGAAAGCTGCGTTACAATCATGTGCTCCTCGATCCCTGTCCTCCGTCCTCTTTACGTCCGCATCCGCTACGGAAAAGATGGCAAGAACAGTTCACCTGGTAACACCGATTACAAATTACCGATGTACGGCAGTGCTCGCAAATACGGCAAACTTTCAATTTCGGGCCCCGAGCACTCCACACTCAACTCGAACTGCGGTCCCTACCCGAAAACGGTCATCTCATACAACACAAGAAACACCAGTGATGAGACGATCATTCGGGATCCGACGGGTATCGCCAGGACGGATGAGATTTCGGTCAGCTATGAGCAATTTGGAAAACAGGGCTGAATTGGGGCGCCAAGGGACAACACGGAGTATTCTTGGTCGCGGGGCTTTATGTACTATGGGACATAGTGAGGGATATGGTCGGGCTGAGGCAATAAGGGCACTGGACACTTGTTAACTGCAAATACTCATATTTTTGCAACCCAGAGAATATGGCCCGTATCATAGGGATAAAGTCGGCCAGGCCTCGCATCACCTTTCTTTCACTCATTACTTGTTGTTAATCAGATACTATATTCAAAGCAGAGGCCATATACACACGCTTGCGTCTTTTCTTCTTTAGTGGGTACTTCTTTAGTGGATAATTGAGAATCATCTATGCCGGCTCCAGCCCAGCGTCTTTCAAGCACAGTGGTGTACATTGCAAATTTGAGAAAATGAAACTTTTGATTGGGTATATAAAAGGCTTGATAGATACTGAATGCGCTGCAAACATAAACACCATGAGGCCTGGGATATCCGGGTCCAGGTCCAAGAGTCGTAAAATAACAATCATGCTCAGGTTACAGATTCCTCAGCATTTGCCTTTACCGCAAGCTCTAGCAGCGATCTCTTCTCCTTCTCAGTTCCGTTTCGCCGCTGAGCGGTATCGCAATGCTGAAGATTCCCACAGTCACACACGCCTCCTTCCCTAAGCCACCGATAAGTAATACTCCATCGGTTCTCACGCGGCCTCACGGTTCCGTCCGGAAGCGTATCATTTTTGCGCTTCTTAATACCATGCGTCCAATGCAGCCTTGAATCCCCAGACATCTGCATCATGCTCCTCGGATTGAGATCGACCTCAACCCGCTCCTCGCCCCTGCGGAACTGCATAAGCGCTGGCGCGCCAAGAGACAGTGCGTAGAGCTGATCATAAGGTCCGTGTGCATCTACATGAGGTGGTATGCCGGCCCCCGGCGGGTAATACTGCAGACAGACCTGGTCTGGAGGTCGGGATTCCGTAGTCGGGATAAGCGGCTGGAGCCACTTGGGAAATTCCTTGTAAGGGATCTCCGGATCTATGCCGAAAGTCTTATAGTCGAAAGTGTAGCCGTAGTGGAGAGATATCCGACCGGGGCGATCGGGCCATTTCAGCTCTTTGAGGAAGATTGAAATAAGTCGCTGCTCATGTTCGGCGTCGATAAATTCATCTTCCCAGATGATGCCGTGGGGTTCGATGGGTAATTCTTTGAACTTGCTTCGCTCCTCCATACCCCTGGTTCCTTTGGCACGAAGTTGTTTCGAGAGTGTGAATGTGCGATAGCGACCACGTGACGGCAGATTCGGTTTTTTTGTTCGGCGAATTTCACGCGTCACGGCCCCACAACCTCAAGCCAGCTGGCTGTCAACTGAGATCATGAGGGGTATATAGCATAGTTCCGTGATCATAGCTGCATATAGCTGCAGCTTGTAATATTGCAGGGCCTGATAAGGATGATACGAACAAGCAGAGCCTCGGTCCCATATTTTCCTTTTTTTTGTTCCTTGTTTGCTATCTCTTAGAAGATGACCATGCAAAATCAATCAGGTCCCGCAGAGTGCGGTGATGTTATCAAAAAACAGATTTAAACAAAAGCAGAGGTCACTCTACAGATATTCAGTTTTTCGCTATATTGCTTCATGCTCACCAGAAATCAATGATGAACCTGTTCATCCGGACTGGTCAGGGACCCCAGGGGCAGGCGGGGTCGCCCTCGGCACCCCCACACATGCCTGTCCAGTTAAACCACCGCTTGACTCCTCCAAAGCTAACCCCGGACACGGCACACTTGTAGCAGCTCCTCGGTCTTGGTCTCGAGCGGGGTTTGACGTTACTCCTCTCCCCCCCATACTCTCCTCATTTTAACCTGCGACTTGAAGATCAAAGCTAAAGTTCAATCTTAGCCGGTTTGTTGTTACGTTTTCTAGCTAGTCCTCAACGCTACATCGTACACACGGCCCGAGCCCACCACTCATCCCGCATTAGCCCCGCATGGAGCTGCAGCATGGACGCCCCGAGGTAGCTGAATTAGGATAAATTATCACATGGGTCCCGGAGATTACAGATGCTTAAGATGATTGGCACTGTTATGATCTCACCGGCCACTAGTTCTTTTTAATTCAGTTGGTTAGTTACTGCTTTAAAGGCCCAGAACAACGCCCCTTTCGCTTGTCTCATTATCACGCATCTGATCTTGAAAGAACTCCAGTAGCCCGAACAAAATGGCGGACATTCCAGAGAACTCTGCTCCGGGATACGTAGGGAGGCTGGATGCCTCACAGCAAGAGAAACTTCACCAGTTTTGGCGGATTCTGATGCAATCCTGGGATTCAACCATTCCCGGCCCTGATCCCGCCCGCAAATTATCAGTCTCCTCTAGTGGCACTACGAAGCCGCATCGGCGTTTCTTCTCCCTAGGGCGAGCACAGACTCAGCCCACAGAGGAAGAGACCACCGCCGTCCCACCCAATCTACTCTCCACATTGAAAAGCCTAGGCGCAGGCCCAGATGAGATCAAAACTATCAACACACTTTGTCAAAGGCTCCCAGGGGACAAATTGCGGGCAGCTCTAATCTCGGCTCTCAAGCAAGATCATCCGGACGCGCTTTGCCTGCGTTTCATCCGGGCCGAAAAGTGGAACATTCCCAAGGCATGGATCAAGCTTGTCTCGGCCCTGAACTGGCGAGTCAATGAGTACAAGGTCGATGAAGAAGTCCTTCTCAAAGGTGAAGGATATCATCTGGAGAAATCGCGACAGAGTGGAGACTCAATTGAGAAAAAGGATGGCCAGGGCTTTGTGCATCAGCTGAAAACTGGCAAGGGTCACTATCATGGAGCTGATAAGTGGGGTCGTCCCATCTGCATCGTCCGCGTACGGACCCATAATCCCAGTGACCAGACGCTTAAGGGATTGAACGACTACATCATTCACTGCATTGAGACTGTGCGCTATTTGCAGGTTCCGCCTGTGGAAACAATGGTAAATTTCAGCAGGTCTAGATCTTCTCAGAGCCATGTGGATAGACTAACATTTCGATTCAACCAGGCCATTGTCTTCGATCTGACCTCATTCAGTCTATCCAACTGGGTAAGCACGAGACAGTGGACATTAAAGTTTTCTTGTCCTACAAGCTAACCAAATACCTAGGACTTCCCTCCTGTCAAATTCATCATCGACAGCTTTCAAGAAAATTATCCCGAATCTTTAGGAGCCTTAATCTTCTACAATGCCCCTTGGATCTTCTCCGGTACGTTTGAAACCCCGAAGCTGGCTCCGGAGACCAATACTAATCTGCACTGAAACTAGGATTCTGGAAAATAATCCACGGTATCCTCGACCCTGTAGTCGCCGCAAAGGTTCACTTCATCAGCGGCGCTAAAGAGCTCGAAAAGATGGTCCCCCGATCCCAAATTATCAAAGAGCTTGGCGGCGAAGAAAACTGGGAATACGAATACGTCGAGCCTAGCCCAAAGGAAAACGATAGACTGAAAGACTCCACCACGCGTGAGGGCATCCTCGTAGAAAGAAAAAAGCTTGGCGATGACCTTTTCACACTGACAACTGAATGGATCTCAACGTTCAAGAGCGATCCATCACCGACTAGTCGCGATGACGTGATCAGAAAGCTGCGCGAAAATTACTGGCAGCTTGATCCTTACGTGCGTGTGCGGAGTGTTTTGGATAGGACTGGTGTTATCAATGAAAGTGGAAGAATTGATTTCTATCCTATGAAGGTTTCACCCGAGGTGAACGAGAAGTCCAAGATTTTACCAGAGCATTTGGATAATGCACAAATTCCCGCCGTCGCTGCTTAGCTTGGTCAAGATATGGTTGGTGCTCCGGGTTGGGGGGGTTATAGGTTTTGCTTCATATATAGTCATAGGATTTGCTAGATAATTTGAAAATTTCTAAGATTCTTTCTGTGCTTGTTTCATTTGAAAAGTCCCATCACTTGTCGGGAAATTCCGCATTTCATTTGCTTTAGATTGAGCACCAACATCTCTGTGACCCTTCTGACGCTTCCTTGACGTCCCTGTAGTTTTATATGCAGATTTGACTTTACGGCAAGAAATATACTTGCTGGGGCTCAATATATCAAAGTAAATCAGAGATTAGCGGGACTGAAATTTCTACATATTTTTTTTTCATTCAGGGCATGAAGGCCCATACGTAGTATTAACTCCTTATTCCAGATATCATACGATACCATGTCTCGTAATGTTTCGCCGAGCCATGGTTGCTTAGTCTTCCACCAAAGTGTAAATAAGTCAACCATATCAAGCCCGCGTGGGCCTAGCACTGTATACACTTCTCCATATAAGGGACCAACAACATAGAGTCTATTAGGTGCACATTCACCTTGATATCGCCCAAAAAGACTTACGAAAAATTGAGGGCTTTATCTCCATTGTGACTGTGTATCTTAAGATTGTGAACAAGCCGTGTGTAGATACCGATCAGAGTCATGATGTCAATTCCCTGTCATTTACTTGACATGGAATCCTCTTTCCCTACTTCTCTGAAAGCGCATATATAGTCACCTGCACTTCATGATAACCACCCTCTCCGTTGAAACCATATTGAAGTATTATAGTCCACCATCGCGATCATTCTACCATTGCGACCACTCTACCATTGCGACCACTCTACCGTCCCGATGGATCTCGAAAAAAATTCTCAGGGGTTTTTGATCCAACAATCAACTGACCCACCTCTCGTCGGGGCGTTTAGTCAGTACCTTTCTGTTCCGGAGCTGATCCAAATATTGGACAGTTCCATCGCCGTACTTGGATTCCCAATGGTCAGGTTTTATGGAGCGGTATATCTCGCGAAGCTGCCCAAAAATGGGCCGACAAGCACCATCTGCAGACTTTGACCACAGCAATGGGTCCTCTAATGGACGAAGACCAAGTGGAATGCCCAAAATGGAAAAAGACCTTCGAGGAATGGAGACAATATATCCATGGTGCTTCCACAATTTTCGCATGGCATATAGCTCAGGGTGAAACAGTGACGCTGCTTTCACCTCCACCTCCAGACCGGTTCAACCCGGGTGGTCTGTCCAGTTACCAAGCGTTAGAAAGACCGATCCTACAAGGTTTAGTTTGTGAATGTGCAGTGAGCCGAATTATGGTAGCTCATCCAACCGTGGTCGAAAGCCAAGATTTCCTATACGAGATATGGCCTCAAGATCAAAAGGACATTTGGACCGCGAAATTCGGATCAAGAGACTCAAAGAAAGACTGGAGAAAGACCAATCGTAGCGTAGATAAGTTGCGACTGGAGCAGTTGCTAGTGGCTTACTCGGAACTGTCTGTTCTTTTGATGAAGTTCATTGAACAGCCGAAAGGCAAAAAGGTTCGGCGAGACAGGTCCATCATCTCTTATTCGTTTGAATACTCACCAAATTATCCAGGTCAACGAATTCGCTTTTGTCGCCTTGTCCTCTCTGATCGCTTCAATCATGCTACCCAAATTACATATAGTTTTCCTGATTTTCATACTACTTGATAAAATATTAAGTAGACTGGAAATTAACCGATCCTATCAGTCGCGAGAGACGCAAAGTTACAAAGAAAGGCCTGATATGAGCCAAACGGACAAGAAAATAGTACATTCAAACAATACTGCAGGAAAAATCATCAAAGACAGCCCAGGGATGCAAAAGGAGGCTAAGAAGACGTGCAAGAAAGAACTTAAAGCGCGGTCAAAGGCGCAAGAAAATCTCATGAAAAATCTCGAGGCGGAGAGAAAGGCACAAATGAAAGCGCAAGAGAAGACACAAGAGAAAACAAGAAAGCAGGGAAAGAAAGAACAGAAGGCACAGGCACAGGCACAGGCACAAAGACTGAAGACGGTAGAGAACGCAAAAAGGAAGATGAAAGAGGCAACAGTGCAAAAGCTGAAGGCAGAAGGGAAAACTGAAACAGAGAAGATAGAGCTAGCTGCACAGAAACTCAAGGCAGAAAAGAAAGCTGAAACGAAGAAAAGAGAGATAGCTGCACAGAAACTCAAGGCAGAAAAGAAAGCTGAAACGAAGAAAAGAGAGGTAGCTGCACAGAAACTCAAGGCAGAAAAGAAAGCTGAAACGAAGAAAAGAGAGGTAGCTGCACAGAAACTCAAGGCTGAAAGAAAGGCTGAAACGAAGAAAAGAGAGGTAGCTGCACAGAAACTCAAGGCTGAAAGAAAGGCTGAAATGAAGAAGAGAGGCGCAGAAAAAGAAGAGCCAGCGAAAAAAGCGAAACTGAATATAAAATAGTAGGCTAGAAACAAGTTCAATTAAATCGGGAAGTGCAAGCCACGACACATTTCGTTAAAATAACAAGCAGACTGCTCAAGGAGCGTGCAAATACTCAATCTTCGAAATTATTTTTGGATGTGTACTTCTCCTTTAGTAGGGTACTGTAGCTGCTATATTTTTTAGATGCCATATTTAATAGCTTGTCCAAAGTGATGCAAAATGTAACAAAAATGGCTTCGTGTTGTGGACTGTCTCATTCAAAGAATCCCATGCCCTTCATCCCTAGTCTCTGAAAGTAGCCAATCAAAGCCTTCTTGGGTACATAACCAGCATAGCGTCGCTGTCGAAACGCCGTAAACGAGCCCTCATTTGGGCCCAGTTCTCTGAAGCCGAGAACCTCAAGAGCACGCGGCGTTAATAAGGCCAAAACACCTAATGCAAGGATTGTAGCATAAACAGGATGGTCCGCTGCGAAGTCGATAGCAGCATCTTCGATTTGAGAAAGAACGTCAGCCGCTGCTCGTGCCATCTCCGCACCAGTTTTGATTGCATTCGCTAAGGCGTCAAGTCAAGTACAGCCTTTGCTATAGTCTCGGATCAATTGTTGGTGGAAATCCCTTCTTCGGTTGTTTGTGAAGTGAATCAATTGTATCTGCATGGAGCATCTTGGTTAGAAAACCGGAAGCAACGGACTCAGGTGGTCGAGGGTCGGGGGAGGATGCTAACCCGGCGTTCCAAAAATACAGTCGAGGATGGAGTGGAACATCACATACTATATTGTAGCGGTAGTCTTGCATTCTAGACACTAGCTTGGCTTGTTCATCGTTTGGTGGGTAAATAGGTGCACAGAGATTCTGATACGAGTAATACGACACAGACAGAGGTAAGATGAAGGAAGGGGAAAGGTGACAGTAGGCAAGAACAGCGGACACTAACGTGGCGTATGTATGTCAATTTAAATAATCTCGTTGGAGAAGAAACAGCAGGCTACCTATATCTGCATGTCACCATCAATCTTGACTACTGAAGTCCTCAAGACAGAAGCCCTAATTTTATTGCCACTTACTGCGAAGATGGAAAGGAGAGAGACGGGAGTCTTACGGGCTAAATCATACTGGCCTAATATTTTTTCGATTAAGGTGGTCCCTAATAGGCACCATAGGTATGATTGGTGATATCAATCAAGTTACGGGACGGGAAGCAAATGTCCTTGAAATCAAATCTTAAAAAGATCCGTAAATCGTCAAAAGCTATATAGCATGGCCTTCAAAATACGTTTTTACATAATCGCTTTCGACGCCCACTCAGTAACACTCTCCGCCTCCCAATAAACGTCTCTCAAGCTACCCATCACCTCCAAACACGACTGGAAGTTCTCAATAGCCTGATTCCTCTTAGGTGATGGTGAAGCCTTTAACTGGGACATATGTATAATCAATGCCACGAGAATCGCTGTGACACCAGTAATGGACAGTCTGTCGTGTAGCTTTTTGATATGAAGTTCGGAAGCTATTAATGTGATTTGACTCGCAGCATGTTGAACGCAGAACTTCGATGATGGAAAGGGTTGTAATTGGTGAAGAATCGCGATAGTTGTGTAGAACTGTAGATGGAGAAGGCTGCGCTGGACGGCGATGGTTGGGTCATCGGCATTGCTTGAGTCTGGAGAGGGGGCGTGGCAAGATGGTGGTAGTGAGTCGGCCCAGTCGGCCAGTTTGTATTCAGAGATAGATACCCGGGTAGCCTTGTCAGTATTATCTCTGTTGTTTCTTTGGATAGGTGATCCAGCGGACGCGTAGATGTGGTTGACCTTGCCTCTGAAATCGAGGACTTCACTGATGCAGATGCATAACCGGGTATTTGCGATGTAAATATGGGCTAGTTCCTTTTGGGCGTTGGTATTATATGCTATCGAGCAGTTGGGTGAAATAATTTGGTTCTCTGAAGGGAGACTGTAGAACTCAAAGTCGTCTTCTGTCAGGATCTGGTGACTGAAACCCATTCCATGAATATTTGGTCGACATCGTAGTCTCAGTGAGATCAGGCAGTCGGTTGTGTAACATGCCCAAGCAACTCGCTTCCATAACTTGGCACTATGGTCGAAGTTTCTCGTACCGGCCGGATCCTGGAGAAGGCCAATGGATGTGGCCATGGAGATGGCGACACCGATCCAGTGGCTGCTGTCGTCGCCATCTTTTGCGTCGACACGGTAGGTAAGGAGAAGCATTGCTTGCACGATGGTGAGGGTATCTTGCTCGTAATTTGCTTGGTAGAGAAGCTATTTTCTTGTTAGCTGCAAAATATGAGCGTGATTAGTACAGCCTGACTGACCTTGGCTTTTTGGAAGAAGGATTCATGTGCCTCTCTCCTATTGGAGTAACCTGCGGCGTGAAGGTGCCTCAGGTCAACGAATGTAGTCGCAGAAAACATGACGGCATGGAAAAGAAGTAAGCTAATTGAGCCATGACCATTGCCGCGACCGTAGATCGAATTCAGAAAATTTTGCCATTCAAGGATTGGCATGGCCGGTTGTACGCATTCAACAAAAGATTGTAAAAGGGCTCTTTGAAGACTTTCACTGGGAAGCGAGAGAACACCGTTTATACGGAGCGAATCGATGGTTACCGAATCCATGCTTGTTGGAAGGGGATTCGCGAAGTCTGGGACCAGTGATATAAGGCTTAGCGTTGAGGAAAGGGGAGAAGGAGATCCCTGAGATGAGTCCTCGGAGCTGAAATCGGTGAACGTGTTCCAAAACTCATCTTTGGCGGAGTTGAACATCGGTTGAGTATCTAAAGAGAGTGGTGGGTCTATTTGACGAAGGAACTGGTTAGCACCCCCCCAAACAGCCATACAAAAACCGCAAGGGCTTAATTCGGGGAGGCTCACAGGATGAGTCAAGAGGCAAGTTCGTCCACTCAGTGTCAAGGTCGCTTGCAATTTCCGAGTACTTGTCGCCGTAGGTAGTATACTGCGAAGATAGATCTAGATGGTAGGTATTGTTTAAGGAACTTCCAAAAGCCCAAACCCCATCCGGAAGAGGGGAAGACATGTCTGATATTTTGGGATTTATTCTTTGTCTGGATTTTGTTGAGCGGAAAGAAATTGTTGAAAAGAGAGATAATTGCTTACCTTTTGCTATTTCTTTGGTCAATCTCGTCGTTGAAAGCTTTGTGATTCCAATTCGGGCATGGGATTCCAGGAGCGGCGCCGCAGGGGATCTTATTAACCCGACAAGAGTGGCACGCCTTCCGAGGTGCCTCCGTATGCTGCATAAGCTGACTTTGTGGGACCAGCATGGTGACTACCGCCTAGTAACGCGAATACTGGAAGCTAGAGTGTATAGGTATAATGAGGATGATGATTGAGAGTGTCGACTAAATTCCGAGGTAGTCAAGTGCCAGATGAGTGGCGATGGCTTTGAGGAAATTCGAGGAGATCGTCCAACGGGTGAGCGAGTAGGGGGCCTTTATGGGCTCGGAGAGTATGCAGTGATTCGTGTAGTCCGGGGTTCCCACGCTAGTTTGACTCGGGCTTGCTCATCGTCATCAGTGAACTAGATCAGTGTCTTTCACTGAAGATCTGCACCAATCCTTATTGGCTTTTATACATTGAATGAGAAGAGAGGCAGACAAATCTTGAAAAATGAACGGGGTTGCAGCACCTTAAATGCAAGATCGCCGGATTCCACGACGTAATCCGGGCCCTTTCTTCTCAATCGGGTTAGATTCGGCGTCGACCGCACGGGACTACGATCTCCTGTCATTGGATAGACCCGGACGCTTACTTCCGAATTCGTTCAGCCCCGGATCAGCTGATGCTTTGACACCGGCATTCAGATCCCAGATCAGGAATTGGCTACGGCGAGGGAGATCATTTGACACGCGACACCATTCTAGGCAAGAAAGAACCCCGTGGGGTCAACTTTATCGGCTATATGCCTCTATCTGTGGGGTATTAACAAAGGGATGACCTCATAGTAGAGATTTGACATGAATTAGTGGCTTGGTATGGTTTCTTAGTGGGAGAGCATAAATAGGGTCACGGAGGCATTGCTGCATGAAGTTGTGTTTCGACCAATTCAAACCATAACCCTCCAAAATCTGTCTCTCTTGATGCTCGCACTCGCTTGACAAATTCCTGAAGTCTCAATGCACTTGTACTTTGAACGGTAAATGATGACAATCGTTCCAATAAAATCTCCCCTGGCCCCTGGATCTCAAACATGGACACCGTCAAAGGAAACACGATAGGCAAAGCGGTGGTTTTCTGGGTCTCTGATTTGGTAAAAAACGACATTTCGGCGAAAATACTACTTGCAAGGTCTCGGCCTGCCCCATCTTCGACGCCCAGTGGATATCGCAGGCGATGGATGACCAGCAGAGCCGCAAGGCGATAAACATTTGCTTGTGTCACCATCGCCAAGATCTCATGTTGAGCAAATTCTTCGAACATTTGCGGTGATGTTCGAGGCTTCCAATGCATGATTTGTTCCTCGATCTCAGCTAGCCGTTGAGAGTGTTCGGGGTATGAATCAGATCCGAGGTCAGTAACATCCCTCTTCAAGTCATGACTGCATACACAGAGATCATATAGAATGGGCAAAAGGGAGGTACAGAGGCCCGCATAGCGATCTATGATGATTCTTTCGGTGACGGGGAGTCTGACTATAGGAACCTCGCGACGCGCCAGACATTCCACTGTGTCGACTAAAAGAGGAGTCATGATGATTGTGTCCATGATTGGGTATTGTAGGAGGGTTGAGAACCATGATTTAGTTGACATCAGAGCGCTTCGGATGATAGAGTGGGCGGTGGAGGAGTCGTGTGCGGTGAGTACGTTGAACACGTACATGGTTTGACCCAGGAAGAGGGCACAAGCCGCATCATAAATCTGCGTTATTTTTACGCTTCGTAATCGCTGCAAGCCTTTGGCAGCTTTCTTCATATCGGGGGCATCTCGTCGCATAACGAGCGATCTTTGGTAGCTCGTCATAAGTCCAATAAAAGCCAAGTAGCCCTCGGTTAAAATCGGCGCAGAAAGTTGTAAGATCGCATAAACGGTCTTTTGGGACTCGGGGACGAAACTTGATCCCCACATAAATGGCATATGGATTGCAGTAAATTGATCAACGTCCAGCACTGTGCGCATAGCATCTTGGGTCGTTTGAAGCTCGGTGGGGTAGGCGAGCAGTCTCTCCGGTCCTAAGAGCATGGAGTCATCGCTGTCGGGAGAGTCGATTTTTCGAGGGGTTCCCAGTTCTTCCGTCGCATCGGAAGGTACACTCGAGATTGATCTTGGTCGGGAGACACTCGACGAGGCCGTGGCGTCACAAGTGTCGGATTGACGTTGATGTGGCTCGATGCTCCATATCTGCATCTCACCATGCGGGAAGGTTTTCGCGGCAGGGCGACGGCCTATGCGCCTATTGCGCCTGGATGTCGAACATGTGATTTTCAGGCGCCTGCACCTGGTGCATTGCTTCTGATCATCGTCGGCAAATGTGCATTTTTCCTTACTCAAGTGGCACCGGTCGCATGCCCTTAAAACCATCTTCTCAATAGAGTAGAGGTCATCCGAAGGAGACGGCAAGGCGACCGGGGTCAATGTAGCGCTCGGGAATGAGGTTGAGAAGAGGGGAGATGAAAGATGAAACACGAAGTTAGGAGAACCGATCTCCGAGGCGTAATTTCCCCGCTTTCCCCGGGATTCTCCCACGGGCCACTAACCGAGCCCTGATCAACGCATAGAACTGCCTTTTCAGGGCTAGAATTCGACTGTTGTGAGTGTCGGATCGATTTAGCTTACAGATAGTGAACTGATCTACCCTAGGAATGTAGCTACGTGCCCTTTGTTTGCTGTTCCCACCGAGTTAACGTTTAGCCGACGATCCAGGGGCAGGGGCACGGCCCAGCCCGCCTCGGTGAGCTGTTCCTGTGATAGTCCGGGGCGGATTCATGCTGCTTAGTATCAACGCTAATTAGTCATCTAAGCTGTATATCGGGCTGACATGCATGAGCGAATGGCTTTGTGGAACACGATAATACAAGGGCTGCAGAAAGAACGTCTGCAACAGAGTTGACATACTCGTGCGATGTCTGCTGGTACCATTTCCTCGGAAAACGTGAGCGGCGGATCTCGGTTAATGGCTTAGCGTCACACTGACGAGTGACGTTATGGGACTGAACAATATCGAGATGGAAAAACTTGATGCATAATATTATAGTGAAAAATATATATAGTCACCCCTCATCCTCGCCTTTTGATGGAGTATGCTTGGTCTGATACACAGCGTTCATTCCTGGGTAATGATACGGCCTACCCGTTCCGAATCCGCGGTACCGGGCAGTGGCTCCCATGTCCACTACCATCATATACACGACCTTGGGAAGGAGCTTTTCATCCGACCGATGGCATGGGACCTTCCATGTCGTAGTCAAAATGTTGAAAGAGTCGGGTTATACTAATGAGCAATAGCAACGTTGGTGGATCCTCGCTAGCACCAAGTTTGGGATATGCAGATCCCCCCCCCAAAGAAGAAAGAAAAACGTTATAGGGAGAAAAAAAAGCTAGATGTGATTCTCGACTCGACTCGACTCAACTCGAATCCAGGCAAAGTGAGTGAGTATGAGAAATCAGACTATACAAAATAAGCCTAGGACTACTGGCAACCAAAAGAAAGCCTCCATAGGCGCTCACTCTTGCCATTCAACATTAGAAGATTGGATGGCAAATGTTAACATGATTTCCCTTCAAATCATCAGGTCACCTACCGATTGCTTCCTCTATTTTAGCGGCTCGCTCGGCCAGCACCGCAGCGACAGCCGTAGCGGCCGCGCAAGCCATGACAACGGACCGAGTACGCAGTGAAGTCTCAGGATATTTGCATTTATCTCCGACCATAGATAATAGCAATCGTGTGAATTCACTCACAGGCATCTTTCAACCCAATCAATTGACAGATCATTTTTTATTGTGCTTGATGTTGATGTTGATGTTACGGTGTGATGAAATCGGTCGCAGTTGCGTTTTTTGTGGAGCTTCAGATTCCTTCAGCTCAGCTCCTGCTCTGCACGCTTCTTCGCAGCCCATAGGTTCCTGGAGCCTGTATTCCAACGAGCCCGCTTGATACGAAAATGCCGAGTTCTATGTCTCACACCAATTCCCCACCGCACTTGGTCTGGCGTCGCGCATGGGGCGCATCGGTTGTTAATGAACCTACTGTCTTGCATTGGGATCGCGAGTCTTCGGAGTCTATAGGAGGCCTAGAACATTGAGAGTTTGACAGTATCCCATGTGGGACGATGGCTCGGCATCTTCCATTTGTCTCGGTTGGTCTCGGTTGTATCGCTTGGCCAAAAAATCGCGTCAAAGCGCGCATCCATGCTAGCGCCCTTCACCGGAGAAATCTCGTGAATACGTCACTGCCGCAAAAACTCTCGAACAACTTCATTCAACTTCGTGTGTGCGAAACTCGACGCTGGGCACTTTGCTTGGATTTGCACTCGATTTTGAGTACCAGCAAATCGACGTTGCGCAGCAAAGTTCCCGAGTGCAAAGAAAACCTACCCTGAATGTTTCCAACTATTACTAACTGAAATCTTATTCCTGTTTAAACAGTGTCAGAGAGGGATGACTGAATACGGAGGTATTTGTAAGAGTGATGAATTAGTGCTATGGGAGAAGTAGGCTATCTAGGCTACAAATAAGCAGAAACATAATTGTGTTGATACCCAGCATTTGGAAGGCACCCAATTTATTCTACCAGTTCTTCCATCTTATCCGACTGTTCTATAGAGGATCACCCGAGACATGCGGTCGCACCCCATCAGATCTCCCGACTCAACCGTTCGCTGCCAATTCGTCTTCTTCTTGAAATTCCCAATTTGTAGATGTTTGTGTATGTCCTTGATTCCAGTAAGTGTGTTCCCATAATGCGTGCGTTAAACCGGTAATAGCTTGTTCCTTGGCCCTATTCAATGTCGGGTCAAGGAAAGCATTCGTTAGGCCTCTTCCGGAACCCCAGCCAATGAACTCGCAAGTTGATACTTCCTCTCTCTGTGACGGAAGAACACTCGCTTGGCCCATTTCCAGGTTTCGACGCCCATGAAGAAAAGAACCGCCTCAACCGCCACAATACCCCATTCCCAGGTGATCGGCTTATGTTTGAAGACAACGTCGTTGAGCACAGGTATGTAGAGGATAGGAAACATGGTGATCCATCCAGCCATAATGGAATAGAAGAGAAACTTGTTTCGCCAGACGTCGTACATCCACTGGGTGAAGTATTTCTTGGATTTTGGTTGCATGCGGAAAAATGAGCGGCGCATATTGACCATTTCCCAAGCCAAGAACAGAGCAAACCAAGTGAGGCACACGAAGGTTGTGGCTCGGGCTCGGAAAACCAGTTCGCAGTCTTTGATCTCCTCGGACCATTCTTTGTTGCAACCACGGGCCAAATTACCGTCGCCGAATCCCCACATGCGGATGGAGAATGCTGCCAAACAGAGGGCTGCGGTCCATATGCCGTAAACCATGATGTCGATAATCACCTCCCAGGTGAAAATACCTTGTTTGCTTTGTGGAGGGCGATCCATAATGTCGGGCGCAGCGACCTCCATTCCAAGGCCCATGTCAGGCATACCCGAGGTGATCATGATAACCCAGAGGATTTCAACTGGTGCGAGGGGGAAGACAGATTGATTATCGGCATCCTTAAAGGCCAGGCCGATAAGCAAGGTGCAAGCTTGAGCAATATTTTCGGCTAGCAGGTGGAGCACAAATTTCTGAATATTGTCAAAGATGCGCCTTCCCTCTTCAACAGCGTTGAGAATCGAAGCAAAGTTATCGTCCGTGAGGATAATATCAGACGCGTCTTTGGCCACATCTGATCCTGCTTGTCCCATAGCGATACCCACGTCGGCATGCTTCAGCGAAGGGGAATCATTCACACCATCTCCAGTCATGGCTGCGAAGCGGCCACGGCGATGAAGGGCATCAATCATGCGCACCTTGGTCTGCGGAGCACAGCGGGCAATGACAAGAGGTAAAGTAGGAAGTGCATCTATCTGGTCTTCAGTGAGTTTGTCGAATTGACCGGCAGTCATAACCATGGCGTCTGCGACGTCAGCTGCGACTGTACTAAAGTCGGATGGTAGGATTCCAACTTGCTGTGCAATCGCTTTTGCAGTGCCGGGGTGATCACCAGTGACCATGTGAACGACTATACCAGCTCTGTAACAGGCTTGAATTGAGTCTGCTGTTTCAGGGCGTGGGGGATCATACAAGCCGATCAGCCCAAGGAAGCAAAGATCTTTCTCCACTTCCTCACGTTCCAGATCGGAACCTTCTAAAAGTCGCGGTTCCTCGGTGTAGGAGCGATGTGCCAAAGCCAATACCCGAAGTCCCATCTTGGCGAGCTCTTCCATGTTCTGGAGAATATTCTCACGGTGATAATCGGTCATTGGCACGGCGGTAGATGAGTCTTGTTCCCAGATCACAGAACTGCAAGAATCAATGATGCGTTCAACAGCTCCTTTGGTGAACACCATTGTGCGAGTCTCTTGGGGAGTAATTTTGCTGAAGATGACGGACATTTTCTTGACAGTCGAGTCGAATGGGAACTCTGCCTTTTGATGCCATACTGCGCCCCGTCCCTTGGTCCAGCGATCACGGTTCCAGTTAAATCTTGATGCGAAGACTTCAATGGCAATCTCTGTCGGCTCGCCTCGTGCTTGCCACGCGCCCTCTTCAGACTTGTACACATGAGAGAGGTTGGCCATGGCAGCAACGTCCAGAAAGTCCTCGAGCTGGCGGTTTCCCGTGACCAGGCTTTCCGCTTTTTCCGCAGCATGGCCTTCCTTCTCGTCATCAAACTGCAGAGGAGGCACAGGGGTGAACGAGACATCAGCGATAGTGGGGTTGAAAGGCTCGTTGGAAGTGCCCACAGAGTACGTCCCTCGAGAAGGAACCCAAGCCTTCTTGACAACCATCTTGCCTTGTGTCAGTGTGCCGGTCTTGTCCGAACAGATATCCGTGACAGCACCGAGGGCTTCCAGGGAATCCAACTTTCGAACAATTACATTCCGCTCGACCATTCGCTTTGTGCCCACCGCCATGGTGATAGTAAGCACAACGACCAAGCATGCAGGAATCATACTAATGCCCGTTGCGACAGCGTACATAATAACCTCAGTGTTGCTGCTGAAAGAGTTTGAAGCCATGCAAACAATAGCGAACACCACGGCAATTCCGAAGAGTAGGCAGGCTAGTTTCGAGAGCTTCCGTTGCAAAGGGGTGCCGATATTGACACCGAGGAAACGACCCACAGCGTCTGCGCCCGTGAGAGTCCATGCTTGGGCATACCACCGCTTTTTAGTCTCACCGTTGGGTCCGCGCTTGACGGGGCGCCGCTTGTTGTCACTAGCTCGCAGTGCGAGAGCAATGGAACCGATTTCCGTGAACATGCCTGTACTGACAACCACCCCGCGAGCACGGCCTCGAGTGACGGTACTCGAGCTGTAAGCGATGTTGAGGCGGTCTCCAGGACCAGTGTCTTCCTTGAAGATCGAGTCACATTCCTTCTGGACAGGGAGAGATTCGCCTGTCAGGAGAGCCTCGTCGGTTTCAAAGTTCACTGCTTCAACAAGTCTGGTTTATTCAGCAAAATTCATAATAGGTCGCTTGGCCTAAACGCTGTCGGTGCAAGAAACTTACCGGATATCCGCTGGAACGGTATCTCCTGTTCTCAATTCGACCATATCACCAGGTACAATCTCGACCGACGGCACTGCGAACGTCTGTCCACCTCTCGAGACAGTTCCAGTCGGCGAAGACAGCGAGTGTAGAGATTCCATAGTTTTTTCAGCAGCAAACTCCTGAAAGAAACCGACAACGATATTCAGGACAATGACGGCGCAGATGACTCCGCCCTCAATCCAAGATTTGATTCCGAAACTCACAGCCATGGCGAGAATCAGGACCTGCGACGCAAATGGATCAGAACTGGCGTATGCTCAACATATTTCAACCTATCGTGGTGTAGAAGAGGGGTGCCTTACTAGCATCATTGCATTGGCCACCTGCCGGATGAGAATCTTGACCACCGAAACGCCTCCACCTTCGTCCAGCTTGTTGGGGCCATATTCCTGGAGACGATGACTGGCTTCGTCGGGGCTGAGACCCTCATCAATCCCGGTGGTGAGTTCCTTGATCACAGTTTCGTAGGGGAGCGTGTAAGCGGGCTGGCTCAGGGGGCTACCGCCTGACCCTAGGTCTGAGGCAGGTTTCTCGTTTGGCATTGAAGTTTTCTCCTGGGTGAGTGGATGGTTGCAGCTTCCACGACCTGTGAGTCTCTGGATTGATCGTTGATGTCAAAATTGGACAGAATGTAACTCTACGCGGGGCACATGTTGTCTCTTTAAATCTCGAGCCGACACGCAGATTTTGCTGGTCCAAATGAGTCGGTGTGGATATCCAAGACTGTTTCCATTATGTCCTTCACGTTAGAGGGTTGGCAGGCGGTAGTCATTGGAAGAGAGAGATACTGAACTTGGCGCCGAGACGCGGGGCACGACTTGGACACTTGGCCCAGTGCCATGGGCAGGTGTCGCGGATTCATACTTGAATCCAAAGCGCGAGTTGTTTGGATGCGAAGTGAAGAGAAGACGAGAAAGGCGACGAGTCAACGTGTCATTGCCCTATGGGTCATAACGATTAACACTCCTTGATCCAAAAATAGTTGATATTCGAGTGCAAGACTGAATAAGGCAGGTCGTACCAACCTTGAAATCTGCGCCACTAACAATAGCCAAGCCATAAGCCGTGCTCAGGGCCAAGGTTCGATCAGTCACGGTGAGTGGCAAAACCCCACTCCGGACCCCCGGGGTGGGCATGCCTTAGCGCCAATGTCGAGACACCTCAATGCTCGTAACGCGGACACGAAAATCCCGATCTCAACCGATGGAACCGTAGATATTTAAGTTTTCAATAATAATTGACGGAATATTGAAAAAAAAAAGGGTTTACCAAAAGTTCTAACCATGGATGTAAATTCGCTGAAATAAACACAACTTTTCAAATATGTCAAACGCAGCCCAGCGGCGCTTCTTTCCTATCTACATGCTTGCCCTTCTCCTCGCATGTCCAGTTCTCTTCAGTACTGCCCTGTGTTTGAGGGAAAAGGGCGGTGTGATCAATAATAACAGACAGGCCACGATGTCTTCCGCGCAGTGAGATTGCAATAAGCAACAGCTTACTGAATGTATGCCAGGCGCCACAAAACGCGAAGCTCTGACCAGGAAACCCAACAGTCACACCAACACAGCTGTATGCAGAAATGCATTCAAAAATGATGTTGAAAGTAGAGAATGCCAAGGGGTCAGTTTTGAAGTGACCAGATTCCGTGACAGTTATGAGAAGTATAGCGAAGGAAAGCCACCAGATGTCGTGGCTGAACTGAGAGCGAAGTTGATGGTAAACGAAGCGACTCCGAACAAAATTCGAGAGACTTGGGCGATTGTCCTCTTCATGAATATCTTTCCTGGTCCATATTTTCGTGATTTCTGTGCAACTGATACGTGTTAGAACAGACGGTTGACTAGCGAGCTTAAGGGAAGAAATACCTGATAGCGGCTGAGACTGGAAAGGCCGAAAGATACTGAAGGCAGACGTGATTAGCTTCTACATTTTGGTTTGCGATCGTATAAGAGCCCTTACCATCATAAAAGCTAAGTAAGTTCATTAGCACAGAGAGCATTGGACAGATGGGACTAAAAAGCGTACCATATAGAATGAGCAGTCCCTGTGGTAACCGATCGAATGCGACCACTGAAAAACCGCCACCACGCACGGCTTTACTCTATAATCAGTTTGGCCCAAAAAATCATATTTCCGGAAACAAAATACCTAATGCCTGGAAAAGACCATCAAGGACCCGAAACTTAGGCGGTAGAGAGCCAATCTCCTCGTTGTGAATGGCAGAAACCTCGAAAGCACCCCACATCATGGCATTGAGTGTAATCACAGTACCCAGCAAGAACCAAGTGTGCCAAGCAGGATACAAGTAAGCGCAGACCTGTGGCATGTCTTAGTCTCGGTTTTGCCAAAAAGAATGGCCGGCAAACAAACATTCTGCGACTTAGCAAGAGTGAAATCGAAAGTCCGTCGCCACAACTGCCAATTAGGCTTGTCTGGCATCATCGCTCTCGTGGCCCAGATAGAGAGTCGCAAGAGGCAAGGGAAAAGGGTGTTTCCGGCGAGAATGAGAATGCCGCAGGCAAGAAGCGGAAAGGCCCTGTGCGGATGCGGGTCAACTAAATGGAACGGCAATGATTGTGTGCGGCAAGTAACCTACTCTTTCTGATATGGACCCATATTGGTGTCGATGAGAGACATGCCGTTATTGCAGAGCGCAGATGTCGCAAGAAAGGCGCCAGCCCAGAACGGGTTGGCGTCATCCTCCAGCGGGATATCCGGGCGAACAAACTTGGACCAGAAACCAAGGACAATGATGCCGAGTAGAAGGAAACAAATGAAATAGAGCAATACTACTACCGAGATCAAGGAGAGGGCCAGGTACTCTACTCCACCAGGTTCATCGTAGTTAACTGTGTTTTGACAGGTGATGCGATCGGCTGCACGTTGGATGATGCTCTTGATGTTGGTGGCCATGCATGGAGTCTGTACCCTTTCATTGCTGTTTTCCTTTTCTTCACCAAAAATAGTAATGGAAGACGCTCGTTGACTTCGATCGGGGTGTCTTGGGTCCGTGTAAACAATGAAACCATAATCGTTCCATGATCCTTTAAGCTCGTCCGGGTTTGAAACATCTGCTGGAACCTCTCTCACAGCTGTGGCGATCGTTACCTTACTCTCAATTTTGGCCAAAAGGGTATCTTGCTTATAATCGAGGATAGGCTTCTCATGTGATTCCAAAATCGGTGCACAAGGTGTAATCGACTCTGCTTTGTCCTTGTTCAAGTTGACGGTCAAGGTATATCGCAGCGACCAAAGGCGTATTAATGAGACGACTCCGAAGATGGGAATAGCATGACCGATGATAAGGAGCGTAAACAGGGTGCCTTGTTGAACAGAATTGATTGTAGACAGGTCCATCTACGTCAAAATCAGCGAAAAGCCCAAGTCGCTATTGACAATTTGCTCTAACCTACCACATTCAATCCCGTCCCTGTCATAGCACTGAAGCACATGAACAAAGCATCAACATAGTGGAGCTCATGGATCTGCGTCGAAGCCGTATAGAATATAAGACTGCCAATCGTAGGCGCAATTATGAAATAAGCATAGTGAAGCGTAAGTGGACTGAGCCCCAAGAGATCAGCCATGATCGGCATACTCAATTGGGAGTCGTCGTAAGCACTGTCTACGATCCAGGGTTGGGATTCCCAAATCCATATAAGGATCATGGAAATGCACGGCCCAACAGCAAAAAAGTTGCCCCCCTGTTTATTCAATAATGTCTTGGTCATGCATAAAGTACTACGTGCAGCCCCTTCCACTGGGAATGTTGGCATGGTGTGGTCTCGACTTGGCCACCGCCTCTTATCAGGATGGCCGCAATGGAACATCCGGGCACGTTCCAAGTTTATTGCTCTCATTAGGCATCATTTTATATTGGGTAGTGAGAAAACAAAGCTACGGAGCCTAGCGGGATCTAGGTACGGCACGCTGCATTCTGCGGATGCAAGGGGTCAGATACTTGGAGGCAAGCTATTCGGAACTTTTCAAGCTTCGAACGGCCTAGACACCCCATAATATCGAAATAGACAGATTGCGCCCAATTGGAGATTGGCGACAAGTACAATAGATGAATATCGCAATTACTGTGTACAGAAACTCTGTTAATGGGATGATCGAGATCTAGGTTCGGCTTTCACATTGATGAGTCCGGGAGATCAGCTGTTTGCATGATCGCGTGGCTGAGCAGGGTTAATGCATGATAAGGAAAATATGTCAGGAGGTCGTGTTATCGAGGGTTGCAGTTGCACTTGGATGCCCTAGAAGTACCTTCTCAACCCACCCTTGGCCCCATATATTGCAAAGACCGGCTTTTTGACTCAGCATATCTTTGCCTTCGCAGCATCATGCCCGCCGTTATCATACATACGGACTCTGAACTTGAGCAAGGGATATCGCGAGGTGTCTCATTCTGATGCAGGGCGTCTGTGGCGCTGTTGAGTCCAGTGTATTGAAGATGGATTGTGGAGATTGGCTGCTGATTTGCTTCTTGCCAAGAGGTCCAGGTGCCGGCCAAAAGTGTTTTGATAGGGATGAATTGGCCCAAAATAAATTTCCACCCTGTGGACTTCCAAGCTGACATTCTTCAAATCCAGCCACCTCGGACATTTACTTACGATCGCATAATCTTGCCGAAATCGATGTCATTCTAGGACAATCCCTTTGCTTTTCAACCGATAGAAATGCTTTCAATTTGAGATTTTGGGAGTTTCATTGGATGGTCATCGCTCAAATCAAGTATCTCAAGTAAACAATGTCTACAAGAAGTCTAGCCTCCTTATATTTATTGTATAAAATTTCCTCCTTGCAATACCCGGAGCAAAAACTGCAACTCTATTATCGAGACATGCTCAACATAAAACTTCATATCTTCTTAAAACACGGTACCCTTGGTCTGCGTCATCTTCTTCACGTTCAGATTCTTCATCATTGCCACCCAGATAAAGCCCAAGGCCATGATGGCAGTGCCAGCAGCCAGCATTCTGGTCTGTGCGTACCCATAAGCTAGCTGAATCCCAAGTCGCTCGGGGCTTCCAACAGGATAGGCCAGCTGCGCAGGTAGACTCGCGTAAATTGTGGTAAGATTGGGCAAGGCAGACTCCGGAAGGTAGCGAACAAGGGCCTTCTCGAAGGTGTTGGTCCATATAACACCAGAGATAGCGCTTCCAACGGCGCCGCCAATACTTCCACTGACAAACAAGAAAGCGAGCACCGCAGCAACGTGTTGATGATCGACGGAAGATAGTACAGCAAGCTGAACGCAGAGGATGAAGATACTTCCAGAAACAGAAAAGAAGATCTCGCACATAACTATATAGCCAATATACCCGTTTGGCTGTCGGAAATGGATCATCAAGCCCAGCGAGAAAACATATAGTGGAACGCAGATGTACAGGATCCATCTGAATTTCCCGGTTACGCGGATCAAGTAGCCCGCAATAAACAGGAACACAAACGAAACAACACTAAAAGTGTTTCCGACGTACCCTGCATCAGCAACGGAGAGGTTGTAGACAACTTGGAGAAACGACGTCAGGTAGCTGGCGTAGCAGTAGTAGGAGATCTGGTATGTGAAGTCCAAAAGACATGCACCCAAGACAGTCCGGTTCAGGAGGAAGCGATTCTTCAAGAAAGGAACGGGTGCCAAGAAGACTTCATAAAGGAAGAAGAGCACAATGGCAACGAAGCCGACCACGATCATTGCAATAATATATCCAGTCTTCCAGCCTTGCGGTGCGGTGCTAGCCAAGGTGAAAGGGAGGAGAAATACGACAAAGCCGCCTCCGAGTAGAATGACTCCCGCCACTGAGAAGGTAATGGAAAATTAGAATTCGGTCAAAGCTCAGAAGGACTGCAGGTGCTACTCACGGTCAAATTCGATGACAACGTGCTTGATTGCCTCAACAAAGGTTCTGTTGCTCTTGACTCTCGGCGTGATAACGGCTTGCTTTCTGGCCTTGTTGAGGTGGTATGCCAATAACAAATAGACCGGCAAGCCAATAGCGGGGAAAATAATTGCCCAGCAGCCAAAGCCCCAACGCCAACTGGCATTGTCAAGGAATCCCTCGGCGGCTTTCGACCCAGCAAAGGCTGTAATTATACCCGGCGACGAAGTGAAGGCAAATGCCAGACCTCGGTTTCTCAAGCTTGTCACGTCGGTCGCGAGCACATCCCAGCAATAGGCAAGTCCACCGAAGCCAATCGAGTAAAATACCTATAAAAAAATTCGGTCAGTATATACGAAAATTCAATTGTTTCAATGGACCATAATTGTGGATGCAGCTTACCTGCGCAGCACAATATGTCTCGAGATTGTTAGACGCGGCCATCAGGATTAGGCCGAGGACACAGAAACCGATCATAAGGAGGAAGCTTTCAGCACGACCCCAGATATCTAGAAGCTTCGCGATAGGAATATACACAGCTCCTGTGATGGCTTTTGCGACAATGTCGATGACTGTCAAAAGTGAATGGCCCTGGAAATCGCTAGTGACATAGGGGGTCAAGCTGTAGGTAATGGTGGACTTGAATCCATTGACCAAAGTGAGAAACCAGATTCTATTAGATGAAAATCAATGTCAGTTTGCTTCTGGCTTGTGCGCAGGTAGTGAGTGCAGAATCTTACAGGATCAACACTGTGGCCAAAGATGCCTTTGACCAAGTCAAGGTAATAGCTTCGATCTTTTGCACACCAGCTTGGGCTCCCTCATCAGGACTTTCCTCATCATGGCTATTCACTTCATTCGTTTCCCCTTGGTATCCGAATCCATGCTCCTTGTTGTCGCTAGCCTTGGTCTGAGAGGCCACTGGAGTGTTAGACTCCTCGACCGTGGAGTTCCCCTGGTCCGTGGTCTTCGATCCGACCAGATGACTGAGCTTCTCCATGATTGCCATTTTTTTGTGACTAGCAAAGGAAAACGCGAAGTGCTTGCGACCCGGACAGAAACCAGGGAAAGGGCCGAATATTTAACCCTGGCCGAGGTGGTGTGAACAGAAACTTTTAGGTACTAGCGGGTACTGGACACGCCACGAGACATCGGAGGCGACGAGCAAAGGTAACTTTTCCCTCCAACATGGGCACTCGGTAACGGACCGTATGGAGACACATTGTCACCCGCCTTAACCGGCCACCTAATTTGTGTTACGCCACGATACGGGCATAGATACGCCTAGCTTCGGAGGAACGAACACCAATCCGAAACTATGGGCCAGATGGGGCCTCAGCCTCGCTTCAACACTAGCAATGGTTGAGGTATAGCTTATTTTATCTAACGGATACCGCGATATTTGTTCCTGGGCTTCGGATACAATAGCATGTTTATCCGGGTGTTATGGTGTTGTTGAACTTGGCGGTCGCTCTAAGCGAGGCCCAAGAGCTCACAGCCAAGATAATCCGTTGTTAAGACAGAGATAAAAGCATCGAAGCATGGCGCCACATGCGCCATAAACATGCAAAGTGGTCAGACTATTCTAGTATGGTGCTGCGAGTGAAAAATTTCGAGCAGCCATTCAATGTTTTAGCCATTGTTTCTCTAATTAAATTTCTAATTGACTAGGAACGTGAATATAAGTGAAATACAGGATACCGCTATCAAAGAAATTTTTGAGTTACAGGCAGCAAGTTACTGAGCTCCGGAAGTCAACGAGACCCAATCCTCCTTCCTAATAATATACCTCATTTCGCCCTCTTCGATACCCGGAGGCGGCGTAGGGTAAGTGTTGAAGAACGTCTCTGTGTATTTGAATCCACAGGACTTCATAGTGGCTCTTGAGCCCACATTAACAGTCATAGTATCACCAGATGCCTCCAAAAGACCCAAATCTTGGAAAGCATGCCTAATAACCTCACGGCCGCCCTCCTTCGCGTATCCTTGTCCCCAAAAGTTCGGCGAGAGTCGGAAACCGAAATCAGCTTTTTCTGTACTAAAAGTCTCGGGACTTTTGGCCAGTGGACTCGGGGCCAAGATCCACCATCCAACGAACTCGCCCCCTGCAAATCCTACCCAAGTTCCGAAACCGGGGACGTGGGTTCCTTGCTCGAGGAGCCACTGGTGGACTTGGAGCGCTTGATCTCTTGTGAAGGGGACTCCGAATGCAACGTGCTTCATCACTTTCGGGTCCATGTCTAGCTGGATAGTCAAGTCGAGATGTTCGGGGCCGAGGGGCACTAATTCAAGGCGTGAGGTACGCAGGACTTCCTGGCCAGGGGACTTGACAGTCATACTGCTGGGGCCGATAAGGGTTCGAAGGAGAGCAAACCCTTGATATAGGAAATGGAGAGCCATGCTGTCGAGGTATTTTCAGGTGTATGAGCTGGTTCGCATTCGAAAATTGGACTACGATGATCAGCTCCTTATATACATGCCCTTCCCGCCATGTTGGAGAGGGGTTCCTGTCATCAGAGCTGCAAGTCTTGACCATATCAAGAAATTCGTCTCGGCGTAATGTATTTCATCGAAATGAGGACTCACTTTACCGTCAATTCTCTATGAAAAGATGGGCAAATGGATACTTCCAGTAAAGTCGCCCGTATACCGTCGTAACTTGACAAATTTTACCTGCTCATTGGCCTTTCTTAACGACGATCCTAGCTGCATTGATTTAGTAAGACTATCTCCCCGTTTTGAAAAAGACCGCTGTGCTTAGTTTCTTACCGTGGAGCCTTGGCCTTGATTGCTACCTCAATGTTATGTAAAAATCTGAACAAGGAGGCCCTACAGTTATTTGATCCCGTGATTTCTGATTGGCTGTCACCAGAGATGTCTGGTTTATGTCACCAGAGATGTTATAAACTAGTTAAGTAAAAAAGAAAAAAGGATTTTATTGTTAGTATCAGACCAGAAAGATGTGAGTGAGAGGCTCCATGATGGTTTCTTTGGTGAACACCGGATGTAGCTTGTAAGCAAAATATCACTAACCCCAAAACCAGCACTGCTAAGCATGTGATTCTCCACTCTTTGCATGTTCTGTTGATGTTACGGTTCATGATTCTAGCGTGATATAATCCCTGCGGCTAAGAAGAAATCTTCCAGATTTCGAATCACGGATCTGAAATCGACCAAAGCTGTTTATTTATATCTAAAGGGAATGACAACGAACTGCGTGGGTGGTGAAATGACATTTGTACTTCCATATTTCATTCTAAAGATGCACATCCTGATAAATCCCGGCCAGCATGGATTATTGTACACTCGCACATTATGCAGTTGGAAGACCCTGTACTCCACTGCCATCCACAGTGGATCCTGAATCAAATAAACGAGGCTAGTAATCAGGTGGCACCGCTTCCAGTATCAAATGGGAGAAATCAACGAGACAGTGGGGCGACAAGGAACCTTCCCAGAGATCCAGATGCGCGCTGAGAGAAAAAGGATCCTAACCCCTGTCGTAATCAGCCAATCTCTACCTAATTCCTTGGCTTTTTCAGCCACCTAGAGATGATCACTGCTAGTTTGGGCAAAATCACACGCTCAATTTGCTCACAATACGGTTGTTTCGGATCTCGTGTCATGTCTGGCGTATTCACCATACGAGAGTGCGGATCAGATTAGATTAGTTTGGTAAGATCGGCGCCTGCCGGTAAACTCCGAATTTGGTGATACATGGCTGAACACATGGCTGACGCTAAACCTATTTGGTAACATCTGTCCTTGGCTCACGGCCCCCTTGTGTTCAGTGGTGCAAGAAATTTTTCACTTGTTGGCATCATAATGTACTGGGCGCCAAGTCGGTAAGAGAAAAGGGTGGTCCTGATATGATAACACGACGGTATACCTTCTGGAATCAAGGTTTGCGTTCTAGAAATACCTCCCTAAGGTCTGCACCTGATCTCATCTAGCTGTTATGCATTTTACGGGATGTTGAAAAGACTAGATCGGTGGAGAAGATAACATTCAGATCTCACAGATTATAGTGCCGTAAATCTCAATCACCTCCTGGACGAGCTGATTTAATTGAACGAGTAGATTCAGGATGTAGAGCACGCGAGCAGAGATCGGCGCGATTGAAACCCCCTTGCATACCACAATCCCCGAGATTATCTCATTACTGAGGCAGAGGCCAATCCTCAAAGAACACGGTCAAGCTTCGACTCACAGAACAAGCCATCACACTTGTGTGCTCTTCCCCGTCGTACTGATTCAATGAGACTGTATGTAATCGGTCGCAATCTTGCAACATTTTGCAGAGGTCAAGTATATTATCACCCATTCTCAAATCCGCCGCAATTTGCTTGCGCGCTTCATAGTGATCAAGGGGCTCGTTGGTCCACTGAGGTGGATTCTGCTCGAGAGAACCGACTGAAAGCATGAGTGTCGGCGATCGCTTTCCAGAAGCCTTTTTCTTCTCCAAGAACGACTTCACTGTATGCAATATACATCGGCTATTCCACCAGATTGAAGGGCTACTGGCCATATAGCCATCGAATGAATGTGGGCGTGTAAACAAGGCGTGTAGGGCGAACAGCCCTCCGTATGAATGGCCATAGAGCGCTTCCCTGGAGCTTGATAGCTGTGGGAAGCGAGCTTTCACGGTAGGACGAACATTCTTTTCAATAAAATCGAGGAAAAGATCCGCACCACCGTATCCAGGGATCTCACTCTCGGTTGGCGGGGTCAGATCAAAGCTGCGACGACGTGCGTCGTATAGCTTATTCGCCAAAGGGTATCCGATCGCGACAATTATGCCTCCTCCTGCAAAATGGGACGAAGCAGCACGGCGCCAGGCAATCTCCGTCGCAGTTAGAAAGAGGGCATTGCCATCGACGATGTAACTGGGTTTGTTTAGAAATCAAATATTGTTAGAATCAAATTCAAGCGCAAACTCACATAATGGGAAGCTGTCCACGATCGGATGTACCATCATCCTGCCAATGTAACGGCCAAGAGACCTGGATCAGATACTGCTCACCCCTGTCATTTTGCAAGCAGAACTGCTCCGAGTTAGGTAGCGCAATTACCGCAGCCTTGTCACTCATCATGGTGCTTTTGCGACACGGATTTTGTGAACGTGGAAATAAAGTCCGTGAATGGTAAAAATGTGATGACAGGGAAATATGGTTTTGCCTCCGGAGGCCAAGAAGAGTTGGGGTCGATGGTCTCGACAGGGAGGCTATGCTCCAGGCAGTCGGCCCACTACTCCGAGAATCGGATCCACTTGACTGGAGCAAATACGCCGAGTGCAACCTTCGAGGTTGAAGCGGGTCAGTTTCCTCGGGGGTCGATCGTTGCCCAACGCCAATGGTGCTGGTGAACTTGAATGCTCGGTTAGATTACCGCTGATTATCAATCAGATTAGATGATGGTTTTCTGGGTTCGGATGGAACCCTGCAACCCTTGATATACTCACCGTGGCGTTTTGTGGGAGACATCTACGTGTCACACTCCTAGTAAACCCGAGAGGCCCATGTATCCCAAGTCCATTGGAAATAGGTCGATGCATAAGGAGAAATATGACGAAAGATGAACGTGCGGTAGTTGATCAATAATTGAATAAGAGATAAATTGGGGAAGATTAAACACGGGAAGGAATAGCAATAAAACCCCAATTAGAGGGTAATTTACCATTATTGAACCCATTGGTGAGACATTCAAATCTCTGGCGCCAGCATCTCGGACTGAGAGAAATACTGGTGGGTTATGGTGGGTTGCGGCCCCAAGCCTCCCGACGGACCAGTCGGTTGTCCATAGCTTTGACAGATCAACTAGACCCCCAAACAGCGAAGTTCGGTCCCGGTGGCCGGAGATAACCGTCTGTTTATGATTGCACCATCGCTATCTCTAGCCAAGACAGATCTACCCCAGTTACAAGATCCTGTTGGTTTTTTCGGAAAAAAATAGGAAAATCCACACTTGCAGGGTCCTGCATACGCTCGAACCTATGCGTTAAATACGGTCTTGTAATTTACCGAAATACATGACCTGACTAGATCAAACCCTAATCAGATTGCCCAGGTTCCAATACGTCGCTTCCGTAGAGATGCATCCTGGCCCCTTGGCGAATGCTGGGCAATTGAGATGCGAGAATTATCTCGGATCTGATAATTTCCATTTCTCGGTTGAAAATCGTTCCGAGGTCGGCTCATTTCTTCAGGAAAGGAAAAGATGGTCGGGTAGGTGCGCTAATCTATGCGGTTGTCGTTTGCAGAAAGAAATGCAATGTAGGTGGCAGATTCGTAGCTGGAGTAAGTTCCTCAATATTCCTGCAAGTTTTTTTTTGGCTTTCTGGTATCGCTGTCTCCTATTGAGCAAAAGGTCTAAGAATCATGGCTGCTGCGGCCGGGTCATCTACATACGCAAAGATGGTAGCTAAGCCAAGCGTGAGTTACATATTATCGCTTCTTCATAGAATATTCGCGCTCATGAAGATTTTCTCAACAGATCTGGCACCGAGCCACCACATTCGGTCGGTTGCTGGTCTATGGAAGCCCCTCGTCCACTGATCTGGTCATCCTCTTCATTGGGTTCGTATCTTCAATTGCATCCGGAGTCCCATTTCCCATAATGTCGATTGTTTTTGGACAGCTCGTCGATGGACTCAACTCGGCAACCTGCGAGGCCAGCAGTTCCAGCGCTGAGTCGTACCAGTCGGGAATCAACGGCAAGATCTTGATGATCGTTTACGTCGGTATCGCATATTTTGCGCTCATCTACATATACTCCCTTTGCTGGAACCTCTCTGGCGAGAGACTGGCCCAGAGACTGCGAGAAAAATACTTGAGCGCTATTTTACGTCAGGATGCGGCTTTCTTCGACAACTTGCCAGCCGGGGAGGTGGCCGCACGGATCACAGGCGAGATATCGGTGGTACAGCAGGGAGCGAACGAGAAAGTTGGCATTGTGATCAATAGTGTTTCTTTTTTCGTTGTTGCATATGTAGTGGCCTTCATCAAAGATCCAAAGCTGGCTGGGATACTTGTCTCGCTCACCCCAGCGTATCTTTTGATGGCGTTGGGTGGTGGGTACTTTGTGCAAAAGTTCTTCGCACAGACAATGGAGGGCATGGCCAAAGCATCTTCGGTTGCCTTGGAAGCTTTTTCCAATACCATGCTTTTGCACGCATTTTCGGCGAATGCACAACTCGAGAAAAAGTTCGTCGACGTTTTGAATCCAACTTTGGCAGCTGGCGTGAAGAAGTCAATTGCCATGGCGAGTCAGGCTGGACTGTTGTACTTCATCGCCTTCTCGGCGAATGGTCTTGCATTTTGGCAGGGATCGCGGCAAATCGCTGAGGCCGTCGAAGCCGACGGGGGTATCTCGGTGGGCGCAATCTTTACAGTCATTCTTATCCTTGTAGACGGTATGATTTCATTTTGCGCTTTATTTTGCACTTTGTGGGCTCGAAAATATGCTAATATCCATCCATAGCCTCTCTCATCCTCAGCCAAGCCGCACCCTTCCTGAAAAGCTTCGATGCCGCGTCGGTGGCATTTCGCAAGTTAGAGTCCGATATCGAGCACTCTTCGGCTATCGACGGCACATCCGAAACTACCGGTCGGATACTCTCAGAAGCTACAGGAAACATTGAGTTGCGTGATGTATCTTTCACATTCTCATCTCGCCCAGACAGACCCGTGCTGCAAAATCTCTCTCTGACCTGTCCAGCTGGTCAGCAGACGGCCATTGTTGGTCTTTCTGGCAGTGGGAAGTCCACCGTTGCGGGACTGATCACTCGATTTTATGATGTGAACAACGGCTCTGTTCTGTTGGACGGCCACGATGTCAGGGATCTCAATGTACGATCCGTGCGAAGTTACACCAGTCTTGTACAACAGGAGCCTTATCTACTGGATCGATCGATCCTCGAGAACATTGCCCTGGGTCTCATCAACTCTCCTAGACATGAGCATCTCCGTACTATGCTGATGAGCAATGCCCTAGCTGAAGTTGCCGCTCTAGTGAGAGACGGCCAGGACTTGGTTACAGCCTCGCTATCACACAGCACCGAAGCAAGAGAGATCGTGCAGCTGGTACTGGATGCCGCTCTATTGGCCGACGCAGACGGATTCATCGAGCGGCTCGAAGAAGGCTATGGGACTCATGTCGGCTCCAAGGGAAATCTCATCAGTGGTGGTCAAAAACAGCGTATCTCACTTGCGCGCGCTTTGGTGAAAGATCCGCGTATTCTCATTCTCGACGAAGCAACGGCTTCACTGGACTCGGCAACGGAGGCTCGCATCCAATTGGCGTTAGAAAAGGTGGCATCTGGTCGAACTGTCATCACCATTGCGCATAGGCTGTCAACCATCAAGAATGCAGATAACATTATTGTCATGCGTCAGGGTAAACTGGTGGAACAAGGCACGCACCAAAATCTGATCGAGGCGAATGGAGCCTATGCCGAGCTTGTTCGTCTTCAGAATCTCAATGTGCATGGCGATGGAGATGATGGGAAAGAAGGAGTCTCCGCCAGCTCTGGCTCGTCTGCACAGGAGTTCGATGAGAAGGAAATCATGGCTGATGCCGCAAGGGAAGTCAAGCTTGAACCCTCCGAAAAGAAGGATGATTCAGAAAAGCCAAGGCTAGAACGAAGTTTCGTGTCGACAACGCGATCCATGGGCTCGCTCTTCCGACCATACTCATTTGTTCTAATTTTGTCTGTCACTGGCGCCGTGATCATTGGCGGCACGTACTGTGGCTCAGCCGTGATATTCGGCAATGTCGTGGGAAAACTGAGCGGATGTGAGGAACCCGATACTATTCGCCATGCCGGGTCTTTGTTTGGACTCATGTTCTTTGTGTTGGCCATTGTTGAGTTCCTAGCAAATTTCGTGAGCTGGTCACTGTTTGGTTGGGTCGCAGAACAGGTCATTTACAAAGTGCGAATACTCTCGTTGCGCTCCATTTTGGAGCAAGACCTGGAATGGCATGAATCGAAAGAGCGAAACCCTTCCTTATTGTTGTCGCTTATTACCCAGGATAGCAGTGCGTTGGGTGGTTTGACCGGCTCCGTCATCTGTACGATCCTTTCAATTCTCGTCAGCCTGGTCGCGACAATTACTATGACGCACATCATTGCTTGGAAAATTGCATTGGTCTGTCTATCTGTTGTTCCACTGCTGCTTGGTGCTGGCTGGATGCGCCTCACCACCTTGGCCGATTTCGAAGAGCGCCACCTGGAAGCCTTCGCGAACGCCAATGCTATCACGGTAGAAGCCGTCAATTCAATAAAGACGGTCATGTCGCTCTCCTTGGAGCATGAAATTATGGGCACATATCGACGGTCTCTCCAAGGACCCATACGCCAGATTGCCAAACATAGCGCGTGGGCCAACTTGTGGCTAGCTGTTGGCTACGGGCTTAGCAACTTCCTCTACGCGTTGGCTTACTGGTGGGGATCGAAAAGAATTATCGCGGGCGACTATACACAGACTCAATTCTTTATTGTGCAGCTAGCTCTACTCGTTAGTTCTCAACTTTGGGGTCAAATGTTCGCTCTTGTGCCAGAAGTCTCGCGTGCATTTCACGCCACTCGACGGCTATTGAATCTCCTCGAACTCGGATCAACTACGAAACTTTCCGCACCTCTCATGCTACTTGGCGATATTGAAGCCACCGCCCCTACCGTTGAAAAATTTGTTCCGCTGTCAACTGGTGGTATAAGTGTTTCCTTCAAACAGGTTGAGTTTTCATACCCTGCGCGGCCAGATACACGTGTGCTTCACGGCCTGGATCTGAGTATTCAACCTGGTCAATTTGCTGCTCTCGTCGGCCCAAGTGGTGCTGGAAAGTCTACAATCATCTCACTGGTAGAGCGTCTCTACAAGCCAGAATCCGGCTCGATTCAAGTCGACGGTCAAGATATCGCATACGGTGACGGTTCATTCCGTCATGAGATCGCCTACGTCCCACAGCAAAGTGTCATGTTTGATGGCACAATCCGATTCAACCTTACTATCGGCGCTAGACCCGGTCAAAAAGTGACACAAGAGGCACTCGAGGTAGCATGTAAGCTGGCCAATATTCATGACACAATCATGGAGATGCCCGATGGATATGACTCCGCCTGCGGATCAAACGGGGATCGGCTGTCGGGTGGCCAGAAACAGCGGTTGGCGATTGCGCGAGCACTCGTTCGCAAGCCCAGGCTCTTGCTACTAGATGAGTCAACGAGTGCCCTTGACGCGGAGTCCGAGCGCCTGTTGCAAGATGGACTCGAAAAGGCCGCTAAGAATATGACAGTTATCGCCATCGCGCACAGATTGTACACAATTCGCAAGGCAGATGTCATTTTCTTGATTGAGAACGGTCGGTGTGTGGATCGAGGAACCCATGCACAGCTCATTGAGCGCAGTGAGAGTTACCGTGTGAACGCGTTGAATCAGGCGGTGGATGGGTGATGCTCTTCGCCCTCATACCTCGGGCCTCAGCAGCATTTACATGAAAACGTGTATTTGATTTGAATTAAATCGAAACTGAAGGCGGGTTCTTACATCATCCTGCAGTTAGATTGTCTGAGCCGGTATTGAACACCCCCTTTACGTGGTGTCACCCATTTAGGACGGAATTTAAGCTTCTGGTATCTGTGTAACTGTGCCTGGCTCACAGTCGTACAAACCTGGCGGCGGGTGGAGACTCAGCCCTAGACCTCTCTCTAAAGTTAGACCAGAGATCCATGTCTGAGTAGCGATGACTACTAGGCACATGTCTAGAAAAGAAGTACTTATAATTTTTCTGTTCCAAATCTCATTCATTCAAGTCGTAAAAGCATCCCCCTGTTACACAGCATCGGCCACACTGAGAGATGGAAGACAATTTTGAGCTTATCTTCACATTTATGATCGCAGCATCGAAGTGCCTCGTCAGGAAGCCGTCTGACGCGGAAGCATGTGTCGTGAAACGGCACCTCAAGAGCGGGACAACGTTGATCGAAAAACATGTCCATAGTCGCTTTAATATGATTTAGATTTGGCGGTATGTCGGGATATATATCTTCCATTCGACAAACAAATCATATCGGAGAAGATGTCCTGGCTCATGGCATCTAAATCGGACTTCTCAGTGACGAGAACGAAACACTTCTTGACATGGGCGTTATATGGAGCAATCAGAGCATGTTACAGCTATTAATCAACAACGGGGCCTCCCTGGCCACTAGCATGCCAGGTTTTCTGTCGATTCTGGGCCCGGAACTATCCACTACATCTGCACTGCACGAGGCAGTAGAGTTCGGATGCTCCAAAGCACAAAGCTGCTTCTTGTGGAGGGTGCGGATCCAAAGATGCGCGTGGATAGCTTTGAGCGTATACAAGGGATATCTAAGCATCATGCGCATGCTGCTGAAGAAAGGAACGGATGTGAATCTCAAGATCAATACTTGTGGATCTCCACTGTTTTTGGTAGCAAAAGCTACCAGAGGGGTGCTGTGGAGCTGTTCCTCAGCTACGGGGTGTATACCAATGCCGAGAGACCAGGATGGAATGGATTATTGCCGCTCATGATGATCATCTTTAAGTCGGTTAAAGAATCACATTGGCTTTATGGAGCAGAAAACTTCGAGTGAAGGGCTCATGTCGAATATTAGAGAATTGCATGGCTATGGAGCTTATAGCCGGTCCATTTGTAGGCGCCTTGGATGCAACTGGATCCTTGCCAATTAGAAACGGTAATAACACCACCTTCAAATTAAAGTTTTAGAATAATAGCCTAGCGGGGAGGTAACATAACTATAGGAATGAAGTGTCTAGGTCTACGTGGAATATCTCATTGGCCCTTTTGTAGAAGGGTAGAGCGATTATGTACAATATGAAGTGCTTTTTGAGTCCTCTAGATGGGGCAGTGGTTGGCTGTATTTTGCTCATTTGCATTATAGTAGAAGCATCAGGGGCGAGAAACCCCAAATAAGTTGTTTGGGATCTTTTACAAGACTTGTGTACGACCTTGCGCGCCACTTTGCACAGCTATGGGCGGTTTACACAGCGTCCAGCCCTTGGATTCATCGGCGCAATGTTCCCCATCGGCCGTGAAAACACTAGAGTGCTTGTGGTGACTGCGTTGACAGTCTTTCGTGCTGGGACCAGTGTGTGATGAGCAGTGGAGACCGCGGCCCTCTGAAGTTCGCAACAGCGGTGCGTCTGCAACCCTTGGCAAGTTATCTGCATACGTCGGCCGGTCAATCGGATTCCATGAAAGTGGCATTTATGCATTAGCCGGGAATTGTAAGACGTTTTCCGGTTTGAGAGTGTTCTCTGTGAGAATTACACATAGTATCATGCATAAAGTTATGTCACATCGTCACAGTCAATGGCCTCAAACGGAGATGTACGACCCTTGAAACCCTGATATGTGCCAAGCGAAGATTCAGGATGGTTGAAGTCAGATTCGATGCGGGTGGGGTCAACAAATGAGGGGTATTGACCACGCTCGGTATTAGATCGCCAGAGATGTTGATGAGCAACCTTAACCAGCTTACCCAAGACGGCGATTTCCAACTTGAGTTTGACACTGTACAGCGTAGCCTTGAGTGTCGTCTGGTAGATGTAGAAGTTCATAAACTCGATAACCATGAGGGCGATATCCATCAAGATACAAGAGACGTTGACGGCGAGCAGCTGCATGATAGTCTTGCGACTACCACGATCGGTATTCGACTGTAGCATGCGATTTGTCTCCCACATGTACAGACTGGAGATAATAACTTCTTGAACACAGAATCCAGTAAGTTGAATCTTCTCCATAATATCATACCCCGCGATCGACGCGTAGGAACCCGAGAAATTGGCAGCATAGGTAAGCACGGTGGTCGGAACATGCAAGAGGAAGATATTCATGATAATCATTCCCTTAACCAGGCGTAGAATGCGCTGGTTCTCAATAACCAAATGCAACCGCGAGTACAGCACAAATGATTGACCCGTAACCATCGCCCACCAGCCGACAGTAAGCAGCGTAACCGGGACCCAAGTAGCGGAAGTAAGATCGAAAAACTTCATCAAATACCCGACCGAGTAAGGAAGAATGCCGACAGCCGAAATTAACATACTCCAAAAATAGGGACCCTGGAACCGCTTGAAGGTCAAGAAAATGAGCACGATCAGCTCGATAACATTGTACCACGCGACACAAACAAAGGTGCCGATGGTGATGCGCACCCCGATGCTGTTCCCGGTATAACTACCGGTGATCCAGTTACCGGGACTGGCCTCGCTGGTCGAGGACATTTCAGGGCCCTAGGGTTGCTTGTCAGGAAAACAAACAACGGAACCCGTGGGATTTTTCGCGGGGTCGGGAGGGGGCTGGCGCTGGTGTGGTCCCTTGCGAATAATAATAGAAAAAAAAATCAAGGGGAGTGACCCACTTCGTCATAGCACGTACTTTCCCTAGCTTCCAGGATTGGAGGAGGACTCGGACCTCGATCTGTTTAAGCTTATCTTAGAGGCTGGTGATTCGTAGGGATGTTGATATCTGATATTGATAGGTGGAGGAATAACGAGAATATGATTGTGCGACAGACGGCCGCCCGTCATGTTTTGGCCCCCTTCTCCGAGTCGCTACGCTGTGCCCAGAATGGATACGAGGTTTTCTTCGCTGACGATCACTTGACTTCTTCGGGAGATGAGTGTATTTTTTTATGTGCTATAGCTATAGACTATTGATTCAGCCTCGTTAGGCCACTTTACAATGTCGGAGTGTCGGCAAAAGTAGCTCGGTTTAGTCTGTTTTGGATTAGTTTCAGCTCCCTTGCATTGAGCAACAAAACTTACACTTCCGGGTAACGATCGCCGATAATCTCGGTGCGCTCAACAAGCTCACGAATCTGCTGCACTTCCTTGTCGCTCAATGTGAGCAAAGCAGAAGCGGCATTCTCGTCCATGCGCGATGTCGACTTGGTTCCGGGAATGGGAATAATGTCTGGGCCCTGAGCCTGCAACCATGCGAGAGCAACCTGTGCTGTGGTGCTGTCATGGGCCTTGGCAATACCCTGCAATCCCTCGACCAGTCGTAAGATCTGAGGGAAGTTTTCCTGGGAATACTTCGGTAGCATGTGGCGGAAATCGTTCTCTGGAATGTCGGCAGGTGACTTGATCTGGCCAGACAATATACCGCGTCCAATCGGACTGTACGCAATAACGGCAATGCCCAACTCGCGGCAAGTGTTAAGCACGTCGGTGGTCTTGCCCTCGATATCAAGAGCAAATGGACTGTATTCTACCTGGTATGCACTGATGGGGTGAACAGCATGAGCGCGACGCAGAGTTGCAGCTGAGCACTCGGACAATCCAAGATACTTAATCTTCCCCGCTCTGCAATATATTGTTAGTGAATATGTCTGTTGCGAGGTAGGCGAACCTACTTCTTCAGTTCAACCATAGTCTCAACAGTCTTTTCAATGGGAGTCTTCCCGTCCACGCGGTGACAATAGTACAGATCAATGGTGTCAATGCCGAGTCTCTTCAAGCTCTTCTCACAAGCGGCCTTGACATACTCAGGGTCAGATCGAACCGTACCCGTGCCATTGAACCCAAGGGCGAACTTGGTGGCAAGGAAGATATCATTTCGCTTGCCAGATCGCTTGAACCATTCGCCGATAATGTCTTCACTGTCGCCATAGATGTCGGCGGTATCCCAGAATCGTTGGCCCGTGGAATGGGCGTGGTCCAGGAAGGCCACGGTCTCATCGAGCGGGCCTGCTTTCCCATAGGCGCGGCCACCGATACTCATGAGGCCAAGTCCCACGGCATTGACTTGAGGGCCATCACGGCCAAGAGTGCGAAGAGGGGCAGACATGTTGAGAAGGGTAGTTGAAGATGCTATTGTAGAATTTCAGAAGTTGGAATTGAACTGATAAGATGAATTTCTAGGAAGGTCTTGGTCTTTATATATCATGAAACCGGACAGACCCCAGAACCCGAGACGGCGTCATTATGGCCGACGACAGAATGGATCGGCTTCTCTATTCCGTTCCCAGTCTTCGATGGGGCAGTCAATTGGAAGGGACCCGCGGTGATAGAGGAGTTACGGAGTTAAACCCGGTCTTAGCAGTTAGCCGCATCCAATCAGATGGTGTACGATCCGGGACCCACTTATACTTGCTCTTTATCCAATAGCATCTCACCAAATGCGAGCTGACCAATGAGGGATTGCGGGCGTGCAACGCCCAAACTGACTCGCAACTTGAACGTCATCTGGAAGTCTCAACACATCTCGAATCTTTTTACATGAGGCTATTGGAATGTATGAATTATGCATGAGTCATTACAAAAGCCGCGGAATAGAAAGGTAAAATCTGGCTGTAAAACCTGCAAGTAAGTCCCAGCCGTCCGTGTCCTAATACCTAGACTAACGAAGGCAGGGCCCGCCGTGTCAAGTGTGACGAGAGCCGCCCAGCATGCCGTCGATGCCTCTCAACAGGCCGAGCATGCGAAGGCTATGGCATCTGGGGAGGGGGAGGCAGTCCCTATGGCCAGCCACAGGGCAATACAGCCTTGTCAGTCTACTGCACGCCGATACCAGTCGGCAGTCTCACGGCCGACGAGCAGGTATCATTCGACTGGTTCATGGAAAGAACGACTAAAAAATTTGCCGGCCTGTTTACTTCTGATTTCTGGGAGACTCTTGTTTTTCAGGCCAGTGCACAGGAGCCGGCAGTTCGGCATGCTGTCGTGGCCTTGTCAGCTGCACATCGATACGATTCAAATTATGGCCCATGGATGATTCCCGCAGTCTATGGATTCGACGCAGAACAATTCACGCTCCAACAATACAACAAGGCTATTAAATTTCTCCGCGCACCAGGCGGAAATGGCAAAAACACACTCCGTGTGGCGCTCATAACTTGCATGATCTTCGTTACACTGGAGTATCTACGCGGACAATTTCAAATGGGAGCTGCACACCTCCGCTACGGTATTCAACTACTCTCTGGAATGTCCACCAAACCACCATCATCCCGCTCAATTATATCCCCCAATATCCTCAGCCCAGCCGAGGACTTCGCCCACAAAGCCATCATCGACTCTTACGCCCGCCTCACAACTCAATCCGCCATGTTCGGCTATGTACCACCACATATGTGCGTCATGATACGGGACCCTCTGACAAATGCCCTCCCATACACATTTCCTTCAATGGTCGAAGCACGCCAATGTCTCGACGACCTACTCAACAGAATACACTGTCTAAAACGGCACTCCTACGACCTTAGATCGACCAATCAAGCCGAACCTAATGATTCAGAAACGATTATAACCCAACAAAACATCATCTCCGACCTCATCCTGTGGCGCAAAACCCACACAGCAACATACACGCGCCAGACCCCCTCAACCCGACAATCCCAATTTGGATCCATCCTCCTACGCGTCTACCACGAAATGGCCACAATAATGGCCTCGGTGCTCCTCTCTCCCTCCAGTGAAATGGCTTATGACGACCAAACAGCACATTTCATGGCAATAATTAGCGGATTCTTCGAACTATGGAAATTTTGGACGACAGCCAGCATCCAGAACCTGGATATCACCGAGCTGATGAAAAGTCCGGAATGCAGGGGAAACGGATTCACCGTTGAAAGCGGATTCATCCCGCCTGTTTACTACACGGCGTTGAACTGTCGTGTTCCGAGGATTCGACGACAGGCTATTAGGACGTTGAGGTCTGCGCCGCATCGGGAGGGAGTTTGGAATGGGCCTTTGCTTGCAGATGTCTTGGAGGTGGTTATTGGGGTGGAAGAAGGGGACTTCTATGCGGGTAAGAGCTTCGAGGGCTTTGATGAGTTTATCGACGAGGAAATTACGGAGAGGGATTTGGCTGTGCCGAAGGTGCCGGAAGAGAGAAGGGTTTCGGATGTCAAAGTCATTCTGCCGGATAAGGTTGCTGGTGATACTTTTGTTAGTTATAAAAAGGCTGTGGACGGAAGGTGGGTGACATTTGAGAAGAAGGTCGAGCCCGGTGTTTTACGGGGTTGGAAGCTACATTTTGAAGGTCCTGAGGTGACGATTGGGGGGCTTTGGAAGGGTATGAGTCAATGAGCAGGGGGTTTTGAGTATTATATATATTTCTGGTTGAAGCTAGTATGAACTTTGTAATCATAATTTCGTGATATGCCTTTTTTTTTGCCCCAAGCCAAACGCCACGTGGACGACACAATCTGTGCCTTAGAGCCTCAATGAATGTGAATGAGAGGAAAGTGCTATTTTCTGTTTTTCAAGAAAGCTGCGACTTGCTCGTGCCTGGTGACGAAGAACATGCGTTTCCGGTCTGATTTCCAGACTAGGACGCCGACTTCCGCAGCATACTGGCATGGGGCTTGGTATTCGGCGAAGTTGGTGAAGTCCTTGAAGAGGAAACCTGCTGTAGCGCGCAGGCGGTCTCGCTCAAGTTGCCACAGCCGGATTTGATCTGTGACGGTGGGTGGTAAGACAGACGGAGGGACACCTCCCGTGTTGGAGGTGGAGTGCCCGGCATTGTGCTTGCGCATTTGGGGGTGCGCGTGAGTGAGCAGATACGAAATAATCTGATCGGCTGTGATGCCCATCTCGATGGCTCGGCGGACGGACTGTCTAGTAACCTTACCGGTGACCAAGTTAGGGAAACGGTACTTGAGATTTGTGAATAGTGAGATGAGGGAGATCTGGAGTGGTGATGATGTATATGCGTAGAGGCGGTAGTTGGTTTCGATGATGATGAACCCGGAGCCTGAGCTACCAGGCTGGCCTGCAGGTCCCATGGACCCAGTGACGGGGTTGCTCAGAGCACTTGAGTCCGAGGTGAGTGTGGTCGCAAGGCGAGTGGGATAAAACTGGGTGGCCTCGGGCGATTCCTGGTAGACGATGCCAAAGTCGGCGAGACCACTCAGGGTGCGAACTTGGTCGGGTGTGAGATGCTTCTTCTCATAAGATCGACCAAGCTCCAAGCTGCTCAGCAAGAATAGGAAGGAAAGAACCTCGACGCTATCCATGCCAATGGCCTCGGCCGTTTGGACGTAGAGGATCAAGATATGCCAGACCTGGGTGTTTACGTCCTGCAGCACAAATCCGAAGCCGTCTTTGGTGATATCCACACTGCGACCGCGGAGTTCAACAAGATGGCCAGCTTGAAGCAGCTGCTTCACGCCTTCGCTCAAGCTGGCTCCGTCTCTCGGTCCCCGTTGCTCAAAGGCACTTGTTCCAACCATATATCCCAGAACTGCTTCCCATTGCCGTCGCGCATAGTCATCTAGAAAATCGATCGAGATCTTATATTCATCGGGTGTGTTGGAGAGAACACCGAAGGATAAGGTATCGGCGGAGCCCGTAAGAGCTTGGCGGAGGGAGGTAGCGAAGGGATCGGTGACGACATAGGTGCGGACTTTTTCGTCGCTCAATTTCGATTGCAGAATGTGCAGTCTGCCCAGGATCGAAATAGCATTATCCCGTTGTCTTTGTCTTTGGTCAGCGGCGGAGCTCTCAAAAAAACCCAAGACGTCTCACTTTCGACTCTCAGCGTTGACCCAAAGCTCGAGATCAGCCATAGGAAGAGGGTCCTTCAAGTAAAGAAGGGCCATGACGAAACATTTTGCTGTTCTCACTGTTAGTCCCATATTTGCGCATCAGGTGAAAGCTCCAGGTACCCAGATCAGGAAGCATGCGCCGGAAGATGGCGAGGGCGGTGGATGGCTGCTGGTACAGCTTATTGAAGGTCGTCCCGGGGAGACCCTCAAGGTATTCCAGAGGTCGCGACGTAGATGCCGCCATGTTGATAACCCGAGAGACCTGGCGTCTCTATGGTGAGAAAGTTGAGGTCGCGCCTTGAAGTCAAGCCGATGAAGGGTACGGTGGGCGAAGCGGCCAACTTGTGCAGTTCCGGGGACCGACGCGCCGGTTGACTGCCGAATGGCTCTCTTCCTCTCCATCATCTCAATCGCGGATTCAATTACCAAAATGACTTCTCTTCGATTTGTCAGATCGGTAAGTTATTGGTATCCCCGGCTGATGCCGTGGTTGATGTGTTATTGATATCTTATTCTCGCAGGTTTGGGAGTCCTTTCGGGCCTCTTCGGGCCTAGAGCCTCGGTAGGTGATCTGTACCCGAGTCAACATACTGAAGTTGCTAACCTCTGTTTGGCAGTCTCTTGAATAATGTGAGACCTTTCATATTTGTGAAGAGATGTGAAGTGTCCTGGTGCTAAACAATTTGATGTCCATAGCTTCAGGTGACTGCTGCGAGACCCGGGACTGTCAACTTTGAACTGGAAATTCAAAAGGAACACACAGTAAGTAGCTGGCAGACGGCTTGGTCTGTAATTAAAAATCACTATATTCTCTCGTTTCTCCTTCGCACTCATCACCCACGTGTTCCTTTGTGTCCCACTGCTAACATTCCCTATAGAATCGCCTGAACATCCTGCATGGAGGCACCATTGCCAGCATGGGTTCGTGCCTCTTGAAAGAAAATCACAAACAGCCAATGCTTACAATCCACTAGTGGACCTTGGCGGTTCTCTCGCTGTCGCTTCCCGCGGTCTGTTTGCGACTGGCGTGTCAACCGACCTGAATGGTAAGCTGCAAGCTGCATTTCCTAACCTGGATGAGCACTAACTTAGTTTCCTTGAATAGTGACTTACCTTAACTCTGGAGGCAAGATTGGTGATAAAATTCTAGCGGTACGTCTAGAACCCCCTCTGAAAATATGCTTTCTCATACTAATTTCATCTAGGAGGTTACCTGTGATAAGTGTATGACAGTTATCAATGTTGCCTTAGACACTGTGCTGATATTTTACAGTTGGAAAAACTCTTGCTTATACAAACATTAAGTTTATGAATGGAAAGGGTGACATTGTAGCCAGAGGCAGCCACACAAAGTAAGAAGCCCTCTCTTGATTATTGGAACTAGGTACTAACTCTTAAAGATATGTCACCCTTGCTTGGAAGGATCCTCAGAATATTGTCGAGGAGATCAACAAACTCAAGTAAATGAAAATGCTGAGCTCTTCGAGTTTCTGTACAGAATTAGAAATGAAGCATACAACCCAGATCTTCTATGGCCTGGTTTTTTCTTGCGATGTGCGAACATCTTGAATTGATGATTAGTAATTCTAAGTCAGTGGCCTGTGCTATTTCAACCGTTTCCAGCTATGTGGTAAGAGTTGTATAGGGAGTGGGTTAGAAGGGTTGACATGTCTATTTATGCCTTGGCATCTATTGTCGCGTGTACTGCGGCAAGCGCAGGGGCCGAGACCGCGCCGCCCTGCAGCCCTCCCGTGCTATACCTCCGACCCCAACCGAGCCTCGCACTGAATCTAACACTAAGCGACTAGGCGACAAACAACTAGCTCATCGGTGTTATGGTCACGTCACCCGATCATCAAATCCAGCGAAAGATTGTGGCTGTTTAGGAACTTACTGAAGGTCGCAGTGGTGCAGATTTGAGGTATATAGTGTTCACAGAAAAAAGAGATGAGAATATAAAAAGAGTGGATATATACCTTCAGTGCAACATCATTTAATTAAGACCATGTTCGCTTTCAAAATTGAATTTATCTATATTCATATATATAGACAAAGAGCCCTAGGCCCTAGTCACATATTAAAATCCTTATCTTTATCGTAATAGCACAGGTAGCTGGCTACCTGTGGTTGTCGGAACTATGCCGCCCAGCAGCCCTCGCAGCGCTGCACCCCCGACCTTTATTGAGCCGCGCATTAAGCCAATAAATGTATACTCCGCGACCAAGCTACGCACTAAATGTAATTTTTAAGTACCCCCTGACCAAACCGCGGTCTAATACGGCGCAACCCCGCAACCTCGACAAAAACACGACCTCGCACTGCGTCAAACACCCCGCGACCAAGCCGCGCCCTAAGTTCAACATTCCGCGATGAAGCTGACAAATGAGAGACCTTATCGGTGTCAACGTCAAATTACCTGATTACAGACTACAGCGAGGAATCGTGATTGCGTGGAAAATTACTAGAGGCTCGCAATGGAGCAAATTAGTGTTGACGGTAAACACAAATACGAATTTGAAAGAATGCACAGATATCAAAATTGCAATATCATCCACACGGGATTACGCCCGCTTCTAAATCATCTGCACGAGTAGACAAAGAAACCCCTGATTATACAATATCCTCATCCTCATCCTCATCGCCCAGCATAGCCTCATCCTCATCTAACAAGCCATCCTCATCAACAGGGCCCGTATCATCAACAACCATCTCACCATCACCTAGAGCCTTAACCTTAGCCTGAGTCATCTCAAATACATATTGACCAAGATGCTCAACGCCTTCCATGGGGGTACCTTCGACGTCAGCGTCCAGCGCTCGGGTGGCGGGGAACATCTCGCCAGGAGCAAGCGTCAGCTTATCCGGGCGCTGAAGCAGAAGGTCGAAAGCGGGCTTGAGCTCATAGCAAGATTCGAAGACTTCGCGGCGGCCGAGGATGTACAAGCCAAGTCGGGCACGAGACAGGGCGACTGTAAGGCGGCGGACGTCGCGAAGGTAGCCGACTGTGCGGGTGCGGGTCAAAGAGAGGATAACGTCTGAAATGGTTAGCATGAAGTCAAAGGTGGGTGGGTTCGAGGGGAGACTTACAGTCATTTTGCTCTCCTTGGTATCTGTCGACGGTGGTCACGATCTTGGGCATTCCGAACAGGTTGTTCTTCGCGCAGCGATGGGTCAACACATCCCGAATCAGGGCTGTTTGTCCGGCATATGTGGCTAGAATGGTGATCTTGGAAGCTGGGTAGCCAAGCAGGCGCATATACTGGTACAGTGCCACTGCGTATTCGGCCTCACCCAGATTCTGAATGAAATGAGGTGTTGGCTCCTGCTCGCCGGTTCCCTGATAGTCGGGAACGTTGATGAACTGGTAGTCGAAATTGAAGCCGGCATTGGCGCGTTTAAACTCCTCGTTGGTCTCGACGGATGGGAGATCTCCCAGTGCCGGATACCGCCAGCGGAAGAGCTCGGCAATGCTTGGACGGGATCGGCCTTGCTTGTCTAGAGTGATCACGGGAACACCCAGCCGTGCCAGACGAAGGAACAGACTTTGGTCGAAATGGGCGTACTGGCGGAATGCGTGATTTTGGATAATGGGAGAGTTTTGGAAGTGATCACCACAGAGGACGACACGCTTAAGAGGGAGCTCGCCGTTCTTCATGGTTTGAAGAGCGGTGGGAATGAAGCTCTCGATCTCGGTAATTTGAGCGGCTTCTTCCATGACTACATTGTCGTAGTGGAAGCCAAGGTCCGCAATTTCCTGACGACGCATGGACGCGTGTGTGGATGTCATTGCAATCACGCGGGCCTCCTTGATAAGAAGATAATTGGCCTTGTCTCGAGGTTGACGCAAGATCTCGAATGGTCGGATATCTTCAAGCTCGGAGAAGATTCGGTCAATGTGTCTCTCACAGCCTGAAGCGATGTCCAGAATAGTCTCTTTTGAAGCGCCAGCATCGAACAATGGCTGGGGAGCGTTAGAAAAGTACGAGTGGAAGGGGAATGATGCAATGATATCCTCATTGGAGGCTCCCTCCGCCTGCGCTTCGTCCCAGAACTTGGCCCATGCCGGCTGCACATACACCGTGTTGAAGTAACCCGCTGTCTCGCAAGAATTACCGTGCGCTCCCTCCGCACTGATGGATGCTGCCAACCGCATCACTTCTGATAGATAGTGGTGACGGTTTTCAAGGAAGGACTCAACACGACCATACTTGCTGTAGTTGGAGTCAGTGTCCAATTCTTCCTCGCCGTGACCCAAGCGCAACAAATGACGTGGATCGATGTCTAGAGCAATAATCTTCTGAAAGAGTTGATTGAGCGCTTGATTGCTGTGAGCAATGAGCAAAGTGCGCTCATTGGGGAAGTTGTGATAAATGTTGTTAATAATTTGTGTCGCCACGTCAGTCTTGCCCGTACCAGGAGGGCCCACAATGACGGATAAACCAGGCTGGGTACCGGACACAATTGCCTCAACCTGGGAAGGAGTAAAGCGAACTGTGTTAAGCCTGGGTGCATCAACAGGGTAAGGGCCAGGGTTGGGCGGCTTGTATGTTGAAACACGCATTGTGCTGGAAGCTTGCTCTGGTGCCTCGGCCTGGCCACGCCTGCGCTTCTTCGCAGGAGCAGCGGAAGCCTCGGCAGGTTCACCCTCGACTGATTCCAGAACGTAAGGAGGCCCGAAGCTAGCAGACTCCGACCCTGAAGGCTCGATGGTCTTGCCGGGGAAGCTCTCTACTAAGTGAGACCAGTCCAGTATAGTATCCCGGAAATCAATAGACTTGAGTTTGTTAGGCAACTGAGTATACTGAGCACCTGATGGGTCTCCGTATCCAAGGAAAATATCCTGAAGCCAAGACGGAAGAGTCATATCTGATACAATGAGTTTCTGCATCGTTTGAAGAATTGACTTGAAGTTGTTCTCTCTGCCCTTTCTCCGAGCCACGACATTAATCAGGGGGTAAATGTCTGGCTTGCCATGTGCTTGACGGTCCTTATCCGCCTTGAATGCGGATGCATCCATGTTGACAATTAGTTTTCGGACTCGCGGACGTCCAGCATGGCCATTCGCTTGACCAGCAGCTTGCTGCCGCAGCGGGCGACCTTGCTCATCCAAAACTTGAACGATCTCCGCGGTGCGAAGATAGGTCATGCGGGGGCCCTCTGCATTCTGATCATTACCACCCAACTGTGCAGGCGCGGATGACTGAACAGCCAAGAGGTAAACAACATCATCAGGGCGAAGAGAGTCCCACTCCTTCCGGATGTGGTCTGCAAGTCTTCCGACTTCAATAGCAATTTCGGCACGAATAAAAGCCGGGTTGGGGGAACCAACCTTGGCCGGCGCAACTTCGATGATGGCGGGCTTGGTGATAGGGATCGCCATGCGAGAGAATCCGTCGAAGGTCAGACTGCCATCACGGTTCGCGCGAGGCTGCATGCGCTTGACAAGCGACTCCATATCCTTGCGAATCTGGAAGAAAGCCTCGGATCGATAAAGCAAAAATGAACGCCACAAGAAGTCGCCGATACTCAAGTACTGAAGGTTGAGCTTGGGAATTGCAAGAGGTCTTGAGCCATCATAAGTCTCATTCCGCATCAAAGCGGAGTCGTAGAGACTGTCTTCAGTAGGAACAATGTTCAACTTGGCAGCAGTATCCTGGAAAGAGAGCCTGCGCTCGTAGAAGGTCAAAAGGACTTCCATCCAGAATTGACGGTTTGGCTTGACATTTGACGACTTGGGATAATTTGTGCGGAATCCCAGTTCGGAGCATAGTGTTTGAAGTTCCGACTCGTCCAAAGACGAGAGCTGGCTCTCCAGCTCTGAGCGCTGCTCAATTGAACCTAGGTTCGACAGGGCAAGAATCATGAGCTTGTCCTTGAAAGACTTCATGGCCGTTCTTTGTAAACGGGCCAGCTCCTGGTTGTGCAAATCGTAGACGGCCTGGGGCGAGAGTGCCTCTCCAGAATAGTCATCGATGGCGAAATCCATGAAGTGCTTGAGGAGGCTGTACAAGTCCCGGAAGAGCGCATTGTCAGGCGAACGATATATTTGCGAAAGACGAATGATGGGGAGTAGATTGAGGTCCTTCAGAAGTGTGTTGACGTAACGACGGGTTGGGAGTTGACTCAAGAGATCCACCATAAGCTCTAGGAATCGTTCGCAGTAGAACAAGTTCTCCTTTTGATCCTTCTCCGCGCCATTCAACTTCTGCAGGAAGTCCAGCAGCATCGTATAGAGCCAAGACCGTTCAAAGCGCAATTTCGCCTTGGCGGGTTCATCTCCAGCATCGTATCGCTTGCCGGCAGCCCTCCATGCCTTCTTCAAAGTCGGTGACTTTGCAATGACGCGTTCTCTGGCTTCGTCGCTGACTAGGTTGTGCCAAATGGAAATAGAGACAAGAGGGGCGCATTGCTGGCGAATCAGGACGTTCTCGAGCGATTGGAAGGCACCGATGATGAATGAAATGATGGACATTCGCGACTGGGTCGCCAATGAAGGATCGATGCTCATCGAAAGGATACGGTGGAACAGGCTCGAGAAATCATCGCCGCGGTCGGAGAAAATGTCTGCGTAACGTCAGTCGTTGCTATTCCACTGTCTTAACTTCACCTCTCGCATTCACTTACTCCATATCGGCAAGTGCTCGCGATACTTGACGCCGACAATCAGGGCGATCAGATGGATATGGTGATTGGAAGCATCCTCGGTGTATGTCGGCCAGAGATATCTGCGATCGCGTCAGCCCTGCGGGGATAAGATTCATCGAGTGCGGGCAACTGACTTCTCCAGAACATTCAAATTCTCCAAGATCAAGAGCGAGCGACTTGTGAAGCCCTCAACTTCCAGCGGATCCCACAATTGCTTCTTGATCACATCTGGTTTGACCTTGCGCACCTTGGTGTCCAACCAGTGCGCCTTGGCCAGCTTCACCCACGGGCTATCCTCGCGGAAATCCACGACCGTTGGCCTGGACTCCAAACTCTGCGCCATCGCCGCAGTCGATTGTCCCTTATCCGGATAGATGAGGAGTGAGGGGGTGGATCGGAAGGGTAACGTCGCAATCGAACATCGAAGCCGAAGCTGGGGGGAGCTTTTTCAGAAAGTCTTGGCTCTCTCTCCGCCGAGCCGCAAACCTTCACTCCGCCCGACGTCTCTCTTTCGTCGCGCCCACAGCTGTCACTCCAGCCTCACACTGGTCGAAGATGGCAAGCGCGGATATCGAGGCGGTTCGGGTTTACAAGGGCCTGATCGATGGTCTCTTGGACCGCGCGACGCAGGTCAAGCCTGCGCAGATCGAACCCCCATTGACCGAAGGGCTCCTCGGCGATCGGATTTGGGAGGTCCCGGAACATGAACAAGGGGCTGTGAAGCAGCTGGGCCAGCAGACACAGTATGCTTCAGTTGAGATCGCTTTCCGCCAGAAGTTCTACCCTCTCGTGGTACGACGCGCTTACCTTCAAGCTTACCTTGGCTATGACGATTGGGGATGATCGCTAACAATTCATGACTATCCAGAACTCTACCTCCATCGAAGACCCTGCTTTCATCCACATTTGGAACCTTCTTGACATTGTTTCCATTTTCTCCGATAACGGTTCGTCGCGCGCCGAAGCCACATTACGATGTCTTCTAACGATCATTAGAACAATGCGAACCCGGTTTAATTTTCTGGCTTATTGAAGAGCTACTCGACAGACAAACTATCGATGCCTGCCGCAAAGTGTTTGACTACTTGGAATCTCGCCGGGACCGGAATATCAAGGTTCGCAACGCACTTTCACGGGTCTACGGCGCACTCCATTGACTGATTCCATAAAAGAAACATTTCAAACAGAAAAGCCTTGTCATCCTCAGATCATGCAATGAGCTGCTTCGCCGGCTTTCCCGTGCTGAGGATACCGTATTTTGCGGACGAGTCTTCATCTTCCTTTTCCAAAGCTTCCCGCTTGGAGACAAGAGTTCAGTCAATCTTCGCGGCGAATTCCACACCGAGAACGTTACCACATACGATGACATTGTTAAGCCCATACACGTTGTCCCAGAAGAGGATATCACAATGACAGATGGCGACTCAACACCGACAGAAAGCCAGGCGGATAGCAGTAGTCGAGCTGATAGTCGTGGCATGGGAGCCGATGAAAAGTCACATGTCCCAAAGGTCCTTCTTTCTACGGACAAGAAGCAGAAAGACCGGGAACCAAAGGAACCAGTCGATCTTGATGCTCTATATCCTATTTTCTGGAGTCTACAGATCTACTTCTCAGCGCCCAGCAAGCTGTTCGAGCCGGACCGTTTGGCATCATTCAAGGCCGGCCTTGAGGCAACGTTATCCGCTTTCAAAAACATCAACACCGAACTCGACAGTCAAGGTGGCGGACGGTCGTCCGAAGAAGCGCGCAAATCCCATAAGCGGAAGCGCGTAGCCGATGGGCCCGAAATCAGCAGCAACTTCAACCCGAAATATCTTACCAGTCGCGATCTCTTTGATCTTGAAGTCAGTGATACGGCTTTCCGCAGACATATCTTGGTCCAGGCTCTCATTCTTCTGGACTTCTTGTTATCACTTACGCCACAAGCCAAGAAACACCAGGCTGACTTGACGAATAAGTCTGTGCTCTACGGATTTGTCCTGAGTGAAGATGATGCGAAATGGGCATCGAATATCAGGAGACGCATCGAAGGCTATCTGCGAGATGGACCCGGGGGGATGTTTTACTATCGCATGGTCGACACCGTTTTGTCAAGAGACAAAAACTGGGTGCGGTGGAAGGCCGAGGGCTGTCCACCAATCGAGAAGCCAGCCATTTCTGTGCCTGACTACGTGGCTGCACGCGATCAAGCCGTCAAAGCCTATGCCAACAAACGCATCCGTGCCTCACCAATGGGAGCGCTGGATTTCAAATTCTTATCCGACAGCGAAGCATTGGCCAACATCGAGCGGCTCAAGGAAGCAGACCGATTCGCTGTCCCCGATTCGAAGTCATTGCAGGGGGGTATCCTGGATGACGAAATGGACATCGACATGGCACAGACCGCAGACGACAAGGAAGCCGCGCTCAGCGCCAAATCCAGTAAACTCTGGCGTATCCTCCGGTTGTCCGCGAAGACGAAGATGGCCGTATTCGACAAGATTGATGATGGCAATAATTTGAACATCCTCTTTGAAGCCCCAGCGCCGGCTGGGGAGACTCCCCAACCAGACGGAAACGAGGACCCCCAAGACAGCCTCTCTGCAGAGGGCAAAGAAAGTGGCGAAGAAGAAGAAGCAGCACAAGATACCCAACCCCCTATTGAGAGCACGAACGTCACCGACGATACCCAGCAGCAAGAAAGCACCCCTGCCGAGAAACCGACAAGCGAACAAGGCCCCGCCGTTGAGTCTAGCGTGGAGACCGGAGATAATACCAAAGAAGAGTCGGCAACCTGACGGCATGGCGCAGGGCCAAAGTTTATGGCAGGATGCTTATGGCTTTGACCCCTTTCGTCGGGACTGCGGAGCAATACCCGCAATGGGTATCGTTTCGCGGGCACGGCACCTCATAGATCAGCCTTTAATTCTCTCTAGGGCGCATGCGCCCCAGCCCTGTTCAACCTAGCAGACTCGATCTGGTAGCACATCCTGTATTTATCGAGCTAGAAGCGAATGAAAATCCAATACCATCGAGTACAAAGCCCGAAGAATCCGAGAACCTTGGTAGCTTTTTTCCATCAGCCAAGCCACAATCCAAGGGACCGGTTCGCTTGCGGGCAGTGTTCCTAGTGGCATCGAACATCAGACATCAAGATGGCGATACGATCTTGATCTGGATGATCTTTCCGGCGGTTTGTGTTCCAGCTGCTTCAACCCAAACTCGTCTGTTTCGCATGACGCATTCACGTATGGCTACAATGTATCCAGAATGAGGAACCCAAAGTTATCTCCTTCCTATATTGCTAGTGATTTTCAAAGGCATGTTAGGTTTGAAGGCCCACCGAAGCAGACTATGGAAGTTTGCTTCATGTCGATCAGGCACGAACACACTCACCCTGAGACCATGGTAGTATTTCTTACCCCCAGTGTCTTTGATCTGGGGCTTAGCGAGGCAGTGAAGGAGCCCCTTTAGAGACTAGAGTCAGACTTGTCACCCGATGGAGAAGGAGCACAATCTTTAAAACCGAAGTGATGGGATAGGAGTGGGACTTTGGATTTTTACATGCTGGATTAGCTACCGACGTGGAGAAAGGGGGATACATAGTGTTTTTTTTTTTTTTCTTCTTTCCTGACGGTTCGGCAACTTTATTGATTTTGAGAGCTGTTCCTGCATGAAATGTCAACAAAAGCCATTGTTTGGGGATTAATTTTCCTAAAAAATAGTTTTTGTTTTATTTATTTTTTTAATAATTATGCCTAGTGCCAGCGGGAGATTTCCCCTGGAATATCCGAGCGTAAATCCGGGAAGCAATGGCTAGATTGCAGGGCGGGCGAACCGTCGCAGCCATGTTTCACTTTTCTCGTGCACCGAGGCTAAGAGGGGTTAGTTGAGGCATCGGTGTCGGAGGATTAGGACTAGGTGTACGAGGAGGAATTTAGTGAAGTTTAGTGAGCTTGTTAGTCAGTTTAGCGTGAATCAGGGTGGACACAGTTTGCCCCCTGTACCTTGCAGCTATACAAGACATCGACGCTTAGCGGAATTCCGCGTGGTATCGGACCATGCGGGCGTTCGCAGGAGAGATTGTTCTCGAAGCGCGACGCACTGATCGCAGAAAGGCGTCACCAGGGAACGCCCAGAGTCGGACAGTTGCAAACTCCACATGTGGAGCACAAGGTCGACGCTATACAGGACGCGGAAGGAGACTTTTCCTTTCCGTATCGATCTGAGCACTGGCCAGGTGTGTGTTGGAACTACTGTATAACGTTTCTCAATTCAATAGATCGAGAGGAAGAAAGACTTTCTCCCCCCCCCCCCCATATTTCCCAATCACAGACTCTCAAACCGGGAGTATCGTGCGATCCGTGGAAACAACACGGCCGTCGCTGTCAGACCGAGTTTCAGGGATATTTGACCCGCTCCCAACAATGGGATGACCATGGAATGTGGCTTGAACAAAGCGTTTGCAGGCGCCCATATACCCTTGTAGGTAAGAGTCCGTCATAGCAGCAGTTTACTGCTGAACTGTGCAGTTTCTTGGATCTGCAGGGCACACGATGGCCATTCGGGCCCAATGAACCGGCGTGCACGATCCAGGAGGGGCGCCTGGGCCAAGCGATCGGCTTGCGTCATCCCAACCCCCTCGATTCTTCCACTCGCAGCACGATGACGACGGGCATCTGGAGGAAATGAGCAGAGAGACCGTGACTGGTGCTTGGCACCTGCGTAAAACGCCGGAATTAAAGTTGCGCACAGTGATCCCACGATCGATCTTGTCTCCCTCCCCCCACGGTCGTTCCAGAATGTGCTCTCTTCTACACATGGTTGACAGATAGCTTTCACGGGACGGGCTGAAGTCTAACCGAGGCATGTTTGTAGAAGGCATCCAGAACAACCTCAAACAGTAGTCGACTCCATAGGGGATCCAACACGGGAAAATCCGATCGAGACAGACTTTCCGCCCCCGGAGGCACCGGGCAAAAGATGATCGGACGCGTGCAACGCTAAACAGGCTAGGAGACGATCAGCGAAGGGCTTCGGCCGTAGCAGTATGCTCTGCGCGATGTGATTCGGGATCGTTTCTAACGGCCCCGAGTTTTCTCCCCTCCGAAAGCCGTACGATGGCAAAATAAAAACGGGCCTTGTCTCCACGTTCCGATCAGGAACTGCGCCTTACCAACGTAGTCCTGCGTAATTTGCTCCACCGACTACTGACTATTGCTGCATGAAACTTCGGGAAGAAAAAGAAAATAGGAAAATAGAGGATCATGATCATGAGAGTATCGACCAGTGCCCCGATCGGCTTAGATTCCACTAACTCGGGTTCATGCAAAGCCCGATGGGCCGTTAGCTACCTAATTTGTGTGTTCTACCGGATTTTCAAGCTTCCCAGTTTGTTATCTGGGTCTTTCGATTTTTATCTCTGACATTGTCATCCCTCACGGGAATTAAATTAACCAGAGCCTGGAAGAGTCGAGGACACGGCCCACCGTTTACTTGGTACTCTAATTTTCTTATTCAATTACGAGTCAAGTTCATAGATCACAAGCTCCGGGAAGCCACTGGGTAATTTCCTTCATTCCCAGCTGTGACCTAGAACGTTTCATGGCTGATGTGGAGATTGGCCCAGGAGCTCCTCTCCTCTCGGTGGAGAGCCCTGACACGGCGGCTGAGCCACGGTTGACCCCGAGCTCTTAGCGTATGCGCAGAGACCGCCGTACGGCATTTGCAGATACCTGTACGTCAATTAGTTAAGAGATAAAATATTAAAATAATAATATAATAAAATAATAACAAACGATGTTACCTGCAGGAGAGGGGAAAAAATGAAACTCAAAGAAAGTATACAAAATGACTGACGGCTGTGGCGGAGGCAATTCTCCGTGCTGAACCAGGAGTCGGGAATTCCCACATCGTTCCTGCTGGAACCGCGTAGCCGAAGCCCCCGTCTGGGTTTCAGGGCCTAGCAAAGACCAATAGGCTTTTCTGTATTCCCTTCTGGACAGCTTGTCCATGGATAATCGCGGGGTTGTTATCATTTTTTCTTGTCAGATTTCAGATTTCTTCTCGCCTCTAACCACTCCATTGGTACAAGACTCCACTCCGGATCCATCCACTCTCGCAACCCTCTGAGGCCCTCTATTCGTGTAGAAGTGTGGCGGGCAGCCCGCTGAGTGGCTGTTCCCAGCCCATCAATGGCTTCTAAGGCCCGGCAGCCTTAGACCGACCGCCAATGGAGCCAGCGCGCCACTAGCTCATCCGGTCTCCCACATGGTCAATAGGAAAATAAAGAAAATAGATTAAAGGAAAATAAAAGTAAAATGAAAAATAAAACAGCTAGTGAACCGGTGAGCAAAGCAAGGGTCTCATGGCCTTTCCTACTCGGTGGCCCAAGCCCGATTTTTAGCATTCTAGTCATCTCGCCTGTAGCCACGCTCATCTCACGGACCATACAGATCAGCCACTAGGTGCACGTCGGGATTTGTTCTACTTAACAGAGTCTACATCTTCAGCTTTATCCCATATGCCTTGCTGGAGTCCGGTGGAGCTCTGATACATACTGGGCCCGGTGGCACCTAGCCGTCTAGTAGGGACCCAAGTAAATGTATTCCAGAGCTTGTCTGGATCCTGGTCTGAGGATTCTAGTCCTTAGTCCGTTCCCACTTGGCTCTTTTCTCAGCTCGGGCAGAACCGCGATTCGCCACAGACCCGTTGTGGGTGTGGTGGGCTTGTTTCCCTCTGCAACTGGGCGTGGTCATACCTCTGTGAAAGAGCCAGGTGCTCTGTGCACGGGGAAATAAATCATTCCAAGGCTGTCGTGTACCTTCCAAGCTTGTACTCGAATAGGTTTTAGTGCAGTTTCTTGCTCGTGCCGTGAATTATTTCCACGATCTTTTCCAGCAGAAGAGGACAGCACTCGGTCTTGAACCGATTGGGGGGGGGGGGGGGGAGCCATCGAGATCTGAGGCTACAAATCTTTCCGAGCGATCTCGGTGTTCTGATACTTGCCTTGTAACTTGCGTTTTAGAACCCGGGGTTACATCTATGGAGGCTCCCGCATGGGGCATCGGTTATGGATCGTGGTCTTTTTGCTGATCATTGCCGAGTCCCAATGCTGTGGTTTAACCTGTTCTCTCATCTCTTACGCATATTCCTTTGCCCCCTCTCCTGACTGCGGCCCACCCTTTTGGCAGCGTTACAAAAGTTGAAAAAAAAAATCATTGTCATAAGGCTTGGCCCGAGTGTTGTCCCAGTGTACTCGCTTTTGACTTTGGCCGTTTTGACCGTTGCAGAGATCGCCGTGCAACTAAGCGTGTATATCATTCCTCGGACAGTGCTAGCCAAAAGCTAAGTAATCCGGTGGATCAAGACGTTGGTCCTCCTGCGGTGGTACAGTAGACGGTGGACCCTGGGGGCAATTGCGGGTGTCCGTTTTAATATCCTAACCCGTTTATTTCCACACATCGCTTGGGTCGTCATAAGGAGATCTCCGGCCGATCCTGGCTGACCGAGTTGAACCCAGTCACCTTCAAACTCGTTACCAGTCTCCGAGTCACCCCCGTTACCCATTTTACCGGCTTTTAACAGGTACCCAGTGGATGCTCAGTGCTACTACCGAGCTGCGTAAAGATCTTCAAAGGGCTGGACAAGAGCGATCTGAGATCTTCCGTTGGACGTATCTTCGTTCTAGTCGTGGTCCAGTGGTCCAGTGGCGGAAACACATTTCCCAGACATCATAAATCTCCCGGCGCCTACTGAAATACACAACCCCTCCCTTTTCTCTATACCGAGGCCTGCACGTTTGATTTGGCTTCACCCTTTACTCCGTTTAATTGAAGAAACCCTGAACCTGTTGCGCAAGCGCCCCCCGGCACTTCGATCAGACCCACCCCTCGTCTTGTCTCATCTCGGGGAAGACGGCGCTCTTAGTTCTTTTGTCCCTTCTTTGATTTTTCCCTTCTCGTTTCGTGTCATCGGTGTTGTGGGTTCGGTGTGCGTTTGAGCCTCCGTCAAGTTAGACTCATATCTGTTGAACTAAGGACTCGGATCTTCAGGTATCCTCAACTCTGCACCCCCGCGAGGCTTGAGATTTACCATGTCAATCGGTGGCCCTTGTCTCTGGGTGCCTTCGTTGTCTTCGCCCGTCTCGTCGCCTCTATCTGCAGGCCTCTCTCATCTGTCAGCCGTTGCTCGTCACGGAGACCGCTTTTCTTCAGCACCGAGAACAATCTCACCGCTACTGTCACTGTCGAGGGAAAGAGAGCCTGGTGCTTCTATCGGATTACCATCAAACATGCAGCGCGCTGGTTTTAAGGCTGAGAATGCCTTGACTCCTCCGGTCCCTGTGAGCACGGCTGCGTCTAGGCCTTATTCTGGGGGAGAGATCTCCCATGAGCGGCCTGACATGGCGAGAGACGAAATGCTGCCCCGGGTGAAGCTGGAAATCCCTGGTGGTAACGGGGCGAACTTCGCGATAGCAAGGCCGCGCGTCGGTGCCGGTCACTTTGGAGATTCGACAGATGCTTTGATGAGCGTTAACGAAAAGGATGGCCATGACAACGACAACGAATCTACTGTTAGTCCGACGGATGAGAGAGAAGGAACGGTCGGTCCCGATGATAGCCAAACGTCGCCGTCGCTGGAGAAGAAGAAGATGAAGCGATTCCGGTAGGACTTCACGACTTCTTCGTTCAACTGAACGCCAGTGCTGACTTGCTCTTCAGTTTGACACATAACCAGACACGTTTCTTGATGAGCGAATTCACTCGCCAGGCTCATCCAGACGCTGCTCATCGAGAGCGTTTGTCTAGGGAAATCCCTGGGTTGACGCCACGACAAGTGCAAGTGTGGTTCCAGAACAGGTAGGCCTTGACAGTCACCATGAATAGGATCATCCTTTCTTTTCTAACACAGACTTGCAGACGGGCGAAATTGAAGCGTCTGACTACAAACGATCGCGAGAGAATGCTAAAGTCAAGGGCGCTTCCCGATGATTTCGACACGACGAAAGTGTTGAGGACACCATTTGAGCAGAGGTCCATGGGCCAGACACCCATTGCATCCCCTCAAGACTATGGGGCGCCGAATCCAGATTTCGCAGCCTTGAGGGGGCTTCGCACCGACTTTGCTCAGCGCCCGACTGAAGATGACTATCTTGTCTCGCCTCTCAGCTCAGCATCGACCGCAGGAACATACATGTCCTCTGCTGGACAGGGACGGAATGACGGACTCCCGTCGCAAAATATGATGTATGGCCGACCTTCTGCGTCTGCATCCATGTCCGATCTGCACAGAACCATCCGCAGCGACTATTCCATCACTAGATCGAGCAGCATGTCGGAGCCATCTACACAACCTCCGTCCTACCACCACGGAATGCAACCCCCCACTCGATATGGCGCTCCCGGTCAGCCCGGTCTCCCTTACGGACAGCAACCGTATGGAGTTCCTCAACATCACGGCAGAATGATGTCGACATATGACCAGCACCAGCCATTCGAAGGTTCAGTGTCACCAACAGATTCACAGGGAGCACAGATGCCCTACGACATGAACAACCTAGGTTTGTTCTTTCGCCCATACCTCTCCCACAGCAAGTCCTAACAGATCGAACCCATGCAGGCACACAACCTCAAAGCTACCAGTCACAGCTAGCCATGTCGACACAAAAGGACTATAGCGGATTGGGATTGAACACGCATATTCCCCCACACGGACGGCCGATGTCTACCCTGCAAAGCATCCCCGTCTCCGCATCCCAGGAATACCGACCTTACTCCTACGGCGCCTCCTCCATCCCATACACCCAAGCCAACAATGCTTCAACACTAAGCCTGCCCTCTACCTTCGCCCCGTCCGAGTCAGGAACCGCGGCCCAGGACCACATGCAACAGAACCCGCAAACCATCGAATCCCTTCGGAGCAAATTCGGTAACCCATCTTTCAACTACGCAGGCTACATCCAACAATAAAGCTGCACTTGGCAGGTCCACACAAAAAAGCACAACTCTGCGAGTCACCATCCAGCAAGATCTGGCTTTCTTTCCTCGACCGATCAGCAATCCCAATATTGCACTTCTTTGTCATTTGTTTAGCCCCCGGGCGCATCCATATCAGCGTGATTTAATCCTAATACTTTGACAGCGCCTAGCTATGGTTTTGTTTTTTATTTCCTTATATTCTCTACTGTCTATATTCTGTATCCATAACCAAGTTGTTTTTGTCATTGTTTCCGCATATCAAGGTTGTTTGGACGGTCCACCAACCGCCCCGGGTTTCCAAGGTTGTTCTGTTCTTTAATTCACCATGGGGGTCCAGCGTCTTTGTCTTTCAATTTCGGACTAGCGTTAGTATTATTTCTCTGACATACGGAACTTTTGTTCCCAATTTTGATTCAAATCGGTCCTGTTTTCTAGACCGAGAACGAAAGGCGTGATTTATTGTGGATGTGATCGACGTGGCCATTGCCTCTCTAGATTCAGGGATGTTCCGAAGTTTATCCAGATGACTTATTTCCGTCTACTCCATTTTTACACTGTAATTTGATAAACTCGCGTTGAAGGGTCTGAGAGAGTCGATAAGTATTGCGAGAATAAAATGTATTTGTGCAGAGAGCCCCTATTCCGCTTTGGAAGATCTGAACGGTTAAATTTCTTTGCAATTACTAATATATATCTCAAACGGCGGTTGGAATGGTTTCGGATACACGTCGATCAACTGAGACTTGTCGCCGGGCAAGAACCCAAAACTGCCTAGCCATATCAGGTGCAGATTCCACTCGAGCCCCAGTCGCTCTTGAAAACTCAAAAAAAAGATCGCTGCTTTACTTCGTATCGTGGACTGGTTATGGCCCGGCCGGGCAGGTGATCGTCAAACCCCACTCGGGAATTCCGAAAGGTGTCCAATTTGGTCCCAATCAGTTCGACCCGGCCGAGCCGAAGATTAAGAAAAAACGAAACTCGAATACCCTCAATAGTAGCCCCTTTAATCACAGTCTAGCCGGCATTGGCTTCCAAGTCCGAGAAGGCGGCGTTGAGGTTCGGGCAACCCTCATTGGGCCTATAGATAGGAGGCGGTCTCGCATCATCCACCTTATAATTACCAGGCGTAAAGTTGGCCAGAAACACCGAGCCAGTAGTAAACCACAACTCGTTCTTGTTATCTAAGATAGTGAGCATGATGATTATGGGTCTAATCCAAACACTAGATAAGGGCTTTGCGTGCAATGGCTTGACGCTAGGGCTCAAGACAGCTCTGACATCAACCCAGCGGCGTACTGGCTAGTTATTGAAGAACATACACATGCTCAGCTTTACAGTAGGTCTTGTAATACTTCTTTCGGTCGTGACCACACTCGGTTGTCCAATTCTAGGCGCTACCATCCGCATAGATGCTCTATTTCTCTGATGTCATCTTCCTGTAGGAGAGGTATTTCAGCGGCCAGTAACAAAGTGAATGTAAATTTGGTTCCATCCTCATCATCATTGGTTGCAGCAAGGCCCTGTTACCGAATCTTGATCTTTTCAACTATTTGATTAGTTTGTTATTCAAGGTGCAAACATTTAGAAACTGCTCTTGAGAAACACACCTCATGATATGACCAGCCAAATTTCATAGGCGGTTGAACACCGACAAGATACTGAAGGTACGTAATGGGCTTGGTGTCACCAATCTATAGCCAAGCAACATTAGAATGAGGTATAGCATTGAAATGCTGATCATGGCATTTGACTGACCGCTTTCAGCAAAATTCCTTTAGGGCCAAATCTTTTCCATAATTGATCAAGCTCCTCTTCTCCAATGAGCCTTCCTCGTGCCAATAGGACATCATGTTACTGTGCATTGAAGTCCTCAGAATCCCCGCACGGTATGCGGCCATAATATATTCTATATTAGATTGCTGCTCTTCAGTATTCTCATGTTTGTCATTGGACTCATGGATATATTCCAGGGACTTCAGGTGTAGAACAATGTCCCAGCTAAGTTGCTCGGGCTCCGATTCCTTCCATTTTCTATGTTCGAACCGTCAGACACGAGACTAAAAGGGTAGTTAGGAATACAGGGGCTATCTTACATCGGCTCTTGATTAGCGCTCTAATGATGTCCGAAGCACATAATATTGGCTCGTTAGGGTTCATCGGTTTCCCTGGAACTTTGTGAGACGGTCCAGTGTTTTTGATATGATGATCAGATGACGGCTGGTCAAGCACATTTTCGGACCGTCGTTAGCGGGCTCGTAATGCTAGCCAACCGGGTTTAATGATATCTAGCACTACCTGCATTAGCTCTGCTGGTTTCAATCAAGACCAGTGTAGTCTTCAGCCCTTGGTAGTACCCGATAGTTACAGATCCCATGAAACGTGGGGTTGGGAGAGACAGGGGCAAACAAATCAAGTGGAAATGGCACTGAGCAGAACTATCCCCGTCATTATAATTGACAAGATGATGTAAATCTACAATGCTCAGAATTGATGAGTTTTACGTGTTGTTTTGAGTTCGGGTGTGCCTTGCTGTTTCTTCCCTATATTGATCCTCACTGATTTTGCAGCATTCCGCAGCCATGTAACAATTGTTGACACGGATTTAGCACTAATTTATTCTAGCACAAAGCGGCTGGGCAAATGAGAAATGCTCTGCATGACCTCAAGATAGATAGAATTCTCTCATGAGATCATCATTTCGGGCCGGCAAGGAGTTGGCGATCCATGTCGTAGTCTTGACTTAGTTGGCTTACTTTTGCTTTTTGACCCGAGTGAAAACATTCACTTTTATGAAGTCTCGACCTCCACGCAGTTAAAGTTCGGTCACTGGCGGATGAATTCGGAAAATATGAATGTTCCTGCCAACCAGGCACACGGTACCTCGGTCTCGAATTGCTCGACCCAGCCATTGGCACCATCAAAGTACGCAGAAATACCAGCCACTCACATGAAACATGAATTCAAAATTCTCAAATCTGTTAAGTGTGGGTTGGAATATGGTCAACGTGTTTGGGATGTTGTCTTACGTGTATGTCCTTGGCTTCAGTGCTAGTGGCATCCCTGCTTTTTTACATGGCTTGTGATTTAACCCTGTCATTTGCAAGAAGTGATTCTCACGCGCAGATGAAGATTTGGTGCTTCTCCTTGTGTACTGTACTGTATCTTGCTGCAATTCTTGCCCATCCCCCCGACCTTTCAGACCGTAGGAGGCGCGTATTATTTCTCCACATCCCTGACCTCGGAGAAAATATTGAGGATAATCGGCTATCCCTGGGATAAATTATCTAGGCTGGCTTTTCACTATTGCTGCTTGAAGATTTATTAAAACTGGTCTCACTTGCCGCCTGTCAATATTGCAAAAGCCCGAATTCCCAGAGAGCACGATGGCAGCCATTTCTGTTGTATATAGTTAGCCCCGGCAGTTTCTGCTTGGTCAGTGAATGTCTTCTGGCTATCTCTGAACTAGAGATTCTCTGCAAATGGCTGTCTGTTTCATTTGATGTCAATAGTCCTGAATATTTACGCTGACGCTATTCAGAGGCTGGATTAGCTTTGCCGCTCTCGTTGGCTCCTTCATTGTATTACTGACTATCGCGCCAAAATATAGTACAGAGTTTGTATTCCATGATGTTGTCGACATGACAAGGTAAGACACCAATTCTAAAGAACCCTTGTCGATTCTGGCTGAGTTGGCATTATGCTCGACTCCCGGTCAATGACTGTGACAACAGGCCTACATAACAGCATCTCAAGTTTCGTGTTATTAGACGCCTCGTGTCATCTGGTGGAGCAAACTTCCCGACCCGCTCTAACTATACCAAAGATCCTATGTCTTCTAACCTTCTTGCAGATAATCTCTGGGATAATGTGGATCTCGCCATTGGATTCTCTATACAAATACGCCAACCGGTGTGAAAGTTTAAAAAGAAATGTTCAGTATCAACTGAGCTGATTCAGAGAAAGCTCAGGCGAATTGTCCATTCGTGCTGCAAAGTGTCTAATATCTACGCCTTGTCCTCGATGGTATTGTAGACAGACTGAGTCCTGACATGATAGAACAGAATCTGCAGACATCGAGAAAGTAAGTACTGAACAACACTCCCGTAACTTGGGGAAACATCAATTATGCATGCCTACTTTTCTGCCTTTGCTTCTGCTGCCATTCAACAATTTCCTCATAATTATCGTGCCAGCAGATTATCTGGGTAGTTTTCCAGTTGCCGGTGGACACATGCGGGAGTAAATTCCCCATCTCCAGGCCTAAACTCATTGCGCGAAGCAAATAACCAACCGTTGGAGACTTAGCTGGCAGTATCTCTCGGAGAGTAACGGTAATATGAGTACAGTTAGGCGTGATGATGCTTCACTTTCTATGTTCGGGAGAGAAGGTTGCAAAAAAAGTATTCGAAAGTAAGCACGCAAAACAACCGTACTGATACGATACCTACGATACAATTCGGGGACAAGTTCGGTTTCTCCGGATCTGTTGATTCAACGATAAGACATAAAATAATTCACCGGGACAGACGTCAAGCTCATGAAGCTCATCGTCTTGTTTGCTTCGAGAGAAGTCATCAATCATATGTCTGCATCTGGACGTGTAGTCACCGAGGAGGCAATGAGAGAACAGCCTTACCACGACAAATTGCGCGATGATAGAAGTGGACTTTTCAAGATGAATTGCATGCTTAGACTGGTAATCTCGACGCAAGAATATCTTCTTCGTTTATTATTGTTCGAGGATTTAAAGGCTGTAGAAGCACGCCACGCTTCCAAAGGCGCGTTAAACGGCTATTTAGACCCAGCATGTAAGGAAAATTTCTCGCTGATTTTTCATCGAATTATTATTCCTAGCTCATGACCGACTTTAGTTGATAATACATTCAAGAGCTCTCCTAACTACTGTTATTTAATTATAGGGTCCATGGATTACATTGTTCATGAATATTACCCATGCCGTGGTTTCTGGCTGTCTGGCGTGGACGGTGGAGCCAAGCGCGAACTTTCCAGGGTGCAAAGCAACGTTCTGGGCCAGCAAAATTTTTTTAACTGCATGCTGTGCTATCGATCACGTTGTGGGCATGACTGGCTCCGAGTGAAGCCGGAATCGGTGTCAGTGGGGCTATCAGGGACCATGCTTAGCGCCCACGTGCTGACTACCCGAAAGCTTCGGTGTTTTGACTTGCAATAAGACGACGGTCATTGGAGAGAGTTTTGAAAGACTCCAGATTTGTTCGGTAATTAAACCTTAATGGTCAGGTACAAACTTCTAGATAAAGACAAATGTCAAAGCGGTGCATGCAATCTTGGAAATCGAAGGCATAATCGAGATTAGGCAGACTCATAATGAAACACCTGGAATAGATATAAAAGCTCATGCTGGGAAGTTGTGATTGTTGTTCTCATTGTTCTTATCGCAACCTTCAACATGGAGCGTGGATGGACCAAGTCAATGCTGGTGGCCATGGCTGCCTGCGCCTCGACTTCAATTGCTTCCCCCACTGAGTTTAAATGTGCTCACGATTCTGCCCCGATGCAGGCCCATTTGGCCTATTCTGGAGACCATGGCATGACTGTTAGCTGGAACACTTACTCCAAGCTGGACCACCCATATGTTCGCTACGGTCGCCACCCCAATGCTCTTGTGCAATGGGCCGCATCGGACGTTTCGGTCACCTATCCCACTTCGACCACCTACAACAACCATGTGAAGATCACTGGTCTGGAGCCGAACACTATGTATTATTATCAACCGCAGTGTGGAAACTCCACTCAGATCTATACCATGAAGACCGCTCGCGTTCCTGGTGATAAGACCCCCTTTACCATCGCAGTTGGCGGTGACCTGGGCTTGATGGGTCCCGAGGGACTTACTACCACTACTGGTCCAAACGGCGGGAACGCTGCCTTGGGTCCCAATGATAACAACACAATTCAATCGCTGCAGTCCATGAAGTCAGAATGGGAATTCTATTGGCACCGTAAGCTTTACCTATGAGAATTGTTAGCCTCTCGTTTATCATACTAATTGAATCACCTGGTAGCTGGTGACATTGCCTACGCCGATTACTGGTTGAAGGAAGAGGCCCAAGGCTTCCTTCCCAACTATACAGTCAGTGATGGCCCGGCTCTGTATGAGTCCCTTCTGAACCAGTACTACGACGAGATGACTGCCTTGACTGCCGATCGGCCCTACATGGTTGGACCTGGTAACCATGACTCGAACTGTAAGCATCTATACTCTTTCAGCCCCTGCAAAATATTTCCATCAAGTCTCATCATGTATCTAGGTGACAATGGTGGTACCACCGACAACGGTGTTGCTTACAATGTCAGCATTTGCCCTATGGGCCAGACTAACTTCACCGGCTTCCGCAACCATTATCGTATGCCTAGCGATATCTCTGGTGGCGTCGGAAACTTCTGGTACTCCTTCGACCACGGAATGACCCACTTCATCCAGTTGAACACGGAAACTGATATTGGGAATGGATTTATTGGCCCTGACGAGCCTGGATCTTCAGAAGGCATGAACTCTGGGCCATTCGGATCTTATCCTAACGAGCAAATCGATTGGCTCAAGAAGGACCTGGAGAGTGTGGACCGTAAGAAGACACCATGGGTCATTGCTGGTAAGTAGTTTCGCTGCGATTATGGCCGAATAAACAACTGACGTATTTTCAGCTGTGCATCGCCCTTGGTATGTGAGTGCCAAGAACAGCAGCTCTACCGTCTGTACCGAGTGCAAGGATGTCTTTGAGCCTTTGCTCGTTAAATACAGCGTTGATCTCGTCATCCAAGCCCACACCCACTTCTACGAGCGCAACCAGCCCTTGAACGACTATGTCGTTGACCCTGCCGGTCTTAACAATCCCACCGCCCCGTGGTACATTACCACCGCCGCCCCTGGCCACTACGATGGATTGGACAACTATGTTTCACCTCTGAAGCCTTACGCTGTCTACGCTGAGGATACCGCCTACGGATGGAGCAAGATCACATTCCACAACTGCACTCATATGACTCATGAATTCGTGTCTAGCAGCAACAACACCATTCTTGACACCGCCACCTTGTTCAAAGACCGCAAGTGCGGCTCCGAACAGCAGCACCACGGCTGGTTTTGAGCGGCTGAATGTTGATTTCGTATCTGAAATGACAATCCCACCGCCCTGAGCTCATTTCCCCTTGGTTTGGGTCTTCATATCATCCAGCCTTTGGCGGCGAAAGCATCTCGCTGTTGTCTTTTCATACACTCCCGTTTGCCTCGCGAGAATGGTAAAACTAAGGACGAAAATTCACAATATGCCTATAATATTCTCTCATAGCTCTACCCTGGATTGTGCTGCGGACTAGGTGTAGTTAGTTTAGCCCCTCACCGTAAGTGCATTTACCGGAAACCACAGCATTGATCTTATACAAGAAGTGCTTTAATGCAATCCGCATTGAGCGAATTTGTATCATGGTCGCCGCATACGGCTTCGACAAGTACTCATACAACTTTAGAAGCAACTTGGTAGGCCATTTTAGCAAGCGCCGTCCTCTCGGCTTCCTATTGCTTCCTCTCCCGGCTATCGCGGATACACGCACGGACCGCTCCGCCGCTGCAGCCAGTCAGACGACTGATTTATCCGCTCCGCTGGTTGCACTTTGCAAAGCGGCACTGTTTGGCGTCAAGATCGGCTGCCTTATTTCTAGGCACACCGTCGTGGGTCTACGATACGGCCAGAAGGTAAAAGTTGCGGGTAAACTATAACGTCATTCCCACTGGATCATAGAGAATGCCCCATCCCGCCAAGGCCCCGAAACTCGGAACTGACTTATGACAGAGGCCAAGAGTCTCCCACGGCCAATTCCTGGAGATCGTCGCTTCATTCTGTTTTTACAAAAGACCGAGTCACTTGGCATTGGTCAAGGCAATTACGTTGCTGCGACACTGTGGTGTGCCACGTTTATTTAAGCCGCCTTCTTATCCCACAACACAAGTTTGCTCGATTATCTACCACAAAGAATATACGAGCAAACACGCTCACAGCATGGATCAGACCTACAATCCGACGCAATTGGCGCCTGTCATACGCCTTATGGTCCTCGAGACTGACAAGCCTCACCCAGACACGTACTCGAAGCGCGGCTCCTTTGGCCAAATTATACACACTCACTTTGCCAAAGCTGGGCGTGCCCATAATCCGCCTCTAGGCGTAGAGACGGATCAAGTCTTTGTCGTGTCCGAACAAGGCGGCCGGATTCCAACCGTGAAAGATTTCGACCGCTTTGACGGGCTGCTCATCACGGGGAGCGTGTACGATGCTCACGGGAATAACGAATGGATCCTGGAGCTGCTGGAACTTCTCAAGACTCTCTGGATCAAGCGTACCGACTTCCACTTCCTGGGCGTTTGCTTCGGCCACCAGCTGCTCGCCCGCCTCCTCGGCGGCTCTATTGCGCCCGCGCCCTCGCAAGACTGGGAACTCGGCCATTGTCGTATCACGCTTACACCCATCGGCCAGCACCTCTTCCGTGCATGTGAGCAACACATTTATCTGCATCAGATGCACCAGGATCAGGTCGTCTCGCCGCCCACGGCCGCGTCCGCGGGACCCGACATGCTCTCCCCGGACACCGAGGTCGCGTGCTGGGGCTACAGTGAGCATACAGCTGTTCAGGGCCTGTACATCCCGAACCGGCTGTTTACTACGCAGGCACATTTAGCCTTCGACGAGGACATGGTGAAACGACAAATCCAGATCAGAGTGGAGGGCGGCGGGATCAAAGATCTCGTGCATGCGGATCGGGCGGCCGACACGGCGCATTTAGAGCACGATGGCGTCGAAGTTGCCAAAGCTATACTGCGGTCGTTTGTATATGACGACGATGCAAAACAGCTATGAGAGGGGATAAGTCGCAGTTTTTTATGACTATATAAATTAACGAAGTATTAAGCGTGGCTTTGCACAAGAATAATGGTGAAAAAGACGTTTAAAGCAAAGAGAGAAAAATCTTAAATGAGAGACAGAAGAAATATTGTCGCCAAGCATGAGGGCTCAGCCTTATGGTGAACACGAAGCGCAGCTGCGAACGGCTAAAGGAAAACAAATGCTATTGGTGAGAGTTGCCTTCTTGTCCCCACTATATCAAGTCAGGGGAAAAGAACCAGGATGTTAGTCCTGGAATGCATGTCTAATCTAATTTGTTATTTTAAAAGAGTAAAGGACTATTAGACAGATTGCTTGCCAATATGATATGCCGTTACATCTTATTCTACAATAGCCAATTCTATCGGCGGCTGTGAGGCGTGCGCTACTGAAACCCATTTCTGAAGTCAAAGGCCGAGGTGCAAGGCACATGGCATTAATATGGTGGTCTTAATATCAGAGCTGCAACAATAAATCGGCAGTCACATTATGTAGTCGTTTGTTGGTTTGCTTTTATACCATTTGGCCTTGTGACGAATCCTTGAGTACGAGGTTAATCAGATACAGCTTAGCACCACATGTGATTGGGGTTTGCAAAAGCTCTTCGGTATTGTCCGACATGGAAGGTGAAAGCGGTCGTAGACGTCAAGTTTCATATTAATCTTGTTTGTAGCCTAAATAGCCTACTTCTCCCGTAGCACTATTCCATCACTCTTAAAAATATATCCTTGTTCAGTCATCCCTTCTGATAAATATATTTGAGAATTCATACTGGTTGTATCAGTTGAGTAGATCCAAATGAATAGTCTACATGGACATATCTGTGGGGAAGAAAATATGCAAAGAAAACAAACGCTGACCCATCCCTGTAGGTAAAAGCCTTGCAAAACCCAGGTCACAACCTTTGTAAAAAACGCCAAAAGATTTTATTGGGTGCCGGGGCTGAATGCTTAACCGCCCATTACAGTCCAACCCATCAAACCGACCCAACCAAAAACAAAAAGAACAGCCACAATTCCGGCGCCAGCTTTATCAGCAGTAGTGATTGTTGAGAGAGTGTTAGTGCTGCTGTCCGTATCGTTTGTACCAGCTGTAGGATTGCTAGTACTGTTGCCGCCGGTTGTCGACGTGACTGGGGCAGAAGTTTCGAAGTTGATCAAGTTAGCGACAAAGATATTGGTGGCACTGATCTGCTCCTCCATGCCAATCCATCCATCGTATACAGACTTGTACCAGCGGACACCGCAAGTATTGTTGTCATGACCTGTGCAAGACTTCGCAGCAGCCTGCGCTGAGGTTTGTAGCTTGGGCAAGATGGTGTCAAAAGTGAAGGGCGCCAGCAGAGCGGTGAAAGAGAGCCACCCAGATACAAGACCCTTGAAAAGGATTTCGTTGTTGTTGCAAACCTCTGATGGTTCACATACTATCTCCTCCAAAATCCCGCCATTGCTATTCGGGGCAAATTTGTCCAATGTCTGGTTCAATAGGCCACTGACCGCCGTTTTCCATGTCGCTTGCTCGGTTCCATTTGTCTGGTAGCGCACACCCGGGTTAGTGATCTTGACGGCCAGTAATAATGCTCAAAAGAAGGGTGAAGGGTGGTTCAAGGATAATGCAAAGCATGATAGCAACAGAAGAATGGATCTCACTTACATAGTTATACATATAGGTAGCACCCATCAGGTATGTGCCATAGTTATAGGACCACTGAGTATTTCCTTGGGTGGTACAATCGTCCGACATCTCAGTCGAATCGGCCACGTTCCAAGTCGAGTTGCTCAGGAGAGGTGAGCTCACCGACCAATCCCAGATTTTGCGAGCCCATTTGCCATAGGTTTCTGAGCCAGTATAGCGATAGAGGCGCGCGGAGAGTTGGAATAAGCCGCCGTTAGAGATCGCGTTTTTCATCGTATAACCTGACTCCCAACTCCAAATCTGCCAGCGCATTCCACCACCACACTTTGTGGTATCCCACCGGGCGACCTGTGTGTTGAAAACACCCTGAGCAAGCGCCAGCCATGAGTATCCTTCGCCCACGGTAGAGTCTGCGAATTGCAGCTCAGCGGCAGTCATAGCTGCCAAGCCCCAGAACATTTGATCGTCATTTCCCTGTAAGCGCCCGTTAGCAAAATAGAAGCATTATCAAAAGGCAGGTGGATATCTTACCAGGTAAGAACTGTAATTGCTGGGCATATAATCACAGTCTCCTGCTTGCCACTCCATTCCCACACTCAATTGTTCATTATAGGTGGTGTCGCCGGTAAAATGCCAATAGTGTAGCAGGGCCAAGAAAAGTGCGGCTCCCTCCCACCATTTCGATGCAAAGGCTCCAGGGATATGACCGGTTTCATTGCCCTTATAGTATGTCATCATCGCATAGACGCTCGTACTGGCGGCATCTTTGAGGGAATCTACAATGCGATTGCCGAGAGGTCAGCCCACCAGCGTCACCAATCTCCTAACACGGCACGCCGGCATCTGGAATCGAAGAACAAGGTCGATCTCACATACCCTCATCGGTGACATCAATATCAATAGCATTCACGCTGTTAGACAGAAGCAGTGTGAGTAGCAGGCCCTTCCACAGAGACCAGACGCCTGGCACATGCATCGTGACGGTAAATTGAGCTTCAGGCGGTGAAAAGTGGGACGGACGAGGACAGAGGTCCGTGGGAAGATAAGGTGGAGATCAAATTTGTTGTACACGTTTTTTATTGTAGGAGTCAGGGGAGGCCATTAGGGACTGACAGCCCTGAGAAATTCGTGAAAAGCGACGGAAGCCAGCGGGCGCCCCATTCTGGGCGAAAAGGAGTTTTATATAACGTCAGGAGCACACGTAGTCATTGTGAAAAGCGACGGAAACCAGCGGGTGCGCCATTTAGCGCGATGGGGATTCTTTTTAAATATAGCGTCAGAAGCATGCGTGTTCATCGACGCTAGCGCCGGCATCATTTGGTGGAGAGTCGAAGCATTCGTCCGAACGAATGCGATTAGTGGGGCAATCCACCAAGCTCAACCAAGCATTTCCGTATTTCTGATCGAAGCCTCCTGATCCTGTTGAGACGAAATCAGATATGAATCTGTATGGCAAAGATGCAGCCCAGCTTGCCTTAGCGCAGATGCATTGTCATGATCCGCGCTATGGAGATTCTCGGATCTGTGGCGCCGTCAATAGCCCTGGCACAGGAATATGAGCGCATGGGAAATATGTTTCGGCCAGACAAATCATCGCGGATCATCTTCCGACGAAGACACTCTCACAAAAAACGGAAGCAGGAATCATCATCGGGCATACCGTAGGCCTTCGATGCACTCTTTGAAAGGTCTTTCTAATTTCAAGTCAGTCCTCAATTTCTTTGGCCCCACACCACTTGACAGGAGATGTCCCTTTTAACCCCGAGCTGTCGAGCGGTGATTGAATCCAGGCCCGACAACTCGGCCTTGTTAGGGCGCTTAGTTCCTTTCTCGTCCTAGGCAGCCAGGTTGTGCAAGCCACGATCCACTCGCCATTCAGGGGCTGAGACATGCCTCAAAACCTATCAATTTAGGCTGTAATTCCATGGGTAGCTCAATAGCCTCCGTGCTTCAAGACGGTATCAATTCGCACTGAAGTTTGTACTTAATGCTAGAAACATTACTTTTTTTTCATACCATTTTTGACATAATGGTCAGGTTTATAGGATCCGGGGCTATCGACCACTCTACTCACGTGACTCGAATGCCCCTTGACATCCGCCGCATCCCGATTTCAACCTCACATCCGCAGGGTGAAGGTTGCCTTTTACTTTTGGACTGTGAAATTTATATAGTTAGGTATATCAGTTTTTCAAGAAAGGCCGTTTAAATCACCCGAATGGATCATCTGAGTCATCTCGACTTTGAATTCCATCTGTCTAATTGTCGCTTTTGTCACATTAGTCTTCACTGGAGAGTCTCCACCTAGGTCTCGTCTACTCATCTCTAGATATTGACCTCCTCTCAAAAATCAAGGCATCACTTTTGAGAGGCGGATGAGCGTAAGAGAAACAGTTGAGTCTCTTTCAATCTGCACGGGGCTTTGTCCACTTTTTTTGGCCTACTTGGTGGGGCACATTGCAACGGAACAACGAAAGACCACCAGAGATCTTCAAACCATAGGATTATTGGAGTGGTTCCCATTTCTTCAAATCTCAGAGCTGCTTGCAATTATGTTATTCGGATGGACCTATGATAATGCGTCACCTATGTCTGAGCTTCTACCGCTAACCATCGAGAAAGCTTATCATTCAACTTACGCCTTGAGAAGACTTTCAAATGGGAGACAGCTAGAGTTGGCTAAGCTATTCAAGTTTCTCTCTTTTGCGCAGACCACGACCCCTCTGTTGAACACGATTAGAATTCGAATATTTGGTATAGGACCAACACTTGGATTGGATCCAGACAATTTCACGGGCGCTAGATGATGCGCCTGGAGCTAGGACAGGATATAGGCAATATTATTATGAAGAAGGAAGGAGGAAAAGAGAGAGATGTAGATTCTAGAGATGGAAGCTATGGAACTAGATCTATCTGTCGGAATGTTTTATATGCAACCAATCAACGATATCAAAAGCTCTGTTCTTGTATTACCCCTGATTCTGCCAATTTATAGGGGGATTCTAGATTACATAAGTAATAAACATGAAGGATAATTATATCTCCGGTCCACCGCGGTATTCGTATTGACACTATCATGGAGGCTGAGGCAAGGGATGCGGTGAAGAGGGGCAGAATCCCATTCACTGCGAACAAGTATAACATAAGATCGCCTCTCCCTAGAGCATTAGCCGACTCATAAGAAACCCCAAGAAGGAGGTTGAAGAGACTGTCGGAATGCTTAATGACCAACACTGGACCTAATTGGTATTTTTCCATATTCTGAAATCTAGTGTCAATGCTGAACCTAAACACAGGCCAAACAAAGTATGCAAATCTGACGAATGATACTTTGTCTACAAAATCGACTACGGAACCAAGGTCCAACACCCGCGCTAAAAATATGCCTTTTGAATCCGACAAATTTGGTCCTGAGCGCCATCTGTCGAGACACAGTAATGCCATCGTGTCGATGGACATCCAACTGTATTTCGACGTACATCTTACCTCGCCTACGTTCTTCCCTAAGAACAAAAAGTCGGGCGGCGATGACTGTATTACAAAAGAAAAGCATGTATTCCAATTTGTCGTGAACTTTAGAACAGCAAGATCACAAAACAGAAAGTGAAAGTATATGACTTCTTTTCAACGTATTGTATCGTCGTCAAACAGCAATTGCCAGGTGCTCGTGGGCAAACGAGAGGAGGTCGTCGCTGGCTTCAGCCTTGCCAGCCCCGAACGACTGCAAATTCCACTTATCGACACCATCCACTCCCTCAAGATCATTCGCAAATGTGCGGAACAGATCATTGCTAAGTCGTTCATATTCAGAATACTCCTTTGGCCAATCCCCTAGGCGCTCGACAGCAAGTTTGAGCATATGCAAGTGTTGCCGAACATGTTTTCCTTCTTCCGCGTTCTCACCTGGACTGGAGGTAGACGAGGGCGAGGACATACCGGAGATGACCTCCACGTCCATCTCGGTCGAAGCCGCCGAGGAAGGGTCGATGAATACGCGTAGGGCATTCTCATGCAGCGCGGCTGCTTTACGGTAATAACGATAGGCCAGCTCGCGGCGGCTTGTCTGGCTCTGGTAGCCTTGAGCGACACTGGTGTACATCTGCGATAACAGGACTGTCATCTCAACGGTACTCGGGTGTCGGGGTCCATGAACACGAGCGCAATTGTACACAAGATCCTCTGCGAGCCGGACGGATGCAGTGTAGTCACCAATGAGATATCGGGTGATGACCAGCATGCGACCGAGAGCAAGGGTATACGCATGCTGGGGCTGGGACAGGGCATGAGTATCCCGACTTTCCCAGAGGGAAGTGAGGACCCAGGCTAAGGTTTGGTAGTCATGCTGCTCGTCTAGAGCCTTGATCAGGCTATTGACGTGCGCCAAATCCAGCTGTGCGAGCTCGAAGTTGTGTGACTTGAAGTATGCCAGCGTATCATGCAAGATTGTTGCCGACGTTCTATCCATGTACTTCTTGACCGAAGTGGTTGGGCCAATGTCAGTTTTTCGGCCAGCGAGAAGAAGACCCAGCTTGAATACCAGTTTGAGTATTGCCTGGGACGAAAAGCCTTTGTGAGCATCGATATATTTCAACGACGCCATTGCAAGGTGGCAGGCAGACTGGTGATCCTCAGAATCGAGCAGATAGGCTACTCGGTTGTAAGCGGCGATGGCCACTGAACGCCCGAAGTCGCGCGAAGTATGGGTGTTAAAATAACCTAGGACTGTTTCGATAAAGACCTTGGCCTGGTGAAGATCAATCTGCAGGCTGGAGCCCTGGGTCTTCAAGAAGAAGCTGGTGTACTGATCCACAACTTTATCGGCGGCAAACTGACGACCGCGACTGAGCAAGAATGCGTGCAGGCGAGCCACCGTAGTCGCTGTCTTCTGGAGGTTCCAGGATTCTGCCTCGAGGACATTGCGGAACTGCTCAAAGTACATATATTCCGTAGTGAGGGCGGCGTAGATCTCGTTCAACGTTACCGAGGAATCCTCGAATTCCTGAAGGCTGTGTTCGAGCTGGGCCAGGAAAATGAGGCCAAGTCGCTGGCGCGAACTCTGTTTAAAACCAAAGGAACTGGTATTGCTGGTATTTTTGGTGATTATCTGGCTGTAGATATCGTGAGAGAGCTCCTTGGCTCGCTGCACCTGACCGGCTGCGATGTAGCTAGATGCAATGCTCTTGGCTGCCGCCGCTAGCTTGACAGAGGACGTCTCGGTCGATAGCACCTGAGTTGTTGCTTCCTGTAGCATTGAGATAACAGCCTGCGACTCCCCCTGTTTAGTGCGCAACGAGACGATCTCTTCCATCTGAGAAAGGGCCTCCTCGTGGGCCCATCCGTAGCTGGAGCGGATACAGGTCAGGCGTTGGGTGCGGATAGACACCACTTTCTGAAGCTCTTTAGCGGTCATGGTTTCCACTTTCGACGCGGTCAACGAGACATTTTGCTGTTCGTAGATCGCATCCAGATTATCGCGGATGTCTTGGCGGTCGACCTCGACTTCGCTGGATTTCATCTGCAAGAGCTCTTCGTAGAGCTGGATCGCTTCCGCTTCATATTGCTTGGATTCCTGACAGATATTGGCCAGCGTCTTGGTCGCCTGGATAGTGATCGAGGAGCTGACGCCGAAGATGCTGATGCACGCTTTGCGATATTGCACCGTCACATCGTGGATTGTAGAGGTGTCGCTATGAGCCTCACGCAAACAGTGCAAATAGCGCTCATAAATGGTCTGGACGAACCCTGGATCTCGTAATTTCGGGCTGGTCTTTGGGCTCTGCAGGGTGGTGAACAGTACCCGGCACGGCTTCAGCGCCTCCGCATACCGACATTGTTTCAGAAGTTCGGTCGCCACGATCAGGAGTGGCTCGAACGCATCTGGGTGGCAGGTTTCCGACCCCTTGTTCAAGCACTGGACGATCTGACGATAATAATCTACTGCGATGGGAAGCGGTCGTGTCATCTCGGCCAACGTCCAAAGTTTCTGAATCACAGTAGGATGCTCTTTGCCAAATCGCTCGGTATAATCATGCAACATATCCTGGTGAATGCTGATAACCTTGTCGGTCTGGGAGGTACGCTCGTATAGACGAAGGAGGCTCGTTGTGACTTGCTCCAAGAGTCGATCTCCACTTACCGGTCGATCGCGTCTAGCTGCACGATAAAGCCGAACCCGAATATCCTCTTCCTTGATCGGGCGACGGCGGGAGCGGTAGCAACTGGCTAGACACTCCGCAAGCTCAAAGCAATACTCAACATGGGCTGATGGTATAGCCACGTCTTCAAGCGAGGGCGCAAACAACGCAGGCCAAACACCTCGCAATACTCGTTTCAGCATGCTCGTTGCATCTTGCCACCTGTGCTGGGACATGTACATCTCAACTAGCGTGGTGGTTGCTGTGGTGGACACCTGATCAACGGTGGACAAGTTATATACCATTTCTTTGAGGCTCGACTCGGTCACAATAGATGACGATGATTTAGACGATGAGCTGGCGGCCATCCGCACAATTTCCTGGGATGTGGACTGGATGTTATGTTGTAGCTCCTTGTAAATAGCGCTCTGGCTACTGGTACTCTGTGCGCAGTGCTTGAAGACATCGAGTGCCACCACGGACAACCCGACGGATTTCATCAACTGTCCAAGCTGCATGAAGTTAGATACCAAGACCTCTGCACTGGAGATGGTCTGCTCATGCTCTCCCCAAAATCCGGCAAGGACTGAAGCCGCTTCGTTTTCTCTCTTTTCACTTTTGAGGAATTGGGCGTACGCGAGGACGGCACGCAGCATCAAAACCTTCTGCTCAGGGGAGTGGCTCAGCCGATATTCCTGGCTAGCCTGCTGCCATAGCTCCACATACGTGCGCTCGGCCTCTTCTATCCGACCAGCTGACATGTATTTTTCGACATTGGCCAAGGAAGTCTCCGAGTCAAAAGACCAGGTAATCAGTTCATCAGCTTCCTCTCCATCCAAAGCTAAGGTGGTTCCTGCCTCTGTTGTCGTATCCTTGCGGCCGTGTAGTTGGACCAGCAACGAGTCGTCCATCTGCCGAGATCCGCTCCGCTTCTTAGTCCCCACGGTGATAGACCCCTGAAGCAAGACGGTGATCTCCTGGGCTTTGCTCTCTTCCTTTATGAGACTGTAATGCTCGGATAACTGAGTCAACGTGGAAGTGACCATGACGTTCGTCGCACCATAATGGGCCTTATAGCATTCTATCAGAAGCTGGAGCACCTCAACTCTTCGCATCATAACCTCCGTCTTGGACTCGGTAATTTGATCTGCGGTGGATTCCAGGAAGAATTGGGCCATTTCCATGGTGATGAGGTGCCGGATGGACAGCATTGTTTGACTGACTTTTGCCGCATTGTAGAAGATCTGACTGCTCTCAGCAGGCAATGTGGTCTGAATCTTTCGGTAGAAGATTGCCTGGGACAGGATGGCCTGCAGAGTGGCGGGGTGATCGGTATTCAAGATTTGGCGGTAAAGGCGTGTCTGAATCCCGTAAATTAACCGGAGCGACGGAGTTGCCTTGCTCGCCCACACGTTCATCTCCAAAAGCGGCAAGGTGGGACTAGTTGGCCAGACAGATCGCAGGTTCTTGCTAGCCGTCGTGATCTCTTGAGCGCTGGTGCATGCGAACGCGGTCTTGACATAAGCAGTCCAGTAGCGAATCGCGAAATCCAGGAGAGGATGTTTCTCCAGCAGGTGCTCCGTCAGTCGCTCATCCAGTGGGGTAAGGGATGGATCTTGACTTTCCGTCACACATTGCTTCGTGTACAACAGAAGTCGTTGCGCAAAGTCTGCATCCCTGTTCTTGATTGCTGGCAAGAATTTGCCTTTAGAGAAAGTGTCCAGAATTGCAGTGCGTATCTGCCCATGCCTCAGATAGATCAGGTGGTTATGGAAGAAGACAAGCGAGGCAACCGGCTTTAGTAGGGGATGGAAGTCGATGTCACAGTTCCCAGCGACGGCCGCCTTCTCGAGCTGGATGGAGAGAAGAGCAGCCAGTTCCTGCTGGGTGAGAGGGCGATCTGCAGTGGCCAGCCAGACTAAGACCTTTTTCGTCCCCTCATCCAGCTTGGAATGCAGGGTGTGCGCAACGAGATCGTTGATTGTGTATCCCGCTCGGACAATGCTATCTAGGGATTTGGAGAGCGCAGGCTCATTTGGTGGGTGTTCATCGCGCAACCGTTTGGCAGTCAATTTTGCCCACAAGAAAGAGCTTTCAGAGGCCTCCGTGATGCGAGTGACCGTCACTTCCTGGTCCTCGTCGGACATCACATTGAACGCGTGGCTCTGGCATATAATTTTGCGAGTTACGGCAGCGACATCGTCGAAAGTGAGCTCCGATGAAATTCCAACTGTTGTCTGAGAGGCAATCAAGTCCATCTTTTGTGATGCGAGTACAACCAGCTTCACGGCAGGGGCTTTGGATGTAGCTTCGTGGAGTCGGCGCGATAGAGCTTTCTCTCCGCAGCTTGCCTCTTCCACGCCATCGACGACCAAAACGAGCTCCTTGGCGCCCGCAATACTGGCGTTCAGGGCATTTGCCAGAGCACTCCATAGTAGATCGTCGTAATTGCCTTCGTCCACACACTGCTGGCTCTGATCATAGGTGCTGGCCAAGATCTGGTACAGCTGCAAGTTGCCGATGCGCTTACTAAACATCTGTGACAAGATAGTCTTGGCCACGGCGCACGGGGTTGTGTTCGCGGGAATCCGGCCATCTATTGTAACAGGTTAATGGAGCTGCATGGGGTTGAGGAAGTAGACATCAATGCTTACTGATGGGTGCTAGGATGGACGTGTATCTTCTCCCTCCGATAGGATGCTGTAGATGATCATTGATGACGGTCGTCAGGACCGACTTGCCGGAACCAGGCTTGCCGGTGATGGAGAGCACTTGCTGTTCGCCTTTCAAAAATCTCGTCAGGTATGGCTTCACCCACAGGCAGGTGGCTTCCTCGCGTTCTTGAGCTGAAGAAGCCATCGGGTCGGTGGCATTAGCGAGAACTGGGTCTTCGGGCTGCAACCACTCTTTGAGGGTATTTATTCCGACAGCTGCATTGAATCAGCATATGCTACAATGATTTAGACAATAAGAAAGTTGTGAGCAAATCTACCTTTACTGCCATCAAGACCTTCTCGTGTCAATTGATGACGCCACATGAGCTCTGAAACTTGCTCGCAACGACCACGAAAACTATCGATTGGACCGGGGAAAGTGCTATAAATATCGATTGAGACTGATTGTGAGGCAAGTAGCGATCGGTGGAAGTGCGTGGCCACACAGACAACGAGGGTGACCAGATCGGCTAACGCGAGGATGAGTTGATCCTTGATATCCGAAGAAACCACAAAGAGCTCAGCACGATCCAGCAGGTTGCCCAGACCAGCTGAGCAACGATAGAAGAAGCCAAACAGGTCCATAAGAGCGGGGGCATTTTGTTCTCCCAACTGCACCGCAGTAAGTAAAATATTTGATAGAATTGAAAATAGTTGGCGTACCTCGAGCAGGCTCGCGCAGTAGCAGTAAGATAACTGGGCAGCAAGATGGCTGTCACCCGCAAACTGCTCGATCCCTAAATCGAACGAGTGCACACGCTCGACGAACAAGGCTGCCCATACCAAAGCCTTGTCGTAGCTGCTCCCCTCTGGCGGGAGCTTTTTCATTCTCTCACACCGAATCCACTCAAGCAGGCTAGTATAGTCAATATCGGACACCCTAGAGGCCCCAATATCGTCACTATCTCGACGTGCAAGCGAGTGAACTACGTCAGCAAGTGTGGCATCCCCTCCATTAGATGTCCTTGTGCTATGCTGGTACGAGTGACTGAAGTTGTTGGCTCCAGCTCCAGACACAACTGCATGTTGCTCCAACATGTCTGAAGTCCGTCGCAGACCGAGAAGAGAAGTGGAGGCCAGATGAGACACGCCATGTTGGATAGAAGATGCCATACTTTGCTTGAGTCGTTTGTAGTATTAAATCATGAGAAGATATTCGAATAATTCAATACAGCTAGAAGTACGTTAAACTCCTTGATCAAAGAAGGAGTTACCCGCTCTTATACTTCATCATGTCCCGTCTTCTTCGTCTCTTGTCCACGGCGCTTTTGCTGTTTCTGATTGAAAGTCCACGACGTCAGCATGAGCTGACATACTTAAAAGATACCCAGCCGGCAGGTAGTGATGCTCTCATTATCCATGGGAGGATAATTCCCTTCGCCAATGACAATGGCGTTTTTAGTCCATGCCGCGGCGCTTTGCGTGGATTGTGCGGACCTCTGAAAACGGTTGTGTCATGTGTAAAGTTTCAACAGACGGAAGATGTGTGGATGGGGCGAAATGAACTATGGCCAACGATATTCAACCTTCTACCGAGGATGACGGCCCCCCGAGTAAATTTTGAGGGCCCCGAGGATCTGGACGCTGTTCAGTTGAATCGAATTTGACAATTAGAAGCGCGGGCGGTATTTTCTTAAATTGGCATGTATAGACACGCAGTTTCAAAACCCTCGATGTCTTGTTATGCTAGCAAAAAACGGCATGCAATGTATGTATTGGTGTGGGGTACGTGAAGTGCACGACCTCCGATTGCTCAAGATAGTATCGGAAAGTCCGAACGGCGTCCATCGACACGTTCTCTGCAACCATGGAATATGGATTTGAGTTTCTCCAGATAAGGAAATAGCTGATGAAACGAAACTGGCGCATATTTGGTAATCCATTGTCTATTGTTTTCAGCAAATGTTAACAACGTATTTCCCAAAACTCAGCTATACATTCACTAAGCCAAGCACATGCTTCTAACCCTAAATAAATCGATAGTAGATTCCATTTTTATTGCAGAACAAGCGAAAATCTTGAACATTGCTTAACATGATTCCGCTCATGAGGTCATGCTGCTGGTTAACATCCATGGAATGCTCGAGGGGTGGAGATCCTGCGTGCCGAACCGCATTCTACATACAGTGGGTCCCACCGATGGATGGCACGAACGAAAATGGAAACACAATGCGAGCCTTGCTTCCGTAGAATATGAGAAGACGAAATTGCCTTCCAAAGAGATTAATTTAGATGCGAGCCAAGAGCGGCGCTAATCCATAAAGTCTCGTCCCAGGTTAACATTTGACAGAAGTATTAGCGACTCGCCACTGCACGGTTCGTCGAAATAAGACCCACATGGATGCGGCTGGCGTGATTCCGGAGATAAGACAGTGAAATTGCATCTCACGTCGGAGTAAAGCTCACAATAGCTTTCTCTCTTGATCAAGTTTCGTACCGTCATCACTGTTGGATATCCGATACATCAAAAGTTTTAGAACCGAGGAGGCTATGTAATGCCATGACGTTGGAGGACGTATCTAAGAAGTGAATTTTGTTTTTCTGGGCCAAATATGTCCAAGTGGCAATTCAAAGCTAAGAGAGAGGAAGGAATGACTGTTCAGATGATCTGGACATGCCGCATTTGATGGAGCTCCGAACCATACCCAAGCCAACAAGCCAACGAGCTCATGTTATGAAAGCGGGATATCATGCTGGTCGATCGCAAAAGACTATCGCATTGCACAAGAATTCCTTTTCTCTTCCTTCCGCCAACTCCCTGCTGATTTTATCTTTCTACTTATGATCATTGGTATACTTGGTCGCGCCCGAGCCTTGGAAGTTCGTTCACTCGTACCGTCAGTCTACTTGTCATGCAGTCTACACGTGGGCGGGTGCTGAGCGTCTATGTGGTAGCTCCTGTCGGCAGGGTTGTAAACCTCGGGCGGTCTATACGCACATGAACCACAGTTCATTGTGCGCCGCATATGCCTTTGTTGTCTTAGGCAAGACTTGTGCGATGTCGGTTCCCTCCCTCTTCTTGCTTCCGATTCGCCAGCCCTCCTCCTCTCTTCGGCACCCGAACAAGCCAATAAACACCCAAAGCCTCCACGGCATTAACCACAACGTACACCAGGACAATGCCAAAATTGAACTCCTCTCCTGATCGCTTGCAGCGAGAAACTGGAGGTGGAGTTGAAGTTTCATTATACTACAGAGTCTTTGCGTAAAATTTTGTTCCGGCGTGGAGCAAACATCGAGCACAAGGATAAAAAGGGATTTACTGCGCTTGCCTTGGCGGCTATGCTTAATTCTGACGCCCTTGTCAAAAATTTGCTCAATCATGGAGCCAGAATCGAGACCTGGGATAACTTGCTCTTTATGCCTCTTGGAAAAGCCGCCTATGAAGGCTAGTATCAAGCTGTGATAACACTTCTGGCGAAGGGAGCCGACATCGGAGTCCAGAATAAGAACAGCCAGACTCCACTTGCGCTGGCTATCATAAACCACCACCAGCAAAAACAGTCTGGCAATCATGAGGAGCGCGACAGCGTGCCTCGAAATCATATACAGGCGGATGAACAGTTCCTATTGCGAGAGGCATTTCCACGCACCACTGTAAAACCCAACGATATTGTGTCAATGCAGCGATATACCCCCGCCAATAATGTGAAGATGTACAATCCTCAAATTCACATCTGAGTGGCTGAGCAGCTTTTGTTGCACAAGGCGGACGTGAGCGTCACTGCGGAAAACGGGCAATCCCTGCTGTCAATTGCGGTGTGCAACGGAGATATAGAAATGGTGCGGCTGTTACTTAAATGGGGTGCAAAGGTAGAATGACAGGATGGGGAAGGAATGACAGCCTTTACCTGCGCCGAAGCCAAGGGCCATCAGAAAATATTGGAGCTTCTCCGAAAGTGGATGGAAAAGGCGCCATTACGGGACCTTGTGACCACAGTCGCTACGGACTTTAGCGAGAAGTTGATGGCACTTCTCCTCGACAAGCGCGGAGCTGATATCGATATCACAGAGGACGTGGCCAAGGCAGGGGTAGCAAATCTTCGGGGCGGGGAGAAGGTGATGGCAATACTTCATCTGAATGCAAGAACAAAACCTATATAACCTGGTAATTCAATTAGTTGACTATTGGGGCCCCCATACAAATCCGAACTTGACTTGACCGTAAATGGCCTTTCATAAAATACCGTTTATAGGATCGGTCCAGTACTGGGTGCTTATCACCCGGGCTGGAGTACGGACGTAGGTGCTATGGAAAAAGGTCGGATATAAAGGCTAGAATTTGAATTCTGTCTAAGAAGACTTGAGAAGTAATAATACCAAGGTCAACTGGGGCAGTGGGAGTTGGAATGAGGAGAGAATGGGAAAGTGATAAGACACAGGGAAGAGACGGCGGACGAAGCATCTCATAGGCGCTCGACTAGGCTAGGTGAGAAGGGGGGCGCCTGTATTTGGCTGCAGAGGGGAGCCATTTTTGGCGTCGATTTGGTCACGATTGGAATTGGGGGAGCACTTGTTGAAGTCGAGCGCCAACATAGAGGCGCGAGGACTGGAGGATGACTAACAGTGTTAAGCAGGTGCAAAATAGTGGTAGTGCTGGGCGGTGGGATGTCAAGCGGCGGCTCGCCGTCTCGAGGTTACGAGTGGAAAGTCGGCCGTTTCTGGCCTTCAAAGTGGTCATTTTCGGCGCCAATTTCACAGGTCCTCAGATTCGATATATAACTTACGCCTGATCGTCTGCATGTCATGTCAGGATGCATTCTTAGTTACAATGCAGGCACTTAGAAGTCTCATTGATTCTAGGCTTTTATGGATCTCATTTGCACCAGTCAAAAAAAGCCTTATTACTAAAGTCATCAATAAAAATGATCTAAAAAAAAACATACAACAGCAGGGATTCGCTGGTGGTCACCCACCCAACTACTAACCTGCCGGCGTGTGGCTTAAGTACGGCTGAGCGGACGGGAAGCCCTGTTCTCCACACCCTATGGTCGTATGTGGTATAAACTTCATTGAAAGAAACCTTAACAGTAAAAGTAAATTATCGGCGGGCAATCCAGGGAGGCAATCAGCAGACCTGGGTAAATCACGTGATGCATTTGGCAACCAACGACACTAAAGATAAGCTACCCTATTGACCCCAGAACGAACGTGAATATACAAGAATAAAGCGTAAGGTGAAGAGCAAAGACGGGAATAAAAGTCCCCGCAAAATCAACGAAAGCCAAATCAGACGGGTTCCACGGATAGTCCTCTTATTGGCCAATGACATCACGAGACATCACGAGACAGACCCCGGTATGACCAGAGCATCCCATTGGAAAATGGCCTGATAGATGACATCGTCGAGTCATCACACGACACGCAGTCAGGCAATCCCCGCAACTTTCGGAATGCGGGGTAAATTCCTATATAATTCACGATTCACGCCCATCTTCACGAGATCTTTCACCTTTCCTAAGGTTACATAAACCCCCTCATAACTTAACAAACCACTTAACATCACAATGAACGATACTTTGAACGATTTCAACAACTACAACTCCCAATGGGTGTCCTTCCACATCCGGGACCATCTGAAAGATGAGGTCTCAGTGCACCACACTGTGATTGAAGGGTACATCATATACCTCCCCAGGTTATTCATACCACCTCTACTAACAACAAGCAGCGGGGAGTTCTACAACCCCGAAAATCGCCGCAGATCCCTGACCGAAGAAGAGGTCGACGAGATGAAGATCTCCGGCGGTGGAGTCGGTGAAATCGGTGCCCAGAGCCGCCGGGGCAGTGAAGGCCGTCTTGACCTTTTTCATGGCAATGATAAGATTTGTGAGCTTCATTGGGAGAATCGTGGAGGAGATTATCTCAATTTGGTCGAAACACTTGATCAAAATGAAAAGTATAGAGTCGTGCATGGGGGATGGAGCCCAGAGGCTGGCCCTCTGGGACATGTCTACGTTGACATTACGGAGAGAGAGAAGAAGGCAAAGAACTAGGAGGATGCGGATACGACAAGGGGGAGGGCTGGAATGGTCTCCGTCCTCCCCTGTAAACCTTTTATTGTTTAACTGTGTTCTTCTGGGATTCGTGTCTACTTTATCTAGTCTCCAAAATGACAAAAAAACTTGAAAACCTGGGATATGTTTCCAAAAGAGGGGTTAATGCATCTACCCAGTGAAGGTTTTGGGCTGAAAGTCTAGGTGTTGGAGGGTGGCAATAAAAACGCCCCTTCTGGACCTAGGCAATTGCTACATAACTTGCATTATACCCAATCCTTTATTAACTACAGAGCCCTTACTTTGCGCCATTTGCTATTCTCATTGTTGGCTAATCCTAGAGAGTAGGGGCTGAAGGTGATGCGTACCGACTTCTTGTAGTGAGGTACTATCTTCACTTTTGTGGCCTCTTCCCGCCGATCATCTCATGACTCGTCTGAAATTCCGTGGATACGTAAAGAAGATCCTCGAGGAGTTCGCGATCGGTTTCTTCCTTAAAATGAAGAGATCGCGGTCTATTCCATGTTAGACGATGGCCTGGCATTAGAGCAAATTGGAGAAAAGCTGCCTTTTGGTACCCAGTGGAGACTTAGTTTGGTTGCCAGAGATGAGGTGTCAGTCGCCCATGATGACTGATCACATCAATTGACGTTTTCCCCCAGACTCAAGGTTCGTTCTTCCAAGGATTTGAGGGGACGATCACATTGTGGGGAAATATAGCGATCCACTCATGCAGCCAGCTGGGGAATGAGTGTGACTCAAGATCCTGATAAACGCAGACTTATTTCCATTGAGAACTTCCAAAATTCCAAAATGAATTATTATGAGTGTATGTATAGATGAAATTTCAGAAAGAAAGCCCCACCGCAGAGCAAACAGGTTACATCGCAGCCAAGAAGGGAAATCTTATCGCTTTCAAGATGTCACGCAGTCTGCCGAGCTTCTGATTCGCGGTCAACACACGCCTCTATTCCTAGCGCCACATCGTGGCCACGTCGCTGTAGTTCAAGCTATACTCGCTCATGGAGTCGACGCTAATGCCCGAAGCCAGGGGAGACGCACGGCGCTGTACGATGCTTATATCCATGGTCATATAGATGTGGTTGAGGCTCTTCGGGCTCACGAGCAGATTGACATTAACGCGTACGACTTGGATGGCTATACTCCAATCTCAATCGCAGCACGACATGGCAATGTTGATATTGTGAAGATGCTGCTCGCCCGTGGCGCCAATCCCGGGTTAGTACGCAGGAAAAATTCGCAGGTTACTACTCTCCATAGTGCGGTCGAGAAGCAAAAGCTGGAACTGGTTCGTCTTCTTGTTAACCGTGAAGACGCGGATCTAAATGCGTTGCGTGCAAAATCAACCCTGTTACAGTCTGTCGTTGATCGAAACAATGAAGACCTCATTAAGATCCTGCTCACCGATCCGAGAGTGGACCCTGACCTCACGGTTCGTCGTGACGCCCAGACACCCCTACTACGCGCAACATTGAAGAACAACACGGAAATGGTTCAAATGTTGCTAGTTGCTGCGGCAAATAAAAATCTCAAAGATAAAACGGGTCTCTCACCCGCTATGTTGCTTGAAGCAAGCGCGGAGGCTCGAGAGGAGCTCGAGCGCGACCGGGGGTTATTCGGCTCAAAGTCTCTCAGTAAGCTCGGAATTACTGTAGATTTGATAAACCCCAAGGATTCTCTGTCGCAGCTTCTAGTACAGATAGAAAGGTCAGATATATAGAACTTACCGGAAAGTAAGAGTGGACACTGATATACCTCTCACATCATGCCAACTACTTGAAACATTTATTTTGTGTTCAAATCTACTTTCAACTTAGAGTTGTTACATTTACATGACTTTATATGAATTTCATCTGAATCAACATAACTAGCCAAGTCCTTTCGTGCATCGTCACTTTTTCTACAGAACAAGTCGAGCCACAACCTCAAATAATTGCAACCCTCGGCTACCTCAGACATGACAACAAAGCGTGGGCGCCTGAGGGTGTAAAGTGTTTCCAAATTCAAAATAATGTACATTATAAGTTTTATATATATATGATGAATCAAGATCAAAGATTGAAGAGTTGTTTTGACTTTAAGTCATATAAAGCCATCCAAGGAAGGTACAAACAGATTGAAAGCAATCAAGAGCATTTAGCAGTCTTAGTCACAGTCACAGTGCTGGTTGACGTGGTTTTAACGACCTTGGTGGTAGTGAAAGTCGTACGATCAGTGAGAGTGACCGAGGGACTGTTGCTTACAGTCGAGATCTTGGTCACAGTGCTAGTGGTGGCGGGCAGAGTGGTAGTGCTCTTGATTGTTTTAGTCTTGGTCATGGTGGTAGTGGCGGCGGGAAGCTTGGTGGTGCTCTTAACCGTGGTTGTCTTGACGCTAGTGGTGGTGAAAGTTGAACCGGGGAGCGTGACGGTGGAAGTCTTTTCGACCACGGAGGTCATAATTTCGGTGACGGTGGACACCTTGAGGGTAGTGGTCTTGCCAACTGAGGTGGTATCAATGACAGTCACGATCGAGGTGACAGCCGGGATGGTGGTCGAGGAGACCTTAGTCGCCAGGGAGGTGATTGTGTCGGTGACAGTAGAGGCCTTGATTGAGGTTGTCTTGGTGGTCACATCAGTGATATAGTCGGTCGCGACGGGGATAGTGGTAGTCGAGGTCTTGGTCACGTAATAGATGTCGGTGGTGTAGGCAGTGACGGTGACGGTGGCAGCGTTAGCCCGAGGGAGGAGATCATAATAAGAACGCTTGGTCTTGGCCGCTGTGTCACAAGCGACGGTTGTTGTCACAGACTTGGTCACAGTCCCGGTGGACGTGGAATAAGTGGTCACAGTGGTGGCCTTAGTGGAGATGGTGGTGGTTCCTCCGTTTCCAACCGTCACGGTGTCGGTCACGGTAGTCTTTCCAGCATTTCCACTAGTAATCTTAAGACTAGTAGTTGTCACCATATCAGTGCTAGTCACGGTTGAGGCGGCAGCCGTGATGGTAGAGATCTCGGTCAGAGTGTTCTCCACTGTGCTAGTGCTATCCTTGCCAGAAACAGAGACCGTGGCGGTGGTAGTGGCCTTGTCAGTCGAGGTGACAGTCTTGGGATCCGGGGTAATGGTACTACCGACATCAATAGTCACAAAAGAGGTCTTAGTGGAAGTTGTTGTAGGCTCAGTGATTGTCTCAGTGGTGGTGATAATCGACTTGACCGTAGTGGTCTTGGAGACAACATCAGGAGTGATGGTTAAAGTCACAGTGGATTTGACGGCCAAGGTCTTATCGGTTGGAGTCTCGGTATCATAGACAGCTTCAGTAGAAGTAGAGAGGACATCGACAGTTGTGGTCACAGTAACAGGAACGATAATCGTGGACGAAGTCGAAATCGAAGTCGAAGCAGCACTGGTGGAAGGAGCGATTGAGATAGCGGTGGTAGTGGTGCTCGTGTCCGGGACGAAGGGAGTACCAGCAACATGAGTCAAATCGATCCAAGAAGTGGTAGCGAAGAAGTTCGCAAGCTCAAATTGAACAGCACCAGTGTTGTTAAGCTGGGTAGCAAACGAGGCCCGCGACGTAGTGCTTGATCCAGGACCAACGTTGCCATACTCGGCAAAAGTAACTCCGTCAGTCTGGGGGCTAGAGGTAGACCACTGGTTCCATCCAGCGGCCTCAATACAAGAGTCGAAGTAAGAGTCGATGTATGCGACACGAGCGTACTGGTTCCAAGGTCTGCCGAGGGAAATCTTGGACATAGTCCTAGCACCAGTGGACGGAGTAATAGTGCATTGATCGAAGACGAAGCCACCAGCGGTGGCGGAAGTGGTGCGCTTATCGGCGGTAAGATTGATGCCATCCTCGTTGGGTGAGATGGTGGTGTTGAGGAAGTAAGCGGAGCCACTTCCCCAGATCATGTCAATGTTACCCTCAACATAACCGTTGCTCATGAACAGATAGCCGTTGATCAGGAGAGCATCCTGGTTACCGGTGACCTGGCAGCCTGAATTCAATGGGTCAGCATCATAGTGAATCTAAAATCACGTACTAAGGCCGGGAAATTCACCATAAAGACTGGCGTACTTGCTCGACTTGACAGCGAAGCCCAGAGTAGCAATGTCTTGCTGAGTACCGTTGTTGTTGACAAAGTTGATGTTCATTGCCTTTATTAATTGTCAATAAATGGACTGATAGCCTGTAAACGTGGAATCAAACTCACAGTGAAGTAGTTACCGGTGGTATACAGGGTAGCTCCATCAGAGTTCGACTCATCGGCACCAGTGTCAATACCATGGTTGTACTGAATAGTGACTTGATTACTGGAGTAGTCGAAGGTGGAATCGGAATAGCCCATGAAGATAACAGAGCCTTTCTTGTTGATAACAAGCTGCTCCTCGTACGTACCGGGATAGATAAAGATGGTGGGAGTAACGCTGGAGGAAGTGGGGATAGCGTCAAGTGCACTCTGAATGGTGTCATAGTAAGTGGTGCTGTTCCTGAGGCCGGTCTTGGATACAATGTAGGCACCCGAGGGAGGAGTAGTTCCATCATAAGTAGCAGTGGCTGTGGCAGTGGCGGTCGCAGTAGCAGTAGTGGTGGTGGAAACTCCAGAAACTGCAGTCGGGGTATCGATGGTGTCCCAGTAGGTCATATCAATCCAGTCAGTCGAGTCCATGACGGTCGCAAGCGAGTAAGTGTCTTCGGTCAGGAGAGTACAGTAACCGAAAGCGTCACGGGCAGCCTCGTTATTTTCCCAGTTACCAGGGCCAGAGTTGTTGTACTCAGCAAAGGTAACGTAGTCAGTACGCGCATCAGAGGTCGACCAGACCTTCCATCCCGAGGGGTTTATGACATTGGTAAGGAAGGAGTTCTTGATAACAACAAGCGCGTACTCGGAGTAAGGACGGCCAAGGTAGACGGTCTCAGTAAGATCGACAGTAGCATCGGCAGCAGCAGTGAACAAAGTCTGATCAAAGATGTAACCACCAATGGCACTAGCAGAAGCACGGCTCTGGGCAGTCATAGCAGACTTCGCGCGCTTGGCTCCGATGGTACAGCCCTTGAAGTAAGCCTTGGAGTATCCCCAAATGAAATCAATGGCACCCTCAATATATGACGACTCGTAATATTGGTATCCAGCAGTGGCTCCGGTCAGGAGGGTATCTTGCCAGCCCTGGAAGTAACAAGCATAGAAAGCAATGTGGTTGCCGTAGATGGAAGCCGCTAGAGTCACGTAAGATGACTCAGATCCATCAAGATTGGCTGAGTTGATGATGTTGATGTTGTAGAAAGCAATATTAGTAGATGCGGTAGCAATGGTGGCAGTCTCGGCATCTGAGTGACCGATCGGCAAAGGGGAGACAGAGAGGCCGCGAGAGAATGTGACAGTAACCTCGTTATCGGCATAGCTCTGGCCGGGATTTCCAGTAGTGTAACCAATGATTATGACTGGGCCATCCCTGTTGATGCTAGGAACCTGCTCGGTATAAGTACCAGCGTACATGAAGATGACCTGAGTGGTTGTGTCATCGGGCAGGCAGAACAGAGCATCGGTAAGGTTGCTGTAAGATCCATCGATGGTTCCAGAAGGGCTGACAAGGACTGCACCAGTAGGAGGGTTGGCACCGCTGGACGGATGAGTCCAAGTAGCAACTGCAGTGGAGGTAGAAGTAGCGGTCGGGGTAGTGGCCGAGCTGGTCGAGGTTGTTTTGGCGCTAGCTCCGCCAGTCAGATCATAGGAAGGGGCAAGAGCGTAGGAATCCATGTCAAGCCAGGTGGTGTCTCCGATCCAGTTAGACAAAGTGTAGGCCTTAGCCTCGGTCTCGGTCAGATTGGTGGCAAAGGACGCACGGCCGCTTGACCAAGCACTAGGACCAGTGTTGTTGTATTCTCCGAAAGTGACATGATCGGTTTGAGGAGCGCTCGTGGACCAGATATGCCAACCAGCAGGGTTGATGTGCTTGTCGATGTAAGAGTTCATGTAGACAACAATACTGTACGCAGAGTAGGGTCTGCCGAGCCAGGTGTCCTGGAAGGTGCTACCATAGGTAGAGGTGTAAGTGACGAGACAGTTATCAAAGACATAACCTTCAGTCGCGGTAGACGAAGAACGACTCATAGCAGCAACACATGCACCAGCGGTGTTGGTCGCAATGACGGACTGGTAAAAGTACGCAGTCGAGAAACCCCAAATGAAGTCGATGGAACCTTCGATGTAGCAGTTTGAGAAGACCTGAATACCCTTGTTTGCAAGAAGGGTATCTTGGAATCCAACAAAGGAACAACCATAAGCTTGCACGTTACCATAGAAGTCAGCAGCAAGAGCAGCAGTGTTGGATACCTGAGCATGGGTGTTGCGGAAGTCGATGTTGTAGATAGCCAGTCCCTTACCATCGGTGTTCTTTGCATTGACGACCATGGTGCTTTCATCCTCATTGACACTAGTGAGCTCTCCGTCATCGTATTGAATGATCACAGTGTTTTGGGTATAATCATTCTCAAAGGTGGTTTCACCACGTACAACGGTCAGACCTTTGCGAGTGATTGAAATCTGCTCGTTATAGGTGCCCGCCTTGACATAGATAGTATATTCGTTGCCGTCGCTAGGGAGAGCAGCGATGGCAGCGGTGACATTTTTGTAAGGTCCGTTGGTGGCGTCAACGACATAGGTGGAGGTTGCAGTGGCAGCGGCAGAGGTGGAAGCAATGGTAGATGCCACTGTGGTTGAGGCTGCAGAGGTATTGGTCGAGACAATGGATGCAGTGACAGTGGCAGTAGCAGCAGAGGAGGTCGATGAAGATGTTGTGATAACATCAGCGCCCTCAATGGCAGCCAAGACGGATTCATCAACCCAGCTTACGTCGGAGGAAGCGTAGGTAGAGTAGGCATCTCCAAAAATAGCGCTGATACTGTAGTCGGCGACATCCGATGAGTCCAGAAGAGAGACATACTTGGACCGAGAAGCAACATTGCTCCCATAAGCTCCGGCACCAGTGTTAGCATATTCCATGAACAGAGTATAGCCATCTTGACTGACAGAGTCGACGTGAGCACCTGTAGAGGCAACCACGCTGCTCAAAGCCGAATTTCGGAAGAGAACGTTCACCCCCGCATTGTTGGCTGTAAAGAGATACACATTCTGAGTGGATGATCCAGACTTCGCAGAGACTGTGACATGATCGAAGACAGTGGTCGAGTTGGCAAGCAAAGTCGTGCCAGACAGGGTACCCTTCATGTAAGATACAAGATTGGAACTGTCAACAGGCACCAGGTCAGTGTTATAGATGTACAGATTCGCTGCACCATAGAAGATCTTGTCAAGCGCCTCGACGTAGGAGTTCGCGATGACACCCAGACCAACACTGGCAGTGATGCCCAAAGTTCCTTGAGAAATGATTTGGCAATCGTAGAAGGCATATTTGTTTCCTTTCAGGATCATGGTGCCGTAGGCAGCAGCGGTGTTGACGAAGTTGATGTTCTTGAAGCTGACTTGCTGAACATTGTTGTTGACAGTCAAAAGAGTTCCCTCGGGCATGATACCCGCGTTCGTGATAACAACCTCGTTCTGGGAGTAGTCACTTGAACTGTTGCTTTGACCGATAACAGTAACAGTGGGAGTAGCCGAGACAGTAACTGCCTGGGTGTAGGTGCCGGCAAGGACAGTCACGGTAGGGATTGCATTGCTCTGAGCGTAGGTGATGGCATCGCCAATCGCCGTGAACTGACCGCTGCCGTCAGTGGCGACCGTAATTGCAGTAGTCGAAGCTTTGACCGATCAGTATGCTCCCCTCATATCCGTTTCTAGAAACTTACTTGCAGAATTCGAGGTCGAGCTTGTGGTTGAAGAGCTCGTGGCCAAAGAGTTCGTGGTCGAAGAAGTCGAAGTAGAAGAGGTTGTGCTAACGGTGGCAGTGGTCGAAGCTCCCGGGGTCGCAGCAGCCCCCGCCAGGCCGGCGATGCTCAAGAGAGACAGAAAACGCATCTCAACGAGCCAAGCTCACTATTGCAGATTGTACAAGAGCGAGTGTCTCAAAGCGAAGACCTAAAGGCCAAAGAATAAAAGGTGAGATAGCGAAAAGAAGATTCCTAACATTAATGGGCCATGGCTGGATGTATTTATTAGTCTAGGAAAAGAAACAAAAGATTGGCTATAGCGTTCTAGGAACCATGCTATTGTCTACCGCTGCTTTCATACTAGCTTCGGGGGTAGAATAAGCGACCAGTCAAGAATAGAAGCCGGCGCAACAAGAAAAATTAAGCTACTTTTCTACTGATCATCACCCATCACTGGATAATTCCAGGCCCACGGCATCGGATCTAGAGATCAATCAGGACAGCTCGGTGTTCAACTGTGGTAATCGACTGTGGGAATCGGCTTCGTCCGAGCCGATCGAGGAACCCGAATGATAGGTATTTGTTGGCCGGTTACCGGTCCCGCCGGTTCTGGACAGATGATGGATATTAAATGCGCCACACAGCTTCAAGGTACACACTTAGGAACTGGATCCCATGCCTGCTGATTCTGGCGTGACTCTACGTGGCTTGGAAGTTTGAACAACGGTAATCATTGTAACTCGGGTACCCCTTTACAAGACTCAGTCTAAGAACACGGTGCAGGTTCTCTCTATGACATGAGACACTCCAACAAATTGAAATGGTCGTTAGATTCTATTTGACATCCACGTTTTCGAGGAATCCAAAAAATTTGGCGCTGAACAACAACGACCTAGACACAGCTGAATTCCCCCGGTCCCTCGGGGACCATCGGAAATTGAGCCTAAATGCGTTAGTCCCTGTCATCGACTAACGTTGTGGCGCAGTCTCACTACTCTACAGGAGATAAGAATCCTTTCAAGGTGTTCCCCTTGGAATTAAGTGGGCGTATCATTCTTCATATTTTGCCAAGCCCGCCGCGAAAGGATTTTCCACCAAGCAATTGTCCCGGAACGGCCACCGGCACAGCTCGATCGAGACCCCAGAAAAACATTGTTTGGTGTTTTCTGCCGGTCGTCTCTATGTATGTATCGGTGCCTAGGGTTTGTCATGTGCAGCCACAAAATGATTATCCACCAATCTATAATTTCTCCCGGTTCAAAGGTTGGCATTAGCTATGATGTGTTTTTCTGGATTGGGCTGCATTGGGTGTCGTGATTATGACCATCGGAGAGTTCCCAGCGATCCCGCGGACGAAATAATCGGAAATCTTGCCTTTTTTCTCATGGTGTCTTGAAAAAGATCATTAGCGCTCCTGTAGCTGTGATGCAGGCGTGAAGCAAATGATGCTGAGTGAAAGACAAGCAGACCCATATTTTGGCATCCGCATGTTTCGGAACTCCGAGAGCTCCTGCAAACTCAGCTTCTAAAAATGTGCGAATGTCCGATCAGCCGGGACTTGTGCGTACGTTTCTGGCTAATATGTCAGGGTCTGGACTGAACAAGGTTAGAGTACCGGTCGCCCGGCGGGCAAGTTAACATTGTGGAGCACGGCGCTAAGTTGGTTCGGCCAAAATATCCCTGTGCCCTAATGAACGGCCACCAGGGCAGGTAGTGCTTTCGGCCCATGTCCGTTTGAACAGCAAGGTATGAGCTGATCTGATACATAATCGGTCTGATGATGCGCCGGAAGTATATGGGTAACGTCATCAATAAAGCCTTAAACTCGTGGGGCATTCAGATTGCAAAATGCCTACTTGCGACTTGAAAAGGGTCTCAGGAGACTTCGAGTGTTGGGGTTGTCCAAATTTTGATGGTTCGATATATTTTCCTGCAAGGTACACATAATTCATACCCATGGACCGTAACCATGGATGTGTCATGTGAAAAGTCTTCAACATGGCTTCGGAGATCGCCAAAAAGCGACATAAGCGCCATTTAGGACTATGGGCAATGGACTTTGTAGCTTTTAAATGTTTGAAGGCCCCTCATTTTCCCCGACATCGATTTCCTCTCCCTTTTTTGATTTTGCCTCTTTTGTTTCTCTGTATTTAGCTCTTCCTAAAAATTCTGCCATCCATGTACTGACCCGAGAGTAGCTTGAACGCGTAAGCGATCAGATTATCTACAGCTATACATATCCAATTCAAGGACATTAGCGACCGTTATCGCCTTCCATGTCAGAAGTATGAGAGATGTTCTTTCAAACCCTAGTCACATGACTCGTAAAACCTTGTCTAGAAGCACCTGCCAGGTCGCAGCCGTGTTGTCATCGTCTTGTTCCTTACCATACCGTTCAACAAAAGGTTCTAGCCAGGGGTCTTTTTGAGTAACTGTTTCGGGCAAACTTGTCTTGGCGAGTGGGGTTGGGAAACAAAAAGAGCGTGTAAAAGCGCAAAGCGATTTTACAAGCTACTGTAACAGCTTGGATATGGAAACATTTTTCTTGTGCTTGGGTGGCATCCTCTATCACCGATCGGTATCAGAATGCTGAGGTAATTCTCAGTGCGCTTGTTCATGGAAATTTGTTGAATCATACCTGCACCGTTGACTTGGCCTTTTATTGAACTGGGTCGTTTATTTCGCTGGTCCAGCTGATAGTTCATTAGGGGTTGTCCCAAGTAGTATGTAGGAAGAAGACTTACATGCGCACAGCGCAGTCATCGCCTGCTGAAGCAAACATTGATGGGTTTGTCGGGTTCCATGATATTGAGTTGACACAACCCGCGATATGCCCTTTGAGAACCTTCACAAGGTTACCATCTTCCTTTTGCCAGATATAGACTCTGGAATCTGGAAGTCGTTAGTAGGGCGATGTCCTATCCCAAGATATGCAAAGTACTCACCTTCACTGCCGCTGACGACAAATTTTTCAGCTGCCCCGCCAAATGTACTTCGGATAACATATACGCCCTGCTCCTGACCTATGTAACGCTGAACCACAACAGCCGCCTCCATGTCAACGAGTTGAATCTGCCCTTCTGTCAGATTCACAAGCACGTGCTTTGAATTCCGGCTAATAGCAACAGATGTGGGCTTGCCGGGAAGAGAAAGGCAGTAGTCTTCCTCGTATGTCCGGAAATCGAATACGTGGATATTTGCACTATCTGTATCCACTGCCACAAGTCGTCGTCCATCTAGGCTAATAGTGCAATCCTGTACTCGGAATCCGCCTTTCCACATGTGCAGCGACGAGCCGTGAATGCTCCAGTGACAGAGAGGCGAGCTTAAATCGAGAGACGCCGTCACAAACGAATCACCATCTGCAGCCCAGGCAGCGGCAGTCACAGGATCGCAATGCCGATCGATGGTGAGGAGACAACAACCGTTCTATGCTAAAAAATCAGCGACGGAAAAGCAATATTATCGGTCAGATATTGGGTACCTCAACATTCCATACACGCGCCGTTTTATCTTGAGAGCAGGTAATCAGCTTTGAGTCATCTGGACTCCAGCTAGCAGATGAAACTCCGTGCCGGTGATCCTTCAGATGGTGGAGTACTACAAAATCACTAGTGTCGTATATGAGCACGTTGTGATCCTTGCCTGCAGTGACCAGCTTCGTGCCATCGTGAGAAAACTCGCAGTACCAGACTTCGTCGGAGAGTTGATTGAGGCGGTGCGTGACTCGCAACGGGAAGTCATTTCGGTCACACATATGATCCGAGTAGAGTGATGGTGAATCGGCAGTGTTGTGATATAAGCAGTTATTGATACGGTTCTGCTTCACATTCTTTAAAAAAGATTGCGAGTCGGTACTGGGGCATTATGACAGAGGGGGAAATGAACTTGGAAAGATATCCGAGGGGGCAGTTTACTAGATATTATTGGCTCATTGGCCCTCACTCTCCTGATGTCCGTGCGTCCCCTAATACCTTGCCCCCTCCTCCCTAAGGGCGGCCGGCTAGCAAGGGGAGGGGTGCTCTTTTTAAGCTGTAACAATACAGGAAATCCCAGCTTATTCAGCATCTTATTTGTTTTGGTCTCATACGATTCGATATGGTAACAAATGTTCAAATACAGGGCTAACCAGATTTAGTGCAACATATCATGTGATTAGGGGTTGAAAGAGCATCCCATATATCTTTAATATGAAAGGCGATAACGGCCGCTACTGTAGCATTTCTGGCATTCTTTATAGGAGATCGTTCGTAACAAGGAGTGAGGAGTTTGTAAAATAAAAGGATCCTAAATATCTCGGCTAGGCAAGTTGTTCGCAGTGTATAAAGGCTTCTGCCACTCTTCACCGCATGCCTTGCCTCGAGTCTCTATAGTAGTTTAGATCCATAACCTTCCATCTCTAGAATCTACACATCTCCCTTTCATTCGTTCTTTCTCATACAAGTCACTAAATTACTACATACACTCATTATAGAGGCCCATTGGTCACTCTCCTTACTCTGGAATTGCCATGAGCACCGGTTGTCAAGCTGGGTGCCAAAAGTTAATGCAAAGTATTTTAGTCAAAGCTTGTCTCAAGCCTCGGAACTCTCTCACCCTGCTCAGTAACTTTGAAAGTCACATCCCAATCATGACGAACATGCACAGTACTCAATGGCGACATCATCATCTGATCACTGGTTGGAGACTGGAGAGACGAGCCGATATGCCTGACAGTACTGTTCTTTAAATTCTGCAGCATTGGAGCATATGGAGTCTGGTATGTTGCCCCGCCGGATTCAGCCCTGCTTTGTGAGGTAATCAAGAGCTGCCGGAGAGAGGCAACGCACGATATAATAATAGCTGTGATGCTAAATTAACCACAAACGAGACGAAAATGTTGGCAGATTTGAGGAAGTTACCGGTATTAACCTCAACAAAACTCCAGAAGCATAGCCAGGCGATGTTCATCTCCCGATCATAAGTTGTACCTACCACGACTCTGATTATAGCAATGACCATAATCAGAGTGGTTGCGGAGAAGATGCTAATCAGGATAATCTTCTTGCGGGATGAGATTCTGGTACTCCATAGCAGGAGAATTGGGATAGAGAGAACTAAAAGCGAGATGATCGTAAGCTCAGAAAGATTACCCACAGCGGAAACTTCCACAACTCACTCATCAAATCCGTTACAACATCACCGACAGCGTTAGCCCAGAAGCTGCGATTCTCGTAATGGATGTGCTTGAACTTAGAGCATTGGTCTGGAAAAACCTGATGTCAGAAATTGAATTCTCTCGAGTAAACAAATTGCAAGATTCTCACTTATGATAAAGTCAATTCCCCCGAGACTGCATTTATATTCAATATCGCCTATTGAAGCAATATAGACGCTGATCGTGGCGAAAAGGACAATGTACCACCAATTGCGGAGATATTTGATTTTAGAACTGAGTCGATAGAAGAATGTCATAAAAGAAAATTTGACACTCCAGAGCGCAGAATAGAATAGTATCTCTAGCGGAGCTAGACATCGCATGAGTTTGTTGAACCTCGGGAGGAAAGTGGCGGTGAGGGGTGTGGTGCCGGCGCTGACAGCATAGGATTCATAAAGAACCTTGCCCTCAACCTGCCAAAGTATAGCGGCAGAGAGAATAACGACCCACGCAAAGGAGACGATAAAGTCATCTATGAAAAGGCGACGGAATGACCTAAGCTGAACGTGTATGCGAAAAGTAAGAAAAAGAAACGATGTGCCTGTAAGGACCCAAAGCACGATCTTTTACCCAAGTATTAACTATTAAATATTTCTGGCAGTATGCAGTGATACTCACAACAAAAGCATTTTGGGAAACCTTGATGTCTTCCGCATCTAGCAAATCAGTAGCCATTATGACTTGAAACACGGAGAAGAATACTAACCAGAAAAATTAGCGATAAGCGTAGACAAATATTCGTTCTCTCAGTCTACCGCACGGAGAGGTTATATTTCTTCTTTGTTAATATCTTTATTCCCAGTCCTGTCGCCACCCCCACCAAGCGATCGCCGGGGGTCTTTCTGTCGACCACATGCCAGGTAGCCTAGGACAGCCAAACTCTTTGTATTTCATGTCGGATCATTGACTTTCATGTAATCCGCAATGTGATTGGCATCTACTGGGAGCTCTGGCCTTTATATTAGCGCCATTATCGCTTGTGCGATGAATAAATCGTGGATCTGGTGGGTCTTCCCAATGTGAGCTTATCTTGCAAGCAGTCTTGTGACTCGAAGGTAACACAAATATGGGGCGTGATGTGGATGAAAGGACATCTGAAAGAAGAAGCCCGTTATGTATCAATATCAGCCATTAACATTCATTCTTTACGGACAGCCACGAAAGGATAAATTGACCTATCATGACCACTTGCAATATTATCAGGATATATGTCTTTGATGAGTGAAGTACCTATCTCTTTAAACGAAGGCGTTCAAAGAAACGGCAGTCCTTGCCACGTCTGTTCACCTCCGAGACAAAGAACTAGTGTGAGTGATGCTAGGACCTCAAACGGGACATTAACCGATGACTAGACAGGAATAGAAGAGCACGTGGCAAGTACAGAATATAATTTTCCTATCGCTGCGCCTTGAGCCCCGCGCCATTCAACGTATTTGACGTCCATTTGGTGCCTGTATTCTCAAGCAAGAAGTTGATCCATCCACGAGTCGGATCTCAGCGTTCTTTTACTTTCATAGAGAAGATCTCAAGAGATAAATTATCGATCCAATTCGCTGACAAAGACAGGCGAGTCTATAAATGCAATACCCAAATTTAATAAAACGTTCCAATAAACTGTTGATTAGATCGTTTGACACTCCTTATCCCACTCTTCTGCCTTGGCTGACAGCTTTATTTCACCGACAGGGAAAAACTTCTCCGCCGCATCCTTTCTCTTAAACTTATCGGAGACAGTCTTTGGAATTTCTTCCCCTGGATGAAGAGTATGTATAGCCGTAGGAAGCATATGAAATGGCAGATCGGGTGAAAGATCATCTCTCAGCCTCTCGAGGGTGATATCGCATTCGCAGCAGAGCCCTTTGATGTATCTTCGGGACGAGGGGCTAACACGAATGACAACTCCAACTCTGTGTTCTGTATAGATATTGTTGAAGACGGGCACAGCCAAAACACAAGCTTGTGAAATATAGGGCAATTTGCCAATTACGGCTTCGATATCATATACAGAAACTTTGTGGCCGTAGTATCGGATGACTGTATCTAGTCAATGCTGTTCACGTGGAGGAAATTTGGGTAGGTGACTGCGTTCATTGGGGGCCATACATTCTGAATCTCGACCCATCAGCACAACCTCGTCTTTTGACCAGTATGCGCTGTCTCCGGTCTTGTAATAGCCATCCTCGTCAAATGCAGCATCAGTGGCATCCGGGTTATCAAGATACCTGCATCGGTCAATCTCATGCTTTGAACTTTGGTGAAAGGCTAGGCCTACCCTTGGAATACGGTTGGGCCTTTGACGAGAATCTCTCCTCGATCGCCGTCGGAAAGTTTAAAAGACACATGGCGGCTTGGGAGCCCAACACGGCGCTACAACGAGATCAGCCAATAGTTGTGCCTGCTTAAATCCTGATCTTACTGACCTTGTCATCTGGAAATGGAGCCGGGTTTCTCATAGTCGCAAGACCTCCGACCTCCGTGGCGGCATAGGTTATTACCAGAGGCATTTGAAGCTCTTCCGTCCAGAACTGCCTCACATGGGGAAGTAAAGAGCCACCAGTCACATTCGCGAGCCGGATATAGCTCGCGCCCTGTTTGTATCCCGCATGTATCTTCGGTGGCAGATTGCAGATGATGCTCTGGTAGTAGTCCATAAGAGCCGACCAAATAGACGGTACCGAGTAGAAAACCGTAATCCTCCCACTTTGGAATCGATCCCAAATAGTCGCTATATCTCGCGATACGATCTCCAGTTGAGCTCCACGCAATATTCCAGAGACAAGTGGCGTTAGACCGGCAATCCAAGCTGAAGAGCGATGGGCCAGGAATACATCTCCAGGTTTCAGGAATGAATATGCCAGTGAAAATAGTCTTCGGCCATGAACAACTGCTTTACTGGGTCCTGTTGTACCGGAAGTCATGATCAAGACGCTGGGTCGCTTCGGGTCAATGGTCCAGTCTGGATCAATGCTGGTGCGCAAATCCGAAAAGTGTCGGGGCGATGGGGCTTGTACGGTAATTGGAACAATGTGGATGGCCTGTTGTTTAGCTGCCGCGCGGGCTTTGATTTTCAAGGCTTGTTTCATGTGCATAGAATCTGCCAGGATGATGGAGGACTTTGTTTTCTGCAAAGACAGGAGGGCGTCGGATTCCTTCGTTTCGGTCGCTTGAAATTGACAAAAGTATCAGTTACTGATAAGATTTGAAGTTCAGCTGAGTTGTTAGACTTACACATGGTGCACAGAGCAGCACCAATAGACAGAATCGAAAAAGATGCAATGATATAAGAGTAGCTTGCAGGTGCAAGAATGAAGATATATGGTGTGTCTGGCACGATGAGACCCTTCTCATCGAACACCGACCGTGGGACTTGGCTCCAAATAGTTTGACGTGTCTGGATAACATCGGTCAAGAGGGAGGTGTAATCCGCCGTGATATCGCGATTGAAGTCAATGACTGAATCATGCTGGCAGGTCCTTGCTGTTTTGAGCAGCTGGACGAAGATGTCCTCGTTGGGGAATTGCGTGCTCTGATAGTTGATGGTCATGATGGGAGACAGAGAAGAGAAAGTACTGGAAACTGAAGTGTCTTGAATCCCCAATTCTGCGTTCGTTGGACTGTTCAAATAGCTTTCAGGGCCTATATCCAGACATAGCCGAGGTATCAATTCTTCACTACGTACGCCCAGATACCTCCCTTCTATCGCTGGGTCCCTACGCGTAATCTCCGACCATGATATGAGACTCTTTACTCCGAAATACGATCATCTTTAGCCCGATGGAGATGAACTTACAAGTCAGATTACTGCCAAGGGCGCAAGGCAGCCAGGCTTCGTCATTTTTGTTTTGGTCTCACCTTGGGGCAGTGTATGGAGACAAAGGGTCTGAGCATCAAGCCCCAAGCAATGCTACGAAGACCCTGAAAGTTGGGAATTCTTCGTAAAACCTAAGTAACGTGGCCCCGTACGCAAGATCTCGGAAGGGGTGGATGAATCGGGTATCGATAATCGATGTGCCGCTCCCATCCCTTGATCATCTTCCTGGTTTAGACGTCACTGTCTGAGTTCACATAATATAGGGAACACATCATTTGCTCCTTGATTTTGCAAATTGTTGACACGTTCTTCGACTCATCCTTTTGCCCGTTGGTTATGGGTTCTTTGAGATTCGCCGTGCGATTTTTGCGAGAATTCGTATTCAATTGAATTGACGAAAGATAAATAAATGGTACATGAAGTAATGGAGAATCCATAAGTCGTGATCATGACTTCCGTTTTCTATGCCCTCCTAGTTCTGAGGGTTATGAAGGACCTTCGGTTTGGACTTGGAAGCCCTTCATGATTACCCAAATTTCTGATACAGATTTACTAGTCCGAGAATGTTCCGAAGATTCTGTTCATTGCTTGTAATACCTACGTTAGGAATGGGGCTGACAAACGGTCGCACAATTAATGATATCGAGCAAGACAATACGCAGGCCGCGAAGCAGACATCATCCCCTCCCCCTCGTTAGTAGTTACAAATGCGTCTTCTTATGCGGAGTCAGACATGGACAAAGGCAAGATTAAATAACAGATATGTTCAAGGCTGGCTTCATGGTATTGAATGGCGATTTTTAGTAGTATCAGATCGTGAGATCGAATATTCGAGAAAACCATCCGGTCCATTAGCTGGGTGGTCGAGGCACTTCTAAATAAACAGAATATTGCCCGTCCATGAATCTCGATGAAATCATATCATAAGGGATGATCCATTCTTCAAGCCGGATTGTAAATAACAATCTTGCGCCGAAATTAGTCCAGCGTCCCCGGATATCATGGAGAAATGCATGATACAGTTTCCTCGAAGCTTCTCTTAGAGAGTATCTACCACGTACCTGGTATGTGCGATAGATCTCCTTGTGACAACACAAAATCATTCCATCTTGGAAAAGCTTTTGTGGGCTCGGACCGTCAATCTCCGGCGCTAGTTCTTACAGTTACATCAGGATAAAACGGCACTTCTTACTGGCTGAATAGACCCCTGTCACAATATAACTGGCCAGCAGATTTACGGATGATAGGTCAATAATCTTGGAGCCTCGCGCGGGAACCAGAAAGAGTTTAAGAGCCTGCAATCACGTGTTTGTCAATGAGAGACGTATTCCCCACCTCCCCAGTTCGACTACTGTGTTCTCCAAAATCAAAGACAATGGAGTTGCTCAGCATTGTCTCTTCTCCGAGGACTTTTGAACCAGAGCGAGATGACATTTTGGCGGCACAGCCAAGTCACCCGATAGATAACAACCAGACCGCAACCAAATCCATCGCCCCCGATGGGGAAACATCTCATAACCCCAACGCAGCTAGCAGCGGAGATGAATTTGAAAACGCATCGCGCCCAAAAGGAATCAGGTTTGCAATTTTATTCCTCTCCATCCTCGCCGGAGACTTTTTCGTTGGATATGTACGTGTACAGTTCCGTTCTACTTGCGGCGATCTCAAAGACTGATGCGAAATGCAGGACTCGAGTTGCGTGGCGACACTCACTACGGTGATTTCAGATGAATTTGGCAGTCTTAATGAGATTGGCTGGTATGGAACATCATAGTAAGTCGACCGCTCTCAAATCAACTATCAACCTTCGATCCCATAATAACATTTTGAAACTGCAGCCTGCTGGCATCTTGCTCCACCATCCTAATATACGGTCAAGTGTATACATTCTTTTCTATGAAAATAGCATATATGCTGTCATTCTTTGTATTTATCATCGGCTCTGTAGTAGCCGCCACGGCTCCTAACTCCACTGCGTTCATTGTCGGGCGCGCAGTGAGTGGTCTTGGCTCGGCGGGTGTCTTTGCTGGAAGCAGTATGTAGGTACTCTGCTTCCTATCTTCCGCGGACTTGAAACTGACATAGCACAAAAGTATCGTGGCAAACACAACCTCCCTCAAGCATCGGCCCATCTACACGGCCATGTCAGGAGGTGTGGAATGCATCGCACTCGCATTTGGCCCCCTTATCAGCGGTGCCATTACCCGATATTCTCAATGGCGTATTAGCTTCTACATCATCATCCCAGTCGGTGTGGTGGTCATATTTTCAGTGTTCTTCTTTGTCCATGATATCCAGCGCCCAGAGCACGCCGATATTCCAAACCGCCAAAAGCTGAAGCGCCTCGACATTCCTGGGTTCGTGGCGTTCATCCCACTGGCGATCAGTGTAATTCTTGCTCTAGAATGGGGTGGATCGGAGTACACATGGGGCAATTGGCGAATTATTCTGCTCTGGGTTCTGGTAGGCGTCCTCCTGTTGGTTTTCCTAGGGATAGAATACCGCTCTGGGGATGATAGCATGTTCCCACTGAAGCTACTCTATCAACGATCGGTGGCTTTCAGCGCTCTTTTTACCTTCTGCAATTCTGCTGCTCTTTTCGTGACAGCCTACTATGTGAGTTACCCCAATACAACCTCACAAATCATCCAAACTACCCACAATGATTTTCTGCGAAATGCAAGCTAATCAAGACAACAGCTTCCAATCTATTTCCAGGCCATCCGTGAAGCCACTACTTTTGAATCTGGTCTTATGTATCTTCCGACCGCGGTGCCATTTGCTCTGGCAATTCTGGTCGCAGGTCCTATTACCACCATGATCGGCTATTACACACCCGTCATGGTAACTGGCACCATCCTCATGGTTATCGCCACAGGCCTTTACACAACCTTCTCGCCAACAACCCCGCCCATAGAGTGGATCTCATACCAGATACTCTATGGCCTTGGGGTTGGCCTTGCCTTTCAACAGCCCTTCATCGCAGTTCAGACCGTGCTGCCCGAGTCAGCCGTCGCCACCGCACTAGTGGCAATATTCTTCACTCAAGAGATTGGTGGCATCGTCGCGCTGTCGATTGCGCAGAATCTCTTTACTAATAGACTTACCCGGGAGCTGGCTAAAGAGGTGCCGGGGCTTGATCCAAGTACGGTGTTAAAGAACGGTGCGCTTGGTATCATGAAGACGGTGCCAGCGACGTATGTTGAGGGTGTGAAGACTGCGTATAATGACGCTATTGTCGATGTCTATTATCTGGCATTGGTGTTAACGTGCATGACTGTCGTTGCAGCATTTGGTATTGAGTGGAGGTCGGTCAAGGAAGAAGGGAAAGGAAAGGATCAACAAGGGAGCTCGCTCCAGACAGGTGAAAACAAGACTGGCGGAGAAAGGAGTCGATCAGATGCGTTGGCTACATCGCAGCATTCATAGGGAATCGTCCCTGTAGACTTTCGGTTATTTCCTGCAAGCTCACGCATGAGGCCGGCGCTCGAAAATTAGTACCTAGATCCATGTCGTTTTCATCTGTCCAAGAGGCTGATCTTGGTCGACTTGATCAGATTAATACAAATTTTCAATGGGTTTAGATTTTGGGACGACACTACAATCGACTCCCGGTCTCTGAATTCGACAATAATTCACTTGAAAAAGGAGTGACGGGTTTTCATTCCAACATAGAGTCAAAAACTACGTAACAACTACTTCGAAGGCGACTTCACACCACCAACCCGAGTCACGCAAAGCATCCACACCTTCATATTTACCATCCTCTACCTCCACGACCTCCACCCCATCCACCTCCACGGCCGCCGCCTCCCCATCCGCCTCCGCCGCGTCCTCCTCCTCCCCACCCGCCTCCGTGTCCACCACCGCCCCAACCGGGGCCACCGCCCTCCTCATCATGAGTTAAGGCCTCATTGGCCTCTGTCTCTAGGTCCCGTCCCATTATATCAACAGCTGCCGATCAGATCAGAAACTGGAGTTTATTTGGATATAATTCTTGTGGGGGAATGCAAACCGGGCTCTGGTGCGGCAACTGCAAGAGCAGTTCCTGCAAGGCCAATTATGGCAAGAAGATGGGTGAACTTCATGGTGCTTCAACGATTACAAACTGCTTTGTCGAGTTAGTGGATGTCTACCAGCGCTTGAGCAAGGGTTGAGGAACAAACTGGAGTGTCTTGGTCACCACACAAATGCCCTTTTTCAGTAACTTCAGGGAAATGCGTCCCATGTGGTCTTTTATATCCGTCACCTTTGCATTGTTAACAAGATCTGTATATTCTCACACTAGGATCTCCCCTGCGCACAATGGCTTCTGATATCTGGATAATCTCCGAAACCAGCGTAATAAAGGCCAATCATGTTCTCTCCATGGTCCCGACAGCCATTTTCAAGTTTATCGAATCTTTGTGCATCGAGTGTTTCGCCCGCTTGAGCTGTTCACGGGTTATTTACAGCTATCGGATTTAGCACCACGTGATATCTTGAAGATTTCCTTCATTCAAGTATAGTCACGTCTTTGGCCTTTGCTTTTGTTCGAATACGATTTTTAACGAGATTTACGGCCTTCTTCTACGTAAAAAGTGGACTTGGAAATCATCGGAGGATTAATTAGAAAGAGCCATTCACAAAACATCCTTCTCACCCGAGCACCAACAGGGCAACATGGACAAGCCTCGTCTATATACGAGGCATATTTCAATCCAGTCTAGCGGACAGCGTATCCCATGTCATGGCATTTCCGCAAGATCCTTGATTACAAGTGTCTAATTTGTGCGAAGGAAAATACCATGGTCCTAACGCGTTACGTCACATGTTCCTAAGAACAAGCATTTCGAATCAGCCCTCAACATCTTGACTGCCTATCGTCATTTCAACTGATCGGGAGATCCCAGGATGGAATTGCTTGGGGAATTGGTGAATCTCGGATTTTCAAAGATTTCAAGAATACTCTCAATGCTGGCAGCTGAGCACACTTGGCTTGCGGGGTCTCTTTCCCGCTTGGTCGATTGATGTCCGATGGCAATGCCGGTAAGAAAACTTAATGAGACAAAGTCAGCTACATTTTCGAGTGAGTGTCTTAATGCTGGCCCGAGGCTGTACTCGCCGAGTTTGAGACTGCCGCGAATACGGGAATGCTTGGACATCTTGGCAAGAGGTGGACCCTGATCGTCGGTGATTCGGGTAAGCCAGGAGTTAATGCATACTTTAATTCCGCCGAGGAATGCTGGGGTTAGGGTGATGTCACTAATAAGCAAATTATTAACTCTTTGAGGCGGACAACCCCCGAAAATCACGCTCTCGACCAGACATTCTGTCTGTTTGCCGCTAAATTAGCCAGACACTACCATTAGTTTCCACCTATAAGTGTGCACTTGGAGCCCCATCTGGTGAGATCAGGATGAGTGATGGAATTGGGGAGGCGGGGAGGAAGCGAGGATCAGTACCAATCGCAGGTGGATTTGAACAATCAAATGCGATCAATTGCCAAGGATGTACCTTGCGCAGCGACTTGCCCGGTAGCAATGACGATTTGAAATTCATTGACTTGGCGCCTTGACATGAGGCTGAGCATTCCTGCGACCGAGTCATGATGTGGGTAACCGCTCTACCATTACACTCCTTTCTTGTGCGACATCCGCGACATCCATTCTCCATAGCGCAGCGGCCGCAATCACCCTAGTAATGCCCTTGCCAAATGTCAAACCAGTGAACCATTCGGTAAGGATTTTAAAGACTGTCGATCATTCGATCCGAACCGTTTACAATTGACAGTAGAAAACTCCGAAGTGCGGTTTAAGCTTTCCGAGCGGATAAAGCGGCGCCACCAAGTGGATACCACACCCGGTGAACAAGCCATTCTATCAAGTGTATCAAATTCGAATTTCTCGTGCCAAAAAAAAAAGCCAGTCGCAGACACATGGCCGACTGCCTGAATCTTTGAAATATGATGCCGGTCACTGCGTGACGTGGCGTGTGAAACCTGTTACGATAGCACCTTCGGCGCATTAAGGGCCTACCTAGACCACGTGGAAAACGCAAAGAATGTGTGACTAGAAGAGGTTACGCAATCGAGGAATCTATCTGTTCAAGACGTAAAAGCCAAGACCTTGGAAACAGCTCATGCAGGTGCTAGGGATCAGCTCGGACACATCGTGAAAAAAACAACGCACCGATCTTCCAGTCGAATTTCTAATTCTAGACCGTGTTCTGACCCTTGGTGGGTCCACAAGCTATTTTTTTTCTCAATTGCACCTGACTCCTTATCTTGACGGGGCCACCGACCCACTATAGTTCGAGGTCCAGGGCGGTCGAATCGCCATAGGAACCACTTCGTGCAGACGCCAGTGGCCAATTTCCTTATACCCTCCTCGCACCCGTTCTCCGAACAAAGTTATCTACGAAATCATGGTTTGAGATAAGAAGGAGGGGAAAGTTACATCTCTAACAATCATCATGTTGTTCGATCCAGGAATAGATAAACTTTTCGAGAGTTCGGTCGAGGTCGGGATGGATGAGATGTGGTAGATGTGGCTTTCGGGACCGGCTTGCCGACCAGATCCACTTATGATGCTAACGACCCGATCGCACCAAGAAAAAACCAAGAAAGGGAGCCGGGCTGGAATATTCGGCCTTTCGCTAGAGAATGTATCATAAAAAAGTGTTCTTATCAGCCCACTGTCGTGGCGTGACGCTAGGGTTCTTGAAACCTATATAGAGCTTTCCTTTCCACTCGCATTTCTACTCTCATCATCTTCTCAATCCCTCATCTCTACTACACCACCATACTATAATCAACCCACCAATCAACCTTTCACCCACACAAAAAATACCACCCGTCATGTCTAAAGGCTTCTTCCCTTTCGAAATGTTCAAGCAACAGCGCCAGGAGTCCTTCGACTCTTCGAAGTCGGCCAAGTCCCTCTCCAAGCCTTCCTCGGCTGCCCCCTCAAGATCCCACTCCATCCAGAGTGAGCCTGTCGACATTGCAGCCACACCTGGTATGATTCCTACCCATCCCACAAACCAGCCAAACATTGCATTCTAACAACCACTCAGTGGCTGCAGCCCCCGTCCGCCCCAAGGTTTCCCGCAACTGGAGCTTCGGCCGTGTCCTCGACGAAGAGGAGAAGAAGCGCCGCCGCGACAGCCAGGACGAGCAGGATCGTCTTGCCTTCGCCGCTACTCGCAAGTACTCCAGCTGCCAGCGCCGTAGCCAGGGAGCTGGCGTTAACTTCCAGAGTGGCTGGCAATAAAGGCGACTCTTTGAGAAATTGAGTCTCGGAAATATGGAAATGTGTCACGCTGGATTGGGGAGTTTATATTCTTTTTTCATGTTAATATTTTAATTTCTTAATTACACTATTCTTCTACATACTGAGCGAATGGAATCTTATGATAATGATGGAAATTAGTTTCTTGGTATCTCAATCCCGCCAACGTTTTAATTCTGACCCACACCACCGGTGTACGTAATTGAATCTAGAATTGAGCGATTTGCGCACAATAATCCAACCATGTCTCTGCTTGCGGTTATGTTCATGTGACACCAGCAGTGGGCGTGTTGGCCATGAGATCAGGCAAGACTTCATATATTCCCAGCATAATAATGAAGAGCACAAAGAGCGCCCATGGTATGTGACTAGCAGCCCATGTCGCCTTTAGGAGCTGAACTGGATGAGGATCAACTTTGAGGTGCCATGGCAGCATTCGCACGGTCCCTACCTCCACTTCTAGTGGGTCTTTTCGGGCACTTGTGTGACTAGAGACACCGTAAATGTGCCGTTCTTCCTGGATCTCCTGGCCGCTGTATCCGATTCCCAGTCCCGCCAACATCCTTCACACTAACAAATCAAGTTTCGTGATCATTATCCCAAGCCAAGAATCCTCCCATGTTTCAGAATCCATTGTCGGTGAAGTCCCTTCGATACTCGCCGCGTACAGGGCACATGCTAGTGGCTCCATACCCCACGTGCGAACGTGCAATCTAATGGGTCTGTGCTGTCTTGCATGAATCCTGACCACTGTGCATACGACTTTGACGGCATGCGCGTACCATTCGGTAGATCCGCACTCGCCCGCCAATTTCATGGAGTGGGTCTGCAGAGCAGTATCTGCCGATGCAGAGTCTCTGACTCAGCGTAGATTAGGACATATACTGAGAGGTTCACTGGCCCTCTCCACTGTACCGCCTTCCAGCCTAGTGGTAACAGACTGTAAAAGAGTGCCCGTCTCATGGAGTGGCCGTTTCCCGATTCAGTGGATATCGCAGACAACGTATACTTCCTGTCCATAGAGAGCCGCCGAGTATTCTGCCCATCTTGTTACTGATGGGTAGCCCGGGGAATTGCCCACATCTGGAAACGTAGCATCTGAAATTAGGCCGAGGTCATGATTGTACCCTTCTGGGTACGCTCTGATGCGGTCTGGGTGGTCATACGTGCGGGTTACAGCGCCAATCTAACAGTGTCAGAAAGCATAAACAGGATAGACTTAGGTCGATGAACGTACCCGTCTATAGGAAAAGGTCAGCTGTACTTCTCTCCCGACGGGGTCATTTGTAAGCACTTCTTTAGGCACCATGAAGACACCATCATCCTCGCCGACCCTGATTGGCAGACCCCGTGTCGACGACCGCTTTGCCTTCTCAACCATTTTTTGAAAGAAATTGAAAAAAATGAACGGAAATCGATCCCTCGGAGAACGAACAAATCCATGAGTGACGGTTGTAATGGCCATAGAACCATTCTGCAGCCGGAGCTTGAGTGCGAAGCACCCTGCGCGAGTATGGTGTTCTCCGCTTGGATCAGCACTCACGCCTAGGCCGAATTCGATGGGTGCTGTCGTAAAATCATAGCGGGTAATATCAAAGAACACGCGAAGTCCATGGCCACGAAGAAATCCGCGAAGAGTCGGTGTTTCGGGCTCGTAAGAACTTCGGAGAGGTCGATATGGTGCAGTGTGCAGCTTATATGATATGTTTGTGTGTATTTAGGGAAAACGGCGGGCTCTTCGTATTGTAGGCTGAGTTCGAGGAGTTATGAAGGGGCTCGGCCCAGAGCCGCTTTCACATAGTCTACAAAATGATATGACTGCGTTATTTGCGGTTCTCAAGACCAAGTTATCATTACCTATCTACTTCCTAATAGGGAAGATTTTACAGAAGTAAGGTGGAAAGGTCGCTATTAGTAGTAGAAAACAAAAGAAACTAGGATAGCTAACGTAGTGTAAAAAGCAGACGTAAGTTAAAACGCGGTATTATACCTACATTCCCCGCCTACTAATAAATTATGTAGCTTATAGTCTAACTAGCCATAATTTTCGTAATTACAAGTCTCTATATACTAAAGGTATACGGAATAATTCAAGACCCTATAGCTACCTAAAAATGAGGGTATAATGCTAAGACTTACCTAGTGAGGCAGTTAAAACTATATGAAAAGATCGATGATATATAATGTACGAAGAAAAACGCCTAGTAGGACTATATCTATAAGATAAAAGTAGAATAGTTTAAAGAGAGTTGGGTGGTAGGGCTAGTTTCTATGTCTATCTTTTGAATAGGCGTCTTACTAAGATGTTCTTCAATCGTAGACTGCCCTTGCTGTCAGAGAGGTAATCTCGATAGAGGCGTTTCGGTCACGGGGTGACGGGGTGAGCAACCCACCCTGCCACCCCGTCACCCGTTTACCCTCTCGATAGCACACCTTTCGCCTAATTGGTAAAGAGGGTATAAAAAATATTTTTCTGAGAAGAAAAACAAAAACATACAACAGCAGGGATTCGCTGGTGGTCACCCACCCAACTACTAACCTGCCGGCGTGTGGCTTAAGTACGGCTGAGCGGACGGGAAGCCCTGTTCTCCACACCCTATGGTCGTATGTATAATTCAGGTTCTTGCAATGATATAATACGGGACAATTTTGCTTTCGAGCTTCGAGTAACGTGTATATTCAGCAACGCTGTCAGCTGAAGATTGTCAGTAGAAAAGTATCCTCTCGAAACTTTGGAGCCCTGGGGGGTGCGACGAACGAGTAAATGATGCAAATTCACGTGTTTTGGCAGCTGTCTCCTGTTGACATTTAGTTTTCCTTGTACAAATGGAAGGCGTGGGTCACATCATGAATACCGCCTCGGATCTACAGTAAAGCTACAGAAGAATCTACTTGGCTAATGCTCAGGGTCGGGATGGTGATGGTATGGAGATTTACTTTGAATAGTTTGTTGAAAGTATTCAAGTTTCAGACTCATTGGAGCATGATGAAAAGGGGCCATGGCTATAGACTACAACAGGGAGAAGATGAAAAATACGGAGACGAAAGGATTCACGTCAGAAAACAAAGGAAAACCCAAGAAGGTGAACGGAAAGGCACTCACTCTCAGAGCATTTTAAAGAGCCTTCTGTCAGGCTCTCCCGGCTTTCAAGAGGGGTATTTTAAGATATATCACCGGGAAGCTAAGTTACCTACCTTAAAGTGAAAATTGAGGCTCAAGACAGACTCCGGGTACGTCCGCAGCTCGCGCAGCCACCCGGGGAATCCGAACGCTTATTACCAATCTAAGCCTGTTCTGCTCAGAGATTGTGGATAGCACCCTTAGAAGAAACCACACCAACGCGTTGCTTTTATTCTTCTATGAAAGTCAAGCGTGCCTCAAAGTCGTCAGGATCCGTTAGTTCAGAGGGGATCTAAGAGATCCTTTTGAATGATTGTTAGAATCCGCTCCCTCGGAGTCCTTCTCTTTGGGTTCCTTTTGATGAAATATACCCAATAAGGGCCGATATTCCATCCGCACTCTCCCAGTACATAGATTCCTGAGTGGCTCCGCCATGGGCGATCGGCATCGTCGATAGCTGCGAGGGGCAGGTCACATATATGCCTGAATTTAACCAGCGCCGCCAGTGTCGCCAGGAATCGGCGCGATAACAGCTCTGGAATGGGACATCAATTATTAAGTAGTCGCTAGTAGCCTTCCACAGCGTCATCGAGGGGGAAGTCGTACTGGGGGAGCAGCTCTCGGCCGTTTCAAAGTATAGTTCTCTGGCAGCAACCATCAATAAACTCTGTGCTAGGCTGCCATCAACTTTATTATTTTTTAATCAAATATACGTCTATCTAATGGCGTCCGGATTATCGACTTGTAATTGTTTCTGCTGCGTTCGACCAAGCTATGGAGAAGACGTGGGCCCGCGGGAAATTTTCGATGTCTTCAGGATGAAGGTACTTCATGCGGGTCATCGTGAGTTCGACAATTGATGCGTGGCCATTTTTGCAGGCGTGATCAAATAAGGGTTTCCCAATGAGCGGCCCTTGAGTCGGAATCGACCGCAAGATGCAGTAGACAGAGAAATTTTTCTCGTGAATTCGTTCTTAGCATACTGCAGGATAATAAAACTGGCGATAGTCGTTTGCGTCGCCGGTTGCTCCGAACTCTCGCTTGACGATGATCCTGTCTAAACTTTTGAAGGTGACTCGGCTTTGCCGTGACAGGGAGCAAACCTTATTGACAATCTCCAGATTATCGGCAATCATCAGGGCGAGCTTCATGCGAAGCTTCGAAAAACTCTTCTTGAATGCCACAATGGAACAGTGATGGTAAAAATCAAAGATCGCCGAGGAGCAGGAGGTCGAGACCGAGTATGAGGCGAGATAAAGGTGTCTTCGCTTATTATGTGCGAATGAGAGGACGAAGTGCATCAATATGTGAGTTTTCATAAAAAAACAAAACCAACCATGAGATTCCTGTGTGCATGCTTTTCTGGATAAATTGAGTCCCAAACTATGACGACTGAGCCGCATCGTGTTTTCTTCTGAAATAACGTCAACAACTTCTCTGTCCGATCCCCAGTCATCGGATTCTGAATAGCTTTAGATTTGTCTTCATTGTTTTCCTGGTTTTCTATCGCTATGCTCTCAACGGAGGGCTGAAGGTGACATTTGGAGGGTTCGCACCTAGACGTAGGAACTTTATAGGAACATTATAAAGAAAATAGTTCAAAAAATAATTTAAAGAACGGCTCTGTAAAGTGCTGTCCCACTTCTGAACAACAGGGCATAAGCCTTTTTGTGAATCAAGAACAGAGATTTCAAGACATCATTTCGCTAAGAGAGGTGACATCTTCAACACCTGGGCGTCTCCGAGTCATATAGTCGGCACAGGTTGCATGCGCGACAGTAATAACAAAGGATACTAATGCCATTCTTGATTGTTTTTAATTTTACTTTCAAACCTGTTTTTCTTCACAAGCGGAGGGCTCTCATGTTGTCTGGAGACGCGTAGAGCCGAATAGGAAATATATAGTGCAACTGGATCCACAAAAAAGACTGATTTATTTATCCCTCAAAACATACCCGAACATCGATATCAATTAAAAGGACACCTTGGAAATGAACGAAAAAAAGTCTCAATGTAGCTTTAGGAATATACGCCGAAAGATGTTGAGAAGTTCACCTCGAATGGGAGGATCAAATAGGTAGGTCTATTTAGATTTCTCCTCGGTCGGGCTACAGTAAGAGCCTCCGACCAGGTGTGGGGCAACCCGAACAGCTCGAAGTTACTTAGAGCAGCTCCGACTGCCGTTCCTGACTAGACCCTAGAGCCTGGCATCAATAGTAGGAATAGCCAAGATAGGCTCTTGTGGCCTGATCGATTTCTATCGAATCAAGAAAGAGGCAAAGGTCAGCACGACGCCGGATCGCTCAGCGCGACCAATCACCTACGCGGTGTTTGGTCGCTGCTTACCAAACGGGGTCAATCCAACCAATCACAGCCCACCTATTGATAATCATACCATGTCGAGGGTGACGCATTCATCGACTATAAATTGAATCCTGTCTGCAGTTCCGGAATTCACTATTCTCTTCATCTCCAGTCCTCTTGATCTTCAGAGCCTCATTCGTGTGATCCTTGAACTTCTTCCAATCCCGTTGATCGACTACCTCTGAGCCTCACGCCTATTTCCACTATTTACGTCATTCCAGACTTTCAAAACACCGCCAAAATGGTCCACCCCAACACCACCTGCTGCAAGACCGCCCAGGGCGCCGAGTGCGTCTGTGCTGCCCAGGCCAAGTGCTCCTGTGGTAAGGAGAGTGCTCTCCACTGCTCCTGCAACAAGGCTTCGACCGAGAACGCCATCTCCGGCCCTCGCTGCTCATGCCGTACGTTTGCGCATTCACGATGATACTTCCCATTCTTCAGCGGCTAATCCAATTACTAGGCTCCCGCCCCGCTGGTCAGTGCACCTGCGAGCGCTCGGTCTCTGAGAACCAGGCCCCCAAGGGCGCCACCTGCGCCTGTGGCAGCCGTCCTTCTGGTAAGTTTCATTCCAACTATGCTCGACGAACCATCCATTTTACCGCGAGCAATGCTAACGGTTTGATAGCTTCCTGCACTTGCGAGAAGGCAGAGGGTGTCGAGTCTGCCCTGGAGCAGGACTTCACCACCCGCGTCTAGATGATTCGGTCATTTGCTTTTTCCCGACAAATTTTGCATTTTTCCTATTGAACCACGTTGCAACATGGTCGGTTCAGGGATCTCGGCGTACAGGTGGGGGTTTGGGTGTTTGCTTTGTACATTAATTCGGCCGATGGAGATGGTGGCTACGTATTACGAGACATGAAATACCGTTCTGCATGGAATCCAAACACTTCAGTATCAATCGTACATGGATAATTACCAATTCAAGAGGAAAAGCTTAATAGAATTAACTCCTCGCATCATTAATCACACCTTGATGCAGTAGATGTAACTCACCCTTGCACAGCCACTGCGCAGAAATGTTACTCCGACGCCACAGCGGAAGCCGGGCGATCGACGGGGGAAGTGGCCCAAGGCCGGCGCGGTTGCCGTATTATGGAGATCCTCGCTCCTCCTGATCCTATCCTTCAGGGACTTTTGACCGAGTGCATTATTTGTATGGTAACCCTGGTTGATGTCGGATCACTCGGCTGGTTAAGTCCGTTGCTGACTGCCTGCAGAACTCCCCGCGACTGGAAGCCCCCCTGTTTCCAAGCTCCCACGAACCCCCCGAATCTCCGTCGTGGACCCGGAGGGGCCAATGTACCCATTGTCGCAACAATACATCAAAGATATGGTTGTGTGACGGAATCCATCCGATCGCGAACCCCTGAACCGCGCACCTCCGCGAGGCATGCGAGCTTGTACCTCGAAACCCCACAACATCCCCGAGATTATCGTTTAACTGTGCGATCGTGAACGAGACCACCAGGGTCCGCACAAGCAATCAAGATGTCGTCGATGCGAGGCCTGGTGCAGTTCATTGCGGATTTGCGCAATGCCCGCGCCCGAGAATTGGAAGAGAAGCGCGTGAATAAGGAGCTGGCCAATATTCGACAGAAGTTCAAGTCTGGAAATCTGAACGGCTACCAGAAGAAGAAATACGTGTGCAAGCTGCTCTATGTTTACATCCAGGGATACGAGGTCGACTTTGGCCATCTCGAAGCTGTCAATCTTATCTCTTCGAGTAAATACTCCGAGAAGCAGATCGGGTATTTGGCTGTCACCCTTTTCCTGCATGAGGAACACGAGCTGCTTCACTTGGTTGTCAACAGTATTCGGAAGGATTTGCTGGATCATAATGAGTTAAACAACTGCTTGGCACTCCATGCAGTTGCTAATGTTGGTGGCCGAGAGCTTGGAGAGGCTTTGGCGACCGAAGTCCACCGACTCCTGATTTCACCGTAAGTGGAACATCTCAGTTTTGACATAGTTCAATCCCTGACACATTCTAGAACCTCGAAAGCTTTTGTGAAGAAGAAGGCCGCCCTTACACTACTCCGACTGTACCGCAAATTCCCAGCCATCGTCCGCAATGAATGGGCCGAGCGCATCATTTCGATCATGGATGACCCCGACATGGGTGTCACACTCTCCGTCACCTCCCTTGTCATGGCACTGGCTCAAGACCTACCGGAAGAATATAAGGGCAGCTACGTCAAGGCGGCACAGCGGTTGAAGCGCGTCGTTGTTGATAACGATATCGCCCCTGACTACCTCTACTACCGTGTGCCGTGTCCATGGATTCAGGTCAAGCTGCTGCGTCTGTTGCAGTACTACCCTCCATCGCAAGACAGCCACGTGCGTGAGATCATTCGTGAATCGCTTGCGCAAATTATGCAATCCGCCATGGAACAACCCAAGAACGTCCAGCAGAACAATGCTCAAAATGCCATCCTTTTCGAAGCCATTAACCTCCTCATCCACCTCGACTCCGAACATCAACTCATGATGCAAATTTCTGCTCGTCTGGGCAAATATATTCAGTCTCGTGAGACCAATGTCCGATACCTTGGTCTGGATGCGATGACCCATTTCGCTGCCCGAGCAGAAACACTTGACCCAATCAAGAAGCATCAAAACATCATCTTGGGCTCACTGCGCGACCGAGATATCAGTGTGCGTCGCAAGGGGTTGGACCTGTTGTACAGTATGTGCGACACTACCAACGCAGGGCCAATCGTCAACGAGTTGTTGAAATACCTCCAAACCGCCGACTATGCTATCCGGGAAGAAATGGTGCTGAAGGTTGCCATTCTAACCGAGAAATATGCCACGGACGCGCAATGGTATATTGACATGACCTTGAAGTTGTTGTCCCTTGCCGGTGACCACGTCAATGACGAAGTCTGGCAACGAGTGATCCAGATCGTGACTAACAACGAAGAGTTGCAAGCATATGCTGCTCACACGCTTCTCACCTATCTGAAGACTGATTGCCACGAGAGCTTGGTAAAGATTGGCTGCTACGTTCTGGGAGAGTTCGGCCATCTCATCGCCGAAAACGCTGGTTCAAGTCCGATTGAACAATTCATGGCACTCCAAGCCAAGATGTTCACTGGTACCGACAACGCGCGCGCCATGATTCTTTCCTCGTTTGTCAAGTTCGTCAACTTGTTCCCCGAGATCAAACCTCAGCTCTTGCAAATCTTCCGCCTGTACAGCCATTCCCCTGATTCTGAATTGCAACAGCGAGCCTTTGAGTACCTGTCGCTTGCCACCCTTCCGACTGATAATCTGCTGCGGACGGTCTGCGATGAGATGCCCCCCTTCTCGGATCGGACCTCTATTCTCTTGTCAAGGCTTCACCAGAAGACCGCCGGCACTAGTGAGAAGAAGACGTGGGTGATTGGTGGCAAAGATGCCAATGCCGACAAGCAGGAGGTTCTCATGGCGCAGAACACTGGTCTCAAGCGCACATTCACTACGATTGTTCACGGCACTCGAACGGGCTCGAACGGAACTCCAACCAGTGCATCCAGCGCATCTGCATCCGCATCTGGCGACTTGGCTGGCCTGGATTTCACTGGCCCAGCAGCACCTGCGCCGAACATGGCCAGCGCAGCACACTTGACGCCAGATTGGGACGTTGGATTCAACCGACTTTATTTCTCCAACGAGGGTGTTCTCTTCGAGGATTTACAGATCCAGGTCGGAGTGCGCTCCGAATATCGTGGCCACATAGGTGTTGTGAAGCTATACATCAGTAACAAGTCGAACTACCCCATTGGCTCATTGACCACCACTGTGGATAACCCTTCATCTCCGAACCTTAAGATCGACACCAAGAACCTTCCGGAGCCCAGTGTCCCTGCAGCCGGTCAAACACAGCAGACCTTATTCTGTGCAGTTCATGGCCCCTTCATGGAAGCACCTACTATCCGTATCTCTTACCTGGCAGGTGCACTCCAGGCATACACGCTACAGCTTCCAATCTTGATGCACCGATACATGGAGCCGTCTTCTCTATCAGCTGAAGAATTCTTCAAGCGATGGCGCCAGATTGGTGGTGACCCGCTGGAAGCACAACACACCTTTGGCCCCCGCGGCAAGAACAAGATCATCAACGAGTCATTCACCCGCGAGACCGTGGAAGGATTCGGGTGGAAGATCCTGGACGGTGTGGACCCGAACCCGAAGAACATTGTCGGCTGTGCAGTGTTCCAATTCGAGGGAGGCAAGACCGGCTGCTTGTTGCGACTGGAGCCCAACTACGAGAAATCGGTATGCATTCTTTCTTTTCTCAATTCAGAAGACACGATACTAACCGCGTATAGATGTACCGGGTTACCATTCGCGCCACAAAGGAGGGCGTCCCGCAGGGAATGGCGCACCAGATGGAGCAGAAGTTGTCGCAAGGAACAAGCAACCTGCGTTGAACAGGGTGATACGAGTAATAAAGGTGATTGCAGGGTGGAGCACGCATGTATATCTTCCAGCTCCCGAACCAAATATGAGCGAGTGGTCCATGTGGGATCTCTCGATTGTTCTTGTATATTCTTCGTGTTTAGTAGTAGTGATACATAGTATAGAAAGCTTTTCTTTCCAACTCCTCCAACCAAGCCAAATCTTCTCTTCAGTTTTGATCTAACTAAGCCTTGCTTTTTTTTTTTTTTTTTTTTTTAAAAAAAAAAAGCAAGGCTATGCTATGCGTATGCAAAACCCTTGGAATCATAACTCATAACAAACTGATCTAAACAACCCTCGCTTCCGCTTTAGGCGGCCTATCTCCAAAGATAGTAGTCCCAACACGCACCTGATCACTCCCCAAAGCAATAGCTCCCTCAAAATCCGAACTCATCCCCATACTAAGCTCCAACTCAGCCTCCTCCCCACTCAACCCAAGCTCAGACACGATCCGATCCCTAGTCTCTCTCAAACAAACAAAATCCTCATTCTCATTCTCCACCGTTGTGGCCTTTGACCTCGCAATCGCTCCAATAGTCATAACACCCTGCAACTTCAACCTAGGACACTTATCTCGAATAAACCTTGCCAACCCAGCCGCCTGGCCAGGCTCAATACCCGCTTTATTCTCCTCGCCGGATGTATTCACCTGCACGTAGATACGGAGTCTGGTATCCGTTTCCCCGGAGGCACTGTCAGCCTCGAGCTCTTCGGGTGAGGGGGTGCGTTCGCCGCGTCCTTTATTGAGGAGAGAGGCTTTTTTCTCGGTGTCGACGCTTTCGACGGCCCAGAGGCCGCGGACGTCGCGGGCGAGGGTTACGCATTTATTTGATTGGAGGCCGCCGATGAAGTGCCATTTGATTGTTGGGGGGAGGAGGCGGGATTTCTCAAGGAGCTCTTGGATGTAGTTTTCGCCGAAATGGAGGTGGGATGTTGGGGGTTGGTGGAGGGATAGGACGTCCGAGGCGGGTTTGAGTTTTGAGACTGCGACCAGGCGGACGGGTTTGTTTGGCGTTTGGGATGCTGTTAAGGCCGTTGTGACGCGGGCTGTTACGGCGGAGAGGTTTGCGACAAGTGCTGAGGTGCGCGCGGGGATGGTGGCCATGGTGGGTGGGTTGGTGGATGGGGTGGTCATGGCAATGCTGGTGTTGGTTGTGGGTTTGCTGGAGGTAATTGGTAGAGGAGAATAGAGGGTATCGATTGAAGAGCAGAGGATAGCTGTCTTGACACGGCAGCAGACACAATTGGAGAAAAGAGAAACGGAATCCAAATAGACACCGATAGGTCTGATAAGAGCCTGAGGCATCAACTCCGCGGAGATTCCCGAGTCACGTGGGGAGCTGTCAGTGCCAAAAACGGTTTCACCGCCTTCCATGACAGTTTGACAGCTTGGAAGTCCACCACAGCCACAACCGTACTCTTTCCGTTTGCATCTGGAATCTGCAAGATGAGATCATATCGACCCATGGGTTCCATGCGACGCGAGGAGGAATGCTGGGTGAGGACTACTACTCTACGTTAACATGCTGGACAGCAATTGCTCCGGCTCCCGGCGGCAACCCAAACCGACGCATGGCCAATCAAGGACCTTGACTGAAGCAAAATAGCTCAGTTGCGGGTCTACGCGGATCCCCGCTCGTCGCATTGGGCTCCGGCCCTGGCGGTTCGGCAGCCCTGTGTCGATCAGATTGTCGCCGTTGAGTTTCAACCCGCTGAGGTGCAGCTTTATTCTCCAACCTATTTATAATCCCGCAGAGCCGCCCACTCTTGACTCATCACTTCAATGCAGGCTGCAGCTGCAGCTGCAGCTACGTATAGAAATCGGGGGTTCTTTTTTGATTCAGGCGCGCCTCGATCAGCCAAGACCGATAGATCGGTTCCATTGCTTACCAGTCAAAAGCCGTCGCCAAGTACGTCCAAGAGCAGTCTACGGGGTCCAAAGCTCCGAGCTACTAGTGCCTACCCAACTAACACGTAATTGCATCGGGTACCAGAATACAACCTGGGCGCGAGGATGTAACCAAGTCAAGCGCTTGCTGGACGCATGGGGCAATCCATCAGTCAGCAGACCATTAGAACTATCATCAGGCTGCTCTACAGGAGTTCATAGGATGGAATTCAGCTTGTTCTTGACGTCAGCCCCACACATGTTCCTTCGTGACACGGTTGACCATTTGACCCATTCACTTATTATTACGATAGGCTGACCTTTCCCGTAGATCTAGAACGTACAAGTAGCCCTCAGTGCTGCATCCGCTCTCCTCCCTCTTTCTTGCTTCTCCTTCCCGTACCCTTCAATCTCAATTCTTTCAGCTGGTCTGAATATCCTCATTCTTCTTCTTCCTTGTCCCTGGCTGGACAATCACCATCCGGCGCATCCGCAATAGTCAGATCCTCGAGCTACCAATTCTCACTCAAACTCACCGTTCACCACTCGCTCAATTGGTACGCATCCTGAAATTTCCCAGGAGAAACAAAAACGAATCCCCCTCATCGTCAAAAACCGGCAAAATCGCACCCGAAGCTCCCCGCGCTCATCACCTCCACTAGACCAACTAGACCGCGGGCCCGCGTGGATCCAATTCCAACCCTGTCGATTATAGCCTATCAATAGCAATCCTCCAAAATGTGTCGCCAATACTTTACCCTTTACGAATGGTGCCACTGCGAAGAAGACGCAGGAACCAGCGTTTGCTCAGGCCACCGACGGAACAGCTGTCCCGGAATCAGCATTGAGACGGTGCACATGCACTGCTTTTGCAACTCGCACGCTACACGCGGGTTCAAGACGCAGAAGCAGACGAACAAGGACGAGGAGAAGGTGAGACGCCGGTCTCAGGATTCTATGGATGAGAAGGCTTCTCTTGGAAGAAGGTGGTTTCAGTGGTATCAGTGGAGGATGCCAAAGTTGAAGTAGTGATGGGGTGATCTCGTTTCTGTTTTGTGAATCCTTCAGCTTTGGTGTTTTGGAGTTCTTGGAGTTCTTGGAGTTCTTGGGGTTCTTTGAGTTCTTTTGTTTCTGGAGTGAGCGGTCGGAGGTTTTCTGGTTTTGGGGCGTTTCAAAGAAGGTCTGGTCTTTTACGGAAGACTTTATGGTTATGGTTCATGTTCATGTCTTGAATTATGTGAGTCAATGGTCTTAGGTAGAATAGAATACCCATGGGTAGGATCAATGTCATTCTTGATTCGCATGATGTACGTGGAAGTAGATCTCGGGTAGACTCCCGCTACTAATCTGGTGCACTAGTAGATGTGTACCTACATTAACTAGATGATCTGCACTTAGGGGAGAAAAGGGGACAGGATCAGAACCACAAACAGGTGGAATCCATCGAGATCCAGGCTTTCAGCACAAACTACCTAGATTGAGGGCTCAAGGGAGAATATCCAAGTGAGACAAGGCGATAGTTCGATATAGAAGAATGTCTATTGTTTGGAATGGCGCGATCGACCAGCCCCTTGCCCTATGAAGACCGTCAACCACCAACTACACTTTCACATCCCGCTCCTTTTCTTTCCCCTGTCTCTGGACAAAGAAGTTTTGGTTTGCTTTGTCTTCTCTCTGGACCTCGGAGATCTATGCTCTACAGGACCATGGACCCTTTCAAACCCCCTCATGATCCCCCTCCACCGCGTCCCGTTGATAGCGAAAACAATCAGCCCACCATGGATCAGTCCTCTGATCTTACAGACTCTTTGAACCGTCTCACTCTTGCAAATGCCGCCGCGACTCCTCTACCCTCTTCGCCATCCCTCTTATCTCCCGAAGATGCTACTCCGCGAGCCGCCCTCGCAAGCACGCCCGCGCCGCGCCGTACCCCCAGCTCCAGCTCGCTGCGCGATGAGCGTCGCAAGTCGACACCAACCCTCCAGAAACGACCATCCGCCGCGTCTCTACGGTCTGTATCGAACAACGGTCCTACATCTCCTATCGTAGACTCGTCGCGTCGCTCTTCCACCAACTTAGCGGGGTCACCGACCGGCGCCGCGTCGCCCGCGATAATGCCCCAGCGGCTCGCGTTCCCACCAGAGCCCCAGCTCCCCACGGCAGCGTCGATCGCGGCGGAACATTTCCAGAAAGAAGTCGACCTGCACCAAGTCGTCGATCTCAAATCAAAAACCGCTGTGATCATTCATGATGCTTGCTATGGCCATCGCTTCTCGCGCCCGCGCACATCCAAGATCTACCTTTCTCAGATCGTCGAGAGACCAGAGCGCATTCGCGCATGCGTGCTAGGAATATCCGCGGCTTATGTTCGTCTTGGTCGTCGACATGCAGGTGAGCTGCATGCGCCGCGCCCCGATCTAGATGCGCACATGCTGCCTCCGCCACCGTTCCAAATTTGCAAGACTTCGCGCAAGCTGGCTCTGTCCGATAGTGCTGTAACGAGTGTTCATGGGACTCAATGGATGACCGACCTGAAGAGTATGTGCGACGTTGCTGAGTCGCGCCTGGCTTTGGTAGGCAAGGAACTAGTCAAGCCGCCGGGGCCTGACGGCCAGACTAAAGGGCCCGCTCTGCACGAGGGAGATCTCTACTTGTGCTCGGAATCTTTAAACGCCTTTGAGGGTGCCCTTGGTGGTGTTTGTGAAGGTGTCGACACTGTTCTCGGACCCGGTCCTACGAAACGCGCATTTGTTTGCATTCGACCTCCAGGCCACCACTGTTCCGCAGACTGGCCGTCAGGTTTCTGCTGGATTAACAATGTTCATGTCGGTATTTCATATGCGGCATTGAATCATGGTCTGACCCATGCTGCGATCTTGGATTTCGATCTGCACCATGGAGACGGCTCCCAAGAGATAACCTGGCACCACAATTACAAGGCGTCGACTGCCCCGCGCAATGCTGCTCCTCACAAGAAGACGGCTATTGGATACTACAGTCTGCATGATATCAACTCCTACCCCTGCGAGAATGGCGATTTTGATAAAGTGCGCAATGCGAGCGTTTGTCTTGATGGTGCGCATGGACAGTCCATCTGGAATGTTCATCTTGGCACTTGGGAGACTGAAGATCAGTTCTGGACCCTCTACCAGACCAAATATCTTATTTTGCTTGAAAAGGCGCGCAATTTCCTCCGTGAGCAAACGCAACGAATCTCCACGAATCTTACTGGTCCTCGTCCGAAGGCCGCCATCTTCATTTCGGCAGGTTTCGATGCGAGCGAGTGGGAGAGTACCGGCATGCAGCGGCACAAGGTCAACGTGCCAACCGAGTTCTACGCACGTTTCACCGCAGATGTGGTCCGGATGTCCCAGGAAGAGGGCCTCGGTGTCGATGGTCGTGTTATCAGTGTGTTGGAAGGTGGTTACAGTGACCGAGCCCTGATGAGTGGTGTCCTCAGTCACATCTCTGGCCTGGGGAGTGAATCAGTTGATAACAGTCTAGCTTCTGCCATGAGAAGCGGGATGAACCTCTCCGAACTGAACCCCGATCCTACTCCCCAAAAAGCCTCAGCTCATACCGAGTACGATAAAGAGTGGTGGTCTTCATCCATGCTGGACGAAGTTGAGGCACTTGCGTATCCTGCACCGAAGCCGATCAAAGGCGAGAGATCTTCGACCCTGTTCAAGGAAACGGATTCCTTCAAAGCCAAAAAAGTCAATATCGTGGACCGCAAGTCTTTCAGCTCCCCAGGGATGGGCACGCGTCCAGTAATCTCACCGCCACCTGAAGTTGGCTGGGCTACTGCAGCACACGAACTATCCAAGATTCTTATCCCCGAACATCGCCAAACGAAGAGCTGTCGACCTGAAGAGCTGAACGCCGAGGCTTCTCGCCAGCGCCGCGATCGTCAGGTAGCATTGGACGGCGGTATCAACCCTGCCATCATCCCTCCCCCACCAGAAGTGCCCAGCACCGAGGAAAAGCGACAGTTGCGAGTTCGAAAGACGAAATCACCAACACCTTATTCCCCCAGACCTGCCACACCCCGACAGCAAGCGATGCGCAACAAAAACCGCCGAAGGACCATTGATGCAAACGAGCTCCCTGATCCATCACGAGAATCATCTCCATCTGTCGACGCGAGTCGCAGAAAGAGTTCAGCTCCTGCGCCCATCAGCCTTGATTTGACGAGTACCATCGACGAGGTGTCCACGGACAAAGACCCTGCGACCCCTTCAAAATCTCCCGCAAAGCCCACCGCAAGGAAAATAAGCGGTGGCTCTCGCTCAGGCACACCCAGACGCACAGCAAGCCCCCGAAAGCCTCCGCCAGTCCCAAAGGTCCCAACTTCATTCCTACCTTCAAAGCTCAGCGAAGGAGTATCCGCCCCGAAAGATGATAGCATGGAAAAGCTCACAAGTGGTCTCCAACGAGTCAAACTGACCATGCCAAACCCGTACAAAAATCTGCCCGATCCTTCTCGAGGCAACGGACCCTCCCGGCCACCCCCAAGCCTAGCTTCACCCGCCTTCCCCCAAGCCCAAGTTGGCCAACCCCAGGGCCCAATGCAAGATCTCCCAGTCTTTACATCCAGCAGCCCCATCCCCTTTGCTACACCAGAGACGCAAACTCCCAACCAGGGGCCATCTCGTCCTCCTCCCACTGCTCCTGAGACTCCTGAGAACCAGAGCTCTCAGGAGCCTCGCTCTTTCTATCAGTGATGTGTTCGCAAATTATTTTTCATCTTGGTGCTGGTTACGGTTCTGGATTTTGGCGTTATGAGTAAGATTCGTCAGCTCCGCGGTTTGCCTCATATACCCTTTCTTCATGGAATTTCATGCTTTCGAATTCATGGTAGTTATTGTGCTTGTGAATTGGATTTTTGTAGAAATTTACGAATTCATGTCTTTGACTTTCTCCCTACGCAACTCGAAACGCGAAGTCTTCTTCTAGCGACCTATATTTGGCGATGTCTCCATTTAGCACGGTGAGCTTTGAAATGTAGGAAGAAATACCTTTGAATAGCTTTGGGCTTGCTAGTTGATCCTGAAGTGTATAGGATATGGCTGCAATTCGGATCTTCGAAGGCAATTTGAAAAGACAATGAGCCCTCTGGATACTCCCCAGGAGCCTCAGTTATCATTGGAATGATAGACAGGTCTAGATCCTCGACTTCGGCCGTAGAGATTGCGTGGCGGGCTTCGATGTCACCGAGCATTTCCTGGTGTGGCTTGTATTATTAGAAGGATAGTTTACCTTTTATTTTAATACGGACTAGCGTGGTATCTGATACTGGCCGAGGAACAAAGCGTCAGTGTCTTCGGGTAATCTGTTTTCGATACCCACTGTAGGAGCATCTAAAAAGCAGCCGGTCTCTAGGAGTTTCAAGGAACCGACCGCTCATATAACTATGACTATGTTCAAGAAATTGTTAATAGAGCTCAGCTTGTACTCAGTATCCTTCGTTAAAATATCGGCTAAGCAATGGGAAGTAACCCCAGTCCGTCCTGAAAATCGCCTATCATCTGAAGCATCGAATGATGGCGTGAAACCGCAGATGAAGTATGTATTTACCATCTAAATATGGAAGTCTTTCATATCCGCTGACGTATCTCCATATCATAGGCTCATGTATGTCAGCGCCCGGTGGTTGGCGCCACGTAGTTAGCAGTGCCTATCAGCCTCACGGGCAGTGCAGCCTCAGCGGCTAACTTTTTAGGCACTAAAATCTAGTTTCTCCCCCTGTAAACTGTCGTTCTCTTTTTATTCTCTGTAGTCTTATTGCCATGTCTGATCCATTTTCTGTTGCAGGCAGCGCGGTCGGAGTGATTTCGCTGGGGCTACAAGTCTGCCAACAACTCACCTCTTACTGTCAAGCCTATAACAGCTACGATGAAGAAATTAAGAAGATTGGCAGCAGGTCTGAGAGCCTTCAACGGCCTCTGAAAGACCTCCGCGAACTGATCGAAGAGGCACGGGCGAAGGACCCAGAGATTGCCAACCGATCTGGCGGATAAAGCTTTGAATCTCCAGAGCATGTGAACAGTCTCAGGGGCACAATCGATCGGATGATTCCTACTATGACAGCCAATACTCAAGGAAAAATCAGAAGCCAGGTGAATAAGGTCATTTATCCATTCCGAAGGGAGACTTTGCGGGACATGTTGAGAGACCTGGACGGCATCCAGGTTGTTCTACAAACTACGCTGAGCATGTAAGCATTGTTCGACAAATTTGTCGTCAAAACCATTTGACTGAAACCTCTAGATATTCGACGCAAAAGATCAGTAGGTTAGGGCTAATGCATGCAACAATCCTTCAAGAAGTGCAACAAATTGTAGTGTTCCAAGTCTACTGATGTAGACATTTGTGATTGCTGACTCTTTACATAGCGTCTGGATTTACAACATGCTTCAAAGAACAGATTGATGGTCCCAAGCTTGTTAAAATCGTGGTGCGACTGCCACAATGAGTGTGCACAATTGACCAGGGAAAGCCATATGCCCTCACATGTCAGCCTGGTGGTACCAAGGGCTGCAAATTTCGATTGCTCTGATATTCAATGTTCATCGACACAATATCAATATTTCAAGTCCAGGTATCGCAACAAATCCTTGGTAAAATCTTACAAATACCTGAGCGCCGTTCTTCCTATTGCCGTTTCTTTATCTTTCTCTATGTCGACTGGGGCTGGAGGATTTTCCATCGCGCCTGTCTTGAGCCTACAGGCAATCATTAAATATGAAGGGAGCTTGCCAGAATCAATGCGTCAGGACCGACTCGGCATTTCTCGAAGAATTTCATCTTCTAAATTTGGAGATATTATTGATACACTCATTTGCCGGCTTCAACGTGCGTTCTCCGAAGGACAGGCAGCGGCGTCGAATGTATTTCTTGAGAAGGGGCCTTTCTATCACAAACATTATTCTTCGTTCTTGGAGGTGCGTATATCTTGCATTTTCAAGAAAACAATGCCCCTAATTGAGAATAGTTGTTAGATTACTGGTGTTTTGCGACCTGCGAAGAAAAGCTCTCTAGCCTCCGTAGGCTTACAAGGTTCCTAGTGGACCACGGTGCGTTGCCAAATAATACGCATGTACGGGGCCCTCTGAGACAGCTTCTTATGCGGGATAGCTTCAGTGAAGAGGACTACTCACTGGTGTGCTATCTCGTCTTCCGTGGGGGTCCTTTGAATTATGAAGATGTAGGGTGGTTGAGCCCTGCGGAGCGAATGAACCTCAAATACTTTTTTTTTCGAGATGGACAGTGTATGTATCGACAAAAGTCCTGTGCTGGACTTGAATGCTAACCCAAGATCTAGTAATTGCCTCCACCGAGGCCGCAAGGATCATTCTTCAAGAATCTGAAGAAGAGCTAAAGGCCGCCCTGGAATCTGGACGTATTTCTCCGAATGAGAAATTTGGGTGTCTCTCACTACTCGAGCTAGCATTCGGGTGGCCAACAGGCATGCGAATCCTTCTTAAGTCAGGATCAAATGTTCAAGGAATATCCTTGCGTTTTTTCTGCCCGTGCAGCATACCTGACAGGGAACATCCCACCTTTGATCGCTGGTATCACTCCTATGAACTTCTTCTTGACGCTGGTTGTAAAATCACGTGTGAGGATTTGTCTTCGACTGGCTCGCAAAAGAAGTTATTATCCCTTTTTTTGAATGAGCTCACCAGGCGGCACCGGGCACTGGGCAAGCTTGCCATATCATGCCTGTCGGAAAAAGAACTCCGAGCCTTTAAGCTGCACGAACAGGCTGTTCCGGATATACACACTCCAAAGATATGCGCAGAACTAGCTATCCGTGGAAAATTGGTCGATTCTTCGCTTTTCATTGAGAAAAACGGAGAGTCTATCTATCATTCCTCAAGTCTATCCGCTACGATAATGGAAGAATTATTCAAAGCAGGCTTCAAAGACATTGACTCACCAAGCTCAGAAGGGGTGACCCCAATAATGATCGAAGATGGTTTTTTGAGAAACATTTGGATGCATATTGAAAGACTTACGTGGCTAGTTTCGAAGGGAGCAGACACCAAGATCAAACTGCCACTATCGAACACGACGGTCGCGCATCTGATCAGTGTGAAAATAACTGTAGAGGTTCTCTTTTTTGTGTTATTTTGGGAACATTCCTCGCCAGATAATAACTTGCAGCTCTTGGATGAATTGATCTCACGGAATAGAGATTATCTATTCCCAAATTCTTCTTTTACAGACAACTGTACCTGTGCTTGCTCTTTTGATGGGTGCACTACCATCTCTGTGGCACTACGACAGACTGTGTTTTTGATGCACATGTGTTCAATTCATAGTCCCTCTTTTTTGGTTCTCGCGCTTGCTGCGCTGCTTAGCTGAATGGACTCAAGTTGGCTCTGAGATCAATCGTGCTCTCATAAGGTTTCTTACATTTGATGCATTGGGTCTGAAGCATACGTGTTGCATTGAGATTAACGGTGATTTCTGCTTTCCAAGCAGAGGGGACGTGGATAAGATGATCTCAAGAGAGCAAGAAGAGATCGTGGAGATTCTAGAGGAAGACAAGCAAGGAATTAAAAAGCTCGATCGACTTGTCATGGATTTCGAAGCCAAAATTGAGGAGCTTGGTCTTCCTATATGGGAGTTCCTTGAAGGATACTGGTATAATTACATGGTTGAGCACCTCTCTGAATTGGACCCTTACGATGAAGAGCATGATCAAGGCACAAGAGGTCTTGGTGTAATTTTACAAGAAGAACACAACCCTCTTGATAGGGTGTCTCTTCTCATTGGTGCGCAGATCAAAGAGGTTGAGCTTGACGTGCACGGTAGCTGACCATTGAATGTTAAACATTTCACTGTTATTATGTGCTTTCTTTTACAGGGCGTAATTTAACTATATCTGTACTCGCAGATACAGTCTTTCCGCTCATTAGCACACCTGGACTCCTCTGAAGAGCTTGACTGATTGCGCCGGGTGAGTTTAGTCCAGTAATAACCAATAGCCACTACTGCAGTGCTACTATTACTATACAGCATGACTGTACCCGAACATAGCACACGAGCTTAATTTGTGCTCAGTACCATTTGTCAACATATGTGAACTAAAGAAATGAGGCTTTAATTAGAAGCATGTTGCTCTCCAACCTTTAGGAATCTATCTCAAATCATATTAGCCAGACCGTGCCTAACCAGACAGAAGCAACCCCAGACTACTGTAGGAACTCACGTTCCGAAAAGGTTTAGTGGCTGCCGCGTGGGGCGATCTCCGCGATTACCTTACTAAGCCACCTCCGCATTAGTCAAAGCTGCCAGCACCTTCTACTCGATGCCAGACACTCTTTTCATATATCTGCTCCTCACATTCGCGCTACATTTTCTTTGCATTTCGTCCTTTTAAAAACCGTCAGCATGTCACCGGTTAGCATATCTAAAGGAGCCGGCACCTCCACGCCCGATGAATCCTTCACTCAAATGGCCGACACAGACCTAGAATCAATCGGCCGCCACTGCCAGTACGAATACTGCGGTCAACTAGACTTCCTTCCCTTCCGCTGCGAATCCTGCCGCAGCACCTACTGCCTCGACCACCGCAGCGAAACCGCCCACAAATGTCCCAACGCCGGCGAATGGGCACGACGCCGCGCAGGCATCAACCAAGAAAACCGAGTCGCTCCTGAGAAACCCAACATCTACAACTCAGATCAGTGCTATCATGTCTCTTGTAAGACACTTATCAACACACTCAAAGACCCCGGCGTGCGCTGTCCGAACTGCAACCGGCAGTACTGTCTAAAGCACCGTTTGCGCGAGGAACACGACTGCGCCAAGGTTACCCAGCTTGGCGCGCGACAGGGCGCGGCGAATGAGACTATCAAGTCGATGTTTGCGCGCGTCAAGAGCTGGGGGAAGGATAAGCAGGCGGCGGGTGCGAATCTTATTCCAAAGCCGAAGGTTAAGCCGAATAGCCCTGCTGCACGCATGGCTAGTGTCAATGCTATGAAGCGTTCAGCGAAGGGTGAGGCTGGAGTTCCAGCGGATAAGAGACTGTACTTGCATACGGTTGGCACGGCTGATACGCAAGCTTCTGAGCCGCCGGTTGGTGATTTCTACTTTGATATGAGGTGGAAGGTTGGCCGGGTGTTGGATGATGCGGCGCGGAGGTTGCATGTTGAGAACTTGAACAATCGCGTTGGAGGAGAGGAGGCGAGGTTGCGCATTTTCCATGTCGAGTCTGGGGATTTCCTGGAGTTTTCGGAGTCGATTGGGGGTGGAAAGGTCAAGTCGGGAGATACGATTGTTTTGTTAAGAGGCGCTGGGCTGGTGTTGGAGAACTCATGACGCATTTTCTTCATTTTCTGTTAGAACGCGCAGCATATACCTCGATACACCTAAAGCATTTACGGCTAATGACATTTGATTCTTCTAATCATAAGATGACTGACTTTGTATGAACTTGGAAACATGTCTAACCTTGGCATTCAAACCGAAAGACTGGTATCGTCTTAAAATTTATAACATAGAAATTAATCATCACAGGATCAAACGCTCATTTTCATCTTGATAATCTTGTGAGGCTTGTATCCAATAACCTCAAACTCATCCTCCTTCCAGCCGTCAATGACGGCGCTCCCCCGGTCATCACGCTTGATGCGCAGCTCGGGAAACTCAGTAGGCTCCCGGGTCAGCTGCTCATTCAATGCATCGACGTGATCAAGGTAGACATGGGCATCACCCATAGTGTGGATGAGAGTACCAGGGTTCAGATCCGCAGCATGAGCAAGGATGTGAGTAAGGAGAGCGTAGGAGGCAATGTTGAAGGGCACACCAAGACCCATGTCGCAAGAGCGCTGGTACAGAAGACAAGACAAGGCACCCTTCTCAGTCGGGCGTCCAGTCTTCTCATCAAGCTTCATGCCCGGTGGGTAGGAAACGTAGAACTGGGCGAACATGTGGCATGGCGGGAGAGCCATCTTCTTCAGGTCCGCGGGATTCCAAGCGCTCATGATAATGCGACGATCGAAAGGGTTGTTCATAATTTTGTTGACCACGTCCTTGAGCTGGTCGACACCTTGCCCAGAGTAGTCTGCCTTGGCGTCCACATACTCAGCGCCGAAGTGCCGCCACTGGAATCCGTACACGGGACCTAGATCACCTTCCTCCCGGTGTCCCAGTCCAACCTTATCGAGGAACTCGCGGCTGCCGTTGCCATCCCAGATCTTAATACCGGCTTCGGAGAGGGGTAGAGAGGATGTGGAGCCAGCGATGAACCACAGGAGCTCGGCGAGAACGGCGCGCAAGAATACTCGCTTGGTGGTGAGGAGGGGTAGAACGGGGATCGGGGCGCCGCCTTCGGGGTTGGGCTTTGACAGGGAGAAGCGCAGCTGGGGTGGACCGAAGATTGACTGCGTGCCAGTGCCTGTGCGGTCGGGACGGTGCTCTCCCTGAGACAGGATTGTGCGGATCAGGTTGAGGTATTGGTGCTCCTCGTGCGAAGGATCATGTGCGGGCTGCTCTGCCGGGGCAGGCGTGACAACTTGTTCTTGTGTCATGATTTTTGACAATGAATAATTGGAAGAAGTATTAAAGGAGATTAGTTGAACTCTTTCTCAATCTCTCCCGGCAATGAGTGAAGAAGTGAAGGGTGGGTAAATCCCGCGATGACTCCGATCAATCTGAAGGAAAGTCGGTGCGCGTCGACGCGACACGCTATCACGTGATCTTATCTTATCGTGTTAATTAATAGAAATTAACCAACGTAGTTGTGACATTCGTGTTTATGCTCAAGATGATTGGTATTCATATTAATCTAGATAAAATATAACAAATTGTTTTCTGGTCCAGAAATACTATCACTTTAACTTTCTATATAGTAGGAACAAAAGTAGGTGTTGAAAAGTTGAGACTTAAGTAAACATCTAATTGGTAAATTCGTGTTGAACCTAGAAATGACCAGAATTCTCACAATGCAAAAATCGTGTTATATTCGGTTTTTATAACCTGAAATCAAAAGTTGATGCTTTAAAGAAATAGGGTTTTAACTATATATAAAGGAATGATTTATTTAAGAATTCGGAAATCGGAAAATCATACTGCAACTCAAAACGACGGGAACCGGGATGGGACTCCATAAATATACACATTTAGGTTTCTACGTATCACTTTTGGAATTCATTTGTAGTAAGTTTGAAATTCAACGACTGTTTCAAATACTCTGAGATTTCACATCCATTTACCTCTACCTCTAATCTCATGTACTAGATGAAAGGAAGAATGACTGCGCTTGGGTATTCCTCGCTAGAATGGACGGTATGTCTTCCTCTGTTCAACTCGTGATCGGGCCGTGGTCGTGAAAACGTCTTGTACTCCGCGATGCTCGGGTATTGTCCACCAATCTAAGGATCTAAAGTTAGCAAGATCGATACGAAAATTTCAGTCCAGAGCTACCAACCTTCACACTAATTGACTCTCCAGCATTGAAATCTACACCCATCGCCCAAATACCAATCTCCAACTTCACAATCGTACCTGGGGGAATCTTCTGCTGCTGCTTATGAGGATGGAAAGGGAACTGCGGATGGATGCTCTTAGACGCATCAATTTCTCGACTTGAAGCACGTAGAATTCCAGTTGATCCCAGGTGAAGATTGAGACTGGCTTGCTCCGTTTCAGGAATATCATCGATTGACTTGACCGGAGTGGCGTGGAATGGGAAGTTAAGATGCATCAGATCCTTGCCATTCTTGTCTTTCTTACGCAGTATCACGAAGACTGTGAAGTCGTCGTGATCTTCACAGGACATGTACAGAACTGCTTTGGGCAGGCCGATTAGACGTGCTGGCTTGTCGAATGTGTGGTTGAATTCGGCGACACTGTGTCGGTCTTCAGAATCATATGATAGTTGATAGCTCTTGGAGGGCGGTTGGGTGCATAGATTGTTATCTTCCCCGAAGAAAAACTCTCGATACTCAGTGTTTGGCGCTGGGAAATCTTCAAGAACGATGTCGTCGATCGCTTCACAATCTCCGAATTGCAGAGCCGACCATCGCACTTTGGGAGTCTTCTCCCAATCATTGTCCTTGCCTTTCAAGTATCGATCGAAGAAGAGAGTTAACTCCTCCGTGGACTCCGGCACACTATACAGCTCATACCACTCCTGCTTACTTCCCCACTGGATCCATTTCTCGGAATGAGGGACCTCTAAAAATCCTCGAATAGAGCCCATAGTGTGAATGGAACTGACATCTGATCCGCGAATGAACACAGGGCACTGTACCTTTGAGATATTCGCCCTTTTGTCTTCCCAGAACGCACTGGAGACGGGAGATCGACGGTACATTTCCTCAAAGTCTTCAAGGCCAGAATTTTCAGGGCCCCGAACAATGGCATTTGCAATAAGATCGAAATTGCTCATGGAAAACCATCCGCCCCGGCAGAATTGTTCACGATAGATATCGCCAGATCCTTCCCATGGTGCGATGGCTTTGAGAGAAGGGGGCTGTTGGGAAGCGATAAACCACTGAGAAATAGCCAATGCGGAATTCCCAGCCATGCCAACGCTGCCATTGCACCAGTCCATCCGAGCAATCGCTTCGACCACATCATAACCATCCTCCGCATCTTGCGTCCCCATCACACAGATCTGTCCATCACTATGCCCGGAGCCTCGTGTGTCAACGCTCACGATTGCGTAACCGCGTGGACACCAGGCTTGCGGATCTAGGCCTTCGAACTTTTCAAGGCCACTGAGCTCCGCGGGCTTCACACAACAATGCCAGGTCGTCATAGGCAGCATATCCAACGCACTGTACTTCTTTCCATAGAAAGACCAGCTGAGGATGGCGGGGACTTTCTCCGTTGAGCCAGCAGGTCTGTATACGTCTGCGTAAAGACGTACCCCATCGCGAACCACGATTTCCACATCGTGGTCAATGCGAATGTCGCTCTCGAGGGCCTTGCCACTGAATCCGTTCCAGCCGCTAGGAAGGACTTCGGACTTTCCTATTTGACGGTCTTGGTATCCATTTTCGCCGACCGTAGGTTTGGCGATTCGCTTGTATGCAGATTGAACGGGAGGCGGCATAGCAGCGAATGATTGACTGAGTTGATTGAGTAGAGAGCTGAAGATGGTGATGAATCACTCAACAAGCTAGATACATGGATAGTTATACCATCACCTTGGATCCACTTCGTAGCTTTCCTGCTGCATCTTTCCCCCACATCGGTCTGATAAGCTCCCCTCTGGATGACTGTCCCCCGCTTTCCGACGGGTGCCCCGTTTTGATGAATGGATGTTGATAGACCCTTCCCCGCACATCAAGATCCGGGGAAGTGGGGGAGGTGGGGACCTCAGTAGGATTGGACGCGAAGGCTAGTGATCTTACTATGGTCACATATAGCTATTGACAAGTATGAATCAGGTCTTGTCCACTTCCCAGGCCGAGTGGGGGTGGAGGTGGGATATTCGGAGGCCCACATCCAAAGATGTTCCAAAGTGAGGAGATGACACCGGTTTCGATAAGTGTTATTTATTCTCCCCGCTAAAGATTCCAGAATACATTGGCTTCAAACTAATCTGCCCATCAACAATTTGTCTTGTTTCCAAGAAATTTATTTTACCCGCCTCTCACCATGATTTCGACTCAGGTCAAAAATACCTCAGCCGAAGTCCAACCCCAAGCGTTGGACCAAGCTAATCCAGACTTGGTGTCATTCACACCTAGGACCTACGGTGACTGGCGTGACGAGTTCCACAAAAATGGCTGCGTCGTGATCAAAAACCTGATCAGCGCCGAGCGCGCTCAGTATTACCGCGAGAAGCAGATCCAGTGGCTGAAAAACTTCGAGCTTGGCTTTGATGAGAATGATGAAGCTACTTGGACGGCAGAACATCTGCCTGTTAGCTTCAAGGGAGGGTAAGTCATTCACGCAAATCATATCAGGAGTTAAACTTACTGTTTAACAGAATGTACTTCGCTTACGGCTCTTGCCATGAAAAAATGGCTTGGGAAGCCCGCACCGAGCCAGCTGTCATCGATATCTTTGAAAAGCTCTGGGAGACTAAAGAGCTGATCTGTTCATTTGATGGAATGAACATTTCACTCCCTCGACGCAAGGATCTCAACTGGAGTCCATGGCCACACTGTGACCAGAACCCAGAACGGAAAGGGTGAGAGTGCTCCTTTCGTATCCTTCACATGTTCTAACATATCTCAGAATGCAAGCCGTTCAAGGCCTTCTCAATTACGCCCCCAACGGCCCCAAAGACGGCGGGTTAATGCTAATGAAAGGATCTGCGAAGCTTTTCAACGAGTTCTTCGCCCACAAACGTGAATCATTCGACCACGAAGATGCACCACCACCCGAGATTAAATACATGGATCTCTTCTTGTTCAGCGAAAAAGATGTGCAGTGGTTCAAAGACCGTGGCTGTGAGCTAATCAAGGTGAACATGGAGCCTGGTGACTTTGTGCTCTGGGATTCTCGCACAATGCACTATGCCTGTCTACCAGAGGGTGACCAGATTCGACACGTACAGTACATCTGCATGACACCTCGACGATTTGCGACCTCGGATGCATTGAAGTTAAAGAAGGAGTGTTTTGAAAACTTTACCGGGACTACTCATTGGCCTCATTGCAATATCCGTCCTGCGAAGGAGAAGCCTATGCGTGATGGGGAGGTTTGCCCAAAGGATCGGAGTGAGCCTTTTGAGAAGCCTGAGAAGACAGATGCTGTCTTGAAGTTGGCTGGTGTCAAGGCCTATTAGAAATGTTGGGGTTCGAGACTGTCTGATATAGCATCAAATTGAATACATTGATTTTATTGCAACTTCGTCCCTGCCCTGTAAATTTTCAACACTCTATCGAGGTGCCTTAACCATACCTGAGTACACAGCCTCCTAGTTGTGCTCCAAGCTCATTCGCTAGTCCCTTGGAGCTGCGTTTCGGTTCGATACCGTGATCTGATGTAGTATCAACCTCTGGTCCTCGCTTGTCTAATAACCTTCTGGCGACAAGGCAGAAGCTTTGATTCTAGTTTCAACTGTTAATCTATCGTCTACACAGATCCTCCTTTAGGTACGGGGTTCTTTTTCTTCCTTTCAGATGAGCATCAGAATTCTTATTCTTCAAAATTACTATACCACAATCCCAATACCCTGGGCAACTTCCAGTGGGCCCGGCGGGCACCCCATTTCCCGTCCCCACTCGGCAGACAAAACACAAAGTCCAACCCATCCCAACGCCACAGTCATGAACCGAATCCGGGGAAGCGGGGAAGCTTTGAGGGTCAACTTTCACTGGACTAGATTAGAGACTAAAACCTAGCCCACATGGATCGGGTAATATTGACAATAGCAAGCCGCGCCATCGTCAGTCAGCCCTCGGAGGGTTCTTGGTATCCAATACGCAAGATGCGGGGTGGCAGAGGCCAGTGGACCCGACACAGAAACCCTCATATCTGAAGTCACGGCCTACTGGGCTTATTAAAGGAATGGGTCCTTGGTGAACTCTGGAAATGAGTACCTGGCTGCCCATCCACTCTTCACTTTGTAATTGGGCTCCATCCCCCAAACCAAGAGCAGCACAATCCGTGATTAAGTGTTGTTACTCTTCTCATTGACACGATGAAGCCTGAAAAGGCCTCCGGTCAGCATATTGAGGTGGTGGATGATGGTTCGTCTGAAGGGCAGGAACCAGATGGGGTCAAGGTGATGGGGACTGTGAAATTAACTGAAGGCTCGATCGTCTACATCCCCACCCCGACTGCAGATCCACGAGGTACATTGAAGAAGAAATATGCTTGGAGTCGTAGGCAATGCTAATCGACTATTAGACCCCCTGAACATGTCTCTTTGGCAAAAGACAGTTATTCTTATTGTGATATCCACATGTGAGTCAGAAATATTGCGAGCAACATTTGATTCTATATGATCCTAATTAATATGGTGAAGTTTCAACCGTGGGCATGTCTCTCGTCTCTGGATTTGGAGGGTTGTTGGGCTTCTACATCCCTGAATATGCCGCCGCAGGCAAGGGCTACGCGGCGATTTCGCAATTGATGACATACCCGACTCTTTTCATGTATTTTTCCTGAATATCTTGGGTATTTGGGGGGTCGCAGCCACTAATGGGAATAGGGGAATTGGTAATCTAATAGGAATGCCCCTTGCCATAGCAATTGGTCGCCGTGTCGTTCTCTTGGGCTTCACTGTGCTTCTGATATTTGGAGCTGTCCTATGTGCTACCGCAAAATCATATGAGTGGCATCTCGCATCTCGGATGGTTTTGGGGCTTTGTGCAGGGCAAAGCGAGGCCCTCGTTCCGATGATCACCCAGGTATGTCTTCCTCTATCATTATGGAATCACCTCGAAGGTTCATTCATCCTTTATTAGGAAATATTCTTCCTACATGAAAGAAGCAAGTGCCTCATGATTCAACAAGCAATTCAAGTTATGTTGACTACAATCTATGTTCTTTTCGCCAGTCCAATCGCTGCGGCTATTACGCCGCAGGGCTGGTACGGCCTAGGGGCAGGGTTAGCCGCACTTCAATTCTTCTTTGCCTTTTTCTTTTTCCCCGAAACGAAGTATGACCGGGATCTCAGCGCATACCAAGAATCGGTATCCGACGATAATAACTCTAGCCTCGGTGACATTGAGACAAATGAACCCACGAAGCCAACAGTCATGGTATGCAAAGAGAAGCCACCCCTTGACTATGTTCACTACGAGGCCCGGACCTGGAAATCAGACATGCGTCTCTGGATCGGCAACCCGGAATGGTACAAGGCCGTTGATGTCCTGAATGTACGAACCACCTATTTCATTCCCAAAGTCCTCGCCTCTCCAACTAATTACATACTAATCAGCAAACTTTTCAACTCGTCTTGTTCCCAAACGTCTTCTGGGCCCTCTGTCTAAACGGTCTAACAATCGGTGTCAACATCGCCATCGGAACAACCTACAGCACAATTATCACAGGCGCTCCCTACAACTGGCCAGACTCAAGCGCCAGCTACGTTAACTGCGGCCAAATAGTCGTTGCGCTCGTCGCACTCCCTATCCTAGGAGCAGGCTCTGATAAGCTTATCCGCTGGAGAGCTCGGCGTAACGATGGCATGCATGAGCCGGAGACGCGCATTCTTCCGCTGATATTTCCCATCATCGTTGGAACCTTCACAGCTGTGCTTTACGGACAAGGAGCAACTCATCCGGAGAAGTATCACTGGTTCATTTATGTCTGGACAGTGGCTGCATACTACTTCTGCTTCGTTGGCGCTAATATTGTCGCGATCACATATCTACTTGATAGTTATCCGGCAAGGGCGGGTCCCTTATTAGTGATTATTTGTGCATTTAGGGGTTTCATCTCGTTTGGTACGAGCTATGGGACTACTGCGTTTGTGGATAATAATGGTTATGATGGGGCTTTTGGAACCTTCGGGGCTCTGACTGCTGTGCTGGGGTTGCTTGGTGTGCCGGTTTATTTCTGGGGAAAGAATATTCGGCAGTTTACGGGGAGGTTTGCTAAGAGCAAGACCGATTGAAGTTCGCTAGATTGATTCTGGCACATTGACTTCTCATGGGATTGTCCTTTAACTATATGCGTTTCGATCATTTATGCCAACACCAATCTAATGCATGCGCTTATTTGGAACAATAATGCAAAGTATCATCGCGTGTTCAGAACTTGTATCCTTTCAATTCGCTGTTTGATGCAGTACTGACTTATTCATCAGCCAGTAGATCCATGCCAACACCACGCAACGCGCCCACGGCCCACTCAGGGTATTTTGATTTATCGCCTTGGTAGATGTTAGAGAAGAATTGGCGGATGAGGGCTGGGTATCGGTCCTCCATGATTGCCTGTCGGACATTTTTCATCAAGTTCAAGAGGTAGTGCACATTATGGATTGTAAGCCTAGCGACTGTTAGCGAGAAAATTGTGATAAGAAGAAGCGGGGCCTTACAGATGAGCACCGACGGTCTCCTTGGCCGTGATGTGGTAAATGAAGGCCCTAGTCACTCCGAGACCGCCCTCTTCTTTCGATCGGCAGCAGGTACAAGTACAGCCCTCCTCAATAGGACTGAAGTCGTCTGCAAATTGTCGGTTGCGCAATTTCAGGGTGCCGGAAGACACAATAGCATCGCCGAAACGCTGGGTCACATATCAGTATGAGTTATTAAATGTATTAAATATAATTCAGACTTACCGCTGTTCGTGTTGGCCACACGCAGTCAAACATATCAGCACCAAGAGCAACTGCTACAATGATATCTTCAGGGTATCCCTTGGAAATAATTAGTACAGATCAACAAGACCACAGGAGCTAAACATACCACGCCCATCACATATCTAGGCTTATGTTCAGGCAGAATATCAGTGCATGTATCCACCCTTAAACTGTCAGCGAGGCTTATTTTGGGGGCAAAGAACCACTTACACCTTGCAAAACTCCTCCTTGGCCTCGCCACCAGATAACCCACCAATGGCGATTCCAGGAGTATCTCGAGCCACCATTTCCTCACAGCATTGTTTCCTCAGCTCTAAATCAAGACCACCTTGAATAATGCAAAAGAGGTTCTGTCTCTCGGGATATTTGTGCTCATCGATACAACGGTCTAACCATCGCACAGAGCGCTCCATAGCCTCCTTGATACGGGCATGGTCAGGGGACGTAGTCGCAATCACATCATCCAATTGCATGATAATATCCGATCCAATGGAGTTCTGAAGAGAGATTGAGTGTTCGGGTGTAAGAAGCCTGTAAAGTAGCGATTAGATAAATTCCGTGCGACAAAGTGCGGGGCTCCATACATAGGCGACCCATCGTGGGGACTGAGGAACCGCACGCCTTCTTCAGTGACTTTGGCTAACTTGAGAAGAGATACCATTTGGAAACTGCATAAATGCCTTGGTTAGCTTGGTCATCGAGTTCGCGCACTAGGCAGATCATACCCTCCGCTGTCGGTCAAGAGATTCCGATCCCATCCTTGCAATTTATGCGCTCCACCAACTGCGTCGAGTACCTCCTGTCCCGGTTTCAAACCAAGGTGGTATGTGTTGTTCAAGCAAAGCATACAGCCTGTATCGCGCAGTTGGTCGTATGTCAGGCCTTTGAGGGCGGCTTGGGTCGCGACGGGCATGAAAATCGGCAAAGGGACGTCGCCATGGGGAAGTTTGAGGGTACTCGCACGTGCCTTAGTGGTCTAAAAGGAATGCAATGTTCATGTCAGCATGGAAACTGTCTTTTTTCCTAATCTGGAGGGGCAGAGAAAGCGTACCGAACATTTCGCGTGACGGTCGAAAGTCAATGCGGAGGGCATGGCCTTCCGGGCAGGCTCCGCAGTGGTGGACATTTTGGCGAGCGAAGACAGCGTATTTAGCTTTCTAGGACAAAGTCTGGCTAACGAGCGATGGCATTGCATGGAGAAACTCGAGGCGTCGTGGAGGCAGCGTTTGCGATGCGATCAGGCACAATCTACCGATAAGGATGTTTGTGTGGTTTGCACTGCTCCATGCTTGAGGCTATCTTGTGCATTACCCTCAACTTGTTCATTTTCAGCATAATTTGCGTGTTAGACAATTTCAGTATGAGTTTTCCGGAACTGACTATGCTTTGATATAGTATTGCGCCCTTTCATCGCTTTTTGCAAGGGGTAAATCCATTTCATCACATTGTCCGCCGCCCTCACGCCGCCCCAGGACACAGTTGCTTGAGTAGTAACACACTCATAATTGTATGAATCTCTTACCGAATACTTCAAATTGATCTAAAATGAGGCATTGAACCCATTTTGGACCCGGCGGGCCCGAATGTCCACAAAAATGAATCTGTAAAAGGCTTCTGAGCAAATGGAGAACGCCTGCCCTCAAGAAGAATGCAGCCTGGCTTGTCTCTGCACTTGAGAGAGACTCGAATCTTCTATGGTCAAACAACTAGACTTTTACTCCAACAACCTCTAAAAACAAGGCTATAACCGAGCTATAGCGGTTATGTCTCCGGACAAGATCCCCCCACCCCCGCTAGGTATTCAGCGTACTGCTGAACAGGCCTTGATGATCAGATTTACCAGGAAGAATAATACTCAAAAGCTGCAGCTAGCCTACTATCAAAGCCCCCCTGTGTCTTTTTATCACGGACAAAAACCAAACTACAGAGCGCTGAAAAATCGGTGACCCCCAGATCGGAGAACCGCCGAGCTGGCCAGTGCGGGCTAAAAGGCGGGGGACACCATTCCCCGGCCACAGCTCCACGCCAAGACACCACAAAAGCAAACAAAAGGGGGTTGTTCCAATTCCCAGCCTACATTGTGCGATCACCGATCATCTCGCCTGAATCATGGCCGAAAAGCTCGCGCAGGACGTGGAACGTGCTGTAAGGACCCATTTTCGCCCTACGTGTCTATACATACTAAATTAGGGTTCGGAAAGTATCCCGATACCGGGAGCGAGGCCAGTGGCTTGAATGGCGCTCTTGCGGAGAGGGAGAGGGCCTTGGTTTGGAAGCAGGATTTGAGAATTGTGCCGCTTTGTGCGGGCATTTATCTGCTGTGTTATTTGGATCGGTCGAATATTGGTACATCTCATCCTGAGGTACCTTACTTTATGAGAACCGAGGGAGACTGATTGGAGATAGGAAATGCCAAGATTCTCAATGAAGATACGAATAATGATTTGCTCTCGGAGACGAATATGACTTCGTATCAGTTTACGTGAGTCGCGCCCCATTCACCATGACCCGGTGAAACTAACAATGTCAGGATCGCACTGATGGTATTCCTGATCGCCTACGCGCTATTCGAAGTCCCATCCAACTACTTTCTCAAGAAGCTCAGACCAAGCGTAAGACCAATTCCCCCATATATGCAACAACACTAACTCATGCAGCGTTGGATTGCCTTTCTAATGCTCTCTTGGGGTGCAACAACAATGGGCCTTGGGGGCGTCCACAACGCCGCCCAAGTAACAGGCCTCCGCTTCCTTCTTGGTGTAATGGAAGCAGGTCTGTTCCCCGGTTTTGTCTACTACCTAACATTCTGGTACCGCAATTCCGAGCGCTCGATGCGCGTCGCGCTGATTCTAGCCTCTGCGACATTAGCGGGTGCATTTGGCGGAGCTATTGCTTACGGCGTTGGGCATATGAATGGTGCTCATGGACTTTCGGCATGGAGGTGGCTATTCATTATAGAGGGTGCGCCGTCTTGCGCATCGTCGGTGCTGGTTTGGTTCTTTTTGCCTGATTATCCAGAGTCGGCACACTGGTTGACTAATGAGGAGAAGGAGCTTGCAGCGGAGAGGTTGAAGCTTGAGGGATCTAAGGGGTCGGCGAGTGCGATGTCTTGGGAGGATGCGAAGGGCGTTTTGATGGATTGGAGGCTGTATGCTCATTATGCTGTATGTTGGGTCTCTGGGAGAATTGGATTCAAGAACTCACGATAGAACAGGTTTATTTTGGCATTTCAACGCCATTCTCGAGCCTTTCTCTCTTCACACCGGCTATCACGTCAGGATTGGGATATTCTAATCTCCGTGCCCAGCTGATGACTGTGCCTCCGTATGCAGTGGCTTATGTCGTGACTGTGGCCGTGGCATGGTCCGCAGACTACTTCAATAGGTAAGTCTTACAATCTGAGTCTCTCTGCTTCCAAGCTAGCCAAGCTAACACCCACCAGCCGTGGACTCCACTCCGCTATCTTCTCATTCATCGGCGCTATGGGCTTTCTAGCATCTGCAGTCCTCCCAGCTGAGGCCTATCTTGTAAGCGACCCACATCAATAGTCCATCAATTTGAGACCCTTGGCTAACCCATCCCAATTCCAGTCCCGCTATGGCTGTCTCATTGTGGCAGCCAGCGGAGCCTTCGCTTGTATCCCCCCACTCCTCGGTTGGCTATCTTCGAATCTGCAATCTACTGCCGGAGCGGGCCTAGCTATTGCATTGAACGTGTCATTCGGCGCACCCGGTCAGATTGTCGGTGTGTGGATTTACAAGAGCGATGAGGCAAAGAAAGGATACCCAACCGGCCATTGGACTAACGCAGCATTGCTTCTTTTCGTGACGGCAGGATGTCTACTGTTGCGACTGTATTACGGATGGAGAAATAGTCGGGGAAATGTTGATGGGAGCGGAAAGAGATTTGCGTATTAGATAACTCAGCTGTGGGAGGGTGGGGCTGGATATTGGATGTATAGAGCGCTATATTTGGGGAAGACTAGGGCTTGTGGGACGTGGGTACTTGTGCATAAGAAGATAATTTACTCCACAGTGATATGAAAGTGATGAGTCAATCCGGATGAACGGATAGACCTTTATCACATAAGCCCAAAATCATACAGTGCTTCCGGAAATCGGTGTCACCACCTAGACTCTTCGATTCTTCTCGAACCCTAATTGCCAAGACAAAATATACTATGTTTAGAGTTTCCCCGGAGTATAAATACTCCTGTATCAATGTATATACAGTACTACCCTTTTATTATATGACTCAGGTCACATAACTAAGTGGGCATGGTATAGTAGCCAGATTTAACAGACTCTTTATCTCCCTGTCGCTCTTCCCTTCTGTACGCCTGCTCACACGCTATTCTTCGCACATTTAATATTGTCCAAAGACAAACCACATGGCATGACTACAATGTTCCGCGCATCAAATCTCTGTCCCATGCGTGAGATGGTACAGTCGAGATCCAGTCCTTCGCGTCTCGGATGATCAAAGAAGCTGAATGCAGCAAGCTTGTGATCACCAACATTTGCAGAAGTCGTGGCAATCTAGAAGCGTCTACTTCCCCCAAACTCGAAAAGGCCGAAAACTAACCTTGACACCACTCGTGACTGAAGCCTTTTGGGACCATCTATCTGAGAAGCCTCCTTCCTTTTTGGCGTATGGCCCAATGGCGTCGGACAGCCCAGTCAGCTAAACATCCAACAGCAGACAGTCCTCATATTCCTCTCGGGGTCGAATCTCCAGCTGCGCAACGGGCTCAACGCTCGTATAAACACCAAACTGCACAGGTCTCGAGCAGTAACTATCCTTCAGCCGAACATCATACTTGAGCAGAATGTGCGCTACGCATAACTTTTAACTCGTTGCTAGCAAAGAAGCGGCCGGGGGATATGTGTCTACCACCTCCGAAGACATTGTGTTCCCTGCTCGATTGCACCAACCGGCTGGCCTTGTCTCTCGCTTGACGTCGCTTCGAAAATCTGTACCCGTCATACAATTCAGGGTCGTCATAAACTTCTGGGCTCCACATATCTCTTGAGTCGACCATGATCAAGATCCCTTGGGTATTCGCCATCTGGAAGGGCAGTCTTGCAAATAACTTTACGCTCTAACCCCGGTGTAATTCAACGGTGAAATCATCTCGAAATGTTACGGGTCTTTTAACTTACCCTATAACAGGAATCTGCCTCTGTGACTCTTTCAATACGTAGTGAAGAAATTCCATCTTTGCTAGCACGGCTAGTCCAAGTCCATGATCCGATAATGACTGCCTGATTTCCTGCCTGAGTGGCTCAACAAGCTCGGGGTTTTGAGCTATATCGATAAACACCTGCTTGAGGACCTGGTAGTTGTGAAAAGTGCCGCCATGGCCAACGCGAGCTGGATATCGCCTGCCGGGAGACTGTTTCTGGGATCGCTCTGAGTCCAGGCAACAGCATCATCGTATTGAGGCTCCTCCAGACCTTGATCTCGTGCAGCCCTTGCTTCTTTTTCCCTATTGCTGACTACATCGGGCATTGCTGTGCGAGTTCGTTGGACAAGAGCTCTACATGCCGAGGTATGTGGCAAGTAGAGTAATCGGCAATGGATTCGCACGCCATGCGGGAACCGTCGATATGCTTCTCCAAAATAGATTACGGCCATTACCATAACAGTTTTGTCTAATTACAAAGTGAAGAACTAAAATAGAGAGTTCTCGTTTATTCTTTGGAAATTAAGTTGTAAAAGTGTGGGGGTATAACTGGTCTACTGTAAAATAAGAAATTTGGGTATAGTGGGACGTTGGGTACCAAGGTAGCAGCCGCCCACGTAAAACAAGTAAGAAACACAGGCCTACCTTACGCAATAATCCGGTATTTTGCTTTACAAGACCCAGATGCCTATTGAATCATTTGACTACGTAATGATATTATAGCGTTCTTGGAACTAGGGGTTGAGAAATAATCGAAGAGAGTAGGTGGTGACACCACTTTTCGCAAGTATTGTAGACGATATTAGCATACAATGTACCATTTAGCATCCCGCACCCCCCACCATAGCAGTATTCGAAGCGACAAGAGCGGTGTTGCGTCTCCGCTTTTTCTTCTGCTTCGCTCTTTTTCATACTCTTTCTGATACCTGTCGCGGTCGCGAAGGTAGCGATCATAGTCGTTGCCATATTGGACTGGGCGTGCAGCAGGATATTTGTCGTCATCTGAGGAGCGAAAGCACATGATGAGTGTTCAATACGGCTTGAAGATTGTAGATGATTGTTTCGGTATCGTGGTGTCCCGGTGACTAACGGCAAGACAGAGACTGGATTGGATGGTATCACAAAGCAATATATTAGGATCAGCTTCCGGGAAGATTGGAATCGAAGGGCCTTTTTGAGGGGAAGATAAAGTGGCTGTGCAAATTAGTGGAGGCAGCAAATACGTCAGGCACGTGGTCGCTATTTACAAAGATCCAAGAATTGAAAGATTGAGTCGGCTCTCAGGCAACATTAGCTTCGGTACGCCCTGCACAGCCTCTAGGCTGAGTATGATGGCAGAGGTCAGTACCAGTTAAAGGCCGGGTGCGGCTCAATGCGGTAGGCTTGTGGATCAACTCAAACGATATGCTGTCTAGTGCCAGGCTGCCGAATTGAACCCCATTATATAGACTTTAGGCATTGCCCGGCTGATATCCAAAATATTGGGCTTGGTGTGGGGATCCAGTGTCTGAAAATAACTTTATGAAGGACGGTTGCCTGATGACATCTTCCTCTTTAGCCTAAGGTTGACTATTGCATTACGCATGGGGCTTTTCTTCTCAAGAATCCTCTCTTTAATAGTTTCAGAAAAGTTTCGAGACGAGACGAGGGACTAGAAGCTCCAAGCGTATTTTCTTTTCTACAAACGTCGTTCACGCCGCAAAACAAACTCTCTGAGAAGGTATCTGTCCAATTGCATACACATGGCGAGGTAGCACAAAGCAAAACCTTATGCAAAGCCCCATTGCAACAAGATCACCCTCGTAGAATGAACATCAATATGATAGTATGAGTAACACTGTTTGAAAAGTACTGTCGATAATCTTGTAGACAAAAGAAAAGGTAATCAGAGCCATAATCGTAAACCAGGTCCCGTCCAAACCCAACGCACCAGACCAGTCCAAGTCCCGTCCAGTCCCGCCCTCATTGAAGCAAAGAAAAATAATAACATCAGCCCAAAAGGAAACTCCCGACACCCCGCAAACGTGTGAACTGATCAAGAAGTTAAAATTAAACAAATCCAAGCTCGAGAATTGAAATCTCCGAAACTCCCATTCACCGCCTTGGATTCAGCGGACAACCGGCTTCCCATAAGTGGTACAGGTACAGGCACAGGTATAGGACAAACAAGGGTAGGTAGTGCCAGAGGGCCAGGATGAGAGTTTTGGCCTGGTCGGGTGGCTTGACGGGAAGAGCCCCACAGACCTCGGGACTCTCCACTGTTCCCAGCAAAAACCACGGAACGCGGGAACCCAAATGACAGCTGTCATGGACCCTAGGTAAACAACCCACGAGCCCATTAGACTTCCCCTAAATCCTGAGCATCTCTCCCGTCTATCACGTATATCTCTATCGAGAATTGGAAAATCCGTTCCGTTCCTGCGCTATTGGCTGCTGGCATGGACCGTCGAGTGGGTATCACGACTCAAGTCGCACAGCCAAGACTGGGTGCAAGGATAGTGACTCGCCACGACGAGAACAGCATGCTAATCTCAGCTCTGAACACAACCATCTTCACACTCTCAATTCCAGCTAGAATTGTGACGTGTAGCGTGACCAAGCCGTATCGGGGGATCGGAAGTCATATTCGAGCTGCATCGTTTCGAAGCGGGGGGTCGCGGTGAATATTTTTCGTCCCTGCCATACACCAGCGAGGGAACAGGGAACCTAGAATTTGGAATCTGCGCGTTGCTGTGGGACCCGCACAGGGCGTGCGCTTGCAGGAGAGCGAGGAAAAAAACGAGAAAAAAGGGTAGACGCACACAACGACGAAAAAAAAGGGGAAAAAAAAAGATTTTGGAGATAGCCACCCAACAAAGGAAAAAGCAAGAGTCGCAATATGAGTTTCAGACGCCTCCAGTGCCTCGGCCGTAGGTGCTCTGGGTTGGTTGAGTCGGGATTATCCCTGGCCAAGTGGTCGAGGAAGAAGGACGATGGCTTAGCGCCCCCAAAGCGACTTCGGCTGCGTCTTCTTTGGCATTGTTGATAAATTGACCGTCGTACCAGTAGCGAGCGGAGAAGCTTTGGCCCTGGACGATGACGGTGCTGGACCAGGCAGTACGACCTCCTGTGGGTAATCAGCTGTCAAGCTCAAGCTCAAGCTCGGGAGTAAAAGTCGGTGTACACTCTTGCCAGAGCTTGCTCCACTGCAATGCCGAGACACGCAAGGAAGCTTCGACGGGGAATATGGGAGAGTGACGGGAAGGAAAACGGGGAGGTACCTCGCCGATCGGACACAATGCTGAAGGTAGGGGCGGCTATCTTGACCATATTGCAGTGGTCTTGGATGATGTTAGATGTCTTCAATTGTAATCAAATGTGTTCAATTGCTGACCACCGAGCTTATCCTGCCAGCTTTTTCGGGTAGCGCTGCTCCCTTGGGGACTGGTTGGCTGGGACATTGTCAAAGGGTTGAGCTATCGAGCTATAAAAAACCTCAATTGGGGATCGTAGTAGAAAAAGTAAGAAGTAAAGAAAAGTCCAAGTCGGGGAGGGGGGAAAGGAAAAAAGCTTCGGGAAAAAGGAAGTAGATATAATCGAGATCTCAATGGGTCTCCTCTTGCGTGACCTTTCAGGAGGTATGGGGAGCGGGGAGGATCATATAAACGGCTCCAGAATCATTCTAAAAGGGACCGTTCTCGGGTCCCTTCATTTTTTTTTTTCGATTTTCGATTTTTAATTTTGATTTTCGATTTTCCCCAATTTAATTAAAAAAAATTCCCCTCCAACAAACAAACGGAGCCTAACCGTCAAACCTAACGAAAACCGGGCTTATGCATCATGCGTCGGCGTGGGTACCAACCAAAATCCCCTCTTCACCCCTCCCTCTCTTCTTATCCACCAGTCAAAGACGCGATGCGGGAGGGACATGCGGATCATTCTCTGAGGCTGCAAGCTGGAACGGCCCGGCGCACGCCGACCAGACCAACTATCCTTGAAGAAACGCTAAGTAAGGGGAGACAGGGTTCCCACCTCCATTGACCGTGAGGTAAGGTTCTCCCCCACTTAAAAAATTCGAGGCGAGAGAGAGAAGGGCCCAGAACAGGACGGGGATTAGGAATTGGGGAACAACTCAGAGAATCTCACGTTGATATTCGATGCCCCGTCCCTGCCTCATCTGCCAGGTATGTCCCGAGCCGGCGGAACGGCTTGCAGAACAGCCTCAGCTGTATGAATTACATTGCGTGGTGGCGGTCGATCTCTGCCCAACGGTGGAGGTGAGGCCATAGCTTGGTGTTGTGCATAAATGGCGCCCAAAGTACCTCTTTTCTAATCCGGGTGCACTTTCTTGTGCATCCTTAGGTACATGGGGGTTGGGCCGTATTCTAGAAACTGCTTGCCAGCGCATCACCCACTGTGATGAGATCATTCAATGAGGCAAAGTGGTTACTGGGGTTTGGTTCGAAAGTCGAGTAGTGCCGCGACTGGGCCACCGGGCCGCCCTGCATGATCCTTGGATGAACAGCAGTTGCTAGCCGAGGCCAGAGCTCAACGTCATCCAGACCGAAGCCGGACGCGAAACAAATCCTGCAACTTTAAGAATCAGACTTAGATCCAAATTATGACATGCAAATGGTATTCTGCCGGGTGGAATCCAAATCCTGGGACGAGTGGTTCTCTAACCGCCTGCATCAACAACCTCCTACCCAGACTCCCCAGTTCCACTTGGAAGAGACGGGTGAGATTCCAGTGACTGGCGGATTGGGCATACTTGCAGCCCTGTAGCTTCACTTCAACCATGGAACGGTTCCCTTAATGCAATGCGCAATGCGGCTCGGATCTCGACTCGTGGCAAGCCGTTGCAAGGAGAGTGTACAAGTGTGGGCAAACTCAAGAATAAAGATAATAATAACTCAGGCAGCAAATTCCGCTCAGGGTCTTGGGCGCGATTGATCAAAAAAAGATTCATCCACAGCCAATCGATCGGCACTCTAGTACGCTGCACATGTATATACTAACTAGTTAGCTTCTAGCAATCTATAGCGTGCTCCGGGCTAAGCGGACTCGTATCTTGACCGGAGGTAACGTACGTCGCATGAAGCGTGAATATGTAGAAGCAGGTGCTTTTTCTTCACTGGCGCACAAGCGGGGATCGACCTACCGTGGTAGAACCAGTCGCATTCGCGTATTACCCCACCGAGTCATGTCTGTGTGTACATTGTCCTGCCATGGAGTTGTCAAAAAAAGAAAATTGCCAAGGTGAAGCGGTGGTCAGGCTCGACTTCAGCTCTGGGTCTACGAGATATGCACCGCCAGCAGAGCAGCGCAGAGTCGCATGAATGCGCTGCGCAGAATCCTTCAGCGTCCCATCTATACCCCTCCCATGTGAGCCCACGAACCCATGAGCCCATGAACCTATCTAGACCGACAGAAACACCGAAAAGTGCTATCCTTGAAACCTTGAGAAGTGCGAAGAAAAAGCAAGCCTGCATTGCTCGTGCTTGAACTGTTAACAGAACTGTCGATAGCCACCAGATGCGTCCTGAGTGGTTCATGCTAGATAAAAATAAGAAAAAGAAAAGATAAAACAGATTGAAGTAGACGCCAACCCCTAGGAAACCCCGAGCATCCGGAAGTCCATGTCCAATAGATAACGCGAATCTCTCTCAATCAGGTCTTGAGACCTCAATGCAAGCCCCATCCCCCCACAAGCAAAACCAGCAACACAGACGACCACACAAATCACCAGGACCAAGAGAAGCGAAGAAGCGAAATGGCGAAAGCAGCCCACAGCTTAGTGGAGCAAAAAAAAAAAAAAGAAATCATTGTAAAAAAGAAATCATTGGCAGATCGTTCAGTTCATCAATCATGCGAACCATGGCTCAATTCTAATCTAGCCAGCACATCACCCCTCTCCGAGCCGGAGCCGAAGATTACATGCATCAGATCAGCGCATAGCTCCACAGGAACTTACGCGGATCCTCTGCGCTGCATTACCTCGCCGATCAGACGACGTGGGCCCAAGCGCGCCGTCTCAAGTCCCTTTGAGATAGAGGAACGTGCGGGGGAGATCCATGGAACGCGACGGGCGCCATGCCAGCGTCGACGAATATAATCGTCCACGAGAGACACTAGCCCCGTTGCGACGATTACGCTAGACCATGTTAGTGGGACCGTTGTTTCGCTTCGCGACCACCGTACAAGCACGAATGAAAATTCAAGTGCAACATAGTACAAATATAGAGATACAAATAGGAATAGATGGGGTTCAATTCGGTTGGGTCTTAGACTTACTCGGCAACGTCGGGCATCCGCTCGTACACGGAGGTATCATTGATCCACATTGAGCACGGTGGGACCCAGCCACCTTTACTCTCTTCCTCGACTGCTTCGAGTGGGGTGAGGATTTCAGGAACTAGGTGGGCGATTGTGCGGGATGTGCGGGTGTCGATTAGGTAGTATGAGACTTCGCGAAGATCGCCTTCCTTGCGGAATTCGCGACGCCATTGATATTTCGTTGACCAGTATTCAAATTCGTATCGCTTTGCAGTTCCCGGGCCGCGACGTTTAAGTTCTACGTGAGCGTAATTGGAGAATTCGAGGAGGATTGAGTCGGATAGTTTTCTGTCGCTTTTGCATTCCTCTTCTTCGCAGGGTTCGGAGCTTGCTGAGCATGATGAGGTTTGGTGCTGGAGGGTTGGTTCGGTGGGGGCGTGGGGTGTTGAGATTGGGCGGAGACTGGCGAGAACACTACTCCATGAGCGGCGGAGGATGGGGCGGGGGTCGGTTGCACTTGGTGGAGAGATTTCTTTTCGGGAGGAGTGGAATACTTCTCGGCCTGAATCGCGGCAGTAGCGGCGGAGAGAGAACTTTCGGGAGAACAGGTCGTGCATGCGGAGGTGGAAGAGGGTTACGTCTTGTTGATAGCCGCCTCGACGGGGGACGACGGTGTCGACGCGTAGGTTCATGTTGCCGTCTATGGTGGCATCGTCGTGGCGAATCAGGAGACGTCTAGATGAGGGGAATAGGCCTGCGAATGAAGAGGGTGTGGTTGCGAGTGCATCTGTTGGGAATGTCTCCTGTCGCTCATTGACTTCATAGAGAGGCTCTTTGGGGGGATCGGCCAGGGATCGAGTGGTGGATGCATATGTTGAAACGGAGTCGCGCGGGCCATCATCCTCGAATTCTGGCCAGTCCTGCTGCTTTATTGTGCAGGTTGTATGAGCACTGATCACCGTGGGTGCAGTGCTTTTTGAATGCACCGAGGCATCAGTATCTGTTGAGCTGCAACTGCCACCGCTGCCAGCGCGGGCTTGGCATGACTTATAGGAGCCCATGATCACTGATCTACAGTGACAGGCAGTAAGGAGGTGAGTTGATTATAAGACGAGACCACGAGTCCGGCGTAATTATAAGAAAAAGGGAGTATTGAATGGAATCACTGTTCAAACAGGATGTAACTCGGTTCAAAATGTCGAGGGAAATTAAATTCCCATGACGTGCCGTGAACGAAGGGATAGTTATTCACGTAGAATGGTGTTCGGGAAGAATAGGCCGGGATGGAAGAATCATATGACGGCCACAGGGAGGACAGGGATCGGGGACTTTCGAGTTTGGAGCACACAATAAAGTAGTTCGTAGCTCGTAGCTCGTAGTTCGTGCTCCCTAGCTCGGATAATCCCAACCGGTAAATACCTCCCAAATCGAAGGACCAGAATCGAGTCAAGTCGAGATTCAGGCACAGCCAGGTCGTCGGGTATGAAAAATCCGGACTTCAGAGGGGGAGGGGAAAAAAGAGGGGCACTGGCACTCCCTATCTTAGAAAAAAAGAAAAGAAAATGGGGAAAACAACCAACACTGAAACTCGGTTCAGGGTTTAGAGTAAGAATGAGGCAAGGAATGCGCTCCTTTTGTTTTGGAGCAAGCCGACGATCATACACCTCACTCCCGCCTGAGTAAGATACCTTCCAAGGTTCTCTACCATAGCCCACTCACTCGCAGAAACCCTTCTTTTCCTCTTCACAGCCCCCCGTCGTACAGTTCTTCGGGCTGCAACCCAGCCCGCGAATCACCAGAGCCGGGCAGCACAACCCACGCCTCACGAACCGGGCTTCCCTCTAAGTCGTGCGATGACCGACTCCGTTTGGGCGAGAATATTCGTGAGCTTGTGTGTCGGGTCATCATTCGCTGCCATACCACCCCTCCAACCTCCGCGTGCCCCCACCTGCAGACTGATGAGTGGCCGGTCAGCGGGGATGTGCGCAGACCCGGTCTGGACACGAGGTGCTGGCGCAGGTAGTACTCTGACTTCTCTACTAGGCTCGCTGAGAAGGGCGAAATTGCTATGTCATTCAAGGGTAGGTCCGATCGCGCTTGGATACTTGGGATGTTGGGCTCGCGATGGAATGTAGAGACGTGCGGAGACGTCATGATGGGGAACGGTGGGGTTCGCGGTCCGAACCGGATCCGATCTTTTCAATTTGCGACTGCAGCTGCGTTTGCGCCCTATGGTTATGTATTGTAATCTTGCAATATAAGCAATAATGGGATCTCGATATTGATATTGATATGGATACTACTACCCATGAGGCTGAGAACCATAGTAAGATCCAATCCGACCACGCGGTTCTCAGGGTCGAACAGTGGGGGCCGTGGTATGACGAGGGGTCGGATCGGGATCTGATATTCCCCTTCTTTCGAGAAACATGACGACATGAGATCGTCGGTGCACAGACTAGAAGGAATGAAACTTGCTCGTCCTGATGCACCTCGGAGAAATACTCTACTTCATAAGGTTCTACGCAAGGTACGCTGATGCCAGTGTGAGTGCCACTTACGAGGTGGTGAAGAAGCGGTCTGCACAGTTCACTTGAACTGGACAGAATGCTCTCCAGGTCTGACTATCTTGATGTGCTCATGCTCGTGCTCGCGCTCTAATCGAGGACAACCGAGAAATCGAAATCGAAACATGTTCAATGAAGAATGATATACTGAAACCAACCACGCCGAAACTGGATCCCGCCAACATCGCACCATTAAGACTGAGCATCACCCGACAAAAAATTAAACGTCACGGGTCTATACTTACCAACATTGAAAGCGGGCAGTGTCTAAACCAGCGCATAAAGAGGCTGCGGGAGCTCATCGCCCGGCTTGATCAGCTCCTCGGCGCGACAAGCAGGATGAGTGATGAGACCGGCTCGGCTACCCGGTGCGGGTGGACGGAAGCCCACATAAGCTTCCCGTCGGGCAGGGTCGCCCACGGTAACAGACCAGGTGTGCAGGCCATAGTACGAGGCGATAGAGTGCACCAGCCAGCGACTGGGATCCCTGGTCAGCACAAGCAGTGATGGAAACCTCGAAGTAAACTTACCCAAATCCAGCGGAACGGTCCTCGACCAGGCTCTCAAATACCATCTTCTCGCCATCTCTCTCATGATGCAAGCTCATCTCTTCACGAAGCTGCTGAAGCTTCTGCTTCCGCTCCGGCGAGTCGTGCATCTGGCCATTTCGGCCGACAAAGACGATCTCGTCTTCCGAGTCGTCACTGCTCGACTCCGGTGCATCCTGTAGACCCTCACTTCGCAGGAAAAGCTGCTTCTCATTCCACTTGCGGATGAACAAACGGATCTCATCTTCCAGGTCCTGAAGCATACCGCGAGCAGCACGAGCATGCTTCAACTTCGTCCGCAGCTCCCTGGGCACACGGTGCTTATCAACGACGGTCTTGGGTGCGTGGTCGGCCATCTTGGAATAGTGAACGTCCCAAAGCGGAGCGAGATAGTATGGCATAGGATCGTGTCGGGGGTAAGTAGGCAAAATATCCCAGTCCTTGGAGGAAGGAGGTTCCGCCCACGGGTTATGTAGTAGACGGTCTTGTGATCATCATCAGCATTCAACTCATCCTCGTGACGGAGTCCCAAGGACTCGTTGGGCCATACCGTTCTCCCATCGTTGTCTCCGGCGACTTCCATCCTTTCCTTTCAGTACTGCCTCGCGGCTCTTCGAGCTATCCAGTTGGAGTGGCTCGCGACGCCGGAAACTGACGGTTGGAGGGCGCGTCTCGGCGCTGGCGATCTTGACGCGCGATGGAGTTACTGGGGGTTCATCGTCAAGGGGTATCGAGATGGGTACGCTTGCGCCTTGAAGACCGGAACGCGAGGGTCTCGATGGGGTTCCCTCGAGTCTTGACTCCGAAAGAGTCAGGTTCTCGAGCGAAGCCGAGGCTTGCTCCGTCCACGCGGAGATAGCCACGGCCTGCTGGGGGGACAGAGTCCCTGGTGCATTCTGGGGTCGTAGCTGAGGGTGAATAGCCATATTTCAACGATCTAGGTAAGGATGAGTAGGGGTATAAGGGTACAAGTATACAAGGTAAGGACGAGATGAAAGAGCAGATAACGAGATAAAGGCGCGCAATCGGACACGCCCATCTCCCCGAATCTCGCGCACGGGAGTTTATTGCTCCCCTGATTGGCGGAATGTGATGTATCCAGTCAAGGCCCTAACCCTACTTTCCCAACTAGGTCATATTGTCTCTTGGCAGGTGAGTCACACGTGATATTGCAGCCTAGCTGGCCAGGCAGCCAGTGACTCACGGGATCCGACGGCGATCCGAGGCTTAGACGAGTCATAGTTCGAGGCGGAGTTGCTGATGCTCCACTCTCTCCAAATCCCCCGCGCGAGTCATAACCGATACCCGTGAGTCCGTTTGAGTAAAACAGGTTCTAGTTGTACACAGGCAGAAAACTAGGGGCAGAGTGATAAGGCGAACAGGATAGGGTAAAACAGGCCGTTTCAGAGTGGACAGGCAAGGCATCTATTAATACCCTACTTTAGCGCGGGGTCCAAAAAGGGCTTGGCGACTGCTAAGGGCGCGTGATAACAAACCCTGCGGCTGCGGCTGTGAGCTCTCAGAACCTACAAAACCCGAGAGGCCTGCCCTCTCTCATTTTTATCCTATCTTTCCCGTTGTAATCATGAAGTTCCTCGCCCCCATTGCACTGGGAGCTGCTTCTGCCGCCTTCGCTGCGGTCCTCCCCCAGCAGGCCCCTCTGGTCCCCTCTATCGTCCAGAATGCCCAGACCACTAAGTGGCTGATCGAGCTGGCCCCGTACCAGACCCGCTGGGTGACCGAAGAAGAAAAGTGGGCATTGAAGTTGGTAAGTCGTCTCAACTATCGAAATGCGACCTTGTTGGTTGTCCCCGGCTAACAAGTTCCCCTCAGGACGGTGTCAACTTCATCGATGTCACCGATGAGTTCCAGTCCGGCGAATACGGTGCTCTCCACACCAAGCGTATCGTCCATTACCCCGGATCGATGCAGCATGAGGAAGCCATCGCGCCCTTGACTGAAGACCTATCCAAGTCCAACATGAGAAAGAACTTGGAACACTTCACATCCTTCCACACCCGGTACTACAAGTCCCAGACCGGTATCGACTCCGCCGAATGGCTGTACGGACAGGTCAGCGACGTAATCAACGACTCCGGTGCTAGCGACCACGGTGCCACTGTAGAGAAGTTCAGCCACCCCTGGGGCCAATTCAGCATCATCGCCCGCATTCCTGGACAGAGCAACAACACAGTCGTGTTGGGAGCCCACCAGGACAGCATCAACCTGTTCCTTCCTTCTTTCCTAGCTGCTCCGGGCGCGGACGATGACGGCAGTGGAACAGTCACAATCTTGGAGTCTCTCCGGGCCCTGCTGCGGTCCGAGGCTATCGCCAAGGGTCAGGCTGAGAACACGATCGAGTTCCACTGGTACTCCGCAGAGGAGGGCGGTCTGCTCGGCTCCCAGGCAATCTACGGAAAGTACAAGAAAGATCTCCGCGAAGTCAAGGCCATGCTTCAGCAGGACATGACCGGCTTCGTCCAGGGTACGCTGGATGCTGGACTTAAGGAGTCCGTCGGCGTGATCATCGACTACGTCGACCAGGGCCTAACCAACTTCATCAAGGAGGTCATCACCACCGTAAGTGTCCCCTGCCCCAGTCACTCATCTCCAACTGAACCCTCGGCTAACAACTCTCAGTACTGTGACGTCCCCTACGTCGAAACAAAGTGTGGCTACGCCTGCTCCGACCACGCCTCTGCCAGCCGCTTCGGCTACCCATCCGCCTTCGTCATCGAATCCCAGTTCGAGAACAGCGACAAGAAGATCCACACGACCGAGGACAAGATCGAGTACCTCAGCTTCGATCACATGCTGCAGCATGCGAAGATGAGTCTGGCGTTCGCCTACGAGCTTGCATTTGCTACTTTCTGATTTAACGTTGCTTTGGGTCGGCGTTAAGAGGTATACCTTGGGGTTTTCTAATGTAAAGACGGTAGACCACTGCATCAATGTTGGTCATTAGATACGACACGTCTGGGTAATACCCGCAATTGATTATGAGGTTATGTTTTGCGTTGATCTGTATTCCGTAGGCGTAGTCAAGATATCGCAGGGCGATTGATTACTTTAAAATGGGAACTGCGTAATGGAAAGGTTCAAGCGATCATGTAGATTGGTAGGCATCTCGATACCCATTGATGCGAATGTTCTGTATGCGATTGCATTCTCACTTGGGTCTTAGGTTGGTATTATGCAATTCAATCGTTCAGCTTATGCCCAAGCCCTAAAGTGTTCTAATAGCCTGTGATCCAGGGCCTTTTGTGTATTTGCGGGTTTGCGAGAACTTCCACTCTCCAGAACTTATTCGACCCAATTACCAACCTTGAAAATGTGAAAGGATTCTAGAACGAATTCCAATCATTATTCAAACCTTGATTAACTTGTAATCGATCTTTTCACCCCAGTGTTCCACTTTAAAACACTATGACGCTGTCCACGTGACCCCTCTCAGCTTGACCGATCGCCGGAAATATATCTAGGACGAATAGCCAGAGCAACCCACCATCCGCTCCATCACGCGGGGACAACCAATTCTCCTTCGCAATTACCCTCACCCTCATCCTCACCTCTTCCAACATTTGAATATAGGTGTACCACCCCTCGCCACACAAAATGACCACCCACGCCTACACCAAAGAGCTCCAGCTCGCCCGCCTCGCTGTGCAACGCGCCGCCCTCCTAACAAAACGCCTCCTCTCCGAAGTAGACAAAGGCTCCTTCGACAAAGTCGACGCAACGCCCGTAACAATTGCCGACTTTGCTGCGCAAGCCTCCATCATCGCCGCAATCCACCACACCTTCCCAACGGATCAAATTGTCGGCGAAGAAGACTCCACCGCTCTTCGCCAAGACTCGGTCCTCCTCGAGCGAACATGGGACCTGGCCCGGTCCGTGCATCTGGACGATGAAGCCAGTGAAGCGATGCTGTATACCCCATCCACGAAAGACGAGATGCTCACATTAATCGACCTGGGCGCGCAAGGAAATGCAGGCCGAAGTGGACGGACGTGGACTCTTGACCCGGTCGATGGGACGGCTACTTTTATGCGCGGGCAGCAGTATGCTGTTTGTTTAAGTCTGATTGTGGATGGGGAGCAGGTTGTTGGTGTTCTGGGGTGTCCGAATCTACTGAGCGACCGACGTGTTGCGGAGGAGTTGGTTGACAAGGATGGCTACGGACAGATGTTATCTGCGGTTGTTGGACATGGAGTGACGATCCAGCCGTTGGGCACGGGCAAGTTACTAGATGGGACGATGCTACCGGGCGTATCGCAGGTCGAGGACCCCAAAGAGGTGCGGTTCATCGATACGCAAGCTTCTGAGACGGCGAATCTGGAAGTTCATGGGAAGGCTGCGGCGCTTCTGGGTTGTGCGTGGCCGAATCCTGTGGATCTGTGGTCTGCGCAGATGCGATATGTGGCTATTGCGGTTGGGGCGTGTAATGCATTTGTCAAGGTGCCGTTGAAGGATAGTTATCGGTCGAAGATCTGGGATCATTCGGGAGGGATGCTTTTGGCGGCGGAGTTGGGGGTGAAGATTACAGATCTGGCGGGGAATGATGTTGATTGTGGTCTTGGTAGAACGTTGGCTGGATGTCATGGGATGGTTGTGGCGCCTGCTTCTATTCATGGGCAGGTCTTGGAGGCGGTTCGGGTTGCGAGGCAGTCTTGATTGGGGTTACGTACCTTTACTTTAGAACTACGCGGTCTGAGCATGACGCTGATACCCTTTGAATATTGCAATTTATGGTTTTTGAATGTGTCAAGTATATTGTAGGCTTTGGCCCCTTTGATCATACCCCGCGCTTCCAGGGTCGGACGCTTTGACGGGTTACGTGCTAGATGGATGTTTTGGTTCTAAAAAAAATAAAAGAGAGATTGGGATTTTCGAGCATTTGAACTGATCCATTCGCTTCCGTCTTTTTCTGATGCCAGAAAATTAACTACTAGCTACACCCAGGAACCGGGGTGTTCACAGAGCAGGGAATCCCCGCGCGGGACCGTGCACAGGATCGACGGCGCAGAAACCGCCATTGCAAGCGTCCCGAACTCAACTCTTGGGCGCCCTGGGACCGTAGCAAAGAATTCCAATACTCCCCCATTTCGATTTCCATCTCTGGTAGCTCACCGGAAAGTGGCGCTTTGCTAGGTCGCAAGAAGAAACTGGGCCCCTTATCGATAAGCAAGGTCCAGGTCCCCACCCGGTAAATCCAAGGCAGACCAAAATGACTGACATCACCGAAGTTGACCTCATCTGCAGATGGCGCCACCGGGGAAGTCGGATCTAACTGGTCGAAACCAGGTCATACGACACATGACTTTGAATGTTGGTTCGTGTTCCTATAAAACTATAAAGCGCGCATTCCCCGCTCTGCGGGTCGATCAGGCGCTGTCACTCTTGTTCAGTTCCAAGTCCCGCCATGGCGAGCTATAATCCCTTTGCCCGGCGTGAATCGCACCATGCGTCCGCCTTGAATACCTACCGCGTTCTAGTGCCCCTCACCTGGGTGCTTGTCGTGATTGTCGGCTTTTATTATTCGTTCCACTCGCCGGATGATACGAAGCATAGTAAGAAGATCTGGAAGCAGGCTCGGAAGCATAATACGCCTTTCAGTCAGAACACCACCGTGACTGGGGTTTACTGGTGAGTTCCTTGACATTGACCTGGGGGGTCGAGAATCAGGATTAGATGTGGAGCCACCGAACTAACCGTCCCAGGATCCTTCTCCTCCTCTCCCAGCTTAGCTATGTTTGGCATCTGTTCCACAAGGACACGGCTATCGTGGCAGCTGCCGCGAACGTCGCTACCCACTTCATCCTGAACAACTTGTTCATCGTGATCTGGATCCTGCTGTGGACTCGTAACTACTTCTGGTGGGCTGAGATCATTCTCATCGCCCACTTTATCAACCAGGCTGTTACCTACTGGCGACACCGTGGACTCCCTGCCTTCGTGCACCTGCCCGCCGTTGCGGGACCGTATGCTTGGACTCTGACTGCCCTATTCTGGAATGGTGCTGTCGCTGTGCACAGTCACAACCTGCCCGGTCGGATCGTGGCTAATATCTTCATCTGGGTGATTCTGTTCATTGGTTTGCAACACATTGTGCTGCGGAACGATTATATCTTGGGATATTGTTTGAGTTTCCTTACTCTTTGTAAGTCTCCAGGGCTGTCCCACACTTGAGGTCGCGGATGTGGCTAACACTCTTACAGCACTGGCTCTGAGGCAGCTCGCACTCAAGATCATCGCCCTTCAGTGGATCTTCGCCTTCACCATCTTCGGCATCTTCACTGCCGTCTCGCTGTACACCTCTACAGCCACGTACACCGGTCGCGACAGTCTGTTCCGCCGCGTGGCGCACCCCGAATCGAGTGATCGGGAGCGGGAGCCGCTGCTCAACGACGCGTAGGCAGCTGCAAGTGGGAAGTGGGGACTTCGGACCGAATCCCATACGACAAACTAGTGTTGCCGTTGGCGACTCGAGAAAAGAAGGATTGTGTGAGGGTTTTTGGCAGTTGCTGCTTTATCTTTATGTTTCATGTTTTATGGTTTTGATGTTCTACCAGCCCATGAAGAATGATCTCTTGCGCTCTCATACCTGGAGTTATTGCACTTTAATATCAATGAATACTCATGCACTGTTTACGATCGCTGACGTACTGAGGCTGTGACCCACTCGGTGGAGCTTGGGCCATGCTCGAGTCTGGATGCCGACCACTGTAGAACAACACGGTGGATGCTCCCGACATGGCGCAAGGTTGGGAATAATATGGGAACATATTGTAATGAATGGAACAAACAACTAAACCAACATACGGTCGCGGTCGCGGTCGCACCTGGCCAGTTCCCAATATTCGAGTGTGCCCCGTGCAGAGACTCAGACACTCCGAGACGCCTTGCAAATCGGTTGCCGTGACAACTGACTCCACACGTTGTTGATCCCGGATGAACCGCTTCTCCTCTCTATTCGATCCTTTACCTTGATTCTTAATTCGGTTCCGCGTTCCTACATTCCACTCCGCATTCCATCTCTTTCAATCGATCTCAGTATCGTCCCTGCTAGTCGCCGTGTTGTGTCTCGGCCCAGTTGACCTAGGTCTCATTGCGAACCTTGTCTCATCCAGACCGCGTCGAGTCCTACTATGCCGAACTGAGTGATCAAAGACACATTCTACATCATGAACCGTCATCCACCGTCCAATTACGGGGATGAGCCTCCCGCGTACTTGGATGAGACGTCCTCATTCTTATCCGACGTCGAATCTCCCTCAGCCGCGTCTCGCAATGGGCCGACCATGCGCCTGCTGCCAACCACCGGCAACGAAAGCGATCTGAGTGGTACCAGTGCTCCTTCTTCCTATCAACCATCCTCCTACCAGCCATCCTCCTACCAATCAGACTATAATGAGACTACTCCGTACGTACATCCCTTCCAAAAGCAAAAGCAACCTTTTTCCCCGACACATTCCACTCGTTGTCCCTTCAACACAAAGCACATGCTCCTCGCCAGTTCTGGCTTCCCCTTTCAGTCGCTGCTTTGGGTAGACGCGCCAGGAATGCGCACGCGAGGTCCACCACTGGGCGAGATCGTGCTCGTTCTGGCTGTCTCTCAATGTCGGCCATAAACATTGCACATAGTACTTGTTTCATCCCCGTCACATCGCCACTTTGAACAGAACCGGCTTTGTTCAAGATGGATACGGACGAGCTGCATTTTTCTCCCAGTCCGTCGCGACCGCGCTCTAACATTCGAATTCGTTATTCTAGGACCGGCCAGGCGCCTCAATATGATGATCGATTCTATCAGGTTCCCAGCGCGGTTTCTCCTACACGCCAAACTTCCAGTGTGGGCACCATCCCGAATATGCCTCTTCCCGCTGGTAGTTTAGCAGACACCTCTGTTTACCCGTCTATTCCCCCGCGAACGGGGTCTCCTACTCGGCCTTGGAGCCCGGGACACATTCGCCCTCCGTCCGTGTCGAGTGTCGGCTATGAACGGGCCGACCTCAATGGTAGCCCGCGACCTGGTACTCCTAGCTCAAGATATGGCGGAAGTCCTCGACGACCCTTGCCTCCGGCTCCTCTGTTCTCGGGCCCTGCCCCTTCCATGGGTGCCGATACCAGCATTGATATTGGAGACGGGGTTGTTGGCGAAGACCCATTCGGTGGTGGTGGCCAGACCATCAACCACGGATCTCGCGCCAGCGTGCGCTCGTTTATGAGCGAGTCGACCGTCATGGGCGACGAAAAAGACGAGATGTCCAAAGTCGATCTGGATCAAGACGACGATGAAGCCAGCATGATCGATCCCAACCTTCACTACGGTCCCGCGCCTGACAAGCAGGGACGCCGAGGCGTTCGCGACACCCAGATGGTCAAGAAAGAAGTTCAATTGATCAACGGCGAGCTTATCCTTGAGTGCAAGATCCCGACCATTCTACACAGTTTCCTGCCTCGTCGCGATGACCGCGAATTCACCCATATGCGATACACGGCCGTGACGTCTGACCCGGATGAATTTACCGAGCGAGGATACAAGCTTCGCCAGCAGATTGGTAGTACGACACGCGAGACCGAGCTGTTTGTCTGTATTACCATGTACAACGAAGACGAGATCGGCTTCACCCGTACCATGCACGGTGTCATGCGGAACATCAGCCATTTTTGCCAGCGCACTAAATCTCGTACCTGGGGCAAGGATGGCTGGAAGAAAATTGTTGTTTGCATTATCGCCGATGGTCGTAAAAAGATTCACCCGCGAACCCTGAATGCTCTCGCGGCCCTGGGCGTTTACCAAGAGGGCATTGCCAAGAACGTTGTCAACCAGAAGCCCGTCACCGCACACGTCTATGAGTACACTACCCAGGTGTCGCTTGACTCGGACCTCAAGTTCAAGGGTGCTGAGAAGGGCATTGTGCCCTGTCAGGTCATCTTTTGTTTAAAGGAGCAGAACCAGAAGAAGCTCAACTCTCACCGTTGGTTCTTCAATGCCTTTGGTCGTGCCCTGCAGCCCAACATTTGTATTCTGCTTGATGTTGGTACCAAACCCGAGCCAGATGCTTTGTATCACCTGTGGAAGGCATTTGATCAAGACTCCAATGTTGCCGGTGCAGCCGGCGAGATTAAAGCCGGGAAAGGAAAACACTGGCTTGGTCTCTTCAACCCGCTCGTTGCCAGTCAGAACTTCGAGTACAAGATGTCTAACATTCTTGACAAACCTCTGGAGTCGGTCTTCGGTTACATTACTGTGTTGCCTGGTGCTCTGAGTGCCTACCGTTTCTTCGCATTGCAGAACGATGCTGACGGTCACGGTCCACTGAACCAGTACTTCAAGGGTGAGACTTTGCACGGTCAGGATGCCGATGTCTTTACTGCCAACATGTACCTGGCCGAGGATCGTATTCTTTGCTGGGAGTTGGTGGCCAAACGAGAAGAAAGATGGGTCTTGAAATTTGTCAAGAGCGCGGTTGGGGAGACTGATGTGCCCGACACTGTGCCCGAGTTCATTTCGCAACGTCGTCGTTGGCTGAACGGTGCCTTCTTCGCTGCCGTGTATTCCATGTTCAACGCCAAGCAGATCTGGAAGACAGACCACACTTTCGCTCGCAAGATTCTCTTGCATATCGAGTTCGTGTACCAGACCCTCAACCTGCTATTCACTTATTTCGGTCTCGCCAACTTCTACCTCGCTTTCTACTTCATTGCTGGTTCCCTTACCGACGAAAAACTTGATCCATTCGGCCACAACATGGGCAAGTACATCTTCATCGTCCTCCGTTACGCTGTTGTTTTGGTTATGTGTTTGCAATTCGTCATCTCCCTCGGTAATCGACCTCAGGGGTAAGTAATTCACCTCTCTCATCCCTTCATCCAACTAACAACCCCAGTGCCAAAAACCTCTACCTCGCCGGCATCATAGTCTACGCCATCGTCATGTTCTACACCGTCTTCTGTGCCCTCTACCTCGTCGTGATAGAACTCATGTCCCGCGCCGGCGTAGGCGACTCCGACCTTGACGTCTCCAGCTCCCTAATGATGAACATTGTCCTCTCCATGCTGTCAACGGTTGGCCTTTACTTCTACATCTCCTTCCTGTACCTCGACCCCTGGCACATGTTCACCTCATCCATCCAATACTTCCTCCTCATGCCGTCCTACGTCTGCATCCTCCAAGTCTACGCCTTCTGCAACCTCCACGACGTAACCTGGGGCACAAAGGGAGACAACGTCCTCAACACAGATCTCGGTACCGCAAAAGTCGTCAATGGCACAACAGTCCTGCTTGAAATGCCCTCTGAACAACTCGACATCGATTCAGGCTACGACGCTGCCCTCCGCAACCTCCGTGATCGCCTCGAGGTTCCTGAACCCCTTGTCTCCGAATCCCAACTGCAAGAAGACTATTATCGCGCCGTGCGCACGTACATGGTTTCCATCTGGATGGTAGCCAACGTCATTCTCGGCATGGCTGTTTCAGAAATCTATGGTATTGATTCAGGTGGTACGAACATCTACCTCGCCATCATCCTCTGGTCTGTTGCTGTCCTCGCTGCTATTCGTGCGATTGGATCAACGACATACGCCATCCTGAATCTGATCCACAAGATCGTTGAAGGAAAGACCAAGTTCGATGCCGGCAATATGACTAACTTCGCACCTTCATCTTTCGGTGGAAGTTCCACGGGTACCTCGTCCGAAGGAGGTGGTTCTTCAAAACCGATTCGGTATTCCGGGAAACCCTCCATTAAGGACCGCATTACCGAGGCAAGATGGGCTGCCAGTAGGACTGTGGGGAAGGCTATGTTCTGGCGCAAATAGTTGATTGATTTGGAGTTTCTTTTTTTACTACTTCTTTTCTGGAGTTATCAACACCCCCTTTTCTGGTTGTTCTTTTTTTTATGATGGAAATATTTGTGATGGATATGCTTGTGATGATCTGTATTTTTTTTCTTCTTTTTCTCATCCCATGCTACTCTCCTGACGGGGGCGGATGGGCAATAATGTGTCTATGGTTTTTTATGGATGTATTTACGTTTTCTGAATGGAGTTTATCATTTCTTCATGAATCTATCAAGTGTGAACACGTATTCAGAGACCCATCAAGGCTACCCTATCGCTGTTTAAAAACATGGCCTCAAGCGGAGCATTGAGTGGGACTGTTTGATAGAGGTTGAGACCCAGTGTCAGCCGAGTGTCCTAGTATGACGCTGGCCGATGGGCAAATTCTTGGTCTAAACTTCTACCAAAGCGTCTTTCCTCAAACAGTCCAGAAAAGAGCTTTCCCTTCAAAGCTTATGAACCTTCCTCTCATCCCTAACAATCCCCTCAACAACCCTCGCAACAGCAAGAACCTCCTCATCCATGAACCTCCCGCCGGAAATCTGTAACCCAATGGGCGCCCTCTCAAACCTCTCCGGTCCCGTATACTTCCTCCACTCCCTCTCATCAACCTCACTCCTAGGAACATATTCCTTCTCATCTCCCAACACATCCAACTCCTTATCAACAGTCAACCCAGACGGGAACACGGCAGAAGGCAAATCAACCAGGTTCCAAATGGCAGTGTAATTCCAATACTGCGACTCACCCATCACAGCCGCGACGCCCGGGTAGGGTGGAGAAATGATAAAGTCCACGCCGCGCGACTTCATGACGGCATGGTACTCGTCTATGAAGACGTCGCGCTTGTGTTGGTATTCCCAGGCTTGGGGGTGGGTTAGGGACGTTGGGCGGGCGTAGGAGAGGACCCATTCTGTTAATGGGCGGGCAGGTTCGCCTGAGGCGCGGAGCATTTCTCGTTGCCGGGAGCCGGCATCGGGGTAGTAGAGTGTTGACTGGGGGATGTTAGCGGATCGGATATGGATGTGAATATGGATGTGGATCGGGGAGGTGGGAGATGCTTACGATAATATCCCAGCCTTCCGCGTGCTTGTACGGTTCCCAGTCTACGACTTTGATACCGGCTGCAGTGAGCTTGTCGCGTGCGAGTCGGAGGGCACGGGTGATTGGGGGGTGCGGATGGACGATGCTGGAGTCCGTGTGAGTATGGATTATGGAGTATGGAGTATGGAGTCGACAAATGGGAAACTGGAACTTACCCATCATCCCACATAATGGCGATAGTCACATCGCGTGTCGGGGTGACAGTCTTCCACGGGAGAGGGACCAATGTCCTCTCGACATTCCACGGCTCTTGGTCCAGAACAGCTTTTGAGAACAGCTCACAATCTTCAAGAGAGGAGCTTGCCATGGGACCCACGACGCCGTGGATAGTCTCTTGACCTAGTGCAGCGACTTGGATTCCTGCCATCGGCATGCGCATTGTGGAAGGACGGAAACCGTAGGCTCCACAGAAGGCGGCTGGGCAGCGGATTGATCCACCGATATCAGTGCCAATGCCTAGAGGGGCGCATTTGAATCCCATTGAGGCGCCTTCTCCGCCGGAGGAGCCGCCTGGTGTCAGCGTACGGTTATGTGGGTTGACGGTTGTGCCGGTAATATTGTTGCTGCAGCAGAGGTGCTATGTTTTGGTTAGTGAGTGGTGAGAACATGATATTCGATTTTACTTACCATGAGGGATTGTGGCTGGTTTGTACGGACATGAAAGATTGCACCGGCCTTGGATAGCAATTGAATCAAGTGTGCATCTTCCGGAGTAACCTTGTCGACCCTATTCCTATCAGCAATTGTTGTGGTAGTCGTAGTATGTTTGACCTACCAAGCGACAAAACCTGTATTGCAAGTCTTGTTCTTGAGCCCAATGTGCTCTTTCACACTAATCGGTACGCCGTGCTATGTAGAATATGAGCCCTTGCACATCCATGGAAGTATGGACCAACTCACCAAAGGTCCTACCAGCTTCCCTGTCTGCTGATAATATTCATCAAGCTCTTTAGCACGAGCGATTGCCTCGTCTGCGAGGAACTCCGTTGCGAAATTCAGCTATATTCCCACTCGTCAGCACCCTGCAGTCGAATAAACAATAGAAGCCTCCTTACCAACTGATGCCCCAAAACCGATCTCTTCAGAAACGCCACAACCACCTCCTCCGCCTTCAACGTACCCTTCCTCATCTCTTCCACCAGCTTGGTGGCAGACATCTCCGTTATAGTAAGCTCGCGTTCACTGAGCAGGCCGCTTTGTTGAGGGAATGCGATAACGTTCTTCTGCGTGGGCAGCGGCAATTTGTCCGCCGAAAGAAGCCATTGTTTCGGAATGGAGCTGTCGAGAATATCTCTGCCCTTCTGGGCTTGGTGTTCCCAGCTCTGGAGAGACATATTTATTGGGGAACCGAAGTTGGGTGTTGTCCACGGGTGTAAAAGTGCAACCCTGATAGATAAAGGTGGAATGGAAGGAGAGAAAAGAGCGCGACCCCTCCCAGGCTCGTAATTATCCCCGCATGTGAAGCACCAGAGTCGTACAAACGGAATCGGAATGGATTCCAGGATGGGTTGTGATAGGCACTTCCAATGCCGGCGCGGGGATGTCCGCAGTGGTGACCAGTGGAGCTGGCGCAGTGCTCTTATCTGTAGTTGTAGTTGATGGGCAGTATCGGTTTCGGGAGAATTCCGTCATTGTTTGGCTAGTCGGATGTATATCTCGGCGGAGTTGTGCCCGCTAGGTTGCGGGCACCATTGTTATCTCGGGAGATCCTATCTTCAGGGTGGGAAACAGGGGATCGATAAGACGCTGGGAACCACCTGATAAAGTTGAATTCATGAACTGAGAGATTTTTAGGATACCAAAATTCAAATTAAGAACCTTGAAAGGTGAATCGTTTATTTGTATTGGAGGCAAAAAAGAACTCTCCCTCGGGGAATCGAACCCCGGTCTCCCGCGCTTATCGGTGTTAATGACAAGCGGAAATCATGACCACTAGACCAAGGAAGATGTAATAGCCGAGTTACTGCTCGACCACTTGGGTGGTTGATGGATGATTCCGTCTTTTTATGTTCCATGTTCCGCACTTGCCCATCATCCGCAGCAAGTCAGAGCCTCGCACAGCGTTCCACACACTACTTGACACCGTGAATCCCCCTCTGAATGTTCCGTTTCCGACATCACTTCTGGTTGGAGAGTTGCTGAATGGATCCCGTATGCGTGGAAACATTCGTTAATGATCCTGGCTGTTTTGAGGAAACTGGCAACGGAAGGTTCCTTCACCACGACGTGGACTGAGGCGAGGTTCTTTTGCTGGTTGAGGCGCCAGATATGGAGTTCGTGGATGGAGTGAACACCGGGGACCTGGTCGATCAGTAAATGTCTCGTATCGCGGCCATGATGATTCTCACCTTTTCTAGATCGTGCTGCACGTCGCTTGGGTCGACGCCGGTTGGAGCACTTTCTAAGAGGATGTGACCAGCTCTCCGTACTGTATATTCGTCAGTTGTGTGTTAAGATCATAAGAAGACTTGATTCATACTCAGTGGGATGGAAGACAGAATAATCATCAGCGCGATGCCCATGCTCACTCCCGGGTCGGCGTAGTACCGGCCATCGTACTTGGCCAGCCAGATTACCAGCGCGGCTGCCATGACCCCGAGATTGTTGGCTGCATCGCACAGAACGTGAACAAGGACCCCCATCATGCCCAAGTCTCCATGGTCGTGTCCACCCTGCCCGTGTCCATGACTGTGGCCGTGACTGTGGCCGTTGCCGTGGTCGGGACAATGCATAGAGACGGAGCCATGCGATTTTTCGTAATCCACGTGCTTGTGGTCATGATGCTGAATGTTATCAGTATAGTGATTATGAACCTGAACAAAGAACACCTACCTTGGCAATGGAATCCTCGTCGTCACTGATAGGCGACAATCCCTCCTCGATCGTCGGCGGGCCATGACTATGGCCGAGTCCGTGACCATGTTCTGTTGCGAAGTCAGGGTCAGCCTCGGTTACGCGTAACCTGACGTGTAACACTCACCATGTAAGAACAAAGCGCTGATGATATTCAGGCCCAATCCGATGCATCCAACAATGAAAACCAGTTTCGGGTTCTCAATACCTGCAACCTGGTCAGCCGTGCATTCCCCGCGAGAAGGCTTTCTACTCACGGTGTAAGGAAATAAACCTCTCAATCGACTGCAACAGGATGCTTATTCCCAGTCCAAAGAGCAACACCCCATTAAAGAAAGCACCCAACAACTGTGCCCTCTGCCATCCAAATGACAGACCCTTGGGAGATTCATCGCCTTCTGAAACCTGGAAAACGTTAATAATCTTGAAAGCCAGTCTTTCCGCGAACGAACCTTCAAGGCAATCAAGGCAATAACAAAGCCCACGAGGTCATTCAACTGACAAAAGAATCGAATGAGCAAGCCAATCCATAACCAGCATAGCATCAACATACGTAGTGAAAAGCATCTGCAACCAATGCAAGAGAGTGCGTATAAAACCCCACTACATCTCGTAAGAAACAAGTTCCAGATACCCGGGATAAACCATCTCACTCACCAGAAATCTCCCCTACAAAGAAACACGTCGAAATTCCAATCACCACGCACAAGCGCGTCGAGCGCGAGATGCGGAATGGCATCACAGCGAAACTGTTCTCACTCACTTGTGAGTGCCCTCAAACATATGCCTTCCAGTCCCTGGAAATCAATGTCAATCTTCGATATGATGACGAATGGAAAAAAGTGTACAAGCAAGGAATTAAAAAAGGTAAAAGTGGGCGTACGAATGAAACACCTAGACTGGACATTTCCAGACTTGGGACCCTTTTGATTGACAAAGATCCAAATACTTCTGCCTCCAGCTTCCGTTAGGACATCAATGGCTGGTTGGGTCTGTTACTACCGTGTAACTGTATGTTGGAGCTCCGGCCGCAAGGAAGTATGTACGAGTACCTTGGGTGTGCCTTGGGTGTGGCATGCAGGTTATCCTAGGGGTATTTTGATATTATTACTTTATACGAGTTTCAAAGGCTATCCTGTAGCTGAGAATGCTGTCTTGATTGAGGCTGGTCATTATGGACTTGATGATTGACTTGGTTAGATAATGTATCATGTTAAGAGGTAGCGCTTAGGACTCGAAGACATTGCCACGTCAGATCCCGAATCATAAAGCACACGATCTGCGGAGAGTTTAAACAATAGCAAATAATTTCCCTTTTGATCATCTGCTAGCCCTACGCTACAACTTACAAACCTTGCAAGTGGATTTAGGTTTGGCGCGTAAGGAAGCCGAGTCGTACTCGTGAAGAATGCAGGTCAACCACAATACCCACCCACTAGCCAGCGCAACGAATGTAAGATTCCTCGGCTGAGAGAACAGATCACCTCAATCTTATAACATACTGGGAAAAAAAATTGAAACCATTAACAATCGTGATCATTATACAATTTAACCAATTCCATAATCATAAGTCTCTTTACGCAGCAATCTGATCGGCCAAACCGTCCAACTCTCTCGCCCAGTTGCGATGCCGCGAAACATGCCAAACAAACTGTTCGGCCAAACCCTTCGAATCCGGTCCAACCTTATCAACCTTCAAAGACTTTCCATCCACGTATCCAGTCACAACACCGTAAGACTCGGTCACCGGTGTCCCGCTGGCAGCAACCTCAATCTCGTCCAACACAATCTGCCGACTAATAAACTTTACAGCCTCATTAACACCGCAGATAGGCTTGAGGTGAGCAAACGACTCGGTGATCCAGAACTTGGCGACTCCATTCTTCGCCAGCGTCTCGACGTGCTTACCACCGGGCACGAACACAGCGTCGAAGAGCGTAGACCGCATGCCGCTGAAGAAGTGATCCGGAACAACCTTCTCGCCCGTTTCAGCCGTGACACCTGCGCGCTGGGCGCCGACGGTGAAGACGAATGCGTCGAGCGATGAGAGAGCTTCTTTCATAGCTGTATAGGATGCGTAGTCGAACCCGTCAGCGATGAGAATTGAGATGCGGCGCGTGGCGATGGTCGGTTTCTCGGGCATGTATTCTAGCTGACTGAGGCCCTTTGCTGTGGCGCCGTTGTTTGGCTTCAGAGCCTTGGAGGGCTTTTCGCCGCCTACATTTTGGGCGACGGTGGTGGCGAGCTCGAGGCTTACCGCTGCGATACGCTCGGTCATGCGTTTGTAGACGAGGGGATCGTCGCAGTGGTCGAGTTCGAAGGAGAAGGCTTTAGCCAAGTGCATTTTCTCGATCTCGGAGAGAGAGTTGTAGAAGACTTGGGCTTGGTTGTAGTGTTCTGCAAACTTCTCGGAGAGGAGACGGGCTTTGATACCCGATTGTTTCTCCGGGTAGCTTGTGAAACCGCCCTCGGCTGGTTTAGCAGGTGGGTTGGTTTCGAAGCGGTTCGGCCAGTAGTTGACTGTTCCCTTTGTGATTTTGTGTTTCATTGCACCGTCGCGGTTGACTAGGTTCATGTAAGGGCAGACGGGACGGTTGACGGGAAGTTCCTGCCAGTTCGCGCCCAGACGCGAAATTTGGGTATCAAAGTAGGAGAAATTGCGGCCCTGCAGCAGCGGGTCGTTGGAGAAGTCAATACCAGGAACGATGTGGCTGGTACAAAACGCGGCCTGTTCGGTTTGCGGGAAGAACTCGTCGACGTTGCGGTTGAGCTCCAGCTGACCGATGTATCGGATGGGGATCAGCTCCTCGGGCCAGACCTTGGTGGCGTCGAGAGGGTCGAAATCGAAGTCATCCTGCTTCTCTTCAGGGAGGATTTGCATGCCGAACTTCCAACGCGGGAATTGGCCTGCTTCGATAGCGCTGATGAGATCCTTGCGGTGGAAATCAGGGTCCTGGCCGGCAATCTTAAGGGCCTCATCCCAAACAAGCGAATGCACACCCAGCTCAGGCGTGAAGTGGAACTTGACGAGGTTACGCTTTCCCTCTTTGTTAACCAAAGAATAGGTGTTGACACCGAAGCCCTGCATCATGCGGTACGAGCGAGGAATAGCCCGATCAGACATTTGCTACTTCATGTTAGCCACGTCCCATAACCCCCAAATGGAATACCACATACCCAATAGTTCATGTGCGTAGTCTCGGAGTGCATATAAATAAAGTCCCAGAAGTTATTGTGCGCACTCTGACCCTGCGGCACCTCATTGTGCGGCTCAGGCTTAACAGAGTGAATAACATCCGGGAACTTAATAGCATCCTGAATGAAGAAGACAGGAATATTGTTACCCACAATATCCCAGTTTCCCTCTTCAGTGTACATTTTAACCGCGAATCCGCGCACGTCACGCACGGTATCCGCACTACCCTTACTGCCCTGCACAGTCGAGAAGCGCACGAACAGAGGGGTTGTGCGGCTGGTATCGGTCAGCACGCCGGCGGTGGTGACATCAGCTGCACTCTCGAACAGCTTGAACGTGCCAAAGGCGCCCGTGCCACGGGCGTGCACGACACGTTCTGGGATACGCTCGTGATCGAAGCGCATAATCTGTGGCCATTAGTAGTGTTCTGATTACGCGCAGTGAGATGGGACAAACCTTCTCGCGGGCAATCTGATCTTCCAAAAGCGAAGGACCAGTGTGCTTATCATCGCCGACGCGGAGCCAGTGATCCGGGTCTGAGATCTTGATGCCATAGTCGGTGGTCATATGTTGCTCGCCATTGAGTTCAACGGTATCCTTCGCCATATCGCGGAACTTGCCGTCCTCGACTGAGGCGTTAGTGGGTGCCATTGTGAGTAATTTCGATGTACGTTATGGGACGCAAACGAAGATTAAATTAAAGCAGAGTGGAATCGTCCCGCAGGGGGGAAATTGCCACCTTTATAAAACCCAACTATGCCATGATGCGTAATATCCTGAAAACAGTCACACTACGTCAATGATGTAATCTACCCCAGGACCCCTCTGGACGGGGAATACCAATCGCGGAGCCGGGAAATAATATCACGGCGTGAAATCAGAACGGCTTATTCAGGTCGACCAATCTCGAACGCAAGCCGGGCAGGGGGAACAAGCTTGGAGCTACAGTGGGGCGCCGACAACAGTTACTGTAGGCTGGAGTCGGGTGAGAAGAAACGACCTAACTGGCGGACAGGGTGAACAAGGAATACTCGATGACCCAGTTTTCGGTCATAGCTTGCAAATGCCGGCCCAACAGCTAAAAACCTGGCGAAAGAGAAGGCAGACAGGAAATTATTGCGAATATGTGGCCTCTGATTCGCGGATTGGCTTTCCTGGGTTTTGACGGTGTCTCGGCATTTGGACTGGAGGGAGAGCGGGGATTCACTCTCGGATTCGTTCAAGCCAGAGAACCTAGGTACAGCGCGGTAGCTAGCTTGTGAAGCACTGCCTGAACAGCTAAGCCGAGTGGGACGTATGATTAAAGTGGCTCTTCCTTGGTTTGGTAGCCGTCGATCATCGATCATGGTTTCTAATGGGCGATCGGGTGAGGTTGGGGTACCAATTGTAGACATCTGGAGACTATGACGTGAGGTTCTAGATTCGGGCTTCTTATTAAGACAGAGCTCACTAAGTCAGAATGAATTGTGGATTGGTGAAAAGGAACTTGATTCGGGTTGAGCGACGTGACGTCATGTGATACTCATCTAGTTGGAGTCAAGCATTCCTAATTAAGAAAGTCTGAACAGCTGTAGGCGGAGTGGGAATGGAAATGGAAATGGAAATGGAAATGGAAATGTAAATGTAAATGTAAATGTAACTGTCGGATTTATACACCATGCCTATCTAACAATGAATCTGCACAGAAATCTATGTCCAGAAAATGCAATGCACACACAAGACCACACCCACCCTCAAATGCTCAAGGATACACCCAAACCGTTGGAAAGACTAAGCTACCCAGCAGGCTCACATGTTATCCTCACTCCAATGACTCCTAGTCTTCAACCAAGCCTCCCTCTCCTCCTTACTCTCCTCAGGTGTCTTCCCAACCCCAAGACCCCGCTCAACCCACTCCCGACTCCCCATCTCCGAAAGCCGCGACAAAGCACGCGCAAACGCAAAGCGCTCCTCATCACCGCTGAAAATAGACGTATTCTTCAGCGCCTGCACTGACATGCCCAGATCGTCCATCAAGTTGCGCATTGCGTCCGAGAGATCGGAGTCATCGCCCTTGAGGCTATCTTTGACGTCTTTTTCCGAGAGGAAGAGGTTTGTTAGGGGGACTTCAGTTGTGAGGACGAGTTTTGCCTGCAAAATCGTTCGTTATTAGAAAGGTCTCAAAGGGGGGTATCGAAGGCGAATGTTAATCGGGAGGGAGAAGGCACGTACCCTGCTCTCATAAACCGCGTCAATGAAAGTAATGAACCGACGGGCGAGGTCACGCTGGTTCAGGTTCATGCCTGGTACATCCGTCACGATGAAAGCATCATAGTGCCGCACCAGCTCAAGATAATCCGCTGCACCGGTAGCTGTGCCGATCAGCTCGTTGAAGGTAAACCGTGCAGCCTTGCCGCTGGCCCGAGGCACCCGAATAGTGCGACCCCAGACTTCCTGCGTGGCTGGGTGGGAAGGGTCGTTAATAGGATCACCGAGGAAATCAAACCATTTCTTCGCGTGTTGTTCGGCGTCTGTATCCAGAGGGTGGTGGTAGACGGCTGCTGGGGGACGGGGGATCTTTCGGTAATCGGTCGGGGAGTTGAGGTTGATGACGTTCAGTTCAGATTTGAGGAGGTTGATGCAGGGGATGAATGATTCGCGCTGGATGCCGTTCTTGTACAGGTCGTCTGGGTGACGGTTGGAGGTTGTGACGATGACAACGCCGTGGGACATGAGGACTTCAATGAGTCTGTATACTAATTAGTAGACTGATCTATATCATTTTGCAAGGAGTAAGAAGGGTAGTTGGTGGGAGCACTAACCGTCGCAAAATCATAGCATCAGCAACATCCGTACACTGGAACTCATCGAAACAGAGTACATTCGCCATCTCCGCAATATCCGCCGCAACCATGGGCAACGCATCAAAGTCATTGCCATACTTCATCTTCACAACGTGCATGCGCTTATGTACATCCTGCATGAAATTGTGGAAATGGATACGGGTCTTGTTCTTGATATTCGGCGGCATAGTATCAAAGAACAGATCCATAAGCATAGTCTTTCCACAACCCACATCGCCATACATGTACAGACCCTCAGGCAAGGTCTCCGGAATAGTCGATTTCGCAGCCTTATCTTTCCCTCCACCGAAGAGCGAGCCGAAGAAAGACTTCTTCGGTTGCGGATCAAGAGACTCGATAGAAGGGTGAATGACCTTGGGCGCGTCGTAGGATTTCAGGGCTTCGAAGAGGTCTTGGAGGTTCTGGATGATTCCTGCGCTTGTTAGACATGCGTTTCCTCTTTGTTCATGGTATAGATCCTACCACGCTGATACGGATCATCCCGTAGCCGACCCTCTTCTACGCGGGTATCATACTCCTTCATCGGACCCTCCGTCGGTACGACGTAGCCCTCTTTCTCGCCCTCCGCGGCGGTGACGCCATGGCCCGCGGTGGCCATACCACGCCCCCTCGCGCGCAACGGCAGCTGAGAGCCCAGGGCTCGCGCAGTAGGAATGCCAGATTTCGAGCGGTTTGCGACGGTCCGGGGGAGTCCTCGCTGGGTGGCATAGGTGCGCTCGCGCGCAACACCCCGCAGTCGCGCAGCATTTTGGACTCCCGTGGACGTGCGCAGTGCGCCGGGGAGACAGTCCCTACATATCTTCACTGACGGCCGACTCATTTGTACGGTGTGCGTATATACTTCGTGTAGCGTTTCGTGGTGGATCGGGATGTTGATGGGCGTAGCCGAGGTATTGCCGCAGGTACTGTTCTTTTCCCGGGACCGACAGTGAGATGAGAGGCGGGATGGTGCCGCGACAGTAGATACAGAACGCTCAAGGAAGCGCAGGTGAAAGCCCAGCAGAATGCGCAATTTACAAAAGAATCCGATGTAATTCGAGGTTCGGTGGCTCCTGTTCCTGAGGCGAAAAATGAACGGGCCGATGGGCCGAGTCATGTGATCTCGGAAATAGATGTAGAGCCGAATATCTTCATCTTCAATTTTAAAATCTAGATTAGATTTAGAAAGACACTGATTATTTTGAACTGATAGGTAAGAGCTTTCCTATATATGCAGAATGAGAGCATATGTACATTGCCACCAGCGTGGCAGGGTATTGTCCCCCCAAAACAAGGTATAGATGAGAAAGGAGATGGCCCAGACAGGGTAGTCAAAGACAGATAATGATAAATAAATCCAGGTCCAAGGAAAAGGGAGAGGAGCAAAGGAAAACAGAAAATGGTAGCCATGATAAAAATGAAAAAAAGCAGAAAAAAAAGACCATGCCATACATCACGCATCATATTCGTATCATCGCGAACGTCCTCCCCTCAAAACACGCAAAACCAAGTGCAATCGCTCAAAGGGCTGATAAGGCCACAGGGAAATCTCGAAAAGTGGATGCCAGAACTCCAAATGCACCATTACTCGTTGCAAACAAAAAGAAAATAAACAGAAATGCACCACTTGCGCCGCGCGCTGTCTATCGGGTTCGGATCCAGATCCAGGTTCAGACGATGCTGACAAACAGTGTCAACTTCGTATTGCGCTGCATTGCACCCTCCAGATCTTGATCAGTGACCAGATCGACGTAGGATCCGGACGTCTCTTCGCGGTACTGCACGATGATGTCCTCCTGGATCTTTAGACGATCGGACAACTTGTCTTTGAGATGCTGCATGCTGACGCCGGACGGGATGCGGATCGCGATCAAATCGTCCTGGAAGAATACCTTGACCTTCATCGCGCTCGAGTTCGATGCCGAGGAGACCTGTGTCAAGGAGCTTGCTTGGCGGTTCATTGGCGGTGGCGCAATAGACCCGTTGGAGGCTGAGCCTGAGCTTTGCTGAGGGCGCTGCTGTTGCGAGGTGCGGTCCTGGGACGCGTTCATCGTGACCTGGGAGGACTGACGGGAGACGCTGCGAGAGGGGTCTGAGTGGTGCGACTCGCCCGAGTAACGCGCCTCCTCGCCGAAGGCGTTCGGGTCGATTTCAAAGTCGCCTTGGCGTGGCGCAAACAATTGTCGAACGAGTTGGCAGCGGGCGATGTGCGGGGGCATGGCGATGAGTTTCTTGATATACTCATCGAGATTTTGGCGACGGCCGTTGGAGATCGCATCGGTAACGTGGGTGACGGGGCCGGGCATGAAGGGGAGGGTACGGGGTCGGCCGCGGTTGCCGGCTTCGTCTTCGAACTGGGTCAGGAGGGCGATCTGGAAGTCGTAGAAGTCGTGGTAGTATCTTGACAGTTCCCAGCAGCGACCGTCTTCCATCTTGGCCTCGATGATGTACCAGTATTTATCGTTGTCGAAGCAGTAGCGCGGGATCGAGGCGGCGACCGGTGCGAGGATGGGTTGGAAGTTGGGATTTTGCGCCGGAGGGCCCTGCGATGCTAGGGTTCCTTTGCTGGCATTGCGCTGGTGGTAGGGCTGGATAGATTGTTAGTATACCTGCGTCGCATTCACAAAATCAAGGCACGTACGTAAGCGTTGCCATTTTGGCTCATGTGTGCGCTCTGGTGGGGGTTCATGGACATCTGTTCCATTCCGTTGGTGACGCCGCTCATGCTGCCGTTAGAGGCGTGGCCACCCTCAATCTTGCCGAGAGTGATGCTGCTGTTCTTGTATTCGGCAGTCATCTTCTTCCACTCCTCCACCTTGGGGACACCGGCGCGTCGCACAGCCTCTAGCGGGTCGGTGACAGCCTGGCCCGAGGCCATGTCGCGGAGTTCAATAAAGGAGACAGGAATCAAGCCAGGGCCACCGAGACGACCGATGGGTTTAGCGACGAACCATTCGGGATTGGATTGGGCGATGACAATAATAGCCTCTCCGGCCTTCGCGTCGAGTTCATCGGGGCGTTCGGCCTGGAAATCGTACTGGACAATGCCGTAAACCATGGCGCCTTGGCCCTTGCCGAGCGCAGACATCCTGAAGGCGCCTTGACGGGTGTTGTTGGTGGGAGATGAGGGAATGCGGTTGGAGAAGCCAGAGTCGTGGTGGTCCTTTTTATGCAGATCGCCGGAACCCCCACTATCCCTTTCGTTTTTGCCGATGACCTCGAAGAAGGAGACGGGAACGAGCCCTCGAGCCTCAGGGATAAGCGGATTACAGGCCTCGTACCAGTCCGAGTCGTCCTCCCTGCTGATAACGTGAAAGAAGTCGCCCTTGCTGAAAGCCAATTCTTGGCTGGTGCCTTCGGGGTGGTACTCGTAGAGAGCTTTGATCACCTTGTGCGGTCAGCCACATTTCGCGGTGGGACACGAGGGGGGGTGTTTCACTCGTTTACGGAGTACACCGTGGGGTTGGGAGGGGGAAGGGGAGAAACAAGAAGATACCTTTTTGGGTGGCAGAATCGCGATCGCAGATTTGGGGGTAATAGAGATGTGATGATGATGCTTGGGTTCTTTGTCCCCCTTCAAGGATCGTCTGATGGCCTGAAACCGGGTGTTATTAATTTAACGACACACAATACGGGGCGTAACGTATCCGAGGGGCAACTCACCTTCATTGCGCGACCTGGGGAAAGGGGGGGAAGGAGAGGGGAAGGAGAGTGATGACAAGTCAGAAAAGCAGGGAGAAAAAGGGGACCAGCTTCCTTCTATTTTTTTTTTTTTGGCCCTTGAATGCGACCATATCACGAAGTGTACGGTATTGCGGTTCCAACCACAGGAACGGACGGGTTGGTGATGAGAGGCCCGCTTTTTGGTTCTATCCTCAGCTTCGAGAAAGATAGGACTGCCTACTATCTATGGAAACACTAATTAGGGTATAAGTGGCGAGCCATCAGTTCGTCCTGCCCTGACTACAGCCATCCATGGGCGCATACGGCCCCAATGAAACGCCCAGCAGTTCATTGAAGATCCGAACATACACGTAATACAGTGTACCCGGGCTCAGCATTGGGCAGACATTCAGCTTGGTTCCCTTTTGTTCGGCGGTTAGCCACTTTACGCTCCGAGTCCGAGTCCTAGACCACAAAGACTTGACCACTACTACACAAAGACCAATCTCGTGGCCACTGTACCAAAGAGACCATCCTCCCCTACCTCCCCTCAACTCATCCGTGGTCCGACCAGGCGCACCGACCGTGGGTCGAATGAGGTTCCATTCCCAAAGCCGCTTAGATCGGCGTCCGTTCTGTCAGCGCTCACGGGAAATGAGTAGAACAATTCCCGGTCTAGATCTAGCCCGGGAGAAGTCGAGAGTCTTTGCTATTAATTTAAAGATAGATTAATTCCGGGGCTTCGAATGCGCGGCCCCTGCAGCGTCCCGATAGACTATCCTGCAAAGGGCATGCACATTCGGCCTGGACCTGGACCACCTCTGCCCACATAACACGTAAGTTCCGTATAAATAGATCGGCTTTGGCTGTCCTGGTCTATCACCCGCCTGAAGAATGTAGCCACCAATTAGGCCTGAATATTGCAGGTCGCCTATGATGTCAGTGTGGCCAACTCTTTGACTTTATATTTGGCCCATCACCATGTCTCCCATACCCTTGGAAATTGGGTGACCGCAAACGATGACCGGCTAAAATGGGTGAACGGTCCTCGTAGAGCCCCATCCTACTACACCTGGACCGTGGATGTATACATCTCGCTAGAGATGCTAATGCTCTTGGGTGGGTGTGTGCATCCACTCTGTGCGTTAACCCTCTACTGCCACCCATGGCTGACGCCGCTGTGGGACCCACGTGGCGGGGCATCGCCGGTGCTTTCCATGGAAGGTCAATAGAAGAATAAATGAAAGACAGATGCATGGTGGCGTGCGAGGTCTTTGATTTGTCTGTGGGTGATTCACGCGACCTGCCAGAGTGTGGGTGATTTACAAGAACCGCGACAGACTCGGGGGCAGATCATTGTGGAGTTAATGGCCTGGGGAGTCAGGTGTCGACTTTTTTCAACATAAACATTTGAACGGTTCGAGTAAAGGGCAATGTTCGCGTCGAGGCATCCCAACGAGATGTTCAGATTATATCTCAACTTGACGTCTTGTACAATGTTGTTGAGTTCAAATTGATCTCTCCACTTACAGTCGCGACTGGTATTGCCCTCCATGCCGGAAACGTGGAGATGGAGATGCCGAGCGAAATCGAGAGCAGAGTACAGGACATTGAAATGAATTCGTCCCATGTCGGACTTGCTATTTTATGTGATGAGCTTTGAGTGGGGACGGGGGTTTCCCATCGGATTCACCCTACTACCGTGTAGTAGGAGAAGTGAAGAGAACGAAATAGATGCCATGCTTGATTTTGCTCGAATGTACTCTGGAAATAATATCTACTAGTCCAGCACTTCAACACCAACACCAACACCAACACCAACACTAACACTAACACCAAGTCCACAATCCCCTTTCCCAAACAAGACGCCAGCGGGTATTAGTATGCGACTCTTGCAGACCTCAAAGGGGATAGAATGAAATGAAATGAAACTGGGACAACTCCATGGGATGGGGACCGGGGACAGCTCGAACAAAAACGCCCTGCTGATGGAAAGGCCGACGAAGGCTCCTGGAAAATAAAAAAAACGGGACTTGGACCTCGACCTAGATCTGGCCCTTGATGTCAACCACCGCGTGGGCTGCAGCCTTGGCTTGTTCAAATAGCAGGCCTGCTTTTCCGGTCAACAGCCTCACAGACCCGTTCTTCTCCTCGAGTAGCTCAGCCGAGGAGTTTTCAATAATGAATCGCGCAGTCTGCTCATCGGACTCGAAGCCAAGTTCTTCCGTAATGAAGCGGATATTCACGTCCGGTTTGTACCTGCAACTTGTCAGCAAATATTTTCTTTCCCTAAAGGTAACGAAACCGGATGAAACAGGATCACTCACGCTCTACAGATAACAGCCAGAGCAGTCAACCGCTCCCGATCGACAAACATGTCCATGAGATACGCGCCCATATTAGGCGTGTCCAGATAGAGCTGGAAGAAGCGGTGATAGTTCCCGAGCGCCAGCGCAGACCTCACATCGAGCGCATGCTTCACAGCGAGGTCCTGCCTGTCGTCTGCGGTCACGTCGGCCAGTGCATCGTTCATCGCCGTCCAGTTGCGCGTGTAAATGAAATAGAGAATACGATATGCCTTGAACTCCGTCGGATGCCCGCCTAGCTGCGCTGCGTACAGAACGCGCAGTTGTGTCTGGCACTGGTTATACTCACCCAGATCGCCCTTTTCTAGGGCGATGCGCGCGTGGATCTCGTACACAATCACAGTGAATTCGTTCCGGATATGCTGGACCGTTAAGTCCTGGCGGAGAGACTTGAATTGATCGCAAATGTAGCCGTAGTTGCCCTCTTGTTTCCATTTTCTCTTGAGTAGGTCCAGTGTATTTTTGAGCACGGAAAGTGGCCGCACGGTGTCCGGGTTCGGTGCCGATGTCAAGCGGAAGTACTTCTTTTCCAGGGTTTGGCAACGGCCGATCACGGGTCCTTGGTCGACTGGGGGACTGCGGGCCGGCGAGGGAACGGGTGAGGCAGACCCGTAGTTGGCTCCGGCTCCTTCGAAGCGCTTCTTCCTCATCTCCAAATTAGCTTTTGACTTACTAGAGTCATCTGTTGTCATGCGGGGTCTCTTCTCTGTGGAAGGGTGAGTGATCCGATCTTCAAACCGGTTGCGAGTGTTATTGTTAGCTTTTGTCCAGGGATGCGTCTCTGCGTCCTGGTTGAGGCCCGATTTTCTCTTGCGGGAGGCATCCACCGGCGAGGAAGGGGAGGGCATTCCCCAGTTCGACACGTTGGGGTTGGCCAGAATCTTGTTGCGTTCGTTCTGGACCATGACCTGTGGGAGAGCCAGTCTCTCCCAGTCTATGGTATTGAGTTTGTTGTTCTCTGCCGCATCGGTAATGACAAATTTCAGCTTCTCCTGCATTTCCTGCGCGGTCACGCTGGCCATCTTGTTTTCAGGCGCGAAACAGCGCTGCACATATGACCGCACGGCAGGTGGAAACTGCACGCGCGGCGGCGGAGTTGCATCCGCTGGTGTCATGTCGGCTCCGTTGGTGGCTGGGGTTGGTTTATTATAGGCAAGGCTACGACGTGCTTGAACAGGAATATAGGCAGGGGTCGCTATAAAGTAGGTCAACATCATATTACAAAATGAAGGCAAATAGATCCCTTACCAGTAGATGGATAAGCAGCAGGCGTCGGGTTCGAGGCCGAGGCCGTTGCACGCCACGGGGCGAAGCTCATCCCGAGGGTCTCTAAAAAAGTTGTAAAGTGGCGAAGGGTGATATAAAATGAGATCGAAGGAAGACTTTGAAAATAAAGGGAAAAAGAACAAGAAGGCTACGGAGGAAGCAGGGATGAAAACTTTGGAAACCGTAGATTTAGGAAGTGGGTGTTCACTGACAGCGCACAAGGTCAAGTTGAAGTTTGAAGTTGGAAGTTCAACTCGCTTACCCCGGAGTCACTTTATTCCGGCCCCGCGGTCTATCATAGTCGCGCTATCGCGTGTGCATCCCTATGCCACCTGCTAGATGTTTTTCAAGTCTCTTGACCTAACGACTGCATTGCGGCCTTTACTGTTACCTGATGAGACTCTTCTCTTCGTCCAGGATGCCGTGGGCTTGTATGAAGGGTAAGTGGTTCCCGGGTTGCGGGTTGACGCCATACTGATATCGGACCAGGAAATACAAGATCCCCAACTACCAGAATGGCCATGCCTACTTGACCTCGCATCGCGTATGCTATGTGGCCGCTGAAGATCCACGCAAACATTCCGTGGGGATCGATCTGAAAGAGATCGATCGAGCCGATTATCAGGTACAATCTATCTACATCATGATGTTTGATATTGGCTCACTAAGTTGTCTGATTAGGCTGGCTTTTTGAAATCATCCCCGAAGATCACAATATATCCCAAGCCTCAGAAGAACAAAGACAAATTGCGAAGCGCAAATGCCAGTCCTGCTGTATCGCAGACCACCCTACAGCCGGTGAAGCCGCTCTCCCCGCATCCTCAATCCGCCGTGCCACATCCATCATCTTCTCCAAAACCAATAAATGCGACCTGGATTTGTCCCATTTGCTCATTTTCTAATCCCGTGCCCTCAAACTTCGACACTACGACAGCAACTCCGGCAGTAAACTTACCACCATGTCTGGCCTGCGGTATCAAACCACCATTCACGACCGTCCTCAAAGCGGCGATTAGCGCGGCCGCCGGATCGGCCAGTCGAGATCTGCCTTTACCCATATTGAATTCATTGTCGGTCGAAGATAGCACCGTTACAAAGAATGCAAGCTGGACCCAGCCTACAGGAAATGGAACTGTGTCGTGCCATCGCTGTACATTTGTCAACCACCCCTCTCTCATTGAATGCGAGATGTGCGGGTCACCGCTGGTATCGGCCCCGACGTCAAATAGTGGAGTCGATGCGAGTCGCTCGGACTCTCCGGCTCCGTTTTTCGATCAAACACGCATCACCAATACGGAAGTGACAGAAAGCATAAAGCTTTCATTTCGAGCGGGCGGGGAGAAGACTTTCCACGAGAGACTGAAGGGAGCCCTCATTCAGCGGAAATGGCTCCTACAAAATGCACCTCCGGTACCTCCGCCGTCGCAAACATCATCAAGTACGCCGGCTACTACGGCCGTGGAAGGTCCCCAGCCGGCCGCGCGCGCGGCTGTAGGTATTGCAGGTTTAGAGCAACGGAGACTGGAAGCCCGCATGAACAATCAGCTGGTGATAGGCAATGCTTTTGAGGATCTCGAGGCGCTCATGGCATCTGCGAAACAGATCGTGGCACTTGCAGAGACTCTTGCCAGGGAGTCTGGAATGGCCAGCAACGAAGGTTCAGCAGAGACCAACGCGGTGCTGTCGGAATCCGCAGCTGCCTTGGGAATGGTGACTACAAAGGACATGCTCAGTTCAGGATCAGAGAACCTCTATCTATCAGAGCTGTCACGCAACCTAGCCGAATACCTGACAGACGATCGCAAGGGAATTTTGCAACGGGAGGGCGGCATCATGAGTCTGATTGATTTGTGGGCGGTGTTCAACCGATCCCGCAATGGCGTAGAACTGGTCAGTCCTTCTGACTTTGAAAGGGCCGCTGAATTATGGGAAAAGCTCAAATTGCCGGTTCGACTCCGCCGATTCAAGAGTGGTCTACTTGTGGTTCAGCGGTTTGACTGGAGCGACGATAAGACAGTACGTCAGCTACTAGAATGGATGGATGAATTACGAGCCGCACCACCGGAGGAGCCAGTTCCATGGGACTGGAGTGAGTTCGGTCGGGCCGTGACAGCACAGGAGGCGGCACAACGTTTCAAATGGAGTGTCGGTGTGGCTGCTGAGGAGCTCGAGATGGCTGAAGACCGGGGGGCCCTATGTCGAGAAGCAGGGATCGAAGGTCTACGGTTCTGGAGCAATCGATTATAAACTTTTAGTTTCGAAGTCCAGGATATGAAGTAAGGAAGGTATGCCGAAGCCAAAGGAGAATAGATCCGCATGCATTATTGATGACGATGGATTGAGATATACAACTGAGCGACGATTCGTAGGTTTCGTGTCTGACGTCATGCGCTGATTACATGCGGGGATCCCGTGATCTCTCGCTTGTGATTGGCTGACCCCGCGATGATCTGACTGTGCCCCACTCAACTCGGAGTCCACTGCTCCTGCCATTTTGTCCTTCTGCTCCCTCCCTGTTCCTATTTCTCTTCTTAAGTTCATCCGCTGTCTCATCTTCGTCTCTTCCATTAGAAGCATTCAGTTCCCAGTTTGCATCTCAACGAACTATCTTGAATGGTCTCCAGACGCCCTCCTGGAGTCAAGATACGCGGACCCGCTCTTAGACAACCATTGCGAGTGGGTATGATCGACGGTATCCTGGAGCCCACTACGCGAACTACTTCCTGTCCACTTCTATACTTCCTGAAATCTACTACGAGCACCACACAGCCCACTCTGGAGTACCCGTATCTATATCAATCATGAGTTCATCTATAGCCATGTCTTCAACGGGTGCCCGCCCAGGCCTATCCCAACTAGTGGTTTCCCACGCCGCCAGCCGAAACGTAATAAGTGCAACTCGCCACTGTCACAGCAAACATGATAAGGCGGAGCGCATCTTCCGTCGAATCGACAAGTATCACCGTCATCCCCAAGCCAACCCCTCCCGCAAAGTCGAGTGCCAATCGTGGCCTTCCACGGCCCACCATGACTCGACCTCGAGTTTCCCATGGGGTCTGCCCCCTCGTTCTCGCTCCTCGTTCTCAGGCTTTTCGGCCGACCGAGGAAAGGGGTTCTGGGATACAGAGCGCGAACAGCTACATCACCACATGGCTCACATTAAGAAAAGCGTCTCCGAAGACCCATATTGTGCTATCTTTGGCCGCCGATTAGACTCATATTGTATGGATAAGCAGGAGCACGTCTGGCCCGGTTTCTTGCGCTCTTTTTTGAACATCGAGCCTGCGGCTGAGGAGAACCCTTCGAAAGCCCACCTTCAAGATTTTAACTTCGTCAAGTCTCCTCAGCCAAGTGCCGATGGATACCAGTATGATCCTATAAGCGGGCGTATGGCTCCCATGCCACCGAAGCCCGTGGACACAGATGTTTTTGCTAGTGTTGAATGTCCCCCTGGAAGTGAAGTCGAGGCCAAGCTTGCGTCCGAGCCGTTGGTGAAGGAAACCGCCCAGAAACCTCGGCCCGAGTCCGTCGACTGTACTGGTGGAAGCGAGCTGGAGGCCCTTTTCACTGCGGATCCGGCCAGCTTCAAGGAAGCACAAGTGATGGCGAAGGTGCCTCATGGCCAGGAGTCTATCGTGAAGCCCAATATTCATGTCGACTGCTCTCCCGGCAACGAGCTGGACGCTCTTTTCGTCTCGGAATCGCGCCGCACGGAGCAGCCCGGTGCTGAGACCATACAGGTCCCGGAATCTGAGAAGAAACTTGATCCAGATTCAGGTTTGAGCTCTTGTGTTAATTTTGAGTGCGCTCCCGGTCACGAGCTAGAGGCTATGTTTGCTGCCCACCCTGCCGCTCAGGAGGACCAGTCTCGTCCTTTAGATACATTCGATGCTCAGCCAGCCAGCAGCGAGGCCGGTGTCTCTGTCGACTGCCCCCCTGGTAACGAGCTTGACGTTAAGTTCGCTTCCACCCTCGCTGGCCTTGACTCTCAGACTGCCAGTGTCACTGAGGACGCTACCCCAACCGTTGACTGTTCTCCTGGCAACGAGCTCGAAGCCAAAATCGTTTCCGAATCTATGAGCCTGGGCACCACTCTTGACTGCCCTCCGGGTAGTGAGCTGGAAGCCAAGTTCATCGCTGATCCCGCTTCTGCCGAGCACGCTCCGTTTCAAACAGCTCCTACTGCGGAGCACGCTACTACCAGGAAATGCAATGTCAATATTGACTGCACTCCCGGTAGCGAGCTTGAAGCCCTCTTCATGTCCGACGCAGCCAGCACTGGTGCACGCTCTCCTTCCGTCTCCGAAGTCAACGCCAAAGCCGAGTCCCACAAGTCCAACCTCCATTACGAAGGTACCGAAGACCGAGTCGGCGACTCCCTCAAGGAAACCCAGAAAACGCCTTCTCAGTGGTCCACTGCCGAATACCGCATCCTAGCCTATGACTCGTCTATCTCAAAGATCAGCGCCTCCGAAGCAGACTCATTTTTCGGCACCGCCTCAACTACAGCCCCCGAAGAGATCCTCGCCCGTCTACACAACCCCGCCAAGTTCGTCCCCTACTTCCAGCAGATGCAAATAGATGGCTACGGAATCGCTACTGGTGGCGGTGATATCCTCGTCTTCCGCCGATCCGCTGCCGCAACCACCAACAACTCACCCTCCGCCGCCGCAACCACGAAAGCCAACCAAGAAATCGCCAACTCCATCCGTCACGACTCCTACCCAACCTCCCACTCCACCTTCCAGGTGAGTGTTTAATACAGGTCCCGTCCGACCACCCTCTAATTGGTCCAAGCCCCCGGCTCGTCCAGCCCGAACTCGAAGCCGAAACCGAGATCTAAACCCGGCATCTTCTCCAGAGTGTTGTTTTTGGGTACAGTAACAGCGGCTTCATGCTACGCCATAGGGGTTGTAACTGAATTCTTCCGCACTGGGGGCGTTGACGGAAAAGGCGTTGACGGGTTCACTGTTTTTGAGTCCGATCGGCGGCGCGAGTAGATCTTGCTTTTTATACTCCTTTCTTTTCTTTCTTCTCTTTCTCTTCTCATTTTATTCATATATATTTGATAAGACCGCGAGTCGGTCAAGACTGTGAGACACGTTTTCGGGGGGAATTGGAAGCGTTGAACGATTCCATTCTCTTTGAATATATATACCTCTTGACATTTCGGATGCTATAGATGCATATGATATCAATTTTGGATTCTTGATGACTATGATCATAGATTTCCCCGTGGTTCTTCCGCTTGGCCCGATTAGGTGGATTGACCCCAGCCCTGGAACTTGATTACAATTACTTCCACATGTGCCTCAGTCAGCTTACCTCAATAAACCGTAATACACTAGTTTACGTATAGTCTTTCTATGCATTACCTAAATGATCAAGGACCGCTTCCATTAATATATCCGTCGTCATTCGAAAAGAAATGCATTAACATACATGTTTTGAAAGACAGATGCCGATTTCACTTGACCATACAGTGCAGAGTATTCCACTGCCCCGATATGACCTTGAAACTTCAAATATTTGTAACTGTAACATCAAGTGTCGATATTGCCAACAATCATCTCCTCATTACCTCGAGGACGCGTTGGCTTAGGAAAGATAATACCCTCATCCTCCCAAACAAAATCCCACCAGTCCCGCCGAGCATCATGAAAACTACCGATGCGATCATACTGTGCATTGCGCATGCTCTCTCGTCGACGATGAGCTCCATCAGCCTCCTGTTGCGCAATCAGCTCCTCACGACGAAGTTCCTTCTCCTTCTCGAAATAATTTTCCTGCTTGTGCAAATCACGACGAACGCGAGCATCGCGCACCGGCTCAACATCCAGCCCGCTGTCAGGACTCGAAAAATCATTAGCATAGGGATGCTTCTGAAATACCTGCTGCAGGGTTCCGCACTGGGCGGTTCCACTAAGGAGATAAAATTGCAGGGCGACAAGCATTTGGACGGCGGTGACAAAGTCCTGTTGGTTCCAAAGATCATACTCACGTGAAGCCAGGACGCGGAAGGTACGCACGTTGGATTCGTGGTCCAGTTGCTTTATCTTGCTATCTTCGAGCTGCTGGCGTACTCGCTCCATGTTTTCGGCTCCGTAGAAACGGCTGCCGCCGGGTGCCAGGGGATATATTCCATCTGCACTAGAAAGTTGGATACCAAAGTGGTCTCCTTCGGCGGCGTAGTCTTCAATATGAGTGCTAGAGGGGGTATCTGGGGATACGGACCGAAGGACCTGGTCTAGTTCAGATGAAAATACAGATGGTGGGCTGGGGATTTTGCGACGACACCACAGGCTGGAGATTTTCTGGCCAGGGAAGTAGGCACGCATGAGATGGAGCTTTGAGCCGTGCAGACCGATTAGGAATACTTCCTGGTCTGGAAGCTTGTCGCCCGGGTTGGGGAGGTATCGTAGGTGTAGGAGGAGTTGGCCGAGCATTATCTTGAATTTGTCTGCGAGAGCGGAGGCAAGAGGCTGTTCCTTGGTGGTCTAAGATTTTGTTAGCTGGGATACTTGGATCTGAATATCGAGTGGCCTTTCTTGTTTTTACGTACCGAAGAAATTGGAAGAATGGTATGGCTGGTCCATGAGTCAGGACTAAATTCGAGAGAGAGGAAGCCCGCGGTCTCGGGTGCATCCTTGTATTTCTGACGGTATCCCGTCCAGTACTCCATCTGAGCTCCCAGCAAGCGAGGACTACATGGCATGTTAGCAAGATTCAATGCAGCAGCAGCAGCCTCAAGCTGAGAATAGTTACTCACGTCAAGAAGAAAATACCATCCCCATCATAGGTCTCCCGTCTAAGATCAATCATCTCACCAATCTCGCTCAACAACGCGTAGATGACCTGAGATTGAGCATTGGGTTGACTGGTGATAAGCTCATGCCGACAGTTCTGAGATCCACCCTGCCACAGCCCCTTTGTGAAGTGCGGACATTTGGAGAGAGTCTGGAAGACACCTCTGTAACGGATGTCCACCTTGGACCACTCCTCTATGTCCATCCCACAGGCATATTCTTCGCCGCTTCTGAAGATCCAAGCCTTGCGTTGGGTGTTTGCTGTGGAGGAAACAAGTTAATATGTTCTCGCCTGCGGTTTGATGTGTCTCTTCCCACAACCACGGGACAGAACAAGGAAATATGCTCACGCGTTTGATACGCCAGTCTCAAGTATCTGGCCAGAATGAGATCCTCGAGATCACGGTTCAGAAAGAACTTGGCTGTGGTGTTCTGGACATCACACTCGATAGGGTCGTTGGAGACCGGGCTGAGATCTGTGTTGAGTGGGTGCAGGGTTCTGAATGGGCTCGGGGTCGGCATCATGAATGTATCCAGAGGAGGGAGGATCGGGGACGGCAAACTTGGAAATGGTAAGAATGATGGATTGTGAGGAGAGGGGTTCATTGAGAAGCAAGAGGTTAGGTGTTTATCCCAAGAGTGAAGAGAGAACTCTTGCGCTGCCTGGTGATACTTCCTTCATAGCGAATTCGGTCCTCATTCTCGAGGATGCTGCTTACTGTGACGCACTTGCTATAAAGAGATGAAAGGACTGAAACTTCAACCTAGTAATATAAAATAAGCCCGGACTTATGGTTTACTGTCTATCTTTGTGTCTTGTTTCTTTTCAAACCCGGTGAGTGATATGTTCGTACCGCGAACCATCTAGGCCTTCAGACTTGCCGCAAATTCGGTGAAATAAGTCTGCAAACGTTGACCCTCTTCATCTGCAACCTGACTATGGGTCTTGATACTTCCAATAGGATGATAAGGGAATGGACTAGACCACGCGAATCAGCAAGTATTCATCTTCGGTCAATAATCATGACTTACCCATATTCCGGCACAAACCTGATTTCGGTGTCCGAATCACTCTGTTCGAACCGTGTTTGAAGAACCCTTGTCCACAGTCTCTCCATACACAACCTTTCTTCCTTGAACACTGGATTGAGAGGCTCAGGACACTGTGAGGCTTGCGTTGTTCCGATTCTAGCGTGAATGTGGTGCACCTGGAAGATATTTAGAACACTGAGCCATTCTCTGAGCCCCAAGACTTACATGCGGAATTATAGCATCCATCATAGCCCGATCGCCTTCCCCGATATCCAAAAGCCTTTCTAATCCAACCATCCAGTGAGAGAAATCTGCAGTGATGCGAAGTCTGGAGCATTCATTGGTCAACTCTATCGTCGATGATAGTTTCAAGAAAGGGACATCCATACTGAGGAACGGCTTCCAGGATTTTCCGGGTGGCATACGGTGTAAAAAGAGAACGGTTCCTATGAGTCTCGTGAACGACACGGCCGGCGACCCCAAGCGCCTGGTCGATTTTGAGTGTGCCGCGGTAGAACTTGATTGATTCTTCGACATCCCAGGCGTCCCTAGTTGGATACATTAGCGGTTTGAAGAGCTGAATCATGAATTGCTGACACGTACTCCCCGGATTGGAAGTTAATGTTGACAGGTTTCAATGGCTCGATCAATTGAAGGAGCTCGCGGTAATTTTGCAAATGATTTTCTGCTGTAAGGCCAACAGGGCGGGGACCCAGGTACTGGAACCAAGATGAATGCACCCTTAAAGACGTCAACAAACTGACACATTCAAGAATCAAATGCGTGTGAAGCAGGAGGCTGACATCGCGCTAATCTCCAAGTCCACCTGGTCGCAGATCTCCCTCAAGCGCTTGAAATCACGGTCGGGGTTTTGTAGTCCATGAATGTCCACTTCAACGCCAGCTGTTGAGATATTACACGTAGTAAGCACCTGAGTCTTGCTCAATCCGGAACATGAGAGCTCCTTACTGTAGCCCTGCTTCTTGAGATCGGGGAACCAATTGGCCCAGTTGTTCAGATTGTCGCCAGAGTCAATGCCCCAGACGGAGCGAAAACGGGTGATGATCATCTCTGCCAAACTTCGACCTGACAGCTATAGCTCTAACAAAATCGTAACTCGACAGAGGCATTGAAATTATTTAAAATGCACTACCAGGTCTCTCTCCATAGAGCCACGATCTCCATCATCCAGGAAGAGGAATGTTCCCCGTTCCGGGGAATGCTCTCGGGTCGGTTGTATGCAGTATCCCGGACCCACTGTCGCCGAAATTCACCTATTCAGGTCAAGTCAATGGGTGGGCGCCCCCACGCAACTAGAAAGCTGATGTCAATTTGGAGACGGCCATTGCCAATTTCTTAGACTCCACTCATGATTGTCTTTACCCCACCCCGCGGGGCTTTCGTGTAACGCGATAGCATATGGCGAAACGCGTGAATTAGGCAGATGCACGACCTTGAGCGTCAACAAACACAAGGTCCGTGGGTGATCAAACCGAATGTAAGAAAACAGAGAAATTTCGTCTACATTTCCTGCATGGAAGATTTCAGAAAGAAAAATTTGTTCAATTTTGCAAACTTAAACTCGGCTACAATCAATTAATCGACTATAACTACCAAACAGTCAAACTTTTGACCCAAAGTAACCCCGGCCTCCTTGCATCCGAACCAAATAGACACTTAGGTGACCTGGCTCCAAGACTAAAGGCCAGAATCATAGATCCCAGTCCTGAAACCCCCATTTGGATGAATAATAACCTTGGTATATCCATCCTCCCTTTTATCGAACTTATCGTAGGCAACTTCAGCATCAGTAAGGTCGATCTCGTGAGAGATAACAAAACTGGGCTTCGCCTTGCCAGCGATGATCATATCACGCAGGTACCTATTGTATGCCTTGACATTGCACTGGCCGGTACCAAGAGACAGACCCTGTTAATTGTTAGAATGTAATTCACGAACAATATTCGAAGAACCGACCTTTTCGAACAGCTTGCCGAAACTCAGACTAATCATTCCATTGGCAGTCGCAGCATCGGGAGCGCCAGGATCACTTTGTCCAACTTGTCAGCTTATGAGTGGAAGTGGTAAACGGTGACGTACCTAGGGACATAGAGTCCCGGAATTCCCATCCCACCGCAAGCGCGCGTAACCCGGATCATGTTCTCGAGGACGATATTCGGCTTCTCGGAAGATCCATTAGGGTCAACAGCTTGGTAACCAACGGCATCGACAGATCGATCCACCATTTCACCATTGTGCTCGATGATCTGGTCGACGGCATCGCTCTTAGTGAAGTCGATTGGAATACATCCAATCTTTTTGGCGGCTGCGAGGCGCTCGGGAACTCGGTCGACCACATAGACGAAGGATGCGCCGCGCAAGATGGCTGAGTAGGCGGCCATCAGACCGACGGGGCCTGCACCGAAAACTGCGATGCTTTCGCCGGATTTAAAGCCCGAGATTTCAACACCGTGCCAACCTAGGGGGATCAGATGAGTTGGGGCCATTGTTAAAGTAATGCAGGGGTGATCGAACCGGTTGGGAAAATATCTTGCGATCCAGTCAGTAAAGAAAGCTTGCTAACTTAGGGTCAGGGTCTATTTACCTGCCAACAAAACGAAATCGGCTTCGTGCTCAGTACCTGGGGGCAGCTTCAACGCATTGAAGTCCGCATAAGGAACACGGATGTACTGGGCCTGGCCGCCGCGGTAGGGCCCCATAGCGACATAGCCTTCTTAGCGTCAGCAGCAGTATCTCGTTCTCAGATCTTCTCGTCTTACCATAAGCTCCGCCCGCAAATCCAGGGTTAACACCTGTGCAAAAGGCCGTGAGCCCTTCCTCACAATTACGGCATCGACCATCAGCAACGTTGAAAGGCATCACGACACGATCTCCCTTCTTCAACAACGTCACGCCTTCACCCATTTCCTCCACAATTCCCATATTCTCGTGACCGAAAGTGATTCCTGGCTCAGCTGCGGTTCGGCCTTCATACATGCTGTTACGCGGTGAGCTTCAGTTTCCCAGTCCGGGCAACGCGTCACAAGCTTACTGCAAATCCGAGCCACAAATCGCCGCCTTTTTTTTTTTTTTTTTAGGTCAGTAGAATATCCCATGCCCAGATCAACAAATTGAACTCACAGTGGTGACTTTAACGACGATGTCATCAGGATGCTCCAGCTTCGGCTTCACGACGTTTTCAACTCGGACCTTGTACGGTCCGAGGTAGTTCAATGCTTGCATAGTCGCCGACGCCATTTTGGCTTGGTAAGATTGATGAAATAGCTTTCTGATGAAAATCTGTGGGTGTTTGAGGGAGTTATTTGAGGGAGTTAGAGAGGCTGACTTAACCCTGACGGATATGTGACGGCACCACTAACCAAGTCAGTAGTTCATTCGCCGAGTTCATCAATTTTCTCTCAAAAAAAAGTGAAATTAGGTGAAATGGCTTGCAGAGCGTGGCCGTGTTTGCCCCGCACTAGTTGGTACTTTACGGTTATTGACATGAGGGGGAGCTGCGGCTTCCCCGCATCGCGGATAGGGGATCCGCACGGGGAATATTGCTTCATTGGGTTGCGTCAGTTGCTCGTTACAGTTACTGAAATGGCGCAACTTGACATCAACTGCAGGTTGGAGAAATGATTTGCCTTGGGATTAGACCGCTCGGAAGTATTTACACCGATTCAAATTTCAGAGATGACTCGAAAACCCCGTCGCTATCCCATTTTCATATATCGATGGCCTCTAGTCTCAAGCTGTCTCAAAAGCCTCGTCGAGAAATTCATACTTGACAATGCGTGCCATCCGTTATAGAAATCTCTGTCTACTCGCTTATATTTGGATGAGAAAAAGCCTATCGCGAGGAATTCGCAAACGAAGGCATTGAGTATAGAGTTTCGAGGCACAAGCACTCCCTTGGGTGAAATTTCGGTTTAGAATAGCCGACAGGGTGGCGATTGAAAGCTAAAATCTACTTCATGTTGTCAACACCCACCCTGAAGCATTCTTCATCACATAACTAAGCCTAACGGCTAAAACGGCCGATCGGGTGATTCGGCCCACACACAGTCCAGTGTCTCAAGTACCTGCAGGGTTTTCAACCAGTTAAGCTTAGCTATGTTCATTAATGGATGGCACAATAGCCGAAGAACGTGAAGCTTTCCACTCATATCGACTTTTAGGGTTCGATCGATGGCCCTGAACTCACAGAGCCAGGTGATCTTACCAGAAATGGAAGTGATCTTCGCAATTAAAGGGCGAGTGTGGTGAGAATCGATGAATTCTTATGTCTTAGGTCAAGTCTAGGCCACCGCGGACACTTGTCAATTCTTGTAAGTGTTCATATAGTTGACATGGGTCGGCGCAGGATGCCTCATATTCAATATCCTCCCCAGATACCGCAAGTCAGCTTAACTCTACTCTTGTCCTATTTGTTAAGATCCTACTTTTAAACTGCATTCAAGCCCTGTTCGTTCATCCACAACAAAATTTCCACCATGAAGGTCTCACTTCTTCTCACTTCCGTCTTCATTGGCGCCGCCTTGGCTCACCCTGCCACACTCGTCAAGCGCGACGACGCTCCTTGTTCCAACGCGATATATAATTACCCCAGCTGCTGCTCTAGCAGCACTTTGAGCCTTGCGGATACTAGGTGCAAAGCTGGTCAGTTGCAATTCCTGTCGTCCGACTAGATCTTGACTCTTGCTAATCCACGTTTAAACAACAGCTAATAACGCAATTGATGGCCCCAGCTTCAGAGATAGCTGTGGCGAAGACAGAATACCCAAGTGTTGTACATTGAATATTGCCGATCTTGGTGTTCTCTGTCAGGAGTATTGATAGCTCGGTGGCTTATATTGGGAACTGGGAATGCTCATCGCGCGCAAGTCGCGCCTGAGTAGATAGCTCGGGAAATAGCTTCGGCAATTCACATCTATTTTGTACGATCACGGAAGAATGAAGTCTCAAGAGTCTCATAAGTTGCAAGAAAGAAAAAATAAGCAATGCCACCCACTCATTAATGAAAAAGTACTATACAGAAGCCGGATTCTCCAGCCCAAACTGAGCCTTCCAGTACTTCTTCACCCCATCACAAATCCCCGTCTTGTTCTTCCAGCTCTCAAATTTCGTCTCCAGCTCACACCCTGTCCACAGAATATCCGCCCAGAACTGTTTCTCTACGTCAACCGGAAACCCCCGAATCAAATCCTCTGGCGTCGTCCAAGCCCGCGTATAGTTCCCATCATCTAAGAAAGCCGGGTTAACCGCCTGTTTGCTGAAGACGGTGGCCGGGTTGAATTTTGGGAAATTCGCATGGATGAAGAATGGACGGGGTTGTGTAGCTTTTGATCCGTTCACGCGCCACTCTCCCTGCTGCGTCAATCTGTAATCTTCAATCGGGTCGAATTGAGCCATTGCGGATCCAGCGAGGCCGCCTTTTGTCGCGTGGCCCATTGCGCAGATGCTTTCGCTGACTTGGTAGAATGGTTCGCTAAGAGCTACTGCTGCTGCGACGAAGGTCTCTTTGTCTCCTTCGCCTGCGGCACCTTGGGTGAGGAGGCGGTAATAATGCGTCGGGCCCCAAAAGTTATAGTATGTGGATAGGAGGAGAGTGCGGAGGTGTGTTCTCTTTGAGATGATCACTTCGCCTGACTCGGTTGATTGTCGCGAGTCCATGGGGGCGACTTGCTGCGAGGAGATCTCGTAGTAGAATGGGGAAGCGGTGGAAGCCCAGAAATCGGGCCATGTGACAAACTTCGTGTCTTTGAAAGGGGCTTCCTCAAAGATCAACTCCGGTTTCAGGATCGGGAATGCATCGGCGTCCAGGAACAGGATCTCTTCAAAGGATGAGAAGAGCATGGCGAAAGGCTTCAGCTGGTATTTCTCGATTTTGTTGCTTTTTGGAACTGCATTGAGGACATCTGACAGCACAATACATCTGGCGTCTAATGAAGGCAGGACCGTGTCGCAGATGTATTCCTCGTACTCATCGCGCGAGGCCAGAAAGACCTCCATGGGAAGGAATGAGCCTGTGCGGCGCAACATGCGTAGTGAGATTACCAACACTGGGAGATATGCACCCCCCGCGGTGGTCACAATACCCTTTGTGCCCGGGACGTATGCCAGCTGCGGCGGATCGGTGGTAATGGCGTCGACGAACTCGATGTGCGCCCTCTTCATGCGCAAAATATCGCGGGTGGTCATCTTCAGGAGGTCCGGTCGGGGATCTGGGTCCGAAGCCTTGAAGCCTGTTGAATTTGCGTTTGCTAATCGTCGCGGTGGATCGCATCTTGGTTTGTGCTCCATCAATAGTGATTGGAACTGGCGCCAGAAGTTGACATGCTCGGACGCATCGTGGTGGTACGTGCCCGGCAGGGCGTCAGGCGGGGTGTATTCCTGGGATGTGGGCCATCCTGTCAAGTACCAAATGGTAGCGATCGCGAGAGCTGATGTGATCAAGATACGAAGTCGGCGCGTCATCTTTGCGACCACTCGAGGTATCGAGTGGACATTAATGGAGAGGTTCGTCAACAAAGTTGGAAAAGAGAAGCGATGTATTAATTGGGACAGTCTCAAAACATGAGACTGCATTTGGATTACCCCGGGAAAAACGCGAACGCATCCGGATCCGTTCTATTTGGGCAATGTTTTTGCACAGAATTCCAGTGTTGAGGGTGTGTCCTGAGATCAGCCGGAAGCGGCCCGAAGATCCCTCGATGAGAGGCCAGCTTCAATCAACTTAGTAGGCCAACCATGTCCTTTTTTCCCAGGCCTTTCAGCCTTCATTGATCTTTGATTCGCTTCGAAGATTAGAAAACTGTCACAAAAAGGTTACGTTGTTTTTTGAGAGTCGGATTTGAGGTTCTACTACGGAAAACTGTTCCATGTACTTGCCAAGACTTCCGCATGCGGTAATATTGAACCATGAAATACTAACGACAAACAACCCTTAGCTGTTCGTGTTAGGGACTAGCGAGGCAGGATCACTATTCTCTTTCCTAAGGTCTCGTTTCATTCTCCTCACATCATGATATCGCAATAGTACCCTGAGTTAGCCTCAAGGTCACAAACACGTCAAACTGTCGTGCGTGGTACAACTCCAACTACGACACATCTGTCATCTCAGATCTTTGACTGGAAAATAAGTCACAGTTGAGTCCCCAAATCCATTTCAAGCCATTGCAGTGACCATGATAAGGTATCTCCTGCTCAGTCGACAATTGTGGTTGCTTTTTCTTACGTTGTTAGGCCGTCTCTTGTGCGCGTCAAAATACTTCGCATTTTGATTACCGCCACCATTCTAGTCGGAGGATTTGTAAGTGTGAACTGCCAAGAAAGAAATGCTACCGAGATATACTGACACAGTGTGTTCTAGTTCTTTTGGGACTCTTTCTCTCGAAGTCAATCACATTGGCCATCCTGGGAGACAGGAGTAAAGCGGATCCAGCATGGAGCATACAACGGCAAATCAGCATATGAAGCAATGGAACTCAGCATCCACAGAGGTGCAAGAGTGGCAACCGAAAAGGTGGTGAACAAATTGTTGCCCGACTCACTTTCAAAGAAGAAAGTCGTCATGGTCACCGGTAGCTCTGGCACAAATCGCATGCTCGGGATGCCACACATCAAAGAAATGATTTACGAGAATCGGAAGACATACGCTGAAAAACACGGGCTCGAATTTATGTGGGCCAACATAACGAGCTATAACTTGTCTAATGGCGCGCCAATCTATTGGAATAAGATCCCTATTTTGAAGGAAGCCTTCGAGCGTCACCCCGATGCCGAATGGGTGTGGTGGATGGACATGGATATCATAATCATGAATATGACACTCAGCGTCTATGACCACATCCTTTCTAAGGCAGGATTGGCGCGCAATATCCTGCTCGATCACGAGATGAACGGCGCTGGCGGCGGCATGACTGGCTTCAGCACCCCGGCTTCCTACAAGCACGACGATATCAATCTCATTATCTCACAGGACTCGTGGGGCGTGAACGTGGGCAATTTCCTGATGCGCCGGGGCGACTGGAGCAAGTGGTTACTCGATATGTGGACTGACCCCCTGTACATCGCTCAGAACTGGATATTTCCAGAGCAGGATGCTTGGAAGCATATGTGGCAGTACCACGACATCGTACGTGGTCATGTGGCGATTACGAACCAGCACTCCTTGAACGCTTATCCGGAATACAATGCGCTGGGAGAGCACTGGCAGCCCGGTGACCATCTTATTCACTTTGCGGGCTGCGGTGGCGACGCTAGCTGCGAGGAACAATGGAAGAAGTATTGGAATTTGCGCGAGAAAGTTGACGTGCCGATATCCGTGCTCACGAAGTTGGAAAATGGCACGGCTGAGATTGAGAATATTCAGGCGGGGGTTGGACTGCCCTGAATCTATGTAAGAGATTCAATGTCGATATCTAAAGAGTTGTTGATATTCCTGCGCTATTCAAGTCATTTGGGAGTTTATCTTCGCATTAGACCTCCACACCACAAGACCAAATAGGCATCCCTTGCTAGAACAAGGCCTCGATCATCTATTTAGGCTAGGATCTGCTTCTCCAAAGGGGTAAATGATCGGCAATGGGCTTGTAATCCACAGAGTGTGTTTGCGGTCCCGCGGCAATTGGAATGTTGGCGCTTTGCTGGAATGCGCCTAGTTCAGATCTGTCCAGATGCGGTGATCCCACGTACCGGATCTTTTGAACTTCGGAATGATTGAGATTTTGGGTTTTAGGGAGTTGATTTGAACATCACTAATATTGGGCGTCCTTGAACCGACGAGAGAATCATGACGGTGAAAGACATCAAATCATTTGGCAAGACGGGCACAAAGCCGATGAATATGGGTGTTTTACTTTTACTTTTTGGTTGCCGATCTCTAGATACAAGATTTTCCGGAAAAAATCTTGTGTCTCTTTTGGGCATATCGATATGTGTTCGGCCTGACAGTTTCAGCCGCAGTGTCAGATGTATACTACGTTTTCGGAAATCAAGTACCTAGGGAAATTTTAATTCTTGTACCGAGAGATCATTTCAAGGTAATTAGATGATTCGTTCACCTCTCACTTTTCTATCTCCCAAGTTTTCGGGCAGACGATGGCGGCCCAAAAGCGAGCTGATAATTGGATCGACGTAAGATGCCTTCTACCTTTGCTCCCACCAACGCGCGACTAACTAGACATCTAGGGTCTCCGTGGAGTTGCGGCACTAACCGTTGTTACCTATCATCTGTGCTCCTGCTTTGCAAATTGGTTGAACTCGCCTGCGATCTCAGAAGAGGGCTCCGTTTATATCTTCCAATACCCATTCCTCCGACTCGTGGTTGCTGGTCGTTCCGCTGTCGCGCTCTTCTTTCTCCTTACTGGATACGTGAACTCTTTCAACTCAAGGAAACATATTCGAAATGGTGATGCCGCTTTCGCTTTGCAGAGTCTGGCGCGGAGCACGCTTACTCGCACCGGCAGGCTAGTCATGCCGACAACTGCTGCCGTACTGATGGTATGGCTTATTTGCCAACTCAACGGGTTCAGAGTCGCTAGCCAAGTCGACGCTGGTTGGATCAGAGGATCTGGTACCACCACATCAGGACCGACCTTTTTCGGCGCCATCGATGGTCTGCTCCGGAACCTCATTTTATTCTGGCATAACGGCGTGACTGATTACGACCATACATACTGGACGATCCCGTTCTTCCTGAAGGGATCCATGTTGGTTTATATCACGCTCCTGGGAACAACATATACACAACCTAGACACACCAAACTAATCCTCATTTCCCTCTATTTCTTCGCTTGGTCTGGTGGCCAAGGTGAGTGCTTTATAACAATTGGTGACCCTAGAATTCTACTAAAAGTATGATTAAATAACAGCCCTCATGGAAATGAATATCTACGCAGGAATTTTCCTCGCTGAACTACACGCCGACTACGGGACAAACGCCACTACCTTCATCTCCAGGCCCACATCCACGCTCATGATTATATTCGGCCTCTTCCTTGCCTCCTTCCCCGAGGAGAACCCAAGCTGGATGCCATGGAGTCAAGCACTCAACACAGTCGGCCACCTTATTGTGCCAAATGGCGGGGAAGTCAACCGATATATCACCTCGTTGGGAACAACATTCTTCGTCTTTGGAGTCTTCTTCTCTCGCGATGCTCGCCGCCTTCTTTCATCCCCATTCATGAATTTCCTCGGCCGCATCTCTTTCCCTATATACCTCATTCACAATACCCTTATCCGCACGGTTCTGTCGTTGGTCCTCTACCAACAGTCGATTGTGAGTAAGGGGATGCATCCCGTGGATAAAGAGGGCAACCCGATGTTCTATGAAGTGGGCGGAGCTTTCACATTTGCAGTGACGTTGCCACTTTTCTATCTTCTACTGATATACGTGGCGCATTTATGGACGATCCACGTGGATCCCCGCTGCGGGAGGGTCGTTTCTTGGCTTTCGAGGAAAGCTTTTGGTGACACTAGTGACTCCGAGTTGACGAAGGAAAGCCCATCAAATGGAATCTTGACTACTTGGAAAGGAAGGCCATCGGAGCCAGGGAAATTCTTCTTTTGCCAATAAATCGAGGGCACTACACTACATGCTGTGAATTAACGAATTTAGACTCAATTCTGTTCTTTTCTATGCTTTAAAATTTCCTGATATACTCAGCCCGTTTGTTGGTGCCAACGCATACTTGGGTATGCATCATCGTAAATGCAAGGTCCTTTCTTCACGCCCTGTGAGCAAGATATGTCAGCTTAATATTCAGTGCCTGATGCTCGCATTGAACATAGGGGCCTTACATTCGGTGATTTCATTCCGCTTTTTCTACGCAACAGTAAAGCTATGTCCATTGGACTGAGGGTAAGTCGTTGATCGATCTGACTAAATTAGCTTCATATTGTCGTTTCCTTCCAGTGTAGTCTTACTGCATTTTTTGTAACGTCGCGGGTCAGAGCTTCATCTGTCGGGGCCGCAATAGTGGCTCCGAGCATTAAAATGAACGCAAGAAGATGAAGTTGCATTTTGACTGCCCATCAAGCTGGAGCGTTCTGTGGTGGTGGTGGTTGATCGATCTAGACGATATATGGGGAGACCAACTGGGTTGCGGTGTGAACAGGGCGATGCGAAGCTAATTTCAGGGAGGAGAACAAGATATTATGAATCGATGTCGGAGTCACTCCGGTGATTTTCTCAGTCTACCGCCCTGAGGTGAGCATCCGAATTCGAGTCCGAATGCGGTGATCGGCGGTTCCTGTCAACACGTATGGATATCGCCAAAAACGATGGATTCCAAATCCGGCAATTCTAATTTTCAAGCCACTTCATCATTCCAGCCTCAATAAAGATATCCTAATGTGCAATGAAAACGTCAGGATTAAGAAGTCCGTGGTTTTTTTTTTTTTCAAACAACATAACATGCGAATTTGCAGTCGCATGATTAGGCTCAGTAAAAGAGGTTGAATGAGAAATTATTTACATCCGATAAAAAAATGCAGGCGCGTCAAGGTTAATAGGCTCCAAGTCCTTTCAACCGAGTCCAAGATCCCAGGTGCATTTTGTATCATGGTAGTGCATCGCCACAAATCAAGAGCCAGGAGCGCCATCGCCAACCTGGCTTCCAGTGGTGTAGTTACCGAAGCACGCCGTCTGGTACATGGCCTTCTCTTTCAGGTTGGGAACACCCTCCAGGAACTTGTCAACAAGGCAGAACCCATTCTTGGCATGCTTGCAACCAACAAGACCCTGCATGGGCACAGGAGCATTGTTCAGGACGAAGCGGATGTAATCCTTGGTACTATTTGAGCCCAGCTCAGGGTTAGTGTAGAGAACAGGGTCCAAAGAATCAAAGCTCGTGTTGGAAGGACAAGTCCAGATCTCAGACATGAAGCGAGCACCGAAAGGAGTCATCTCGCTAAGGTGAAATGTGCGCTTGGGGGCGTGGTCCAACTGGAATGGCAGACCTTTGGGCCCGTAGTTGAAGTATTCGAGGCCAAGAGCCGAGATGACGGAAAGGATAATGTCATCGTGGGACATGTCCATGTAGAAGGGCTGGCCGAAGGGGAACTGTTTCTCGTTGTTGTCGTAGGTGTAGTTGACACTGGTATCGCTGGAGGTGAGTAGCTTCTGCTGGAGACGAGCGGCAAGTTCGACAACGTAGCCAATGCCCTGGGCGCGGCCAGTGGGGGAGCCGTAGGCGTAGTCTCCGTAGTATTGCACGTCGATGTTGTACTCAAAGTCCTTCCATTCCTGTTCAGTAAACAGGGAGCAGAAGGATGAGCCAGCAAGGCTAGTGTACTCGTAAACACAAATGTTCTGCATAGCGAGCACGTCGGAAGCTGTTACGTTGAAGTCACTGGGGAAGTAGGCCGACAAGCGAGAGCGAGCATCTTGAGTGTAGCGAGCGATGAAGATTTCAGCAGCGTCGTCACTGTAATTTTGTTAACACTTGATAATCCCGTCAAATAAAGAGGTTCACTTACCCTTCGGTCATGTCACCGGGGCAAGAGTCGTAAGAGGCCAAGGTGTTGTTGAATGGGTCCACCTCGGGGATGATAACAAGATCATACTGACTGTAAGAGCTGTTGGCGCCGCTGTTGCCAAAGAATCCACCTAGCAGTCGAAGTTAGCAAATTGTACAGAGCTGCAAGCATAGCTTTTACTTACTGAGCCACCAGCGAGCACTCTCCAAGATGCGAGACTGCGAAGTGGTACGGAAAACGGGCTTTGGGCGAGAAGTGCCATTGGGCCAGACATTTAGAGATGAATCCCATGCAGCCACAGTGCTCTTGTCGGTGCGGTACAAGAGCCGACCGTACTTGGTCCAGAAATGGGCACCAGAAGTAGCCTCGGTGGCAGCACCAGTCTCCATTAGGATATCCGAGCCAAGGACATAGTTCCAATTGTTGAGGAATTGCAGAGGGCCAGTGCCCACAGCCTTTCTAGGGTGCTTCCTGGAGTAATTGGTCACCTTGGCCGCAAAGTCCTGCATACCCTCTCCATCAAGAGGGTAATCGGTGGGAAAGCGCTCAGCATGGCGATGGAGAACATGCACCTGAGACAATTCACAACCTTCCGGTACGCCACTTGGAACGCCAAAGCTATCAGCGTCCTTGTATGGGCTCAGATTTGCCCAGTGCTTTTTCATGTCAAAACCGGATGCATAGGTAGCACCAGTTGGCGCAGACGCAGGGGCAGACGAAGACGCCGCGGTAGCCAAAGTGGCTAAAGTGGCCCCGAGAAGATACTTCATGGCTGTTCAATTGGTTACAAACTGGGAAACAGCTCGCGTGACAATTGGTGCCTGGATGATGCTGGGCGTAAAAGTCTCGATAGAATACGATACTGCTGGATCGGGGGTCAACAATTTCCAGATCTGACCGTGTTCGAGAAATTCCAACTGCGATGGGCAGGAATTGGCAGGGATTCTCTTTGGGAATGAGCGCTGGGGCTAGTGTTGACAAGAGGAGGCGCGAATTCTCCGCCAAAAATCGGAGGATACATTTCTCCGACAGTCCGAGTTGTTTTATTTTAGAGTTCTTAGGTTTTTAGCGTCCGATCTGCGCCGACTAGGACCTCATCAAGATAAACGAATGTACCTTCCAAAGTAGAGGGGGTAAAGTCTAGTAGTTGCCTAATTGGACTGCTCTCTAAAGGTGCCACATTTGAGTTAGAATTGCGCAGGAGGCTTGGAAAGGGGCAGTGACGCAGGATCTAGCTAATTCGAGCCTAGTGACACCCGCTGTTAGTCAAACCGCGCAGACGATAGATGCAAGTGTAAACAGTTGACACCCACAATGTTCAACCGAATTGAGGTCTTGTACTCGGATTTATAGTCTGGAAGAAATACACTGAGGTGAAAATTACGCTTCTAGCCGGGCAGGGTTAATTCTAAGCTCATATTCTCATATTCACTTGGTCTTGAGCAAGAACAGAAGATGATCGGTACAGAATATATGTTTCCACTAAGTAAGAGTATTTTTTGAGCTGATTCCACCAAAATCAAAATCAGAGTGTTCGTCGCTTGACCACGACAGAGGAACGGTATGTCTTAAGGAACGAAGGGATGTCGGTGATCGCATTGCCGGGATATCTTCGGCGATACTTGCCGTGTCAGCCCAATCAATAGATTCTTGAGGGAGTTTAGCCCATTTCAAAAAGCTCAGATATGCGATATCTTAGCTTCTTGAGGTGGTATCAGAAACGGGCTGAAATTGTGCTAGGCAGTGGCTTCGTGGCTGACGAGAACAGGTCTTTAGATGCATAGAGCTCATCGCGACTCATGCAGCGACCGCGACCGTGTCCAAATCCTTCTCGAACTCCACAAAGCACATGCCATCCGGCAATTCGAGGTCAGGGAACCTTTCACGAGGAAATGGCGACGTCTCACCCGTTTTTTGGTAGCCACGACGCATGTACCACGCGATGAGGGTCTGTCGCGTGGACAAGGCGTTCAACCCCAGCTTGGTTGCTCCCCAAGTCTGATGGATATAATACTCAGCGTAGCCGAGAACCTGACGTCCAAGGCCTCCGCGATGGTGTCGTTGGTCCACAGCAAGCATAGAAAGGCGAGCGCCGTTGGCTCCACGCTTGGAAACACCGATAGTACCCACGACGATGCCGTTGTTGTCGGTAGCCATCAAGAATGCGCTTTCTGGTCCATTCATGAAGCTCTCAATCTCCTTCACGCTTATGTGGAATTGAGAGGCGAGGCCCATATCGCCGGTCCAATCTGACCTGCTGTCTTCGGCGCGGAACGCAGCTTGCACTAGTTCCTGGAGCTGCGGGGCATCCTCTAGGGTTGCAACGCGAAAGTTGAGATCAAGGGCAGTCATAATGTAAAAATTTAGCTTGCACACAGAAAGACGTGAAATTTGATTGAAGAGGGGGATTCTCTGGTTCTTTTATCTGACGGCCGTCGCGCCCTGTCGTTGACACCGGGGCGCTCTAGTCCCGTTCAGGATAGACCCTTCTGGACCCAGCATTTGAGGCATTTAATCCAGCTTAATTTCTCGCCCAAGTGTCGCGATATTCAGCTTATACAGAGAAGACTCTCACGGGGGATATACATACTTAGGTGCAGGGATTCTGTTCGTGGAGCAGCGAATGGGAAACCAAGCCAAACCTCCTTTTCCACGGATCCAAGCTTGTAAAAGTACATAATGGCAGCAGACTATAAATTCGGATAAATACGTAGCAATACCACAATATTGTTAATAGACAAATAAGCATGCCAATACTGTGAGATTGGAAAAAAAAGGATCTCCTAGCGAACAATTTTCTAAAGGGCTCTCAACTTCTATACTTTCTTCATACAAAAGAAGGAAGGGGGGTGGGAAGGGCAGTGTTATGTAGACAACTTTGAAGAACGTTTTGGGGTCTTCGTGCTAACGAATTCACATCAGAATAAGGAAGCAGAATGGCGCGTTACTATGGGACAGAACATCTTATGATTTGCAGTGGCCGAAATGAAGAGCCCGATGTGCAATATCTATTAACCAAATTCGAGCCCACCTCAAGCTTGAGTGCACCCAATTTACAGCCGGACCAAGACGCATGGATTTACCACCGTTACTTTGTGTCTCATATTACTGACTGCCAGTACTGCCGATGGTGAATTTCTCTCGGCGAGTGTATCAGTCGACGCAGATGACTCAAGCAGCGCAGTCTCCGGTACTACCTCGAAGCGGAAGCGCGCAGAGTCCCATTCGTGTACCCTGTGCGTCTCACGGAACTCAGAGGTGATCTCCACCGCGATCGTGGATGCCGGATCTTCTGCTCCGTTTTCTACTTGTCTCGCAAACGACTCCTCGGATAGGGTTGAGCTCTTGGTTCTCTGCACTGGATCAGGAGCTACCATTGAAGTATTTGAGCTGACTGTAGGCTCTGGTCCGTCCGCGGCAGAGGACTATGCGACTTTTGCGCCTGTTACTTCGAGCTCAGTTGCCTCTCCCTCAGCCTCGTCCCCACATCGCCCTGAATCTTCAACGCCTTTAAGAATCACGCCAGTGCACACCCACGGTACAAGACCTAGCCGTTCTCCTTTCCCCTCTGGTTCTCACTCTTCCGTTCGGACCCGTACAGAATATGCCTCTCCCACTGGCTCTGGCTCTGGCTCTCGCGACGAAGGCCCCGGATTGGGCGAGGACACCACTTCAACTATCTTCAACACTCGCACTTCCACAATCACCGCCTGCCCATCCACCGTCACCGATTGCCCAGCTCGCGAGAAGACTACCTATGTTACCACTGAAACTGTTGTTTCTGGAAATACCGTTTACACTGTCACCCTCGCTAGCTTGGGATCTGGTTCTAACAGTACTATCTCTACCGTATACACCACATGTCTCACCTCTGATGCCATAATCTATTACACAAACATCTGCCCAGTTATCACGACCAAGATCTTTGCAAGTGTCTCGACCAGCTTATCTAGCCCCTCTGCCTCGGAGAGGACGTATCATACACCCACACTGCACAGCACCACCAGCACTGCCACTATAACCGGTCCTACTGAAATTTCTCAAACCTCGTCCGGTGCAGCCGCAGCTGTATCAAATGATACTTTGGCAGGGAATGAACATTCCATTTTCACGATGTCCAACATCATCAATACTGCCACTGCAGCTGGAGCTGGATCAAAATTTTCCACTGCTGCCAGAGCTACAGGTGCTGCGGATGTGGAAGGCACGGCAAGTGAGACAAGCTCACCCAGCGCCACTGGAGCAAGCGCCCTGAAGGTATCTTTCTGCTCAATCTTGCCGTCTTTCACCACGGCAACTACAGATGTAGGTAGTGTGGAGGTATCTTCGGCTTCGGCTTCGTCCTCGCTGGCCGCGTCAGAGAACGGGCCCTCCGTCGCCGCAAGTGCTCCTGTTTTTAACGGCGCCCTTTCGGCCAACGACCTCAGTCTGGCTGGTGTCGTTGGCCTAGTGATTGCTTTGTTCATGTACACTTATACTGTAAATACGTAACAGTTTTCTTCCCTATAAATAAACTTAATATTTGACGTTGGGTTCTTCATTAAATACCAAAACATATTCACTCTAAATTCCTCATTCCGATGCTATACATATACACTAGGAACGACTATGTTAGATCTTTAACCCTATTATTCACAACATATCCGCGCATTTTGGAATCTATCCCGAACCCGACCCATTTGAAGGTTTGGGTTGCCGAGAATTGGGTTGATGGAAAAGACTTATCTGCTAAATGTTAGAGAATCATTAATTTTTGTAGGAAATGAAAGAAAACTACAAACTCATAAGACCTAGTTTAGACTATATCCTCGTATTTTTCAAGCTTAGCGGATGTACGATGCTAGGCGGGTTAGCCCCTCTCACCCCGGTTTCTAGACTTCTCACCAATATAACCCATACTCACCCTTAGGCAGATTTATATTGCTGTTTTAGAGAAACAGTGGCTCTAAGGGCTCTTCTAGGAATGACCGTGCAGAATATGTGGCTCAAGTACGACTGAGCGGACGGGAAGCCCTGTTCTTCACTCCCTATGGGCGTATGCACTATGAGTCACCCAACTGCAATCTATATAGCACATTTTTAGTTAACCCTTGTTCAACGCAGTTGTGCAGCTACGGCTGTGCGTGCTGTGAGCAAGATAATTTCAAGACAGATTCGCTGATTGCTGCGATTGACCTTCCCCACATATCTTTGCGTTAATTCGTGGTGGGCCGTTGGCATGTCACCTGCCAAAAAGGGTTTAGCCTATAACCACAAGACCCGCGGAAGATGCCGCCAGCATGAGATTTCTGACTTTTATCATTAAACTTGCCCCTGCTGATCCCTCAAGCGCTACGATTCGGTTCTTTTGGCAAATATGGCTTCAAAGACCAATGTTGCGTTGATTCCCTGGGATGCCAAGTCTGAAGCTCACAGAAGATGGCTCTATAAGCAAAGAGTGCTATGTAATTGGGATTGGGAAAAGGTTGAGGGAGAATGGAAAGAGAAACAAATCAAAGGGGGAAAATGCATGTATTGGATTGTAAGTTCATTTCATATCCAATGCTCGATTCATTAGCAGGAACTGTAAGTTAATTTATTCCATAGGTCCGTCAATTCAATGATTCTGAAGGCACAGACTCTCATAGTGACGACTGTGAAGAAGTGCTTCATGATACAGCGGATTCTATCAATGGAGTCCCACGGAAACCCTCACAAGAAATCTTTGTCCCAATTGGCCATATCTCCCTGGACTCCAAGAACAAGGATGCTGAAATGGTCGGCCTTGAAATCCCATCGGAAGGCGTCTTCTGGATCAAGAGCTTTTTCATCTTGCAGTCAATGCAGGGCCAGGGCACTGGACGAGCTGCAATGGACGCAGTAGAGGATATGGCGTCTCGAGAACCGCTCTGCGCCCAGTCCCTCATGCTGGACACGGTCACAAGCAAACACCAGATGAGAGAAGATTTTGCAATGTCCACATATGGTGCCGTCCCAAAGGTAACTACATATCTTCTGAATTGAATCTCAGCCCTCTGTTACTCAACTTACTTTTTACAGATCGCGAATCAGGATTGGTATGGCCGCCGGGGATACATACCGATCAAGACTGTACCGAACTATTACGACGTGTGGGATGCAAATGGAGACCGGTGGGATATAGAGATTGTTTTTATGCGAAAGAAAGTTTAAGGGCAATTGGTCTTTTTCCGCGATAACCTTGAAATTTATTTCGAAGGTTTCTATGAATATTGGAAGCGATGAGGGCAGCACAAATCGAGCGGCTCGTGAGTGATTCTCACATCTGATGATCGGTATGAATTGGGACGGTGGGGTTTCCGTGACAGTTTGGCCAGTCATGGATGTAATTTTAGTCTTTTAAGAGATTCGCGACAAATCACACTTAAATCTCGGTGCTTTGAACAGTATCTTCGGAAGTTCGGATCGTTAGGGAAAGACTGATCGGTCCAGACGCTAACGCCAAGGACTCCGGAAGACACACCGCTCCTGGGAATCTAACATTATTGGTGGAATATCGCCACTAAGCGGCGGATTTAACGGGCAGAACGCCTCGGTGGACATCGCCACATTTTATGGCTTCACTTCGACATCTTCACTTCCTCGCGATACACGCGAGATGCGGATGAAGGATACCGGATAAGTATGGGGTCATCAGTCTCACCACCCAATGTAGCGTTCTATGTACCTGTACAGGATGCTGAGCGAGAGAGAGTCCGTGAACTGTTAAGGTCGGCAAGCGCTATTTCCCCCACAATACCTCGGTCGCTTACTGCATTATCGTTTCAGGTACTATTCTTCCTTCAGTGAACAAACTGACCCGCTGAATGCGGGATCCGATGCTCCTACGGGAGATGAACAGCCTATATCCGCCGGCCTCCCCAAGGACATCACCCTCGCCGCCTTGTCGCAACTGGGTGTATTTCGAACAGGATCGAATCGATGCTTCGTGTCGATCATCGACGGCCAGAACCAGTTCATCATATCTGAAACCACGAAATCGGTCTCACTACGGAACAAGGACAAACACATCCCGGGCGATGGCGTATATATTGGGGTCCGGGCGCTAGATCTAGTGTGGGGGGTGTGCCCTCACACCATCAAGCTGTTCACCTCGACCGATTCTTCGATTGATATCGACACCCCGAACGTAACGGCAAATGTCTCCCGCTACATCATTCGGGATTTTACAAAAGAGGATAGCTTCAAGAATCGCCCCTATGTTCTCGAATGGCCACACATGCGGTTCTACGCGGAAGTGCCGCTGCTCAGCGCTGCTGGATACGTGCTCGGGTCATACTGTGTTGTTGATGACAAGCCCCGAGACAAGTTCGATGACGAAGAGGTTGCTGTTCTGCAAGAAGTGTCGGATGCGATCGCAGCACATCTGGAGAACGTCCGTCTAGTTCATTGCCAACGGCGGGCGGAATCTCTCATGAAGGGGTTGACCAGTTTTGTGAAAGAAAATCCTGAGTTCGAACCCAATGAGGCTTCGAAAGACGGCCACCTCGTACCATTTGCTCTCGGCCTACCAGGCTATACCTCGACCGGCAGCAGTGGCAGTGAAAACGAATATCTCAGCGCACGCTCACGCGCGCAAGGCGCCCACAACACCTCGATGCCAGACAATATGTCTTTTACAACCATGGCAGCATCATCACCATTATTTTCGCAAGAAAAAGGCTCACGGCCCACCGAACTGTCGTCCTTTTCAAACGAATCAGACAGGCCCAACTTCATAAGTCCCGTGCGAGAAAATTCACTTGAGGAGGCATCGAAGGCCCGTGGGGTCAGTCCAGCCGAGGCCGAGGCCGATGCCAGGCGCAAAGGCTCTTTACGGATATCACTGGCGGATAGTGTCCCAATTTCTGAACGGATTGCCATGGTATTCGATCGTGCCAGCGTGTTGCTCAGAGAGTCTATGGATCTGGATGGTGTAGTTTTCCTCGACGCAAGTCGTAGTAATTCCTCATTGTTCGTATTGGATATCCTCCGCGCGAGTCATTTGTTCATGCTGACGTTTTCATCAGCAAATCGGCCCGAGAGCCTAAAAGCTGGGAGCCGTTCCCATACACTGCGGATAACGGGGTCCAGGTCGCTCCAGCCCCTAGTCCTCTGGGGGTGGCACAACCCGAAAAGCCCTGTGATATTCTCAGCTACGCTTTGAAACCCTCATCAAACAAAACACAGGCAGACTATGACATCAAGGTGCCCGAGAAGCTTCTACACGAGTTGACAATAGCTTTCCCCCGGGGCCAAATCTTCAGTTTCGAAAAGAGTGTGATTAATGACTGCCTGTCTCACGGAAGTGATCGGGCAACCAATCTCGGCATTGGCTTTGAGGCAGTGCAACATATCTCGGATCGTCTAGCACAATATATGCCAGACGCTGGTTCTGTTATCTTCCTTCCCCTGTGGGACTGGAATAAGTCTCGCTGGCTTGCTGGAACGCTAATTTGGACCCAAAAGCGTCAACGCACTTTGGAGACCGAAGAATTATATTTCTTCAAGGTCTTCGGGGATTCTATCATTTCTGAAATCTCTCGTCTTCACTGGGCAACCACTGAGAAATCCAAGTTTGATTTCATATCATCGATCAACCATGAGCTCCGCTCTCCACTTCATGGTATCCTTGCCAGCACTGAATTACTGCATGCCACCAACCTCCTACCCTCACAAGATGACATAGTAAGGATGATTGAACAGTCTGGGATGAATCTGCTAGAGACCACCGATCACCTGTAAGTTCAAGCTAATGGCAAATTCTAGCTACCTTGATGAAAAGAGCTTACCAATTTTTTAGATTGGATTTCTGCAAAATTAACAATTCGACTCTAATGAAAAAGTCGCGCCCAGCGGATGCTGATGGTAACACCGCTGGGCTGGCCTCCGATTTTGATCTTGACACTCTGGTTGAAGAAGTCGCGAATATCATTTATACTGGTCAGAGGGCGCCTGGAAGAGATCTTTATCTTAGTCAGGCATTGCCATCCAGCATCGTCGGCGATGAATCTCCTCGGCGAGTTCCCAGTGAAATGGATAAAATGTCCGTTGTCGTTCGTGTCGAAAAAACCTATGATTGGAAGATTCGCTCCGTGGCCGGTGCCTGGAGAAGAATAGTGATGAATCTCCTCGGCAATGCTATGAAGTGGACAAAAAAAGGATTCGTCGAGGTCTCACTATCCAAGGCCCAGCACCCCTCCAATACCGGCTCTTTTATTGCCCACCTCACTGTCACGGATACTGGCAGCGGAATCGCGCCCGACTACCTCAAAAACCAGATCTTTACTCCGTTTTCTCAGGAGGATTCTCTTTCGGAGGGTGTCGGGCTTGGTCTTAGCATTGTGCGCCAACTGGTAACTTCGCTCGGGGGCAATATCATAGTAAAAAGTGACCAAGGCTTTGGAACACAGGCCGATGTCTACATCCCAATTCAACGTCTTGGGTCCGGTCCAGGGCAATTTTCCGGTGACGCCCTCATTCAGTCACCAGATCTGACCACGGGCATTCACACATGCTTCGTTGGCTTCAATGCCTACCCAGACCTTCAAGAAATTCCAACAGGAATATTGTCCGCAGAAGCAAAGCGAAAGCTTTCCATCCAGAGCACGCTTGCCGATGTTTTCACGACACAGCTCGGGTGGAACATTTCCTTGGCCGAACATCTCCAGAATGCGCGGGGTGATATTGTCGTCATCGAGGAAGATAATGTTGAATCTCTATCTGAACTTGATTACAATCATCACTCTCAATTCTTCGTCATTCTCAGCGGCAAGGTTCCCACCCTTGGCGATCACCTCCCACTAAATGCGGTCCGAGTTTCCCAACCGTAGGTTCATTTCTCTGGCTTCATGTTTGATTCAAACTAAATTTTCATAGATTTGGACCTCGGAAGATCCAGCAGGCCGCCCAAAAGATCTTGAAATCGTATACAGAGCGACAGACGGCCCTTAGCGCTGGTTCCATGCCAGATATTCCTCCAATAGAGCCTTCTGCTCCATCAGTGTCAGAAGGGGTCCCCACATCTGCCCCTATTGACAGCAAAGTTAATCCTCATGGAGACATTTCTGAGTCGGCAGTTCCGACTACACTACCACTCCGGCCAGCAAATGATCAAAACGGGATACACGTTCTCGTTGTGGATGATAATGAGATCAATCTCAAGGTAAGCCATTGTAATGCTATTCTGTGAAAAGCTTTATCTTCTGCTACCCCGGTACAATCATATACTCACATCTAATGTAATAGATCATGGCTACGTTCATGCAGAAGACCGGTTGCAGCTATGACACAGCCTCCAATGGACTCATTGCGCTGGAGAAATACTCAAGTTCAAGCCGGAAATTCGATTTCGTTCTAATGGGTATGCCGAATTCCCCCCTCGGTCACTCCACGACTTACCTAACTTTATCTTTCCAGATTTATCTATGCCCGTAATGGACGGTCTCGTATCAACAAGCAAGATACGCCAATATGAAGACGAGATCGGCCTCGAACGATGCCGCATTATGGCGGTGACTGGAGTGGCTTCAGCTCCCATGAAACAGCAAGCCTTTGCTGCTGGAATTAACGACTATCTGATCAAACCTCTCTCTCTTCGCCAGTTGAAGACGATTATGAATATTTCATGATACCATTATGTTTAAATGAGGAAATTCGGTGTCTATTTGAGGTCTTTTGTGCATACGGGAATTCAAGGATCTGCAGTCATGTTCCAATGTTGGGAGTAATCATTTTATCACTCGAACGGGGACGGTTCACTTCCCATTCATATATATAGGTAAGTTTTAAAATCAATTGAAAATGATCATGAACAATATACTCTACGTAAGTCTTGTCTCTTGTATAGGTAGTAACCGATTAAGTATATTCAATTAGGTAATATCTCACTTCCACGGTCAAAGAAACAGCCGTTGGAGGAATTAAAGGAGGTGGTTCAGGGAGCACTCCAGATCCAGGTTGAGGTTGATCAAGCCAATCTGAAAGGTTCTTTGTTAGCCTGTGCATAATGAGGGATAGATAGCAATTTACCTGTTCCACCTTGCCAGTCTCGCAGCAGTAGACATCACCACCGGAGCAACTTTCGCCAAGAAGACCGTTGAGGATGTTGCCCAGGGAGATAAGGCCACCATTGCCGTTTCCGCTGCAGACAACGGTCTGCTCGCTTTCGCAGGTCTTGCCGCCCATGTCGTCGTCGTCATCGCCCGTGTTGCCATTGCCCATGGGGCTGGCAAGAACAGCGGCGAAAAGAGCGGAGTAAGCAATGAGATACTTCATGTTGGCGAAAGAGTGCGAAGAGTCTGTAGAAAAGTTAGAACTGCAGCAGAGAATATTTGACATTTTGCTCAATACCTGTTCAAGCTCGGGAAAGTGATGGATGCAAATCAGATTCTGAACGCCACTAGCCGGATACTTATAGAAGTGGGCAAATATTGAAATTGGTCTCGACCCTCTTTGAAATCCGAAGATGTAACCTCCCTGCAACCTAAGGGTCATAGACAAAGTGCTGTGCTGCTTTGCTGTATAGCTGCGGCGAATTTGACTTCGCACACTTCCGAAAACGGCATTGGGGCGGTTTCAGAGTAACAATAGGCAAGCCACAATGACGGGCACATGTTCCAACCCACGAGTTCTTGTAGTACTCTAGTAGCTGTGGCTGCGGCTGTGGCTGTATTAAGCATTTTTGGGTTCTGCGCTGCTGCTAGATTAAATCGTATCTGTAACTTTTGACAAATCATCAATGATAATTCTGTTCTAATCTACCTGCCAATTGAGAATTTGCTTCCGAATATAATTAATACTTATTACGACGGTAACATGAGTTTCGCTCTGTTTTTAGAGTACTTACGCAAATAATTAACATACCCAGGTTGCGGTTGTCCGAGGTTACATCTCGGTGACGGAGACTAACCATGCTTGCCGCGGCGATGGCCGCGCCAAGAGGAGCGTTCACGGAACCTTATTTGCAAGCCAGACTTACACCAATCATAGTGACCACCAACCTCATTTTCCAGCTTCCATAGACTTGAACATCAACTGGAGCGAGAGACGCAGGCTATTGCGGTGGATCCGGAGGTATGGAGAGCTGGAATATTCGTTTTCGGGAATCTACACCGCGATTGCTCTAATTGATGAGCCTGCCACTGAAGGGTTCATGGTGCGTTCACCGGTAACCATTTGTCCAAAACTGATTATGCGATATCAGAGACTCAGTTGCCTAGCCTCTTGTATGATTCACTCCCCGTACTCCCCGAAAGATCTTACAGTCTACAGCGCAAGAAAGCGTAACGAAGATTTCGACGGAAAGGCACATAGATGTGTGTTAACGTTCTCATACATTACTAACTAGACTTGCCAGCACATCACTGGGGTGCACCCAACGCAGCTTGAAGATCGAGATGACGGGTTGCAATGAACGTGGTTCCATTGCATTTAAAGCACGTGGTTCAAGCTGCACTGAGCATTGACATCAAGGTTGATAAGACCGATCTGTATATGGGGTAAGTTGTTTGTCATCTTCAACCGGGTACTTAAGGGAAATCTTACATCCTTGATGTCCTTGTCGGAGCAGCAGTAGACGTCACCGCCGGTACATTCCTCACCAAGGGCACCACCAGCAATGTTGCCCAGGGTCAGAAGACCACCGTTGCCGTTGTCCTTGCAGACGATGCTCTGGTCGCTCTTGCAAGAGCCAGCGGACTCACCGGCAATGGCGGTGGCAGCGAGAGCGAGGACAGCGATGAAGAACTTCATTTTGATGGAAGGGTTGATTAGGATTTGATCTTCGTAAACGGTATGTCAGTGATGGAGAGCAGTACACATTAATGATTGTAACTCACTGGCTTGTTCAAAAATTGTTTCTTTTGAGTGATGGAGAAGATATGGCTCGTGGAAATCTCTGCTTCTTTATAACTCAAGAAATTTGCCGGTCATGATAAGCAGGGGAATGATCAGCAATAATTTACCACGGACAAGAATGTATGTCTGCTTTCGGTTAACACAGGAGCTATGATTTGCTCTGTATAGCATGGATCGACAGGAAGGGGTAGGCTCACATACCCAATGGGACCATGTACTCGTCATACTGAATGTATGGTACTCCACAGCTCGTTCTATACTTAGAGGCCTTGTTCATTAACAAGCTTCAAGTACCTCAAACCTTAAGTTTGTGTTAAAAAAAAAAAACCCCCCCCAATAACACTTCGCACAAAGAATCAGATGAGGCTTTTAAGGAATGCGCCTCTTGCGTCATATTTTATGGATCTGCGTCACATACAGCCTCCTGGTGATTCTAGGAGATTTTCAAGCAACCCATCAGAGACGGAAGAACTAGCTTCTGATGATCGACAGTAGGGTGGCGTCCAATCGGATTGAAGTCTTTCTAAATAGGGTTGCAACCCAGCATTCCAATGCGGAAGCCAAGGCTCCACCCCCAAGTCTCAGACCGAAGACAACCTTTAGGAACTTTTCTGACTTATCAAAATAATTCTTAGCCGCATAGATTAATATGCGAACCATTCGCTGACTATGTTGAAGCTGCTTTGGTGACCAAAGTTGAGTTTACCACCCCGGAATGATCGACTCTATAACGGCGCCAATGTACGCTGAGTTGTATTCAGATACCATGCTCCTTGATTCACCCTATAGCAAGAAAAGGAATTTAGCGTTACGATATTTTTTGAACGCAATAATATCCTCTCCATTCATTCTGTCTTGAGTTAAATTCTGCAAACATGGTATCTTACGCAAGCCATTGTAACGTTGATTGTTGCTGTGCACGGACCAAGGGGCCATTCCTGTTCACACAGCTCTCAGCACCTTTGTCATTTGGCGGAGAGACGGATGAGTTGACCCGTTTCATAGATCTTGTGAGACTACTGCTGGGTTACCATATGCAAAGGAAATGGGTTGACAGTAGAATGGGCCCCGAGATTGTGCGGCTCAATCATGGGTGAGCGGTTTCTGGAATCTCTGTAAACTGAATCTCTGGCTTTCCGCTGTCTGTCGGTCGTACCTTATGGGCTTCTCATAAATTTTATTCATGCAGAGTGCTGCCTATTGAAAAACACACGATGAAAATGAATGGCCGTTGATCTTTTTTTTTTTTCTCGGCGGAATTCTAATACATGGGCAATTCAGTGAATACAAAATACATAAGGGAGGTGCCTAGACATTTCCCGGAGTGTCACGACTGCTACTAGTGCATTAGAGGACAGAGATCCCTTCCACTTATCTCCGGTCCGTACCATACGCGGAATTAATATGGACAGTGATTCAAGTAGCTCACGTTAGCCACCCTGATGCCTCTCGTCGGCCGGTTCTTGTTCGATTTAGGATCCCAAGCGGTTATGACCCAATCAGGCTTAGAAACCGAGTTTGTAGATGTAGTGTACAGCTAGTCTATGAAGTATTTATATTCCCAGCCAGGGTCTCTAACACACTCCCCCAAACACATGAGATCGCAATCAATATGGTGAACCTCCAAACAATTAGAGCCCTTAATGAGGCTCTTAAAGCTCTCGCCATTGCTCATAATATATCTTCCCCTGAAATGTATCTCGTCGGTCGCAGCAAGTTGGCCGCGGACATCGCCATCACCTCCATGAAAAGCACCAACCCCTCCGCCGCGCCAATATTTCTCCAAAGTGTCATATCTCCCCTTAAAAATGTTCACATTGTGTGCGCCGATATCGCAGCCAAATAAAAGAAGCTCAACTTGCTCTTTATGACGCTGGGATACATGGCGCCAACAGGCCAGGACAAAAAAGCAGGTCTAGATGGCAAATTCGTGCTCCATTACGATGCGCGCATGCGTTTTGTCACGACTCTGCTTCCCTCATTGAAAACAGCTGCACAAGGTACCTCGGTCGCCGCCGACGCCCGCCTGTCTCGCGTGGTCTCGGTCTTGGATCCACATGTCGTTATCCGCCCGAGCGGCGCTGAACTGCTCAACTCTGATCTTAATCTGAATAGCACCTTCAATCTCGCCACAAGTGGTGTGCATGCCAGCCTTATGGGTGGTTTTTTCTTGGAATTTATGGGTCAGTAACACTAGGATACATATTTTGTGCACGCATAACACTCCGGCGTTAACACGGGCTTGATGCGTGAAATGCCAGGGGGGCGCGTATTATCGAGCGTGCTAGGAATGCTGTTACGAACATTCATCGTAGCGCTCCAGGAGGAGGGGCATTTGTTTGCGGCGACGAATGCAAAACTTCCTCCCAAATTTGATGGTGATAGCATGGAAGGAGATGTCGCAGTTGGCAGTGATGGAATTCGGGGAAGTGGCTCCTATTGGGCTTATTGGGAAAGTGTGGTATTCTTACCGAACACAAGTCTATATAAGATTAGAGCGGAGGTCGCGATGAGGAAGGTAGGGCAGCATACGCATGAAGTGTTTCAGCGGGTGTGGTGCGAGGAGATATCCCTGATTGTTCGTGGAGGTTTGTGATAGATAAATTCTACAAAAGCGAGTCGAACTTTTGCATGTCTCTGTCATATGATGCATGTTCTCTATGTATTTAAGGCTCTCTTTCATGCAGTTGGTTCCCAACTCTGCGTTTCTTTCCATTTATACCCGCTCTGTTTCTGTTTCTGTTTCCTCTTCCGTGCTAGACGACAGTGACTCGGAACTCTGAATCGGCTCCTCTCTGGGACCGGTTTCTTCGTCCGATTTCTCTCGCGCGGGCTTTGTGGGTGCAAACTTGCTTCGGACCCGAATTTGCTTCCCATACTTGTAGAAGAGGAACGGAATAATTGCCAGTAGAGCAGCCACGCCGCCGATCAAACTGCCACCTCCTCCCACGCCCAACGCATCAAACATTTGATTCGTGAATAGCGGTGCGGCAGCACCACAGGCCGACCGGGCAATAGTGTTTGCAGCAATTGCAGAGGCAGCATACATCAAGTAGACATCCACGAGATAATTCAAATAGGAAACGAAGATGAGAAGAAGCATGCTCGAGAGGAAGCAGCCGGCGAGTGTGGGGACTATCCAATGTACATAGCTATATGAGAATTAGCATCGCCTAGTTTCCTTCTTGTGGGGATTTGCAGTACTCACTTGTATTCAGCAGACCATGCAAACCAGAACATGGTGGCAGAAAAACCAATACCACCAATCATAGCCAATGGTAGCCGGTCTTCGGGGACAAAATCTTCCATTTTCTTTTCGCCCCTTTCAATCTTATTCTGGCGAATATGCGTGTCAACCAGGACGATAATGCCGCCGATCAAAGCGCCGACAACAGTGCCAATCAAAGGCAACTCTCCCACGCCTGAGTTCCAACCACGCTTCTCCTGGAACACAATTGGATAGATGGTAAACAGCATATAAAGCAGAGTGTAGACGACCGCCATGTAGATAGCGCAGAGCAAAGAGATTGTGTCGAAAAGAATAATCCAAGGCCGTGTGAGCGCTACCTTGTAGATGCTAAGGAGTGTTCGGTCGCTGGCCTCGACAGGAGCCTGGACATTCTCGTAGCCTGGGATCTTCGCCTTCCGAATCCGTTTCGCCTTGTTGTACAAGACTGTAGGTGCGTACGTTTCGGGTATGGTGAGCATTATGATTGCCGTCGCCCCGCCCAGCCAGAGGAGCACGTAGAAGCTCCAACGCCAATCTTCTTTCAGTTCAAGGAAGCCCGCAACGACGGGTCCAAGGGCGGGGCCCATATAGACCATCGCTGAGAATCCAGCCATCGCATTGGAGCGCTGGAGTGGGTCCCATAAATCGGCAAGGACTCCAGGGCAGTTACTTAAAGGGGCGGAAACAAAGGTTCCTGTTAAAAATCGACCCACGAGCAGTGCACCAAGATTCGGTGCGAAAGCGCAAAGGAAGTTGAAGGCCAGATAAAGCAAGAATGAGATGTAGAAAATCCATCGGCGGCCATAAAACTCGCTCAGGGGGGCAAACACCAAAGGACCGGCGCAATAACCAAGTAGGAATACTGTGATGGTAAGACCTGCCACCTCCGTCGAAATCCCAAATTCTTCGGATATGGACCCGAAACATCCACTCGGGGAACTTGAAGCAAAGGTCGCATTCACGACCAGCAGCACAGCGCTCATGGTGATCGCGGTGCGGCGGCGCATCGACCAGTTGCGCGGGTTCTCGATGTCGTCAGGGGCAAAGTCGACATAGCCATCTTCGTTGAGATAAGGGGAGCTTTCATGTCGAAGGTCTTTGGTGCGATATGGTTTATTTACTACGCGGGACAGGACCCGCACGATAGCTGCCATCCTGAATAGGCGGGGTCGAGAGAATTCATCACCTTGCAAGTCGGCAAAATCGAAGACGGGCTACATGTTATGGCCCTTGTGACCAGTATTATTCTTATTAATACAAGTTTTATAGTACATGACATAATTTTTCACCAGCTTGTCATCAAGGTTCGGGGGGGCGTTAATGTCGAGGACTATCTCCGCACTATCATGGTTGCTCGGTCAAGGTAAATGGCGGTAAATGCCGAATTCCCGAACTCTATCACTATCGCCGAATTCCCGAACTCTATCACTATCGCCGATTTCCAAAGCTCGGTACACTCACCGTCGGGAAAGGTCACGCTTTAATCCACACGTTCTATATTATAATGGAAAATGCCAAACTTGATGAGCATAAGCGAACGTTTGAGTCGGAGGTGGCTGAAACTCGACTGAAACAGAGCTGATAGACTGTGTGGCAAATATGCCCGTACACTAACTGGTTTACAACCCCGACCAGTTTTTCTACAACTTGGTAGTTATTGGTCCTTCAATAATTTCCCTATTCAAGGGGAATAACATCGAATAGCAACATTGCCCGGGATTTTTTCTGTACTTCAATATACTACTGTACTTGTCTTAAATAAGCATGCATATCTCTGTCACGCAGTCATTTTTCAATCTTCTCTCCCCTTCTTCGCGGGACATGTATAGCTCATCACTATTATTATGCACTTTTCTCACAACTCCAGTACATACGACCATAGGGTGTGGAGAACAGGGCTTCCCGTCCGCTCAGCCGTACTTAAGCCACACGCCGGCAGGTTAGTAGTTGGGTGGGTGACCACCAGCGAATCCCTGCTGTTGTATGTTTTTAATTAACCTTTTTTGGATCTATTCGGGAAATTCCTCTCTTGTCGCCTTAGCTTTCAGTCCTTCAGCCCCTTCATCTGAGCGGCCTGAACACCATCTACTGTCGAAATGTTTTGTATGCAACCAATCAACGATATCAAAAGCTCTGTTTCTGTATTACCCCTGATTCTGCCAATTTATAACGTAGTCGGTAAGCGAGTGAGCCATGTAAGCGAGTGAGCCACCCAACCACTTTTTCGCGTCCCACCGCAACAATCTATCTTCTATCAACCACCATGCCTCCAAAACATGTCAGATCAAGCCAAGATTGTATCGAGCAAGAAGGTCGCCTCTTGCTTGCTATACAGGCTATTAAAAATAAAGAAATCAGCACTATTCGGAAGGCTACAGATCGATTTCAAGTTAATCGTTGTACGCTCACGCGTCGGCTTCGCGGTACCACAAATCGCGCTGAATCTCTCGTAAATAGTCATAAATTGACCCAAATCGAAGAGGATATACTCCAGCAACGGATATTATCGCTAGATCTACGCGGTGCAGCCCCTACGTAAGCTTACGTACGAGAAATAGCGAATATTCTACTTGCGAAGCGCGGTTCTACCCCTATCTAGACCGTCAGCGAAAAATGGGTATATAACTTCACCTAGCGCCGTCCAGAGCTTAAAGCTCGATTTTCTCGACGATATAATTACTAGCGGGCCAAATAAGAGGATCTAAAGATTATTCAAGCGTGGTTTAACCTCGTACAAGCCACAATTCAGCAATATAGTATCCTACCGGACGATATCTATAACTTTAACGAGACTAGCTTTGCAATAGGCCTCTGTACGGCCTAAAAGGTAATCACCCGATCAGAATACTACGGTCGGAGATCAGTTTTACAGCTAGGAAACCGCGAGTGGGTAACTACAATTAAGTTAATTAACGCTTCGGGGTGGGTGCTTCCGCCGACGCTTATTTTTAAAGGTAAACTATACAATCAAGCATAGTTTAAAGACCTTCCACCTGACTAACGCTTCGAGGTTAGTGCAAATGGATAGATAACCGATAAGATAGGCCTTCGCTAGCTTTAAAAGTAATTTATTCCTTCAATAAATCATCGTACGCGTGGAAGATATCGACTTCTAGTCCTCGACGGACATAGGAGTTATCTTACGCCAGAATTCGACCAAATTTACGCAGATCACGATATTATCCCAATCTATATACCACCGCATTCCTCGTATCTACTTTAGCCACTTAATATCGGATATTTTGCCATTTTAAAGCGTTCGTACGGCGGTCTAATCGACCAAAAGATGCGGCTCGGGATTAACTATATTGACAAACTTGATTTCCTTTTTACATACCCATAAGCTCGCGTCGACGCATATAAACCAAACATAATACAAAATAGCTTCCGAGTAGTAGGATTAGTACCAATTAATCCTTAATAAGTGCTATCAAAGCTTAATATTCAACTTCGGACGCCGATACCTCCCGCAAGCCGCGGTAGTCAATCAAGCGCTTTTTACCCGTATACGCCCGCGAATATCGATAAGCTTTTAAAGTAAGTATCCTCAATAAAAGCTTTCTTAAAGCGACGCTCAAAAAGCCCGCCATCGCCTTCGCAAACCGCGTTAAACCAGCTTATCAAAGGCTGTCAGATCGCAATGCAAAACGGTATCCTTCTCGAGCAAGAAAATAAGCAACTACGTGCCGCAAACGCTACGCAAAAGCAAAAACGTGCTCGCAAGAACAGATAGATAGCCCACGATAACGGTCTATCCGTACGAGAAGCATTAGAGCTCGAGGAAGCTCATGAAGAGCCCCCTCAGGTAATACTAGCTCCACTAAGCCTACTACCGCGGGACACACCAGCACCGAAGACGCGTCGTCCACCTCAATGCACTAATTGCGGAGTGATCGGACATAGAAGGAATTCCTGTAAAGCTAGAGATTAATCAATATAAAGGCGTTGTGGTTGATTAATATGCATAAAAGTGTAGAAAATTTGGGTGGGTGCGTCACTCGCTTGGGCGCGTCACTCGCTTGTGAACCACGTTAGTTAGGGAGATTCTAGATTACATAAGTAATAAACATGAAGGATAATTGTATCTCCGATCCACTGCGGTATTCGTATTGACATATATAGTGTGCCTAAGGTGTCTTCCATGCCTTGATCTATCTGCATTCTTCTCTCCTACATGGATGCGCGCATGGGAGGACAACTATTCGATATATGACTGCACTTTTCGGCTTCTTTGCTTCATGATTCAGCTTCACGGATAAAGCGATATCTACCTACAGAGCGTATCCACTACGCCTTCCAGAGTCCTTAGGAGTGTGTGTGTGTGTGTGTGTGTTACTGGTGCCCAGTCTGCATTGCCAGACAGCCATCGAGCCATCCCCTTTTCAATGTATATTTATCGTATAATAGGACGCTTAGAAAAAGTCAAAAACATATTACCAAGCGGAGTGGGCTGATGACTATGGGACAATTGATTGTACAAACGCAAATCGCTCGAGGTACAATATAAAAAACATCAAAACTATAGCAAAAGCTCAGGAATACTACCTATTGCTGGACCACGCGACAATTTGCCGGGTCTTATAGGCTAGGAGGATCTTCGGCTCGAGAGGTTTGGGTACCTGCCAGTGTAGTAATTTGTTATTGCAGGAGCAACCAAATTACTAGACAAATGGTGAGACATTGGCCATGCATACTATTCAAGTTCTAGTTTGGAAGACAGATCTCGGTCAAGTCTACACTCCGGGCCAACTACGGATATAGTAGTTAGTTAGTAGTAGTAGAATTCATTGACGCGGTGAAGCTCGCTTTAAATACATCCTGCTATGCGGGTGCTCTGGGCCAAGGCCAAAGCGGAAGAAAATAACTTCCCCTACTGCCACCGTGACAGAGAAGCCCCATTCCTCGTACAATTTTGCAGCGAAGCTGCAGATTTGCTCACGAAGGTGAGGAATTGGAGGTTTGAAATACTAATTCCGATGGGCTTGTCGCACTTTCTAACAAAAAGTCCAAACTCCAACCTACAGAACAAAGAAACCCAAGAGAAAGGCGCAATCGGAGAGCTGCAGCCGCTTCCGATCGCAATATTTCCCCCGCGCAATGCCGCACCAGCAACTTTTCATTGTGTCCAAGTCCTCTGTTCCCTGTTTTTGCTGCGTTTCTTCCTCCAACAGGACTTTTCCTTCCCCTTCTGTCATTCTGCGACAGATTTTTTCACCGATCCATCGAGGTCTTGCATAACAAGTTCGAATGTTGGTCGAGCGATCGTCGTCCCTTTCCCCCACACATTCGGTCCTGTCATTCGCCCCCCCCCCCACTTCGGCTAAGGCCATTTGATTACGCATATTGATTCCATGTAGAGGCGTGGCAGTCGACCTAAACTGCGACTCTGGGTGCACGATGCCGTTGCTCTCTTCCCCATTGCCCTGATATGCTAATATTTCTTTATCCCCTTTCTCCTGACCCCCCTCCCGGCCCGTGGCGGCAGGATCCACTGCTAGGACCTGTCTCAGGAGCCCCGTATTCATCATATATTGAGCAACCTCTGTCCGTGCCAATTTACCGTCCAACAGACCGTCAAACGTGATCATTGTACACCTTTCTGGTCTAATGCAACACGCATCTCATGCCGCAATTCACACAGAAGCGGGCATTTTAATAATACATGCTTGACGGCCTGGTCTAACTCCGGATATCAGTGCAGGTGAAAGAAACTACTGATTGATTTCGGGCTCCGAAAGCATACTCCAGTCCCTTCTTCTGGGGTGCCTCCTCTCAATTCAAGACGCATTGCACTTGTGACCAATAGGTAGAGTTTCACCCCTCCATCTTTTTATCATCTACCTATGTACTACTGGGTTTAAGCATAGTATTAAACCATACTAGCAGCACTGGTCTTTCACACTATTTGAACAGAGCTACCGCCCTGCAATGGCTGAAGATATCTAAAATAATGGATTAGCTCCTACAGACTCGTCCGAGGCTTGCCAGAAATGTTCGGTGCTGAAGATGATATTGACAATAGTGCTCCCGGTGATGATATAGAGCTTGAAAACGAGTATTCCACAAAAGTGAAGGTCACCCTTATCCTCACATCATTTACCTTGCCCAACTTTCTATTCTTCTCTGACCTTGGCGTGACTTCCACAGCCCCACTGGAAATCACGTCCCGATCCGGCTCGCTGGTAGATGCCGGGTGGTAAGTACGCATTGACTTCTGTGGGCCGCCACCACCAGCTGTCTCTAAGAAAAAATCGAAACCGTTGCGGAGTTGAGCGGATTTAAAGGCATCACCACGGTGTATATTTAAATCCCCAAGAACTCAAGAAGCTTCGCGGTTGAGGAATACATACATATCACAGGCTTGCGCGGAATTTTGTACTGTGAAAGGATCGAAAGAGGTCGTCGACCAGCCCAGTACCCATGGCTAAGCTTGCACACTGTGCTACAAGGTAAAGTGTCCGTACCAAAAGAGGCAGAGACTGAGTGGTCAACTAGTGATAGTGTCCTATTATTAAATGACATTCAGCTAATCAGGCCTCAGATGGCTTAGTCTCGAGAAAAGAAGTGAACCATCAGAGTCCGTTCGAAAAACGGTAGAGTGCTAAGAGGTTAATCTTGATTTCATGAATATAAACTAAGTAATGCACCTAAAGAGCATACCGGAAACCGGGAATCTGTCGATCCGTCTTGTTCGCTTGTGCTGCAACAACACCTTCCAGGTCAGAAATCACCACCTGGCCCTGCTTAGAGTCTCGTCGTTTGTTCTCCCAAATGTAGAATGTGAAAAGTAAACCGAGGAAGAGAATACCCAGCGCAAGTCCGCATAGTGATGCACGAATACCGGTCTAATCAACTATAAGTTATTTCGTCATGGAAGGTTAATCAGTCACGAGTACATACCGCATAAACAGGCTCCTCGGAAGCCAAAAAGAATTGCGGGCCCACAATATTGCCTACGCAATACGCAGCAAACACAGCAACACTGACCGTACTTCTCTTTGTGACACCGGCAACATTTGAGCTGACGATGCTCAAGATGAGGGGGATGTTGACAGCAAAAACCGCGACAAAGCACAGTCCAACCATTTTCGCAATCTTCTGGTCATCGTCGAGGGTGTATATCATAGCGGTACCGATGACGGATACTATGACATTGAGCACCATTACTGGGATACGAGAGGACGCGATGCATGTGGCGATAGTCGCAGTAATGACAAGGAAGACAAGTTGAGAAAGGCCCATTGGCATCTGAATCAACAGTGATTTGAAAGCAGAGAAACCGAATCCTTCAACAATGATGGCACCAAACTTTAATCATGTTAGCATTTCATCTAGATCCCTAAGAATGACATGGGTCGTAACATCAACCTACGCTAGTAAGTCCGCCATTGGCAAGATTCACGCAAAATGTATAAAATACCAAGAGCCATACTTGCGGGTCTTTCGCTGCATCCATGACCTGGCTCCACTGGAATGGCGTGGTTTCAGTGGCACCAGTCTTATTTGCCAGTGTTCGTTGCACTGCAATAGTTCGCTCCGTAGGTGTGAGGAAGGAAGCCGTGGCAGGCGAATCGGGTAGAACGAAGAAAAGAAACACGGCATAACCGGAAGTGATGGCTCCCAGTGCGAGGAATAATAGACGCCAGCTCTGCAGGTCCGAGGCAGAATGCCCGATTCCATATGCAACGACACCACCGATTATGTTGGCGATGCAATTGCCGACGAACCACGCACCTTGGCTGAAATAATGGTAAGATGTTAGCTCCGTTCGTTACTCTGTGATTTTAATGTGGATTATATACCGTGCTGGCTGCTCCTCGCGCTTATAGAACATTCCAGTGATTAATCCAAACCCTGGTGCGACGGCAGCTTCACCAACTCCGAGGAAAAATCGAGCAGTGATCAACCCAGCGAAGTTCTGGCAAGCTGCGTGACACATCAGAACGCCACCCCACAAAAATCTGTAAAGCAGGTGACATTAGTTTTGAAAGCGTAGCGGTCAGAGCGATACAGAGACTTACACAGATACCGCCAAATATTTTCCCAGGGGAAGACGGACAATCAAATAAGATGTTGGCCAGCTCCAGGCCAGGTATCCAAAGTAAAATATCGCGGAGCACCAAGTATATTGTGAACCAACAAGACCCTTTTCAAGAAGTTAGCAGCTGGTAAAGGTGACAAAGAGTACCGTATCTTGAAAAGGTAGACTCACAAGATCTGCTCGCAAATTCAACAGTGTTGCTTGACTTATAGCCAGTTTATCCATGTATTGAAGCATGTAGCACACTCCCATAGTTGGAATCATGCTATATAGTAGAAATCAGCATTCGTCCTGTTCTATTCAAGGCGTGACCCTGTTAAAGTCTCTTTGTATACTTACAAAAGATCTAGTTTCCTCAACAGTCGGCGTTCCTCTTCAGGGGATGCCTGATACTCAAAAACCTCGCCAATACTGGCATCTTGGCCTATTTCGTTTGCGACATAAGGCACTTTCTCATTATAGGTAAGGAATTCTTGTTGAGATTTCTCCATAATTGATGACCAAAAATAAAATTGAGACAGTATAGTATTACTTCTCGTCTGGATTAGCAAGACAGATCAAGGACGAAAGCAGATCTTTTATACAATCCTTCCCTTAAAATTATCCAACTGCCGTACGCAATCCCAGTATCATCTTATCTGGAGATCATTCATCGTAGAACCTCGCTTAACTACACCTAATCTACGGCAACTCGTATCAGCACATGATCTTCAGGAGGAATGTGTCCAAACTGGCACCTGATAGACGAATAATATGAAAAGAAATAACGCCTCATTTATTCTAGGTTTATCTTTTCCTATCGATGAACGTACTGTTTCCCGCGGAAAAAAAAGATCGGGGGTCAATTAATAGTGCCGAGAGAGGGGAGGCGTAGACTCGGCAAATAATACCACCATGGCGATTTATGGTCGGCAATAATCTTGTGGATGCTTGACGGTCGGCAATAAATTATGAGTGATTGGCTGCTACTTGATTTCTAGCCTGACGTCGGCAACTGAGAAAGTTAATCGCTGCCCCCGCATTGGTGCTCGTTATCTTATGCCGCCTCTCGGATGGTTAACGATAGCGCTATGAAGATAGATAGAGAATAAGTATTAGTAAATGTAGGACATAACTTCGACATAATTGATGGTTTTGTTATCCGAAAAGGATGCGAAAGTTAGGTTTCCATGTGCTGGAGGCACAAATTCTATGCGGACTCATGTCGAGGGCATCGTGTTTATGTTGCCGTATTTGCCGATTGTGCTTGGGCCCAAGGAGGGCAGTGCAGGTTCACATATAAGAGCCCGTAAGTCGCGTAAAATATGGGATAAAATTGACAGAGCAACATTTGAAGTTTGTCAGGCTCATTCACAAGAATTGACCAATAGCCAATTTTTCCAGAACGATCAACAAGATGACACAAACCCAAACTCTCACAATGTCAGACTCGGCAGTCCGAATTGCGATTGACACTGCTCTGGATAAGGTTGCTAAACAACTCCGCGAATTGAATCATGATGTGAGATTTCTTCCACCAGGCAAAGAGAATTGAACATCAAAACACAATGATTAACCAGTATGCTGCAGATATGGTCCAACCCCGAACTTGCCTACGAAGAACACCAAGCGCACGATAACATCTGTAACTTCCTTGAAAGCCAAGGTTTTACAGTCACCAGACATGCCTATGGTGTCGATACTAGCTTCGAATGCATCAGTGGCACAGAAGGTCGCCTGGTCAACTTCAACGCAGAGTACGACGCATTGCCTGATATTGGACATGCTTGTGGACACAATCTTATCGCAACCAGTAGCATTGCGGCATTTTTAGCATTGAGCCATCTACAGAAGGAGTTTGGGGTTGGCGGTCGCATTCAGTTGCTTGGTACACCTGCGGAAGAGAACGGTGGAGGTAAAGCCAAATTGCTCAACGCTGGGGCTTACAAGGAAGTTGATGTTTCTCTGATGGCGTACGTTTTCAATTTTCTCTTCAACGACCTTGAAATATCCTGGTGAAGCTGATGGCCTCTAGTCACGGAGGACCAAAGAAGATGGTTGGAGTGCCAGCCGATGGTGTAGCTGGAGTCCTAATGAATGCCCGGAAGGAGCTATGGGTAGAGTACTTTGGAAAGAATGCACACGCCGGAGGAAACCCATGGGAAGGTGTTAATGCGCTGGATGCACTGGTGACCGCATACAACGGTGTCTCCACCCTAAGACAGCATATTCTCCCCGATGAGCGAATTCACGGTGCATTCTTGGATGTGCCCAAGGTTGCCAACATTATTCCAGCATACACCAAGTCTTACTGGCAGATCCGAAGTCCGACTTTGGGTGGACTTGATAAGCTTATTGCAAGAGTTCGGCGGTGTATGGAGGGCGCCGCTACCACCAGCGGTTGCACAGTAAAGATTGAGGAGTGTGTCATGCTGCATACCATGTAATGAATGCGTGCTAATAAGTACTATTCTACCAGGGAGGGGCTGTATACGGATATTGTCTTGAATGACACCCTTTGTGATCGATATACCACTCACATGAAAGGATATGGGAAGAACATCATTCAGAAGTACGATAAGGTCTTGACCGGCTCATCTGACGTTGGTGAGTGACAATTTCCGCGCGCCTGTATGCGGTGGATAATAAATGTTGATAACATTACAGGGAACGTAAGCTATGCTGTTCCGACACTTCACTCGACATTTGCCATCCCAACCCCCGAAGGCTCCTACCCACACCATCCCTCGTTCACTGCCTGTGCTGGCACCGACGAAGCACACCAGGAGGCTATTACTGTCGGTAAAGGGCTGGCTCTCCTAGGCTGGGACATGTTGACCAATGACAACCTCTTCAGCACCGCTAAGTCTCAATGGGAAGGACAAATTCCGAGCAAGGCCGAGAACTGATAGCTTTCTTCAAGAGACTGGTCTTACAATCGCACGAAGATAGGGGAATGAGGATTTGTCGATACTAGTACATTAATTTATTGCATTCCAAATTGCTGGATAAAATCAACCCATGTGGCACTACGTAACCAATAAATATGGTATGGTAATTGCAACGGTTAGATGGCCGCTTTCAATTCAGTGTCGAAGGAGTCATTGCTCTTTAGAAATTCTAAGCAATTCGTTGAAAACATGCTTGATCGCCACAAAGGTTGCATGTGCGGAAAAATCAGAAAAATCAACTCTCTTAGGCCCGCTCTGCTTTTTAGACTATGGGTTCTCAAAAGCATGCTTGATTTACTAAAGTATCACTGCCTTCTAAATGCTAAAACGCGAGAACATATTATCCACATGTTTCATGAAACAGTATCAGTGAGTCTGAGGTACCTACAATAGCAGAGTTCACTACCGCCTGCATACCCGCAGGCTACCTATTCTAGCCGTAGCTACCAGCAGCACCAAAAGACAAGTCTGCGAACTTCATGACCGCAACGTCTACAATGTAAGCGAAGCGTAGAAGGTCAGCCTCAAGGCCAACGAAATATAAACTACCCATCACCAGCGCCGTCGAGCTCACCAATCCAACCAGCCTATTCTTCAGAAACCGCGTGACCTACGAGAGTTAGATCAAATTTTATATCTAAAAATGGCGTGCAATCAATGTGGTAAAGCTTCCTTTTCTCCGCGCCAGGCCAAAATACACCATAACAAAGATAAAATGGCGCTTCTCGAACTTGGCTCAGGTATGCGGGGCCCTGAAAATGCAAGCCTCTCTGGCTGTCACTGGAAATGATCGGCGCATATGTGTGTGTGCCTGGATTCCCGACCTCATACTTATTGCCCAATTCATCTGCATAACATTCCTTCCCAGCCACATGCCATCAAACAAATTTTAACTGGGATCAAGCCTCCCACATCCGTGTTCAATCATCGGTAATGCGCATTTATCTAGAACAGATGATATTATTGGTTCACGCGATCAAGCATTTCTTTTCCGAAGACAACCATCGTCTGCGGCCATTTGATTTGCCACAGCATGGAGACCTGCTGGCGCCGCTGATCAGGGTCGATACACAAACTGACCAATCGCAGGTGTGTCGAATTGCTCATAGTTCGATTTAGCTTAAAGCGGATGTTTCCATTGGTTTGCGTCATATTAAATTCTCTCCCGAGGCCATTTACTGCCTGCAGCAAGTTCCTGCGGTCCAACGAGAAGGAGAGTTGAGTTTGACGATCTTGAAAGATTAACAGCTTGTTTACTCAATATATGTCTGTCCGCCCGGTTCCTTCCACGCAAAACTGACACCCATTAAGGTAGCACTAGATTAGATCACCATCTCAACCCCTTGGTGGCACGAAGCTCTCAGAAGTGAAACTTGCTATCTTTTCCAACATTGCATAAATGAGATGTTCGAAGCGTCTTAGACTAGATGTCTCCCGAGGGCCCATTGTTTGGTCTTTCTCCTTCAGCTCTAGTGGCTACCGAATGCGGCGACAACACCAGACTAGATCCGGGTTGCCCAGGGCGATCTACCCACAAAAAAAAAAAAAGATGAAGACGGAAGATTGTGTTGATTCCAACTGTATGACTTATTTTTGTAAATCACTGATCTGCAGTCTGCGGTCAGTAAATCTCAAAATCTATAATAACATACACCATCCCATCATCAAATCTCTACCAGAACAAAAAAGCATCCCCCAACAATCACTCCCTCAAATACATTGAACAATTCAAAAGAGATTCAACAAAAGTTCTTCCAAAAGAACTATCACACGATAGCCAAAGATGCATTTTACCAATGTCGCTGCCCTGGCCCTTGGCCTCTTCGCCTCCTCCGGCCTCGCCATTCCTTCTTGGGTCAAGCCTGCCACTATCCAGCTCGCTAACGAGCAATCTGGAACGAGTGCCAACGTCGCTGTCCCTGTCGATGGTGTGAAACGTCCCATCCAGGAGCTCTGGGGCCACACTGCAGTTGCACATGAGGGCCTTGTCTTCGCTTCAAGCGCCATGATCACTGCTTTCCAGCAAACCACTGTTTGCGAATTTACTGAAGGGCCACGTCTAGACGTGAAACTGGATGCTGAGAAGACATACGCTTCTTTCGGGGGAGGTGTGAGGGACCTTTGTGCCGCCTATGTGGTGTGCAAGTGTGAGGGCATGTGAATGTCAGTAATGAAACAAGGCTTTGAATGGGAATGAAGGCTTGGCGATGTTTTTCTGTATATTTAACCGGTGTTTAGAATGGGAAATTTTCTAGTAGAGCTATATACGTGTTCTAGCCGTTATGCAAATGCTATTTTGGTCTATTTATGCTGTCTATATCCTCTCTTGCTACAAAGTAGACAGGGTGATGAATCATTGCTTATGAGTAATGTTGCTATATACCCTAGAAAGACAAGCTTCGCTAAAGCTACATTTGTTCTGTCTTATCGCAACCCGATTAAAGCCCGGGCACATTAAATATAAGTCAGGTTAATAAGAGGTCCTAGGATCGGTCAATGTGGGGGGGATAAATCAGAGTGTCAGTGCACGCCGATGGGGCTCAATCGGTTGATGTCTGTGAATTGCTAAAGATTTTTACTTCCCTTCTTTAATATCTCTCAAAATTTGACCTTGTTACTGAGAGAGCGGGGACTCGTGAAAACCTCAACTCAGAGCATAATTTCAAGCGCCCAATAAACAGCTCTTGCGACCGTCCGAGTTCTCAAAAACATCCTCCTCAGCATTGATATGCAATACATCTTGATCTCGCTCAACGCGTGTGCCGCAAATGGCGAGATGTGATTGTCACATCGCTTTCCATTCAGGCACACCTATTGTTCCAGCTCGACTTGAATCAAAAGCATAAAGAACAAAACCCTCTCTTGCTTATACGTTTCCCCGGCTGGTTTCCACCATATCGTTCCAGCCTCAGGGGAAAGACCGAAGATCATGGAACTGTTGGAATCGATCCTAAATGTTCGATTTCACGTTTATCATCGTTCAGCCTGATGTAAAGGCCACTTTCACACATAAAGACGCCAGCTGGCGCCGCATGGCCCCCGATCATTGATCAGGTTCTCTTTACAGTGAATCAAGCTCGAGGCGGCAGATGGCTGATCGGCCATATATACAGGACCTAGGCGAAGAAAACACTGTAAAGGATTTATATTCACACTCCTGGTCCATATCAAATCCGCCCCTAATAGATGACTTTATCGAATAGGTCCGTTGGACGGAGGTAGGACAACTTCGTGAAACAATAATTATGTGGGACGATGGCGATATACAGATTTTATCTATATATTCGTCTTATTCCTTCAAGGAAAAGGAGAAGCACCACTTCGGGAAGCACTGGAGGTATATGGCATGATCGTGGTGAAACTCCGAGAAGTACAATGTGCAATGGGACCAAATCCTGGTCCTTTCACGGTGGTAAAGAAAATTTCTCGGCACCGCGCTGTAAAAATGGACACGAAAATACTCAAGGCAAGCGCTTCAAGCGATTGCGTCAATATAATTGAATACAAATGCTCAACCCTTTTATCATTGGAAATAGCTATATAAACGCTAAACCAAAATAGGCAATCCCCCGCTAAAGCCTTATTTGGCTGTGTTTGGCCTCAACGCGTAGTAAACGCGCAGATCTCACGGGCTGAAAAAAAAGAAAGAAAAAAAGCAATGGGAAACGAAAATTTTGCCAAACACACGTCTCCAATACGTTAATCAATTCGATTTAATCGCTTCAATCATATGTCTCCTTTTTCCCGCCCCTTGATCGTCGACATGGGAGAAGGCGATGCCCCAGCCTCTTCACATATTCTTCAAATCAGTGGTCTCTACGCCATACATTGCCTGATCCCCGCGACTTTGCTTATCGCGACCTCGAAGCAGTCAATTTTTAGGTACCTTTCAGTTCCATGTTCGCTTTTACTCGCACACCAGGCTGTACATGTGGCCTCCGCGCTGGGCCCGGGTTTTTTCTGGTGTGAACTCGTTCGCCTATTCGTGACGATCATCTTCCAGTGCCTGAACTTATTGCTTATCAATCCAAAAGATAACAGCGATGTTCCTGCTGAGGTCGACCAGGGCCTTGTGGATCGACTCTATTACGCGACCAGCCTCTTTACTCAGCCTCGAGGGGTAAACACGGCCTGGCAGGTGAAGAATTGCCCGTCACAACCACAATATTATCAACGCAGAGGTTGGATTATCCCTCCTCGGGATCGTTTCTTGATTAGACAAATAGCTATCGCTGTTTGGCAATATTTGGCTCTCGATGTCTTCGCTACTCTTGCGTTGCAGCAAGCCTTAGAGCAAAAGAAGCACGAAACGCTGCCTCCAACTGTGCAGTGGGATCTATCAGTTGAACAATGGATTGAGCGAATAATTTCCAATCTGGTCGCCGGATTTGTTGTGAGTCGAATTCTAATCGACTTTCACCATCGGGCCTTTTCTATTATCATTGTCGGACTTCGACTTGATTCCCCGTCAAACTGCCCTCCTTTATTTGGAAAGGCAGCAAATGCCTACACATTGCGGGGGTTTTGGGGGTAAGCTGCTCACTTCTTCGTTACACTGAGGGTGACCCTTCGCTTGATTGGGTTGTCACATGGGGGAAAGCTTGCTAATTAGATCCCACAGTAAATTCTGGCACCAGCTTTTGCGTCAACCACTCACCTCCGTCAGCAAATTTATTACTCGGGACCTACTAGGCTTACCATCACAGACTTCAGCTGAGAAGTATATGAACATCTTCACTATATTCTTCTTCTCCGGCGCGCTACATGTCGTGCTCGATACTGTGCAGGGAATTCCGGCAGATGAGTCTGGTGCCATGCTCTTTTTCTCATTAGCCCCGCTAGGTCTCCTGATTGAGGACGGCATTAGAACGCTTTGGAGAGCTTTTGTCGATTTGAGTTATGGGAATCAGACAAACAAGAAAGGTACATTGCCAATGTGGCAGAAAACCCTTGGCTTTCTCTGGACTATGGTATGGCTGGGTGTCACATCAACTTGTTACCTTTATCCGCAGATGCTGAGGCCGCAGAATCAGGCTCTAGTTCCTTATAGTTTGGCTAGTCAGGTTGGGCTGCCCGTGGTAGGGTTGGCGGTTGTCGTGGGTGGGGCCATTGTGGCATTTGTATTCGAGGTTGAAATTTGAGAATTTGCATAGATCACCCCGCTGGTGCTATCTGGCTCATATATTGAGTCTCAGTCAATTTAAGAATCTAAATTTACCTTTCAGAATTTCAAGGTGCCAAGGTCGATCCCCGCACGGGAGGCGTAGTTGTGGATAACGTCAGCCACTGAAATGGTTCACAAAATATCACCGAAACAAGACTCTGCCATTTCTCATCCCTTTCTTGCTCTGATCTCCTCAAGATTCTGTGTCTCCTCTACTCAATACTTCCCTCTCGCACGACATTTTATCATGACCTCCGCCGCGGTGTTCGGCTGTACAGGAGCTGTGGGCTCTCAGATCCTCGCCACACTTCTCGCCTCAGACGTCGCCTCATCTGTCAAGACCATCTCCCGGAGACTTCCAATCGCGCAGTCCCCAAAGCTTCAGGCGATTGAGGAAGGCGACATCACAAAATGGGGTGGCATGATCTCTTCCTTGTCCCCCAAACTATCCATGGTCTTTAACGCAGTCGGTACCACCAGAGCGACAGCTGGTGGAATCCAGAATCAGTGGAGAATTGACCATGATTCATGTGTTGAGAATGCCAAAGCTGCCAAGAAAGCCGAAGTGAAGACATACGTGTACATTTCCAGTGGAGGGACCAGGGGCTTTCTCTCGAGCTACGTGCCTTACTCGAAGATGAAGATCGGAGTGGAAAATACCATTAAGGATCTTGACTTTGAACACGCTATTATCCTGCGCCCGGGTATGATCATTGGAAGAGAGACCTCGAAAGCTCCAATGTTGGAGAAAATGGTGGAGAGCCTGAAGAATCTGTCGCAAGGTGTTCAGGACATGATAGGTATTGTCGACCCAATTAGCGGCCAGACATTTCCAGTTTGTGACTAATCATCTATAATTAGGTCAAGATCAAACCACCATTGGTAGAGCTGCCGTGGCAGCTGCTCGCATGGCTGAAGAAGGGAATGCGCCCTCCAAGTACTGGGTTCTGGAACAGGCCGATATAGTCAGGCTCGGCAGAGACGAGTGGAAGGACTAAGGGGCTGTCTTTAGGCAAAAATTGCTTGCCCCTCTCATTGAAAATATGATAAATTGTATCTATGTCATCTCTAGGAGGTCTATCGGATTCGGGGTCATTATCATTTCTTACTCATGGCTCTCCCTACACAACCACGAATTTTTCCATGTAGCGACTACACCATCCTGTATAGAGCCTGCGATGTTATCGATTCCCACATGGAAGAGTGATTTGGGCTTTTCGCATCCTGAATTCGACTTGTCTTGAGCGGAATCCAAGACTCGCCATGGTTGTCACGTGATGAGCAGTTGCGGCTTGCTGACTCCCCGAAATCTTTCTCTCACTTGCATTTGATGTCATGCTGTGCACACTATCAACCATAATATCATTAAACACTGATTTTGACAAAATATGCCACCGCAAACAGCAAAGAAAGGTGAAAGCGCAGGGCAGGAGAGGCGGAAACCTGTCCGCCGTGACCCTGAGAAAAGACGGCAACAGAATATTGAAGCCCAAAGAAAGTACCGTGAGTGGTGGCCTTCTGTGATCACTGCCTCTATCGAAACTGCATACTCATGACTTGATTAGGAGCAAAGATTCGTGAGCGCCTTAATCACCTTGAAGCAGTTGCAGCAGGGGTGACGAGCACAGGCCCACCTGAAACACTGGCAACGCCCGGCTCACCCACTACTTCAGCTGACCTTATTGCAACAAGTCTCCCGACTTCTGATGCCTCAATCAAACTTGCATCTAGTCCATCGGTGGAGACTCCAGGGGAATCTCAGCATCTCATATCACAGACCGATAACAGCCTCTCAGCTCTCGCATCATGGGAATCTATCGACTATTCTAAGTTAGATGACTCGTCATCCGGAGTAAGCTTATGGGATGCAACAACAAAATTTGACCCACTTCCAGATTATGGCTCATCGTTATCGTGTGAATGGGGTTCGACAACATACGTTGACCCATCCTTTCTCATCCGCGATAACCACGATAGTGGCATAGTCCAATACTGGACAACTAGCTTAAATTGTGGCTGCTCTACCCGACACATTCAGATTCAGACAAAAGGAGTCGACCCATCGAGTTTTAAAGATGCCAAGATACTCACACTCGGCTATCCTGCAACCACAGCTGACCCATATGCAAACAACCTTCGTATCGACACAGTCTGCACTGCCGCTGCTCTACGCACCATTGGAATGCAACTTGGTGTTAATGAGGAGGCTCTTTGTGCCGATGAATCTCTCTCGCCATTCTTTCGGTTCACCACAGGCTCGGTGGACTTCATGGTCCAATCTACCATGATCAAGACCGTGCAACAAACATTCAAGTCATTGAAGCCGGACTTGAGGCCGAGCAGAGAGCAGATAACTGTCAAACATCATCCATGTATAGACGTTCTGCCCTTTCCAACATTACGAAATAACTTTATTACTCATCAAGATGAGTTTGACGAGGATGAGTTGTTCATGGACGTCTTTAATGGCTTGGTGTGCTGGGGAGGTGCCGGTATTGGGAAAAGAGATCGAGATATCAATACTGGATATGTGTCGACGGGCACGCCGTGGGATGTGCGGAGTTGGGAGGCAAAGCAATGGTTTTTGAAGAAGTATTGGGTCCTACTGGGTGGCGAAGATGGTGAACTTGTCCGACAAAGTGAATGGTGGCGTGGTATCAGGGGAGAAGAAACGTTAAGCATAGAATTGCCTAGCTAGGAACATAGGCGCCCACCAGGACGAATATTCATGTTTCTTTGCCAAGCGACACTGGCATTAATGACAGCTTGCGGGAAATCACACATCCAATTGACTTTAGCAATACTGAACCCAGGCATCCAGGTCCATGTTTTTGATGACAGTCGAGAACTTATCCGCGCTCTTCACGTTGCAGACCGTGGACTTCTCTTCATTTGTCACGCGGGTTTTGATCTTCATGTTGACATCAATGTCTCCAACATACTCGATGTGGAACACGGGTTTGTTGACATCCGTAAAAGCAGCATATACATCACACTCATCATACTGGGCACATTGCTCGTTCACAGACCATTGCATTTTTTCGATGATAGAGGCAATAATGTCGCCTCCGTTTTTGAGCCCAACAGACATGCCACGGGAGTGAGCCTCGGACGAAAGAAAATCCAAGTAATTGATAGAATCAGCTTCGGTCAGACCGAGACCGTTGTCGTTGCCATATGCATCAATGTTGTCTGGGTCAACACCATCGCAGCCCTTATTCTGTGCCATATCGAGACGAGATTTCATAATCTGGCGGACATTGTTTGAATGAACATCCAGCCAGCGCTCTCCTGGCCAGTCCTCAAGTTCGTTGCCAAAGTCTGAATCAGAGAATTTGCTCGCGTCAGAGCGCCAGTCTTCATAAGTCCCAGCAGAGAGATAGCAGATCACTTTGGCACCCTTGGTGTGTATCCTCGAGATTGTTGCATGAGTATTATCAAAAAGGTCAATATCAAAGACATCGGCGTCCATGGAGATGTCATCGACTGGGTTTTCCAACTGGATCTGCCATTTGATCCCTGCTTTGGGCTGCCAAGTAACGGCGGTATTCGAAGTCTGAGCTTCTTCATCGCTCCACTTGAGGATCCGCTTGTAAATTGGGCTGACTGGTTGCTCGGCTTTGATATTAAGGCCAAATGCAAGGAGCATCAAGCCAACAATGCAAAGGTATATAAGATTCTTCTTGAATAGCCAAGGTCCCCATTTACAATCCCGATAGAACGCCATAGTAACCTTTGGGAGATAAGAAAGCGTAAAAAGAACAGCTCGTCTTGAATAAATATGAAAGGAGTCAGAGAAGTGAATTGAAAAATCTTTGAACTCGGACCTGCCGGCTCTCAAGTAAAGGAATGACTAAGAGGAGATGGACGAATCGACAAATAAATAAATTCTCAGTGAGTGCGATAGTAGTGATTGCTGGGTGCAATCCTCAGCCTTAAATACTTGAGATAATCGATGGCCAGAGGTAGGCAGGTCATAGATGTTTCATCATTTACTAGAAAAGACAATATTGTTCCTAGAAAGAATACAGGTATGATACGATCGGAGCAACAGTTGGAAAAACAACCGTTGAGGGCAACTCAAAAGTGCACCTCGAACCAATGAAAGCAATTCCGCGACGTACATGGGAAGGAACTTGACGGAAGCAGGTCATGAATGTTCCGAGGAGCGATCTTGAAACATACGCCAAGAACAGTCAGCGCTAGACAGAGAAGACCCTTCCTCCGCCACAACCTTCCTTCAATCAAATCCCAAACGATTTCTTGCATAGACGCTTGGACCTTTTTCTGATAGCCAGCTCTTGCTGATACATTCCAATCAGAGGCTATGTGGAATACCAGCTTTGGTGAATCAGAAGATTTCAAACCCGATAAAAGCCCCATTATACGGCCAAGATCCTTGGCGTATAGGCCCACGGTCGGCTCGTCCAGTGAGTTCGATCGTAGATCACGAAAAATAGACATATATCACCGACGGTTATGAGACAGCAAAACTCTGATCCTGCATCTTCGACGTCCGCATTCTCAGATTAATTCTAAACTTTTTCCTTTTTTACGAACGCCTTCTCTTGGCAAGCGGAATCCTAGATCAATCTAAGGGTCACCCTTTTGTCCTTAATATCTCTATGCTTATGTTTCAAACTACCCCTGGGCGCTAAAAAGAAGACTGGTGTCTGACCATAAAAATTGACCCAATCGAATCGCGCCGTTTCGCAAAAAAGTCTCGGCGTGCAGGTGAGTGCCCTTATGAATACAATTAACTAACAATCGTTAAAAGACTTGAAATTGTGACTGATCTGAGACTTTTTTTATATCTTTATGTGCAATAATGTGTATTCTCTGCTAGCTGTTATGATGGTTCTACGTATATCCGATTGAACCAAACAAAGTCTTTGATAATCGAATCAAATTTCAAGAAGATAGTTTGGCAAAGAAGAGCAAAGCCCTCGGGGAGCTACCTGTAGCTCTTTTGCGAAAATTTCTCTTCTTTCTCTTCTATATCTCATTCAAAACTTCCTATTACTCTACTCTCCATCCACCTAACTGAAAGCGGCATCATGTTTCAAATTTGGCGTGGAAGTGATCCGGTACTGTCCTATTTGAACGCAGAAGAACATGAAGAATCGGTTGGTATCAGGGCATCCGAAAAATTTAGTCTCATCTCAGGGGGGAAACGACAACTATACCAATGACAAGCATCAAATGGGAAAGGTACTGGGGTGGAACATGCCAAGGACCATTCACTGAAGACGCCGTGCAAGGGTCAGACGGGTTGAGTCACGGGGACCATCATGGGTGCAAAGTGCCCCGACAGCGGCAAATGCAACCGATACACGTGCTAGTAATAGAATGACCCCACGGGGAGTCAGTAGATAGCCCGTTCTAGCCAATGACCAGCCAAAGCGCTTGCTTATGCACTGGGACATAAACTGAGAAGTGCCCAGGATCTCAGGTGCAACCGTGAGAAATATGGCCAAGACGAGGATCATGGACTAAGACTTAAGCGATACAAGGGAAGCGATGAGGAGTTGGAAGGACTGAGATAGGTGGAACTTAAAAGTATTGGGATGTGATTCTTCCGAACCGTTATCACTATAGGCGGTAGTAGTTTCTAGCTTTGATATAGATAGTGAAATGGGGATGGCTCGATGGCTGTCTGACAATGCAGATTGGAAAACAGCAAACAACTGACAACACACACACAGCCAGCACGTAGTATAGGTCGTCTCTTGGGGGAGGTCGCAAGTGTCCTTGGTGAGGCCGTGGGACCGTCCGGGCAATCCTGAACGCAGCAATCCTAAATGAGGCCGTACGGTTTTCAGACTGAGGCCATATATAATGTACTTAATACGGCATCATAAATCAAAGAATGTAGTGATAACTGGAGTGAATTGGGTAGATGCCTCTTCCATCTCTATCCTCACGTAGAAGCTGTTGCTTACACCTAAGGTATTCTGTCAGTACGAATACCGCGGTGGACTGGAGATACAATTACCCTTCATGTTTATTACTTATGTAATCTAGAATCCCCCTATAAATTGCTAGAATCACGGGTAATACAGAAACAGAGCTGTTTACATCGTTGATTGGTTGCGTACAAAACATTCTGACATATTCGTGACACCCCAGGCCGCAACTGTATTCATTATGTCATGCGTTCCACCACTAAAATATCTAGCAGATATCTGAGAACTTATTCTCTTGATCGTAGCCTCAATTTACTCTTTAATTCGCCCACTAGCTTGAATAATATAGATACAACCTATCTCACTAGTTCGGAGATACTCCGGAAGATCCTCGATATACTCTATCTCTGTGGCACTAAGCGGGTTACCTTAGTGTGTGTAAGATAGGTTGGGCTAGGATTAAGATGAATCCACTAGATTAGGTTAGAACCAGTCGTCTGTCAGATATCTATGGGATATCTAGTTACTCGAGTATCTTCCTCTCTCTCCTTCCGCTCCCCAATACATCGATCGGTCGTATCGTCGAGAGTACTCGCTAGACCTTGAGTAGTAGCCATATTATCAGTATAAAGAGCGGGGTCTAAAGCCGTATACGAGGGGTGGGTAAAAGGTAAGAAAACATTTATGCGCAAGGGCTTGGTCACCATACCGCGCTAAACCTCTTTCGTAACCTCACCTCGAGAATTGGTTTCAAAAGAGGTTTAGCGCCGACGCGTCAATTCTAGAGACCCACCGGGTCAATTCTCGATGCCAGCTATACACTCAGTTGTTAGCTCGGCCTGTCAAGTTGGGCGCTAGCCAATATTGGGACATGGAAATTCGTACTGTTACACCACTTATAATTGAGACACTCTACGGTCTCTCAATTCTCCATGGCGAGCTAACGAGTTCAAAGAAGAATGGATGCGAAAAAAGCAAAAAAAACATACAACAGCAGGGATTCGCTGGTGGTCACCCACCCAACTACTAACCTGCCGGCGTGTGGCTTAAGTACGGCTGAGCGGACGGGAAGCCCTGTTCTCCACACCCTATGGTCGTATGTGTTAAAAATTTGTGATATAGAGGTTATACCTCAATTCAATTTAACATGACGTCTGTGGAATTGTTGGCAGGAGACAGTATCCTGAGCGAAGTCACTATTTCTGGATATAGAATTTATCAATAGATGATGTTGATCATAAATAGTGGCAAGGAGAAAATAGTGACTCGTTGATAAGAACGATTGGAAGTTGAAGTCATGGAAGACTATATAGAATAAGGAGCTCCTCGAAGGTGTTAATACAAGGTGGAGGAAATTCAGATAAACGCCTTTCATTGCCTTGCCTGAGACTCAATCTTCCGGCATTCCTTGCCCATATGCTTCGCTGTGACATCATGTACAGAAATCAACCTTCCCAAATAGTTAACGCAATCAACATTCACTCCCCGAGTTCGTGTTTCGCGTTTTTTAATTATTTCTTTGATCCCATGGAAGTGAGATGCATTTGCCTTCCTTTCTCATTCCTCATCGCTGGTTTTTTCTCCCTCTTTTCATTTCTGTCCACGTAAAATACTATCAAAGAAGGCCAGATCAATGCCTTGCAGGTACCATTCATCATCGTTTAATGTAAATTCTGTGGACGGAAGTAGCTGCGCGGGTTCGCTCTCGCTACTGTTCGCGATTCCAAATCCATAAAACGCAGAGTATTGTTGCCATGATGAAATTTGGTGGTGACTTGATGGTATCGCCTTCGAATAGGACCAGTTAAATTGATTCTCGCTGTGAACTGCAGATAGCTCTTCCGATCCAAGCGGCAACTGATTTGCCGGCTGGTTCGGATCCAATGTATTCGCGATCGTCATGGGTAAGATGTCTGGTAACGTTGAATTGGATTTTGAGATAACACCATGTTCGAAATTGATCGTGCCAAGATACGGAATGCGGATATACAAAGCCTTTCCGCCGTGGGTCAATCGGGCATCACAGTCAAGCTCTCTCTTGCCCTCTTCCGATGAGCTTACGCTGTACATGTCGCCACTTGCGGCACTAGCCTCGATTATGAGTATATTTTTGATTATCCGGGTGAGTTTGTAAGCGATATCATCAATATCGTGTCGGGCCGTCGACTCGATGAGCTCTAAGGTACGTTCCATAGAGCCGCGGTCACTTGGACGGCTGTGGGCAAGAGAGTTCAAAACTGTCCCTGGGTTCGAGGATTCATCAAGGGCTTGAGTCTGAGTATGAGAACTGATATGAGCGAAGCAGATTGCTGTAATGGCCATGAACGCGAGAAAATCGGAGCCACGGCAGTAATATTTTGCTGGGTTAGAAGTGCGAAACGTTAGATAGCGAGATAGTATTTCGCGGGCAGAGTTGAGAACAGTGAGCTTGCTGTGATTGTATCGATGTTCAGAAGAGTTACACAGCATATAAGGTAAATGAAGCCGCATAAGCAAATGGTAGTGCGAGAATTGATCCATGATAGAAATCGTGTCACGAAACATATTTGTTTCATCGTAATCTCTGGACGTGAAATTCGGAATCATCCACCACTGAGGCGGCATCTCAGATGCGGCATTATATAAAAGCAAATCATCCTCGTGGACTTTGGCAAAGCCGTTCATATCATCCTCTTTGCCTTCAAGTATATTTCCAGCAACGACGCAGTGAATGCGTTGCAATTTTCCATTGGGGTGGCAGTTTTCGAGTGCTTGAGAAGTAGAGAAGTCATTGATGACTGAACTATATGGTAGACCCAACATAATGGAAAGATAACGGTCCATTTGGGCCAGTCGAAAACTAATCTGGATTGAGTTGAAGGTAGCTCGAGTCTCGGGATCGAGGATCTTCAAGGACGACGAGCCGAGACCGCGGTGTAACGCCAACATCTGGGCAATGGCAACGGCGCGGTGTATTGATATCCATGCTCGATGAAGATTTCCGGAGTAGTTGTGATACATGGCTTCGATCATAATACACTCGATGCCCTCGACAGAGCCGATGAGCTCGTCATTGGTAGTTACTAGTCTTGTGGCTGTATCGACGGCGTGGGTCATTATTGAGCATAAATAAATACCACGTTCCTTCGAGTCTCGGGTAAGATAGGGTGGCATTCCTTGCAGAAATGTACCAAGGACCAGAAGCTTGCGCGCAATCAGCACTGGGTGAGAATCTATTGGGGGTAACCTTAACATGTCTCTTGGTGATGACGGCATTGAAGCTGTAAGCTGGTGTAGGTCTTGCATATCCCAGAGAACAGTTGGGTTGAAATGCCTAATGGGAGGCTACAGATTATATCGAGATCACCCTTGCTAGGCCATGCGGCGATGAGGTTGTGAGCCAGGTCTTCATTTTTACTTGAAGCTCGCTTGTTCGAGTTCTGAAGAACGACTGGTTCTGGGTGAACAGTTTCATACTCGTAGGTAGGACTCTGTCTGAATATAAGCAAGATTCCTTGGTAATTTTCACAAGAATGACAGAAAGACCTACTACTCTATCAATATCTTGCCGTGGGTCTTCCCTATCTCCCCTTGTCCCCAAGGCCGAGTTGGACCCAAGCTGATCTTCCGAAGCCTGTTGTCGAATATGAGCAGTCTCGTCATTGGTCACTAATTGCTCGAGGATGTTCTCTAACTGGGTAAGCCGAGACTCTAGCTGGTCAGCGTTGGAGAGAGCCGGCTTATCAGGGTACTCCTGGCCGATGCATGTTGTCCCACGCCTTCGACAGTGATTGCATGTAGAATGGGTTGAGACAAAAATACAGCGAACTTTTCTTTGTTTATATTCCCAGCAGCTTTGAGTTCCTTTTCGGATCTGTCTGTGTCTGGCGCCTAAGCCGGCTTCCAGGGAGCTTCTTTCGGCCATCGCCGGTTATCAATTCTGGGCTTTGCGTCAAGAAAGAGCCAACTTGGTGATCAGTATCGACAGCGCCTAAACATTTGATCTCGACACTGACAAAAAGTTCGGGGCACCCCGACCGGAAGGTGATGCATTACCAAGCGATCTCGGCTATTTCGGCCGAAGTGATATGCTTATCTCCGGTGCTTAAAAAGTGGCGGCGCTTCACCCGAGTTCAGCGGACGAACAGAACATCACCCATTAAAAACTTAGAATGACAACATAGCGCCCAAGGGCCGAGACGTATACACTGGTCCAGTTGATTGGAAGTCAAAGTGTCTTTTCCAATCATTGACATGTAGTATCATTGAATCCGACCGAAGTCTCGGCTCCTATTCCAGGTATATAGTTGAGTCCATACGCTCGCTTCAAACATCTGAGTTTAAATCAGCATAAGAGATTCGTTGTAAGGATCATTTGGAAACGGAACCAAACAATCAATTCAACGAAAATGGTCAAGATCGCGTTTGCAGGCGGGTCCGGCAGTAAGTAATGGGCATACATATGACACATACACACTCTGCAAATGTCTTATTTGTCCACAGATGTCGCTCAGGAAATCATGGATGTCCTGTTTGAGAACAAAAAACACAATATTTTGATTCTCTCTCGAAAGGTTTGCATAGAATCTCGAGCTTCTCTTAGACTGTTGTTGAGTCTTTATTGATTGGTTTCTACAGGATGCGCTTGTTCAAAAAGCCACTCCAGGAATCACCTGGGCTAAAACAAACTACAGCGACACGAATAAGTTGGCACAGGCCCTGCAGGGTGTCCATACCCTGCTTTCCTTTGTTTCCGAAGAGGATTCATCTAGTCCAAACCAGAAGACGCTCATCGATGTCGCAGTTCAAGCTGGCGTGAAACGGTTCGCACCTAGCGAGTGGGCCACGTAAGTTCTCTTCAATTCTTGCTGCTTTCTTGCTTATTAACGGATGGTAGTTCTGGCTTGAGTCACCTAGGCTGGTATGCCTACAAGGGGGAGATTCGTAAATACCTCGAAGAGCTGAACAAAGACAAAAAAGTAGATCCCAAAGCCGCCTTTGCGAAACTGTAAATCTAACACAATATCTTTTACAGCACTTGGAGTATACACTTTTCCAACCCGGCTTTTTCGTGAACCACCGGACTCATCCTCATCAGTCAATGAAGTACGTTCAATCAACGGAGCTGCCTTTCGATTTTGAAAACCGTCGAGCGCTCATGGTCAATGGTAGCTGCGATGATGAGATCAGCCTCGTTACAGTTGATGATTTTAGCAACGTGGTAGCTAGAGCCATTGATTTTGAAGGCGAGTGGCCAGTCATTGGTGGTATTAGAGGCACTATTATCTCTATTAGAGAGCTCATTGCCCTTGGCGAGAAAGTTCGAGGTGCGTCATTCTAATCTATCGAAATGAAGGGTAGGAGAAATATGCCAATACCTCGATATTAGGAGGGACGCCATTTCATATTGAGAAGGTTCAGGCAAAGGACATTGAAAGTGGAAAATGGCAGACCTCATGGGCACCCAAGCTCAGTCACCCTTCGATTCCGCCCGAGTATGAGGAAGTGTTTTCAAGAGTCGGGGTCGCCAGCATTTTGTTGGCGATATCTAAAAATGCCTATTCTGTGTCAGATGATTGGAATCGGTTGCTCCCGGACTACAAGTTCACTGCCGCAAAAGACTTTTTGAGTCAAGCTTGGGGCGGCAAACCTCAGACAAGTACAGAGATCGTTGATCTGAAGGCTCTTGTTTAAGCCAATAGACATGCTAGGCCTAGGTAGCAGAATGTTACTGTCAAGATTTTGATTCGCCGCATATCTACTTAGGTAGATATCTGGACCTTGTAGAACAACTTGCTGCTTGAAATGATCGCTCGAACACCTGGCGCCTTCTTCAATTGGTCGGGGAACCCCGAAGCCAATCTCTTAATAGTCTCATTCCTTCTGCTGAGACTATGGCAGAGTTCCGCAGCTGTGGGTAATGATGATAGCCTTTGGGGGGAGCATGTGCAACCCGTACACTGAAACCTCAGTAAATTACCTCCTGGAGTGGGGAACTACTGACTACCTGAAGTGGCGGTCTATCGGGTGATTCAGCTTTTTGTGTTATATAGGGCTTTCTGCGCGTAGCATAGCAATATAGACACACTATATTTTCCAAACCACCCCAATGTGTTCTACTCTCCTATAGTCCCGTCGGCCGACCTGTTCGCAAAAAGATAGGCAGAGGTGGATCTACCTAGGTTTTATAGATATTAATTATTGCGGTCGCCAACTTGAAAATAGTCTATTATTTTTGTATGAGCTAATATAACCGAGGGCCTCTCATTTTTCAAGGGCAAAATTGTCAAAACCAGTGTTTAGGACTGTTTTTACATATTCAGTCATATTCAAAGCAACTTATAGATCAATAATGGGACTTATCTCATACCGATCGCATCAATGGTGTACCGGTAACATTAGCGCCTTCCACCTTCACGATAGCGCTAGCACGGGGTTCGACTCCCCGTTGATGCATTGTTTTTTTTTTTTTTTTTTTCTTCTTTTTTTTAATTAAGAATGTAATTTACAGTCTCTCTTCTTTTTGAAATTCGAAGGAAGCTAGCGGATCATCGCATAGTCGGGTTTTGGTAGGTTTTCAATGCAGATCTAACTTGGTCAATTTTGGACACAAGCTATTTGCCAGCAGCTAACGAAATACACGCCAACCCCTATATCTCATACAAAATACAATTTTATGACTATGTAGGTAAGTTAATAACTATCGAATAATCAAGTTGAACTGCTTCCTGCGTTTATTCATCAATAATCTGAGCGCTAAATATGCGACTAGGTCATATTGCGCTCTTGGGGCTTTGGCTAGTCAGAGGAGGGCCCTTTGTTTTGTGAGTACTAGGCTAGATCTTGGTAATTATATGGTTTCTTTTGAAGAGGAGTGGTGTTGTTCTTTGAGGGATACTTCTTGTGAGGGAATGTTGTTGGGAAGAGTACCGTTCCTAGGTAGCAGGATGGGTCAAAAGGTCCACCCTATCCCTACGTCCTTCTTTCCTTCCTCAAATTGATGTTTTCATTTTTTGAGACTCCATTATAGGTGTTTCACTCCTTCTCTGGCTTGTTTGTCGGAATGTTTTATCCACTTCGAGGTAAGAATATATTCATTGGATCATAGTACGAAAAACATACTGCCCGTGGCGAAAAAGTAGGTATTGTGGTGGTGAAAGCGGTGATATGGTATATAGTGTGCCCGAGGTGTCTCACATGCCTCGGTCTATCTGCATTCTTCTCTCTTACATGGACACAGAGGCGGAACAACTATTCGGAATATGACTGCACTATTCGGTTTCTTTACTTCATGATACAGTGTCAAGGATAGAGTGATACTCACCTGCAGAGCATGTCCACTACGCCTTCCTGAGTCCTTGTGAATGTGTATGTGCGTGTTGCTGGCGCCCAGTATGCATTGCCAGAAAGCCATTGAGCCACCCCATTTCAGTCTATATACAAAATTACCACTGCCCGAAAAATCAACATATGGAAATTGGAATGCTCCGGTAAACGTTCCAAGAGTCTACTTGGGATTATAAGTGGGTAGGTATAGATACTATTTACATATGCAAACGCAATATGTTTCCGGTGAACAATGTTTACAAAGGCCATTAAACAATCCCCCTTTGGTACGTGATGGTGGGCCGTGGCCTGGTGCCCTCGACGTTTAAGATTATTAGTAGCACCTCGGAGTCTGAATTTGAAGAAACTTTAGCCAGTACAGTCATGCCAGATATATACTATTTGATTTCAGAACTATTATCACGGTCGGCATGTCATGGAAATTGGTAAATTATTCCAATGAGTCTTGGAAACGAAAAAAAAGTCGAGACAATAATGAAAAGGACGAAAAAGTAGGAGAAGAAGGTTCATATAACCACTCTTACTCTTACTCCTAACGGCACTCTTCCACGCAATAGTGCTCCATAGAGAGTATCATCCAAACATAGACATCGAAGATCTTACGCGGGAAGTATCCTCTGATGGCCAACGCTAGACAACAAAATACAAACCCAACAATTCTCCTCTAACTGGCCAAAGCCCTAAAACAGCCATGTGACCTGGTCATGGATATGGAATGAGTCAGACTTCATGACATGGTCGAAAACTTATCTCAATCTCGAGATAAAATCACATCAGAATAATGAGTCTTGCCTCATGGTCTCTATACCAGGGAAAAATCTTCACTGATCAAGCATCAATGGTGTACCGGTAACATTAGCGCCTTCCATTCCATGATAGCGCTAGCACGGGGTTCGACTCCCCGTTGATGCATTCTTTTTAGTGATACTTTTGATCCAATGTTTTAACCAAATCTAGTAATGTGAAAGGTGCTTGTTATATCAAAACCAGGGAAAAACGTCATCGATCAGCATCAATGGTGTACCGGTAACATTAGCGCCTTCCATTCCATGATAGCGCTAGCACGGGGTTCGACTCCCCGTTGATGCATTTATTTTTTTCCCTTTCTTTCCCACCTTCGATCAGGAAGCCAGCTAAGTTGGAGTGATGGCCATGTTTATCCTTGATTTGATTCTCGTTACAGTGATATTCGAAATCAGTTTTACCACTAACTCTTGAGACTTATTGCTGGAAAATAAATCCTGAATGCGCAGGTCCTCATTGGATAGGCTATCAGTACCCCGCTTTCCAGACCGCTTCCTAGAAGGGTCAGCGTATTTTACAATACGACTAGGAGACCTTTACGAAAGTATTTTACATGAAAGTGCTAACATCGGCTGGCCAGCACGGTAATGTCGCCGCCAAGATCCATAATGCCGACCGGCAAATACAAGCGCCAGATATGTGATTCTGAACCAAAACAATCTACCTGGAATGGAGAAAGATACTCCTGTGCTGGACTCAAAATTATGTGAATGACACGCAGTCTTTTCAGCATATGGGAGGGAGTGCTTGGAGCCGGCCCGCGCTAACCAGTAACTGGCCCTGTAGGCTATAGGACGCTTACATTGATCCAATATGCCCTACATTCGACTGACCGAATCCTTGAAGTCATTTCTTACTATTGATTCCCTTTTACCGTAGTAAATGAAATGCTTTTTTCCCCCTCTGATCCCGGGACTGCGTCTGCTGTATATGATTGATGTCATGGGTATAGTCGGCTTGACAACCTGGGTTGGTATGACTCTTATCAGTGACCCTTAGCCCAGAGACACAGTTGTCGTTTCTGCTGCTGCCGGTGCCACAGGAAGCATTGCCGGACAAATTGTCAAGATCAGAGGCGCTAAGGTGATTGGTGCGGCGGGTAGTGATGAAAATTGCAAGTGCTTGAAGAGTTTGTTCTCGACGAGGCGTTGAGCTACAAGGATCCTGACTTCGGGAAGAAGTTCATCGAGGTCCCTCGAGTTGGCGGGATGGAGACAGGAGGGTAAGCTGAAGACCAATCTGTCTTCGCTCACGAGTGCCTACTCGGATATTATTAATCTAATATACTTGAGGGATTTTATATAATCTTGGCTGCTAGGTTGGCCGGATGTTTGGAAGGAGCTCGCTGGAGGGTATTTTTAGAAGCTACTAGTAGTAATTAGTTCATATCATAAGGTTAGAATGGTACATATTCAATTTATGGTAACCTATTAGGTAGCCGGATGGGTCAATTTAGACGATATAAGTTGAGTAGTTACTAATTGTTCCCGCTAGTAGTAACTAGGAATTACTATCTGTGAATTTGGGTCGCGTTGGAGAAATATAGGCACCCTATCACACGCGGTCAACAGAGACGGATCAGTACCCTCCTCTCAACGCGCCATCTTCTTCAGGCTGACTGGAAATTGCGCTTTTCGATTACCTTGAATATCACTTCTTCATTTTGCTTCCTAACCCGTGGAAAACCTGAGGAATCAATCAATCAATCGATCAATCCATGGGTAGCCCCTGCCATGGGCGGAGTGAATGTGTCCAGACCCGCTCACGGGCCGGCCACGGCCTTGTCCATACGGGCGGCCCATGGGCGGCGCCGAGGTCTAATTACTCGATCCGATTTATTTGACCAGTTGCGGTGCCTGGCCTAATATTTTAAAACCGCGATACCCGAGGGCCTTATTGAGAATTTCCCCTTCCCAATCACATGCAACTTTAAGCAATAACTTCCCGAGGTTGATGGAAATAGTGGATATTCAGTGGCGTCAGCATTAATAAAAGCCTACTATCATTGTGATAGTATTATATCAACGGTTACACCTTTTTCTGACGGTAAAATTATCTGTTTTTTCTTTTAAGTGCTCTTTGAGGCCACGGTGTTCCTATCACTGACGAGGAATTCGCTATACTTTCAGATATAGTCTAAATTTCATGCAAAAGCCTTTATTCTTTGGTAGCTCTCAAAGAAGCTTCGAAAAAGATGTCACAAAATGGTTTCCCTTCAATGATATTTTTCGATGTCTTGGGGACAATTGTGGAGTGGAGATGTTGCATCGCGAATGAACTGAATGCCACGGCACGAAGGGCTATGCAAGATCAAGATCGATATCTGAGTGCCGATGTGCGAGCACGTGTCTCGGAAATGTCCACTTCGAGCTGGCAGGAGATCGCTGATGAGTGGCATCGCTCATATATGAGCTTCGGAAACACTTACGATGCATCTAAGCCCTTTGTCTCAGTAGATGAGTACAACCGCATTTCTTTGGAAAATATTCTCATGAAATGGCTTCTCCGGGGTTTATTTAACGACGACGATCTCGAAAATTTGACTCTCGCTTGGCATCGACTTGACTCACACTCTGACAGTGTACCAGGCCTTTCGTTGTTAAGCACTAAATTCTCGACATCTACATTATCCAATGGTAATGTGAAACTCCTCGAAGACCTACAAAAACACAATTATTTGCCTTTTAAGCACATCACCAGTGCAGAGCATTTCGGTGCTTACAAGCCGTCACCCGAGGTCTATCATGGTGCTGCTCGCAGATTCGGTTTGAAGAATTCGCAATGTTGTCTCGTCGCAGCCCATCTTGAGGACTTGCATGCCGCCAAAAAGTGCGGGTTTCAGACAATCTATCTTGAGAGACACTTGGAAGAAGCTTGGGATAGTAGAGAAATTGCACGAGCGAGAGAAGAGGGGTTTGTCGATCTTTGGGTCGGAGTTGGAGGCTCAGGCCTAATTGAAGTTGCTCGATATTTTGGAATAGAAAGTGGACTTTGAATAAATTATCACCCAGTCGCACCCCGAATCAATAGATCCAAAGCACTTCATCAGCTCTTGTGCAGATGGAAGCCACTTTGTCACAATGATGGTCTCTCTCTTTTCTTTCCATATTTGAATAATTCTATTAGAATCGTGGCTAGATAGTACAGTAACCTGTAAGCGAACGGGCCACGCAAGCCGTTACGCCATAAACATTGCCTTTAATGAAATTGTGCTATGTTTTCCCATTTATTGCAGCAATGCTTGGGTAATTAGAGAAGTCTGAAAATTGTTTTGGCGTCTTGGTGCTTTCTATTCGGAAATCTTATTTCATTATTAGTAAACTTGCCTGTTTTTCTGGATATCAAAGCTCTAAATATGGCAGAAAACTCGTGGTACCAAAGATAGCTGGACAACACATAGATTGCTGCTTCATTGCGTCTGATTCCCTCGGCAGAATAACTTTAAAATTCTCGTTCAACGGCTACTGGCACTGGTCGTTCTTAGAGCTCGACAGGGCGCGTAAGGTTGAGTCAAGGGTTTGCCCAGACGATCCATCATTGGTTCTCTATATTTGGTACTATCACAGCCAGCTTCACTTTTCCAACCATCTTCACTTTTCTGAATAGTAGTCCGCTCTAGGCAAGTCGTTGACTTTTGACTGCCTCACCTCCAGACACTACACCCCGGCTCTATGCCTCGTGACATCGCAGTATCGGAAAATAAAGGACTGTCAAAACACTTTCGGATACACGAGCAAATGCATCACGCTATAAGTAGTAAAGTTTACATTTATTATATACAGGTCTTTTCATCCTCAAAGTTTTGCTCGGAGCTGTGGTCCCGATATAATGAATCGTGCTCCCACAAGAGCGAATACCGCCATGATCAAGGCTGACCCTGCCCACATCTGCGAAGCTAAGTAATTCCCCCTGTGCGCGCTATCAATGCCCCCGCCACGGATGGGCCGGTCAACGGTCCAAAGCTTATTATTGAAAGCGCCATGCCGACTCGAGTGCCGATTTTGTTGAGATCTTTCGTCAAGGAAGGGACAGTCCCAGCAAACAAGGCCATAGCTGCCGCTGATGCCAGTCCATAGAACACTGCGAAGACGTATAGCTCGGCCACAGTATGTACAGCGGCCCAGCAAAATATGAGAATGCCACAAAGAGTCACCCAAGGAATTAGACAATTAAGCGGACCGATGTACCGATCGGCCAGATAGCCAAGAGGGGCACGGATGGGAATCCCGAGGGCGTTGGTAACAATAATCAAATTGACACCTGCTTTTTGGGAGAGACCGAGCACCTCGGTCGCGTAGACTTGTATCTAGAATTCGTTCAGCTCAATCAATCGTATATCTCTGGTGGGGAGCGTACATAGAAGAAGGTAAAATAAAGGCTCCAGTATAGCAGAAAAACTCCTAAGGTAAAAAGCATGTAGGCGGGCTCTTTAAACGCACTCCATTCGACCAATGGTCCCGACTTCCGCGGTGGCAGCCGAGGGCGCAGAAGCGCTAGGGTGATTGTTACCATAATAAGGACAACAAATCCCATGCACCGGATAGCCCATGGGAACCCTGCTCGTTAATTTGCCCAATAAGCCATAGCACGTTGATTAAACTGAACAAACGTTGACTCACCAATCTTTGGAGTAAGGTACTGAATCATTGCCGGGAAAATTATGCCCCCGGTACTCGTTCCCGTGGCAGCGGCCGTAACTGCAAAGACACGCAGGCGCACAAAGTACGTCGAAATCAATGTTACACTAGGCAGCCACATGAGACCCTGGCCAATACCAATGCAGAGCCCTTGAGCCAGAAAGATCTGCCAGTATTCGGTGGCCAGACTAGTCAAGAAGGTGCCCAGAACCAGCAAGACCGCGCCCACCCCTACCACCAGTCTTGCCATTCCAGCATCTGTTGCGCGACCAGATAGTGCCGAGATGAACAAAAGACAGAAAACCTGGAAACCACCGATCCAAGAAATATCGGAGGGGCTTTGAGGCAGTGTAGATTCATAGTGGCTCTGAAACACCCCGAAACTAGCAGCGTAACCCCAAGTCAGGGCTACGACTAAGTGGCCCGAGACAACCTGAGCCCAGGCGTGAAATCCACCGTCGGGAGGCGGTGGTATGGGTGAGGTGTCCCTGGACGGTGCATTTATCGATTGGGTGTTGTTCTCTCTCTCGCGATTCTGAACTGTTTCACGCTTATGATTCGCCATGTTTTCCCACGGTAAATGAATTGAGAATTTTATGCCAGTTGTATGGCGGAACGGTGCCTATAAGTGTGCGGACAGAGCAGAACGAAAACCGGCTATGAGGAGGAAAAAAAATCGCAAGTCAGCAGCAGGGGGTTGCTTCAGCATGTCAGAGCAAAGTCCTATGCACGTGAAACATATTCAGATTTATTTGGAATACGAAAAGCGTTTGCACAGTTTTGAGAATTGTAAGGTAGGACTCCCAAATACTCCTAGGGTCTCCACCTGATGGCGGCCCGGCTGTAACCCCAACCAGTTGCCTATTTCCCGCACTGTCAGGCGCTCGGTTGCATCAGTTCGGGAGCGCGTGCGATTGTAGATAATCAACAGGATCCGTAGAGGCTGCTGGTGTGCCCAGAGATGTTTGGGGACCAAGTTTCGGCACATACCTACCTGACAGAAACAATATTTAGTCCGAAGAAACCAGAAATGAGGTGGCAAATGTATACGGCCCATGTTCCCTAGGCCGATGGACGTGATTTTCCAGGGAAATATAGCTTCCATTTGGATGATTTATCTGTGCCGTTTTCTAGAATCCAGAATTAAATTAGATTCATTTCAGCTACCACAGTCAGTGTTCTTATACCAAAATTCTCTGACGGAGTCAGACTGGTCAAACAGGAGATTGGCCTACCACTTGAAGTTCCGAAATAGCAGATTTCCATATGCGCTTGCTACCTCCATAAAACGAGAAAAACATTGGGATTCCACAATATTATGATGTCACCGATTTAAAAGAATAATGAATGAGCGAGTTACTGCTACTTGCTACCAAAGTAACACTAAGGTACTATGTTCACAAAATTCTCAAGTTTCTATAAAAGATCTGCACATCGCTTTGAGTTCCCCAATTACGGGTTTAGAAAGGTTCACTCGGTACCGCCTGCGGTCGTGAGTGGGTCGGCGGCCGGTGGTGTATTGTCAACCTGTATTCCGCCTCGTTTAGGGTGGCAGCTGTCGTGAAAAGGCAGGCACCATCCCCCCTCGTGTTCAGGTGTCGACATCCATGTGCGTAGTAAATATCTCTGCGGCTGTGGAGGAGGGGGATCCGTAAATCCGGTGCGCGAGTGGAATGTCTGGCAACAAGACACGAATTGGATGTCTCCAATCTCGCAATCATAGACAAGTCCGTTCCGCTGACAGGTCTCTTCCAGGACTTTCATGGCTTCCAGTTGCTCTGTGGAGAGGGAAGGGATCATCCCCCTGTCGCTGAAGCGGGCCAATGACTTAACAAAGTACGGGTCCCACCTATGGGATTGAATGCGAGGTTAGCACAGTCCAGATTTCATACTAGCCACGAAGAGTAAATGGTGTAATAAGAGGAAAAAATGCATACTTGACATAGACACGCTCTTTACCACCCGGCTCCACCATGAAAACGGGGTTCCTGAACCAGGGCTCTTGGCCATCTGTCACCTCTCCTTTGCGGTCTACATACCAGATCGGTGAGGCCAACGTCTTGGCCACATCAGGTCTTTCTTTAAGCAATGCGTTCCAAACCGTATGTGCAGATGCACAGCCCGAGGCACCACCCGTTTCTCCGGGGGCACAAAATAACAGGCCAACGATATCCGTTTCGTCAGTGTGATAGAATTGACTAAGACGTATGAGGTTAGCGCTCGAACAGTAGAGTAAAATCCGAGATTCTTTTATGGATCGAATGAGGTGTTGGACTAACGGTGCGTTTGTGGCTGAAATTTTGATCTTGTCCAGACTATTGTGATAGTCGGCGCCTTGGTTCGTCACATGGCCGAGGATCAGGCCAAGCTTATTTTGCGATAAAAGGTACCCGAAGTGCGCGGACAATCCCATTGTGGCCACTGCCGCCTTGTATCGGCCCCATTGGCTGATGGGTAAGCCACGGAAAACAACGAACCCACGCCCATTCAAAATGTCGTTCCGAATGCCCTGTAAAATGCTCTCAAGAGTGGATAGCCTGAAATTAGCCTTGGAGGACAGACATCTATGTCAGCTATATAATTCATAGATTGCGGAATCTGTTTCCATCTACCTTGTTGATACTGGTGAGTGGGGTTCCTGAGGCGATGAATGTCTCAATGGCCTGCAGGAGCTCCTTGAGCTCTCGCTCAGTCCATTGGTGAACCCATTCCTCTGGATGATCAATCATCTGCTGCGGTGTCCAGACAGTCGGCCCCGTTATCTCCCGTGGGAATTCCTCGAAAGGACGCAATTGGCCTTCGATTGGTGGATGCTGGCCACTCGTGCGAAGACCATCAGGGAATAGCGTGCGGTCCACGGGCATCAAGCGAGGAAGGCCAGCAGGTAGACCCCGGAGGGCTGGCGCTACATTCAAGTCAATTGACATATTGACAAGGCACAAGATATCACAGGATTCTAAAAGAGGAGAGAAAATTTTTGCGTTCTCAAACACGAGAATCAAAGGAAGTTTGCCACGCTTAAATACACGTTTGACGCAGCTAACAGGTGTAATTCCGTCTCAATAAGGACTTCGTATATGCTATGCAACGAGCTTGAACCGTGTGGGCGGAATGACCCATGCAAGCAGCTGCTGCATAGCCTTGTAGTCGTCCAGAGTACCGAGGATATTGATAGAGTAGTATTACAGTACGATATCTTGTTTGTATACATGTGATCAAGGATCTCCAAGTCTCACGGTTTGTGTGCATGTGATCAGGGATCTCCAATTTTTGCCATTCGTGCAGACATCCCGTACGGTGCACCGAAAAACTTGAAGATGTATATTTCCGCGACCCCTAATGGCCGGGGATCGATACCCTTTGTGACTCATCATTATCCTTCAAACATGATGGCAATCTTGAACGAAGAGAGCGTGGCTAGTGTATTGCATGCACTATCACCTTCAGAAGTCCAAGACTCACAGATATCACCCCATGCTGCCATCAATTGCTGAAATAAATATAGCTCATCGTATACCCCATATCCTCAGCGATTGTTAATTTCTTTTCGTAATTTCTTTGCTCGAGGATCTGCCTCGGGATTTCTATAAACTTCTGCCTAACCTGGACAAAATCTTCTCAGAGCAGTCTCAGCCAAGACCCACTTTCCTGGCTCCTCAAAACTCAAGAGACATTCTAAATGCAAGTTCTCAGCCGGAACGGAAGCCCAAGGCGTCTGTTTCCTAAGAGAAGCAACCCAGTGTGGTGCCCTGTCATCCCAATTCTGTTGAGAACAATAATTTCACCACTGAAATACAAGAAACACTTACATTCTTTGCGAACAAAGTGTCTTCGACAAGCCCAACTGCATCGTCTGAAGTGGGTCTTGCAGGGGGCCTGGAAAGCGCCCCGTCAGTCCGCAAATTTTTATCTCGGATTATGGTCAGCTCACCGAAGTCGCGTGTTCGACGCAAATGGAGCCGTTCAGTCACGCATAGCTCGATTATTCCAGGGCAGAAAAGTACTTAAGCAGGAGTCCCAACGTTTTGAACATGCTAGCTGGTTATTCTTGGTTTTTCTCTCTCACGATGTCGAGGTAATCAAAGCCCAGAACTAGAAACAGGCCCCAAGGCAAAGTCAGCAAAACGCTGCAGTAATTTTAATTGCATGCCATCTCAAAGCGGCACCTGAAGAAATCAAAGAAGAGTGGCGACGTAGTCGCAACTACATAGAAATAGTTGAAGAGTGCGGACCAGCTTTGTTACTGGAGTTGGGTATAGGGGTAAATTGGTAATGAGTCAAATTTCATTCAAGTTAATCGGCTGGGTCATAAGTCTGACAATTTTGGTTCATTAAACCTGAAAGTTGGGAAAGGGCACTCAATAAGCAGGATATGACTCTGTTCATTCAGTTATACAAGAAAAGGTACGTAAGTTTTGTTCCAAATAGAATGGAACTATTCAGCTAAACAGAATGCTTGCTTAGGAAACCATCCTTTGCTTTTCATGCAAGCGATCTCAACCCAGTAGGAGCGTAAATGATGTCGCCAGGCTTATCGTTAGGGATTTGGAGAAGAAGACACAGACTGCGGAGTAGCCTCGCATGATGGCGTCGAGCTATGCCAGGGGCACGTAGGAGCGAAAATCTGGAAGCCAGAGCTTGTACCGCTTTTTCTCAGTTTCATCAACTATCTCGAGATGGGTTGCTGCGATTAAATTAGAGAAGAAAGATTTTATCAGAAAGAAGCGAGTTGTTCTTACCATTAAGCCAGCCTCTCATGGCAGGTTCAAGATCCAAGTCTTATATTTCGGATATCACCTTACCGTCCTTGACATCTTTAGGCTTGGGAATATGGGTCTTTTCTGGTGAAATGTTACATCAAGGTCAATGTCACCCTTGGAATGCTCGAGAATGGACGAGAGGCTATTGCGAGACCTGATTACTGGAGCTTTCTGTATACTTGAAGGAAAGGAAGAAAAAGAGAAGAAAGCGATAGATTGAAGCTCTAAAGAAGAAAGAAGAGAAGAAGCTATAATCTATCTGGAAAGTAAGCCAGAAGGCAAAGGCGGTGAGACTCAGTAGAACTATCTAGTACGGGTGTGTAAATATACAGCATAGGAAACAATGTGAGTGGCCCCCGGACTCTACTAAGAGGGAACGGCGAGACGCTGAATTAAGCGTCCCGCAGTGGGTCTTTCGGCCTTTTCCAAATTCGGGGTTTCTCCGCTCTCTTTTTGGGTTGAGTATTGTTCCGACCGAAAGAATCAGTTACAATCAATCCTAGTGTAGTATATCCAGTCAGGTAGTCGCATACACCAAAAATGTATATAGTCTAATTAAATATTTAAGAACATTTCTTCCGCAAGGCTTTGGATCAGTACAAAGACCTAATACGCACTTAAGCTTCAGTGTCCGATAGAAATCTTTCACGTCGTCTCCCGCAGTCGCCTAAGATGCATCTGAAATTACAACTGTTAGCTTTCATCGCTGGCTCCCTCTGCTACGTGGGATATTTCAATCGTGGTGAACATCACATGCATGGCACAACTTACATCCAAATTCACACAATCACATATGCAGTCTTGGCTGCTCTGCAGTATCAACTGGGGGCCACTCTGAAGGAGGCCTTGAAACAGACATGCTTGTATGATGGTATATTTTTGGTCGGTTTATTTGCAAGTCTTCTTTTGTATCGTGCTTTCCTAAACCCGCTTAACGTCTTCTCGGGGCCATGGATAGCACGCATCAGCAGCTTTTATATGCCTTTTCGCATCCAAAGAATGCGAATGTACAAGGCTTTACACGAGCTGCACGAAGAATATGGCTACTTTGTGCGTATTGGCACTCAAGAACTTTCGATTACGCATCCGAGCGCGGTCCAGGAGATATTCGGAGCCGATTCAGTGTGTCAAAAGAGTCCGTGGTACGACCTTACTCGGCCACAAGACTCCGTGCTTCTTCGTCGGACCTTTACTGGGCACGCCGAACTGCGTTCAGTCTGGAGTCAAGCCTTCTCTGTAAGGGCGGTTAAGGGCTATGAGAAGCGAATTCACACATATAGGAGCAAACTCATTGCCGAACTCGATGCTCACGCTGGTCAACCTGTGAAAATTAACCACTGGCTGGGGTTGTATTCCTGGGATGTCTTGAGCGACCTATCATTCGGTCATTCATTTGGCATGCTGGAGACTAAGGAGCATCACTGGGCAATGAACGTTCTCGATAAAGGGATGAGCCCTATTGCTTCCCATTTGCCAATGTGGTTTTTCCATATTGTGGCCTCAGTCCCCGGCGGCAACAAGGATATGAAGTTCATGTTAAAGTATTGCAAAGAGGAAATGCTTAGAAGATGGAAGGTTTGTGCTCCTTCATTCTTACTCGTTGTCCACTTTATATCTTACCAGCTTTAAACAGACTGAGCCTCAGGTACCGGACGCGATGAGTGCCCTCTTTGCACCATACAGGAAGAAGGAAAAGAATTTTGATGATGCTGCGGTAAATCTCTTGGCTGGAGAATCACACCTACTTATCAACGCCGGAAGGTAAGGCGGGCCTGATCAGGAGAGAAGTACAGAGTCTTTCACTAAATCCTCCCTTAGCGATACCACGAGAATCACGATGGCTTGTATCTTTTGTACGCTTACTCAACAACCCGAGCTCGCGGAGAGGTTGCGTAAAGCATTGGAACCTCATGTTCCACAATCGCCCGATGAAATTTTGATGGACGACCAAATCAAAAACGTAGACCTTTTGAATGGGGTTGTTCAAGAGGCACTTCGCATGTATCCACCAAGTCCTAGCCATCCAACTCGGGTGACTCCTCCCGAAGGTACTATGATCGCTGGCCGATTTATCCCGGGCGGAACGCAAGTGATGGCCCCTCAGTACGTTATCGGACGAGGTAAGTGGTTCTGTTCCTAGTTAAAAAAAAATACTTGATATATTCCTATTGACGCATAATCGCAGACGAACTTATCTTTCCCCGTGCCAATGAGTTCATTCCCGAACGTTGGTACAGCCTCCCAGAGTTGGTCAAAGACAAGAATGCAACGGCGCCATTTTCACTGGGACCCATGAATTGCGTCGGAAAACAACTCGCAATGGCGAATATTCGAGTTACGGTTGCAACGCTCGTCATGCGCTATAACTTGAGTTTCGCCCCCAGTCGCACCGATCCGGCAATTGATTTCGAGCAAGGCATGTATGAGCATTTCAGTATGCAAGCTGGCCCACTGTCCCTATGCTTAAAGAAGCGGAATAAATAAGCGACTAGGAATGCAACCCTGAAACACGACTTCAGAATGGAGTTAGATGAGTTGGGTAGTTTTGATAGTTATGGATTTTATAGTTTGTATTCCATTCTTTGCCAATAGCTACAAATTCTGTCTCCAATTTGCTTAAGGCAGCAAAACGCATATGCAGTATCTGTCAAATATAACAAAAGCTCTTTAATACCTTGAACTTAAGTGGGCATCAACCGTCGATAAGCATAAGGCCTTGAAAATGCGAACAGAGAGCCACCTCAGTCTCCTATCTTGGACCCCTTCTCAAATATATCCGCTAATGTACTGACTACCAAGCTCAGTCTATCCTTTATATATCACTGAAAATGTGTCACAGCTGATCCTGGTTTCAATTGATGACTCTAAGGTCCACTGATTTGGTTCTGTCTTCTTGTCTTTCTTGGTATGGTAGGTGGAAAACTGAATACGTCGTTTTGGTAGTCAAGGGACGACAAAAACAGCTTATAAAAATACCTGAAAGCCATGCTGCTGACTGATAAAGCAATCGCTATACCTGCCCAAAATTCATGCCCAGTCTTTTGGTCCGAGATGGTTGTGAATTGGAGCTTGGAGATATCCAGTGTCGACGAAACGCAACGGTAAGAAAGAGCCATGATAATGCAAGTAGCGATTATAGTGAATGCCAGATTCATCCAGAAAGGGATGGTGAACTGCTCGGGACTGAATGCAGCGCTTCTTACGCGCTTAGTGTTTCCAGCAAGGGGGTTATGGGAAAGTGGAGGAGCCTGTTCCGGGTTTCCGGCAAGCCTGCCGACACAGTATTGCTGCATTTTCACCATGTTTTCTTCGCTGTGGCCGGCGTATTCGTAAGCCTCCGTACCATCAGTTCCGGCACAGCTCTCAAGAACATCGATGCCGCCTGGGTGGTCCGAGCTGACGGTTGTGAGGTCGTACACTGAGAAGCTGGTCAACTATACATCCAGTGTATCATAATTTGCAGAAATATTAGTGCTAGCCTACCAAGACCATGGACCGCTATCCATAACGACTGTAGAGTATTGTGATCGGCCAATTGCTCAAGTGTGATGTTTTCGCTCAGCTGGGTAGTTGTGGATGCCATTGCCGTTGTGCTTTAACACGAAAGAATTATCAGAATTATCGAGAGAATCTTTGTAGGAATAAGGATCCCTTCATTGTTTCAATGGCAACAGCGTCATCAATCTGTCTTGCGCCTGTGAGGTACATATGCTACGCAGGGATTAATTGCCCGAACCTGGGCGGCCACTAACGGCCTTCCAAAAACGGTCTTTCGCCGTGATTCCCAAAGGGGATAAACCAATAATATTGCTGCATCAGACAAATAAATTTATTACAAGCAGTATATTTTCAGCCTAAAAAATATATTTTACAAATCACAAACAAGGCTCAATATCTGGCCAAGGTGGATTGAGTATATTAGTAACGTGTACCTGGAATTCGGCTACCAATCTAGCTGAAATCTAGTTCTTATCATCAAAGTGACTCCAGGCTTACTGTGCTCGCGGCATTGTAACCACCATTATATTGTCGCAAAAATGTACAAAGAATTCTATATCGGATGTCAGAACAACGTACACTCGCACCGTCTGGATATGTCATCCTTCACCAGCATAGAGCAACTCACGACGACGCTGGCGAAAGTTTTTGGATTTGTTGATACAAAATGTGCGTTCTCGCTGCCATGTCGAGGCAAGCTCACTGGATTCTAAGCTAACCCGAGAAAGCGTTATGGCTCGTCGATCATAAAGGAAGCCATCTTTCGACTTTGAAAGACGTGCAGGAGACCAAAGACAATGTTGAATTGCGAGCAACCTGCCGTGAATCTATTCGCGAGCCCCCGGGCCTCGCTTGGTACCCTTTGTCGGCAACCGCTACGAGCTATATCCAGACGTGCTCGGAAACTACGACCGGTTGTTCTCGCTCTATGGCCCGATGATCAAGACTGTCAATATGGGAACCACCATTTATCACACCAATGATCCCGCGATTGCCCGTCATCTATTGCGCGAAGACGGGTTCTTCACCAAGTCAACGTCCGACTCATCACACCCACTTCACTATATGGCCGATCAAGACTGCCTCTTTACGTGCGACAGTGCATCCCCTGCTTTTGCGCCGAGCCACAAATTTGTACCGCCAACAATGTCGCCACGCGCTGTGGCTCACTTTATGCCGCTGATCCAAGACGCCGCGCAGTCCATCTTTCCGGCATTTGACCAATTGGCCGAAGCCGATCTGGCGGTAAATGTCTATCAATACATGTTCAAGCTTGCATCACAAATCGTCTGGCGCGTCATGTTAAATCAAGACCTGAAGCACTTTGAGTCGCCCAAGACTCCCCCATCGGTACCTATCCGGCTATTTGGCCAGTATCTCTCGCTGATGAAAAAATCATCCATGCAGCCACAGTGGTTCAAATATATCCCCTTTGGAGTCTCTACCAAATTGAAAAACGTCCGTCAGCAGGTGCTTGACACCACCGAAGAGGCCATGGACGTCAGCATCCAAAAGAACGGCCCACCTCTATCTTTATCTGACCCCAAGGCAATTCAAGGCGCCACATGTGTGGCTGATTTCCTATATCGCGCCCGTGATAAAGATGGAAAAGGACTGCCGTATAACCTAGTACTTGGCAACGTAGTGGTAAGCTGTGGCGCCGGGTTCACCACCAGTTCATCTCTACTTTCCTGGGCTTTATATTCCCTCGTCCGATACCCTGGAAATCAGGAACGTTTATTCGAGGAGATAGCCAGCCATCGTGGAAATGTCGACAAACGCTGGACGTATGACGAAATCCACGACATGAAATTTCTGGACTGTTTCGTCAAAGAAGTTCTCCGTCTCCACAGCCCCAGCTTTCAGACAGCACGCAACGCCAAACAAGACGCAATTCTGCCGGGAGGGTACTTGATACCAAAAAACTCCATTGTCATTGCGTGTTTTCCAAGTATACACAAGAACCCAGCCCACTGGGATAATCCTCTGCGCTTTGACCCTGACCGCTGGGCACAACAAGGTCTCGCGGCGCAGATGGCCCGCCAAGGGTCTTACACGCCATTTGCAGCGGGAGGCCGCGGCTGCGTGGGGTTCAATTTGGCGCTCACACAGGTCAAGGTAGTTCTAGCAGAGCTGGCCTATCGATACGAGTTCGACGACTCGTCGCCCGAGGCGGTCATGTATGATCCTGAGTTCTTGGTCGTGCGGCCATTGAACTTCTACGCGGGGATAACGAAGCGGGTACATTGAGTTAATTTCCAATTCTGATTCTGTGGATAAGAGCCATTTTAAAGCGCTCAAGCACAATGTTTATTGTTCTTTCGTAGAGTACCCAGAGATCATTTCTATTCACCTTCTAATCAAATACGAAAACATCGGTTATACCCAAGTTACCTCGCGAAGACCAGTATGCGTTCAGGAGTGATGCGACAGATTGTCAGCATGCACTATTTCAAAATATTTCTTTTTTTTTTAAACCGTCCCGTGCGGCAATTTTCGGCGTTGAAACTCAATCGGTACAGGGGTTGATAAAAAAGGCTGCGGCCCGTTTCAGGATGATAGCCAGATTTGGATGATGATATCGGAGGCACCGATTTCATTCGGCCCGACACAGCGATTCCAGACGTGCAAAGTTGGCGCAGGGCTTGTTACCAATTCAGTCCATCGCCGACTCAGTCAGGCGGCTCCGGTCTCGGACTTAAATGATTTAGCTGCATCAGTAGAACGGCTCTTTGCCCAGTCAGTTATGCCCGATTTCAAATCATGCCCTGAATACGGAACTGTATAGTTAGTTGGCCCTTGACCGCGCTGCCACGAAACAGCCAGCTGGTTTAGGGAAAATACCTACTGAAATGGGAATGGCTCGATGGCTGTCTGGCAATGCAGACCGGGCGCCAGCAACACACGTATACACACTCCCAAGGAATCAGGAAGGCGTAGTGGACATGCTCTGTAGGTGGATATCGCTTTATACTTGAAACTGTATCATGAAGTAAAGAAACCGAATAGTGCAGTCATATTCCGAATAGTTGTTCTGCCTCTGTGTATCCATGTAAGAGAGAATGCAGATAGGAGAACATGTGAGACACCTCAGGCACATTATATACCATGCCCCCGCTTTCTCTGCTACACTACCTTGCGCGGGATCTCTTCTGCAATTCTCTTTTCGATTATCACAATCGATCTAAAGAGAAAAAAACGAACAATGTGCGGAATTTCTGCCTGTATTTCGCTTGCACCAGCAAGCATCAACGGCCATGATGGCTGCAAGGAGCATGACAGCGGGGTCATCAAGTCAGACCACCAAGTCAACGGTGTAGCAAAGGGACTTGCGACGCAACTCAAAGCTTCGCTCGACATCATCGCCCATCGTGGTCCCGACGACTCGGACGTATGGATCAGTGACAAAGAGCAAGTAGGACTTGCCCACTGCCGACTCTCCATCAACGATCTATCTTCTGCAGGGCGACAACCCCTCCACAGCAGCGACAGCCAAGTTCATGCTGTGGTGAATGGCGAGATTTACGACTACGATCGCCTTCGCCACGAATGCGAAACCGTTCACAAATACAATTTCCAAAGCGACAGCGACAGCGAGCTTGTTTTAGCACTCTACGAGATCTTCGGCGCCCCAGAATTCTTCAAGCATCTGCGAGGTGAATTCGCATTTGTCCTCTATGATAACCGCCAAGGAACTCAGCGCGTAATTGCTGGACGCGACCGTTATGGTATCAAGCCGCTGGTGTATACTCGCCTCGGGTCGAAGCTACTCGTCGCTTCTGAGGCTAAGGCATTCTTGCACATGGGTTGGAAGCCACGCTGGGACGTGTGTGCAATTGCCGACGCTGGCTGGATGTTTGATGACCGAACGCTGTTCCGCGGCATTCGAAAGGTTCTGCCTGGACACTATCTTGATATTACAGAACAAGATGGTGTGCAGCAGGTCAAGTATTGGGACGCTGAATATGAAGACAAGGTTGGTGGCCAATTGAAACTTCAAAAAGTGAGCGCCCACAACTAATTGCCTTTCCACAGAATAAACCCGAAACTCGCACCATGGACGAAATGGTAGCTGGCGTCCGTGAAAGGCTAGTCGAGTCTATTCGTCTTCGCCTGCGTGCTGATGTACCTGTTGGCATCTACCTGTCTGGCGGAATCGACTCTTCTGCCATTGCCGGTATAGTTACTGAACTTGCACGCAAGGGAAAGGTCAAGATTGGAAACGAGGAGGCTACTCGCGTCACCTGCTTTAGTGTGGCGTTCCCCGAGATATCCGGGTACGACGAATCAGGTAAGTCTCGACAGCTGCGCACGAGCATTTCTTCCAGTATTATCCTGCAAACTAACAGACACAAGATATTGCCGAGCGTACAGCCGAATGGCTCGGAGTAAAGACCATCAAGAAGACGGTCACGGAGGATACCCTGGCTAAAGACTTTGGAGACGCCGTATTCCACTGCGAGCATCATCACTTTGACCTCAATTTTGTGGCCAAGTTTGGGCTCTCGACTCTCCCCCATGAATATGGCGTCAAGGTCGTTCTTACTGGTGAAGGCGCCGACGAGCATTTTGCTGGCTATCCATACTTTTTTGGCGAATTCCTTCGCGAAGCTGATGAAGCTTTGCCTGACTCTTCCTTGTCCCAAAACAGTGACCTTCGAAATGACATGTTCAAGTCCGTGCAGCGGGAAATGAAAGAAATTTGGCAAAAAGGTGGTGCAACGGCATATGAGGATAGACCAGCTCCTGCATCCATTGCAGGAGTGGGCGCAACAGACATGAGTGATAATTTGTTGGCGTGGCATCCGGCGGCCACTCTCTTCGCTACCTGGCTACAAACTCGACAAGATAACTTTGACTGCCGCAAAACGGTCCTGAATTCGTACCCTAGCGATGTCCAAGCCAAGATGCGGTCACGATGGCACCCTTTGCACACGTCCATGTACATGTGGAACAAGAATTCGTTGGCCAACGTTCTGCTATCATGCCTTGGTGATCGTACGGAGATGGCACACAGTGTTGAAGCACGCCCACCATTCCTAGACCATCACCTCACCGAGTATGTCAACCGGTTGCCGCCCAGTGTCAAACTGCGCTACTCAGCCGACGCTACAAGTAATAATGGCGAACTAGGCCCCATCTGGACCAAGTCTAGCGTAGCTTTGCAATCACTTACTGAAAAATGGATCCTGCGCCAGGCGGTGCGCCCTTACGTTACGGACGAGCTGTTCAAGCGAAAGAAGCACCCTTTCCTTGCGCCAACTCGATGGGCCGAGGACGGAGCATTGCATCGCAAGTTCAAGGCGCTACTGACGCAAGAAGCTGTGGAAGCACTGGGCTTTGTTAATTGGGAAAGGATTCAGGAGGATATGGACGTTGCTTGGGGCGGGACAGCAGACCCCAAGGCCTTCCGACGGTTGATATATTGCGGAGCTTGGGTGACGCTTAGCCAACGTATGGGCGTGGCGAAAGCGGAGGAGTCTGATTGGGAAGTCACTAAACAGTAGCTGTCTGGTTTTGTGGATGATACTATCTCAGTAGTGTGAGAACTGTATAGACTTCTTAAAGCTGTCGTCTCTAAATGACTGATTGAAGGGATTTTTTGAGTCATGCTGAGTGCTTCTCGGTAGATGATGCATGTAAATAGATTGATGGTGCATCATAGTGCGCGGTTCATATAGTGGTTACATTGATGGAAATCTAGATGCCCCCTCAATTCGGGTTGGCGCAAAGCCAAAAGATGGCAAAGAACACATCTAGAAGACAAATTGTTTTTTTTGATAAGCTTGATGTCGTGGAAATGTAGTTTATTCAAGGATAAAGTGTATTTAGATCAACACCACAATCTTGCCGTGCCCAACACCTCTAGAATGAGCAGATTCATAGGCTTCGCGTACGTCGTTGAATGATACCACTCTTGATACACGCCCTTTTATATGTCCCTTGGCAACATGTTCCGTGATGCGCGCCATACTCTCTGTCGACGGCTCGGCAATCATGAACAGTGCCCGAACTCCTTCCTTTCCTTTGCTGATGCCCTTTTCTTTGTGGTCTTGTATATAACCCCAGCTGCACGCGTCAAAGGACAAGAGGGTACCGTCTGGCTTGATAACGCTCCAGCAGTCTGCGAGAATCTGAAACCCAACAGAATCAATAATCACGTCGACCTTGTCCAAAGTGCCGAAATCTTTGTATTCCACCACTTCATGAGCGCCAATGGAGTGCAGGAATGGCTCGTTCCGCTCGTTCGAGCTAGATGCTGCCACGACGTGGTGTCCAGCCAGTACAGCAAACTGCACGAGAAACGTGCCAATGCCACCACCAGCTCCGGTGATCAGGACCCTCTTTGGTCCGTTTTGCGCTGTGGTCTCGAGTCCAGTATGTCTGAACAGGGCCTGATCAGCCGTGATGGCACTCCCGGGGATAGCAGCAGCCTCCTCCCACGACAGGTTATCCGGCTTCTTGACTGCTTCTTCCGTCATGACGATGGTGTACTCTGCCCATGTACCTCCCCGATTTGCATGCGTCATACCGTACACATGATCAGCGACGCGGAAGGTTTTCTCGCTGTCGTGCACGGCCACGACTATGCCGGAAAAGTCATTTCCCAAGGTGGCATGGCTAGGGGGGTACAGCTCGTTCCACTCGAGATTGTCCTTATACACGGTAGAGGCTTTCACCTGGATTAATAGTTCGCCAGGCTTCGATATTTGCGGTTTGGGGACGTCCTGGTGGATTTCAATGGCTGAAGACGGAGCTACATTTCCAGGGAAACCGTAAGGTGTTCCCTCGGGGGAGGTAGGTCGAACTCGCGCAGCTCTCATGGTTGTACTTCGGGGTTTAAACTAGGATATTGTTGCGGGAAATGTGAAGCACATAGTGAAGTGGGGGTTTCAATTTGGGAAGACGACCTTTAGGTTTGGGTTGTAAATGTTCGCGGGGTGGACCCGACGTCCTCTCGGAGTCCGTAACGGTGATTTGCCAAATTGGGAGTGCCTCCCAATATTGTACAAACTAGGCGTAAACCTTGTAAGGCTTACCCTTTTCAGCCAGCTGAAGCAGTGTCAGTTTGACTTAGACATGGTTCTCTTGTTTTCTTTATTATAATTATCTATTGCATACATGATCATGGTCATAATGGAACCTTGACTGTTAGAAAGGGAATTTTGAGTTGTCATCTCTCTAGCTCTCTATATGTATGCTATGAATCTGATTAACTCTATGCCTGGGCTATAGCCCAGTCAATTCCTCGAAGCACAGCTTTGATCTCAGTCTGTTTCTTCGGCATGTCGTGTAACCCACTATGTAAGACTGTTTTGGATATGGACTGGTCGCATAGACTGCGGGATAACTTGGCCATTTGGATCATATACTCGAAGTCATTTTGACCCCATACATGGACAGTTGGAATTTGAATCTTTCGTGCCAGCGCTGATGAATACATCACCCGAGGAATATCGTCAAGTTCTCCGCGACGATATACATCCATGTCAGTCCATGGGAACAGCGGATCTTGGATAGCGGCGTCAACAACTGTCCGCTGTAGTATCTCCACAAACTCTTGCTCTTCGCTCGTCAGATCTCTCCCGTTGGCCCCTGCTCGATCCGTAATGTCGTGTTCCCTAGCTCGTAACTTTGATATGACGGCATGCCCCAAACTCACATCAGAGCTGCATGGCATGGCAGTCGAGAAAAGACATGCAAAATTGACTGCGACTGGGTTTTCGGCTGCCTGCTGCTGATAGAAATATGACAGCATCAAAGCTGAGCCCTGACTAAAACCAAAGATGCCATCAAAGGGCCCCTCGTCTTCAAGGATCTCTTCAAGGTAACTGATAGCTTTTGCAATGTCGGCAGGAGAATAGCCTTGGGTGTGAGAAAAGTATGGACCGGTCTGGTATTCCGACACGCCTGTATTTCAAAGTATTAACGACCACATCAAGGCCTGTCCGTCACATGGCCTACGTACCAGGCCCTCTTTCACACTCGAATGGCCCGTCTACAAAGACAAGCTCGAAGCTGGGATCCAGTTCGCGCCGCAAGTTAGACATCTGCTTTTCAAGAATGGCACCGGAGCTGCCAACACCATGGAGACAGAGAATCCTCATTATTGCGTGCAAAGTATCGAGTACAGCTTTATGCTGGTAAATACAAGAATTAATAATTGGTAACATAGCAATTTGAGACGAAAGACTTACAATGCCGTTGTTCTGATCATGGCCTCAACATGCGCTTGTGCGATCCTCTTTCCCTGGTGGGTCTTTAACTAGCGGAGAAACGCCTAATTTGAAACGGGCCGCGGCAGGGTCCACGGGTTTCTTCGCGCGACATTGACTAATACCGCTTGCCAAATCCGACAACTCGCCGTCCTTCCATTTTTGACGCCCTCAAACAAATCAAGGGACATCGTCCCGGACACTCGGCTTTGCGTAAGCCAGCAACCACGCTATACCATAGAGAGCCAATTAAAACCACATAGGTCAGCCTATTATATCTTGAGAGCATCCGTGTCTTTTGATATCTTATTTATATATGAATTCTATATGATAAACAATCAATCTAATTAGAATATTGCGTAATCCGATACTTTATATATGAACTTCTTTACAATTAAAACCAATAGATAGTGTATTATTTTCTTAGATTTTTACTCAATGATGTTGTAGTTCTTGAAAACAGAGATAAAGGAGATATATAGAAGTACTTGGGCCCACATTTTGTGGCGCTGACTGTAGCAGGTACGGAGAGCCGGGAGCCTTGGGCGTCATCCCTCGCGCGCACGACCCTAAAGGGGCTTGAAGAGTCTCAATGTATGTGACAACCAAATCGAGGCATAAGCATGTTGAGGGTGGCGGAGCCGTTGTGTTAGGAAAGGCGGAATCTTGTGAAGACATGTGGCCGGACAAGGATGCAGGATATCCACAGTGAAATCCAACTCAATCTCTACAAAAATCCTAATAAGATCGTCTATCATCAGCTTCCATACTCTTCTTCACTACTGTTATTCTTCCTCTCCTTCTTGACATTGATCTTCTTGTAGTTCTTTTGGTGCTAAGTCTACAACCAGTCACATTCATCAACCCTGCGCCATGGACTTTTCATATTCAGATAAGCAGGAGCCCATCGCTATTGTTGGTGCCGCATGCCGCTTTGCTGGCGAAGCGTCCTCCCTGGGATCACTATGGAACATGATAAGCAAGGTCAAGGCCGGCCACGGTCCCGTCCCCAGCGATAGATGGGACAGCAATATGTGGCATCATCCTGATCCAGACCGAAAAGGCGGAATCAGTCCACAGCATGGGTACTTCCTCAAGCAAAATATCAGCCACTTTGACGCTCCCTTCTTCTCAGTAACAGCCAAAGAGGCTGCTTCCATGGACCCGATGAAGAGAATGTTGCTCGAAGTATGTTACGAAAGCTTTGAGAATGGTAGGTGATGTGCCCCCCCCAAGTCCGTCAACGAGAATGTGGTGCTGATTACGAGCCTGTAGCTGGCATCCCCGTTGAGGATTTGATGAACAGCCGTACAGGTTGCTACGTCGGTTGCATGACGAACGACTACGAAATGATCTCCTTACACGACATCTACGACATCGGGCATCCGGCAGCAACAGGTCTAAGCGAAGCCATGACCGCTAATCGTGTGTCCTGGTTCTTCGGTCTCAAGGGTCCCAGTTTGACGCTTGACACCGCTTGCAGCTCTTCACTTTACGCTCTTCACCTTGCATGTCAGTCACTTAGGCTGAAAGAAACAAACATGGTAGGTTGTGACAGGCCACAAGTTTGCGCGCGGAATTGATAGCTTACCTTATTTCCGTAGTCTCTCGTCACCGGAGTCAACCTCATAATTAACCCAAATACCTCACACCAGCTGACTGCAATGCACATGCTCAGCCCTGAGGGTATTTCACACACATTTGATGACCGTGCCAACGGCTATGGCCGTGGTGACGGCATTGGCGCCATGGTCGTCAAACGTCTGTCGGATGCTATTCGAGACGGCGACACCATCCGCGCCGTGATCCGTGGCTCTAGTGTTAATGCCGATGGCAAAACACCCAGTGTTACCCAACCAAGTTCCACAGCACAAGCCGAACTGATCAATCGGACCTACGAGGATGCAGGTCTGGATCTGTCAGAAACAGGGTACTTTGAATGCCACGGCACAGGGACGCCGGTCGGTGACCCTCTTGAGCTTACCGCCATTGCTTCTACGCTTGGTGCAGCAAGGCGCGCAGCTGGAAAGCCTCCTCTCCACATTGGAAGTATCAAACCTACCGTGGGCCACACAGAAGGATGTGCTGGCCTTGCCGGCGTTTTCAAGTCCATCCTGCTACTTGAAAAAGGAATGCTGGTCCCCACATATGGCGTAGATCGGGTGAACCCGAAACTGAAGTTGAGCGACTGGCATCTTACTCTTCCAGAAGATGTCGCCAGATGGCCGACGCCAGGACTTCGTCGAATCAGTGTCAACTCATTCGGGTTCGGTGGTGCCAACGCTCACGTTATTCTGGACGATACTTACCACTATCTCCAAGAACGGGGACTGGCTGGCAAGCACAACACTGTCATAAGTGATTCTGGTTCTGATTCCGGCGTTGAGGACACATCAGTAAACGGCCTCGTCCACGACCCATCCAACAAACTTTTCCTCTTCACTGGCAAAGACCAGTCTGGAGCCAAGCGTGTGTCCGAGGCCTTAAACACATGGCTGCAACAAAATTCGGAGGATACCCATGACCCATCCTTTTTGGAGAATCTCGCATTCACACTCACGCAGCGCCGCACACATCTAGAGCATAGAACTTTTGCAATTGCAAACTCGCTGTCTGAGCTCACAGAAAGGCTCTCGAAGGGTCTGCTACCAGCAACTCGATCACAACGTCATGGCAACAACCTCGTCATGGTATTCACCGGTCAGGGTGCTCAGTGGCCGGCAATGGGTCACGAGCTTTTCGCGAACCCCATCTTCCGCGCAAGTGTTCATGTTTCGCAGTCTTACCTCCAGGCCTTCGGCTGCAAGTGGAATGCAATGGAAGAGCTGACCAAGACACCCAACCCAAACGTCAACCGCCCAGAATACAGCCAGCCCCTCTGTGCGGTGGTTCAGGTCGCGCTGGTTGACCTTCTTCGCTTCTGGAAGGTTTTACCCAGAGCCACAATCGGACACTCGAGCGGCGAAATTGCCGCCGCATATGCAGCATCGCTTCTAACACACCACGATGCCATAAAGCTTGCCTTTGTCCGAGGTATCAGCTCCGCCGCTGTCTCCAAGCAAGGTGCAATGATGGCTGCTGGGATTTCTGAGGATGATGCCCAGGCGTACCTTGAGAAGGTTCCAGCCGGGTCTGCAGTCGTTGCCTGCATAAACAGTCCATCCAGTGTGACTCTCTCCGGCGATGTCGACGCCATTGATCAGCTGGACACCCTGATTTCTGGCGACGGTAAATTTGCCCGCAAGCTCAAGGTGGCCACGGCGTATCACTCCCCCTCACATGCGTGAGGTCTCGCGGAACTATCTTGAGATGATTGGTGAAATAACACCCAAGGAGGCAAATGAGACAGAAAATAGCCCTGTCATGTACTCATCACTTACCGGGTCTATCGTTTCTTCTGCCAAGGAGTTGAGCGCCCAGTACTGGGTCAACAATATGCAGAACGCCGTGAAGTTCTCACAGAGTTTCTTGGCATTGCTGAAGCATAAGAAAGTCACCCCAGGCGGCACCCGCCCCGTGGCCGTACAGTGGGGAGGCTTCCTTGAGGTCGGCCCTCACGCAGCTCTCCAGGGACCCGTGCGACAGATCATTGACGCAAGCAATAGCAAGTTTGCTAAGTCCGCCCCTTACGCCTCTATGCTTGTTCGTGGCAAAGACGCAACGGAGTCAGCTCTGAACGCTGCCGGTGTGCTCTGGGCTGCTGGCTACAAGGTCGACATGGCTGCAGTCAACCAGCAGGCCTCAACAGGGAGCAGCACCCCTCATATGCTTTGTAACTTGCCCAGTTATGCATGGAATCACACAAGGAGCTTCTGGCACGAATCTTACTCGTCGCGCTCGTACCGCTTCCCTCCCCACGCGCGCAACGACTACCTGGGCATGGCGGAAGATTCTTATAATAGTCATGAGCCGCGATGGAGAAACTACCTGCGCATCTCTGAGAACCCATGGATTGAAGACCACGTAATCACAGGAACCGTGTTATACCCAGGCGCAGGAATGCTTGTCATGGCCTTGGAAGGCGCAATGCGCACCGCCGACTCATCCAAGGTGATTGAGGGTTTCCGCATGACCGATGTCATGTTTGAGCGTGGACTGGTCATCCCCATGGACGAGGAAGCGCCTGTGGAGACGCGCATCAGTTTCTACCCCCACAGCACGAAACCCGAGTCATGGATCTTCACTGTCTATTCGATGACCAAGGGCTCTCCATGGGCGAAGCACTGCGCTGGCACCGTTGCTGTTGTGTATGAGAAGGAAGCGAGCGAGGTTGAAGAAGACAGCGTGGATGCCTTGTGGCAGAAGCAATTGGGCTTGCGCAAGACCCTGCTATCCGAAGCCAACGCCGCACATGTCAACGTGGATGAGTTCTACAAGAATCTGAACACCATTGGCATGCAGTATGGTCCATCATTCCGCAATGTCCAGTCCCTCACGGTAGTACCATCTAAGAAAGCCTCGTACGGATCTGTGACTGTTCCAGACACGAAGTCAACGATGCCTAAGAATTACGAGTCTCCCCATGTCATTCACCCGGCTACCATGGACTCTATCTTCCACCTAGTAATTGCGTCCCTCGATGCCGGCCAGCCAGTGAAGCAAGCCGCGGTACCATATAGCATCGATGAGATTTACATTGCCCATGATCAGCCAAAGGAGGCTGGGGCTCTCTACTCCGGTTATGGTCGCCTGCTGTCCCAGGACGGCCATGAGATCACCACCGAGCTGGTTGTCTCTGACCAGGAGTGGGCAAAGCCAAAACTTACTGTCAAAAACTTTGCTCTTCGTCAGGTTACTTCTGGAGGCGACTTGGAGAATTCTAGTGCCGCATCTTCTGGTCGTCCCGTCAAGAAGTGCGCCGGCATCACCTGGATTCCTGATCTCTCTTTCTTGACCAGCAACGAGTATCTTACGAAGCTCGTTTCCTCCGGTAAGGCGGCCGCGGTGGTCACCAGCTGGCTTGACCCAGTGTTCCTAAAGACGTCAAATACCACCGCCCTAGTTGTCTTGTTCGATGAAACCGAAGCTAGTATCGATGTTCTCCGCCGCCTCAAGATCCAAACATATGGCCCCAAGAACATCATTGCCCTCGCCACATCTGAGTCGACATCGCAGTTGATGAGAGACACCCTTGGCGAATGTACTGAGAATACGACCATCACCTATAAGTGGCTGCCGGAGAGCCGGCTTCTGGAGACGCTGGCTCCAGAAGATAATGATGTCTTTATAGGCTTGGGAGTTCCTGACATCGCCAAGCACGCTGCCACGCTTGCGACGCTGGCTCCTTTGGCGTGCCTCACTCACGTGGGTCAGCCAGGTGAAGTCAAAGTTCTTGTGCCAGGTAGCAAATGCATTACCACCCTAGCAGAGGATGAGATCTACGTCCTGTTCGCTTCAAGCACCAGTTCTCACTCGGCTGAGTTGCCCCACTCTGTGGTGCTTCTCTTGCCTGAATTGTCATCCACCGCCCTCGGTACATTTGCTGCCGCAATTCAGACCAAGCTTGAAAGCTCCGGTGTCACAGTCTCACAGACAAACCTAAGTCCAAGCGGCGTGGCTTCACTCGCTGGCAAGTATGTTATTTCTCTCCTCGAGATTGACAGCCCACTGGTGTATGCCTGGGGCGAAGACCAATTCAACACATTCAAGACACTCGTCTCCACGGTTGGACACCTTTTCTGGATTACTCACGGCAGTGTACTTGAGAGTTGGTCGAACGGCGTGGAATTCGCGACAACTCAGGGTCTGTTCCGCGTGATGCGCAACGAATACCCAATCGCCATCTTACCGTCTATGGATATATCCGCAGTAGCTGATATTTCCAATTTCCAATACGCAGATCTGGTTCTTAACGTTTGGCGAACATCTCTGTCCGAGGACGCGGAACTGGAATATGCCGAAGGCAACGGCTTGATTTACATTCCTCGTGTCACTGAAGATGTTGGCTTCGACTACGAACTGCAGCTGGCGAGCAACACCGCGAAGCCAATCGTTTCGGCTCTGGGCACCACTGGAAAGCCACTGAAGGCAATCGAGTCGGCAAACACCCAAGGTTGCATCTGGATCGCGGATGAGCAGGCCGAATTACCACTTGAAGCAGACCAAATCGAAATCAAGACCGAGTATGCTGGAGTCGGAACGGGCCAGACTTTGAACTCTGTCCGCCACGCTGTTGGCATCGTTACTCGTCAAGGCGACTTGGTAAAGACTTTGCAGCTTGGTCAGCGCGCCATTGTTTTCTCCGACGCTGCTGCAAAGACTCATGTCCGCCAAAGGCAGAACCTAGTTACACCGCTGCCCGACTGGCTTGCACCGCAAGAGGCTGTTGCGCTTGTCGAGCCACTGATTACTGCGCAGTATGCGCTTATAGAGATCGCTCATCTCAGTCACGGTCAGGCATTGCTACTTGATGACGCTACAAGCGCCGTCGGACAAGCCCTGGTACAGGTTGCCAAAGCAATTGGGGCCGACATCTTTGCTCTTGTTCACAACAAAGGAGCGCGCGATATCATTGCTGGCCGATATGGCATCCCTAAAGACCGCATCTTCGACGCCGCTTTGAGCAATTTCGTGCCACTCATACAGAGTGTTACTCAGAACCGCGGTGTTGATGTCGTTGTCAACCAGCAGGCCGGTGCACATGTCGCTAGAGCCATGTCGATTCTGAGCGACTTTGGCCACTTTGTCGACATTAACGGTGAGAGCTCCCGAGCTCTTCTTCCGGCCTCTAAGACCAACGTAACTCTTGCTTGCATCGACATAGCCGCGGTAATCCATTGCAGACCCGCCATTGTCAGCAAGCTCTTCCAGCAAGCCTTCAAGCAGTACATCCTGCAGGGACCTTCCCTGTTGACAGTGGTGCCGGCGACTAATCTCTCTGTTTCGGTGAATGGCATCCGCACCGAGCAAATTGTCGTGTCTTTGGACGATACCAGCCCAGTGCTCATGTGTGCACCCCCAGCCGAGGAATTGAAGCTCGACAGTGAAGCAACCTACGTGCTGGCCGGTGGTTTGGGCGCTCTTGGCCTAGACATTGCCAACTGGATGGTCGAATGCGGTGCCAAGAATCTGGCTTTCCTGTCTCGGTCGGCGGGCGTAAAGAATCATCAGGATCTGCAGAAGCTCGCCGACCGCTCTGTGCGAGCCGAGGCATTCAAGTGCAATGTTAACGATGCTGTCAGCGTTGCCAAAGTCTTCGACCTGATCAAAGCCCGTGGCAGCAGGATTGCCGGCGTGATCCAACTTGCCATGGTTCTTGAAGACGGCATCTTTGACAACATGTCCTTTGATCAATGGCGCCATGCGATTGAGCCCAAGACCAAGGGCTCACGCAACCTGCTTGCCAACATCTGGCCCGGTGATAAACCCTTCTTCATTCTACTATCGTCCATTACCGGTGTTATCGGCAACACGGCACAGGCAAACTACGCTTCTGGAAATACCTTTGAGGACGCGCTGGCACATCACGCTCGCAACCACCTCGGCATCAACGCTACCAGCATTGACGTCGGCTTGGTCTCTGACTCGTCGCACTTTACCACAGCTGGCGAGTTTGGCGACCTCGCCAGCTACCTGGGTAGATACCAGCACGGCTGGCGAGGCCTTCAGACGAACCTTGACGAGCTCGGCGTCGTGATCCGCGCCATCATGCGAGGCTCGACCACTAATGGACAGAGCACGCCCGCCCAGATAGTTCTCGGTCTGGGTGATCGCATCGAGCAAGACGAGAACACCGGAGGCTTTTCGAGAGACAAGAAGTTTGAGCTCCGTGTCGTAAAAGACGGCAGCCAGGCCGGCGACGGCAAGGCGAAGCAAGACTTGGGCACCCTCTTGACCAGTGCGACTACCATGGCTGAGGCCGCCGCAGCTGTGGAAGGAAACATCAAGGACCTTGTCGCTGCGGCCATGGGTGTCTCTTTGGAAGAGATTGATGCTCAAAAGCCCCTGTATGACTATGGTGGTACGTATCAAAGTCTTGCATAAAGAACCAGATAGAACTTTTGCTGATGTTTTATTATAGTCGATTCGCTACAAGCTGTTGAAATTCGCAATCGTGCCCAGAAGAATATGAAGAGCGATATTTCTGTCTTTGATATCTTGAGTGCTATGCCGCTGGCCGATGTAGCAGCCAAGATTGCAGCCAAGAGCCAATTGGTCAAAGTTGCTGCAAGCGAAGAGTAAGAAAAAAAGAAAGAAAAGGCCTTTGTTGATTTGAAATGGGAAATTAGACGGTTGCTTGTCCTGTATTTCTACAGTAGTATTCGAAATCAGGTTTACATCTACACTCTTAGACTTGGTCCTGATAAGGAGCGGCAAATACGTACAGGCAATAGGATGAGTCAATTATATACATGCCAAGTCGCGTAGCACCTTGTGGCGCAAGGGGCGATTGGTTGAGCCTGGACGCTGAAATATACCCGTCAAGTTAGATTGACTTGGTTAAAAAGAGATACAGACTCTTAGGATCTAAATATGAGTGTTCGTCTGGCAAGTGAGTTGAAGTTCTCAAATAAGTGCCTTTACGTTGATTTGTTGCAGGAATTATTCTGTCATGGTGGAGCCCGGCTATATTTGTTTGAAGTTTCACGCCATGCAGCAATCGTCTCTTTTTCGAGGTCCTATTGTGGATCAGGGCCGAATCGGAGGTCTTGTATGTCGAGTTCTTGCAGGAGATGAAGGCCTTCGGATGAACGTTCCGGTGACGATCCTGTCCCCGGATCGTGGGGTTATCTTTGTGGTCGAGGATCGCAGCCACATGTGTTGAGCCTTGCTCTTTGTAGTCGGTGAGGCTGAAAGCAGGGCACATGAGAACTTACTTTCTATGGATGAAATAGCCTTTCAAGGTTATAGATCGCTCTGATGGAAAGACTGGCAGGACTAAAGGTACAAGGTGTTAAAATCCAGTGGCTTTTGGTCTGTCCGGTACAAAAAATACGCAGGCGGGTGGCTTGGTGCACATGATATAGAGGTCCTCGATTTGGAAGAAAAAGGCTAATGGAGAGGTGTCAGGCAACGTTCATGACAATCTATGGAAAACAAACGGACCAGTCTGGTCTACCACGATACCTACAGCATTTTCCGCGGCACCATTGACCAGGCCCAGCAGGGTACAAATGTTTGTCAGTATGATGACAGGCATATTTAGGGTGTACGGAAAGGCTCCTGGGAAGGGAATCTTGATGCCTTGGTCCGACTGCTGGAGCAAGTCATTTGCACGGAGTCGCAGATTGATTGGACCAGTAGAATTGGTTCGCGTATGAAGCGCAGGAAATATAAAGATATTTTGGCATCTTGTTTGTGCGAATTGCTCTATCTGAACCGTGGCGAACATGGGTCAGGCAACAAGAAAGCAGTGAATCATATTAGCAAACCCGGACTTCGGAAGCTCTCTAAGTACAAGAGAACCAGGATCCCCTGACAAAAGTGACAAGATACGGGAGAAAATGCACAGAAAAGAAGGCAGATGAGAAAACCAATGAGAACAATTCTTGGCAAGAAAGTGGACGAACCAGCGTCGAGATCTGCGACAAGTTTGGTAGTGGGAGCAAAGTTTCGCAGGCAGCTCGCGCGGGGCAGTAAATCAGTCACTTCGTTCCTCGTTTCAGGGCAAATAGAACATCTTGTGCAACTTAAAATGGGTTGGTATGCTGATTCAGCACCTGAGGCCTTGAGTACGGGGGTATAACTTTACAAGATCAAGGCGTGAATATGAAGGGATTCGAAAATTAGAGCGAGTTCCAGTGGAAGAGACAGAGGCGTCTAGCCGTGGAGTCACCGGGAAGGTGGTGAGGTCGCCATCTTCATCTTCATTAGATAGCTTTCGGGGTTGATGCTGGCGGCCTCTCCATCTGACTTTTCTGTGAAGAAGACTTCCGCCGTCGGCTAATTGACAACAACACCAGTTTTGAGCTCGCGAGAGACCGCCAAGGATGTATCCGAGTGTGTAAGCAGCGTAGATTCATGGGGTTTTGCGTTGAGCTATTTCTTCCCCCCTGCAAAGTTCCAAAGCTAAGCTAGTTCAAGTCTCTGAGGGTAATGTTGAAGAAGGATCTTGGATTTTGAAATGGTTGTTAAGAACGGTGGCATTTATCCGAACTCATAGTGCTGGGCCAGTCATGTTTTGAAAAACACATAATCAATTCTTCACCAAAGGGACAGCCTACCGCAACTGTTGTATCATTCGAAGACCATTTGCACGATCGATATTCCATAGGCAGGAAAATCAACTTTTTTCCTTGATATGTCACCCAAGACAAATCCTCATTTAGTGCATAATAACCCTCTTCGAACAGGGGGCGATTTGAAGATTGTGACGAGTGCTTCACCCAGTCACTCGACCGTATATCAAATGTGCCCGCGCTCGTGTGCAAGAGGGTTGGATTCTCATAATCAAAGAATACTTCATCTTTATCTGGACAGTCAAGCATGAAAATGCATTCCATGGCGTTCTTGGTCCAAACTCTGATCTTGTTTTTGATGCCTTCCTCAGTTGTCATTGACACAGTTGCTAGTAGGTTTCCATCAAAAGACCGGGATACTTGAGAACAAGTTTTCCCACTTCAATTATCTTTGTACACTGTCCGGATACTGGGTCCCATATCCTGGCAGTTTCCATCGAGCGATCCAGATGCTAGCAAGACCCCCTTGGGCGACCAGGCCACGCACCTGGCCCAGGACAGATTTCCTTCAAGTGTCAAGACACATCTTCCGGTATTTGCATTCCAGATCTTTACTGTGGCGCCCCAAGATCCAGATGCAAGTAGATTTCCGTCCGGGGGCCATGCGAGATATGTGACTAACTTTTGCTCCCCATCGATAGGTCTTATAAATATACCGCTTCCTTCACGAGGAACCCAGATTCTGATGAGTTGATAATGCCAGAGGGTCGAGCATGTCATCACGATAATCATGAAATAAGGCGCAAACATAATCACCGAGCGGCTATTCAAGAAAAGAACTACCCTGAAGATATAGACAGTCATCGGCATATTCATAACCAACACCAAACGCTTCACAAACAGGCTGCTAAACCCGAGTACCGAATCACTGGGAAAACACATGATATGATCGATGAAATTTATATTGATGATTTGTGAAAATGTTTGAGATATCTACATAAAGTATTTCTGGTTCATATCCATGGATCGACTCACCAACATTCGAATGAAATTCATTAGTAACTTGTTCATAATTAACTCCTAACTGAAACCCCTGGTTCGAGTCCCCAAACGTTGTTTCATGACTCATGATTTCCGAATCATAAACCAGGCCGCCCAGGTACTTGTAAATCCTGGAGAATCTTGGAAGACGAAATGAAAGTCAATACTTATATCTAGAGATAACACTGATGATGTCATCTCGCGCACCGCCCCCACCGGGGTATCCATTCTCCCGGCTTGTCATGCCCCTGAACTGCACGTGCCCATGGCTGAGTTCAGGCAGTGCTATAAATGCTATAAATATAGCAAAAGCGGTGCGCTAGCTGTGCAGGGAGAGGGAATTAAAGTCTAAGAGTGTGGAAGTAAATCTGATTTCGAATGTTATTTTAATAGAGAAATGTCTTTCTTTTGAGGGAAACGGGTTTTATGTACGCTTTAACGCTCTTGTCTTACTGGTTGAAGAAAGAGAAAAGTAGACATTTTGCCATTCGCTTTGCTGTAGTCACATTCTGTCTAGCACGATTGCTAGATTTGAGCGGATTGGGTCATTCATTCTAGACATTACGAATCATAAGTCAGAGGCAACGAACAAATCAAAAGCGTAGATAGCTAGATATAGGCGCATTGTGTCATGCTTACTTTAGACACCACCAAGGACAAGCAGGAAGAAAGATGAACTCACAGGCACAGATGGCCTTCACAAAAAGATCATATGGCAGTCCATTAAAACCTTTACTTTGCAATGTAATTTCTACTGCATTAATTTCGGATTAATGCCGAAATCCAAGTATTTCGAGTAGCAAGACACATAACGGCACGACCTCGTAGTCGGAGCAGTTTTAAAGCCTTAATAGAACCTACGCGGGTGCTTTTCATTTCACGCACGATGGCGTTTCTGATGTAACAAGCCTTTTTGGTCCCGTTGTCCCCGTATGCGTTTAGGTCATTTTCACCCTCTCCCACCGCATCAAAAGTCCTGCCAGCAGCACCGTCGCAGCTCCTGCGACTGATATGCCAAATACCTTGGCAATGGTGCTTCCAATAGCATCCGACGCGATGGCACGCACCTCGGGAGTGCCGTCGGTTAGGATGGCCGAGTATCCACCGGCAAGGGCTTCACGAATCTCACCAGTGGAGTACCCTCTGCCACTGAGGGCCCTTTGCAAGGTGTTGAAGCCAACATTCTGAAAAACTGACCCTGCTATCGCCAGTGACAAGGCTCCTCCACCTAGTTGTGCCACGTTGATGAAGCTGATGACTGATGTTGCCTTATCAGCCGGAGATTTGCTAAGAGCGATCGAGTAAGCAGCTTGGAAAGTCAAACCACAGCCAGCGCCAACCAAGACCTCAAACCCATAGATGTTCTTCAAAGGTGTGGCAGTAGAGATGAGGAACAAGAGCACACTCCCGACCAAGGCTATTATGCCGGAGATGAGGTACCAAGGGGCATAAACATTGAGTCTTGGGAAAAGAGCTCCACATAGAAGGGCACTAAATATCATGAGGAGTATGAAGGGTAGCAGCCGAGCCGCGACCGAGATAGCGCCATCTCCCTTTGTGAATTCGAAAAAGAGCGGAATGTAGTAGATGTTACAGTTCAAGACGGCGGCGCTGCCGGCAGTACCAATGTACAATAGAACCAATGACCGACTTTTGAGGCACCAGACTGGATAGAGTCGATCTTCTTTGGTCGTCAAGAATGCGGTCCATTGTTGAAGCGCATAAAGAATGGTGGTGACCCCAGTCATGACCCAAAGGGCGATGACTGAACCCGAGTTCCACGGCCACGTAGTGCCGCTGTATGTGCACGAAATAATGAAAAGAGCGTACGTTGCGGCGTTGAGTAATGCGCCAAGCCAGTCTAGATTCTTGATCCGGGGAAGGATTTTTTCGTGTCGATGTGCGCCATGGCGCGGAAGCCAGAAGATGTAGATTGGGGCAGTAACTCCTCCGAGGACGAGGTTGATATAAAAGGCCCTTGTCAGGATTAATGGATGAAACTCGAAGCTTATTTTGGTGCCGCACTCACCAACGCCAAGTTGCTTTACTCTGTGCAAATGCGCCACCGATGACAGGTCCGAGGACGGCGCCTAGACCCCAGAACCTAATCACAGTTGTCAATTTCAATTCGATCTTCAAGACTAGTCAATTGCAGACGTACGTGCTGATCAAGGCAGTGTAGAGTGGCCGTTTGGCTGCCGTCACAAAGAAGGAGATGTAGCTTATGCCTCTTCCTCAATGGTCAGCGTCTACCCTCTGCAGTAGTGTCATGGCTGTGCTCACCCAAGATAGACACCTGAACCACCTATTCCTGCCACGACTCGACCGACAGTCATGGCTTGCATGTTTGGAGCTGCACCACAAATTGCACTGCCGACCTCAAAGGTGAGAATGCTGCTGAGGTACAACCATTTGACCTCTATCTTGGTGTAAAGCGAGCCGAACAGCGAGACGGTGGCCACCGAGCCGAGCAGAAATCCAGTACCGACCCATGGTAGCAGGTGAAGATCACCAAGAGAAGCCAGAATGGGTCCTTGCACATCAGCAGAAACCGTGGAGTCCAGCCCATACAGGAACGCGGTCAGGTACAGCCCAACACATACGCTGAACCATCGAAGATTGCTCATTCCCTTGACCGCAGCACCGCCAGTGTCTTGCTCTGGTGTATCGGGGTAATCATAAGCGAGGGCGATGGACTCGTTGGGCGAGGGACCAGTGACTGGCCTCTTTTCAGCGGCATCTCGCGTGTGAAAGTCGCTGACGGACTTGGTCTCCGATTTCATGATGATGGCGCACAAAGCAACACTGATTACGTTGCTACAATTGAAAGGATGGAGTTGGGCGCCGAGTAGGGCGTGACGCACGAGCTTCTAGTCCAATATGAAGAAGTGACGGGTGATGAGCAGCTCTACTCGCGTCGCTACCTGTACAGGAGGGTACGGGTTGGTACTAGTGTACGTGCGCTCTAATACTGTATAAAAAACCATATAAACTGACTTTCGTGATCTAAATGTCCGGAAATGGCTGACGCCGTTTTCCATTTTAGGAAGAGTCCGAACCGACAGGAGCTAAGTCAACCGCATCATCCACATCTGGCGTTATTAAAGAATTAAGAGGTACAAGTAGTGATACATGCCAGACGTAGGAGGTAGAGGCTGCCTGCCTCAGCCATATGCGCGCATAGTAGTTGTCACCGTACAAAAGGCGTACTAGCAGTGCGAGTCGGGCCGATTCACCGGTAGACATCGGACCGTCCCGTCCCGTCCCATGAGGGACATGGACCTTGGTTCCCCAAATTTTCTCACATGTGGTCTATACCATTGCATGTGAAATTTCTCACCAGAAGCGATCGTGCTAGATCGAGAATATCTGAGGACTTCCCCGATTTGGGATATGGAGCCGCCGGGCAATAAGTCGCACACGTGAAAGCAATAATAGTTAGTATAATTCTGGGGGAGTAATACGAGAGACCTCGGCTGCTATGTTCTGCTTATTACCTACCCCCACTATGGGCCGAGACTAGTAGATTAAAATATCGACTATGCGGCCTTCTTATGAGAGCCTTCAAAATGGAGATGACTAGGACTTGCTAGGGGCAATTTGCTTTCTCTGAGGTTATAGATAGTAGTAGGTATAGATCACTCGATTTGAGAATAGTTAAGAGTACAGGGTAGTGTTGCGCTAAGCTCCTGCACAACGGCCTCTGACCCATTTATTGATCCAGTGACCGATTGTGAAGTGGAATTCCGGCCAATGGATCCCTGGCCAATGCTCCTCATCGCCAATCACCTGAGCCGTCGCAGATGAACTGTCGACCCAGGTGGGACGGTGGGAGAGCCATCTGCATCGGGATCCTTCCGCTAATCTCACTGCATACACGCAACTGGCCCACCACGCAGTCTTTGCTCGATAAAGACGGCCCCTGAATTCCGCAAGGGGTACTGTCGAGGGTGGAGATGATAAAAGCACCGCTACTGGGATAATTCAGCTTCACCAGCCTCCCCCATTACTGCCGATTTACGGCCAGGCCTATCCTCGCCCTCAACGCCATCTAGCTGAAGATATCTTAAAGCTAGGTCTACACCCTAGATAGACAATTCAGACATATATTATCTATGAATCTATTGGCTTTCCTAGATACTAGTGTGTACGTTTCTCCGTTGTCCGACAGGTACTTTCGTTGCAGGCTTGGACCTAGTCTAACATCTGTTAGGCGTCCAGGCCCAAACCCGCGGGGTTTGCGCTAGTGTAATATATCATTAATATCTCAATCACACCAATAATAGTCGATAATCTATATATACAGTACCAAAAATACATGAATCTTTTGGCCCCCGTGGGGTGTTCTGGGCTTTCGGCAAAACCCGGGGGGGGCTAAAAAAGGGGGTTGTCGAGATCTAGAGCCTGTTACTACTAATACTTCAATTAACGTATTCGTTAAGCGAGTGGCCACCCGCAAAACACTATAGTAAAGGCCATTAATTAAAACTTTATACTTCAACAACGTCATAGTATGTTCATCTAATTCTTGGCATATAACTGATATCACATATCAACTTGAGATTGCCCGCAGGCGAACATATAATTGTTTTATCATTAAAAAAAGCACACGTCTTGATGGCTATGAGTGTATATATTTCTGATGCTAGCCATCATTTAAAACACTATGAGAGCTTAGAGATACTCTTATTATATCATAGAGACCGATAGGTAGGAAAAAGAATCGTAGTAAGCTATGGTTGTTGAAATATAAAGTTGTAGATCCATGTATTATTGCACGAAGGCTATTTCCGGCCTGCAAGCCGGCGCTGCAGAGTTATTCTCGATACATCGTGGATAACCGTCACTTGCGGACCAATTCCGAAAGAGACACATAGTAGGGATCTCGTCATTCCTGAAGCCTGTACAGCTAGTGATATTATACACTCTTGATTGGTAGAATTCTGACCGGAAATAGTGCGATTTGGTGGCATATGGGGTGATTGAATGCCGAGGCTCGCCACTTTCAGCCCAATCATGTAGAATCAGTTATTAAACATGGAGGATAACAAACTTGTTATCAGGTGGTTACGTATGGGAATCCATAATTTGTACGCTCTTCGTTTCAGCCTGTAAGATTTTGCTGCCGATTCGATATTCTTTCTGCATGTGACTTTGCTGACCCTTCAAGCCACACAGATCCCGAACGTCTTTAACTTACTGCATAGTCTTTGTCGCTACGGCGTTGCTCTTTATTTGCAGCAGCCTCTATAATTATTGTGGGCTGCTTTGCACTCGGCACAGCGCCTTGGAGTTGTTATCATGTTTGGCACGCTGGTCTCCACTGACATTGACCGAGAGACCTTGGAGTACATTGAGAACCCAGATCCTGTTGCTGCAGTCAGCCGTAACGTCCAAGACAATATACGCATTGCTTGTATGCATTGCCGCTCTAGAAAGGTATGCCCCTAACCTGTGCCTGCAACCATGGGTGAATAACCGTACTCCCCTCCAGTCTACTGTGGCGTTACGTTTCTAACAATCTGAAATTATAGGTACGCTGTTCCGGAGGACGAAAAAGATGCCAAAGATGCGTAGCGATAGGACTCGAGTGCGTGTATCCAGAAAACCAGGGGCGGAACAAACGACAGGAAAACAGCAAAAGCCATCGTACAGTAAGTAACGAACAAATGAAATTTATGTTCGCGAGATTGAGTCGCCAACGCATTACATTCATACAGGCGATTCGGCGTAACTCCAACGTCCCGACCCAGATTGTATGCGATGAAGCAGAGCCTTGCGCCAGAGACGGCCATGCAAAGTACGGCCAAGAATTGGCAGTGGATGACTTGCACGACAATAAGTTTGACGGGTGCATCGACGAGTCTCTGTTTACGCCTTGGATTATGGATACTCCCATGCAGCACAGTTTAGACAGCAGATCTTGCTCGAGCAGCAGTGGCATTCCAACCCGTATGTGCCTGGTTTATGAATATCCAAAGCCTACTAAATTGACACCTCCCATAGCTGCCATTGACCTGACAATAAGCAAATCTCCTTTTTTAGCAAGAAGTCGCAGTGCCACGGTGGCGCCGCCCGATCAGCTTCCGGAGCTATCGACGGCAGATATGTCCTTGGTGTCGCTACTCAGGCCGTCGACTACGGCTAGCGCAGGCGATTCAGCACATTGGCAAGGACCTCACATGGCGCATGACGATATCAGTTGGGCGACGGCTGTCGATGGACACGGTACGGTAGGCCCGACATCGGAACCGCTGTCTCGAGAGCCTTGGGGCAAAACGCGCACAGAATCCGACAGCTGTTGTCTGCTGAGCTCTGTATCTTTTCTCTCAAGACTCTCCTCCAGAACTGCTTCGCGCGAGAACCGTATAGACCTATTACTCGCCGACGTTCGGAATTCTATTGAAACCTTGGCGATATTCATATCATGTGAGAGATGTGCTGCTCGAGTAGAGCAGAACATGTTGCTCGCTATGGCGGCCCGCCAAATAGGCGCCATCTGCGGAAAGATGGCCAACTGTTGCAAGGCCATGCATCGGTGTGGCCTCAGCGACACTGACTCATCTCAGCAGAAACCCGAGTTTGTTGCCTCTCCGGTTCCCATCGATATTTCCGTGTCGACATATCGCGTGAGCCGACGTGAGAGGCTACACTTGCTTGAAAGCCTTGTGACTCTCCAGATTATGGATTTTCAACGGCACATCAACACAATCAAGTCTCGATATCGCAATCGGCCAAATAAAGGCCAAGCAGAAGCCCTGAATGAAGCAGAGAACTATGTCAAGTTAGCACAGGTTTCTATCAGCAATCATTTATGACAGCTATGGACGCCTATCATAAATATGTCGAACTCAGAAACGTTATTATTCTTATTCATTACTCAAGCTTTTCACGACCAGGTTGTATGCAGCCCCCTAGCTAGTGTGCCCTGCTCCGTACAATATGTGCATTGTATAAGTTTACCTCCATTCGAAAACTCAGCCAACGTTCCGTATCACCCCGCAAAAGTCAGCGATTCCATTCTCCTCTTTCCATGCTTTTGCCTGGAAGAACTTTATCCGAGATTTCAAAGGATGAAAGGGCATCACTACCCGTCCATGTCCGGGCAGGGAAAACTTCATGGAAAAAACAAAAGAAACTTGAATAGCTGACGCAGCTTGGAAACTCGGCGTAGGTTGAAATGTAGCAGCATGGCCACGTTTCCCATTCACACTGAGTTGCGTAGCTTGTGGCTTGACTGGCCACAATGTTCGTACCTGTAAGCATTCATATACTAGAGGTATGCGGTACCCTTTAAGATGCTCTGGCTGTCTAAGAATAAGGGCATTATGCCAAGACTTGCCCAGTGAGGTTGCTGGAATCAAATGAAAAGATCGAGCAGACACAGCGCACGAAGAAAAAAGCCTAGGCCGCTTAGCTAGGCTACGATGATACATTATTGGATATAATCGCTAGCGCTGGAACGCCGAAGTCTTGGTGTCTACACATAGCCACGCTAGGCCATTGTTGATTGGCGACGGGCATAGTATATATGTACCTCGATACCGCTCACCTAAGTATCCTTGACTATAGAAAATTCCGCCTAGATTGTCTGACTGTGTGATCCTAGGAACACTATGTCAGAATGTTTTGTATTCAACCAATCAACGATGTAAAAAGCTCTGTTTTTATATTACCCCTGATTCTGGTAATTTATAACGTGGTCGGCAAGCGAGTGAGCCATGTAAGCGAGTGAGCCACCCCAAAACACCATAGTAAATGCGATAGATTACAACTTAATATCTCCACAACCATAGCTTATCGTAAAGTCTTCCTGTATAAATAGTTTCTTCATGTTTAATCTGACGTATTTTGAAGGTCTCGATAATTTTTAGGAAGTGGTGATTAGCTGGTATATTCTTGAAGCTCAAAACGTTAGATTACAGTGTATTTTTTGTAAATATTGTCAAATCAAAATTAAATTAACCTAGACTCTTATGATAGGCTTCTCATGCTCTAAACAATTATCATACGGAAGATAGAGTGGAACAAACTTGTGAATGTTGAGAATGATCTTAAATTATTGCATTTACTATGGTGTTTCGGAGTGGCTCACTCGCTTACCGACCACGTTAGGGTGATTATAGATTACGTAAGTAATAAACATGAAGGATAATTGTATCTCCGGTCCACCGCGGTATTCGTACTGATATAGCGTCGTGGCCTGAGGCCGGCAGCCAGCTGGGATGCCGCGCCAAAACTGCCCAACTTTGAAAGCTTATTACATCACAACCAATAATTTTTAAAAAATTCATAAAGCAATGTTGCACTGTTCTAGGATTTTCGTTTTCATTGATTCAAGAATATCTCAAGAAAATGGCGATTGTGGTTGTGAATAGGACCTGGGATTTGCCTAATATATAAGCTAGATTTTGCGTCATAGGATACACTGTCGCCGACACAGAATCTAGGCTACGAACCATGAAGGACTTTGTCTCCCTATCTCACATTCGGTCCCTACTCCTGGAGCCCATGGTAGGATCAAGCTTTGAGCCCCATATATCGCTTCTCACCTCTATTATTCTCCAATCCAAGTGGCCACTGGATGAATTCCGTCCTGACTGACAGATAGATGACCGGTGGCCCAACATACTTCTTGCTTTCACCCATGCACGACTGTGTCTAAATCATTGCCAATCGCAGCTAGTGCTTATTCCTGAGCTGAACTAAACGGTGCGTCAGCATTGGGCGTCCCGTGAGTCACTTGAACATGACCATTGGACTCGAAGCCTATTTGTATTGTATGAGAAAAGAAAAAACCATAAACCTTGCGACCCCTTTCTCTTCATCTCTGCCAAGTTTGGGCTAGCAACCATAGTACGTGAACACACCCGGAAGGATGGCAGCAGGTCGTATGACAGTGGTGGTGACATACCCCTTCTCAGTCATTACATCGAAATGATAGCCAGTCGGCGGCAAACCGTGAACCCTTTTTCCGGTCCAGAAATCATCAATGCAATTCTCACGAATGGTGCGGGCCCTGACCGACCCTGAGAAGAGCTCAACGGAAAGAGCCAGACGCCCTGGCTGGTTGTTCTGGATTATCTGATAGAGGCAGGTCATCGCCAATGGATTGAGTACTACGGCACCAGTGCGAATGGTACTTATCGTCTGTCCTTGATTGTATCGCTATTTATTCAGCATGGCGCAGACCCCAATGGGCTACTCGTTGAAACGGAATTCAGTCCTTCGGCTCCTGCCATAGTGATTATTACGGCTATTTACCGGAAATACGCCGCTCCGGGGCTTGGTCAACTTCGCAAGCTATTGATAGATCAAGGGGCCCATGAAAGATAAGGGCATGGCATTTTTTTATGAAGTGTATGGTACCCAGTGTGACTCGGAGCATCGAAACATACCTAGCGTACATCCTTCTCTGCATACGAGCTATATTTTGTCGTGGACAGCGTCTTAATCCAGCAAGTAGGGAGCATCATGCACCTTAACCATTGGACCAGCGCCAAAGCCTGAGATTAAATGTCACCTGGACCCGGAAAGCCCCGTGCCATTCGTTTACCAAGCATCTCCCAATTTATAATTGGTTGCCTCTTTCGTGATATAGCGCGGCAATTTGGAGGTAGTATTGAGCACTTCCTCGATGTTGCCGACTACCGTAAGTGTTGATCACCGTTGAATAAAAAAGGGGTATGAGTAGACCTTGGGAGTATTAGCAACCACAACACAAGCATTCCGCCTCAGGCGCTCTTGTTGGGGAGAGCTTTTCCTGGGAGGAGGACAACACAGTAATTGCCGGAGTACCGGTCTAAAGCACAAAATTTAGGTTCATGTCCATTGCTGGGGACATGTGGTATTTTGGGGTGGCCCACTGGGTGTTGTGGCCCACTCGGCAGTGAATTATTACACCATGAGCCGGATTTGATTTGTACTAAGTCTTGCCTTTTTCGGCCCCACCTTAGTCCTTCAAAACATGGTAAATAGCAACAGACTTCAAGAGGAGTATTGGGGGGTTGCCTTCACCTATGCGATCATCAATGTGCAATGTAGTGTTGGACTGGCTATATTCTATTGAGAATTTGTTTATTGCAATGCGTGGAGATATTTCCACTTCTTGTCTCGCGAGGATCTTAACGTTCAAGTGGCAAAACAGAATAATTTAAAGCGGGTATATAAATTGCCCCAGATGAGAAGCATTCCGAGATTCAAAGGTAAAAATTCACTAAAGCCGTTATAGCACGCACTAGAATACCCCGGAAAAGAAGTGGGAGAATTCCCCCACATGTTCTTTTTTGTGACCCCACAAGACACGCAATCTATGGACTAAATAACCAAGTCGTTTTTAGCCCGATCCACATACGGCATCTCTATTGGTACAGGAGGCCTTTATGCTTAGCCCTGAAGGATTTTCGACCAAATGACTTACCCCAGCCTTAGGAGTTCCCAACGGGCTCCACATAGCAACATTTGACTGATGCGCGATCAGGAAGGTCCATAAACACACCTTAAGTAGCTTGATGATTCTAGAAACGTACGGATAGAAGAGCGCAAAATGTATGGTATGTATTATTGTATTTTCAAAATGCGAGGAAGAACCAAGTCTAGGCTACGATGAAGGTGAGGTAAGGTGGATGATGACAGTATTCTAACAATTGAATCAAGCATATGACTATTTCATGTTCCCCCGATCTGTCCACCACCGTGTGTGAAAACCACGGAACGGATGTGGACAGTTCGGGTTTCCTCGCGAGCTTTGAAGTATATAAATAAAATGCTCTTTCTTCATGCTTGTTTCCTCACAGAAAGAATTGGCAGAAAGTTGTAACTTTGATTGCCAGAGCTACCACGCGATTCCACTTGGTCAGCATGTTGAAATTTATGCTCTTTGCGGCGTTGAGCGCAGCCACCATCACTATTGTCGATCCCAGTGACTATGCAGACCTCTCAGCCGATGCGGTGGATGACGCTCTTACAGCAGACTGGAACTATCAGCCACTGTCATATCAAGCCCACGCAATTACTGGGCCATATACCTACAGCGGCGAAGAAAAAGAAATTTCTCATCACACACTCTCTGTTTCAGCCAACGACACAAGCGTCGTGGTCATCACCGAAGGGTCACAAGTGAATATCTCCGACTCAACTATTATCAAACATGGCTACTCCACTGACCTGTACCAGTCTAGCTTCTACGGACTGAACGCTGCAATCAATGTGGCTAATACTTCGGTTGCCTATTTGGACAACATCAATGTCACTGTTCACAATGGAGCGGCCAATGTATATGTATATGGTAACAACTCATACGCTTATGTTTCCAACTCTACTTTATACAGCTCAGGTCCCGTCTCTCACGGGCTTTATGCTGCTGGATATGGGACAGTTGTTGGCAAGAATCTTCAGCATTACTCGGGAGCATACCGATCATCATCCTTTGCTGGTGACAGTCCTAAAGGATACGTCTACGTCTATGATTCAGTCTCTCATACTGTTGGCATTGGCAGTGCCATTTTCTACGGGCAAGGAACAATCTACGCTGAAAATATCATTGGTCATGCCGAAAATGCTCCCATTGCGTTTTTGGATGGCTCTCAAGTGGACATCCATGAATCAGACCTGACTGCCGGTTTGCTTGCCGGCGTGATTGTATTCTCCTCGGGTGCCCGTGAATCTGGATCTGAGATCAGCTTCACAAATTCACGACTCACAGTTCTCCCAGAGTATGGGGCGGGCTTGTGGTTTGGGAATGTTATTGCCACGGCAAGCCTGGTGCGCTCCCAAATCAATACGACTTCGGGAATTCTGGTTGCTGCCAACTACTCGCAAGTGACACAAGATTTCACTTATTTTGCGGACTCAACCGCCGCCGCCGAGGCTACGGTCACCGTCTCCGAATCCGATCTCACGGGAGATCTAGTTGCCTATAACGGAAGCACAATCAGCTGGACCCTAGGTAACTACTCCTCATGGACAGGCTCAGCATATTCTGGATATGAGAAAGCGTACTTCTCTGTGTATATTGATGCCACATCTTCTTGGACCCTAACTAGGGACACTGTGTTGACAAACTTCACCGATGCTGATACGATGCTTTCCAATATCCATAGTCAAGGCTTTAGTATTTATTATGATTCGAGTGCCAAAGGGAGCCAGTGGTTGAAGGGAGCAACTAAGAAGATGAATGGCGGAGGATCCATAAAACCAGCAACCAAAAAGCAGTTGCAACACCGCGATTGATTGTTCTCTAGCTAAACAATTGATTTCATTCAAATCACCGGTTCAATCATTTCCTAGAGGTGTGCCTAAAGCACTGGGACTGCTGCCGTAGATATTGATATCTCTTGGTGTCCTCATTTGCCTTCCTAAAGGCGTATAGCTCATCAGGTCATCAGGTCAACCGCCGACCTGATGACCTGATGAGCTACATACCCCCTTCCTAACCCCCTTAATACTACACGAACAAGTCAACTTTGTTCTCTTATATTTTAGCAATGCTATGTATTACGTATTTGATACATGCCAGTAAACTTTAACTGGGATTACAAGACCTCATATGCCCCGTAGACGATAAGGTCACTGCTTATCACCGTTCTATTAGTCCCTTTTCCACACTAGGTAACAATACTGAACTTACTTTGTTCCGTCTTCTTGTTCCAACTACGACCATATGTATATCTTGCTCTGGTCTGTGCTCATCGTGCCACGCTAACAGCTTCGTCTATACCACTAATGGTTTCTTTGGCTTTTTCTTTGGAGTACGGGGTGCTGCTATGGGAAGAAATCATTCATGGAAGATTTATCAAATCCCTGATCCGGAATTTCTTCATACAACTCCTGACGCTGCTGGATAAAGACCTTCAGATCCCCGCAAAGAGCCCGATCGAATTCGGGCCGGCAGAGTATGGAGGCAAACAAACTAGCCTCGCAGCAGCTTCTATATACATCTTCTCGATCCATTCAAAGTGATTAAATCAAGCGTTATCCATATCTAATATAATTTTCAGCCTGGGCAGTTCTTCTATTCATTGAATACTGGGTAGAGCAAATATAAGCCTCTCCAAGGCTGCATTAATGCCTAGACAACTCTTGCGAAAACAAGAAAAATCCATTCAACGTCCTGGGCATCATTTGGTGCTCAGTATATTACATGTGACATCGAGAGGAACCGATTGAACCCACTTTTGACCACCCTCCATCATCGTGGTCGCCAAGATGGCTGGAAGAAAGAAAAAGGGGGTTCTATGGATGAGACCTGGCCGGAACCACCAATCGACCAGGACGACCATGAACTACGCGCGCATGCGAAGAACGTCTTGAAGACTACAAATCAATGGAAGAAAGCTGCTGACGAAGGCGGGTTGCCATCCCTCGAACGTTTCGTCAGTTTCTGGAGGCCGTGAGCTCCCTGGCTACCGGGATGAAAGACAGCGATCTGCTAGCTGAGCTACAGCGGATCAGCAAGCAGCTCAATGACAATGACCGCAAAAACATAGATATGATCACCAAGATGCAACAGTCAATTACTCTACAAGCCGCGAAAGTCGCCGCCACCAATCAGGCTCCATCCGGTAGGGGTCTGTTGAGATAAGGTAATTGTATTTGTTGAGTTATCTCATCTCTCGGAGGTGGGACTCCTCATCTATTTACATATATCTTGGTAGTCCCCGCCCTAAGCTTTGATCACCGTGATACTCAACAGCGAATATCTCAAAATATTACGAATATGTATTCGTGCCGACCCCTACACCGAGGTCATCGTATTCCGCGCTCGTGGCGAATGGAATCGCGTGGTCTGTCAAATGTTTCAAATCTAGATTAATCACCCGCTGGGTTGGTCTTGGGTACGGCGTTAGGCGCAGAATAGTCCTACTAGACTGCCCTACACTTGTAGACTTGCGGCAAGAGAGCTTCGGTAAAGGCCGACGAGGCATTGAGTAGCAAGTGAGCCCTACTAGGAGAAAGTGGAGAAGGAAGGGAGGGTACTCCCGACAGTAATTGATCTGTCAAAACGGCGGAGACCGACCTGGACTTTGTGGAAGCATCGCAGCAATTTCGAGGCCGCACCCCACAATGGCAAGATATCGAGAACAGACATTAGGCCACGGCAGGCCCTGACAAGGCTCTAGTTTCATTCAGAAAAGGGTACACGACACATGGATACGAGGAAATGCGTAGTTGCGGTAGCCTGCACATCGCTTTTCGCGAGAAGCCGAGGCGAATGACATCAACCAACCAACCAAACGTACAGCCGTAAGACCCAATTCGCCTAGCCACGCCTGTCTCCCAGCTTACTTCCGGTTCGTGACCTCTCAATTCACCCAAACTACGTTAGCGGGGCTATCAGCGACATCCAAATGCGCTATAGACGTAGCTGTTTGAGCATCTTCGCCCAATTTCCACACTTCAATAAAGTTGTTCTGTGCGTCTGAAATTGTAAAATATTCCTCGGAGAATATTGCTGGACTTATTGAATTTGAGGCGCCTCCAGACGCAGTGGTCGGAATGAGAAACAGCCGATTGTTGATTGAGCCAGTGGTGCTATCGAGCGCGAACGCAGCTACGAAACCAGGGTCGGTTGATGTTCTGGAACGGATGGTTGCGAATAGATATTTGGGGTATTTGCCTTCTTCCTGGGGGTTCGAGAACTTCACCTCATCCGACCAGTACAGGGAGCTGTTGGAGTATGCTGAATAGAAATGAGAATGATTAGCGTCTGACTGTACTTGTCGACCAAAGAGGATGCGAGTCGTACCTGTGGGAAGGAGAGAAAGGGTCTTGTTCCTTCCAGTGAGAAGTCCGCTAGTACTGTCACGATTGAACACGGCTAGTTGATTGTTCTCTTCAAGAATCACATAGACAAACGAGGCTTGCGGCGACACGACCAGGTGTCTTGGATTGCCGGAGACATTTAGTCGCTGGAGTTTTGTCACCGTGTTGGTCGCTTCATTGTAAGAATGAGTCCAAATAGAACCTCCCATGTCATCTCCAGAATAGATAAATCGGCTATCAGCGCTAAGTGCGAGGCCATGGACGCCAGAATCACTGCTATAGCTGATATTGGCTTCGACCGATTCCAATGTTCCGGAGGATCCAACTGAGATAACCTGCCCGGGACAGCCGGCTGAGTAGGGTGCACCAAAAACAGTGAAGGGAGCAGTATCTGCAGAAACGATGTAGTTGACATTGTCACCTGTGAGACGTCAGCGAATATCATTGTTGAACTACCATCGAATACGGACAGCTCTCCGAAATCGAAGTGTTCCCTTCATACAAAAGGGAATAATTTTTGCCAATCGAGTAGCTTTGGTAAGAATTACCGTCTGCGATGTAAACATTCTTTTGGCTTATCTGTAATGGCCGGTCAGCATATTTATGTTGAAGTATAGATAGACCGCCGATAGTGACATACGTCCGTCGCAATCCACTTTGAGCTTGACACGTTCAGAGTCCCGTTATAAAAAACGCTCAGTGCAGAAGACTGTTCGTTAAATTCAACCCCATACAATGAATCGCCGCTCATAAAACCAGAGTAAAAATGATGCACTTGGCCCAGTACAGGTGGAGTCAAAAGGACGCCGAGCAAGCCGAGAGCCATCATCATTTTGTGTATGCTGCCTCAAATGAACCGCGAGGTTTATTGCGAACAAGTTTTTCAAAGTTGGAGCGATAAAGCCCACCTGGGATGTTCACCTTTTCATCAATAACTCACTGAACAGTAGCAACTAACCAACTGCTGATCAAAGCTTGACCTGGTCAGCACCCTGACATCCGCGTATTGGGCTGACGTTTGCGATACACATCCAATCGATGGCGCAATAAGATCAGCATTTATGCGCATCATTTCCCGATTATCGATTTGACCAGCGAAAAGCTTTTTTGTTTTTCACATAGCCTTAATCCTCATGTCCTAAACCTTGCTGACTAGTATCTCGTTATAGTTGATTAAGTAATACGCCATTCTTCAAACGTTGATACCCAGCAACTTGACTGCACGACAGCACGCACGGAACATGTAAATACCACTTGACCAGTTGGCATCTAATCGTCCTGGAGCCGAGACATGTCAGATTTATTCCTTCACACTAAGACTCCTGTAAGCTCATGAGTCTTTGAAATTCAGGGCTGTTTGGACTTAGTTGGGTTAGCATGACGCGCAACCTTGAATTTATCTGGGCAACGCCAAGAAAGACGCGTACACACCCATGTGGGCAGGGCAGTTCCAAGGGGTGATTCTAAAAGCTGACAATCTGCACTAAGAACCTGGGATAGGAATTCGAACAACACTATCCATGCAGACGTACGCCAAATCCATCGAGCTGAAACCCGACTTTTGTGGCTCTCGCCCAGTTATGGAGTGGACTTATCACTTACGACTCAAAACCAACACGGAGCTCTCCGTCCAGAGATTGCCAAGATATGTGCCGTGAATTAGCGTCCGTTGGTTCAATTCAGACCCACTTATTAGAACTTTGCAGTCTGAACGATTAGCTAGATAAGTTAAAACCGGAGCGCGCGGCAGAGGCTGAAATACCGTGTTGCATGCCGCATATAGCTGTCGAGTCGCGGTGGAACGTGAACGCGCTATTCCTGATTCGAAGTCAGCAATTGAAAATTGAGGCATAACATGATGGAATTTTGCAATCAAGAGAAAGATCCCTGGAGGACCTCAATAGCCTCTGAGGAAGGCTGAATCGGCTTTTTTGTTGCTAGCGAAGCATTTTGAGTGCAGGAATTTGTAGGTTTAGTCTTCCTAGATAATAGAATCAAGGAAATACGCTCCAAATGGCCTTGTAACAGACTCTCCATCTTACTCTATCTCCAGTGATCTGATGTCATCAGTCAGTGGGCACGGTGCTGAGAGTAAACGGAAAAACGACTAGACTCTAGGCAGAACAAATGGAACAAACGTCACATACGCCACGAATAGTATAAAGTGATGATCTTCGCACATCAGACTCGGCTTATTCCAAGCCAAGCTCACATCTGTGATCATTTGACACAATGCGCACCCTGTTTCTTTCCCTTTTCACTATTGCTGCTGCGATCGGCAGCGTCACTGGTAAATTTTTTCTTTTCAATCCCTTCCTTTTCTACCACTAACAATACGAGAAGCCCATCCCGAACGACATGACCACGGCAGCCTAAAGCATGATCTCCATACGATCTCTCATCGTACCGACTAGTGTGCTGGTCAAATCAACGCACGTCGTGACACTGTGATTAAGAAGCGCAAAAATTATTTGAACAAGCGCGGTGCAACGCCTCCAAGTTCGTTAGCAAGTCGATACATGTACAGTGAGCTGCAGAATACGACTTGCTTGCTGGCTCCTGACACCATCTTTGGCCCCTACGATGTCAATGGAGAGCTTCATCGTCACGATGTGCGCGAGGATGAGGAGGGCATCAATCTCTATCTTGACCTGGGCCTGATTGACGTTGAGACCTGCGAGCCTTTGCCCAATGCTTGGATTACTATTTGGGTATGCGACTCTTCAGTCTCAGATTCAGAATTTTGACTCACAAGACTCACAGGCTTGCAATGCCACCGGAACTTACTCTGGATACACTGGAATTGACCCGAACACCGTCTCAGTCCTGCCTGGATGGAGCACAAGAGAAGATGGCACTACAGATGACGAGACCTTCCTGCGCGGGATTTCTAAAACCAACGATGCCGGCTTTGCTGAGTTCCTCACTGTCTTCCCCGGTTATTATGATAGCCGAACCACCCACATCCATGTGGCAGTGCAGTCAAATGTGGTCAGCGATGACACCAGTTATTCCAATGCCTCGATCCAGCACGTGGGTCAACTTTTCTTCCCGGGGGAATTGATCAATTCAGTATACCAGCTAGCACCTTACCACGCCCATTTATCGACATTGAACAGAACCTTGAATTCAGAAGACTCGGTTTATAGCGTCGCCAATGCTGATCGTTACTCTGCTATTATCTCTACTGAGCTAGTGGGTGAGATCTTAGCGGATGGTTTGATTGGGTACATCACTATTGGCGTTAACAAGAGTGCTTCTGCTATTGCTACTGTTGGCACCCAGGTCAATGTCCAAGGATACATCCCGACGGTTTCCCTTACCAGTGGAGCCCAGGCTGCTGCAAATACTAAAGACCCTCCCGAGGGCTACCGTGCCAACGGCATGAGGAAGCTCTAATTTCCATTTTCAGCGTGTTGAGCATACGAAGTGTGTAGCTATCGAGGAGCTAGTTATGGACAGTACTTAATTCATGTGGAGTTGGACTGTATTGCAGAGGAGACCCGAACGAGGCCCGAGGCTATAAAAAGGAGGGAGGAAAAGTTGGTGTCGACAATACGGCGATACATACTTTGATGTTGTGTACCGAGCGGGAACCATCCCCAAGCGGACCCACCGACAGAAGGGCCCGGAGAAAGCTTCTGTAATTACGGTGATTTCGATTTCCTTCCACAATAGTTCAATTGGCCTCGCCACGGGGTCGATGTGGTCCAGTGCCGTTTCAGACACCACGTAGGGTGCCAGCTGATTGGACAGGAGATTGGAAGCAATATATGAAACTTGATGGCTAGGCGCCAAGCGACATACCGGGCCGGCCGTTCAAGAAGCTTGTCGTGAGGAGGAAGCGTTGAGAGCGCTTCAAGGGCCTGTCTCCCAAGATCTCCCTGCTGAAGGGGATAGTGAACTTTGGACCATTTCCCGAGTGCCTGCTGATGCTGACGGCTGGCCGCGCGCTTCTTTGTTGTTCGGAGATACGCCTAATGCCGAAATATAATAGAGCCGCGAATGATTCATCTATGGGAGAGTGGCAAGCTGTGACCGCACATTACCGCACATTAACGCACATTACCACGCCGAGGTCGAGCCATGCCCAGCACGATTTCGGCGTGCTGGCCCGGGGCAGTGACAGTCAACGCATAGTGAAGATCCCAGGATCGAGTGGGCCGTTCTATCAACCGGTTGGTAGGATTTCTGACTGGTCGTGCTGGTGCCGGTCTGCCATCGAGGTGGCCGTGTGGCGACTTGGATGGGCTCGCGTTGGAAGGCGTAGGTCGGAAGCTCTGAGCGACAGCCGAAAGGCGTAAAGAATGCACCCCATTTGATAGCCATATGCAGCTCGGTAGGACTGCGTTATATTATGGAGGCGTTATCTTTCTGTGCAACGACTGACGGCAGCCAGGCAACTGAAATGACATTGTTAGCGGTAATTCCACTATACGCGAGACACGCCGTGCCCATGCCGGATAGCACCGGCTGAGGGCCCAGATCCAGGGCAATGGTAATGCTGAGGATTCTCGGGAAGTACGATTGTTGTGCGTAAGCGTTTGCTTCCCAGGGGGATGTCAGCCTAGCAGGGGGTTGTCAGGCTTGTTAAACGGTTTAACCGAGGAGTGGTTGGATCACATATGGGCTTAGTCGACCGTAACCAGGAGTGGAGTGCATAATTACGCTATATACATAAATCGAATCAAGGGCGGTGTCTACCATTCGAGGTCTCTGGTGATCAAAGTACTCCCGGTGATCAAATTGGATGGGACCGGGCGCTTCCCTTGGCGACCAAGCACCGAGTCCAAGCTCAATTAATGCCGCCGGGCTCGGGCCGAAATTGTTCGTCTTGGAACAATCAGGGTGCTCCTTTCACGACTGCTTCTGCTTAATCGAGCGCCATTCGATCAGGACACTTCCCACAATTGTAGTGCAGGCCAGTGCGACGGTCAGGTACCAGGTCCGAACCAAGCTCCGATCGATCGCAATCACAGCCTCATCCCACCGCTGCTCGGGGACTATCTTCTTAATATCACTAAGTCCATGGTACGCAATATCCGCAGGGGTCAGGCCGGACACAATGTGTCTTAAACTCTGCGATAACTCGTTCGTAAATATTACCTGCGCAATAGCAATAAACACCGCCGGCCCCATGCTCTGCCCGAACAAGATGACCCCGATGCCAAGGTTGACATCTGCGGCACTTAATGTTGCCTGTACCGCGGTTTGGGAGCCTTGAAAGCCAATGCCCCCGCTGAAGCCTGCGAATCCGGAATAGAAAATGATTTGAGCAAGGGATAAGTGGGGATTGTAAGTAGTCATCAAGCCGGCCGCAATAGGCATACAAATAGAGCCAAATATCATAAAGGGGGCATAGTATCCGAACGTGGAGGTACCGATGCCGTGTATAAAAATTCCGAGCATCATTCCAACCAGGATTGGGATCATTAGATAGCCACTTTCGCCTGGGGTCTAACCGAGGATTACATCGTTAGTGCATCTTTCCAGTAGCTGCGAACGAGTCGGTTTACCCGGGGCTTACCCGGGATTGAACGACTTGATAGTAAGTCGGCAAATACCATTCCAAGACGTTTGTCATTGAGTTAGTGCATGTTGTGTAAATGAAGCCGGCGATGACATTTCGCCTCCCAATGACGCGAAAAGGAAGCGCAGCGGAGTCTCCGCGTCGATACTGATTAAAGAAGAAGGCGATTAGTAACACACCAAATACAACAAATAACCCAATAACTTTCCCATCTGACCAGGGGTACTTCGTTCCCGCCCATGATAGTGCGATGAAGAGCGCAGTCAGAGACGGGATGAACAAGCAGTTGCTGACTAGATCTAGCGCTTTGATTTTCTGGGCCAGTGTAAGGTTATCCCCTCGACGGGTTGGTGGGTCTGATAAAAGAAAAACCATGGCCGCCAGTGATACAGCGCCAATTGGAAGGTTAATCCTAGAAAGTGGTTAGTGTGAAGCCACTCAGGTCAAGCAGAAGAGGCACACCAGAAACACCATCTCCAACCCAAAGACTGCGTTAATGCACCGCCCACTATAGGCGCAGCAACGATTGCAAGAGATTCAACGCATGTCATCAAGCCCACATACATTGGTCGCTTGTCCAGTGGCAGAATTTGAACGGCGACTGCGAAACACCCTGCCAAATTGCCCGCAAATCCAAGGCCGGTTACTGCTCTCCCAATAACGAACATCAGTGACGAAGCCGCCGTAGCACAGAGTAAAGAGCCGACAAGGTATATAACAACACTCATCAGAAAGACCCTCTTGATGGAGAAAAGCTGATATAGCTTCGCAAACCCAAACTGAAACGCGCATGTGCAGAGTCGAAAGGCGGACGAATACCATCCGACATCAGCAACCGTGTGAAAGTGATCAGTGATGCTCGGCACAGCGGTCGCAACAATATTGGCGTCGAGACCCCCAAGGACCAGGATCAAGCAGAGAGCGAGGACTGTGAACCAAAATTCTGTTCCTTTTGGGTAGTTTGGTTCCGTACGCAAGTTGGATTCGAGGTTAAGAGCTTCAATTGGTGCTGCCGCGGGTGCGGTAGATAGCGTTTGATTTTGCGATCGCGGTTGATTAGGCGATACAGGGGCCGCCTCATGCTTGGGTGAATGGTCCTTAGTGGTGGCTGGGTTCTCCATTCTGCGAGATTAGAATTGGAATTAGAAGTGGAATATGAGAGAAGAGAGGTTACGAGATCAGACAAAATAGGGTGTGATCTGATCGGTCAGCACGCATGTGATTGCCTTGTCTCCTTTCTAAACACCTCGAAGCATTCACCATAACACTGATTATTACTGCCCTTGAATATCGAATATCTGATGTCTACGGAGTAATTCACTATCGTAACTAGTATAACCTATAGGAATGAATGGCCTTTAGGAATGACGTCCGTGGCTGTTTTCTCCGCAGGCTGTGACTCGTAATATATAACCATCCGAAGGATTGGGTCCTTTTGACTTCACCAAAATTATGACAGAGACAGGGTCCATAGAAGGATAGTGTCTACAAAAGTAGGAAGCTTCAGAAGCTTCAGTAATTTTGAGAGAGCAGCACATTGACTTTTGTCAAGATTCGAGCGACGAGTCCGATAATATTATAGTTAGACTGCGCCAAAGCCCACGTTTGGGCCCAGCCATCTAGGCCTGAGCCCAACCCACAGCCCACTATGGGTCCCTATTAGGGGCCCACGAAAGCCCAACTTTACATAAAATCAAAGATACTATATAGACGCGATGTAATGGTATATAAAGTGGTAATTCTGCCAGAAGTTCACCACTCCCACACCGAGTGTACAGCTGGTATCGCTAGTTGAATCGGTGGGTCTCTACAGTTGGCGCGTTAAAGCTAAATCATTTTGGGAACCAACTGTCGACGTCAAGTAGGCAAAGAAGGTTTGGCGCGGTATAGTGGCCAAGCCCTTACACAAATATATTCTTTAACCTTCTACCCACCCCTCATGCACGGCTTTAGACCACGCTCAGAACTTTGGTTGGGGGGCGGGGCGTGGATGAAAAAGGGAGGTGTATGCCAAGGTAATAAAGTGGATACCACCAGAGTTATATGCTAATCCTAATTAGGAAGGCGGTCCTCCAACTCTGGTCTCTACAGTAATATCTAATGAAAGAAAACTGGATGGATATCGCCCATAAAAAGATGAGAGAAGAGCAAAATTTCAAAACCCTATCTTGGGATGCATACACAATATCAGTCACGTGGTGTTGTGGTGCCAATGGCTGCCTAAATTTGGGGGTGTAATATGGCCCTATTGTGGTATAGCCGCCCAGGTGAGAGATAACATGTCTTTCCAAGGCTGACTAGGAGTCTTCGAACAATCATCATTTTCCATAGCGACATGTCTTCATCCACGCTCCCAAACCTAAATGCAAAGCCTGAGCTCTTCTTCCAATCACTCAATGGCACAGGTAATGAGACAGCTCTATTGATACACGGCGGATTCGGTAGCAACAAAGAATGGGATAACGTAACACCCGCGCTCATCGAGAATGGCTACCACGTGCTTCTCCCAGACCTGCCCGCCCACGGTCAATCCGTAGCGATCCAGCCTTTCACAGTCGACTACGCAGCTCAACTAATCTTCGAGCTGATCGCCAAACATGCCCGAAATGGCAGCGCGCATATCGTAGGTCTGAGCATAGGCGCGCATGTTGCCGCCTGCGTCGCCGAGCGTGGAGGGCCTGATCATGTCCTTTCGGTCATCGCGTCGGGATACAATGTTTTCCAACCACCTCGCTTTACCGTACCGCTTTTCGCACCACCCGTCTTCTTTCTGCTACATTTGGTTAACGCCGCTACGGATCTGCGGGCAGAGTTGGCGGCTTGGCAGAATGGCGAAGCATCCTACGCGCTAATTAAGGAGATGACGAGGACGATCGTTCAATCGAGAGAAATTGGTGACATTCATATACGTCTGTTGGCGGTCGCAAGTGCATCCACTGACACTTGGTTGTCGAAGGATCGTCCTGGCAGCTCGAAAAGGCTTCTTGAAGCCGTCGTTGGCGGACGTGAGAATGGAAGTCGCGCCGTAATGCATCATAGCATCAGACATAGTTGGCATATAGAAGAGCCTGCGTTGTTTGGGGCGTTGATACTTGCGTGGATTAGGGACGAGGCATTGGATAACAAATTTAAGGACGTTGAGTAGACTATACAGAGGCAAGGTTAGCTAAGTGTTCGTTGCCTGCTAAACATACGTATCGATGAAATACTTTATGTAGCCTACACTACTCTAAACGTGTGATGGACCCAAGATCTCGGTAACAATGTGTAGACGATTAAAAAAATGAATCAATTTAAGTATAATCCCCCTCATTGTATTTAGGTAAGGATTGACTTGGCTTCACATGATGGAAGCTTTCTGAAATACTCGGAAAGAGCTTTGTCCAGTAGTTCCACACCAAAGCGGTTGCAATAGTGGTCGGCACGGCAATCACCCAGTATATCCAGATCTGGCTCGAGACGGCCCAACCTGAACCACTGTCGTAATGGAAGAATGACATGCTGAAGAGCGCGCAGATAAAAGTGGGAGGTAAAAAAGTGAGTGTAACAAAGGCAAGGGTCTTCATAGTTGCGCTGTCTGAACGAGCGGCACGGCTAATCTCAACAGTAGTGCCTGCGTCATGCTGAGCAACAACATTGAATGCTAGCTGAATTTCATTCTGCAGTCGTTTCTCGTTCGATATTGAGCGTTGTCGTGCGCTGTCAATGTAGCTTTTAAAGAATGCTAGTCTTCGAGAAACCTCTTGGTGAGCTGCTCCTGCCCTGCTATCCGTCCGAGAGCCGACGAAAACCTCGTGCTGTCTCCCAATATGCTCGATATTCTGAACTGTCACTTCGAGGGCTTCGGTTACGTGAATTGCATGGCGAGCGATATCGTGTAAGCGCCGATAATCGGGCTGTGGCTTTTGACCTGACGACAAGACCACTTTCTCCTGCTTTCGGACATGATCTCGGATGTCCCATACTGTGACATCGTCTAGACGGGCAACATCTTCCAGAATACGAGTATAAACCCAGAAGGGGTCATTCATCCGATCTGGTTCGGGACTGAAGAGCGATTTCAACATATCTTCGGATGTATCAAACAGTAGAATTCCGGTTTGATTAGTCGAGGGTAGCCATCGTGTGAAGACCTTGACCTTTGACCAATGGTATGTCATATCCATGGCTAAATGCTTAGCTTCGAAGTATGCCCAGGTATCTAGCATTTGTTTTAGCACATTTTCAATTCGGGACATTTCCGAGCAGATTTACTAAATCCAGTCACTGTGTCCCCATTATGAGTTGCCTCGCAACCGAAATACCCGTTCGCGTTGTCGATATATTTGGACCACCAAAAATGGGGCATGCAAAAGTGATTTACCAACCATTTCTGAAATTTCCCGTTCATGCTGATTTGTTCAGCGTCCACAGCTCTAGATGGATCAGCTACTTCTCTGAATACTAAGAGCTCGAAGTTTTCACGCACACGATGAAGACTTGAGTATCTTCTAAGATCATCCATGGTGGATATGACGCATTATCTGTCTGAAAGTCTTCGAGTGGTGCGTCGTGCTTTTGCCAGCCGTGGTCTGCGCTGTCAGCGACTTCCTAGAGGGGCTTTAAGCGAGCTGAGCTCGCTGAAAACCTACCTTGACGCCATTGATGAACAGATACACTGGAGTGACGATTTAAACTGCTGGTTGGAAGCATGGGGGGTCAGATATTGTTTTGTCCGGAGATCTGAGAGTTGAGTCAAGACCCCGCCCCGTCTAATATAGCTAGTGTAATGTGTGACACGGGCGATTCAGTTGCGCTAATGTACTGTGGCTGTGCACAATACTAAGCACACGCGAGTCTTCTTTTCTGAGATGAGGCCCATCTCAGACTTTGTCCGCGATCGCCTAGAGTCATCCTGGGATATTTGGTTTGATATTCTCAATTTGTAATAAGATAATACACGCTCGGAAAAAAGAAAAAAAAAGGGGTTGCTCTAGTTCTGATGAGTCAAGCGATCGTAAAATGCGCCTTTACAGAGTACTCACACTTGCAATCCTGACTTTTTGGACTGCATAGCCTCGCTAGAGCACGCGCATGATAAGTCGCTCACATTTCTGCTGGATGTTTACTAGCCAATCATCCTTTTGATCGGGACTCTATTCGCCGGTCATGAGGCTGATGGTCACTTAGCCCCGGTCCCCTCTCGGGAAGTCGCAGGGCGCCCTTGAAGATACGATCGCAGACCGTCCATTCGGTGCCCGAGACAACAAAGGACAATAGAGGGTAGCCATACTATTTCTATGGCCTTTCAAGGTTCTCGATGAGACTAGAGTGTTGGGCGCGTTTTGGGCGCATTTGAGAATAAAACCTCCGCTCATCTGAAGGGGATGGATCGGTTATAGGCATATCAAAATCTCAGTTAGATTATTGATATATGTCTTAGATGCAGAACAAGTAAATCTGGAATAGATCTAACCCAATCACGTCATGACGTCACTGTTTCCGGCCCAGTGGAGCTTTCCGCACCGACGACATCTCTTCCAATGTTGCCCCAACCTCAACTTCCTTTGCACAAGACTCATTAATTTCGCCATGTCAGACAAAGTGAAGGATGCGGTTATTGCCGAGGCCAACAGTGTCCGTGCGGCTTCCCAAGATGTTGTCAAATCCGGCGCGTATCTGTACCCGTTCAAGGTAAGTCGGCGCTCAACGAGAATGAGGATCATAGCTAGATCTAACCTCGAGCTGCGGTATTGATCAGGGCATAATCTTCTTCGCAACCCACAAAGGTCTCTGGGGTCCCTTTGCTTCCCGCGCCGGACGGACCATCAGTCTGGGGCTGGGCGTCACGACAGCCATGTTCTTCTTCACCTACGTGCCGCAGATGGCCGTAATGGCCCTCACCAGTGGCCCACTGGCTGCGGTTTCCGCTGCTATACTTGTCCTAAGTGAAAGCTCTGCGATAACCAATCTCCTCTCACGCTCCTTCCTTCTCGAAGATGCACTTCTCGACACCTTCGATGGTACCCTCATCGCCCGCAACCAGGAGCCTCTCCTCGCACAGGGGCGCCAGATCAAGCCCCAGTCTGGAGGTAGGACTGCCGCAGCGAGGCTGGGAAAGATGCTTAGTCGCCCCTTTACACGACTGAAGCCACAGGCGCTGCTACGATCGTTGATCTATTTGCCTTTGAATCTGATTCCCGTGGTTGGAACCGTGTTGTATATTGCTGTGCAAGGGAAGCGAGCTGGGCCGATGCTTCACGCACGATACTTCCAGCTCAAGGGTTGGAACTCTGAGCAACAGGGGGAATGGGTGACAAAGCATCGGGGGGCGTATACTGCGTGAGTATCTCTTTCCTATTTCAACACCATGGGCTTATGCTAACTTATTAGTAGACTTGGTATTGCATCCTTCGTCCTTGAAATGGTCCCATTTGCCTCTATCGCATTTTCTTTCACGAATACTGTTGGCGCGGCCCTGTGGGCTGCTGATATAGAGAAGGCTACAGAGTAGCGAGCGGGCTTATATAGAGAACCCCATTTTTGCAGAATCAGACAAAGAAAAGAAATGTACCAAAGGCTACATTACTATGTTTGAACGAGTCAAATCCAAAACAGCCTGAAAATCAGTTTTGCACGCCAGCTTCCACTCGGCTTCTCTGTGCGGTGTCCATCCCAAAGCTCTGCCTTGAACCGCCTTCGATCGAGCGCTATAGACCAATTAGCATTGTCTATCTATGGGTATTCGATAACCAACACGATTCAACTTACTTAGACGCAAATCCCAACTCGCGAACCTGCTGGCTCCCATTCGCAGACCACGATGTCGCTTCCTCCAACGAAACACTACGAACTCCATCGGTGGTAAGAGCTCTCAGCTCCTGACCCGCCGATGCAATGCCCTGCGAGATCTCCATCCACGTGTGTCGGCCAGTCTCCGCAAATAGCAAGCCAGTTGCTCCATAGGGCACATCTTCGTCCCCTTTGAGAACCGCGACTAAAACGATCTCAAACAGCTCTGCCAGATCTGCAATGTGCACATGATCCCACCCCCCAGCCCCGTCGCTAATGACAACCGCCTGGTCGTACTCCATTGATTGTCTCACAAGCGCTGGGATTTGGATGGAGAGCTGGTTGACGGGGCCGGTGCCGAGGCCGAAGATCGTAGGAGCCATGATTATGGTTGTCTTGATGTCGAGCTCGATACCAGTGTTGAAGACGGCCAGATCGGTTGTGCGCTGTTTGTACGCCTCCTTGGACTCGCGAACCTTCTGGTATTCGTATACACCGTCGGTGTCGAGGAGCTCGCGGGTCTCGATGTAGGTCTTGCTAATGGGGTGGTCGCCGATACTGGATGTTCCTGATGTCTGCTTTTTGTCAGATATTGAGGCTTGTGGAAGCATGTCGAGTGAAGTCTTACATGAATGAAGTGGGTTTTCTAGCCTGTTGAGCTCTCTCGGTCGTCTAGGCCTGAGATCATGGCTACTGCAGAAGCAGTGTGGAATGCGGAGGCGGTGTTGATGATTACTTGTCAAGATTTGTTATCATTTAGACCATTGGTTTGAGAGCAACTATCATACCATCATAGTTGCTTGAAATTTTCCTGATGGCATTGGTCTCATCTAGGTTTTGGAAGGTGATAACTCGAACTCCAAGATTCTCAAACAAGGCCACTCTCTCCTCTCCTCGGATGAGGACATCTATCTGAGAATTCTGTACTGTTGTATCGGAGCTAGATCTCAGCTTCATGAGAACCGATCCGCCGCTATGTGGTGAATAAGTCAGTAGAAGAAGTGGTAGCAAAGCACGATATATTTTAGGTCTTTTCTCGGGTATCCTTACATATAGCCTGTGGCTCCAGTGATCAAAATCCTTGTTGGCTGCATTCTGAGAGGCTGCGTTCTGAGAGGTGAACAAAATATTTTGAAGAAGACTTGGTAAATTGAAGACTTTATACGATCTTTAATGCCTAATGGGCTATTTATGCTCTTGATTTATCAAATCCTGGTTTTTTAATACCTCACTATGATCTCCCTTCTCCTGTTGATTTATAATCCTCCCAGAAGCATAATGGTGGGTGTAGAAATGGAAAGTAGGCAGGTTGGACCTTCCTTGTCCTCATCCAGCTCTATACACCGCCCCGAACCGGCCCCTCTGTCGCTGTCTAGCCAAAACAATCGAGCTTCGCCTGGAACAGGTGACGGGCAGATTATTACCTCAGCGAACATAGAACCCATTGAATCATTCAAAGTTTTGAGCCCCCTCAAAACTCCCAATCGATGCTTGAAGTTTTCCAAGTTGATTATTAAGCAGGTGCAACCCCGAGACCCTGGTGGCTTGGCATTCGAGGCTTGGCTGGTACACACGCATGCTGGCACTGTTAGGGAAGATCTTATTTCAGGCGATGTCGCTTGCACAGGTGCATTGGTTGGCTTCATGTCTAGGACCATATTTTGTTTATAAACTCCCATACGGCACCGGGTTTGCTTCTTAATAGATCCCGTTCTTGAACTCGACGAAGCTATACTAAATACTAAAGCAGTATTAACTGTGCACCTGTCTAAATAGATCTGACCAGAATGACAGTCTTATGATATACTATTAGGCAACCTATAGGTGTATGGAGCGCTCTACAGCTCCCCTGAGAAGAAAATCTCAAGGGGCCTCTATACTTTATTCTTCAGCTCTTTCTCGACCTCTTTCAGCCCACCTCATCGCCATTTCTTAGACCTCTTCCAAGGAATCCCTATGAATGTCCTTCAATTCCTCCGGTGGAATTAGATACTGCCGCCTATTTGGAACATTTGTGTTATATTCGTGGTCCGGCTGTATATATGTGCAGGCGATGAATCAGATTTCAGGTAAGTAGGGGCCTACTTACCACATTTTGTTGGTCTGACTAGGTAGGAATTATAACATTTGACGCATATAATGTTGCAATATTGAAACGTTGTTGCTTCCAGAATCATGTATAATCGCTGCACATATGGCGTCGCGTCCCGGTGACGTTTCCACAGCGGCGTCTTTTTTACCTTTGGCAATTCACCATAATGGACCACTCATTTTCCATGTTTCCATCCCGAGGTCTTGGAGCCCTACAGGGCTGCCCAGATGGAGCTCTTATAATAATACCTTCCCGCGTGGCTTTTCAAATAGAATTCTACCCTGAACCACGGCCAGAAAAGGTGGATATATATTCAGTGCTAATGGTAGCATATCCCCACGACCCACCGGGGCACGTACATAGACACATCACCAGTGCCCACCTGAGCAGGCCACTCGGACTCGAGCCTAGAATAGAATGATCAAACCGACAGAGGCAATACCAGTATAAGGCTGAGACACGTAAGATCTGATAGAATAGACAAACCCTGCGACCGTCTAGAACCCACCACCGGGGCCCAATGGTCCAGCCACAAAACTCGTTCTAGACTAGAACCAGAACCAGACAGGCCAGCCATGACGTGCGATTCTGGGTCCGATCGCACAATGAGAAAACCCTGGAGAGCCTCCACATGAGATACGTGTTTGACATTTTTTGACAGGGCAGATGCAGACGGTCCAGACCACTGCAATCTCCACTTGTCCACCTTTTTTCCCAGGCCATAACAGAATCACGTGATCTTATGCATCATAGTTGATGACATAATACGGGAAATCCATGGGCTTGGGTGGAGACGATATCTCAGACAGATCAGGAACAGGTCTAGCGCGGTGCCTCGTCCGTGGTCCCGCTGATGATCCTGTATTATTGTTTTTTTGAGGGGTTCATTTCGCCTGTTGTGTCCCTTATATTCTTGGCTAGGGTTGCCCCTGCTATCTGGGTAGCATATTATGGGATCGCCCTGGCGTGCTGAAGTCAGCGTGACTTGAGAAATGCCAGCCTAATGGCGCCGTTGTCGCACGAAACAAAGAAAATGGAGCTAATAGTCCTGGAATAGCTATATATAACCACGGGGCTTTTGCAGAGCCACCACTTGCATTGTTTACTATTTTAGCTTCTTCGCATTGACTTCGAAGGGTTTCCACGTATCTACCTACCTTGCAAAGGCTCCCGAGTAGTTGACTATGGATAGGACCGAGCTTAAGCTCAACGTCCATGTTTACCTTGACACGGTAATGAGAGGAACATAATACCGCATTGCGCAATGCAACGGATGCAGAAGCATGTGCACATGCGCATTGCAGACTGAGCCACACGAGATCGCGAGATCTTGTCACAGGACCCCCACAACAATGCCAAACACAGGAATGTTAAAGTGACGATGAGAGGGGAAAGAGGGGAAGGCGTGCCAGTTGCCCCTTCATTCCGATCGGCTGTCACTAGACCTACACGTGGTACCGGCAGAATAAAAAGTCTGTAATCTTACAGTGTAGATCGGTGTGGTGTGCAAGTAAATTCAGCTAGTCAATAGTCTGTAACATGGTGATCCATCCTATCTACTACTGAATCCTGGTCTCAGCCCTCTTCTTGTTTTTGAGACAGGAGTGTGTAACCTGGTATGTAAACCAAATTGCTTTCACCAATTTCCCACCGACAAGCCATGCAGGATGACGACGAACCGAAGCAGTTAGGTCGTGGCTGAGCCCGCTTCAAATACCCAACACTAACATCAACACCACTCTGCGTAGGGCGAGGGGACGGCCCCAGAGAAAACGAAGGCAAAACTTGAGCGGCTAGCGCAAAGGCACGCTCATAGGATCTTTTTGTTGATCGCTTGCCCGAAGAGGCCAGGCGAGCGAGACTGGCGCCGCAGGGCAAGCCACTAAGACCTTAAGGAGGCTAGCGGGCCCGCGAAGGCTGGCGAAATCCCCGTGAAATATGGTGGTATTGCGCAGGCTCGGGAAGGACCATGGTCAGTGTACCTGCCTTTGCCCACGCACTTTCTCACTCCTGGAGCCACGCCCAGGAACGCGCAAGTGGTTGCGGCCCCACTGCGACGACGCCGTCGGTCTGGCCCACGGACGGACTGGACTATCCTACAAGCCCGCTGATTGTGATGTGCACTCGGCGTTGAGGCCCCGGGGACTGATCATGCAGATCCATCCATCTTGGGTTCAGGAGAACAGACTGAAAATCCAGATCTTCCCATCCTCGCCCATGCTCTTCCGTTATCTTGCTCATTTGTTTCACTGGTGCGTGCATTACCCACAGACCTGGAGATGATCCGATCGATCCTAGGAAACTGCCGATCGGGATATGAGTTGGTCGCTAGTCGTACAGAGGGCAATAACGGGGTAACGGTGGGAAGAGGCATCTAAGCTCCGGATTCCTGCATGGCCGCTAGTACCTGTGTCGCGGGATAGGGGAGCCGACCGGAGCGGTACCTGGATTGGGAGATCGAGATGGGAGACAGGGTTGAAATACTAGATATTAGCTATGAGTCCTACTTTCTATCAAGCGATAGCTGACCTGAGGAAGTGAACCAAACTCGGACCTGTAACAACACTAACTCGACATAACCAGGGACCAGCAAAGACAGGCAAAAACAGGCTCAAGAGAAAAGTGCGTGTCAATACAGAGAGGGAACAACAAGGGTTGGCAACAAAGTAGATAATTTACCGTAATTTACGGGTGGGTGTTTCACACGTGTTCCACCGCCCCCATTTCCCATTTCCCCTTTGGCCTCCCCTAACAGTATCCTCACACTTCATTCACCTTATTCACTCCTTTCTCTCCTTGTATGCTGCGTCGTCGACGATTTTCGGGTTGACCTGGGTCCTTGTCAATTTCACCCCTTACCGGTCACCTTTCGTCTCGTTTCTCTTTCATCGACTCGTTGCCCGGCCACTTTCTGCCTTAAGGCTGTCACTCCCTTACAGAACCACATTCGCTTTTCCATTCGGGTCGTTTCACTCGTTGTCGACCCCTTCCATTCGTTTATCGTGCTCGATTCGCCTGTTTCACCCTCCGTTGCCTAGACGCCCGGTCTACCTGCTGTTGCGACTGCGTCCCAATAGCTCGAGATATCCCGCATTTCTTGGACTTGGAATTTGATATCGGACGATTGTTTAAGCGCAATCGCGATTTTACACGAGGTGTTGACAGACGAGACCCATTACCCTCGTTCTGTACTCTCAAAGCATTCGGACGCCATTTGAATTTCCAGCACAGGATCGACCAACATGCGTCTTGGATCTTTGTCGCTCCTCACGGCCTTCGCCATTGGAGGCCTGCAGCTTGTCGCAGCTGAGGATGATACTCACGTCGAACGCCCCCGCTACTACTTCCCTCGCGAGGTGAAGCGCGTTGTTCGCAACTACACCCATCCCGACCCCGACCCCGAAACGGACACCAACCCACTCGGCTCGCTCCTCAGCAGCGCTGAGAACATTCTGGGTGGAACTGCTACTTCTTCGGAGGCTGCTGCATCCACAGCAGCTGCCTCATCTTCGGACTCCGGAAAAGAAGTTGTTGTGGTTGTTTCCATTGATGCAGATGGCCACCGTCACACTCTGACCACGACCACCCGTACCGCCCAACCGACTGACAAGGTTACCACGTCTACTACGTCCGAGAGCCCCGATTTGAAAGCCTCTGCCGCCACGACGACTGATGGCGCTTCCACCAACAAGGCTGACACCACCTCGGCTAGCACCGATTCCTTGGCCAGCACCGACTCCTCGGCCACCAAGGCCACTACCGCCGCCTCTACTGCCTCCACCGACGGAAGCCTCTTAGGAAGTGTCGGTGACACTCTCGGCAGCGTTGTGAGCGGCGTTGGAAGTGCTTTGAGTAGCGTCGGTGTTGCGCCCGCGGCCACTTCTACTTCTTCTGATGCCACCTCAACTGATGCCACCTCAACTGACGCGACCTCAACTGACGCGACCTCAACTGACGCAGCCATTATTATGGGCTCTAGCTCCGGGTCGACTCCGCTTGTGACTGCCTCAACCACCGCTTCTCCTGCGACAACTACTGATGCTGGACTCTTGGGTGACCTTGGTAGTGTTTTGAAGACCGTTGGTAGCGGTGTTGACACTCTTTTGGGCGGTGGCTCGAACACCACTTCTACCAAAGACTCCACTGCTCTGGTGTCCAAGACGTCCTCTATCGCTTCTGCTTCCGCTTCCGAGACTTCGACCGCTTCCTCAGGTAATGTGCTCGGTAGTCTCATCAGTGATCTCGGCCTTGGTGGCTCCACCTCCGCTTCCCCCAATGCTACTGCCTCGAACGGCTTGTCTGCCATTCCCGTTAGTGTTCCTGCGTCAACCACCGCTTCGCCGACTGCTACTGCTTCCTCGGATCCTCTTGCCTCCCTCGCAAGCAGTCTCGGACTCGGCGGACTTGTTAACAGTACCGAGACCAGCGGCACCGGCATTGGCTTGATCCCCACCCCCGTGGCTCCCGCTAGCAGCCCGGTCAAGTCGACTGCCATCACTGGAACTCCCACTGCCATCACTGGCACTCCTACTGCTGGTGCTGGAACCGGTTCTGGTACCATCACTAACAGCGTGGGCACTATTCCTACTCCTCACAACTCGGGGGGCTCTGGCTCTGGTATCGCGTCTAGCACTGTCTCTGGCTCTGGAGCCGTCCCTACCCCTACTGGTAGCGCCCACGAGAGCGCCAAGGCCACTACTTCTGCTTCCACCCCTGTTGTTGTCATCCCCGTTTCGACAACCAGCTCGACCGAGGCTACGGCGACCCAGACCGCCACGCAGCAGGCTTCAAGCAACACCAATGACTGGATGCCATCCAGCATTCTTGTTATGCCCACCGTTACGCCCTCTGAGACTACCAGCACCGGTACCAACTCCCAGGAGACCGCTGCACCAACCGAGCTTCCTGGCTCGATCACTCCGTCGACCAGTGTCAGCGAGGCTCCCTCTGACTCCATGCTGCTCCAGCTTGGATTCGACAGTCATCTTCCCTGGTCGTTCGTCGCTACCACTCCTCTGTCTTCTTCTCAGATCTTCGAGTACATCCCTATGGCCCTGAAGCACGCCATGCCCAATGCCGATGAGACTATGTTCGCCCTCGAGCCTTATTACTCGTGGCAGACTACTGGTTACAACGCCACCCTGGCTATCTTCTACTTCCCTCGTTCCAAGCTGGAGGCGCTGAAGACAATGAAGCTTAACCCCAACTCTGCCCTCTACAATTCTGACAGTGAGGCTGTTAAGACTATCATGGCCATGATTGATCCCTCGATTCCCCTTGAGTTCACCGGCAACTACCCTACCGACACCGGCAGCTCAAACACCGGCAGCACTGGCAGCACTGAAGGCAACACCGATGGTGGCAACACCGACAACGGGAGCGACGGTTCCGCCTCCAGCTCCAGCACCAAGGCCAGCTCCGTTGGCATCGGTGTGGGTGTTGTGGCTGGTGCCGCCGCCTACGGTGCCGGTATGTTCTGGGTCGCCCGCCGTTACCGCAAGAGAAAGCAGCTTCACCAGCGCTCTCCCTCAACCGTCGACCAGATGAGCCAAGGCTCCAACGCCGGCTCCGTCTTCGGCGCCGGTGGCCGTACCTCCAGCCAGCGCTCGCAGATGATCAGTGCCCCGGTGATGGCCGAGAACTCTCTGGGCTGGAACTAGACTCGACTGTGACTTGAAGATAGAAAACGCCTTTCCCCCGTCTCCTCAGCTTGCAATTGCCATTGACAGTTGGGCACATTGCCATCCCACCTGTCGCCAACCCGGCCCAACCTTGCGGATGGAGATTGCACAAAACATTCCTTTCATTGTTCATCTCATCACCCTGATTCGAACTATGTCAATATCACGTACATTTACATTTCCTGGCCATTTCACCCCCATTTCCCTTCTCGACCTTTCCAAGCGACGCAACTCCGTCCTTTGGATCTTGTCTTTTTTTCTTTTTGGAATATTCCCCCTTTTGTCTCAATTACCTTTCTTTTTTTTTTTCCTATGGCACTGTGACATCTGAATGAGAACGACCCTTAATTGCTGCCTCTGCCATCTGAAAATCTTAACCTTTTTACTGGTCATACTTTTTTTCGGCCTTTGCACATCCCTAATGGGTTGGGTGGCCTGGATCCTTGATGAGCCGACGCTATGCCCCTTTCCCGATTTCATTTTTCCTTGTCTGAATCTGAGCCTGAACTTGAACTACCTTCTAAGGTTCAACTGTTCAATACCTCTCTGTCTTTGTATTTTTTTGGTTCGTGTGGTTTTTGTACAGAAGTGTGCTCGGAGCCGCGGCGAGTAGTCATCACTAAGTGAATGAGAGGTGTAGATTTCCTACTTATTTTGTTTTATTGTGGATGTAGATGTAGATGTTTACTTTTTCTTGGAAGGGTTCCTCACGAGATGCTCTGCTTGGTTCCATGGTTGTCTCGACGGCCCGTCGGCAACCTTGGAAGGGATGGCCACTCAGGTGATAACTAAACCTACACCAATCGTACTTGGAAGCTATGGCTTAATGCAAAATTCAACCGAACGTCTAGGAATTGCTAACATCGATATTCAAGATCTAACATCTGATTGAATTTCCATCCGGTCTCGATGAAAACGAGGTTCTCAATAAAAAAAGAAAAGAAAATGGATATCGATGTATGAATCAAGAGAGGAAATAGATATATACAAGAAAAGACAGGAGAGATATAACAACCACGAAAAAAAAAAAAAAAAAAGAAACCAAGAAAGGAGATGCCCCGAAATGCATCACATCAGGATCGGCTTAATTCAATCCTTCTTGTCTTTTCCCGAGCCAGACAAGCTCCCCAACCAACTCGAAACAGAAGACCCACCCGCCTGCTGTCTGAGCTCGCGCGCCTTTTCACGCTCATTCTTATATTCTTCCCAGGACAGCCGAGCCGCCAAAGGAGTGGTGCCTTGTTCGTCAGGACGGTGGTGGGCATGGTGGGGCAGAGGACGAACGGCGTCTTCGCCGCCATAGATACGCAGTGCAGTGCCGAATGCCCAGTCGACAGCTTCTTCAACGGGTTTGTCAAAGAGATAAGGCAAAGACGGGACGACCGCGAGACCGAGCTAGAGGCAATATTAGCATCCCATACTCTCAAAGCGCGGACGCAAGTGCAAAGAGAAAAGGAAAAGAAAAAAAAAAAGAAGAGAGAAAACATACCCCAATAGGCAACCAAGTACGCACAAGCGTACTCTTCGCCCCCTTCACCATCGTTCCGGAATACCTCACCAGACTATGAATAGTAAACGCCGGCAACCCCATACTAGCAATACCCTGGAACAAAGCGCGCTTCGCCATAACCATGCGATAATCCTCCGCTAGCGAAATTTCCGTCGTAGACCACGGCGTAAGCTCCTTTTCTTTCTCCCCGCTCACGCTCTCGCCCAATGGACCCGCGATATTCCCCGTAGCCATACCGCGAATAATTTGGTCCTGCGGAAGCTCGCTAGCATCCTTATACGTCTCGCCGGGCGGCACGAGCGCGCGCCGGTTGCGCAGGTATGCCTTGTAGCCTTCATGGCTTACGTCGCCAATTAGGTAGGCCCAGGAGATTCCGTAGGCGGAGCGGACGAGCCAAGGGTGCGCGACTGGGCGGAAGGATTCGCCTATGTCGGAGGTGTAGGCGACATAGCGGTGGGCGGAGAGGAGGATTGTGCGGATGCGGTTGGCGTAGGCGGCGTAGCGGTAGGGGGTGTCGGTTGAGTCGACGGAGCTGGAGTCAGAGGAGGACATGGTTAGTTTGCGGTTTTGCTTTAATGACTGTGGTGACTCTGTGACTCTGGCTCTGTGGCTCTGTGACTCTTGAGGCTGGTTTCCTTTGCAGTGTACGTCATTGGCAGACAATGCGCCGGGAAGTGGAGTCGGGCTGTGCGGGAAACGACAGAGTTGATTCCAGGTCTTGCGCCGGGTTTCGGGGGAGAGGGGGAAGGTTGGGAAATTGCAAATCGGGAAATCGGGGAATCGCCATGGTTTGGTGCGGGAGTTGCGCACGTACTAGGGAGAGTAGAGGTCGTCGTAGAAGTCTTCTTCTTCGTCGACTAGCTGTTGCAGCTTTGCGGGGAGCTTCTCTCGCGTCACCGGCTGGTCATTGAGCGTGGGAGCTGGAGTGTCTTTCTGGCGAATCCCCCAGACCATCGTGATCGTGTGATCGTGAAAATAAGGAATAAAGTGTATAGAGAATATTGGAGTAAAGAGAAGACCGAGGGGCTCCCAGATGGGCGTTCGCTGAAATGCAAAGCAAGGGAGGGAAGTGCAAAAATGCAGCAAGTCCAAGGGTCAAAAAGGACAAATGGTCAAATGGCCCGAAATCATAAGATCGGACCAAGACCAGGCACTTAAATGGGTGAATAAAACCCGCGCGTGGCAGCCGAGAAGGTGCATAGCCGGGGTATACAGCGTTCCCTGGAATACTTCACTTTTCCTCCGAGGTTCTATTGCGGCTGTCCATTCAACCCGGTTATGGCATCCGTAACAACTATACTCTATACTCTTTACTGAAATTCACCTGGATGAGTTCCTGCCACTTCATTGCCCTCTCCTCCACAACAATTCAAATGCAACCTGCAACCTTCAACCACTTAGGCGCCTTCCTCTTCCCCGGCGCTCGTGACGACTTTCCCGAATGGGTCACATGACTCGGATTAACTCGGGAGATGATATGACTGAGCGGCAGCTGAGTCATCTGATACATGCACTAGCCGAATGAGGAAAGGCGGTCTTTTGAGCCGACTTCGTCCTCACTCCGAGCCTGAGGATTCCGCTTCCACATCGCTTTTGACCTCCAGCTCCTCTCCCATCTCACTCCCTCAAGATGGTCGTCTACTACCAGATCGCCGGCAAGAAGGTCGGCTCCCACGTCGTAAGTGCTCGATCGACCCCGGAACCATCGGCCGCGCTCCCTCAGTCATCCCTTTTTGCGTCCCGGCTACACATGGACCCAGGAAACTAATCGGACCTTTCCCCATTGATCTAGCTCTCCATGGCTGTCCTCGGCTCCATGTTCGCCGGCTCTTACCTCGCCCTGAGCGGTGGCTCCAAGCCCAAGACCGCCGCTGGTCCCCCGATCAACGCTTCTTCCAAGGAAGAGGGTGACTTCATCCAGTACGTGACCCTGAACGAAACATCGACTTGATTTGATCTATCGCATTGAATGAAGCGAATGGAAGTTTACGTTCGCGTTGGGGTTGATCAATGCTAACAAATATCAGAAATTTCCTGAAGGAGGTCGACGGCGACAAGAAGTCGGAGAAGCACTAAATTCCTCCCCGAATGGATTATATCGATGGACCGACCGTGAAACGTGAAATAACGTGATGCATTGAGTCGACCATTTTATTCGTCTGTCGCTTCCATGAAAGGACTACGAGATTGTTGGATTCCGTGGCGATGAAGCTGGCGGACGATTTCGGAAGTCGGGGGTGGATTTCGTGGATCTGTACATAAGAGGCGTGTACGCTGCATAGGACAATTTCGTGTTTCTTCTGACTTTGGTCTAATTTTTGGGGATCCTGAGGGGTTCTCGGAGCTGCGCTCATCTGAATGGGGAGTGCTGAGGGCCCAGGGCTGTCTTGTCTGTTGCTCTCCCTGGTCCATCACGGTCCCTTTAAAGGACTTGATTACCTGGATTGTGATCTGCGATACTGTCAGTCGCATTCCAGGAAAGCTGATGGGGTCTCCATGTAGCTTGTAGAGCTCCGCTGAAGCACCGTAGTACTACAGAATAGAGACTAGGATCCTAGCTCCACTGTGCACATTCGCATAGGACGGATGATCGGATTGAATCTTTAAGCTTATTACCCAGTCGCATCTTCCAGATAACACAAGCTATCAAGTTCTTCCCCGCAGTCAATCAGCTAAAACGTGCGATCCCGCGCAACGTGACCACACCAAGAATATTAACCTCCAACCGCGCCCTCAATTCCACACTCCTCCGCCCCCCTTTCCAAAACTCACGTCAAAATGAAACCTTTACCATTCCCCCTTCCCCTCCGCATCGGCACAGACATAGTCCACACTCCCCGAATATCCCGCCTCCTCAACCGCGCCGACTACCTAACGCGCTTCACCCGGCGCATCCTCGACCCCCAAGAACAAGCCGACTTCACAACGCGCTTCAAAGAAACCCTCGCACTACATGGCACTTCCACCAATCCACCAATCACGGCTGACATGACGCGCTGGTTAGCTGGTCGGTTCGCGGCGAAAGAAGCTGCGCGCAAAGCTGCGCCCGAAGGCGCGGCCGAGATTGGATGGAAGGATGTGGTTGTTAGGGCGCAAGGGGGTATTGGAAATAAGGAGGATAAGAGCTCGATTCCGGAGATTGTGTATTGGCCTGAGGGGAGAAGTGGGAACCCGGGAAGTGTGGGGAGGCTTTCAATTTCGCATGATGGGGAGTATGCCTTTGCTACGGTGCTGGCGTGGACTGGAGATGTGCATTCGCATTCGCATCCGCAGCTGAAAGGGAAGGAGGAGAAGGGGAAGGAGAAGAAACACAAAGGTCCGAAGATGGAAGACAATGAAGACCCGGGCAAATGAAGCATGAAATGGGAGAAGGACTGAGAAGACGCGGAATGGGCCCGAACTGAAAAAAAAAAAAACAGTCTGGAGGAGAAGCAGGCGTAGATAGACGCCCTGGGGAGGATTAAAAGGGATTCTCTTCAAAAGAGCTGGATCTCTTCGATGGTAGATGCGTTCCAGAGGTGAAGATGCTCCTTTGCTCCTTGCGGGCCAACGCACTCAATGCCTACTGTAAATGTACAACCCAATTGAAACTATAGTACTGTTGAATCAATTGAATCGTAGAATGCAAAATGTAAGCACATGTGAAGCTTGGATCAATCTCACCTCGGAGCATTTTAAGAGCGGAAATCCTTATCGGACTCTATCGCCATCTTCCCCTCGATCATCCAATCCCTCACCAACACTGAAAAGTACTTGAGGCGAAAAAGTAAGTCCAACTAAGTGTGCATTCTGTAATAAGGATCTCTTCTATTACCCTACCTCAGGTCCCATCCCAGACGCCTCCAACCCTCGATTACTAACAGTAACTCAGACACCACCATGCCATTCTCCCATCACAGCCATTCAGGGCAATTCTGCCCAGGCCACGCTCAAGACTCTCTTGAAGATGTGATCCAAGCGGCCATCTCCAAGAAGATGCAAGTCTTCTGCCTAACAGAGCACATGCCCCGCGCCAAAGAAGACTTCTATCCGGAAGAGGTAACCCACCCCCAACCCAACCTCCAAATCAACTCGTCATCTCGTCATCTTCAATCTAACCACCTCAAACAGGTCGAATCAGGCCAAACTGAAGAATGGCACTTTACCAACGAAGCAGCCTACTGGACAGAAGCCGTCCGCCTCCGCACCAAGTATGCCGCTCAGATCCAGATCATCATTGGCTTCGAATGCGAATGGATCCGGCCCGAGTCCAAGTCTCTAATCGAGCGCTCACTGTCCCGCTTCCCATTCGAGTTCTTCATCGGTAGCTTGCACCACATGCACACAATGCCGATTGACTATGATCGGGAAATGTACGAGAAAGCGCGCGATCTCGCGGGTGGTTCGGATCTGCGACTTTTCGAGGATTACTTTGATGCGCAGCTTGATATGCTGCAGGAGCTTAAGCCGCTGGTGGTGGGGCATTTTGATCTTATTAGGTTGAAGAGTGATGATATGGAGAGAAGCTTTAAGAGCTGGGAGGGGGTTTGGGCGAGGATTCTCAGGAATTTGGACTTTATTGCGGGGTATGGTGGGATGCTGGAGATTAACGGGGCTGCGCTGAGGAAGGGCATGAGTGAGCCTTATCCTAAGGCTGAGATTTGCAAGGTATGTTTTTGTTGATGTTGATGTTGATGTTGATGGTCATGTTGATGTTCATGTTCTTGGCTGTCTTGTTTCTGGTTATGGAGTAGGGCTAATACGAGTGGTCTAGGAATTCGTGGCTCGTGGTGGCCGCTTCTGTCTATCGGATGACAGTCATGGCGTGGATCAAATCAGCTTGAACTTCCACAAAGTTCTGGAGTTCCTGGACGTTGCTGGTATTGAGACCCTGCATTATCTGAAGCTGGCGGAGCCATCGGGGACAGTGCCCGACGCTCGGTTCCCGCGCACACATATTGCTGCTATCTCTGTGGAGGATGTGAAGAAGACGGCATTCTTCAAGGTTGAATAGTGCGTGCATAGTTGTAGATGATTCGATATACATAGTCGAGGTAGAACCATAATTGACGAATCAATCTACCTCTGATCTGCATAGTCTACGGAAAATAACGGTCGACAGTTCCGGAGACCCCTCCTCCGTCAGGGTGCGGCCTCGGAAGCACGGGGCAGGCTTTGATCGCGGGTGTTCTGGAACGCCCTGTAGCGGATCTAGGAGCTATAGAAACATTCCAATCAATTGACCGTACAAAGCCACGGTGGCACTAGATCAGACAACCCGCTTAGGAAGCTCCCCGAGCTATCCCCCACCTAGATAGCGAAAGCATCAGAGCAGGCTCCCGGGAATTCCCAACAGAGACAAATGGAGAACCAGACATTAACCCTCGCCACACGAAAAGGCGTCAATCAGACTCTAGGGATCGACATGAAATGTGGCCCGTAAGCATAGGTGCTAAGCCCCGGTACAGAAAGGAAGAAGGTGGAAAGTGCATTACGTCGGGAAACCCCACTCGGAGGAAAGTGGATAAAATCACAGCTGCCCCTCGTTTTTCACCATCACCATCCCCCTCCATCAACACAACACATCTATCAAAATGGGCGTCGAGAAGACTACTCTTTCCCCCGGTGACGGTGTCACCTTCCCCAAGAAGGGCGACAATGTCGCTCTCCACTACACTGGCTGTGTGTATGACGCCAGCAAGGCTGACAACCACTTCATGGGCGACAAGTAAGACACCTCCTATCCTGCATTTCTGCGGATACTAACACTCAATCAAATAGGTTCGACAGCTCCCGTGACCGTGGCACCCCTCTCGCTACCCCCATCGGTGTCGGCCGTCTCATCCAGGGTATGTGGAAGCTCGAGGAACCAGACGATAAACGACACTAGGTTCTCATCAGAATTGTTTGCTGACGTGTGATGAACAGGCTGGGACCAGGGTGTCCCCCAGATGAGTCTGGGCGAGCGCGCTATCCTGACCATCAGCAGGTGAGTTAAATATCAACTGTCATCATTGAGTCCCTCAATGCTAACCTTCATCACAGCGACTTCGGTTATGGTTCCCGGTACGTAACATGCTATCCGAGCTCTCACGAACCTTCCAAGCTCCAGCCTTGAACCCCAGACACACCTCTATACATATTTACAGCACTGGACGTGATTCAAGTACTAATTACCTCACAGCGGCTTCCCCGGTTTGATCCCTGCCAACTCTGACCTCGTCTTGTAAGCCCCTCAGATCCCATTTCAGCTACACACCGCTAACCCCGTTATAGCGATGTCGAGCTCGTCAGCATCAACGGCCAGAAGGCCAACTAGATTGCTACCATTATCTCTTTGCATTGAGTCGACGCGGAGCTCGGATTCCGTCTCCGTGCCGAACTGGTGGAATAGTCTTATCAATAAAAGTTGAGCCGCTGCTCTCCATGTCTTCGACTCTGAATTTTGAGGAGAAGCATGAGAGATGCTGTCGCACCAGTCATTGGTTTTTTTTACGTAGGCCCTTACATATGGGTTGTAAGTTTCTTGGAACTTGTTCTCACGGAGCTCATTGCTACTCTACCATGCAATCCTAGCTACTGTTTCCATATCATCGAGCGATACTATTGATAACATCAATTCCGGTCGCGCGATACGTATCATCCTCGATATAGCTGTCCTTGCGTGGAAGGCGGAAGACGAAGTTCGTTATCTTGGAGGAATATTCCGGCCATTGGGGAACGTGCGATACTAGAGTCGTCAATACATGTACCATCCGAAAGACGCAAAGGATCAACCTCAAAGACTCACCTCCATGGCCATTCGGATCCAAATTCGTCACAAAAGAAGTCCACATTCTCGCCGCCAATTGCCCCAATTCCAATCTCGTCGGATCGGATCCGAGTGCTGTGATATTCTGCACCGGGTTCGCGAAGACGAACGGGATCTACAAAGTCAACTCATCAGCATCGTCCTACAAGGTCAACCGTCTCAGAATTCAATGTATGAACACACCTCTGCGAAATGCTGCACTCCAATCGTCGTGCTAGTATTCAGCGCCGCGACATCCCATCGATACGAATATACATTCTCGAATTTAGCCATGGTGTCCGCTAGCATCCGGCGCGGCGCGAACATCGCCAGATCACCCGCTATGGATTCATAGCGTTTATACTGCAGTCCTAGGGACGGCCAGGTAGTATTGCCCCACCCGTAGGGACACCCTAGGGCCGGGATATTGGGATACTGTGAGAGAATCTCGGTAGCTTCAGTACGGTCGAGGACCCAGCGTTTAGACACTTTTTCTCCATTAGCCGTTCATGTTGAGTCCATATGACGAGGAAGAGGTACATACAAGTCAATTGCTCGATACACTCCTCACCCGTATTCGTCCCTGTCGTACCGAAACTAGTTCCTTCGTCTGTATTCGTTCCTAATAGAATAGGCACTTTGGCGAGCTTCCCTTCTTTATAGCTGATCTGGGGATATTGGGAGATGAAGATGTTGTCGATTGTGGCGAACCACTCTAGACCCTCGTAGGCCACGTTATAGATTGTCGAGTAGGGGAGGTCGCGGAGGCATTGTAAGGTGTTTGTGGCGTTTGTGCAGCTGGACTCGGTTTAGATATAAGATCGGGGATTCGTGGAGATGGTTAGACATACCCTGCGCGCTCGATGAGTCGGTCGTACATTGGTTGATGCCATGAGGTGCCGTTGTATGGGGGCCCGACGGCGTTGCCGGATTCCATGATTGCTGGTACAAGAATTTAGCTATATATGGAATTTTTCCGTTTTAAGTGTGCCTAGGTTCGTACCAGCTCTGAAGAGACCTTCATTATCTCCGCCGTTTGTCACGAGGTGAGCGCCAACGCTGTAGGCGCCTCTAGAAAGCCAGACATTGGACATTAGTTAAATCTCAGGTTGGAGGTAAAAAGAACTTCTACTTACGCAGACTCGCCCCAGATGGTGATCCGATCCGGGTCGCCGCCAAATGCCTCGATATGCTTCTTCACCCAATGCATAGCCGTACGTTGATCCCTTAGGGCGAGATTGGTATTTCCCTCGGCCTGTAGAGTCAACTCCCTGCAAAGATCCCAGAGTGAGCAGACAACTTACACGCACTTCCTCTGAATCCAAGAACCCAAATGCAGCCATGCGATAATTAATGGACACACCAAGCACTGGTTTACCATTTAAGGCACCCTGTTGAATGATATAGCTCATATTGTACCTAAACACTCAAATTTCTCCCAGTTAGCCAATTTCCCCCCCCCCCCTTAATCCGAGTGTAATATAGAAGCAAAAACAAAACATACCTCGGATCAGCAGTCGCCCCCCTGCTGCCACCCACCCCCATAAATCCACAACATAACCGGCAATCTCTCCCCACTCCCCCTAGGGCGAATTATATTCAAATTCAGACAATCCTCATCCAACCGAGCCAAGCCTTGATTAACAAGAGTTGTCGTATCAGATCCATATGCTGGGCAGTCATATCCGTATTCTGATGCGTTGTAGTACACATGATTATAAGACGTGAACCCTCCGACTGAAAGATCATAGGCTCCGGAGTTACTATCGTTGGAGGCATATGTGGTTTTGAGTGAGGATGGTGTGAAGCGGGTTGGTTTGTCGGCGTATTTTATGCCAAGGAAGAGGTCTTGGTTAAATTCGGGCAAGGTTCTACCAATGAAGACTGTCTTTGATAGAGTTGCTGTTGGGGGGTTGGTGGTTGTTTTTGAGAGAGGGGTGGAATGGGCGAGGGTGGCTAAGACGCATATGGGTAAGAGGAGCATTGTCGGTTTTTTGCAATTAAATTTTTTTAGGGAGCTGGATATATCTGCTGGGAATGAGTTCAAGTTGTTTCAACGCTGAGTCTATAAGCAGAACGAATGTATGACTATGGATCTTGGGGCAACATGGTTTCTTATACTACATGTTACCCCTCTTACCTTCTTATGGAAGGAGGATCACAACAGGTACATTCCATCTCGGAGACTAGTCTTAAGAAGATAGCTCCCCGCAGTATGCTTGGCTCTGCATAGAGGAACAGGCTCAAGTGGTGTTGACGAGCGCGCTCATAGGTGGGAAAATCTCGGGGTAAACGCGGAAAAAGGGTTCGATCTGCAGACACTGCTGGTTCATGCATTGAAACCTGGACATTTTAAAGCGTACTTGACGCACCGTACACATACTGGTCGCTGTAGTTTGCACGTTAACTGTAAATAAGTGGCCGCCACTATCCGTATGACCTTAGGGTCAGGGGGGATGGTATCACGCTTGAGGCTTGTCAAGGCAGAAGCGGTGGCTAGCTAGGGTACAAGCGGTCAAGGGGAGTGAAAGCTTGGTTCTGCTACATAGAGTGGGTGTGCATAAGTTTGAAGCCATGATTCTACTGCCTATTTTTCACTGCCATCACTCACCCGACGCGGGCTGAAGTGTCTCATGCTATTTTTCCAATATCTCTATGCCTTGTTGATGCTATTATCCCTCTCATTCGAAATTAAAGGCTCACAATGGTACCTCCTCGCTGCTCGAAATGCCAGCTAGACGCATATATGCGTACAAAGTTTGTCGACCTTTTTGATCGGAGGCCTAAGAAACACGAGACCTAGATATCAATAAACGACTACTTGAGACGAAGCCTCGTTGTGTGCAAACTAATATTGAGGCTGATGATTGGTATACCCAACATTAGAGAGGGTTTAAGTAGTATTGTTCAATGCCAAATCGCTTGGCGAGATATTTACATGAGTCGGGTACGCAATTAAAGGTGCCGTTTCCATTAACCAACAGGCCAAGCTCAGTTACAGACAGTCAGATGCGAAGCCCTAACATCAACCTCCCCCTGCTATGCATGCGTTGCTCCAAGCAGCCCTGCTAAAAGGCCAAACGACAACGTCCGCCGAAAGAAAAGAAACACCAAGCCGCTCATGATAATCGAAGGAAAGAATAGAAGGAAAGAAGATGCAGAATCCGTGGATCCTCAAAAGAGGCACAGTACAAGGCGAGGAAGCTCTATTATATACGCTGGACGCAATCAAACACATCAGTCGTCTTTTAGACGGTCAGTTGACCCCGACCCCGAGCCTGTTCCGAGACCATTCGCGCGAGACCTGCTCGTCGAGGACGCGGAGGCCCCGGTCTGGAATGCGGAGGAAGAGGACGTGCTTTGCAGGTCAGGTCGGCGGGAGGTCCCGAATGCGCTGGGCGATCTGCGGCCTTCGGATGCATCGTCCATCTCAATGAGATCGCCCATGCCCCACAGTCCGGTGTTACGGCCTCGACTTCCGGTTTGTTGGGTTGGGTTGGCTTGCTGGAGGTCGTTGATGCCGGCTTTGGCGCGTGTTGCAACCTTTCGGACCCAGCCCTCGAGGGCGCCACCGATATTTTCAAGACCGGATGTGTTGGATGTGACAGTCGACTCGGAACCGAAAGACAGCTTTCGGTTATTTTGTTGGGGTGCAGGCGGGGCAAGATAGGTCACATGTTTAGAGAACCACTGGGTGAGGCCGTCCATTGCAGGCCCCGGTGCGGTGGAATCGCGGTCAAGGGTACCAACTCCGGTACCAGACAGGTTGATGCTGCTACGTTGCCGGCGGTGTTGTGGGCGCATGGGGTGCGCAGGGCGCGGCTTGGGTTGATCACCGCGAGTTCGAATGCGGGGAAGAACGCTCTGAGATGAACCGATTGACGGGGATCCAGCTGGGGACGGACTTCTTGTCACGTCCTGAGAAGAGCCGAAAGAAGGCTCCGCGTCGGAGTAGGACACGGATTTCCGACGAGTGCGAGGAAAGAATCCTAGAGCCCTCCGAGGAACGCGGCCAATCTCTATTCTTGAGTGGAATCCGTCTATTTGCACCCAGTATTCGTGCTTCCAGATGCGATTCATTTGTGATTCACAAGAGCCAGGATTTGTATGGTCTGGTGTCGAATCGTCTGTAGAGCCCGCCGGAGGTGCAATAGAGCTGTCATTCGGATCCTCATTATCGCTACCCAAGAGGTCCGGTTGCTCCTCATGGATCCGCCGCCCTTTCACCGTGCATGCTTCTACTGGCAAAAGGACCGTCTTCCTGCACTGAATGTTGTCATTCGGCCAGAACCCGTTCGCTTTTCGAAATACCGCAGCTTGACAGCCATATTTGATGGTCACTCCCGTGATGCTGTCCGTGGCCTGCACATGGTGAATATAGGCCAGCGCCTCTTCATCGTGCTCTGGGTTCAGCGGCTGATCAAAATAATCCCCCGAATCGCGTTTCTTATGTCGAAAGTTGCGGCTTGTAATCGGGTCGGAGTCGGCGAGAAGAAGCGCCTCGCGCTTCTTCGCCTGTACTAGTGCCTGTCTTTCCTCCTTGGTTCCAGTTCCGATTTCCGGGGTCGAAGGCCCTGATGGGCCCCACGCCGAGGGCGTTGACCTCGGGATACTCCGAATATATAAGTCTGACCGCGATGGCTTCCTCCGTGTATGTGTCTTATTCACATTGTTTAGTGTAGCCTGTCCGGCGTCACTCCCTAATACCGATGATGCCAGGTTCTGAAGTGACGACCAGGGCGAGTCCAGAAAATCGGCGGCCCCTCGCGAGGACGAGGCTTTTGATGATCCATTCCACCCAAGTGATATTGTATCGTTACGACCACGGTATGCAGATTCGGTGACACGGGAAGGATGTGTCATTGGTAATGGTGATGTGCCGCGAGAGGACAGAGGCGAGGGGGTTGCACCGCGGGAACGAACCGTCCCGATATCCGCGGACAGCGTTGTGCCCGAGGCAAGCGGTTGCGATTCATTGTATGAGTTATTGTTGCTCTTAACAACCGCGTTGTCGGATTCATCGTCCATGAAAGAGACCAGGCGGCGAGGACGCGATCGAACTGCAGAGGCGGCGCTTGTGCTGACAGTGTTGGAGTTCACAGAAGCATTGACGAAGCTATTTTGGGAACTCATTCCTATCAGCGAGGCCCATGGAGCTCTTCCTCCAAGGGCGCGAGTCGTAGGCTCCTTTAGGAACGTGTGTTGCTGTGAAGGCACTGACTTCCATCAGTGGTCTTCTAGGAGAGACCCATTCGTTACCACCGGCGTTGCGTGGCCTCAAAGCTTGGATCGAACAGTAAAAATCATGTACCGGCAATTCCAAGTAATATAGCAAGATCGTTCGGGGGCGAAAGAGGTGGGGGAAATGCGGAGTGGTAAGGTGATGGATGCGATAGGAGAGCGCAGGAGGCGTAGGTGGTCAGTGACGATAACGACCCACAAGGCGGCACCTCGAGTTCGGAGAACAGCAGTAATCCCACGTCACTCCGCGAGGGCGATTATTCTTAGTGGGTTCGACTTCGAGTGCAAGGGGTGTAAATTATAGGCGAAAAGCTAGAGAGAAGGAAGATTTTCGGGGGGAGGCGTGATCGCCAGCTGACTTTTGCCCTGTCGCAGGTACATGACGTTGGCCGGCAAAACTCCACTTGTTGGAGGTACCAGTACGTGGCTAGCATCTTGGAAATGTAGAGATGGAGCGAATATTGTATTATATAGCCCCAATGGAACGGTTGTACATGGAACTCATCAGATCACTCTATAAACATAGCCCGGCCCTGCCAGAAGTCACTTGCAACTTGCCACCGATCAGATAATGTGGCCATTATCGAGATCCCAAGTCTCCGATAACGCCTTTCCTTCAATTCAAAATTGGAAATCAAAGCAAATAGTCGTCTACATTAAACATAGAATTGAAAATTACTCTGGAGGCTCAGCCACCAAAGGACGGGCATCCGTGTTATCTTCGGTTTCATCTTCGGTGTTCCACTCGCCTTCGTCCTTCTCCGACATGACCTTGCCAGTTGAAACGGACCCCAGGACCTGGCTACCCTGAGGCGGCGGGATGACCTTGATACCTCCGGCATGGGAGAAGAAGTCTTCCGTACGAAGACCGCGAACCTCTTGAGGGTCGACGGCGGTCATCTGCGTGCCGTCGGCCTTCTTCTTTCGGATCAATTCCCGCACTGGGGCCATGGCTGCATCCCGGCAAGCTTCCTTAATGTCACTGCCGGACATACCGGCCATGTTCTTGACCAGGTAGTGCAGGTCAAAGTTGTCCCGGTCGACCTTGGTGTCCTTAAGGATTAAGCTGAGGATACGGAGACGCTGAGGGGCGGGAGGAAGTGTAACAGGGAACTTCTTGGGCATACGCCGAAGAATTGCCTCGTCGATATCCTGGATGCGGTTGGTCGCGCCGAGCACGACGACCCGCTGTGGCTCACCCATGGAGTTGGCCGAGGTGAGACCATCCCAGTGGGTCATGAACTCGGCCTTGACCATACCACTTGCTTCGTGCTCTCCACTTCTCCGGGTTCCAAGGACGGCGTCGATCTCGTCGATGAAGACAATGGAAGGCTGGAGCTTGCGCGCAAGGGAGAAGACCGCATTCACCAGTTTATTCGAGTCACCGTACCACTTCTCTGTCAACGTGGAAATGTGCAAGTTGATAAAGCAAGCACCACTCTCGGATGCCAGGGCTTTGGCAAGCATGGTCTTTCCGCAGCCAGGCGGGCCATACAGGAGGACACCGGAGGGTGCAGTCAGAAGAGAGGAGCTGGAGGAGTAGAGATGAGGCATAGTCAACGGGTAGATCACGGATTCCTTCAGTTCATCGATAATATGATCGAGACCGCCGATATCTTCGAATGACACCCGAATATCTTCTGGCGCAACAACGTCCATGGCGATGGCTTGCTCGTATTGAGTCAATGCAAGCTCGGCTCGCCGTTGCCGGCCTCCCTTTTTACCCCCCGCGCGTCGAGACGATTCATCATCTGAGTCTTCCCCACCATCTAACCTGCGCAAAATTGCTGCCGACTTCTTGCGTTGTTCTTCCTTCTTCTGGCTCTCTGGGTCGAAGTCGAGGCGCGATAGGAGGTAGCGGATGAGGAAGTATGCGGAGGCGGACTAGACAAGCTGTTAGACTGGAATGATGATGCGACACCCGGCGAAACTCACGGTACCAGCGACCATGATCATCTCCTGAAGGAACTGCTGCCATCGTCGGCCGCCTGCTGAAGCCATGACGACAACGGTATGGAGGTGATGGAGGTGAAATGGGGATGGGGATGGGGAGAGTATGGAGAGAGGAATTAAATCGGGTTATGTTGAAAGTGTCGAGCTGAAGGAATGGAGCCCGTGAGTCCGGGGAAGTTCACAGACCAAGTCCAAGAGGAAGTCCAAAGTCCGCCGATGGTTCGGGCAGCCGTGGCGGGTGTGGTCCCGGAATGTCACATGTTCCCCGGCTGTTGATAGTCGCGTCTCCTACACATATCAGACAAAAGGCCGCCTTACAATATGCCGAAACGGAAAGCTCCTACTCAACTCTCTGCCCTTGCTGGCTCGGATGATGAGGATCTGATGCAACTCACTGAAAACGAAAGCGCCCCTTTCCCCGACGCGCGCGACGAGCCTCCCGTCAAACGTCGACGAGGCCGACCGCGTACTTCCAACGAAACTGCCACCGAGACCAAAACCACGCGAGCAAAGAAGCAGGCATCAGAGCCACCGTCTCAGGATGAAGCTACAGTAGCCAAAAAGCCTGTTCGTCGAGGGAGACCTCGAGGAAGCAGTCGCACGGCCGATAATCCTGCGGGTCAAGAGCGGGCAGCCGTGACGCAGGAGTCAACAGAGGATGAAGACACCAATGACCAGGAGAATGAAGATCCGAAGGCTACAAAGGGTACGAAGACTTCGCGCGCTGCCCAGAAGGCTAAGCCAGCAGCTGCGACAACGACAGCGACCGCAGCGCGTCGCCGAGCCCGAGCACCCAGCGTGGCAAAGCAGACAGACGGCGAATTTGAGTACACTCCGACACGCGCTGCCCAACTACAGCAACTACAGCCTGAACACGAAGTGCTCGATTCGCAGATGCATGAGACCGAGCCTGGGGTTGACGAGTCTGTTCTCCCAGACCCTCCAACTCGCTACGCATCCTCATCTGTTGTTAAGAATGCGCGAGCCCGAATGGCCATTGTACGGACACAGGATGCCTCACCAAACAAGCGCAAGTCTGCTTTTGGAGTCGAGCAAGTTGTTGATCCGGACTTAAGGCGTAGGATTGGAGATCTCACCAAGAAGCACGATGGATTAGAATCGAAGTATCGCAATCTTCGCGAGATTGGTATCGTAGAAGCCAACACCAACATGGAAAGGTTGCGCAAGCAATGTGAGAGTATCACCACAGGTACGATACAACCCGAAAAGTATGTCTGCCGAGCGTCACTAATTCCCTACTAGCATCGAACGAATTGGTCGCTTCGCTCCGAACCGAATTAGAAGCACAGCGAGCGCTTGGACAGCAGAGCCGCACTCTCCAGAAGCAACTTAAAGACCGGGATGCCGAAATGGCCCGGCTCAAGACCGAGGCCGAGGAAGCTCGCTCTCATCTTGCGGCGACACAGGCCGAAGTCAAGGCCTTGCAGACGAAGCTCGCCGCAGCACGCAGCACAGCCGCAAGCCTCGAGAGTGTAGCCAAGGTCCCCGGAAGCGCCATGAAGATTGGAACCAACCGCGCAACCGCCGCTGTGACAGCCGAGGCCGCACAAGCAGCCCAGCTCGCCTCGCTCAAGGAGGAGCTATATACTGACTTGACTGGATTGATTATCCGGGATGTCAAGAACAGAGAGACAGATGATCTATACGACTGCATTCAGACCGGTGTCAACGGAAGTGAGTAACCTTCAGCTCTTCTGTGCCGTCTCAACATCTAACAATGTCACAGCACTGCACTTCAAGCTTGTTATTCCCAAGGTGGCTTCGTCGAAGTACGAGTCGGCGGAATTCCAGTATTTGCCCTTGCTGGATGCGAACAGGGATCGTGACTTGGTGAATATCCTTCCCGATTTCTTGGCGGTGGATATCACCTTTAGTCGGGGGCAGGCGTCCAAGTTCTATACAAGGGTTATTGATGCCTTGACGAAGCGGCGGTCGAGCTCAACGCGGCAGTAGTTAATCTGGGATTTGAAAGAATATAGCAAAGGCATCAAGTGGTGTTGTAAAAAGGCTTCAAGCATTCCTTTTTAAGTCCCTCAATGTTCCAACCATATCCCTAATCTCTCTTCAAATGGATTTATGGGCACCTTTCGATAACTTCTCGATGCATTCCAGATCCTTAGTCCAACATCAGTAGTCAATGCTTTACCGACCCCAATTACATAGACTCAGCCAGATTCACAACCCCACCTGGTCTTAAAATACTCGAAGCAGCATAACCATGCCTAGCAATCCCTGATTATCCCTCTATAACCATTGAATGTTGACCATCAGCCAGCCACCTCTGTAACTTTGCTAGCACTTTGTACCCATGAGAGAGAAGTTTTGCTTGAGGCCTATCGGTGAAAGATTGACTTTGATTCTACACGTGAATGCAGGGATTAGGTAGCGAGCAGGTCCTCACCTTCTCCTCCTGCTCCATCTCAGCAGATGCGGCTTTTCCATCATACTCAAAGATAGGGCCCCAGCACGAGTTGAGTCATGGTTATTAATCAAGTTCCTTACGCAAAGGATAGTTTAATGTTATAGACGACCTGGTTGTCTAGCTCAATTAGGTGGCCAAGAATAGCCCGCATTTCGGCGAGCTTATTTTTGTTCCCGGGGACGAAGTCGAGGCTTGTTAAGGCATTATGAATGTCTAGCTTGCAATCGTGTCATGAGTGAAATGTATACACAAGGTAGATTGAATGAAGGTCTAGCCCTGGCTATAAACACTTAAAACGTAAACAAGTGGTTCTGCCGTGCACAATTCCCGCCCCGTGATTGGTGTTCACCGCCCGTCCTCAAGTTCCCCGGTGTCAACGTCTGTAAAAGAGATGACCTCCTTTTAAGCCTTCCTTTCTTTTTCTCCAGGGGCCCAATTCCACTCTTTTTTTCAATTTAAAGGCTGGTTATCCCCGAGTCCAGCATAATGGCGCGTCTCGGCCGCGTCGGGTTCCTCGCCCTCGCGGTGGTCTTCCACCTGATCTATACGTATTCGATCTTCGACATCTACTTCGTGAGCCCCATTGTAAGTGGCATGCGCTCATATGGGGTCAACCGCCCGACCGATACGCCAGCTCCCGCCCAACGCCTCATCCTCTTCGTTGCCGACGGCCTACGCGCAGACAAGGCCTTCCAGGCCTTTCCCGATCCCGCCCCGGCCGCGCAGTCCGACGAATTGATTCGCCTGGCGCCCTTTATTCGCGACAATGTCCTCGAGCATGGTACATTTGGAGTCTCGCATACCCGTGTCCCTACTGAGTCCCGGCCCGGTCATGTTGCTCTCATCGCGGGTCTGTACGAGGATGTCTCGTCTGTGACCACAGGCTGGAAGCTGAACCCTGTCAACTTTGATAGCGTGTTCAATCGCAGTCGGCATACATGGAGCTGGGGCAGTCCGGATATTCTGCCCATGTTTAAGGAGGGGCTGTTCCGGGCCGCGTGGACGCGGAGATGTATGCGGAGGAGGCGGAGGATTTCAGTGTCGATGCGACGCATCTGGATACCTGGGTTTTTGACAAAGTTCACGAGCTGTTTGAGTCAGCTAAGAATGACCCGGAGCTGGATGGCAAGCTGCGCCAGGACAAGCTGGTGTTCTTCCTGCATCTGCTGGGCTTGGATACCACTGGTCACGCTTTCAGACCTTATTCCAAGGAGTACCTCAACAACATTAAGATTGTGGATAAGGGTGTACAGGCGGTTACTAAGTTGGTGGAGGATTTCTATGCCGACGATAAAACCGCTTTCGTTTTCACTGCAGATCACGGTATGAGCGATCTGGGCAGTCACGGCGATGGACACCCGGATAACACCCGCACTCCCTTGGTCGTCTGGGGCTCGGGCGTGGCACAGCCGCAGAAGACTACGAATGGCATTGCACCCGGACACGAGGATGGCTTTTCGTCGGATTGGGGATTCGACCAAATTGAACGCCACGATGTCGCACAAGCCGATATTGCTGCACTCATGGCCTACCTGGTTGGCGTTGATTATCCCGTCAACTCTGTTGGCCAATTACCTCTGGATTATCTCAATGCCAATCCCAAGGAAAAGGCAATGGCTGCATTGGCGAACACGCGCGGTGTTCTGGAGATGTATCGTGTGAAGGAGGAGCAGAAGAGAACAGCGGTTATCCGCTATGTGCCGTTTGAGCCGTTGTCGGGTGACGGCGAGACCTCTATTGAAGGCCGTTTCGCTAATCTAGAGGCGCTCATCTTCAACGGGGCCTATGAGGAGTCCATTGTTCTGTCCTCGGAACTGCTGGTTGTAGGCCTTGAGGGCTTGCGCTATCTGCAGACGTATGACTGGTTGTTCTTGCGGACTACTGTCTCACTGGGATACCTGGGCTGGATTGCCTATGCGTTGACCACAGTGATTGACCTGCACGTCTTGCATGGAACTTCAGATTCCCACCGGACGGTGGCGAGTATTTCTTTCTTTTCTTCCATCTTAGTGGCTCTTTTCTCTGTTTTCCTTTATCAGGGATCGTCATGGCGGTACTACTTCTACGGATTCTTCCCTGTATATTTCTGGGAAGAAGTTTTTGCTCGTCGCAAGGCTCTCATTGCTGGACGCCAAATCATTCTGGGTCATGTTCATTCCTTTTCCGGATATATCAGCTTTGGAATACAGCTCCTGGCATTCCTCGGTGTGCTGGAGGCACTGGTTCAATCCTACTTCCACCGAGAGATCCTCACCGTCTGCTTTGGCTTGGGTGCTCTGTGGCCTCTAGCCTATGGTCTCAGCTTCGTCCGCAACCATGCATTCTTGACGGCGACATGGGCCCTTGGCTGCTGTCTCATGAGCACTTTTACTTTGCTACCAGTCGTTAAGATGGAGGATCTTACTAGCATGTGAGTTTTTTCTGTTCATAAACGGGGTTTGTTGGTGGATTACTGACCTATGTTTAGTACCTATGGTGGTCTTCTCATGTTCCTCACTGGAATATTGTATCTGCTCTTTGAGGATGCCATCATTGGCCACAGCTCCACAAAGAGCGCTGGCACCTTCAATAGCTTTGGATCTCGGGTTATCATGGGCATGCAGGTTGGTATGGTGCTGCTCGCATTGGTCGTCACCCGATCAAGCGTTGCCTCTCTCCAAGCCCGCGAGGGATTGCCATTCGGCAACCAAGTGGTTGGCTGGTTTGTTTTGAGTAAGTGATGCATCAGATAAATCACTAGGATGCCCCCAATACTGACCCTCTTCAAGCGGCCTCGCTCTCGCTGCCATTCTTCCACCGACAATACCCCAACAGCCACTATTTGCATCGTCTCATGGTCATCTTCCTGACCTTCTCACCCACATTCATCATCCTCGCCATCTCATGGGAAGGCTTGTTCTACTTCATGTTCTGCATGACCCTCGTAACATGGGTCCGACTCGAGCACGCCATTTACGTGCACACCAGCTCGACAACAAGCGAATCCAACGGCTCCGCCACATCAAAGCCAACAACCAGCACAACAACCGTCGGCGGCCGAACATACCATTACCGCGCCCTGACGCTCTCCGACACCCGCGTCGCCCTATTCTTCTTCTTCCTCCTACAATCCGCCTTCTTCAGTACCGGAAATGTCGCCTCTATCTCCACCTTCTCACTTGACAGCGTCCGCCGTCTCATCCCCGTCTTCAACCCCTTCAGCCAAGGCGCCCTCCTCATCCTTCAAATCCTGATCCCCTTCGCCATCATCAGCGCCAACCTAGGCATCCTCAACCGTAGACTCGAAGTCCCGCCTAGCGCGCTTTTCATGGTCGTCATGTCCATCTCCGACGTGATGACGCTGAACTTTTTCTACATGGTTCGCGACGAGGGCTCCTGGCTCGATATTGGTATGACGATTAGTCACTTCTGTATCGCTAGTGCGCTATGCATCTTCGTTGCCGGGCTGGAGTTCCTTAGTGAGCAGTTCGTCAGTGGCGTGGAGTTTGGGCCAGCGCTGGAGTCGGTTGAGCGAGTTATTAGTGAGGCTGTGGAGTGCGGGCATGAGAAGAAAGAGGAGAGTGCTAAGATTGCTTCTTCGCCTGCGAAGAGCAGTAAGAAGAATCGTCGCGGTGCCAAGGGGAAGTAAGGTTGATTGTTCAGCTAGGTTTCTTTGGGAGCGATGTTAAATCCCGTGTACTTTAGGTCTTGGCCATCTTGTTAATATAGAATACGCTATTGAAGCTGCAGTTGCTTCCCGATAAGTGAAAGCACTAGGGTATATTTCGGATATGCCAGGTTTTTTTCTATTCTTAATTCCTTAAATCTGCTCCTGTCCTACCAAGTAAGACCTGATCCGGACCCGCAGGACTACCTTTGCCTCCGATCCTCAGCATCGTCATGTGACCTATTTATACGAAAGCGTGACGTTTTGGCTTTGAGAATGCTTTTTAGGTGACTATTCGTTTATCTATCAGACCTAAATAGTTATAGTGTAGTTTGTGCGGGTCGCTGCCGGTCAAACCGAATGTTGAATTTGTCAAATTGTTCAGAACCCCGATTAAAGCTGGGGCCAAAGCTGGGGTTGAAACCCTGACGGGAAGTCCCGATCGGGGTTCCACCTGGAAGGATGGATGGAGCTGACCGAGACTTCCACTCAAATCAATTGATGGTGCGCGTGAACCGCTCACTTTATCTTGAATTGGTGGAGCTATTGACGTCAGCTTCCATAGTACGCATGGAACCGCCTACTTTCAAATCGACTAGCCCATTTGCACTTGGACATTACTATTTGGCCAAGCAGGTGGAAAGCTTGTGCTATTCCACGATCACGCATTGGGCTTTTCGCGTAAACCGTCAATGACTGATGGAAGGCTGGGAAGTGTTCGGCTTCTCTACTGTTGCTCATGATTCTCCCGGATGGGAAAAGAAGGTTTCCGTATTGCTTCCGACTAGCGTCATAGACGTTTGGAAACTGATCCAAAAGGTCGAGGCCCGGTCGCAAATCCACTCATGGGCAGAAGCGGCGAAACATATACTAAAGGTTTGGCTATATATTGGGCATTATTCAGTCATATAAAACTTCGTGAAGTACTCTAACTTCGTTGCCTTTGACCAATCCGGGTGTCCTGCTCACTTATTTTCTCGATCCACCTCACGATGTCTTCAGAGCTTGACAGAATTTATGCCACGCTTGCGCCCGAAGAAATCATACTGCCAGATTCACCTGACTATCTAAAAGAAAGCAAAACTTGGGCAGTACAGAGGAATTTGAAGCCAAAGTTAGTTGCGCGTCCGAAGTCTCTCGAAAGCCTTTGCAAGCTCGTCGCTGCTCTCAATAGAACGACCTTGGATGTCTGCGTACGCAGCCAAGGTTACGGTTCGAGCTCGGCCAAAGATGTCTTAATCAACATGACAGCTTTTGACTCGTTTGAGTATAGCATTGAGCAAAAATCTATCACTATTGGGGCCGGACAAAATTGGAGCCGAGTTGATGAGAATATTGACAAGCACTGTCCGGGATATGCTACCTTGAGCACGAGATCTGGCTTCCTAGGCGTTGCAGGCACCATTGTTTACGGTGGTTTATCTTGGGCATCATCTGAGCGTGGTACTGCTGCACGACCGGAAAATCTACTGGACGCTCAGATAGTCAAGGCTGATGGTACTGCTGTCTGGGCCTCGACAGATCCAGATCTCTTCTGGTGCATTCGGGGGGGTGGACATAGCTTTGGCATTGTCACCGCAGTGAAAGTCAGGATCTTCAAGTATCCTAAGAGTATCTTCACCGGGCGGCTTGTATACCCTCGGACTTCTCTACAACATATTGCGCGTGAGGTAGCAACCTTTACTCGAAATGTCTCAGATCCTAGGCTTTGCTTGCATCTCTATTGCATGACTGTGGAAGAGTTCAAAGCGGAAGAGCCTCCGGAAGAAATGAAAATAGGATCGCAAAAAGATAATTGGTCGAGAGGCATGGATAGTGGGCAAATTTCCCTTTGGGTCTACGACGCACACGGAGAGCAGCACGCGAGGTCTGTCAAAGGATTTCAATGGGCGTTTGAAATCCCAGGTGCAATTGATAAGACGATGAATCTTCCTTTCACCGAGGTGAACAAGCTTGCTAGTAAGTCGGTCTTGACTGGCACTTTCAGAAGTTCTATTGACAGAATCAAGACCCGTTGATAGCAGCTAGTGGAGTGACGGACTCATGGATGTCAGCACCACTCATAAGTGAAATTTCAGAAGAAGTTATTTTTCGCGCTTGGGAGTGGTTTGAGGAAACCGTGGCTGCCAATCCAGCTGCTAAGAAGGCACCCCTGGGGGTAATGGTATTGATAGAAATGCTGCAGAAGGTCCGCAAATTGAGACGAATCAATTCGATCAGTAGACTAACTGTTATGAAGCCCGCAATCCATACGGACACGCCACGGACCGACTGTGCTTGGCCCCACACTCGGGCCCAACATGTGCTCCAGCTCGGAGTGGCAGCCCCCATTGGCGACGTCGACACAGGAAAATCAGTATTACAAGCTCTGGAGGAGGCGCCCAAGCGAATTTGGCCCGCACATCAACCTAGCGACTATCTTCCAAACTTCATACAACACTTCAACGACGTTTCAGCAGTAAGACTTCTAAAATTTCGGAAGTAATGGCATCTGCTGACGTTTGATAGATTTATGGACCAAATTTTAAGAAGCTACAGGAGATGAAAATTAAGTATGACCCCAATGGAACTTTTGGCGGCCCTTTTATGTAGGTTTTCAAGGGGGGTACTCCGGCTTGCATGATGTAGGAACAGAAACGCGCCAGGGCGCAACGTGATAAGCGGGGAGTCTAAACAAGTGGGGTACACTCAAGTTGCCGAGGCATCACAAGCTGGTTCCTCCTGTCAACCAACACTCAATGGCTTGGGCTTGCGAGTCACCTGTTGGTGATTTCGAATGAATTCTGATGGCGAGGCTTAGATGCAAGGTTTTGATCCCCACAATTCTATCCCCGACTTTTCATCCCCGCAATTGTCGGCTTGTTCCTCCAGTGCGTTGATATACTGGATACGTAGGTGTACGATACTCACGCTCAGATGCGCCACCATGATCCACAGGGATCTTATGGTGCATGGAGCCATGGGGTATAGATGTCACGAGGTGCATGTTAAGCACTGTGCATTGATTACCTGCAGCCTAAAGTATGGATGGATCTCGATGTAGGATGATGTATACCATCACCTTATCACAAGTAAGGCGTGGTGCCTAAGCTGCATCTAAACTACTAATAAAACGTTCAATGTCTGGTGACACCGCATACTTCCGAGTAGATGGCCCGTGTAAGGAAATAATCCCCGAAGGATCAAGGTCAACGTCCCCGAGTCACGTCTTGAGTAAAAGAGGTTCCCCATCCGCGACGACCCGCGTGGCGGGCTGGATCTGACGGTGCCTGTACTAACCAGGAAAGCCCTAGGGCGCTCCTAGCTTTGAGTCTCACGAGGGCACGAAAATCACGCACCTCGAGTTTTAGACAGGGCAGGACAATGGTTGAACCCGAAACCCGGGCTCAGGTGGTATTTCCACGGCGGTTGAGAGGGCCCTAAGAAGGTAGGTCCACAGTGCCTGGACCAGGTTGCGTTCACCGGCTACTTAACCTGTTTCTTTCTCTCTCTCTCTCTTTTTTTATCTCTCTGCCTTTCTCTGTCTCTTAGTTTTCTGTACTAGTTACTAGCCTGTACACGCGACCGTTTCAGAGCTGAAACCTTCTTTGTACGGAGCCTCCTCGGAGATTCCAGATTCCAGATTCCACCTGGATTTTGGGTCCCTCCACTCCCCTCCGTCGATCATTCCTTAAGCGGGTCAGGCAGTCGGTGTAGTTGGGATTGGGGGTTGTCCAAGTTGTGGGTGTCATAGCTATAGCTGTCGTGGGTGTCGTAGTGGTAGTTGTAGTGTTGGGTAGAAGGGTCTAAAGGTAAAGATGGCAGGGTTAAGGGGCATCGAAGTAGACAGAGTATAATGTTGCCAGGTAGCCAGTCAGAGATTGGTGATTGCCCGGGACTCCAGACCCTCTCTCTCTCTCTCACTCCTTCTCTCCACAAGTGACCTCAGATGATTTCCTCCTATTGCCACGTCCCGCCCAAGGTCCCTCACCACCCCAGATCCTCTCTACACATCTTCAATATTCTTCCCCTCCCTGTTCCGGTACTTTTTCTTCTCCCCTTGATCGCGTGGCGTTTCCGAGCCCCCTTCCCCCGACTATAATATACCGCTCCATCGCACAGCGCTTCCCTCGCTCGGGATTTCCTGCTTCCCACTTCAAGCGACGCATGGGGACTGCGCGGCCATGAGTACTACCACCGAATCCAAAACCGATCCCCAGGCGGCCAGCCCTGCCCCCAGCGCCACCGGCTCTACTGGAACCTCTGGAATCACGGTGCGCAATGGCCCTGGTGGCCAACCCTTGAGCTTTAGAAGGTGAGTTTTCCCAATACCATTTCGTGGTTGTGTGGTGCATGTGTGGGCGCAAGACATTGGGGGGTGAGGGTGGATGGAAGAAATGATCGCGCAGGGTTTTCAGCCCCTTCGGAACCTGCGAAAGAGATCTGGTATTTTATAGAGGCTGATTCGGTTTATCTAGACAACGTGCATCACGCGCGTGCGAGGTACGTTCTTGTTCTGCGACGCGGTCTGGACGTGGTGCTGGAGAGCCGAGGTACTCGGTCCCTCCTTATCGCGATGCTCTCCAGCTCCAAAGACGCCGATGGGAGCATAGGTAAATCGCCCAGTTATTTACTAGATTGCTAACATTCGATTTCTGGCATATAGACATGCCACTCTCGCAAAGTGAGCCTCCTTTTTTCTTTTTTTCTTTTTCTCGGTCGCACTCCGTCGCTGATTCTAACCTTACGCTAGGTCCGCTGTGATGCCGCCAGCCTAGGAGTTCCTTGTACCAACTGCGTCGCCTTCTCCATCGAATGCAAGATTCCTTCCCCGAAACGAAAGAAGACCTCGACAAAGGGCAAGGATGACCAGTATGCCGACAGCCCTCCCCACACTGCGTCTTCGCTCGTCGACGCGGTCGCCCAATTTCAACCCGATCACCCCGAGGATCATGAACACTCCTCTGGCGAACAGCAAGGCCAATCCTCGGACTCGGAAGATAAAGATGATGCCTTTGGATACCGGAAGGGCCGACTCGGTGTCGATGGCATGCCCGTCACCTCCCTCACGGAATCCGAGGCCGCCCAGCAGGCGTCGGCGGATAACGCTTATGCTCACTTCATGAAGCCCAAATTCGCCCGCGCTCCCATAAAGGAAGCTGGACGGGTGGCGTATCTGGGAGAATCGTCGAACCTGTCTCTCCTAGTCCAGGACCGCCACGGGACCACCGACGTCGTGCACTACCCGCTGCCACCCAATATCAGAGGGTCTCGGGCGCGGTTGACGGATCTAGACAATCTGGAGATTGACATCCTTCACCAGCGAGGTGCATTCCTGCTTCCTCCCAAACCGCTGTGTGATGAACTAGTGGATGCCTACTTCAAGTGGGTGGCCCCTGTGGTGCCCATTATTAATCGCAGCCGCTTCATGCGTCACTACCGGGATCCCAAGAATCCACCGTCGTTGCTCTTGCTACAGGCTATTTTGCTGGCGGGCTCGCGTGTCTGCACGAATCCACAGCTGATGGATGCTAACGGCTCGACGACCCCGGCTGCGATGACTTTCTACAAACGGGCGAAGGCGTTGTACGATGCCAACTATGAAGATGACCGTGTCACTATTGTGCAGGCACTGGTCCTTCTTGGTTGGTATTGGGAAGGACCGGAGGGTGAGTGGCACAGTCTTGAATAAAAGACCTTTGCTGACTGGTTATAGATGTGACAAAGAACGTGTTCTACTGGACTCGGGTCGCGATGGTTGTTGCACAAGGCTCCGGAATGCACCGCAGGTATGTTTTTCTCTCTTCAGATTCTTAGTTATGTTCTAACATCCTTCAGCGTGGAATCATCGCAGCTCAACAAACCCGACAAGAGACTTTGGAAGCGAATTTGGTGGACCCTCTTTACTCGAGATCGTTCGGTAGCCGTCGCACTTGGACGACCGATCGGTATCAACACCGACGATTCGGACGTGGGGATGGTGACTGAAGACGACTTCATCGAGGACGAGCTTGACATAGTAGCCGAATACCCACCGGACCCGGTGCATGTGCAATTTTTCCTGCAATACGTCAAGCTGTGTGAGATCATGGGTCTTGTACTTTCACAACAGTACTCGGTGGCGGCCAAGTCACGGCGCATGAACGCCATGGACCTTACACACTCCGATATGGCCCTAGCTGATTGGCTTCAGAACTGTCCCAAGGAAGTCTGCTGGCAGCGATCTCGGCATCACTTCTGGGCTGCTCTTCTCCACTCGAATTACTATACTACTCTGTGTCTTTTGCATAGAGCCCACATGCCTCCAGCTTCTTCCGCTCCGAATAGCTACCGGGTCGAGGAAATGGCCTACCCTTCACGCACGATTGCCTTCCAGGCAGCTGGTATGATGACTTCCATTGTTGAGAACCTGCAAGCCCACAATGAACTCCGCTATACCCCTGCGTTCATTGTCTACAGCTTGTTCTCCGCTTTGATCATGCACGTCTACCAGATGCGTTCATCAGTCCCTTCGATCGTGGCAACTTGCCAGGAAAGAATCAATGTGTGCATGGCAGCCCTGAAAGATGTGTCCAAGGTTTGGCTGGTGGCCAAGATGGTTCACACTCTGTTCGATTCCATTCTCGGAAACAAGGCGCTAGAAGAGCGACTCCAGAAGGCTGCTGGCAGGAGGCATCAACGGCGTCCCCACGAGCCCACTGCACCCCCGAAGAGGCCAGATGCAGCAAAGCGCAAGTTCGACGACATGGATCTTGGTGGCCTGCCTAATGGAGGTCCCACACCCCCTGTGTCGTATGAACGGTCTCGCCCGCAGACCCCCGCCGTCACACCTTCTCGCGAATTGAACCAACCTCCTATGGGTAACGCATCCCCCAATGCCCACCGTGGACCACACGACCCTATCTCCGGCCCATCCATCTCCCGAGGAAACACTCGACCCACGACACCATTCAACGCTCAATTCTCCCTGCCCGCCACCCCTCCCGATTTCTTCCTCGTGACTCGTACCTCGCCCAACCTCTCTCCATCTCTCTGGGAAAACTTCCAGCCCGACCAGCTGTTCCCCGACGGCACAGCCATCTTCCCTGAGCTCACCTCCCCGCCTCCCGGAACTGTGGATCCGTCGCTGTCAATGCCCGCACAGCCAGGTCCCAACATGGGTCAACGGCCCATGATGGGTGGTATGCCTCCACAGGTACCTGGTGGACGAAGCATGTCCGTTTCCCAAGGCAGTCCGCAAATGATGTCGGGCGTGCCAGCCGGCATGGGGATGCAGCCTGGTCAGGGACCGCAAGTATTTGGCATGGAAGGCCAGACATGGCCGATGCAGAGTATGGATGGTACTATGAGCGGAGCGGCGCTGGACGCTGCCAGCCAAGACAACGACAACTGGAGCAGCAGCTCTCGTAGTGGCCCGACTGCGCCCACGACCTTGAACGTGGAAGACTGGTACGTTTTATTCGGCTTACTCTATATAATTTGGGCTTTGACTGATTGTTCTAGGTTCCAATTCTTTGGTATCAATGGTGGCTTTGGCGACCTGGCAGCGTAAGCTCCATATATAATGTAATTGCGTGTGTATAGTTTCTTTTCTTCCCTGGCTACTCAAAATGGAAGGGGATCGGGGATTTGCCTGGCGTTTGGGTGCTAGGATGGGTGGAGGATGATGATTCTGTTCTACTCTGTATTCTGATGCCAATCAATGAGTTTCTACTCCATGCACTCTTTCACTCGTACACTCGGACGCTCGTACACTCTTCACATTCTCGTTTCGTGGTAATGTGGCACAATTAACCCCTTTAGGCCTAGCGCATGACGAGATCACATCATCGCGACTTCGTCCAATCAGCAGCCTGCAAAGGCGGAGTCATAGCAATGAGTGTCCGGGGATGCCTCAACTCTTCCATTTTTTGAATCCTACTTATTTCCATCTCATCTATCCATTGCCTTTTGCATTGTGTACTGTTCACCTGATATCCAACAACCCGTGCATCCCCCTTGATCCTTACCCCTTTCTATACCCCTTCCCACAATATCTCTGCCCCGCACGACAGCGATGTCGGCGTCAGGATCCGAAGCCCCCAACGCTGGGGCTTCATCGAGCTCGAAGAAGCAATTCCCTAACATTGACCTCGAGGGTCATAACCTTCCGCCATCCCCGGCTCCCTCCAGCCCTCACGCTGGCCGCCGGTACAATATCGCCACCGAGCTAGTCTTTACCGAGAGCAACGACCAATACAACGCGAGCAGCGTGCCAATCTACCAGGTAGATCTATGCCATTCAGTCAAGCCCACAAGAACACTCAGAACTAATCACATACAATCACAGAGCGCTACCTTTAAGCAGACCTCCGGCGGCGGCGGCGGAGAATATGACTACACCCGCTCTGGCAACCCAACCCGCACACACCTCGAGCGACACCTAGCCAAGATCATGTCCGCCCAGCGCGCCCTTGTCGTATCCTCCGGTATGGCCGCCCTGGACGTGATCACCCGTCTCCTCCGGCCCGGCGACGAAGTCGTGACCGGCGACGACCTGTACGGTGGCACCAACCGCCTCCTCAAGTACCTTTCGACGAACGGCGGTATCATCGTGCACCACGTCGACACAACCGACGTCTCAAAAGTGACAGAAGTCCTCTCCTCCAAGACAACCATGGTCCTGATTGAGACCCCAACCAACCCTCTTATCAAAATTGTCGATATCGGCACCATCGCCGCCGCCGCCCACGAAGCTAACCCGGCCTGTCTCGTCTCCGTCGACAACACCATGATGTCGCCCCTCCTCCTGAACCCCCTCGATTTAGGCGCCGACATCGTCTACGAGTCCGGCACAAAGTACCTCTCCGGCCACCATGACCTCATGGCCGGTGTTCTCGCCGTCAACGACCTCGCCGTCGGCGAACGCCTCTACTTCCCTATCAACGCCTCAGGATGTGGTCTCTCCCCCTTCGACTCGTGGCTCCTCCTCCGCGGCGTCAAGACCTTGAAAGTCCGCATGGACCAGCAGCAAAGCAACGCGCAGCGCATTGCCGAGTTCCTCGAGTCCCATGGCTTCAAGGTCCGCTATCCTGGTCTACGCTCGCACCCGCAGTACGAGCTTCACAACAGCATGGCGCGCGGTGCTGGCGCCGTGTTGTCGTTTGAGACTGGCGATGTGAATGTCTCCGAGCGTATTGTCGAGAGTGCTAAGATCTGGGCTATCTCGGTTAGCTTTGGCTGTGTTAATAGTTTGATCAGCATGCCGTGCCGGATGAGCCATGCTAGTATTGATGCGAAGACGAGGGCAGAGCGTCAGTTCCCTGAGGATTTGATTCGGTTGTGCGTTGGTATTGAGGATGCGGATGATCTTATTGAAGATTTGCAACGTGCTGTAAGTTTTGTCTCTTGGTGTTAAGGGTTCCCTGCTAACAATCTTCACAGCTTGTGCAATCTGGCGCGGTTAAGGTGACGCTGGACGGCTTTGAGGCTAACTCGACGGCTACGACTGCGTAGATGGGGTGTTTTTTGGGTTCTATGTGAATAGGGCGTTTCGGGGATTGAAATAACATATCATGATTTCATTTTATTGAGACTATTCCTTGTAGGATTAGCGTACTATATGCAGAGTCAAATTGGGGAATAGACGCTAGTGAGAAGCCTAAAATGATGGAGAGATAATAGAAGAACCAATAATAAGTCAATAATAACTAAACTATATGAAGAACCCCGGAACTGGTTCTGTAAAACTATAGTTGAAAAAAGGTATAGGAGATAGGAAGTAACGTTTACCCGGGCCGGCATCGGAGAGCCGAGAGCCCGGGCCTTTCTCGTCCGAGCTCTTCGGGATATAAGATAGCGCGCTTTTTTGTAATCACTTTTGCATCACTGGAGAACCTCGGATTTGCTGTTCTCGTCGTTGTTCATCTCTTCTTTGCAATTTTGATGGCATTCTAGTAATCTCATTTCTCGCACTTACCTCGCATTAACCTCCCATCTCCTTATATGAGTATGTCTCGCGATGCCGTCGCGCAGGATGCGTCATTTCCAATGGCCGTCGATCGGCCTGTCGTGCACTCTACAAAAGCTCCAGTAGCTGCGCCTTCACCCAGACCAACATCACCATGGAACACAAAAGACCTAGCCCTTCGCCTCGGAGTAGACTTCGCCAGCGCCGCGAGTGCTGGCGCGCTGACATGTCCGCTGATAACAATCATCGACCGGTTCGCAAAGCCCAACTCAGACTAAAAAGAAAACAACCCGAAGCTAACCGATTCTTAATTCCAGCGCGATCATCGAAAAAGCATCCAAAGGCTTCCCGATCCGCCAAACCATTACCTCCTGTCTCAAATCAATGATAACAAAACCCGGCGCCTTCTTCACCAGCACGCCCTTCCTCCTCATCTACACCCTCTACAGCTCAACCTACCTAACAGCAAACACAATCGACACCGTAACCTCAACGCTCCGCAATCAATCCTACGACACCGTAACGCCCGGCCCAGCAAAATTCATCTCCACAACAGTCGTCAACATGGCAATCTGTGTATACAAAGACGCCCGCTTCGCCAAGATCTTCGGCGCCCAGCCGAATTCAGGCTCATCTCCATCAACATGCCACCCCAAACCAACGGCAACAGGGCCCCAAATCCCCAAAGTCTCATACACCCTGTTCTGTCTCCGCGATAGTATAACCATCTTCGCCTCATTCAACGTCCCACCTCTAATCGCACCTTCAATCCCCGATTTCATCGCCAGCACGCCGTCGATGAAATCCGCCGTCGCGCAGTTCTCGTGTCCGGCGCTTATGCAGTTCGCTAGCACGCCTATGCATCTACTTGGGTTGGATTTGTTTAATCGGCAGCCTGTTGGTGGGTTGCCGTGGACGGATCGCATGGCCAGGATTAGGAGGGATTATGTGCCGAGTTGTTTTGCGAGAATGGGGAAGATTGTCCCAGCTTATGGTATTGGGGGTGTTGTTAATGTCCGCATGAGGGCGATGCTTATGGAGAGGATTCAGGAGACGAAGTAAATTTTGATGCTTATTGGTGGCTCTCTTTAATTAGTCCATGTTGTCCCTGGGCTGGGATTATGACTTGATGAGGAGGATTGATGGATTGGTCTGCTTTTTCTGCCCCTTTTCTTCTTCTCTTTCCTTTTACTTTCGACTCGACGACGATGACTCTCCACTCTACATTTGGATCGGGTATAGGGTGTTTCTGGATGGCGCCTGTTTTGATCTTCTGTTAAAAGGGTCATGTTTGCATTACGGGACTGGCGTTGCATTTACGTTTCTATATAGACTGCTCCGATTGATTCTTTTCGGGATAACGTTATATTGTGACATATTAGACTGATTACGTGCGATACAGCATTTAGGCTCGCATAGAGAGCTGGATTGGATGGGTTCCATGGCTGTTAATAATTACTTCTTTTCATTCAACTAGTCATTGGCGAGAGTAGGGAATACTAATTGCATAGTATGCACACCCTTCGTGGATCGTAGAGTATCTCACATGAACAACTTGGTATGTCTCACCATAGAAAGAGATTCTCATATAGGTGGGTACAGTGGTACATCGGCGCGGTCAGGATTTAGGCATAAATGACAAGACGAGAGAAAATATAATCCAAGGATAAAAAATTGTCTTGTTCAAGTAGATACGGTTATAGAAAAAATCGTCATTGTTAGACTCAATCAAAGTAATCGGTCAGGGTGGCTTAGACGAAGTATCATCTTATTCTCCGGTGCCTTCAATGCCCGAGATTATAATCAGAAAGGCATGATATATCGAAAGTTCAATTATCATGGTAAAATGGAAGAATAAAGGTCTTGAAGGAGATTGGGAAAGTCTTTAAGACTCTCTATTCGCTGGCCTTGGAAGCTTCGGGCTTGGAAACACCTGTGGGGCCTAAATCACCTCAAGAGGTAGAGCCATCCGACAACATTGGAACTACTTGGAATAAGGCTACGGGCTTTTAAGCCTACTATCACCCACTTGAATAACTAGCAACACCATAGCGATTATAATTATAGATTATGTGCATCAGATAGAAAAGGGTATTGACTATAAGACAAGAGCAAATATCAAGCCAGCAGACACATGCACAGAACCGAAGAAAAGAGGTATAAAGATCACCACGCAAAAGGTTCAGAGTGCAAATAAAGCTCCTCAACCTCGCCTCCAAGTGTCCGAGTCTGCGCCAGGGCTGCCGCATTGCGGGTATCGTGCAACATAGAAGCAGGTCCACAGACCAACACACCAATGCGCTGCTTCTTTCCAACATGTGTTCCCTGTGCGTGTGCGCTCGCCACGCTTCGCGCGATCAGGCCTGGGATATCAGGACGAATATTCCGGTGAATGTTTAAACTGAAGGAGCCCGTAGCCGTGATATCTGGGGATGGCATTTTTTTCTCAGGCGGGTTCTCTGCGTCAGGTAATGTGAAAGAGATGGCGGAGTCGTTGATGGGATCACGAGCTGGGTTGGAAGTGACGTGCACCGAGATGGATGTTTCGAAGCCATCGCTGTTATCGTTTAGAGATATTGTCGTTGATTTCGACAGCCGGGCTTCTATTTCGTTCGTGTACCAGTCTGCCATTGCCACGTCGCGGGTTGAAAAGACGACTTGGAGATTACGACGACCTTGTCCGGGCTTGGGCTTTTCGGTTAGGCGGAGGGCTTCATCAACCATCGCAAGTGAGAATCCGCCTCCAGAACCGCCGGCGATTACAAGGAGGGTGTCGAATTGGGACATATGGTGGGGGCTTACGCCGCCGTAGGGGCCTTCCATTAGGATTTTCTTGCAAAAACCGGGTTGTTTGGCAGCCATTGCGGCTAGGCGGCCGGTTACGCCGTGGCGGGGTTTGATGTAGAAGATTATCTCGGAGGCCTTGCCGGCTTCATCGGGATTATGGCAGGCAGAAGAGATGGTGAATGGGTGTGCGGTTAGGAGGTGTAGATCTGAGGTCAGGAAGCGGACGAAGACGTGCTGACCGGGAGTCCAATTTATGACTGTTGGGACGGTGACGCGGACGAGACCGCAGGGGAGGAGTTCAAGAGTTGCGGTGTGAAAGCCGTGCATTAGGTAGGTTCGAATATGGGCTGCACCAAGGGAGAACAGGTAGATAGAACCGGCAGCAATGAAGTAGTCCCTGGGCTATGTTAGTGGATACCAATATGGAAGAGTTGCTCAACTTACCATGAGGACAGACGGAAGTCACAGTGGAGGAAAAAGAAAACCATAAAGATCACCGCGGCACCGATATGCGTGGCTTTGAAGAACTCGTAGAAGCGGTTCCGAATACCAGGCAGGGACATGACAGTCAGATAGGTCTGGGCGAGTAAAGCGATGATACCCGTCCAATAGACAATACTGGTATTCCACTGCTTGACCATATCACCTTTCCAGATGTGATATATGACATAGGGAAAGGTGTGAATCAAAGCCAGGACGAACATGGCGTAGCTGGTCCAGTGATGGAACACCTGAAGCTTCTCATGAGGAATACCAGTCAAGGCAGAGATCATGTTTGCCTTGGCGCTTAGGGCTCTATACCATCATCAGCACAGTGCACAGCAGATACTTCGATAACACTCACAGTACGAAAGGTAGCAGTCCTAGGGCCATCCATCCAGCTCGAGTAGCAATTGGTGGACTGCTTCCATAGTTCGCATCAGTTGGCCAGTAATAAGGTTTCGGTCCAAGTGTCATAGCTTTCATTTGCGTTAGCTCTGATCCGATCCCATTTGCAAGCCAGCCATACCGAAGAAAAACGCCGCACCAGCAAGACCCAGAAGTATCACACCCAGCGACGGAGACCAGTATCGCACAACGGGGAGCCGGTAGCCCCGGTAGGCCAAATACCGTGAGATGGATGTCGTAGCCCTCCATACCCTCATCCGCTTAACCCAGTCAGGACTGAGCCGAACCAGCAGATTTGACAAAGTGAAGACACCGATAATTGCACACAGGAAGTAGACCGTATTCAACGCATAGACATTATCCGCTTGGTACCTAAGCACCAATAAATCAGCACATAAACAGCCACATAAGCCGAGGAATGCGTACCAATATCGCCAGTGGTTATTCCGATAAGCGCACTGCGCTGGAGTCAACTTGCACTTGTCCGCTCTGGACGAGTGAAGCATCACCGGCTGGTCGAGCCAGGGGATACCACCTTTGTGCATGTCCATTCCCATTCCCATCATGTTGGCTGGGCTTGTTCAAGGAATAGAAAATCGACTTTGAAGTTGCGCCCCCCCCTGCGTTGTTATAGAAAAAAGAGAAACCAGTTCGGGCGCAACGGAGCTTGGCGGATTGAAGTTTGGTAGGGTCGATAATATCATCTCCCGCTTCCTGGACCTGGTTCTCTGGGATGTTGTTTGAAGGGTGTCCGAAAGCGGGAATCTTACTACGGGGACGGCGTTACCAAGGGAATCGTCGAGCTTGTTTCCGATGACATTCCAGACTTTGGTGTTGGCCCGCCGATCATCCGCGGGGATCTGCTCGGAATTGAGCAATTTTCATGGATCTCATTATGTATTAGCGGGCTCTTAGTGGGTTCTGAGCGGGTTGTTAGCGGGCTGTTAGTGGGTGGACTGTGGGTTATTCGTGGGTCTGCGTCATTGAGTCGCGATTAAACATTTGAATCCGGTGCGGGTGGCTTGATCTTAAATGAGAGCACATTTGCGCCCCTGCAGCGGCTCGGGTGTGCCTGAGCGCATTTCCGCAGATCCCGGCTAACTGCATCCTCGCATGGAGATTCATATTCCTAGACAAATATTTTATGTCTTAGCTGCAGCTAGTACTAGAGAGCAGAGTAGTGAATAGGCTGTATACCTCCAGTATCCACCACCACCCCCAGAGGTGGGAACACTGACGTACTTGTTCTTGAAATGCTACTCTGAGTAATAGAGTCCAGGCCTCAGGACCTTAAAAGGATGTCTAGGGTTTCATGCATTAGATAATTTGACAAATCTAACACCAATAAGAAAAATGATCAAATAAAATTGCTTTAAAATCTCCAAGAGTATATACATGTCCGCAGTCAGCCTAGTGGCATGGGCCCGACCCTGCATTCTCCCCTCTTTCCGCATTCTTCAATCAAGGGGTACCGCCGAGACAGACACCGCCGCCGCAATGGGAAATTTGGTAGAAGATATCGGGGCTTCGCTCCCGATGCCATACATACTCATGGCATGGTATCCTCCCCGCACACTGTCCGCTTCAAGGTCCTTCGCCCGGAGCACGCTGGTAGCCACGCGTGCCGTGTCTCCATTGTAGCACACCACCAAGATGTGATGCGATGCAAGATCCGTCACCAGTTTGCCGTCATTGAAGATCTTCTCTAGCTCCACCCACTGGGCCTCCAGCACCGCCGGATCCGAAAACGGTGATGACGTGTGCGGCCCCAGGCTGTTCATCGGCAGGTTGATCGACTCGGGGAGGTTCCATGCGCCAAAGTCCCCTGTGCGTCGTAGATCAATCACCCGGTGCTGCGGCCTGAGACTAATCTCGCTGAGCAGGCTGTGTTCTAGGGATCGTGGCGACCCGTACACTTGCGGGAGAACCTCGAGCGCGTCCCGTTCCCATGCCTCGTCGTATCGGTGTAGATCCACATTGGCCAACCGCTGAACAATGGTTAGTTCCGGGGTCTCCTTTGTTGCATTCTGGCACGTCATAGATCGTGGACTTACCTCGTTGCGGATCGGAGGGAACTCTTCAGCTCCGAGTTTTTGGAAGTACTCGCCAATATACTGGTATGGAAGGTCGCAGCATAGGAAGACGCAATGCGTCAGTCCATCCGGGCCTGCCAAATCACCGAGCGTGCCGGCGTTCTTCCGCTTTTCCAGCATCTGAAACAGACCTTGAAGATTAAATCCGGATGATGGACCACATACCAGTCCCTCTCGACATAGTTTCAGGGACAAGGTGTACGAGCGCTCAGAGCCCACTTCTTCGATGCTATCCACAGCTTCTTTCCAGGGGAACTCAACAGGCCGCATGAGTGCATATGACCGGGGTCCAGGCACGCGGTCTCCAGGGGCAGTGCAGACGCCAAGTCGCATCACCGACGGCTTGACGCTCTTGAAGTATGTCCCCAAGCCAGTCATAGTGCCAGAGGTGCCCATGCCAGCACAGAGGACATTGATTTCTGGCAGCTGCTTGAAAATCTGTGGACCTGTCCACCGGACGTGTGATTGCCAGTTGTTATCGTTCTCGTATTGATTTGGGTTCACGATATCATCAGACTCCGCAGCCATTCTGCGAGCATTTTGGATACCACCCCGGTGGTCAATGGGCTCGGGCTGCGAGGGACCACCGAAGAGAGTGATGTCTAGGCCGAAGAACTGCATCAACTTCAACTTGGCGTCGCTGGTCTTGTTGCTCAGGAACGCTCGTGTATCCTGCACCCCATGCATAACTCGGGCAACCATGGACATAGAGATCACCGTAGAGCCCGAACTGTACTCAATGATTGTGTTTGTCTTTGTGGGGTCCACAGTCGATTCGAGCATATTCATCGCTGTTATCACATCAGCCAAGACCCTTCATCGCGTAATGCATGTTCATCCCACCTGGCATAGCCTTGACATTGTTCGCAGGATGCATAGTCATCATCTTGGCATAAATCCGAATTCCATCACAATAGTAAGGATTCAGATGTTCCGGCAACTCAACAAGCGGCAATGGTGGCTGGCTATCCGGGTCGAAGTACTTCTTCAACGAACTCGGGCCAAAATACACATTGCGCTCATTCATGTTGGGCGTCGTAGAAGATTCAAAAGCAAGCATATTACCAAACCCAACACCTACGACAAGGGTGCTTAGAAACAAAGAGGTAAATCTGAAAATCTAGGATCACATTTCAGGGGGCAATTCCTCGACAGATATACTTCCCTTCTATCCCAGCGCCCCTCCCATCCCCATGCGTACCTTGGCACCCAGAAGGTATCAACACCAAAGCACAAGATAAACCCTCAGCTCCACCATGGAAAATTCATACCTCGGGCGCTGCAAGCGCCAGAAATTTCCACCACGCGGCGGCATTGAATTGGGAAGGTCGACTAGACGATCGGGTGCATTTCGGGACATTCAAATGTAAGCCGGATCTTGATCGAAGTTTCCCATGTGCGTTGTTTGTCAAGGAAACTGCATTGCGGAGTGAGCATGTTTGAAAACGGCAGGATCACCACGAAGTGCGTCATGGCTTGTCTCCGCCGTGGTATTCGGAGGTGTGAATGCGATTGTTCTAGAAATGGGATGCGGTTCGATTCGCCCTATTGTCCCGTGCTTTAACCCCCCGATCTGCGATTTCATCTCTGGAGAAGAGACCCTTAGATTTCCAGGTATTCGGGAACAAGGAAAACGCCAAAAACATTTGAGCAGCGCACATGAGGGCCTCATGAGGGCCTCATGAGGACCCTGGTCATTTTTCATTACCCATCGTAATATTTCCAATTACTTTAGGTCTAAGAGTACCTTGAGAGTAATTGAGCAAGTTTGTCCACCCGATCAAACTCTAGTGTCCCTAGTGACGCCGATCAGCGGCTGTCAAGATCCGCTTCGGACATGCCGATCTATGTCGAATTCAGCATCCGTGCGAGAAATGCACTGACGACACTCAAATGCCTTGGCCTTTTCAGAATTGAGATCTGTGGTCCGTAATCATCTCCTGAATGCAGCTGCTTTTAAAAAATCATATCCTTCGAACAATACACCATCCTAGGTGCTGCACATAATGGCCGGAGTCTTGGAGAATCAATCAGGCCACTCGAGTGCAGATAACTCGAGTGCAGATAGCTCGACTGGCGATTTGGCTCACACTGACAAAAATGGAGCCACGGTGCTTTTCAACGAACAAACCAATTATGTACCTAGGCGCACCATTATCACGGTAGGTGGTTGTTCCTTCGAATTAAAGCTATTGGGGCTCTAATCGCGATTTTCTTTTATCAGATCTTTCTGGCGTGCTCCAGTGTTGACTTGTTGGCTTTGATGGACCAGACGATGCTGGCGTCTAGTTTGTCTATTATTGGAAATGCTTTGGGGGCGAGTGATCAGACTTCATGGATTTCTGGAGGTTATTTTGTGTATGTTATTCTTTCAAGGCATTTGTGTTTTGAATGGCTAATGTTTAATCGTGCAGTACATCGACTTGTTTCCAGCTACTTTATGGAAGACTGTCGGATATCTGGTCGCGCAAAATTGTACTTTTCGTCGGCCTTGGGATCTTCTTTATTGGATCGCTAGTTGCGTCTCTTGCGCAAAATGCCACACAACTCATCGTTTTTCGGGCCTTAACCGGTGTCGGGGGCGGCGGGTTAGTGACCGTCGCGCAGTTGATCGTCAGTGATATTGTTCCTCTCCGTGAGCGAGGGAAGTACCAGGGTATTCTTGGTGCTGTGGTCGCTATTGCCAACGGTATCGGTCCTGTCATCGGCGGAGCTCTGGCTTCAATATCGCAGGACTCATGGCGATGGATCTTCCGATTGAACCTGCCTTTGACGGTGATCACAACCCTGTCAGTGCTTTTCTACATGCCTTTGCGAAAAGTGGAAGGGGATTGGAAGCTGAAATTGAAGGCCATTGATTTCTTCGGGGCATTGCTGGCTCTGGGAGGTACTTCAGTTCTACTGCTGGGTTTGAACTGGGGTGGTGGCGAGTACCAATGGGACTCGGCACATGTCATTGCGACTCTTGTAGTTGGATTCGCTATTTCGGTGGCTTTTGTTGCCTGGCAATGGAAAGGTGCTCGTATTCCACTGGTGCCGGTACACATCTTTAAGGGAAGAATCGTCAATGGTGCCTGTCTCACTATGTTCATCAACGGATGGAACTTCTTGGTTCAGATTTACTACATTCCCACCTTCTATCAGCTGGTGTTCGGTTATTCGACGGTGAAAGCAGGTGCTATGCTGCTTCCAATTACACTGATGCAAAGTATGATCTCTCCTTCCTTGAAGAACATTGGCTAACCACCCATTCCACAGCGGTCAGTAGCACCGGTTCTGGCCTCATCGTCCACTGGGTCGGTCGTTATCGCGAATCCATTTTATTTGGTTGGATCATTTGGGCCGTCGGACTCGGCCTCTTCTCTACACTTGATCAATCGTCTGGGATTGGAAAACAGATTGGTTATGGGCTCTTAACCGGCGTGGGTGTTGGGAACACGCTACAGCCATCCCTGATTGCCGTTCAAGCTGGCGTCGAGCGACGAGATATGGCGGTGGTCACATCCTTCCGCAAGTAAGTTACTTTTAATATCATTCCGGTATAGGATCTAATCCATCATCAGCTTTGTGCGAAATCTCGGTGGCACACTCGGTCTCGCGATCGCCGGAACGATCATGTAAGTACACAATCACACGCTCGTGCCTGCTCTGCTAACACAGCAAGTAACAATATCGTTTCATCATCTATCTCAACTCTCGATCTCTCTGCATCTGAATCTCGCTCTCTGCTTTCCAGTCCGCAGACCTACTTATCCAAACAATCCGGTGAAGACGCCAATCATATCCGCAGTGTCCTCATCCCTGCATATCAGAAAGGATTCCGTATTATCTTCATCATTGGCGCGTCGTTAGCAGCTCTCGCTTTCTTCTTGGCATGTGGATTGATGCCCCAGCTCGGGTTGAAGCGAGCAGACGATGACGCTTTGAAGAAGGAAGGAGAGAAGCAGAATAATGGTGAACTGGATGAGGAGAAGCAAGGATAATTGGTTCAAGAGACTATGATGATGGAATGGAGTCGTGAGTGGTATTCAAGGTACATATTAAATGGTTTTATATATGTTCATCCTGCATGGAGCATGAAATAGCCTGCAGATCATATAATCGAGGGCTTTGGGCTTTAGTCTCCCGCTTGGTTATAGCAGGGATTTGTTTGGCGTAGATGCACTAATTCCCACAAGAGTTAAGCTTTAAATGGGGGTTTATGGTGGCTGAGGCCCACCGCGACGGTGTAACCGGTCACTTATAACTTCGGAGATTCCATAGTATCAATCGGTCCAAGTATTAATGCTGTTACCTATAAATTTGGGAGTCCTCTCTCTTGAAGCAGCAACTGACAGAGGGGCTTGCGGGAAGTTCTTAGCGAGAGTAAATACCAAGAACCAAGATTTCAAAATTTAAGCCTCACTAGCGTCAAGATCAGTCACACTTAAATGAACGCCACGTGATCCTCGTCTCCCTAGGGATTAGCTTGGGACGAGAGTTTTCTTATAGGGCTCGGTGAAACAGACGAATACTGCTAGTTGGAGGACGGAACTATCCTGTCGAGCCTACCGAATCCCGAAAAGTGAGCGGAGGACTTTATTAAAGGATGGGACTTGCCACGATGTCCAGAGTTGTACTCGTGGATGTTCAACGGCAATTGGGGATAATAATGATGTGTTTTTAGTAGCTAGGAACGATATTGTTGCCCTCTAACCTTATTGCTTGGGCCATTTCTTGTATCCATTCACCATATTGGCACGTTACCGAGGCCAGGGTGAAAGAATACGTGTGTGCGACGCGTCTCGGGCGGTGCCGTTTCTTTCCATGAACTCTTGATCTACAGTACCTTAGGACATCGCAACGCCAGTGTATGGCAGCTTTGACCACTTGATATTTCTCATATTCTTAAAATTGACTAACTAACTCATCAATACAAAGCTCATTGAGCCTATCGTGGAAAAGAAAAAAAAAAAAAAAAAAAAAAAAAAAAAAAAGAGGCAGACGGCAGTATTTTTATCCCCTCGATCAGTGGTGGGCCGGTTCAAGGCTGACGTACGACCGTTGCGCGTGGCTGCTGGCCGGACCTCCACAGTCCACGCCCAACCACGGCCTGGGACCTGCACCAAGAAAGACTTTTCAAGGTGGAATTGAAAATAAAGTTGATAAATATCACCGATGCTCTATGAATAGAATTTTCCTTGTCCTCCTAGTCTGAAAAAGCCACTTTCGCACACGTCACGGAGGATGGTCATCGCCCGCGCCAGTTCTTAGTTTGATACCGATCGCCCGACTTATTCACACAAGTTCTTGGTCTCCCTGTAGGTTAGTAGCCATCGTCTGGGTGATATAAACTCTTGATCGGCCCCGGATTTTTCTTCCCCTCTGGTCGAATCCAAGTACAATGGAGACTCCTACGCCGGGTGCCACCGCTCAGTCACGATTTTCGGACTATTTTTCAGCACACCACCGGGATAGCAGCTTCAATTCAGCCGCGAGCTCTCATGATGTGAGTACCCTTGAGATTGACCCCTCATTGCTTAAAGGGGAGAAGAAATGTGAATACTAGCCAATTTCAGCCCCGTCGATCACTAGTTCCCGGCGTCCGTCGCTATCCAACTCGAAAGATCAAGCTTGTTCAGGGCTACGTGTTAAGCATCGATTACCCAGTTCCGAGCGCCATTCAAAATGCAGTTCAAAAGAAGTACCGAGATGGAGAGTTCGCTGAAGAATTTAGCCAGCTACGTTGTGAGTTTCCCCTACAGGTCTTAGAGTCTGAATCCCATATCGGCGACTGACGAAGCAGACACCGCTGCCACCTGTGACCCGGACGAATTCGTTATGAGAAATGGATACAACCTCCGCCCAATGATGTACAATCGGCATACCGAACTCCTTATCGCGGTCACCTATCAAAGCCAGAACAAGGTTCTCACGGCTCGGACATTGCACGGAGTTATGCAGAACATTCGCGACATATGCAATCTCAAGAAATCGAAGTTCTGGAACCAAGGAGGCCCAGCTTGGCAGAAGATTGTTGTCTGCCTCGTCTTCGACGGAATTGATCCTTGCAATCAAAACACCCTAGACGTGTTGGCTACGATCGGCATCTACCAAGATGGTATCATGAAGCGATCGGTTGACGGCAGGGACACAACCGCGCATATAGTGAGTGGCCTACGGATGGGGATTTTCAAAAATTGCTAACAGAAACAGTTCGAATATACCACACAACTCTCCGTCACCCCGAACCAGGATTTAATCCGTCCCCAAGGAGACGAGCCCACCAATTTCCCGCCTGTTCAGATGATATTCTGCTTGAAACAGGAGACCACCAATAAGATTAATTCGCACCGCTGGATCTTTAACGCATTTTCTCGCATGCTGAACCCTGAAGTGGTAGTTCTGCTCGATGCTGGCACGAAGCCTGGCAAGGAATCTCTGCTTGCGCTGTGGCAATCGTTTTATAACGATAAAAACCTTGGTGGAGCTTGCGGCGAAGTTCATGCCTTCCGGGAGACGAAAAGCCTTCTCAACCCTTACGTTGCCGCTCAAGATTTCGATTTGAAACAGGCTAGTATCCTCGAAAAGCCTTTGGAGAGTGTGTTTGGAAACGTTTCACTAGGCGACTTCTCTGCATACAGGTACCGGGCCATCATGGGACGGCCACTGGAACAATATTTCAAGGGTGATTTGACACTGTCAAGCAAACTTGGCAAAAAGGGTTTCGAAGCAATGCCAATTTTCAAGAAAAACATGTTCTTGGCCGGAGATCGTATCTTGGGCTTTGAGCTTATCGCTAAAGCTGGCTTTAAGTGGCATTTGGCTCTTGTTAAGGGAGCAAGAGCGGAAGCTGAAGTTGCACATGATTTCGCAGACTTCATCACCAACCGCCGTCACTGGCTGAATGGTTCCCTTGCTGCAGACCTATACACTATCATTCATTTTGGTCGACTCTATAGTAGCGGGCACAACATTCTACAGCTTGCGCTTCTCCACTTTCAAATGATCTATACCTTCACCCGCTTTGTGATGAAGTGGTTTTCACTTGGTACGTTGAATGGCATTCATAAAACTTCTAAAATACAACAAGGCTAACTACTGATAGCCTCATTTTGGATGATCACATCTGTTCTTATGGGCCTTGTGGGCACAGCTAATGATGCCAATGACAACCGAGCATGGCCATTCGGCAATGAAGCTTCTCCGATTATAAACAACTTCCTCAAATACGGCTACGTGTTTTTCTTGGGCTTACAATTCATTTTGTCCCTTGGCAATCGTCCAAAAGGGTGGGTTTCGGTTGGGTCTCAAATTCTAGACTACGCTAACATCTGCTCATTCTTAAGGTCCCGCCTTGCCTACTCTCTCTCTTTCCTATACTTCACTTTCATCCAGTGCTATGTTACAGTCCTAGCCTTCTATATGGTCCACCAGGCTACATCACGATTCACCTTCGACTCGGTGTTATATGAGGACGACATGCTGGCGTCAACTTGGAACAATCTGGGTTCAAGCATGGTCTTGATGATTTTAGTTTGCACTTATGGAGTACACTTGATCTCCAGTGTCCTCTACACGGACCCGTGGCACTGCTTAACATCTGCTTGGGCATACTTTGCAGGAACAACTTGCGCATCAAACATGTTGATGGTTTACGCTTTCTGCAATTGGCACGATGTCTCAATCGGCAAGAAGCCCGCGCCGAAAAAGTCATCTTTACCCGAGGCTCAGACCCAGAAAGATGACAAAAACAAATTTATCGAGGAGTTGGATAGACCGCAGGCTGATATCGATACTATATTCCAAGCCACAGTCAAGCGAGCTCTGGCTGTGTGGGCACCACCGCCCGAGGGGGATGAAATTGATGTCCAAGACTTGTACAAGGGCTTTCGAACCTACCTGGTGTTGCTCTGGGTCTTCAGTAACCTTGCTATGGTCCTTTGCATCATGAGCAATGGAGACAGACAGCTTTGCCTGAGGGAGCTTCCTCAATCGCGCATCTGGAATTACCTTTTGGCTACTCTGTGGGGAACGGTTGGGCTTTTTCTATTCCGTTTCGCTGGATCTATGTGGTTCTTGGCTAAAGCCAGTGTTCTATGCTGTGTCTCACGACGTTAGGTATGAATTTTCAACAAGTTCGACGAGTTTTGAGCACAAAGTAAAATTTTCAGTGGTCAAATTTGTGCGAATATAAGAGTAGCCCTGGGCCCAGTAATAATAGGGGGTATATATTTGGACTCGATCTTACAATATACCCAAGAAAAAAAGTGTAAAAGAAGGGACAACTGTACACCGGCTTCAAAGCCTAGTACCCAGGATCCTGGTCGCACAAGTGTTTAGGACTCTCGAATCCATCCATATTAGCAGCACTGATGAAGTCCTTTGTCTTTTGCGCATCGCCACCGCAGATTGCACCGCACCAGACAGGGCGGCTATCGTGGCCATAGGGCTGCAGAATATACTCCTTGTCTTGATAATCCGCATCGACAGCAGCACCAATATCGCAAACCGGTATTGTAAATATGCCTTCCCAAGCTGCACCCTCCGAGCCGGGGTTTGCCCAGGCATTCGTGATAGCATCCTCAGCCCGTGATTTGGCAGTGTCAGCATTGTAGCCGTAACCGGCGACATTGTAGGCGTCGAGCGAGGAGTTGATGATGTCCTGTTATTATTAGACTAATGGCACCATGACCCGGGGCTGGAAAACATACCTCAACAGTAACACCACTGTACTCACTTTGACCCAGCGAGTCAGCTCCCGGAGGCGAAGCAACCCATCCCCACTGGTGCGAGGTAGTCGAGATCACGTCATTCTCCTGCCAATAGTACAGGTACCAGGCCTTTCCGTCGCGACAGACGACTGCTTCCTGGGGGCCAGAGCCGATTCCTTGGTTATCACCACATGCACCACCGCCCATGACAAAGACCTTCTGGGTGCGGTAGAGCTGGTTGACGGAAGTTCCGATTAGCATGTTGGTCATGGCATCTGTGACGGCATTCTTGTCAACGCCTTCATACTCCAGGAAGGCACCACCGGAAATATAGGTGCGAATGTCAGCGTTGCTGTAGCTTTGGCCACCCATGAGCTGGTTGTTGGCTGTTGTGAAGGACTTGAGAGAGTCGGTCACGATCGTGCCTAGTAGGCCGCCTAGATCGGCGGATTTCTGGAATGAGTCATCTGTGCTGTTGAAAATCAACAAAATGAGCTCTTCTTGAAGTCGAAAGGGACAAGAAAAAAGAAAAAAATAACATACTGCTGTCCCACAATAGAACTTGTAGCACCATTTGCACCACCCATAAGAGCCGACCCAGCACCAGCAACAGCTCCAGTAAGAGGCCCAGCCAGGCCGGCAAAAGAAGCGCCAATGCCAACAATGGTAGCAACAGCGTTCAGCGCCTCCTTTAATGCAGTAACACTCTTGTCATCCTTATCCGTATAGAACGTAGTAGCCCACGAATCCTTCGAAAGCGCCGCCCCAAGCGCAGCAGTAGTAAAAGCCTCTCCAATACCAATGAAATAAGTATGCAGACGGTTTACAGACTCCAGAATATAGTAGGTGTTGCGAATATCTTGGCCCCGGTTATTCAGGACCCGGTTATCACACAGCGACAGATCGCAGTCCGAATCTGAGCCGTCGTCTCGGCATGACCAGTCCGGGTTGCCCATTGCCCATTGTCCAAAGGCGCCGGAAAATCCGCCGGTGTTGTTGCCCATTAGGCTGGAATGGGAGTTCCACCAATTGTTGAGCCAGTCACCGGTTTGGTAGGTGTCCCAGTCGGCGGTGTGCTGGCCATAATATCTGGAGACGGCGCCGCAGCGTTTGTAAACTCCGTGAGGCGAGGTGATAGGTTCGATTCGTTTGTGATGGGGGACTGCTTGGACGGCCGGTGCCAGGGCCAGAGCTGCGAGGGCGATGGTGGGAAGCATTGTGCTTGAAGAGGACGTAACGACTGGACTAGCACAAGCTGTCGCTCGGGCTCGAGCGATGAGGAAGATGGTATGTCGAACAGGATATTAGGCATCTTATTTATACCCGAAATGGTCCTTCAATAGCCAAGTAGATGGGATCTTCATTGAAGTCAACGGCAACGGGCAACTCCTCATCAAAGCCCCACGTCGGAAGATAATGCAGGCTCAGCATGTCAGGTTTGACGTGCCAAGCTACAGTGCAAATCGAGGTGTATACCCTTTTTGTATACACCAAATCCTTGATGTGTCTGATCGACAGGGACTCGTGCACTTCGAGATTAGCGGTACGCCTAACCCGCCTCCATGCGTTGCAGACGGTGGGGGCCACGACTATGCGCGGACATGAAAGGCCAGGCTAGAGATGAGCAGGCTTGGCAGTCGATTCGGGGGCTAGAAAAGTTCTTGTTCGATTACTCTTCCGGGAAATTGGTCATTGTAGAAATGTCAAAGTTAATCATCAATCAGCTCTTGGGGTAAGTTTGTGTGAGTGGGGTTTGTTTCATCATCAGGGTCGATCTGCAAGGCGCCCCTAGGGGATCGTCGAAGCATGGTTCGGAGTTTTTCAATAGTCGGATCCTTCAGGTTTGTTCGCTAATACCTGTCGAAAGTAGCAATGCTCACGACACTAGTCGACGTTGGTGATTGAAACGAGTTATCCCATATAAATAGGGGTTTTATGCAAACAGAAGAGGTGTAAGCTATCCCATCTATCTCGTTGAATCCCATTATTTCTGTCTTTAACTTTCTAGGTCCTTCAGTTTGTCTTTAAATTTTTTTGTGAAAGAGGTCTTTATATTTCTTGTACAAAGGCTCTTTCAAGGCGTCCGAAAATTCGAAGTATGATCGCAACCCAATGCCATTAATTTCGCCAGCCTAGCAACTGTCTTCCACGACCAAAGACCGGCACAATCAACCAGTTGACACATAAGCACTCTGTGACAGCTGTCCTAATTTCTACTAGCAGAGGTTTAGGCTCTCTGGGTTATAGTAAATTACTGACCATGCGAAAGGAGCACCAGTCGGACCGCCGAATTCAGATCCTCGAAATAGACCTAGAAGATCTAGAAAGAAAGTCTCGGAGTAGGCGTCGGGAACGAGAAGGATAGTTTGAAGGGTAACTCAAGCTAAGATTGATCATCGAGTGGGCAGTTGGTTAATGTCATTTGGGAGTCTGGGAGAGTAAGACTGGATCATGGGTAGAGGAGTGAGGAGGGGTGTTAAGGAAAGTGCGGATCTTGGCCAGAAGCTTGGGACGGTCAGCCCTACGATTATCGGACAGAACGGACCTCGAATTACAGGCATCCACTGCTGGGCCGAGCCTGCATAACAAGGCATTTGATGTTTGAATTTGGCAGCCGGGTTTTCTTGAGTCGTAAATTCTCAAGTAACAACCACATCTATTCAAACCCTTGGGGGGCATTTTAATGCAAAAGAGACGTGTATTGAGTAGAGATCAGCAAACTAAGAAAAGCCCAGCACCGAAGGGGTCATAATCATGCAACAGAAACAAAGTCGTGACGGTCATCAAGTCATCATAAGCAAAGAAAAGACAAAGCCCCGAATAAAGGAAAAGCCCTCGAAGACGCCCACATCCTGCTATTTTAATTGTCTGTGTGATCCAAGCTCCGAGGCCCGAAGACCCAAAAACCCAACATGCACGGCTTGAGCCAAGCCCGGAAACTGCATAACATGAAACAAGCGCCCGGGTCTAGACGTCTTCAATCACGACAGTGCGCTCCACGATCCAATTGACCAGAACTTGGCCTTCACGTTTCCACCGCCCGTCCATCCACACATCAGCTAGCCAGTAAGTCCACGTATTGCCTGGTGCTGGGAAGTTGAGGTCCCACAGGGTATTGGAGACGCGGCGGGATATAGGGCCTTCGGTACCGGCAGAGAGGTCTTGATTGATATTACGAAGGCTAATGGCAGGTTCGCTGCTGGAAGCGACATCGCCGTGCCGGAGGTGCCATTCGCGCTCTGCTTTTTCGCCTGCGCGTCGGGCAACGGCTTCTTCGTCTTCAGCTTGGTAGAGGTCGCATTTGCTACATTCCGTGCAGCGGGAGCCGGGGTTTATACGGAAGTGTTCGCAAAAGTGTTTGTAGCCTTGTGGTTCCTCAGATTCGTCGTCCGATATGTCGTTCATTATAGCGTTATCTAGGTCGTCGGCTGGGCCGTCGAAAATATCTTGGTCTCTGGGACGCGCATTGCGGCGGGCGGGTTGAAGGGGTGGTCCGAGGGCTTTGCGGCAGAGATAGCACATCGAGTAGCCGCAAACGCAGGTTAGTTTGTTGCAGCCGGAGGATTTGACGAAGGATAGACCACAGCGGGGGCAGGTTCGTTTCACGGCTGCTGTGCGAGCAGCTTCGACAGTGGCGCGGAGGTCGGTTAGGAGGGGTTCATGACAGACGTGGGGGTCGCGCCAGGATTTTTGGCAGGTCATGCAGCTAATGCGTTTGCACGTTGGATTGGCGCATGTGAATCGCTTGGGTCGGATTTTGAGGCAGAGGTGTCGGATGGCGGTTTTAAAGACGGCAGTGAGGGAGGATGGGTTTAGGATAAGGATGACAAAGAAGGGGATGATAAGGATCGGGACAAGGTCGAGGATGAGGAGTATCATAAGGATAGTTGGAACAACATCACCATCGCGACGTATGCGCCAGCCAACAGGCACCGAATGATAGATCGGGTCGGCTTCGGCGTAGGAACAGAACGGGCATCTGACAAGCTTGAGCTGAGATTTGAGAAGCGCCTCGGATGCCAAGCGATCTTCAAACTTTCGTAGCGTCTCAATGCCAGCTGTTTCCTGCAAGATGGCCCGTTGGACAGCCAGTGGATGAAGACAACCATCACAGGATCCGATGGACAATGGTGCTAGGCATTTTAACGTAGAACGTTCCAAGTCCACAGACTTGCCCCATCCTTGGCCAAACAAGGCTTCGTGGGTAGTCCGTTGGATACATCGATAGCAAATGACATGGGCATTGGCCGAACAAGTCGCGATTTCCTCAAAGGTCACGTCACCGAAGCAGCACTCGCACTCATAGAGAGCATCGGCAGCTCGAGCCTCTTTCTCGTTGATAGAAGCGGCAAATCGGAAGTCACCAAGCTCTTGCTCCTCGCGTCGCTGTTGTAATACAGGAGCCACGAGTGCGTCATATAGTTCAGCATCCAGCTCCACGCAACCAGTTTCCTTCAGTCGGGGCAAGGACTCGCCATCAGGACCTCGCTGCCACGCCACAAGCAGATGCTCCTCTCTATCCTTCTTCTTCCGAAACGACGGAAGAATGCTGTTGAACGTAGCTCGCCAAGTCCGACGTGATAAATCTCGTAACGTCGGTCTGGCACGCGCATAGCTGAAATTCGCCTCAGCTAGCACAGCCTCAACGACGCTCTTGCTCAGACTGCTGTATTCCTTGCTCAAAGTCGCCCGGACCATCGCCTTGTATTCGTCCGATCGAAAGCGTTCTTCAAGAGGGACCAGACACTCCTCGTCATCCAGATCCTCCCTGGCCTGTAGACGGTCACCTCGGTCATCTGCATCTCCATCCTCGCCCTTGCCTTGTCCTGAAGAAATATTCCATCTCCCCGAAACCCACTTCTCCTTATGTCTCAAAAGCTGATCAACACAGACCTGCAGCCTGCTGTCACCATCAAATCTCACGAGCAGCTCTCGAAAAACCTCGATTCTAACATCCGGAAAAACTCGCGCAAGGGTCTCCAGCGCTGTATTAAGCTCGTCTTGCTCCCTCCTCTGCTCTTCGACGTCCTCGACAGAGACCTGAGCCGAGCGGGACCGCGACGTGCTCCCGAACGGGTTATTGCGCAGAGCCTCGCTCAGTGTAATAGAGGTGCTATTCGAAGACGAGGCTCCCCCTCCAAGGCCGGGTGGTTTCCAGGCATTCCGGCTGGACGAGGAACTGGACGAGGAGGCTGAGCCGCGATGTCGGCGGGATGCGGGCGCGGTGCCGTCGGCGGGGCGTGGCGGAGATGCGGAGGATCTGGCGAAGCTGGGTACTGGTAGCGAGAGCACCATTTTATCGGCAAGGCACTGCTACATTGTCGAAGTAGAGGTTGAATCGGATAGGAACAGGCTGTTTGTTGAGGGGAAGAATGAAGGATCGCGGTATCGCGGTTACATAAGGCACTGTTGCCTACGCTCGCTTTGATGGATTTTTGTGCGAGCCTTGGGTGAGCTTTGTTTGACGATTGAGGGATATATTCGCTTTTCTCTCGCTTAACATGGTAGTCTCTTGATTCGAATTCGATTCCTTATCTCGGTGTTCTCTTTCGCTCGGTTTATAATCCAGTAAAGAGCCTAGAACGTCCCACATCTAGACTCCATGCCCCCGTTGTATCCCTTACGTTCCGCCAGCCGAGACATCCTGCACAAGCGGATGCAGAGTGCCCACCTACGCCTAGAATAGAATTTAGTCTCCTAGAGTACGCATAGAATATATAGACTTCAGTCCAAAAATGAGGTCATTCCAAGATTGAGATCAGAGTCACATAGAAATAGCGCAAAAGACAAGAAAAGAAGCTAGGTATATACAAACAAGAAGCCACAATCTGATCGGAGAAACCCAGCTCCCACGCCAGGAATTGCTTCAATCGAGGTATCCCATATTTTACAGCTTGGCCTTGGCGCCCTCGAGGAGCTCGGCGCCAGCGCCAGTGATGGCGGGCTTGCCGGTCTCGACAACGGTAGCCTGGAAGAGTACGGTGTTACCCTCCTTCCACATCTCGGTCTTGAGAGTCTGGCCGGGGAGAACAACGCCGGCGAAGCGGACCTTGAGGTTCTTGTAGGCTCCGTACTTGGAGAAGACGGCCTTGGCGGCCACACCCAAGGAGCAGAGACCGTGCAAGATGGGGGTCTTGAAGCCGCCGACCTTGCTGAACTCGGGGTCGATGTGCAGGGGGTTGCGGTCGCCGTTCAGGCGGTACAGGGCAGCCTGGTCCTCGGAGGTCTTCTCCTCGATAACGGCGTCAGCAGCGCGCTGAGGGGGCTTGTAGGACGCGGTAGCACCCTTGGGGCGCTGGGCAGTAGGCTTGGGAGAGCCGCCGAAACCGCCGCTACCGCGGATGAAAACGGTAGACTCGTTGTAGAACAGATCCTCACCGGTGTTGGCGTCTTTGGTGGTGAAACCGGCCACGACGAGGGCGGCATTGCCTTTGTCGACCACGTCGATGAGCTTGGGGTAGGTCAAGGTTTTGGCGGCAGTGGGGATGGGGTACTTGCGGACCTCCATGTACTGCTCACCGTGAAGGAGCATCATAGGCGAGAAGTCCTTGACAATCTCGTCCATGTTCCAGGGGGTCTGGGTGTTGAACCAGGGGACAACACCGTATGAAGGCAAAGCCTGGAACTGGTCGTTGTTCTCGTAGACCAGGGGCAGGTCGGTGCGCTTGGCGCCCAAGCTAAGGTTGTAAAGGATGACATCACGGTCCTCGTAGTCGAAAGCAGTTCCCTCGGTGGAGAGACCCTTAGCCTTCTCAATGGCCTGGAGGTAGTCGTTTCCGCCGCTGGACTCGCCGTTGACACGGTTGGCCATATTGGCCATGATACGCTCGACGCCAGCCTGGCCATCCTCGGGGTGGTCGGCACGGCCGTCCTCGAAGTTGACAATCTGCTTCCACTTGGCAACGACCTCCTCGGGGGTCAGCTTGACGTCCACGGGGAAGCCGTGACCGCCAGAGCGCTGCCAGCGAGTGCGGCCGAACCAGCCACTGCCACACTCGAAGAGACCCTTGGTGGAGGGCTCGGGGGCGGCGTCAGAAGACAGCAGAACAACTAGGGGGGCGACGTAGTCGGGCTTGAAGGCCTGGACCATCTCCTCGGGCATGATACTACGGGTCATGTTGGTACCAGCGTTAGGGGCAATGGTGTTGACCTTAATGTTGTACTTGGCGCCCTCCATGGCGAGAGTGCGGGAAAGACCCAAGATACCCAGCTTCGCGGCAGCGTAGTTGGCCTGGCCGAAGTTACCGTAGATACCGCTGGTGCTAGCAGTGTTGACAATACGGCCGTACTTCTGCTTAAGCATGTGGGGCCAAGCAGCCTTGGTCACCTTGTAGGTACCACGCAGGTGGACGTTGATGACCTGGTTCCACAGGTTGTCATCCATGTTGGTGAAGGCCTTATCACGGAGGATACCGGCGTTGTTGACCAGAATATCGATACGGCCAAAGGCATCAATGGCAGACTTGACGACGGCATCACCATCCTCGCAGGAGGCCTTGTTGCCGACAGCCTTGCCGCCCAACTTCTTAATCTCATTAACAACATCGTCAGGGTTCATTAGGTCGTTGACGACGACAGAGGCACCAAGCTTGGCGAACAGCAAGCAGTATGCGCGGCCAAGACCAGCACCACCACCAGTCACAAGAGCGACGCGGCCCTTGAAATCGGGCTCCTCTCCCTTGGGGGCACTGGGCATCTTCAGGCCATCCTCAAGGTACGCCATGAAGTCAGCAGGGCCCGTGGGGTACTCGGGCTGAGAGAAGTCGTTGACTTCGTTCCACTTGCGGGCAATAGTGCCAGGGGTCAAAGAGTCATCGGTCTTGAGGAGAGCACCCTTGGCACGCTCCCAACGGAGCTTGGCAACGTGACCACCGCCAACCTCGTAGATGCCACCGGACTCGGTGGTGTTGGAGGAGTGAACGAGAGCCGCAACCAGAGGAACAACCCAGTCGGGCTTCAGGTTCTCGAGGACATCCGGGGGCATAACAGTAGCAGTCATGCGGGAAGCAGCAATAGGGGCAATAACGTTGGCAATGATGTTGTACTTGGCACCCTCCTTGGCCAGGGTCTCAGTGAAACCGACCTGGCCGAGTTTGGCAGCGGAGTAGTTGGCCTGGCCGAAGCTACCGAAGAGACCGGCGGCGGAGGCGGTGTTAATAACGCGACCATACTTTTGTTTCCGGAAGTGAGGCCATGCGGCTCTGGCGCACTAAAAACATGTCGAGTTAGTATTGCGCGCTTTGTATTACGTTGTGTGGGGTATCATACCTTGTATGCACCGTAAGTGTGAACACGGTTGATCAGGTCCCAGTCCTCATCCTTCATATTTTTGAAACTGATGTCACGCAGGATACCAGCGTTGTTGAGGAGCACATCGATGCGTCCAAAGTTCTTAATGGCAGTCTCGATGATGCCCTCTCCGTTCTCGACGCTGTCGTAGTTGGCGACGGCCTTGCCGCCGGCGGCGCGGATCTCGTCGACGACCACATCTGCGGCCTTCGGAAAGTTAGCGAATAATCCAAGGAATATCTAGAAGCAAACATACCTTTGATGACTGGCCCTCGCCCTTGTGAGAACCGCCGAGGTCGTTAACGACGACGCTAGCACCTCTCGAGGCGAAGAAATGGGCGTATGCCTTTCCTAGGCCACCGCCGGCGCCGGTGACGACGACAACTTGATTATCAAAACGCAGTTCGGACATGTTGTATGGGTAGAGTCCGACTTGTTCAGAGTTGGGGAAAAGAAGGGGAAGAATGACGGAGAGAGCGATGTTTAAAGACGGGGAGCTCGGCAGAGCTGGGGGACCTCGGCACGTTCTGTCCCAGCGTAAGAAAGCGGGCGTATCGTTACACTGGCACATCACCCGCTTCACATGCCGACGATCGACATAGGTATTGTACTTGGTTTGTACATGGCTTGCTATTTCCGTGGGATCGATACACTGCACTACTAGCTATCAATATATTTTATGATTGTCTTATGCCCCGGTACTCGCCTGTCCGCTGATTCTCTCATACAATTGCATGTACCGAGTACCGTGCTGACTCAGACATGTGACAACAACGTCATAGCCATGTGCCTACCCCGAGTGTGTGCGATTATATTGCCCAGCTGATCCCATTCGTACCATAATTATGTGAAGATGAGTCCAGTTTCACGGAGAAAAGCTGCTGGTTGTTGCTCTCGCCCGAGACGGGTCAAATGAGTAGGCTGAGAGATCCCCCGCGGGGGGGAACAAAACCCCAGATTCCCCCGGCAACTTACCGGCCACCGTAACCGATAGGGTCCCTCCGTAAAACCATACATCGGACCAAATATGCCGGAAATAGTCGACGACAAGTCCCAGCATTGTATTCCGTTCCTTCTGGAGCGCCTGCAAGCTCATATCGAGCGGCATCGCAAAGCAAATGGCTCAGCCGATACCCCACCGTTCTTCCTAGGTCTCAATGGCGTGCAGGGAGCCGGCAAGACAGTTCTGGTAAGTCGAATACTCGGCCTGGATTTCTCATCCAACCTCGGGACGGCATGTCGGTCTCCTCGGGGATGGAGCTAATGCTGTCAATGCTGTGCAGGTGTCAACATTGCAAGACACTCTCCGCTCTGCGCCGTACTCGCTCTCTGTCGTGACCCTCTCGCTCGATGACATCTACCTCACCCGCGCCGACCAGGAAGCTCTTGCTAAGACGCACCCATCAAATCCGCTGCTCCAGCACCGCGGCCAACCTTCGACGCACGATCTAGCGCTAGGCGAAAAGGTCTTCGATTCCCTTGTGGCGGAGCGCCCCACTGCCATACCGCAGTATGACAAGTCTGCTTTTGCGGGGCAGGGTGATCGCGTGCCCGAGTCACAATGGCAGGTCGTGAACTCTGAAGGGCAGGAGAAAGTCAAAGTGGTCATCTTCGAGGGTTGGTGTGTTGGTTTCCGTGCCTGGGATGAGAAGACCCTGCGCGAGAAGTGGGATGCTGCTGTGCGGCAGAAGGAGAGCGGCGAATACCAAGGCCGATTGGGTCATGTCAAATTTGAGGATGTTCAGACTGTGAACGATGCCTTGAAACAATATGACTTGTTGACTGAGTGGGTTTTTTCCTCAATTGAAGACCGTGCAACGCGAAGTGGCTAATGGAACCTTGCAGCAAACTTGACGCACTAATCCACATGTGAGTATTGAAGAAACCATGTTTCTTTGATATTATGTGAACTGATAACCCCTCAAGTGACACGCAAAACCTTCGGTTTGTCTACGAATGGCGCCAGGAGCAAGAGCGCGGTTTGCGAGCTGCCAAGGGTGCTGGAATGACTGAGGAGCAGGTCAATCACTTCGTGGACGGCTGTCGGTGCCCCTATCCTGGCTTAACCACCTGGTCGAAGAAACAGGGCTAATTGTACCCCAGACTATCCCTCCTACGAGCTTTTCACCGAGATCCTCCGCGACGGGGCCTTCAAGCCTGCTGCGCCCCAGCAGTCCACAGCATCCGACTGGCAAGGCAGACAGCTTCGCCTTATTGTTGATCGTAACAGGAGGGTCCAGGAGGTGGTCCGCATCTAATAGAGACACGTGGACTATTATCGAAATGTTTACAGGTCAAATGGATTTATTCAGTAACCGTCCTAGGTACAGTTGCTAGATTTGGGTGCACCAAAATATATATCGGCTAAATTGAGCCTCGAAAGTTGATATTGTAGCTGGGGGGTATAAGTGAGAAATAAAAAATAATTAGAAACAAACGCTCAAATGCATCAAACTCGGGGACAACAGCTTTGTGAGACATCAATCGAACGGGCGTCCCAGCTGGTGGAAAACCCTGTGAAATTCCAGATTCGGGTCCCCATCATGAGCCTCGGCACGACCTGCCCCACCGCCTTAGCAACCGACGATGAACCTGGGTCTTTAGTAGACACTGTGGATAATTCCAGAGGGATGAGCGGCTGTGTTTAAGGGCTTGGTAAAGATCTTATAGGAAAATTTGCCTCTTAGCAGCGCATGTGTTGGAGGCCAGGCAGATCTTGATGGGCGTTATTTGTGGCGGTGCCTGCGTGCCTGTGTCTACCATACTGATGCTCTTGAAGACTATCATCCGCTGTCATCGAGCAGATTCTGAGGCGACCAATACTCCTTCTCAGGTCCCTGGGCATCCAACCAGACGAGCCCATCGGCCAGCAGATCGTCGATCACAGTTTGCGCTCGGGCTTTTTCCCAATTGAGATTGAGCCGCAACATCGAAACGCTAACGAAGCCCAGCACCTGTATTGCTTCTAAAACCGTAGCTTGGTCGGTGTTAAGTTCCTTGGGGATAGAACGAATGTATTGCTTGGCACCAACGCGAACGATAGAGAAGCCGGAGGCGAGAGGTTCTAAGGAGCGTACAGCGCGCAGGATGTCGTCCCTATTCGAGCAAAAGCCGTGTTAGTTCAACTCGAATGCAATGCCAGCCGGATCAAACAGGTCAGCCATACTCGGAAACTTCTAGGCCACTTCCGATCGCCTTCCCTTTTCCCACGCGAGTTCGGCATTCCTCAACGCCAAGTAACCCTCCATTCTCACTCCTCGTTTCCCGACACAATTCAACCACTCGGACAGCAACTTCAAAATAGAAGTCATTCATATCACCGCCCAGAATCTGGGTCCAGAAACTGCCTCCCTCGCCGAGCCCGCGGCGGCCATTCTTGCCTTTGATGTTACTCGCGGCAAGGGGATCCACACCGATTGTATTACACATACGTGCAAACTCTGCTCGGAAGGTGGGATTCGACTTGATAGTGGAACTGTGTTCGAGAGCGAAGGTGTGTAGCAAAGATTGGAAGACGGAGAGCTGGGTTTGAAGAGAAGCGGTATGTGTGGATCGTAGGTTAGCGCCATGGGTGGCATATGATTGGGTTGTCTGATTGCGATTCACAAAGGCCCCGAGGCCGACGCCGCGACGAGACATGACTATAGGTATATAGTAGCTCTAATGAGGCGTCGGAGTTGCGGGTCGCGGGGCTGCTTGGAAGCGGAGGGATGAAGTCATCTGACTTGTCCGATAAGCAGAAAGCCCTAGTCACGGGTGATAAGGGCATCTAACGCCATATTAGGCTTAGCGCTTTATCGCCCGGTACTAACCCACATCAGGTTAGATTGGACCCATCGCTCCCACAAGCGAATTCTCTTTTCTTCGTCGTTTCGCTCGAACTTTTTCTCTCGATCATTCCTCGCCGACCACCTCGCGACACTCCAGCACAATGGCCGCCACTACGTATGCTCACCCCTTCCCTTCTGACTGACTCGATCTCTATGAGATTGTGAGGTTTGAGGTATAGTCGTCCTTCTCGCTGGAAATGCCACGGTCGTCGCCGGCCGCTGTGCACCAGCTCGATCCTTCCCACCTTCCCTGCCTGCTCGAATGACCTTTACATATATGTGTGTCAATGAGGACTGCCGAACAGGCAGGGGCCAAGGGAGTCTTGAGGTTGGAAGCTGTTGTGGCCTTCTCCTCCAAATCCATTGTTGTCAGCTATCGTCATCCAACGCTTTCGATGCGGTAAAAGCAGTCACTGCGTTTGGAGCGAACAGCGGCAACAGATCCTTCCTGAACATATGTTCGGGGTGTTGTCGGATGAGGCAGACGTGGCAGAAATTTTCACAAATTTTTGGGTGGTCATAATTTTGCGAACTTTGCGCTGGAACACGCACAAATAGTACCAAGTCCAATCGACCGTGAAGCCCCTGCCATAGCCCTCACTGATTAAAGACATTTCGTCGAGTTTTTATTTTATTTTACCTTCCAGTTGAGAATGTGGCGCTGTGCTGCAATTCTTACACTCGGCGGATTGTTTCACGTCTTGGTTCTTCCGGACGGACTATACTAACCTCCCACAGCTCTGTCCCCACCGTCGACCAGGTCATGGTCCCCGAGACCCTCCTGAAGAAGCGCAAGTCCCAGGAGGCTGCCCGCGCTGAGGCCCGTACTGCCGCTGAGGAGAAGAAGAAGGTCAGTGTCTTTCCTTCCCATCACACCCACACCACTCCCAACTATCTGATGAAAACTGCCAACCACGCGACTAGACCTCCGGGTCGATGTTGTCGGATTGTTAACCATCTTTCGGGTCTGACAAAAGTTGGATCTCTCATGAATTCGTTCACACCAACAGTTTTGGAATCTCCTGCTGACTCGAGATTCAATAGGCCAACAAGGAGAAGCGTGGCGTTATCTTCAAGCGCGCCGAGTCCTACGTCCAGGAGTACCGCAACGCTGAGCGTGAGAAGATCCGCCTGGCCCGCGCTGCCCGTGCTGAGGGCAACTTCTATGTTGATGACGAGCCCAAGCTGGTCTTCGTTGTCCGTATCAAGGGGTATGTCACGTCCTGCAACTCACGTCCTGCAACTCATGACTAACCTCTCTCCAGTATCAACAAGATCGCCCCCAAGCCCCGCAAGATCCTCCAGCTGCTCCGTCTGCTCCAGATCAACAGCGGTTGCTTCATCCGCCTGACCAAGGCTACCCAGGAGATGCTGACCATCGTCAACCCCTACATTGCCTATGGTTACCCCAACTTGAAGACCGTCCGTGAGCTTCTGTACAAGCGCGGTTACGGCAAGGTCAACAAGATGCGCACTGCTCTTACCGACAACCAGCTCATCGAGGAGCACCTCGGCAAGTACGGCATTGTCTGCATGGAGGATCTCATTCACGAGATCTACACCGTTGGCCCCAACTTCAAGCAGGCCAACAACTTCCTGTGGCCCTTCAAGCTGTCCAACCCCAACGGTGGCTTCCACCAGCGCAAGTTCAAGCACTTCATCGAAGGTGGTGACACTGGTAACCGTGAGGAGAACATCAACGCTCTCGTCCGCCAGATGAACTAGATTAGTTTCTAGTGTATTCTGCACGGGGCTAGCCATCAAAATGGAGTTTCACAAAAATTATTATGACGTTCTGTCACGGGTTGTTTGTTTAGCACACGGGCTGTGTCTATCTTGAGTCAATTAGCGATACTATGGTCTGGGATTTCCGGAATTTAATGCTTCGAACAACCCGCAATTGCACCTTCACGCACCGTAGTAATCTTGTCTTCGTAAAGTAAATGTGTCCATCTTGCAACCTTGCTCTCCCTTAGATCTCGAGGCTTTCAAAGCTGCAGGCCCCTTGAGTTCTTTTTGTTTGGTCGGCCTGTCGAAGACGCAAAGATGCACTCGACACGGCGATTTTTCTCCGCGAAGCAAACCTTCGAACTTTCATGTTTCATCATCTTCAAAAAGCCCAAGTCAATTTACTAGTTTCTTTAAGGGTTTATTTCGGTAGGCTGGAATTCCTTTGATATCTCTTCTCGATGGTGGAATCTTCAAAATCAACTTTTTAATTTATAATTTCCTGGCATTCCCCTGAATGCGTCGAACTGCCATATCAATGTACTCACGGATTATATATTCCTCAGCCCAGTCAGAGACCCCCATCACCATTGCGGACATTCTTACTCATGGAAGTCAACCTTCCAATGAACCTTGAAGAATTGGCCAGTCTCTTTATAAGTTTACTTTCGATAGCTTTCACGCTCTTTCTTGGTCGGAACTGCTTCCAGTCTGATCTCCGGGGCCCTCAGCTTGACTCATCGCTCAGGTCCACGCCCAAACAACCTTTTTTTTTTCCACTCATGGACATGTCTCGCATATTAAAACCTTAGAAATCGACAATTTTCAAGAAAGAAATAAAACTAGTCCACTATCATCCTTTTGCCAACCGTCGGGACACACACTCTGATTGGACCACCTTGCTTAGTTATGTAGATGGCGGTAGACCCCGGAGATGCACGGATTTCCCTGAACACTTACCTACCTTACCTTAGTGTCAATTAGTGAAGTACCAAAATTGCTCACGACACTGTTTGGTTTAGCGGGAACTTCCTTGTCAGACAACCCGAGAAGTCCGATATCGCTCCCGAGGTCTCCTCCAGGTTTCAAACTTCGAAAGTTCCTCGTGCTTCGCTCCCCCGCCCGCCTTCCATTTCAATTTCACAGGCGTACACTCATTCCGAAATCTCCGACACTTCCCGAATACATATACGGACCGGAAGGAACGATAAGCCCGATACGAAGCTATATATCTAGTATTCCCGCAGAATGACTATGGAACGTGACCTCCCACCACCATACGAGGCTCATGATTCCCTTCCAAATACAGCAACATGGAGCCGGAGATTGAATCAAATTGAACCCGACGTTTTCAACATCTCGTGCCCCACCACCCGCGACTACAAAGTCCATTCAGACAAGCATCACACACTATTCGTCCGCGTCCATAGGCGAAATTTTACGAAGCCGAACTTGGTACTCTACCTCCGGGATAACGACCTCGAACAGGACCTAGCCCACTGCGAATTTAGAGAAAAAATCGGCCAATGCGACATGGGCGTTTCAAAAAATCCCAGTGGCGAAAGCTCTATGATTTGGTGGTCAGATACGGACCGCAGCATTCCAGTTTCAAAAATGTACCGTTTTTCAGCGATGGTGCAACCTAACGGTGGTGGTGAAACTGTGAACAAGATATTTATCTGGAAGCGGACGTCAGGGTTAGAGTTGGTAGATGAAGCTACAAGTACGGTCGCTGCTGTAGCCCTTGACGTGACGCTCGACCAACCTAAGCTTGGATCATTGGAAGTACTGGTGCCCTATGGTCCTGATTTCAACCTGATAGCCTTGACTACATTTTTGACAGTCTGCGAGAGACTGAAGGAAGAGCATTCATGAAAAGATGCTCAAACAATAATTTTAGACTCGGCTCTCCGATCTCAAGGGGACTTGTATAGTACAGTGAATTTGGAAAAGTTTTTGACCCCAGAAAACTCTGCTATCTCCGAGTGAGGAAGTTTATAAAGCCCTGGTACAAATATAATGCGAGCATTGAGATTTGAAATAGAACTAGGGAACAAGGCGAACATGTATAGGCTTATGTTATTAGCGGTTGCCAGGAAGAGAATTGACCACTTGCACATGAATTGCTTATCGCGGCTAAAAAGCTTGGTAAAGCTTGGCTCAATGCTAGCCAAGTTGAGAAGCAAGATGAATAGGCCAAGAGGTTAACCAAAGTGCCGAATTTCCGAGTGAAACGCGCACTAGTCCATCGTGCGCCCGAGGATCTCTGTGACAGAAGGAATCGGGCCTCTTGATTTTGTCCGTATTTATTGCTAATCACTCTCGTGTACGAGGAAAAAAGCTTGACCTGAATTTAGGCTTGTTAAATCGGGAACTGGCCCCTCCGCGGAACTGGCCACGGATTCTAACAAGCGCTTAAAGGGGTTCGGAGGATCTGTATTTAGACTAGCGGTTTCTCACTCCGGGAAAGGACAATCAATTCTTCCATTGCATAAGGAACATCCTCAAGCCGCGCAATCGTCGAGCTGCGCATGTAGCGCGAAGTCTTCCACACAAGAATGCCCTCATTCAGGCGAATAATAATACTGCCTTGAAGACCAACATGAGCTCTAATCTGCAACCCTTGCTCGGAGAGCGCAACCTCGGATTTATTCGCCAGCCATCCTTTTCTTTGGCCGAGCATGAGCCCCTCATTGCGAAGTGGAGAAGGTCCGCCCGCGACTTTTTAACTTCTCGATGGGGCCATTACCTTGTGCTTCTGCTGATTACCATCGATGTCTGCTGTGGTTTCTCGGAATTTCTCATCCAGTTGCATGTCTGCGAGTCGAAGCAGAAGGGTCATGGCGTTGACCGGGGGTGGGGAGTCACCGAGCAGGCCCTGAGTGTCACCGGCCTCGTGATCTCATGTCTCTTCATGATGGAGTTGATTGTGGCGGTTCTTAGCTTTGGATTAGGGTGAGTCTTTATTGGCACCTTTTGTCCTTAATTTGACTTGAGACCCGGTTATCTCGATCTTCCCTGAAGCTCTGCATACTGGGAGTACTCTGACAATATGAACTAGTTATTTCTCGAACTGGTTTCATATATTTGATTCACTGGTTATTCTTGTCGCCTTTGTCATCGAAATCGCACTCCAGGGAATGGTAGAAGAACTGGGTTCCCTTGTTGTTGTTTTACGTCTCTGGCGCGTGTTCCAGATCATTGAGGAGTTGAGGTCTGCCAGTGAAGACACGATGGAAGAATACGAAGATGAGTTGGAAAGACTTCGGCAAGAGAATGCTGGTCTTAGACAGAGACTGAACTTGAACGTAGGGGGAAATGAAGGCATGGAGTGAATGGATAATCTCATGGGAATCGATAACAGCATGTCTACAAGATGTTACAGCTGACGCTGAGGTCATGATGTTCTGTGCAAAGGACTAGTCTTCTTGGCACCTTGGACTGGCGGGTAGTTTGATTCGCTACTCGTAATTCTACTCATTATTCGGGAGGCTATTGATCTATGTACTCATTCACCGCGCTGTGTGTGAGTTACCTCGCCCGAGGTAATCCGATAACCTTCCATCTCTCCACCAAATGTCTGAAAATACTACATCATTATCAGACCTAGACATCTGCATAGTATAGTTGAACACGTGCCTGATCTCCGATCTAGACCCACAACGGAGCGAGGAGTAGACCTTGATATACGCCATCCGTCCCAGAAAAAAAAAAAAAAAAAAAGAAAAGGTATCTCCATTGCAACAGAGATGGAGACAAAATTCAAAACATACAACAGCAGGGATTCGCTGGTGGTCACCCACCCAACTACTAACCTGCCGGCGTGTGGCTTAAGTACGGCTGAGCGGACGGGAAGCCCTGTTCTCCACACCCTATGGTCGTATGTACTTACTCGCCCCTCAACTGGGATTGTATAGAGCACAAGAACCCATGGGTGTATGGGTATAGGGTTTGGGTCTTGGACACGAACATGGACCCGGCCCATAGGTACGGGTCCTGAAGTCGTACCCATACCCGACCCAAAGTGAGGTCTACTCTCACATTACCAAATTGTACACTATGATTAGATAGGGCAAGCCTCGGATTAGGCTGTCAAATAAAGCTACCACCAGTCCCTACGCCACCCTCGCTCCCTCCAGAGAATCTACATCTCTCTCTTTCTTCCCTTCTGCCTCATAGCTCTGATGAGGTTCCTTTTCTGGGGTTGATTTACTACGCGATGGGTGTATCCCTGGCCGACTCAACGTCTAATACAATACTTCAAATCCTCGTGGTCTGGTATAAGAAAGAAAAATCGACCTGAGCCTCAATTTGTAGAGTACGCACTATATAATTCCACAACCTAGTTATTGACAACGTCATATTCCTACCGCATCTAGTTGAGTTGACACTTTTTCCAGTTTGGCGTCTGATTCGGGTACGTTTCGGGGTCTTCATGCGGTGCAGGTAATCGATTTGCATCCGCAAGTTTCCATGGCATCCTTCTCTGAAAGGGCAAAATTGTTACCGTCGGTCACATTCACAACACACTATACAGGCCCGATAATTTTTAGGAAAGGTAGCTCTTACTGCACTGGTAGTAACATTCAGCGGTTCCAACGCCTCCGTCGTTGCAAGTCGGCGTGCATAGGGCTGACCATTTGGCGCAGCACTCCTGACCTTTACACCCTCTTACTTCAAGGGGGCTTCCTTTCGAGTCACTCGAGGACAAAGCCGCTAGAGGTAATGCGAGAAGAAGGAAGGTACTGATAGTGGGGAACCTCATAATGGCTAGTTCGATAGTTGTAGATGAGATATGTGGAGGCTTGAGCGAAGTGATTTCTGAGAAGATGATGGTGGTTGTTCGATGTCATTGAGTGATAGATGGAATTAACAGTTGCTTTATATATTCTCACCCCGCGTCCGTCAGCCCGTGTAATGCCGATGCTGCCATTAAGCAAGTTATAAACTTGATTATCTGTGGAAGAACCAAGAGAAGTTCAATGTGCCGCTACTAGAGGTATAGGCCCAATAATTAGCCAATCAAACGCCAAGACTTTGTGTGTGCTATTGGCTGCCTGGCGTTTGTGTTTGGCCGATGACGTTATAAGCTTGCCTGAATGCAACTTCATATGAAACATTGGGGCCATTATCAAGCTTTAAATCCAATCTTCGCTCTCCCAGGGCCTTATTTATACCGTTTCAAGCTTTATGGTGCGCCGTCTGATACGGCCATACAAGAGGGCTAGCCAAGCCAACTGAGGATTTAGTCTCTGGGGCCGAACCAGATTGGTGTAGGCCTTGCCGATCAAACCCCTCAGCACAGGGAATGTTACTCCATGCTGACGTGGAGGGCTACCGACTGGGACGCCCAACACAGGCAAATGTTCAACTTTAATTTCAACCAGTATCATAAAGGTAGGAATTTATGAACTCTGATCGGTCGTCATCTGGTTAAGACATTGAGTAGAGGCTCGATAAACAATTGGGAATCTGGCCTACACTGGGATCGCCCCTTCAGAGACTGTCATATTATTTGGAATAGTGCGGAAGCGGGCAATGGAACAATAGTCGGAACCTGTGGAGTGTGTGCCAGAGACCCTTCAAAGAAATAAGTTGTCTGATTGGTGAAGTAGTACTCTATCCACACGTACCAGAAAAGGCCAATGGGCGTGACGAAGGCACCGATAGCCAGGACGGGGAGTCGGTACTCCGGCCTGGCCTCCCCACCATGCTTTTGATCAGATATTTGGAGACTCTATCCGAGGTGCCACTGGAGAAGAATAGAACCAATTCCCAGCCCTAAAGTCGCCAAGCCTGACGCTCCACTCCCAAAGCCGTACTTCTCGCTTAAATTACCGGGAAAGCGGTAAAACACAAGTAAAGATAGCTGTAGACGAGCGCACAATAGAGCGATAGCAAGAAAATAATCCGCGAGATAAGCATTTTCAGTAGACGCTAGATGGAAAATGCAAAACGCTGATGGACGGCAGGGTACAGCGAGGTTCTAAATCCGTAAAAGACCTGGTACACTTTACATGTATAAATATGTAACTGTGGTACCCTGGATGTTGTTTTTTGGTTGCGAAAGTCAGAGTAAACGAAGTCATAAAACCATCCATCCATCCAACCACTGTACATAATCTTTGTAGTTTGGAAAGAAGTGGCCTTGATGCTTTCAGTAATAAATGGATACGCTTTCCCAGCCTTTTCTTTCCGTATCCGTCCTTGTATGTTTGTTAAAGTGAGATCGACGATAACAGATCCGAATCATTGGCTCTCCAGGCAAGAATTCTACGCACAACGAATGTATGCGCGAAGATTCGGGAATGATATCGTGAGGAGTGAAGCCTTCCGATTCTATGTGGATTACCTGTGCAATAACCAGGGCCGTATTGGACATAGACCATTTTCCTTGGGTATAAGGCCCAAAGCTCAGTAGCCGAAGTGCATCATGTCTCACGTGCCAGTCGCGGCATTTCAAAGCGCAGAAAACAAGTGGTGTGACAATTCCCATCCAAGTCTCTGGCCCTTTTTGGAGCAGCAGGGTTTCTGCACGTTGGATAGTTTGCCGAAAGAGTGTGAGACTATCATCATACCTTGTCTCGCCATCGGCAAGTTTCATGTCTGTCGAAACCCTGATATAAAGAACATCAATCCAGATATCGAGAAACAACATCATCTTCTCTGCCCGAGATAAGAGTTCATGGACTTTCATCAACTCTGCTATCCGATTCTTCCAACCCTGGAGTTTCTCTAATAGCGTCACCGCTATACCCACCCGATTCACGGCGTCTTCTGCGCTCGGGCGGGACTTTACCTGCAGAGCCAACCAGCCGATGGCTACCACGAAACCAGAAGTTTCTTCTGCAGATTCCAGAGTGTTGATTACTGGGAACCGACCAGCGATTACATCAGGAAGAGTCAAGTCGGGGTAATTGTCGCCTTCGGCCAAGGAAAACCAGCGCAATTTGTTTTGCGTGAATGCTTGCATTAGACAAGCCCCAAAAGCGCTGTTGTTCAAGCCAACATCCTGCCATTGGTCCAACAATCTCCACCCAGAGGTTAGATGCCAGCTCGCCGCTCGGGCATCACCCTGTATCATGGACAATGCACCCAGCACAAGGCAAGTCGACAGTACTGTCTCTATCTGTGTGCTACTGGGCAGACTGACCGTTAATATTTGCCGTACATGCCCTAGGGATTTGCTGCATTGTTGAACTGGCAACGACCGATTCACGTTTTCAAGGGCCAAGACTTCGTGGTTCCAGTGCAGCGCGCCAACACCAATCGTAGCATGGCGGACAGCAGGCTGACACTCGCCAATCAGATGAACTATTTGGTCCCAGAAAGAGCGGCTGAAGTAGCTACCGACTTGTTTCGAAGTATTTTGTCGAAAGAAGTTTAGGTAAAAGCGCTCATTTTGCGTGAGTTCAACCTGACTTGAATCTACCAGGGAAGCCGCAATGACAGATCTTCCCGTACCATGTCTCTTTTGCTTATCTGAAGGGCAATGAACAGTCAGCTCTTGGAACTTGTAGCGCTGAATTCCATTGCCGACACAGGAGATCCGCAGGCGCGTACAGCGCGAGCAATTTGGCTTCAGTTCATCGCACTATTAAGCTCAGTCAATCAGAAAATCAACTGATGCTGTTGGACGACCCAGACCTTCTTCTTTTTTGTTTACGACATGCTTCGCAAGCTCGACTAGATGGAACCCCGGGCATTGTCCCTTTATTGTCCTGATGTGACGGCAAACTTCTCAACGAGTTCTTAGGGGTCAAATTGTAGGCGCATAGAACATCACATAAAACCAGATCGGCGTGGTGCCAAGTTGGCTTCAAGATCATGAAGAAGGAGAGGGACAGGGAGGGGTAAAGGTTGTTTGGATTCTGCCAAGATCGGAATCGGGCGTTCTCGGTTGTACACAGTGTTTCGGTCCTCACCATTGGCAGTAGGAGGCGTTTCGGTCGAAGACCTTAGCGATCAAGCCCGCACTCAGTACACCATCTCAGTCCTGCATCAACGTGCAACTTCTTGTCAGGTGACTCCCTTGATGAGAGAATGAGATGACCATCAGTAGACCATTTTGTTTCTTGAGTTACGGTGCTTTTGGAAAGCGATGTCACCACCTGCATTCTTCGGTTGTTTGACTCAGGCACCAACGCCAAAACCTCTTTTTTTCGAAATGCAAAATTTTGGGAAATACCGAAGAATGCCAGACTGAAGGATATCCGTACGTGATAGTATTGAGGGAATGCGTATCACCAATCTTCTAGACTTGACACGTTTGAACGCTCCCTTGGCGTCCATGAGGAGGACCACCATCAGTTGCATTGGTGTCTGCAAGCGTCGTGGGTGCTCTAGATCAGACATCGACCACGCTGCGTTCTTTGCGGCACTCTATCTTCCCGGGGTGGCGACCCGCTTGGGAAATATGTTAGCAAGCATAACAAATTTAGAGGGAAAAAAACATACAACAGCAGGGATTCGCTGGTGGTCACCCACCCAACTACTAACCTGCCGGCGTGTGGCTTAAGTACGGCTGAGCGGACGGGAAGCCCTGTTCTCCACACCCTATGGTCGTATGTGCTTCGATAGTGTTTATATAGAATCATTACAAATTTGAATTTAAGTAACAGAACTGAGATACAATAGGTCAGCGTCTGTGTGAGATTAGATAAGTGCCACTTTAGTCTCGTGCGATCGTGGGTGAGAAAAGTGAGTGTAGAGTAGATAGATCCATAGTTAGATTTCGCATTTAAGAGCTTGCTTTCGGCAATATGGGTTTTAAGCACGTTTCTGAAACAATCACGTTACAGAACGAATGATTCTATTGGACCAAGGTGTTTGCTTGAAATATGACTCAGTTTCATTCAGCCTAGGCCCACTGTTCATGTCAGCATTAGCCCCTGACAGTTCCATGATCAAATTGTTACTTTTAGCCCCATAAGCCGAACCGTACGGGTGCTCATATAGGTTGGGGGCCAACGGAAGAGTTTGAAACCGCATCAGACTCTATCCCAAACTTCTTATCAGTACAGTAGTGCACTCAGAGAGCTTCTTGAACTGTCTTGTTATGGCAGAAGCACACCCCCGGTATTCTCTTCTTCAAGACATGCAGGCCGCCGCAGACATTGGCGACCTCGCTGAACTACAGAGTCTCCTGCGAACATGGGAAAACCAAACTGTGGATGGCATCCTGGCGATAAGTAAAGATCATGAGTGGTTCACCCCGACCGTGCCCGAACAGTTCGAAATTTTCAACGAGCTGAACCGTGCTCAACAAGAAACAAAGTCAATATACACAAACTGGTACATTTTCAACCGGTTATTGAATGCCGCATCCCGGAGCAATCAAGTCGCGATTGTGAAATTTCTCTTGGATCAGGGATGTGCAATCACCTCATCGGCTGTGCAGAAAGCTATGGCCAAAGAAGCTTATGATGTGTTGGAAGTCTACCTGGAAAACGGGTGGAATATCAATCAACCTATCAGGAACAATCTATGTCCCATACTACGGTCAGTCCACACCCGGCTGGCTTTTATTACTGGCGATCAAACTTTGACTGTTATTACATAGTGAGGTGGTTATTAATGAGACTAAAACGCGCTGGTGTTTGGAACACGGAGCCAACCCAAACGCTCACAGCAAGAATAAGTCACAAGATGTGCTCAGTCATGCTGCCCGCTTCGCCTCTCTTCATATCTTAGAGCTTCTTGTCTCTTATGGAGCTAATTTCGCCAATAGCAATGCCTTGCATCATGCTACGGATAGGAAGCGTTTGGATGTTATGCGATGGTTGCTTGAGCAGCAAGCCTTCCCGATCAATCAGCGAGAGCACGAGTATGATACTGAGCTGTTCCTAGATCACCAGTCCGATGGGTTAGGAACGGCACTGCATTTAGCTACCAAGAAGAATTGTGTCGAAACCTTGCGGTTCTTGCTCGAGCAGGGAATTGACAGCAACAAGCCAGATTCTCGGGGTAAAACCGCCTACGATCTGGCCCAGGAGAGTAATGATGAGGAAATTATTTCAATTCTAGAAACGGAAAACAAACAATGATCATCAATCTCTCACACCACTACAAGAACCTCCTTATAACTGATCGTCTACCTCATTCTCTTTTGGCACCAATGCTAGGTACCAAGCCACTGCTGTTCAAGCCCATCCGGCAGCTGATACCTGCCAAGAAAGGTCCATAAATGTGGTCGAGGTGGATTGGCTAGTGTGTTTCACCATCATTGCGCCATATAGCAGATCTTCGGGGCACTCATCCAGAAGCTCATCATTATCATCAACCATCATATCCTCCGGTTCGATATATTTAACTCGCTCGGGGGTGATGTCCAAATTATTATTGACAATGTTTATCAATCGCAAGTTGTTCGGCTCAGACACCCAATCGTCGGGCTGCCTCAGCTTCACTTGTGCATACAAGTAAGCTCTGGCTCCACTCAAAGCTGCCGAGTTATCACTGATAAGTTCTGGCAGTTTGGCTTCCGCTTGTCGTATATCCGTTTCGGTGTTGCTGTAATGTCCAATAATGGCTCCCCCGTCCCCAACGATCATGATCCCAATACATCCCATGAACCCATCACTAGCGAGCATGGTTGTGCCTGATTCCCAGGCTAAGAACTTCTCTTCTCCTTGACCGACTCTGGTTGCCCTTTCAAAGTCACCGAGGAAAGCCGCGTAGTCATATCGCTTTTCGAATTGGTGAACCTCAGGTCCTCGCTTTTCAAAATTCCAGGAAGTGACGCTGGCCTGTAATTAGTATGAAACCACTTTTGAGAGGGTCTTTGGGAGGAACAATATTCACATACGTGATATCCTTTGTTGGAGTCGCGTGACATAAGGTGAAGTAAGAGAGGAAGGCCAAAAGCAAGGCCAATGGCCTGCCGTTTCGGAATTGAAGACCCATAAGGGTAGGAAATTTAGCAATGTAAACTTCTCAAGCGTGGTAATCAAAGAATCTCACTGTTGCATGGAGAAATCAACCCAGGTAGTTCTTATAGACATACACAAGGCTTTAAACAGTCTGACAGTGGCCTTGGTGGAGGCATGCATTTCACGGGAAATGATCTTCAAATTATGAAACCGAATTAAAAGATTAGTATAATTAGTAACTTAGGTGCAAGCTCCACTTGGATTTCTTTAAAGCCGAAACCCGATTTTCTAAGGACATTCAGTGAACTCCACATATGCAGGGGAAATCTGAAATTATATATGTGGCTGACAGTGGTAGAATATCTTTCGAATAGCCGATCGCAATTTCTCTCGTCTGACATCCGGTGGGTTCAAGTGCTAGGCTATCTTGCATAGCCAAAAGTTTCACTGGAAGTTTTGGTCAATAAAGCAGCTTACATAGGCAAACGCGACCTCCTCGCCTCGTTCTCAACTCTCTCGCCCATGTGACCCACATTCACACTCGAATACTTGCCGTGGCTATTTTGGAATGACAGGGATATTGAGGGCAAATTGAGAATTGGCTATGCAGAAATTGTGGCTTAAGTAAGGCTGAGTGGATGGGAAGCCCTCCACAACATATGATGGTATCTGCTAGACGGCATAATTTAATGGAGTATACCTAGATATAGAAAAAAAACGAAAGAAAGATGAGTGTGCCATGACAGAGTAAGTTTCGAGATGAGAATCGGGTGAGAATTTCACGCCTAGTCGTGCGACCAACGCACTGACCCTTTGATCTGAAGTATTGTACTTTCTATTGTGCCAGCGAGTCTTAAACGACCTGCTCTTGGTATCTACGAGCAGCACCATGCGGCGATTCACGACTGGAAGAACTACTCTGATACACATAAGAATTCTGATTTGTGACTCATGTGAGTTTAACACATCCTTCGGGTTGGCTAGAGCATGACACCGGACAGAAATTTACTGCGTTCTATTCGTATCTCACCTTGTATATGGTGAAGGCTACAGCTGAGTTCGATTGGGGCAAAAAGTCTTTAAAGGTTAAATCCTACAAGAGACAGATTCTTGGCGATTTCTAGACTTCAAATGACTGCTTTGCTCAGTCTTTGACCCGGGCCAGTTCTTTGAAACTAAAATTTTTAACAAAAACAGGCAAAATTCAATAATAGTGTACTAGCATAGATCACATTCCAAAACACTGATTACTCAGATCTATGATACGAAAGGCGTATCAATACTACCAAAGCCCACCACCATTGGGTCTCGGCGCAAGATGTGGCTAGTGTCGCCCTAAATCCTCCGCGGAGGTGGAAAATTGTTATTCCTTGTACTTGTATGTTTGTGCACTTTGCATGTGTATCCCCTAACGTGGTCGGTAAGCGAGTGGGCCACCCCAAAACACCATAGTAAGTACAATAATTTATATCAACAACCATAAGTTTATTATACTCTGTCTTTCGTATCGTATTTATTTAGAGTATGATAAGTCCAGTGTGAATGTCTAGGTCAATTCAATCATGATTTGACAACATTTACAAAAAATACACTGTAATTTAACCTTTTAGGCTTCAAAGATATATCTTCAAATCCTAACATCTTAAAAATTTTCGAGACTTTCAAAAAAACATCAGACTCAATATGAAGAATATAGTTTAAGAATAAAACTTCATGAGAAGCTACGGTTATTGAGATATAAAGTTGTAATTTATTGCTTTTACTATGGTGTTTTGAGGTGGCCCACTCGCTTACCGACCACGTTGACTAACTTATGTTAGTCATGAATTGTCGATTCAGGGATTATATATAATAGTAGAATTCATTATGCCTTTGATTGGATAATCATATTCGTATTTTCCAACAGCTAGCATACCGCTCCTGGGAATGCTTGACTCTTGGTGGTCCATCAGTAAGTTGCGGCCCTTGACAAAATGCAAACAGTCTTCAGGCTTCCAGGCCACCACGAATCCTACAGCAGCCGTAACACTGGCTCCAAACTTTGATATCAAAGCGTCAACGGTTCATGTGTAATCTATTGTCGTTTTCAGGAATCAAATTACACTTCCATGATAATTTGACCCCATTTACGACCCCATCGGATTTTTTACGCTGTGGGTCTTGAGGCTTAAATGTCGGAACTGCCCCTGAAATTTAGGGGCCATCTAATAGCGGTCTAGATCGGGACTGGGCTCGCTTATGACTATTTATTCCCCGAAACTTGGTAGTGAACTCGGACCCTGGAACGTTCGAGTGTAAATAATTCTGGGTATTTGTAGGCCGCGACCTACCCAGGTTACTTTCCCACGGAGTTTTTTTTTTTTTCTGTCACCAAAGACCCCCCCCCCCCCCCCCCCACTTCTCACATATCGTCTCTAATTTCTTACTATCGGGAATAATCTACTTCAACTTTTTTTGTCGCCCTTTTCAAATTCTCAGCAAAATGGCCTCCTCCGCCACGATCTTTCGCCTCTTCGCGTTGTCCGCTGCTTTGGGCCAGGCGACTGCTACCTTCAGTCTCAATACTTCTGGTCCTAGTTGGGACTATACAACCAAGGACTTAGCAGGCACGACGTCACAGGCTTGCAAGGATGCTTACAGCGCCAGTATCAATTGCGATGAAACCCTCCTCAAGATCGTGGCGTCTATGGATCCTGACTTCAACCCGCAATCTTCGGACTTGCAGGCTATGTGCACTACGACATGCAGTGATTCCTTGTCCCAGTATATCAAGAACGCCAAGGCTGCATGCAGCAAGGATGGCGATCTAGCCGGCGTTGCCAGCGGGAATAAGTATATTTATCAGGCTCCCGTGGCCACCGTGGGCGAGGTTTTCCAGTACAAATACGGTCAATCTTGTGCCAAGAACGGGTGAGTTCGGCACATAGTGGTTTGCTTAGGGTGCATATACTTATATTTTCACAGGTCTGATTATTGCTACTTGACCTATCCCGACAGCGACGATTGGGCCAGAACCGACTTCCCATGTAGCGACGAGTGTGCAGTCAAGTTTTACCAAAACGCACACGAGCAACCTGGCTCGGCATATTTCTTTGACTACTTTGCTCTTGGTAACCAATCATCTTACTGGGAGGATACCTTTGCCGGTGGTTGGGAAACTGTGGTTCAATGCGGCGATGGTGAAAGCGATATGAGCTCCGCTAGCACTAGCGCAAGTTCGACCAAGACCGATATCGTTGGCATTTCATCTTTGACCAGCTCAATTAGCACCAAAGAGGCTATTTCCACAACCTCAACACCCACTGCAGCCATGACAACCGCCGCGACGGTTCGGTCTGCCTCTGAGGTTACTTCAACTACAGTCACCAGTGGCGCTTCAAGGCTCAGAGCCCCCTTTTTTCTCTAGATTTCTGGGCGTAAATGTTCACCTGAAATATCTTCTTACCTAATATAACGATGAAAGCTTAGATCTTCATCTTCATTCTCTCCGCAAATTCGCATAAATCACCTGCTTGTCAGTGCTATAGGAAGTCTGCTAGCCGACCGACAAAAAGGGGTGGCAAGAAATTTATTATGGTGGCTGTATGCAAGAAGGGTCTATTAAAATTTCGAAGTGGACGCAACCCACCGATGAATTTCGATTTGAATTATTTGGCTGCTCTTTGTAAGTTTGTATTATAAGGAATGAATCGACATCTTGATCATTAAAAGGTAGAGCCGCATATGAGCGCGGGAAAGCTAATACTACAAGAGCTTGAATAACAGCCCTCAAAAGTAGCCATATTGTCAATACAAAATTATCCTAAATTGACTAAACATTCGTTAAAGGTGGTGGTGATACCACGAAGGCTTTGTGGCGCTGATACTTCTTCGTCGGGCTATGGATTGTCCGAATAGAATGAATAACCTCAGCTTGGTTTCCATGCTTATCCCTATATTGGCGCAAAGGAAGAATAATAAGATAAATTGTACAAGAAAAATTGAATAAGAACTATTCGAAGAAAGTAATTGGCTGGCTTGAGGTATTGAACTGTCTAAATCTTCTGGTCTTTCTACTTAATATCTGACGAGGATTGATAGATGAAAAGTCTTTCAATCATATATTTCATATTGAAAGGAAAAGAAATGACTTTGTAACCAAATCTGATGAATCTGGCGGGGTAAGAGGGGCAAAACAGCCTGGTATTATTATTGGACGAAAAGAGGGGTAAGCAACCAAATTGCAGGGTGGACACGCTTGTGTTGAGATAAGAGGAAAGATTCACCCTTTGTAGCATTGGCCCATATTCCAACACTTTGTGTTCAGCCGCGATTAATTCTGAGCAATATGGTATAATAAATTTGTACTCTTGAGGGGTCCTTGAAAGGGTCCAGGTACGGCTCGGGACAAGCAGTGCGCATATACAAACTATCAGGGTGAGTATGTACAGCCGCAAATGAACAGCCACTGATGGAACTCGGCCGAGTTCTGAGCAGGCTGAAGCTTGTATTGCTGAATTGGCAGCCTCATTCAGTACATCCCTTGGTGTAGCAGGCGGTCTTGTTTGTCATAACATGTAGCCTAGGACAGTAACGAGCCAGCATAGTGAATGCCGCTTTATCCGCTACGTTGTTCCTGCGTGGGCCCGGCTGCGGACTAAGCATTTGGCGCTCAAGAATCAATCACTCACGTACTGGTAGCTTGTCCAGATATTCGGGCATACTAAGAGAGATACAGAGGGAAGTCAAGAGCTAAGCATGGCCTTGTGCATAGCGCTGCAGTACCTCAAAAAACACCTGATATCCAAAATGAATTCAATGTAGATTGCCTAATGTGTGGGAGATCCTGTAGACCTCGGTCTAATGCACCAGTGTGTTTAGTCAGCCCATTGGAAGCTAATGATTGGCCAGATGCATAACTGGTGCGCAAAAATATCAAGGGCTAATCTCCCTCGAAAATCCCTAAAATGAGTCTTGCTTGCTTCCTGAAAGCTTTCCGCTTCTTTCTGGACAAGGTCAGTGGCTCCTATTTAGAGGACCGTGCGAGGGCTGAATGGGAGGCCTAGTTTCGTTTTCGCTTATTATTCAGGTGGCCCACTCGGCTCCAGTAAAGCTTATTACGTGCTAGTCGATATACGAATATTTATATGCCTTTCTTTCAATAATATCGGAATATCCTACCTGTTATCGTGCGCATAGCCAAATCAAGTTAATTCCCGATTTCATGTCCCTTTGATTGTTTAAAAATGACCGACCAAGTTCCCTCTCGAGGTGAGTATCTGTTGGTGAGGACCATGGCCGAAAGCGAAAGGTTAGACAGCCGAAGAAGCACTTATCCACTAAGACAGTCGCTTAAGTGGATGACATAGGCTGGAGACGCAATATACAGCCTGGCAAGCCAATATTGGATACCTCTTTCATCCTGTTATCGAACAACATGATAATATGCGTATCGCAGATGTTGGTACAGGGACTGGGTTAGTAGCAAATATGCCAGCAAAGCACTAGTATCTGACATTATTTCCCAAGAATATGGCTACGTGATCTTGCAGATGCTCTCCCAAATACTTGTCAGCTTGACGGATTTGACCTCTCAAACATCATGTTTCCCAGCAAGGATGCATTGCCGGCAAACATCGCCTTCCATCACCAAAATCTCCTCTTGCCATTCCCAGATGAATATATCGGAAAATATGATGTCGTCAATGTTCGAGTGATGGTAGTGGCTTTATCATCTAATGAGTGGGAGCCTGCTGTACGAAACATGATGACACTTCTTAGTGCGAAATCTCCCAGTACAGAGCCCGTTGATTTAAGACCTAACCTCTCATTGAACAGAGCCAGGGGGTTATTTGCAATGGATCGACTGTGCCGCACATGATTGTGTAATCAAAGGAGTGCCTGAGGGGAAACAAGCCAGTAATGCGCAACGCGGACTCGACTTATTCCGGAAGACTTTAAATACGCTTGGGAAAACATCAAAGTGAGCTTGAGCCATCCTAAACCAATTCCCCGGGCTAATCAAAGAGCTTCATATCTCATTTTAGTATTGCTATTCTTCACAGTATCTTCCAGAAAAGTGGACTTGTTTCTTGCGAAGAGGAAATATGCTCTCTTGATAACCCAGAGACTCGTGAAAACGTCAATCTTGCAGTTGTTGTTGGAATTCAACATATTCTGACTGCTGCTTTCAAATTGCATAAGTTGGATGAAATACAATCTATTGATCAGATTATGGAATTGAAGGAAGCTGTTTTAGGTGACCTGCACGATATGTCCTGTTATTTTTGTTACGATGTTTACGTTGTTGTTGGGAGAAAACTTGATTGAGCTTTATCCAGCTCCCTACCCTTTTTTCTTGTCGTTTAAATCGGCAGCATGCTTGTTTGAAGGGGACTTGTTAACTCATTTTACTCTTTTATTTTATATCTTGAAGATCTTCGACGTAAACATGAAACAATCAAAATAAGTAATATCAAAGTTAGGCAGTACAGCTCTTGAAGAAGGGATCAAATCATTCGGGTTCTCTGGCGTATTGGGGATAAAATGGGTAACCCTCACCTAAAGCCCTTTAAAAGACGCGTGATATTTGATTTTAGAAGATCCTCTCGTTATCATTACCTTCAGTCTCTTCAATCCTGCCCTTGTGCGTCTTGAGTCTACCCGTACTGGCGTCAAAAATAGGGCGAATCCACGTATTTTGGACGTTGTCGCTTCCGGCCCTTGGCCTGAAAATACTTTGGGTAGCAGCTACTGTTATCTTAGTTTCAGATTTATATCGCATGAATGGGAAATAGGAGCTCAACTGACCAATACCTGTAAGGTGATTGTTGATATATATATTTTCCCAGTGATTTTTCGGTGCTTGGTAGACTTCATGCATGATGCTGAGGTGTGGGTGTGATTTTGTAATTTTGTTCCACCACTCCCATGCCTTAAGGTGAAGCGGACTATGTGCATATGCGTGTACGTCCTCTAGTGTTCGAAAGTAGGTCGCAAACATCAGTTGGTTCGCTGTTGGGCGCTCGCCAGATCCCAACCAGGAGGTTGTACCGAGATCTATATCGATAACAATGTTTAGTCCGATGTACTGCGCGGGAAAATAGAAACTATATACTCACAGTTGTACTGTGTTGCATTTTTTGCAAGCTCAGCTTGCATTTGATTCATATAGTCTCCCAACATTTTGAAACCGGGGCCGAATATCCCCATCGGACTGTTGGGTGTGGGAGAACATGAGACTGGGTAACTCTAAAATGCCAGAGACCATAAAGTCACACTGGATTAGTGGAAAAGGCTTAGACATACTGGTTTGAACGCGCGGCCAGTAGGATTAATGTGACATCTTGATCAGCACCCTTTCCTGAGAACACCCCATTTCGGTCGGGGAGTAATGCGGTGAATTTGCCGTTAATAACACCAGCAATTTGAGGATTTTTGATAAGGCCAAGTGTCGCAAGAACAGTCTTGGCAAAGAGGTATGACAACATGAAAATAGGTGGTAGAACCGCGTATGAGGTCGGGAAAACTAAAACAACGAGACCTTGAAGAACGGCCCCCAAAAGTAGCCATGTTGTCAAAGCAAAATTGTCTCGGATTAACTAAGCCTTCGTTAATTTGCCTCCGAGTAATTGACGATAGAATGAACCATCATCATGTTTATTTCTCAAGCTGAGCGCAGATAGGGCGGCACAGACATTACTTTGCTGCTTCCACTCAGTTCGTGTTCTTTCGGTTGACGGGGAGAAAAGCGGTTCCATATTTGTGATAGGCCGTGTTGCCTTCGTTTTGGATGATGTTTGGAATCTCAAAGGTAGGTTTTTTAAAAATTGCTCAGTAAAAGCAAGCCTTGCAATACTGCAAGATGGATGACAGGTGAAGAGGATAAAAAGAGGGTGAAGTGGGGAAGGGCGGAGTCCAAGCCATGACCTAAACTTTTCTGGACAATCACCTCAGGTTCAGGCGACCAGCATTTGTCTATTTGTATAGCCACCTTGACTGGGGCTCCGAGCCATGTTCAATGTTATAATAACTACACTACCGCTTTGCTTAAAAAATGGTACAGCTAGCTTTTTTTCAGCGTATTTAAATCTATCAGTCTTCCACCGCCCGCTTTTATTTGATTTTTTGTTTTTCAAAACTCACAGTGCAATAGAAATCAAATATAATAAGGAAGTCTTTCAAAAGTGGGAAAAAAAAAAAAAAAAAAGGGTTGAGACTTTACAGTGCTCCCAAAATTCAATGTGACGACCTACACGCTTTGATTGTTTCTCAACTCCTAAAGCCAAAGAACTCGAAGCCAGTGTCATCGTAGCATAGTCAAGGAACTTTTCCTATTTCTAAGCGCTGTACCGTAAATACCCGATAATCACATAAGCTAGGCTCGTGTTTAGTCCAATCACAAGTCTCTCTTCAATTGGGAATTTTAAGCGAGTGGTATACGGATAATTGTTACTGCAGCTGCCACTGGCTAGGCGAATCGATTGTCTAATTTGGCTAGAGCAAAAGTTTGCTAGTACGATCATTTGAACCCTTGTTTATCTTTAGCTTACTTGTGTCAACTAACGTATACCACTTCCCCGTGCCCAAATGAATTACGACTTGCTTCAGAATGGTGCAATTTTAAGTTCACTTATTGATAAGCTGAGCTGACTGGCGATACCAAAATCTTATAAAGCAACTTGCAATATCCCGCTTTCAACTATCGTGTGAACTTCACCTTCAAAATTTTCGTATTCTTCTTCATTCCATATTGATTAGCTGACCACGTTTAGCTCGTCTTTGCCATTATGGACGCATTCTTTGCTCAAACAAAAGCCCTCATCGACGCGGCCGACGAGACCGGCCGTAAGCAGATTCTAGAAACTCTGCGTGACCTCTCCCACTCGCTCGAATCTGCCCAAGATTCAGCCCAGAGAATCATGTATCTCGTATGGTGTTCACCCCGACACAATACCACTTGTTCCTGCTGACACTTGGGTAGCAACTTCAAGTGGCCACTGTCCGGATTGGCTGTGACCTCAAGCTATGAGATGTCCTTGTGGAAAGTCCAGTTCCATTGACTGTGCAGAGCCTTTCAAAAACGACCGGCGCAGCACCAACTCTTCTAGGTAAAAGAACGCTGCAGGAGTACTATCTGCATTAGCAATGGCACATTGACTAACTAGAGCATTACGCAGCTCGTATTCTGCGTTACTTGGCCTCGAATGGCATTATTAAGGAAACAGAAAAAGATACATTTACATCAAGTAATATAACGGAGACCTTCACGAACACTGGTTTCCAAGGTGGTATTTACCATTAGTGAGTAGAGATACCGTGGACCCGAGTTTCACGCCACTGCTGTCCATTCGCAGCCATGACAGTATTGGCCCTGCCATCACGGCCCTCCCTGACTTCTTGAAGGAAAACAACTACCAGGATATCAAAGACGTGGTACAGACCCCGCTTCAAAAGGCATGGAATACAGACCTCCCCGCCTTCCTCTGGGTTCAGACCAAACCGGATAATTTTGCCCACTTCAATCAGTTTATGGTTGTTCAGCGCTTGGGCATGCCGACCTGGCTGGACGTCTACCCATATCAGGAGAAGGCAGATGGCCTAAAGCCGGAGCAGCCATTCTTTGTCGATCTAAGCGGAGGACTCGGACACCAGAGCATCGCTCTCCGGTCATGATCCAATGATTCGGCACCGTGGCATGACCGAATGGTTGTGCGGCCTTCGCGTCGTCCCGGGGGATTCTCACCTAGTTCTCACTCACATTGTCTATTGCGCCCTCACCCTTCTCACCCACGGTCGCGCGAGGATAAAGCGGCATTCGTCTAATCTCACAGACGCTGATCTGTTATATCCTAGTTCTGCTACTTAAAAATTCAAGGTGCATTTGCTCTATATAACCTTATTTGAGAGGCATTTTAGTACATACGACCATAGGGTGTGGAGAACAGGGCTTCCCGTCCGCTCAGCCGTACTTAAGCCACACGCCGGCAGGTTAGTAGTTGGGTGGGTGACCACCAGCGAATCCCTGCTGTTGTATGTTTTTGTTTTTTTTCCTCTTTAATTTTTCTTGCTTGTTTGTAAGTGGCTATTTCAAGGGAAGGTGCAATTATATGTTAATCTGAGCTTCGGTGTTTTCTACATTTTGATTTTTTTCTCTTTGCTTGCCAATCAATAAGGAGCAACTTTACATTTGAAAACATTAAAACACTTTACCTGAGCATGTAAAATAAGTCTTTCCCGTAGGATCAAACAGTGTGATCATGTCTGTTGAGAAGCAAAGAATGAATGTGTATTCCCTGTGTCAACATCAACGAACGTCTTCTTTATTGGATGAAGGGTCAACCTAAGCGAGTGAAAGCAATGAAACTTGAGCCCCATTAGGACCTTCCCAAGGTTTGCGAGATGTCTTTGGATGAAGTCCTTCAGCAACGACATATATGGCCCTAATCACCATATCAAGTACTTAGCCCCGAGATGTCCCATTTCTAAGAGCACCCGGAAATTAGGAGCAAATGATCGGTTTACCGTTCTAAATCAAAGGACCTAGGAAATTGGCAACGTATTGAATTTCCCTGCTAGACTGAGCCAAACGAAAGGTCTATTAGCTGCGCCTCAGCAAGAAGCTAGTGGAGGACCCCAAATGGCTTCGGGGGCTCAGGGCGCCCGGTTGGAAAAGTGCGTTAAGCTTTCAGCCACAATCGGCATAGCACGCTTAGATGCAGAAACTATCATGGCCGCCACGAGCCCAGGAGCCTTTCTTTTGCGAATCTCACACCTTTCACAAGGGACGACAAGCTTAGAAAAATGGAGGAAGCGGGAGATTCGGTACTTCTCCAGAGGCTTTCGTAAAGCAACAATCACTCGAAAGAAGATAGAACACCGGAAAATTCCGGACGCGTCTCAAATTTCTCAACATCAGACGCGACGGCGACGTATGATGAGGAACTTCTACCCTATAGCCAGGTGCACTCGACAGGTGAAATCTTAAGCAGGGGACACAGCGCCCTGCTTCATCGCTCCGCGTGGATGACTCTCATTACAACAACATACATAACCATGGCTATGTATGCATGGGTCATCACGGTGGTTCTTTGCTTCCCGATAAAGGGAAAGTCATGGGGCTAAGAATTTAAAGACGCGATCTACCATGACGACAGGTTAAAGCCCAAATTTGCGCGGTCTGCGAAATTTTATCGCTCGGCGCGCATAGTCCATCGTTGAAGTTGCCATACTTCCCTTGATTACCGCTGTGTGTGCCAGTGCCGCAGTTATCTTTACACAGAACCAGAATGATACAGTCTTTCAATTACGCCAGGTCATTACTTTGGCCGATCGAAGATGGGATGACTCTCCTTGTACTTGTCATTAGTCCGGGGATGTGGAAGCGATATGGTAGCGCATTGCTGTTTGTCGCGATTATCGTTTACATCTTTGGTGCTATCACCTACCCTGCACAGTCGCTCTTCCTCACCACGCAATTGATCAAGATTCCAACCGAGCCTAGCAACCGAGCAGTAATCAGTGATTTCAGCACCAATGATAGGCAGTAGATTAGTACTCCTGACCCCCAAGCCGGCCTTGATGTGCTTCAAGCCCGCAGTGCCCTCAGCCAGGCAGATAGCCATACCTACCACCCTAACGTATGGGGTAATGACAGTGGGGTGCAATTTATAACACTCAATGGGTTTTCCTCTTTCTATTTCCAGCTACTTAATGGATCTAATACAGGACTGCTGCGTCAATTCGCACCACACGTGAATTCTACAGTTTCATACGAAACCATCGTCGCAGGACAGTTCCCAACCAACTGTAGGACTGAACCTGGCACTTTCTAACTCGACTATCAATCTACATATGCATTGGATGACGAGGGCGATTCCAGCTACTATGGCCTCATCGCCTACATGCCAGCAAGCAGCACAAAATCTCGCTGTTAAATGGCGCGCAACCGGCAAGACTTCACCGAAATTCTCTACCTTAACTTGACTGGCTCGAACATTGCCGCATTCAGCTACTCCGAAAACTCATACGCCACACAATTTCTCTACAAACCACCGCGAGTACTACATCCGGCTATTTTGAGCTCCCTAACTACATGAATAAAAACACCGCGGGCCCCTCCTCGAATCTGACCCTGAGAATGTCTGCGACGATTCATGGCAGACGTTCAAGAACGCCCGCCGCTCTACCACAACAAATACAACAACATTGACAGCCGGCTCGTTGTCCCCCCTCAGCACAAAATATAAAGGCCCGCTCTTAATGACAAATTTTGCGACTTTCGGCCCCGACTCATTCATTGACACCTTCCCAGCAGCCTATGCCGCCATGGAGGCAGAAAGCAAAGCTACCGGTGCTGTAACGATGGACTCCTCAGATATCTGGATCGCCAACCCGCCTCTGTCAAATCTCATTCTTGACAAGTCAGAAGGCCCATTCTATGATCTGTGCATCTCCTTCGACATCTTGGGCGATGAGGAATGGAGCCCTGCCGGCTCGAGTATCTCCGCACGGCTGCAGTGGTTTACCAACAACGCCGACCGATTCCCGTCTGTTTTCACAGCAGCGGCGTATCTATGCAATGCACAGCTGCTCAGTGTCTTCTCGGGAGCTAGGATGTGTACCAGAACCTCGGGAAGGATTTGGAGATTCCATCCATCTCGTTGCTGGGAATTGTACTCGTCTCTATCCTTATCGGCATCTATTTGATTCCGCTACTGATATTGGGCCTTTACACGGGGAACCCTGTGCGGTGGACGGGGCATCTTGATTCATTTGTTATGTTGCGGTTTAGAGCTCCTGCAGGGGTTAAGGTCTTTCCAATATGGACGATGTGTTGAATGTAAATAGCAAATGCTCGACTGTACTTATATACCGCTATGCTGGAGCCCTGCACACTGGGAGAGGAATGACAGACTAATCGACGGTCATCTCCCTTACTGAAACATTAATATACGGAAATCTGGATAATAATTTCTTCCGTCCTCGAGTTCCATAAGTCTTTACATTTGCAAAGATTGATCGCAACCCATAGGAATGAAAACTGAAATATCTGGAGTTATTAATACCTGAACTACGTAGATAATTAAAGTTACGAATTTACTGGGAAGATAGATATCTTCTAACCATTTATATTCATTCATTTTGAGTCATCGACTGACACGAGGGATTTCCTTCGCGATCGGAAATGGCATGAGAAAAAACAAAACCATAGTAAAAAAGGGCAAGGAAAAGAGAAGAAGGCATGCCATTATATCAGATCAAAAACGAACCCTTTAAGCCTTGATCGCACCGCCCAATGCACCACCACCGAACTGCTGACCGCCAGGGACACGGGCACCACCACGGCCACCTCCTCGACCACCACCACGGGCACCTCCCCGGCCACCACCACGGCCACCGCGGGCACCAGGGCCAGACTCGCGCTGGAAGGCGTTGGCCATACCCTGAGTGCGTTGCTCCAGGGTCTTCTCGTTGGACTCGAGAAGAGACATGGACTTGTCGGCCAAGGTGACGATCTGGGACTGCAGGCGGGAGAGCTCGACGCCCTTGCGGAAGACGATGGCGTCGTTGACCTGGTCAAGGGCGGCGCCAAGCTCCTCGTGGGAGATCATGCGGCTAATGATAGCGGCGATCTTCTTAATGGGGAGCTCAAACATGTCAGCCAGGGAGGAGATGGAGAGGCTGTCGTAGAAGGGGGCGTAGGTGAAGAGGTAGGTGCGCAGGCCCTCCTCCTGGGTCTGGGCAGAGAGCATCTCCTTAATCTTCTCGGGTTGCGGCATCAGATCCCAGATCTTGATAGAGGCCAACATGTCGGCGGCCTTCTTCCAGTCTCCAGCGGCGAGGAACTTGGCAGACATGATCACTCCGTCGCGGGTGTTCTCCGGGGGTCCAGTGAACACCTGGCGCTCGTTGTAGTCGAGCATCCGGCGGAAGGTCTTGGAGATCATACGGCGGCGCATCTCAGGGGCGGAAGAGGTCTGGGCCATGAGGGGAACCTCGAGGAACATGCTGGAGGTCAGGTAGATGCACTCAAGCAACTCGAGGTTGATGTGCATGTGGAAGGGCAGCTGGCGCTGGCGCTCCAGACGCTCCTGCTCGGGGGAGACGGTGGAGTAGCGCTGGAGGATGATACCTTGGGCAAGCAGCTCCTTTTGGCGGCCGCTGCCGCAGATCTCACCGAGGGTAGTCTGGGCCTCGTAGATGAGACCGGCGCGGAAGGCACACAGACCGATCTGGACAAGGGTGCGGTTGAAGAGGATCTGGGTGCTGACGTCGAAGTTGGAGATGTTCTCGGACAAGTGCGACATGAGCATCAGGTCACGAGAGCGGTAGTATTGGTCGTGCAGGGCAAGGAAGTAGATCTGGCACAGCATGGAGCGGGCACGAATGATACCGTCGCTGTGCTGGAACAGGTAGTTGGTGAGGGTCTGGAGGAGGTCGGCCACATCGCCAGCGTTCTTGCGGGAAGTGATGGCGGAGTCAAGGTGCTCGGGGAGAGCCTTCCATGTGGCGTCTTCGAGGATGGAGACAACCTGGGAAGGCTTGAAGTAGACGTGCTCCAACCGACGGATGACAACGCGGTTGACACTGTCCTGACGAGCATCGTTCTTGTCACCGGCGTTCAGGCTCTCAGCATAGAGCTGGGTGCGAACGATGTTGTTATACAGCTGCTGTTCGTCGCTCAGGCGCTCGATATACTCAGCAGTATGGGGATCGATCTGCTGCAAAGAGCGGGTGAGCTCGTCATCCAGACGCTCGATGTATGAGACAATGCTACCGGGAATGTAGAAGGTCTCGCCATCAGCAACAGTGGGCATCTTCTCATCATCCTCCCACTCATCAGCGCCCTCGGAGATAACGAAGTTGCGGTGCTCCTCCAGAACAGACAAGAGAGTGCCAAATTCGCGATCGGCGTGCTTCCACTGCTCGGGGCTCATGTAGTTGGCGGAGGCGGAGGTCAGGTCGAAGCGGGTAGAGATAAGGGTCAGGTAGACACGGATGCGCTGATAAGGGGTGTTGGCGACCTCGAGCAGCTTCTCCATGGTGCGGATCTGGTCCAGACGGTCGGTGTTTTTCTTTCCTCGAGACTCGACAATGACGCGGAGGTGCTTGAGGATGCTCTCAGGGGTGTACTGCAGGGTCTTGCCACCACGGCCAACAGTAGCGAAACCGTCATCGTCGCCGGCGGCAGCGGCAGCCGCGAAGTTCTCGATTTTCTCGACTTTGGTGGGCTTGGGGGCGGGGGTGGGAGCGGGCTTCTCAGCCTCCTCCTCGCTGGCCATGAAGTCGTCCTTGGCGGCGCGGTACTTCTCAATCTGGGCGGCATATTCCTTGTTGCTCTTCTTGATACGCTGCTTGACGGCGTTGAGACTCTTCTGGCTGCTAGCGTTCATCTTCTTGTTGGAGGACTTCTGCTTGCTGGTGGTCTCGTTGACGAAGTCCTCGAGGTCGGCGACGGCCTTGATGTAGACCTTGGGGGTCGGGCCGGACTGGTTGACCTTGATGATCATTTTGTTAAGGTTGTCGAACTCTGTGAAATCCCATTGTCAGCCTCCAAATTCATGTGCCATATCAACCTCCCCACCGCTATCGCAACATCGCGTTTAAAAGCCGGCTCCATAGGCGAAAGAGAATACTCACCAGTCGAGATGACAGACCAGTCACCGATCTTCTGGGCGTTCTCGATCAATTTGATCGTGTTCTCCAGACCCTCCAATCGCTTGTCCTTGGCACTCTTGACGACCGTGACCTTTTCCTCATCCTCACTCTCCTCGCTATCGGAAGCATCCCTCAAGAACTTGTTGATGCCGGTCTTGCCATCGTCGGAGTCGTCGGAGTCGGAACCAGAGTCGGAAGAATCATCGCTAGAATCCTCAGCTTCGCTGTCCTCTTCCCCGGAGTGGTCGTAAACATCCTCCTCCTCGCCGGAGGAGCTGGACTCGCTGTCGCTGCCGTAGAAGAAACGCGACGCCATGCTGAATATGGTGATGCACGAAGGCCTTTGTCAAAAAGTGAATGGAGTTGAATGGCGGGTTGAGCCACACACGAAATTTAAGCGAGGGGCTGACTAAACTATATCGGGACTAGCGCAGACCGGAGTGACTCGCCGCGATTTCTTTGGTCTACTTTTTTTATACTTCGTTGATCATCATGGATTTTACAAAGAAGACTTACAGTGAAATGCTCTTGATTTATCGTATACGCTTGTTATGCCATACCCCAATTACCTTGGGGCGAAAGAGCCCCACATGTATCCAAGTACTCAAACACGGAGGGGGAAAAGAAAAAGACGTCCCCGAAGCCAAATCGAATATCGACGCGCACAAAGGGGATTGACTACTCAGACACAGATAAGCAACGTTGTTGATATCGTTCTTTCATACTCCAGGCTATGCCGAAAGAAATGACCACAAAGACGAGAAAAAAGAGTACACTAACAATCATTGCAGCCGCTACTTCCGAAGTAGTAACTGTGTTAAACCATTCGCGGGGCAGGGGAGGTAAACAAAAAGCAGGAAGTACAGGAACGGGGAAGGTGGCCAGGATGCCTTTCAGAAAGATCTCACCACACTCAGTCTACTGCTCGCCTCTTCACGAGCGACCGAGGAGTGTTTCGATACAAAGTCAGGCCGTGTACCGGGTTTTGCCCTCTCCACAGGGAAGCCATGTGACAAGACCCATGCTAGCTCTGACGCGAGACAAATGGCCTCCGAAGCAATGCGGATCATCAACGACTCACGCTCGAAGTGACTCATACCAAGGGCACATCACTTAGCAAGGATCACCTGCGGGAACCGGGTGGGTCGAGAAGGCATGTGCTAGGCACAACGAGTAAGGCTCTAGGCATCAACTAGAGAGTAGAAGGGGACTAGCGCCGATCAGGGGAAAGGGCGCACGAGCTAGGCGTACGACGCTCGTCTGCAAGGGAAAGGAACCGAGAATAAACTAAAGGCGGAGGCACCGTAAGAAAACACCCGGCAGAGCGAACCCCAGATGCCTTGAATCACCTTTAGTGCCACTGGTTCTGGCTCATGTATCCTTCGCTCAGGACACCATCCTCAAGTGTGCGGATAAAGTCTCGGTTGCGCTGGTTTCCATTTCCGGTTCCGTTTCCACTTCCACCAGCTCGACTGCCGCGACGATGTTGCTGGCCAGATGCATCGGCATAACCGTCAGCAGGGGGCGGGTAGTAAGCAGGGCTGGGCTGCAGGCGAATGGGCGCGCTGGGGTCAAGGTGGCTAGCCACTCGCTGGATTGTCGGCGGAATGCCTCCTCCATCATGCATCGTAGAAGCACGCTGACGGCCTGCCCTTGTTGTTGCTTGAGCGTAGAGGCTCTGTGATTGGGCATACTGAGGTTGAGGAGGAATCTGCCCTGGCACCATATTCATCTGGTGGCCATACCCGGGCGGTTGTGTGGGGTACGGGGGCGGCGGTGGTGGTGCGCCTTGCTGGTACATGCCGTTATACACTGGTGGGGCTTGAGCATGGGCCGGAGCGTGGTACTGGTTCATCTGCATGTTGTACGTTGACTGCGCATGAGCCGCCTGTGCCGCGCGCTGCTTACTAGCAGCCTCGGCCTGCTGCTGCTGCTGAACGCCGGGTGCGACGGTCTTGTTAAGCGTCGAGTACTTCAGGTTCATCGGGGGCACGAATGGGCCAGTGAACTTTTGCTGAGTGATGAAAGGATGAAGCTTCGCCTGCTGAGGAGACCATCGCTCAAGGGGGTTGATGGAAAGTAGCCCACGCACGAAGTCGATAAATGCGACTCGGTTATTGAGTTCTGTTAAGATTGATTAGAAAGTTTCGGGAAATGGTATAAGAAAAGACCAACCTCGTTCCATCTCAGCTTGCTTCATGTTCTTTCTCGGCATTGGGTAGCTCCGAATGATCTCCTCCAGAGTTGAGGCAGAGAAGTACTTCTTGCTCGGCTGTTCCTTCGTGTTATGCTCTCGAGAATATTGTTCTAAACTCTTGAGACGGTAGGTCTTTCGCCCATACTCATCCGATGTCTTTTCGAAGAACTCGCCCGATTGCTTGCCCATCTCCAGCATCCATGTTGGGGGTAGTCCCAGCATCTCAACAATCCGACAGACCTGGTTATATTCGGAGGAACCGGGGAAGAGGGGGAGACCGAGGAAGAGCTCGACGACGATGCAGCCGAGTGACCACATGTCAATTGCGGAAGAGTACCTATTAGCTCGTCAGACCATGTCCTAGAAATAACAAAGGATTGGATAAGGGCAACTCACGGCAAACCAAGTAGCACTTCTGGTGATCGGTAAAAGCGCGATTGAATATATGTGTAGACGGTCTGCCGCTCATCGCATGCTGAGCCGAAATCGATGACTTTGATGATTGGGCTCTCAAGACTGTTGTCCTCGAGCGTTAGCGTTTTGTCCAGGGAGACCGAGGGTTGCAAGCAGACAAGGCAGCTAACTGACTTCTTCAAGAGGATGTTTTCCGGTTTCAGATCGCAATGGATCAGGTGAGCCTTGTTTAGAAGGCTGAGGGCGTTCAACAATTGCTGCGCGAAGACACGGACGAGAGTAGTACTCAATCCGCGGAACTGATTCTGTTTGATAAGCTCGTAAAGGTTGACACTGAGAAGCTCAAAGGCAAGACACAGATGCTGCCGGTGGATGAATGTATCCTTCAGACGCAGAAGGTGGTGATCATCGTTCTTATCGTACTTGCTGTTAAGCTGTAGGGCGGTACAGTAAGCATTGCGATCACAACAACGGGTAGTCGAGATAGAACTTACCAGATCCAGTACCGAAACCTCCATCATGCTCTGGTTGAAGTATGCGGTCTTATTCTTGATGACCTTGACAGCCACAACCTCTTGGGTCTTCAGGTTCTGGCATTTTACAACTTGACCGAATGTACCTTGGCCTAGGACATCGAGGATGAGGTAACGGTTCCTGTTGACAGATTAGATGAGACAAGGCTCGATCGACGGGAGAGAACCCTACTTGTGACCAGCTTCCTCGCTACCCAGAATATCGTTGACGTATAAGATGTAATCGCTGTCTTCGTTATCGTAACCATCGTTCTTCACGCCCTTGCTAGGCTTTGTTAACACGCGTCGGGGGTTCCTCGAGGACTCGTAGTTGAAGTTTGGGTTGCAGATGCGGTACGTCGAAGGGAGGTGCGTCGTCAAGGCCTGAAGGGGCTGTGGAGCGCAGCGTCTTAGTCTGAGAACTGGGAAGAAGATGGTCTAGGGGCCACTTACACTAATGAAACCACCCTCTGGGTTGGCACGTCGGTACGCAGGCTGGGCGTGGACCCGCGGTTGCAGCTCCTGCACGGATTTGATCTTCTGGAACTTGGGAACCGGACCACGTCCGGGAACTTGTGATGGCAGGGAGCCGGATCGTGGAGATCGCGACCCCGGGCCGAATGAGGAGCCCATGTGGGAGGATGCGGACGGTGGGTAATACTGGTCTGGGCTGAGGTCGCCCGCTTGAAGCGGGGGTAGTCTAGAGGCTCGATTCGCTGAGAAAGCCATTAGCAACAGGAAGAGCGAGCTGATTACGAAAGGCGACTTACATGGCGGCGATTGATACCCGTGGGAAGGCGATGCGTAGTCGGCCGATCTGGCCGGCGACCGTCGCGTTTGGCCTGGCACCGTAGGCGGGAAGCCGTAGCTCTGCTGGGACTTTCCGGGGCTCGTAGGGTATGACATCGGCGGCGACAAGACGCTCATGGGCGAATATCTGCGGGCGGCCGACGACTCTTCGGCCTGCGAGAGGAATTGAGACGAGGCGCGATTGTGATGATTCGGCCTCGAGGGGTACTTGGCACGGTTGTATGGGTCCGCGTCCTCCATGGTGGCATCCGCATCGGTGACATAATCCCGGTTACGTGGCGTGGCGGTCGGAGATGAGGCCATGGAGACAGGCTTGGAGTTTGGACCGGCGGAGGAAGGCTTGGAGTTGGTGCTGGGAGTTTGAAAGGTCTCATATTGGAACCCGACGGGGGGCTGTGACTGCGGTGGCTGACCGTACTTCGAGCCTAGTTGCTGGGGATGCGACGCCAACCCAGTATCGTACTGCGCGGGATCACCCATCAGGGGATCCTGGTAAGGCTGCCACCCAGAGTCCATCGTGAGAGAGAAGATTCGCGGTCAAGGGAGAATGAAAATGAGCACTGTCACCGTCACCGTCACCGTCCACAGTGCACATGCACTGCGATCGGGGGTGCGAGGGATCCTAGCGGGGAAACAACACGACAGGCGCGACCACACTCAAGGCAACTGAAGCACAGGGGGATGATGATTTCTGCGATAGAGGGGGAACGTAAAAGATCAATTTGAAATTGAGCAGCAGCGCATCATCTGAGAGATCGATTTCAATGGATCCGACCTGGAGTTCAAAGGGCGGTCGCTAGTTGCGCCGTGGGCCACAACTTTGGAACGAGGTTTAAACCGAGAGTATAAAAAAGAAGTTGTTAAAGAGCTCTTTCCGTCAAGGAAAAGGGGGGGTAACAAGACACAAATCACAGATGGTGTATACCCAACTTCAACGTGGAGAGGGGAAGAGGGAAAGTGGAGAGGCACAGGTTGCTCCGTCGACTTTGATGGGATCGTCGCGTGGAATTCTATCTAACATTTATTCCCTAGTTCACTTCTGTGTGGGTTAGGGTCCTATCCCCGGGGCCCTTTCACGATCGTGATCCCGACTCGGTGGTCTCACGACTTGGTCTCCTCGGCGACGCACTAGTTTGAGATCGTCGCGTCATTGCATACCCAACTGGCGGTGCGGCGTGAATGCCCGATCTCGATTCCTTCAGCTGAAAGCCTTGACAGCCGTAGTGGGTTTTCCCGTTCTAGCTCAAACGCACGGTGCATCTGGTTAACCAAAGCAGCTGATAGGACATAGCAGAATGATGACGATGGCCCTAGTACACGATGTCCACTATGAATGCAATTTACCACCTTGGCCCACTAGCCAAAGTCTGTATATCATATCGATGCCTGAATCCTCGACAATGCTACCTACAGTGCGATCGTCTAGTCTCAAATTCATAGCAATTATACTTACCTCAATACTACGTACATATATCCCATGCCTTAGTGTGAATCCCACAAACCATTTCGATGGAAACCTCAGGCTGTATGACTCACCCTCTCACGTGATATCATGGGCGGCTCTTTAAGGCGGTGAATTGTTCTGCCCCACTGTTGCCTCCGATAACGAGAAGTGGCGCCTATCGAGGCGACTCTTAATTGATTCTTCGAAGATGCTCGATGACTGGGGTTGTCGCCATGTCCACCTGCATTTTCGTTTGACATGATTCTCACCTACTGACCCAAGTCCCTCGTTTCTTCTTTACTCTCCGAACTCTCCGAACTCATTTTTCATCCTGCCATGACTTCCAACGATACCGAGGCGAGCCGTCTGCAGGAGCTTCATGCAGTCGTACGCGATCAAGATGACCTAGAAAGAGATATCACCAGCAAGGTCAGTTTCCCGTCAGCTTGATATCTCTTGACGCTCACTGTCTCATAGGCGGACCAACTCCTCGCGGAAAAAGCGGAGGAAAACGACATCAAACGCCTGGAGAAGGCCTTGAACGAAAAAGAGTACGTTGACTTGTTCGTCTGATCTCGGAGCGCAGATATCCTGACTTTGCTTTCTTTTCAGGAAGCTCGATGCCCAGATACGATCGGCGCGCCACCGTCTGGCTCAGCATGTCGGAGCCGCAACCCGCCACAAACTCGAAAATGAGCTGCACAAGCTGGAGCAGCGTCGAACCGAAGTACAAAATGACATTCGAGATATCCAAAAGCGTATCGACGATCGGCGCAAGATCCAGGAGGCTGGGACTGGTGTCCAGGGCCCCGGTCGACAGCTCAACGAGTCACGCCGTGACTACCTCCTTCGGACGGGAAAGATCACCCCCTTCGATCTCGCGAATGCCGGAACTCAGGTTGGCGACCCGTCGACTCTCCAGGATGCCCTGGATGACGCAGAAGATGAACAAAAGCTGGAGGAAGAGCGTGCGCGGGCGCCGAACGAGCCCACTGCGTCCCACCGCAACCTTGCGCGCCCCGGACTGGATTTCGAAGACGGTAGTGAGAGCAGCGTCACGGCGGGTGCCACTAAGCGGAGGAAGCTTGCCACAAGCCCCAAGACCGTAAAAACGCGCAAGTCTAGTTCGCCTGATGCTGACTCGTCTGCGAGCTTCGTCGCCTCTGATGGCGAGAGCGCGAAATCAGAAGATGACGACTTCATGTTCGATACCAAGGCCGATACCAGTACTCGCAAGCGCAAGCAGACTAACGCCGAGGCTGAGTTCGAAGATCTCAGCGGTGTGGATGACGGGAATGAAAAGGTCTACCAGGATCGCCTCCAAAAATGGATCAAAAAACGCAGCGCCGCGCGCAAACGCGTAAACGCGGGCATTAAAGAAGAAAACGAGGAGCAGGATGAATGGCTTAAACCGCATCCCACCGAACCCGACATGGAGCTAGCAAATGGACTTCGCATCCCTGGAGATATTAGTCGATATCTGTTTGACTACCAACGTACAGGCGTCCAGTGGCTCTGGGAGTTACACCAACAGATGGTCGGCGGTATCATTGGAGACGAAATGGGTCTGGGTAAGACAATTCAGGCCATCTCCTACCTTGCATCTTTGCACCACAGCAATTTTTACGACAAGCCCTCAATTGTTGTATGCCCTGCAACCCTCATGGTGCAATGGGTTAACGAATTCCATCGCTGGTGGCCAGCATTCCGCGTCTCGATCCTGCACAGCTCTGGTAGCGGTATGGTCAATCTAAGTAAGGAGAGCAACCGCGAGAGCCGACTGGCATCTGAGATGATGGGTACCAACCCTTCTCACCATATGTCAGCCGGCCAGAAAGCTGCCAAGAGAATCATTAACCGCGTCACTGATGCCGGCCACGTCTTGGTGACTACATATGCTGGCCTGCAGTCTTACGCAGATCTTCTAGTCGGTGTTGATTGGGGATGTGCCATTCTTGACGAAGGTCACAAGATTCGCAACCCCGATGCTAGCATCACGTTCAGTTGCAAAGAACTAAGGACTCATCACCGCATCATTTTATCCGGAACCCCTATGCAGAACAGCTTGGTTGATCTTTGGTCTCTTTTTGATTTTGTCTTCCCGATGCGCCTGGGAAACCTAGTCTCTTTCAAGAACCAGTTCGAAATTCCTATTCGCCAAGGTGGATACGCATCCGCATCAAATCTTCAGGTTCAGACTGCTGCGAAGTGTGCGGAGACTTTGAAAGACGCTATCAGTCCTTACCTCCTTCAGCGCTACAAGGCCGATGTTACGTCTGATCTGCCTAAGAAGAGCGAGCAGGTGATATTCTGCAAACTCACCAAGTGGCAACGAACGGTCTACAAGCGGTTCCTTGGCTCGGACGACATGCGCTCTATTTGCAGAGGCAAAAAGAATTCTCTTTTCGGAATTGATATTCTTCGAAAGATCTGCAACCATCCAGATCTTGTAGACCACGCATTTCGATCCCACGAGGCTGATTACGGCCAGGGTGATCTGTCTGGCAAGATGCTCGTTTTGAAGGGCCTTCTTGAGGTGTGGAGAGATACCGGCCACAAGACTTTACTATTTGCACAGACTCGTCAGATGTTAGATATCATTCAGAAGTTTATTCGGAATCTCGGTGACTTCAACTTTCGTCGCATGGACGGAAATACCGCGATCAAAGACCGCCAGAGTATGGTGGATGAATTCAACACCAATCCTGACATTCACGTCTTCCTGCTTACCACCAAAGTTGGGGGTATCGGTGTGAATCTAACAGGGGCTGATCGAGTTATCATCTACGATCCGGATTGGAATCCGTCGACTGACATGCAAGCCCGTGAGCGCGCATGGCGTCTTGGCCAGAAACGCGATGTCACCATTTTCCGTCTTATGACCAAGGGTACAATTGAAGAAAAGATTTATCACCGCCAGATCTTCAAGCAGTTCCTGACCAACAAGATCACCAAGAATCCACACCAACGGGAGGGTTTCCAACTCGGTGATCTCTACGATCTGTTCTCTCTGACAGAGGAGGATGACAACGAGCTGGAGACAAGCAGGCTCTTCCAAAATGCTGAAGTGACCTACCAAGAAGAGGAGGAGTCGGCTACCATGAAAGGCAGCGCTGCGGAACTGATCAAATCTCCGCAGCCCAAGGCTGAAGATATCAACACCGTCCAAGGAGTTGCCAACATAGAAGAATTCAAAAACAGCTCCGAAGAGGCAAAGGAATCTCAAAACGCCGAACAGCGCATCATGCACGGCATCTTCGCGCGTTCCGGTGTCCATTCTGCCCTCGAACACGACCATATCGTGGACGGCAGACGCGCAGTCCGAGCTGACGCGAAAGACATCGAGCGCGCAGCCCGCCGCGTCGCCGACGAAGCAGCCGCAGAGCTCCGCAAAGCCGAAGAGACCGCTCGCACCATGCCCATCGGCCTCCCAACCTGGACGGGCCAGTACGGCGTCGGCGGACGCGACAATCAAAGCGGTAGCTCCGCACGTCCAGCACGAGCCGGGCCCTCCTCCGCCAATCTTCTCGCAAACCTCAACCCCGCCGCTGCTCAGAACAACGCATCTCCCGCCGTGCCAGACCGCATGCCCCGCGGCAAAGAATTTATCCCACTAATCCGAGACTTCCTTCTCAAGCGCCGTGGTCCCGTCTGGAGCCAGGTGATTGTTGACAATTTCAACCATTTCTGTACGAATCAGCAGCGCTCAACTGAGTTTCAGGAAGCGTTGAAAAAAGTAGCCAAGCTTGAGCGGGATCGCGGTGGGCGTGGAAAATGGATTCTGAAGCCTGAATTTGTACCCTCGCCCTCATCCGAGTCTGTGCGGAATGTTCCGAGGAGATGAATGTTGCACGATATTTGTCTTCGGATGAGGTTATTATTGGAAATGGTGTTTTGTACGATAGAAAGACTAATGATTCGATGACTGAGATCATGATAATGACAATAACATTCAAGGCAGTTAGGCCCTAGCGGAAAGCGGGGCCTTGCAGACGAATTTGAAGTAATGACCTTGAAAGGTTTTTCTAATTTTGTGAGGGCTGTCATAGTTGTGTAATGCTGGTGCGAAGTTTCCATGCACGGGTGTTCACGGATTAACATGCCAACCTATGTACTTTGAATTGAGCAAGTCTATGGGTGATCCATAGACATGAATATTCTGAGCTAGTGGCAGCCAGGTACTCCAGCAACACTGCGGCTGCATTCAGGTGCCAATTACAGAAATCCCCTTAATGAACATGACGTGTTGACTTTTGTATCTCCGTAAGATCGGCTTGCGGTGAGAGATCTGCCGCGAACGAATAATTATCCCGCCATGACTAGACGATGCTACTGCTCTAGGTAAAATGCCCAAACCGTAGAGCTCTTTGAACGACCATTGAATCTTTTTGTCGACAATAAGATACCCAATCTTTGAGTCTGAATTTGACAGCTTCCTTGGAAGGAACTTCGAGGCCGGCCATGTATATCAAGCCAAAATCTAACGCCCTACTTAGGTTAAAGGTTATTATTCGTACGTGATGGCGAAAACATAGAGGCTCTCGTATACCCTGAATACGGGCCGTACGGTGTCGAGATCAGCAATGAAGCAATGACTTAGAGATATGTAACTCATATTCAGACTCCTTATTCTAGTGCGGTACTACCGCTTGCACTATGTGGTCGAAGACGCAGTTATGCATTGTATATTGAGATTCGAGAAACAAGCAAATGGATTCGCATCCTTTGGGAAACATGTCAGCGATACAGGTTTCCAATCAATAAAACCCCCTCCTTTAGTAGCCAAACTTTTCCAGGTCTAGCCTCGTCATCGCTATTTCATAGTCATAATCTCAGGCCTTCAGTAGCCAGCCATCTGTGTTGCGCGTGTCCGGCGGGGCTTCTCGGCACCTTTGATGCATCTCAGTGGACAACAATGTAGCTGAATGTTTCGTTGGGCTATCCTGCGAGGTATGTAAGGAGCGAGGGCTAGTAAGGGGTCTTGACCTAATTATGAAACTGTAACCGAAACCGGTTCCAAAATATGCCTAGGTGAAGAGTCGGAATTCAAGCCGCAATTTATGCTTTCATTTATTGCAAGCATATTCCAGTATTGTCTACTGTGTCGAAAGCCAAGATTGAAATTATGGCACGGGGCGGTCCGGCGGCAAGTGCCGACCGGAAAGCCTTGTATTTTCTTCAGATCATCTGTAAATATACCCAGTCTCAGCAGGAGTCTCGAATGAATCATGCTTGCGTAAGGATTGTTGTCCAGCGTTTTTATTTGGTTAAGATTCAAGTTCTTAACATTTGAGGTAGGGCAACAGTTAGTTACATGACGTACAAAATACCTTTCCGTGTGATAGGTGGCTGCACCTGCATCATCCAGATGTCGTGTAACCCGAGCAGTATACCCGATACTTAGGATCTCCTCAAGATCCATTGCATAACATAAGTCCTGTTTGTACAGTCGAGCTTCAGAGTGTTACTACAGTCTGCTAGATCAATCTAATGACGGCGTCACATACACGAATGCGGAGTCTGGGTAGCGCTCGAGTACCTGTTCGTCTTGTAGCATCTGCGAGATGACGAAAGAAAATAGGAAAGGTTGATAGATCTACGCGACATCATGTGCGACATATCTCCTTGCTCTCAGGATCTACCAACTATTAGAATCTTGCATGTTCAAATAAAATTTTATTATAGTTTAGATTCTAAGGGTTTCAGGGGGGAAGAGAACTAATATAAGAGTTGATCTCATCTCACCGTCTTCTACTCCTTTCTATCCATCTTCCATCTATTCTTTCTCAAACATCTTGGACAACATCACCATGAAGTTGCACTATCTCATTCAAGGTTTGTGCTTCCTGACGGCTGTCGAGGCACAGACCGCCAAAGACGACTATGATGCACTATGTGACTCTCGGGACGAGGATATCCTTACCGGGGGCAACGGAGAGAACTTTGCCTATGTCTGCGGGATGACCGCAAAGGGAGGCCGCAATAATATCATCGACACCCTTGAAAATGTCGGATCCAGCAGTGCTTGTGCGGATTCATGTGCTGCCGTTGATGAATGCAATGGAAGCACATGGAACTACTTACTCAAATCCTGTTTGCTCCACAGAGATGCCGAGGATATAAAAAATCGAAGAGGAGGACTTTTACTCCGTCGCGCGGACAGACGCCCTTCCGCAGATTGCACGGTCATTCAAAACGAGCTCAAGGAGTGCGAGGACGCGGAGATCATACTGCAAGATGATCTGAATACGTGTAAAACTGCCCATACTACATCAGAGAAAGTAAACACCGATCTGGAAGACAAACTTGAAGCTTGCGAGTTTGAGAGAGATCTTCTTGAATCCGAGGCGGCAACCACGCAGGACTGCGAAAGCGCGAAAGGCCAAATTGAAGATCTGAATCAACAGGTGGAGCAGTGCAAGTCTGATGCTTTGTCTACCGCTCTTGATCTGCATGAGTGCCAGAATATTGCTGCTTCTGGTGCCCTTGAGCTGCAGCAATGCAAGAACGCCGCGGCGACAAACTCTCTGGAGCTGCAGCAGTGCAAGAACTCCGCCGCTTCGAGCTCTCTTGAATTGCAGCAATGCCAGACTACTGCTTCCTCCGGTGCCCTTGAGCTACAGCAATGCAAGTCTAGTGCAGCGTCCACATCCCTGGAGTTGCAGCAATGCAAGGCCGCTGCTTCTAGCTCTGGACTTCCTGCATTCAAGGATTGCACAACTGGTGGTGATGGACAGATTCTCAAGATCGGGAGCAGGAACTTCAAGCAGAAGTGCAATGTTTCTATGGCGAAGAGTCAGATGCCTCTCAGAAGGGTTGTGAAGCCGGGTCTCAATAGACTGGAGTGTGCCCTGATTTGCGCTCTTGATGCAGGATGCCAGAATGTTTACTTCGTTCGCTCAACTTCAACAGTTGGTGAATGCCAGCTGCAGCAACAAAATATCGAGTCTCGCCTAGGGCGGGGCGAAGATATTGATTATATCCCAGTATAAACCTCGAGCACCTGATCTGGGACAAATTAAAACAGTACCGAATATCTGCCACAAATATTTTCCTCATTTTACAAGCGGCCGGTCTTTCGTCTACTCGCGCATTTGAGTCGAAAGTCAGGATAGTGATCTACAATTGGTCAAATTAGGGATAGATCGCCCATCTTTGCTGGTCGGCATCTGGTGTCGTTGCGACTAGTCTGTTTTTCTTTTCTTTTCATTTCGCCATTGATTAGTAGTTCACTATCTCCTCAAGCCAATCCTCTGCCATGCTGACTCCTGTCCGCTGTCCGCTCCAGGTAGACATTGCTCGCTGTTCTCAACGGTGCCACACTCTGCCTCCTGCGAGGGACATTTCGGGCGATTGCCTTGTTTTCGTGGCTGCGAATGGCTTGTGGTGGCTGCGAATGCTCTTCAGAGTACGCACTATACATACACGAAGTGACACGAGTGATTTGTACCTGGAACGTAGCGTTGCCATTCTCACGGATGCTCTTGGGTACCGCATCGACGAGTGGCAATTATTCGTAACACGTAACAGCCGCTCATCGAGGCTCCTAGCCGTTTGCAGAAAGAGGTTTTCTGTGAAGTAGCCAGATATGTTACGACGTGAGATGATTACCCTCCTGGCAGAATGCTCTACAGCAATACCGCATAGAGAGTAACATACAGCTAATTGAAAAAGGAATGTTTCCTATAATTTCGCTGAGCGCCGATTCTTTGCAGCTCTCTTGATGAAGTCGTCCATGATGAACTGACACGAAGCCACGGCATTCATATCCTTGTCATTTCTCAGCCGTTCCAAGACGACAGCTTCGCCAGCAAACATAACATCTACTTTGCCATTATCACAACCTGGCAGGAGAGTAATCTCGCCACGGGGAAGCTCTCGGCCAAGATATGGCTCACGATACGCCTCACACCGGCCGAGGCCAGGACCCCAGTCCTCAAGCACGACTGAGCTTAGACGTGTGTGATCAGTGACAAGGGCATCGAGCGGACCATTTGGTACCAGACCCGGGTTCATAGGGTGCATCTGCGCAATCTCTATCATTTCGCAGAATACCTCTTCACTCCAGTTGTTGTTGCTACTGCGAATCATCGTTGCTACCTTGGCCAAGGCCTCCGGGGCTGTGGATGTGAAGCTATCAGTGTTTGCAGTAACTGGAAAGAGGTCCACGCAAGCCGGCATGTAGTCGAGAGGCAAAGGTGGTGTTAGGCGCGTGCGCACGCTCCCAGCGTAAACGATACGCGTCGTCTTGGGTATAGGCTCCGCGCCCGGCACACCCGGGGCCCATTTGGCTGCGAAGAAGCGCTGCCAAGCAAAAGCTGTCAGACAGTCGATGGATGATAACTTGGTGCCTCTAGGCGATACTCTATCGGCGGCGAGCTTCAGTTTTCTTATTGATGACTGAGGGAAGGTCCATACAGAGGTTGACAGCCCACGAAGCTTATCTTCAGAAAAATTGGCCAGGTCATTGTCTGTCAAACGAGCCTTTGTGAAGATGTCGTCTATTGTCTTGCCCATCTTTCGGGGATCGCGAGGATCGACCATTGTCCAATGTGGAAGATTTGCCGCGCGAGCCGCCAACTTCTCGAGATCATGCTCAATCTGCACATTAGGCATCAGCGGTGAGCGGTCCATCAAATTCGCTGCTACTTGCTGCGGTAGCGGAGGCTCAGGCTGATTCTTTGTCCGAGCATTGGCAACAGCACACGTGTTACGTGCCCAAGACCCCATCAAGTCCTTAAACTGCACGAGGTCGCACATCACATGTGCAATAGACATGGTCAGCACTATTCCGCCTTTGATGACATTGAATCGAGTAATAAGGATGGGGTCGCCGGCCTGGGCGCTTGGGAAGACTTTTTGGCGCAGTTTGCTCAAACCATCTTGGTCGCCGTCACCGAATGGCCAGCCAAATCTTCTGAACTCCTCATAAGAGGGCATGCCCTTCATATCTCGGTGGTCGTGGAACTCAAAATTGACACCGGCGTACGGCGTCGGGCGAATCTCGATCGAGTTGCGTCCAGTTTCATCCTTGAAAATTCTACCACAAAGATGTGGGTGTTGGTATATGTAGCGGGCGAGGCCACGTTTGCAGTCTTCGTAAAGCTGTCTGGGGTCGGTGTCTGGTTTTAAAGGGAAGAACTCTGTCGGCGAAGGATAGACTGGCGTGGTTAAATTATCCAGAGCAGATAATCTGATGAGAGAGGGATGCACAGGGCCCGCAGGCTCAACCCATGAGCAAGGCAGTGTTTGGGGGTCCATTGAAAAGCCAAGCGCCTTTCACAGCGAAGAGAGAAGATACAGAATCGCATTAGGCTTTCGAGGTGGTGGCACCATTAAGAACTTGTGGATTAGTGCCCTCCAGTGCCCCCTTGTTGACGTCTAATTGTAGTATGTTTCTGACGATCACGGAACTTCAAGGGGGCTGGCTTGTGCGCGCGAAGACAAGAGACAATAGAGCGTCTTCACAACCTTGATTCCGGGCTATTTGAGTCGACTATTGAATATTATAGTTACAATAGGTTAGTGTTGACACCATTTGACATAGCCCTTAGGGGATCATTGTCAAGTGGAGTCATTGCTGCTGCTCGTGGTACTGTACTGTGTCTGTTCCAATTGGTCCGGTGGGGGCACTGGAAAGCACTAAAATGTCTTGGCAGGAGGACAGTGATAATAGGTAAATTATCGCCGTCCATACATGCGTAGCATCCCGCCCTGACTAGATCCTATAGAGTAAAGATCGACGCATTAGCGGACACCGCAATGGCAGGGGCTGCTTCACGAAATCCTGCTGGAACTGTGATAATGGGTCCAAGCCCTGGAGTCTTTGCCTCCCCCTGGTAGCTAAGTCATGTCCGTCGCCTTTTTATCTTCTCCAAGCCGTTCCAAGTTATACAAATATTTGTTCACCCACTAGCTCATGCATTCCTCTTGGTTGAACATAAAGGAGGTCATAGGTGCAGAACAAAGTCACTCAAGATGTCTGACACCGTCAAGACCGCGGCCATTGTACCGACCAGCTCTGTCGCAGTTATCAAACCACATCCAGACAGCCACGGACAAGTGGTGAAGCTTTCTGCGATCGATCAGATTGCGCCTAGAGACTATATGTCGATATGCCTATTTTTCCGACTGGGTCCAGATGCGGATAAGAGACAAATCTTCAGTGTCCTCCAGGAAACCCTCTTGAGAATCGTGAGTGACATGCCGGAGCTTGCGTGCTGCGTGCAGAAACACACCAATAACAACCGTGAAGAAGTTGAGCTTGTATTCGACTCCAGCAAGGGTGTTGAAATCCATTACAAAGACCATACCTCACCTGAGCTTTGTGGTCTGTGGAACTTTGGCACGTTCGACCAACTTGAGCAGGAACACTTCCCTCTCAACAAGATGCCAAGGCACATTGTTTTCGGAACGTCCGCCAAGCTGGAGGACAACGTGAAGCTTCCATCTCTTATTGTACAACTCAATTTCATACCTGGAGGGCTGATACTTGGAAGCTGCCTACATGTAAGCCTCCACTCTGTTTTGAGTTCATCTTCTTTTGGCTTGGGGCGGGTTCTAAGGTCAAATACTTTGATAGAACCTGTCACGTCCATTTCTGTGAGGGCGATACTAATGAAGACATAGCATGTGGCTGGTGATGGTCAATGTAACTTCATGTTATATTCTACCATAGGCGCTCACTTTTCTGCTGTGGCCGATGGGCTAGACAGCAAACCTACCTCGAAAATCCACCTTCTAGAGAGAAGTGGTGTCGTTGAGGGCGATCAGAGTGTGACGCTCGAAGAATTCCCTCACTGGAAGCTCGCGGAAGACACTACCGAGTTCCTCAATCCAACGGTGTACAGAGCTAGTGAGATTCCCACATTCGAATATGCTACGTACTTTATCTCGGCCGAAAAGCTTGCCTTACTCAAAAGCCGCATCTCGAACAATGTTCCCGAAACCAAGCTCGGCACAGTCGAAACATTGGGTGCCTTCATCTGGCGTCACATAATCGTGGCCAGAAATATCAATCCTCGGAGGTATCCCGAGGCGAAGCTTTCCATCACCATTGATGCTAGGGGCCGTATGAAAAACCCCAATGTCCCATCCAACTATTGGGGGAACTTTGCCGAACCAAACGCAGTGGCCAGGCTACCCGTTGCCAGTCTTCAAGGCGCATCGTCATCAACGAAACATCTTACGAGCACCATCTACCCCGAGGCAGCGCGCCGCATCAAAAAAGCGATAGCTGCGGTGGATGATAAAGCAGTCAGGCGCCTTGTCGGTCTCCTTAATCAGATGCCCAAAAGTACGACATTAACTTGGAACGTCAACCGCTACCCTGGCCCGGACATGCTTCTTGTCTGTATCCAGGGTCATGCGTACAATGACATCTACTTCGGCCATGAGCTTGGTTGTCCTTCAGCATTGCGATGCACTGTGGGTGACACTGAGGGTAAACCTGATGGCCGTTGTCTGATTCTGCCACCTCGCCGCGGCGACGGTAAAGGTCTTGAGGTCGCGCTGCAGTATGACAATAGCACACTGAAGAGGCTTGAGAATAATATCGAGTTTGGGGAGTTTTTTGTACGTAGAAACTAAATCATCTTCTCACCGGAGGTGGCCAAGAGCTTGGTGAGACCCGTTCACTCGTGTCTCACGGAAAAGGGAAGCATCTAGAGAAAATATCAGTCTTATGGATGATGTCAACACAAGCATAGCTCTAATTGCTTCACAGTATCAATGGATGGTCATTTGACTTAGGTTCTCGTTATTCTTAGCCACCATTGATTTACAGTCACAGGGACCATACTTGGACTGTACACGTATGGAGAGAGTTGTTTTGGTTATTCACGAATCTGTCGAAATCATTGCCTCTATCAGTCTAGTCTATGCCTTTCACCTATCGAATGCTAGGCATTTTCCTGTAGATATGTTCTCCATGACACCCAGAAATTATGAACCTTGTGAAACCCACCCTTTTTCCCACTTGCATCTTCCACCCGAGGGGGCTATTCACAAGTCCCAAACAGGAAGTATTTGTTCATACCTAGGAAAATCAGTCCCACACATTTGTCCGGACATGAGATGATGCCATCGTATAGTGCTGATTAGGCAGTTTCCTTCATGCCTAGGAGGTCTGTTGACTGTCAGTGCCATAGTCATCGTCATCGTCATTGTAGTTGTCGTCGTCGTCGTCGTTTTGGAGATTCAGAAAGCATCCATTGATGGTATGGGCCGTCCAACGATTGTGATACTTGCATCAGTGCATACTATCGCGGGGCTTGGGGGCAAGGGTATCTGTATAGTTTGTAGTTTAATCAGTGATCTTGCTGACACGCACAGAACTATCATGAAGAAGAAACTGGTCGATGACGGTAGTTTGTAAGTAATATGGCATCAAGACTGTCTCATTTACGGCGATGATGATGTCTCAGAGTCAAGCCACATGCTTCCTTCAAAGTAGGGTCTCCTGTCCAATCTTGCAGCTCTGAGTGGGTAGATATCCCCGTCACCTCGGAATCGACAGGGTACGTAGAGGTCCATCAGTGACAACTTTTTTACAAGGTTCCAGGTGTGGAAATCGGGAAACGGGAAGTGGGAAACGCCGGGGTTTTCTTTGGGAAAAACCTCAACAGCCTAGTTATATGTGGTGGAGCGGATAATCCGTTGCAGGCACCGAGGTTTCAGGGGCTCGGTGCCAAGTGCGGCTTTCCATGGATGGAGCTCACAGAAATGGAGAACTCATCACAACATGATTTTACTTCGTCTTTTGGCACCATTGCAAGTCTCTTTTAATTTTACTAGTTGAAATTGACAGAATTCAAATTGCCCCGAGAAGTATCTATGTTAATATCATTTGTCAATGAAAAGTGCTTCCAGCTTGTGACACAAAAGGCAGCGGGGGCTGGTGGAAAAGGATCTACACCCCTCGATACGCTAACTGGTGCATGAATCCCCTACACATCTCCGTATCCACTCACTGAAGGAAGCTCCAAGCCGATTATCACCAGATTCATTCTCCCCGAGGCAATTACAGGATTCGGCAGATCTGCCCCGCAGAATTTACCCAAGACAATCATGCAACCCACAGATTAGGAACCCCTGGAAATAACTATGGACCATCTCATTTGAAGACCTGCAGCTGCACCAGGCAGCCCATATTTCCACGCCCTTTTCACTGCCACTTCGTCTTGAAGGCCAAAGACAGACTACCCAGCACGCCTGACAAGCACAGGGCTACGAAACACACCAGTGATCTAAGACCCTCGTTCTTGCAGGTCAGCTAAGGCCAACCACTAAGCCACCCGTCCCACGACAAGGGCTCATCAACGACCCAAGGATGCGATCGCAGATCGCCAGGTTTCTCTGGGTGGCGCTATACTCCATTCACCCCACACCCAGCAGCCCAGCACCTTCTGTCTCGGCATAAATAGCAGCGTCATTTCCTCGTCACTTTCAAGCAGCGCCCTTACTTTCACTCCAATTGAAAATTTACATCACGTCTCACCTATAAACGCCAATTCCGAGGGCAACGTCGCTACCTAATCTCTCAACCCTATTTACGCAACTCACTCAAAATGAACCTCCTCACCACACTCCTGCTCGCAACCGCGGCCTCCGCCGCCCCTCTCGAGAAAATGTTTAACCTCGTCACATCCGGTGCCCCCACCAGCAGCAACAATGACCTCTACGTTACCACCGAGTCCACTGGGCCCTTGAACAGCAACGCCGTGCTGAGTACCAAGGCCGACGCCGCTAGCTTCTACTTCAGCAACGGAACGGTCCACTATGAGGCCCCCAACGGCGCGCCCTGGGCCATGGCTCTTGTCTCTGGTTCCGAATATGAAAACCCCGTGGAGATCAGCGTGGATCCTACGACCGGAAGCGAGGGCTTCAAGGTTGCAGCAAGCGGTACTTTGTCTGTTGCGCAGCCCAGCTGGGGTGGCTGGTTGAGTAAGTTTGATTCCCTTTTTCCTTTGCTCGCGTTTTATTGGAAATTGGAAATTGGAAGCTGACTGGGATTTAGTTTGCACTGGCGGTAGTGACCCGGCTGTGTACTATGTCAACACCAAGGCGACGAGTGGGGCTTTGAAAGCGGGGTGTGAGAAGGTGCAGCTGAAAGCTGTTTTGAAGCCCTCTTCTTAGCCATGGAGCCCTGACAGTTTGAAGTGATGATGCCGACTTGATGATGAGTTTGGGTTGAAAGTATTGTTTTCTTTTCGTTTGTATTATTTTGGGCTGGTTAGACGGTAGAGGGGCGTTTTAATGACATTCATGATTCTCCACGAGGCTTCGTTATTTGTCAGAGTAGCGATAATAGAAACCAGGCCTATTCATGGATCAATTTTCCAAGTGGGCTATGTAGTGAGCAATTGCTCTTTATAGGTCTTTGTCGAGCCACTGAAGGCCGCTAGGTGCCTTTCATTCCTCAGAGAACTTGACCTCGCCGATTAACGTGGGGAACTCTAGCAGATAACAACTCGCTGATACTTGGCTTTCTGCTAACTTCAAAAATTATAAGTTATTCTATGTTTCCATGTTTTTAGTTGCCCTTCCAAGGTTGTGATAAACTGAATGAGTTACTCTTTTGGTCTCTTGGATGGCTCGGTACTTCAGTATTTCCACGGGTGGGGCTGCATGGACCATGGCTGGATTAATGTCAATTCAGGTCAGTGTTGATCTAGGAAGCTACAACAGTCCGACTATCAAATATAGGTCATGGCATTGACAATGTTATGATCGGCCTAAAAATAGCCCACTGTCTCACCTCCCTTGACAGCCATCGCCCGTTTAGGCTTAGCCCCATAATACATCCCAAACACCTTTTCCCTCACTTTCTGTGCCACCGTTCCAACCTCTTGACTATTCTCTCGCTTCAATCGTCGCTCGTTTGACTGCTTTAACCCTCGTTCGCTGTGGTGGTTGTACATCGACCCCGAGACCCGCGCTCCACAGAACCGTCCAGAGCTCCCGAACCCACACATTCCGCCGATCGACACCACTCAGGGTCCAGAGTGATCACAAGCCCGATAGCATTTTTCCCGCTCGCCAGATCTCACCAGAGGCGTTGAAGTCGAAGTCCTCAATCTCCTTGAAACTTCATTGTTCTTGGTCAACAGTCTCTAGCGACTTCACTCTGCCGCTGGCTGCAAGGGGTTGTTGACTCGGCTCTTTTACCCGCCAAGGGAATCTTTCTACCCCTGCTGTCCCTGATCCGCCCTCCTCCACAACCAGATCTGCATCCAGAACACTCACAATGCGGTCCTTCATCTTCTCATTTTTGTTTACGGTGTTGTTGCTAGGCACTGTGGCCTCGGCCTGGCCGTGGGGTTCCCATGGGGAAGTCGTCGTTCGTGATGCACTTTTAGACAGGCGCGCAGGTACATGACCTGTTTCTCGTTCCCCCAAGAAGAAACTGACCATGTCTTAGAATCAACCACGACCGAAACTGGAACCACTGACACCGCAACTACCTCTACGGGCACCTCAGCCTCCGGTACTACCGATACAACAACCACCGATACAGCGACTACCGACACTGCAACTACGGGCAAGTCCACCGACACGAAAACAGACACCAAGACGAAGACGAATACAAAGTCCACCACCTCCACCTCGATCTCTATCGACCCTGCTGCCGCTGCGGGAGGTATCTCGATGCTCACCCCGTCTGCGTTATCGACCACGTACTACAAGATCGGACAGGATATCACCTTTGTGTGGAACTACACTTCGCTCAGTGTGACTCCCACTGCCGTCGACGTCGTTGCCTCCTGCAGTGCCAACGCCCAGGTCTACACCCTCACCTCAAACATGAGTGCCAAGGCCACCGGAACCTACATCTGGGATACCGGAAAATACCAGTCGTCTGCCACTATCCCATTATTGACGGCTACTTACACACTTTTCGTCTATGATGCGAGCAAAGCCCTCACCGACACCGCCAGTGCTGGCTACCTGAGTTCTAATCAGGGTTACAGCTTTGGCATGTACAGTCCCCAGCCTTACACTCCTCTGGGTGGTGAGTCCCCTTCCACTCTCCGAAAACGATCCAAGACTGACAAGTCCAGAATTCAAATGTGCCACCTGCAGCGGCTCCATCTCCGACATCCAACGCCAAGGCATCAAATTCGCACTCGGCATGGCCTTTATCACACTTGCCTCCTTCACATGGTTCGTCGGTGGCCTAGGAATCTTCTCCTGACGGCCCACGACCTACCTCCTGTAGAAGCGGAAAATGACATTCTCATGGATATATTTTGAGCTGGCGTTGCGATTCTTTCAAGCGAAAAACTGGATTTACGATAATAGCAAGAACCCCGGCGTTTGTTAATATTTGGACTAGGGATGCTTCATGTCTATGGTTTTTTTTTTGCCTTTTTTCTTTTTTGTCTCCCCTTATTCAATTTGCACTTCCCGCTAGGTCTGCAACCTCTGCAGCCTATGAACGATGCAAGTCTAGCGAAAGGGCTCGTCCTTGTTTTGTATTATTTTTTTTCGGCTCGGTTCTCCTACATCCTTTAATTCATACATTCTCGGCACATATTGAAAAGGATTTTCTGCGTCTGCGAGGTTATTTCGGATAGACAATTTTGAGAATTTGAATTCGTTCAAAGAAACAAGGGGAATGATTCTTTCTCTAGTAGTGTTTCAGGGCTAGACAATATTCATCGTTTGATGCAGAGTTGTTTTGTAGATGACATTGTCTCCCACAGAACTTATCCAATGTAGGGGCAATTGAAGAAGAGAAAGCTAACTAACACGGAGTTTCATTGATACGGTAAAACATGCGTCTTTGATGGCGTGTGTTCCTGAGGGTACCGGGCATTGTTCCGATGTCTAGGACGGACCACAAACACAAACCGGCGCGAGCACGCTGTGACGATGTGATTTGGAATCCGAATCAAATAGATCTAGAATTTAGAAGTTGCGACAATGAAAGAAACAGCCGGAGTAGGAAATGTGTGCGTGGAAATCAAGCAGTATGTTTGTACTACGCGCTATAGGATTTTTTTAAAAAAAAAAAAAAAGGTTGATCGCTCCCAGTCGCCTTATATTCTGTCGGCAGTTCCCAGCTCCCAGTCTCCAGACTTCCACTCCTAAACCCTCGAAGTCGTCAGGCCTCCCTTAAGTAACACCAACCTCTAATCTCCCATACCGAGCTACCACCCTTAAACCATGGGCCAACCTCAAACCTTCGGCTGGATCTGGCCCAAAGACCAACGCCCCGGCAAACCCTCCCACTGGTCCCGCCGCTGGCGTTTCCGTGACATCCTTACCAACAAGGGCCCCGACATCTATGTCGGCGTGATCGGCAAAAGGAAGGGATCAGGAGCCGGAACCGGAACAAACTGGCACCGATGGACGAACGATGTCACCAACCCCGGTGAAACAGAGGAGAATGACACGCCCTTTCCTTGGGCTCGTCGGGGTCCCGGCGTGAGATACGACTTCCGGCAACGGAAGTACCAAGTTCCGAACCTTGCCACTTGGAGTAAAGTTGATTATTGTACCGGAGCGAGAACTGGGGGACGGTTCACGAGGCCCGAGGTGCATTATGTGCCGAGGAGATTTTGGGATAAGAATGGTAATGAATATCCGTGTCAGGGGTGGCATGATTGGCAGCATGGGTATCATGTTGATCGCTAGGAGGTTGTAGGTACTAGGTTTGAGAGACTTGACACTCATTTGGGATTTCTTTTGTCAGGAGGCAATGTGTGGGCATCATAGCTGATCAAGCGCAGTCGGAATGCAATGCGTCGAATGCGAAGATGCGCTGTTCGCTCTGGGATATTTGGACGGGTTGAATGCGGCGAATTGTTGGAAGTTGGGCGGCATTGTTGGTTAGACGCGTGCATTTGGTACACGGTGTTGATTTGATGTCGGCGTATGATGATATCATGTCCTATGGATGAATCAGTAAAAGAAATTTGTGTTTTTGATGTCGGAGAACAACATACCAATAAGAAAGCCAGATCCCACTTCCGCGGCCGTGAATTTAAGCAATTCATTATAGAGTTTTCCAGTTTAGTCGGGGAGCGGCCTGGGGGTGCCTTGGCGCGAACTTGCCATTCAGAGACACCAGGTATATCGGCCTCTTTCATACCTTCAACCAAGAGAATCATTCCTGCCTTTGCGAGCGCAATGCCCATCGAGAAAGGCTTCTGACCCTTGACAATGCGAATGCCGGGTATGTTCCGTTGCATGAACTTCTCGACAATAGTCCCCCATTCACCTTCCGAGGATTGAGCCTTAACACGCTCGGCATCCTCCTCTTCTCGTTGAGCCTCTTTTTCTTTCGTCTTCTCGGCTTTGAGCAACTCTTTCAGTAGGATGTCATAATCCATCTCCCAGATTCCAGTCGGTTGCAGGAGCTCTCCACTAGACTCTCTGATACGAGCCTCAACATACGACCAGATCGGCTGTAGCTCCGGGCCACGCCACACGGACTGGAAGTTCTCGATATTGCTTAGCCTGTTGCGCGCTGTCTTGTCTAGTTCGCTGCGAAGCAGCGATGGTGTCTCGGCAACTGATTTCAAAGGCGATGCTTTCGAATTTGAGATAGGGACCAGTGGCTCTAGGACCCCATCGGGCACGGACTGGCGCAAGACATGGATCTGGGTCTGTTAGATTGAAGACGTGATAAAGGGGTGTGACGTGGTGAGAATCCAATGCATCGGAAAATTCAAACCATAAGGAGCCACAAAGGAATAGCTGTACTGACTTGTCGCTCAAGCTCTTGAAGCTTTGCCAATGATGCCACGAGTTGAATCTCGGACTCCCAGTTGATCTGGTTGGAGGCATCGTTGCCGTCTTGGGACTCGTTTTTGATTCCGGGGATCTGCCCACCTGCCTGATGCTCTGCAGAGCCAGCTGTAGGCGCAGGGCCAGTAGGAACAGTAGACATGCTCGGACAACCAAGGAAAGAAAGATTGCCCGGAGTTCGATAGTGTTGACCTTGGTGTTCTGAACCAAGCGATCAGTCGCCCAGGTAGATTTTATGATTCTCGCCTTCGCAAGAGCCTGGGTTCGCGCTACTGGGAAAGCACCCAGCTGCTATCTTGACAAAGCACAATGCCAGGTGGGCCTGTTTTCAATTTTGAAGGGAGGCGGAATGTTGATGTCCACAACGGTTGATTGAAGAGCAGGAAGAAAAAGTGTTTTTCTAATAGATGGGCGGATAGTCCCGGCGGGGATTGAAACTTCTACTGGCAATTGAAGGCAGAGTCCATTGACTCTCAGGCTGTCGGCGAACGAGGGAGTCGCGGGACATGATCTCTAGCCACACCCGCAGCCACTGTGGCTGCATATCACGTGATGAAATCCTGCAGATGTCTTTTTCCCTCAGTGTATAGTACTTTTAGTTTTTGTTTTATCCGTGTCTATTTGACATGAATCCACTTTTACCGATCTAATAGCTATTCAGCTTTCTCCAGAGCCACAATCGAAATTTGCGTCGAGTTCAAAAACCGCCTGCGGTAATGGACGTATATATTTTTACCAGAACTTTCCTATGTGAGAAAGTTTTCCCAACAAATTTTCCCAAGTAGTGAGCTGCTTTATTATCTGGGCCCATTACAGCCAAAAGTTGCCAAGATAGGTTATGTTGATATGTTTGATAGATTGGTAGGTAGTTGCGGTAGAAAAATGCCGCCAGAGCTCGTTCATCCCGAGGTGTTTGGTGTTTAATGGGATTGTGGACTATTGCTATCCACCAGTAGGATTCGAGACAAAGACGTTTCCCAGTGGCTTGAATCTCAAATTTGAGATCGGCAAAGTGTTGGAGAATGTCTGGAACACCATGTCACTTGATGAATGCTCTTTGAACGAGGCCTGGGGCGCTTTGAGTGGAGACTATATCGGCACGCGGAGAACACAATATGGAGAGCAACAAAAAGCCAAGGCAGTATCAGGTTGAACCTTTCCAGTTTGCGACAAAAAGCAAGTCGTCGGAAGGCATCACATTTAATTTTTAATCGATGGACTGACAATGGAGTTGTCCGGGATGGAAGAGATCAGAGTCTGTCTTACTTGCTGATACAGCTTTGTTCAATTCAGATTTTCAATCACGAACCCCGATATCTCAGCTACATAAATGGACAGTAGATTATCAACTAGTCAAGTAGTTAAATAATCATATCAATTCATCAGCTTTCAGAACATCTGAAATCCCCGAATAAAAATCAAAATGACGGCGACACGAAACAAGAAGCCCTTGTTTGTGAAGCCTCAGAAGTATTCCAAGTCAGAAACTTCACAAAAGCTTGAGAATACTGCTGCAGACGACTGCCAGCGGTGCTTCCTCCGCCTGGAGGCCTACCCCGACCATGCTTGTGAGACACGTCAAGGATCTAGATCCTGCAACTACTGTCTTCTGGTGCGCCATAGGTGCCAACCGGTAAGTTTTGAAGAGAGAAAAGAAAAACTTCCTCATTTTAATTGTTTGATAGCTTCCTGACGAGATCAAACCTGCTGCTGTTGCTTCTCTGAAGAAGACTGGCAAAGCTAGGGTGAACGCAATCCGCGCTGTTCGTCAGATGATCAAGGACAGAAGCCGCCGAATTAATCGGAAGGCGAGTGAACAGGCTGCGCGAAATAAGCAGCTTAAACGTGAGCCGGAGGATAGCCTTTGATACTCTAGAGAAGCTGAGCTCTACCCAATGGTAGATTGAAGGAAACCATATGGCCATTGGCGATCAGCTTTAGAAGTTCAATTGGGTCGTTTGTGGGGTTTGAGTGAAGAATAGAATATTTCCATTCCGATAGACAAGAGACTAGCATCGAAATTATCTGTTTTGCTCTCAGGAAATCGCGCAGTGCAGTCAGTTCCCAAGCAGTATTTCACTTCTCTCGATCGTCCGGAAACCCCACATGTTCAAATTTCTAAATCCAGGTGAGATATCTCTCAAAGGTGAAAACTTTCCTGAAGATGCGTTCAACTTGATGTCAACTATCAACTCGTTTATTGAGGGTGGTGGTTGAAGATTCCAAATTGGGACATCGTTCCCAAAAGAGCAAGTCACTCGCCCGGAATAGTAATAACCCGGACAGCTTCGGTCCAAAATGGCAGTTGCAACCACGTCGGGCTTAGCCGAACATCGGCAAGTCAAAGCAATTCCCGTGGATAGCGGCTGGCCTGCCTGTTTCAGTGCCTGAGCCCCCATGGAGTCCGTCATTTCCCCCACACAGATGCATGGCGCCGCTATTCAGCGTAAAAAGCACTCTCCAGATTCCCCGGATCCCAACTCAGGGCCCGCCGTGGACCCGTTAAGAAAACATTCAATTGGATAAGAGACGCCGTCATGGGCGCCCATCATGCGGTTCGGGTCTATGATACTCGGGATGGGCGCACGCGTCTTGTGCCTTCAGCCGGGGGTACATATAAGCGGGCGGACCCGAAGGACAGGGACTTACTGAATCTTACGAACATCTTCATCCACCATGCGTTCTTGGTATGGAAGAGGCAAGTCTCTCCAGGTTGCTGTGACTGCCTGCTGTTTAGTTGCGTTCATCTTGTTTGGATATGACCAAGGTGTCTTCAGTGGGATTGTCAACAATGAGGATTGGGTTGAGCAGTTCAATCATCCGAACGACTCGGAGGAGGGTATTATTGTCAGCTGTTATAATTTGGGGTGTCTTTTGGGGTGTTTGAGTGAGTGATACTTTCAAGTACTGGTGAGAACGTGGGCTAATGTGAGCCAGTCAACTTCTTTATCGGCGAGTATCTCGGCCGTCGCAAGACCATTTGGTTAGCTATGGGCGTGGTCATTGTTGGCGCAGTTCTTCAGGCGTCGGCCTTTACAGTGCCGCATCTCATCATTGGTCGACTAGTGACCGGAGCAGGTACCGGCCTGAAGACTTCCACGGTGCCGATGTACGTTGTGGTTTCTCTTCCAGTCACTATGATACTGATTGATCTAGGTACCAAGCCGAAATGTGCGAGGGCAAAACCCGAGGCCGCCTCATCTCTTCTGAAGTGCTCTTCACGGCTGTAGGCATCGTTGTGGCTTACTGGTTTGACTTTGGAATGTCCTTTGTCGGCGGACCCATTGCCTGGCGTCTTCCCATTGCAATGCAAATAATATTTGCTGTCTTCGTCATTGTTTTGGTATTCGGTCTGCCCGAGTCTCCTCGCTGGCTGATGAATCATGGCCAAGAACAGGAGGCCATGGATGTCCTCTGTGCTGTCTATGATCGACAACCAGAAGACGAATATATAGTCACGGAGCGCCGGGCGATCTTGTCTGCCATTGAATTGGAGGACTCCGTTAACAAGAAGTCGTTTTGGAAGATTTTCCGCAATGATGAGATCAAGACGGGTCAGCGTGTTCTCCTTGCATGGGGTATGCAACTTATGAACCAGGTGGGAGGAATTAACCTGGTCGTCTATTTTGTTCCGAGTAAGTTGTTTTACCCTCTGCACGTTGATCAAACATCTAACATGCCCATCCTTAGCTGTTTTGAAGAACAATGTCGGCATGAGCAGCCAGCTTTCTCAAATCCTAGGTGGATGTATTCAAATAATGTTCATGCTCGGCTCCCTCCTACCAGCGTTTATGCTTGACCGCATGGGCCGTCGGCGAACAATGATGATTGGTTCTCTCGGCTTGGGCATCTGTATGATGATGGTTGCAGCGCTACTGTCACAAGTCGACAAACCGAACGGCACATCATATGCATCCGCATCAGTCAGCTTCTTCTTCCTGTTCATGCTAATCCACGGTATGTCCATCAACTCGGTTCCGTGGGTGTACGTGCCAGAGATATTGCCTCTCGAAGCCCGTACGAAGGGAACGGCCATTGGTATTAGTTCGAACTGGCTGTGGAACTTCGTGGTCGTCATGATCACCCCAGTGATCATCAACCGCCTGCAGTGGAAGGCGTATCTGATCTTCATGATCACCAACTTCCTCTTCGTTCCGGTGGTCTACTTCTTCTACCCTGAGACTAGTAATCTACGCCTGGAGGATATTGACCTGATCTTCTCTCGGGGCGGGGACCCAGTGAAGCAGGCTCGGCTGATGGCTGCTGAAATCAAGGCTCACGGATATATTCAAAACGACGGTCTCATTGGCGAGAAAGAGATCGAGAGTGTCAACGTGGAGCATGTTTGACGACTGTACCTCACTTTGGAACACTGTCTACACCTTGAGCATGACATTTCATGAATTTGTACATAGAATAGAAGCTCGCCGTCCCTTGATCGGAGACATGAAAAGAATTGGCATTGAATAAAGCTCGATGACAAGCCATGGTTGCCGGTGAGCATGGAATTTGGAACGAACTGCCGCCATGCACTCTAAATTTTCAGCAAACGCCCCCCTGCAATAAAAACCCTCCATATCATGCAGTTAGGAGATCACACAACCCTGCAGTCACTTGGCAGCCTTAGGAGGGTACTTCTTGCCATCCTTCTCAACCTGGGGCGAGCACGAGCACCACTCCTCTTCCGGAATGGAGTCCATCACAGAGGGAATATGGGCACCGCAGCCCCACCAGGTGACCTTGCCTGTTAATCACGGTCAGCAATGCACCCATCGCACGACAACCCTGAAGGCGAACATACTGCAGGTAGAGCACTGAGCCTTCATACACATGCTGGGCAATTCTCGTAGATAGATATATAGGAACCCGAGAAAGATAGAGTGGATAATAGACGGACTGTGGTGTGGAGAGATAGCGGTCGAGCGGGAAGTGGTTTTATATACTTTTTCACGGCACGGGGATCTTAGTAATAGCCCGTAGCTAGGAGACGCCGATAAGTGAAGCCCGAAAGCCCGATCTCGATCTCTCGGCCTTCACTCTTCACGCGTCAATGATTGGAAGGACTGTGGTTGGAATCAAAATCTCAATTTAAGAATAGCTTCGAGTTCCGTCAGGGTTGAGCTGCTAACAATTTTGGTACTTTTGCGCTTCCTGTGCAGGTGAAGAGTCAAGCGAATATTATATTGGGTTCTGTGTGTGGGGCTCGACGCGGGGTGGAACCCGAGCCTGGACTTCACTCTTCGCTCGGTGTTCTTGACTCGATCGGGTTGGTATATCCTTGCAGACTCGGACTTCTATATTGCAGTGTCAATAGACCATGGCTGTCGTCGCTGTAGCTGGTGGCACTGGGGGCCTGGGAAAAACTATTGTTGAGAGGCTAGTGCAGGAGGCCAAGTTCGATGTTGTGGTGCTATCGCGGAGCGTCAGTACTTTGTTCATCCTGCGATAGGGTAGGGCTAAACTACTTCTAGACTCCAGAGCAGGGCGCTATTCCTGAATCCGTTCGCCTTGTGCAGATTGACTACAACGACATCGCGTCGATGACCAAAGAGCTCGAGCGCTACAATGTGCACACCATCATCTCCGCCATCGGCCTTATCTCGGATGCAGCCAGCCAGTCTCAAATTAACCTGATAGATGCCGCCGAGAAATCTTCAGCGACGGAGAGATTCATTCCGAGCGAATATTCTTTCATCCAGACACCAGAGTGAGCTTCTAGGTCCGGGGAAGCTGAGACCGAGTATCTAACAACCACTTCTTTCCCCACAGCCTGCTTCCCGTGGACCCCAGCATTAAATGGTGGCTCGATGCAGCCGATAAACTAAAATCCAGCTCCCTGAAGTACACGAGAGTGATCCCGGGATTCTTCATGGACTACTGGGGAATGCCGAATGCCAAGACCAACCTCTCACCGTACACTTTCGGCATTAACATAGGTAGCGGTATTGCGGCTATTCCTGGTGACGGATCAGACGTGATTTGTATGACCTACACATATGATATGGCGACCTATCTCGTCAAAGCCTTTGACCTGGACGAGTGGCCGGAGTTCAGTGTCATCGTTGGCGACCAAGTTACCTACAACCAGGTCTTGGCCATGGCAGAGGAGATTACAGGTACGCGCCTACGCCTTGCTTTTTGTTCTCGCAGATCGCAGCTAAGATAATTGTTGTACAGGCAAAAAGTTCAAAGTCAGCTACGATACTCTCGATCAGATCCAGGCGGGAGATGTCACCGTTCCCCCCATGCCGGACGGAACTGAGTACCCAGAGGACGAATTGAAGGAGACTACCGCTCTAGTCAGTCGGCTGACCGTGAATGGGGTCTTTGACCTCCCCAAGGAGAATCGACTGAACGACCGATTCCCTAACGTGCGACCCATTACAATAAGAGAGTTCCTGGAGAAGGCCTGGAGAGGCTAGTGAATGTCAAGTGCAATAGAATATTATGAAGAAGCAGTTGTTAAGCAGATCGCTCAATTGAGAACACTTTCAAACCAGGATTTCCAACAGTCCATAACTTTCAGAAGGCGGTCAGCATACGCACTTCATCCTTTCAGATACAACAGATGAAATGGCCGGCCCTTAACAATACAAAGGATTGATAACCCCAACGCAGATATCCCGACCGGGGATCAAGTTCGAGCAGTTGGGGTTGATATCGGGGTTCCAGCACATGAGTTGCTTGATGGTAAAGGTATTTTCGTTGCGAGTTATAATGTCCCAACACGTATCACCGATTTGGATTCGGTAGAAGAGGCTACCTTCTCCCTATTGTGAGCTCTAATTTCCCCAGGGCAGGATGCTAAGAGACTCACAGTCGGGAGAAAATTGTACCGGCTCAGCGACCTTCCCATCCCGATTTTGGACAGCATCATGGTTGATGGCGGCGGATAGGGCCAAAGAAGCCACCCCAAACATCAAAACCGCGGCTTGCTTGCAAGGGACGAACACCATGGTGCGACTTGAGCTCAAAGAAAGACACGAACCTTTCCCGAACGATGTAGCTAGCAAATTTTAACAATGCTCAATAACGAGTGAATGGTGATCTACCTGTCTACCTGGCCACACTTTATATCGGGAAGCCCGTCTACTGCCCGAAAATCCGCTCAGGCCAGAGATCGTACAGTCTCAGAAAAGAGTAAACCACCCAGACAAAGTGTAACTCACCGTGGCATGAATGGCCTCCCCTATCTCAGAGACAGGTTGCATCCACCGAATAAGATTGCAACCCTACCCCATGCCGACCAGGAGCGCATGTCGAGAAGACAAGCTTCACGCAGGTCTCATAGAGTCACCCAATATATCACGTCGTCGACGCATTCGTGGGGATCCGGAATCACCGTTTTGATCTTTATTGCAGATGTTTCTAATAGATCGTGCTGCGCGCAGGTCTACTGTTACATAGCATACCAAAAGGATCAGCAGTTCAACCACCAGGGTCACAGTTACTTTTTGTCAGGGAGACAGCATGATCGAGGTGCATGGATGGTATGACCATCTCCCTGCGCGAGGTTGTCGGGTAACGATGAGCGAGAATGCCAGATAGGGCAGACTTGTGTAACTGTTTTGGCTGGGACTGGGCGGATTGTTGATAAACTTGGGGCTTAGTTTGGCTTAAGCTCTTACGCTTTGCAGATCGTCTCTGTGCCCTGATCGGATTGAAAGGTCACTGCTGAGGTGTACAGAGTAACGCTTTGATCCGTGCGGGTTTACCCTTGTTCATGGTTGAATGGAGAGACTGGAAATTTTAGTACATAGAGATGGAAATTGGTTTACGAGGAGTATCAAAAATTCATTTCGAAAGAATGCTTTAGGAATATACCGGGTAGCTTTGAAGTGGGTGGTGGATCAGAAAACATATTATATTGCCCTTCAGGGCCCACGGGTATATCAAATTATACAAAGCATCACATGTAAGAAATCATAGGCCAGATACAGTTACAGCCCCTTCTTCTCGCCGAGAAACTCCAACCCTTCGAGCGACCCATTCTTCGCAAATTTCATATCATCAAAGTAGTTATCTCTTGGAACCCAAGGGCCCCGATCCGCCGATTTCGGGAAACTATTCTGCGCCTTAAGCACATACGTAGAGCTTAACGACAACAACCTCCTAGGCTGCAAGTCCTTATCAGTAACCGGATTCAACCTCGGAACAGCAGCCTTGACCCCACGATCGCGCATCGTCTGAAGCAAACGACAAACAAACTGCGATGTAGCATCAGCGCCAAGGGTCCAAGACGCATTAACGTAGCCCAGTAGGAACGCGGCATTGGGCAGATCCTGAAGCATCATCCCGTGCCAAGAGAACTTGTCGGGAATGGACAGGGGGTCCCCGTCGATGGTGAGCGAGGTGCCGCCGCCGAGTTGGAGGCGGAGGCCCGTAGCCGTGACGATGATGTCTGCGTCGAGCCTGGAGCCAGAGTTTAGTTCAATGCCGGAAGTTGTTACTTGGCTGATTGTGTCGGTTTTGATGTGTGCACGGCCGGTATGGAGGGACTTGAAGAAGTCGCCATCGGGGCAGACGCAGAGGCGCTGGTCCCAGGGGTTGTAGCGCGGCTTGAAGTGCGGATCATAGGGGATGTGGCTTGGGAGTTGCTTGGTGGTTCTGCGGCCGAGGAGCCAGCGGGAGAAGTTTGGGAAGGCTTGACAAAAGAGGAAGAAGAAACGCGTAAGGTAGAGGTGGCGGGCGCGTTGAAGGCGGCTGTTTAGGGATCGGGGGAGGATGTAGCTTAACAAGGAAGATGCTCTGTTTGGAAGAGAGATGATGTAGGTTGGGCTGCGTTGGAGCATTGTGACTTCCTTTGCCTTCTCTGCGAGGTTGGGGAGCAGGGTGATTGCAGTTGCACCGCTACCGATAATAACGACTTTCTTATCGGAATAGTCAAGATTCTCGGGCCAGAACTGAGGATGAATGACCTGTCCTTGGAACTGTTCGATGCCCGGGATTTCGGTCTGCAAAGGCGTATCGTAGTCGTAGTATCCGGTCCCAAACACTAGGAACTGGGCAGAGATAGACTTCGTATTGCCCTCGTGCTCGACGCTAACTGACCAGGAGTTGTCGAGTGATGACCAGTCGGCGCCTAGCATGCGGTGTTGAAACTTGATGTGCCTCTTGATTCCATGTTTCTCGGCAGCACCATCCAGGTACTTGACAATTGAGGGGCCGTGAGCGATCGGATTATTCGATTCCCATGGGTGCCAGGCAAAGCCAAATGTAAACAGGTCCGAATCAGAGCGAATACCGGGGTATTTAAAGAGATCCCAGGTACCACCGAGATTATCGCGAGCCTCTAGGATGGTATATCGAAGTGTTGGGAACTGAGACTGAAGGCGGTATGCAGCGTTGAGACCGGAAATCCCGGCCCCGATGATGACCACGTCGAAATTCTCTTCCATGGTGAAGGAATAATCAATTGTGAGATCGATACTTCTGTTTTGGTGAAACTATGCCTTCCCCGCGTCTTTTATAGTTCGAGAGCAATCTGCCTCGGCTGCATCCGCAAAGTCAGAGTTGGGAGGGGAAGATGTGACCGGTCGGGTAAGGTCACGTCTAGGCTGCTGTTTCGGGGAGAAGCATAAGTTCAGTTATCTAGGGAAGCCGAGGTGTACCCTCATATAACCTGAAGTGCTGAAAAGGAGGGGCCCTTCGTGCACGAACAGGTTTCCCGTTCAGGTTAGGATCCAAGCCGCAGTAACCAATTTGGCGATGGTTGCGAGTTGACTCCACTCCGCCAAAAGCTCGCCGGAACCTCGGCACCATTTTCCCCGCATAATTGGACCATGACTCTTTTAGGTTCGATTCTCGTTACAGTCAGCTTTGCGATCAATGAATGAACAATTCGGTTTTTAAAACTCCGAAACGGGGGTATATCTCTAAATTGATGACTGGGGTACTATACGTCATCGTGGGGAGGCGCAATCCTCCCGTGATAACCGCTCTGCACTAGCGAGTGAGCTATTAGAATTATGGGGCGATTCCTTTGAGAATTCGACTTCACAGCCCTCTGCCCTCCTTGGACCACCGGGCTTCGAGACTGAGCAGACACGGCGAATATCGGTACCAGGAATATTCGATCTTCCCTCTTTCCTCAGAAGGTACATCCCTCGGAGCTTCAGATATAATGGTCGGATTGCCAGCGCCGTAGCACAGACGTGGGCAACGGATGTCTCGGCACATGTCCAGTAGAACACTCCCTGGTTCGCATATGTTGGGTCCTGGATTGAGATAACGTGCGCGAGGCTCGGGATACGTGCGGATGCGATTGCAATAACGCTACAACAACTGTCAGATGGAGTTGACTGGGGGACGTCACACGACTTACAGGATTCCGGCGCCGAAAATCGCGTATAATGCGGCTTTTTTGGACTTCGACACGCGAAGTTTTTGAAGGAGAGGAAGGGGAAGAATCAGGATTGCAATTTCCGTTGCGAGGTTCACGCCTGCGTTCGCGTAGGCCAGTCCGATCACATTGAGGCATCGGGCATCGGCACGGCGAAGGTCCCAGATGCTGTGAACCGGAATACACTGACAAATAATCATTGGGACAAGAATCAAAACGGAAATAGTCAACAGAACCATTGTGGTGATGAAGTATCGATGGAAGTTAGTCTCCGGGAATATTCGAACGTAGAGACAGAGGATAGACATCTTGATGAAGTAGATCTCGACACAGTAGAAGATTTCGGCCATGTAATCTGCCAAAGACACCGTTGGCTCAGTTTAAGTGTATTGTATGTGAGGGATTCACCTACACCATATGAAAAGATCTCGAGCATCAGTCATCGACGAGAAATTGATATCGTATAAGTGGTACCCCATGCCATAGGTGACACCTGTGGTCAGTCAGTGGCTTGCTTTGCGGTTGTCTTCGGCTTTAATGGGTGACAGACATACAGAGATTACTAAAGATGGTCAGGGGTATGGCAAGCACCTAGGTAACAATGTTAAAAGAACATTGTTTCCCACATGTTTCCCGTATACTTACCCCAGCAGTGATATGACACCAGTCATCCCACCAAAACCGAAGCGTGTAGAACCTTGCTATTATGCGAAGCCCAACCATCAGAAATGCGGCAATACCGCTGCCAACCGCCGCCGATCTCAATGCAGCGTTGTGGTTATTGTGTGGTCGATCGCATTGTTTCGCCCAACCCCTTGAGAGTTCTACATGCGCGTCAGTTTTAGGAATGTTAAGGTAGCATGGCTCTTACCAATAGAATCTTGGTATGTGCAATTAAAAACCACACACCTTGATACTCGAACACTGTTGTCCGGGTCTTCACATTGGCATGTAGTATCTGTAAGCGGGCAATTTACGGCTGCAGAACTCTGCGCCCAGCAATTGAACTGAGGGTGTCAGTAGCGAATGATTCAGTCGAAGGGGACTATGCTCACAGCGCATGGTGACAGTTCGCTTCCCACCGCCTCTCGAAGTTCTAACTCGGTGAATGCAACGACATAGCTGAGCAGGAGCAGCCAGACAACAAGGAGCGGCCTGAACAAGCGCTTCATTATGCAGAGCATAGGGCTGTAGGAGAGAGGAAGAGCCTAAGTCTAGGTCGTAAGAAGAAGGTTACAGCCATGACTTCAAGATTTCTAGACCGAGATCCGCGTCTTCCTAGACGCATTTTCGCCCCCGCAAATGGGTACTATTAACCACCTTCTCCACGAACGAGGGACAGCTATCTACGAGCGGATGACGGCTATAGAGAACTATCTTTCAAGAAATTTCAGAAGAATCATCCCACGTCGACCCGAGGCTCAACATATTAACATCTCAAGTCCACCGATCAGAGTTCCACGAAGTAGGGGTTAAGCTTTAAGTCGACGACGTAATGGCAAACCCAAACAAAACCCGCACCGGAACTGACCCGGACGCGCCAAGACCATCACCACGCGACATCCGGCTGAAATCCGCAAAGTAACAATAAGCACTCGGTTCCCATCATTTCACGTGTCTCCCTGTGATCGAGCATGGTTGGTCGAACCTATCTTCGAGATTTCGGGGAATTATCTAGTCAAGGACAAGCATCCCGGCCTAGATCACAAACTCGGGATGATCACCGCCGACGGTCGGACAAACTTAAGGGTCCGTCGGGACGGGAAGATAATCTCTCGGTTTGCCCACAGTTCACAGCCTACTTTAACCTGCCGAGGTTGCCTCGAATGTGCGATTTTCTCAATCGATAAGAACGGGATATAAATACGATAGGCTCGATAGGCGCATGTGAACGCCACATTTTTACACTCCTTCATAACCAATTTTCAGTTGAAGCCATGAACATGGCTGCGCAAATCCCAGCTTCTATGAAGGCCCTGGTTGGGAACCGGTCTATTTGCTCTCGGATTGCGAACTTCGCCTTTGGTAAATCATCTGGAGATGGTGTACTAGTCAAGAACGTACCGGTGCCTGAGATTTCCGATACTGAGATTCTGGTCCAGGTTTCATGCGTTGCGCTGAACCCAACCGATTTCAAGCATGTCGATTTTCTGTCACCTAAGGGTGCTATCATTGGTTGCGACTACTCAGGAACAGTCGCGAAAATTGGGTCCAATGCCCCCGGGAACTGGTCCATTGGAGATCGTGTTGCTGGCGTGACCCACGGTGGCCTCTACTATGATAAGGGCTCTTTCGCGGAGTATCTCAAGATCCCCGGGGACTGGGCCTGGAAGGTCCCTTTTTCCGTGACTGACGAGGAAGCCACCACATTCGGTGTATCTGCTGCCACTGCCATGTTGGCCCTGAACACTCGCCTGGGCGTCCCCTGGGTTGACGGGAATAAAGACCAGGGATCAAGGGATACGCCTATCTTGATCTATTCCGGAGCCACAGCGGCCGGACTTTACGCCATTCAGCTGGCCAAGCTGGCGGGACTGACAGTCATCGCCACTGCATCCCCACGCTCACACGACCTGGTGAAGGAGTACGGTGCAGATGCCGTCTTTGACTACCGATCACCAACTGCCGCTGAAGAGATTGTTCATGCATACCCAAACATCGACAGAGCTCTGGACTGTTTCTCTGAGGGCACGTCGACAGATTTCTGCGTCAATGTCGTCCGCAGGAACAAAGGCTGGGTGGTGACCCTGTTGGACAGTAAGAAGACGGAGTCCGAAGGCGTGAAGATCGAGTTCTTGCTGGCATACTCGGTCTTTAACTCTGAGTTCCAATGGCTTGCGCCTATCGGACCCAAGTTTCCCAAGAAGCCCGCAGACAATGAAGCTCTGCGCCGATTTTATGCTTCATTGCCGGAGGTCTCAACGAAGCTCAAGACGCCACCTCTCAAGAAAATCAAGGCAGGGTTTGAGAACCTGAGCGTTGGTCTTGACATGCTTCGCCAGGGTCAAGTATCTGGTACTAAGGTGGTGGCATCCTTGAAATGATTGAGTAATATGGCCGGAAGTTATAATGGGGTACTTAATTAATTGTGAACTAATATTTCCCTTTTTCTTTTTAAAATAAACCTAAATGTGCCATATTCCCAAGAATTAAACTGACAATCACAAACTATCAGATAAACAACCTCATCTTCGATATGTTGTGTGTCGTGTTGGCAGAGTGGAGCGTGGCTTGGGGTTCATGCTTCCCCAATTACCTTCCAAGTCCGCGGTCGTTGGTGCTGTTCATTCCCTATCTTCTTCTCATAATTGATCCGTTGAACATGCCAGATTTCTTCCTATCAACTCTTGAGACGGGTGCCTCATAGTGCTTATAAATGGGTCTAATGAGATTGTTTGTTGATACTGAGACAGTCCAAAATTGTCCGGAGGTCTGTGGTCTTACCATAAGTGAGTAAACTTACTAAAAAAAAGAGCTAGTAACGCATTCTTAAGATAACTATCACTAGTAATGAACTAGCTCATGAATCTTCAAAGCAATGGGCAAAGCACCAGAAAATAATGTATATTGCATCTGATCTTCACTGTGCTTCGTCTGATGTACAAGACAGGTTGTTGAATTCTATGTGAATGAACAAAAATGCAGTTGAGCAAAGCCACCACAAAGTTAACACGCGTGGTAAACAGGTAACTTATTGACAGAGCGTACTCCGGTGTATTTATACTCTCTAATATCCTCCAGTACAGTCTACTAACTCTATTATTTTAGGGGATTTGGTCGTGATATTCAAAATATTCAAGAGTACAAAACTCGTGTTACATTAGTTATTCGAACGAAGAACTCCTTAAGCGGTATACAAGCTACAATATTGAGGTGGATGCAGCGTCGCATGTACTTTCTAACGCGGTAATATCGCATTATTGATGTACTATTTAAAACTAAGCAGCAACAGATAGACTATGAAGACGCTCTCTCCCTGGATGATGCTCCATTAGAAGCTGAGTTCGTTACTGCACATACCTCACCGTGCTTTTTACGGCGCATATTCCACTTGTGACACGATCGATACGATCTAGGCAATCAAGTATTCGAACACCTACACCTCGACCGCCAGCACCACACAATCAATCAAGCGTGTCTTCCCTTACCCGCGGTAAACTCTTCAAGCATAACGCATTACTACTACGTTACTGACGTTTCACTCAGGCAATCTAATCTCCAATGTGTTGCATCAGAGAATAATCTCTCTGTGGGGCGTAACTCAGTATTACAGCATCTACAAGATAAGACTGACAGGAAGAGCTCCGTAAGTGCTGTGATAAGAGAAATTAGAGAGCCGGAAGAAATGAATGGAGATAGATGAAATGGATAGCGAGGAGGCGAAACGCTGGATGTAGTGAGAACATACGTTGGATTATTGTACAGTTTACCCGTTTAACACTCTTAAATGAATGAGTCCAATATTTAATTACCTAACCCAACTCCGAATAATACCTATAACATTTGAGTGATGATTGATCCGATGTCAACTGGGCCCACCCGCTCCTATATCTAAGGTCTTGATGTCTAATTGGAACGAACGCTTGGTCAATACCTCTTGTATAATGGTGTGATCAGACCTGTCCATAGGCTTTCTATAGGCCAGGCACCTCATTTATGCTATCTCTTTTCATCGGCCTCTGGAAGTGAAGGCACTGGGAGAAAAAGAAAGATAGATTTTTTTTAATATTATGAAGTTTGCATGTAGGCAGACATAGAAACATCAATATAGCGGGTAACAAGCTTGCCAAGAGCGATAATTTTATGGAGCTATTCTATTCACATCTCTTGGGAAGAGCGTGACTTCTCGCACGTCATCAAGGCCAAGGAATCCCTGGAGCAGCCGGTTGACACCTAGACCTCATCCTCCATGAGGTGGCATGCCGGGCTTGAAAGCCGACAGATACGGCTGCCACTCCTTGCTATCTGGCCCCATATTAGCAGCGATCATAGCGTCGCAAACATCCTCGTAAGACTGTCATCAAGGTGGTTTTTGTAGTGCATTTGTCCGAGTCACGATATAAGAGCCGATTTAAAGAAGGGTTGTATGTTTTACGTAGTCAACGATGGCTAGAGAAGCCACATTCTCTGTAAAAATTTGGCTGCCCATGGTGAAGGTGGGCAGAACCTGGATAAAAACCCCCTTGTGGAGTCAGGGTTTTGATACATAGTATTTCTCTAATTCAGTTATACGATCATATTCGAGAGCTCATTTTCTGGGTCCAATCGTAAATGTACTGGCCTGGTGTCGGCTTACGTATTTGGTACTGCGCTGAATATGCATCAGTGAGAGTGGCTTTTAAAAGGGTAAATAATATCATGCTAGTTAATCTCATTTCTAACTATCTGGCGTAACAAGCTGAACCTTTTTGTCACCTTCCATTTAATACCAGCCGCGTTGCGTCGTACACTCAACTGAAAATTTTGTTGGGGTCCAGCCTCATACCAAATTTTCACACCTCTTGACTTAGCTCCGATTATGCGGCGTGGCTGGCTGAGAGATGCCTAGAGGGCCCAAACATCTTGAATTCACTTCCTAGTGGGGTCGTACCACCCATCGAGCCCCTCTGACTTGCATCGTCACGCACGCCCTACATATGATATGTAGGCGCAGAGTATGGGCCAGGTAAAAAACATTTCGAGTCATACAGGATCACCTTTCATGCTCCTAGTTCCTGCTTTACACGATCAATGCGGATCACATCTACCCAGGCAGGTGTGGGTCCTGTTTCTTCCATCTTCAGCAAGCCACAAAGTAGTACAGTGCGGGACCTATAACATAGTTTGTAGGAGAGGCGACTGCTGATCATTGCATAATAGTCATTTTAAATGATGATAGGATGGAAGAAAACGATGCTCAGGGGGCGGGATTTTTTCACATATTGAACATCCTGCTGACCGCCCATTCCTCACATCTACCATGGTAGTTCATCACGCTTCCTCCTTATACCAATACCGCTGGACTTTACTATTAATTATATATCTGTATGCAGGCAATTCGTAGGGCTCTAGCGTCTGCAAAGAAACTTTATGTATTCAGGAGAGGTTTTCGTCTGCTAATGATTTCTTCCAAGATTATTGTTGGATCAAGGAACACATCCATGCTCCTCCACGGCTTAAAGCACAAATCCGACCAGGGCCGCTTCGCCAGAGTCCGAGTCCAAGGAAAACACCATTTGTGATATGGAACGTCCCGACGAGAGGAAAGCTCTCAACACCAGCGTCTTCTTCAAGAAGAACATCATACTTTTGTTGTTCAATTTCCTTTTGAACGACGTAGGTTGTTTTCCCGTGTTTCAGACGAGGGTCCCGCATGCCCTGAAGAAGTGAGACCCACTCCTCCTGTGTGACCTGATCTCCAAATAAGATCCCGCTCCCCTTGCCACTGCGAATTGGCTTGAGAAGATAGCTGTCCTTGATGCAGACGTCTGCTTGGCAGCTGGACATGAAACGCTCCAATTTGTCTGACCCGGGGATAATGGTGTGGACGAGTCCCCGATTAAGTATCTCGGCTTGGCGCGAAGAGAGCACGTCTCGAGCAACCAGTGAATCGAGCTCTTCCAGAACTAAACCTAACAAGCGTTTGTCATGAACAAGAAACACAGTACGTAGGTCGTTGAAACTCCTGAGGCTGATTTGCTGAAGCATTTCAAAGCTCATAGCAAGCAATTCTCGTTGGTAGAGTTCCAGTCCTAGCTGAAGTACTTCTTCTAAACACTCACCGACATCATTAAAAATTGTCGGCTGCTTAGTATCTGCCCCAGACAGACAGTACAGCTTATATCCCCCTGGAGCTGCAGCAGGTACCAATCGAAGACTCTCGGGGGGAATGACTTTAACATCCATCCCCAGGTAACGCTGTGCATACGGAACGAACATGTGGATATCGAATCCAGCTTCCTTCCCCTTGACCAGATGCAAGGGGAGTGAAGAATCGAAAAGGCTTCTCAATCCAGTAATGACCTGTAGTGTATCAGACTGGCGTCTCTTATATAAAAGCAGGCGATGATCTAACATTTTGTGGGTCTGTGGCTCCTTTGATACCGTATTCCTCGAGGCCCATATTGAGAAGGGCTTGCTGGCCAAATGCAGTAAAGAGGAATCCATGCATACAGAACCTAGCATTGATCTCACAGATGCGATAGTTCTCAATTTGTTCAGGGTCTTCAGAGGATTCAAGCAGAAAGTCGGGCCTCCAAGAGCCTTGATGGAATCTGAATGGATGAAGTACATGCTTCTCTTGTTGTTGCATCCACTGGGCCCTTTAGCAAAAATGCACATTATGTTAAGGGTTCGAACTCACTTGTAACAGCTGTTCCTCCACTGGTTCGATCGGCATCCGCTCTGGAAAACGAGCCCCAACGTCGGACCACCATCTTTCCACAATATCAGTGACTGCTAGGACCAAAGCCTGGCCAAGCTCTGCTATCTGGCGTTGGTGAGCTTCATTCCCAAGTATTGGATAAGGCGCCGATTTCTGGTGGGCATCGCCGACCCACGTCTCCCGAGGACTACACTTCTCGAGCTCGTGATGATACTTCTTAAGTAGAGCAGATCGAGCCTCGGCGTCAATGTCTGCTGGATGAGAGAGATCTCTACCATTTGGGGGAAAGCAGACACTATGGAAACGGTTCATTGGCTTCTTCATCGTTGCGCTTGGGGTGGTATAAAGGTATTTTTAAGCGGACATGATACTCTGGGGGCTTCATTTCCTTTAAGTGCTGCTCTAATAGACACATCCTTGGTGTCTCAAGTCAAATACACCTGTATTGATTGCGTAAAGCTTCGTACAACTCAGGAATACAGATAATGAAGGGATTCACATCCCAGGTAAGGGATTTCTTCCTGGCCCCCACTAGCGCCACGCGCGTAGGTAGCTCATCAGGTCATCAGGTCAACCCCTGATGAGCTACACGCCTGTGCCACGCCACTAGTGAATAGCGCGCCCCACTTATATTCTCTCACTGTCACCTCTCGCTACTCCTTACGTAGTACCAGAAGCCACTTCACTCATGAGTACGTAACAAATATCGAGTTTCATTAATGCTCCAGACAGCCGATAGTATGTATTTGATATTGCGGTGAACACCCGGCAGGGCTGTGATCGCCACCCATAGAGATAGATAGCTGCATCCACCCCTTTTCTCTCTTCCTTCCCCTCATGCTCTGTCTCTCCCAGATTAGGTCTTCGTAGCATACATGGTCAAACGTGAATTTTACGTCCAATCTGAACATGATGAATGGGTTCCACTTGGGCGATGTTCTGGCCATCGCCAGTGTCCATCCTTTTTATTCCGCTACTCCGTATCCACCGAGAAGTGAAGATCTGCCTATTCTGCTGGCGAAGCACCGCGAGTCAGCAACAGACTTCAAGCTATCATCATTTCCATTGACATGGAAAGAAGCACTGTAAGCTCTTCCGCTTTCGTTTCCGTCGTCTGCATAGCTAAAAGTGCTAGCTACAAAGAGATCGTCAGACTGACCACTGATCGAGACACTCGGAATGGCTATCGACAGGCAACTTACATCAGTACGACTGGTGGGGGTTCTGGCAAAGGTTCTCCGATGGTTTTTGCAACGGATTCGCAGGAGACCCGTCAACAACGAGCAGCCATTGGGGCTCTCTTGCGGTCTTGTAGGATCACAGAGCCAGGAGATTGGATCATGACAATGCACGTTTCAGGGCATCTTTACAGGTAGTGTTTAAATTGTACCCTATATAGAAAAACCCTTCTCTTAACGTGGACAGGGCGTTGGATCTCATGGCTGAGGTGTTAGAGGGGTCTGGCGCCACAGTTCTGTGTGCTGGTAGCCAAATGGAACAGGACCAGATGGTTGAGACCCTCATTGAATACCGAGTGAATGCCATTGCCGGAGATGCAGGTCAAATCATGCAACTATCACGATACATCTCTACCCTCTCGGAGGACAAGAGAAGACAACTGCTGATCAACAAAGTACTATATACTTCGGAGCCGATGACCCCAGCCCAGCATAGCTTTTTAAGTTCTGTCTTTCCCGATGTAGCTGTCTCTTCAGTGATTGGTAGTGCTGAGGCTGGGCCTTGGGCCGTTTCGCCAGCCAAACTGACAGAGGCAACAAAGGCGGAGCACTATGCCGACTTTGTGTATGACCAGCGTCTGATGCATCTTGAAGTATTCCCTTCCGCTATTGAAGACAATCAAGACCCATGCATTGTCGATGCTCAGCCTCTTCCCGATGGCGAAAAAGGGCTGCTTGTGCAAACCTCGCTGCAAAGAATGCGACATCCTCTCATCCGCTATGTCTGTGGTGATGTTTGCTCGCTCCACCCCTTGCCAGAATCGATCAAAGCCGAAATCTCACCAGAGGATGCGTCTCACTACAAAATCGCGCGGATATATGGACGCGATCGAAGAATCAGTTTTGATTGGTACGGGGAGTATTTTGAATTCCCAATTGTCCAAGAGGCGATGCGAATTGAGTCATGGGGGATCTTACAGTATCAAATCATCCGGAGGTATGATGAAGGGGATAAGAACAATCTCGGCATTGTTCTTGAGCTGCGTGTGCTGCGGCACAATGAACCAGGTACGATTAGTGAAGAAGAATTGACACGGGAGTTACGAAAACTCTTCTGGGTCTTTGAGAACAACGAAGAACTGTTCGATTTGCGTTATCTCTTTGACTATGCAGGATTCGTCAGAAGCACTACGGGACGGAAGGTGATCAATTTCATCGACCAAACACAAGTCTAGATTAGCCAAAGCATCCTAGTGAAAATTGAATCGCTTCATAAACTATCAAGTGGAGACAGAAATCAGATGCTGCCTGCTCTTCCGCCTGACTTGAAGCTCTTCTGCATGTTGGAAAGTTGGATATATGTCAAGTGTCAAGGATCTAGTTACAATTGTCAAACATGTATGTACTAGGCACTACATACAAATTTATGTATTCTCAAGTGCTAGAGAAAACTCCAAGTTAACAACCCAGATCATTGCGGCAGTACACTAGAGCATTCACGGTCCATTCTGAATGAAGAAAAGAAAGAAGATTCACGTATGTCCTATTTGCTAATATGAGCGAAGTAGGTAACGTATTCCACCGTCTTCCCGCCCACCCATTTAATTTTCGCGTCTCCATGTCTTCCTACTTAGTTTAATCACCCACCATGCCACCAATTCGTTCTAAATCTAAGCAAAATTCTATCGTTCAGGAAGGTAGGATCGAACTTGCAATTCAGGCTATTCAGAATAAGACAATATTGTCTACCAGGGCCGCTGCAAGTGTCTATGGCGTACTGCGTTCCACGCTACGCGACCGCGTCAAGGGCCATGCTTTTCGGTGGCGGTGCAGCCCCTAGGCACTTTGCTATGGAAGTATTGGCCAACTTATTGCTCGCAGCCCGCGGCACTGATACGGTCGGCTCTAATTGGGCTACTAGATATATTAGCCGGACACCGTCTATTCAAATACGCTTCTCACGTTAGTATAACTATCGATGTACAGAGCAAGAGAATTCCTAGGTACTACGCGTATGGTTTTGTCTAGTAGAAGAAACTATATCGCGCTCTGGTATCGTGCCGAATGATATCTATAATTTTAATGAAACTGGCTTCGCAATGGGCCTTATTTTTACCGCAAAAGTGTTTAAAAGGGCTAAATACTATAGCCGTCGATCTATCTTATAGCTAGGTAATCGCGAGTGGGTGACTACGGTCGAAATAGTTAATACTTTAGGCTAGGCTTTGCCGCCAATAATTATATTTAAAGGCAAACGATTTATAGAATCCTAGTTCTATATTAATATCCCTAGTAATTAGCGTATCGAGGTTAGCGATAATAGGTGAACTACTGATACTATTAGTCTTCAATAGCTTAAAAAAACTGTTTATTCGTTTAATAACTAACTAGCTAGCGATATAGTCGGTATTCCTCGATAGTTATGGAAGCCACCTTACGCCTGAATTTAATCAACTCTACACGAAGAACGATATTATACCTCTAAAAATACCTACGTATAGCTCATACCTATTATAACTACTAGATATTGGCTATTTTATAGTTCTAAAGCGATTATATAGTCGCTTAGTCGACTAGCAAATACGTCTAGGAATTAACCTTATTGATAAGCTTAATTTCCTTATAGCATATCTACGCGCGCTAGAATATCTTTCAGAATAAAACTATTATAAATGCATTTAAAGCGACCGGTTTAGTCCTATTAGATCCGGAATCAGTGCTATTGAAGCTTAATATTGTGGTTTAGTCACCTACACCAGAAAAGGAACGACCTACTAGCAGATCAAGTATTTATTGCCCTAAAATACCTAAGACTCTTATATAGCTTTCAAAATATACTAAATCGGCCAAGAAGCTATTAAAAAGTCGATCGGAAAGCCCACTAACGCCTACCAAAGATATCACCAATTAAGCATATAAAGTATGTCAATCGGTAATGTAAAATATGCTTCTTAGAGAAAAAGGTCAAGGATCTACGCGCTACGAACAAGAAGCAGGTACAAAAAAAAATCTTTATCTAGACGACAGATAAAACGCGCTGAAGGTACGGTAATTACTGAAGCCCATAAGCAAGGCATTAATCTACTAGGTGGTTTAGAAGGTGGTGGGGAGTCCTCCGTACTACCTACCCAGACGGCTTTCTAACAGACGATAATATAAATTCAGTGTATGCGGAACGCATGGTCATAAGGCTAATAGATGACCGGATAGGGTTTAAATTGAATACAAAGGCGTTGTGGTTATTTAAATGCTTCATGAATAAAGAAATAAGTGGTTAGGTGGACGGGAAGACGGTGTGGGCGGAAAGGCGGTGGAATACGTTACAGGTCGATAAAAAATCCCCCTCATCTCAACCCAGATTCCACTGATGATCTTAATGTTTTCATTTCTCTCTTCTTGGGGGACCATAGGCCCACAAATTTCGATTCCTAATCCAATAATAAAGCAGGATATGGAAGGAGTACCCGGCTTTAATAGTCTGTTTATCCTTGCATTAGGGTCTTAGGTCTTACGAACTGCGGCATGCTGAAGATCACCCTTTTAAAATGCTGTACCAACGATCTTGCGGCCCTAGCCTTGCCTTTTTAGTATAGATGAAGTCCCTACAGCCTTTCCACTAAGCTAAGTTTAAATGCTCGATCAAAAATTTCAGTCGACATGAGGGATATCCATTCCACAAGTGAGGCCCCAGGCCTCAGCTGGCGATCTTCTAAACTGTTCATCCTCTCGACAATCGCAATCGCGCTGTTCGCGGGTTTGTATACCCCCCTGCCTCCTGGTCGAGTGAATGGCTGACAGGAAATAGAAACATTCCTCTATGGCTTCCTTGTGCCTATGTTGCCATACATCTTTCGAACGCGACTACATGTGAATCAAGCCAAAATTCAGGAACTAACGTCACTTGTGCTCGCCGTGCATGGAATGGTCTCGGTTATTTCAGGTCCCATCATCGGCCACTTTGCAGATAAAACCTCGAATCGCAAGGTCCCACTACTACTATCACTTTTCGCGTGTACAGTCGGTACTAGCATGATCGCTTGCTCAAGCTCACTTGCTATGCTCTTTATTGGCCGTGTGATGCAAGGTATTGCTGGATCCTCAGTGTGGATTATTGGCTTCGCGACCGTGGCTGCTACCGTGGGTGGAGATAATATGGGTAAGGTCGAGGGTATAATGATGTCCTTCCTCTATTCTGGATTGATAGGAGGCCCGTTCATTTCTGGTCTGCTCTTAGAGTATGTGGGCTATTGGTTGACATGGTCGCTACCGCTCTTGCTTCTCTGTATAGATTTCTGCGCACGTCTAGTCATGATCGAGAGACGTCTAGTCCTGATCGAGAGCCGACCTGTGGAGCTTTCCAGTAGCAGGCGAGAATCGACAGAATCAAGAACGTGTGATGCTACTAGCCCGTTCCTCGCTCCACGCGAAAACCCTCAAACTCGGTCTACTGCAGGGAATTTCTGGCGTATTATCCTCACTGATAATAGAGCGCTGACTGCGTTGTTTGTTGCTGTATCGACAACAACGGTTGGCACAAGTTTCCATGCTACGCTCCCCATTCATGTACAGGAAACATTCGGCTGGGGCTCAGGAAAAAGTGGGACATTGTTTGCTTTTCTCATTATGCCAACTCTCCTGGTCAGTCCATTGGCAGGATGGTTGCGCGATCGTTTTGGTGTGCGGTATCCTGCCATGGCATCTGCGGCTTTTCAAGCAGTGATGTTTGGGCTCTTGGGCCTTGCCGGTACCGATTTACTCCCTTGGAGTAGTGCTCAGACCGGAGGTGGCACGTTGTACACGGGCTGCATTCTCGCCATCGGCGTAGCGCGGCCATTCACGACAAACGTAGGCCCCGTCGAACTTTCCGGTCAGTGCTAATTTATTCGGACCTCGCGCTCACTGTTGACTTTTGACAGCCATTGTGAGAGGGTATCAAGAGAAGTCACCCGGTATCTTTGGACCCGAAGGGGGATGTCCCGTGTTTTCTCTCTTGATGATGTTGCTGCGTCGCTAGGGACGGTTCTGGGTCCAATAATTGGTGGTTTTCTTAAAGAATATACCGGATATATCTATATGTGCTGGACTTGGAGTAAGTCGTGTCTTCGACGCAATGTATGCTTTTTTTAACTCGATTCAGGCGTTTTATACACCACTCTTGCTATTCTTGTCATGTTTTTTCTTGGCAGAAGATGAGAAGGAGAGAAATAAAACGAGGTAAGGGGCACTTCGTTGTGTTTTTGGAGAGAGTACGAAAAAGAGTCGTGTCTACGGGATCTGGAAGTCTATATGACTGGACAGCTGCCTACGGCTGTAAGGCAACCAGACTTTTAAAGTGTATCATAGTGCTTTTGAGGCATATTTCACCACTATAAGAATATATTCTTCATCAATCATAGACTGCTGAGTCTAGATATTAACGCACCGCGTAATCTACGCTACTTGCTGTAATTCTTGTACCTTATTAACTAAGCGGTTACTCAGTACACCGGGGGCCTTGCATGGAGTCGTTGCGGTGTCCTTCGGTTGCACTATCTGCTGTGTATTAGCTAGGTGATTACCGATGCCTGTCGATTTGAGAGGGCTTTGTCGTTCTGAATTCTATCGACAATCTAAGTATTTTTCGGTCAGATCTGCGTCCACGGGAGATATGTGCTCGGTTAGCGATCGATCCTGACGAAATGGCATTTCAGCGGTGTACTAACAGCTACACTTGATCGGGAAACTCATGCATGCTGATGCACCAGGCGGCCGTGGTTTCACAAAGCTGAGCGAACCGCAGGATGTGGTTAGCTCACGGTGGCACGGAAACGCTTTGACCTCCACTTCGAGGCGACTCGCACCGCCCCGCTATGGCAGGGCCTGCAAGGTTTCACGACAGGAATGAACAAAATATGAGAAGTGGGTCCATTTATAGGTGAGAATGTGCGCTACATCTGCTTGTTCCCAAACGGGAAGTGTCTGTATTTCAAAAACGTACTGTAGGCCAGCGTGAGGCTGCAGCCACAAGCAAGCACTACTAACTAGTCCTTCATAAGCCCCTTTATATTCCAGAGCCTGAATGCATAGGATATTTTGTCTGCGGCACACTTCTCGCCTTAGAGCTGTTAACCAGAATGAGGATTATCTTGGAGTTCCCGAAATACTTCGTGACAAACAATCTTTACTGTTCCCATCAAGCTGAAGATACGCCAACACGAACATAATCGTTCGCTTGTAGGCAGGAGCAGTCTGTCTTTATCGCCGGGATCCAGGTGTAGAAAGAAGCTAGTTACTAGAACAGGGTGTGGCGTCGCGACACCGGTTCCCGTGAATTTCACACCAATACAGACGATTAAGGGATTCTGCTGTGTAAAAACTGCTTTTGTAAGGCTAATATGGCAGACTATAATAGAGTAGAGGCCGCTCCCTACATGCGAAATGGGTTTGTAGGGATGAAGGCATCATACATCTTCGAAAAGTAAGCCAAACTTGCAATAAAATGGAAATTGGAAGAAATGGAAGTTAAGCTGGATTGTAGCTTCTCCATCATAAGAAAGTACACTGACCAAGATTATTAAGGTAATTTGCACTCTCCTGTAAACTTTTGATAAGAAAATTTGTTCGACCAAGCTTGTACATACGAGATAAAGTCTTGCCCCGAGTGCGGGCGAGCTTCGGTAGATCCCATGTAAATATAATTGGAAGGAGTCCCATTCAGCGACGATTCACCACAGCGCAAACTCGAAAAGTGATGGAAGGATGTAGTGTACAGAATATTATCATTAGATATACAGGAAATCTACTTGAAGTGTCAAGTTATCGAAAGGTTAGCTATACAAGGATAGCGACAAGACCCCACGCAACGAAGCCCAGCAAGCCTGGTTGAGCGGCTCGGAGGGATGCTGTGCCATTGAAAACAGGAGCCACAGATGCAGCCGTGGAAGAATGATAAGCAGAAGAGCTGGCAGCTGTAACTAGTGTGAAAGAGGCTACCGCTGCTTTGGCGGTGCTAGGAGTATGCGAAGCTCCCGAGGACACACCGGAAGATCTAGAGGAAGCGCTCAAAACCCCACCCTTGCCATTTGAGACCATGCCAGTTACCACTGCACCAGAGACAGCCTGAGAGTTATCTTGATGGCTCACGCCTTCATTCTCGTCACCGATGGTAGATTCGGTAGCAGTGCTTTCGGAGACATTGCTGCCTGCGGAGACAGTATTTGGCTTTGGGACACCAGTTTTGTTTGCCGAGATAGCATTCGTAGCGGCCGTCACTTTGACTTCTTCATAGCTAGTTTCAGTAGGAGCGCTATCAGGTCTACCGCTACCTGCGGAGGCGTTGGATGATTCTGAGACACCTGTCTTGTCTGACGCGATCGAATCGGTAGCAATCACTGTGCTGGCCTTCTCGGAGCCTGCAAAGCTAGCATTCTCAGGCTCACCAGGTACTGCAGTGGATTTTGTGGTTTCCACACCAGTTTCAGTAGGGGTAGAGCTCGAAATCGTCGGGATGGGTCCGGCAGAAATGACAGTAGTGCCAGCGACCACGGTTTGGATGCTGATATACGTCGTCTGAGAGCGCTCTGGGCAGTTCGTTACCGTGGCAGCGCACGAGGTTATAGTAATCGTCCGGGTTGTCAGGATTGTGGAGGTATATGAGCCATCGTCGGAATCGGGGGCTGTAGTTGGATACGATCCTTCAGCTTCGGCGACAGGGCAGACTGTAGTTGAGACCACGATCGTCTCAGTTGTCACATAAGTGGTTTTGGCTGTGGCTGGGCAGTCGGTCACGGTTGATGGGCACGCGGTAATCGTGCTTGTTTGAGTTGTAAAGACTGTGGACGTGGTCAATTGAGATCTGGCTTGAGAGCTCGTGGGATCGTTTGTCGTTGTGGACGTTGGCGAGGCCGGTATCAGAGGCCCTGGCGAGCTGTTCGTCACATTGTAAATTGGGCTAGACGGTGCTGTGGTTGAGGCCTGTTCCGGCCCAGAGATTGAAATCGATGGTGATGTCGACGAAATGGAGAGATGAGGAAAAGTCCTTGAGGAATCGGTATAGGAGCTCGCAGAAGATACAGAGGCTTTGATCGATGTGGAAGTTGAAACTGCTGGAGAGACCGGAGGCACACCAGACGGAGAGGACCCTGATGCTGAGGGAATTCGTGCCGAAGAGCCTGCTGGCAAGGAGCCTGATGTCGTGGAGACTGGAACTGTGCTGGTAACACTGGAATGAGAGCTCGACACTGCAGGTCTTGTAAATGATGAACTGGGTGAGCTGCTGACAGACTGCAACGAGGTCGAGGAGCGAGTGTTCAAGGTTGAAGAGACGGCAATGGAAGAGACAGCGATTGAAGCGACAGGAGTTGACTGGGGAATAGAAATCGTAATTGTGGTGGGGGCCGTGAACGGGGTGCTATACGGTGTCGAGACCGGAGTAGAAGAGGCAGAAACAGAGCTAGAGACTGGAGTTGAGCGAACCAAGGGAGTTGAGGTGACCGAAGACCTTAACGGCGTGGAGCTGGCCACAGCAGAGGGCGAAGGAGTTGCACAAGTCACCGTCTGGAGATTAAAGTGGATATCTGCGATCTCCATATCTGGAAGGTAATCATAATCGTCGACAGTGCAAGTAACATATATGTTGACTATTACCGACGAGACAGTCGCATTCCAGGTGCCATTGATAGACATCCACCCACTGTCCGTAGTTGTCAGGCTATATGTCATATGGGCAAGATCCAGGAGAATGTCATTGTCGAGATCGACGATTTTGAAGTCAAAGAAGCAAGTCGGGATGTCCACTCCGTTGGCCACGGGTGACTTCAACCTCCACATCGCGCTAGCATGGTACGTTTGACCCGCCTGGGCATCCGCAATGGTCTGATTCAACTCGTAGTATGCATAATCACTAGGGATAAACCTATTGCACTAATTAGCTTGATCTTCGAGTCCAGTTCTGCCGTTCCTTACATGCATTGACCGCCACCCGGGGCATCATCGTCGATCGCATACGCATACCCTTCAGTGCTCCAATAGTCGTCAAAGTCATCTTTTGAGAAATCACCATCCTGTATCAGTTCACCAGTGGTTCTGAGAGTGGACGCAGCACACTGAGAGGTACAGATAATCTCAGGACCCTTAAAAGAGATCTCTTTGACCCGGACAATTCCAGAGCCGCCGGTGCAGACAGCTTGGAATTCCACAATGATTTCGGTTGCAGTGGATTGCCATTGTCCGAGCACATTTGTCCATCCGGATTCTCCTGCTGACTCAATTCTATAGGCATTGGTTATATAACTCGAACCATCATCGTGGATTGCATAGATGCTCAAGTCACAACGGAAATCGTCATCTGGAACGATCACGTCCCAGTAAAAGTCCATCTGGTAGTAGGGTCCAACATTGATATTGGACACGGCTTGCTGGAACGAGACGGTGCTCGAGTCAGAGGAATCGGCTGTAAACGGGATCTCTCTTTTCCCCCTCTAGTTAGACTATAACGAGAGATGCGGGAAGTTTGTTAGACTAACATGTACCCGCTGTCCGATCCGGACTTCGTGACGATGGTGTAGTCCTCTGACGCGGTCCAATCGGAATCGACAGCAAAGTCGCCATTAGTGATGTATTGCTGAGTGACTTGAGTGCAGACATCGATGTCCTTCGCCTGGGCATGAATGCCTTGTGCTAGAAGCACAGCGAGGGGCAGTAGCAACAGAGAAGGTCTCATTGACTATACGACCTCCACCACAGAAGGTGATTTAACGAATGTGATTGAAGAATAACGAACCAAACAAGTAAAAAGGGGAGGAATAAAAGCAAGTTCCTGCGAGGAATCACAGGTGCTCCCACTTGGTCTTGGTCTTTGCTAGATATAAATGGTCCATCGGCTCTAAACTCCGTTCCTGCGCTAGACGATTGCTAATTCTAGTTAAGGACCAATCTAGGCAAGCTTCTTTAGAGTGGTAGCCCGTTTTGGACTAGGCCAATGGGCTAGCGATTCTGGAGGCTCTGCTGGGAAAATTTAGCCGACCAGGTTACCAGTTCCAAGGCCGTTAAATAACAACAAGGAAGAATTCACTCAGCAAACGAAGCACATCGTCATCCTCTTTCGAGATCTTAGCCAACATGAAGCGTTTTCAAAGAAAGTCTGATTCCATTAAGGGACCCACATTCGAGGCCCTCCAGTCGTTTGCTTCAGCTCGGACTTATCCGATGCTTAGTACCGCTAACTTTTGCCAATCACATTCATGAACTCTGGCACCACGCCCCTGAAAGTTTTCTTACACAGCCCGACCCAGAAGATAATCTAGATATTTCTAGATAGCCGACCGTAACTTGATCTCTCGAAGATATTAGAAGTCATTTCATGTAATAGATTGGAAGATAACCAAACGGAGGCCTAAAGGAGCTCTGAGAAATGGCTACAAAGATATCAATAAACAATGATCTGAGTAATTACATGTGCAGGCCCACTTAGATCATCTAGTTCTCGAAGGAGCCATGGAGGCGCGTCATCCCAGCTGAATTGTGGGGGCCGTACGCTGATTAATAGGAAGATTTTCCCGAAATGTGCTTGAAACTTCATTGCTTGTTCATTGGTGACTCGAGCGCCAAGATCGTCAAAAGGCCCGAGAAAAAGTGCGAAAAAACTTTCTATAGGGTGACGTGACAAAGGGAAAAATCTATCGAAACTAAATAGTCATGTTGCATATCAACAAGCAATCACTGTGTGGCTTTGCAGCTGGTGCAGTAATTGAGCGTAATATGACAGGAGTTTGAAAGGTACGTGGATCCGCATTTTTCGGCACTGTCATTTTCGAACATATACTCAACACTAGTAAACTCGTCAGATCGGATCCCCGGAATCTTTGAGGGTTATTGACTTACGCAGCCTTAATCTGCCGTCCCGTCATACCGAAACCATAGTCATCGTTATCGCATGTAAACATGGCGGCGCATCCCGCCTTGCCAAAAGTTGCATCCACGATAATGCCACTTTCAATATTGGCCGTGTAGGATGTGTACGCCGAGTAGATTGTGTCATCAACGTACTGTTCATAAGCTCTCGTACAGGCGTCGTCGATACTGTGGCATTCGCCTGAGCCTTTGTCGTTGCCACTGGTTTGGGTTGGCGACGGGGTTTGCAATGTCACGGGAGTGCCAACGCCCTCTGTGGCCGAATCGGTGATGATTTGCGACGGATACGAGAGAATTTCGCCATCTGTTTCAGTGGTAATATAGGGGACTGGGGTTGCTGTAGGGGTAGTCGGAGTAAAGCTCGGCGTTAGCGTGATCGTGGATGGGAAGCTGGTGTATTGCCAGCACTGCCCTGAGATGAGCGAGGCTGTAGCCCAGTAGGTTTGGCTCTCGGTGATTGTTGAACATTCACAGTAAGGCGTGCTAACACTGGGTCCTCCTTGGTTGTAACAAATGTAAGAGCTAGCAGTTGGCGATATTATTGGCGTTGCGGAAGTAGTTGACGGTTTGGGAGACGATGTCGTTGCCAATGATGACAGCACCTTCGAAGATGAGCTAGTTCCGGGAGACGTGAATGCTCCTGAAAATGAGACTGCTCCTGAAGAGGTCACTGCCAGCGAAGATGAGGCCCCCGAAGAAGAAGATACACTGGAAGAAGACCCTGTCCCTGGCCCTGATGACGAGGTCATGGATCTAATCGTTGATATTCCAGAAGACGAGGGTGGTGATGTGGGAGGCGTCGTTGATGTAGTAGAGCCACCTGAGCCAGTGGAAGAAGTCTCTGGAATATAAGGAATTGACGAAGCAAAAGTCGAGTACGTAGATGCAAGCTTGGTGGTCCTTCTGACCTTGCAGGATCCAGCCTCGGTAGTAGTGGTCATCATGGAGGTCGGGGAAGCATTGCAGGCAGTAGCAGTACTGCAAGTAACTGTGGTAGTTGTGCTAGTTGAAGGAGAGGCAGAACCATCATTCCCGGTAGAGAATGTTGGAACAAGGATAGTCGTTGTAGTGCAGTCCGAGAATGTTGTGCTTGAGGTGCAAGACGAGGTGGAAGAAGAAGTCGAGGATTTAGATTCTGAAGACGAATTTTCATCGTTGTCATCCTTTATCTTATTCTCCAGATCGGTTACAATATCGCTGATTTCATTCAGATACTCAGCACCTTTCTTGATTGTACCCTCGACGTCATCTGTGACATCGGATACATCATCCGGAATCGTTTTAATCATGCTGTCGGCAATTGGCTCAATGCAGCTAAGGGCATCCTGCACAATGCTTGTAGCTTCATTCACCGCACCTGCAGCTATATTGGCTGCACTAGAGGCGAGGCTTCCAATTGCACCGAAGAGGGACCTCTTTCTAAGAGAGCCGGAGCAAGGAGACCTGCTCGAGGCGTAGTTAACCTTAGACAAGTAATCCTCAGACTCTTTCTCCACATCCTCAAGATTGCTCTTATATGTTCCAGGATCCGTCTTGAGCTGGCCGATGTTGTTGTAAAAGCCTTTCAAAAAAAATGCAATGTCTGTAGCGTCCGAGTTTGCGGCTGTTCCGGTAACAGTACCTGAGGGAAGAACAGTCAAAGTGCCCCAAGGCTGTGAAAATGGTGAAGCTGTGGCACCAAACTCAATGATAGCAGACTCTGTAGCCGAAGCGCTACCACTCGGGGTAACTGAGTTGAGATACGGAGCATTTGAAAGATCAGCCGACGAGTATGTATATGAAGGCAGCTGAGAAGAGCTCGTGCCTCTTGCGGGAGATGAGCTGAGAACTGATGTTGTCGCAGAAGCAGATTTACTTTTTCCAGAAGATAATAATGATGAAGCAGTAGCAGAAGAGACACTGCTTGCGCTAGGAACCGAGCTCGATGAGCCCACCAAGGGGGTAGTGGATAACATTGGCAAGCGTGAGCTGGAAGGTCCAACTGTACTTGAAGATGGGTCAAAGTTGGAATTGGTCGGGGCTGAGATGCTAGAGCTGCTGACTGCTGAGCGACTTGTGATCGGGACCAGTCGCGTGGAGCTGGCCTTTGTACTCGATGTATGAGTTGAATGGGCGGGTGTAGAAAGGCTCGATATGCCAGTAGCAGAAATACTAGGGCTTGCAGAAGAAAACTTCGATAAACTTGAGCTTTTTGTGAAAAACGGAGTAGAGCTTTGGGACGAATGAATAGGGCTATACTGGATCACAGGAATCATGCCATCGTTGACTGTGACAACTGTTGTGAGCCGCTCTCGATAATTGTGCTTGCTGTCAAAGCTGCTTAAAGGTGTCGAGGAGGCCGGTGTTAACAAAGGTGTCGACACGCTCGGGGGAGGTGTCGTGGTAAAGTCAACGAATGGGGCAAATCCATGGGACACGGTGAGGACAGTAGTGATGGTTGTAGTCCAATCCGCACGGACTCCCTGCATGAGGGAAAGAAGGAGCAAGGCATTCCCCTTAGAAAGCATTTTGATGATGCCAAAATTTCGATTAACAGTAAAAAACAATGCCTGGGGAGATAAAAGAAAAGTCCTTCTTATAAATGTTTCTTTGTTCGGGGCCAATTCCAGGGACGGGTCTATGACATCCAGACGGGCCAGTGAAACCTAACGTATCTTATATGGTGAGGTTCTATGCGCTTTACTATTCTTAAAGCTTATTCCCGGCCAGATCTTAGGTCCCGCCTTGGTACTGCGCTGATGTGGGGGCGAGTTTCATCAATCCAAGCCACCGTCAGCAGTACCTGGCAGAATCTGTGATCCTGATTTGGGCCAAGCGTCTAGACTCTCGATTCTACAGGCCCAATTGTAATTTCAGGGCCGATGTCAGATTTCAAAGCTTATATCTCGTCTCAGCCTTGGCTAAACGGTGCCAGCCATTACCCAGAAATCTCCGCCCCTGTCCCCTTGGCCATCTAATTAAACCTTGTACGACGTATGAATTTTAAATCTAAACTTTCAGGCGCCCAGTATCGGCTTTATTGGAGAAAGGGTCGTCGATGTGACTGGTTCGATCCCTGAATAGCCAGAGATGATCATGGGAAGTAAGCTGCCGACTGGTTATTAGTCAGTGTAAGATCTGCAATAGACAATCTTGTACAGAGGCGGTTCTAATAGATTGAGGGCCCACATGCAAATGAAATTTTATGCCCTAATAATAAAAGAGAGCAGGACGCTGATTCTATAACGCTTCCTCCGAAGTAACTCTACTAATATTTCCTCCTGCATTCTTCTGGTCCTGAACACCTGCTACAATGATTATATTCAATAAATTTCCTCTCGCTTTAGCGACCTTGTGCTTTCTTCTAGAGAGTGGTTCTGCTGTCCCACACCAACTAGCTGGAATAGTCAAACGCGACGAGCCGGACTTCATTCAGAATTGGGACCTTTTTCGGAGATGGCAAAGCATGCAGGATCAAATTGCCGAGATGGAGGTACCGGAAATAGACGATGTAACAATGGCAGAGTGGGATCTGAGCACAAAAAGGCTCACATGGGAATGCTTTACGTTGGTGATGGGGACGCAAATTGCAGGAGCGGCTGCGGCAATTAATAAGGCCACACTCGATCCATACCCTGATTCGACTGTTGTCACCAAACGAAGCTCTGCCGACGCAAACCAGGTTATTTATGGAGCCAGTCTTCAGAAGAAATGCAGTAGCAACATAAACGTGCTTCCTGTGATTGACTACGTTTACTCGGAAGGCAGACGGAATTACGGATGGTCGATCATGCCCTACGTCTCCGAAGGCTCCCTGGAGGCCAACTTCGGTTCCTACTCGGACCAGAGCTCGGTGAATACTGCATTTAAGCAGATGCTTAATGCGGTCGCTGGGGTGCAAAGCGAAGGCATCATCCATCGTGACCTCAAGCCCGAGAATTTTCTGAAGGACGGTGATACCTTAAAGCTCATGGATTTCGATCAGTCAAGAGAGACCTCCTCTTCCAACCAATTTGATGTTGGCACGCCATCCTACATCGCCCCAGGTACATATTTACTCTTGGTTTCTGGAATAATCCTGATTCTTACTGACTTGTTCCAGAAATTATCGCCATGAAGACGGATACAGGCATAATGTATGACTACAAGGTGGACACATTCTCGATCGCGATGAGCTTTATCGTCATGTCAGTCTCAGAGCTCAGGGATGCGACCACTCGCTTCCAGCTGTGGAAAGATCTCATTGAGCCTGACGGTACTCTGTGGCCTTCAGCAGATACCGTGGCAAAACTTCTGAAGGCTAGAAACTATGCAGTCTTTAGTGGTAACGATGATCTTCTCAACGTGCTCGCGAAGGCTCTGTGCAAGCCAAGCGAACGCTACGACCCACAAGGCTTCAAGGCGGCTTTCGCTGGAGTGGCCTAATGGATTTTCTTTCTGTTGGGATCCTTATCATATGTTATGCTGAGGCTCAAGCTACAAGGTAATCTGGTGCGTCGATGACCTATCAGCGATACTTTCGTTCTCTTTGTGCATGCATTTCATTCATCTTTGATGGGCTTTCAAAGTTGAAAGTCTACACTACGGTAAAGCTCTATCGCGTAGTAAAGCCGAGAGCCTTGAGCTAGGTTATTCTTGGAACCCGAAAACTATTCATCTATTTTCATTGATCTTGAATCAATCCATTTTTCTCCTTATTGTGTATTATTTCTAGGCGGGGCGGCGACGGCCAAAATATCACATGCTGCGGGCGCCTACACTGGAGACTCGAATCAGAATATTTTTGACTTTGCGCAATGTGAAACTTCCAAGTGCGTCTTGGAGGCTGTGTAATAACAGGTTGTCAGCAATTTGCCCGGGCATATAAGCCCGGCCCTCCCCCGGTAAAAACAAAATAACTTCACTTCTCGCCCCCACTTCCGGCCCTATTCGATTCTCACAAATCCGCCAGGGTTTCACCCAGTTCAAAGCAGTAATGCAAGAATCAAAATTAGTCCCAGAATCATCGAATCGAAAGACTATTTCCCTCCCACGGCCAAGTGAGCCAGGAGTAAACAAGCCACTTTGGCTGATTGACGATCGCGCCAAGAATTCTATTCGCGATTTGCAAGAGGGTGAATTACTGCAGCTGGTGAGAAACCACCCTACTCGTTCACAAGAGAAATAAAAGGCCAGAGAGCTAAAGTTCTATCATTCTCACAGATGATTGATTATGCAGAAGAGGAGATCCGATTTGCAAGCTCCGACAAACAAGTTCAGCCCGACTCTCTCACCGAACACTTTTCCTCACCATCTCCTGATGTTTTCTCTTTTTACCGATATCCAGGAATGGATGCGGTGGCTCTGATCTGGACTGGTCCTCATTGGACGAAGTCTACTAAACACACCAAAGTGCAGAATCGCTTGCGGAGGGACTTAAGTATTATTGCTGACAGGGAAGGGATTAAGGTTGCACACATGGTAAAAATGCCCGACTCTATTACTATATCCCGTCGCGTAACTCACAAAACCAGATGAAAATCGGTTCTCAGAATGAAATAAGCGGAGATCGCTTAAGGGAAACAGTCCTCTCCTCGCCAACTCCGAATGATCTATCTCATGAACTATGAATCATGAGGAAAGCCATTCATGATCAACACCCGAGGGCCTCTTTTATCGCTAAGGATGAGGGATAGCTTAATAAAATCAAATTAGTCGAGAGTAAGATACATATGATGAAGAGAGAAAGTGAGCAGTACCCGACGGGGCTAACCCGGCGTTGTATCTAAAACTTATTTCATGACTACTGGATGAATAGAGAAGGCCTGTAGGCGCAGACCGAACATTATAGAGCGCCAACCTGGTTAAATATGACGTTGCGTTATAAACAGAAGACTCAAGGGGCTCCTTTCTTTTCAATTCCCCGCCTGTCCCGGGTTAGTATGGGGCTTGGAAAAGACCCATTCTCATTCTCACGCAACGGTTACTCGGGATATTACGTCGTGCGGTGAACCTGACGGCCCATTTAGTGCCACATGGAAGTCGTATGGCCAATCGCCGCTTTCCACGATATTCTGATTTTCCTTGCGGTTCCGGCATCTCATCGAGACAGCGACTTCTTAGAACGTTTCCAAACCCAAAAGAAATTGAGATAACTATAGATACCAAACAGCAGGATACGCAATTGCACCAGATGTCGCTTTTGCACGCTCTAAGTAATTCACTGCCGGATGTACCTAAAGGCGAGCTGAATAGGCGGCGAGCCGCCCACGGTGGGACGTTACCATCATTTGTCGTTGTATAATTTTTTTTCATTTCAGCCCAGTTTCTAACTACAAAAGCTACGTCGTGTCTTATTTGCGTTTAATGATTAACCAGAAAAAAGAATGACGGGTTTATTAGAGGCAAAAGTCAGAACTAAAAGAGGGAGCGATAGGATAAAAGCCAAATAGCGATGATCAATCGATCAGAACGCACTAAAAAAAAGCGCATTTGCAGAGTGTCCATCAACTTAGACACGCTATCACTTAAGGGCACTGTCCCACGTTGACGTCTGTGATTGTCATTAGCAGCCCCTTCGTGAGATCTATGCAGTGAAATACAGAAAACTTACTGCACTGCCAAGGCTTGTAATCCTCCTTAACCCACCAACCCTTCGAGTTCTGATACCAATTCCTATGGATTTTGTAAGTTTTGTCATACCGGGAATAGATAGGAGGGTGGGGAGGTCGTACTGATACTTGCAGACGGGCGCAAAGGTATCACCCACGTTGGATTCACCAACAGTCTCGCTGGAGTCACAGGGGTATTTGTGGTACCAGTAGGTCTTCTGTACCTTGCAAAAGTCTTCGGGACGCTGATGATAATTGCCATGGTCGCGATCGTGGCCATTGCCATGTTCGTTACCCCAGCCATTTCCGCCATTTCCTCGCTCCTTGAGCGAAAATTCGTCGGGCTCCGCGACCGGGCTAGCCATGGCCATTTGCGAAGCAAGAGGAAGGATGGCAGTGATGATATAGATAAAAGACTTCATTGTGGAAGAAAATTTGAGATTGGAAAGCTTCGGACTGTAAGTACGAAGGCAATTGTCTGTCAAAGTCGTTGAAAAACAATCGAGAGGAGGACATACGGGCTGCTTTATATATTACTTTCTGGTAGATATTTGGGCCTTGAGTATATGAGAAGCAGAATGATGAAGCTGTCATCGATGAAGCCTAGAGTTTCATACATACAGTATGAGAGAACCCAATGGCTTGCGTATTCCATGGTCATTCAGTTCTTAGCAAAGCAGCTACCAAGCGAGGTGATCTAGTCGCTGCAACCGGAAAGATCTATGAACAGCAATGCGCATATGAGCCACGGTCTTGGAGCAAAACAAACAAACCCGTGGGAAAGTAGGGATGATCAATAGAGAGCAAGAACCGCCAAGTCCTTGGCGATCGATAATTATCCCAAGTCTAGCTACACAAATCTTGAATTAAATCAAATGACTTCAATATGGGCAGGACTAGACCGGAATTGCCAAGAATTCCGAGTTTTGTTATTTAGCGGGGTATGAACCGTGGGTACCGTGGGATGTCTCGGGCCAGAAATAGAATTCGGGACTTTAAATCGATCGCCATCATTTCCTTGGCGATCATAAATCAAGTCATTTTTACCATGAATGAGCACTCCCGTCGTATACGTCCAATAGCTATTGTGGATTTATTTGTGTTTACGAGGTCCCCCTTCCCTCCCGCAAAATAATCTTGCCGGCATTTCCCCGGATGGCTTGGCACGACTTGGCATACGCCAGCACTCTCGTAGGTGACCTATTGGACTGTATTTGCACCTCTCGCTGCTAGGAAAATACAAAAACTTGGAAGATACTTACATATACAAGTATCAGCTTCTTTTCTCAAGGTATGAGGAGGGTATTACGCAGTGCACAGTCGAGACTGTGATTCGAATACTTTCAATTGAATCAAAGATCGCACAAATAAAGTCTACCCGCTAGTCTCCGGGGCGGAGCGGAATCTAATTTTGCTGAGAAACAGGATTCTGCGGGCTCCAGACTCAAAGAATGCCAAGTGCCAAGAGCTTTAGATTTCTATGTCAATGACGGACAGCCATATGCGACAGCGAGATAGCGAGCGGGAGCGAGGCTAGAGCCAAACATTATTCCTTTCTGGATACGAATCCGAACCAAGAGTCACGGGCCCATGGTAACACTTCCCCACTAGTAATCGATCGAAGCACTGTCAAACATGATGTCTTGCACTATCTATGGACTTCCCTCTGATTGATATTGCTGGAAAACATATCTCTGGTACTATTGAACAATGATCATTGAGCTGGCACCGGCATACAGGCCCCCAATTTGTCAAATAATAAAATATTTTGAAAATATATCGGAAGGTCTCTAAAATTTGCATTTCGTATGATAATTTACATCCGGCCAGGAGCGAACCAATTGCGCGAATGATTCACGAATATTTTCAATTCGCTTATAGATTAGCCCATTTCTCCGTGCGCGAAGATCTATATGACCTCTGCATTTCGATCTGTTCTTGAGTAAACCAGGTGCCATGAAATCCATAGGGCACTCTTTGTGGAAGGAAGATCTTCGCCACCACACTGGTCATATCGCGCGCTTCAATAATCCAGAGCTCGCTGTTAACGTCATCCGGAGCCGCTCCATCTTCATTCAGCTGGGTCTCATCAAACATTAGAGTGAGGAGGTATCCATCATCCTCAGACTGAGCGTCGTGCCGAGGAACAAATCGAGGCTCTTGGGCGTACCACCCTTCCGGTGCTTGGAAAATTTTAATAGAATCTTCATCGTCATCGTTCTGCAAAATCTCTGCGATGCCTCTTTCATCAACGCAGCCAGCGACTCCTTTGGTTTCTTTTTCAATTCCTCGTCGAATTAAAGTTTTGATGTCAATTTTGACAAGACAGTCGACTTTCATAGGCTCGCCTGTACTTGATCCAAACATTGCATCTTTTGAGGAGCATCCGTATATGAACGTGGGTGCAGTTGTCAAGCAGGAGGGTGAGATAACTGGCATCTCAAAGGGAATAGCAGACAAGGCCCATTGATGAGAGATAAGATTCAGTTCTTTGTCTGACAGTACGAATCTATAATAATAGAGTCGACTATCGCTCCCCTGGTCCTCGGGGAACTTTGGACTCGAAATTGTATCAATGGCGCCCATAGAATACAGCATATCTGCGCTAGTGTAGCGACATGCGACCATGTTCACTGCCTCAACTTCGTCATCTCTTGCAGACTTTGGTGCAAGTTCATCCCAAGTGCTGGCGGTGTGGAAGATGAAGCAAGCCTCTGTTTTGAACCATCTTACTCTGCCGGGATCGTGTCGGGGGAAGACACCAAACCGTGATGGTGAGTGCTGATCATAATGAACTATTGGTCTCCCCCTCAGCATATTGATGGGGTCCAATGACATTGGGAGATCAAGAATCACGGTGTAGTTGGGTGAGACGCCAAAATCATGCATCAATTTCGGGTCCGATATTCCTGGCACGGAAGCATGTAATGAAGATTTTTGAGATTGTCCTTCTCCCGTGCTAGGAATGACAGAGTACCAGACGAAAGGGGGTAAGAAAGAAGATTGAAATGATATTAGCTCCCCAGTGGTGTAGTCAACGCGTGGCTAGTTTCACAATCAGCAACCATATTCCTAGGTAGGGCAGCGGATACTCACATGAGCGGTGGTCCAATCTTTCAAAAAGCCAAGTAGTCCACTGCGACCGAATAAATTATCATCGGAGCGCGAAGTTGTTTGCTCGTGATCCGCTGAGTTTCCATTGTACCAGCCGATGGTCTCTAGATTTGGCAACTGTACCCTCATCGGTGGTCCAGTCTGACAGGTTGCTATTGTTATCTTGTCGTGATAAAGAACCGCTGTATTTGCGACACTGATTACACGGACTGGTGGTCCATTAAAGTTGAACTGGGACCAAATAATGAGGATTAAGAAGCGACAAAGTTCACAGAATGTTGAAATTGCAGAATCAGCAGGGTGAATCAGTGTCGCGATACTTGGCAATATCGATGAACGCAGTTGGGGCATCGACTTTGTAGCAAGAAAGACATCTGTCAAGATGTAGCGATTGACAAAGCAGGGCTCGACTTTTCCAGATTGTTCAGTTGATCGGAACAATACACCACTAAGCATGCCGTCACCATCGAACATGTGCACATGGCCAGTGAGCTCGTCTCCAAAGCTCGGATTGCCACCATTTCGAACATACTGACCACCATGTAACTCAACAGGAATAGTTCCAGAGTATGTGCACGGCTCTAGGTTGAGCTGACGATGGATCGGTGCAAAGTTGCCTCTAAGGCATCTTGAATTTTGTAAGCTTATGTTTCTTGTTCAATCCTATAATGTTGCGACTCCGAGATGTACCGATGTGTTTTGTTCGCGGCGCACATTTGGCCTTTCGCCGCATCTCCCATGGTCCCAAAGCGATGTCGACTCGTTAGATAATCTCTAGGAGGCATGCCATGAGGAAGATGGAGTAAGTCACGTGGCGCGTATTTCTTGGTAATATTGTGTTTGGCAATGAAAATGTTCCGTCCACGTGAAGTGGATGTTGGCGGGAGAGTTGACGTCACAAATGTGATGGCCAGGTTGAAAGAGTGTAATACGAATTGAAATCTGCCGTCCATTAAATCTTTAATGAAATAAAATTACAGGCAGTAGCATTTTCGTCAAGCTATAGCTCACCATTGGCCGATCGAGGTATTGATCTCATGCTTCCGACGCGCATAAATGAGGCAGAACGTAGGTACGAAAACGAGGGTTTGGAACACGGGCATCGGGACATAAAGTCAATGATCTCAATCACTTCTGACCACATTTAGTTGGACCTGTGATCTCATCTCATGTCTCACGGCACTGCGTAGTCTGGCAATGTTAGATCATTCTTAGGTTTCAATTCGTCAGTCACATCTGATATGCCTAACAGCGCTGTAGATTCAATCACCAGTACATGGGATTTTATGATTACAAGAAGAACCACCATCGGTGGTAACAACCCTGTTCAAATTTCCTCCAAGGAAACGCAACGGGAGCTTATCCTTGATGTGGACTGACTAATCCAGATCGGGAAACGCATCGGCTTGCATGGTATCATTACGTGTTCGGACTTGCGATCCGGATGTAAGCCCGAATTCGTAGTCTTTGACTAGCACATGAAGGGATTCTTTCAAGGGAGACTTGAGCCCTTGAGATGTTGGCTTCTAAGAGAAAATACCTTCATTCCGCTTGAGTATGGTTGATACGCAGAAGAAGAAAGTGGTTGTTATTGGTATTGAATCAAACGTTCAATCCTGCTATCCTGGAATCTAGCTAATGGGAACTTACTTTAGGAGCGGGAGTTGGCGGTGTCGCAACAGCAGCCCGACTGGCCAAGGCTGGGTTACAAGTATCAGTCTATGAGAAAAATGATTTTCACGGAGGAAAGTGCAGCAACATTGTTCACAATGGCTACGTAAGCTTTCAATACTTGGATATGGGAGACTTTTGTTGACTTTTCTCTAAGCGCTTTGATCGTGGAGCCTCAATCATGCTGATGACCGAAGTATTCGAAGAAACCTTTCACCATCTGGGCACATGTATGTCCTCAGAAGGCATTGATCTTCTCAAGTGTGAACCGAACTGCAATGTCTGGTTCCAAGATGGTGACTGTTTTGCGACTTCCACGGATATCGCTCACATGAAGCGTCAAATCGAGAAGGTCGAGGGTTCAAAGGGATTTGATCGCTTCATTGCATTTCTCCAAGAGTCCCAAAGCCATTACGAGAAAAGTGTGATTCATGTATTGAAGAAAGACTTTCCTAGCTTTCTATCACTTCTCAGACCGGCATTTCTGCCTTATTTGTTTAGACTACATCCTTTTCACAGCGTCTGGCAGAGAGCGGCCAACTTTTTCCGATCCCATAAACTTCGCCAAGTTTTCACCCTCGGGAGTATGTATCTTGGAATGTCTCCTTTTGAGACGCCGGGTACTTACACTCTCCTTCAATACGCCGAGCTGGCTGGTGGAATTTGGTACCCCCGTGGTGGTTTTCATCGAGTAAGTCGCTGTCTGTTATTGATAAGAAGTGAGCTGAGTCTGAAAGGTTGTTGACTCATTGGTCGAGATCGGCACCAGGCTTGGTGTCAAGTACCATCTGTCACAGCCGGTGAAGGAAGTGGCCATATCCCCTGACGGGAAGGCTTTCGGCGTCTTGTTAGATGCAGACAGATTCGTCGAAGCTGATGCTGTTGTCATCAATGCTGATTTACTTTACGCCCACAGAGCGCTTCTCCCATCGAATCTACCAGGACAGGCTGGTTTGGACAGGGGCAAAGACATTTCCTGCAGCAGCATATCCTTTTACTGGTCACTTTCGAAGAAGGTTCCACAGTTAGAGACTCACAACATCTTCGTGGAAGATTCCTTTGGGCAGCTATCCCCCCAAATTTACATGAAGCGGCAAAGTTTGCTGAAACCCTCATTTTATGTCCATGTTCCCTCCAGAATAGACCCGTCAGCAGCACCGGCAGGAAAGGATGCGGTCATTGTCCTCGTTCTAGTCGAGAATCTTGGCGGTTCAGATCCGATGAACAGCCCATCGGAGAAAAATGGGATAACCAAATTGGTTGCTGCTGCACGCAAGCATGTGATATTCTCCATTGAGAAGCGAACTGGCTCTGTCGGGTTCAAAAAGCTCATCGAACATGAGATTACCAACACGCCATTGACCTGGCAAGAGACTTTCAACTCGGAGAGAGGTGGGATATTTGGCCTCGACCACAGCTTCTTTAATATACTCTCTTTTCGACCAAAGATAAGACCCGATAACTTCGACGGTATATACTTTGTTGGTGCGAGTACGCACCCTGGAGCTGGGGTTCCCACCTGTCTGGCAGGCGCAAGTCTAACCGCACAGCGAGTTTTGAGTGATTTGGAGGTTCCCATCCCTTGGGAGAGTCGCAACCCGAAAATCAATCAAGTTGGCTCGCAATATTCTACAAATAATTTATTTGTCCAGTCTTTGGGGAAGCGGCTTTTCTTTACTATTGTTCTCTACATGGCCATCGGGATAGCTTTAGGAACGCTGTGGGCAATATGATTTGGGTTCTTATCTACGAGCAATTGTTGTATAAGAAATCTTGACATAATTTTCGACAAACTTCTTTTGATGGCCTTCCTATTTTGTGGCCTTCAGACTTGCTTTGTCAGAGAGAGCCATATCGGTTGATGATCGATCGATCGATCGGCCGATTCAAGCCGCCAAACACCGAAACTGAGATTCACTTTCCCTGCTTTTTCTACTTTCGCTAGTCTTACATGCATTAGTGATGCCTAGTCCTGGTTGATTAACAAAGATGCTCGAGTTGAGCACCAATTACGTCGTCATTAAACTTTGATTTTCTTGGACGGTGGTTTGTTACACCGCGTGTTTGCTGTCCCGGTTTCCTCGATACGGATACTCTCGATCGAGCATTCTCTTTTTTCACTAAGTCCGTTGCTGAAAGTCGTATCTCTAGGCCAAACTTACTGTGAATAAGAGGTGTCCGGGCGAAGACTGTCGGCTAACAGCCAAATTTCTGCCCTTGGTGGCTGACAGACGTATATTACCAAGTTGTAATTGTGATTACCGCGCGCGTTCTGCATATCATTCCAAGCAAGGAATGCGGAGCTTGACGCAAGCTTCTTACCTTTCAACCGGAATTGGGATCGGTGACTTATTGAGTCAGCAGAAAGATTGGACCTGGCATTTATAGGGAATGTCTGGGTCAATTTCTTTCCGCCGCATTCCTATACTGATCTTGAAGACCTGTGCTCGGCCGGCCAAGGCAGTTGCAAGTTTCCGGCACTCGACATTCGGCATAAGCATAATGGGATTCGATTACTGGCTGGTGTATGTTGTGTAAAGCTCTTCACGGGTTTTCGAGGTTGAGTGAGGCCTAACAATGTCTGTAGCCACTTGATCTGGACACTTCCGCCCGCAACCCTACTGACAGCGGCCTATTGGCCGTTCTTCACGAGACTTGAGATTACCAAGATACTAATTCTAATAAACGTAAGAGTCATATTTTCGCTTTCAGAAACATCATTGACAGCATCAGATCGCCGTTCTCTCCACCATCCCATGGGACTCGTATCTGATTCGCAATCGCATCTGGTCTTATCCAGCCGATGCAGTTGTCGGGCATAAATTATTTGAAATTCCATTCGAGGAAATATTTTTCTTCATCATCCAAACATACTGCACGAGCTTGCTCTATGTCATTCTCACCAAGCATCTGGTACTTCCAGCTTACTTGCTGCCACGAAAGGGCAATTTCACAAAAGCCATTGGATCTGCCATATTGATGGCTGGAACTGGTATTGGCATTATCTTCACATCGAGCAAGAACCACTTGACATATCTTGGCCTAATCCTAGTATGGGCTCTTCCTGTGTTGGCCTTCCAATGGTGAGATTTTGACAACCGCTTGAATCTGATGGCAGGGGAAATCCTAACATGGTCGAACACTAGGCTTCTTTGCGGGAACTTCCTCCTCGCATTGCCAAAGAGACCCATTCTCCTCTCCATATTGTTGCCGACTTTCTACTTATGGATCGTCGACTCTCTCTCGCTCCAACGTGGCACATGGGTGATTGAACGTGGAACAAAAGTGGACATTCAGCTTTGGGGGTCATTAGATCTGGAGTAAGTGTGGAAGAAATTAACTTCGCAAAACTCACTGACAGAGCTTTTTTGTTATTATTAGGGAGGCAGTATTCTTTCTCGTCACCAATGTCATGGTCGTTCTTGGTCTGGTGACTGTAGATCATGCTCTTGCGATGGCCGAGTATGACATGGTCATGACCAAGCCGGCGGACAGCCATCAATCGTCGATTGCCCAGATCTTCTGGTCTTATATGACCAGTCAATGGAGATCTTTCGATGTCCGGTTTCTCGAGGGGTTGAATGCAGCCATCGAAAAGCTATCCCAAAAGAGTCAAAGCATGTATTTGGGTAGCGCGATGTTCCAGGACAGACTGCGGATTGACCTTGTTCTCCTGTATGAAACTAGTGCAGCTTGATGAACGGCCATAGTTTACTAACAATCTTACAGGTACTCCTTCTGCCGTGTTATCGACGACTTGGTGGACGAAGCTCCAGATAGTAAGACAGCGCAGGCGAACATCAAAGAAGCATCTCAAGTTTTGCATTGGCGTTTTTCAACGAAACGACCTACTAAACCTCTTTATGAGTATTTGGAAGTTGAGAATGGTCCCGAGCAGACAAGCGCTTTAACTCCACTACTATCCTCCATCGCACTGCTGCCAGCCTCCCGTCTCACCTTGAAACCACTGCTTGAACTCTTGTCCGGGTTTGAAATGGACCTTGGGTTCTCTGCTGAAAAGCAAGAATTCCCAATCACGACTGAATCGGACCTGCAACTCTACGCCCATCGTGTGGCGGGCACCGTCGCATCTTCTCTCCTCGAGTTGGTATTTAGCCACTACGGAATGGACGAAAATAAATACGATCGCGCTCAACAAGAGAGAATCATCAACTCTGGGCAGTGTATGGGACAGGCATTACAATATGTCAATATTGCCCGCGATATCAAGCGGGATGCCGCGATCAGCCGGGTTTATATTCCTTCTTCTTGGTTGGCGGAGGAAGGAATCACCCCGACTGATGTATTAGCCAGTCCAGATGATGACAAACTCGCCATATTCGAGGATCGCATGTTACGCAAAGCGAATGATGCCTATGAACAGAGCGTGGGAGCAATCGATGAGCTACCCAAGGAGGCTCGCGGGCCTATTAAGACGACAATAGAGAGCTACATGATGATTGGGGGAATGGTTCGCAAGAGGCGGCAAGCTGGAATCAAAGAGGAAGGAAAGTTGAAAGTGCCTTTGTGGCGGAGGCTCCGGCTCGCGTGGTGGGAAATGAGTGTCAGTCATTCATAAGCTTAAACTACCCGATAGCCCCTTAGCCGCAAGGGGGGAGTCTCAAATCGGCCGACTTTACCACATTCTCCTGTATCTTTACCGAGTGAAGCAGAAATGAGAGCTTGGGAGGCTGCCTAGACATATATTAGATGACAGGTCAAGCTCCGAACCAGGTAAAAAGAAGTAGAAAGACTGCGCGGACGCATTTGATTGGGTTTGTCGAAGCGATCATCTGCAAGATATTGCGAGTCGACCCTTGATAGCTCTGGGAGGATTGCTGCGCATAAGCAGTGATGATCGCGACACAGTTTTTGCTCCTAGACTGGACTTGATGGGGTACCCGGCTTGCTGATGGTGGCGATTGCAAGAAGCTCTCGATACCTACAACAATTCGATGACAAGGCTGTACCCGACCGGACTTCTGACTGTTAGGTGTGATCAACTTCGCCGCATAATTGATTGCGTTCCAAAACAGACCACACCAGTCATGCGCATAAGCGGGATGGGTAATAGAAGAATCATTTTGGGCTCAATTTGGCAAGAAATTAAGGACCGTAATCCGGCTAAGATCGCTGATTCCAAATACTCAACCCCAGAAATCCACTGCGTGTTGAGTGAGGGCTGGCGGGCCGATGCCCCAACTGGCAGTCTTTTTCCGGCTGCAAGGGAAAAACTATACAACCCGCTTCCACCGATCTGACTCATACGTTTGGTACTATATAATTTAGGACAGATCGCGATAATCGCCATCAGGGTCGAAGTGAAACCTGGAATACCGTACACTGTCCAGATCGGGAAATGTGGGGCCCGATAGGCAAGCATCAATCAGTACAGGAATTCGTCACCTGCCAAGGTGAGGACTAGGCCTAAGTCTGCTTAAATTCTCCTTTCTTGCTGTGTTGATCTGCTCGGCTTAGGAATTCGTACCTATCATTCACGGCAAAATGAACACCCCAAGCGCTATTGTCGTGGGTTAGTAGAAACAATGACGTTGATTGCCGAGCATTTGCTCACATATTTTAGGAGCTGGAGCTGGCGGAATTGCCACGGCTGCTCGCCTCACCAAGGCCGGATACAAGGTCACCGTCGTCGAAAAGAATGGCTTCGTTGGAGGACGATGTTCTCTCGTTCGTCATGAAGACTATGTGCGTTCGCGAAGGTTCTCTCGTACTGAATATATTATAAACTAATACTATCTTAGAGATTCGACCAGGGTCCATCCCTCTTGCTCATGCCAGAGGTCTTCCACCAGACCTTCAGTGATCTTGGCACATCGTCAGAAGAAGAAAACTTACGATTTCTGAAATGCGAACCTAATTATCGCATTTGGTTTTCGGACCACGATCATTTCGAATTGTCGACTGACCTGTGCAAAATGAAGCCTCAAATAGAGCGATACGAGGGTAAAGAAGGCCTGCAAAATTTATTTCGATTCATGAGAGAGTCCGGTCAGCATTACGACCTCTCCATGGAACATGTTTTATCAAAAGACTTTCCCAACCTTTTGGCTATGCTGCGTCCCAAATTACTTGTGTCCTTAATGGCCCTGCATCCGTTTGAGAGCATGTGGAGCCGTGTCAAGCGGCATTTCAAGTCAGACAAGCTTCGGCGCGCCTTCACTTTTGCCAGCATGTATCTTGGCATGAACCCCTTTGAAGCTCCTGGAACATATTCCCTGCTGCAGTATACTGAGCTAGCGCATGGGATACTGTATCCCGAAGGAGGATTTGTGAAGGTCGAAAGCCCCGCCTGATCATTCTTCTATCTTCCAAATGCTGATTTAAAGTTATAGGTGCTCGAAGCTTTGGCCGATGTCGGGAAGCGGCTGGGCGTGGAATACCGCCTAAACACGGAAGTCGCATCAATCATCTACTCGCCAGACAGCAAAGCCAAGGGTATACGACTGAAATCAGGCGAAGAACTTTTCTCCGACGTCATTGTCATCAACGCGGACCTAGTCTATGCGTACAACAACCTGCTGCCTCCTAGTTCTTATTCTCGAAGCTTGACCAAACGCTCAGCGTCCTGCAGTAGCATCTCATTCTTCTGGTCTTTCAACAGGATCATCCCGGAGTTGCACGTGCACAATGTCTTTCTAGCAGAAGAATATAAGGAGAGCTTTGACGCCATATTCCACCGCCACCAACTACCCGATGAGCCATCATTCTACGTCAATGTTCCAAGCCGAATTGACCCCACTGCAGCACCCAAAGGAAAAGACACAGTGGTTGTATTAGTACCGGTTGGCCACCTCGTGGACGATCCCTCTAATCCCCAAGACTGGGACCATTTAATAAAACATGCTCGTGACGTCGTTATCAAGACCATCGAATCTCGAACGGGCGCCTCAAGATTACGCGACAGCTTGATCCATGAATTAATCGAGACACCCACCAGCTGGAAAGCAAAATTCAACCTGGACCGTGGCGCGATTCTTGGCCTTTCGCATTCATTCTTCAATGTTCTGAGCTTCAGACCCAAGATCAGGCACCCTGATATCCAGGGGTTGTACTTTGTGGGGGCAAGCACCCATCCCGGTGCCGGAGTTCCTGTTGCTCTTTCTAGTGCAAAAATTGTCAGCGAGAACATAATAGCGGACTTGTCTAGGAGAGGAGGCATGGTTGGATCTACTTTTTGGATGGTACTTTGTTTCTTGTTACCATTCTTGATCATGTTGCTTTACTATATAATCCCACTTTAAGTGAAGCGCAGATAACAGATCATCGCGTATTCGAAATGACATTGGCCAACCACGGGATAAGATAAAAAAACAAGTGCTAAAAAGAACCCCTGTACGTCGTACTCCAAGCACCAATTACCCATTCGAATGAAAAGGGCATCCAGAAATATTGTATCATGTCGCGATCAAAACAGCGACAGCCCATGGCGCCATAGTAACCGAATAATTCCCATGATCGCCCGTCAAGTTAGTAGTAACCGGCATGACCGTTACATCATAAGGTTGATTACCCTCATTCTGAGAACCACCCAGCATTTCCAATCTTCCCGACTCAGTCTTCGGAATACTGACAGTGACATTCTGTTCATCTGGTCCGTAATTTGCTAGCTTCATATAGTATTTGGAATCGGTCTTTGTGGCCACCCAGTAAAGTGGGCCAAAGTCCGCGGTGGAGTTGACTGGAAGAACAGTGTTTCCTTTGTTTGACGAAAACATTTGCTGCACGTAGTAGGATGTTGAGAGTGTAAGTGTCTCTGGACTCGAGTTGAAGCCATACATGGTGGGCTGTATCATAATTTAGTATCGTCTGTGTGGTAATCGCCGTTGGAAGATATACTTACCGACCACGATATGAATCCAAAATGTTCCAGCAACGGTGCATATGCTGCCATTTGCACAATATCACTGTTTCGCTCCATGCCCATCATGTATATAGCCTCACTGCAGCTACCTTGCATAAATGACCAGTAAGTTCCGAGGGCACTGGACGTATTCCGACACCCGTATTCACCAACCATAACAGACTGATTTCGGGGCTGGTTGTCAAATTGATTGAACAGGGCAACGAAGTCATCAGGCTGGCGATACAAATGTAGATCGATGATGACATTCTGTGGCAGTGGCGACGGCAGACACGAGTAGTTGCCATTAGACGCGACGAGTGTGATATTTGGGTACTTGTCGTGTATCGCCTTGTAGATCTGATTGAAACGATCCGGGTATGTATCACAGCCACCAGTGAGATCATCTTCGTTGCCAATTTCCACAAAGTCGACTTTCCAGGGCTCCTTCCGACCGTTATCAATGCGCATCTTCCCGTAATGAGTGTGTTCACTTCCGAAAAGGTATTCCATCTCATTCATGATGTCATCAACGAAGGGTTTAAGATCGGACCCAGAAACAATACCCCCGTAGGACTTTCCAGACCAGATAGCCAGGAGAGGAGCCATGTTCATATCTTCGCACCACCATAGGTACTCATCCAAACCAAGCGCGTCCGTGTTTGGATAAAACCAATCGCTTTCGCGTCCGGGTCGGTCAACAAGAGGGCCGATGGTCGTGTTCCACTTCCATCTACTGTCGATCTCCAAGCCCTCGATGTTGTTGCCGCCTGGAAATCGAAGAAATGCTGAGTTGACGTGATCAAGGGCCGTAGCTAAATCGTGTCGCAATCCGTTATCTCTGTCATTATAAGTCGGTGGGAACAGCTGGATCAAGCCGAAGTTCAATGAACTGCCAGCGACTTTCGATCCATCGATGGTCAAATGCCACTCATTGTCCCCATCTGGGGATTCGGTGGAGTTGAACGACGTTTCAAATTCCCTGAACTTTGAGCTGGTGCTCTTGACAGTAAGGTTGTGATCGGCATACACAATACCACTGACGGATCCGACGAGTTGCAGGTTGACAGTTCCAGAATAGTCTCCCTTCATCCAAAACGAGCTTTTATACGTATGGTTCATGACTGGAACACCGATGTATCCGGTGTTTGCGAAGCCAGCGTATTCGGTAGCACCGTCAGGCACAGAGACCTTGAGTGAAGAGGTGATCGCGTCGCTCACGGGGTTTGACATGTCCTGAGAGATCTCGACATCTCCGACTGGCGCGTATGAAGTCATTCCCAGGCTCGTGCCTTGGAAGCCGTTATTTTGTAGCAGCTGACCGTGAATTCCGCCGTCGCCTTGACAGCAAGTGGTTAGTGCTCGTTCGCTAGCTTCATGGGGCCCAGCATACCAGAATGATCCATTTCCTGAAAGATTTGTTCCGTTAATGATTCGCTTGTGAACAATGAGTACCCATGAATGAAATACCTCGAACATTACTCCATACAGTAATGGGCTAGATTTGTTCCCTCCTTCCCTCCCAACAGTGAGGGTCACCGGCTCGGAAACATTGCCATTGCTGATCCCCTGCACGAGACCGACCGTTGATCCAAGGCAGAGATAAGCCACGCACCCTGGCCTCATGATGTCTTAGGATTCAAATAGCCGGCGTGATGATGGCATGTGAAGAGAGAAGAAGTCCTCTCAGGAGATTCGGGGCCTGAATGACCGAAGCGTTCCTGGAGAGGCACCTGACATCACCTCAGGGTCTAATTCGCTGCATTCAATATTCGTTGCCCGGTTCTTGATAGAGAGGACATCATGGATCTGGATTTTTGTGGGGTGCAAATCAGATTGTTTCATACACGCGTTAGCTTTCTCCCTTTGCCCAACCCAACAGGGACACCCAATGGAATACCATTCTGCCTTTGATCTTCCGAGATAGTCCAGCATATGCTACTTTTCTGAATAACTAATTCAATTCTATTATGGGGCAATTTGTCAATTTTTTGCCAGTCTGAGTGTAAGATCGCATCTTTGAAGTCATGACGTAGGTCATAATTTCGCCTGGCGAGCAGGCGCGTGTTTGTACAACCAGCGATCTACTTTGTGGAAATAAGCTAATATGATCTGAATCTATAGAAATTCCGAACTGAGTCACCATCATCATGATTCAGAGAGGGAAATTAGGCTAAAAGCCAGCATGCGTTGTGAGGCAGGGTTGAGTCCGAACACGCCAACTATATCCGTGGGTGCTGTGGTCGTTGAGAACCCCGGGTACATTGGCAACAAGCATCTAGAGATATATGGATAGACGATTCGTATCTCTGAATGCTATGAGAAAGAATGCATCGATGATGCTACGATCACAATCCGAAGGTGACAGGCAATTCCTTGGGCTGGCCAATCACCGGGCACTCCGAAGACAGCGCGCGAAGCCGAAGCCGCTCGGGGCCCCACATCTATACATCTCCACCAGTCAGGGACTGTTTTCCATTGTATTTCGATGCTTCAAGCCCTGATTCACTTGTATCGGTGCATATGGAGAAATGCTCGACATCTGACCCTTGTCTTGACTGGCTCGATTTGGGCAATAGGTGGAGTTCATGGAGTTAGATGAAAGTCCCCGTGGTCAATAGACCTTGCTCCCGTGAAACCATCAACCGATAAATAAGACCTTCCTCCCTGTGATCTCGCTACATCCAGATCAAACCCAATATCAGCTGCCATCTTGTCTGCCTCTATTCCCGAAACCACAAATATCATGTCTCCTCAAGTCTGGCTCATCACTGGTACCTCGTCTGGTTTCGGCGCCGAGTTTGTGAAAAGTGCTATCGCTCGTGGCGACAAAGTGATCGCAACAGCTCGCAATGTCGAGAAAATCAATCATCTCAAAGACATTGGTGCCGCGACCATGCAACTTGATGTCACTGCCTCTCAGGCGGAGCTTGATCGCAAGGCCAATGAGGCCATTTCCATGTATGGCAGGATCGACGTGCTGGTAAACAATGCCGGCTATACACAATTCGGAACCATTGAAGAGAGCAGGTAAGCACACTTGCCTGTGATGCTTATCAAGTCAGCACTAACGCAACCACTGGAGCCACGAGGAGTGGTTCACGCAGTTTAATACTAATGTCTTTGGAACCCTGAATACAACTCGGTCATTCCTTCCCCACTTTCGAAGCAACAAGTCGGGAGCAATTGTGTTCATTGGATCAATGGTCGCTTGGGATGGTGTTCCAATCGTTGGGGCATATTGCGCCTCTAAAGCCGCCCTTCACTGCACGTACCCACTAGAAGATATGAGCGAGATACCTGCTAACACCGTCGCAGATTCTGTCGAATCGCTCCAGAAAGAAGTTGGCCCCCTTGGCATCAAGACTCTCCTTGTTGAGCCTGGAACATTCCGCACTGATCTTCTCGCCGCCACCAACAGAAAATCTGCCCAGTCCAAATACGCCATCGCCGACTACAAGGCTTTGACTGAGGCTGTCGAGAATGGCTTCGCAAGCCTGGATGGAAACCAAATCGGGGACCCGGTAAAAGGTGTGGCTCTAATCATTGATCTGGTCAAGGGGAAGAATGTCGCAGCTGGAAAGGAGTGGCCGTCTCAACTTCCTATCGGATCTGATGCTGTCGGGGTTATTCGTAAGAAGTGTGAGGAAACTCTACGGGAGTTGGAGCAGTGGGAAGAATTGGCAAAGTCAACGGACGCTTAGACTCTAGGCATAGCTTGAGGAGTAAAACACAAGTGGACGAATTGGCCTTTTTCAATGCTTCCCTTTCCTTCAAATACAGAGCTGATGGCTTTTTTATTCAAGTTGATGTAGTTTGCGAGTTTGAAAATTTAACAAAATTTCCCATCAGATGAACAAAGGCAGCTTGGAGAAAATGGGCAAAGAACAAAATTTGAAGGAAAGGGCAACCAACGACAAGGTCGGTCAGCTGACCCCTGCGTTTTGTGCAGAGTTCAGGAGCTATTCTATAGGGGAAACACAGATTTGCCATTTTTCCTCATTGAGCTGTACTCGTGTAAACTACGCTGGAGTGTGATTGCGGCCCGGAACTACCAGCCCGCTTATCTCCGTATCTCCGAGTCAGTCTGACCCGTTCATCTTGGCTGTAGTGTGTCTTGCTCGTCAACACACGAAAGAAACCATGGAGCAAAAATTCATTTTCATGAATGGACTTTCGAATGATGAGGAGTCCAAGAAGCTCATGCGTCGCCATGTGATGAAGGGCAAGAATGCTGGGAAGAAGCTTCACCGTCGCTCAAGGCTGGAATTACAGGTCACTCGGAGTCGACCAAACGTCGCGACTGATTCTTTACACATCTGCCGCGACCTCAGAGAGGAGTATCATTATGCAGATTGGAGATATGTATCTCCCGACAGGCTTTCAATCGATTTCGGGAATGCATTCTTGACTTTCTCCCTCCCTGTGGAAGTCACGCCATACTCGCTAGAAGTCATCAACGAATGTGAGAGCGACCAGTTCAGCATTTCATACAGTCTGTGCTGACAGAACTTTGAAGACTTTATTTATACTTCCGACAGAATATATCCGATCAAGCTTGGTGTGTCATTACACGATGCCAAATTCTTGTGGCTGAAGGTTCTATTCGAGAGCGAGGCCAGTAAGGTCGCAGCTTCTGACAGATATTCCATTTGCTGAACCATGCCGTAGCATATCATTGCAGTCTTGCGTTGATGCAGGCGAGCAATGAAATTTTTCATTGCAATGGCCAAAGCTCACCCAAAGCGCTGTATCATCTATCTCAGACCTTCTCCCAAGTCAAGAAGAGGCTGGAAGGCGAGAACGCGTTGTCAGATTCTACGATAGCGATTGTGATGTCGCTCATCAATCAAGAGCAAATCAGACAGCAACACGCCGCTGCTGCAGTCCATGTCAAGGGACTCGAAAAGATGATTGAGCTCCGGGGGGACTCGGTCAACTTGAAGGGAATGCTCCGCTCGTATTGAAAATTTGCAAGTAGGTAGTTCGAACGACGATCTTCCATTCACTCAGACTCCTAACATTCTGTTTCTTTAGAACTGACATCATCTTTGCTTTCCAACACGGAGGGCCAACATCTTTCTTTCGCGATCGCATGGATCGAGTTCGAAATAGCTTGTGGGCTCAAGAAGTACGTCTCGATCACAACTCAAATTCTTGCTCTAGTCGATACGATCAGCTCGACCCCTATCTTCGTGGGATATTGTTGGATGTGATGAGCATCTGCTCGGTGTTCAACCAATTCGGCAACAAAACTGTTGACTACATGATCTATCTGGAGGCTTTGATATCGCTTTGTTACCGTTTGTTGAAATTTCGCTCATTAAATGACGCCAGATCACATTTTGATGCACAATCCGCATATCACATTGGGTTGACTATCTTCATGATGACCATGTTCCTCCAGTGTGATCGTCGCCGGATACTTAACTACAGCCTGATCCCTGTGTGTCTCAAGACTATTGTTCAAGACGAACTACATGAGCATGAAGAGTATTTTTCTCTTTGGCTTATGATTATTGGCGGGATCTGGATCTCGAATGAGCCTGAGAATGTATGGCTTGCTTCAAGGCTACGCGTGACGGCACAGCAGCTCGGTCTTGACTCTTGGGAGATGGTCAGAGACTCTGTTCGCCAATATCCGTGGATAAATGGTCTACATGACCAGCCAGGTCGTGAACTGTGGAAACGGATATACAATCTTGACTAAAGGCCACAATATATTCTCATTTAGCATTGGAGTAGTTGCGCTGAAGCTTTCAAACTGAATGGTCGAATGCAATCAAACCATCCTTGACTAACAGACATGCTGTTCACCAAGCAAAGCTCTGCCCAACCAGCTTCTCAGAAACCTCCCACAACTTCTCTGCCTCCTGACTCGAAACAGCAAGGGGCCTGGTTGAATCACTGATCTGGCAATCAGCAAGGAACACGCCCCAGTGCTCTGTGCCATTCTTCGTTTCTCTGGCCCCATTTCCAAGCTTTGGATCCAGCGCCGCGACAAGACTGGTCGAGGCTCCTGCGCCAAGAGTTTTATAAGTGAATACGCCACTCTCACTCATCTTCTTGATTGCCTCGAGAGTCTCAGCGGCGAAGTTTCTTCCAAGTTCCGTGGGGATAACTCCGGGGTGCACGGCGAGAGACACGATCCCGTGCTTCTCGTAAAGCCGCTTCGTCGCACCGATACTAAACAGGACATTTGCGACCTTGCTGCGATTGTATCCATCTAAAGGAATGTAACGTGCCTCTCCAATGTCCTTGTAGCCCCATACCTTGAAGGGTTGTTCAATAGGCTGTTCTTCTTCCGGAAGCTCCTTGTTCATCCTGTCGAAGTTCATGTCGCTCCAGCGCATGTTTGACATCCCAGGCGATCCAGAGCTCACGTTCACAATTCGGGTGGCACCTTTGGGATTGTGCTTGGAAGCTTCGATCATCTTCGGCATGATCAGGCAGGTGAAGAGCCAATGTCCGATGTGGTTGGTTGCGAAGTGCAGTTCGATTCCGTCCTCGCTCAAGGTCCGCTCTTGCACGCCCATGACACCAGCACTGTTAAGAAGAATATCCATGGCAGGCAAGTCATTCCAGGCCAAAACCTCTGCAGCGGCAGTGCGGACGGATTTCTGGCTGGAAAGATCCATCTGCAGAGCGCGGTAGCTCACGTCAGGCGAGTCTGCCTTCAGAACTTCGATGCATTCTTGGATCTTAGAGGGGCTGCGACCGGCGATGATCAACTTTGCAGGAGACTGGGCGGCCTTTAAAATGGTTAGGCCATTTCAGTGATAAAGAATGAGTCGAACTTACAAGAGCTTGCGCAGTCGAGAACCCGATTCCCCCACGATTCACGCCAGTGATGATGACCGACTTGCCGCGAATCTGGGAGAAAAATGCTTTTGTCACCTCAAGGCCCTCGGTGTTGGCATTAAATTCAAAATGAGTTGTGGCTGCCATTTTTCCTGTGATAAAGCTGAGAGAAGGGTGAACGAGTTGGCATGAGACTATTGAATCTTCAATGTGACTTCCAATGTAAAGTGAAGATGTCCACTTGAAGTTATGAACCAGAATTACCGCCTATTTATGTTTTTTTTTTTTGCGGCCCCGGGCCATAGTTTCGTTGATTCTTGTCATGAGGTCCTGATCCTGCGTGCAGCTACCGACGGAGCCAATGAGAGATTCACTGCCTAATTGGGAATGGCGGAATCAGGAGTGTCTGACCAATGGGAGATTCGTTTCCTATTTAAGTAAAGTGAGATCGATCTTTCAGGTTCGCCATGTATTCTTTGGAGATTTGATCTAACCGTGACCATCTTCCTCTCGGACATTAGCACGGAGGTTCCTAACTCCACTCCGCACAGCAACCTCCACGCGAGTCGGATAGAGTTCGTTTAGAACAGTGCATATCCTGTTTTGAAAGACGATGTGCCATAAGTTCTTGATGTCTCATTGAATTACTTCCATAATTATACGGCTACGAATTATGCGGCTCCCCTGACCAACGATCTCTTCCTCGATTCACAATTGATGATTCTTTCGAGCTAGAATCAAGGCTAACAATAGCCGGATGAGTGGTGAACCAGCAGGCACAACATGAAAACTCTCGCGGCTTATGCCCTTTATCCACCCTGTCCGCATCAGAACTAAGCTAGACAGTAGCCAAATTCATCAATCGAGATCAAAGAATTCGATCCCAGATCGTGAACTTTAGACTTGTTACCTGATACACGTATCAGATCCTCAAAATTTCCCCGAAAAGCGACTTTGAGGTTTTGCACTCCTGACAAATAAAAAAATGAGGCCGCGAGGGGAGGACAGGAAAAATGGTTTAATAGACCTCGCAGTAGAGACCCACTCCTACACGCCTTAGAGATATCTTAATCCGGAAGGCAGATGTGGGCCATGGGTGAAGCCTCGATATCTTGATCAAATTGGATCGCAGATACGGAGACTCGTTCTCGTAAACTACTCCATGATTCTTCAAACCTATTCTGCTTCATTCATTCCCCTTCTGTTTCCTTCCGACTGCATGTGAATCACGGTTGACCTTTCATACCATATTAGGTCACGTGATGGGCTGGTGTCAGTCAACTAGTTGGCGCTTTTGAACCTTCTCACGTCTCCAAGAGAAGAAAGGGTTATTCGGAGCCCTGAAGCTACATAGCCTCCCATGTCTCTGCAAGACGCTCCACAACCGAGTGGCACAGGTCGTCTGCTGAATATTTTTAAAGATCGGTGAGAAAGCACATTTCTGTCGAGTTGTCTCGATTACATTGGACGTGCTTCGTCATTCGTCACAATTTGCTAATTAATGACCAGTTCCGTTGAAGATCACGGGGTTGGATGGTCGAGCCTATGGGACTCGGGTGAAAGCGACCTATGGGACCGAGGCAAGGCATCTCCAGCCCTAGTGGATATCATTGAACAAGAAAGCGATCTTATCAACCCCTTGAACCAAAATGGCTCGAGGAAGAAAGCAATCGTTCCAGTATGTTTATCCCTGCGTGAGAATACACACCAAATAGAACAAATAACTGACTACCGAGGTAACAGGGTTGCGGACGGGGATATGACGTGGTCATGTTAGCACTGCATGGATTCGACGCCTACGGTCTGGAGATTTCGGAAACGGCTGTCAAGGAAGCTGAGGCTTATGCATTGGCTCAGATAAAGAGCCCGTCTGCTTATCATTTTAGATCTGGGGAGCATCGGCAGGGTTCGCGTGGGTCTGCGACCTTTTTGAAGGGAGATTTCTTTTCCTCTGATTGGGCTTTCACGGAGGATATTGGTGGGTCGACGAAGTTTGATCTTGCGTATGATTATACCGTGAGTTAGAGTTCCTTGAAATTGGTGCTCGGCGTCGTTGACAATCATTGAGTTTCTATGTGCTCTCCACCCCGAACGACGGAAGGATTGGGCAAACAGTATGGCGCGGATCGTTAAGCCTGGAGGTTTGCTTATCTGTCTTGAGTTCCCATTATACAAAGACCCAAGTCTTCCTGGGCCGCCATGGGGCCTCAAGGGGGTTCATTGGGATTTGTTATCTCAAGGGGGCGATGGTGTGGTGTGGGGAAATGTAGGGGAGGATGGTAAGGAGGAGGCTACCGAGCATTGTGAGAAGGGCGCCTTTCGAAGGATCTTATATGCTAAACCCGCTCTCTCTCATGAAGCGGGTAAGGGAACGGACATGCTAAGTGTTAATCAACGGAAATAAAAGTATTGGCCCACTGGCATCTCATTTCAATGCTGTGTAAGTGGTATAAAACAGTTCTGAACCATGTCATCTAGTCTTCTCCTTGTCCAAGCATGATTGTAATCCATTCACTTTCTCTGTTCTTTCATCTCCATCTCATTCATCGCATGATCATCACCAGCCTCCAAGTCCAAGCTCTTTGCGGGGGTCAAATCTTCCACGCCAGCCACAGCACTTTCAAAGCGACGGCCGCGTTTCTCGGGCCCAATAGCAGTGGTGAACATGATTCCGAGGGCGATGATGGCTGTAGCGACACCCATGACGGGACCATAAGCTGAGGCACGAGCACCGGATGCTGTGGTCACCCAAGTGTGTTCCGCAATGGCGTTCACAATCTGCGCCGACGGGGAGCTGATCATGTTGCCAAGTTGGTAAGTGAGGCCAGGGAAGGAAGATCGGAATGCCGGAGGGGACAGCTCGTTCAGATGGATTGGGATCACTCCCCATGCTCCCTGGATGAAGAATTGGATGAAGAATCCGGTCGCACTCAATGCGCGTTCACCTTCTGGGAGGATCCATGCCGGGATCATAAATGCCGAAAGCAGAGCTGCAACAATGATGGCACGACGGCGGCCCACGAATTGCGATAAGTATCCAATAATTGTCCCACCGACGCATGCTCCGGTCTTCATGAGAATTGATGCCCGTGATGCCCCAGAGTTGTCGAGCTCTTTCTGGGTGAGCATGAAGGTGGTATATGAATCTTGTGAGGTGTGGGAGTAGAAATTAAACTGAGAGTGTCTCAGTCAGTTTGCATTGCGCAGAATGGCAGGCACTGCCTTGCACTCACCCAGGTCATGAGAATGACACAATAGACACACATCCGCCACTCCTTGCCCACCATGAATTTTGTCTCCTTCCAGAATTCACCCGCGCTTGTGTACCGCTTACCAGCCTTCTTGGCCTCGAGAAACTGCTTCGACTCTGGAAATACAATGCGCAAAAGGCCAATTCCAATAGAAATACCAGCTAAAGTATATCAGTACAGAGCAGTTCCATATCTTTCATTATCGGATTTCGGTTTACCTGCAATCCAAAATACTGTCTTCCAGCTATCCGTTGAGCCACCGACGCCCAGGTTGGCACAAGCTGCGAACACGTATCCCAGTGAGTACCCTTGCTGAAGGATTCCGGACATGAGGCCACGCGCATTGACACTGAAATAAACAACAGATCAGTCAGGGGATCCCTCATTGAGAAGTGAATGACTTACGGGCAATGCTCCAAAGCCATGGCTATAGCATTTCCATATACACCTCCCATGAACAGACCAAAGAGACTTCGCACTGCCAAAAATTGCTGGAAGGTATGGCTGTAGATCGTGGCAACCTGCAACACTCCGAGGACAATCATGTTCACCACCATCGGCCATTTTCGACCATACCTGTCACCAGCCAGTCCAAAGAGAGCAGCACCAACGCTTCGGAGGAGGAGGGTAAGCGTGATGGCAGTCGTAACATCTGTCTTGGAGCGGTCATAGTAGTCGGAAAGCTTCTTGGTCTGGATGGAAAGGGCATGGAAGTCAAAGGCATCGGCAGTCCATGCTGCTAGTCCGACCAGAAAGAAGAGCCAGTCTCGAGCAGATAGCTGGGCCATCAAACTGATCGGGTTTTTGAGAGGCTCTGGTGACTGCCATTCTGCGTGAGATTCGCCAGACTCGTTGATGACTTCCACGCGCTGCTTCCAAATGAAGAGATCTTTGAAAGACTGCACGGCTGTGGGCAGGATGCCCTTGGCGATAGGCTCTGCCCTATCGTTTGAAGACATCTGCGGGTATTTACAGAAATAATGCTGAAATATGGGATGGTCTCTTCAAGGTAGAAGTAACAGTGAACCTGAGCTGATCTTGTACCATCTGCAGGATCATGCTCTGAGTTCGCTCCTTCTACTTATACACGTTCTACAACCGCGCAACCCCGCATCATCCCTCCGCATCATCCTCGTCGTCTATGCCGAGTACCGACTACCCCAGACATATCCCGAGATACCACGCGGGGACATACCACTCCACTGGCAGGCCAAGATGGTGCCAAGCATCTCGGCCATCCGTGCCCCTCCAATACCAGGACACCATACGATAAATATCCCGCACATCCTTCTTGGACAATGGCTTAGCGTGGAGGGAGGCTGACCCCGAGATCCTTTCGGTCTTGGCTACCCTGGGGAAGAGCTAACCAGTTGGGTGAGATCGGGACCTCGGTGATGATGGGCCAATGATGCGAGCATCAGTCGGCATGGAAGAAATTCAAAAGGGACGTCTGTGCAAGCCACAGGCCCTGTTTGCGCGGACATTGTCCGTTAAAGAGGCTTGGGGAGAATGGAGATCTTATGGACATTTGGAGAGGCAGTTATCAAGACCCGGTTTTGGAATTCTTGGGTACAAATTGACCGCATTTTGCTGACGCAAGTACGTTTGAGTGATTAGATTTTATTCTCCGCATCGTCTCGATCACCATGTAGGTGCAGGACTGTTCTGTGGAACCAACTTCGCGTGGTCTGCAGGTTGAGGAGAGGCGATGCGTGGAATGCCTGCCAAGAGGGTCCAAAGGCCCACCCGCCCCTATCACGGCAGAGCACCGGGGGGGCAGGTGGCAGGAGAATTGATCGAGGTATATCATAAATCATGGATGAACCGATCAATGGATATTCAACTTAGTGAGTTTCCATTATGTCCCCATCTCATCGTTGTTTGAGACTCAAGTGCTTGAAATGTCTGGCGTTAGAGAACTCCAGGGTGGATCTGTGATTGACACTCGTATACCAACCTTGGAACAGCTTCCCGACAGTGTATAGCTACCTAAGCTTTCAAATGACGGTGTCGATTATCTCCTCCGATACTTCTATAATGACATTTGTGAGATATTTGAAATATATATTTGTGAACTGTTGGAAATGCCCTGTCCGCGTGGAATGGAGGGAGATTGCGGCGGTGGAGACACGAGGTAGTAAAACCGGGTGCAAGTGAATGACAGCTAGGACTTCTCAGCATCAGAAGGTAGTTTCCACGCTTGCAATCCCAAGCTCATCAGCTCTTCGGCATCTGAATAAGAATATCTCTCATTTCCTCTACTTCACCTTGCACTGTTCTCATTCTGATTCTTATTCTTATTCTCATTCAATGACGCAGCCCCGTGCCCCTGTCTCACGTGACGCCCCATAAGCGACACCTCAGCAACGACAACAGCGGCCTCCTGAGGTCACTTCCGCTTCTTCAGATTCCCTACCCCCTCACTCTTCTCCCCCCATCTTCTTCTTCTTACTTGATTCCCTTCTTATCACTCCTTCTCCTTTCCAATTACGTTTTCTTTGCGTGGCGTTTCCTTGGGTGGTCAAGGTCGTGCTGCGGCCTAAGTAAATATGGCACCTCTGCCCATCAAGTTCACAGAACTGGTCAATGTACGTCGCGCTCCACTTGCGCCCCAAGTTTGAATCTGTGAATACTAATCGCTTTTTATGCTACAGTTGACCTCCGTTGGTATCGATGTATGTCTCGCTTCCGCCGTCCTCCCCCAAATACCCACTTCGCGACCAGCTCCCGATGCGCGACGGATACCCCGGTCGCACCCGGAAGACTGCCCGTAGCCATCATGACTGTTTACTGACATCAAACCCGCTCTCTAGTCAGGTTCCATCGGTTTCAACCAATGCGTGAGTGATCAATTCTCCGACCCAAAACAAGCGGTGATGAGGGAATGGCTAATGAGACGTTATCGCACTAACAGACTCTCGAATCCGATCATTATGTTTGCGTTCGCCAGAAGCTCGAGACGGACGATAAGCCACAAGTCATCATTGTTGACTTGAAAAACAACAATGAGGTTATGAGGCGGCCGATCAATGCTGACAGTGCTATCATGCACTGGAGCAAGAATATCATCGCTCTCAAGGCCCAGGGCCGCACAGTTCAGATCTTCGACCTTGAGGCGAAGCAAAAGCTCAAGTCCGCCGTTATGAACGAGGATATCGCATACTGGAAGTGGTTCAGTGACAGGTCTCTGGGCCTGGTCACCGACAACGCCGTTTACCACTGGGATGTCTATGACGCCACTCAGCAGAACCCGGTCAAGATGTTTGACCGACTCCCCAACCTGGCTGTACGTGCGCTCTGTGCTGGACGATTTTATGCGGTTGCCAAATATACTGACTGGGGTGCTATTCTTAGGGTTGCCAAATTATCAATTACCGTGTCAACTCCGAAGAGAAGTGGATGGTCTTGGTCGGTATTAGCCAACAGCAGGGTCGCGTTGTGGGATCGATGCAGCTCTACTCGAAGGAGCGCGGAATTTCACAGTTCATTGAGGGACATGCTGCTGCTTTCGCCGATATTAACGTTGAGGGCTCTGCTCTCCCCCACCACCTCTTCACCTTCGCCGTTCGAACCCAGACCGGCGCCAAGCTCCAGATCGCCGAGATCGACCACCAAGAACCGAACCCGAGATTCCAGAAGAAGGCCGTGGAGGTGTTCTTCCCCCAGGAAGCCGTCAATGACTTCCCTGTGGCGATGCAGGTCTCCACCAAGTACGACGTGGTTTACCTCGTCACCAAGTATGGCTTCATCCACCTGTACGATCTCGAGACTGGTACTTGCATTTTCATGAACCGCATTTCCAGCGAGACTATCTTCACCACTGCTGCGGATAACGATGGGGCGGGTCTGGTCGGTGTCAACCGTAAGGGTCAAGTTCTGTCCGTCAGCGTTGATGAAAGCACAATTATCGATTACTTGATGAACAACCCCGCCATGTCGGGTCTTGCCGTCAAGCTTGCCTCCAGAGCCGGACTCCCCGGGGCCGACCACTTGTACCAGCAACAATTCGATACTCTCGTCAACTCGGGCAATTTCTCCGAGGCCGCCAAGGTTGCTGCCAACTCTCCCCGTGGATTCCTCCGTACCCCCGAGACGATCAACCGCTTCAAGAACGCCCCCCAGACCGGCCAGATGTCGGTCATCCTGCAGTACTTCGGTATGCTGCTTGATAAGGGCTCATTGAACAAGTATGAGAGTGTGGAGCTGGTCCGGCCTGTGTTGCAGCAGAACCGCAAGCATTTGCTGGAGAAGTGGATGAGCGAGAAGAAGCTAGAGTCCTCGGAGGAGCTTGGAGACATTATCCGCCCCTACGACATGCCTTTGGCTCTGACCGTGTACCTTCAGGCCAACATCCCCCACAAGGTTGTTGCTGGCTTTGCCGAGACCGGCCAGTTCGACAAGATTCTCGCTTACTCCAAGCAAGTTGGTTATCAGCCCGACTACACCCAGCTTTTGCAGCACATCGTGCGGGTGAACCCTGAGAAGGGTGCGGAGTTTGCTACCCAGCTTGCCAACGAGGAGACCGGTGCTCTCGTGGATCTCGACCGGGTTGTTGATGTGTTCTTGTCCCAGAACATGGTTCAGCAAGCTACTTCTTTCCTGCTGGACGCATTGAAGGACAACAAGCCCGAGCAGGGTGCCCTGCAGACCCGCCTTTTGGAAATGAACCTAGTCAATGCTCCTCAGGTTGCGGATGCCATCCTGGGCAACGAGATCTTCACCCACTACGATCGCCCTCGCGTCGCGCAGCTTTGCGAGAATGCTGGTCTCATCCAGCGTGCTCTGGAGAACACCGATGACTCTTCCGTCATCAAGCGCAACATCGTCCGTACCGACAAGCTGTCTCCCGAGTGGCTGATGAGCTACTTTGGCCGTCTGTCTGTGGAGCAGTCCCTTGAGTGCATGGATACTATGCTGGAGGTGAACATTCGCCTGAACCTGCAGTCTGTTGTCCAGATCGCCACCAAGTTCTCCGATCTCCTAGGTGCCAATCGTTTGATCGACCTCTTTGAGAAGTACCGCACTGCTGAGGGTCTCTACTACTACCTTGGCAGCATTGTCAACCTCAGCGAGGACCCCGAGGTGCACTTCAAGTACATTGAGGCCGCCACTGCTATGAACCAGATCACTGAGGTCGAGCGTATCTGCCGTGAGAGCCAGTACTACAACGCCGAGAAGGTTAAGAACTTCTTGAAGGAGGCCCACCTGACTGAGCAGCTCCCTCTCATCATTGTTTGCGATCGCTTCAACTTCATCCACGACTTGGTTCTCTACCTCTACCAGAACCAGCAGTTCAAGTCCATTGAGGTGTACGTGCAACGCGTTAACCCCTCTCGTGCCCCTGCGGTCATTGGTGGTCTGCTTGATGTCGACTGCGATGAGAACATCATCAAGGGTCTCCTCAGCAGCGTGGATCCCGCTTTGATCCCTATCGATGAGCTTGTCAACGAGGTTGAGAGTCGCAACCGTCTCAAGCTGCTTCTGCCCTTCCTTGAAGCTACTCTTGCCACTGGCAACCAGCAGCAGGCTGTCTACAATGCTCTCGCCAAGATCTACATCGACAGCAACAACAACCCCGAGAAGTTCCTCAAGGAGAACGACATGTACGACACCTTGACTGTCGGAAAGTACTGCGAGAAGCGCGACCCCAACCTGGCCTACATTGCCTACCACAAGGGTCAGAACGACTTGGAGTTGATCAGCATCACTAACGAGAACTCCATGTACCGTGCCCAGGCCCGTTACCTTGTTGAGCGTGCCGACCCGGAGATCTGGACCTTCGTTCTGAGCGAGAACAACGTCCACCGCCGCTCCCTAGTGGATCAGGTTATTGCTACTGCTGTTCCTGAGTCTACTGAGCCCGACAAGGTTTCTGTCGCTGTCAAGTGCTTCCTCGACGCTGACCTTCCTGGTGAGCTTATCGAGCTGCTCGAGAAGATCATTCTGGAGCCCTCACCCTTTAGCGACAACACCAGCTTGCAGAACCTGCTGATGTTGACTGCCGCCAAGGCTGACAAGGGTCGTCTGATGGACTACATCCACCAGCTCAACGAGTTCTCTGCTGATGAGATTGCCGAGATGTGTATCAGTGTTGGTCTGTACGAGGAGGCCTTTGAGATCTACAAGAAGGTCAACAACTACCTCGCTGCTGTCAACGTCCTGGTTGAGAACATCGTCAGCATCGACCGTGCCCAGGAGTTCGCTGAGCGTGTTGAGCTCCCCGATGTTTGGAGCAAGGTTGCCAAGGCTCAGCTCGATGGTCTCCGTATCTCCGACTCCATTGAGTCTTACATCCGTGCTGGTGACCCGTCCAACTACAACGAGGTCATCGAGACTGCCACTCATGCCGGCAAGGATGAGGACCTCGTCAAGTTCCTTCGCATGGCCCGCAAGACCCTGCGTGAGCCTGCCATTGACACTGGTCTCGCCTTCTGCTTCGCCCGTCTGGACCAGCTTAATGAGCTTGAGGACTTCCTTCGCTCTACCAATGTCGCCAACATCGAGGCTTCCGGTGACAAGGCCTACGAAGAGGGTTACCACCAGGCCGCCAAGATCTTCTTCACCAGCATCTCCAACTGGGCCAAGTTGGCGACTACCTTGGTGCACCTCGAGGAGTACCAGGCCGCCGTTGAGTGTGCTCGCAAGGCCAACAGCGTCAAGGTCTGGAAGCAGGTCAACGAGGCCTGCGTTGACAAGAAGGAGTTCCGTCTGGCCCAGATTTGCGGTCTTAACCTCATTGTCCACGCCGAGGAGTTGCAAACCCTGGTTCGCCAGTACGAGCGTAACGGCTACTTCGATGAGCTGATCGCTGTCCTGGAGGCTGGCCTCGGTCTGGAGCGTGCTCACATGGGTATGTTCACCGAATTGGGCATTGCTCTGACCAAGTACCACCCCGATCGTGTGATGGAGCATCTCAAGCTCTTCTGGTCTCGCATCAACATCCCCAAGATGATCCGTGCCTGCGAGGAGGCTAGCCTTTGGCCCGAGCTGGTCTTCTTGTACTGCCACTACGACGAGTGGGACAACGCCGCTTTGGCCATGATGGAGCGTGCTGCCGACGCCTGGGAGCACCACTCCTTCAAGGATATCGTGGTCAAGGTTGCCAACCTGGAGATCTACTACCGTGCCCTGAACTTCTACCTGCAGGAGCAGCCCCTTCTCATCACCGACCTGCTCCAGGTCCTCACCCCCCGTGTCGATGTCAGCCGCGTCGTGCGCATCTTCCAGAGCTCCGACAACATTCCCCTGATCAAGCCCTTCTTGCTTAATGTCCAGACCCAGAACAAGAAGGCCGTTAACGACGCCATCAACGAGCTGTTGATCGAGGAGGAGGACTACAAGACTCTGCGCGACTCCGTCGACAACTATGACAACTTCGATGCCGTTGACCTCGCCCAGCGTCTGGAGAAGCACGATCTCATCTTCTTCCGCCAGATCGCCGCCAGCATCTACCGTAACAACAAGCGCTGGGAGAAGTCGATTGCCCTGTCCAAGCAGGACAAGCTCTACAAGGACGCCATCGAGACAGCCGCCATCTCCGCCAAGTCTGAGGTGGTGGAGGATCTCCTCCGCTACGTAAGTTATACTCTTATCTCGTCTCAACACCCTCACACTAACATGGACACAGTTCGTCGACATTGGCAGCCGCGAGTGCTACGTCGGCATGCTCTACGCCTGCTACGACTTGATCCGCCCCGACGTGATCATGGAGGTCTCATGGCGCAAGGGTCTGCACGACTTCACTATGCCGTACATGATCAACTTCTTGTGCGAGCAAACCCGCACAATCGAAATGTTGAAGAAGGACAACGAGGAGCGCAAGTCCAAGGAGAAGACGCACCAGGTCGAGGAGGACAACACTCCGATCCTGGGCGGCTCGCGACTGATGCTGACTCAAGGCCCGGTCCCGCCTGCCAGCCCCATGCCATACGGTCAAGCCAACGGCCTCACCCCGCAGGCCACCGGCTACCGAGCATTCTAGAAATCTTGATTCCTCTTTCTTTTCTTATGTGTAACATAAAGCGACGTGATGACCTCTTGGTGCGAGCAAAACGAGACGAGGGACAGGCAGATCGCCAGCAGGTGGAGGGACTTCATGCCCGTTAATTTGGTTGTCTTTTCTATTTCCCTTTTTTTTTTTAACTCCAATGTATTTGATAGGCTTTTATTCTTCAGTTACCCGGCCTGGACCGTGGTTATTACAGTAATGGCATTGCGTTCTCGACTTCCAAGGTTACCCCCCCCCCCCCCCCCCTGTGTTCACCGTATTTTGTGCAAGAGTGCCGGTGCCCAGTGTTGGTGTTACATGTGCATCAATATTGAGACTGCCAAGGACGATCCGATGAAGACAACCACCCCGCCAAGACGCCAAGGGCCATCATTCGCAACTATTTGCACGGAGACAAATAGTCAGAACAGCGAGGGATGCCCAGTCCGGTGGGTTTGATGATTTCTCGCCCCGCCGAGCGTGGGACAGATTCCAGCCCGCTTGGTTAGTGGAGCTCAGAGACCTCGGCATGTTGCACTAGATCCAGGTCCCCATATCTTTGCCTAATTTAGTCGGCTTTCATTCAGCTCTGAAGTCACGCGTACATCTTAGTGTCCTAGTGTCCTAGTGTTCTGGGTCTATAGCCTTGGAAAAGGAACCGGGCATACGTAGTCCTCATCCGCACCGGCTGGATGGAACAAGGGAAGTCCGGGGATATATTTACCCCGTGGAGAAGTTGAGCTATGTGCATCACTGAGGATCTCGATAAGCCACGCCACTGGAAAAATAGTGGAAAAATAGTGGCAGTGAATTTTCCCGTTCCCGGCTACTTGCGATCGCTGCGCCTAGTTTCGTTTCTGTGAATAGCGAACACCGGAGTGAGCCAGGGGACTTCGTTGAAAGGGTCTTGCTGACGTGGATGCGATGGTGACGTTTCTGACGGATAAATGAGAACTTGCAGAGTCGAGTCGAGAGCGAGATAAGAGATTCAATCTCGGGCGGTGATTGAGCGAGATAGCTCGGTTTCCAAGTGCTTATCGCGGGGCAGGCATTTAGCCTATTGAAGATGGCTATTTGGTATAGAGGACATCGGACAGGTCGAGGGTCTGGAGCTCTGGGCGCGGCGATCATTCGCCATTTCTCAGGATACAGGGATATCGCGTCTACAATGTACTGTACTCTACTTCCATACATAATGTTTGCACGCGGTTCTTGGTATTCACTTGGCCCCGCTTGGCTGTGTTTGTGACTGGGGGGAGGGGAATATGTCATCTGGGAGATCATCGCAACGCCAAGTTAAGCAGGAGCAAGGGGATTGTCTGGAATTCGAAACGTGACTCCCATGGTGGCTCCTCATTGCAGCGCCGTCCTCGCGGTCCTCATCGTCGGATGGGGACACCGAGACGGCTGGGCTATCGTACTTGATTCGGAAGATTGAGAGACTAGGAGATCCCTTCCTCTAGGGATTGGCAGGATTGGCACACATGACCTGACCTGAAGGGCTTTTGCGGGACACTTTTGCGGGACAAATCGATCCCATGAGTCAAGATCGGAGATGAAATCGGAGCGGAACTCCTAGGTTGAAGCAAGATGGGAAATGCAGTCTGGAGTCGGAATGACTTTCCCCGAGGTGAACCATTCAGGCACTGTCATGTCCAAGCACGGCGTGAGGAATTAATAGATTTGATTGGTAGTATGTGGGGGTGAGTCTGCACATGTCGAAAGTTCTCCGAGTCTCCCCCGGACCCTCCAGGTTTCCCGTCGATACCCGTTCTGCGTGAGTTAGGAGTTTCTGGGCTCTACGGAATGCGAAACCTAGGGCTGATGGGGCCCGAGGACCCGAGGTTCTCCTGGGCCTAATCCACCCGATCATGTCGAGATGTGGGTTGTAGCGTCGATGAGATCATCGGGGGAGATCGAGCCGAAGTCGCCAGCGAGGGAATAAGGGGGTTGGGGAGCGATGAGGATAGAGCTAATGGGAATACATAAGACGACCCGCCGGAGAACATAAGGAGCAAAAAAAAAAAAAGGTCTAGAAAATCTGGGCAAACCCTTAGAGTCGAACGGTGAACCGGTGAAGAGCGTGTTACCTCATTGCGGAAGTCACAGCGACCCCCCGGAAAAGCTGCAGATCGCCTCGTGATCCTATCTCTCTACTCTCTCCCCTTCCCTTTTATCTACCCCTCCCCAGGCTTGTTTTTTTTTTTCTCTCCTTCCGAGCTCCTGTCTTCTTTCACTGCAATCTGATTCCGGGGTAATCATCATCTTAATAAACTATCCCTGGAGTGATTGCGCTACTTCCTGCCGACACCGGGAGTGTAGAGCTTCGTCCCAGCTTCTAGGTGAGTCATTCCGGGAATCTCTGCGATTGAATGGCATTGCAGATGAATTGATTCGAATTGACTGACTTTTCTCCAGATTCTGTGTAAAATACCTCCATTCTCTCACTTTCACATCCTCCCCCCCGCCTTGCATCATGGCTGCCCCGCACCGCCAGCCGGAGGACGCTATCGATGATGCCGACTTCATCGAGGACCACGCTGGGCATCACCAGGACTCTGTCCACCGGCGCCTGCGTGCCAACTCGACGATTATGCACTTCCAGAAGATCTTAGTCGCCAACCGAGGTGAAATTCCCATTCGTATCTTCCGAACAGCTCACGAGCTGTCCCTGCAGACGGTCGCTGTGTTCTCCCATGAGGACCGCCTGTCCATGCATCGTCAGAAGGCCGATGAGGCCTACATGATTGGCCATCGTGGCCAGTACACCCCCGTCGGTGCCTATTTGGCCGGCGACGAGATCATCAAGATCGCCCAGGAGCACGGCGTGCATCTGATCCACCCTGGCTACGGCTTCCTCTCGGAAAACGCCGAATTTGCCCGGAAGGTCGAGAAAGCAGGCATCGTTTTCGTGGGTCCGACCCCCGACACCATTGACGCCCTGGGTGACAAGGTCTCTGCCCGTCGGGCGGCCATCAAGTGCCAGGTCCCGGTTGTTCCCGGCACGGAGGGCCCCGTCGAGCGCTTCGAGGAGGTCAAGTCCTTCACTGATGAGTATGGCTTCCCCATCATCATCAAGGCCGCCTTCGGTGGTGGTGGCCGTGGTATGCGTGTCGTCCGCAACCAGTCGGAGCTGCGCGATTCCTTCCAGCGTGCCACCTCCGAGGCCAAGACTGCCTTCGGCAACGGTACTGTCTTCGTCGAGCGCTTCCTCGACAAACCCAAGCACATTGAGGTCCAGCTGCTCGGTGACAACCAGGGTAACGTCGTCCACCTGTTCGAGCGTGACTGCTCCGTTCAGCGTCGTCACCAGAAGGTCGTCGAGATTGCCCCCGCCAAGGACCTCCCCGTCGATGTCCGTGACAAGATTCTGGCCGATGCCGTCAAACTGGCCAAGTCGGTCAAGTACCGCAACGCCGGTACCGCCGAGTTCCTGGTCGACCAGCAGAACCGCTACTACTTCATTGAGATCAACCCCCGTATCCAGGTCGAGCACACCATCACCGAGGAGATCACTGGCATTGATATCGTCGCTGCTCAGATCCAGATTGCCGCCGGTGCTACTCTGGAGCAGCTCGGCCTGACCCAGGACCGCATCTCCACCCGTGGTTTCGCCATTCAGTGCCGTATCACTACTGAGGACCCCTCCAAGGGCTTCTCCCCCGACACTGGTAAGATCGAGGTCTACCGCTCCGCCGGTGGTAACGGTGTCCGTCTGGACGGTGGTAACGGGTTCGCCGGTGCCATCATCACCCCTCACTATGACTCCATGCTGGTCAAGTGCACATGCCGTGGCTCCACCTACGAGATTGTGCGCCGCAAGATGCTGCGTGCTCTTGTTGAGTTCCGTATCCGCGGTGTCAAGACCAACATTCCCTTCCTCGCTTCCCTACTGAGCCACCCCGTCTTCATTGATGGTACCTGCTGGACTACTTTCATTGATGACACCCCCGAGCTCTTCGCTCTGGTCAACTCTCAGAACCGTGCCCAGAAGCTGCTCACCTACCTCGGTGATGTTGCCGTCAACGGCAGCAGCATCAAGGGCCAGATCGGCGAGCCCAAGTTCAAGGGCGAGATCATCAAGCCCATCCTCAAGGATTCTGCGGGTAACGCCCTTGACGTTTCGCAGCCCTGCCAGAAGGGCTGGAAGCAGATTATTGACTCCCAGGGCCCCGACGCCTTCGCCAAGGCTGTGCGCGCCAACAAGGGCTGCTTGCTCATGGACACCACCTGGCGTGATGCCCACCAGTCGCTGCTCGCCACCCGTGTGCGTACTATTGACATGCTCAACATCGCCCACGAGACTAGCCACGCTCTCCAGAACGCTTACAGTCTGGAGTGCTGGGGTGGCGCTACCTTCGACGTCGCCATGCGGTTCCTCTACGAGGACCCCTGGGACCGTCTGCGCAAGCTCCGCAAGGCCGTTCCCAACATTCCCTTCCAGATGCTGCTGCGCGGCGCTAACGGTGTTGCCTACTCCTCCCTTCCCGACAACGCCATCTACCACTTCTGTAAGCAGGCTAAGAAGTACGGTGTTGACATCTTCCGTGTCTTCGATGCTCTCAACGACGTCGACCAGCTCGAGGTCGGCATCAAGGCTGTTCAGGAGGCCGGTGGCGTGGTCGAGGCCACCATCTGCTACAGCGGTGACATGCTGAACCCCGCCAAGAAGTACAACCTCGAGTACTACCTCTCCCTGGTTGACCGTATCGTCAAGTTGGGCACCCACGTTCTGGGTATCAAGGATATGGCCGGTGTTCTGAAGCCCCAGGCCGCTCGCCTGCTGGTCGGCTCCATCCGTGAGCGCTACCCCGACCTCCCCATTCACGTTCACACCCACGACTCCGCTGGTACCGGTGTGGCTTCCATGATTGCCTGCGCCCAGGCTGGCGCTGACGCCGTCGATGCCGCCACCGACAGCTTGTCCGGTATGACCTCTCAGCCCAGCATCGGTGCCATCTTGGCCTCGCTTGCCGGCACCGAGCAGGACCCCCAGCTCGACGCTGCTCATGTCCGTGCCCTGGACACCTACTGGGCTCAGCTCCGTCTCCTCTACTCTCCCTTCGAGGCTGGTCTCACCGGCCCTGACCCCGAGGTCTACGAGCACGAAATCCCCGGTGGCCAGCTGACCAATTTGATCTTCCAGGCCAGCCAGCTCGGTCTCGGCCAGCAGTGGGCACAGACCAAGAAGGCCTACGAGCAGGCCAACGACCTCCTCGGTGACATCGTCAAGGTTACCCCGACCTCCAAGGTCGTCGGTGACCTGGCCCAGTTCATGGTCTCCAACAAGCTGACCCACGAGGACGTCATCGAGCGCGCCGGCGAGCTGGACTTCCCTGGCTCCGTCCTCGAGTTCCTCGAGGGTCTCATGGGCCAGCCCTTCGGCGGCTTCCCCGAGCCCCTTCGCTCCAGGGCCCTCCGCGACCGCCGCAAGCTCGAGAAGCGCCCCGGTCTGTACCTCGAGCCCCTCGACCTGCCCGGCATCAAGAACCAGATTCGCGAGAAGTTCGGCGCTGCGACTGAATGCGACGTGGCTTCCTACGCCATGTACCCCAAGGTGTTTGAAGACTACCGCAAGTTCGTGCAGAAGTTCGGCGATCTCTCCGTTCTGCCCACGCGCTACTTCCTGGCCAAGCCCGAGATCGGTGAGGAGTTCCACGTCGAGTTGGAGAAGGGCAAGGTCCTCATTCTCAAGCTCCTCGCTATCGGTCCCCTCTCCGAGCAGACTGGTCAGCGTGAGGTCTTCTATGAAGTCAACGGTGAAGTCCGCCAGGTCAGCGTCGATGACCAGAACGCTTCCATTGACAACATTGCCCGCCCCAAGGCCGATGCCGCGGATAGCAGCCAGGTCGGCGCCCCCATGAGCGGTGTCGTTGTTGAGATTCGGGTGCACGACGGTCACGAGGTGAAGAAGGGTGATCCTATTGCGGTGCTGAGCGCCATGAAGATGGTAAGTTCTCTTCTCTTCACAAACTACCCATCGCACAATTACTAACCTTCCACTAGGAAATGGTTATCTCTGCTCCTCACAGCGGCAAGGTCTCCGGCCTTCTCGTCAAGGAGGGTGACTCCGTCGACGGCCAGGACCTCATTTGCAGGATTGGCAAGGCGTAAAAAAGAGCCTAGATGGTTTGGCTTCTGTGTATAAGACGTGCACGACCTTGATGCGCAAAGATATGACGATAGCTTCTAGCGTTGGTGTCCCAGTGGGACTTGGTTTGGTTATGGTTATCATGTTGGTTTCGTTATATTTAAATGTTGAATGGTATTTTAAATCTTTTATCTTCGTCTGGTTTGTAGGTGCATTGTGTAATACCTAGTCAATTGTGAGGCTGCGTAGATGATCAGAAATGGGCCCAGTGGGGTTAGCTTGCGAAAAGCCACGTCCGATGGAACATTTGCAGGTACGAGAAGGATCATTATATGGGATGTGTTTGCGTTTGTGTTTGTGTTTCAAGACCGCTGGGATTCCACCCGTGGACCAAGCCATCCCAAACCTTCCAATCCAATTCTGCTATTTAGGAACTACCCAGGGCATTGAATTCCGAAAGTGCTATCTCGGCACCAGATCTAGTCGCCGACCTCCTCTCCCCGCAAACCCCAAGCCCCAAACCAAATTGCCGATCCGCTCGTCTGCATCACCAATAAGCGGCTTGATATTCTTTATCTCGGCAATACGTATCATCGCATGCGCTACTGCGGAATGCCCTCCGAGGGCAGATAAAAGCAGAGTCCTGTCCTGTTCGTCGGGCACGCAAGCCAGGGTCCAGGAAACCACCCCAAGTTCAATCCAATCTCAATTGAGATTTCTTAAGGAATACTCCACCTCACTTATAGAACACAAATCAGATACCTCCCGCCTTTGAACTGCTCACCAAGATGGAAACTACTCGTCGTCCATTTACCCTCTCCCTCGCACAGCGCGGCGTCATCCAGGGCTCCACTATCTCCGCCGGTTCGGAATTGTGCCACTACTTCGGCGGCGTGCGATATGCTCTCCCGCCACTACAACGCTGGCGCCGTGCCCGCAAACTTCCATCGTCCTTTACTTACGGCAGTAAAGACGCACCTGGTGTATGCGACGGTGGAGCGGGATTATGTCCGCAGCCCGGGTTCCTGGACCTCTCGCCAGAGAAGCCTGAAGCATGGGACGAGGATTGTTTCCAGTGTAACGTGTGGGTGCCCACGGGAACACCTCCGCGCGATGGATGGCCGGTGATGATATTCATCCGTAAGTGGCTTTCAATTGGTACTTTAACAAGGACAATGGCTAATATGAACAGATGGTGGATGGCTTCAATTCGGCTCGCCGAATGGCTTCAACGCTGCGGCACTGATTGGCGAGACGGAGTTCAAGGCTGTCTTTGTTCTGCCTGCATACCGAGTCAACTTGTTCGGGTTCTTGTACTCTGCGGAACTTGAGCAGGATGCTGCGGATGTGGGGGAGACTGTTGGCAACCAAGGATTCTGGGACCAGAGACTCGCTTTGGAATGGACGAAGGAGAATATCAGTTTATTCGGTGGAAACCCCGATCAGATCACCATTTCTGGATACTCCGCGGGTAAGTCACAGTTCACCTCCTAATATCAACCCATACCACCCATCCTAACACACCCTCAGGCGCAAACTCCGTCTTCCACCAACTCGCCTACGACCTTCGCCAACCAATCGCCCACTCCATCGTCCGCCAGGCCGTAATCTACTCCAACAGCCCAGCCGTCCAACCTAAATCCCCCACCGAAACACAACCTCAGTTCAACGAACTCCTGACAGCCCTCTCAATCCCACTCTCCCTCTCCGCAACCGAAAAACTCGCTCGTCTCCGCTCCCTCTCCTCCAAAACCCTACTCGATGCAAGCAAAACAATAACCATCCACCAATTCCGCCCAACAACAGACGGTTCCTTCATCCTGCCCACCCTCTTCACGTCGCTAGACAACGGCACCTTCGCCCAATCTCTACTATCCCGAAATATCCGCCTCATACTAGGCGAATGCTCTGACGAACGCTTCCTATACGCAACCTGGTTCCCACCAAAGGAGAATACCCTCTCAGCACTACGCACCCGCTTAATCGCAGATTACCCAACCCACATCGTCGACGCAGTCCTACCACTCCACTACCCCAATGGAACCCTGCCACGGGGTATAAAGAACTGGGACGAAGATGCCTGGGGCCGTATCTACGCCGACATGCAAGTCTACCATATGCAGCGCGGACTTGTTCACGCGTTGACATGTAATACTGGCGGGGTTGATGCGTCGGCGCTGATTCATAGGTATAGGATTGAGTTCCGGGCGGAGTGTATGAGAGGAATTCCGGCTGAGTGGGGGGTTACGCATTCGAGTGATTATCCGTTGTGGTTTTGGGGGAATGGTGATGTTTTGACGGAGAAGGAGAAGAGAGGTACTTGGGTGGCGCTTGTCGGGCCATTGAGTAGGTTTGTGAAGGGGGAGGAGGAGTTTGGGTGGGGGGTTAGTGGGAGGGGGGTTAGGGTTATGGAGAAGGACGGCGGGGTTAAGATTAAGGGGGATGAGCTTTGGGAGGAGGGTGTTAGGGTTTGGAAGAGAGTTAGGGATGTTGATGGGGCGAGGGCGAGGCTTTGAGGGGGATGATGGTGTGTATATAGTGATTGGGGGGGGGGGGGTTAAATCTAGATTTGGATGCAATGTAGATAAATCTCATTTCCTCTTATCTCAGCTTAGTGTCGCTTTTAAATCGCTGGTAGCAAGTTGTACATATCTCAGGACAGGATATAAACATCATTGACAGGGGCTACGAATCATCGTAATCATGGAAAATAATATAAGAAGCATTGGATGAGACGAGCCGTGATCGACATGCATGTGGGTACCCAGTACTTAGCTCATACGCGATTTTCAGCGCTAGACCAAAGTACCTGGTACATCGACCCGCCACTAACTGGATTTGCCATCGAGCTTTCCCCGCATTCCTTCTTACGTCAATCTGCAGTGCACCGACGAGCTACATCATCAACCCTAGCAGCTCAGGCGAGAAGCCAAGTACCTCTGAGTCTCTCAAAGCAAGTGCATCAATTGCGTGGTCTGTGTACTGTATTCATAGCTTCCTGTACGATCCAGACTATGGCGATAATAGCATCACCATTCGCAGCCCAGAGATGATCACCAATCACCGTAGATACCAGTCAGCTTAAATCTGCCAGATGAACCAGTTAGACGGCAGCCCGGAGGATCAAGTAACACGCGACACCTAACCCTGGCTCACAAGCGGCCTTATAAGGCCGACCTTCCCCTCCCACCATCACCGATCATCCAAGTCCCCGATCTAAAATCAAGGCAACCGGTACGTTCTCTCCTCCATCCCTTCAAACAGCATACTCGGTGATAGTGTGCTTTATCACACATCACATCAGCCCAAGGACAGAGTCCAACCATCACCCTGGCTCAATGACGTCTTCGACTCAACCATCATAACCTCATCCAACATTCCCTACCCATTGTCATTTCCATTCACATTCCCATCACTACCGTCTTCTTTCCAACCCTCTCACTAACACGTTTCAAACGACCAGCACCTAGCCCAAAGTCTAGGAACCCCACACCATTACGGACTGCTTCCTCTTCGAGATCTCAAACTCAAAAATGACCGACGACACCCGCCGTCACTGGAAAGGCGAACCAGGCGCCCGACACGAGCACGCCAACCCCTGGGGCCACGGCGGAGCCAAAGGTCCCGCTGCTCGTGCTCCGTGGGCACTGACACCGGAGATGATGACCAATTTGAATAATACCCGTCGAGTAAGTCCCCAAGTCCCATTCCCTTTGGAACTATAGATGGAGATGGAGATGGAGATGGAGATGAAGATGAAGATGGAATAGTAGCTAAAACTAAACACCGCAGGACTCGGATACTTCCACATCCTCGCAGAACGCAACCGCCGAGCCTACCAGCCCGCAGACTGTTAGTGAGCGGCGCCGGTCGAGTTCCGGGGCGGGCTTGTTCTCAAATCTGCAGACTCAGAAACGGGATAGTTCTGATGCGGGTATGGCGGGTCGGAGGGCGAGTTGGAATGAGCAGCGGGAGCAGGGGGGTTTCTTTTCGAAGCTGTGGGATGGGTATACTCGTGGAAAGTAGTGGGTATTGAAATGTCTGGTCTTGACTTGATTTTGGCTTGACTTTTTGAGTTCACTGTGGTTTTCTTTTCGATGATTGTATTTGGATTATTTATATGAATGAAAATGATGATTTGTATGAGGATCTCTCTTGTACTTTGTAAGTTTAAAATCCCAAGTCTCATCACTTGGGTGGTTTGTACATGTGGATTGGGAAATGATAACCTCGTGTACATATATATAGTGGAGGCATGGAGTATACGGGTGTCGGTGTATGGTCACTACTTTGCTTCCTATCCCTTGAGTACGATAAGAGGCCCCAAGTGTAGATGAACGTGTAATTGAACGTGTAATTGATCGTGGAAATGGGGGTTTCCGACTCTAGCCTGCTCGATGCTCCGCTTATCTCAAGGTATCGCGACGGCGACCATAAGCGAGAATGGACGCAGTATTTTCGGATAAGCTTGCTTCAATGGTGATAAAGAGGCCTGGCAAAGCGGCGAAGAAGAGTCTATAGGATTCGGAAATCGATAATGATATTGTGAAAGAATGGAAGATGAACAGGGCTCTCATTACATAATCGGGTTAGAGGAGCGAGAAGCATTGTGCGTTCCGGTTTGACTGGGATTCCGGGGCTAGATATCGATCATATCTTTCGGCTATCAATCAGGGCCCTTGAAATTATTTCTTTGACAGAAAAGAGGGCGGAAAGTAGACAGCATTGATTCGGTAGTAGTGCAGCATGCACCGGGACAAGTAGTCTGTGGAAATTAGCATGGGTAGTAAATGTGTGACGGGAGGCAATTCCTGAAGCTACAAGAGTACGACTACAAACTACGATCTACTGCTACGCAAAGGGCACCAGGTGTAGACAGTAACGACAAGAGATAGGCCAGAAGGTGGTCCCTCCCACCACAGCAAGCTGTGAGGAAGGAGACCCGACTCTTCAACGTGGTCAGAGACCAGTCAAGCGAGTCGTGGCTGCCCAGAGCAAGTCCAGTGCAGCCAGCCTTGTTCAACAATGGTTATGCGGAAACAACACCTCATGTGCAGCCTGCATTGTGAAAAGGAGAGCAAATTGGTTCAAGGTAGTGGATTCATGTCTCTAACACGCCTATCCTGGTTGCCGTGGTAGAAAAAAGAAAAGGTTTCAGAACACCATATCCGACGCAGGGAACAGGAGCGTCCTGGGCCGTTTTTTGTTTCGGAGAAAATTTTTGGCTCCCTTCGATGCATCGTAAATCACAAGGTCCAACCGTCCCCCCATCATCCTCACATGTCTTGGGACATTTACCGAACGATGCCGTCGAAGCGGTTCTTGAACCACTTGATGGTCTCGCTCTCGTTGATCTTGTGGTTGACACCGATGGGGGTCTTGCAGCGGCGGCGCTTGGCAACACGCTCACCGGGGCGGGTCCTATAAAAAAAAAAATTGTCAATTTTGCTCCCGTTGTGGTGGAGTGCCGAGGCTTCCTCATTAGAAGGCTCTGCTAGATGGTGCACTCACATGCAGCAGTAGAAGTCCATGCCGTAGATACCGATACCGGGGTCGTACTTGATGCCGAGATCGATGTGCTCGGAGATACCGAAACCGAAGTTGCCGGTCTCGGAGAAGTTACGGCGGCGGAGCTCGTACTCCTTGACCTTGAGGCCACGCTCGAGAATCTCCTCAGCCTTGGGGCCACGGACGGTAACGTGGACGGCGATCTTCTCGTTACGGCGGATACCGAAGGTACGGACGGTGTAGCGGGCCTTGGAGTAGACGGGGGTCTGACCAGAAAGCTGCTCAAGCACCTTGGCGGCACGAGTAAGTCTGTCACCAGACTCGCCGACGGAGATGTTCAGCACGAGCTTCTGGATGCGCAGCTCGCGCATGGGGTTTGCGCTCTTGTCCTTGGCGTCCGACTGCATGTCCGTTAGACTGTGCGTTGCGATTGAGAGAATGTGTTGGGGTGGTAACATACCATGGTGTTGGTGTGTGGGCGTGGAGGTGGTTGTCGTCGAGATCGAGAAATCTTGCAACACACAAAAAGTGGTTTGTGTGGGCTTCGGGTCACGGGACTCAAGTCACGGGGATCGGGAAGCGAGAGGCTTGGCACTTAGCTAATGGGGAAGTCTGCTGAATCATCATAGCTGACTCATCACATATCCAGAACCTGAGTCCGCCAACCCAAAGCTAAGCTCGTGCAAAGGATCCCGCGTCTCGCTCGATACCTTTCAGTCAAGAGAGCCTAGTCGCTGTCTTCCTACTTTTTGGACTCAAGTCGCATTCGTGCGCGCTATTTTAGGCAAGATGGCTGCGAACAAGAATGGAAAGATGGTGAGTATCAATGCTTTCGTGAATCCCAACTCGTGTGCTCAATGGCTGTCGCTAACTTCTTTCTTCTAGCAAAACCTCGTGAGTTCAATCAGACGACATACACAATTCACTACGAGCCCCTCTAACATACCTCCAGATCAACTACCGGATGCGGGTCACACTCAATGATGGTCGACAGATGACCGGCCAGATGCTGGCATTCGATAAGGTCCGTCAAACCTACGCCTCATGAAAGTTCCAGGGCTGACATTCAATCTTTTTTTCAGCACATGAACCTTGTTCTCGCCGACACAGAAGAATTCCGCCGCACCAAGCGCAAGTCGAAGGCCGCCCCCGGCGCCGCCAACACCCAAGTCGAAGCAGAGGAGAAGCGAACCCTCGGTCTCACTATCGTCCGCGGTACTCAGGTCGTTTCCTGCTCCGTTGACGGTCCCCCTCCTGCCGATCCCTCTGCGCGACTCGGTGCTACCGGTCCCACCGGTGCTGGCGCTGCTGCGACTTTGGCGGCCGGCCCTGGTATCAGCAAGCCCGCTGGTCGTGGCCTGCCCATTGGACTTGGTGGTCCTGCTGCCGGTGTCGGTGGCCCCGCTCCTCCTATGGGCGGTTTCCCTCCCGGTGGTTTCCCTCCCCCTGGATTCGGTGGTCGTGGAGGACCCCCGGTGGACCTCGTAAGTGATCTCTAATACACGGTAATAGACAGATATACTAACTCGTTCGGGACGCAGCTGGCTTCGCTCCCCCTCCTGGATTTGCTCCTCCCGGTGGTCCCCGTAAGCTTTCCCTCCCTCACACTGAAATTTGCAATAGTCCAGCTAACAGATTCTTCTCACAGCCGGCTCTTTCGCTCCTCCTCCCGGATTCCAGCCCCCGGGCCAGGGACGTGGATACCCCCCGCCGGGCTTCGGCGGTCGATGATTGGATAGGTGTACATTGAAGGGGATTTAACGCTTCATATCATCAGCGATCTGTTTTCACCTGGAAAAAGGAATAGCGATGGTTCAATATCAGGGGACCGCGGTCCTTATTTCGGAAAAGAGAACAGAGCGCGTACGGGTTAATTCAACCCAGTCTACCGGGCCAGGCGTTGCGGCGCATGCGGATGGAGGTCGTGTCAAGGATTGGAAAAGCCGTGAAATCCTTTTTAAGATTCGCATTCAGTTACCAAAATAATGCTATCTAGCTCCTACGACCCTCTTGTCGCAAAATGCATTGAAATCTGTTTCCACTAAATCTTTGGCTTGTATGTGCACTTTTGAGCCTTATAATCAATTGATGTTATCTAGGTATGACCCACTACGTATAACCATAGGGCCTTTCACAGATAATATATATTTGTCGTTCTTTACAAGTGGTCCACGAGCAGTGATATATTGCGCCAATCCCCCGCCTTGACGGATAACTCTCTGAAGACTCCTAAGTTGCCTTTTTTAAACAAAGATATACAAATGAACATAATCAATTGATGCAAATATGCCTCCTATGAAGATGGATGTAAGAACAGCCCAGCCGGTGGCCGAGCACGTGACCACGGTCAACGCCGGTTGAGTCGACTAAATCCGCACCCGCAGACCCCCAACCCCAACCTTGGAACATCACACCTATTCCCCCCCCCCCTTGTGTCCTCCAGCAACTCATCATGGCTGCTGTTATCAAGGCGATCAACGCCAAGATCCGCTCCAACAAGGTGGCGGATTATATCTGCTCAACCCGTACGTCTTGAACCCGCTCCGAGTTTCCCGCCGCGCTTCCGGACACCGAGACCGAGATCGGCCATAAGACTTGCACCCAACAAAGAATACGAGAGAAAGATTGCCAAGTCCAGGAGACGGAGTTATATCTGATCTTCGTTCTTGAGCTTGGGAATTGCTTGCAGGACAGATTACTGACCATAATGACGCAGACTTCTGGGGCCCTGTCTCCAACTTCGGTATCCCCATTGCGGCCGTGATGGATACCCAGAAAGACCCTGAGATGTACGTTTGACACAGACACTATGCTATCATCCCCACCCACCGTTCTTGTCACACCTCCAAGCTACATGAAAGTCACTTGAATCGTTGCCCTAACTCCTCTCCGCTACACAGTATCTCCGGCCCTATGACCGGTGCTCTGGTTGTCTACGCTGTTACCTTCATGCGCTACTCCCTCGCTGTCACCCCTGCGAACTACCTCCTCTTCGCTTGCCACTTGACCAACTTCGGTGCTCAGAGCACACAGGCATACCGCTACCTCAACTACTGGAAGTACGTTTCTCGATGCTCCGTATTTTCCTTTCTACATGCTCCCCCCTATAGACCCAATCACCATACTAACCATATTTTCTACCTGCAGCTGGGGTGGACGGGAAGCTGCTCTTGCCGAGGCAGCCAAGAAGGGCAAGGATGCGACTGAGGCCGGTGCTTAATCGCCAGACTCTTGTACTTTTTCATTGACTTGCATGTTTTGTACCTCTCGCAGCATTGCATCTATACACACCTACATTCTGTTTCGCGCCAGAGTGACTGGTCATTTGTTGGCCTGGGAAGGGAAAATCAGAGTTGTATAGAGAAGGAACTGCCCGAGGAATGATGAGTTGCAGGGTGGACTGGGGATGCTTTTGACCGGCGAGATACACATTAGACATAGTGGCTGGTGTGCCTGTCTCGGTCACTGTACATAGACTATTTGAAATTGAAATGCTTCAGAGCGAAGTTCATTTCCAGAATGTTTCGTTTGACTGATACCTTGCAACATTGAATATGTAGAAAAGATCTTGAGGTATGGATTTGTCCAGGTCATGCGATATTCACGATATTCAAATCATCCCATAAAATTCAAACAGATGACCTGTCTATACAAAAGGGTCACAAGGGCCACAACGCCCAAAAGAAAAGCCGTCAAATACACTGGCCAACAGTAGAAGAAGTTTAACACCAAGTTTCAGCGATTTCCGCCCATGCGTACAAGAGACAAGAATACAGTCAAATGCTATGCCACAATTTTGAAAAACATCTAAATCACACCAAAGGTGTAATTGTCATAAAGGTGAAATTACTGTGAATCGCAGTATCCAGGGCTGGAGGGCTGCTCGGCACCGCCGATCCAGTTTTGGAGAGTCAGTGTGGTCGTATAGATGCAGCAAATGACACCGAAGGTGGCGAGGGTGATGTCGGCAATTACTTGGCGTCTGGAGCTGGCACAAGCGCGGACGTGGAGGAGGGGCTGGGACGATGTTAGCCTGTGGTAATTAGAAGAAGGTATGGGAACTTACCGGGTACACGTAGATCAGAGGGACACAAGCAAAGCTTCCGACCAGGGAAACGAATTTGTCCAGATTATCGGCACCGCACCAGGCGACAATTGCACAGACAATGACCAGGAAGAAACGGAAGGCGTTCTTCTTCCATTTGATATACGGGTTGTATTTGCCGCTGCGGGTGAAAAGCTCATTCTCCATGATGCGGATGGCAGGGAAGAGCTGCAGGGGTGTACTGAGAAGGATGGCGAGTGAGTACAGGAGTTGAACCACGTTAACAAACTTGTCGTCCTGGGGCAGGTTCAGGAGAATGACGGTCTTTGTAGAGGAACCGTAGGCGGCGTAGCTCAGTGCACCTGCGGACAGGAAGATCAAGGTGATCACGACCATAACTCCCGCAAGGACACCGGGGAATCGGTGAGGCTGCTTCATTGATTCCTGGATAGGGATGATCAGGCCGATACCTTCGTAGGTGAAGATGGCGGTTCCAATGAACATAGACCAAGTGGACGGGTTGAAGGCGATGATGTCTGAGATACCGCCATTACCAATCAGGGTACTGGCATCATAGTAATAAATGTACAGCAGACCCAAGAGGATGAAGGCATCCGCAATGAGAGCCGTGAACCCAAGCTTGCTGATATCGCGAATCAGCGAGAGGGGAAGGAATATGACCAACTGCATCAACACCATGAACTTGATGTCGATGAAGGACTTGCACTTGCTCACAGCCAGCACGAATGCTTGCAAGTTCTGCGAGACAAAAACAATATATGCAGAAACGAATCCTAACTGACTCAACACGATCGACCCGAGAATGATGCGTCTCATGTGCTTTCCATACAGAATGCCACCAATATCACCAAAGGAGCCCTCGATCTTCATGCGAGTATTGACAAGGAGGATGAAGGCGTAATAACTCAAAATTGAAACTCCGAGAAGCACCATGCTACTGAACAGCATGCCCCCATTCAAGAAGGCCCGAGGCAGGAAGAGGATACCAGTCCCGACGAAGGACTTCAAGAGTAGCATGACGGCACCAGTGGTGGTAGTGTTTCCGGGAGGTGCGCGCTGCTTGTGCTTTCGCTTCCTGCGACCAGCTCCATCACCCTGAAGCAGCGCCGCGTCTTCCCCAGATTCTCTGCGCTCATCTTGCTCGTCATAAGCATCAGACGAAAAGTACTCATCCGGGCCCAAGACCTCATCATCCTCTTCCAGCTCTTCACCAGCAAAGTGACCGTAAAGAGTCAAGAATTCCAAAAAGCTAGTCGTAGGTAGCTGAGGCTGCGCGGGGTGTACTCCTGAGTTTGATCCAGGCTGGCTCTCGCGATGGGGACTCCCAGCTGTTCTTCGCAGGAAATCTCTCCGGAATCCACCTGGCACCTGGATCGTGTGGTAATCTTCCGTATCCGCCTCTGGGGCAGGCCGACTGACACTGAAACTTTTACTACGGGCAAAGCGACCCGAGTCAGCATCCTCCGCCCAGCGGTAGACCTGACGAGTAATATCACCCCCCTGTAGCTGCAAACTCGAGAACTCATCGTCACCGAGGCTGGTTCCAAGCTCCGAGCCGGTGTCGCGATGACCCCCACCGTTCTGCGGGAGAACAAGATGTCTCTTCACGACCTCTGGGTCTTCGAATGGGATCGCGTCAAGCCCGTTACCGTTCTTGGTGTCGATCGAGCCGTACTGGGAAGCCACCGGACGGTTTTCGAGATGGGACTGTACTGCGGGGGAGCCAGCCATGCGCGAGGGGGTGCCAAACCTCGGAGGCGAGCGACCGAGGCTTTCTTGCAGCTGGGATGCGATCATAGAGTGACCGGGACCCGGCAGCGAAGATGGGTCGTCTACGTAACGGAAGTTCTGTTCGGAGGTGGTTGTCGCGGTGGTCATAGGCCGACTTGTGGGGATACCCTGACGAGATGTGAAAGAGGTCCCCAAGGATGGTGAAGGCACTGGGGAAGCCAGTCGAGCCATGGAAGCCTGTCTGATCCCAGAATCCGGAGCAGGAGAGGTGGAATGAATTGAGGAGGTGGAAATAGGCATTGAGCGAGTCGGGTTCAACGACGAACCCTCACCATTGTCTGCCATGGTAACTCGATCGTCTCTTAGAAGAGGTCGAAAGAATCAAAGGGCGTGAGAGAGGCAAGATCAATACCCCAGAAGAAGCTCCAGAAAGGCAAGACGAGGCTGAACTCGGTCTCGGGAAGGCAAAGGAGGTGTCACTCTATTTTTGCACTGTTTGATTCTCCCCCACGTCATTCGATCGGACGCGCCGTGACGCAGGTGGTCGACTTTTCTATTTTGTTATTACATTTCACTCTTACCTCCTTTTTCTTTCTATTCTATTCATTGGAGGCGGTGGCCGTTCTCATGCTCTTGTGGTGTTTTTGCCCTTGACGACCGAGGACGGAGATCCCGCCATGTCTCGGAGACGTCCGAATTTCGCGACTCGAACGGCCCAGGAAGATGTCGCGCGTCTCGATCCCAATGAGCAGACTGGGTCATCTCCTGCTGACAGAGGCCGCTTCCTGCAGTGGCGCCCGAACATCTGGTCTCGGCCTCAGGAGGTGAACTCGACAGAGAGCTCAGGACACCAGAACCAAGCAGCACCCTCGAACCCGCTCGAAGGCTTATCCCGACTGTGGCATAGGAAGATACACGATGAACAGGGACTGGATGACAACCTTGAGGGGGTAGCACCGCACATGCCTTTGTCGGCTGGACCCCTGCGCGATGCCAGCGTCGACAAGAAGGACAGGCATTTACACCGACCTCGGTCGACAGAGGAGTCGAAGAAGCTTGGCACCTTCTCCGGCGTGTTTGTACCTACGACGTTGAATGTTCTCAGTATTCTGATGTTCATTCGCTTCGGCTTTATCCTGGGCCAAGGTGGAGTACTGGGCATTCTAGGTGAATCTCCGTGGAGGATCGGATCAGATGAGAGAGTATGGCTAACACGACCAAGGACTGCTTGTTATTTCCTACATGATCAACCTGGTGACCACAATGTCTCTCTCCGCTATTGCAACTAACGGCACAGTCAGAGGCGGCGGTGCATACTACCTGATCTCCCGGTCACTGGGACCCGAGTTTGGAGGATCTATCGGGATAGTGTTCTATTTGGGCTCTGCATTTAATACCGGTATGAACGCAGTTGGTCTCATTGACTGTTTCACTCAGAACTTTGGAGTCGCTTCCGGCAGCATGGCAAAATTCCTCCTGGAGGGCTTTTGGTGGCAGTACCTGTGGGGTACCATCATTCTCGTCCTCTGCACGGCTATCTGCTTGGCAGGGAGCTCGATTTTTTCAAGAGCGAGTAATGGTCTGCTGGTCATTCTTCTTGTGGCAACGTTTAGTATACCTTTGTCTGCTCTCTTCATGAAGCCCTTCTCCTCACCCGAAGAGGGAGTGATGTTTACGGGCCTTAGTGCGCGCACTTTGATGGAGAATCTCAAACCCCATCTGACAAAAGGCGCCGCGGGAAGTCAGCTGAAGGGGAGAGAGAACTTCCAGGATCTATTTGGCATTCTGTTCCCCGCCACAGGAGGAATCTTTGCTGGCGCGAGTATGTCTGGAGATTTGAAGAATCCAAGCAAGTCCATTCCCAAGGGGACCCTGGGAAGTCTTGCTTTAACCTTCATCACGTATACATTGGTCATCCTGGCTATGGCGGCTTCTATCACCCGAGAGTCTTTCTACAACAACGTGAATGTGATTCAAGTTGTCAACTTCTCGGATACTACAATTCTACTTGGAGAATTTGCGACCAGTTTCTTCTCCGCGCTCATGGGAGTGATTGGATCTGCGAAACTTCTTCAAGCAATTGCTCGAGATAGCTTGCTCCCAGGCTTCAAACTTTTTGGCCAAGGTACAAAGAAGAACGACGATCCTGTTTACGCCATTATTGTAACCTACATCTTTGCGCAAGTCACAATGTTGTTCGATATTAATCGAATCGCATCTTTCGTGACAATGAGCTACCTGATGACCTTTCTGGTGACGAATTTGGCCTGTTTCTTGTTGAAGATCGGTTCTGCGCCCAACTTCCGACCCTCTTTCCATTACTTCAACTGGCAGACTGCTTTAGCGGGGACACTTGTGAGCGGAATAAGTATGTTCTTTGTGGATGGTCTGTATGCGGCCGGATGCATAGGAATCCTACTCATGCTGTTCCTGTTGATTCACTACAGCTCGCCGCCCAAGGCATGGGGTGATGTCAGCCAAAGTCTGATTTACCATCAGGTTCGCAAATATTTACTTCGCTTGCGCCAGGAGCACGTCAAGTTCTGGAGACCGCAGATTCTGCTCTTCGTGAGCGATCTGGACCGACAGTATAAGATGGTTTCTTTTTGCAACTCACTGAAGAAGGGAGCCCTATTTGTTCTGGGCCATGTGCTTGTGACCGACGACTTTTCAGCGGCGGTTCCGGAGGCACGCAGGCAGCAGTCAGCATGGACAAAAATTGTTGAATATTCCAAGATCAAGGCATTTGTTAATATTGCCATTTCACCCTCCGCAGAATGGGGCATGCGGAATATTGTCCTAAACTCAGGCCTAGGAGGCATGAGACCCAACATCGTCATCCTTGATCAATTTCGAGAAGATCAGTCTCTGGTAGAAACCGTCTCTCTTTCCAGCCATCGCAGAGAGTCGTCAAAATCGAGACGTCGGTCTTCCGTTCTTGGCTCAACTGATGCCCCTGATGACTCCAACCCTGGAAACAAGGGAATGACCTGCCAAAGTTACGTCACAATCCTTGAGGATCTTCTCTTCAAGCTTCGCATCAATGTCGCGGTCGCCAAAGGCTTCGAGGATCTCGAAATCCCGGACCCGAATGGTCGCAACACAAAGAAGTACATAGATTTGTGGCCTATTCAGATGTCCGCCGAAATCGGAGCCGACAGTGAGAGCAAGCAAAATGTACTGACCACCAATTTCGATACATACACTCTTATTCTTCAGCTCGGCTGTATTCTAAACACAGTGCCTTCGTGGAAGAAAACCTACCGACTACGAGTCGCCGTGTTTGTCGAATATGAGACGGATGTCGAAGATGAGAGGCGCCGAGTGGAGGCTCTTCTGGAAAAGTTGCGAATTGAGGCAGAAGTCCTCGTTTTCTGGCTTGCATGTGGAGAATTGAAGGCGTACCGTATTCTTGTGAACGGCGACACTTCTGAGGAGATGGATGATGCGCAGGAGAGAGTCCATTCTATACTCCAAGAGGAAGAATGGTGGCAGAGTGTCCTCAAGGCTCGTAGCCCTTTGTCCACATCTCAAGGTCCGGAGCCAGCAGGGGATGAGCCTCAGCAGCTGGACCGGTCGTCGACCTGGCAAGGCCGTTCTAGCCAAGACAGCGGAAATCGGCCTTTCCATCAACGAGTGACTGGTCTCCGGAAATTGATTCAATCTACTAAACGCAGAAAATCTGTCTCAAGTTTCCGAGCCCTGGGAAGTGTCAGTCTGGGAATGCAAACCCACCGTTTGCTGGATGCATTCGTCGACTACGATGGTGACAACTCGACGAGCTCGAGCAGTGAAGAAGACAGTGATCTGGACCCATACACAAGTGACCCAGAGATTGATGGGGATGACGAAAATGACAACCCCGAGAATACTACCATCAGTGGCACCCACAGTGAGATCCCTTCTGGTCCATATCAGCCAGTTGGGGTCACCGGTGACGACCAGAGCTCCGAGATGAGTCCATCAGCACGACCAAAGGCACCATCGGAACCTTCCACTCCCCATGGCTCGATTCCAAGCCAGGCAATTCCCTCAATCATGACCACTAGCGACGAAACATCTCCAAAGAGCAAATCACCTATGCCTCGCCCAAACATGACCCGCTCCCCCTCCAGCAACCGCTTCAGCTCTTCTCCCATCCCCGAAGCCAAAGTCAACACCGACGAGGGAGCCGGTCCATCAATCATGTTCGCCGCCAACGCCAGCCCCCCGCGCTTCCAGAACAAGCTCGACTCCATTTACGCTCGACGCCCATCCGTAGCCTCCGCCAGCTCCCCCGGTGGCAACGACGGCAACGACGGCAACGACGGCAACAGCGGACACAGCAGCCAATCAGCCTCCGGCTTCCCCAGCTCTGCGTCCGTCCCGCTATCATTCAATGACCTGCCCAGCCGGGCCCAGCACCTGATCTTGAATGAGCTGATGGTTCAGCAGAGTAGCGAAACGGCTGTTATCTTCACCACGCTGCCAACCCCAGTAGAGGGAACATCCCGCCGGGAGGAAGATAGTGCCTCCTATTTGAGTGATCTTGATGTGCTCTGGCAGGGGTTGCCTCCTTGTTTGCTAGTCCACAGCAACAGTATGACTGTCACGATGAACCTGTAACGACTATGTGCATCTTTTGTATAGCGTCATTGATTATAGAACAGATAAACTATATACTCACCAAGAGGAGCAAGCAAGATTTCATAATCAACCCACTCAAATAAACTACCTAGATACCATTGAGGGGTAATGATCATCAGCGGGATGATCCGGATCATGCTTCCCCATGGCTCTGTCTTGGAGTTACTCAGAATCAATGGCTAGAGGTCAGGGCCCACAGTCTTGTTCTTGTTGGAGTATACACTTCGAACAGTACTTGGGCCAACTTACTCCGGATGATGGAACATAGAGGAGTCCTTCTTGAACTTGATTGAAGCTACTGCATGACGAACCGCTCTCGGTTTACGGGGACCGACCAACTTGGCTACAGACTGGCGGTGTGATGGTGGCGATCAGTCGCAGTGGCAAGCTGAATGAGCTACATGCATTCTGAATCACAGAGGTGACCAATTGAATACTTGTTCCCACCAGTGGCAGGCATTGTGAGACCGGCTGCATAATCTGGATGGATCTAGACAAAGGCCGTCTTTACCTGGTCCAGATCTCGAATGTACAAATTTACAGTAGGTTGAGCTGAAAGAACCAGCCACGGGTGCTCACTGAGCGCTACTATGGACGCACTGGGAATTTAATTAGCAACAACATCACTGATATACTGACCGTGATCACTGAGTCGAGCCCGGGCGACGTCTACTCGGTGAGAGCCTGAACGCCCTCATCAAAGTGGCGGCAGACCCGGCAGACATGATCCTGCTTGTATAGGTGCATATGTAGGAGGGCAGACCGCTCTGACACTCGAGTTTGTTGAATCCTGAACCCTGTTGCTGCGTGATCAACACAGTAATTTATTCAAAACTATATGCGGATGGGGATTTGCTAGGGATATGTCTACATCATGGACATTACTATGTCGATATGTGAAGTTCGCATGTGGAAAGCTACCCTATGGATCGTCCTACCATGAAAAACAAATGCAATGAAAAGTAGCTATTACTCTTCCATAGTGGCTGATGTTGAAATCAATAATTGTCAATATGCCTGTTGACATAGCCTGCAGTGAGCTTAAACGCGCTTTCACATGTTCGCCCGAAGCTATAGAACTTAAATGACCAACTAAAGCTGTCACTAAGCATTGCTTCTGCATGTCAGAGCCGCCACACGGAGATCAGCGGGGCTAGTAGAGGAACTAATGGTCAATTCTCCCCCAAGTCCCTGCGGAGACCTGAACTGAACAAGGCTATAAATGCCCAACGCCTCACAAAAAATTCCCAGCAAACCGGACTTGTCCGTGTTTAAGCGAGCGCTGCGCCACCTAGGACACTCCACGCCAGAAGAAGCAAGTGTGGAGGGTGCAACCGACAAGAATCAAAATAAATTAAGAAAAAAGGGCAGAAAAGGGCAAAAAAAGACGGGGCGATGACCAATGGGAATTGCAGCGCGCATGATTGGATGAGAAGCGTGCCTGGGTATACCTTGTACAGACTATCACTTCCTTCCTTTCGTTCTTTGTACTCATCGTTTATCGTATGAACAGAGAAGGCACTTGATTGTTGATTGTGCTGGTGTTGTTATAGCTCTTTGCCCCTCCTCACATTTTCTCATTCTCATTCTCCGCCTCCTCACTTCTCTCCGCCCCTGAATTACCAATCTGGCCATGTCTGCCCCTGCCATCGCGCAGCGATTGAATGGCAGCCTGAGGGTCTCTGATACTCGCCCTGTTGCTCATTTCCTGCCCGACCAACTCAACGGACTTGCGGATCGCACGCGCGCGAATGGCCACAGCCCCGACTCGGATTCCTCAGACGCCTCTTCCATGGGCTCCAACACAGTAAACAGCACCGAGACAAAACGACCAAACATGGCTCGTAAGGCCTCTTCGCCTATGGCCCCGGCCTTTATGGTGTCCGCTCCAGGCAAGGTCATTGTTTTTGGTGAACATGCCGTCGTCCACGGCAAGCCAGCCCTGGCCGCCGCAATTTCTCTCCGATCCTACCTCCTTGTCACCACCCTCTCGAAATCACACCGTACAATTACCTTGAACTTCCGCGATTTGGGCCTCACCCATACGTGGGACATTGAAGCGCTCCCATGGGACGTGTTCCAGCAGCCCGGCAAGAAGAAGTTCTATTATGACCTTGTCACATCTCTCGACCCCGACCTTGTCGCAGCCATCGAACCCCATCTCGAAGGCGTCTCTAAAGGCGTCCCCGAAGAACAGCGCAAGAACCACGTCCGCTCCGCCTCCGCCTTCCTCTACCTTTTCCTCTCCCTCGGTTCCCCGCAAAGCGCAGGTGCCGTCTACACTCTCCGCTCCAATATCCCCACCGCCGCCGGCCTGGGCAGCAGCGCCAGTGTCTGCGTCTGCCTGAGCTCTGCGCTCCTGCTCCAGATCCGCACCCTTGCCGGCCCCCACCCCGATCAACCCGCCGAGGAGGCGGAGACCCAGATTGAGCGCATTAATCGCTGGGCCTTTGTCGGCGAGCTCTGCATTCATGGAAATCCCAGTGGAGTCGACAACACGGTTGCCGCAGGCGGCAAAGCTGTGATCTATCAGCGTGAAGACACAGAAAAAAACCCTACCGTTATTCCCTTCCCCAATTTCCCCGAATTGCCTCTTCTCCTGGTCGATACTCAGCAATCGCGCTCGACCTCGACAGAGGTAGCCAAGGTCGCCCAGCTGAAGAAGTCCCACCCTATCGTGACGGAAACGATTTTGAATGCAATTGATGAAGTGACATGCTCTGCGCGCCGACTCATCGAGAGCCCGGACTTCGAAGTCAACGATGACACTCTCGACCAACTCGGTACCCTGATCCGCATCAACCACGGCTTCCTCGTTTCCCTGGGTGTGTCACACCCCCGATTGGAGCGCATCCGCGAACTCGTCGACTATGCAAACATTGGCTGGACGAAGCTGACTGGTGCCGGTGGTGGCGGATGTGCAATCACCCTACTCAAACCAGGCGTAAAGCCAGAGGCTGTCCGCGAATTGAAGAAGAAGCTCGCTGAAGAAGGCTTCAATAAATATGAAACCACCCTGGGTGGCGACGGCGTTGGCGTCCTCTACCCTGCCGTCCTCCGCAACGGCTCCGACGAAGAAGGCGGCGAGGAAATCGATCAACAAAAGTTTATTGAAGCTGAAGGCGCCGAGGGCATCGAGCGTCTCGTAGGCGTTTCATTCCACGAGAAGCGCGAAGGCTGGAAGTTCTGGAAGCGCTCCTCCCAATGATGACCCTCCCTGCCTCTGGCATCTGGCCTCTGGTTGGCATCTTTCAACTCCCTTTCTCCGGCCCTTGGTCCTGTTTTCTTGACTCCCCTTGTAATGGGTCTTTAATGATTTCCTACGGCCTTCTGGTCCCCCTCATTACCTTTCACGTCCCATTCTATGTACACATTATCCCCCTATCTGCATTATACACCCCATTTTGTGAGCCTCTGAAAAAAAGTGCCCGCTGGGCATCTGTGTTCTCTTCTCTTTCTTTGGCTCTTTGTTTTGATATTTGTGGGTCTTTGACATCAGAATCTCTGTGGCGCTGGTGTGTCGACGGATGGCCGGAGCTGCTGAGATACAATAATACAATTCCGTTGGATAATAATGCTTTATTTTTTTTTCCTTTGTAAGTAAATGCGTCAAGCACCTAGATGTATGTCCAATACTTTAAAGAAATTCTCAAATATACACCTGAAAGAACGAATGGCCTCCAGCATTGAAGGAGCCACGATAATCGTACATCTCAAGCGTGTACAACATCGAATGCCCTGAACGTTCTCCTGTCCCACGCCAACCCCAAAAATCACCCCATAGTAGTCTCCCACTTCTTCTCAATCATAACATCAATCCAATACGCATCCGTCTCTCCCCTATCCATCCTCCTCCAAACCTCCTTAACAAGCTTTAAACAAACGTTAATCGGCTTCGGCGGAAGGACATGTAAAAAGGAAGTCAACCTCCCAAGAATGAAGCGCCGTGTCTGCGAGACTTCAATAGCTTCCATCGATACAGTTGGTGCTTCCGTGGAATCGTTGGTACTTCCATCTTCGCTGTGAGAATGAGGGGGAAGACGGAGTTCGCTGCATGAGGCGACGAGGAGGAAGGGTTGTAGACAGCGGGTGCGGGATTCGAGGGGGATGGTTTTTAAGCGAGATATGGTTGTCATGGCGAACTCAGTGAGCCAGTTGCTGGAAAGTGTTTCTGGGGTCTTGTCGTCTGGCGCTTGGTTGTAGATATCCGGAGGGGAAGAGAGCGTTGGCGAGGCATGGGCTTGCGTGTGGTTTGAGTGGGTGTTGGCGGTTGTGCTTGGACTAGTATTACAAAACCCCGTGGACATGTTCATGCTGTCTAGATCAATGGGGAAGAATGGGTCGCGATTTGAGGTCGTGTTAGAGAAAACTGTGTTTTGGGTTGGAAGTCGGTTGCGCAGGAGATCAGGGAAGACTCGGTATAGTTGCATTAGACCTGTGCAACGGTAGACTTCGGCCATAGTGAGTAGGTGCCAGACGGGGGTTTCGTCGTCTCCTGGGCTGACTATTTCGGCTTCACTGGGATGTGCGAGGCCTAAGAGACGCTTTTCTAGCTCTCGAGCTTTTTCGATTGCCATTTGCGCGCGGGTGATGTCTTCTTGGGAGGTGAAGTTTCGCGAGCGGATGCGTTTGCGCTCGCGTCGGACGAGGCGGCCGACTTCGTGCACGGTGAATTGGGTATCTTTGGCGATGCCGGTCCACGGATGAGGTACTCGTTGTAATACGAGTTGTTCGCCTGATGATGAGGCGCGAGACTCGGAAAATACCATGGAATCGTTGTCTGCCACGAAAGAAAGGAGCATTTCCCAGTAGATAAGAGCTTCTTCAAAGAAGCGGTAGTTGTTACTACAGCTCTTGACGAATCCGTAGGTTGGGGTTTCTGAAGAGGATGATATGGAGTTGAGCTGCTTGCGGAGTAGGTTGAAGAAAGATATCCCTAGGTCTTTTGGGTCATGCCAACTCGCAGTTTGACCGAGCATGAGAAGTGCAAGCAGGGACTTGTCGTCCATGACTGCCTCGCGGGTAATGATGTCGACAGCCTCGTCTCGCATCTTCCGACCCATAGGGCCAAATTGCGGGAAATCATTGACCAGCGTTGCAGCTGCCATACTTTGCATTGTACGGCACATGGCGAGTGATGAGCCCCATAGACGAGAAACGGTGGTGCGGAATGGATTCATTTGGCTGTCGTAGCTGGAGAACAATGCAGCGACCTCCTTGAAATAGTATTCAATGAGTGTCCACGAAGGATTGTTTAACGGACGCGAGATGGACATAAAGTCTCGCGGAGGAGCTCGCTGAGATTTGGGAGGGTAACTGCGCACGATGGCCGAAGGCGAAAAGTCTTGATACACGCTGCTATGCTGTTCTTCCTCCCCATTGGGGCCAATCAAAGACAAGAACCGAGACAGATCCACCGCTGTGTCTCCAGACGCAAAGTCAAATGGCGAATTTCGCTGCAAGAAGCCCGTCCCCGGTAAAGGAGACGGCGGACATAGATCGGCCAGTTCTGGCAGTGAGGCATTGCCCCTCAAATCCCACAGGTTATCAAGGGCATTCGAACCATCATCTAACCCGAACCCTTGAGGCTCATTATTATGTGATGGATGAGCATTAGCGTCATCTAGCGGCAGCACATCGTCATCTAGCGGCAGCACATCCTCTATCGGATCACTTAGTTGTAGCGGAGTTCTCTCGGCACCCGGACTCATAGGTTTCCCATCAGATGCGTCGGGACTGGGCTGCTCATGCTTGGTGACCCAGCGTAGAGACTGGACATAGCCGGGACATCGAACACCTAAGCGAGTACAACGGCTGCAATGCGGTTTCTCTTCTCCGCATTTGACCTGTGACGAGTTAGATGGATCGGTCGGATCCGGGGAAGCACTGACCCTCTTGCTTTTGCATCGCGCGCAGCCGTTGCGTGACTTTTTGACTCGTCGCATCACTGATACTATGATAGGAAATAGTCAAAAGGGACAGAATCCGGCATTGTGAAGCACTGTGTTAAGGAAACTCCAACGCTACGTGCGGGGAGACGCTTATCTGCCTGATAAAAGCGGCCTCCCGAGGATCCTGGCAACTCAGGATACTTTTGCCCTTTTCGTCTTGGTGGCTGGTCATAGTTGGCTAACAAAAGTCATAACAAGCTTCAATTGGTTGCAGCTCTACTGCACAATTGATAAAGAGTGCCAAGGATTTCAACGTCACTTTCAAATGCCCTGAATGAATTGCGATGTTGGCAGGTTACACGACGAGAAACTTGCAGAATGAAGTATAGCTGACTCAGCATCTTCGGTCTCGGGCTCGGGCTTCGCAGTCGCGGCTTCCTAAAGTTCTGACAAATCGATAACCATGACTTATCTGCTTCGCTCCCAGGTAATCAAAGCTCAAAAGGCTCAAGCTCAGCTACCTTGGATTCTTTGTAAAGAAAAACTAACAAATGAAACAGTCGCAAGCATTGAATCTCTGCTCACGGGATTTGGTGGCACTGAGATCAAGATCTATTGCCTTGCCTCGGACCAGGCAGATAGCCTCCATTTATCCTCGAGAAACGATATTGAGAACACCCTGGTTGCAGCAGAGACCACTGGACAAGAAGTTTTCTCGCTCATTTCATCCTACCCCGACCAACATGGACAGTGTATCTACCGGTCTAAAGCAGACCCTCACCCCTGCCCTCTTGGAGAATGTCCGCAACTTCTGGTTCAACCACCTCATCAGCGAAGATGCATTAATTCTCCCGGGTCGACCCGAGATGATGCGCTGGTTCATGCGCGATTCTGACTTCGACAAAGCCTGCGTGTAAGTCCTTCCCAGTCTCGATCACAACGCCCAGGGGTTTATAAGAACAACCAGTACCCAATTCCAGACGGCTTTAGAGAAAATCATCTCATCCGGTGCATCGGCCACAGAAATCCTGGATGCAATTGACAAATCATCACCATTGAACTGGCTTAGCATCCTTCTGCTCCTGGACCAGGTCTCCCGAAACTGCTACCGCGGCGACGAATCCAAGCTGGTTTTCGGCCATTTTGATCCTCTCGCAAAGGAAATTGCTGTTCGTGCGATAGACACCGGCATTTTGACTCAGGATCCACATCTTAGATACCGACTTTCCTATCGAATCTGGTTCCACATGCCTCTGATGCACTCAGAGAACCTTGCTGTCCACGAGAAGGCGGTTCAGGTGCTTGACGATACCGCAAAGGATATAAACGACTTAATTGATAGCGATGTGTCTACTTTAGACGATGATGAGAAGAGGTGTCATGATGTTTTGTCGAGCCAGAAGGAAGCACTTGATATGTTTTTGAAGAATACCTCCGACTTTGAGAAGAAACATAAGGATATCATTGAGCAGTTTGGAAGGTATCCCCACCGGAATGCGCCTCTTGGTAGGATTTCGACTGTTGAGGAGATTGAGTACTTGGAGAAAGGTGGCGAGGCATTTACATAAGCACCGTGCTTGAAGTCAGTGAAAAATGTGGAACGAGATGCATTGTTAATACGCTTCAAAAATCTATCTCAAATCATATCTTTAAGCTGATGAGGCTGAAGTGTTTGTTCATGAAAATCTCACAAGAACCCAGTGGAGTAGGGAACCTCGTAACCAGGCAGAGCAGGGAACTCGTAGAGGTCTAGGTTCTCCTTCCTCTCAGCAGCCCACGGGCCCAGGGCGCCGAAAAGCTTCATCACGTTCTCTTGCACAGAAAGGTCAATGGGCTGCAAGCCCTTGCCCATCTGCGAAATCTGGAGGCCAGCTGCACCAGCTGTCGCACCAAAGTCCAGCATGTCCAACTTCTGAAGCATGGCACCCTTGACCTGACCGGACAGAATGTGCGCACAAAGGTTGGGCTCCTGGCAAAGAGCGCGACCGAGACCGACTCCATCAACGGTGTCAAGAGCCTTGACCATGCCCTCGACGGTCTTCAGGCCGCCAGTAACGTAGGTCTTGGTCTTGGTCAAACCGGGAACGATGAGTTTGGCAAAGTCCAAGAAGAACTAGGATCTGTCAGTATGACGAAAAGATAATAATATTGGAACAAGAACTTACAGCTTCACGCTCCAGAGTTGACTCCCGCTTCTGGTTGGCCAAAGGCCAGTTCTCGTAAGTACCACCAGACAGCTCGACAAAGTCGAAAGCATGCTCCTCAAGAGCCTGGCAAAGCTCCTTGGCCTCATCAGGCTGGAAACCCTTGTCCTGGAACTCAACACTGTTGATCTTAATGCCGACGATGAACTCCTTGCTAACCCTCTTGGAGATCTCATCTCGAACCTCCAAGATCAATCTCATCCGGTTCTTCAAATCACCACCGTACTTATCGGTACGCAGGTTGGTAGTAGGCGACAAAAACTGACTCAGGAGATAACCATGCGCACCGTGGAGCTGCATACCATCAAATCCGGCCTTATCAAGATACTCGGCGGCGTGAGCAAAGGCATCAATGATATTGGTAATATCTTCCTCCGTAGCAGCACGGGGCTTTCCGAATGTCATACCCATAGGGTCACCCTTGACTTGAACATCACTGGCACTGATAGGGTTCGGCTGAAGATACTGAGGAGTCTGGCGACCAGGATGTCCAACCTGGGCGACGATGAGCATGCCAGCAGCCTTTCCAGCTGTAGCGAGCTCCTGGAAGCGCTCAAATCGCTCACCGGAGAATGGCGCATGCTGAGGAATGACTGGGTTTCCAGCTGCCTCGAGGTGACCGGGGTCGATCATGACATTACCAGTCAGGTTAATACCTATTTTTCCCTCGCCCCAGCTCTTGTAGGCCTGGATCAAGGCGGGAGAAGGAATACCACGGGCATTGAGATCCTTGAAAGAGAAAGAAGCAAGACGCTCACTCATAGCTCCCTTCAGGAAGCGGTTTGGGGCTGTACGGCCCGAGAACTCAAACTTGAGGGGCTGGCCCAGGGGACTGGGGTCGACATCGCCGCACTCGAGTCTCGGAGTAGAAGACATCTTGATAATTTTTTTAGGTTGAAGTAACTTGTGTTGGGTATTGGGTAGGTAGAGAAAAGTTATCAAAAAGAAGGTTTCAACAATGAATTAAACTCTGGAAACTATTCGAGATATCTCCGGCCGAGGTCAGGTCGTAATGGGTTTGCACTTGATCTCAGCTTTACCTGATTTGTATTTCTAAGCCGTGCTCAAATTTTTAAGCACGACTCGGCGGCAAAAGTGGAGCATTCACTGAGCGGACAGATAATCGTACCGAAGCCGATCCCGTGGTCTTCCTCATAGCTCGATTTGCTCGGTATTGAAGCCGAGGCATATTTATGGAGAACAGAGTACAAACCAGTACATAAGACTTGACTTGAGTGGCTAATAGAGTGCTCCCGAAACTTTCTGTTGATAGCAGGTTACCCAGAGGCCAGCGAATTAAGATTGAAGGCTAAGGGCGGGACCAAATCACTAAGCTAAGTTTCCACCACAAAAAGGGGGATTCCCGAGAAATTTTAGTAAAGAGCATCATACGCTCTCCAGGCTTAGTTTAAGATGTCCAAGGCGGTGGCCAGGGGGATAAGCTGATTCAAAATCACCGAGTTTGCCGAGCTCGACTCAATATAGTAGACATTCTCTATTTAGAAAATGACTCATCATGAGCGAGCATGGTATTAAAATTGCTATCGGCAATCTTAAGCGGGTGATATAGTTTGATTAAGCTCATAGGGGTTCTAAATGTGATTTGCGCTATAAGATAGTGTGCCTAGTACTATATGCGGTCTAAGAGGCAGCCCGATTTTCCCCCGCATTTTGCGCCATCCTGCATAGAACGATGTTCCTGTTTCTCTCGCGGCAATTAAACCTGATATGGACATTCTTGCCTTTATTGGAATGTGGAGCTGATCAATCACCCAGTTCGGCAAGGGAGCACACGACCCCTTGACAAACATTCCCGGGCTGTCCTGTTCTCGGATCACTTTGTCTGAGCGCTCCTAGTTAGTCCTGAGCCTCTAGTTGGCCATTGGACGGTTTTCCCTGGACAATTGAAGGTTAAATGTTAATAATAACGCTTTCGATAGGTATTGGAGGCAATGAACCCTTTTTCGTACGAATTCTTCCGTAAGCGCCCTGAAGGGATCTAGTAATTTTCAGATGAAAACTAACCTGAATCTAATTGTGTGGCACCTTTGACCAGCAAAAATAGCGCAAAATTGGAACCTACCAGCCGTGTTCCATAGTGTGTTCAAGATGAACCCTTCCACAGGACCTCCTTGCAAATCCAACTCTATATTAGGGACGAAGAAAGACTGCTCCTGTTTCCCCAGCATGCCCCACTGCTAATGTTTATTCACGTGGAGAATTCCATAAAGATTTGTAGTGACTCCTTCAACAGGCCGAATGCGGATGAAAGAAACCCAGGGGCACCGCATCTGTTCACCCAAAAGACCACAAGACCTAACCCAAGCCGCTATAATGTTTGTTTTTTGGTCTCTGTCTCGTAGAATCTATTGCACAAGCAAATCTGTATGTGGTAAGTAAGCAACCGTCTTCATACGCTCATCGCCTCTTTATTGACACGTTATACTAGTTTGGTAGATCTACCCTGTTATTCTCGAACCCTCGATAGAGCCTACTATGCGTGCTCTGTTTGACGTCCTTCACCATCATGATTGCCCCTCGCCAATCCTTTATTAGGCCGCTTCTTTTGTCGCTCCTGATAGTGTCGGCCATTTCTTCGAAAGCGTTACACCTATACCAGCACGGCGGTTCGCTCCCTCGCGCGCGACTTTTACTTTACTTTCCGACCTTCTTCATTCAGGAAGGAATTCTTTTCGCAGCTGCTCGGATTCTCCTTCAAAGATCGACCGGCGTGCGATCTGTCGCGGGAACGATAGCAATAGCTATAATTGCGTAAGTGTGCAGGCGTTCCCAGTCAAGTGGGAGAAGTGTACTAACAATCAAAGGTTTCTGACTTTTATATTGTCATCTTCTCAAATAGGATTTTACTGTGTGACCGGCAGCGAAGTCCGTTGGGATGCAGCCACGAGCGTGGGAAATGACCCGGAAGGACGAAAGCTCATGCTCAGCGGGTTGCGATCGTTTCTTGGTGCAGCAGGAGTGCTTATGGTTCTATCATGGGCTTGTACCACTGCGATATGGGTGATGGCCAACAGCTTATTCTCGTCTGTTTTCAGCACAAAGTTCACCGAGAAAATCGACGAGGAGCTCACGCTTGATCGTCTACAACAGAACACTCGGAGACAGCGTGTTGTTCGGATCTGGGCTCTTTGTGCTGTTGCGCTGACTGTTGGACTTCGCCTGGTGCGGCCACAAGTACCGTACAATCATATGTCTGGGGCTCTTCCATTTACCTTTTTCGAAGCACTGCGGTCGAAGTCAAAACCGGATCAGCTGGGTGATCAGGACTTCCCCTTGTCGGAGTTAATTGGGGAAGAGTACTGGGAAGCTCCTCATGGCCATTTCAAAGGATGGGCCCCTGGTGGAGATGACAAGATCGATACCATTGGCCGTCCTGAATGGGCTTCTGAATTCTTACCGCATGGCTTTCAGCGTTGGGAGAGTACGCTGGAGTCGGTATATGAGACCGAGGAAGGTCATGAACAGAAGCCACCGAAAAATTATTACAAGCCGGCAAACGATCCACTAAGAATCACAAACCTCAACCAGAATGTTGTTGAGCCAATTGCCCGGGCTATCAAGAACCACAATGTCCCGATCAATCATGTTTTCCTGGTGATGATGGAGAGCGCCCGGAAAGACATCTTTCCCATCAAAGCAGACTCCCACCTTCATCATGAGATTTTGTCATCTTATCATAATCCGGATCCAGCCATCATCCAGCTTGTGAATTCGAAGCTCTCTCATCTGACCCCAATTGCGGAGCAATTGACAGGTGAATCGAGCGGCTTCCGAAGTAGCGGCAATAGGTCCGAAGGCCTGTGGAAGGATACAGCCGAGTCTGGAATGGGTGGTATCAATGTCAATGGCATTCTTACGGGCAGTAGTCTTTCCTTCAAGAGCGCAGTCATGAATCATTGTGGCGTCGGCCCTATCCCGGTTGATTTTATGGATGAAGTCAAGGCCGAGATTTATCAGCCATGCATCATGCAAGTTTTGGATTTATTTAATCAGCTGAAAGGAGACTCGACCAGCAGCACCGGGTCCCGTATCGGGATTAATGATGCTCAACATCGCAACTGGACATCTGTCTTCCTGCAATCTATCACTGGTCTGTACGATGACCAAGATGTTCTCAACAATCAGATGGGGTTCAAGAAAGCTATATACAGTGAAGAAATTAGCCGTTCGAGTGCAAAGCATTACCATCCCGGTATGGAGGAAATCAATTACTTTGGGTACGTCGTCAACCGATATTTGAACGAGTCTCTGGATAAGGATACTGACATCACACAGCTACGCAGAACGTGAGGTGTACCCATACCTAAAAGATATCGTCAACGAAGCGATTGAAAACAAGGAAAGACTATTCTTCTCGCACTTCACCAGTACAACCCATCATCCGTGGTCCACGCCCGCCGATTTTCACGAAGAACAGTACTTCGCAGTCGACGGCCTGATGAGCAACCACGAGGACATGAATAACTACCTGAACACAGTCCGCTACGTAGACGGCTGGCTAGGGGATATCTTAAAGGTCCTAGATGACACCGGCATCGCCAATGAGACACTAGTAGTCCTCGTCGGAGATCAGTACGTTCCCCTCTCTTTACCAATTTACGACCTCAGCTAACCCAGACAGTGGCCAAGCCTTCAACGAAGACTCACCGGTATCAGGAACATACGAGAATGGACACATCAGCAACTTCCGAATCCCACTCGTCTTCCGACACCCACTCCTCCCTAAGATCCAGATCACCGCCAACGCCACTTCCATGTCCATCGTCCCCACGATCCTCGACCTCCTAGTACAAACCGGATCCCTCGACGACAAAGACTCGACAGCCGCACTAGACCTTCTCAACGAATACGAAGGACAATCTCTCATCCGCCCATACCAAGCTACGCACAATGGCCGACAAGCGTGGAATTTCGGAATCATCAATGCTGGCGGCACGATGCTTAGTGTCGGGTCCGCGGCCGTGCCTTATCGATTGATCCTGCCATTGACGGAAGACTTTGAATTCGTCTTTTCAAATCTAGATTCGGATCCCGATGAACTATACCCGATACGCGGGTGGTCTGCTGAAGAGCTCATCCCGCGTGTTAGGAGTAGACACGGCGAACAAGCTGCACAGTGGGTGAATGAAGCGGAGAAGGTCGGGCGGTGGTGGGTTGCAGAACGAAAACGACTTTGGAATTTCGAGTAGTATGAAACCTACATAAATGATGTATATAAAAGTGCAGAGAAAAAAGAAGAATATCAAAGCGATCTGATTGTTCTCTTTGTTTCCTGCCTCAGGCACCCCACACGCCCCACCTTCTCGACTTTCATCGCAACTTCCTCCAACACATACGGCATTCCTCTTCGCTCATCTCGTGTATGAAGAAGTACTGTCCTCGGGTCAGGTAATAATCTATTTCAGGCTCATCAGGCTAGATCTCAGATCCCGCCGCGTCCCGCACCCAAGAGACTTTACCCTGCTCTGATATCGAGTCCGATCCCCATGGCAGACACATACGCCAGTGACCCGGAATGGGCAGACATCACACCAATCCCATTAAATGATGGATCGGAGTCCGGCGCCATGCCCCTGGCCACAATCGCCTACCCGGACGAGTACCTCGACGCGACCTCGTACCTGCGGGCCGTGATGGCTGCGAACGAGATGTCTGAGCGGGCATTGAAGTTAACGGAGAATGTCATTTCTATGAACCCTGCACACTACACCGTCTGGTAAGGCACATCAAGATCCAATTTGAGTGAAGGTTTTAACATGCAATCAATATAGGATCTACCGTGCCAAGATCCTCTTCGCGCTTGACAAGGACCTCCTTGAAGAACTGGAGTGGCTGAATGGCGTTTCCCTGAAATATCTAAAGAATTATCAAATCTGGTACGTACCGTCCCTTGTTACAGGATCGTGAGAAGTAAAAAATCCAAATTAACACTATCAGGTCCCACCGCCAAATCCTCATGGCTTCAGAATCGCACTTCCCAACCCTCCCGCCAAAGGAACTATCTTTCCTAATGGAAATGTTTGCCCAAGACTCCAAGAACTATCATGTCTGGACATATCGCCACTGGCTCGTCCGTCGCTTTGGTCTATGGGATCACCCACGAGAGCTTGAAGATGTAGACGCGCTATTGAAAGCCGATGTCCGCAATAACTCTGCCTGGAATCATCGGTACATGCTGCGCTTTGGGCCGCGCGGCGACGAGCCCGATGCTGGGATGGTTGGTTCTGGGGTGGGTACGAAGGCCGGTGTTCACGGTGTTGTGGATGAGGAGATTGTTGATTCCGAGCTTGAGGTTGCGAAGAATGCTATTCTTAAGGCGCCGGAGAATCGGAGTCCGTGGTGGTATGCACGAGGTGTGTTAAGGGCTGCGAGTAGGGGGTTGGGGGAGTGGGAAGAGTTTGCGGGGTTGTTTGTTACGGGGAGTGTGATTAAGAGTACGCATGCTGTTGAGTGGTTGGCGGATGTTTATGCGGAGGGGAGGGAGGAGGAGGCTGTGCAGATGTTGACGCTTTTGAGGGAGAAGTATGATCCTGTGAGAAAGAATTATTGGGATTATCGTATTAAGATGTTGGGGCAGGTTGCTTGATTGAGTAACTAGGGCATGGGCCTGGCACTCTAAGTGGCACACGGGGAGTTTGGTTGTGATGTCAAGGACAAAAGTCGGATACAATTAATCTTTCTTTTTATTCTAAAGCAAGTGTTGGCCTGTATGCAAGATAAAATGATATGCAAAAAGAAGTCGTGACAAGATGAAAGAACAGCCATGAAGAAACCAAGAGACTAAAAGAGGTATATGTGAAAAGAAAAGAAAAGGAAAACTTTATAATCATAGCCCATAACCCGGGGCATCAAGCCCAACCCTCGGCCAGCAACTTCCGCCACTCGCCAGCGGTCTCAATAGTGACATTAGACCCTCCACAAACGATGATAACAATCCGGCTGTTTTCGTTGAGGTCAGGAATAAGCTGCTTCATTTTCGACTTGAATGCTGGTGACTTGGCAACAGCGACGTCGCCGACCTCCGCCTCAGGCTCGGGGTCAGTCTCATTATCGTTCTCCGTCGACGACAATCGGTCATCTCCGTAACCCTCATCACGGTGGCCAGTATCGTTGGGACCCCTCTTCCGCTTTTTGGGGCTTTGACCCACTGCCACGGGGTTCGCCGAAGCAGGGGTAGCGGTGGCAGCATCGCCGATGGCCGCTTCAACGCAGACACCGCAGGCCAGTTCGACGAGGAACCGCTCGTCATCGACGAGGCGGAGACAGCCTCGGGCGGCTTCGGCGTCTGTGAGAACAGCACTGTGCACCTTGATTCCCGGTGGGGGAGCAACGGCATATTGGAAGGTGGTTTCCGATACACGGATGGCACCGAGGGAAGTGGCTTGGGATGTGATCTTAGGGAGGGAGACGAGGGAGTTGGAGGCGATGGCGGCGGCCAAGGAGTCGGTGCCGTCCGTTTCGATGGCGAGGATGTTAATGGGTTTAGTTGTGAAAGGGGCATTCTGGAGTTTCTGGGGTCGACGTTTCTCAAGGCCCATGACCAGACCGTTCAGAAGACCGCCGCCGCCGACACTGCATAGCACAGCATCCAGAGGGAGCGCCCGCCCACGGTAAACTTCCTCCTCTTCGGCGTTGGCGGCCGGGGGCAGTTGCTTCTCGAGCTCGTCAATGATAGTGCTGTTTCCTTGCCAGATAGGCTCGTTGTCGAATGGGTGTAGGGCAATCTTGGCCACGTTCTCGTCGTTTCCGGAGCTCTTCTTCATGATGACTTCCTTCATATAAGAACCGGCCTCGAAGAAGTTCTCACCATGGCGGATGACGTCTGCAGCACCGGCCGCTAGGAGTTTGTCCACCATCAAGGGCTTTGTGGAGGTGGGAACGACGACTGTGCATGGGTATCCCAGGCTTCGGGCAGCGCAGACGGCTGCAAGTCCGGCGTTTCCGCCAGACGAGGCGTAGAAGTGGACGGGGCGGCCCGCATTTTCCGGCTTGTAGAGGTGTGAAAGAATCTGGTTGCCCATTGCACGGGATTTGAAGGAGCCACTGGGCTGGACGTTCTCCAGCTTCAGGAAGACCCTACATCCCGCGGCCCGGGAAAGGCAGGCGCTCTCGACCAGAGGCGTTTCGATCCATGGTGTCTTGAAGCTCTGCTTCTGTTCGCAGACAGTAGGCTCGTAGCTTCCCATGGCAGATAGAGAAAGCGAAAATAGTGGGTGTGTCGCTTGGTCGGAAAGGAACGATCTGTCAAGTATAAGATAGTCCCAAATTAGGAAGATATGGTGTCGTTACACGGGGTCCGGTGAGATATAAGTTCAATACAAAAATAGTAGCGAGGAATCCCGAACAATGAAAAACTAGTGAAACAAGTTCAGCAATAAAGACTTCCAATAGTATACAAATAAGAGGTGTTTTGATATACAAGGTTGGGTTTTCCGACGGGAAACGGCGAGTTTCCCGCCCCGATCTCCCAAAGGATGATAGGAGGTGGCCACCCACGGTTCTGGCCCATCTTTTCCCGCCGATAACCTTGTGGACAATACCCACGGTGACCTCAGCCTAGGGACGGTGCGTAACAGAATGGAAAACCTGACTGCACAGCGGACTCCGTGTGGAGAGAGCCCGGTAAATCTTCTCAATGGAGATGTAGCACCTGGCGGAGATGGTGCAAATCTTTATCCAAACGGGTCCCTTCGGTCATGATTGGCCTATGGGCTATTCCTCTTATCAAATCGAAAACGGGCGTGGAGTCCATTGTGGTCAAATTATTCCTCAGTGAGCAGAGGAGGGAAAAGGATTCCTTTCTTGACGCCCTCACCGTAATCCATGTCGGCGCCATACACCGCGGCCGAGAATGCCCGCTTGCTCGGGTTGGATGTATCTACGCGAAGGAGTTCCAGAAGCTCTTGTGACTTGTCGGGCATGAACGGCTGGAGCAAGATAGCGGCGATACGCAGCGATTCAGCCGAGTTAAACACGACCCATTCCGGATTGGGGGTTTTCCACGGCTCCGCCGCATGGAGGTATTTGTTAGTCTGAGGTAAAAATTGGAGTCAGTCAGGCGTCGTGCGGGGAGGGTCTATGCGTCCTACTTTCTCGATTATGCTCATAATTTCCTGCAGGGCGGCTCGCGGATTAAGCCCGGTCATATGCTCGGCAACCTTGGTCGGTGCTAGGACTAGCATCGCCTGGTGCTCCCTATCGGCGGCCGTTGTGGCCCCGAGCTTATCAGAAGTGGCGTCACGAATATACGAGTGCAACTTGCCCTTTGCACACCCAATTGTGCGGGAGGCAAGGTTTCCGATGCCTCCGAGGAGCCATTTCTTGTAATCGCGGATGATGAAGGAATTGTCGTAGTCCGCATCGTCGGTGAGGCCGCCCTGGTAAGCCAGGAAGAAGCGCATACCATCAACACCGAACCGGTCAATGGCGAAAAACGGATTCACCACGTTTCCGGTGGATTTGGACATCTTCTCGCGGTTCATAGTCCAGTGGCCGTGCACTAGCACATTCCGAGGAACAGGGAGGTCTAGAGCCATCAGAAAGGCTGGCCAGTAAACGCAGTGGAATCTGGGGGGATGATCAGCGGGCGTCGGCGCGTCGGGATTAGTAGGCGATGGCGTGGGCTTACCGTACGATATCCTTTCCGACTACCTGAACATCGGCAGGCCACATCGATGAGTTCTCTTGCCCAGGAGGGAAAGGATAACCCGCTCGCGTCAGATAATTCACGAGCGCATCCAGCCAAACATAGATCGTCTGAGTGTCGTCGCCAGGGACCGGGATGCCCCAAGTCAGTCGTTCGACGGGTCTGGAAATAGATAGATCTTGCAAGCCGGACTCAACCGACTTGATGACGTTCGTCGCATATTTAGAAGGCGTGATGAAAGAGTCCGGGCGACTGTACAGTTCCAGAAGACGATCCTTGAAGGCGGATAGGCGGAAGTGGTAATTGGTTTCTGAAGACCACTCGACCTCTTTGCCTGTTTCAACCGAGACCTGACACGTGTGAGCGGCGACAAATAATTAAGAACTGATACGCTCTTACCATCCGTTTCCTACCGGTCGAAGGATCAAGGGAGTTTTGCACCTGGGTTTCCGGGTAAAATGTCTCGTCGCTAACACAATACCATCCCTCGTGCTTCGACGTGTAAATGTAGCCTCGGTGTTGCAGCATTTCCTATCACTTTGTGAGTAGTGTTCGTATGGCGGTGCGCTATGTACCTACCCAGAAATACTGGACGGTCTCTCGGTGCACCGCATCTGTCGTTCGGATAAAGTGATCGTTGGAGAGGTTCGCAGCCTTGGCCAGAGCCTATTGATCGAGTCTTATGTTAGAGCTCTCTCCAAGAATAAGTTCGCGCACCCTGATATTCGTACCTCAAAGGTTCGGCAGTTCATGTCGCAAAAGGCCTGGGTATCCATTCCAGCCGCGAGGGCAGCTTGTTGAATCTGGCCATCGCCATTAGTCGAATTTCGAATAAAAGTATATTTCCAGTTTGTACCTTCATTCCGTGCTCGTCGGTTCCGGTCAACAGCTGAGCGTCCGTGTTTCCGAGTAAGACCTGCCATCGCTTCAAAATATCGGCGATGACCATCGTGTACAGGTGACCGACATGAGGGGCTAGTAAGAAAAGCAATAATTAGAATCGCACATTCAAGTCAATTTACAGGAACAAACTCACCAGCATTGACGTAGAAGATCGGAGTGGTCACATAGTACGGCTTCTTCAACTTTCTCGGGGTCGTTGCGAATGCGCGCCGGGCAGGTACAGACAGCCCATGCCTACAAGTTGAACATTTCCATGGCCTTTGAGCATTGAGGAGCCGAGTCGCCCTCGAAAGGGTGCTTAACGGTGCCTTGAAAGCCATTGAGGATGGGTGGAGAAGAAAAGGGCATCGCATGTTATTCCGCATCGCGATTCCGCAAATTGGTCCAAGCTCCTCCGCCCGCCATTTTTCTCTTTTTCTCTCCGGATCGATCACCTCATTCACCTCACTGCCTTGAGTCGCATATCCAAGCTCAACTTACACCTGGGGCTTATCCCTACCTCGTCAACTACCGCGTTTAATTAAGCGGCCATCGCGCTCACACTCCTTTTAACCTTACGCACGGCTCTTCACTATCGAAATGACCGCCTCAAGCGATACTCTGACCAAAGTGTCTACGGATGGTATGTCGCCAAGCTACATGGAATCTCCTGTCTGTTGGCAATGCTAACTCATTCCCGATTAAAGCCGCCACCGAGCTCGTGAATTCCTTCTATCCAGCCCTCGGAAAGAACCGCGACGCCATCGCATCCTTCTACTCGACCACTCCGACTTCGATCCTGTTGAACGGCAACCAGATCGAAAGCGGCGCCGCGGTGCAGAAGATTTTTATCGACTTGATGCCAGCTGCTCACTACGAAGCGCAGTCTTTTGACTGCCAGGTCATCAATCCTGCCTATCCCACCATTACGGCCAACGGCGTCAAGCCGCCTTCCGAGATGACCGTCAAAGACATGTCGATTCTCGTCATTGTGAGCGGTTACGTGCGATACGGTGAGGGCCGCGATCAGCCGCACCGCGGCTTCAGTGAAACTTTTGTCCTGGTGCCGAACCCTTCTACAGAGCGCGGCGGCCGTCGCAAGGGTTGGCTCATCCAGAGCCAAAACTTCCGGCTGGTGGTCTGATTTGATCCCCTTCGTCCTGTTTTTTTTTTTTGGAAAAGACAGGTGTGGAATTATGTCATGTATAATTATGGATCTTGGACAAGAAAAAAGACTGCAATTCGACGCAGAATACGGCGCATACAAAAAGTTGGAAGCAAACTTGGAAGATTGATTATCACTGTGCCTTTCGGATGATGGAGACACACCCACCCGATCATGGTGATCACGCTGCTGGGACCGACTTGCGCGGAATGCGCAGATTTGCTTTGACTCGCTCCAGCAACTCGTCCCGCGTCGCATTCTCATTTGGCATGAGCCCTCGCTGTGGAATTGTCAGCGGGAGATGGAAAAATACTGAGGATTTGATTGCACATACCGCCTGAAGCCATCGTCTCATTTCGTCGGATGTCCAGTCCTCAGGGTCTATTCTAGTTAGCTCTCATCTCGTCCTCACTGTGAAGATGACTTACTTCCGGTGGGGTCGGACTCGGCGGGAAACACATCGGTGCCCCAGATTGAATAGGCAGCTACTGCTGTGACCATCCCCGCAAAACCTGCATTTGGAATCTTATTAGACAAGTCTTTGGATTATTGAGCGAGAATTGAATTCAATCTATACCGAGGAAGAGGTTCTAGATCCAGTCAGTCCTTTGAACGCGTGGTCGTAAGTAGAGTATGGGTTACCTTAGAGTTCAAAGCTCGATCGAGCGGGGTAGGCATCCTGACTTGCGATAAAGGGATATGTATGGAGGAGAATTTAGATAAATTTCAGCTTAAATAGTTGTCTTGAGCTTGAGAAAATAGATGACAGTTCTCAGAACGCGATCAAGACAGGTAGCTTTGGATGACCCGACGTGCACCGCCACCGACGCCACTCCGTGGCTGCCTTGCAAATTGACTTAAAATTGTATCTTCCAACTCCTTACAGAGGCGTAGCTTAGACTTTGGGGAGGATCATGGAGATTTCTATAAATAACACACCCTTCCTTGGCTCTTCTTGCTACTCTTTCTGATCCTCTTTTGACTATTATTGGCTACGTTCTGTACCTACAGCATTGTTATATATACAGCCTCTCCTTAAACGCCGGGCGTTCAATGGATTGGATCATGCGGCACTGCAAACCGTCCTTTACCTGGTTTCCTTTACGTCCGGCATTGGAGTTGGAAGTGCCGTAATCCGAGGGCGTGGTACTCGTACTGTCGCGGACACCTCTAATAGTCCTCCAGGGTAGCCTTTTGGATATAATTTCGAATTCGGATGCACGTCGCCACTTGAAGCCCCTCAACCCTCAGCCTCCATGATCTGAGAAGACTGGAGAGCTCGGAACATAGGATGAAACCTCGAATATCAGGCCCAGCGCCAGTAATGCAGGGGCGACACGAAGCGGGTCAGCGGTGGCCAGCGTACAATTTCAATGAACGATGATGGCGGTCATCATTTGAGCGAAGACCAGCACCGGCTGGCAATTCTTTTTACAACTTCACTCCCTTCGCTGCAACGATTGAAGAAGAGAGGTGTTCCACCCCCGCAACCATTCATCGCAGAGCCAGACCCAGATCCACGTGACCGCCAGGGCTTTCCGGAGCAGAAACCCTAATCCGATCCACACAACTTCCTTCCTCGTCGAGCTTTCCTTCACTGTCACCTTATCGCCTCAATACCGTCACCATGCCTCGCGAAATCTCCGATATCAAGCAGTTCATTGAGATCTGCCGCCGCAAGGACGCCTCGTGTACGTGACCAGTTTTACGACCGAGAATTGAGAATTGGTGGACTAACACGCCTTTAGCCGCCCGGATCAAGCGCAACCGCAAGTCCCAGCAGATCAAGTTCAAGGTCCGCTGCGAGCGCTTCGTTTACACCCTGGCCCTGACCGACTCCGCCAAGGCCGACAAGCTCAAGCAGAGCCTTCCCCCTTGTACGTCAAGACATGCGCTGCGATTCTCCGGGTTCGACTATGGGAGCCTGGAGGATTCCAGCATGCGACATTGAATGCCCCGAACGAAAACTAACAATAATCGAACAGCCCTCAAGGTCGTTGACGTCTCCAAGGGTACCAAGAAGTCCCTGTAAATTCGATAATGGAATGAACGGATCGGAGTGCGACGCGATTGGTCGATGAGGACCAACTGTTGGAGGGATACATGGACATGATCTCTCTGCGAGCCGACACGGGGACGGGCTGTCTTCGCGTCTACCGCCATATCCCGGTCAGACGACTCGCATTTTCATCACGCACTCGAGGAATGTCTTTGTCGGGGCTTCCTGTCTACAATGAAAAAAACAGTTGAAACATTCTTACTGGTATCCTCTATGAGGTTCCTTTACCCTATTCATTATGGGACCCAAAATCATTTCCCGGCATACTACTCTGTTTCCTTCCAATTGTAGTTCTCCGTATTGGAGTTCGACCCACTCGTTACACCTGTCAAAGGTTTGTTGCGAGAAGCTTCCAGTAGACAAGGCTCATGAGACATGTCTCGGATAATCTCATTCTTCAAAGATTGAAGTATGATATGGCCTCAGTTATCCAAACTACCAGGGAATGCTTATTGTAGATCATTCGAGGGATTCTTACAGACCTATTCGGATTTTCTTCATAGACTCGCAACGTTCGAATTTGTGATGAAACTCATACCCGGTTTCGGGCTCTTCTGATACAACCATTGACCTTGTTAACAATGATCAAGTCAACAAAGGCATGGAGAGCTCCCTTCTTGAAATCTTTCGGTCCCCTCTAGAAAAGAAGACCCGATGCCCTTCCAGTCCAAGCTTACTATTATTAGTAAAAGTTCCAAGGCTTGAAATAGTTATGTCTTTCCAAATCAATTTCCAAGACCTTTGGAGCGATAGCTCCAGCGACTCAATGGCTTTGACCACTGATGCAAATACTTCTCCAGCTTCATTACCTGAGCATCCCTGTATACCAACTGATGAGGATGAATCATGATCATTAGGATTGTTTGACCTCCTACCAACCGATATCCTCGATATGACTTATGACATGATCCTCAGCGGCCTGTCCATGGGAGACAATAACGGAAAAATAGCCCATCAAGATTTCTGCGCTCTGCGCCAACTCAGACGCGTCAACAAGGCAGGATCCTGGGAGGTGGATAGATATACCAATCGCCCGATCCCGTCATCATATCTTGAGACTCAATTTACTACCCTCACAGCTGAAGAATACATAATCGCGGAATACCCACTACACTACGCAGAGATTCTGGGAAGATACAGTAATATTCAAAATCAGATTTACCTTCAAACTCTTGGACTCTAACTCCCAAACCCTAATTTAAAACACGCTAAGCCCAGTGTCTAGAATAAAAGCTGTATTTTACATGACGGGGATAGGACCTTCTTCTGGGTAATTTACATGAAACTGCTATACACTGGATATCACTCCCAAGTCGACCTGAGGATTCGGTGCATTGGCTAGTACTCGACTTTTCCCATTGAATCTGTGTTTATTGAAATGTCAGGATCCATTGAGAGATCCTCAGGGTAATGAGCCGATGGATTACGACGCAGTACTCCCTGGTTGGTCTGAATTACAATATAGCCGGTCTTTTAGGAGCCACAGAGCTATTTTAAACTCGACAGTTTCATTAAAAATACTATAGCTGCTATCTCCCTGTCGCTCCGTGCACGTTAACTCCCCAGACTCAGCCTCTGCTATTTTCTCATCAAGGTTTTATCTGAAACTGTCCAAGTGGACTGCATAAGATTTGCCTAGAGCTACAGTAAAGGGCATCCGGGCCAGCAATTTCACTCTTCTCTACTGTACTGATAAATTGAAATGAGTAGTGCAAGAGAGGAGTTGTTTAATAAATATGTTTCAACCTTTAGGATTGATGGCTGAGCATCGCTGTGAATGACAGGAAGCGAAAAATGCTGCTCACATCGCAAGAGGGGACAATTCGTCAAACGATTGCATTCCAAAAAGCCATTTTCCTCCGATGGCACTCCATCTGATCACTTCGCCAGCATATTTTCTCATGGCTTCCTCATACTTATGAATGCTGGCAGTATTGATTCCACCCTCACTCAAGGTTCGCGCCAAAAATGCGGCATCCCTAAGGGCCGTTGTAGCCCCAGCAGCAGAGGTGGGCGACATGGCATGAATTGCATCACCGATCAGAGTGACGCGGCTTGATGCCTCCCACAAAAGTATATCAGGCTTCACAGTCGCAATCCGCAAAAGAGATGTTCGGCTTGTATCTTGAAATGCGAATAAAGCGTGAAAGGACGGATCCCAATTTGCTGTCATTTCTTTAGCCAGATTGGCTACCTCCTTGGCTGAAAGCTTCAATAAGTCGTCGTCTGAAACTTCGAAGTTGTCTTTTCGCGAGACGAGGACCCAGTAAACGTAGTCCTCGGGAACATTCTCATTTAGCTCGTCACGCTTGAAACGCATTGGCTCCAACAGCAGGCTCAAAGGGATCAGCCCCGAGCGATCCTGTACAAGAGTCATACCATTAAGAGCTCTCTCCTGAAACTGATCAAGGAAAGCTCTTGTGATTGTGGTTTTTCCGTATATCCATCTTGCTTCCGTATCAAAGAGCTGGAACTCAGGCAGGAACTGTTTTCTGATCCGGGAGAATGTACCATCTGCTCCGATAAGTAAACAGCCTTCCTGCTCAGAGCCATCCGAGAAACACACTTTGACACCTCTGTCGGTCATGGTATATGAGGAGAACTCCTTCCCGAATTGGACGTTATCCTCAAGACCATGGATCAGAACGTGTCTGAGCACATTGCGGTCGGCATTGAGGGGTTGAATTTCGCCAGTAGGTGGAGGTCCAATTTTCATTTCGACATCTTGGCCATTTAGAGCGTTCAAATGCGTGTTCGGCCTAATGCCGGTAGAGCAGTAAGCGCAACGGGAAACCAGAAGCGAGTAAAGCTCCGGGGAAAGGGCTTCACTCAGCGCCGCAATGCCATCACCATTGATTCGGACCCGGTAGCCCTGGGCACGAAAATTGAGAGTCGGGTCCCGTTCAAAGACGCGAAATGGAATTCCCCGCTTTGATAAAGCTTGCGCTAGGGCGAGGCCGGAAATCCCAGCGCCGCATATCAGAATCGGCGCGGTTTGGTCCCCCATGTCGAAAGGCCAAGATCAGGAATACGATAAGCTACCTTCAGCCGGCAAGGAAGATTTTATGAATCTACGAAGTCATTTCCTCGGCACTCGCTCTGAAGAGACGAGCGAGATTCGCTGGTTCGGTCTCCTCGAGGGCCGAATCGGTATCCTGACTTCGGGATTTTCCGAAAGAGGAAAATCGCCGGAGATGTGTCGGATCGGAATATGGTTGGAGCGGGGTTTCTTTCCCCTGCAAGAATTGCTCATGCTTTTAGTTTGATAGAATGTACGGAAGCTGAAAATTAATCTCATGCTGACACCAAGCAGCTTAAAGCAGTCTCAAACACGCAATCTGTACAAAAAGCAGGATTTAAGACGCAGGCGGAGTTAGCTAATGAGAGCTGTCAAATTCACAACTACTCCACAAGATACCAAGAAGTAAGACATCCATGGATCTACTAACAACAGACGCAGATCATTCAATGTTGAAAGAGCGAGACTGAAACGACCATTGTCTCGTTTCCAAATGCCGAGCCTGGAAAACAGTTGAATACTATTGACATTGACCTGAAATACAGTCATTGAAGTTCAATTTTGTCTAAATCGGATGACTGCCGGATCCTGCCAAACCTAATTACCTCGACACTTCAGCTTCGAGTGATCACGCTGAATGAAACTTCAAAATGTCCCGAATCATCAAGTTCCTTAAACTAGTCGTGGCGATCACTTCTCTTCATGCCACGGGAAATGTGAACTAGCTCCCGCCCCGCAGTGCTTGGCACGTCGCATCTTTCATAGCATCGTCTCATTTATCCGGCTTTGCAAGGATGTTATTAGCAAGTATATACTGTCGGCCCGATGCCCCGAAATTGATCACTGGATGTTACTATTCCCTGTTGTATTCATTACTCATGCTCGCACGGTGCCTGTCTCTGAATAGCTATAGTCGAGATCATGGGACGATTATCAGGGTCCTTCCCACATTTCTCTATGTACCGGATCCCATTCAGGGACGTGCCCACAGAACTACTGGATGTGGACCATAGACCCACAGCTCCAAAAGGGTGAAACTCTAGGAATTTCAACTTGACGCCTGCAAGGGTCTGGATAATCTCCTTGAGACTATCCCAGTAACAGAGCGGAGCTTGGCAAAGGGAATAGGAGATGCATTATAATCCACACTTCATCTAGATGCCATGAGAAAGTTATAAAGGGCAGCTAGATTTCGCAGATATCGAGTATGAGCAGACTCTACAGACTGATCCAATCAACTAAAATGTCTTTCTCCAAAGTTGCAACACTTTCCACTCTCCTAGCCTCAGCCTCAATGGTTGCAGGCCACGGCTATGTCTCAAGCATCGTCGCCAACGGCCAGAAGTAAGCCCTTCTCCATTTCGCCAGCCCATCACCATACTGACCGTAACTCCAGTTACACCGGCTACCTTGTCAACGAATACGCGTACCAATCCAACCCACCCAAAAGTGTCGGCTGGGCCACAACAGCCACAGACCTCGGCTTCGAAGACGGTACCGAATACCAATCTCCCAACATCATCTGTCACCGCAACGGCGTCAACGCCGCCCTCTCCGCAACCGTCTCCGCTGGGTCTGACATCGACATGCAATGGACGACCTGGCCAGACTCCCACCACGGACCCGTCATCACTTACCTGGCCTCTTGCGATGGCGACTGCAGCACAGTCGACAAGACCAAGCTTGAGTTCTTTAAGATCGACGCTGTCGGTCTTGTGGAAGACTCGAGTGTTCCTGGGACCTGGGCCACAGATAAGTTGATCGCTGCTGGGAACCGGTGGACGGTGACGATCCCGGATTCTATTGCAGCAGGCAACTATGTTATGAGACATGAGATCATTGCGTTGCATTCGGCTGGTACGAAGGATGGAGCGCAGAATTATCCTCAATGTTTGAATCTCAAAATTACTGGTGATGGGAGTGATGTTCCTGAGGGCACGCTGGGTGAGAAGCTGTATACTGATACCGATGCGGGCATTCTGGTGAACATCTATACTACCATTTCGAACTACGTTATGCCCGGTCCGGCTTTGTTCAGTAGCTAAGCTGTTAGCATAGTATGAAGGTTGATACTGGCTGTCAATTGTATTTGAGGTTGCAATCCAATTCTGACCTGTGTTTTTTTGGAAAAGGCGTATATCTCTGTAACGTTAGTCTAGCGCGGGATGAATTGCCTCAAGGGCAATGCACTCCATCTCTACCATAACCATCAAACTCCTCCACGATATCTTATCTATTCCTTCCGCTCATACACAACCTCCTTATATCCCTCAATTCCTGCCTCTTTCATAGCCCCCTCAACTCCCAAATCCATCCTCCGCAACTCAAACTCCCCAAAGAAATTCGGTTCCTCTTCAACCTTCACAAACCGAAGCCCCTCAAACAATTTAAGACTGCGCTCATTCTCCTTCCCAATCTTAACACTCAAACAGGCAAACTTCTCCCCCCTACCCTCCAACTTCCCCTTCATCTCCTCGTCAAGACTTCCCAGAAACTCCCCACAAATTAACCCTTGTCGCTCAGCAATATACTTCATAAACGCCAGCAGCGCAGCCTTTCCAAACCCCCGACGCTGGTTATTTTTCTCAGCGATCATAAGCTCGATCTCGCCGACGATTTCAGGTGGCGATAGACCATCTGCGCCGTCGTCGATGCGAAGGAATAGGTTAATGTCTCCGATCATGTTTGAGGGCGAGTCGCTTTCAGCATTGAAGTTGGCTGTGGAGATGGGTTGGCAGGCGATAAAGGTTAGTTTGTCTGCGTCGAGGCGCCAGCTGCGTTGCATGGAGTATTCTTCTTCTATGGAGAGGGGTTCCGAGGCCGTTGCTTCTTGGATTTCCTGTATCGAGGTTAAATCATGGGATTGGGGATAATTTTGGATTATTCTTGGTGGAGAGCTTACCTCGTCTTGCATCCATTCGTGGTAGCGTGGGACGTGCCATGTTGAGTAGGGGACTAGGAGGACTTTTGAAGTTGAAAGGGCTAGTTAAGGTAAATGATTTCAGTATAATTTAGACATTTGTATGTATTTATTGGTCCAAAAACAGGGTGTATAGACGCGGGAGTGGGGTTGGGGGATGCGTACCGGTCTCGGCGTTGAGAAGCATAGTGACGAGGGCCCGGAACAGGAACTTGATGTTCCTGGGAGTGTACACAGCGCGGCTTGTGCAATTGCCTATGAGCGAAAGTATCTTCAAGGCTGTTCTATCTGTCTTGTGTCTCGTCGAGAATGTACAATTGTACGAGGTCGCCGTCCCGCCGCCGATTTTGCTGAACTGTGGGGCTTGGCAACGGCCGAATCTACCTGCTGCTATACATTCAACGTATTAAGCCCTCTACAACCTTAGAACTAGCACAAGGATTTAGTCTAATTTCATGTCATTAAGTCACTAGTGCTGAAATGCTATTTTATCAACCCTTCACTTTTTCTCTTCCTGTCCCGCAAAAGTACCAAATCGAATCACCTCAACATCCAGAGTCTCGGTGTCGACAAGAACCAATTCTCCAGTTTCCTTAAACTTGGGAATGGAAAGCATACGTACACGAGCCACCGTACTACCGGGGATATCGGACATCTCGGTGTCACCCCCGTCAAGGCGGAGGGGAATTTTGCTCTCGATCGTAGTGGTCTTGAAGCTGGGTTGGTTGCCAGCGAAGAAGATGTGCGGGCAAGATTCGAGAACGAATGGGTCGACGGATTGGAATGGGTATGACCCTAGATATACTGTTAGCGGGTAAGATTCTTCGGGGGAAGAGCTGAATGATACATACAGATTGTATCAGGGGCGGTGGGGACGCCGCACCGCCATCGCAACATGGCGTCCATGATCTGTAGCCGAGCCTCGGAGTCCTCTCTTTCTGTATCAAGACTGCTGTCTTCAATAGGGAAATCCAGGTACCTGAGCACGTCGTCGACATTTTGGCCACTGCATCCCCACACACGCCACCCTTCCACGTCGCCCTCCCATGGATTAGTGACGCTGTCAAACCAGCCTGGTTCTTGCTTATCGTCCCCGGATGCAGGAGGCGCACAGTACGCGCGAGATTGCGGGAACATGGCGCGGTGAATGCCCTGCTGGGGAAGAGAGAAGTTTGCTGGGTCTTTATCACCCGGCATGAGTGTCACGGGAATGCTGGGGAGAATCTCCGCGAGGAAATTGTCGAGTGTTGTGATTGGAGATGCATTGTATGCAGAGGCATCGTAGCCGTATTTTTTTGGTACAAGCTTCTTCTTAGCAGCCGCGTCAGAGCCCGCCGACACTGCCTCTGTGGTGATGCTGGCTCCGAGAGAGTTGCCGGCGATGATGAGACGAGTGATCTTTGACGCATTCACAGACGGGCTGTTTTCTTCGTTTTCTGAGAAGCCAGTGTATCCCAAAAGATAATCTGTGAGCAGTTCCAATGCGAGTGTATCGCTCGATGTCCCGGTGATGCCTAGTCCACTGACGAATGCAATTTTGCCGCCTTCCTTTGAACCCGCGTCCGTTCCATTTTGTTTCCTATCTGCTCCATCTCTCTCCCACCGTTGAGGCTGCGGGGGCAAATCCGGAACTTTAATGTCGAGCACCTCGAATTCACCATCCGAATTCTCGGTTCCCAAAGCCGCGATGATAGCACCCGTGGCCAGCTGTACGGATGTGAGCATTGCACCAGTCAGGCGGAGACGGCCTGATTCATCCTCCATCATGATTACGGTAGCAGATGGGTTCGAAGGATCGGTATACGTGCGGCGCGGAGGAGGAGCGGACGTGAAGTTCTGGCGAGAGTTAGAGGAAGCTCAAGTCAATCAATGGGAAGATACCAACCTCTTTAGTCAAGTCGTCCAAAATGTTGGGCTTCAAGGGCATATCCATATAGATCGTGCCGGCTACCCAGCAAAGCTCACCCTGTCGCACATCCAGTACTCGGTCCACGCGCCGCGCATTCTCGCCCGCAATCTAAATCACATCCCAGTCAGATAAACTCAAGCTTCAGGAAGGTCCAACTGCAGGAAGCCTTACGCTGAATCCATCCCATGCCGCCGCAGCAACTTGTTCGACAGCCGGCTTCAGTTTAGCGAGGCGCAAGAAGTACATGTCATCATATTGCTGCTGGTAGTGTCGATCGTTGCCCATAGGCAGCCGGAAGGTGTGAAGGGGATTGTATGACGAGGGTGTTCGGTAGGCCGGTTCATATTCCTCGTTGCTGATTAAAACAGAAGAGCTCAATCATCAGCTTGAGCTTGATCACCAGGGAAAGGGCGCGGGCTGCTCGCACGGCGACCGCGTAGGCTGCACGGCATTTACATACCAGGAAGGCCGCAAGAAGCCAAATTCTTCTTCCGGGGCCATTGTTCAGAACGGATCTGGCGATCCTGGAGCAGTGGTAGGGTTGGGTGGAAGTTGCGGAGCGAGGCAACTGTTCGACGCGAAGCCCCACGCGAGGCGCGTCTAAATTACATTCCCGCTTTGGGACGACCTCCTTAGATAGGATCTTCAAGTCGGCAATTTCCAGCCTTCACGGCTTGTGTATAGAAAATTGGACGATTCTTGTGACTGGTAGGATGGAAGTTCAAGTTCAAGTTTATCAATATATCAACTTTCAATACGCCATGAATGTACATATGGGATACGCCCAGTTGCCAACTGCCTCTTCCCATAGCGCTCTAAAATGTTCAAATATTCTTTCTCCCGAGGTCCTCTCCAGAGACTGAATAGATCTCTTCTTGTGTTGTATCTATTTTAAACGTTCTCAAGCTTTTCAAATATTTCCTTTACACATACATTGGCAGTATTGAGGTAAATCTCGAAGGGTTTGGTGTTGTATATATTTTGTGCCCATCGAGATCGACACCCCAAAACATTCGAAACACCCAAGGGAATCTATAATTGTACCGTCGAGAGTAATTTTGTGCAAAATGGGAAATACAATAAAGATCGTTCGAATTAAGCTAGGCGCCAGAGAAATGCCACAAGTGACCTCACCAGGCGATACCTAGGCAATGGATGCGCCCGCGCGCACGGACAAGAATCAATCGCATGTGGTGAAAAACAATTCGGCTATATGGAAGGAAACAAGGCGAGTCAACGAATTCTCTCATGGAAACTAGCGCCAAAGAAAACGCCATGGAGTCGGCCAATCACTACAGGTAGAGTCGATGTATAAAAGTATGCGACATTCATAAGGAGACCGAGCGATGATGCCTCGGTCCGGCACTGAGCTTCCCCGCATTCTTCAACCAGCGCAAGTATAGATACCAGGTCGCGAAGCTCTTCAATGCTCTAAGCATTCCTTGACCCCAAAAGCCATTCACCAAATCTGCGATATAAAATTACACGTTCCATCTACCGCAAACCTTCCACAAAGCTCCACCTTGGAACCCCGACCACCAACATGTCTCTCCACACACCCCTCTGCACCCTCCTCAATATCCAACACCCAGTCCTCCTGGCGGGTATGGCCCGCGCTTCTGGCGCCGAGCTGGCCGCCGCAGTCTCAAACGCAGGTGGCCTCGGCACAGTCGGCGGTCTGGGCTACACACCACAACAGCTATCCGAGATGCTGACGGAGCTCAAAGCGCTCCTCAAGGACCCCTCACTACCCTTCGGAGTAGACCTAGCACTTCCCCAAGTCGGCAACGGAGCCAGAGCTACAAACCACGACTACACACACGGCCAGCTAGACGAGCTAGTCGAAGTTGCCATCTCGCACGGCGCGAAGCTATTCGTCTCTGCTGTCGGCGTGCCGCCTGAGAAGACTATCAAGCGGCTCCATGAGGCTGGCCTTCTTGTTATGAATATGGTGGGGGCGCCCAAGCATGCAGAGAAGGCGTTCCAGCGGGGCGTAGATATTGTATGTGCGCAGGGTGGTGAGGGGGGTGGACATACTGGGGAGATTCCGTTCTCGGTTCTGATCCCTGCTGTTGTTGATGTGGCGAAAAAGTATAAGAGTCCGCTGACTGGGTTGCCGGCGCAAGTTGTTGCTGCCGGGGGTGTGAATGATGGGCGCAGTTTGGCTGCATCGCTAATGTTGGGCGCATCGGGTGTATGGGTTGGGACGCGGTTTGTGGCTTCGGTGGAGAGTGGTGCGAGTCGGCTGCATAAAGAGGCTGTTGTTGGTGCGAAGTTTGGTGAATCGCAGCGGACACTGGTTGTTTCTGGACGGCCGTTGCGGATGCTGCCGAATGATTACATCAAGGAGTGGGAGAGTCGACCGGCTGATATCAAGGCCTTGACGGATAAGGGGGTTGTGCCGATGATGGATGATTTGGAGAATGAGAAGGATGTTGATATGCCTTTCTTGATGGGTGATGTGTCGGCTGCTATAAAGGAAATCAAGCCTGCTGGTGATATTGTGAAGGAGATGGTGCAGCAGGCTGTCCAAGTCTTGAGGGTGGGCAATGGCTTCATCAAGGCAAATGGCTCGAGTAAGCTTTAGATTACGATAAATTTTTACAGGAATGGGAGCGACGATACATGGGTATATCCTTAGGTTGTTAATATGACACAGTTGTACTTGTACAGGAAACAATTGAACTTGAACGAATCCATGATGAACTGTAGAGGAGATTACTAAATCCTGGAGAAAGCCATGGCTTGATATCGTTGATACGATCCCAAGCAATGACAGATACTCCTCCAAGAGTAGCCAGGTATTACGCTGTATACACACCGTCCATCATGTAATCAAGACATCTTTGCGAGCTAGACCGAGAGTGTTTTCACAGAAGAGTAGGTAGGATCTTTGGCCGCGTAGTCACATCGGAATTGCATGAAATTGGTAAAAAGTTGAAAACATCAATTAATGGACCCCATTGAGAACGGCATTCTTAGAAGCCCGGGCCTCCAGCAGATTAGGAGGCGGAGGGGGTCCAAAGATAGGTCGCTCAGTAGGGCCAGTGTGAGGAATGCCGCGATCGTTATCGTCGAGGTCACCGTCCTCACTCAACTCGTCTTCATCCTCGTAATCATCATCGTATTCGCTCTCGGTGCCTTCGTCGTCGTTGTCGAGATGATCGTCGCCTTCAGCGAGACCTTCACCACGTCCCTGAGCCTGCATTCGGCGGCACAGGGCTTCTAGGTGTTGACACTTGCGTTGCCAACTCTCCAATTCCTCCTTGTTTTTTGTGCGTTCTGCCGCCATCTCGAAAATGTTTCGATTAGTTTGCTCGTGCTTGCGGGTGAGGGTGTTGTTTTCCTTCTCCAAGCGCTTGGTCTTTTTGGACATTTCCTCCATTTCCTTGCGGAATGTTAGAAACAGCTCATTGCTGTTGTTCAAAGTATCCTCTACCTGTAAAATTTGTTAGCTACGCACAGAAAGAAGAGTCTCAAAACAACACATACCTGTTTGAATTTCTCCACATAAATGTTGAGCTGACTGCGTAGCTCTGCTTCGGTGTGGGAGAAGGTTGAAACTTGGGCGCTCAAAGCACGACCCCGCGTGGTCTCACTCTCTGCCGTTCGACGCTGCTCCTCGAATTTGGATGTCAGGCTTTGGATCTCGGAGTCCTTGCTACGAAGAAGAGCTTTATAGTGCAGTTCACGGGTATCAAACTGCTCGCTGATAGTCTTCAACTTGACACGTAGCCTGGAGCGTGACCGTTAGCAAACATGGGGCGAAAAATGACGTGCATCCACGGCGATAGAGCCACAGAATGCGAGCGAGGACCGCGAACGCGGGGAGTGAGAGTGTGGCTTACGCTTCATCCAACTCAATATCCGCCTTCTCATTGCGAGGGTTTCCTTTCGAATTCATGACGTCTTGAATGTCGTACAAGAGGCAGTCGAGGCGTTCATTGACGATCAGACGAGCTTTACTTTCTGTGTCTTCGAGCTTTTTATTTTCATCCTGAGCCGATTAGCACTGCGTTTCGCATGGAAGTGCCTGTGCCTGTGCCTGAGTCTGTGCCTTACCTTCACTTTCTTGTTTTCCTTTGTCAATTCACGACACAGCTTCTCAAGCTTATCCTTCATTGTGACCGTCTTGTTGAGCTCCGACTTTCCCTTCTCCTGATCCTTCTGCAATTGATCGGCTCGCTTCTTGCTTTTGGCGTAATCCCGGTCCAGCTTCTTCATATCGGCCAACAACTCGGTATACTTCTTGTGAACGGTTTCCAGGCGGGTCATCGGCGATTCAATGTTGTTCAGGAGCTGATTGAGATCTCGAGTAGCTTTCTTCACCTCACGTTCTAAATCGTTAGGCTCATGTTAGTCACAGTACAGGCAATATATCATTTTATACGCTTGTCGAGCGGGGGAACCCCGCCACACCACAAGGGTTGTTTGCACGCACCGATTTCTTGTTCCTGATCCTTCTCGCCGGCCGCATCCTGCTCCAGCTGCGAGATCTTGGCCGCTAACAGTTTGGATGTCTCGTTCGGATCGGCCGCTTTCTTCCCCTTGTTCTTCTTTGCCATAGTTGTTGACGACATGATGCGCAAGTCTCCGACGTCTCACACGTCTTCCTCCGTCTCGATATGCGGTCGTGGTGGTCGCGTGGGCAGTTCCAGATGTCGAAAATTTGCGACCAACGTTGTGGCAGTCACGTACGCATGGGCCGGGCTCAATCGGGCAAAGGGCGAATGAATTTGGATCCCAGAGGCTCGGCGGGCTCAGCAAGGAGATCACCTCTGGGGTCGATGGAGAATACGCTTCTTGAACAGGCGGGTGCACTTTTGTACAGTTCCTTCTTCGACTCAGAACTCGACGAGGGGGTCCTTAGTCATCGAACCAACCGCCGTCAAATCTTCCTGTTAACCACCTCAAGACTTTGAGCGAATACTCAAGTTTGATCTGAATTCTGCGTTACACGGCAGTGGATCTGATCGAAGCGGAGTTCCACTTGTCCGCAAGTTCCTTCTACAGAGTCACGAGGGGAGGAGCGATGACATAAGCTGTGTTCTCGGTCCGATCTTTCTACTGCTTTCTTTTCCGACACTCCGAACACCACTTCTCTCATTTCCAGCTTCAGAATTTTGTGCGGATTTAGGTTGACGGCTCCGATGAACCATTGTTGAGCTCGCTTAACCTTCCGACACGATGCTACGCTCTACGATGGGCTTGGGCAAGACCCGAGTCCCGGCTTTGCGCCAACCGGCATACAGTCGCCTCTCCGCGTTGAACTCTGCGATCCCACGGACACGAGCCTTCGTACGGGCGGCTTCGACCGTTACCGACATTGACAATTTCCCTGGAATCGGCGAGAAGCTCCACGGCTTCACTGTCCGCGAGAAGAAGCACGTCCCAGAGCTGCACTTGACCGCGGTGCGGTTGACTCATGACAAGACCGACGCGGACTATTTGCATGTTGCGAGGGACGACAAGAACAATGTTTTCGGCATCGGCTTCAAGACAAACCCGCCCGATGCGACAGGTGTGCCCCATATTCTGGAGCATACCACCCTCTGTGGCAGTGAGAAGTAAGCACAAGTCTACCAACATTGGTCATTGCGCAGCTAACATCTATCTTTATAGGTATCCTATTCGCGATCCTTTTTTCAAGATGCTACCGCGCTCTCTTTCCAACTTTATGAACGCCTTTACCTCCTCCGACCACACTACCTACCCATTCGCCACTACCAACTCGCAAGACTTCCAAAACCTTCTGTCCGTCTACCTCGATGCCACCTTACATCCACTTCTGAAGGAGGAGGATTTCCGGCAGGAAGGATGGAGGCTGGGCCCTGAGGACCCCCGGGCTTTGCAGGCGGCTCCTGGTGAGCCCGAGCAGAAGGCCAAGCTGGATGACATCGTCTTCAAGGGTGTTGTCTACAACGAGATGAAGGGTCAGATCTCGGACGCCAACTACCTTTACTACATCAAGTTCAAGGAGAGCATTATTCCGGCCCTAAATAACTCGGGAGGCGACCCTGAGTATATCACGGACCTCACACACAAGCAGCTGACCGACTTCTCGAAGCACAACTACCACCCGAGCAACTCCAAGATCCTGACATACGGTGATATGCCCCTCGAGCGTCATTTGGAGCAGGTTGGAGCAGTTTTGGATGGATTCACCAAGGGTCAAGTTGATACCGATGTGAGAATGCCCCTGGATCTCAGCAAAGGATCTCTGAACGTCACAGTCCCTGGCCCTATCGACACATTCGCGAGTGAAGACAAGCAGCACAAGACCTCTACTTCTTGGTACATGGGTGAGTCGACTGACATTGTGGAAACTTTCTCTGTCGGAATCATCTCCTCTCTGCTCCTTGATGGGTACGGCTCTCCTATGTACCGGGCTCTTATTGAGAGCGGCCTTGGCTCTTCCTTCACTCCTAACACCGGCCTTGATGCCTCCGGAAAAGTCCCGGTCTTTTCCGTTGGTGTTACCGGCATCGGTGAAGCAGAAGCTCCCACAGTTAAATCCGTTATTTACCACGCTTTCCAGGAGTCTGTATCGGCAGGCTTTAGCGAGGAGAAGGTGCGAGGCTTCCTTCACCAGCTGGAGCTTTCGCTGCGTCACAAGTCTGCGAATTTCGGAATTGGAGTTATGGAGAAGACCATCTCTTCCTGGTTCAACGGATCAAACCCGATGAAGGAGCTGGCCTGGAATGATGTTATCGAGGAGTTCAAGAGAAGATATGAGAAGCCCGGATATCTCGAGTCCCTGGTAGAGAAGTACCTTCTCAACGATCAATGCATGACCTTCACAATGGTTGGCACTCCTACATTCAATAAGGATCTGGATAAGGCGGAAGCTGTGCGCAGAGAAACCAAGCTAGCCCAGCTCATCGAAGAGCACGGATCTGTCGAGAACGCTGTCGCCAAGTTGAGTGAAGAGGAGTTGCAGCTGCTCAAGGTGCAAGAGGACGCCCACAACGCAGACTTGAGCTGCCTCCCGACACTGCGCGTGAAGGATATCTCCAGAGAGAAGGAGCGCAAGCCTGTGCGTGAATCCAAGGTTGACGATGTTGACGTCCTTTGGAGAGAGGCCCCGACCAACGGGCTGACCTACTTCCAAGCCGTCAACGCCTTCGAGGACCTTCCCGACGAACTGCGACTTTTGATGCCGCTGTTCAATGACTGTGTCATGCGTCTGGGTACCGCCAACAAAACCATGGAGCAGTGGGAAGATCTGATCAAGCTGAAGACCGGAGGCATTTCGACTTCCTCCTTCCTTGTGTCCTCGCCGACCCACTTGGACCAATTCAAGGAAGGAATGAACTTCTCTGGATACGCCCTGGATAAGAACATCCCAGAAATGCTGGAGATGTTGTCAACTCTTGTCATGGAGACGGACTTCTCGAGTCCTGCTGCGCCGGCTATGATCCAAGAGCTTTTGAAGCTGACCACCAATGGAGCCCTGGATAGTGTCGCAGGAACTGGCCACCGCTATGCTGTCAATGCCGCGGCGGCTAGCCTCTCTCGTGCCTTTTGGATCCAGGAGCAGCAGTCCGGTCTGGAGCAGTTGCAAGCCACCGCAAACCTTCTCCGGGATGCCGAGACCTCCCCCGAGCGCCTCCAGGAGTTGATTGAGAAGCTTCGTCTCATCCAGTCCTTCGCGATCTCCAGGTCCTCCAACCTGCGTGTTCGCATGGTCTGCGAGCCGGAGAGCGCTGCTCGCAACGAGTCTGTTTTGCAGAAGTGGATGGCAGGTCTGCCCCAGGTCCGCTCGCCCACAGGACTCGCTGCTGCATCCCCCTTCAAAGCGATTGAGAAGGCTTTCTATGATCTCCCTTACAAGGTCTACTACTCCGGCCAGGCTACCCAGACTGTGCCTTTCGTCGACCCCTCCAGTGCCCCACTGACGGTACTGTCCCAGCTTCTGACCCACAACTACTTGCACCCTGAAATTCGCGAGAAGGGCGGCGCTTACGGCGCAGGAGCCAGCAACGGACCCCTCAAGGGTATTTTCACTTTCATGAGTTACCGGGATCCCAACCCAATGAACACTCTGAAGGTCTTCAAAAACAGCGGTGTCTTCGCTAGAGACCGTGCCTGGTCCGAGCGGGAGATTGAAGAAGCCAAGCTCGGCATCTTCCAAGGCCTCGACGCACCCGTGAGTGTGGACGATGAGGGCGCTCGCTATTTCCTGAGCGGTGTCACCCACGAGATGGATCAGCGCTGGAGAGAGCAAGTCCTGGACGTGACCGCCAAGGAAGTCAATGAGGTCGCTGATCGTTACCTGGTGAACGGCTCGCGCAAGGCAACCTGCGTCCTCGGTGAGAAGAAAGACTGGGCCGGCGCCGACTGGGACGTGCGAAAGCTGTCCATGGGCGAGAGCGCCGCTTCTGAGTAAGGGATCCCCTTTATTCTAACCTAGGGGAAGTGCATCACTTTATACCCTTTTCATTTCCCCGTGTACTTTTACCATTTGCATCTGTGATATGACCCGGATCTATGCATTCCCCTGTACATATATGTATACTATCTCGTCCGCATTAATCTCCGGTCTCTACTCTCTTTTCCTTTCCCCTTTCCTTGCCTCTCCCACGCGCTTCAAGATCTACCGTGCTTCGTGCACCAGAGCTGTTCTCATGTTTGCCAACCAGTTACCTCCCTTGGTTGATAGATATGGTGTCTTTCGGTTTACCGAGGATGCAAGCGCAAGAACAAACCGCGGGAATGTGAGCCCTCGAGGCACACTTCCTACCTATGATTCTCGGAACCGCTCTGAACTTTCAGCCTACGCAGAGCGGACTAAAATCATGCGGACAACCTAGCTATAGATGTAGATTGTATCTAGCCATCAACGAGCGTACTAATACCCTATACTTCCTCAATGCATAAGATCGAAATGTCAAGTGGAGTCAACCCCCGGGTAGGAGCGGGCCCGTGTCCTCTCACGTGGGCTAAGATAAGAAGCGCGTGCTTCACTTCCTCAATGTAACCATCTGCATACACCATGAATAAACAAGACATGATGCTAGGTCCTAGGCCGACCAAGGCCTGTGGTGTGTACCCACACAACGACCTTTCCAGACACGAAGCTGACCGGAAGCCCAGTCAATTGCCGACGATTAAAGGCATGCGCGATAAGCACATTCCAAAGGAAAAGCGATTAACCTCTTCTAGATGCGCTGTGAAGTATCAGGGGCACCTCCATGTCGTCGCTGTCGAAATGCACGTACAACATGCGTGTTTAAGCCGCGGGCTAATGTAGGTGTTTATGTATCCGGGTTAAGTTGCGAGGGGGTTATTTACTTACCTTTTCAGGCGTCCGCTATACACGAGTTGCTGGATGAGACGCATGAACTAAGTGTCTCGAGACAATCGACGAGTGATCATCAGGCGGTTTTGGATCGATTAGAGAGGATTGAAGCTGCGCTGGGAATTGGAGATACACCTGATGAAGCTCCTTTGTCTCATAAACTGAGCGTAGATGAGGATGAGGATGAGGATGTCCCCTTGCGAGGGGTCTGGAAAGCCGTTGCTCATCTAAGATCAAATACGCGGCCGATCCCGGATGAGAGTATCTGGTCTCGACCTATTGTCAAGCGACTGTGGAGCTCGTGAGTACCTAGTCCCAAATCGCCTACATGAGGTCGATGTTCTGATATTGGATAGCTTCTTGAATAATTTGCCTCTACTTCACTTCTTGAAAGACCGTGATGCATTTGCCTCACCAACACCCCTGCTGCTTGCTTCTATTCTATACATTTCAGCCCTCCACAGCCGATCCTCGGAGCTAGCAGCAATGGAATCAGGCTACTTTGCAGCTACGTGCAGCACAATAGCCGAATTAGTCACTCCATCGCTTGACCTGGGATCTAAATTCGCAGAGACTCATACAGGAAAGCAGGACTCTCCACAGATTAAAAAGTACAAAGCATTCCACAATATTATCGGCTTGATCATGGCAAGTCTAAGCTCAGAAGCTTATATCGAAGCGACTGGTTCGTGGATTGCTATGGCGTATCGCCTTTGGCTCGATAATTGTCCCTCTGAATTGGAGACGTATACACCGGATTGGCGAGGCTTGTTTTCTGGCCTTCAAGTAAGATCTGCATACCTCCCAGTCTATGGAATCTCGATTTGCTGATAATTTCAGGTCATTGACATCGAACACGCCTCAATGCACATGTCCTATCCTCTTCTCCCTCGCCAACCTCCAACACCAGGCATCCAGCGTCTAGACAGCCATCAAGGTAACGCTTTCCAGGGACTTGCGGAAATGATGCATTACGGTCTGAGCCACTTTGTCGGCAGGGGCCTACCGACCATCTGGTGTTCGATAAATGCCGAATGCGCCGAGAGGGCGCCCGTGCCTCGGAATCCATTCACGGAGCATGATTCTGAGGTCATTCGTCTTTGGGCTCGCAAGCTTGATGATTGGCTGGTTCGGTATAATGGTGCCTCTCAGCCTTCTCCGTCAGATCGACAGGGAATCTTGATCTTGCTCCAGTATCATTTGCATAAGCTCTATGTGCTCTCTATTTATCATCCCGCACGGGGATTTGATATTAGTTTGGCGAATATTAGCCCTGCTGAGAGACATGAATTGCTGGTTTCGGCACGGGCTGTTTTGAGATTGAGGCAAGATGATGCTAGTATTTGGTCTAATTGGGATCTGATAGTAGGTCATGCTGTCTACTTAAGCCGGCTACACCTGCTAACAAACCGACAGATGATCACTTGGGCGGCCATTTTACTTCTTCGCGGCGTCGAAGATGGAATGACACACCAAGACGGTAGGATATCCTCTGATCGACAGGAAACCCCATTTTAACTCTTTATTCAGATCTATACTTAATTCAAGCCCACCTTCGAAGCTTAGGAAGGAGCCATCAATCAGCAGCCAGCATCCACACTGTTTTATCACAACGGCTCGAATCTAGCATGCAAGCAATGCACACGCCACCAGATACAAGCACTGCATTGGCGTTTCCAGGTCCCATGGCAGATGACTCGTGGACAATATTTGACCAGGAAATTATGTCCCTAGCAAATCCACCCTGGCTATTTGATGATCCGACATCGTTCCCGAGCCAGAAATCTTCCAATGAGACACAATTGCAAAGCTTGTCTTCAGTTGCATATGATTCTGGTATTCTAAACAGTGCGCAATATGCATCTAATGGGCAATGGAACTCCACGGAAGAAATACAGTGTGCTTTACCGCCGACATTGAACAGAATATTTGGGAATCAGAATTAGAGTCATGTGGATGGCTTGATGCGCTCGTTTGGTTGGATTGAGATGCAAGAGATTCTTCAGGCGCCCATTAATGCACCACAATTAAAGTCTCCTCACGACAAATCTCAACTTGAAGGTCTCCACGCCTTCGTGATATTTCCTAAAGACATGATCCTGACCGCCCCACGTCTCCATCGTGGATTGAACCTCCCACTTCGACCCAGTGTCCTGACCAACCTGGCGCCAGAGTCTCTTCCACGTCTCAGGGCTATGGCGATAGTGCTTAGGTGCATTCTCCTTGTCATCTGGATCAACGGGGTCTGCATATCCAACCTGTCGCCCAATAACCAGAGATCCAGACTGTGCAGCCAAGAGCCCAACAACCTGCTTGGCAATGATGACTTGCTGGTCCCAATTGAAGAGGTGGAAAAACGAGGCAGCGTTAACAATGTTAATTTTACCAGTCAGATTCTGGATAAGAGCTGAGTTATTGTCGAAGATATCTCCCTGGAAGAATTCAGACTTTAACGTATCGCGGTCTGCGAATAGGTCATAGCCTATGTCGTAGAAATCCTGACGGAGGTCTGAGCTGTAGAGGTTTTCCGAGGGAACGCCATCAAAGACCTAATTCAAGATTAAGATAGGTCATGTTCGAATGTAAGCTTGGCTTACCAATTGGCGCAACTCTTGCCCGATAGCGCATCCCACGTCCAGGAGCTTCTCACCCGACTTCAGTCGCTGAAGAATCTCGGGGTAGACAGGCGATTGAGGGATACTCAAATCCAGGAACCGAAATGATCCAATGCAAGGATACGGGAACTAGGTCGGGTTAGCATTGAGCTTGAAAAGTGTGATGTTTGGACTCACCACTGCGAAAGCACGTTCTCTCTAGACATTGATTAGATCAGTAAATATAATCCCCATACTGCATTTTGCATCACTTACCATGCCGTTGACATGCTGCACCACTTGATCGGATGGGATCTTGCTGTATTTCTCCAGAAGGGTCTTGGCCGGTTCAGGGATCTCCTTGAGGTCCGACTCGTACCAGGCCAGACTCTTGGAATCCAAGCCATTGGCGATCATGGATTGAAGGTCTGTTTCGGATTTGGCCATTTTCGGAGCGGTTAGTGAAGAATGAAGGAGGAGGATGAGACTTGGTGCAATGTGTACATCGTGTAGGAGTCGGGGAATAAATGGCGGAACCGGCATCTCGGCCGCGGGCGCTGACGAGTCCCCGGAGCGGGGTGTGGAGCCACTTGACACTTACAGACTATGCCTCTTGACAGCAGTCACCTTTATTCAAATGCTCTAATGATGGGTTTGTTCTTCCATGACGATAGTGTCCTGGATTGAGACTTTTGATCTGATTTCTATGACTTGGTATAGGCAATAGGGCGGGCACTCTTGCCAACGAAACATACTGTACACAATAATGCGGCGATTCGAACCACGATTATGATTCGTAGATAATTTTCAATCGAAATTACAGCATTGTGACCTATCAGTACAACTGAACAAGTGATGCTTACAGCTATTCTTATTTGTGGAGGCCTGAGGGCTTACGCAAAGCCCTGTTTTAGTCTTGTCGTTGTGGGCTATAGCGAGAGGTAGTCGCGAGCTTTTCAATTTCAGCGCTGAAACTAATTTCACGCATACATATATCAATTCCAAAAAAATGTGTATTCAATTTGTGTAACGTGCAACAAACCCCCGAAATTTCCTTCCAATAACGAGAACAAAAGAGCCGTCGCCGGCTGCGAAAGATCCAATATCTCTATTTGATTCTGGTAACCTCAAGTTCATCCTATAGATATTATCAGCAATAGAAGACAAATTACCTCATCAGAAAAACGTACCTCGAATGAACCAGGCATTATCAGCCCTTTAACTCCCCAACTCTCAAACTTCTCACTCTGTCGCACATACTCCCGATACGCCGGAGCCCCAGGCCTCACCACATTATCCGCAACAACCAAACTCCCACTTTTCAGCAATCCCAAATCCAGACAAACTTTCAAATCCTGAACATAAAGTTCCTCACAATGATCCAAGAAAACAAAATCCACGTCCGTCACCTTCCCCTCCTTCTTCAACCTCTCCAGCGAATCCGCCGCAGGCCCAACAACCACCTTAACGACATCACTCAACCCAGCCAACTCGATCAAATTCATAGCAATAGAAGCAATCAGAGGATCAAACTCGAGACTCCAAATTCTAAGTCCGTCCGCACTCCCAGCCGCACGACGCATAGCATCCGCAAAGAAAATGGCAGAGTAGCCAACATACCCACCGAATTCCACAAGGACGGTAGGCTTCTCCTTTTCGATTATCTGGCGTACCTTATCACCCTTGTCACTGCCGATGTTGATAAGGAAATCCTGCTTGGCGGCGAACTCGTCCATGACACGACAGATCTCCGATGGCGAATTGCGGATTTTGTCCAGGTCTGGATGGGCGTAGATGCATTTTAGGAGAGTTATCTCGCGACCATCGTGGGACTCAACATCATAGATGTCAGCGAAGGGGAGAAGAGATGGGTATCTGGTAGTGAGGCCTTCAGGGAAAGACATGGTTGCTGGTGTTGCGGGTTGGGGTTGTGTGAATTTGGATCTTTGTTTTTTTTTTTGCCTTGAAAAAGAGCTTGATTGTGGGAGTGTCTGGTATGAGAGTGATCTATGGAAAAAGAAAGGTAAGCACTAAGAACAGAGGGACCCAGGGTGGTAGCAGTATTTATAGTCTGAGTTGGAGGAATTAGGGCTCTGTGGTAGATCTAACCGGATTGGGCGTGAGGGGGCGGAGTTATGCTACCTCCGATTTCTACTTTTCCATGGCTCTTGTTGTTGTGCTCTTAACCGAATGGGGGGCGTGCAATGCAATACTTCCCGCTTGTGTCTTTGATTTGCTTCATTCTTAAAGATTTGCATACGGTTAGTCCCCGCACCGTCGAAGTGCTTCAAGTCAGTCCTTGCCACAACTCTTTTACTAGAGCTCTCTACGTTTGAACCGAGTTCGGAGTCTGCAGTGCAAGAGCTTACGCACGTGCGCGCCTTTCGTTTGCTTACGGCTCAAGGATGAGATGAGAATAAGCACAAGGGACGAATAGTCTATGAAGGACTTGATGTCAGTCCGTGAGATCATCCCAGCTCCTGTCTAAAGCCTCTTATTTACGTTTACTTCGTTCATAGCCTATACTTCCAGTATAAACAAGCCACAATCCGAGCACTGGTGGCAGTATATTCAATCATTGTCAATGGGGTATAAGGTACAGTGAAAAGGCAATTCGTCATGTCGTACATGTCCAGTAGGTGAGCACTGGACAGTTTCAAGCCAGCGATGAAATCAATGCGGCGCATCAATATCCTGATCTCCATTTCCCTGTATTTGATCTGCTTTCACAAAGCCAGATTTAAGTGACAAAGCTGCAGATCCAGGAGAGCCTTGGGGCAGCGAGGATGCCGATACGGCAAATGGAGGGAAGGGTTCGGTGCGGTCGATGGAATATCGACGGACGGACGAGTCGCTCGAGTTTCTGGCATGGCCGGGTGGGGGGTTCTCGTCGGTGGGTGAAAAGGCAGGATTAACGAAGAGTTCGGTTGTTTGGTCTTTTGCATGCGAGGGGGCGGCCTGCATAAGCGCGTTAGTTCTCTGTAAATTTCCTACTGAAAATTATTCCTTTGTCATACCATATCTGCTTTGGCTCGATTAAGGCCTCGTTTCAAAGCCAGCTCGTGTGCAGCAAGTCGTTTCCTCTCGATTGCAGCATCTTCTTCCCCAGCAGCTCCCTCCTCTTCAATCTTCAGATCCGCTATTGAGGGTTTGTCGAAGCTGTGCGCATCTTCAGCTGGACTCATCGACGATTGCGTCGATACCCGCTTCTTCTTTTTGTTCTTCCGTTTTGACTTCTGAGATGATGCGCCGCCTAGGCTGGATGTACCCGAGGCAGACCTCACCATTTCTACCTTCGTGCCGGACATATCATCAGACTCGAGTCCTGTTCCTCGGCGTCCAAAAACAAGCGCGAATTCGTCGTCCAGTGGAACCGCGTCTTCCTCGTCATCACTGGGTAGTAAATCGCCGCGGGAGCTCAACGAATTGTACGTCCCGCGAGATGACTGTGTTGCACTTCGGTCCCGTCCATTCGGACTGTAAGATATTAGACCAGCTTCATCCTCTGATGTTTCCATTAAAGGCTCATCCTCATGGGCATGGCGATGTGAGCCGCCCGGGTGTTCCTGTAAGTCTGCTGCCGACGGCCGATACTTGACTCCCTTTGCGCCGAACCTCCAGGGAAAGCGTTCTAAGAAGCCGATAAGGGAAGAGCTCGGTATGACCGTCGGATCGGAGCGGTTGTCTGGAATGTGTACACTCTTTCTTCTTGTGTGACGTGTCCCATAACTCATTCTCCTCGGCCGATGCGGCTGTTCCGCGCCCCCCTGGTCAGCCCGCTACCAGCCAGCAGTCGATCAAGCTCCCCAGTACCCCATCCCAGCAGGGTCTCGTCAGCTTCCTCGTTGTCCCAATCATCGTAGAAGTCAAAGTTGGCCTCGGCACGGCCGCGGCGTCGGCGTCTCAGGTGGTCCTCGCGGGTTGGGAGACAGGGTGCAGTACAAACTTGGAAACAGCTTCCAACTGATTCCAGACAGGGGGAAAGATAGTTCTGTGCAAAGGTGTACAGTCCTTCCTGGGCGGATTCATTCGCGGACTCGAGATTATGGGAGATCTGGTTGATCCGTTGGCGGATCCGCGGATCGCGCGATCGCATCATGATGGAACGCGTCGAAGGACCGGAGATTCGTATCTGGCGGACTTCACTTCATCGGCGCGTTGCATTGGCAACTCAGGAAGGTCGAGGTCGGAATGCAGGTGGAGAGGCATGCGACGATGTCATCCCGTTAGTCAGCGAGCACGTGAGTGGATTCCTGGGGTAAACGGAGATTTTGTTTTCTTTATTTTCTTTGATATTGCTCAGCAGACTGCCTTATTGGCGGTGTGAAGATGGTTTATTATATTCGGTTTCTAAAGACTCCTCGGTTTCAACCGCAGAAAAAAGCAGTCTTCATATCCGCTCTCATTTGCATCACCACCGATCTCGGTGACGACTTCCTCGCTGAAGATGTGGACCTAGTCGCAACGTGGGCGCAGTATCCCTCTCACAAAGCTTTATACAGAGAGTCATTGAAATGGGAGGCTGGAACACGCCAGCTTGCGGTCTTGCTGGGGCCATTCTCACCCAATGATGTGGCTCACAAGACATCAGTTTTGAACATTCAATTACAAGCCAGTCAAAAAGATACATTAGGAGTCAGCTCCACGCCATTGGTGATTTCTGGATGCAGCGCACCGTTTGGACCACAGTCCGAACCGGCAGAAAAGTTGATCCTTCGAGACCTCTATGTTGCGAATCACAAGCAGCCGCTGAAGATCTGGGAGGAGACCGGCAATAGCATTGCGCGACACATCTGGTAAGCCGCTTGTCTCAACCCTCCCGTTTATCAATCTAAGAGATCTGCCTAGGGATGCAGCACTTGCGTCAATCGTATTTCTCGACCAAACGATCCAAGGTACATCCAAGGACATGCCCGCCCTCAGTCAACTTCTTCAGACCCGACGTAGCTCGCCACTTCAAGCGGTTGAACTAGGCGCTGGATGTGGCATCGTCGGCATTGCACTGGCAACCATGCTTGACCACTGTGACGTACTCCTCACAGACCTCCCCGAGGTAGAGGAGATCGTAACACTCAATATAAAGGAAGCCCGGCCGCAGCCATCATCCCTCGTCCACTATCAGACTCTCGACTGGGAGGAGCCGCCGCCCAACCTCTGCAGTCGGCCTATTGATCTAATTCTGGTCTCAGACTGCACCTACAACGCGGACAGCCTGCCAATATTGGTCTCAGTGCTGGACCGCTTGGTTCGGACTTCCCCGGAGGCCCTGGTTCTTGTGGCTCTGAAGCGACGACACGAAAGCGAGGCGGTGTTCTTCGACTTGATGCGGGCGGCGGCATTCGCACCCCTGCAAGCCAAAGTCCAATTGCCTGCTCAGCACGACGAAGTAGATCAGATTGAATTATACTGTTACCATCGCCAGGCGTGAAGTCCGGTTTTATCATAATTTGTCGGATTATTACCTAGCTTAGGTATTTATACCTTTTGAGTGCTCAAGCTCGCGTCCGTGGCCCGTGCGCGTACGTCATGGCTCCAGCCCTTACACCGCGGGGCCTTTTTTGACGATCCCTTCCGGCATAGGCCAGTAGGTCGTTCGCTACCCTTTACCTTGTGGATACAGTACATGACACGGTTGTTTGTTGAATAGCGCCGTTTATACCTCCCACAGGCTTCCTAGGTTAGGGTTTGGTCTTTTGACTAATGATTGTGGAGACCCAAGCGCCACCACCAGCCTCAGCAGCTGTCCGCTGCCGGTCACACCGCAATTTTCGAAAAATGAAACGAATAATTTAACGCAGTGGTGCACTATGTAAGGGCGCTGTTTCCCGCATTTATACCCCCGGGCTTTTACGTGTCTAGACACGACCAGAAATCGCTCATAGTTTAGGCTTCCGTGTACTAGTGGTGACTAGTTCCCGGGGGTTTTTTTGTGGACTCCGGACCCTAGTCCTATAGTAGGGCAGTGCTATGTAATCACGGTAGTACAGATGCCTGAGCTAGTAAGAAATTTGGGTGGTTATTACTCCGTTCGTACCAGATTTTCTTCGGAGTGGATCTCTAGTGCCGCCGCTTTCATGTTCACTCTCTTTGGGGCAGGTGTGGGCGGAGGTAAAGGCGGCGGGGGAAAAGTGCCCGAATAGGAAGAGGAGGACACCCTCCGGCGGGAAAACCCACTGCGTATGTCATTTCCAAGTACTTCAAATTTCTTCCCTCACCCTCTTTCTCTCTCGTGGGTGACCTCGGCGACCTTTGGTGAGTGATTTCTACCTCCCCTGTGCTCTAAGAATAGCATTGGCGACGTGTTCTCGTGCGTCTTTTTCCCTTGACCACACCCCGTTGAGCCCTAAGCCCGACTTTGCCCAATTATTAAAAATCAGAGCCCCGTCCCCCTCCGCACCACCTCAGCCGTCCATTTTTTTCTCTCATACGAACGCACCTTACTGACTGCTGCCACCCCCAACCAGATCCTCTCTTGTTTCCAGCCTTTGGCTACTCCAAAGGCAACCCTCATCACGGCTCCCGCAGCCTCAATTTCGCTTCTTAGCCACATTGTATCCACTCGACGTCAGCGCGACACTCTTAACAACATTCCACCTCCTGCTCACGTCTAACTTCTCGTCCGGTGCGCCTTTTTTGGAGCCGTTGACGCCCCCTCACGTTATTCCCTCACCTCCTGAGCTGCCGCATAGGACTTCTCTGAAGGTTCTTCCTCTTAAGGAGGAAGGGTCGAGGAGGCTTGGTCCAGTCAACCTCGGTTGCGACGTATTTCGTCCTCCCTAACGCCGCAGTTGCGTACAAATTTTCTCTACAATTTCTATTCATTTAAACCGTGCTGAGTTTCAGCTGTACGGTTATGGCACCAACTGCGTGTGTATCCCCTGCGGAAATATGCAACCTCAAAAACGACATTAGTCGTGACCCGCTTGCTGTGGTCAATAATCATGGCGGGGACGAGTTTCTGCAATCTCGGTTGACGGCCAAGGACCTGGTCATGGATCTGTTGAAGAAGCGCGCCGCCGAGGTGGATGTGGACCGGTGTGAGGCTGGTGAGGAGGATGCTTTCTATGTGGCGGATATGGGGGAGGTGTATCGTCAGCATATGCGCTGGAAGATGAACTTGGGCCGTGTTAAGCCCTTCTATGGTAAGCTCTGACGCGTTTCGTTATCAGAAGAATTATGCTAACCAGGCTCTTTCAGCTGTCAAGTGTAACCCGGACCCCGAGGTTCTCCGTCTTATGGCTCAGCTTGGCAACGGATTTGATTGTGCTTCCAAGTCAGAGATCGTCATGGCCCTTCAGACGGGCATCGATCCTAGCCGTATTATCTATGCGCAGCCTTGCAAGACCAAGTCTTACCTGCGCTATGCCAAGGAGGTTGGCGTCAAGCAGATGACTTTTGACAACGCCGATGAGCTGTATAAGATCAAGGCCACTTTCCCGGATGCAGAGCTCTACCTCCGTATTCTGACCGACGACTCCACCAGCCTTTGTCGGCTGAGCATGAAGTTCGGCGCTTCCATGGACGTGGCTCCCCAGCTTCTCGATTTGGCTCGCCAGCTCGAGCTCAAGGTTGTCGGTGTGAGCTTCCACGTTGGATCGGGTGCCGAGGATCCCCGCGCTTTCTTGAAGGCGGTTCAGGATGCTCGTCTCGTATTCGATCAGGCTACCGAGATCGGCCACGAGCTGCATACCCTCGACGTGGGTGGTGGCTTCTGCCACGAGACCTTCGAGAAGTTCTCGGGCTACCTGAGTGAAGCTCTGGAGACTTACTTCCCTCCTAGCGTCCGCATCATCGCCGAGCCTGGCCGCTACTACGTTGCCAGCGCCTTCACCTTGGCCGCCAACGTCATTGCTCGCCGCGATGTGCCCGACCCGCTGGATCCCTCCCGGGACGCATACATGCTCTACCTCAATGACGGCGTGTACGGTAACTTCTCGAACATCATCTTCGACCACCAGCATCCCATCGCGCAGGTCCTGCTCTCGGCAGCCGACTCCCAGCCAGGTTCTCCAGACTCTGCGAATCTGGAGAACAACTCGTACTCGATCTGGGGTCCTACCTGCGATGGTATCGATGTCATCTCCGAGCGCATCGACCTGCCTGGCCTGCTAAACACTGGCGACTGGCTTTACTTCGAGGATATGGGCGCCTACACCAAGTGCAGTGCCACTCGCTTCAATGGATTTTCCGATAATCACGAGGTGATCTACATCTCGAGCGAGACTGGTGCTTCGGCCCTTCTCAACTACTAGTATTTCCTCTGATTTTTGTTCTGTCTGTTCTTCCCACTTTTCCATTCGTTTAATTCTCTTTGGAGATGCGCTCAATCTGGACTTTTCGTGTACCTTCACCTAGTGACAGGTCACGTCAATATATTGCGCTTGTTGCATTTACTGCCCAAAAACGGTTGCGTCTTTAGAGTTCTAATAGAATAGAGCTTGCGTGCGCCTCGATATTTGCTTTTAAGCCCCATAGACACTTTTACGCCTGCGTCATATTTTGTGACCGCGGGATGCGATCGAAGAGTTAGATTCTCGAGTCGTTGTCATGCACTCGGTCGTCTCTATTCATCTATTCTATCCTGTAGATGCATGGTATCATCAAACATGTCCAGCCGCCATCCATCTGTAAAATCCCACTGGAGCCAGCTCCATATGCCAGAACGCTTTACACCAACCGCTCAACCGTCAACTGCCCCTCGGCCACTTCCGTGGTTTGCAACAGGCCTCCAGCCTCCAACTTCTTCTTCCACTTGGTCGACTCGTAGCGTGCTAGAATGAACGTCAGACGCGCCGCAACACTCTCATCCGCCGACTCAGCAACAACACTGGATGGCGTGCAAGTCCAACGACCAAACGCCCCATTCAGAATGTAGTAATGCACTCCATCTCCCTGAACCCTCTTCTGAAGGTCATCCGAAGTCTCTGCTGGCGGCTTCTGCGCATCCGCCCTGAAAATGCCCTTAATGCGATAAACCTCCTCTCTCGGCGCCATCGCAAGAAGTCCCTCAAGCTTTTCGACATCAACCCCCTTCCCCTTCAACACCACACTCAAAACCTCAACCTCCGACTGATGATCATGCTTATGCTCATGATCGCCGTGTCCATGCTCATGCGCATGCTCATATTCCTCCTTCGCAAACAACGCCCCATCAATCCCAAGCAAAACCTCCTTATCCACACTTCCCTTATCCGACTTGACCCACGGCGTCTCAATCCCCAAATCACCAACTCGATCAAGGCAAATATCAAACCGCTCCTCAGGAACAGACTCCCATTTATTAAAGATAATCAGATCCGTATACTTCGCCTGAATCTTTGCCGTATACGACGTATCCTCATACCCCTCCCAATTCTCAACATCAATCACACTAATGACGCCGTCGAGAATAAACTCGCCTTCTCCCTCGCGCGAAAGCCGGTTCACTTCCATCGCGAGTGTGGCGGGAAATGCGCTCCCGCTGGTTTCAATCACGATGCGATCTGGGCTGACGGTGTCGCGGAGTTGTTGGAGCGCGTCGCTGAGTTGGCCTACAAGATTACAACAGATGCAGCCATTGAGGAGTTCGCGGACGCCGGAGATTGATTGTGCTGAGGCGAGTTGGGAGTCGACTGCGACGTCGCCGTATTCGTTTTTGAGAAGGGCGAGTTTGTAGGTTTTGGGCAGTTGCGGGATGAGGTTTAGGAGGAGAGTTGTTTTGCCGGAGCCGAGGAAGCCCGTGACAATTGTCACTGGGATGGGCGCCATTTTAAGGGGTTTGCTCTCTCTTGAGGCCGAAAAGAGTGTGGAGTTTCGAGGTTGGAAGAAGTTTGAAGAGTTGAGATGCGGCGGGGCACGTGGGGCTCTCCGGTGCCCGTTTGGGAGGGAGATCGGTGACATCAGTGGTTATTGGGGGTTTGACATGTTTACCCATGTCAGTTGATTCAAATTCTCATCCATTGATTGTTCAAATGTTGACTATGAGGGAAAGAATCTTGTCTCTCACAGCTTGATATTTTAATAACCTATACATTTGAAAATTCACATCCACAATATCTAACTTAGGCCTCTAAAGAAACGATGAACAAATATTAGAAGAGAGGCACCTGGGATAGCTTGGGAGACAACATTGGGGATCGATTGATCTTTCGAATTGAATAGAGGTGTTCGCTGTTCAGACCATCGAGTAACTCAATTAGCTGACTTCTACTTGGTTTCCGTTCCATGAAGTATCTACCCTAGACGCCTTCAAGATGGTCCGCATAAACCTTTAGGCGTTACAAGTGCCAAGGCGAGAAGGGTATTGAGATTTGGGTGATACAGCTCACTCCAGTTCCGCGACCAAAGCCTGAGCCGCATCGTCTGTAGAAAGAATGTCTTGAATATTGAACATGATTGCCCTCGACAAGCCATGAATGAACCAACATCCACAGTTCTCAGCCCGCTTAACTGAGATAGTCGCCCAGTGGGCTAGTACAACAAGTGCAGCTGGATTTTGAAGCGCGACCATATGGTGAAAATGGTCAGTAGTCTTGTTTAATAATTGCACCATATTTTGCCAGGCTCGTGATGCATCATCTGAAATAAAGCTGCTGGTACAGCATTCGACTAAAGTGGCAATAGTAAGCAGAATGACCAGGGCATCTTTTTCATGATCGGGCTTCCCGAATATCTCTGCCATCCTGTATGGAAGCATATGAAGATGGTTGGGTAGGTAGCCTAGGCGGTACGTGTTCGGTTTTCAGTGAACCACTTGAACTCGTGATTCTGTTCATCCGAGCACTTTGCTGGAGAGAATACTCCCATTCAGTCCGGCTATACCTCGTCTTTCAAGATGGAACGGCACGTAGTATTCTAGCAGAGAAAAGCACATGCGATTCTGTTCTCGGTCTAAGATAACCCCAACGTGGTCTTAGGATTTGTAAACAATCTTGGTAATATCAACTAGCCTAGTGCTACTGATTTGAACTCATCTGCAATAATCTCGCTCCCAAACGTGCGCCTGTTATTTAATTACTGAATGCATTCGCACCCGAGCCATTATATTAGATTCGAGGTAGAATTTAATCTATTTTAGATTGACTCAATTTTATCCTTTTCCTAATTTGCCCAATGGAGAGCTACATGAATGCCATTGCACTAGTTTCATGATAGACCTAGGTAGTGCAGGCTACCATAGACTACTCTGTGTCCAAATTTCCGGCGCTCAGAAGCAGATTGACTACTTCATCGTACCCATTATTAGCAGCTAATGAAACCGGAGTCTGGCCATCAGAGCTCTTAGACCTCGCATTTACCTTTCCGGTGCGTAGGAGCAGACCGACGACAGCATCATGTCCATTTTCAGCAGCCCATGAAAGTGGAGTCTGGCCATATGCATGATCCTTGGACTCTATATTCACATTTCCAGTGCTTAGAAGCAGGCTGACCACAGCATAAGATCCACGCCTAGCAGCGCATGAAAGCGGAGTCCGGCCGTCAGAGTCCCTAGACTCTATGTCCGCCTTCCCAGTGCTTAGAAGCAGATCGACGATAGTATCATGTCCATATTCAGCAGCCCACGAAAGTGGAGACTGGCCATTTACATGGTCCTTGGACTCTATATCCACCTTCCCAGTACTTAGAAGCAGTCTGACCACATTGTCGTGACCACTCCCAGCAGCGTATGAAAGCGGAGTCCGGTCACTAGAGTCCTTAGACTCTATATCCACCTTGCCACTGCTTAAAAGCAGACTGACCACAGCGTCGTGTCCATTTCTAGAAGCCCATGAGAGTGGAGTCCGGCTATATGTAGAGTCCTTAGACTGTACATCCACCTTGCCAGTGCTAAGAAGCAGACTGACCACACTATCATGTCCATTTTCAGCAGCCCATGAAAGTGGAGTCCGGCCAAGGTCAGAGTCTTGGGTATCTACTTCCACAGTGACATTCTCCAGGAGTTCTTGTACGACGGCATGAAGTCCAAAAAAAGCTGGAATCACAAGTGGTGCGGCATTTTTTGGTAAATATCTCATCCTCCCAAACTCATCATAAGACGCGTATACATCCGCCCAGGTATTAAGCAATTTCGATCCTGGGGCACAGAGACGACAGGCCAACATCGTCATTTTATCATGGCGACGGAAACAGGCTTCACGGAAGTGAACTGTCCAATAAGTTGATGAGTAGTTCAAAAACACATCTAGGCAGGCTTTCACCGAGCAAGCACCACGGCTTGCTGCCGCTGAAGAAGCATCAAGATGCCATGCACATATTTCCGCAAGAACTTTGTTCGATTCTGTTACCGAAAGGGCATGCTTCCAGCTGCTAAACGACTCTGAATCAGCTGCCTCTGATGATTTTCGGACTAGAAACTCTTTGACAGTTTGATGAATAAGGTAGACCTTATTGTCAACAACGACAAGCATCAACCCGCAGGCATTTCGTAACGTGGATTTAAACCGTTCAGCGGGCTCGATTGATTCCAGTATGTCATCGCGAGCCTGGCCCTCTCTTTTTAGAGCCACGGCTAGAGACATTTCTTCCACGGATAGTGGTCTTTCCGCGGCCAAGACGATATGGAGTAGACGCTTGGCTTTGAATTGGTCTTTGTTTTTGCTCAGTATCTTCTCGTAAGCGTCATCGACCGTATCAGGAATTGTTTGCACTGTTTTGCGAACCTCTCCCTTTGTGAAGCCATCGAGATCCTGAATGTAATCCAATGTGAGAGCAACCCAGAGATATGTTCGATGCGGTATTTCTGTGAGCTTCTCTTGCAAGAACGTCTGTTCGTGGTCTTCCAGATGCTTGCGATTAGAGATATCGTGAACTCTTTTTGTGATCACTAGGTCTATCTCCTTTGAAATTTCTTCCGATTCGCTCTCACCATCTCCACTCAGGTGAATTGTAGGCATTTGATCCTCCAGCTCTCGAAAGTCCTCGCTTATCTTGCCATAGGGTCTACTTGTCAGAAGAAACTTCAACTTGTGGTTAATGTTACTTCTCAAGTAGAGGTCCGTTATAGCTTTAACAAGCTGCTTCCTGTCATCTTTCTGACACTCGTCCAGTGCATCCAACACACAGATTATTTCATCGGACTCACTCGAGGCTGTGATATCCTTAAAAATATCCCATAGTGCGGTGAATGACTCAACTAGTTTTTCACCTTCTTTATCATGCTGTTCTAGCACAGAATTCGAGAGAAGATTTGGCTGGGCCAGGAAAATTTGACGTAAAACACTAGCAAGCGCAATTGAGGACCTTCTCTGATCCGGATAATCATCACGAAAGAAAAAGTAACAGATTGTCCTTTGTTGGGAAGGAAGTACTTCATCAACCAAATATCTTGATAAGACTGATTTTCCACATCCTGGATTTGCTGAGACCCATAAGAGTCTTGAAGACTTGGTATGATTCCATTTCTTAAAATGGGAGTGGTTGGTAAACCATTCGCACGTTCCGGGTACGCGAATGTCGATTCGCTCCTTTCGGTCTCTGTAGGGACAGGTATAGAGCAGTTTGATGAATTGGTTTGCTTTCTCATTTCGATCCGATGTTATTTGCTGCAGCTGATGCCCTTTGAGTGCTTCTTCGAAACCCCTCGAGATATATTCTCTGTCTTGCTTCCTCTCCGCTGCGTCAAGAAGCCGAGTGAAGTTTTGGGCTTCAATCTCTTGGCCCGTAATACTTTGTGTCAGCGCATCCCATTTTTCGTGGAACATGTTATTGTAAGTTCGAGAAAAGGCATTCTTCTGCAAGAAACACAGCGCCCGAGCTTGAAACTCGAGGACTTTGCAGTACAACGATACCAGCCCTCCTTTGAATCTCTCCATGAAGTTGCGAGAGACGATTGTGCTGGAATGTAGATAGAGATCTTCCATCATACAGAGACGAGGAATCAAGTCTGAAGTTTTCTCTAGTCCATCCAGAAGGTTGCTTTCTTCATCCTCTGCACGTATAAACAACTGAAGTGGAGTTAGCTAGAGGCTTTTGATAAGTCTTGCGCATTGGAGACTCACTAGGAGAGACACAGTCACACCGGCCCAGACTATCGCCACTGGAGGATTTGCAGATACAGCCGTGCTGACTATATCTTTCAACACCAGGACATTTCGAATGGCCCGCGCCACCTGTTCCCTGACTTTGATGTATCGATCGTCAATCTGAATTGCCCACTCTCTCTGTTTGAGCTCTTCAACCTTGGCGTTAAGATAGCCTTGGAGCTGTTGGTGGTCGACTACACCTTGGGACTCAAACTTCAGACCGGACTTTCCAATAATCTGGGTTGCTTCCTGCAATATTAGGCCCACATCCTTATCTTGAGCAAGCTTTTGTCTAGCCTCTGCCCATAAATCCTCAGTCTTGGCAGATGTGGTTATTTCTTCCGAAAAGCTTCTCTGCACAAGAGCGGCATTGATGCTACCCGGTTGAAGAGCATTGTCTGTATTCTCTACAGGTTTGTTTCGAAGCCACTTCAAAGTTCTGTGCTTCTTAAATGACGACAAAGGCATTCTTGTGTTGGCGGGTACGGCTTTACTTTGCGTTCCGATCGATGGATAAGGAGCCGGTAGATTGTCTTTTTATTATTCTAGCAAGGGATGGAAGATCTGGCTGACGTGGCCCTGGGCGCTTAATTATGTCTGCAATGTAACTTGATGGGAACTAGCGTGATGATGCATACGCCAGGCACATTCTACGGATATTTCTCGGTCACAAGATGCGCCCAGGACAGTCAATTTCCGGCTGTAGATGGAAAAAATGGAGATAGAATTGTACTGAAAATAAAGGCCGCTGCGGTGAATATTAGAACGCTTTAATTGTTTCGAGGATTGCTATGGGTGCTTATGAATGACACACCCCCACCCCGCCCTCGGAGCTTCAATCAGATGTGCGAAAGTCCCCCACTGGAGAACGTACCATTTTCGGGCAAGACTCTCGCCGTGTATGGTGGGTGGCTCATCATCCGTCAGCTCGATGACAATCCAACTTGCCACAGCCGCCGGAATCCACATCATCTCTATTTCTGGCGCGCACAATCTCGACCTTTGCAAGCGGTGTGGTGCAGCCGAAGTATTCAATCACAAGGATCCTTTGCTCGTTGACAAGATTGTCCGCGCAGTTCGCAAGGTTGGAAGTGATTTCTCTGAAATTTTCGATGCTATGGCTACTCTGGAGAAGTACGCCCATGATATCGCCATTTTTGGTCAATTGGAAGGAGGCACCTCGCTTGCGTGTTTTCTCACCCTGCAGCCGCTGATCTACCAGCCAATGTAAATGCTGGTATGATCTTTACTGTTGATGACGTCGTAACGGTTGTCTGGAAGGAGTACGTTGAGCCCACGTTGCGGTCAGGAAAGCTCCAGTGCCCTCTGCTCCCGTTCGTCGTCGGCAAGGTGCTGGAGCATATTCAAATTGCGTTGGAAAAATCCAAGGCAGGAGTCAGTTCCATTAAGATCATGTTGGAGCTATAGATACCATATCGAGGCGTTTGCTTGTTCTTATAGTCGGAATTTGTTCTCTGGCACGTCTATAACTTTGAAGACAAGGAGGACGAAAGCTGGAAGAGATATTAGTTGAGTTAGTTGCAATTTTGTCTTGAAATCACCGAAGCATACCCTCATTGTGGTTCATGCAATCAGTAAGTTCGAACTCCACATAATTACGTGCTTCTTTTTCTAGGTCACCGGGTCACGGGTTAGAGTTTTCGACGGTAAGAAGCTACATAGTGACAGAGTTACATAGATGATTCTTCCGCGCTCGCGGATGCTCGAAAGAGCTGTCGAACTGGATCGAATGGCAAAGATCGGTGAATACAAAACTGTGATTGAATTAACGCCAATCAATTCCGGATTGGGAAGAATGACGTGAGCGAGCTGAGCCGCGGGGAAGTTGGTTTAACCCCTCATTGCTTCCTTCACTTCTCTTCCCACACTCTTCCCTCTTTCATCATTCCAAAATCCGCAACCATGAGTAACGTTTTCTTCGATGTTTCCGCCAATGGCTGTATGTTCTCGTCCCTAGAGCATTGGATGACTGCCGCAGCTCAATTGTATGTCTAAACGCTGACCTTGCCCATGAACAGCTCCCCTTGGTCGCATCAGCTTCAAGCTGTTCGATCAGGAAGTCCCCAAAACCGCCCAGAACTTCCGCACCCTTTGCACTGGCGAGAAGGGCTTCGGATACCAGGGATCTGGATTCCACCGTGTCATCCCCCAGTTCATGCTTCAGGGTGGTGACTTCACCAACCACAACGTAAGTGTTGCTTAATGAAATGCAGAATTTAGATACTGGTGAATTTGCAAATTAACATTTTCTCCAGGGTACTGGTGGCAAGTCCATCTACGGAGAGAAGTTCGCCGATGAGAACTTCACCCTGAAGCACACCAAGCCTGGTCTGCTCTCCATGGCCAATGCTGGTCCCAACACGTATGTCGATCGGACACCATTCGCCTCTCTGAACTCTACCGAGAATCAACTAATGCGACGTCTTTCTATAGCAACGGATCCCAGTTCTTCATCACCACCGTTGTTACCTCTTGGCTCGATGGCAAGCATGTCGTCTTTGGCGAGGTTATCGATGGTCTCGATGTCGTCCAGGCTATTGAGAAGCTCGGTAGCAGCAGCGGAAAGCCGAGCGCCCAGGTCACCATTGACAAGTCTGGAGTCCTGTAAAGGCTTTGCTTTTTGATGACCAAATGAGTGTAAATGTCTTAGCTGCTAAATAAAAATGGCTACATGATGTTTCCCTTGAACTTATCCTGGTTGCACAATACTAAGTATGTGCTAAACGGCACTAAGCCTGATGAGCTTCAACCTCAATTTTCTGGTCTCCTAGCATAGTCTAGTACTTCTAAGCATCGACAGACCTTTGAAGGTCAAATGCGCGAGATGCGTTACCGACTTAGGTAGTGTAAGCCAACCCACTGGCCCCGAGGATATGTATCCTCTTTCGCCACCTTAACTTATCTAGCACTCGTAAAGATACAATCATTAACATATATTACATATACATTGATTGTTGCCAAGCGCAAAATTCTAAGTACGTCGATTCTCTAAGCCCATGAAAAGTCTCAAAAGTTTCTAAGCTGAACAGAAGAGACTGACATGGTTGAAGCACCAAATAACCCACTATCCACATGGACCACCCTTAATTATCCTTAGCTTTTAATAGGCCAAGATGCTCATGGATACCCTTCAACTCCTTTAATCGGCTCTTCTCGCCCTCCTGCAGCAGTCGGAGATGCTCGGCTTTCAGTTGTTTGAACTCATCGTCCAGTTTGTGATGCCAAGGGTAAAGAACGCAGACTTGGAAGCAAAATGCCGAGCTAGCGATAACAAAATTTGTCAAAGAGAAGCCGCGAGTTATTATCATTGTGCTTGTTTTCGGCCCGAAACCCGAGCTTCGGATGAAAGGCGTTGGTTGCGGCGGCTGTGCCTTGTTAGTGAATGACCCTGATAGTAAAAAAATCCAGCACATGGAGGCAAATACCTAGATCCCTGGTAGAACAATTTTGAGAGGATGAAAGATCTCAGATCTAAGTAGATTACCTCAAGGTAAGGGGTAAGTTTCAGAAGATCTCAGGTAGATATTAAATCCTAAACTTTTCCAGGATTGAAAAAGAGAAAGGCTTCGCCACAGAATTTTATTCGTCAAAGCTTGCTATGTCACATGGCATGTGCCTAGCTCAGGGGATTCCATGATTCGAGAAAACGTAGGGAGCTGTTGCTGAACTTATCCGCCGTATACTGAATTGTGGGCCCGAAGACGGTCTTTCGGCCGAAGCGGCGATTATTCGGGATCTATATTCGGCCTCAGCCAACTACAATTAGATCTAGATCAAGGAGATAATACAAAAGAGTCTAAATAGCAGGCAATAACTGACCCGTACTAGTAGGTTGGGATGTTCAGTTGAGGATGCCCGAGTAAATAGTGAGTTGGCCATGCCTCCATGATTTGCCGTGATGCGCCCACTGTGTGCCTGGAAGATGGATAGAGAAATGGAGCGTGGGCCCGGAGCCTTGGGCCCGGAGCCTGAGGCCCTTTGGAGACCATGGTTTGCTATCACTATGTAGAGCAATCAGAGGACAGGTAATTTGGGGCTGGGAATTGAGATAAATTAAATCTTATCTTGGGCCATATATAAGCAATCACTACTTGACTAGTGGTGTGATGTGATCCACAGCTTGGCTTCTCTGAATCAGGAAGTAGTTCCTCCCAAAGAATTACATGGCGATGAGGTGAGGAGATCAATTGACATAATGTGAACGAATGATAGGCTGAGGGGCGGGCTACGCTGCGTCTCTACGTCTGTACGTCTCTACCTCCATTCCTAGGAGGCATCAGCACGCAGGTGCACATTCTCAGGTCCATCAGAACGATGATCTACGCATCTAGATATTGTCCCTGGCACATGAAGGCTATTGAGTATCTTATCATATTCTAGTCAGGAACTGGATACGACATTTGTAGCCTAAGCACACATGTGCATTCATCCATGGATGTCTTCCATCAAGCCAGAAAATTTCGGCGTTGTGTTTCAGGGTCAAACTAGGACGTATATAGCCCTAGAGATAGATAGCAAGACCCTGGCGAGCTCAACAATTGGAACCCCTCATATCCAGACCCCCTCACCCCACAACGTCGCAACCTCCGGAAACGAGGTACCGGATGGGTCCACGACGTCATCGCCAGGCACGATCGACAAGAAATGAAGAAAAGCAGAAAGGCAGACCCACGCCAAGTCCAAATCCAAGTCCAATTCTACAAATGATCTCCGGTAAAATTCCTGCTGCCTAGCCAGAATTGGCAGACTCCGCCCAGATCGATGTCATACCCTGAAACTAGTAAAGCATGCCTCAGCCCTACGTCAAGTCAGCCCTGCGATCTTCGTTTCCTTCTTCTTTTGCCTTTGCACTATTTCCTTTGTTGACTTGCATTCCCTAGCCTCAGGAACTGTATATATTTCATCCTGGGCTTTGATACTTCTATAACATGACCTCCGACACCAGCTTAAATTCTCCTCCCAATGCCGAAACAGCTTCCCAGCGATCCGAGCAGGGTTCTTTCGCGGGCGTGAAGGATCAACTCGATGATCTGACCCGATCCTCAGTCACGGATTTCAAGGATAGTTTCGTCGCTGTCGCTAGCGACGCGGTCACTGGCGTGAAGGAGACTGTTGCTGAGGGCATCCCTATTGCTACGGAAGCTTTGCAGAGCGCGCAGGATCGCGTTCGGTCTCTTGTGAAAGGTGTTGAGGAAACCGTTGAGCCAGGTTCGTTTATCATGCTTTTCAGTCCAAAAACTATACTGATGTGAATTCAAAAGCGTCCGAGGAGCAAGAGGCGATGGCGAAAGATGCCGAGCACATTGATCAGATGGATACGGAGCAGATTTGCGACTTCTTACGAGATAAGCATCGGAGTACGAAACCTCCGCCGTCGACGAGTTGACGGATGTTTTTGTAAGAAGAATACTTTTGTTATAGGTTTATTTCGTCACGATTGAGCGGCATGGGTTTTGTTCGGAGTCATTGAATTCGATTATTTCATTTGGGAATCGCTAGAATGAGAGTATTCTTTCTTGTCCAAAGTAAACTAAGCTTTCAGTGCTTTAAGAGGCGGCAATCCCATCGGTGCGCCGTAGAAATCCAGCAAATCTTCTTCCTCTTCCACATCAAGCAAGTTCTCAGCTTCCGACTCTTCCCCGGGTGCCTTGATAGCAGCACGGGAAGGTCGACTGCGAGTCACGTTTATCCCTGAGGCAGGTGTGCCTTCTGACTCAAAGGCATCGCGTGCGTCTTCACGAGGAAGGCGGAAAGCTGGGAATCCGTCTGGGGCACGCTCAGCACGGTCCATGATCTCGTTCATGTATTTGCGGACTTCCTCGGCCGGCTTAACAACACGAGTGAGAGGCTCAAGAACTCGGGGGTTGCTGGCGTGGATCCGGAACGTCACGGGCTGCCAGTATTCCTTCAGGGTTTCGTCCTTAACCACAGGCTCCGCGGGGGTGCCGGGAGTGGCTGGAACGGACAGGTTTGGGTTGATGCCTGTCTTATCTGTAGGCTCTGACTTCTGAGGAGTATCTGTAGGGTTTGCTGGATTTGGTGTTGAGGCTTCAGTGGCGTCTTTGCCTTTGCCTTTCTTGGATTTGGAGGCCTTGCTTTTGCCTCGACTGGTGGTCGGCTCCCCTTCAGGTTCGATTGGGAATGGTTTGGAGGGATCGACCTTGCGCACGATGAGGAAAGATGCTAGAATAACATTTTCGCTTGGTATCCATTCAAGGATTGAATGTTCCGGGAAGAGATAGCGATCACCCGAACCTGCATGACCAGAATTCACGTTTCCGTACGGGGTGAGAGGAGAGGTAAATTCGAAAACAACGGACTTGTATCCAGCCCGAGCTTGTGGTTGTTGAGGCCCAGGTGGACGGTAGTAGGGTGTGGGGGATCCATATTGCGGGGGTCGTGACTGTATAGGTGGTTGGGGGGTATAGGCCTGTCCGGGCCGAGGCGGTTGTTGAAAGTTGCCCGGGGTCTGAGCAGGATGGGCTGCATTGGGAGCAGGGGAGCCGGCAGGAGCGGGAGTCCCCAATGAAGTAGATGCTGCTGGCTGCCCTGCAGTGGGTGGGGCTTGGGTGATATTGGTGTCCGGTTCTTGCTTAATAGGCGCCGCTGCATCCTGTGAAGGAGCGAGAGGTTGCGTCTGTGCTGATGTTTGAGATTGACTGCCGGAGGATACTTCTCCAGATAGCGACTTTGCCGGAGTGTCTTTCGGTTCTGGTGACGCTGGCTTCTCGGGGTCTTTAGGTGTTTCAGTCGGAGCCGCGGGTTGTGACTTGGATCCCGACCCTCGTGATGTCTTCACCCCCGATTCTTGCTTTTGTTGAGACTCAGGCTGCGACGGAGTCGACTTGTCTGGAGTCGACTTGCCTTGAGGCGCAGGCGTTCCTGGCTGCGAGGCTGGTTGTTGTGTAGATGTTCCAGCTGCGTTCTGCTGCTGTTCCCTGGCCTTGATGATTGCGTTGAGCTCGTCAATGTGAGCTTGGAAAGCGCGGAGTTGCTCCTGAGATGCCTGACTAGATGCAACTACTCTCATCAGTGCCTTCAGCTCGGGATCTGCAGCCGCCCTCGTAGCGAGCATCTGGATAACCGGGTCGGGGCTCGGCTTTGCAGGCTGGCCAGTCTGGTTGGCTTGCGGTGGCCGTTGACCTGCTGGAGATGACGCATTCGGCGCACGTTGTTGCGGTGTCTGATATCCTTGTGGAGGGCGACCGGCTGGGGCTGGAGAATAGGGCGGACGTTGCTGGTTCGGAGATGGGTATGGAGGGTATCGCTGGAAGTTATTCGGGCCGTTGTAGTGCATCATTGGTCGCGGTGGTGCATATTGAAGCGGCTGCGGTTGCGCATTTGGGTCTTTGACAGTGTACAACATGGCATCGAAATAATGAGGGCCCACGGTGACGTCGCAAAGTCCAACCTTTACCATGGAGTCCTTTGGCGGGTTGTTCCTTTCGATCTGCTCGCGCTTCGTCTTCTTCGGCTTCGTATAGTATCGGACCAGGATGCCGTCGCTTAGCCATTTCTTCTTGGATCGTTCAAGTGATGCGAGTAGTACTGCGCTGGATGATCAAACATGGTTAGCATTGAATAAACTGGCGCGGGTTCAGTGACCATCAAACCTTTCGGCAATAGACTGGTATTCCGTCTCGGATAAGGAGTCTGGTTGTCGGACGCGTCTAATCGGCAATGGCTCACCATCCTTGAGCTTCGAAGGCAACGGTGCCTCAACAGGCTCGGGCGGAGGCGATGGCACACGAGGAGTGGGAGCTTTCTTCTTTGGCGCCGCTTCGGAGACACGTCGCTTAGCCGCAGGCTCGCGACCGGCGCGTGGAGGGAGTTTGCGTTTCTCTGCCATTGCGAACAACTTCAATGCAGATGCGTTCACAAAGCGATCATCGTGGGTCGCGGAAGTCGGGGAGTTGGAAGGGGGAAAAAGCGTGACGCGATAAGTGGCAGCTTATCGGCCGCCAGTCTCCGCGCTTCCCCGTTGACTTAACACGCGATGGTTGAACTGCAGTCCATTTTCAAAAAGGCCTACTGGACCCTCGCCGCCGGCGGGCTGATTTACGTGCTCTTTGTCTGTTCTTTGACATGGCCTGAGGTCCAGCGTTTGTATGTTTTCCTGCTCACGAGCGCGGCTGTAGCTAATCTGGAGCAGTGCACTCTACGCCAACAAGGTCAACCCCAGTCTCTGGCAGGATGTGAATCAAGTCGAACAATTCGGTTTCCTGAGTATGTTCCCATAAATTACATTCAGCTATTCGCACTAATTCCTCCAGAATCCCAAGTTCAGCCCTTCCATTTGGTGACGCCCGATAATGAGACACTGTATGGATGGCACCTTATGCCCCTGCATCTCTGTCACGAGCATGAGCAGGATTTAATTGACAATCCCCCCGATGGCCCTGCCAAGGACTATACACAGACTGTTGCTTACAAGAGTTTGGCCAATGACCCCAATGCTCGGGTCGTGGTGAGCTGTAAGTACCTGACATGACAAGTCCGTCCAGGCATCTAACCTCTCGTTCCAGTTCATGGAAATGCGGCTCATCTCGGCTCTGCCCAACGCCCAGCCACATACAATGCCATGTTGAGTCTGTCCACTCCGTCCAACCCAGTGCATGTCTTCGCGATTGACTACCGCGGCTTCGGAGTATCGACCGGCAGTCCCACTGAAGAGGGCCTGATTACAGACGGTGTCTCGCTCATCAACTTTTTAACAGCCGGTCCGTTGGAGGTTCCCACGTCTCGTATTGTGATCATGGGCCAGAGCCTAGGCACAGCGGTCACAGCAGCGGTTGTCGAGCGGTACACCTTTGGGTCTCCTAATCCAACTGCAATCCAGCCCGCCATCAAAAATCCCGAGCCATTCGCAGGTGTGATTCTGGTAGCGTCTTTCAGCAACGTTCGGAATGTCATCGAGTCCTACAGTATCAAAGGCTTGACGCCTCCGATGCTGTCCCCGTTGATTGGGTACCCCCGCTTCCAGAACTGGGTGATGAGCCATATTGTAGACCGCTGGGAGACCGGAGTCAGACTTGCTCGCTTGACTGGTGTCAATGTCACGAGCCTGGATGGCTCTGAGGTGGATCATTCTCACAAGGATCTCGATTTGACTATCATTCACTCCTCGAATGATATTGAGATTCCTTGGTACGAAGGACGTCGCAACTGGGCAGCTGCCACAGGCGAGGGCATCAAGGGGGCTCCTGGGGCTTTGGCCTATGAGAGAACAGATGTTGGTAAGCCCGTTGGCGAGGTGAAAATCTGGGTGAACAAGATTACTGGAGATGACGGAAGCACGGCTTTGAAGAAAGTGCGCTGGGAGCGCGTGCGATATGGAGGTAAGTTGGAGCATTTTCCATCCCTGAGCTCTGCTGTTAATCCTGATAATAACGTTTTTTTTTTTTTTTTTTTTTCGAAGGCCATGATCGTGTTGCGACATTCTCTGTTGCTGGCCTTGCAGCTCTCAGGGCCTTTGAAGAGTGATATTGAGGAATATACTCCCTGGATAGCTTGCAAGTGCTGTATATATTATGAACGAATACATAGATGTCATATGAGGTAGATAGAGCGAATGCCTATAGACTGACAACATTTCAAGTCTCGGGCTTTCTTCAGTACCATAGGGGCGGAAGCATCATCCAAAAATGAATAGAGACCCGTATACAACATGCACCCACTCTGACGCAAGGAAAGCTAGCCAGAGGCGAAATATCGATGACAAAGTACATTCACAAGTCTACCTCTTTCGGTGTCAGAATCTTTGCAATTTCTTGTTATGATCCTCGACTTTTGCATAAGCCAAAACTTGACATCGAAAACGGCCTTGTGTAACATATGTGTAACCATACACCTGCAGGGTACCCTATTCATTGGCATCTACGTATCATGGCTGTTATCAACATTTCAATACTGCATGGCCTTTTCACATCATTTCACAAGAATAGTTGGGGAACCAAATACTCATAGGCATACACAGCCCTGGTAAAGTCATACAGTTACAATAGCTCGTGTTCTGGCGTGGAGTTGGAACGTTCCCGAAGCGCCAAAATCGGTAGGATCTCTCTCTTTGGGCAAACGTGCAGCTGCAGGGAGCTCAACTTAGACTCTCGAGTCTAATCCGCGTAAGCCTTTGCGAACATACAGGTGTGACAGGGGTATGCGTCGTCTGTTCTCAGATAGATAGAAAGACCTCCCAATCCCGGGAATTTCCAGCTCTAGTGGTCCTCAACTACGTCCTTACTAACTTGCTTGTCCTTGAAATAAATTTCTTGGGCCAAGGTATTTCAACCAAACCTACTTGAGGACGAACATAGAAACACTGATCAGTAATCACTGGCGATTCTGCAAATCTTGATCCATAATGACCCAAGTCGCCAACTCTACATTACTTGACCCTCATGTCCCCCTGGTTTTACCAAATGGACACCCTGGTGACTGGAACGAGAAGACACAGCAGAATGCTTTGAAAAAGAGAATAAGCCCAGCCTTAAAAACAACTTTGAGCCATGCACTGGAAGAGCTAGATACGCAAGCAGGCCAGTACGCCCGCTCTGGCTCATCCGAAGCCCAGTATGCAGACTCTGTGTACCAGGAAACCATGCGCAACGGCATGCTATCCCTTCTCGGCGTGATAGAAATTCCCGAAAGTCAAGCCTGGGAAGATGCAATGGAGTATTGTCGCGAAGTCATTCGATCTCCCCAAGACAATGTGGAGCGCGCCGGCGCTGAATGGTCCAGGTCATATTCAGATGTTTGTCGCCATCTTCTGAGTAGGTTCAGTCCGGGGATTGTGGCAGCAGCGCGCAGTGGCTGCGAGTCATTTGTTTGCGACCATTATCAAGGCAATGCCCGGAGTATCGCGCACGTGAACAAAGAAATGAACATAGTGCGCTTTCTCCCCTGCCACAACCCTGGCTTCGTGTTTCATCCCAAGAAAAGTGTTCTCGCTGCTGTGTGCGGCGAGATGACCGCGCGGTGTTGTTCGATCGTGACATCGGCATGGCTGTCTCCTGAAGAGTCTATTAAGTCTGGGATGCTTTCCCATGTGGCACTTTCTGAAGAATACCCTGTCTCCACGGGGGCAGAATCCAAAGTCAGGCTCTGTATGGTTGCTCTTTCGGTCGGCGTCGCTTATGAGGCTGGTGGACAGGTTGTCAATGCCTTGGTGGATGGAGCTGCCATGCTAGCCGTTGGCACAGGCGACCAGATGACAGTAGATGCAGTCAGAGCCTGGAGAGCTGTCAGCGGCTGTACAACTCCGTACAGTAGCTACCTTTGGGGCGGGTCGTCGCTTAAGGATGGACTCGTCGTGCCGGAAATGATCATGGCGATGCACGACCTTCTGGATTGGAGAAGCGACATGGCTGCCCGAAATCATGAGAACGGAGTCTCTGCTGTATACGGACTGGGATTCAAAGACGCCTTTCACACCTATCTTGAGTCCACGTTGGAACGAGCGAGCTCGGAGCCACTTTCTGGGGCACATGCAATGGCTGGCGTGGTCTACTTGCATTTCACATCCATTCGGTATGGCTCCTATAGGTACCGAGGAGATATCAAAAAACCTTGCCAAATGTGCCAGCGGGTTTTAAGAAATGTTACTGCGAAGGCAGGCCTTGAGTGGAAGCCAGTCCCTCCGCCGAGCATCTGGAGTGCTGGCGATAAGTTCCGCGAACTTAGCAAACGAGTGGTGGATAGATTCGAGGAGCAACCACTTGTGCAAATTGGACTGAGTTGGCTTCAACACCTAGTTGTCAGTGGAGAGATAGGGCTTTTTGATGCTCTTGTCCGGATGAAGACTCTGGATTCAAGGGCGGAATGAGTGTAAAGAGTCGGACAAGAGGAACACGATACATGTGCAGATTGAGAAGAGAGGGAAAATAGGAAAGAGCCAGAACATAACGAAAGGTTTGATCCTGAGTATTTTTTTGGCAATCTATATACTACCAAAAAGGTGATTTGTCCCCCTGTAAGCTCGTGTTTCATGCAGCCCCAGGGCCAAACCGTAGATAGCGATGACGCCATACGCCAGAACAACCAAATCGATATCAAATTGAATCACTTGCTCTCAAGTGCGGCAATGCAACAAATTATTCTGCGAAAATCAAGTCATCCCATTCATAACCGAGCCTCGGCTGCAGTTGATCAACGCTGACTCATCTTGCGGGGAATGAAGACGGGGAATGGAGCTACCAGTAAATCGCGTTTGAATCTTGGTTCTTGAAGTTACTGGTCTGCAGCGCGAAGAACATATGACAGCTCATACTCCTAATGGCGAACCCAAAGATCACCCTCTACGTGGACGTGATCAGTCCGTTCGCATATATCGCGTTTCACGTGTTGAAGGCAAGCGCATATCTCCGTATTCCTCCCAAGAACAGGTCTAACATAGATTTTCAGAACTCACCGACATTCGCCAAGGTCGATGTCACCTATGTCCCAATCTTACTAGGGGGTCTGATGCAGGCCTGCAATAATTCGCCTCCTATCAACATCAAGAGTCTGTCCGATTCTCTCTTGTTCTCAAGCTCTGCTCTAACTGACAACTTCCAGACAAGGACAAATGGATCAACAAAGAGCGCGAGAGATGGGCCAAGTACTTCTCAGTCCCTATGGCAGATAAGACGCCTGATGGTTTCCCTGTCCGGACGCTAGCTGTCCAGCGCGCGCTGTGCGCGCTTTCCCAAAAGGCGCCCGCGAAGATGCCCGCTGTTCTTGAGGCTCTGTACCGTGCGTTCTGGGTTGAGAGGAACTCTAAGATTGGAGAGCCGGAGGGCTTTCAACCCATTTTGGAGAGTGTTCTTGGCAAGCAGGACACAGAGGAGATTCTTTCAGCTGTGAGTTACTGCCAGAGCGAGTCGTGATTAGGGTTCGAGAGTCTAATTATCTTATCTCATAGATGGGTCAACCGGATGTCAAAGGTCTCTTGATGTCGAACACAGATCGAGCATTCAAAGAGGGAGCCTTTGGTCTTCCGTGGTTTGTGTGCACGGATGCAAATGGCAAGACCGAAGGATTCTGGGGAGTTGATCATCTCGGTCAGGTGGCTGATTTCCTGGGCCTGGACCGCAGAGATGCAGGATTCAAGGCTCTTCTTTAATGGATTCAGAGAGTCTACAATGTAAATAGTAGCGTTGAACCCGTTGGGTCATTGAAACAATATACTACGTCCAATTTCAATGGCCCCAAATGCCAGATCCCGTCAGGAAACATCTTTCGGAGCACAGCAGGGTGCATACCAAGTTACATAATGTAGAAATGGATGTTACAGAATTCAAAAACACCGTGTGGCCCGAAGACCCTCACACTGCGTGTCTCGGCCCGTACCCGGTACGACGCTAGAAATCGTAAGCCTCGGAAACTATTCGACCTTACTGGACAGTTCTTGGGGGCGGAGATAACCGCGACCTGAAGTTCACCCTCTACTTCGACATCTCAACTGAGGATGGCAAGGGGGCAATGGCCTGCCTGGTGACCTTGACATACTCCACTGCGCCCGAACTAGCTTGGAAGAAAAGATAAATAACGCATACTTACAACTTACTTTGGGGGCCATCTTGGGGCTGGAACTTGAAGCTATCTATATAAACCACGGCGCACCTGGGAAAGCCATTGAATCCATTACAGATATTCTTGACCTCAGGCTGACAACAATCCAAGAGAATCATCTATCAACATGAAGGAGGCATTCGTGGACAAGAATACCACGCTGACGATCCGAGACACCGATGTCCCCGTCCCTGAAGCTGGCCAGGTCCTGATCCGTGTTGTCGTTTCTGGCACCAATCCGAAGGACTGGAAGCTTCCTCCCTTGTGGCCAGTAGACGGCACCCCCACTAATCAAGGAGATGACCTCGCCGGATACATCGAGGCCGTGGGAGAGGACGTGATGGGATTCCACAAGGGCGACAAGGTCGCCGCGTTCCATCAAGTGATGAAACCCCATGGCAGCTACGCCGAGTATGCGATCGCGCCCGACCACACGACCTTCCATATTCCTGCCAAAACCAGCTTTGAAGGTGAGCCTGTTTCCGCTCAAGCATTTATACTGGGGCTAATGTAGAGGTGCGGCCAGAGGCGGCCACTATTCCGCTAGCTGCTATGACAGCGGCACTCGGCCTTTATCAGCGCTTGAAGCTGCCTTTGCCCTGGAATCCGGCCACCGACCCTCTACCTTTGGTTGTATATGGTGGCGCGACTGCAGTCGGAGCCTTTGTGATCAAATTCGCCCGGCTATCTAATATCCATCCGCTTATCACGGTAGCTGGAAAAGGCAGCGCCTTCGTCGAAACTCTCATCGATCGCGAGAAAGGTGACACGATCATCGATTATCGTGAAGGGGATGAGGTCGTTCGGGCAAAGATCAAGGAGGCGGCTGGTGGGCGATCGATACACTACGCGTACGATGCGGTAGGCGAACATGGAAGTCATCAGAATGTCGACGCGGTTATGACTGCGCCTGGGGAAATCACTACCATGTTCCTTAGCGGTGACTATCAACCTCCCCAGGGAATTGTCATAGGCCAAACTATAGCGGGATCGGTTCACATGTCGCCCGCAGCAGGCAAGACGCTCGAGGATATCGAGTTTGGTGCTGCTTTCTTCCAATTTATTGGTCGTGGCCTGTCGCAAGGCTGGTTCTCGGGACACCCCTATGAAGTGCGTCCCGGCGGGCTGGCTGGACTTCAAGGGGCGTTGCAAGATCTGAAAGCGGGCAAGGCATCTGCTATCAAGTATGTGGTGCGTATTGGCGAGACGGAAGGGGTCATGTAGATATCAGCTTCGCTGCGGGTGTATCTCTGTTCTCCGGGAGTGACGCTGAGACTTAGACGCAGAGACGAACGGACGCCAGGGTGTTGATGGGCATTAAGGTAGCTGAGTGTATATCTTTTGGAGACAGTATTTGTACAAAATGCAATCCAACTTATTTATTCTCAGACACCCTGGAAATGATGATTTATGTACTGGTCTGCATGAGATTAGCTAAGAGTGTCTGGCGGGCAAACTGTTTTCTAATTCTACTGTATTCAACATCAAACGCTACCACCGGGCCTCCCATGGTCCCCAATAATCCCCGCTGTCTCCAAAAGCCATCTCGCACTTTCCTGTGCCGAGTCGCCTGCCCCGCCTTTCATATTGATATTGCGCCGTCTCTCTGCCTCGCGAGCCTCAAATGCCCACTTTGCCTTCTGCGCATCTACGGCGCTGGATCCAGATGCCGCCTCAGCTGCTTCCGGGTCGGGAACGACGCCCCAGATCTCAAGAGAGTAGATATCTACTCTGGTCTTTGTCGGTTTGTCATCTGGGGATGATGTGCCCGATGGCAGGAACACGCCATCGTGTCCGACAGGAGCGACGTGCAGCTCTGCTAATTCAAGATTGACGTCAATGAGGAGACTTGCTGCCCCATGCGGGCTGGGATGTGTCTGGTGGCTACGAGATGGTGGGGGGATCTGGCAGCCGATGGCGATGCCAGAGTGTGTTGAGAACCATGCAGCTGGGATATTTTGTTTTGTTTCAACAGATGGCGATGGATTGCCCGGGAGGACTTGGTGTTTGGGAGAGAGTTGGAAGAGACAAGGGAGTGGATTGGAGGCTTGGGATGCGGAAGTGCTGTGTGATGAAGAAGATGATTTCCATGCTTGAGGGAGATAGACACCGAGTGTAATTATTTCTTCACTCTCGCCCTCTGACGTGCCTTGAAGTATGAGCAATGATGCTGATTGCCAGGTCAGAACGTTGTGGGAGAACGACGTTAAAGAAGAGCCGTGGGCTGACGTTGAAAATACCGGATGGAGACGCACGCCGTTGCGGAAGAGGTTTCGTGATGCCGACGTTGAAGGCAAGAAAAAGACATGTGTGACAGAAGAGTCGAATTTAGAATCGTTGACTCGAAACTGCCTGGAAGCATGATCGGTGCAGGTGGTGGAACCTCTTCAGGCTTCTCGCTCGTCTCTTCCACAGTAACATCCTCTTCCTGTCCTTCTGCCTGTTGCTTTTGAGAAAGATTCAGATTCTTGCTGAACAAGAGATGCTCGAATAGTGGAGTAAGGGGGTCAAAGAGGTATGGCAACGAGGACGAAATTGTTTGAGCGAAAGCCCGATATGAGATGCCACCGTCATGTTCCTCTGGGATAAAGGCCGCAATGATACTGTCTGCCTCTTTCCGGATCGCCTCAATTCTCTCGGCAGATAGGTCATTGGTATAGATCTGCACGGATTCCAGAGGCTTAAGAGGTGCGATCACGAGCAGCAGCATGAGCAGTCGACGGAAGGTACCCAGAGATATACGCGTTTCATAAACGGTGCGGTCGACTCGATGATCATGTTTAAACACCTCAATGGCATCCAGTGACTCCAGTGCTGCTAGGGCAAGGTCGTCATCTTCATCTTCGTCGTAATCGTCATTAGCCGGCTCGTCGATTGAAAACCCCGGGGCATGAGAGGTGACGGCTGAAGAATCGCCTTCCTCTGCAGGCAACTCCTCATATTTATCAGCAGATTCATCAGAAGTATCTCCGATGTCCTTTCTTCCGACATCAGCGAGACTGCCAAAGAGCAGCTTTATGCGATCTTTGCGTCCCCTTTTCAACACCTTCCCATACCGTTCAGTCAAGAGAACGGCCACCTTGACCATAGCCTCAAACGTCAAAAGGCTTGGAGCCATGGTATTTTGGAATGGAAAGGCTCCAAGGTACGAGACCATACGGAAGATGACGGGTCCCGCGTCCAGTGGGTTTTCATTAGCATCAGAGAAGCTGCCATCCGGGACGCCGAGGATTTCCGAGAGAATCTTTTCATTCCAGTAACGAAGTCCACCCTGCTCAGCGGCACGAGAGAAAAAGTTGTCTTTAAAATGAGTCAGCTCCAGTGGTGTGAAGCATTTTGTCGCAAAGCGCTCCGCGAGCACATAGCTCAGCTCCTCTGTTTACGGTTAGTATGGTCTAAGAGAGAGGGAATATTCAAGCAGAGTAGCTTCAAGGGCATTCATGATCCCAATATGACGGGTCCGGCCATCCTAGCAGAGTACTCTGCTGAAAAGAACCAGCGAGACTTACCAGGAGACGCTCCGATGTGTTCAGCCGACTGGCCCGCGCCCATTGTTGCCGCGAATGCGGGGAGCACCCCACTGTCTCACGTCTGTCGCAGATGTCCTGGCGGAGTAAGATGTAGTGGAAGCAGAAACTAATCTATGGAACGACTAGACCAAAAGTCTCAAACCGCTCAAAAATTGAACCGCGAAGACAGAGTGGAAGAGAATGAACGGGCGACGTTACGGATGACGACGTCAGATATGGCTGCCTGAGGTGTCCCTCAATATCGGCCATCGCGCGCGAACCACTACAACGTGTAAAAAGTACGAATAATATAATGGACAATGAATGATGAAATGAAGTTTATTTGCAATTCAGTTTCAAAGTAACGTAAAGAGATTCGTTTTGGGGGTATCCGAAATGCATTCAGATCCACTAGCCATTGTTCCCTCTCTACAGCATGACAACGCCGACGCCTCCCATCTTCTTCGCGTCAGGCTGATTTTTGTCATTGACTCCGCCGTTGATAGGGGCACAACGGTAGTTGTAAAGGTAGTAGTGGAGTGAGCCGTCACCGGCGCCGAACTTGAGCTTTTCAAGGAAGAGAGGGTTGTCGTGGAGGGTAAGAGCGTTGAAGACATCGAATTTTTCCTTTTGGTATGTTAAATGAATTCTTATAGTGGGAAATTAGTGGGGGTTGTCATACCTGCTTTGCACAGATGAGGGCATCGTTGATCAAATGCTGCAAACGCGCTCCGAGTGCGGCCTGGTTCTCGGTAAACGCAGACTCGGTGGCGTAGTAGTAGAGGTAGGCGGCGCGCACCGTCTCGTGCTTAGAGTGATCAATGATAGTGGATTCAAGGTTGTAGAATGAGACAAAGTCCGTGATCTTGTGGGTCTCGGGGTCTTCGACCACGTACGACCAGACAACCTGGTCCTTACCCGGCTGCTCCTTGTAGACCAGCCAGTGTTCGATCTCCTCACGGGTGAATGCCTGGTTCATGTCGAACCGGAGCGAATATCGCTCCAAAAGATCGTAGACTGCGTCAATATCCTTGACCTCCATGGGCCGCAAGCCGGGAATTTCAGGGTTGCTGGGAAGGAGGTTCTTGGCGATCTGGCGCGCCTTAGTAGAGCCGTGCGGAAGGAACGAGAAGCCGATTTCATATAGCTTCAGCCAGTCAAGCGGACGGTGATAATACCGGCAAGAAGCCACGGGAGTGGGCAGAATGATACCGCCAGTGTAGATGGCCTGGTAGATGCCATTGACGTAGCAACGGCGAGTAATTTCCTTGATCAAGACCGGGGTCAGGCGCTTAGCCCGCAGCTTCTTGTGAATGCAGAGGAAGTTGATCTCGGTCACCTTAATTCGCTCGCCGCGAACTCGGAGTTCCGTCGGCACACCGCAAATTGAGGCAACTAACTTGCGCGATTTCGAGGCACGCACACCCACGTGCCATTCCTTCTTCCATCCAGGAGACATCAGGGCCCTATAGTAATGTAGTTCAATGGTCAATAAGCTGCACATGTCATGCGATCCAGTCCGATGGAAGAGCTACCATACCAGTGCAAAAACGACTGCGAGTACTTGAAACGGAACATGGCGTTATCATCCTCCACGTAATGGTTGTTCAGCAGCTCATATAGTTCCTTAAGCTCCTCATCGTTGGTCAAGTCAAGAGTGCACCACTCAAAGCCATCAACCAGCGGGCCAGGTGTCTTGGGAACCCGCTCCGGGTCGATGATCGAAATGGGGCCCTGGGCAACAGGCTTCTTGTTCTTCTGATCCTCGAAGCTTGGTACTGGCTGTGTCTGCCAGAACTTGTAGGAAGCCATATCCTTCTGGTTCTTTCCATTGATTGAGAGTCCGGTCAACATTTGATCGAGGTCGAGGTTGGCGATGGTCTTAGCCGCGGTCTCGGGATCCATCGTAGCAAGCTCGCTCTTCAATGCAGGGTTCATATCCAGTAGAGCCTCAATCGCTTTAGGGGGGAGGTTTTTCTTCGAGGAGGAGCCTATGTCGTTAGGGTCAGTTGAGTGAGGAGCGGTCGCGGAGCGTAACAGCGATAAGTAGGACGTACTCTTTTTGCTTGGGGCGCCAGAATCGGATGCGCCCTCGCGCTGAGGCGCCTTGCCTTTGTCTTGGTCCGACATGACGTGTGAAGCTGGGGTTAAGATGTTGTGAAAGTGGGAGAAGGAAGGATTCCGTTGAGGCCCCACGTTAACCTAGGTAATGCGGATCGGTGGGGTGCCGAGGGGTACGCCCGCTGCGATGTGACGACCGGTGCGGGCGTCAAGAAATCAGATGATCGCATGAATTGTAGATTCAGACTCTAGTTACATATAATTCAAACATTAGAATTAGTTCCAGCCATTCACAGATTGAAAGGCTTTGGTACCGTAGGCCTCTTGAAGCAATTAGGCAAACGTCCCCATTATCTAAGAGAAGCACCCCTAAGCCATGAAGATGGAAAGGTTGTATTTGCAAAATGGGAATCTAATCTCGAATTGTTGAAATCCACAAACACCTCTATATGTCCCCTCGCATCGCGCTATGTCAAAAGAAATTCTTTGGTGTTGATACAAGAATCAAAATTCTTAAAGGACGAGGTTGTCCATTAACCCAACAACCACATCAACCGCTCTCGGTGTAGGGCTTGGTCTCAATGACATCCAGGAAGCCACCGACCAGATGCAGACTACCAGTGACAAACGTCATTACTGGTGCCTCATCCTTCTGCAAGACCTTGCGCTCTTGCTCGGCCACGTCTCGTGCAAAGTCCACAGCCTCTTCAATGGTACCGAACACGTGTGTCTGAGCGGACGGGTCGATCTCGTTCCAGGCGCTTGCGAGAGACTTTTGCACGCGGAGCAGTTCAACGTCGTCGGCGTTTGTGTTCATGCTGACTAGGTCAGGTCGGTAGCCGGCTTGCTTGTAGGTGATGTTGGTGCAGAACAGGGCGTGGGTAAAGGGTGTTGTGGACCCGAGCGCGGCAGCGAGAGTCTCATTTAGGGCAGTGGCTAGAGCTGTGCTATTTCGCGTTTGCTGATTGAAGATCAAAATCCGGGTCTTTTTCCTCGCAAGGTCGCTAGAGGATGAGTCTGCTTGGATCCGTCCGGCGAACCACTGGCCAGCTAGTCGGATGCTCTCTAGTGTGTGTCCTCCATCGATATACCAGGATACATTCTTCTCGTACCGAGTTTCGCATCGGCCGCCCAGGCGGGTCTCTTCAAGGCCTTTTTTGAACTCGGCTGGGAGGGATTCTGACATAACGTTCACTGAGATTTGCGCGACGCCTGTCTTGCGAAGGAACTCCGCGGCAGCAGCGACTGCCACTGAGGCATTAGTATATTGGAAATCACCAGCCAGTCCAAGCTTCACTTGGCTATTGCCGGCCTGGAGATCAGGGTGCTCAGACACAATGTCTAGCTGGGAGCCCTTGTCGGCAGCACGCTTCTCCAGTACCTCGACTGCGGTCCGAGGTTGCGGTGCGCTAAAAGCTCTTACACCAGGCTTGATAATACCTCCCTTGTGCCAGGCGATTTGGTCAATTGTATCACCCAACATCGCAACATGGTCGATTCCAAGACTTGTGATCACCGATGTCTTGGGGTTCTGGACCACATTGGTACAGTCGTATTCTCCGCCAATTCCACACTCGATAACTGCAGCATCGACACCCTCGCTCAAGTAAGTGTGGAACGCCATGAGAGTCAAATAGCGAAAGTATTGGGGCTTTGTGCCCCGAGCGGTAGGATCCTCTCCAGCCAGCTTCGCCGACTCCTCTAGACGATCCCAGACCTCGAAGAAGTAGCGAGTAAATTGTGCTTCAGACAGCGGTTCATTATCAATCTTAATGCGCTCGCGAGCAAATCGGAGATGTGGAGAAGTGAAGAGACCGATCTTGTGTAGCCGGGGAGTCGACTGGTCTGGCTGGGGCTTTGTATATTGGGAGAGAATGGTTGAGATGAATGAGGAGGTCGAGCCCTTGCCTTTTGTACCAGCAACGTGAATTGGGTTTATGCGATCGAGCTCGGAAGGCTGGAATGCAGGTCATGTTAGCCCTAAGCTCTACCGTAGCTCAACATTCCAGCATTTACGAACCGTATGTCCAATGCGCCGAAGCCATTCAACAGTCTCCGGGAGCGAGCGCGCATTCTGATCTGCGGGAGACTTGGACTTCCTAAGCTCCTCCACAATCGCATAGTTGGTCTGCAGGGAATTAAGCGCCGAAATGGCATTCTAAAAGTATTTCTCATGTCAGTACATATGATCAGCAAGCTTCCTTACGCATCACCGCGGAGTAGACCCGCGTGGGGGGGTTTGAGGTGCATACCTCATATGTGCGAGTCATAGTGGCCGAGTGAGTCGAGACTCGGCGCCTTGGGAAGGGCTGCCAGCGAAAAGGGGCCCAAATACCTCTCATAGACAAGAGATACCCGAATTGCTTATTCAATGGAGCAGACGGGGATGCGACAAGAAATCCCGGCGGCTCAATACTCTTTGCTTGGTTCTCCCGATGAACGGCTCTCCTCGGGAAAGAGGGGGTCACGGTCGGGAATATCACGTGATGCCGATCGGAGATAGGGCATCTCATATTTTGATGAACATAGACACAGTTAAAGCGATAGAAAGATTAAAAGGGTGTTCGAAAACAGGCCTCTCGGCTAAAATTTATGAGCTGAGCACGTGGTACACTTAAGGTACAAGAAATTGGTCCTTTAATATGGATTGACTGGATCCTACGCCGCCACAGGTATTGTCTACTCGAGACGCTAAAACTTCATAATATCCTATGAGTCCATGCAAAGGGACAAAAAGACTGTGTTATGCTGGGTCAAAATGAAAAGGTAGAGATGGTGGGCACTGCCGTTGAAAGAAACATAGGGAAACGGCTCAAGGGCAAAGCCTGTCTGCGGGGAAAGAAATAAAAATGATAGAAATAAAAATAAAAAATACAGCCATTCAGTGTGCAGAAGTGAAGCGAAGAGGCGGGCGTAATAGTGACAAGAGCATTGACTCGAAAGGCATGAATCATTCAATCCTGGTCTTGCCTTCTTCAAGGAACACGAGACGGGCATTGCTGATGCCGCGCTGGTGTCTTCTGTTAGGAAGCCAATTTCCGATTATAGGGTCGGAACGGGCTTTGATCATAGCATCTTGGTATCCCTCGGCGCCTGCAACGGGAGTGTTTAACTTGGGCCAGTTGACATAGAGCATACCGTGGCCGTAAATGAAGCGGAAGCAGTATGCGCCAATTACCAACCAAAAGATCATAAACACGCGCAGGGGCCAGACGGCAGCATCGGGCAGCTGTCGTGTAAGCATTGTCACTAGAACCAGGAACAGACTCGCGGCGAACACGTAGGGAATGGCTTGGATAATAAGGGGGGCGTCGGTCCAGGAACAGCTGGATATTCGCGGGTCCTGAGTGCGAGGGGAGATAGGCGCCCAAAAATACATCGAATCCATCCTGGCGGGGACCGTCCAAGAAATTGTTGCGCACGTAGCGAGTAATGGAATTTCTCAAATCCTGAAGGGCTCCAGCCCGGGTGCGCTTGCCCGTGCGAGTGAAGTCGGTCTTCAAAGCACCTGTGCCGGAGTAGGACTTGGAGACCACATCGGCGTTGTCGGCCCAGATATTGCGGAAAAGATCCTCGAAATCACGATCATCGTTTGCCGTCTCGCCCTGGCGAAGGACACCAGCATCCATGAGGTGTCGTGTAACCGCCCAGCGGCCAAGCATACTTTGCACAACGTTGGTGCGGTCGAGGCAATCCATACAGTTGGTCCGAACAACGCTGCTTTGTGTCGATCGAGCTTCCAGCTGTCCGCCGGGAACTCCTGGAGATTCGACACCTCGGAAGTAACCACCCTTTGTCAGTCCGTCCTGCAGGCGACCCATTAGGAGTTCAGCGCGGTGCCATTTAAGGCCCTTGGTCTCGTTGTGGAAATCAAAGTAAACGTAGTGAAGATGATCCATCTCCTTCTGCTTGAGGCCTGGCTCCAAGGTGTGTATCTTTTCGGAAGTTTTATGATCAGCCTCGGTGGTCTCGGTGGAAGAAGAGATGAGAGTCCGAACCAGCTGCTCGTAGGCCTTTTTGACGCGTTCTTCCCTGCCTTTCTGGTTGACCAGGTTGACCATGTAGTTCTCTCCATACAAGTGAATCTGCTCTGAGAAATGTTTGCGCGCGGCTTCGATAGCGGTATCAACACCGCGGACCTGGAGCTTGGGCGTGTATTTGAGATCGTTCACTTCGGCCCAGAACACGGGCACACTACCTCGAGTTTGCACAAATGAATACACCTGGAGGTCTTGGCTAGCTTTGCCATTGGTCATTGACTGCCCTCCAGCAAAGCCTGAAAGTCCACCTGTCGCATCATTCAAAATGACGATCTGCTCTGTTTCGTTGTAGTTCGAGACATGGCCTTCCTCATCGATTCCTCGAGTGAAGTATCTCGTTCCGGCGCGGTGTCGGGATCGTCGAGTTATAAGCGCAAATGTGAACGACGTTCCCTTGACTCTGGCGGGGGTGATACGCATCATGCCGAACATAACAGGAAGGATGAAGGGGTCGACGCCCGGCTGCGGACCATAGCGAATGCCGCTCGTGTCAGTTTCTCCCAGACTGAAGTCGATCAGATCTGACTGAATAAAGCGGTTCCAGAAGAAACGGTCATCGGCACGCTTCCACATGGGGATAGTCGAGGCACTTTGCGACTGGCGCTGGAAGCTGTTGGTAAGGTCCAGGGAGTAGGAGAAGTACATGGGCCCGGTGCGCAGCATATTTTTAATCAACGCGAGATAGGTATCTTCATCGGTGTCGTGGAGCGGGCGTTCGCGCATGGGGAGGAACTCCGTCGAGGCGACCTTGTATACCATATGGCCGCGCAGGCGTCCCATCGGCTGCGCCTTCGTGATAACGATGATGTACTTGTCTATTAGGGTCAGCACGGACATCTAATCTTTGGGGCATCCATATTTACCCAGTTTCAGCTTCACTATTCCCAGAATTCCCGCAATACTGGAAATGCGTTTGGTGCCAGAAACGGAGAGGCCATCGCTGAGGCGAAGGTCACCAGTCGGCCGGTCTACGACCAGCGTTGGTGCCTGGGGGGGAGGACGGGGAGGTGAATGCATAGTGAGACGGCGATGCATGTAAGTTGATATCCCTAAATGGGAGTATTTGAGGAGCCATGTTGGAATGACCTACGTCAAAGAAGTCAGGGGAGAGAGGAACAACCAGGAACCAAACACATGCACCGCGGCAGGTGCGTAAGTCAACAGCCCAAGTACCGCCACACCGCCCCGCTGCTCCTGTGGCTCGTTCCGTCATCCACTCTCTCTTTCTTGGGAACTTTGGAACTCCCTCCCCCCCCCCATCACTTATTCTCGACTCCTCGAACAAGCTCGTCTATACTTTTTTACTTTCTTCTTTTGAGAGTTTTACTCCCTCGTCCTACCCGCCTTAAACCGAACCCCCTGATTTCCTGGTCATGGCCTCCCGTCAACCAGCAGGCGCCCGCCCCGGGGCCAAGTTCGCCCAGTTCAAGCTCGTCTTGCTTGGTAGGTTCTCTCCGTTGTAACCAGCTTGAACCTCATTTTACGCTCACAGAAGCTAATATTTCTTTTTTCTTCGTATAGGCGAGTCCGCTGTCGGAAAGGTTCGATCTTCAGTCTGCCACTATCTTTAGCGGGCGCTAACATTATTGCTATCTCCAGAGTTCGCTGGTGCTGCGATTCGTTAAGGTAAGCTTTTGAATGTGATGACCGAAGCTTAGATGAGGGAAGACTAACCTGCCAATCTAGGACCAATTCGATGATTACCGCGAGTCAACTATCGGCGCCGCTTTCCTAACACAGACCATCTCCCTCGACGAGAGTACCACCGTCAAATTTGAAATCTGGGACACTGCTGGCCAGGAGAGATATAAGTCGCTGGCTCCCATGTACTATCGAAATGCCAACTGTGCTGTTGTGGTCTATGACATCACCCAAGCTGTACGTTCAGCTTGTGTTCCCCCCAACTTTTATCACGATCGCTAACCGTCATTTACCTACTATAGTCTTCGCTGGACAAAGCCAAGTCCTGGGTAAAGGAGCTCCAGCGTCAAGCTAACGAGAACATTGTGATTGCGCTGGCAGGCAATAAGCTCGATCTTGTTACCGAGAGTCCCGATAAGCGGGCAATTCCGACCGCAGACGCTGAAGCCTATGCCCGTGAGGCTGGTCTCCTCTTTTTCGAAACCTCCGCCAAGTCATCGACAAACGTCAATGAATTGTTCACAGCCATCGCGAAGAAGTTGCCTCTCGACCAGGCCGGTCCCCGGAACCTCCGGGGAGCGGCCCCTCGACCTGGTGTCGACCTGCGGCCCGAGGCCCCTGGCACTCAGGGTGCCGGTGCTTGCAACTGTTAAGCCATTAATTTTTCTCAATCTCCTTGATATCCAGCTATTGTGTTCACCACCTGCCACACTCCCACGAACGTCCAATCTCAGTCTGACCTCCATTGGTCAAGCCGTGGCATGGATCTACCCTACCATTACATATCGACACGAGAGGTAGTCTCTCGGCTCGCCGTCCATCTAGTCTCTGTTTCCTGAACCTTTGACCTTTCGCTCGCCCTCCTCGGGGGTTCGCCGCCGGTGGAGGTATTCTTCGACTTTCTACGAACGCATCTGGAATTTGGCTTTAGACATGTTGCGGCAGGGCTCACCTGCTTTCTTCGGTTTCCCTTGTACTTCTCCCTTTGAACTCGGCGTCTGCATCTACTTTTTTGCTGGGCTGAATTCCCGCACTGTTACTATCCCCTTGTTCTCGTTTCAGAGCCACTTTAAGTATGCTATGCCCGATAATACATTTCTTTCCGACTGTATACTTCAGTACGTGCATTGTAGTATAGGAGATGAGTAGCAACATAGCCTCACTTTAGCACACTAGACAAGACTCCGACAGAATTTCAATTTTATAGTGAAGGCTGGCAGTTGTATGCAGGTGGCTTCGGTACCTAGAATCAGGTTTACTGCCTGCCTAGGAGTGAATAGGTTCACCCATGCCGCCCTTTTTGGGCAACTTTGGTTTGCAATGGCCCTTTGGTCTAGGTAATTATCCTAACATATATGTACACAATCCCTGACAGTCCGCATTCTTCTATCTCAACATAGATCCAATGTGGTCCACATAGATCAATGGGCCTCGAACTTGCTCCCAACGGGGACATCCATTGTACAGCTAGGGGAGTAAAAAAACGGGGAGTAAAGAATATCCTTCGGAAGTTAGACCTGAGCTTTCTATGAAAGCTACCGAAGCTTCTTAAATGTTGACAGAGAAATCTAGGGTTAAAAATGTGAAATACATAGATTCCCTAGCACTAATTCGAGTGACGCAGGTCAGAGCACCACGGGAGTTGAGCGACACCGGGCTGACCGCCTGCAGGCTCGGAGCGGATCGCGACTTGCTCAACTTCCCGTTTCTCTACCATCCACCTTTGCGAACCCTCCCCGCTCTCTGGCGATTGTGCGGCTCGTCATGCTGCGCTCCTCAATTGCTCCGGGTCGGCAGCTGCTGTCGACCCCCGTTCGCCAACGGATCCCTTCGCAATGGCTGTCCAAGGCCGGCGCTAGCAGCCGGCTCTCGGGTCAGGTACGACAAACCACTGCTCATGTGCCCGCCCATTGTAACTAACATTGCTTTCTACACAGCGATTCTTCGCCGACTCTAAGCCTCCTACCCCTGGTGGGCCCACGCCCGTTACTCCTTCCTCCGAATCGAGCGTCCCACCTGAGACTCTCTCCAAGCTCGCCGAACAAGGTACTGCCGGCCTCTATCGACATCCAATTTAGATCATCAGCTAATTCAGTACTCCTTCAGAATACAAGACCCCCCCATCTGCTCCCGCGGCTGCGCCTCGCAAGACTGGCCGTTTCCGCCGATTCCTCTTGTACCTGATTCTTACCTCCGGTTTCGCCTATGGTGGTAGCATCTTCCTGGCACTCAAGTCCGATAACTTCCACGACTTCTTCACCGAGTATATTCCCTACGGCGAGGAATGTGTTCTTTACTTCGAGGAGCGTGACTTCTACCGCCGCTTCCCCAACGCCTCGCGCCACCAAAACCGCATCCCTGCTGCGCCTCGGGATGAGGGCAAGTCCGTCACAATCCCTAGCAAGAGCGGTCTGTCTTGGAAGGTCTCTGATGAGGAGTCTGGAAGTGATGTCTCCAAGAGCGGTCCTCACATGAGCTCCCAGGCTCACGAGGGCCAGACCAAGACCGAAAGTGCCTCTGCCCAAGAACTCAATGCAGCTGTCCTCAAGGCCAAGGAGGATAAGGCCACCAAGTCAACGGGTCAGAAGGAGGCCAAGCCTACCCCGAAGAAGGAGGAGAAGCCCGTCTCTCTCGACGAGCCCCGTCAGCCCGCTGTTGCTGTTAGCAATATCGAGCTGCTGAAGGCGCAGGAGGGTGATGAGACCGTGGTGCAGGAGCTGGTCAAGACATTCAACGCCATCGTCTCCGTTATCAGTGCCGATGAGAATGCCGGCAAGTACTCTTCGCCGGTCGCAAAGGCCAAGGAGGAGCTGCAAAAGATTGGCGAGAAGATCTCCGCCATTCGTACCGAGGCTGCCAAGGCCGCCCAGGAGGAGATCACCAAGGCTCACAACACTTTTGACGAGTCGGCTCGGGAATTGATTCGACGTTTCGAGGAGATGCGCAATGCCGAGGTTGCCCAGTTCCGCGAGGAGTTCGAGGCTGAGCGTGAGAAGCTTGCTCTGGCTTACCAAGATAAGATTAAGACCGAGCTCCTCCGTGCCCAGGAGCTCGCCGAACAGCGCCTGAAGAACGAGCTTGTCGAGCAGGCCATCGAGCTCAACCGTAAATACGTCCACGAGGTCAAGGATTTGGTCGAGCGTGAGCGTGAGGGTCGTCTTAGCAAGCTAGACGAGCTCACTGCCAACATTACTGAGCTTGAGCAGCTGACTACCGGCTGGAGCAGCGTCATTGACACCAACCTGAAGACTCAGCAGCTCCAGGTTGCCGTCGATGCTGTTCGCTCTTCTCTCGAGCGCGCTGAGGTCCCCCGTCCCTTTGTCCGTGAACTTGTTGCTGTTAAGGAGCTGGCTGCCGACGATCCCGTTGTTGATGCCGCTATTGCCTCCATCAACCCCACTGCTTACCAGCGCGGTATTCCATCCCCAGCCATGATCATGGAGCGTTTCCGTCGTGTCGCCAGCGAGGTTCGCAAGGCTAGCTTGCTGCCCGAGGATGCCGGTATTGCTAGCCACGCTGCTAGCCTGGTCCTGAGCAAGGTCATGTTCAAAAAAGATGGCCTTGCGGACGGTAATGACGTTGAGAGCATTCTCCTCCGCACTGAGAACTTGCTAGAAGAGGGCAACGTCGACGCTGCTGCCCGTGAGATGAACGGTCTCCAGGGCTGGGCCAAGATCCTGAGCAAGGATTGGATGGCAGATGTGCGCAGGGTTCTCGAAGTCAAGCAGGCTCTCGAAGTGAGTTAACTACCTAATCAGGCCCAGGAATTTTGCTAACGTGTCTCCCCAATAGGTTATTGAGACTGAGGCCCGCCTCCAGTGCTTGCGGGTGGAGTAAGCATATACTGAGCGATGCTGAATTCATTTAATCCTGTATATCTTCGTCTTGTCTACAGGAAGTGTACCTCTAGTTGTACTTTTGCGTTAGACCCAAATGCTAGAACATTTCCTATGTGCCCAGCCGTGGAAATTTCTGTAGTGAGACTAAGTTTTAGTTCCAAGTCAGTCTCGATATTAGACATCGCAAGGGATCTGTATTTCACTTCCTTTTGCGATTTTCAGGATCATACAATTAGCTTACTCAGCACTCGCTGCGTGACGCGCAAGTCCGATAGTGTAGATCGACCGACATCGCGCAGATCCCATGCACCCTTGTTTGACACCTACGATCCTGCGATTCCTTTCTCCTCGAAATCGCGTTCATGCTGACAGTTGTATGGCAAGCGATGTCTGTTGCCTCTTTGACGGGCGCGGCGATCTAGCTCTCTCGCCCTCCCCTCGGCTCAGATGTCGCAACGTCATCACCGAAGCGCACGGGTTTCAATGCCTTCGACAGACGAACACCGAGACATATCATCAGGCAACCGGTCGCCTCTATACCGACACGATGTTGAGTCATCCCGACGAGCAGCGGGCACTGCGGCTCCTAGTAGTGGTCGACCAAGCGGGGAGCTAGAGGGTAGCACACTGGGCAGCGGTTCTCGGGAGGGCGATAGCAGAACTCCCGGCCAGCGCAGAGCACCAAGCTCCAGTGGCTTCCTGCTTGACTCTCTCCCGCGCTCCAAGGGCTCACGGGTCAGCTCAAATCATCACCGCCCATCTGAGCCACCTACGGATAAACGAACTGCCCCGGAGGCGGACATAGTGGTCCCTAAGAAACGATCACGCTTTCCATGGCATCGTCACAAGAATGCTGCCTCAGAAGCTTCGGCTGCTTCAGCCTCGGGTCTGGCAGTTACACAAAAAACCCCAACGCCCCCTCCGGTGATACTTACTACATCCCGAGCCTCATCAGGAGCTGATACCGGAGGACGTAGCGTGGAGACACCTGGCCTTGATAGGGATTCCATTCAGATTGTGAATCTGGCTTTGAATCTTAATGAATCTCGACGAAGGACAGCCTCGGGGCTCGCTCCAGGGTCCAGCATTCGGAGACCGATATCTGTCTCTCAGCCTACTGCAGGACCTACTGATCTGCATGCATCGTCCTCGCAGAACCATGCACACCACTTTCGAAATTACGACCAGAGACACGGAGATCGTCTCTCGCCACCAACACCTCAGGGTGGGCATTCTCCTGTGGCGGAATTCTTACCAGCAACTGCGGTTGATAACAATCGGGCATATGAATTTTCTAGTCACACACTTGCCCGCGCAGAACAAGCTCGTTGTCACTTTGACCTCTTTCATGAGTATCTACGGCTGCTTCCTTTGTTGCCCCCACTTCGAACCCCCCAAACGGCAGATGACCACGAGTCTTCGCATCATGCAGCTGTCAGCTCATCGACTAGTCGGGAATACAATCCTCTCCAAATGATTCGTAACCGACGGGTCAGATATCGAGAAAAGTGTCCTATTGATCCAAAGATGCAAGGCTGGCATGATGTCGACAAGGTTCACGATTGGGTTACATCGATCGAGGCAAAATATGGCCATAAGACCCATGAGCAGACGCAATCCATCAAGCTTCCTCCATTCCAGCAAGGGCAACGGACCCAGTCCCATGATGACCCGGATGATTTGGATATATTGGCTACATCGCCTTCCTCGAGCTCGAGACGTGCTAGCCGTACAAATAGTGTCAAGGCACCTCGGCCCCGTCTCGACTGGAAAACCTCACCCGCTGAGCTCCTAGCTGATGCTGCCTGGCTCGAAGATGTTGTAAACAAGGCCAAGATTATCGACAAAGATAGCAATCCGCTCTACCCAAACCCAGAGGAGTTGGTTCTAACTCTAACCAAATCAGAAACAGCCGCGCAATCAAGACGGCACTTGACAGTTGAAATGGAGGATGAAGGGGAGGTCTCACCTCGTGCCTCTATGTCAGGTAACCGCCCTGCATTGGGCCCTGAGTTCAAGAGCGTTGGGCGTGGGCGACACAGAAATAGATTCCGGAGCCATTCACAAAGCATACGTGGTCGAAGTGAATCTAGCTCACGGAAGCGCTCCCGATGGGATAAGGTTAGAATGCGCTCTGGCAGTGCCTCAAGCGATTCTAGTGCCGAACGGCGAACATCGGTGGAACCAAATCGTCGGATTTGGGCACATTCGCGGAAAGACTCGGAGAGATCAAAGGATGGTGCCAACTCATCTGAATCTCGAGTATCTCGAGCCAAATCTCCCACCGCGGCAGTACTCGGTGCAGACAAAGGCAAATCCAATCACTCCCACTTCCCGTCACTCAGTACCCAGACAAGCCTTAAGAAGAAGAGAGGTTCTTTCTCCTCGGCTGGAAGTATGGATGACAGATACAACTCTCGGATGTCATTTGAAGAGAGGGATAGTACCGCTCCCAACTCTCCGGCTCATACTACCTACTTCCCCAGCATTGCAGTCAACCTGTCTCCGCCATCAAGTCGGTCCCCTTCACCAGCCAAGAAGGGACTTCGTCGCAAGATCGCCTCTCGCCATGAGCGAAGCAAGAGCAAGCAAGGGGATCGGGAGCTGAAAGGAACTGAAGACGCGTTACCTGAAACGAAGCCATTGCCTCGTCAAAGCTTGAACTCTCCACCTGAGCGTGCCGAGCAAGCCTTGAAGTCATCGAAGCTTGAACCAAGCCCACTGCCGGACGTTGTGTCTTCGTCTTATATTGAAGATCAAGACGCGCCTGATGATGAACGTATAGACGGCTCTAGGGGACGAAGGGTCCAAAATTCTGCCGAGTCTAAGCTCCGAGGGATATTGAAAGGACCAGGAAGGATAGCTGAGCTTGTTGGAAACGAAGTATCCAAGGTTGGAGATAAGATTTTGAAGAAGGACGCACCGCCCGATTCCCGGAAGTCGTCATCTGCAACCACTCTCGCCTCTGATGATAGCGATTCTGATGACGAGGAAAAGAAGACGGACAAACGATCTGCGGCCAAAGGACTCCTTCGACGCCTGCCGAATCTTGGAGACGAACCTGGGCGCCTCACTCGTCGAGAGTCTGAAAAAGCTACACCATCTAAAAGTTTCATAAGCTCCTTACCAAGCTTCACCTCGCCATTGCGGCAGGATGAGCGCAATGACTCGACGGATGCACTTTACTTTGGTAGCCCCCGTGAACGTGCAACTGCATCCCTCGGACAGGGTGACGATCCAAAGAGGACGGAATTATCTAGGAGCCGAACATTCGACTTCACCTCTGCTTCTCAATTGAATCGAGGACGCACAAAGCCGCATGCTATCAGGGATCCCTCAGTCCCCTTCAGTCTTACCCGTCCTCCCGTCACTGGACTTGCTAAAGTCCGAGCATCTCCTCAACGCCCTATCGACAAAAGACCCACATTATCAGGAGCGACTCGCGCATGGAGTATCTCAGGTCGCAGCATCCAAGCATCGAACGACTCGGGCGTACCTAGCAAGACAGAAATCGAGCGAACCCGAATCCTGCTCCTTTCGTCTGGCATCAAAGCCCGAGAAATCACCCGCAGAGCTCACAGCGTCCGCGATCCACCCCCACACTGGCTTCAAGCCTCCATAGGCTCCGGTACATCCGTGAACCGCGTGCCTCGAATCAACGAATTTGATCTCGCAGCCCAAAATCTTCTCCGACGATTCGAGACAACCCAATATTCATTCCAGCAATCCATGCACCACTTCACCACAACCACCTCTTCACCTCTTCGCACCCAGCTGAAAGACCTGGAGACTCTCATCAACCAATCCCTCGCTCCCCGCGTCCGAGCCACAGCCGACCACGCAGAAGATCTATGCGTTCAGCTCAACACCACTAGCACACTCGCTGTCAAGTCTCTCGGTGATGCCCTCGACAGAGGCGTACGAAAACGCCGTCGTCGACTCCGCTGGGTCCGGCGGGCTGGCTTCGTCATCCTTGAATGGGCGCTTGTCGGTATGCTGTGGTGGGTTTGGTTGATTGTCATGGGGTTCAAGCTTGTACGCGGTGTTCTACGAGGTGCTGTCTCTGGTGCGCGATGGTTTCTCTGGCTTTAATTGCTTTGTCCAGGGGGTGAATTTCCATTCATTCTTTCTTGTCTCTTTCTTTTTCTTTGAGACCTGGTCATTTCTCATAGCGTGCATATACCCTCCAGGCTCGATTACGGGCTCTTTATCTTCTTTTGGATCGATCAATTCTTGTATTATTATTTGTGTATTTGGGGTATGCCTATTCTAGTTTATTTAATATGGACATTTTTTTTTCTAGTCTTCATAATTATTAAAGTACTCTTTTTCACGTACTTCCGGGCTAGGTTGATAGAGAGTCTTGTTATAGGTCTATGCGATACATTCGTGTCCCAATATCCATGCTTTGAAGCCCTAGAAAACTATAGCTTCTGAAATACCATATACCTTGGTTGCATTCTTGGTAACACGGGAGTTTCGCCTACATTCACACATTGTTAAAGTTCCCTTAGACCTATCGTAAATATATACTCTTGACAATAGCAGTTAAGAATGCCGTGCCTTTAAAATTCTAAACACAAAACACCTCCAAATACAAAAGCCATCTTGATCATTTCTTCGGAATGACAATGTATACTTCGTCTTGTGCAATGGATTATACATAACTATGGACTTACCCTGGCATTTGATCTCGTCATCCACCCACTTCCGGGTAATAGGAACGATTCAATTACCCTTTAAAACATATGTTATATCTTTACCTTCACTGATAGACTTACCTACCATGGAACGTCCGCCAACACACCGGGAAGGGAACTTGACTGACGTGGTTCCTGACCATAGCGACATCGAAGATATATCACTCCATTAATCCTGAATTGGGATCTCAACAAAGTCACATACCCGGGACAACTTCCCAACATCTGGGTAAAGCGAAACATAACAGCTGAGCAGGTAGTTTATTTACTTTTTCTCCATATATGAATACAAGGCAAAGAAACACCTGCTGATTCAAATAGTCGCTGTCTGCTCCCAGCCCTCCAGATTCTCTTTTCTTCAAGTATGCCTAGACATATGGATCAGGAATGTTGAGAACCACCCATATACAATAAAATAAGATGAGAAAGCGGGATATCTGTATTGATCGGATGCATTGTTCATACAGGAGAGTAGAAAGGAATATTTTGACTTTAAAATACAGTTCAAAAAGGTAAACGCAAGATGATCTAGCGCCATGGCGCACAAAGCACATGAGTTTTCAAGCCACAGCACAAACAGTGTCTATAATGCGTTATATCTGCTCTCCTCCGAGGAACGCCAGGCACCGCCTGACCCAAATTGAAAAAGAGGATGGTGAAATAGTGGATATGGTACAGAGGAAGAGGGAGGCGCCTTATGAAAGATTAGACGGTGCTGGGTGGTTACGTGGGCGCTCATTTCTTGTTACGCTCAGCCTGGGCCTTGAGGTGCTTGGCAATGAGATCCTTCTGCACGTGCGGGGGAGCCTTCTCGTAGTGGCTGAATTCCATGGTGTATTCACCCTTGCCCTGGGTGGCGGCGCGGAGGTTGGAGCTGAAGCCAAACATGCCGTTCAGACTGCAGTCAGCGTAGATGGTGAACTCGTCGACGCCAGTCTCGGTGTCGTTGATAGTGGCTCCGCGCTTGTTCAGCAGGGCGATAACATCACCCTGGAACTCGCTGGGGGCGGTGACAACGGTCTTCATCAGGGGCTCCAGCACGGAAGGCTGGCTGTCTATGAAGGCCTTGCGGAAGGCTTGCTGGGTGGCGTTCTTGAAGGCCATTTCAGAGGAATCTGTCATGTGAGTGGCTCCATCGTTGATGACCATGCGGGTTCCGAGAATCTTGTGGCCGATCAGAGGACCCTTCTCGCAGGAAAGATTGAATCCCTTCTCGCAAGCAAACAGGTACTTCTCGGAGATACTGCCTCCGACAATCTGCTGCTCGAAGTTGTTCTCCTCGAGGACACCGGTGGGCTCCATGAAGCCCATGACACGGGCATAGTCACCAGCACCACCAGTCTGCTTCTTGAGCAGGTGGTCGAACTTGATGTGCTCGCCGATAGTCTCACGGTAAGCAACCTGAGGCTGACCCGTCTCGCACTCCACGCGGTATTCGCGCTTCATGCGCTCAACGTAGATGTCCAAGTGCAGCTCACCCATTCCGGAGATGATGGTTTGCTCACTCTCATTGTCATAAGTGACACGGAAAGTAGGGTCCTCACGCTGGAAGCGGGCCATGGCCTTCGAGAAGTTGGCCGCATCCTTGGCTTGCTTGGGCTTAATGGAGAGCGAAATGACAGGCTCGGGAACGAACATGGAGGACATGCTGTAGCCGAGCTGGCCGTCAGTGAAGGTATCACCGGAGGCACATTCAACACCGAAAACGGCGCAAATTTCACCAGCACCAATCTCGCTGACTTCCTCCATCTCGTTGGAGTGCATACGCACGATACGGGGGATCTTGACCTTCTTGCTGTTACGGGCGTTGAACACATTCGATCCCTTGCGGAGGGTACCCTGGTAGACGCGAATGTAGGTCAACTGTCCAAAGTTGGACTCCTCGAGCTTGAAAGCGAGACCGACGAAGGGAAGAGAGTTGTAAGGAACAAGCTTGACGGAAGCCTCGTTTCGCTTCTGGTCAAGGGCAAGGTTCTCAACCTCGGAGGGGTTGGGAAGGAAGTCGACAACACCGTCCAGCATAGGCTGAACGGATTTGTTGGCCAAAGCAGAGCCCATAAAGACAGGAGTGAACTTCAGGCCGATGGTGGCGCGACGGATGGCGGCACGCAACTGGTCCTCGGTGGGCTCAACCTCGTCCAAGAACATCTCAGCCATCTGATCGTCAACATCGGCGACAGTCTCAATGAGCATAGCCCGGCGCTCCTCGGCGACCTGCTTCACCTTCTCGGGGACCTCAGTGATCTTAAGTTCCTCGCCACTCTCGCCGACGTTGTAGATAGCCTTCATGGTAATAAGATCGACAACGCCCTCGAACTCGTCCTCGGCACCGATGGGAACCTGGACGGCAGCAGCAGGCATCTTGAGCTTGGTGTTGATCTGCTCAATAGCCTTGAAGGGGTTGGCACCCATACGATCCATCTTGTTGACGAACGAGAGGCGAGGAACATTGTAACGACGCATCTGACGGTCCACAGTGATGGTCTGGGACTGGACACCAGAGACGGCACACAGAATCATAACGGCACCATCCAGAACGCGCAGCGCTCTCTCGACCTCAATGGTGAAGTCAATGTGGCCAGGTGTATCGATCAGGTTGACGTGGTACTTCTGGTCAACGCCCTGTTTATCTTTCTTGACCCAGTCACAGAAGGTAGCAGCAGACTGAATGGTGATACCCTTCTCACGCTCCAGATCCATGGAGTCCATCTTGGCACCAACACCATCACGACCGCGGACGTCGTGGATGGCCTTGATACGACCAGTGTAGAAAAGGACACGCTCGGTAACGGTGGTCTTGCCACTGTCGATGTGGGCAGCGATACCGATGTTGCGGACCTTGTCGAGACGAGCAGCCTCCACGGGGTCGAGGTTGTCGATAATGGCGGCTTGCGAAAGGGTATCCGGGCTGGCGGCAGCGGCCTCAAGACTATTGAACAAACGTTAGACACGGACAGAACCTTGTTTCAAGTAAGCACTTACACTGCAGATGCAGTAGCAGAGGCATTGCGACGCTGTTCCCACTGCTTCAGGATCGACTGATAAGCCGGCGCAACACCGGAAGACCGCAAAGCGGCCGTGGAGACGCATCGCGAACTCAGGAAACCCTGGGGCTGGAAACGAGCGGTTCTGGTCAAGCCAGACACTGCACGGTAATTTAACCGTGCAAGAGAAGGGGACCTCATATCGCCGGTCTGTTCCTGTGGAGTCGAGACTGGTCGAAAGCGCGCATGTTTTTCGCGGAAAAAAAGTTCGGGGAAGCCAGTAACGCGTCACGTGCGAACTAGCCTCTCATGATGGGCCCATTATAATCAGCTTTTGACTGGCTTATAGTCGATACTTATGGATTATTTCTGCTCATATATGTTATCAAAGCTGTTATCAAATCCCAATACTAGCATTGAGCGAGTTTATTAGCAATTGCACAGCACACACGAAGTATGAAGTTCATTGAGTTGAATTCAACATAAACCGATATCCCGGTTCCAGACTAATGTACAAGATAAAACCCAAGCGCCGCTATATCCCAAGGAGAGGTTTGGGGGTAGAAACACGTATGCAAAGAACATGCCACAATTGAAGAGTCGAGACGAAAACCGACGCACCCAGCTTGTCTGCAGATATCATCCACTCTATTTCCCTTGTCTTTGCTTGTGCTTGGGGTTCTTGGAGCTGCAAAGAAAGATAAAGTCAGTGGGACCGTGGTTTTAGATATATCAAAGGCGGTATAGGAAGCATTGGACTCACCAGATAATGTAAACGCGGTTCTTGCGTCGGACGGGCTAGGTATCTTGTCAGCATCCATGCCCCCAAATTCCCGCTCTTTTCAACAAGCAGAGCCATTCAAATCCATTAAGACCATACCTTGCAGCCATCACACAGACGCTTGACTGAAGAGCGAGTCTTCATCCCCCGAACCTGCTCAAGCTGCCGGGCAGAGCCGATGGTGCTAGTAACAGCATTGCTGCCTTGTGTCTGAGAATTGCGCAGCCTCGTGAGGCTGTTCCGGATCATATGCGAGAAAGGACGAAGCGAAGCAGCTCCGGGTATGCTGCGGCGAGAGACGAAGGGGAAGAGTTGGCGGAGGGCCATGGGGGCTCCGAGGACGGAGCGAAGGGAGAACATGGTCGTGATTGAAGAACTTTCCTCCCAGCGGTGGTATCGAGGCGCAGTGCCTCACGTTTCAAGTCGTCCGGGGACAGGGAATTGGTGATGTAGGCCGGCGTAGATGTGTTGCTCCGCGGGTTCTCGTTTGTCGCGGAAGATTTGCCCGGAAATTTAGTTTTGCCGATGATCCGACTCTGCTCCAAGTACAATGTCGAGTTGACTTGCCATCGATCATTTTTCAGGCTTTTGAGATACACGTGGGAACAGTACGCTTTATAGCAATAGTAATATGTGAATGGTATTGATATTTGATAGAAAAGAGCCTTTTTCACAGGAATCTTTATCATACAGTAGAAACAACCTCCCAGTCTATAGTCGAGACCAAACGCCGAACGGGAATGAAAGCACGGATGGGTTTTGTACTTTTAAGCCGCTAAACAACAATAAAACATCATCAAACGATTCTCCTTATATCAACACTCAAGAGCGGAGGAAGGTCTTATAAGTGGGCGACTCGGTGTGCTCGCTGAACGGGTATCCCAAGTCGTGAAGGAAGGACTCGAGGTCTTCCTTCTCCGGAGACGGGCACTGGATACCAGCAAGAACCTTACCGACATCGCCGCCGTAGTTGCGGTAGTGGAACAAAGAGATGTTTTGGTTGGGTCGGAGGGTGGTGAGGAACTTGGCCAGCGCGCCTGGTCGCTCGGGGAACTCGAACATGAAGAGGCGCTCGTCGGCAACATCGCAGCGGCCGCCCACAAGGAAGCGGAGGTGACGCTTAGCCAGCTCATCATCGCTCAGGTCTCGGGTGGTCATACCATCCTTCTCCAACTCTTCCATGATCTTGGCCAGATCGTCACGGCCGGTGATGGCAGAGAGTTGAATACCCATCAGCACATCGGCATAGTCCTCCTGGGCGTAACGGTAGCTGAAGGCTGTGACGGCGTGAGGAAGAATGACCTCAACAAGCTTGGCGAAAGCGCCAGGCCTCTCGGGGATCTTAACGCTCAACAGAGCCTCCTTCTTCTCGCCGAGAGCGGCACGCTCGGCCACAAAGCGAAGACGGTCGAAGTCCATGTTGGCCCCGGAGGTGATGGCAATCAGCTCACGGTTGACATCAGGGCTGGGGTTTTTGGCAATGTATTTCTTCAGACCGGCGAGACCAAGAGCACCAGCAGGCTCGACAACGGAGCGGGTATCCTCAAACGCATCCTTAATGGCCGCGCAGATCTCATCGGTGGAAACCTGGATGACCTCGTCGATCACATCACGGGCAACACGGTAGGGTTCCTCACCCACAGACTTGACGGCAGCACCATCGGCGAAAAGGCCAACTTCGTTCAAGAAAACGCGGGAACCAGCATCCATCGACTTGGCCATGGCATTGGCCTCGTAGGCCTCGACACCAATAACCTTGACCTGGGGAGCAATGCGCTTCAAGTACACACCAATACCAGCAATCAGACCACCGCCACCAACACCACAGAAGACGGCCTCCAGCTTGTCGAGGTTGGCCTGGCGTAACAACTCCATACCGATGGTACCCTGACCAGCAATAACGTACGGATCATCGAATGGTGGAATGTTAGTAAGACCATGCTGCTTCTCCAATCGGTGTGCCTCATCCTTGGCGGAATCGAAATCCTGTCCGTGGAGGACTACACTTCCTCCCAGACGAGCAACGTTCAGGTGCTTGATGGCAGGGGTACCGGAGGGCATAACAATAGTGGCGGGAATTCTCAACTTGCGAGCAGAGTAAGCGACACCCTGCGCATGGTTTCCGGCAGAGCAAGCAATGACACCCTTCCACCGCTGCTCAGCGTTCAGGTGAGCCATCTTGTTGTATGCGCCACGGAGCTTGAAGCTGAAGACAGGCAGAAGGTCCTCTCGCTTAAGCAAAACTCGGCTCTCCAGACGGTTACTCAAGTTTACGGCATGGTGAAGGGGAGTTTCATCAAGAATATCGTAAACGCGGGAAGTCAAGATCAATCGCAGATACTAGATATTCCAGACCGCGTGTTAGCATCGGACTAATATGTACGACGGAGCTGATCGATCTCACATCAGGGTATCCGTTAGGAAGTAAAAAGGCCTCGGGAATGCCCCAGTTCGGAGGCAATCCGGGGCCCGTTTGTTCGTTGCGCTCTCCGGGGGGAGTTGGGGTCGCGGCGTATTCGGTCAAAGCTAGCCCACTCATCTTGGGCAGGATGGGCGTCGAAGTGCCACTGGTGGTGCCATTGGTGGCGGGTTCTTCAGACATGGTGACTCTAGAGGAGTTAACCTGAATGACTCTAGTAGCAGAGGCTCAGGGGTGAATAATTCAAAACCGATGAGAAACCTTTAGGCCTTGCTGTGACTCTTTTTTCCTGGAGGCGGGACCGTGATCGGAGCACATTATGTCATCAACCCTGGTCCCTAGCCCTAACGGCTAAATCAAGGTATAGATTGGCAGAAAGGGTAAATTTAAGTATTGTACTATGTTCCATTTACACTATAGCATCTTGCAAATGATCATGGCAGCTTTAAAAATCATCTATGACATGAAAACCTGGGGGAAAGTGGCCGATAAGCGGGCGGATAAAGATGGCGGTGAAGCCCACTTGGAAATTGCGTGCTTTCCATTTGCTATGGAGACGACCTTGGCCTTCTACATCGATATGTAGCTATGGCTCAGTGACATTGATCATGGATCCCTATAGCTTCAATATTCAGAACCACTTCAATGTTCAATTTATGGGTTTAAACTTTGAAATATCAATGATGTCTCCAGAAGCTTCCCTAGCTATAAAGCGTCGTCCAATTGTGTCTGCATCGAGGTGAATCTATAATAATCGATGTGAAGATTGAATCCATGGAAACACAGTGCAGATTTACCTTCATGTTTATAGAAAGATGTAGTCTGAAAGTTGAGCTCAGGCCAAACCCCACCGGGTCACGGTTAAGCTGCATGGCCCGCCGAGAAAATCTCCCTTGGCAAGTCTCGACGTCATGTCCTAGCATCTCTCGCGTGCCGATAACCACCATCCACCATCCCCAATCGAAAGGGCATTTACCATACCTCAGCCAAAGCCCCAACTGTGAAGATCTCGTCGGTGTAGGATCTAAAAGCGATCATACCAGCCTCCCCGAGTTCCCTAGCGCGACCGACCCGCGCGCAACCACCGCCAGTCCAGGCCTAAAGCTATACACCTCCCCATCAAAATGAGTCGCGAGCCTCTCCCGTCATCCATGGATGACAATCTCGGCAACCCGTAAGTCCGAGCCCGCCTCGATGCTCACAAGCTACGCGCCGACAGCACCTGGGAGGCACAACTCGAAAAGACCGTCTGCTAACCCCTGCTTTGACCAGGGTCTTCCGCGAGGAAACCGGCCTCCAGAAATTCACCAGACGCTTCAAGGAGGAGCCGCTGATCCCACTAGGTACGTCGATCAACATCGGCATCCAGTACCCATCGCCAACCCCAGCCTGCTAACACAATGCCATAGGATGTGCCGCAACATGCTACGCCCTCTACCGCGCCTACCGATCCATGAGAGCTGGCGACTCCAACGAAATGAACCGCATGTTCCGCGCCCGTATTTACGCCCAAGCATTTACATTAGTCTCTCTCGTGGTAGGCGGCATGTACTTCAAGACCGAGCGCCAACAGCGCCGGGAGTTCGAGAAGGCAGTGGAAGAGCGGAAATCACAGGAAAAGCGCGACGCGTGGTTGCGCGAACTGGAGATTCGTGATAAGGAGGACCGCGAGTGGCGAGAGCGTCATGCTAGCATTGAGGCGGCCGCGAAGGAGGCTGGTAAGAGGCCATCGGAGCCTGATGCGGCCCGGTCTTCGATCGAGCCTGCGGACGAGAAGTCGATTGGTGTTCTTGATGCTGTCAAGGCTCTTCTGGGTCGCAACTAAACAATTTTAGGGGTTTTCGAAGATCAGCTGACATGTGTAAAATATCATGGTTGTACTTGTATATAGTTGCCGAATCTCCATTTTGCATACTTCATTTACATAAGCTTGTTCTTACAGGTGTAGGGTGCTAGTAGGAGATGAGTCACATTAAATTCATACTTGTGCGAAATAGGGTAGTGGCTTGATTTCCAGGTTTCTCGCAAAGTATGCCACACGTTGTACCCCGTGTTGATCTCGATGATCATGACCTTTCGGAGCCGAGGGCTCGGGTTGACGTGAGTGGATGGGACAGGACCCGACTACATAGCTTCTATTCTGCCCCATAGGAAAGAGCCTCTGGAGCTCAGGTTTTAGCGTTGAAGATCTAAAGACACCAGGAAAAGACCCGTAGAGTCAGGGTCAACGGAGAGTCCGTTGACGGATCGACCGTTCATGTTACCTTTTCAGCGCTGCCTCGGATTCATGTGAGATCGACACTCCGACAACAGAACCCGAACAAACTTTTCGGCCTTGCAAAGGTACAGTTTTTCAAAAACGAGGAAACTTCCAAGGCTAGAACCTTATGCAGGCATCCTTCTCGTGTCTTTTCGGAATGAGGTCAATTGAAACATGTCAGGGCCAGGGGGTAAAAAACCTGGGGAAAACGGAAACCAACCCTAACTTAAGTCCAGATGTCGGCGCGCCGAGGTGGTTCCTGCCCCGGAACTCGCAACCACTACCGCGTTAAATAGTCTCATCCACTAGAGCTTCTTGTTGCACGGCCAATAGACTTTCGGACCCCTGTTGTGATTCCGTGATCCACCCTGTTCGTCCGGGTTGTTTCCGTGACAGTCGGCGCCTCCTGCAGGGTCGGAAAGACCGTAGGAACCAGGGCATGACGTCTTGCCATCGTGTAGGGCCGAGGCCTGATGTTTTTCTCATTTTTGATTTCTACTAGTGTATATAATATGCTGGACACCCCCGTTGGGCGAGAGTGGATCTGCTTTCCTCTATCACATGCGCCTATATAGAGATTAAAGACGCCAATTCCTGTCCAACATTCTCGCATCCAGCAAAGTCCAAGTCGTATTACTCGAATTCACTACAATCATGTTGTCTTGGGTGTACCCTCTTCGACTCGTCCAGGCCCTGTTTGCCTTGGCTTCTATTGGCCTGACCGCATTTGGTATGTCGCATGTTGGCGCCCCCTTTGCGATTAATACTAACAACGACTAGTCATTGCCACCCTCTACGATGAATGGTCCTTCTCCAACACCGTCTATTTCGTGCTTTTCAATGGCTGCTGGACCCTTGTTGTTGCTGTCCCCTACTTGGGACTCGCGCCTTTGTGGCTCCCTCGCTTCTCGCACGAATTCGTGATTCCCGGAATAGAGATCATTACCTCCTGCCTCTGGCTCGCTGGTTGGATTGCTCTGGCAGCTCAGATCCCAGGCCCCAGCTCCTGCAACTACCCTAGCTGCCATGGCCTCCAGGCCCTTATCGTTGTGGGTGCTGTTGAGTGGTGAGTCGCTGTACTACAAGAGTGAACAACCCAATACTAACTGTCGACTATAGGGCCCTGTTCCTTTTCACAAACGTCTTCGCCATCATGGATATCGTGAATTCGAAGCGTAACACTCGTGACCGCGAGGCTCGCCGCAGTGCGGCTCAGAGCCAGGCTACGAGTGAGGCAGCCAGTGAAGTCGCGAGCGTGCACCACCCGGAAGTCTCAGAGGTCAACGGTCCTGCACATGTCTAGGCCAACCAGTTTATCCTATGCGTCTGATTGTAATTGTTTGGAAAGCAACTTAATCATAATTCCCCGGGGCGCTTGGCTTGGAGACAAGAGACGATTACACGACTACACGGGTGGATCTACGGGAACCGGTTGACGATCTTGAACGTGTTTCTTGATGACTAGTTACATCTACGTGATGAATTGTTGTATATTTCATCCACTTAATAATATGATAATGGCCTCCTAATGACTGGAGTTTAATTACCCCGCACACTATGTCCCGTCTATGAGGTTTGAGCATCTATCAAGATCTTGCAGTGTCGATCACGATGATCAAGAAGCTCTTGGAACCCCTCCTCCACTGTCCCGTCGAGCTTTATCTTTGCCGTGATCATTTCCTCGGGCTTGAGTTTGCCTTGAAGTTGTAGTAGAGAATGCGAAATTGCCAGAACGAGGAAGAAACCTACTATGGCTCAATGCTTCGATCACTTGCTTGAATGACACCTCGTCATAAAAAGCAGCCCCCGTGTAGTTAACGTCCTATCCGCGATCGTCAGATCAGTGGGACGAATTCATAGTTTTGGGGTCTTGTGGAAACATTAATGGCATAATCAGGCTTATGCCGCGGTGCAATAGGGTATTTATGTATTTAATCGTGTCAAGTCATTCATTCATTTCAAATCACCAGCTGGAAGCCTCCTTTATTCAATGTTGAGCTGAAAGTACCTCAAGAATTCACACAACGCGGGCACGCCGGGTATAAGCCCCAGGTAGTCGCCCAGAAACATTCAATCCAAAAAAAAGAAAAGAAAAGAAAAATCGTTTCCGCCAATTGCACAAGACCAAACAAGAGAAATACGAAAATGATGTCAAGGAATCAGTGAGTCAAATCAATTCCATCAAGTTGCGGCGTAAGTTGTGTCGAGCCGCCTGCCGAATCGTGATACCCAAGGACTTCCGCATACATGATAGTCTTCCAGACATCAGCTGGCAAGTCCGCTTCGCTAAGTGACCAGTCAAATGTCTCCGTAGATTCGGGCTCGTCATTTGGATCATGATATGGTGCGAGGTAATGCGATTCCAGACCCTCTGCAGCAGAACAGCGCTGGGCGGGATCTAACTGGAGAAGTTTGTCTAACAAAGCGATAGCTGGTGATATTTAGCTTCTGGAGAGTCCACAGTGAAAAAACGTGAGGCTTACCCTTTGCGCTGGTACCAGGGATGAGCTTCGACAGGGGTTTCTTTTCCCTCTTGGGAAGAGAACGGATGAATTCCAAAGTCTGCAAACATAGGTCAGATGAGTGCAAGGTTTAATATAAAACGAATGATCACACGAACATTTGGACTGGTTACGTTGTCGATCACACTTGCAGGCGGACTTCCGAGCAATTGCGTGATCACGCAGAACTGGTCAATATGATTCTTGCCCGGGAAAAGCGGCCGTCCTAGTATCATCTCGGCAAAGATACATCCCACACTCCACATGTCGACCTTCTCGTTATACCGTCGCCAGGTGAGCATGATCTCTGGAGCTCGGTAGTACCTCGTGGAAACGTAGCCTGTCATTTGTAATTCCTGGCCACGAGCTAGGCCGAAGTCGCAGATCTTGAGATCGCAGTTCTCGTTGACTAGGATGTTGCTCGGTTTGAGGTCGCGGTGGACGACACCTGCTGAATGGACGTATTTGAGACCACGCTGGATGTGGAGTTAGTTGTGTTCTCGGAAAGTTGTGCCGGTGTGATTACCATTATTTGATATAAGAAGTATTGGGTGAATTGGTTGTCCACCTTCTTGGTCTTCAGAAGCGTATGCAGGTCTGTTGCCATCAATTCGGTCACGAGGTATCTTTTTGGTGGAGTTAGCAGTGTTTGTTGGTAAATCTCAAGGATGCATACATGTCTTCAGATGGAGAGATAAAGATGTCGTTGAGTTGTATAAGCTGGATCGATTATTTAGCATCGAAGAAGACTTGATATAGAAGGTGATTGACGAACATTTTCATGCTTGAGATGTTTCAATAGTTTGATCTCACGGAACATGTGTTGAGCGACGACGCCCGACTGGAATGGCTCTGCAAGCTTCTTCACGGCAACGGTCTGCTTCGAAATTTGGTCTTTGGCAGAACTGGTGAAAGAAGATGCACCTATCAGTTGATGCCTCCTCGCGGGGGAGAGTGCAGAGATATCCTACCAGACCAGGCCTGATACGCCGACCCCGATGGGCTCGAGCTGGCTGTATCTACAGATTTACATAAGTCAATAGGGATTCTCTAAGGCTTAGTATTATGAGGTCGGGTCGATGTGAACCTGGATGTGGTTTCAAAATTCACCCCCATGATGGTATTCTGGGTGAACTGGGCCATAGCTCTGCCCGGGGCAGATGATGGATTTGAGAAATCAGACATGGTCAAGGCTAAAATACCATTGGTAGCAAACCCGTGTCTAGAGCTGAAATCAGACCAGTATCAATGTTCGGGAGTGGTGGTGGCAACCACTTTAAAGTATTTTAAGGATCACGAGTTCAAGGCAAGAAGGGCAGAAATGGGATTCAGTTATAATTAAGGAATCATACAAAGGAGCCTCCCGTGGCAAGGCCGTTTTGTTACATCAGTGGCTGGCAGTACGAGAAAGCCAACAAGCTGGCATTCGCCAGATCTGGTTGGTGGGCACGCGCCCCACTGATCTTCCATGTTTGGCAATACTATTGGCCGCTCGATTATCCCGTCCAATCCGGGACGCCACCCTAGGGTCTTCGGCGGGCCCGATTGTATGACGAGGATGTCTTCTCCAGGTGCCGTGAATGGTGCTCACTGCCACATGGGCATGGGCCATGGCGATTCTTTCACCTGGCTTTGTCAGGTTGCAAGGGGCCCCTCCCGAGCCGTAGTGCGTCGGCCCTCATGTAATTGGAGGCATCTGGGGCCGTCCTCAATTGAAGGTTGTCTGAGCTCCATCAATGGATCGGCTACTCCCTGCCTGGTCTCGTGATCGGAAATGGGATTTCCTGGGTAGATGATCGTTTCCATTGGTTCCGGGATCCATTCAAAGGTATACACAGTAGCTACGGAGGTTATGTCTTTGAAGACTCAATGACGTCATAAGACCAAAGCTAGCATTCCCCCGTCGCGCCAAGCTAATAGAAAATTCGTTCAGATACATGGAAAGGGAAGCTATTGTAACATATTTGGCACATCGATGAAACTCTCAAAGAGTCCATCTTGATAGTCCGGCACCGGCACGGGATCTGCGACATTTTCGAGTGCGCCTGACTCGACCCTGCCACTGTCCTCATCTCCGTCCCCATCCCTCGCCGATCCGTCGGACCACGTACTAGCCGAAAAGGTGGGTGACGGGCATTTCAACGCCTCAATGTTTGCTCCTAGCATATTTTGGGTCATCATCGCAAGTTGTAAATTAATCTTTTGGTCGGCGCAGTCCGCGTGTTCAAACATCAAATTTTTGAGCTGCCAAACTTCTTCTTTTAGCACGTTGACTTGGGCGAGAAGAGTCTCGCGCTTCGCGGTTTCGACGTGCAGGATGCTTTGAATCTGTTCATGTTCCTTCTTCTTCTTCTTGCGGCACTTGTTCGCGGCGATACGATTTCGTTCGAGGTGTCTTGCTCGTTCGGGACTGACATTATCGCGAGAGACGTAGGCCCTGGAAGATCGGCGGGGCTTTCGGGTGGAGCTCGCGTGAGCTTCGGACTCTTCGGCTGCGCATAAATCTTGTCTGGTCTTTTCTTGTTGTTCGCGTAGACTTCGGATTAACGAATCCTTGCTGTCTTGTGATATGTTCAAAGGGTTGAGCCAGAGGTGTGATGGCTCGTCGAGTGTTGGGAGGCTATTCAGGCTATTCGAGAAGACATCGTTGGCTGGTGGCTGAAGTAGCGTGGTCATGGTGAAGGGATCGGTATCGGATACGGCCGGGATAGGTAGACGTTCAATTCAGGTATATAAGAATTTATAGTAAAATAATAGGAGGGCCGAGGGAAACCCTAGGACATAAGAAGGTCTTGAGTGGGAACAGGAGGGGAGATCGAACAGGGCCTTATATACGAAGAGCAGGTTCCAAGTCAAGAACCATAAAATTCCCCAAAAGAGCACGTAACCGGATTATGATGCACTGGGAAGGACCTGGCAACGAACCGAGTTATTCCCGCCAATCCCCTTGCTTTGCTGGACCAAGTCTAGGACGAGTCAAGACCACTGATATGAGCTGACACCGCAGATCCAAGGACGGAAAAGCTCGAGCCAAGGAAAGCCCAAACCGGGCATTTGACTCTCTTTAAAGTTCTCGTTTCAGGCCCAACCTTGTGGCTGAGCTTTTTGTCGGGAGCGATCCTGTTGGAAGCTCCCCCGGTGGTGCAGATAGGGGAAGGGTTGATGACGAAGATCACAGGTGGCAAACTGCGGGTTGGAGGAATCATCCAAGTGAATGGGATTTTCAGCTCAAGAGTCTAGAACGACCAGGTTTGGTGAAAGTTTCCATCTTAGTTTCTTGGGGCGGGGAAGCATGATGTCATAGCACGAGACAGCCAATATCATAAATCTGCATCGCCCTTCATTAGGTCGGTTGTGCCGGATGAATCGTCCGTTTTGTTTTTATTTTCTTCTGGTTTCCAATAGTACTTTCAACCCCTCGACTACAAGGCTTGGTAGCGGCTCATGGCGGACGGCGCCGGCGCCGTCGCCTATACTCGGCCGGGAAAACATCAACGTCAAAGATCTAGAACATAGAGATACCCATGAATGTAAAAAAGCTATTCAATTACTTATATGTACAATGATGCACTGCGGGAGATGAAGTCATGTGTCACAAGGATTATGAAGTAAGTCACCGGGATTATGAAGTAACCTGCTCATCAATGTATCGTCTCATGGTCTCAAACTCGGATTTTCCAGTCTGTGTACAAAGTCAGCTTCCTATATTGTATGAGAGCACTAGATCCCGATAGAATAGTCATACCGAGAGCAAATATCGAATATGTGCCTGCGACGAATGCAATTAGCTATCGTGATAACCCCCGGGTCATGAACACAGTGACTCACCAAGTCTGTCACCTCCCGATGTCGTTCGAATTCCTGTCGAGCATAATCGTGTAGCTCATTCCGTGTAGCGGATGGAGGGATTTCTGCGTCAATTGATGTAAGTCTTGATGGCGCTTCGAGAACACCACAGGGAGGAAAGCGTACTGTTCAAGGCTCGCACGACCTCTCGCCAAAAGGCCAGGACGCGTCCTCTTTGAATGAACTACCGTCAATGTCAGCTTCAGCTATATCGATACATTGGTAATCGGGGAAAGCTCTCCCGTAGCTTACGTGGTCTAGACTGATCGCCGGCTTTTTCAGCTTCGACGACCGGCCGTGAGAGATTGCAGCGAGGAGGCGGATAGAGGGGCGCATTGTGCTAGTCTCAGATCATGCCTGGAGAAGAAAATGGTCGACGATTACAATTGGTTCATTTATTGTCGCCTATTTGACTGAACATCGCGAGATGCTTGCGGGCGGTCGAGTTTGAAGTGTTTCCGTATTACCGTTAAAAACGGTCATGTGATGTTTCTGCTCCTCGTAAAGGTCTTCTCCCGGTAAGATCCTTGTAATGGAAGTTTCGCCTTATGGATTCCATGAATTGAGGCATCTTATTTCATAGGAGTCGGTTTAAATCAAAATTTAAAAAAAAGGGTTCCTTACACTAGAAGGACAAAATCGACAGGAAGTCCTGCTGTTAAGCTAGCAGCGCCTTCTCTTGCCACCTATCAACTTTCAATATATGAAAATCTTTGTATCTGACATGGCCGCGGATCTAGATCCATCAAATATTGAAAGAAACGGCAAGAACCGGTGGAGGAGATGAATACGGCTATTTTGAGTCTATTTTCACTGGCTCTTAGGCTCCTAGGCCGACTGGGCTTCCAGGCCTGAGGCACCATCGGAGGTTCTCCGTCGACACCTTGGCAACTGTAAGACATTTCAGGTCGTTGGCCCGGAGCACAATATCATTGAGAATTCAGCCAGCCTCAAGGCCAGAGAGGCAAAGTAATTTAAGCTCCCTTAAGCTCCCGAAAACTCTCAAAGCATAAGTTTAGATGACAGCCTTATAAATCGGATCAGGTCTGGCCTCGCTTCCTATAGCTCTAACATCCATTGAGTAGTGGGATCGCGAAATGCCTCTAAAGCATTCCCATGGTAATAGAATGGTCTAACAGATCAGTGATTGCCACTATCACTTCGGAACTGATTCGGGACAGAGACTGCCTCAAGGTAGATCAGGTCATGATCACAGGTGTGCCATTCCGCTTTTAAGCGTGTCCGTAGCGGGTGAGGAAGGTGAATGGATATGCACTCTACTTTTACCCCAACGTTTTCACGTTACCCCTCACGGGATACATCTCTGACTAGAAGAATCGCGAAGGAAAATCGGGAGGATAGGTTTTCACCGAGGGAGTGAGAATCGGAGGAACGAACCTAATTGCGCCAAAGTGGAACCGCTAGAATTTTAGTTTGTTCTTTTTCCAACGCCCGTACGATCATCCCTCCGTTGATAACCGACCCCGGCACCTCATCTGGGGGCAGATTCTAATATTTTACATAAACTACAGAGCTAATGAACAACTCGTTGAAGCTTATCGTACAGGGCGAACACAGCATTGGGCAAGATGCGCCCATCACCCTGGCATCCCGTGTAGAGGTGGACCCGGACGAGAACAGAAGATTTGGAACTCTCCACTCTCGTCGCGCCGAGGTGTAGCAAGTGGAGATTTCGATGTCATCTAGGGCTTCAGGTACCCGGTGTGAGGATTCTGTTTGGTCAGCCCACAATTTGCGTCTTGCTGATTAGCTCGTTCAATTCATTGAAATCTTGCGTCTTCCCCAGTTCTTTAGTAACCGTTTCCTTCCTGCACCTGGGGCAACTGAACTCCTTCCACTTCCACTCACGCGATCATGGATTACGAGGAGATCTCCGCTGCTCAGGCTGCGAACCGCGACGATGCTACAAAGGATACATCGGCGGACGCCTTGAGGGCGCGCAATGAGGCCATCATGGCTTCGCCGCTATACAATGCCCAGTTCGTGGGCGACGATCTGGCGAAACACCTGGACACGGAGGAGGGGGATGTCTACGATCGCGGCATCAAGCACTTCAGTCGTCTGGGCTGGAAGCGCCTTACGGTCGTGATGATTGTCGAGGCTATTGCACTTGGAAGTCTTTCTATACCGTCTACCTTTGCATCCCTCGGCATGGTTGCTGGTGTGATTACCTGCGTTGGTATCGGTATGATTGCCATTTACACGAGTTATATCGTCGGCCAGACTAAGCTTGCCTTCCCCGAAATTGCTAGCTACGCTGACGCCGGTCGCGTGATGGGCGCGAAGCTCGGATGCCCTCGTTTCGGATACGAATTGATCAATGCGATGCTGGGCATCCAATTGCTCTTTCTCACTGGCTCTCACTGTCTGACTGGAACAATCGCGTGGCGGAGCATCACCGGTAGCGAAATTTGCTCCGTAATCTTCGGTGTCGTGTCGGCGATTATCCTGCTCTTGCTTGCGATCCCGCCTAGTTTCACTGAGATGGCTGTGTTGGGCTACATTGACTTCGCCTCAATTATCATTGCCATCGGTATCACGATCATCGCGACTGGTGTGTCGTCTACCAACGCCCCTGGTGGGCTGTCTGCCGTGGACTGGTCTGCGTGGCCCAAGGAAGGCCTCACCTTTACCGATGCCTTTGTCGCCGTGACAAACATTATCTTCGCGTACAGTTTCGCTCTGTGCCAGTTTTCCTTCATGGACGAGATGCATTCGCCGAAGGACTTTGTCAAGTCCATTTGGGCTCTGGGTATCGTTGAGATCATCGTCTATACCCTCACTGGTGCATTGGTCTATGCCTTCGTGGGCTCGAGCGTCCAAAGTCCCGCGCTTCTATCTGCCGGCTCCCTCGTTAGCCGTATTGCATTCGGTGTTGCTTTGCCCGTGATTTTCATCAGTGGTTCGATCAACACCGTTGTCTTTGGACGTCTTGTGCACGGCCGCATTTTCGCGAACTCGCCTCTCCGCTTCGTTAACACCAAGATGGGTTGGCTGACTTGGTTAGCGGTTATCTCCGCTGCGACGATCGTGGCGTTCATTATTGCAGAGGTTATCCCCTTCTTCGATGATCTGCTCTCGATCTCGTCTTCGTTGTTCATTTCTGGATTCACCTTTTACTTCCCTCCTATGATGTGGGTGTTGCTTCTTCGCGAGGGTAGCTGGTGGACTAAGAAGAACATGGCTCTCGCTGCCGTCAACCTAGTCACCTTTATCATTGGTATGGTTACGCTGGTTGCCGGAACCTACGCTAGTGTTGATGATATTGTAAGATTCCCTTCTTCCGTGACTTCATTCTTTGGCATTGATCTAACTTCAAAAACAGCTCCTGAAGTATCGCGCCGGTACTGTCCATGGTGTCTTTACCTGCGGCTCCCCGGAGTAAGATCGTCGGCCTTTGTGACGCTTCTCTCGGTGTTTTTATCATATTCTTAGCGAAGCTTGCTGTGTAAAATCTGTTTAAACATTGGATCAAGACATGATTGGAAATAGAATAAAGTCATTGGTATCATTTACGCATTACGAAAGAATGTATTGTAACTGCATTTCACTCCTGCGCGCGACAAAAAGTCTTTATATTCAATCAAAGGAAGCTTATTTTATCATATCCCAATATCCGTGTACAATCAATCAATCAATCAGAGGAAGCTTATGCCTGCAGAGGCTCCCCCATGCCGCCGAAGGTGACGGACTTAATGGTCATGAACTCATCAATACCGTACTTGCTGCCCTCACGACCGAAGCCGCTCTGCTTGACACCGCCGAACCTGGAAAACAGTTAGAAAGGAATGTTATGAACAAAAAGGGGAAAGGGAGAAACTCACGGTGAGGCAACGTCACTGATCAGACCAGTGTTGACACCAACCATGCCAACCTCCAGGGCCTCAGCAACACGGAAGATGCGGCGCACATTGCCACTGAAGAAGTATCCAGCAAGACCGACCTCAGCCTTGTTTGCCAGATCCACGACCTCCTTCTCAGTCTTGAAGGAGAAGAGACCAGCCACAGGACCGAAAGTCTCCTCGGAGGCGATGAGCATCTCCTTGGTCATTCCAGTCAACACGGTAGGCTCATAGAAGTTAGGTCCAAGCGCAGAGGCCTTCTGCCCACCAATAGCAACCTTGGCACCCTTGGAAGTGGCATCCTGAACGTGGTCGTGCGCCTTCTCAGCGGCACGCTCGTGGATAACAGGACCGTGGGTAATACCCTCCTCGAAACCACCACCAAGCTTGAACTCCTTGACCTTGGCAACGAAGCGCTTGGCGAACTCATCGTAGACACCACTCTGCACGTAGATGCGGTTCGCGCAGACACAAGTCTGGCCCGAGCTGCGGAACTTAGAGGCAATAGCACCCGTGACAGCGGCGTCCAGATCTTCAACATCGTCGAAGACAATGAATGGCGCGTTACCACCCAGCTCCCACGACACCTTCTTGATAGTCGATGAAGCCTGCTTCATCAGCAGTCGGCCGACATTAGTCGAGCCAGTGAAAGACACCTTGCGCACCTCCGGGTGGGTAGTAATCAGCTCGCCCACAGCCGGGGTGTTCTTGCCCGAAGTGACAATGTTGACAACACCCTTGGGGATACCAGCGCGGTGCGCCAGTTCAGCGAGGGCGTTGGCAGTGAAGGGCGTCTCGGCAGGCGACTTTGCAACCACCGTACAGCCAGCCGCCAGGGCCGGGCCAATCTTGCGGGTGATCATAGCCGCGGGGAAGTTCCAGGGCGTAATGAGACCGCACACGCCGACGGGCTGCTTGAGCGTGATAACACGGTTACCGGGCACAGAGGCCGGGATGGTATCGCCATATACGCGGGGCGCTTCCTCGCTGAACCACTCGAAGAAGCTGGCGGCGTAGTTCACCTCGCCCTTGGAGTCAGCCAAGGGCTTGCCGTTCTCCCATGTGATCAGCTTGGCCAGATCCTCTGCGTTGTCCATCATGAGCTGGTACCAGCGGCGAAGCATGCGCGCGCGCTCGCGGGCGAGGAGTGTGCGGAATTTGGGGAAGGCCTCAGAGGCGGCCTCGATGGCCTTCTCGACGTCGGCGGTATCGAGCTCGGGACAGGTTCCGATGAGCTTGCCGGTGGCGGGGTCTTCATATCGCGGTAGTGTTAGTTTGCTTGTAGTGTAGATTGCTCGGTATCCTGCTTACCGTGGACCTCGAAGGTCTCGCCCGACTTAGCATCAACCCACTCGCCATTGATGTAGGACTTCTGAATAAACAGGGAAGGATCTTTTAACTAGACACTGATGTTAGTATCTCACCGATTTACTCCATCTCGAAAGGTACTCACCTCAGGCTTGTCGTGTCCCATGGTGTAGAGTCTCTTCAACGCTGGCGGTGGGGGAATGGAAAAAGGATAACGAGTGCGAGAACGCAACAATTGGCGCGAGACGGGGCGAATGAGTCGGTTCATTATGAAGTAACCGGCTCGCGGGGGCAAATCGTGTGGGGGAAGAATTCCGAACAAGAAGATACGCGGAGATAGGATGTGCGGGGAGTTAGAGACGTCTTTAAAGGGCGCTGTTTTGCGAAAAGGGTTTGCACAGAGCTATTATTCAACAGGTTTGATTTGCTCTGATTGCTCTTTGGGTCCGAGAAGCACCGAGTACACCGAGGACGGAGATCGTGCCGGGGGAGCTGGAGCTCAGAAGGGAAGCTGGATGCTAAGCGGGGAGGCTGTTGTTTTGCCTGGTTGATGTCATTGCCATTGGGATTCTTGTTCCCCTTGCGGAATGAATCTCCGGGGTTCACGCCATAGAGCTCTGCCCTCGATTTTTCTACCTTTGTATCTTTGATGTCACTGGATTAACAATTCTTTTTGATCTTATTCCATGTACTTCAATTGAGGATTCTGTCCACGGTGACGGTTGGTATGGAGCCCTTCATCTGGGTGTAATACAATTACGAACGTTACACTGTTCGGTGTTTTCAGCGAATGAAAAGCTCAGAACGTCGGGCTGCTCGGGTCAGGCCACCAATCAGAAACCCCCAAAGCTTCTCCGATTTGGAGATAGCGTCACGGTATTTCACCAAATCGCCGATAAAGACTTGTGGATAGACGAGTATTCACGAGACCCCCGACAGTTAGGAAGGACCAGCCGACTGTGGAATTCGTTCAACTATTATCGTATACAGAATCAATCCACTCATGCAAAATGTCATCAAATTGGATATCATAGTAAAACAATACACCGCACGCTTTAATCAATCACAATCACTTCAGGGGCCTCAGTCTGCCTACTTTGAGACCTGGACGTCGACCTATCCCGCTCCTGATACCCCGGATGAACTCTTTTCATATGCAAATTCAAGTTCCACGTCCTCGAGAAGCCCTCGATATGCCGTGAGCACGATTTTATGGGACAGACGAGGTCCGCCTTACGATGCTCTCCCTTGCCCTTAAGTCGGCGCGACGTTGACCTCTCTGGACTACTTCTCTCTGGAGTCGTACCAAGACTTGGAGCAAATCCTGGTACTATCGTGTGCGGATTGACAGGTGGCTCGACTGGCACTGAGCCTGCTTCTCGCGAGTTGGAAGTATTGCGTCGCGAGTGCGACTTGGACTTGATTCGAGAGACCTTTTTGCGCTTTCGATCGGGAGGATCGGAATCATCGTCTTCGGACTGGCTCTCGTGGTAATCGTAAAATATTGATTTGTCCTCTTTTCGACCGGCCGGTGCGATCCGGCCTTCGCGGAATGTGCGGAATGTCATGTCTTGGTTGAATAGGTCGGCGCAGCGCTTCGAGGCGCGCATTACAGCGTCCCGGGGAAGACCGATCATGGATGCTAGACCCATAACTTCGCTCCAGTCTCGTAAGGGGAGTTTTGCATTAAATGGGATGCCGTCGTCGCTACAGTCATCCTCTTCATCGCTGGCCTCATTGACCTCATTTGCAGACGCACGAGAATTGCGCGATTGGTCTCGAGACTGAGATGTCTCGCGCACACTTTCGCCTTCTGACCTGGATGGAGATGAGCGCTGGCTGCGAGAGCGTTTGCGACCACGCAACTCATTTTTGCCAGTAGCCTTTTCTCTGGACTTGGATTCGGTTGCATGGCCGTCAATGCGAGGTTTTGGACGACTTCGATTGGGACGCTCGTCGATTCGATAGTCCATTGTGCGTTGTAGAGAGGTGAGAAGTCTGTCCACTTGTGTGATCACGTTCCGAGCAAGAGGCCGCAATTGTCGCCGGGCCACATCGTCATCAGTCTGAAGAGCGGGTCGAAGGAATGACGGATCTGCATATGGATCTAGATCTTTCTGATCATCCTCATCTTCCTCATCCTCCTTGTCCATCGTGGCGTCTGGGTCGATCGATCTTTTCGGCTTGTTGGTTTTGATTCCATCATAGTCCCAATCACGGTCCAGGAAATTCTCCTTGGAGATCCTCGTCATGACCGCAATAATTGACTCTTCAAGCTCTGCGCTGGGTCGAGGATCGGGTGGCATTCGAATGGTGTCGGGGTCATTCAACCATTCCTTCATATGGTCATTAGGTCGAGGGACCCGGGATGGTGGCAAAGGCCAAGCACCCCATCGTTTCGAAATCGTCGTTTTTTCGTCTCCATCTTCCTCGAATCCTTGTGTGTTATCTTTACTTTCGAGACGAACCATGTATGAATTATAGAGATGTGCCGCAAGATCCCTTGATTGAGCCGTTGTCAGCCCTTCGTAGCTAGCCAGGGCGTCTGAAATGAGTTTCCGGTATGTAGTTGGATTTCCCGTCCATCGATTTGGGCGATCAACGCCAGGTGGCAAGTCGAGGCCGCGATCAAGGACATAGCTAATCGGCTGTGGTACTGTCTTCTTAGGCGACCCAGACCTCGATCGCGTCTGTGATCTTGTTTGTGATCGTGATCGAGATCGAGATCGGGATCGCGGTCTAGTTGACCGGCCACGAGATTCGTTCTTTACGCGACTCTTTGGCTTTTTTGCAAAGTTTGCCTCCTCGTCACTGCCTTGAAAGCTCTCCCCGTCGGAACCATAGTCGACAGCCAAGGGCCTTTCGCTCATGATCATTCCAAGTTCATCTTCTTCATCGTCACTGAGCTCCCTGCCCAAGAATTCAGCTTCTGTCTCTGGCTCTGTAGCAACATCTTGAGCTGGGCCGCCAAAGATGGACTTGCGGGCTGGTTCCGGCAGAGAAGATGGAGGTAAGCTGAAATCGCTGCTTGGGCCTCCAAATAGTGACCGATACGGCTGGGCTGACTCCGGGGGTATAAATTGAGAAGAAGATGGCTGTTGCTGCTCTGAGAATGCGGACATGCCTCAGTGCCGTGTTCGAATGGTAGATTGATTGAGTGCCGGGATGTCACATGGATCTTGGTATTGAATATCGATGAGGCAATATGAGCTCTGGAATATGACTGAGCATCACTCGAGTAGTGCCCCTTCTCAACATTCAGCGGATTTGATTATTTATTGCGCTGTGCTGGGCGAAGTCTTGAATGCTGTCTTCATCAAAAATTCGAGCTAAAGTGGATCGGCATATTGTCACGTGACCCATACTCTGCCATGTGCTTGTCGTAAAACTATGGTGAGTATTCATGAATAGACTTTTAAATGCATATCAAGCATTTACAAGTATTTACAAGAAGCCCATGTGCAAGTAAAATTCCAAGTTATATGGTCCATCCATCCATTACATTGAAAACATAAATTTTATGACATGCATATACAGGGGACTATCCCAGCCGCGAACGCCAGCAGAAAACGAAAAGCACTCTTTTAATGACACCGCTTATTTCTTAGCAGGAGGAGCCTTCTCAAGCTTGCGACGCTTGGAACGCAGCTTGGCAGCCTCGTCAGACTGCTTCTTGTTCGAGTACATCATCTTCTCGAGAAGTTTGCGCTTCTTCCGGCTCATCATCATCTTCTGGCGCTCGAGCTCCTCGTCCTCCTTCTTCTTCTTGGCAACCAGCTTCTTGGACTGGGCGGTCTTCTTCTTGGAAGACTCATCGGTAGCGCTGCTGGCGGTGAAGGGCAGGCCGGCGGCCTCAGCCTCGAGCTCACGCTGGTGCTGGTTCTGGGCAGCCTCGTCGTCATCGTCGGACTCGGTGGCCGCCTCGTTCTCCTCGAATCCACCAAAGTCTTCATCCTCTTCCTCTTCGTCGCTGGCGCTCTCATCATCGTCGGTTCCGGCAACGTCCATTCCTCCGTCGACGGACTCCTCCTCGGACTCCTCCTCGACAGCGGCCTTCTTATCAACCGGGGCCTCATCCTCCATCTCCTCGTCACTGTCCTCGGCGTCGTCCTCGGCCATCTCGGCCTCACCTTCCTCTTCCTGTTCAGCCAGGGTGGCGCGCGGGTCGTAACCGCCACGCGAGGGCTTGACCCAGGGGCTCAAGTGAGGGGGGAGGGTGGCACCGGGGGCATAAAGGTCAGCGCGGAGGAGTTTGCCGTCATTGATACAATCCCAGACCCACTGGGGCTGAACGTATGTACGACCCGGGATGCGGGTACCGGGCTTAACCTTCTGGACAGCTCCGTCCGCTGCGGGAATAGTGGGAAGGGACTCTTGAGGCAGCTGAGGACGATCGACAATTTGGTGAGTGATGCGGGGGTCGGTCTCATCGTGGGTGAAGGCACCACCACCAAGAACGGCATCCCAACCGATGCGCTTGCATCCAAAAGAGTGCAGGATAAACTCGAGAGGGGCCTTGGGGGCCTCACGGGAAATGTAGAACACGAAAGGAGCGAAGAGAGCTCCGGCCTCGTTGCCACTCATGTCGGGCTGAGGCAGAGTGTCGGCCTCGGGGGCAGCGGGCTCAAACTTGTCAATGGTGTCGGTGTTCTCCTCGGTCGTGTCCATTGCCTGCTCATCCTTGGTCTGGTCCAGGCCGGCTGACTTGATCACCTTGTCCACCTTGGCTTGAAGGTCGCTCGAGACCTCCTTGTTACCGTTCGCCTGGGTCTTCTTGGACTCAATGGCCTTGGGCTGTTGACCCACTGTGCGGCCCTCGAGGGTGAAAGCAGACAATTCAGCACCGTTCTCGTCACTACGTGTGTCAAACTTGGGAGGGTATCTCAATCCAATGCCGGAGTACAGACGGAAGTTGACAAAGCCCAGGAGGGTGGTGTAGAAGTCCACAAAGGTGGCCATGATACGGTAGTCAACATCACCATTGACACGCTGCACGAAACGGTACGGCACCAGCCACATGATGTCCTGGCCCTGGATGGTGGCCTGGTAGTAGATACCCTTGATTGAGAGGAAGGACTTGCGCAGAGAGTTGGTGACAATCAGGTAGTGCTGGAACTCGTGGCAGACACGCTGGCAAAGGGCGACGGTCTTGGCGGGAACATGGGTAGTGGAAGGGAGGGTAGCGAACAGGAAGAGAAGAGAAAGGGCATCGTCGAGGTCACGGAGAGCATCGATAAAGGTCGGGTAGCGCTCCTTGATGACATGGTCCAAAGTGAGTTTCGGGGCATGGTTCTTTTCGAGGCGCGCAGCGTCGCTGACTTCACCACGACCGAGCGAGCGGGCAATCTTCTTAGCAAGGGCCTTCTGGTCACGGAACTTGTTGAGCAAGGGCTCATGCAACAGGTACTGGATGTCCTTGGTGTAATAGAAGGTAGTGTTCGGGGTCGAGGTCTTTGAGGCCTTCTTCTTGCTACGGGGCTCACGGGGGTAGATTCCTGTGAGTCACAGGCCTTATCAGCATCACAATACCGATATAACCAAGGGAACACCATTCTTACCCTTGAAAATGCAAAGTCGACGGAAATCGGGCAAAGAGATCTGAAGTTTGCGCACGGCCTGGGTACGAGTGATATAGTTTTTGGCCGCGCCAGAGGTTCCTGAATTAATTGTTAGCGATGACAGTTCAAACATGGACGAATCCAGCATGTCAAACATACCCTTCTTCTTGATTTTCGCCATGGTTGAATAGTGAGCTCAAGCAGTTGCTGATAAGAAGAAGAAAAAATTCTCGATAACTTTTTTTTCTGCTGAAGGCGGGTGGCCCGTGCGTTGCGGGCGCCGTGGTTCCTCCGCCTTCAAGGGACAACTACACAACACGCGCTTTCACTCCATTCCATCGTCATGGCAGTGGACCGTCGCAAGGTCGCTATCTTCAGCGCGGCCTTTGTTCTTCGCCTGGTACTCGTTTGTCTCTTTCCTTCCCTGCCCGACTTGTTGACCGGCCGAGTCGAGGTCTCTACCCCAGTCAACAGCTTTAAGCGACGTGAGTAGACTCCGATGTTAATACGGTCGCATAAGCTGACTTGAAATTCTTAGTCCAGGAAGGCTTGTTTCTTTATACGCGGAATGTGTCGCCATACGATGGTGGTGTCTTTCACCAGGTGGGTGAATCGCATGCAATGCAACTACGGGGCTTCTCGATTAACTCGATTGTACAACAGGCGCCTCTCCTACTTCCTCTTTTCGCCCTTCTTCCCGATGTGAAAAGCAACCCCCTTCCATCCGCTATCTTCTATTTCATTGTTGATTTGGTCAATGCGCATGCCCTGGCCAACATCTCGGCGTCGGGGCAGTCAGTTCAGAGCCGACTCCACTCGGCCATTCGGAAGCACATTCGATGGGACGGGGGATCCGTTGCAGCTTGGTATGTACCAGGTGCCCGGTATTCTTTGGGAGTTATAATACTAATCTGAATACAGGTTCCTGTTCAATCCTTTCACGATCGCAACATGCCTGGCACGGTCAACGAGTGTGTTTACTACAACCGGAATCCTCTTCGCAGTGTCCAACGCTGTCAGTGGTAATAGCATCAATGCGATGCTGGCTCTCGGACTCGCATCCTATCTTTCTCTCTACCCGGCGCTCCTTTTTGTCCCGGTAGTACTACTTTGCTATGATCAGCGGGCTCCAAAGCTACCCAAAATCGCGGCTTTCATCATCCAAAATGCCTCAATTCTTCTAGGCAGCGTTGCAGGACTACTCGGATTGTCTTACCTTATTACTGGAAACTTCTGGGAATTCATGTCTGCGACATATGGCTTCCACCTTTTGGTTCCGGATCTGACCCCCAATGTGGGTCTTTGGTGGTACTTCTTCATCGAAATGTTCGATTCCTTCCGCGAATTCTTCCTTGGAGTTTTCTGGCTTCATCTCGCTAGCTATGTTGGTGGACTCACGGCAAGGCTTCACCGCCAGCCCCTATTCGTCATTACTTCACTTTTGGGTGTCTTCGCTCTCTTTAAACCATACCCCAGCATCTCCGACGCGTCGTTGTACTTCGCGTTCTTGCCTCTGTATCGGCACACCTTCCCATGTGAGTTTCCCTAACAAAATTCTACTCTCAGTCACCAATTGCTAATTGCAACTAGTCATGCGATACACATTTTTCGCCATCGCTGCAATCTTATATGCCAGTCTTCTCGGTCCAGCCTTTTACCACCTCTGGATATACGCCGGGTCTGGCAACGCCAACTTTTTCTACGCGATCACACTCGTGTGGAGTCTAGGTCTTTCAATTCTCCTAGCCGACAGCATCTTCGCCGTTCTTCGCGACGAATGGGAACAAGACCATCCCGAAGCCCGAGGCTCAGAGGTGAAACAAGTGTAGTTTATATTCAATTTTAAATCCAGCATCTCAATTCAACAGCATCAAAGCCTACTTGTACACCTGGCCAATCAAAACGATCCTACTTCAAACCCTTAGACAAAATCTCATATCCAAATTCCTTAACCGTCCCATTCCTCAGCCTCCGCGGCTTAGGCGAGTACTCATCAATGACATACCCATTCCTCCGATAAAACTCTCTCGCCATCTCATTAGACTTGAAGACAGTCAACATAGCCTTCTCCAACCCAACCCGCCGCCCAATCTCCTCCATCTTCCCGATAAGCAGTTTGCCCAGTCCTTTTCCCCGGGCATTTTCCGACAAGTGGATCTCGTAACAGTAGACAACCTCCTTCTCATCCTCATAGGTTACCATAAACGATATGAACCCCAGCACGGCATTCCGAGAAACCGGCTCGTCGGCTGCGTCGGTTCCCAAGGGTGGACTCCGCACGATTAGGTATTTCATGTCGGGAAGTTTCATTTCTTTGCGCTTTGCGGGCCTTGACCAGCCTCCGCCTGAGGCGGCGTAGGCCGAACCGGATGTTAGTTCAATTAGGTCGAGGCAGGCTTCTAAGTCGGTGGTGCTGATTGTCGCGGCGGAGTGTGCGTCGATGGGTGTGTCGGGTACATTTGTTTCGGGTTCTAAGTCGGTTGATCTGGGCTCTGATGGGCGTCTCGTGGGCGGGGCTATGTATTTGCTGATAAAGTCTTTGAGTGATAGTGCGTTTGTGCGTTCGACCAGTGGTAAGCCTGTGAGTAGATTGTATCAGGACACGTGGATTTGATGGACACTTTGAGATTATGTATTGTCGGGGATAATATACATTGTTTCGACGCGTATAGAGATGTATGGACTTGTATAGGTTTCTAATGGGTCGTTATTTACTTACTTTTGGGCTGGACGCGCCGGGTGGTCGTTTGAGACTGTCGCGCTTTGAGCTTGGTCACTCGGCCTTCTTTGACTGAAGGCATCTCGGAGAACTGGGGATGATTCACGCGCTCGGGTTGTTCTGATCAAGGAACGATGCGTCCTTCAGTGACGGTTCGTCGTCAATTGCGGAGTCGAAGGGAACGCGGGCCGGTTGGTCGGGAAGAGCCTGGCACATTCTGGGCCTGCAACGAGCACATGCACTTGTGGCTTCCCTTTGCCTACGTTATTAGAGTTATTCACCGGTACACTCCTCACAGCTCCAATATAAACTTAGAAGACATTTTGGGTAATGATCTGAACTCTATGAGACATTTGGATTTTAGTTAATTTTTTCTAACTTTTTCTTGAAGGACTCGGTAAATCTTCGTTAGTTATTGTTTCTTGCAGGTGTAAAAATATATATATATATTCAATTCCGCTGACATCCATCTTACACAGTAAATTTCAATCCTCCACTGCTTGTAAAAGAGGCTTCTATGATCTAAGCAGAAGCCCTCAACTGAGCAGCATGCTCCTCAGCTCGTCTCTCAGCCTCAGCCGGACCCAACTCATTGAAGACATCAACTCCCCAACGGAAAGGATAGTTGTAACGCTGGTTACGGTCCAGCTTGTTCAGACCGTCGAACTCCGCGTCGGGAATCACGAAATCTAGAGCAGTGTTAGATACGCGCAAGAAGAGAGAAATAACATCTATATACCTTGGAAGTTGCTCTCGATACGCGAGGGAGTAACACTCTTGGGCAACACGGAAAAGCCCCGCTGAACAGCCCACGAGATCAGCAGCTGAGCAGGGTCCTTGTTCAGCTTCTTGGCAATTTCCACCACCGACAAGTCATCGACAACACTGTCGATAATTAGTGTGTGCATATCATCGAGGAAATGGTGTTTGCATACCGTGGAAGGTTAAAAATGTTATTTCCGAGCGGACTGTACGCCACAGGCAGAATATTCTATTGAACCTTTCGTTAGTTTGGTAATGTACAGATAGATGAGAAGGGGCGTTGAACTCACACTATCCTTCAAAAACTTGAAAAGGTTCGGCTGTAACAGGTAAGGATGCGCCTCGATTTGGTTCACAGCGGGAGGAATCTTCGCAGTCTCCAACAGCTTCTTGGTCTCTTCAATGGTGAAATTGCTGATACCGATACTCCGAATCTTGCCCATTGCGACGAACTTCTCCAGAGCCGCCCAGGTTTCGGAGATCGGAACATCGGCTATGAGGAATCGCTTCGTCGTCGGATCGGTCGGGGTGAGGGTATCGTTCGTATGCGCGAAAGCAACGGGCCAGTGGATCTGCGCATGATTAGCCCAGCGGGTTCGTTGTTCCGGGTCGAGTTGAGTTGTACGAGGTACAGGTCTAGGTAATCTGTCTGGAGGTCTTTCAGCGTCTTGTTGAGGCCTTCCTCGACATGGTCAGGATGGTGGTGTGTGTTCCATATTTTGCTAGTGATCTATATACGTAAAATTAGTCTTGCAAATCTTGAGGTAATTGTGAGATGCTTAAAAACACACAAAGATCTCTTCGCGCGGCACGCCGGACTTCTTCCAGCCGTTTCCTACTTCATTCTCGTTCTGGTAGCAGGCTGCTGCGTCGATGTGGCGGTAGCCCTTGCGAAGGGCAGTCTCGACTGCATTTTCGACCTCATGGGGCTTGGACAACTGTTGCGACGGGTTCAGGTGCTGTTTCTTTCTTTAGAGTTGATGGGTAATGACCAACCCACGTTCCGAGGCCAACGGCCGGGATATCGTAGCCCGAGTTAAGCTTGAAAGTACGCCCGAGAGACATATTAGATTGACTGTATGTTTAAAGGATAACGACGATCGAGTGCAACGCTAATGATTAAAGGAACGACTGTGATGGGATGCGCGGCTACTTATGCTCATGCTACGACCTTACCCCTCCTCATGTCGCCAATGCGACTACTCATTGCGACAGGGGTGACACGCGGTCCGATGATCTCGTGCTTCCTGGAAACCCTACAAGTTGTTGATTGAGTGGACATCACATTGATTGAGTGATGTTAGCTTCGGATTGTGCCATTGCTTGGCACTTCAGTGGGGTTTGGTATGTAGATATGAACCTTGGGGCGGAGCTTTGCTTATCTTACATCCTGCAGCTGTGCCACCGAAAACTAACGTTTTGTTCTTTTCAACTACCTTCAACATTTGCCAATCCCAATGCTGGTTCATCTCATGTCTAAATAGATGATACCAGAAGCTGGCCATAAGTCTTCACGAGGTGAGAAAGATGTAACCGGTGTTTGTTGTGTGCAAAACTTCTCGATTTCTTGGATAAGGAATGAGAAAAAGCAAAACTTGAGATATTTAAGAGCGCACAAGCTCACAACTGACCAAATCGCCGGAAGTTCACACTTCGGTGATTGAATCTAATTTTGACAATGCGACCCCGAGCTCCCGCCCCGGCCGCCCCGGGCTCGGTGAATGCTAGGCGCACCCAGAAAATAAGCACATACAATCCGCCGGAGCCGAACAACGCTTACAACAGTCAACTCGGATGAATTGATCAGCCAAAAATAAAAGTCTCCGAAAAAAAAAGTGTCCGCGCTGAGGGAGAATCCAATTGGAGAACTGTGACGTTCTGTGATCTTAATAATCTTTCCGTCAGAGTGGGGACGGTCACACTTTCCGTGGAGGGTGGAGACGGTAATGACTACGTCAACCGTAGAAGGTTATATACCGCCTGTCCCGCCTCTGTATAAGCTTCTATTATCTATAACAGCTAGTATCAAATACATACAGCTTCAATTGAGATTCCAAAATGGCTCCCTCGACTATGAAGCAATGGGTGGTGGAAAGCAAGGAGAAAGACTTCGACGGACTCGTCTACAAGGACGCGCCAGTGCCGAAAGTCGGTGAGAGCGAGGTGCTGGTGAAGCTTCACGCTGCGTCGTTGAATTACCGCGACCTGATCATTCCCAAAGTACGTTGATACGGGGTTGGTATGTCTTGCTTTCTATATTAACTTCACTCTTTTTGATAGGGACAATATCCCTTCCCCAGCAACTTCCCCGTGGTCCCCGGATCTGATGGTGCTGGTGAGGTTGTTGAGGTTGGATCCAAGGTCACCGATTTCAAGAAGGGTGACCGGGTTGCAACCGTTTTCAACCAGGGCCATCAGTATGGCCCGGTCAACATCGCCGCTTCCCATACCGGACTCGGCGGCGTGCTCGATGGTACATTGCGCGAGTATGGTGTTTTCAGCGCGTCGGGCCTTGTTAAGGCCCCGAAGAACCTCAACGCCCTCGAGAGCAGCACCCTCACTTGTGCTGCTCTCACGGCTTGAATGCCCTGTACGGCTTGAAGCCTTTGAAGCCTGGCCAGGTCGTCCTCGTACAGGGAACCGGTGGTGTGAGCATGTTCGGTCTGCAGGTATGTGCTAAGACGAACCGATATGAGAATTACGGGACAATCGACTAATATCTGTTGATAGTTCGCTAAAGCCGCAGGTGCGACCGTGATCGCCTCGACCTCGTCCGCCGCCAAGGCTGAGAAACTGAAGGAGCTGGGTGCCGACCACATCATCAACTATAGACAGGACACTAACTGGGGAGAGACTGCTCGCAAATTGACTCCGGAGGGCGAGGGCGTGGACCACATTCTCGAGGTCGGCGGACCTGGCACTCTCGCTCAGAGCTTTAAGGCCATCAAATACGAGGGTCTGATCAGCGTGATTGGATTCATCGGCGATGGTACCGGTCAGGACCAGCCTACTATCCTGGATGCCCTTAGCAACATTTGCACCGTTCGCGGTGTCTATGTCGGCAGCAAGGAGCTGATGCAGGATATGATCCGGGCTATCGAGGCCAATGATATTCACCCCGTCGTGGACGAGAAGGTGTTCACCCTTGACCAGACTCGGAAGGCCTATGAGCACATGGTGAGGGCCTCTTTCATCTTTCGTCTTTCATTTAGATCTTATACTGACTTCATGTGTAGTGGGGCCAGAACCATTTCGGCAAGTTGACTATCAAGATCAACTAAGTGCCAATAATGGATATTCAAGCCAAGAAAAGTGGGAGAGGAGAATTACGTATCAAAATGTTACAGTGGGTTGATAAATACTTGAATCTATCGAATATCAAAATGAATACATCTGTTTTGGACTGCGTTGCGAAACAGTAGCTTGTAGCTTATCAAGGTCATCAAGATTCCCCGCCACTTTAAATAGCCCCCGCCCGTACCTTGGTACATCATTCTATCTTAATTGCTTTTTGCCTTCCGAACGATAATAGTCATACTCGCAATCTAAAGTACCAGAAAGTCGCAAACCACATCCTATTCTGTACCTATTGGCCAAAGAGTTCCTGTGTTCCCGAGCTGCTTACCTTGGTACCCCTCCGTGCTCCCGATGGAGTCCAATGTTAGGGACGCGACCTCTACCCTTCCAATCGTTGGAGCTAGCCAGCACGCCAAACCACAACATTCAGCATTCACTCGGCCGGTCCAGATGGGCTTATTCGCCCGGCTGACAAGCTACCCGCCCCTGGGACAGACCACTTGCATCCAGAGAGTACAAAAGGCGTTGCGGTCAGAGGAAGATGATGCGGTGAGGATGCCGTTACTTTGAAGATACAAAGTGTTCCCCATGAACAAGAGTCAAGACGCTCATTATTACCACAGATCAATTTCACCGTCGTCGTTGAGTCAAGCGCAACCTTCCCAGCCCAGACTTGGGAGGTCCAGATATGGCACAACGTCACCAGTTCCATATGGACAGCTCTCCCACTGAGCGAAGTTGATCCATCACATGCGCCATTATTGTCTGGAATGGCACAAGATGACAACTATTATCGTCATGTTTTCTGGGACAGACTCGCGCTCCCGGCCACCGGCTGCCATGCTCACTTTACCGTGCGGTTCCGGACCAGTCCAGATGCGGAATGGCAATGGGCCAATCAGCATCATCCAGTCAGCGACGGCGAGCTCGTATGCAGCCCAAAAACCTCGGATTTGAAGAAAGTTTCCTTGTCTGAACTGTCACCGCGTGATGGAAAGAATGAACTTGCAAAGTATATTCAAAATCTCTCTTCTGAGGTGCAGATCGACCCAAGGAAAAGTGAAGCACCTGGGTCTCTGCTATGGGAAATTACTGGGAGAGTGGAACCGGCTAGAGAAGGTATTTCTGGTATCACGCGGCTTGCTTTGGGTACTATGTCTGAGGTGATCAGGTACTTCGCGTTGGTGCGAATTTGGTGTCCCTGGTTAGGACCGAGACACGGGAGAGAGAAGTTCTACTTGACGGAAGATGCGATTTTGTGCTCTTTTCTCCGTGCCGATGGAATCAACTTCGTCATCCTGGCCGTATCGGGGGTCAAAGACGTGTTGACTGTCTTTCAGTCAGGTGAAAATGGCGAAGTAGTGGTCAAGGCGAGGAATGATAACGACTCGGAGTCCAAATTCAATATTCTGGTCGCTGCTGCAGAGGACTTTGAGGTCGCCATGTCCGCGGTAATCTACGAGGCTAGAAATGTTGTGAAACCGTTTGCTGAACCCACAGCAATGGTGGAGGAGCAAGTTCCCCCTTCTCCTCTCGGCGATGACATTGTCATAGTCGAGAAAGACCCACAGGCACAGTGGCTTACTGAGTGGGTTGACGGTCTGACCTACTGCACCTGGAACGGGCTAGGTCAGGACCTAACCGCGGAGAAGATCCTCGGTGCATTGGACGCTCTGAAAAACCATGGCATCAATATTGTCAATCTGATCATTGATGATAACTGGCAAAGCCTCGACAACGACGGCGAATCGATGTTCAAGCGTCGCTGGGAGAGGTTTGATGCAAATGCAAAGGCATTTCCCAAAGGGCTGAAACAGACTGTCCAGGCAATCCGCCGGGCCAATCCTAGTATCCAACACGTCGCGGTCTGGCACGCATTGATGGGCTACTGGGGAGGAATCTGCCCGAGTGGGGACCTGGCGCAAAGATACCAGACCAAGGAAGTCAAAATCAAAGACCCATCCGCGGATGGTCCTATTTCACAGAATGTCCCCAATGGAAAGATTCTTGCGATTGACCCGGAGTCCATTCAACGGTTCTACGACGATTTTTACAGCTATCTCCAATCGGCCGGCGTAGATTCAGTCAAGACAGATGCCCAATTCTTCCTTGACCTTCTGGACGATCCGGAAGACCGCAAAAATTTCATGGCTTCCTACCAAGATGCCTGGTCCATCGCTGCGCTAAAATACTTTACCACAAAGTCTATTTCCTGCGGATCAATGATTCCACAGATCATATTCCATTCACAACTCCCTACCAACAAGCCCACGATACCAGTGCGAAACTCAGACGACTTCTTCCCCGAAATTCCCGCGTCTCACCCATGGCATGTATTCTGTAACGCGCACAACGCACTCCTCACCCGCTACTTGAATGTCCTACCGGACTGGGACATGTTCCAGACAAGCCATCCCTACGCATCCTTCCACGCTGCAGCGCGATGTGTATCAGGTGGACCCGTGTACATCACAGATGAACCGGGGAAACACGACCTCGAAGTTCTCGATCAAATGACTGCGCCAACGGTTACGGGAAGTACTGTTATTCTGCGTCCTAGTGTCATTGGCCGCACGATCGATATCTATCATGACTTCAACGAGAAACAGATTTTACGCGTGGGGAGCTACACAGGCTGGGCCAAGACTGGAAGTGGCATTTTGGGTCTGTTCAACGTAAGCTCCACAGAGGCATCATGCATGGTCTCTTTAATGGACTTCCCCGGCATACACGAGGGATCGGATGGTCAGTATATTGTACGCGCACACACCAGCGGCAAAGTTACAAGACGGATGGAACCACTCGATGGACAATCCCTTGTGTCCGTCAACTTGGAACAGAGAGGATGGGAGATTCTCACTGTCTACCCGACTCAATCATTCAATATTAAGGAGGGTGACTTGACTCATGTGGCTGTCCTTGGTCTCCTTGGTAAGATGACAGGTGCCGCCGCCGTGGCCAGCTCCGATATCTTCATGGTTGAGAACGGTCGATTGCGATTTGACATCCATTTGAAGGCCTTGGGGACACTAGGGATCTACTTCTCTGACTTACGTGATCGGGATATCGCCAAGGACTTTATGGTAATGATCCTTGGACAGCCTATTCCAAAGAAGACTGTTTGGAAGGAGGGCGGCGACGGTACCACCGTACTAGCTATCGACATCCACGCTGCATGGAAGGAGATGAAACTTGATAGCGGATGGAGTAACGAAGTCTTTGTACAAATTTTCGTGGCTTGATATGAGAAATTTGCATCGCTAACCTGCATTTGCACCGGACAATTGATAAGGGAATTTACCCTTCTCGTGCTTCCCTGAAGATTGGTAGCCCCACCGGAGTTCGTGCCGTCGCGGCATCTATGCCGTCCGAGCGAAGTACATAGACCACAGAAGTTTTGCTTGAAAAGAATTATACTACATTGCTCGCTCATCCACCAAATTTGATTGCCAGTCTTATTAATTGAAGGCCCAAACAATACATTGAAAATGTCGACCAAGTCAACCCCTTCCATCTCCCTTCATGGCAAAGCCTACCACCTCCCAAAGCAGCCTACGGTCGTGGTCTGTATCGACGGTTTTGACCCCGAGTATCTCCAAGCCGGGATCGATGATGGAATCCTACCAAACATGGCCGCCTTTCTCAAGAACGGATTCCATCAAACCGCACACTGTGCTATGCCCTCCTTGACAAACCCGAACAACCTCTCTATCATCACCGGTGCCCCCACCAGCGTCCACGGAGTCTCTGGGAATTACTACCTGGACAAAGAGACCGGCAAAGAACATATGATCGTGGATGATTCCATGATGCGAGGCACGACAATCCTGGCAAAACTGGCGGATGCCGGTGTTCGCGTGGCTGCAATTACAGCCAAGGATAAGCTGAGACGTATCATTCAACACGGGTTATCTCCCGAGAAAGGCTCTATTTGCTTCTCTGCTCAATGTGCCAATGAGTGCACCGAGGGTGAGCATGGAATTCAAGATGTTGAACGGTGGCTTGGACAGGCTGCGCCGGCGCAATACTCGGGGCAATTGTCTCTATTTGTACTCGATGCGGGATTGAAGCTGTTGCGTGAGGAGCGGGCGGATCTGTTCTACCTCACGCTCTCTGATTATATTCAGCATAAACATGCCCCTGGGTCTCGTGAGGCGAACGAGTTCATGAAGGCTATTGATACCCGACTGGGCGATTTTGTCAAATCAGGAGCCGTGGTGGCTGTGACTGGGGACCATGGGATGAGTGACAAGTCTGACGAGAAGGGGAGCCCCAATGTGGTGTTTCTTGAAGATATCTTGCATTCAAAGTGGCCAGGTTGTGGTGCCAGAGTCATCTGTCCTATTTCGGACCCCTTCGTCAAGCATCATGGGGCACTTGGTGGCTTTGTTCGTGTACACTTGACCGAGAAATCTGCTCTCGCGGAGATGATCACGGATTGTCGAAGGATTCCTGGGGTTGAAGTCGCTCTCACGGGCGAGGAAGCTGCTTCGATGTATGAGATGCCGCTTGATCGTGAAGGTGATATGGTCGTGATTTCCACGAAAGATTTTGTCGTTGGAGGTAGACGTGAGGAACACGATCTATCCCAGCTTGGTGGCCACAGACTGCGGTCCCATGGAGGTCTATCGGAGCAACAGATCCCATTGCTGAGGTCAACATCTGTTGAGCCAAAGGATGTGTCCTCGACAAAGACGTGGAGAAATTTCGATATTTTTGATCTTGTTCTGAATTATTAGGTAGTTTCATTATTTGTGAGAGGTTAAATACAAACAGTTTGCCTGGGCGCTTTTTATTCGCGTTCAGACAAGGGGAATGTTCCCGTAGTCCCAGCAGTAGAAAGCTCAGTAGAATCTACATTGAATATGTCAAGTCCATCAAGGGCAAAGTCAAATTCAAACAGTCCATTGAAATCAGGGAGTGAATGCTGATTATGATCAAACTGATGTGCTCCCGCCGAGTGCATGGCAGTATCTAGGCCTTTCGCAATGCCCAACAAAGGATGACTTGACTGGGTCTCTCCCGGGGGTGGATGAAGGACTTGGACCAGTCGATGCAGATGTGTGATGATATCCTCGCCTTCTTTGTTGCAAATGATGTCACGCTTCTGACTCGATGCTTTCACAAGACAGACGGAAGCAAATGCAGTCACTGCTCCAATATAGTAAGGTAGTTGTTGAAGACATTCACGTGTCTCACAAGAGACAAAGCAGACAATAGACAGGGCATGCTCCAGTGCACGCAGAGCATAATGTTCCACATCTCTGAGCGCTTCGGTTGAAAGCTCCGATTGACCGCGAAACACATGTGAGAAGAGATAAAACTTTGCAGAATGGAAATAGAAGTCGAACATGCGACCTGCAAAGTGATCTCTTGTGTCAAAATCCATAGTCCCCAGCCAATACCCGCGGCATTGTTTATACGAATCTTCTAGACATGATATCTGTGCTAATTTATGGCTATCAACGCAGTTGTCGGTGTCTGCACCGAAAGTGTCAAAGACTTGGCTGTTGATAGACCAGAGCTCAACCTGACTAATCAGTATCATATCGGATGGTGACGAAAATCGGCTCTCCAGGAATGCTCTCGGGCTTTTTAGTGAATGAAAGTCTCGAGTGAGAGGCGGTTTCCCATGGGTCAAAAAGCAGTGATGGTCGGAAAGATACACGAGAAAATAGAGCCGAGTGCGGTCGTAGCATGCTCGCTTTGTATGTGGCATTTTGGTGATACATCGGTGCAAGTCCAACTCGGTGGCGATTCGGACGGCTTGGGAAGGTTAGACAAGGACTATTAATTAAAGGGAGAAAAATATCAACTCACCCAATCCATTCAGCGCCTTTGAAACTTCAGGTAGCCATAGTGTCCCAACACACAGAGCACGCACGTCATCAAACGTGTATGAGCTTGTAAAGAGCTTTCCAGACACCTCGTTCTGAAAGTGAATCAAGAGAGATCGATAATGTTGTGACCCGGATGAGAACGCAGAGACAGTACATATTGCAGCCAATAGTAGAGAAGATCTTCGACGTATAGTAGCCAAAGAATCTCCATCAACAAGAATATGGTAAGCGTAAGAGTCCAATTCCTGTTGATAGAATGTGAAGAGGCTTTCGGCAACGTCTATCGTGACCACTCCACTGGAGACAAAATCGGAGCCTTGCCTTGAACTGATGTCATGTAAAGTAGAGCTTGTTATTGAAGAGACCGGAAAAGCTCCTAGGCTACATGATAAATCCAGTGTAGCTGTTTGGGGGATTTCTGCGATGGTCGACATGGAGTCGTGTCTAGATGGTTGAGATTGTGCGCTTGAGTTTCCAATAGACTCTTCCAGCCTAGCTAGGCGTTCTTCCATTGCCTCTTTCCAGCTAATACAATTTATCAGGATAGGCTCGCAGGCATTGCTGGGAATTTGGGTACAGAATCATAACTTACGAGGCATCTCCCTCCAAAAGAGTCTGCAAGCTCTTGTTGACACTGCATACGAGTCCGCGCGTCCTACATCGATTGCAAGGCGGTCTATTGCTATTCATATGGCATTTTATCTGGTCACTAAATTAGAAAATATGCACTTTGAATCATTCTAGTGCGCTCACCTTAAGCTTCCGGCAAGCGACGCAGGCCGTGATTTTTCGTGATATCTCCGGGATCTTCCTGTCGCCAAATGACTCGCGCAATGCCATCGCTGCGGCTCCAGAAGCCATGTTAAGGAACAGTTCTTAGAACGGAAGTTTCTATATGTGAAGAATTATGAGAAAGCGATAGTTCGGAGAGAAGGCAGAGCCACTGTAGTGGACCCACCACGGTGTTCTTGCCGTCCCGCCGAGTGGCTCGGACTTGATACCACGCTTTCAAGGATTGACGTCTTAGTGGCCACGAGTGATAGTACTAAGATGAACTAAAAAACAATATCAACCACGCGCAGGAAGAGAAAAAATAGGCACTTAACAGAACGATGCAAGTATATCAGTGTCAAGATGCATAACTCCCCAGAGCCATTTGCCACGATGAAGACACATCTATGGCGTTTCATATTCAGTGGTCCAAAAAATCTACGACTGCTTTACTTTTTCTATAAGTTTAAGTACTAGAAAGAATTCTAATCTAGACGTTGACTTGATCAAGAACTTGCATTTTGATCCATGTAAGTAGGCAGAGCTAGAACGTCGCAAAAACAATGTTCCGGGGATCTTATCGCGCGACAAAATGTCGGCGTCCATCGCGGACAACTTCAGTTGCAACTCAACCCATTGTAGGCCTCGCTGCCCTTATTTTCTTTTAATAACCGGTCTGATGCGGCCACAATCGGCACCGCTCATCCGAGTGACCTGTCGTAACCCGCGTCTTCCTCGACGGGCACCATGCGGAGCGCGCAGCTTTACCGGAGTCACGCAAACAAGTCAGCTGCTCTGCGAAACTCGTCGCCCAGTTCTCTTCACTCAGCGATCTGAGCAAATATTGCAACAGAAGAGATGCATCACACAGGCATATATTCAGCGGATGAAAGATGGAAAGAAAGAATGGGCTGAGCACGCCGAAGAAATTAAGGCTGGCAAGCGGAAGAACTTTGCAACTCACCTCGAAGAGCGAGGGCTCATCCATGATGTTGTCGGGTATGTTTATCACCACTCTTCACAACTGGCTTTGTCATATGTGCTGACTTCTCACTTTGCTGCAGAGAGCGAGAATTGTTGCACCGAGTCTTCACTGAGAAGCGAACCGGAATCTACGTCGGAATCGACCCTACCGCGCCCTCGATGCACGTTGGACACATGCTACCTTTTATGGTGTTGGCCTGGGGATACGTTTGGGGTCTTCCAGTGACCTTTCTGGTTAGTTAATATGTTCTCGGATTTCTCAGATGCATGGGGCTAATGAAAAATAGCTGGGCGGTGCTACATCTCGAGTCGGAGACCCCACGGGACGATTAAAGGGACGCGATGCTGTGCATTCGTCAGTTCGCAAGGCAAACATGGCCAGCATGCATATGCAACTTAAGAAGCTGGGCTCGAGTATCGACCAGTACGGCCGGAGACATGGCCATGTGAGAAAGCCGATTTGGAAGCGCGCATTGCTCAATAACAACACCTGGTGGAACTCTATGCCGTTCATTGAAGTTTTGCGGGACCTGGGCGCGTTCATGAGGCTTGGACCTATGCTCGGCAGAGATACGTAAGTTTTATTCAATTTGGGTGATCGGCAACTCTAACAAATTGCATTAGTGTTAAAACTCGATTGAACCAAGGAGACGGTATGTCGTTTGCGGAGTTCTCTTACCCTCTTCTCCAGGCGTGGGATTGGTGGACATTGTTCCAAAAGGGAACTCAAGTGCAAGTGGGAGGAGCCGATCAGTATGGAAACATACTCTTCGGCATGGATGCTGTCAAGGCTATCAGCCGGAACACCGCCATTGAAATTAACCGAGACCCTCTTGAGGCCGAAGTGGACAGGCCCATTGGCTTTACCACACCCTTGTTGACAGCGCCTTCCGGCGAGAAGTTCGGAAAATCGGCTGGCAATGCCATCTGGCTCGACAAGGACATGACCTCTACCTTTGAGCTTTACCAGGTAGGTCCGGGCCTCCTATTAATGTGTGGATTTTGACACTAATCGTCAACCTAGTTCTTTGTTCGTACACCTGATGATACGGTGGAGCGGTACCTGAAGCTGTTCACTTTCCTTCCTCTGCCTGAAATTGCCTCCGTCATGGAACAACAGAAAGAGGACCCGTCGAAGCGAGTGGCCCAGCATCTCCTGGCTTATGAATTTGTCGAGCTGATTCACGGCAAAGAGGAGGCTGATGCCGTGTCCCTCCAACACCGCCAGCTGTTCCGCTCGCGCTCTTCCACCGGCGAACCTTCGCCCATGCCTCGCAAGCCCAGCACTGCCGGAAACCCTCAATCCCCAACGGCTCAATTCGAGACTCCCCAATCCGGCAACCCTTACGCCTCTCAGACTCACTTTGCGAACATGCCCAATGCAAGGGTCACCCTGCCCAAGTCTCTGGTTTTTAACCAGCAATTCAACAAGATCCTCTGGTCAGCCGGTCTTGTCTCGTCCAAGGGCGAGGGCCACCGTGTGATCACGAACAATGGAGCGTACGTGGGCAGCCGTCCTGGTGACAGTGGTCCCATGTCAGACGATCTCGCTTTCACTCCCATCCGGGTTTGGCCCTCTGAAAAGACTCAGGATTACATTATGAATGACAATCTTCTCATGTTGAAGTTGGGCAAGTGGAAGTTCAAGATGGTGGAGATTGTGAGCGATGAGGATTTCCGCGCGCAAGGACTCACTGCTCCGGGCTGGGAAGAGGTCAACAGCGAGGCTAAGCCCACTGAGTCAACGGAGTCGACTGACTCGACCAAGTCGAACAATTGAGTTGACTATGTAGAGAAAAGGTCTCCACTTTGTATTTCTATCTAGAGTCGATGTAGCATAAATCAAATGTACAGTATTACCCCTGAGACTTATGTATAATATTTGTGCCGTCATCACCAATCAGATGTACACCTTATTCTATCTTCTAAGTATACTCGGTCTACAGATTCTGGAAAGAATCAAAACTCACGGGATCAAGAAGTATACAGGGACCCACATCACTTTACGCGTCGACGCGATCCGCGATCCGCGACTTCGCTTATCTCCTATCGACCTGTCAACCCATTCATCCAACCCCTTCCTGTTCCCCTAATTCTCATCCCTTATACCATGTTTGGTGTGTCTGTGATATTGAGCATCTAGTTCCGTTTAAATCCTCTACAAGTCGCCGACAATGGCCAAGGCCCCTGTCGAATCGCCCTCCGCGACGCCTCCCTCCGCGCTGAAGAAAACGACCTCGAGCGCCCAGAACATGAAAAGCCAAAAGTCCATCCTCGGATTCTTCCAGAAATCGTCGCCAGCAACCCCATCGAGCAACAAGGCGCGCGAGCCTGCGTCATCCCCAGCCCAAAAAGCATCCGAGCGTGGTGCCAGTACGGTCAAGCCAACGCCCAAGAGGAGCTTCTCGAGCTTCGCGCAGGACCTGAGCCCCGTGCCCAGCAGTGATTTGCCAATTCCTGAGGAGGATGAAGAAGAATATGGTGACACCGTAAAGGTTGGCTTATCGCTTTGCCTCCCTCACGCATTCATCGCTAATTTTCGTTTTCTTTCCAGAACGGGCGCGACCAAGCCCAGGATAACACAATGTCTCCTTCGCATCGGGTGAGTTCATAACACGGGATATCACATCCATGGACCATAACACTGACACACTCTCCCCTACAGGGCAAGAAGAAGGTCAGCTACAAGGAGCCTGATTCGGAGGGTGAAGACGATGACGATGTTATCTTCCGTCCAAACCGTAATAACAGTGTCCGCGGCCGGGCAAACAAGAGGAGGAAGACATCGCCAGACGAGAGCGAGGATGAATTCCAAGCGCCACCAGATGAGGGTGGTGATACTGATGATGGTACGTATCATGGTCACGGAGACGTGGGTGGTGCTAATTGCGCACAGAAATGGACGACTTCATAGTCGCCGATGAATCAGACGAAGAAGTGACCGCCCCGAAGAAACGAAAGAAGTCAGTCCCTCAGACCTCGCGCAAGCCGTCGGCCAAATCCTCCTCGCCCCCTCCTCCGCCAGCTGCCGATGAAGACCTTGATGCCGATCTCCCAGAAAGCTCAGGTGGCACTGCACTCAAGTGGGCGTTTGATCCCGAAAACACTGAGCCCAGGAAAGAACGTGCAGTGCAGAAGACTTCGAAGACACCGTCCAGCACCAAGAAAGAAAAGGCACACATTAGAGACCCCGAACAGCGGTACCCTTGGCTTGCCAATCCCAAGGACATGGATGGAAATCCTCCTGGCCACCCTGACTTTGACCCTCGCACAATCTATGTTCCTCCACTGGCCTGGTCTAAGTTCTCTCCTTTCGAAAAGCAATACTGGGAAATCAAGCAGAAGTTCTGGGATACCGTGGTGTTCTTCAAGAAGGGCAAATTCTACGAACTTTACGAGAACGATGCTACAATTGGTCACCAGTTGTTCGACTTGAAGCTTACTGACAGAGTCAACATGCGAATGGTCGGTGTTCCCGAGATGAGCTTGTCCCACTGGGCAAATCAGTTTGTGGCCAAGGGCTATAAGATTGCTCGTGTTGATCAATCTGAATCTGCCCTTGGCAAAGAGATGCGCGAGCGTGATGCTAAGAAGGGCAAAGAGGACAAAATTATCAAGCGAGAGTTGGCTTGCGTTCTTACTGCCGGTACTCTTGTTGAGGGATCCATGCTACAGGATGATATGGCCACTTACTGTGTTGCTATCAAAGAGGCCATTGTGGATGATCTTCCTGCATTTGGTCTCGCATTTGTCGATACCGCCACAGGCCAATTCCACATCTCCGAATTCGTTGATGATGTGGACATGACCAAGTTTGAGACTTTCATTGCGCAAACTCGCCCCCAGGAAATTCTCCTTGAAAAGTCCTGTGTCTCGACCAAGGCGCTGCGCATTCTGAAGAATAACACGGGGCCCACTACTCTGTGGAACTATCTAAAGCCGGTTAAGGAGTTCTGGGAAGGAGATGTTACTGTGAAGGAACTTGATGCCAGCGACTACTTTGTCTCTGATGACGACGAGAATGTTAAGGCTTGGCCCCAGACCCTTCGTGATGCACGTGAGAAGGAATTGCTCATGTCGGCTTTTGGTGCTCTCACACAGTACTTGCGAGTATTGAAGATCGACCGAGACCTTATCACCATCGGAAACTTTGAATGGTATGATCCGATCAAGAAGGCCTCCAGTCTGGTGTTGGATGGTCAGACCTTGATTAACATGGAGATCTTCGCAAACTCCTTTGATGGCGGTGTCGATGGCACCCTATTCCAGCTTCTCAACCGCTGCATTACGCCCTTCGGCAAGCGCATGTTCAAGCAGTGGGTTTGCCATCCCCTGATGGACGCAAAGCGCATCAACGCCCGCCTCGATGCTGTGGATTCTCTGAATGCCGACCCGAGTGTTCGAGACCAGTTCTCCTCTCAGTTGACTAAGATGCCCGACCTGGAGCGGCTTATCTCCCGTGTTCACGCTGGCGTCTGCAAGGCGCAAGACTTTGTTCGTGTTCTCGAAGGATTTGAGCAAATTGACTACACTATGGGTATCCTCAAGGATAGTGGCTCTGGCGATGGTATCATTGGACAGCTTATTTCGGCTATGCCTGATATGACCGAGCTACTGGGTTACTGGAAGACGGCCTTTGATCGCTCCAAGGCGAAGGAGAACGGAGTACTTGTTCCCGAGCCTGGCGTCGAGGAAGACTTCGATTCCTCGCAGGAGTTTATCGACCAGCTCCATAAGGATCTCGACAACGTTTTGAAGAAGGCACGCCGTGATCTTGGATCTACTGCCATTTGCTACCGAGACAATGGAAAGGAGATCTACCAACTCGAAGTGCCTATCAAGGTCAAGAATATTCCAAAGGATTGGAACCAGATGTCCGCTACTAAGCAAGTCAAGCGGTACTACTTCCCCGAGCTGCGGAGTCTCATCCGCAAGTTGCAGGAGGCCCAGGAAACACACAGCCAGATTGTCAAGGAGGTTGCTGGTAGATTCCATGCCCGATTTGATGAGCATTACGGCACCTGGCTTGCAGCTGTTCGCGTCATCTCGCAACTGGACTGTTTAATTAGCTTAGCCAAGGCCTCCTCCTCTCTTGGCCAGCCCAGCTGCCGTCCCGTCTTTGTGGATGAAGAAAGAAGCGTCCTTGAATTCGAAGAATTGCGTCATCCCTGCCTCGCCTCCTCCGTGGACGACTTCATCCCTAATAACATCGACCTTGGCGGCAAAGAAGCCAACATTAACTTGTTGACTGGTGCCAACGCCGCCGGAAAGTCAACCGTTCTCCGAATGGTATATACAACCCCCCAACATCCCTCTTCCTTCCTATAGCTAATGACAACAGACCTGCGTCGCCGTCATCATGGCCCAAATCGGCTGCTACGTCCCTTGCACCTCCGCCCGCCTAACCCCAGTCGACCGCATCATGTCCCGCCTCGGCGCAAACGACAACATTTTCGCCGCCCAATCCACATTCTTCGTTGAACTTTCCGAAACCAAGAAAATCCTCTCCGAAGCCACCCCCCGCTCCCTAGTAATCCTTGACGAACTAGGCCGTGGAACAAGCTCTTACGACGGTGTTGCCGTCGCGCAAGCCGTACTACACCACATCGCAACTCACATCGGCGCCCTGGGCTTCTTCGCAACACACTACCACTCCCTTGCAGCTGAATTCGAGAACCACCCTGAAATCTCACCTAAACGTATGGCTATCCACGTTGATGACGCCGAACGCCGCGTGACATTCCTTTACAAACTTGAGAAGGGTGTCGCGGAGGGCAGTTTCGGTATGCATTGTGCTTCTATGTGTGGGATTCCAAGCAAGGTTATCGAATGTGCCGAGCATGCTGCCAAGGAGTGGGAGCATACTAGCAGGCTCAAGGAGAGTCTGGAGCGTCGGAAAGGTGGTGGGTACGTTGGATTGGGATGGTGGAGTGATGTTGCCTGGGCTCTGCGCGAGTCGTCTAGTGATGGGACTGATGGCAGTGAGATTACTGATCGTGGTCTGGATGTTTTGTGTAAGGCTATTGAGGCGCTTTAAGGGATTAAGATATTCGTTTCATCGGCGCTCGTTTCATGTTTTCTATATTTCGGAAATGGTGTTTGGTATGGTCGTTTAGTACTGGAAGAGAATGCTTCAATCTATCTACAAGACAATTCAAGGTATTTTTTCAATCTTTTATGGACTATGGTGCAAATGAAGCACACAAAAAGGGCCAAGGCAAACGCTTAATCCGCGTCCTCAGCCCCCTCCACAGCAGTGTTTATGCCTCGCCGGGCTCAGCGTTGTCGGCGTCATACTGTGTGTCGGGCAGGTCCTCATCAGCAGCAGTCTCATTGGCAGCCATACGCTTCTTGTATCGGCGCGGCGCGGCGGACTTCTTGGCCAGGATGGGGGCATCGGGGGCGGCACCAATAGTACTATTAGCGCTAGCAGCAGAAATGGTAGCGGCGTGGAACGCAGCAAGCTTCTTCCTAGCCTTTGGGTACATGGTGCGAGCGCTGGCCTTCGTAATGCCGGCCAAGGTAGCGAGCTCCTCATAGTCGACCTGTACCAAATTGTTAGCTGACATTCGCGGAGTATTTATCGTAGGAGACTTACGTGACCGGTGGACTCGCAGAGAGTGGCGAGAAGCATGAGACGATTCTGGGATTCGCTAAGTCCCATGAAGCCTGTAGCAGCCGGGCTGGCCTTTTGGGTAACCATCTCACGGGGATCGGGGCGGGTCTTGGATACGATATCAGTGTTCACGTTTTGACGTAGAATGATGCAAGATCGCGTGGAGGTAAGACAAGATGAAGGAATAGAAACAGGGTCGGTAACTTGGATGAACTTGGAGACAATGAAGGAGACTTACAGGAAATCGCAGTTATTCGGGTGCTCGGAAATTGAAGAAGCGTGAGTTGTGATCGGCACTAGTCCGTGGCAAAATCCGCAGATGTTCAGTGTAGACGCAGAAGAAGCAGTATGATCCGTAGGCTTGTGTATGAGGGAATTCAAGTCGCCTAATGTGAGCTGAATGGAAGGGATTGCGAAGGGAAGAGCGAGCAACAAGGGATCGTGAGCTCCGTAGCGTGCAGTCAACCGTCTGCGATTTATTGATCGCAGTTTGGAGAGAAGGAAAAGAAATCCGTAAGCGCGTGCTACACCGTACGCAAGTTATCAAATGCAGAGAGAGGTTGATCAATATGGATAGAGATATATCGTAGGGTAGGGGGTTATCAGGCTTGTAGGCGCGTCATCAAAGGAATAGACATCTCTTAACGGGCATTAACTGAAAGCGAAATGAAATAGACGTAAGAGCAAAGAATTCCAAAACTGAAGGGAAATTAGAGTAATAGTAATAGGGTATTAGGGGCGTAGTAGATAGTGAAATGGGGATGGCTCGATGGCTGTCTGGCAATGCAGACTGGGTAACACCATCCAAGAGAGCACACTCAACCACTCCCAGCCTGTGGTAGAGGTCATGCTAGGTGAGGCCGTACGGACTTTACTTAATGCTGCATTATAAATGAAAGACTGTAGTGACAACCGAAATGAATTAGGTAGATGTCTCTTCTATATCTTCATATAGAAACTATTATGTCGGAATGACTTTGTATACAACCAATCAACGATGTCAAAAGCTCTGTTTTTGTATTACCCTGATTCTGGCAATTTATAACGTGGTCGGTAAACGAGTGGGCCACCTCAAAATACCATAGTAAATACGATAATTTAAGAGCACAACATCTCAATAATCACTAGTTTATTCTACTTTGTCTTCCGTGTCCTACTAATTTAGAGCATAAGAGGTCTATTTTAAGAGTCTAGGTCAATTTGATTCTGATTTAACAATATTTACCGAAAAGACACTATAATTTAATCTCTTTAGCTTCTAGAATTTATCTTCTAAGCATTACAACCTAAAACTTTCGAGACTTTCAAAAATGTTAGACTCGGTATGGAGAACATAGATTTATAAGAAGACTTTACGAGAAGCTACGTTTGCTGAGATATAAAGTTGTAATTTATAGTGTCCCAACTTCAGTTTGCGATGGTACTACTTCCTCATAAATTCGGGGCGCCCTCCGTTGGAGAAGAAAAACAAGACTATGGCTGCCGTAATTGCGGGAATATATCTAAATCCCAGGGTTTGCAGCTGAGCGCATGCTAGATTTTTGAATATTTCAAATGGCTCTTGAATTATTTTCGTTATAGGTTGAATGAACTATTCTCAGCGTGTGAAATCCTGGGAGTAGAGAGTGGCAGAGGCTCTGATGACCCAAATAAAGCCTCGATTATACGTTTTTGCTGTTGTTGATGAAGTAATTGCGCCTGAACAATTGCTGTGGACACCTGATATCCATCCATATTTGCAAAAGCGCGGTGGAAATCATCTTTGATATCCTCGATATGCTCGATACCGCTGGACAGACGCATGTGGTCTTCTGTGACCCCTGCTTCAAATCTCTCTGCATCAGTGAGCTGCTGGTGGGTGGTGGTCCAGGGATATACAATCAGTGTTTTTGAGTCTCCAAGGCTACAAACAAAGAGCATATCTATTAGTGCATTTTCCTTCAGCTGAGATCGAAAGAAAAACGAACTTGGTAGTATTAATGATCATTTGAAACCCATCACACAGTTTGAATCCAGCTTCCTTGCCGCCTTTGATGCCAAATTACAAAAGTGCTCCATATCCCCCTTTGAGATATCTATTAGCATTCAGGTGGCAAGGATGATCTTTGTCGCCTAGGTATCGGACCCAAGCGACCTGTGGCTGTTCAGTGAGCCATGCCGCCAGCGCTTTAGTGTTGCTCGCGTGGCGGTCGCATCAGACTGCTAGAGACTCGAGCCCAACAAGAAGCTGTTGAGCCGCTTAAGGGCTCAAGGTACTTCCAGTGTCTCGCAGGACCTCATACTGGCAACGCATGGCGAAAGCGTGGGAGCCAAACATTTTCACAAACTAACCTCGCCGCTGCCCTCTTGACCGCCGTCTCTATGAAATTGGGGGAATTTATTGGCGTGAGTACCCCAATCAAATGTCCCACCATCGACAATTACTCCGCCCAGGGTTGTTCCATGGCCTCCGATCCATTTTGTGGCGGAATGAAGGACAATATCGACCCCGTGGTCGATAGGTCGACAGAAATAACCGGCACAGCCAAAAGTGTTGTCACACTAAGAATTCCATTAGCTTTTGACAAGTATCAAGAAGAGGCCTTGAGAAAAGGGACTGACAATCAAAGGGATGCCATGGGTATGGGCAATCTCCGCCAGGGCTTCGAAATGGGGAACGGTATACTTTGGATTGCTAATGCTTTCCACGAAAATGAATTTTGTCTTCTCATCAATCAAGGCTCGAAAGTCTTCGGGGTCATTGGAGGGGACAAAACGACATCCGATCCCCAATTGCGGAGCGAGGACTTTGAACTGATGGTATGTGCCCCCATGGACCGTCGATACTGCAACAATGTTATCTCCCACACCAGCCAGTGCCATTAAGGTCATCGAAACGGCGGCCGTCCCCGATACGACCGCACACGCGGCCACGCCTCCCTCGAGAGCCGCCATAAGGTTCTGGAACACGCTCACCGTTGGCTAGGAGTTGGGCTTTCCATGCTCGGAATTGTTGAAAGCAAATGCGGCAGTGTTATATATGGGAACCGCACAGCTATTCTTCATATAGAATAGATAGTAGCTCATAACAAGAAAAGTTAATAAAAAGCCATAGTTTTTGGAATATAAAGATGTAAAATATGGCCTTAACTATAGTGTTTCGCGGGTGGCCACTCGCTTACATAGACCACTCGCTTACCGACCACATTACAATAAATAGTTAGTTAGTGTAGTGGTGGAACGCATGACATAATGAATACAGTTGCGGCCTGAGGTGTCACGAATACCTTAGGCGTAAGCCATAGCTTCTACATGAGGAGAGAGATGAGAACAGGATCATCTACCCAATTCATTCCGGTTGTCACTATATTATTTGATTCATGATGCCGTATTAAGTACGTGTCATATGGCCTCAGTCGGAAAACCGTACGGCCTCATTAAGGATTGCTGCGTTCAGGATTGCCCGTACAGTCTCACGGCCTCATCAAGGACACTTGCGACCTCCCTCAGGGCGACCTCTACTACGTGCGGGTTGTGTGTGTGTTGTCCGTTGGTTGCTGTTGTCCAGTCTGCATTGTCAGACAGCCATCGAGCCATTCCCATTTCATTATGTAGTTAGTTAGTTAGGGCATACGTAATGCAAACTGAACAAACACATAAGGAATAACAATTCTCCACCTCTGCGGGGGATATTCATGGCGACAAAGCCTTCAGCGTGCCCTGCAAAGAGGCCAGTTTCTAATATCGAGTAACTCTAATACCGTAACTCTGATATCTAATACCAAAGAATACGATGGGTTTTTATTCCATTACTAGTCTACGTGTAATAAATTTACACGCTAATTCCTTGGCAGCGGGGCCCGAGAAATGAAAAGCTATCATCAGGGTAGAAGCTGCTTTCGCTATCGACTGTAGCAAAGAGTGATGAAATTTATCGTTTTCTCCACTATTATGAGACAAATGTGCAACTACTCACAAAGTATGGTTGCAGAAAATAAAAATTATTTCAACAACTCCAGGAGACGCCCATGAGCCACCATATATTCGGTCACCATAAGGTCAACTCCATAAACGTCAATTTCTATGAACTAGTCATGAGTCCTCATGACCACGTCAGTATGTCGGAAACAGCGTAAAGCACTATGTTGTCGGGGTCCATCAACCTCAACACACCACTCAAAGAAACTTTGAACCCCTTATTCTGGGGCCTCTCCCTACCCTACCTAGCATACCGTATTCTACACAAAAACTTTTTACAGATCCTTAGAGCACTCCTTACCCTCACATCAATTTTGCTCACCATCACTATCTGGACAGAACCTCTACGCAATATGACAAGAGAATTAGCACGGTGGAAACTAAATGATCCAAAGCCAGACTTTAACAACATTTCAAGGAGCTGAGGCGGTCAAACCCAGCGAGTAAAGAGTAGGTTTTGTTACAGTACAGCTCAGCGAACATGATCTTAATGATTCCGCGTCTCAACAATAGCCTTGTTTTCGCTATTTTGTCCTATCACTCTCCCAGGTCCCATCAAGCGGTGATCATGCATGGTCATACTAGAAGCCGTTGATACACAGTAGAAATCGGATGTCGATATGGCTCATGGGCCATGGATTAAAGAACATGGTTGAGAGAGCATTGAGCGTTAACATCCAGGTTAACTAGGCCAAGCTGTGAGAGCCCTTGTCAGTCCAGTTTTCATAAATCTCAAGCAACAGGGAATGTATCATACCTGTTGAACATCGTCTTGTGAGCAACAGTAAACGTCACCACCGGCACAATTCTCGCCGAGTGCCCCGGGTAAAACGTTGCCCAAAGTGATGAGACCACCCTTGCCTTGTCCTTGACACACAACGGTTTGGTGACTATCACAAACGTTCCCAGTCTCGATTTTCTTGCCGCCACCGTTATTCTCACACTCATCGCAAGGCTTGGAAGGAACGGCCAAAACGGCGGTAACAAAGGTGAGAAGAGCCAAAGAGACCTTCATTATGGCGGATAATTAGCACAAGGTAGGTCGAAGGCCGGAGGAAGCCTGAAGAGGAAGTCTGAAAAGGTCAAGTTTTGATTGAGATCGAGCTAGGACAATCATTCAATGGAAGCTTGAGCACAAGAACTTAAATAGTAGCTAGGAGAATATAGTAGCTAGGAGGTGGACAGTAAAGTGCAACCCTGGCGGAATTTTAGGTCTTGGGAGATGCCCGTTACGACATCAACAATGTGGGTCCTCGAAAGCCTCCTCCGTAAATGCAGAGCGGCATTTTGCACTTACTGGAGCGCTTTATAATCACATACCAACTCAATTTCATACGTAACGGACGCCATGTAAGGAGGCACAGGAGAATTAAGTTCTTAGGAATGCGCCCTGTTGCATGGTTTTCTTGTTGGCCTAATTAAGACAAAGGTACCTAGTCTTCGTTCACACGGTTCGCTAATCAAAGACCTTTACTCAAACGCTGTCTTATTTATTCTAAGACCATCCAACCGGCTTGTAAGCATAAATAAAGATAAATATTGTCCCAAAAATCTATTTCTGGTGGCGGACAGCCAGCCGAGCATCCGTGGCTTTGAAAAGCTCAGGTAAACCTGTACCATCGTACTCAATTCCCTTTGTAACCATCTTGGCAATTGCTTGGGTCAACGTAAAGATTTGTATCATTCCACCACCATTGAAGCCTGCTAAAATCCACTGGTTCTTAGACCCAGGGATCCTTCCCACATGAGGCAGTACATCTGGCGTAGATGCCATGACTTTTGCGATCACATCAGTATCCTAGCCTACACAGGTATTGAGATCGAGACCACTTACTGCCTGTCCAGACCATGTCATGTTGCGCTGCGGCATTCTCCCAACCATAGAAATGATCGGCCATAACCGAATCGAAATGCGTCGTAGTCTCATTGTTGATTAATGTCGAATCATCAACACTATTCCACCATATTTTAAGATCATGCTCGTATGTCCATTTTGCGCCCCCAAGTATAATTGTTCCGTCAGGTCTTGGGATCAGATAGTCCGCGTAATGCGAGTCGAAATGAAGATTGTAAGTGTTGTCAAGAAGCATAGGCGGCGTGAAAGATGGAGAGGGAGAAAGATGCGAATTTTGCCCTTTAAAGGGGGTGATTATTGATTCGTATTGAGGAAGTAGGGCGGCGGTATAAGCGTTCGTTGCAAAAATAGTCTTTCTCGCTGTCAAAAGTCCCCGGGAAGTTGTAAGAGTGGTTTCACCATTATCTTTTTCTTTCACAGCTGTGACACAAGTCTCGGTATATAGCTGGCCACCCAGGTCTAAGACCTTTGAAAGCAATTCTGTGACAAGTTTATACGGCCATAGCGAGGCCGCGGGGACGCTTAGAGCGCCTTTGGTATTCTTGACACCAGTAATCTGAGGCATTTGGTTAGTAGCGGGTCAAATAAACGCTGAGTAAGGCATTAGAACTGTGAATACCTTGTCTGATTGTTCTTTGCCTATCCACTGGACCTCTTTTACCCAAGGCGTTCCTTTTGCTTGTTCACTGGAAATGAACGCATACATTTGCTGAGCATGCTTCTCATCAAAGAAGATATCAAAAGAGCGAGTGCTCAAGAATTCACAATCAATGTCCTCTTTGTCAACTACTTCTTTCAGAGCAGTTAGTTGATCTAGCTGATGACAAACTATTTGAGCCGCAGCTTCGATTCCATGGGTTTCGGCCAGTCGGTGAATGACGGGCGTCGCCAGCTTGGTGTGGCCGCCTTGTTCACAATTAGTACGGGGGTAAGAACAATTCTAGTCACAATCCCGGGCTCACCATTGCGCCCGGTCGCTCCAGAACAGGCTTGACGTGCTTCAAGGAGAACAACGCTTGGCTGTTCGAGTCCAGTGTCTGGCTTTGATAGTATGTGGTACGCTGTTGCGACTCCAGACATTCCGGTGCCGATGATGGCTATATCGCATTGTTTAGGGAGTGCATTGGAGCTGCAGAAAGATGCCAGAGAATGACGCTTCTTCATCCAGTAAGACATCAGTGATTTCTCAACTGGAAAGAGTGGCTTGTGATTGGAAGACATGCTAGTCATTGGATCCTTGTAGTGCTTAGTATATCTAAAAAAACAGTTGAATTTCTCGGGACTTGACCGGATCGAAAAGACTTGATGAGAGCGCAATGTAAAAATGGCCGACCACTAACTGGAGGCTTTGTTCTCTGGTCCGACACTAAGCACCGAACTAGACAGTGAGGGGTAGAAGGCTATGTCGGGCCGATACACCTGTCTCGGCTACGATACACTATCTCGCATAACATCCATGAGAATTTGGCGTGATACAACAACCCCATCGGTCGAGAAATGGCGTACAAGGCCGAATGACACACATAATCAATATACATCGATTGGAGAGTATGACCGGGTATCTAGATCTATAGTACATATGATACAAGGTGGAGACTAAATGGGATCCGTCAAAGCCTACTTCCGAAGTCGCAGATGATATGTCTCCAGCGCCTCCTCAGTCATAGGACTTGGCGCACGAACCATAGCATCATCGCCACCCTTGCCAGTCTTCGGGAAAGCGATAACATCACGCACGGATTCCTTACCCAGCAGAACAGCAACGAGGCGATCGAAGCCCAATGCCAAGCCAGCATGCGGCGGACACCCAGCACGGAGAGCATCAAGGAGGTGCTCGAAGTCAACCAGGCGCTCGGGCTTCATCTGGAGGATATCACGGAGAATGAACTCCTGCACAGCGGCATCATGAATACGGCGACTACCGCCGCCAAGCTCGACGCCGTTTACGACGAGATCGTAATGGTCTGCAACAACCTTTGTAGGGTCTGCTAGGAGCATGTCCACGTCGGCAGCAGTCTTGGGAGCTGTGAAGGGATGGTGTGTAGATGAGAAGCCAGCAGCACCGCCTTGGCCTGGTTCGGAGTCGGAGGAGGGAGAGAAGAGCGGAAAGTCAACAACCCACATGAAGTCGAAGCCTGTCGGGGAGGGCGAGAATCCAGCTGAAACTGCATGGCCGTGAAGGGCACGGCGGAGGTCACCAACTGGTGTTGCGCCGCCGGCGAAGGGGGCGCGAGGGCGGGCTTGGATGATGATCAAGTCGCCGTGATCGGGCTCGAGAAGTTCTTCGATCTGTTCGGCGGCTTCGAAGCCGAAGGGCTGGAGACCGCAGAGTGGTTGCTTGCCATTGTAGACAAAGACACCTGGCCCTCCATCTGGGTTGTTATTAAAGGGAGCGCCCGCCGGAGAGTCCAAGAATTGGCCAATAAATTTGAGTGTTGCGGCAGGGTCATTGTCTTGGCTCTCAAGCTTGAAAGCCTCGACGATAGGATTTTCCAGCGGCGAAATTTTCATAACAAGATCGGCGGGAAGCAGGTGGTCGAGACGCATAAGCTCCATGCCGTATCTGGTATCAGGCTTGTCGGAACCATACTTGGCCATAACTTCCTGGTATGACCTTCTACGGAATGGTCCTTCAGGAGCCGGATCCTGCATCAAATTTGCCCAAAGCCGTCGGACAACACCTTCAATAGTACGCATCACATCCTCGCCGGTGGCAAAGGACATTTCCAGATCCAACTGGGTAAATTCCGGCTGCCGATCCGCTCGAAGATCCTCATCACGGAAGCAACGAGCAAACTGGAAGTATCTCGGAATACCACTCGCCATCAGAATCTGCTTGTACTGCTGCGGGCTTTGGGGCAAGGCATAAGCAAGTCCCGCCCGGCGGGTCGGTACCAAGAATTCGCGCGCGCCTTCAGGCGTTGACTTGAACAATAGTGGCGTCTCAATCTCGACAAATGGGGGTTGGCAGTTCTCCAACTCCTTCTTGCATTCATTGCGAACCTCGGCTCGAAATTGCAAAGCATCGCGTAGTTCTGCATCCGAGCGTAGCTGGAGGTATCGATGCTCCGGCGCAAAGACGGTCTCAGGCGTCATGATTATATCCTTGGGGAAGTCATTCAATGGGTGAACGTCCTCCAGTGCAAGCTCCCATTTTTCTTCCGCGGGCTTGTCTCCTGCGTCAGTGTTCTTGCCTTTCTTCTTTTGAACCTTACCGCGCACGGCGACGGGACTATGAGCATTAAGAGACTTGAGCTTCTCGGTAGCGTCATTTTTGCCGAAGGCAACCACTTGTATGCTGTATTTCATCGTCGGGTCCGTCAGGCGGACAAAGGATAGCTTTTTGGAGAGGTCGGCCCGCTGGCCTATGTAGCCGTGCAGGACGACCTGCATGTTGGGCTCGGCCTGGCCGAGAAAGGTCTGGAAGTCATGGGTAGCCGGAGGGAATTCCACTGCGTGAAGAGCCATGTTAGTGAACGAGGCCCCGGAATTGAACCTTAAGATTTAAGCGCGATAAGCTAGAACCATACCAGCCTGTTTGTAAGCTTCCAAGAAGCTCGGAAGCTCAGCCGGAGCATGTTGCTCGCGGAGACAAGTCGAGCGATGGAAGCTCCGCGAGACAAGACTATGCCGCGACCATGGCGTTGATGACTGACGACGCAGATTATATGAAAGAGAATAGCTCGAGCGAAGCCTCAACGGCACCCGCACACCTGCAGCCAACATAATGGCATGTATAATCAAAGATCATCCGATGCCGCGATCTCATAAAACGTGGCAGAAAGCAGCTCCACCGCCCGCCAAAAGCAGCCTAGTGCGGGTGTTTAAGTAGCGCGCGGTCAACCGCATTTTTTCTGTTCTTTTTCATCCTTCCAAGTTTTTACTTGTGAGTACTCCAACTCTCCGAGAATGGGATTTCTGCCTTCAATATCAATTACTGACTATATCCCAGATGATGAAAGCCTAGCGTGTACCATATGATATCTATCTCTCCCCTCTGAGACGAGTGGCTCTCTTTCTTCGGGAAGCCCAAGGGCTGCTCGACTCGAGACGGAGGGAGGGTGATAACGGCGTTCGGCACACCAACCTTGTTTACAACACGGACGCTTTACGGCATCTCTGATCCTTTTTATGAGACTTGAAGGTGTTACCACTGGCTTAGCCGTGGTTTAATAATGTGATGAGGAGCTGGGTCTTGGATTGGTTGCGTGTCTTCGGCATTGTTGATCTACGACCTTCTTGATTTCATGGACCTCTTCTCTTCGCCATTCAGATTTGCCCATTGGCATTAGGCTAGTCAGGTAGTTTTCATATCAATGAAAATTTTCATACCATTCACGATCTGTGCAATCTATACAACCCGAGTAATCTTAAAATAACAAAATGGAAAAAAAGAAATTAGTTACGGTCACTTTTCACTCGCCGGAAATCATCTTCTCCAGCACGGCCTTCTCGCCGCTGTTATCGACCAGACTCTTGAACACACCATCCTTGATACGCATCAGATCCTTTGGTTCTCCGAACTCAACCGCTTTGCCGGCATCCATTACCAAGATGCGATCGAAATCAGCAATGGTGCTGAGACGGTGAGCAATAACGAGTAGCGTGGTGGCATTGCGGCCAAATTCGGCGCGAATAGACTTCTGGATCAGAGCGTCGGTCTCCATGTCTACAGCAGACGTCGCCTCATCCAGAACCATAATCTTCGGCCGGGCGACAATGGCACGGGCCAGGCAAAGCAGCTGTCGTTGACCCTGAGAGAGGTTGAGACCACCCTCCGAGATGGGAGCTGATAGTGACGAGAAAACGTTCGAATTGGCTTGCTGCATCGTGGCCGTGTCGGGCGTCTCTGTGCCGTTACCCTGTCGGGGTGTTGCGGTTTGTGAAGTGAGAGTTGCCTCGTCATCCTCCGTGGCAATCAAATGCACGCGTGCCAGCGCATCATTGAGCTCCCTATCATTGTACTCCTCGAACGGATCCAGATTTGTTCGCACAGTGCCCGAAAAGAGGACGGGATCTTGTGGAATAATCGCCAGCCGACTACGCAGGTCGTGCAACTTGATCTTGGACACATCTAGGCCGTCAATCAAGATCTGGCCTTCGCGTGCTTCTAGAAAACGGAAGAGCGCAAGGGTCAAAGAAGACTTGCCCGCGCCAGTTCTTCCTACCACGCCAACTCTCTGGTTCTGCTCCACGATGAAACTGAGGCCCTTCAGGACCGGGGGAAGATCGGGTGCGTAACCTACGACGAGGTCGCTGACTTCCAGCCGACCCTCGGTGGGCCAAGCAGCAGGTGCATCGGCGCCGCCTTGGTTCTCGAGCTCGATCTTGGAGTATTCAATGACACGTTCGGTGGCATTCATATTGAGTTCGATGTTCGCGTATTGGCGCAGCGCAAATGCAATAGCACTGTTACACTGCAGGGCAAAGCTGAGGGCGAATCCTGCAAGTGAGGCTGAGATGCCAGGTAAGAAGACGACAAGGGATGCTGTCAGTGTTGAAAAGATTGCACCGACAAGGTTCATACGAATTCCCAACCAGCGATTGAACAACCACATAGTCCACCAAGCCTGGGCATGGGCGTTGATCTTGCCGTATATGATATCGATAAATGCCTCGCTCTTGGTAAATGCTCGGATGGTAATCAAACCAGTCAAGCTAGAGCCGAACTGCTCAAAAATAGGGCTTTTGGCTGTACTCTCCAGGCGTTTGATTTCACGTGCTCCAGCTAGGTATTTCAAAGACAGTTTGAGACAGATGACAAGTAGTATTGTCGCAAAGATGATGACCACTGGTGAGACCAGAATGCCGGCCAACATGATGCCACAAACGTCAAGACATTGAGAAACGAGAAATCCAAGCTCATATCCGATACGCGAGTCGATCATGTGGAAGTCTGCCGTGAATCGATTTAGGATTCGGCCAAGGGGAACGGTATCCAGCCATCGCAGTGGAGCGCGGAGAACGGCGTATGTCAAGCGATTGAAGAGATTCCTGGAGGCGCGCACACTTGCCGAAAGGATGAAGTAAAATCGCGCAGTTCCAATGATGCAGGCAAGAACAGAGATCCCGATGTAGATACCAAGGTACATTTTGAGGTTTTCGTCTTGCGGCTCGGCGTGAGATTGCATCACTGTCTGTGTGAACAGGGCTTGAAGCTGCTCCGGGTGCGCTCGGGTGCTGGATGACGCGCTTGTCCAGATATTCACCCACCAGGCCTATTCGAAAATGTATTAGAGTATGAAAATAAGAAACATAGATGATGATAAACCTACTCGGCCAACCATCAGGGCTGAATAGGATAGATAGATCAGAACTGTCAGAATCCAGATAGGTACACCTCCTCCCATGGACAGATAGGACTTGTACACGGAGATCGAAATAGATCCCACTTCACGTTTCTCATCCTCGACAAACTTCTTGGGAGCTACAGGTTTAGGCGCTGTGTTGTCTTGGACTGTGCTCTGCCGTCGGGTTGCTGTGTTCGAAATGACCTTTTGAAGATTAGTCTCCTCGGTATTCAAAAGATCACTGGTATTTTCGGCGCTGTGATCCTCTTGTTCAGCGGCGTTGTCTTCTCGCAGAATATCCTCCAGGTGGTTCTCCTTTCGAAGTTCATCAATAGTGCCTGCGTATTTAACGTATCCGTTCTCTAACAAGACGGAGTAGTCCGTCTTGGGGAGGCAGAGAGCGACGTGATGCGTGACGAGCACTCGGGTTCGTCCCTGTCCAAGCTCACCAGTCAACGCATTTTCGTAGATATAACGGCCAGTGTGGGCATCCAGAGCACTGAAGATATCGTCCATGATGAGGACACCGGCACGAGAATACAATGCTCGAGCGAATGAAACTCGCCATCTCTGGCCACCACTCAGGTTTACACCATTCGCACCAATATCTGTCATTTCGCCATCCGGCATCATTTCCAGATCTTTTGTTAGTGCACATGCAGACAGAACCTTCTTATAGCGCGTCTCGTTATAAGGTAAACCGAAAAGAATGTTGTCTTTAATGGTCGCGTTTTCAATCCAGGGGATTTGCGCAACGTACGCGAAAGCAGAATCGATGATCCAGTTGGCGTCTGTCGCGAGGTGGTCGAAACGGTCCTTGATGGCTGGCGGGACGGGCACTTTGAGGGTGCCCTCCAGAACGTCACATTCACCGAGGATAGATGCGAGGAGCAGACTCTTTCCAGAGCCAGTCCGACCGGAAATGACGCTCAATTTCTTCTGGGGGATCTTGAGATTCATGTTGCGCAGAGCAAATCGATCTTCATCTCCTTCCTCCGTGCCTGGCTCGTGTTCTGCAGGCCATGCGACTGTCGCGTTATCGAATTCAATGTTATCGGATAGAACAGTGTTGACGATCTTCTCCGCAGATGCCATGTAGGCGTCGATTCGGTCCGCGCTGACCTTTGCCTCCAGGCCATTTGAGATGATCTCAGGTAGAATGGCAAGCGACATTTCCAGGGCACCGAAAACCGACATTGCTGTGAAGGCGACGGATGCTGACAAGCCGCCATGCATTAAAGCGTAGACTGTTAGTGACACTGCAGAAAGACCAAGTGGTCCGAGGATCCAGATTGCCATGAGTACAACATCGTAGAGGAACGAAATCCACAAAGCGGATAGCTCAGTATCTCGTGCCTTTCCGATTTTGTCTTGCCATTGCTGCTCCAAGGCGGAGAACTTGATTTGGCGGATGCCTTGGAGTACCTCTGTGACAATGGCCATCTTTGCATCTCTGAGCTTCATAAGTTTGTCTTGGGCACCTGTATATCTCTTTGCTGCGTATATATTCAGGGGAGTCACGAGAACAGAAACGGAAAGTCCAGCGAGAGCACTTTGCCATCCAAGAATTTGGACCAAAAAGGCAGAGCCAAGGATAACTTTCAAACTCGCGGATGGGATAAGATATGCGTAAGATGTAAAGTCGGAGATACGTCGCGCATCCACGGCAGCAAGGTTGATAATACTCTGTCGGCTCTTTTTGACAGATTCTTCGTCATCCTCCTCCTCGTCCGTCTGGTCCAACAAAGCTTTTGCGGAAGCTTTCGCGTCATCTTGCTTCTTCGTTTTTTTCGTGTGCTTGGCATCTTTGCGGCGCATAGACTTTGCGAAAACAACAGCAGAGAGCTCTGCGTAAATAGGTACACCCAGCTTGGAACATACAGCCCAGAACAGCCAGGCTTCAACGGTGGAATGTATCAGCATCAAGGCTCCTAGAGCAAGGACCCAAAACCATGCTTCCCATGGTTGCCAAGTCTCACTTCCGCGGGCTTCCAGAACTCTCAGGATGTTAAACAACGCCATCTGTGGACCGAAACTCAAGACGCCGATAATGGTTGTAAGTACAAGCTGGAGTAGGAGAGACCGCCAATGGGCAAAGATAAGGCCCTTCCAAAGTTTTCGTGAACCAAGGGCTTTCTCGAACGTTGCCCGAAGTTCATCAGCACGCCTCGCAGATCGAAGAACTGGAAGGTCTGTGAGTGCCAATTTGCGGTTCTGCACGGCATAGTTGAGAATGCTAATGGCCCAGAAGAAGGTGTATCGACCTAATGCCGAGACTGTGTATTCCTGATCAACCGGCCTTCCATTTAGGAAGACATGCGGCCGACGAGGCAGAAGAATACTGAATAATGCACGGAGAAGGGCGCTGGAGAATTGTGTGGCAACAAGACCAACCCAGACCTGATCATGGAGAAGGCGATTCTGGCCGGCCCAAGCCTGACGAATTTGTTCTCCTGTAATAGCAATAGCAATCATACTGCCACCGAATGAGTATTGGCCGAGGGTGAACCTTTTTGTTGGCCGTGGTTCAGTGAAAAATGCGACGGCTTGAATAGAAAGCAACACCTTTTCAATAAATTCAAGTTAATGATATTCTACTTAAATCCAGACATACGCCTCTACTTACCCAAATGCCGAACTGGAACCAGTTCAAGATGAGGTCTCCTGCGCTGTAGTTCAATGTCGCCAATACAGCCAGCGCGACAGTCACGGACAGGCCACTGGCAGAGAAAGCTGCCAGAGCAACTCGCTGCCACTTGTCCGAGAAAGCTCGAAGGGATTCCTCGGTAGCCTCGCCATCTTCATCTCTGTAAACGGTCTTTGCCAACTCCGGCTCGTTCACGGAGGGTGATTTGCGCGAGATCCGACCGACAATACTTTTGATTGCAGGAATACTGTCGCCGGCCGCCAGGAACAGGGCGACCGAGCCTGTAGCTAACGAGGCCAGCTGAACGACAGACATTGCTCATAGCATAAAGGATGAGAGAAGAGAAAAGAAAGAAGTGGATTGCAGCATAAGCCTCTTATCGCGATTTTAGTTCAGGAACTGCACTAGTCCCCAGCGGGTCTGGAAACCAAGGTGACATCCAAGCGGGGAATTCGCCTCGTTTTTTTCATCCTGTGAGTCAAGATGACTGTCTTAGCGTCGTCGTATTCTTCTCTTTTAGCTCGAACCCATGATGATAATGCTTACTCCCTCGAAGATTTATCTTAACCCGCGGTGGTCTAGCCACCCGGCGGTCCGTGAGTCGAAGATTGCAGTCGCGGGACGATCCAAAGAACGGTGAAGCCCACGAGCGCTGTCGTCATTGGCGGACCGGATGAGTCACGGTACCGAGTGCGTCTTGTCGACGGAGCGGGCTCCTAGATAGGTAATCGTACGAGTAGCCGCTAACATACCCGTGGCCACTTTGTGAGCTCGAGCTCTGAGCTGAGGCGTCGGGGTGGAGCGGCGTACGTCGGAGGTGGGTCTGCGAGGTACGGGACTCCTCCTCACTCCGAGCTTCATATCTGTCTTCAATCTGGGGGGTTGCTCCACTTTATATCCTGGTCGGGGTACAGTATCCTTGCCTGCATATACATTCTTAAGGCTCCCATGGAGTGTTTGGAGGGATTAGCTGTCCTAGAGTAGGCGCCCGTACCCCAAATATGCTTAATTCTAAAAAGTATACACATGGATATTCCGACGCGAACGCCGTCCCGGAGCCAACGTAATTTCCACATCAACCCAAGGCTTATCTCTAAGCCCCCTTCCTGTCGCTGAGAGTGGGTTTCGTGCAAAACAATCCCTACATGACCTGTGAATGTAAGGTTCCAAGGCCCAGCCCCACGGATAATCCAATGTTCTAGTATCCCAATGCCAGCTGGTCCCTGGTCAACAAGCAAAGGTACAGTAGCGCCCAAATTTGCCTTCCATGCTGGGATCACAATTAACCTAATAAGGTTAAAAAATACATCAAGGATATGTTCCGCAGTTGAAATGTAATATGCGGAACAAGTACCTGCGTAATTTACCATATCATTTACTGTACACCCACTCCGGAGTAAGTTAGTGCTGACGTCATAGTACTCCGTGGCTTCTTAAGGGCGGGTGTAATAAAATGATATATAGTAGAACGAGTTGAACGTGCTCTGCTCCCAACTAATTGACAATGGGGTCTCCAAATCTTCAGCTTATCATGCAAAGCCGGACAATGACCTTCACATATTTTCGTAGCATTTATGACTAAGTGAGCTATACTGCTGCTCCGGAGAGTCTATTTTACAAGACGCAGATCGTTTGGATATCTCAAGTCATTGAATATAGTTCGTCGCGTTAGCTTGCAGTCAATCTTAGATGGCATGACAATCCTCTATAACGCTAGGATTGTAAGATGTCGTGTACTGTATTATTACCCAGCTCACGTTATACACAGTATTTCCCCGGGAGAGGGATTCTAGGCATAAGTCTAGACTCATTGCTACCGAGCATGTAATTTCGTGTGTTCGTACAAAACAACGTATTTTACGGTATCAAGTGATTAGGGTTTGAAAAAGCATCTCAATGATCACGGCATGGAAGGCGATGTCAAGCGCCACTGTAACTACCCGTGCTTGACAGTGACATGCACTACAAATGGACAACTTCTTGGGGGAATTACTTTGAGGCATCTCAGAAAATCCGTGTCACCATTTGCATTAAACAGGACTCTACTCTGCATGAATGTCGCCAACGGAGACCTCTCTTAACAATCCCACGAGGCCCTAACAGCCACGATAATCGCTCTACAACCTCGCTAAGCACCTTCTGCGACTCGGTGGCTTTGTGTTCTTGTTCAAGGCTTCTGTATCGGGCTTTGCTATTCTTTTATATTAATTACACTCGGCTCTCGCCCGTTTTGCTACGTGAATATTATCCAAAATTTCATCTAAATACCGTCAAAAATCTCACCTAAATAAGCTCAGCTCGACTAAGATCTTTTCCATCCCATACATAGCACTTAGTCACCTACTCTGCTATCCTCTATAATAATACCTCTCTGACTCGCACACCTGATCAAACTCTATGGTAATCTATATCTACCAATATAATATAAATCCACCCAAGAATAAGATCGCCGTCGCGCCGGAGAGAGTGGAGCCGGACCGGGTTTATGCAACTAAACAGTCAAAGAAGAATCCTCGCCCGAGCCCATCTAATTAAGAACAGGTCTCCACAAATTCCTACGTTGAAAGCCCTGCACCTTCTCATCAGAGAGAACATCACTACCAAGACGCCCAGTCACGACACTGCGCTCGATATCAGGCCCACGCACGTAGAAGGGCTCAAAGCCGGAAGATCCCCTGTTGTCTTGTCTTCGGGCCCATTTCTTTTTCCCCGGTTTTTGTGTCTTCCAATGGAATTGAATCCTGAGGCCTCGCGGTCCATGCTGAGATACCAGCGACGCTGGTGTATGGAGCCGATGGTGTTGTGTGAGCCGGGGTAAGCGTTGTTCTTTTGTATAGTGGTGTCGACGTCATTGTCGGAGTGCGTGGTGTCGTGGGGCGTTGGAGATCCTCGAGGTGCGGTTTGACCAGGAGATAGATGGGAGTCCGAGTCCGAATTCGAGGTGGATGGTGCTCGATTTAACTGGGTCGCTTTCGGGTCGCGTCTGCGGCGTTTTGGGCCTTTACGTATCGGCCGCGCGTAATCCGTCTTCTTGTCTAGTCGAAGGATGATGGTATATCCCTCTGGTAGTCGTGCACCATGAAGACGGACACGGATCTTGCGCTGTGGCGTGTGAGTAGGTGGAGAAATGAAGTAGGTAGAAACTCGAATTACTGACCCTCTTAAATGCCTCGTGCAGCTTCATGCTATCCGCACACTGTTCTCCCTCCGTAACATCGACATCAGATTCGGATCGCGAATCATCAGTTTGGGGCAAAGATTCCTCCCTCTTCCACGGAAGAATCTCATACTCCCCAGTATCCCAAATAATAATTGACCCCGTTTTGGCTGATGCAGTCTCAAGAATATGGTTCTGGGTGAAAATCAGTATCCACAATGGTAAAAACAGGTCAATGGACATACCCATAAACAATGAACGCGAGTCTCAGTCGCATTTCGATTCAATCTCTCGCTGTTCGGGTGCCCGGGCATTCCATACATTATGGACCAACTGACAGAGCTGGTTTCTGAGAATTGTAATCGGAGGTCATAGTGTGGACCAGCGACGGGGTGATCATGTTGGTGAATGACGAAGTGGCGGCCTCGCGGGTGTGCATTGCGGCGATAAAGGTCTGTCCATTCGTCCATTGTAAGACGATGGGGTGACTGGGGAATTAAATGGCGGATGCATCCTTTGAATTTTTCGGAGATGATACCCAGGTGGTCAGTGACCTTCACTTCGCCTGCTTCGATGGCGGCAAGGCTGAGTGATGTGTCTTGCGGCAGGCCCGAAGCAGTCTCCTTCGGCGATGGCGCTGCGACTGGTGCAGCCCGTCTTGATGGTGGAGATACGGGTCTTTCAAGGCTGACGAGGAGTGGAAGATCTTTCTTAGCTTCAGAATTTGGGCTCTCGTCCAGCTGCTGTCTCTCGTAGCTCCTGTATCGTTTCATTGTTCGGAACAAAGCGCGACCATGGTCGAGCGTCTAGTAGATGACCAGAAATCTGACATTTCAGAAACTCCCTATGTTTATAATTCCCGTCAGCGGACATGACCACACATCATGAAGTTCGATAGAAAAATGTCGTATCTTAGTTTGAGGTTGGTTGCATTGGATTAGTCATACTACTGAACACTCATTGAGGTGGCCCAGGGCCTCCAGCGGAGATTACGATTTTAGAGGACATGTTAAATGGTTGAACCGTTTTTGATATTATTGTATTGGATGATGGATTAAATTCAGAAGAACTGCTATGTCATTGTTGATGCATGTCATTATCGTCATGTCGCATAAAACCAGTCCTCATATTGATAGACCGAGACGGCCCTGCCGTCGAACTCAACGGCATTCAAGAAAGTGCTTGCACGCTCTGGGGATTATGAAATACGTTGTGAGGATCAATGTCGGCCTTGATGGTCTGAAGCCTCGGCAGATTTGGTCCCCAATAGGAGCTCTGTGGATCAATCAGCTGGGGATCGACATATCCCGGATAAGCTCCAAAGTCAGCGCCGGGGTGGTATGATGCAGCAACTGCATTCAGGCCGTTGAGGAACTTCTTGGTTGTAGTAGAGATGGGCCCAAGAAGGTTGACCGCATAGGACTGCATCCACATGATGGCTTCGCGATGGGCGTAAGCAGTAGCGTTGATTGGAATGTCGTTAGTTGCACCACCTTCCACGTTAAAGATGATAAACCAGACCGTTGTGTCTTTGTTAGTTGTATCAATGTATTTGAACATTGCATCGACTCCGCTATCTGGGATGAGGTTCTCTGGAGTGAAAGACATGGACTTGGCATAGAACGGAACCGGGATTCCGCCGACAACTGACTCCATAAGAGATTCAGCGCCGCTGCCAAGCATGCCCATCCAATCAGTCAGGGTCACAATATTTGCTGAGTTGCTGAGTGGGAAATGCTTCTCGATTTTGAAAGCGTCCCACTCTTCCTTGGTGCCAAAGTAAGTGCCCGAGATGACGACGCCTGCGACAGAAACTATAAGCTCGGACGCGAATTTCCGGGAAAGGTCCTTGCTGGATATCAGCCGTTGCCAATCCTTGAACAGTTCCGCTTTTTCGGATGTGTTGCCCACGTTCCAAACAAATGAGTATTGGACAGCCTCGCGGGGTGCTTCGTGCGTGTGCAGCTTAAATTCAGTGACAATGGCAAAGCCAGCTGCAGCACCTTTAATGGCAAAGAAGACGTCCTGGTTGTGAGTTTCCGAGGCTCGGATGATAGTCGAGTTGGCCAAGACCACCTCAGCCTCGACAATATGGTCCAAGGCCATGCCCCACTCGCGAGACAGCGGGCCTAGACCGCCAATTGTAAAGTGTCCACCAGTGCCAACCTGAGGACAAGTTCCATGAGCCACTGCTCTCCCACCTGCATGGTCGAGACGAGTCTGAAGATCTCCAAGGAGTGTACCTGCTCCGATAGTAGCGACCAGAGTGTCAGGATCGACGGAGAATTGCTGGAAGTGTTTCAAGTCGACGACCACTGCGCCGTCTATGCCTCCGAGACCTGTCAAGAAGGAGAGATTAGCAAGGCTATGTGAACCCTGGGTGGACTCAAGAGACGCACCGTAGTTAGCATAGCTGTGTCCTCCGCTGCGTGCCTGAACCTTGTACCCATTGTCGACCGCGCAGCTGACAATGCTCGCGACTTGTTCGGTCGTACTGGGGTACGTGATGGCTGCTGGAATCACGGGGGTGTTCAGATTGTAAAGAGGGATACGGAATGTAAAGAAGGCGTCAGTTTGGAAGGTCACCATCGACGGGTTATGTCCAACGGCTGCCAGGAGGCAGTCGTGGCCGGCGATGCTTTGAGCATTTCCCATCGCGAAGTCGTGGACTGAGTGTTGTACGAGAGGAACATAGGAGAGGGAGGGAGAGAAAGGTGAGAAGAAGGAGAAGAAGGAGATAGAAGATACATCCCAAGAAGTGAGTGAATGTCAAAAGTAAAGATTGAAGCTGAGGAAGCTGCACCCTCGTTTAAGCCCCTTCCTGGAATGTTCCGCGAAATGTATGGAATGCAGGCACCAACTTTCAAGAACCACGAAGCGACTTTAAGTGAATGAGATGGTCAGAAAAAAGCCCGGTGATGCATGATGCATGGATTCATGACGGAGTCTTCCAATTGGGATACTCCCCGAGCGCCATGGCTAGTGTCAAACCCTATACTTCAGTTACTGCATCTAGGCCCGATCACCTTATGCTCTTGTTCTCTAAGACCCAACATTTCACGCGTCATCCTAGACCCATGTTAACTCAGTTGCCGAGGTATTCCTTTGACTCTAAATAAGCCCGAAAACAACGTTCGTAATGTCAGCTTGATGAGGCTGTACATGCCCCGACATTCTAGACCGGACCTGCAGGGATTCGTGTAACTAGACAGAAACAAGCCTCATCTTCCAGAACAGATCGATTTGCATCCCAACCAGTTTAACAGCTCCCATTAATGATTCTCTCCTTGACGATCCACATCGGGGACGCCGCGGGCAATTTGTTCGGGGACCACCGTGTGGTCCCCGAGCTTCAAGGTTTGATCCCTTCACACCGTGAGGATGCGTCTGTGCCACAGACAATCTCATGTTTCGTCAACCTTGTCTTACTGTCCCTCTACTCCGACCCTGACGAATAGTCCTTGGTCAACGTCTTCGTCTATCACATTTGTGCCCGTTCGGCATCTATGACATCAATCCAGATTTCCGACAAAGTCTAATCTTCGAGGAAAATCATCCACTCCTAGTGAAAGTTCTCTACTGCGACATGTTCACGCCAATTCATACCTCGCTCGGTGCACTGCTCTTGTTTGAGGGGTCTTCGGGCCTGCTCTTTCACAATGGTGCGGTCTTCGGTATCTCATCCTTGGTATCGGGATCCGTGTTTAGCCCGAGTCGTGACAATGTACCAATTGTCGCTGGATTGATGTCCAGTGTGCTTCCAGTGTATCTGCTGGCGCCATCTTTGATACCAAGTTACCCTGCTCCTCCAAATTCATTCGCTTCTGCGATGACAACGTTGGGTGTTGGAATCTTACTGGGCTGGGGAACCAAGGTATGAACCTCAATGACAGGGGTGAATAATCTCAAGCTGACCAGCATTTTGAAACACTAGAACAGTCGCGGCTGTACCTCGGGACACATGCTCTGCGGGTTATCACGTCTCTCGCCACGTTCATTGATCGCAACAGCCGTCTTCTTCACCTCTGCCCTAATCACCGCAAACTTCGCATACGGAGGATCCAACATCCCTTCATGCGGATCAACCCCTTGCTATACACCAACCTACCCATCATCAACTGAGCTGGTCTTCATGGCTGTTACAGTGTTGCTTTCTAGCCTAACGAACTTTGTTGTTGTTCCGAAGATGATTCAACGGTCCGAGGCATCCCGTATCATCTTCTCCTACCTTGCAGGACTGGAGTTTGGACTTGGCCTCTTGATCTCCGGCATGGCGGACTCAGCTAAAGTGTTGAGGTTCTTTGCTTTCCTGACAGACGCGTCTCGCTTTGACCCGTCCCTGGCACTGATCATTCTCTTCGGCATCGGGCCATCATTGTCGGCATACCTAGTGCAGAGTCCAGGCCATGTTGCGGAAACCGAGAAGAAACCAACAAAACCGACGCTGGCCGAACGGTGGAGACTTCCCAGTGCCACAGTCGCCGACATTGACTGGCGCTTTGTGGCTGGGGCTGTGGCGTTCGGGGTTGCGTGGGGATTGAGGGGAGTCTGCCCCGGCCCGGCAGTCTTGCGCTCGGTACTTCAGCCGACATGGGGGCTGGCAACAATGAGTGGATATATCCTAGGCAATCTGTTCTAGCAGATCTTGTACAAAAAAGCCAGGTGGAAACCGGTGCTTCGTAATTGTAAATTATCTTTTTTGTAGCTCTCATTAACAGTGTACATAATATCTCGATTCATGAACTATCACATAATAATTAGCATGATTCTATGGCGCGTACACAAGTTGGGTCCATGAATAATGCTTATGGCAATGCGATTGGGTATAAACAAGGGCCAGGTAAGGATAGAACCGACGACTGATCAATGCATAAAACAAGGGAACGGAGAGGGCTTACAGCTCGGTCTTCTTGTTCAAACGGATGGCTTCCGCCTCAAGCTCCTCATCCCGTGGGTTGTAGTCTGGTTCCGGCAAATCAAAATATCCTTCCAGCTCCATCCACTCTGCGGCAAAGGCAGCGACGAGTACACTCCAGTCTTCGGTAGTGTCCATGTCCAGATGCTGTCCGTCATCCTCGCTCGTGTGCCACACGGGAGGGAAGCCCTTGAAAGGCGTGAAGTCTATTAGATGGAGAATCTCAACACCTCGTGCCAGGAAAGGCAGATGGTCATCCTGAATGCCGCCAAAGGGCTTAATTTGGTGGGAGTCTTTGGAGGAATCAATAAACCACGGTTCCCCGGAGCCGGCCTTCAATACTTTCATTGACCGAAGACGTTGTTCTAAAGTTCCCAGCCCTTGGTAAGCCCAATGGGTAGTGGGATAATAAGACTGGATATAGGGACTTCTCGAGCCCAGCAGATCTAAAAGAACGAACAAGGAAATGGCCGAGAGCGGGGTCTTGAACGTTGACATCGCCGGGTACATTTGGTGATCCCAAGTTTCGGCCATAGCGCGCGCTCCGTAAAGAGAGTCTGAGGCGCTCCAGTCTTTGAATGCTTCCTCTCCATCTAGAAAGAAGACTTGGATGCCACGCTGTTCCTCGAGCGAGGGGTCAACCCCCTGAGCCTTCATATCCGCCCATTTCTTGTCGAGGGCAGAATCGATGCTGCGCATAGCATGCATGATCATCGCGCATGGCGCCGCACTGTCGATAGCTCCAATAAATCCCTCGGGTTCCAGCTTACTGTCATAATGCGCAACCAGGGTCAGGCGCTCGACATCCCCCACTCGAGCATCCGGGGGATCGCGCGTGGCGATGAAGTTTATAAAGGGCACTTCCTTTCCATTTGAAACCGGTGTTTTGGCTGTAGAATTTTGGAACTCGATTTCCCACTTCGGCAAAGTCGTCTGGAAGAAGTCGACGAAGTGTTGCAAGACTGCGGCATGACCGGTGGTGCCGGGCACGCGGGTTTGAAGAATCGGGGATAAAATTGCGCCATTGTGAATATCAAAGTCCTGACTCGGTCGGGGTAGTGCTCTCAAAGTATCGTCGGAGAGCTTCTCGTAGGCTTGGGCTGGAAGAAGGAGTAAGAGGCCGAGGCAGAGCATCGATAAGCAGCCCCGAAGGCCACGATATGCCGAAGACATGGCGACACAGCGTTTCACTAGTTTATCATGACTTTGAAGAAGTGAATAAAGACAACAAGCCCCAGACCAGCCAGGAACTCGCGATTAAAAGGGAATGTGCAGATGGTTAAGGAACAAACAAAGCGGGAGCGCAAGGCGGTCGTCGATCATGCGGCACCGCTTTCCGCGTGTGGAACCTTAGCTTCTTCACATTTGCAACCATGCGACACATCCTCCTGCACCCCCAATTGCGCGCTGCGATTCCAAGATCTGCGCAAAGAAGCCTGCGCAATCAATTATGGACTCGCTTCAAATCCCAAGCCCCTCGTCCTTCTCAGCGCCATGAACCCGGAACGCCTCAATCCAAAGATTTGGCCGCCTCTGCGCGGCCAGCACCTCCGAGCACACCAGCCAAGACAACCGTTAGGAAGGGTATGGCGGGCTCTCATCTCACACGGATGAAGATGCTAATTCGAATGTAACAGGACCTCCGGAGCGCATAATGGTCTACTATGGAGGCACTGGCCGAGCAGTGTTTTTGGGTATGCTGCGACTTACCACCATCTTCCTCTTTGGTGGTGCATGCGTGATCGCGGCACCGGCTTGTTACGCAGACGAAGAAAAGAAGTGGCTTACACCATTAGGTAAGAATTTGATTACGACCTTTCGATATCAGAGTTAATGCTAGTTTACTCGCAGTTGTTCTTGGCGGTGCCGTCCCAATGGTCGTCGTCGCCTACATAGCAGCACCCTATGTGAACTTCATTCACTTGGCCCTGCCTGCATTTGCCAGGAAATCTCGCGAGAACGCAATCCACTACGCCAAGGATCTGCCACCGACCGCCACATTATATCTCACCACAATGCGCTTTAATACCATTCCGCGACAAACGGCAGTCCGCCTGGGCGACCTCCTTGCAGAAAAGGACTCAACACGACCCGTCACATTTCGAAATTTGAGACCTACTCCGCGACCCTGGTGGGCAGGCAAGACCCCTACACAGTACCTTACGGAGGGTAAGAGTCGACCCGGAAAACAGTCGACCGCCTTTTACCCTCAGTTGTGGCCTGCTATATTTCAAAAAATCCAGCGCAATTCTCCCAGCAAGAGTTACAGTTAGTCCCGACTAGCTTTAGGCCTATACGCAATATTTTGTCATATCTCCTTTTCATGATACCTGGCGACATTTAAACTTCTGTACCAATACTACCATCTTGAATGAACATGAACAACTTCTCTTTACCTCTAAAATATCGCGACAGTCTCCTTATCTTAATTATCGTCAAATTCGTTAACCTTTGCGACTTGCTTAAAGTCTCATATAATCTGTCTAGCTAGATGAATCAATGAGATAAAGCACGGTATATATGCTTGCGGACCTTCAAAGCTCTACTTAGGTAGCTGCACATCTTTATATGCTCTCCTGTATATCCTACATGGAAACCCTATACAATCCTGCCTCCACTGCCTCACGAAATGTGATGTCCATCCTTCCCAGCATCATAATCTGAGATATATGCAGATATCTCTGCGCAATGCGGCACCGAGGCTACGTCGTAAAAACAAAATTGCATTGGTGATGTTTTCCTCAGCCTACCCAGGCAGAAGGCGGCTTTAGCGAACCCTAGTCACCTAACGCAGCGGGGTAATGACACCCTGCTATCATATGACATAAGGTACGTCGCTAGTTGTAGCATATGTCAAATCATTCTTCCTTCTTCATTTCAGATAAGACGACTAAACTTTTTGAGGGAGCTGCATCTACATAGGTGCTCCTTTGGGTTAACTAACTCCACAGGCAACCACATCATGGATGAAAAGCATATGATTGGAGGGCTGGCCTGGAATCAGCAAAGAACGAATTCACGTTCCAAACTCTGGATCATCATTCCATCTATCTTATCGTTCTTGTACATTCTTTTCCGTGGCTGGTGGAGCATCTTACCGTCGACGAACGAAACAAGTTTTCTCAAATTCAACAGAGAGCGCATCAACTGGGAGCCCTGCGGGGACTTCGAGGCCAGTCCCCTGGAATGCAGCAGTATTCATGTTCCTATGGACCAATTTGATCTGCAAAATTCGGGAAATAGGACCTTTACTATCCCACTTGTTCGCATGCGAGGCAGCAACGCGACTCAAAACCTCCTCCTAAACCCAGGTGGCCCTGGAGCTAGCGGCTTCCAATTCCTCTACAATCGCGGTAAGCAGCTGAAGGCCGTGGTTGGCGAAGGTTACCACCTGCTCTCGTTTGACCCTCGCGGTGTCAATAGCTCGACTCCAACGGCCTCTTGCTATCCAGATGACAGAACGCGACAAAAATTAGCCCATGTTCGATCTCTAGATGTATTGGGTGATAGCCCCGAGGTCTATGCGTGGGCGCAGAACTTTTTCAGGGCATGTTCTGACACGATGGGCGAGCATGCCATGTATCTCAATACCCCCCAGACAGCCGCCGACATGAACAGTATTCTTGATGCTCTGGGTCAGGAAGATATGATCTACTGGGGATTCAGTTATGGCAGCCTGCTGGGTCAGACATATGCTGGCCTATTTCCCGAGCGGTCGAAGCGTGTTATTATTGATGGAGTCGTGAATCAATTCGAATGGTACGAAGGTCTTTTTGAGGCACAGTCGCTGATCGACACGGACACAGTACTCGATGGCTTTTTTGAAGAGTGCATCAATGCCGGAGCAGACACTTGCACCTTGGCCTCGCTGGCAACATCCAAAGAGAAGTTGCGTAACACGGTGCTATCGTACATACACATGCTTCAACAACAGCCGATTGGTGTATACATCAACAACTCCGTTTACGGCTTGCTTGACTACGAAAAGGTCTGGTACAATGGGTTTCTCGAAGCCCTGTATAAACCTTCGATTTGGTCTACCCTGGCGGATAACATGTACAAACTCATCAAAGGAAATGCGACAAATGCATTTTTAGAATATGCAAATAAAGAAATTCGTGACTGGCGCCATGAAGCAAACGAGTTTATCACTCTGAATGACGGCATTAGTGGCCCGGAGCATTGGCCTCAGGACAGACAGACATTTCTGGAAAATATCACACCCTTGTTCAATCACAGTTTGTTCAGCCCTGTGCAGAGCAAAATATACTACATGCGGCAACATTGGAATATACCAAAGACACATTCTTATGTGCCACGAAAAGGCGTGAAGACGACACATCCGATGCTGATTCTCTCGACGACTTACGACCCAGTGTGCCCCCTCATAGCTGCATGGTCAGCGAACGAGGCATTTGAGGGCTCGCAGGTCATCGAAGTCAAGGGTTACGGGCACTGCTCCGTTGCACTGCCATCGGTGTGCGTTGCAAAATATGTGCGAGAGTTTTTGTATGGAGGCAAATTGCCCGACACATACACGCAGTGCGAGGTAGACTCTAGCTACTTCCACAGGCTAAACAAGAGCAGGCAATTGCCAGCTTATAAACACTTTGAGGATGCGGAGGAGGCCAGAATCCACCTAGCGCAGGTGCTGCTAGCGAGAGACTGGGATTTTGCATTAGGAAAGTAGTACGATTATGGCTTTGGGGCACAGACAAGTATTTGTCCCAGTAAGGCGGACTCATGATCAAACGGGCACTACCAGCTTTGTGTTGACGCTATATGAACAAGTGAGGCTGTAAAAGAGAGAAACACCTGTTGGAGTAGACAGAGGAAAGCTTTGTTGGCCTACTAGGGTTAGTTGTTCAGAGCACTAGCACAGGCTTCATACTAGATGGATCAGAAACAGCCTCACCACTTTATTCTCCATTATCTATAACCCAATACCACCCTTCAGAACGTCAACCACCTTGTCCTGAAAGTCCATAGCCAGAGAAGAACCTTCTGTCCCCCGGAACTCCCCCTTCAAACAGGCAAGCACTGCCTTCGTATAGCCCATTCCCATCTCTTTTGGCAAACCCTGAGCGGCCAGCATCACCAAATCCTCGACCACCTTCTTCGGTCTCGGCAGTCGCCCGCTACTTTCCGCTTCCATGATCTTGGCATCCATCAGTCGTGACAGCGTTGCCCAGAGGCCGATCTCAAGAAGTACAACGCCCAACGCGTAGATATCATGGAGACAGCTGAATTGCTGTGTAGGGCGGCCTTGCCGAGCGGGGTGGCGGTAGAGATTAGGCTCGACCTCAAAGTCGGAGCGCATGTCTGTGCCTTGTTGGACGGACCGGGCGTAGCCCCAGTCACTCAGGTATGAGACAATCCTGTTGCCAGGAGTAGGTATCGAGATGCGATGCTCATAGAGCCCTGAAGTACTGACCCTTGAGGATGTCTCGAGAAAGAGGAGAATCCCTCTGCTCCAGATGTTCTTGTGAACCCACGCCGAGGCATGAACATTGCACAGACTTAAAGCAAGAGTATAAGCCATGCTAAAGCGGTCGTTGAGAGATGGTCTTTTCAGTGGTCGTTTCTTTGCACTATCGACTGCATTTATGAAGGCGTGCAAGGTTGTGAGGGATGTAGTAATGCCTGATTCGGATGGAGGAAGCCTGTAAAGGAATACACTCCGTTCTTCGGTAGGTTGATCGATGAAACCAAGACATTCTAACGCATATATTTTCGGTTGATCGAGGGTGTCGGATGACTTGCCGGAGAAATTTGTATTTTGAAGTAGCCATGCCAAATTGCGTATGGGATCTTTGAGCTCTTCTATCTCGTCCGCTTCCAGATCATCGCGCTTGAGCAGGCTTTCGTACTCGTGGTACTCGACTATCACTTCTGATGCTTCAGATCCCGAAGGCCACTTCCCCAGTTGAAATCCCCCTGTCAATTTTCCTGTTTCCGTGATGGCACCAGTCAAACTGCGGTAACTCGCCGGCGCCTTGGCCTCAGCCAACTCTCGGCGCTTCATCACCGGTTCAAGACCACTGCTTTTGAATCCTCGATGATCACTTTCAGCCATCTTTGCCAGCGTCTCCTGCGAGATATGCTGCATGAGATTGCGCAGACTTTCAGACCACTCAGTATACGAGTCTAGGATGCGATTCAGCTTCTTCTTGTCGAAGAGCGACCAGTCATAGCCCTTGAGTTTGAGTGATCTAGCTTTGCTCTTGGCCCGCTCTAGTAGTGTCTCTTGCGCCTTGGACTGGTCAGGCTCGATGTTGTATTCATCAACCATTAGTCCGTATTTGGCTGCCACAATCTCATACTCAGCCAGGGTCTTTCGCATCTGGACCAGCAGCCCTTCCACCGTGTCGGCGATGAAAGGGTCTACCTTCCCCGGGACCATCAATCCATGATCTGGATGGAAGAAAGTGCGTCTGAAGAAGAGAAGAGTCGATAGCTGGACATTTAATTTGAGCCGTATCTCGGCTCGGTCCTCGTCAAATGCCTTGATATCGGAAATAACACCCTGGATAAACACCGTGACTTGGTATATTTGCGTTATTGCCGTCACAGCTGTCCCATAGACGTCCATTTTGTCTTTTCATGGGAGTAAAATAGGGTGCTAAGTGCTTCGAAATCAAGATATGACACTGAGAGGTGCTTAGGATCAGCAGCCAGCGCTAAAGTAAGCGCCAAGTGGGATGACATGAGGCTAACCACAAAAACACCTGAACTGCCGCGTCCATTGGCTGATTCTTATTAGATGTTGGGGGCTGTTTTTCCAAGATACCCCGCGTGAGATACATATCTTTAATCTCCATTCCTATTTCCCCGACTTCCGGAATGCGTGTTTGCTAGATGTTTATATTGAGTGAACAGATGACGGACTCCTACGATGATATTCTCAACTCTCTCGAGGATGACAATTATTACTCGATAGAGGGAAACGACCTCTCTCCTTCTCTCCAGGCCTGGTCAAACTCCACGGACATTGAAGAGCTTGACCTAGAAAGTCTTAATCTCTCCTCCAACTACGACTCATCATGGGTCGACCCTCTAGAGTCGGCCATAACAGCCACCCGCAACGGATCAGCCTCGGTCCTCAGCACCCTATCTCAATTCACCACAATTCTCTCTCAAACAGGTATACACGGCCCCCGCCTTCTCAAAGCTGCGAATCTCTCCGCCCGAACCACGAAGATCGGTTCCGGTGCCCAATTCACCGTCTTCAAGGACCCAATATTTGAAGGCGAAGTCATCAAGCGCGTCAATGTTCCACTCTCGAGTAGAGCAGAGCAGCGTTTCGCAGCAAGTACAGAATACCGTCTTCAGCTCAAGACTCTAGAGCTAGAAATATTGTCACTCTGTAACCCCGTCATTCGTGGGCATCCGAACATCACCAGTCTCCTAGCGTGGGGGTTTGATTTCCCCTTTGCTGATCTAGCGGTGCCCGTGTTATTTATGGAAGCGGCGCTCATGCCCTTGGGAGACTTCCTGAGTTCCGAGGAGAGGGAGGCAGGGGTGAAGTATCAGCTTGCGCTAGGCATAGCAAATGGGCTTGAGGCGCTGCATAATCTCAAGATCGTGCACGGAGACATCAAACCGGACAATGTGCTCGTGTTTACCGGTGGGGGTGACGTTGTACCATTTCAGGCCAAGCTGAGTGACTTTGGTGTTTGCGTTGATTTGGAGGCACCCGAGGGGAATTTCACGCTGAGCGATTACCGAGGAACACCAGCTTGGTTGGCACCTGAGGTGGTTAATGGAGATGTCTCCAGGTTTGGTAGATTTTCGCCTGAGTTAATGTTTCGATTCGATGCGTACAGCTTTGGATTGGTGCTATTGTCAATTTTTACCGGTGGTGGTGAGCCCCCGGCTCTGGATGGGAATCCTGACAAGGTTCCAGGGCAAATTTCCGAATTGCTCAACAACCAGAAAGACATAACATCGGACGCTCGCATGCAATTAAACAAGGCAGTTCTAAGTCTTTTGGCCGATGATCCCACAAAACGACCACTTCCAAGTCCAATTTTACTTAAAACTGGCACGCCAGCATACGGATCTTGGTAGGTTGAACATGTCTTTACTTGTTTCAAGAATACTGATTTAGAGAACAAGGCTCGCCTCGGTTCAATCAACCTCGGCAAGTACCCATGTTGGAATAATTGATCCAATATATAACAAAGGCCCGTTGTTCTGGTACCGACTCGACGCAAGCATCCGCACAGAGCTTGAACAGCAGCACACGCTCAGTCAAGGAGGAAATGCTCCTCCATTTGGCGGCGATGTGCTATTTGGCATAGCCCAAACAGTTACCGGCCAAAAACCGACATATCTTGATCGCATGCTGACGTATCTGACTGACGCGGCGAAGTCTGGATATTCACCTGCTAGAGCTGTTTATGCGCAGGTTATGGAGGCGCATGGTCAAACTCCGGAATTTGCTCAGGATTTATTGGATGATTGGATGCTGCAGGCAGTTTCTGAAGGATACTTCTTTGCAAAACCAGGTAAGCTAGCGAAGGACGTGGAGGATGCAAAGGGCCGATTTCGAGAAAATGGTGGGTTTTGCTCGGATCCTTTCTTGACCAAGAGTGATGTCAAGGAAGCAATCAAAAGTGATAAGGTATTGGAGTGGAAGATGAAGAACGGGGTTGTTGTCGATCGCAAAGGGAACACCTTGCTGCATGCTGCCGCTGCTTTTGGAGCGGTTGCTGCGGTACAGGAATTGCTGGATGCTACTCAGATTGAAGTTGACACGGAAAATGAGAATGCTGAGACGCCGCTATACAAAGCATTCCAGGCTGGGCATACAGACGTCATCTGGCTTCTTCTTGATCACGGTGCAAGTGCGTCTTGCAGAACTCGGCAAAAGATCGGACCTCTACATTGGCTTTTTATGATACCGGAAGGTTCAATTCATCGGATCACCGAGCGGATGATTGAAAGTGGAGCAGATGTCAATGCAATGATGGAGCCAGTGGTAAAGGAAAACAGCGGTGGGTTCCCAGAGAAGATCCAAATTCTTCATTAGTATTTTCTTCCTATTCCCCTCAGAGGCAAGCCGCCAAGCTAACAACTTATTTAGCCCATTTGAGCTTCCTCACGGAACGCCTCTGCACTGGGCATGTTTCTTCCGCAACATGAGGGCAATCGACACTCTCATTTCTCTTGGAAGTAACGTCAACACAGCATACTATGGCTCAGATTCATCATCAACTCCTCTTGCTTTGGCAGCATACTCTGGAGAGCTGGAACTTGCCAAGTCTCTGATATCCCACGGCGCGGATGTCACTTTGCTTGACTCGGTGGGGCGAAACACCCTACATGCGATTACTAAATATTTCCCTGAAAAACATGGGTATCTTCCTCATGCCTGGCACTACTGGGTCCGCCATGGAACTTGGGAGAATCACTTGGCTCAAATGACGGAATTGGTCAAAGTTTTGATAGACGCCGGGGTAGAAATCAACGCTAAAGACAAAGTTTATCCCTATCTAACACCCATTGCAGCGGCGGCAGATCTTGGAGTGTGGGATGGAGGTACGATTTGTGCGTTGCTGGCGGCTGGGGCTGATCTGAAGGGATCAATCCTATCAGGGGGAGATACAGCTCTACATTCATGGGTTTCAATCGTTGGACCCCGTCTGAACTATCCCCGATCATACATACCTACTCTGAGGAAGATAGTCGAGGCCATGCCAAATCTAGATATCCCCAACCGTTTCGAAGAGGATACTCCACTCCACTTGCTGACCACCACTTATCACCCGGAAGGCGAATTTGAGGTCGCATGTGAGATTCTTTTCAGTCATGTTCCTCCGGCCGACATCAACGCAAAGACCCGTCGTGGAGCTACCCCGTTATCTATCGCTCTAGAGACCAACCTGGATCCCGCACGACGAAGTCGCTTCCTGCTCGATAGAGGTGCTGATCCTCTCGTTCTCAATGATCGAGGACGAGATATCTTCTACTCGATTTCCAACAACGTCATCCTTGCCGATCAAGAAAGCCATGACTTGATCCTTTACTTCCTTCTCCGTCTCAATTCTAACGTTCAAACGGCGTATAGAAAGCACTACCTCTCCAACCCCGACAGCAGCATTACCATTTCAGCTGCCGCGGACCGTGGAAAGCACCGAACCTTGACTCTTCTCCTCTCCTTTGGCCTCGCCAGCTACATCAATAGCCCCGACAGGACGAAGTCTCCACCCTGGACACCCTTAGATCAAGCCCTCCACTCCGCCGAACTCAGTCGACGAGCACACATGAAAGGACTTGCTTCTTACAAAGCCGGCGCTACTAGGACAAGAGCACTCGAGCAAAATCTCGTCTATGATGAACATCAAGGTCCGCCAGCACGTGCCGCTGAGGCATATCGGTCCTTTCCAGAAGTTATAAAAATCCTGCGCGATGCCGGCGCGAAAAGAACATGCGAGTTGGATGGAAATTTGAAAGGGGACTATATTGAGCAACCTGGGGACTGGGATGATAATGAAATACAGGATTATGGATTTACACTGGAGACGCAGCCAAACTTTGAGGCATGGAATGGGTTGTATGCTTTAGCTAAGTACAGTTCAGGTGGATGGAACTGGCGAGGTATGCTGATGGGCGGTAAGAAGCGTAAATAGGATCCGAGAAGTAATTCTTGGGAATCATAGCTATTCACTAGTATAAAGATTAACTTAACCAGAAGGGTCGTGATGATAACATCTGATTCTTTCAAGTATTTGTCAGGAATCGATTATTCAAGGCGCCTGCACTCTCACTTGCGTAAACTCCTCCGAACCTTCTGTCTGTCTCTAGTATTCCGCAATTCACAGACCTTATCTTTGTGGTTTTTCTGTCAGTAAAACCTCTTTGATTATATTCTATTTTTCTCTTTCTTGCAACCTTGGGAATCACCATTCACTCGCATGCGCTACGGACCCTCGATTCATCCAAGCAAAGCCGACGGCAACTTCCATTAGCTTGGATCTTCCTTGATCACCGCATATTCCCTTCATCTCTTTTGCCTGTTTGTTCTTGTACTCACATGTCAACAGCAGCTGCGATCCTATCCCTACAGAACCTCACAGCCGAACTCTTCATTATGTTTCGACAAACCGGAAGAACATGACAGAAACGTACTGATTCGAACAAAGTCCTACTGTTTCAAAAACTTAATTTCCTATTCTAGTACCTCAACGCACGATCCAAAATGAGCTTTGCATCCTGATGGGCTGTCTGAATGAACATTCCCGCAACAGTGCGGCTCGCCAATGCGGCGCATGAAACAAGGCAACCCCCGAGAACACTCCTTGAGGATGTTGCGTTTGTGTTGATATTCATTCATTAATATCGTGATCACTTCTTTTCTGCTATGGCTAGGCGATACATAGCTTCTCCCGGCTTGTCATGCAAGAAATCAATCCAGAGAAATTGTTTCAAGTAAGCCCGAAGGTCATTCCAAGTCTCCAGTCCCCATGATTCAATGTTGGCTTGTAAACAGGGTATAAGCCAAGGACCGTCAGCTGGGCCGAAGACTGATAGGCCGCCAATCATGATCAACCAAGGAAGGATAGACGATGAGCCCTCCGAGGTATTAAATTGTAGAAGAGATTTCCTATACGCATCAGGGAACCGCGTATGAGAAGGTTTCACATCTCGAAGACGGAGGAAGATGTGAGACGAGAAGGCGAGAAGGCCGAGACGAAATATTTCATCAATAGTAGTTGGTTTGAAACTCATACCCAGAAGACGATACATGACTGAAGCCATGGTGTTCAGTAGAATCTCTTTCGGGAGCTGGCGGTTATGTTTGGAAGCGATGTTGATTGCTAAACAGAATCTTCTCATGGCTGAGTAGGCTCCAGATAGATCATCATTTATTTGTGATTCGGCTGAATTGCTAGAAGACCCCAAATTGAAGTCACTCTGGTCCGCACCAGGGAGAACCAGATCGTGTGGAAACAAAGGCTCGAAAACGGGGTCTTGGAAAAATATAGGCTTTTTGCCGTTATCAACGGCTATCATCAGATCACATCTGCGTGATAGAATGTCAATAACAACATCAGATGAAATCCAAGCTTTGGGGAGAGGTTTTTACTTCAGTAACTCCATAATAAACTTTGGGTTATACCTGAAGGCATTTAAGCCACCTCTCAAATTGACGATTTTGCGTAGCCCACCCATGTGGTGGCTCGCAGATGCATCTTCGTGCACAAGATGTGAATGTCTGGCTAGATTTAAGACGATGAGGACTGTAGCATCGGAAATCAAGTCAACTTGTGACTCCTTTGATAGTCTCTCGCGGAGTAAATGGAGCGTGATTGAGTGGTGCGTCAAGGCTCTTTGCGTTGCAATTGGTGATTCATGTTCAGATATTAAGCTTGAGTATGTTTGGCATAGAAAGAGTACGGCATGCAAATATGCCGCGTCGAGGGTCAAGAGATCAAACCATAATGTGTCGATCTCGTTCTTCTTGTGGAACTCGATACAGCTTTCCAGTGGGTATAACAATCTCTTTGCCATGAGAGAGACTAGAATTGATGATCAATCAGCAATTTTCATCAGAAATATATCATATCGGAAGCATAGGCAGCCTCACACTTCAAAAGTTCTTGCATGAGGGGCGGTTCCACTGGAGCAGCGAATTGCGTGAATGAAAGCTCATTGCCGACTCTGTCCGGGATCCTCGAATATTGCAATTTGACAATGAGCGCAGAAGACCCATCTTGGACATCCTTGTATGTTTCGGTGACACTTGAGGTGTTCGATTTTCCAGTGCCTTTCCGTGTCTTTCCACGGTTCTTGCCTAGCATAACATGCTGCCTGATAAGCTTTCGCTTTTCCGGTTGGCTTTTGCCCTTGCAGTCGGTGAATATAAACGGCATTGGTACCGCTGCGCATTGTTAGAATTTTCCGGAGGGGGAGCAAGTAAGGTATGCTCCAATGAAGCCTGAGCATGAGCTTACCAGGACCTTGATGACCCGACATTTTTCGCAGTTAAGAGACTTCGGCGCTGACCCGGATCAAATTTTATCTGACTTTGAAGTGATCATATTCCATGAGAGGCTAGCGTGGGCGAAAATAATTAGTATGACGATGGAGAGTCAAGGGCAACGAGTGGCGCTGGCAGAGGTGAAATGGGCACATGGCCGTTGGTGGGTCTGGTCTTACCGCATTTAGACGCGCTAATGCATGATATTGACTTCCTATTACGGTATAGCGTCATATTTGAATCCATGATTGGGCCAACCGCTGGTAGACCCACATATGAATGCTCAGCTCGAAGGAGTGTATCCGTTGGTTCAAGTCAATCGCTTTCAATATTCGGAATGTCTTCATTCAGGTCCAACGGAGCTAAGTGGTATTTCCTCCATAAATCCGTCTCAGAAGCACGTCGCTACACCGAAGCTGGTCTATAAATACAGAGCTAACCCTTCCACCTGCTAACTCTCTTCTATACTCCCAAGTATCATGTCTCAGAACTATTCGCGAAACAATAAACCCAACCTTCCTTGAAACAAGACCAAGATGCCATCCTCAAAAGACCTCCCACCCTCAGCAGTCCCCTTCTTCCCAACCCAATTCATCAGAAATCAATTCTGCTCCAAACCCAAGTATCTCCCCTCAGATACAGATCTCTCGAACCAAGTCGCCATCATAACAGGATCCAACACTGGTCTGGGCTATGAATGCGCCAGACAATTTCTTTCACACAAGGTCTCCGAGTTAATCCTAGCTGTCCGCTCCGCCGAAAAGGGCGAAGGCGCAGCAAACAAGCTGCGCAAGAAATATCCCAATGCCACCATCAAGGTCTGGCATCTTGACATGAGTTCTTACGAATCCGTGAAGGAATTTGTTGCTCGAGTCGAGAAGGAATTACATCGTCTTGACATCGCAATTTTGAATGCAGGAGTCGCCCCTGTGGGTTTCAAAACCGCACCTGAGACTGGCCACGAGGATTGCGTGCAGGTTAACTACCTCTCGACTATGCTTCTCAGCATCCTACTGCTCCCGGTATTGAAGAGAATGTCTCCGGATGGCGTTCCAGGGCGCTTGACTATTATCACGTCAATGCTATCCATGATAGCTAAGTTTGCTAACAAGAAGGAGATCCCGCTTCTCCCGGCATTCGATAATGAGAAGCTCTTTGATGCCTACGATATCTATCCGACTTCGAAATTCCTTTGTCAAATGTTTTTCTGGAAGCTTTCGGATTTGGTTTCTGCGGATGATGTCGTGATGAATCTGGTTGAGCCGGGCTTTATCAAAGGCACTGAACTCCAACGGGATTTGAATGGGGTTGGAAAGATGGCGTTGGGTCTTTTGAAGGCTGCGTCTGCGCGAAGTGTTCAAGTCGGTGTCTCTACGTATCTTGATGCTGTTGTTGCGAAGGGCAAAGAGTCTCATGGGTGTGTTTTGATGAATTGGGATATTTTTCCGTGAGTTTTCCACCTTTATGTTTAGCGGGTTGTTGCTGACTCAGATCTACAGGTATCCTTCCTTCATGTACTCGCCAGAGGGTAAGGAGGTCATGGGTAGACTGTGGGATGAGACTATGAAGGAGTTCAGCTCGTTTGATGTCGATGCCACTCTTAAGTTCCTGTAGGGGTCGTGCCATGATTTCCTCCTTGTCCCCAAGTTTTGTTTCGCTACCTATCTACATAGTCTTCTATAAACTTGAACTGAATAGTCTCTTCAAATGATACAATTCCCGATTCTTCCTTCTATTCGAAAGTTTTGATTTACATATAGAAAAAGCTATCTTGAGGTGATCTGTAGATCGCTCCGTATGAACATTGTTATACAAGAAATAAATAAATAAGCAAACAACGCCACTCCCAACCGCTGTATGATATTGAGTAAAGAAATCCAAAAAAGGAACTGAAGGGGAGAACATAACGACGCACCGGGCCGTCCCGGGCCTCTTATGCGGTCGAGAGAGAACTAGACTTCGGCTTGCTAGTCTCCGTGGTACCTTCCACACCTTCTTCCTCGTCTTCATAATACAAGTACTCTTCTTCATCCTCCTCTGGCTGGCCGAAGGCATTTCTCCACACACCGTCCCACAGGCCCTTCTTGGTGACAAGGCCACCAACAAGCAGAATAGGCAGCTGCCAGATACTGGCCCAGAAGAGGCCGCGGGCGCTTCCTTGGGCACCCTGGTGTTGCCAGAAACGGTATGCTTCGCGAACAAGCCAGCCATTGGCGAAGGTGCTTCCAACAAGGAAGCCATGGCCAACGACGTCGAACCACCAGAGACCGATCGAGATGGGGAACATGAGCAACGAGTAGCGAAGAGCAACGCGGGCATTCCGGGCCGGGTTCACCCAGCAAAGCATGCGGTAACCGGCTTGCTTATAATCGTCGCGAATGAGATGCGAGAGGGCGTTGAAGTGTGGGAATTGCCAGGCAAATAGAATGCCACCCAGCAGCCATCCACCAATGCTGCCTTCACTGAACAGCATATCGCGCCATGTGTCATGTCCAGTTGTCGCCGTTTGTCCTGCAGCGGCGATCCAGCCCATCAAAGGTGGGATACCTCCAACCACTGCACCAACCCAGGTATTGATCACGGAGATCCGCTTAAGCGGGGTATACACAAAGGCGTAGAGGAGGATGTTTGCGGCGGAGAGAGCGGTGGTTGTTGGGTTAGTACCGACGTACAAGAGGCCCAGACCAACAGCCGCAGTACCAATGGCGAAGAACAGAGCCCCGCGACGCGAGACCAGCCCGCGGACAATAGGACGGTTCCGGGTCCGAGTCATCAATGCGTCGTATTTCGGTTCGAGCATCATGTTCAGCGTGTTTGCACTGCAGCATGACAAGAATGTCCCCATGGTCAAGTAAATGAAGGTCAATGTCGAAGTCGAGAGGGTTGGGAGTGGGGTCATGGCTGGGTCGAGGGTAAGCAGAGATGAGAATGGGTACATTCCGTACGCAGATGTTGTCGTAAGGAGAACTAGGAAGGATAGACGCGGTTTCGTCAATGCGAAGTACGCGGCGAACTTGCGGCGGAGGGAAGTAGCAGGCTGCGCAGATGAGAAAGCCGACAATTGCGCTGAAGCATCGGGTGGCATGACCGCCTCTGGTGTAGCATTATCCGAGATAGTCTCCTTCAAACGCCTCCTCCGACGATGTGGCAATTCATTTTGCGCCGCTCCTGCTGCAATTGATCCAGGCGATGCTCGTTCGGTTGTGCTGGCTGGGTCTGCGGAGGTTTCGCTCGCGGACTGAGAGGAGGCATTGGATATGTTGTCGGAATTCGCGGATGCATAGGACGAGAGGAAGCCTCCCTTCAGACCAGTAGCATCGACGACTCGATTGGGAGAAAAGTATGTCTTGAGGAAGACCGAGGAGGGTTGGTTGGCCGCGATGCCGGTTCGACGATTGGTGGAAGAGATGAACCCTCGTATTGATGATGGAGGTTGGACTCGCGATCGCACCAGACAATTCGAGCCCAGGAGCACCTCTCGCGACGGCCCAGGCCTCAATATGGCGGACCGGAGAGGGATCATGGCGCGTGGGTCGACACTCTCTGACAAGCTTGAAAAGTGGAAGAAGGGAACTTTCCCCGGCGGCGCGGCACGGACCAAACCCGCACTTTACAGACGACGTTATAATGTACTTTTGACAACAGTATATTAAAACTCGGATTCGTCCTATATTAAATCTTTGAAGATAGTTTAAAGAATAATAAATATAAAGTATGAATCGAAAGAGGTCTCATAAAACAACCAGAAGAAGGGTGAGAATCAACACGAGAACGGGGTGTTTAGGCCCACTCAAAGTATCTCCTCGGTTCCTGTGTACGTGGAATGTCAACACTGACAACACCTCTTTTCCTTGACACCCACCAGCCATCATGGACGTCATTCAGAAATCAGTCCTGGATCCCCTCCAGCCTTACCTCCAACCTATTGTCGAAGCGATCCCCGAACCCGTTCACGATGCGGTCATCTCGTTGATTGGTGCACCTTGCCACAGCGCGCTGCTCCTCGACCTCAGCTTGACCAAGGACCCTGCCTGTACCTCCCTGGCTATTTCCAAAGCCCTCGGAATCGCCATCGTCGGCGCCAGTGCCGTCGTTAAGGTTCCCCAGATCCTGAAGCTCATTCACTCACGCTCGTCCGCTGGTGTTTCTTTCGTCTCCTACGCCCTTGAAACTGCTAGCCTACTCATTACCCTTTCCTATGGCGTGCGCAACCAGTTCCCCTTCAGCACCTATGGCGAGTCAGCTCTTATTGCCGTGCAAGATATTGCCGTCGGTGTTCTTGTCTTGAACTACGCCGGCAAATCTGCTGCCGCCGCGGCTTTCGTCGCCATTGTCGCTGCCAGCGTGTACGCGCTTCTCTTCGACCAGACCCTTATCGATGCGCAGACTATGTCGTATTTGCAAGCTGGAGCTGGCGCTTTGGGTATTGCCAGCAAGCTGCCCCAGATCTATGCTATTTGGAGCCAGGGTGGAACCGGCCAGTTGAGCGCTTTCGCCGTAAGTGGATTTTTTTCAGGCTGGGTATGAATGCCGAACTAACATTTCATCTTTTTTAGGTCTTCAACTACCTTGTCGGATCCCTCTCCCGTATTTTCACCACCCTCCAGGAAGTCGACGATAAGCTCATTCTCTACGGATTCATCGCCGGCTTCTCCCTTAATGTGATCCTCGCTACGCAGATGCTGTACTACTGGAACAGCCCCGCGCAGACGCAGACACCGAAGTCGAAAAAGGCTGCCGGTAAGCAAAAGGCTGTCGATCAGAGCCCTATGGCTCATAGCTCCGGCGCGTCGCCGAAGGGCTCGAAAACACCTACTACTCGCCGACGGGGTTAGAGGGTATATTTTCGGTTGAATGCGCTTTATTTTGCAGAACCCTTGTAATACTCCTAATAATGCCTTTTGGAATTTATCATTCTCATACTATTCCTACCCCTCATGTCCATCCCCATTGTTTATATGCGCGTAGATCGACCCTGCGTGATTTGCGAGAAGAGGTTGGAAGTAGCTTGAAGGCCTACTGCATTCGCCCTGTAGTCATATACCTCAAAATATCCGCAAGAGGAACAACAGGCTCAACAGCATGCGCATGGTGCGGAGCAATCTCAAACTCAAAGCCATTTCCACCAGACTTTCGATGCACACCCACAACTTCCATTTCATCCTCGCCCTCCTCGTCCTCCTCTTCCTCCTCTTCGTCTTCGGACCCCTCATCATCTTCTAATTGTCTCTTTAGCCCTGTCACAACATTCTGTATCCCCGCCTCACGCTCCTCAAGCGTGAAATTCCCTCCCCAATTCCGCCTCCTCGCTTCCTGGTTCGCTTCAATAGGAGCCCACTCCCATAGATCAGCGAGTTCGGTCTCGCTAAGCGGTTTCTGAGCATGCGCTGCTGCTGCTATCGCGCTGGAATTTAAGTTGGAGGCGTCCACAGCTGGCGGCTCGGTGCCTGCTGTCCGGCCACGCGCGACCCAATCTTGGACGCGGGGATCGAGTTTTGTTCGGAGGAGTTGCTCAAGTGTGCTTGCTTGTGTGCGGCCGGGGTAGTCGGGGCCGGGGTAGGCGACTAGTGAGGAGAGGAGGTCGCGGTGGTCGGAGAGGTGTTCGGAGACGGAGACGAGGTTATTTGAAATGATGCTTGCTTGGGATTGGAGGGAGGACCTGGTGGAATCATTAGAGCTTGTTCTGGGCCATTGGTGGTAGCTGCGCACCATGGTGGGAGGGGATCGCTTTGGTTCAGACTTGCGATCAGCGAGCCTAGGGAGCGGGTGAGTTGGACGAGTCGTTGGCGGGATTGCTCGAGCACTTTTATTTGATCGGATGTGAGGGCAGACATGGTAGCTGGTGAATTGAGTGTGTTCAGCCAGGGGGTGAATGCGCTGGGTGGTGGTTAAATGTACAGGAGATGAGATTCTATTTGAAGCTTTAGTGGAGAACCCTTGGAAGTCACCGAAAGAACGCTATGTGCAGCCGCTCACCTGTCAACTTTGGGGGGTAGAACGCTTCTCCGTTTATGAAGTAGAAGATTCTAAAATCTGTTTTAGCTATCCATCATTTCCTTTGTTCAATCAGTTGATACGTTATTATGAAATTCATGTTAAAGTCGCTTCTGATACTTTTCGTGGATATATATCTCGAAAGGTTCAGTCACCGGACTCGGGCGTCGGCGTCTACTCAAGACCGAGGCAATCCGTTCGTCCGTCACCACATTTTGTCTTTTCCTTCCACCAGCAATCATACTAAGAGCGCAAGCAAATATAATTAAGATGCCAAAAGATTCTAGATGTGACACCACGCGCAAATCTAGCACTGCATGTCGGAGGTGCCGGGACCACAAGGTGAGTATCCCCAAAGATGTTCTCATCTCATGGTTAACCAAATCAAAAGGTCAAATGCTGTCGAGAAGTGCCGAATTGCACACGGTGCACTAGGAATGGTCTTGAATGCCTTTATCCTTCGCCTCCGGACCGCAAGGCGATTGCGAGATCCCGAGCCGCGTGGGGAGCCAGAGGAAGACAGGCCCATGGTGACCATGACAAGGTTAGCCCATTTAATTCTCAGTCGCTTGGCCTGTGTTTGATAGACACACTGTTCTCACACTACGTCTGCGCTCCTTTCATCTTTGAAAAAGAGACAGTCGTCAAGGATTTCCTTGAGGGCAAGTTACCTGAGCATGTTTCTCAGGCTATATTTGCATTGGCGTCAATGTGAGATTACGATTCTTACGATTCTTACAGTTTGAACTGCATCTAATACATTTTCAAGATTTATTGATGACACTGGGAGCCTGATGAGCCCCGATCAAGCAGATAAATGGGCAAACAATGCAAGCCAGCATTGCTTGTTACAAGCACATCGCCCATCCTTGGACCTGATCCAGGCCTGTCATATCTGTGCCACATATTGGTTTGCTCGAGGTGAAGTCCACAGGGCCAAACTGCATGCTCGTGAGTTATTTTGTAGATACTTATAATTCTCCCTATCTAATAATCTAAAGATGTCGCATGCGTTGCCGCAAGAGGTCTGGGATATAACCGTGTTGGTGTACCTGGCTTCGGGGCTGAAACTGTCTCCCTCGCGAATCGGAATCTTGGATTCCGGTGCTTTTGGAACTGCTGGGTGATTCTTGTTGTCATTTTAAAAGATGATGTCTTTACCATGTCTGCCAGCGACTCAACCCTCCCACCTCTCCCACCATCACCCCCTCCATCGCCAGGTAGTCTCTATGCTACACCAGATGCATCCAAGACTACCAGCCAATACCAGAATCATGGATTGCTGGAATACTTCCACCTTCTTTACATATAGTAAGAAGGGCACTATCTTTATTTGGGACAGACTGGCTCACATCTATCTACTCCAGCCACGACATACAAATTTTCAAGTCAAAGACCACAAATTCAACCAAGGAAAAAATTGATCAAATATCCCAGTTCAGGCAGCGTATAATTCGATTCCACGATCGATTTCCATTGTTGCAGTTTCCCGGATCATACGAAGCATATGGCCGATCACACCTCAGCACAGCCTTTGCTATTCACTCTTTCTACAACCTCGCGATGATATCACTACATTCCTTCCTCGTCCCACTCTTCACGGGAATCCCTTTGAATGACTGTATTTCTGCCGAAGTTATCGAAGTCTGTGCCCGGACCACCATTCATCATGCCAAGAGCTTTGTCGAGATGATTCACGCATTCTTCTCTGCTGGCGGTAAGACATCCGATCTGCCTCCGTTCGTGGGATACTGCTGCTTCACTACTGCATCAGTATTCGCAAGCTTCCTGGATCAAGATGTGGCATTATCTGCAGACTTACACAGCCAAGTCATTTCCTGCCTAGTTGTTCTGAATGACCTCCAACAATACTGGGTTCCACTAAGGCGACTGGTACGTCGAGGCAATAACCAAGAACTGGAAAATGTGATCTTACTAACTCACTCAACAGTTTAGACAAATCCTGGGATCAGTTAAAGGTTTTATATCGATCCATGATATTGACGAACAGCGCCGCGCTCTTAAACAAGATCCAAGCTCAATCATATGTCTGGGCAGTGATTTCTCCCTCGACTTCTCAAAGTATATGCACCCAAACAGATCATCTAATAAGCTTTATAGCTTTTCATACATCTCCCATGACGAAGAGTATGAAGAAAATCTGCTAGTCCAAGATTCTGAACAGCTCACACCTGGTTCGGAGAATATTTTATTCACGTTCGAAACGTCCAATACGGGATGCGATTCTTTTATGCAAGTTTCGGACTTTGCAAGCGATGATTTCGGATTCGGTGCGGACTTCATGCCCGGAAATGGCTGGGAAGATGAGAAATTTGTTGAAAGCCGTATCCCCACGACTTCATACCCCTTCCTGTGATATTTCATGATTGAAAAGTTATTGTATTCTTAATTATGCGGAACCTGGAAAACACTGTCCGCAAGATCCGTAATCTCAACAACACGATGCTCCTCGAGAGCTTTGAGAATCTCCTGGACCGAACTCTGAGGAAGCCCTTCTTTATTCCTCGAATAGATATCAATACCAGCAGGAGTGAAAAGCGTCTTGGCGAAGTATGTCACAATCCACTTATTATTATCATCCGTATGACCAAAACCAAGACACTCCCAGTGCGTGCTCGCAAGCTTCAACCAACCCTTGCCTCGCCAATCCCAAGCACCTGGATCGCCAGGGGTCGGGGTATCAACACCATGAATAGAGGAGACTTTCTCCGACGTTTTAGATTGAAATTTGACCAGATCATCGATCTTATAGACACCCGACTTATCGACCGGGAGTAGCTCGTAGGTGACGTTGACATTTCGCTTGTCTTTCCATAGCGGGAGGCTGGAGTGGGTTACCTGCCATGTCCCGATGAGGAAATCATTGGGTGGGGGCACGCATTTATTGCCCTTGCTCTTGGTGGAATAGACTCTTGGTAGTCCAATATATATTGGGGAAGGCATGTATTAAACACGAAGTATGAAGTCAAATCCAAGGGGATGAATGGGGATGGATCTCAAAGGGGGACTTCTGTTTATTAGATCCCGTGATCTAATACCGTCTGGGATTTAGCTTCGGTCGTTCAGGGTCTGAGTCGGTTGTCCACTCTCCGCCAAAGTACTTCACTAGAAAAGGCTGACGGATATTAGATTGAAGTTTGCTACCGCGCACAACTTACAAGGTATGCACCTCAAAAGCGGGGATTTACAGAGGAGTCGACGCATATTGCGTGGGAACTTCTGACGCGGCACCAGCCGACCTCGGAAGCTGCTGCAGGGCTTTCTTATTCGTTTTCACGAAAATCGAGGGTAATCATCGAACCTTCGCCCTTAGCGCTCTCTGTCGGTGCGAACGTGGACGTGGACGCGAACCATTCGGTCCGATAGTTGCGGGCCGGTAGATGACAGCATGAGTGGTCGAACGTGTGGGGTTTTGAACCTATTTAAAGGCAGACGAATATCCAGGAGATTTGAACCAGTACTTGGCATATTCAATGTCACAAGAGACTCACTTCACTTGATACGACAGAATAATAATGCCGAACCAGATTCGAGATATTCGCACCGTTGATACGGAATCCTTTCCTTACATCTTCGAGCGAGATATTTCCATCAATCTCAGAGATGGAAATGTAGTTCGCTGCAATGTTTACCGACCAAAGGACTCTGGTCCGCAGACTCGCTACCCTGTGTTGGCGACCTATGGCCCTTATGGCAAGGACGTCCCATATGAGGAGTGAGTGAATCCGTTTTCGAAACACAGATTTCCCTTACCGAACTAACCTAATTGTCTCCTCAAGCTTCAATCCATCAAGCTATGCTGAGGTCAACCCTAAGCACAAAACAGCGCACTCATCTTGGGAAACGCCAACACCAGAATATTGGACCGCACATGGATACATCGTGGTACGCGCAGACGAAATCGGCACAGGACAATCTCCTGGGCTTCTCAACACCCTGTCACCCCAGACAGTTGAATCATTCTGCGAGGTCATCGAATGGGCCTCGGAGCAGGAATGGTCGACAGGCAAAGTAGGCCTGCTTGGCATCAGCTATTACGGTGCCACACAGTGGTATGCAGCAGCCCGTAGCCCCAAGGGTCTTGCTGCGGCCGTTCCTTGGGAAGGATTTTCAGACCTCTATCGGGATATGGGCCGGCATGGAGGTATTTTGTCGAACACTTTCCAGAGCGCTTGGTGGAAGCGTCAAGTCGCTTCGAACCAGTACGGGCTGCCTGGGAAGGCTTCGAGAAATTGGGGCCCAGATACCGTTGAAGGAGATCTCGGGGAAGATGAGCTGAAAGCGAAACGAGTTGAGCAGCCTGCTCTGGCATCGCAATATCGATATACAGATGATGATATTTTTGCTTCCATGGATTACAAGTTGGAGAATATCAAGATTCCGATCCTGAGTGTTGCGAATTGGGGTGGTATTCTGCTGCATCTAAGAGGCAACGTGCAAGGATTTACACGTGCTGGATCTGAGTTCAAGTATCTTCGGTTTATTGTAGGCCGCCACGATCTGCCATTCTACTACGACGAAGAAGTCGAGGTTCAGCGAAGCTTTTTGGATGCTTTTCTCAAAGGAGAGGACAGACATGGATGGTCTCAGAAAGGTGCTGTCTCCCCCGTGGATCTGCTTATCCGGAAGGGAGACGTCGGGCACAACAATCCAGAGGCAGAGAAAACATTACCTAGGAGATTTGAGCAGGAATGGCCGCTTACCAGGACTGAATACACGAAGTTGTTCCTCCAGTATGACGGAGAGATGCTTTTCAAGGAGCCTGCAGATACCAACCTCCTGAAGAAAAGCTATGATGCACCTGGTAGTGGACGGCCTTCTGATATTATCTCCTTTACAACGCCGCCATTCGGAAAGGAGACCGAAATCACCGGCCACGTTGTCGCTCATCTTAATGTTTCCGTTAGCAAGAGCCCCGATGGCCCCGTGCCTTCTGACCTGGACCTATTTATCAGTCTTCGACATGTCTCCGCCCATGGCTCGGAGATCCTTTACACTGGCACCACCGGTGAGGGTGCGCCGGTGACCAAAGGTTTCCTCCGAGTGAGCATGAGAAAGACCAATCCTGACCATCCGCTGAATCACCATTGGTTCCCCTACCGAGAATACCGGTCGGTAGACGTTCTTCCCGTCGTTACCGATGAGATATACTCCGTGGATATTGAGCTTTGGCCAACCAATGTAGTCGTTGATGCTGGAAATAGACTTACTTTAGAAGTCAGCTCTGGCGACACGGCGGGTACTGGAATGTTCAATCACAATGACCCAGTTGATAGGTGAGCAATAAAATCCTCGATGTAATATACCGAGTTGAGCTAACTCGAAAACAGACCCGATTCTATCTTTAAAGGTCAGAACAACATCCAATTTGGCCCAGATCACGTTAATTATATCACGCTGCCAATTATCCCGCCCTCGTCTACCATCTAAGACTTTGGAAATACAGCTTTCACTCGAAATACCGAGTTGCGGGGCGCAAAGTGAGGGAGCTGTACCCTGTGACATGTCTATCAGCTGAAACAAATCTGCATGTTGATCAGAAGAAGTAACTATTTGCCTTGAAGAAAGTCCTGATAAATACATAGCCCGGTAGACCCACAGAGACAATATAGCGGCCCGTAGGCTCCTCGCCAACGCTATATATAGACTACAGCAGGAGAAAACTGGCTCAGGTGAATCATTTTGCTTGAGATACATAGGTCTTGGACTTGAGAAGCGTTTCGCCGTTCCGGGGTTATAGAAAAATACTGATTGATCGGTCGGTCGAGCTCCAAGCGCCAACACGCTGTCAAGATGGCTTCGGCCTCACTCTGTCATTCGGATCTGATGACGATTGGCATGCCCGGTCGAACAGATGATCAATGCTATGCGGGCTGGTCAGTCAAGGAAGCGCATGGCTGTGGTATTTGGGGGAGAGTTCTGTTAAATCTTAATAGGATGTTATTTGTGTGAGCGTGTGGCCCTGGGGTTGAAGAGCGTGGTGTTTAAGTGAATGTACATTGTGAAAGATTACGATGAACAAATTGTATCAGTGAATTCACGAGTCAGTATGTACTTTAATGAACGACAAGAAGAATTGAGTATCCACTCAGTATGTCAAGTTGATCATGATTGTCTTTGTCTCGGTGAAATGTTCGAGGGCAGCACGGCCACATTCACGACCAAGACCACTCTGCTTGCTACCACCAAAGGGCACGTTTAGCATATTCAGGCTAACACAGTTAATACCGACCATTCCAGACTCAAACTCGCTAGCCATTCGCATGGCCTTGTTGATATCCTGGGTGAAGACACCAGCCATAAGTCCGTACTCTGTGGCATTGGCCTTCTGAAGCACTTCACTTTCAGTTTTGAAAGAGTTGAGAATAGATACCGGGCCAAAGATCTCTTCTCGGTACAGCTCGGCATCGGCCGCGACATTTGTGAAGACGGTGGGTTGGATGAAGTATCCCTTGTCGCCGACGCGCTTTCCTCCAGTGAGGATCGCCCCTTGCTGGGCACCTCGCTCGATGAAACCAGTCACACGTCGGAACTGGGCTTCATCCACCAAAGGCCCCATCAGTGTCGTCGCCTCTTCAGGGTCATTAATTGCTTTGGCGCGCTCCTCCAAGGCTGCCTTGTACTTCTCGGTGAATTTGTCCAGAATACCCTCTTGCACGTAAACACGCGAGGCGGCAAAGCAAACCTGACCGGTGTTGGCTGCGATCGCATTGACGCACCAGGTGACAGCATTGTCCAAGTTACAATCATCAAACACAACAGCTGGAGACTTGCCACCGAGTTCAAGGGTGACTCGCTTGAGATTGGTTTCGGCAGCCATCTTCTGGATCAGCTTCCCAGTCCTAATCGACCCAGTGAAGCTAACCTTCCGGATACGCATGTGCCGTGCGAGGAGAGCTCCCGTCGGCCCAGCCCCAGACAAAATCTGGAAGACGCCGGGTGGAAAGCCAGCTTCCTTGATCAATAGGCCCAAAGCCAACGCAGCAAATGGCGTCTTCTCTGAAGGTTTTAGGATGAAGCAGTTGCCAGTCGCCAGCGCCGGAGCCGCCTTGAGACCGACTGTTCCAAGCGGGCCGTTCCATGGGACGATTCCCGCAGTCACGCCCAAGGGCTCATGGCGAGTGATCTTCATGAAGCCATTCTCTTGAGGGTGCGCCTCTCCGGCGAACTTGTCAATCCAGCCTGCATTGTAACGGAATGACTCCGTGGCCATGCCGAGTTCGAATTTGCCGAACGGCCCATACGGTGCACCAAGCGTGATTCGCGTGAGCTCTGCCAGAGCTAGGCTATGTTTATCGATAAGATCGGCGAACCTCAGCAGAATATTACGTCGCTCCAATGCCGTGATGGCCTTCCATGCGGGGAAGGCAGCTTCCGCGGCGGCCACGGCCGCATCAACATCCTCTGCGCCCGCAACAGGCACTTTATCGGAGACCAGTGAATTGTCCTTTGGATTGAAGACTGAGATGGTCTCAGTGTTTTTTGCGTCGATATATTCATTGTTGATGAAAAGTTGCTGAGGTAGGTTGCTAGGCGAATAGCCGAAAGCGGGGTTCTCGTTGATAGAGCCCATGGTGGTATGAGGGGTTCAATTAGGTATGTATTTTGTGAAATAATTCGGCTAATACGTTTTTCAGAGAAAGAGAGCGGGGCTTTATAATGTCAACAATGATCATACTCAATCAAACATGTGTTAGTCATAGTCAATTTGGCACAAAGTACGGCATCAGGCGTGCGTGCTGCGGGGAAATGTTATCTATGCAGCGGCAGGTCGCCCTATTTCCTATTTATGAACCCGAGGGATCATCGGTTTTGCCACTGCCAAAATATTAAATACATGCCAAGTGGTCATGTTTGCCATCCACGTCGCCAAATTCACCGAATTGGGACGTCCATTTCCAGTAAAGCGAATTCATCTCGCTTATAGTTACTGTAGAATAACAGCTTGGATCTCCTTTCATGAGGCGCTTCCGAATCCTGATAGGCCAAACCACCAGACTTACTAGTATTATGGTAGGAATCGTTGCGTGCAGGACGCTGATTACCCGGCCTGGAACGGCCTGCCTTCCGAAAAGCGCCAATAGATGGCAAATGTGACAGGGCCCCCAGAAAAGAGGGGTCCCACTCATCACGCAAATATTAGCTCTTCATTCCCTGGGTCTGCTTAAAATTTAATTGCTCTGTACCTAACCCTATGGCTAAGCTGGGGGTTCACTTTCGTGAGAAGGTGGTTAGACTGGGCGATGTGGTACTTAGGAGAGTCGGACGTTGTGGATAGAACTCCAACAAAGAGAACTCTGATAAATTAATTTGGAGATTATTTGAGGAGTCTATCGTTCACTTGGAGAGCCTGTCAACCACGAACAGCTATCACATCAACAGTTGAAACTGTATAGCTTGCGGTTTCCGAGGCAGGCGGATCATTCTGGAGGATATTGCTCTTCGACGTTTGATCATTCCTCCAATTATATGAAATTAGCGATTAACGCTCCATTATCCTTGATCATGTCTACTGACGTTGGCACTACCCTATCCATATTTAGTCAGGACAAGAGGCAAATCGACTGCAGTCTTCCCCTGCAGTTCATGAGAATTGAAAGTCAGGCATTCAAATTGCTGGCCCAAATGCTGTTACTTTACATTGCAGAGACGGTTATGCTTACAACTTTCCTTGTTCTTGTGGTGTTCACTTTTGAATTTCCTTGTGAAATCAGATTACTATTCATAAATTTATTAAATTTATTCCTAAGAAACTATGCGATTCATTCTCTGTCTAGGGAAAAGTTAATGGTTTGAAGCCGAGATAAACCGAGAATTTTCTATGACTCTATAGCTTAGATAATTGTGGGCCAGGCAACTCAGCATCGCGCTTAGCCCACTCCTTGAGAACCTTTCTCTGGATCTTTCCACTTGCCAATCGCGGAACTTCTTCCACGAATATGACACCACCAGTGAGTTGCTTGTGCTTCGCGACGCGGATTTTCATGTAGTCCTGGATTTGAGCCTTTGAAGTACTGGAGGCTGGACCATCCTGCAGCCGAACGTAGGCTCGGGGCCGTTCTTCTTCATTTATTGTGATACCAACCACCCCGGCATCTGCGACATCGGCATGCTCCAGGAGCACGGCTTCGAGTTCTGCAGGGGCCACTTGTAGACCATTAACTTTGATTAATTCCTTTTTGCGATCAACGACCCAAAAAGAATTATCGCGGACAATAACAACGTCTCCCGTTTTGAGCCAGCCCTCTTCATCGAGACTCTCTCGGGTAGCTTGCTCATTCTTCCAATAACCCATGCAAACATTGGGGCCTCGGATATACAGCTCACCGGGCTCACCTGCGTAGATAATCTTTCCTTCCTCGTCAAGAATCTTGCATTGGCAATTTGGAACAAGCATACCAATAGAGCCTGAATCATCGGTGCGACCACCAGGGACATAGAGCCCACTACACGTAAGCTCTGTCATCCCCCAGGATTGAACGACATTCAACTTCAAATTCTTTTGTATGGTGTTTTGAAGTTCTCTGGAAAGCGGTGCTGCTCCACACAAGATATTCTTGATGCTGCTCAAATCAAATTTCGACGTCTCAGGTCGTTTATCAAGCATGATCAAGATAGGCGGAGCCACTTGGAGATTGGTGATTCGGTATTTCTGGATGACCCGTAAAAAGTCCTCGAAAACAAACTTCTGCATAATGTAGATAGGAACCCCCAGTTTACCTGCCATCAGATTCGCATAGAGTTGGCCTGGGAATTGTAAGTAGTGTTTAGGGGTTGGGTTGAAGTGGTTTGGGAGCATCTTACCGTACGCATGGTATAGTGGAAGAAAGCCGACCCATCTCTCTGCTGGGCGAGCTCCAGGAACAGCCGCATAAGGGGTTTCCTGGTCACGAGTAAAAATTGATTGTTCAACATTCGCGATAAGGTTGTAATGTGACACGCATACGCCTTTCGGTAGGCCAGTAGTCCCTGAAGAATAATTGATGGTGGCTATTGTGGAATCTGCACTCTCCCTCAAGTCATCCCACTTCCACATATTTGCCTCTTCCTCGGATCCCAGCATTTCTCTCCAGTCAAGAATACCATAGACGGCGCGGCAAGGGCGATCGGAAAACTGAAAGATGCGATCCTCCGGGAATCCCACTCCGCGGGCAGCCTCCAGGACAGTCTGGATGAGGCTTGGATGAGTCAAGATAACTTTCGCACTTGTATTCTTCAGCTGGTGCTGGATCTCGGGTACTTTATAGATCGGATTGGCCCCGCTGAAGATTCGGCCAGATCCCGCGATGCCCTGGTATGCAACCGGTACAAATATATGATTTGGTGTAATGATCATGACCACCTCTCCTTTTTCTACTCCGAGTCTATCCAGACCAAAGCCTAGACGACGCACCCACGACAGCATCTGGCGGGGAGAAAGTGACTTTGCGGGGTCTTCAGCGTCGATCCATATTGGGTTGTCGGATACCGTTTGATTCGTAGGATAAAGGTAGGAGAGGATATTGGTTTTAGGAATGTCGAGCGTTGGAAATACTGATTTGAACATCTTGAAAATATGTTAGTAAAGATGGTGATTGAAGAAGAATGGATAGAATTAAGAGACGATTTTGGCATAAAGGCAATACGACAGCGCTTCAAGGCCCCGCACCGCGCACCTTGCAACCGGGCTACCGAACCGAGGTCATACAGACAGGGAAAAAGATATCCCTGTGCATTCCATATAAGCGAATGCAGAGAGAATATATTAAGCTTACCCACATGATAACTACAGCAACCTTCAAATGTAACCTGCGATCCACCATCTTGTCTCCATAACTCACTCGCCGCCATTGCGATAACATGAATTGATCATTTATCAAATTTCGGATCAATTCAACTTGAAATTTACTTCGACCTTCATTTTAGGGTCGCGATAATCACGAGAGATAATAGGAGTTATTTCCCGAAATTCATGTTGAAAACATTGTTAATTGCATTTCATTCATCGTGCTTCGCATTGTCTGGGATCACATGCGGCAATGACATTTCTCGAAGGCGGTGCCAAAGACTGTCACCATAACAGCACGAAAATCAGAAGCCCCACGAAGAATCAAGCAGCCCCCCAGAAAGCCCAATAAGCTGGCTGCAATGCAAGGGAAAACTATTTAGATTGCGAGGAACAACTAATCATTTGATGTAAAGGTTGTTGACAGAATATTGGGCGGATATCCCCCACGTACAGGAGTTCGGGTTTGCCCTTTGATGTCCCCTCTTGCTTTGCTTTCGGTCGAACCACCCTGAAAATCACATCAGTATAACTGATTCTCTAGTCAAAAGCAGAAGCAGCTTTCTTTGATCATATGGTTAAAAGGATAGGCCAGTTGAAGCTCTGTTAAATATTGTCTTCTCTACAAAATTTGAACCGGCTCGTGCCTTTCCAAGCTCGTATTGAATCACGCCACCGCTTGTTGCTTGAGGCTCACTCACAACAACATTGCCGAGCCGAATATCTCGACCTTGCTCAGGGCGGGCGATACCACCACTAAGTGCTACAAGAAGACTGATCTTGATCTGGGACGGAGAGGAGAGCAGGCCGGATGTCGTAATTGCTGTAGAGGTGGTCCTGCTGGGAGTCCGCAATTACAATATTATGCTTGTCCATTTTACCCCAGGTGTATGGGTTTTCGTCAGATGGGTGCTGAGTAAAGTCATGAGATTCTTCATGGCGCTCATCAAGCATCGAAATAGCTGCGGCACGCTCGATAGGCAGAGGTGCAATCCATCCGATCGTATATGAATCCGGGATGACCAAGCCTTCAAGAACCGCCATTGTAGAAAGAACTGATCAATTATGATGTCAAGTGCAAAATTGAAACGTAGAGTGCTGAAGTAACGACACACTCACCAGTTCGCAGCTACGTGCCCAAGAGAAGAACGGGCAACTGAAGGCTGCGGCTGAGTAGCAGAGCAGTCGGCCACGTCACAATGCTTCGCCTATGCGAATATTATAAAACCTTGCAGACTCCAGGCATTATAATAATGATACTATGTGGTTTAAAAAACTGCGATGTCCAGGTCAACGTAAGTGACAGTCCATTTTATTCAGCTCTTTAAAGAAGGCTTAACAGAAGACCTGAGAGACGCACCTATTGGTGATATATTTGGCCTCCATCTTCATCTCAGCTCAGCAAAGCCATTTCTAGCATTAGTCCATTGCTCTCGTATGCTTGCTTTGCGAGCCAAAGTCTAGTCAAAAGAGCCAAGTAACCACATTAGCCTCCGCGAGGGGCAAATCATCGGCGCAGCTGAAATTGCATACCGATTCGGTAATTATGCACAACAAATCTAAAAATAACCCCAATTTAGCTGCATAAGATAGGGTTACAGCCGAACAAGGAAGAAAAATTGCAGCTAATTTTCTTCTATTTCGGGGCACAAGGGCAGCTAATTATGGAACATCATTCCCTGTCAGGCGCCGATCTCTCCGCAATCCTGCAGTTCCGTCCCGGCGGCAATGCATGTCTATTGTCTTGTGTACACCGGTGCACTTCACGATGCTCCTCCAGATGCACGTCGGATACTTTTCTTGCGCCGGTCGCGTTGGCGAACAAGCTTTATATCCAGGCGCCTCCCGCTCGAGCTCAGGCGTTTCATAGACTCATCATCTCCAGTCTCTGACAACGTTGCATTGCGGTTTTGTATTGATTACATTTATTTGTTGACCTAATCTTTTATTCTTTTATTGCTCTTATCATCTCTTGCTTGATCCTTGATTCTACAAATCTGAAGCGGTCATTGGTTGCGACCCCTCCACGACGACCTAAGATCCCTGTCAGTCGTCAGATTGGCTGCGTCCAATCGGAGGCTGACCTCCTTGTCTGTGCTGGTTGACTCGTGCCCTGCATGCAACCCGCGGGAGATCCCCGGTGGTGAAAGCCAAAGAGTCTAGTTGCTCTTGATCTCGTGGGTCTACGTCAGCCACGCCGTAGTGCACTTTTTTCTGAAGGGCTCCTCCTCTTTGTTGGCCCCGCCGTTTCATTCACGCTTGAATGGTATCCTTTGCATCCCCTAGGAGTTTCATACGTTCGGGGATCATTCGCCAGAGTCACAGGCAACATGGCTGGTATCGTTAATAGGCCTCTTTCCATCTTCCGCAGACCAGAGTCTCCTAAGCCTCTGCACTCGCGGTGGGGTGACGTGGCTATCTCCGTTCCCACAGATGGTTCATGGAATCAATACGACAATCCTCATCGAATTCCTCGGAGGCCATCTTACGGGCCAGGCTTTGTTCCAGACTGCTCGCCTTCAGAGAAGAAGCTTCGTCAAGTGAACGAAGAAGAGACCGAGGAGGCCGATGACGACAACAAAAGCACGTCGACGATCCCAACTATTCCCCGTCGTAACTCTCTATCTCTGGGTGGTCTGGGTGGAATTCGAGCCGGTCGGCTCTCAGTCCGGCTGGCATCTCGCCCAAAACACCTGAGGGGGGAATCCCCGACAGAACGAGATAGCCAGTCAGACCAAAGGAGGCCCGATTTTGCATACAAGCCGATTCAAACCGATTATGTCTCTGAAGTCTCCGAGACTTCAAGTCAAAGTACCCCGCGGTACCAGTATATTCCCGCTAGTGGACGTTACATGGAGGATATCCTGGGTGCTACTACTCGAAGTCAATCCGCAAGATCCTGTCGCAGCTCACGGACTCGACGTGACTCATTTTCCGAGTCTCAGGAGGACAGAGATCATGATCGCGACCGTCACTCGCGAATGCAAACTGCATCGCGGGTCAGCTCGCATCAAGAGGATGATCGGCAGAGTCTGCGATCTAGCTTGGGGGATAGCTCTGATGGTGTGGGCTCCCGGCTTAGTAGTTTTGGGTTGCCGCCGAGGCGGAGGACTTCTCCGTTTGTTGCGGCGGATCGGAGGTCTTCATCTTTGAAACCTATGACTTTGGCGATGGTGCCCGATCCTGAAGACCTTTATTAGTGTCTATCGACCACGTTTCTTGTATCACGGATGGCGTTCTTCTTTCATTTGTCATGGCGCGGCGTTTAATGGCATTCCAGACGTTGTTGGTGTTTTTAATTATATTCGCGGCACAAGAGATTTCAGCATGACAAACGACTATTTCATTCTCCACAAATGAAGATTTGTATCCTATATTCGCTTATCGCCTGTAATTTACTTGTAGTCGCGAACTTTCGATGCACTATCTCTCAGGTCCGGCTGTAGGGGGAAACTCGGTCATTATGATGGCATGGCAACGTCTCTGGGCTTGACCATCTTCTGGCAATCTTACTCCAAAACTCCTTCCTAGTCTATCAGAGATACCACCGCGCACCAATTGGTAGTCATCATACCTGTTGGAATCAGTCTTCTACCTTCTGTTGTGAAGTTTTTAGAATGGATATGGCTGATGCAGTGGTTCTACTTCGCTGCGGTGTCGAGGTATCGACATATTACTCCCTGCCCACTGCCTTGGGATCTAACAGCTCTTTTTGCAGAACGACGCTTGGGGAAAGAAAGGAAAAAATTCAATGGTCGCCCAATTGTGGTCAAAGACTCCGGGGAGTGAGGGGATTGATGAGTCTAAGACTTACTCAGAGGTATGAGAGCTCTTGAAATTGGTTGACCCGCGATCTGAAATATTTATTCAGATGTGGATGGGAACGTATCCCTCGAATCCATCTTATCTCCTAGCCACTGGCGAGCATCTAGGCGAATACCTGAAGAAGCACCCCCAGTTGGTGGGCAAAGCGGTTGTCGATCGCTGGGGCCCGGAGATACCCTTCCTACCAAAGGTATGAAAGCAACGGACTCGGAAGCGGGTGCGATTAACAACTGCAGATATTGTCTGTCTCCAAGGCCCTGCCACTTCAAATTCATCCAAACTCGAAACTATCAGCCAAATTGCACATGCAAGACCCCAAGAAACACAGCGATACAAAGCACAGACCGGAAATCGCCATCGCACTTTCCAATTTCGAGTTATTTGCGGGCTGGAAGCCACTCAGTGAGATCGAGGCCTTATTCAACCTGAAGCCGCTGGGAAGATACGTCTCACCACAAACGAAATTCGACAACGAGACCCTGCGACAAGTCTGTAAATCGCTATTGAGTGCTGACCCGCACACAGTGGCCGCCACAATCAAAGAGCTACAGAACATCCCAGAATCTCATTTCGGTAACGATCCCTACATCCCAGTTCTCCTCGACCGACTCAGCAAGCAATTTGGCGAACGTGAAAATGGAAACCTCGTCGCCGCCCTTTTAATGAACTACATGGCCCTAGGTCCTGGTGACTCCATCTTCGTTCCACCGGATAGTATCCACGCTTACCTAGAAGGCGACATCCTGGAATGCATGGCCCGAACCGATAATGTGATAACAACGGGCTTCTGTCCTGCCGCCGAGCGCGAAAACGTCGAGCTCTTCGATCAAGCGCTAACTTTCAACCCTCACAACGCTGAAAGCGCTCTGCTATCACGTAGAAAGAGCGACAAGGGTATGAACGGCAAGACGGATGTTTATGCGGCCCCGATCAGCGAGTTTGCAGTCCTGTGCACTTGTCTCGGCGCAGGAGAGAAGGAGACGCACAAGGCCATTCTCGGACCTAGTTTGATGATTGTTGTCAAGGGGTGTGGGGCTATGAAGATCCCTGGGGATCAGACAATTGAATTAAAGGATGGGTTTGTGTTTTTCGTGGGACAGGGCGTTGCGCTGGATTTCTGCACGCACAAGGGACTGGCGGTTTACCGCGCGTATGCAGAGTAGGGGCTGGTTTTGAACAATGGTTTGAATTTGACAATTCTGGGCTCTCATATTGGACTGGTCAACTTACTTTCTGCCTTTCTTGTCTTTGAGGCAAACATTGAGAATCGCAATTCTACCGATGCAGTCAGTGCCAGAGGCGTGCAGATCCCCGTCGGTGGTATAGCCGACCCCACCTGAGATTGTAGATTGCACTTTGTTAGTGTCGGTTTCGGCCGCAACTTTGATTCGATCATTCCTCGGGGCGCGTAAAGTCAGCCAGTCAGAAAGCTGAGAAAGTGTTGGTTCGTTATGATTTGCCGGAACTATGCAAGATTGAGATGCGCACAGCTGTGGCATGGAGCGGGCGCTTTCGGACGAGGCCTGGCCATGACTAGCGTGATGTGCTGGCACTGAATTGAGACTAATTAGGGGCTAATTATGGGCCTTTCTATCTATAGTCCCTCAATTACTATCTTTACCTCTTTTCCTTGAGCGCCTCAAAATAATCCCACCGGAAACAGGGTCCCTGTGCCGGGGAAGCTTCTTTCTAGGACATATATCAGGGCTCGTCATGGCCTTCTTCAACCTCACGCCCGAGGATCGACTCCCAAATAATACCTCCAGGTGCCGGCTTTTGGGGGGTTACGACGCAAGTCTGGATCTGACATGGATTAATTTGACCCTGCATCGTCCATCCCCCGGTGCTCTCCATCCTTAGCTTGTTTTCCAACCGGGGTTCGAATATTTTTCCGACCCCCATCACACGATCTACTAGCCAAGAGCTCTGGGATCAAGGCATACTATTGGCGAGGTCTCTGCGAGCACCCTGGGCCCTTGCAAGTAGGTTCGCCATCGCCCAGGAACGGAAGTGATAATGCAACGCTAACGACTCCACCTAGTGACGGGTGGACTTCTGTACCTTTTCTCCCGCAAGGAGAGAGCGAAGCGAAAGCAAGCACAGCAGGCCGAGCAACCGCCAGTGCCACCGGCCCACAAAACCAACTACTACGAAGCGCCCAACGGGCCCCGCTCTGCACATCCCCGGCCGCTATCTACTTTCGCTCCGGACTACAGTCACTATCACTATGCCCCGCGAGCCTCAATGGACCAGCCCCCACTGCCCACGTATGATCCTTCCAAATACCAGCCAATTCGACCAACATCAACACACAGCGCCGATCTACTATCCCCATACGGGTATACTAACCCCAGGGCCCAGCCGTCCCGCTTGCGCGAAGTGCACTACAACGATGCACGTTCATCTATCTATCAGCCCCCACCGCTCCAAAATTTGCCGTCTCATGCAAGACGACAGTCCACTATGCCTCTGCCATCCTACCCAACGGCCTCGGCTGAGCGTTCATCTAGATCAGGGGACGGTCGAGAAAGGAGTCATTCAGAGCCAATGCTTTCTGCGCCGCAGGGGGCGCGCGGCCCAAAACGGGCCAAGCCGGTGCTCTCACGGCTTATTACCAATTTTTGATAAATTGTGCATATAGTTTTTTTTTTCTTTCCTCTTCAGATTGGGCTGTTAAAACAGCCTACATGCTACGACCTTTATGAGCTGCGAGGAGTCTGGGGTTTGATCTATAACTTAGGCATGGTTCATCCGTGCACTAGGGAGCTTGGCCAGTGAACTAATTCGTGGGGGAAGGGGGAGCATTGTTCAATGAAATAAGAAACATTTACACTGGATTGCCAAGGCAGACGAGTTCGTCGCAACTTATGCAGTAGAAAGAACCAAAGTACAATTCAAATCATTTGAATCACAAATGGCGCAGGACGATCACTGTTGGCGCAACGCGAGTGGAGTCGAGATCGAGACCCCAAACAGACGCCTGTGGCCTGTGCCACTGTCGATCTTCCAGACTTCACTTCCGTTCTCTCGGCCATTCCATTATTCCATCGGCGCCTAAGTTAAGCTCCGGCGGGAGGTGCCACGAGTTCAACGGGAAGATCAACCTAGTTGCATTCCGAACCACCGATTGCTTGTCCCCTTTCGCTTGCACTTCGCTTGGACTTTAGGCTACCATGATCTCCACTGAACTTGAAATAATCCACTCGAGTGCAGGGATCGGAAGCAATATGGTGAAACAGTGTGATTTTTGGTCAATATCCTCGGGACCCCGCCCCCTCTTTTGATCCCTGCTGGAGTGGTGCCGGTCTTCTACCAGAGCCTCTCGCCCTAGTAAATAGCGGCCTGCGGTCAGAGGATCCTCTTCCCTGTCACCAGCTCCTGCCCGTACCAGAACACTCCTGGCTGTTGAATATAATCGGTTATCGGCTATCAGCGTCCCTGGAGGCACCTCAATCTTCTCCATTATGGTCTTTGGGGCGTCGTGCGCAGGTGCCGATCTCACGACAAGCGCCATGCCAAGACGACGGCGGACGACGTGCATGCGATACTATGTGCAACCCATGTTTGACTCGCCATCAAGAGTCAACGGCACGCCCTGCGCCGCAAAGGGTTGCAAATGACCTTTGAGCCAGGGGGCCTCGAATCTATCCATTGGCCCCCCCTTCCCTTACCCCTCTTACCCTGCAACTGCGCTGCCGCACCAACACCTGCAGTCCTCGGAGCTATCCCACTCCAACTCGACTGCGGCCCGCTAGGCTCCTTCGCCCGGCCACTTGTCGCGTTTGTATTTCGCTCATCACTTTTCCTGAAGCGCTGCTGCTGTGCCGGATTCGATATCATCGTCCCAAGTGGCGCCTCCGGGGCCACCGTCAGAGGGGTTGAACCGTAGTATCGGGTCCCCAACTTCGGATTTGCTCATCAGAGATTGGGCATTCGCTCACTTCCCAACACCAACTTGTCAAGTATCTCTTCAGAAGATCTTCCCGCCCGGTCAGAACCTAACAAATATGCGGTGACTAGCGTTTCTTCACGGACTCCCTTCGTTGATATAAGTCCAACACATGCGGGCGAAGCCGCCTGCGCTGCCCTTTCAACTTGGCTCAGACCCAGATCTGTCATTTCCTGCGGCTTTACTCCACGTTTCCCTGTGGGGAAGTTTGATCGACCTTGAGATGCGCATCGCATTAGGGAGTGGACTGTCCTCCCACTGAGGCCGTTGCCTTTTAAATACAGAGCGTATCCACTCTGCGCTCGTTTCGATGATCAACCCGCTCAAGGTCATGGCGAGCCTCATGAAACGGTTCAAGAGGAAGCGCAGACTTTCGTCCGAGTTGCACTCTCGCTGGGGCGACCCGGCCATCAGTTATCCCAACGAGGGCTCCTGGAACCAAAGAAATCAGCCTGGCTTCGCTGTCACCACTCCAGCGGAGCCACACCACCATGACCGTCCAGATGAGCCGCGGCGCTATATGCCAATGAACAATGGTCCGACACAGAGCATCGGCCATCCAAACGACCTTGGTTCTCACAGCATCGACATGCGAGACACGGTCGCCGGTCTGCCGATTCCAAAAGGTTACTTTGACGAAAACATCCGACACCGCACACGAAGAAGCTGCAGTCCACCCGCGCGAGGCTTGGGCATTGATGACCCGCGCAAAGAGCTACAACAAACACCAGATAGCTCGGATGAGGAGTCATGCGACGAAGAAGACGAAGAAAGAGACACATTCGGCGGCCCAGGAGGCTCGCTACGTCACACAGAAATCCCGCGCCCATCTCCCCAACTCGACTCATATATGGATCACTCTTCAAGATCCCCTCCATTATCAGTGACTTCACGTATGCGCCGAATTAGCATGCAAAGCTCGACGACCGAACACACGCCCTCGGTCGCTGGAACGACCAGCTCAAGACATACGAGCCTCACGGCTGCATCTTCTGTCTCGGCACCGTCACTTCCCCCGGACACGCCGCGATATGCATTCAATAACATGCATCCGGCACCCCTGGAAAAGCGACATGCTCCCCGCCCGCGGCCCCGGGAACCCGAGCCTGCGTTTACGGTTCGTCATGAGATGGTGCCGTCCTACGATGAACTCTATGGATGAAGTTTTCGATGTTTTATTTGCTTTTCATTTGTGATCTAGAGATTGATGATTATTTGGGTGGTCTTTTTTGCTGGTTAAGTGGCCCGTAGTGGGCTACACCCCAGGTGTTGGAATTAATATTCTCCCGGATTCTTTTACTACACTTTTACGATCACTGGAGCTTTGGAGGCTTGGAGGCTTGGAGGCTTTTTTTGCAGATCTTTCCTAAATCTCACGATTGTATTCCAAATTCAATGTTCCTACCGTACGCGTTCTTAGAGTGGTCTTGGCTGGGCGGAGCAATTCTCCACTGATGCACTCGGATGCTCCGCACCTGTCAACGTCTACGTATATGGCGTTGAGCTCCCGTTTACGACCTAAAATCCAGATACCGGAGATCCGTCCGGAGCCTACTTCAAAGCTACGTGAGTCGCAGGTCCAGTGGAGGCGCGAACTCCCGCCGGTCCGTGCAGCTGAATATGCAGACCGTGTCACAGTCACAGCCGCCTATCACCAATCACCCCGGGCGCCTTCATCACACTCGTGACGGCCCCAAAGATCCACTAGTGCTGGCAGAACTGGCCCATCCTGCATTCTTGGCCAACCCCTCAACCTGTGCTCGGTGAGCTCTAAGCGCCGAGCTGGTACCCTGGTGAGGGGTGTGCTTGATTCGAGTTCCTTTCAACCCATGCTTGCGGCACTAGGTGCACACTGCATGTAGCACTTCCTGTGCCTCATTTTCTTTCTTCTTACAGGAGAAAGGATCTATCCACTCGATCATCCCACCCGGTCGCTTCGAGAGAGGTCCGGACACTGAAAAAAGAAGCTTTTCCTCCTGCCTGTCGCTGCTTTTCCCGAACCACCATTTCCATGACACCTTGATCGCCCTTTCCCGGCGCTAGGCCTCTGCTTTCTTCCTTGTCTGGCCATCACTGAAGAGGAACCGGATACCGTTCTCATTCAACATGCCTGGACTGTCGCTCCGCGGTCCAAGGCCCGCGAAATTGCGGGCGATTATCCTAGCGGCCCTGTTCATCAGCAATCCCCTCGCCGTCCAGGGCCTGAGAACCACATCGGGCTCTCCCTGCGCAGAACAGTGCAGCAAATCGGGGGGGTCATCCTCAAACACCACCGTCTCCGAGATTGTTTGTCTAGACTCGCACTATAATCAGACCAAAGGTCGCGATTTCGAAGACTGCATCAAGTGCGAGTTGGAAAGCACCTACGTCGATCGTCCATCGGGGGAAACCGATGTCAACTGGGGTCTCTGTATGTCAATAGCCTATAATCAACCGGTGATAATGTCGCTAATCGCCCCGCTCCAGTTAACCTCCGTTTCGCTTTCACGACGTGTGTCTTCGGGTATCCCGCAGTGATCACAAATCAAACCTCGCAATGCCCAGTCGCATGCGCGGGGATCCAACCCGCTGTAGAAGTCGACCTGTTAGACCCTAGCGCGAACAATTTCCAAAACTGGTGCAAGAGTACCGCGTTCGCCGACAACGTCGTCAACACCTGCGAGTTCTGCTATAACCTGACCTCCGAAGCCGTGAACCCCGGCACAACCGGCGCGCAGGTATACCTTGGAAACTGTATGTGAATCCCCATCCAAACGAACCTTTCCTCTTCCAAACAAAAGGGAGAAATAACCCCCGAGAAAAGAACATCCACTAACCTGTCGCCAGTCCTCGAATCCATTCGCTACAACTGCCACTACAGCACAACAATCGGCTCCACATTCGACATCTCCCCCTCCCGGATCTTCACCGAAGTCCTCCTGCCCTCCTCAATGTCCCTCTCCACGCCAACTGCCTCCTCAAGCGGCGTAAATCTAGGCGTGGTCATCGCCCTCCCAATCCTAGGCTTCATAATCATCCTCATTGCACTAGCCACATGCTGCTTCTTCTTCATCCGGTATCGTCGCAAGCGCGTCCGCCGGAACCGCTACCAAAGCCATCTGTACGAACGTTGGAATGATACCACCATCGGCACCCCGCAACAGAGCCAGGGTGTCTGGGGCTGGGCGGGTCAGCCCGCGTACTCTGATAATGACCAGGCGGCAGCGGCGTATGGGTATGGGTCGGGCTTCGGGTTTGTTGATAATGATGGGCATGCTCGTGAGGTTGGGTATGGGTATGACCACTCGCAGACTAAGACTGGGTTCCAGCATGGAATTAGTGAGGCGCCGTTGCCTCAGACGGGGCCGCCTGGTATTAATATTTCTGAGGCTGGGCATGGATATCCGCCTGATCAAAAGCATGCTCTCTAGTGAGCTCCGTGGATGTGATTCATGTTGTCTTTGTGAAGCCGGACGGTGCTCAGCTATGTGCCTTGATACCCGAGCATAGGTCCAATGCTGGTATATTAATGAGTGGATGCGATGCTCACATCATGAGAGGCGTTTTCTTTTTGATATTTCCTGGAGAGCGCGTTCATATATCCCCATCTTTTCGAATATTGAATGTTGAAGTCAACCGGTTTGAATCAAACATTTGAGAAAAAGACCTTCAACCCTCAACTTTTCGAGAAAGAGAAGAAGTAGAAGAAGTAGCCATGCCAACCAACAACAACCAGAAAGATTCAAATCGGCGGCAACAACCCACCTATTTAACAAAACATGCCCATGCGGCGCGCGCCAAAAATAAACACGGCAGAGCATTGTATACGAGCAGGTCGGCTATCATGACTTAGTGAAAACCTTGGAGAGGTCTCCGGCCATAATGCTGGACCCGGATTGGTCGGCTGACACCGTACAGCGTTTCAGTACGCACCGCCAAGGGTCCAAGGGTCCAATTACACGTGGAGAGGCACTCGGTGTATTTTTGGAGCGGGTGGAGTTTGCTTGTGCGCCTTGGCTTTATATAGATTCTCTGTTGGGTTGTGCTTGTCATGCAGGCTATTGTTCCGGGGGCTGGCTGGATACGCGGGTTGAAGCTCCAAAGAGGGGATGTCCAGGTGCGGTAAGATTAGCATTCGGTCTGTTAGGGGTGAAGATAGTGATCTACTATGTCAAGGGACAAACGGCATAGTTATGATGTTAGGATATCATATATGCCATGCTTAACATTTGGATTCTTCGAAGACTGTATACAAGTCCACACTGGCTCTCGCCCGTATGCTGCACGTAGAGAGGGTACTTATGGGGGTTGTCTATGTAACTCCCCTCGTACTTGTTACAGGATCAGATGCCCAGGTATGCATTTGGGCAACATGAGGGTAAGATACCTACTGTTGGCTCTCACGCTCGGCTTACATCTTGAAACATATCTTGGTGAAGTGCGTTTTGCATTATGACAAGTGGTCACCTGGCCAGCTATAATTCGTCGGCAGCAAGTGTTAACCAGCAATCATTTTATCAAGAAGCCCCTTTAAAGAAAACCCCGCATAGCCACCTCGACGGATCTTGAAAATAGAGATAAGGCGAGTGCTAAGGGTTTCCCTTTTTCGCGAGTTGCCACATCCAGAAATCCAGTCTACACCCATTTCTTATATTACAATATCGCAATATCTAGAGATTGAGAACTTGATTAGTTCTCGGATGAGATATATATCCCAAATTTAAACCCAAAAATGAACCTAGAAATCTCACAACCGTTAGCAAGGATTAACTTCGTGAACCGAGATTGGAGACTCGAGATTGAGATCTTGCACCACAATGGCGTCTTATAACAACGCATAGAATCCAGAGTTTAAATTTGAACAATATAACGGCAAAACCTATTTTTTTTTACCTGTTCGCCATCCAATCGGACGAACTTCTAGATTAGAATAGGATTCAATCACGCAATCTGCAGGGACGGTGGGGACTGGACCCCTGTTTTCATTACTCTACAACCCCCAAGAGCACGATATCCAGCATTCAACGTTGACGACAACGATAACTTAAATTGGAAGGAAAAATTAAAAGATGCGAGATGCGATGGAGAATAAAAGAGTGTGTATTGCCGTAGCAAAGAAAATAAATTCAAAATAATCGATTCAATGAGCACACGTGTGCTGGAGGAGGCCTGTCATTGAGGCATTCAAACATCCATACCATCTATACCAGCGCCCATATTCCGTACTTACAAGCTTGAGATGATCAAGTCTAGTCCATGTCAAGTAAACATCTAAACATACAATCCGGTTCTGGTTCTGATCCGAATGGTGTACATCAGAACCAGCTCTGTACAGCACGCCTACGGATGTTTCCGTCCATCTCAGTCATTAGTTTCAATTGCCACCTGAGGAGCCAATCCCAATCCAGTCCGAGTCCGCGTGCGCGTGCGCGTCATGAGCGCTGTATTGTTCCTTTAAACGCGGAGGGTGGGGATCGGGGGGAAGCCGGTAGGGGTGGGGCCCGAGGAAGCAGGGCCGCTGGAGGAGCCGGAAGACTCAGCGAATTGGCGCTTGGCGAAAGGCCAGCTAGTGGGGAGGCCGGTTGGAATGGGGAAGGCGGACTCGATTTCAGAGATGACGCCGGAGGGGATAGGCAGCTGGCGCTTGTCGAAGCTGGGGCTCGCAGTGGGAGCAGGTCCTGAAAAAGAAGGGCTGCTGGAGAGGCCAGAAGGAGAAGGGAATTGGCGCTTGGCGAAAGGCCAGCTAGTGGGGAAGCCGGTGGGGATGGGGAAGCCGGACTCGATCTCAGAGATGATGCCTGAGGGCTCGGGGAACTGGCGCTTGTCGAAGCCGCTGGGTCCGACAGGGAAGCCGGACGGGAAGCCGGACGGGATACCAGTAGGAGTGGGAGCACCGGAGGGGACAGGACCTCCGAGAGGAGGAGCCTGGGGCAGGGCGAGAGCACAGCCCATCAAGCCCAACGCAGCGACGCCGGTGTACTTCATTTTGATTGAATTGGATCGGGGTATTCAAAAGTAATTAATGAAAGCGTTCGGATGAATGACCACAACACAGGCAGGATGTAGTAGTGATGAAGCAAAAGAGAAAAAAGCATTCTTCTGGCGATCGAGGATGTCTTTATAGGTCTGGCAAAGGCTAGGCACAGAGCTTGTTGCTGGGTCCTCAAACCTGATGGAGACCTCCGACATGGAGATTCCGTGATCGGGCAATGATCTCAACAATTTGCCTCTGATGGCTGGGCCGCCATATGCATGGGTCAGTCCGTACAGTTACGGATTGTCGATCATTTGAATCTAATGGATCCCCGAGTACACTTCGGTGGGACTAGTGCGTTAGCGTGAAGGGTCCCCGTCAGGGACAACGGACAAGGGACGGCGCCACAAGACTCGGTAATTCCAATCTGGGGCTGAGGCATTTTCCATAGCGTGATAGCTGCTGGCCAGCCCACGGTTAAACAAGCAGACAGCCGGTCGAAAAAAGCGGCCCATAGTGGAACGAGGCAAGTATCGACGTTTCGCTTAGATTGCTTGGACGGGCAGGCATGAGATCCAGACAACAGAACGACGATCGTGTTCCGTGTATACCGGGTGCCGGTGTGGTCTGACCGTATCAAATTGCCCCGTTCTATTCAGATGGTCAGGGCCACCTGCCCTTTCGGGAGCCACTTCCCACGATCAAACCCTGACGGGTCTGGACCGAGAGTAGGAAATATCGCCGAGGAGCTTAATTTTTGAGGCAGAAGCCTGATCTGAACTTGCATGTTCGGTCCTTGCGCAAGGCTGCGCCCGAGCTAGTTTGACTCATCTTTTTAGAATTGAGCAGGGTCAAGTTCAGGTTCAACGGTTGTTTCGAGACTCCAGATCCGTTTTCCAGCCACTGAATAATTCCATCGTGATGATGGGTTTACCCACAAAATAGGAACGCTCTGATACAGCCTGTGTATCAGGGCGCAACCAAATGAAGGAATTGTGGATTGGGCAAAGAGTAAAGTGGAAGGGCAGGGAAAGGTTCCCACTGATTGATAATGATGAGCCAATTGTCGGTGATGGATCGGCAAATGGAACTCGAAACTCGGCTGAAATTCTCTGTCCTGCTAAACGGGTGAGGTGAGAAGGTTGACCCTTCTCCGAGCACTGTTCGGGAGAGCCTCCAAGTGGTCTCGGCTCTGGGATTCCATGTGGAGACCATGAAGGCCAAGCTGTTTTGACGAGAGGAGAACCTTGGAATCCAGAACTCAAAGGGAATCTCGACAAAGTACCGTAGTCGGCGTCGTCAGCCTCGAACGAGGTTGGAATAGTGCGGGCCAGACCTGGCAGCCTAAACTGTATCGAGCTGGGTTTAGCCGGAACGGTGGATCCATGACTTCAATATTTGGGTGATCTGCACATGAACCTCCCCTGACCAGCGCGTACTGCCATGGTGAGCAACGCTGGATGATGCATGAGAACTCTATCACAGGGAAGCCACGCAGAATGAAACTTGCGCTCTGCAATGCGATGCATGCCCTGTTGCGGAAGGCAGCGGAAATTCTCGATCGTTTCATGTCAAACCCTAGCGTGAATAGCATAGGCAAAGACATCCCAGCCCTTATCGACGATCTGTACAGAGTACGGCTGTGACTACTCCTAGCCAAGGACCGTTTGCCAGGTCACGGTCGAACAGGCTATGCTCTGTTTACTGTACCTGTTTACCGCCTCGAGTTTGCTCTGCTCAATAGTGAGACCTGTTCAAACCCGTCTTATCGTTCCTCCCTTGCTAGATCATGGATTTTTCCAGTACAAGCTTCCTAAAATTCTTCTGTTTTGCCAATATTCCTGTTAATGCCCTCGTTCTTCCAAGGTCCCAAGTGGAAAGGGCCCAGTCAAGCGCAAACCCCAATTTCGAATGCCGATGATTACTCTTCATGGATTGCCGACTCCCCACCCAGTGGACACCACTTATCTCCAAGGTTCACACCGTTGGCCAGTCACCAATGTAGCTTTTTCTTCAAAAATATTATCCCTCGTGGCCTTCTGCGTACCGGAAAAGGTCTAGTGCGCCAAGAGCAAGGTTTCGTATTCTTAACTGAAATTGGTACTGTCGATCTAAAGCGATTTGAGTGCAAACATTTAGAAACACCTGGTAGCCTGGTGACGCCTCCCTGTCACCTATGCAGCCCATTCTCCGTTATATACAAATCCAGAACCAAACCAAATCCCCGAGACTGCTAAGCGCATCACTTGGATGACAGGCCTGGACCGTTCTATGACATCTGCATGAAATCCCAAAAATGCAACCCGAGACCCGTCTAGACAAAAGAAAGGAAACCAGACGTAAAAGCACCTTATGACGATCGCTATACTGAGTATGGAAAACTAGTGATGGATATTGGATTAAAACTGGTCGGAGATTAGAGGGATACGAGTGGTCTCGCACGTATCGCTCCCGTCCGAGTGGCCCGCACCGGACTAAGTAGGATAGCTCGTTCGGCCTGAACTGAACTATCAAATGAGACGGCTCGTAGCACTGTCAACTCCGAGGTTTTCTGTCCGGAATGCGGCGTAACGAAGCGATGTTCTCAATGGCGCGGTTTACGCGCGACTGTGTCATGAGAGCTCGGCTGGACCGACGGCGTCATGCTGAGCAGGTGGCGCGACGACGGTGAGAGAGCCATGGAGATCTCTCTAGCCGAGGGGACATACGCCTGCTTTGCCTGCTTTGGGGATGCTCGCCGGCTTGATGCGGACCGTGGTGAGTGCGCGGAGAATGACGATCGCCGTGATCGGACGGGACTATGCAGGATCCCGTAGGTTGACTCTGCTCCATACGAAGATGCCTCCCATGATGCCCGGTGGTTTGGTGGTCCCGGACGGATGGTGTATGTTGGCTCGTTATCCTCTTCGTCGTCGCTACCAGACCCGGTTGTGAATGCCCCGCCGAAAGATATTGAAGATCGTCGGTAGTCGGCCTTTGGCCGACTTGCGGAAATTGCGTCGGGAAATGCGAAGGGGGGTTGTTCGAGGGAGACGGTGCTGCGTGCCTTTCGCAATTCTTGCTGGGGTTGGCTTAAGGACTGCCCTCTGGACCGTCTTCGAACAAGCTCGTGATTATGAGAACCCCTCCTTTGAATACGTCCTCGTCTCGCGCCCTCTGTTGAATTGAGCGAGTGATGCATGGAGTCGTGCATGCGCAAAGCAAGCTGACCTGGACTGAAGGCCACACGGGCCCGCATCTGTTGAATTGCTCTGTCGAGCGCTAGCTCGATGGCACAGGCGTTATGGATTCGGCTCAATCGGGGCCATGTTGCCCGTTCGCCGCTGATACATGCTTCAAGCATGAATTCCTTGGTCGGATTCTCTAGGATCCGTGGGAAATTTGAGGAAATGAGTTCGGGGTAAATGTTGATGTCGCCGCTATATTTCTGATTCATGATCGATGCAGCCTTGGTCATCGAGGTTGGGAACACCCCCATTTCTGATAGGATAGTCATTCGGTGAAGTATCTCATCTTTAGCAAGATGCGTCATTGTATTGACCCAGCCAGGAACGGATAGTGATCGGTGCTCCGCGGGATTCGATGGTCCATCTTCCTTTGGCAGGAATGGGACCACATGAGGGTTGACCTGCGAGACAATGAAGTGGTTGACGTTGAACATCTCGGATAAACGTGTCATCGGGAGGTCTCCGTCAACTGAGCCGTCGATATATTGCCTGTGGAGGTCATTCCACGGCACCGCCTCTCCGGTCTTGGGGTCTTTCGCCATCAATGTGAAGGGCTTGAAAACCAAGGGCACCGAGCATGATACGGCCCTGCAAGTCATTAGCAAAAAACAGTGGAATGAGAGTGGTCAAATACTTACACAGCGGACCAAATCAACACGTTGGGAGCCGATATATAGTTAAGCAGTCGCGGGAGCTCATACATGCCGGCACTAGACACGCATATATTCAAAATCCGTCGAGTCCGATTGTACGCCTCTTGAAACGTCATATCGCCCAACCAGCCGCGCATTGTGTTTGCCAAATGGGAGATATCCAAGAAAGACCCGTGTTTCAAAAAACGCGCCGTCTTCTGAAAAATGTTCTCCTCCTGGCCATGTTTGTTGAAGACCGCAAAATCCCCATCGTGAACGTAAGTATCCAGAAGTCCCGGTAAGTCATCGTCTGTGCAAGTGCAGAACACGGCGCACACTATGCTCCCTGCTGAAGCCCCAGAGATGATGCGCGGGATAAGATTCTGTTCGTAAAGAGCCTTCAGAACACCAATATGGTTCATGCCGAAAGTTGCACCTCCTGAAAACAGCAGCGCACTCCGGCCAAATGCCTGACGAGCCGCTAGCAGCTGATCCAGGATGTATTTGAGCTCCAACCCGTCACAGCGATTATCCGCCGACATTTCCACCAACGCCTTGATCGTGTCGAGGGCCGTGGCTATGTACTGATCGATCAGGTCCTTCGTCCCAATGTGCGAGTGACGGTAAAGCGATGCGTTGCTCATCTTGCCAAGGTCGCGGCTCAGAGCGGTCCGTACAAGAAAAAGCATGCGACTCACGTCGCAATTAATGCGCGCCTCCTCCAGTTGTCGCAGGCGTTCCTGAACAAGTCGTGAGTTGTACTCGGCGCACTCGGAGTCCTTCTTCCAGGAGTCGTTGTGTTCCAGCACGTCCAACTCCTCGGCACAGCTCCGCCATTCCTCGTACGACACAGCCTGCAGCCCACGGTCATGTTAGAAGGGTGACTCTGCAGATGCGACCGCCTGCCAGGTACCAGGGGATAAGTACTCACATCTTTGATCTTCATGTAGAGGACTTGCTTGCGGGTCTCGATCTCAGCCCGATGCCTCCGCTGTTCGGCAGAGAGGCCATCGCGGTAGTTATTGAGAGTATCGCCGGCCCAAACCCATGAGTCTTTGACTAGAGTTGAGACGGCGGGGATCGAAATGGCTTTGCGCAGCGATCGCGGTGGAGCCTTGAGAACCTTCTGAAGGGGTTCGTCACGGCAATGGATTATTGTGGAGTCCAACGACATAACAGGCCTGTGCATCGGGAGCAAGCCATGCGGCCGGGGGGGGGACTTGTGCCTTAAAGTTTTAGATATGTAGGCAGATTGTGCAGGCGAAGTTGATAAATAGAAGAGAAAAGCAAGAGGCGGTCGGACAGACGTCACGAGGGACCAATACCCGATGACCCCAACTTCCCCGGTTTTCACTTTCAGAAGACTACGGGGGTAAGAAGTTAAGAAGTTAGTGACCTAACTAGGCTGAAATTGAAAGCCAGTAAGAAACAAGAATAGCTCGATGTAATCTGTGCAACAGGTTTATCGATCCTACACAGGGTTCAACCCGTATGATCTCACCTCCGGTCCCTGGCGTCGTTCACATGCGCGCTATGCGACGCATGTGAGTCCACCCCCCGCCTAAGCACGGTTTACTATACTACCAGAATAGCACAGAGTAAAGGACTGAAACAATAGAATAGTGAACTAGTACTCAGGCTTTGTCAAAGATCAGGCCGAAGCCATTCACGAAGAACACGTCTCGCTTCCGACTCCACGCCTTGCTCTCGCCAAAAATGCCCCGCACCCTGGATTTCGCCGCGCTGGAAACGACTCTGCGGCATGCGGCCCAACTCGGCTGACCAACTCCGCAGTTTACGCACAGAGGTGAACTCATCCCGATCCCCATACAGCGCCAGTGTCCGGTGAGCACACAGCTGGTCGGCTGGACGCCCAGCGGGCCGGGCCTGAGGAGCTGATGTTCCCCCCACGTTCAGCGATAGGCCACGAAATCCAGTCAGAAGACTGCTCACTGGTGGTCGTAGAGGTGACACGAGCAGATAGGAAATACATGTCTCCACACTGAGCTCGATCTGGTCGGGGTGCTCGGGGTGAGACTGTAACTCCGGGTTTGCTGGCGCCAGGTCCCGGATCGTAGTCGCCGCGATCTTTCTTGCTTTGCGCCCAATCTCGTAGAACGGTGTACCCGGAATTCCTGTTCCGGTGCGGCATAGGTCTATCATGACATCAAGGGTTGGTGCATGCGACGCGATCAGTGATCCGAAGGAATATCCCCCCAGAATGAGATGGACATTCCGGTCTGCGGATGCTGTGGGTGAAAGCGTGTGATCCTGGCGACCCTGGCCGCTGAGAAGTCCATGTAGCCCATCCTTGACTCGATGCAAGTATAGTAGCATGAATCCATAGAATGCTGCATAGTCTCCGAGTTCGGGTCGTCCAGTCCAGCTGGATCGGCCTTCAGAGGGTGCCGCGCCGCTGAAGGTCCAGGTTAGCCGACTTTAACCCGGCATTTTGAGGGATATGCGTACCGAAAGTTGAATGTGCCCACGATGTAGCCTTCCTGTAGAAGTTCACCGCCGAGAAGACTGATCACCTCGTCGTCGTAGGTACCACCAAGTGCCGTGTAGGGGTGGGCCAGAATAGCACCGCGGATTGACCAGGCCGGTGCCGATTCTATATTTCTGACCCAACCAGGGAGGTAGAGGCGGCACTGGAGCTTGCAGTCATCGTAGACTGAACGGATACTGAATGAGAAGGTCGGACCTGTTTTATTCATGGTCGAGATTGATTTGGTCCTGGCATTGTACCAAGTTCAAATGTTCTCAGTTCAGGTTGTTTTGGAGACATGTTGAAATCGGGAAGGTTGGAAGGACCGCCCGCGCTCTGATACTTGCTCTACACTATTGGCACAAATCGACACTTTCTTTTCATTGTCCACTTTTCGACCCTTGAATGAATATAAATCTTTATTTCTAGTTGCCAATGCTATTCAAATGACTTCTACTGCGATCAAGATCCAGGGAGTAGCCATGCCGGGTCAGGCTCATCGTCCTCCGACCTGGACGCGTCTGTGTGATGACCATCCTTCAAGAGATCGGCCGGTGGCTCAGGATTGTCATTTTCAAGCTGATCCTGATCTTCTTGCGCAGGTTCATTGTGACCTGGCCCTGCCGAAGACGGCGACTGGCCAGATAGAGCATCGTCGCTGGGTACAGGTAAGCCGAAGGCTGGAAGAAGCATCTTGCTTGCTTCTCGCAGCGCTTCTAACTCGGCAGCAATACAGCAGACGAGAAGGTTCCAGTGTTTGTCCTCTGCGTGCTCCAAATGCGCCTCTAAGCGCCGTGTGGTCTTATCCAGATCCCCTGCAACATTGGCAGCCACTTCTTCCGTCGTATCCTCAGCCTGCCCATGATTTAGACCGTTCGCTTGCTCTTGCAATTCAACGTAGTGTCGCATATTGGCGCTGAGGCGTTTTTCAAAGCCAGAGATGTCAGCCATGGCTTGTTTCCAGACACCGCCGCCTTCCTCGAGTGCCAGAATCTCTGCATCCACTTCATGCTGCCTCCTGTGTAGATCTTCCTGTTCCGATCTCCAGTTTTCTTGGGCTATCTCGATGGTTCGACGCTTGGGGTTCAAGGAGTAGAAGCTAGAGTTGCTCGTACGCGAGAGGGGCTGGACGGGAGGGTTGCGAAGGTAGTTGCGAATGTTGGACTCGAGAAGGGACATGGACTCAGTATAGGTGGATAATTTGGCGTCAACCGAGTTCTTCACGTTTGAAATCTCGCTGACAAGATGTCGGTGCTTGGCTTTCATCTCATAGAGCCTGGCCTCCAATTCACGAATGTCAGTCTCGAGGTGGTGAGCCTCTTCTTGCAGTTCTTTAGCGCGCTGGTTTTCTCGGTCTGTATGAATGGTAGATATAGCCTCTTCTAACCCATCTCGTTGTGAGGTAAAATTCTCGATTTCTTGGAGTGCGTTGTCTCGTTCCTCTGTTTGTGAGGAGAGAATCTCTCGTTCCTCCTCTCGCAGCTTCAATAGGTCATATATGGACTGAAAAATACCCTGTCGCGCTGTACGAAGCCCGATCTTTTTGGCCGGGGACTTTCTGGCAGTGTTTATTGGGGGAGACCGAGCTTGACTAGCTCGTGAAGAGGTAGGTGTGAAGCTTCCGTCCGAAGTGTTGTCTGGTTCTGGTCGGGTCAAGCCAGAAACAAGGCCCTCGCTCTGCGCATCAATCAAGGCCTGGAGGTTACTCTGGATGTGCTTTGACTGCCGTTCCACGTGAATAAGAGGATCGTGGTGGTACATGGAAGCTCCTGCGGGCGCCGGCGATAGGCGTTTATCTCTAAAAGACAGAAGAGTTGACATGGCAGGCAGAACAGCAGAACAGACCAACCCGGGAGATTAGGACAAATGCTCAGCCGGTATCTTGGAAATGACTGCTATTTAGCAGGCCATGGCCGGTATCGTGACTGTCTCAAGAGCATCGCCAGCTGACGCTCTCGGACCTCGCGCCGGACAATAGCTGACCGCCTTGCTGGCCGCCTATGCAGGTACAGTAACTCTGCGCGTGAGGAGCTATTACTCCTGATGATTGAATATATGAATTTGTGTATTTCTGTCGTTTATTAGCTTTGATTTGATCAATACCAAAAACTCGAACGTAAGGGCAGTAAATAGCTCAAGCGACGAGTAAATTAAAAACGAAGACCTAAAACAGCTGCAAGTACTCGTCATGGCACGTGACTAGCACAGTCAGCTCCGTTGACGTTGTCGGGTCTCGCGCCTGCAAAGCTTCTGCTGTCTGCTTCCAGCTTCCATTTGTCCCCTACGTCTATCTTGTCTTTCCCTGTTAATCATTTACTCTATTTCTGTCCATCGACCTATTAGGGAACTTTGAATCCTTCCACGTCGTTTTTCCCACGGGGCTCGCTCGCTGTTGATCCCCAAGCTCCCTCCCGTCGACGTTGCTTCGACACCCAATAACAACATCATCATTCGAGTCTGAGCTTTATCCAACCGCTTTCGACGCCAGACGTCTCGATCAATAAATATGGTCGGCCTTGTTTCGGCCGCCGGTCTTGTCGGCTTCCTCTCAGAGCCCGACCCCGAGCTCAAGGTCTTTGCCTTGAAGTCATTAGATTCCCAGATCGACCTGCTTTGGACAGAAGTTGTGAACGCGGTTCCCGAGATGTGAGTACTTGAATTTATTGATACGGCAGATGGAAGCGTCGTTGGCGACTGCTGGCGCGATCCTTGTTACCGAGGACCCCCGTTTCACTGGACACTGCTAATCACATCCATCCAGTGAGGCTCTTTACGAAGATGAATCATTCCCGGAACGCGGTCTGGCAGCTTTAGTTGCCTCAAAGGTATATTATCACCTGCAGGAATATAACGAGAGCATGGTCCTCGCCCTGGGCGCGGGCAAGCTGTTCCAGCTTGACAACGGTGGCGAGTACGAGGAGACCATTATCGGTAAGTCGAGCAAATTCTCGTCGAATAGGTCTTGTAGAAAGTTGATTAACCGTGGCCTGTCTTCATTGTAGCGAAATGCGTCGATACCTTCATCTCGCTATCTGCCGCCCAGAAGCCTGCGGCTGGTGACCTGGCCGCCAACCTGAACACCTCCTTCTCAGCATCCGGCGATGGCGCCACCAGCACATCAGCAAGCCTGACCTCTCCCATCACACCCTTCTCCAAATCCGCCTTGCCTTCAAAGTCACTCCTCTCTCGACAGGAGGTTCCTGGCATCGACGCTGCGCACCCCGGCGGTGACGACCAGAGTGTCCAGCACAACGAGACTCCGCTTGTCTTGAAGCGGGGTGTTCAGGGCCAACTACAGGCTGTGATTGAGCGACTGTTTGAAGAGTGCTTCCGTCAAAAGCGTTACCGTCAAGTGATTGGTATCGCGATTGAGGCGAAGAGCTTGGATGTGCTCCGTCTGGCCATTCTTCGCGCCAGCGCCGACGAGAAGCAGCAGTCGGGTGAGTCTCACGGAAGTGAGGAGCTCATGGAGTACGTTTTGGACATTTGCATGGGCATTGTCCAGGAGCGAGGCTTCCGCACCGAGGTTTGTCTACCCGATATCTCCCTTTACTGTGAAAAGCTAATAAATTTTGCCTCTCAAGATCCTGAAGCTCATCCTCGAGCTTCTTAACGAGATTCCCGCACCCGACTATTTCTCTATCGCCAAATGCGTTGTCTACCTTAATGAACACTCAATGGCGTCGAACATTCTACGTCAACTCGTCGAGAAGGGCGATCCGCGATCCCTCGCCGTTGCATACCAGATTTCCTTCGACCTTTACGATAACAGCACCCAGGAATTCCTTCAGAAGGTTCGTGAGGAAATCTCCGAGCTCGTACCTGAGAGCGATATAGACAAGACCGAGCAAGAAGAGCCTAAGGAGTCAGATGCGTTGCTTGAGGACCAATCAAGCTCGAACCGTCCCGAGGATGAGTCGACTGCCGCGTTCAGGAACATTCTTTCCATCCTTGATGGTATTAAATCCATTCAACTGAACCTTGAGTTCCTCTACCGAAGCAATCAGGTCGATATGGCGATTTTGAATAAGGTGCGCGATAGCCTCGAGGCACGCAATTCCATATTCCACACCGCCGTCACTCTGTGCAACGCTTTCATGCACGCCGGAACCACACACGACAGGTTTTTCCGTGAAAACCTGGAGTGGCTCGGCAAGGCTGTGAACTGGTCTAAGTTCACCGCTACTGCTGCTCTGGGTGTCATTCACCGGGGCAACCTCAGCCAGGGACAGAAGCTCCTGCAGCCCTATCTGCCCAAGGAACAAATTGCCGGGGTTGGTGGCTCGGGCTCCGTTTACAGCCAGGGTGGATCTCTGTATGCTTACGGCTTGATTTTCGCCAACCACGGTGGCATGGCTGTTGATCTCATCCGCGACCACTTCAAGAAGGCCACTGAGGAGGTTGTGCAACACGGTGGTGCTCTGGGTCTTGGTGTTGCTGGTATGGCCACTGGCGATGAGGGCATCTACGAGGATCTCCGCAATGTGCTCTACACTGACTCCGCTCTTAACGGTGAGGCTGTCGGTCTTGCGATGGGTCTCGTCATGCTAGGCACCGGTAACATGAAGGCTTTGGAGGACATGATCCAGTACGCCCATGACACTCAGCACGAGAAGATCGTCCGTGGTCTTGCTATGGGTATGGCTTTGATCATGTACGGCCGCCAGGAGGCTGCCGATGAGCTGATCAATGGTCTCCTCGGTGACCCTGACCCGACTCTCCGCTATGGTGGTATCATGACAATCGCTCTGGCCTACTGTGGTAGCAGCAGCAACAAGGCCGTTCGCAAACTTCTCCACGTCGCCGTCAGCGATGTTAATGATGATGTTCGCCGTGTTGCCGTACTGAGCTTGGGCTTCATTCTGTTCCGCAAGCATCAGAGTGTTCCCCGTATGGTGGAGTTGCTCTCAGAGTCCTACAACCCTCACGTCCGCTACGGTGCCGCCATGGCTCTCGGTATCTCTTGTGCCGGCACTGGGCTGGATGAGGCTATCGATCTCCTGGAGCCCATGCTCAAGGACTCGACAGACTTCGTTCGTCAAGGTGCTTTGATATCATTGGCCATGGTTCTCGTTCAGCAGAACGAGGCCATGAACCCCCGTGTCACCAGCCTCCGCAAGGCCATGATGAAGATGCTCGGTGACCGCCACGAGGATGCTATGGCCAAGTTTGGTTGTGCTGTGGCTCTCGGAATTATCGATGCTGGTGGCCGCAACTGCACCATCAGTCTACAGACACAGACCGGCAACCTCAACATGCCCGGTATTGTTGGTGCTGCTGTCTTCTGTCAGTACTGGTACTGGTTCCCTCTTACCCATTTCCTGTCCCTCAGCTTTACCCCGACTTCCGTCATTGGTGTCGACCAGAAGCTGGAGGTCCCGGAGTTCAAGTTCCACAGCAACACCCGCCCCAGTCTCTTTGACTACCCTCCCATGCAGGAGGTCAAGACTGAGGAGGCTCCCGAGAAGGTGAAGACTGCCGTGCTTTCTACAACCGCTCAGGCCAAGCGCCGCGCCCAGCGTCGTGAGAAGCAGGCCCGCCGTGAGAGCATGGACATTGACCAGACGCCCACTACGCCGAAGGTCTCAGAGCAGCTACCGGAGAAGATGGAGACCGACGAGAAGGATGACGAGGAGAGCAAGGACGCTGATAAGGCTGCTGGCGAGGCCCAGAAGAAGAAGGTGGAGCGAGAGAAGGTTGGTTACGAGTTGGACAACATGTCCCGGGTACTGCCCGCACAGCTCAAGTACCTAACCTTCCCCGACCCACGGTACGAGCCTGTTAAAAGGGTACGTTTGACTGTTACTTTGATGCCGTGAAACCATTACTGACTAGTTTTCCAGCCTACTGGTGGTGTCGTCGTCGTTCTGGACAAGCAGCCCGAGGAGCCTCGCGAGACCATCGAACTCAAGGCGAGCAAGGAGGCCCCTGCCCCTACCGAAACTCTTCAGGATCGTCTTCAGGCTGCTATCGGTACTGCTGCTTTGCAGACCCCTCAACGGGCTGATGCTCGTGCCCTGCTGTCTTCAACCCCGGCCGGAGCTGCGGCGGCAGCGGGTGTGTTGACCGCTGCTGACGAGGACGAGGAGGGTGCAGAGGACGCGCCGGTGCCCGACGAGTTCACATACGAGTCCGAGGGCGAGGATGAGTAGAGTGTTGGGGACATAACCCTTTGACGCTGGGATGTATTACTAGACTAGTCAGGTTCACGCCTGATATATTGGGAGTGCGGTAGCGGCCGCCTGTGATATGAAGCATTTGTCTGCATTTATTAAGTCATCCATGAGCTATACGTAGTAGAAGGTCATCGGACCATCAGGCCACCCGCCACCTCAGTAAGAGTACAAGCACATGAAAACAAACCCAGCTATAACCTGAACGAATCGCATACACTCCCTCTTCGCCTTCACATGCTGCTGACTAAGCCCGCTTAAAAGGCGCCTCGGCATTTCTCACCGGCGATGACGCAGATTGAGCCAATCAAGTACATGGCATTCGGGGATGACCGATTACAGACCGATGCGACCCGCGACCGAGGGACGCAGCTGAATGGAATTCCAGTTGCACGAGTGACGATGGATCCTCCGAGGCCATGACCACGGGGACAACGGCGATTACTGAATCGGGGTCCGGTCCCCGTCCTTTATATCGCGCGTGCTCCATCTACCCCGGACGTTTGATCTCTTTTATTTTTCCCCACGAAATCCCTTCTTTTCTCTGGAGCGTAGCTTCTTTGCGGTTGCTATATATTTACTCCTGCTTATGAAAATTGTCTTTCACATCTCTCATCCCTTACTCAACACCTACTTTGGAGTCGTACACCATGGCGAAGACTTTTAGCAAGGACGATGTCGCATCGCACGGTAAAGGCGATAGCTTGTGGATTGTGATCGACGAGGATGTCTACGACGTCTCCAAATTCCAAGATGAGCACCCTGGTAAGTCATTGTGTGGTTGATATGTCCGCGAGCATCCGGAGAATCACATGCTAACGAGATGGCGCACAGGTGGGAAAAAAAGTACGTCATGGCGCAAACACGCGACCACCCTCGATACTAACGCGTCGCACAGTTCTCCAGCGCGTTGCTGGAAAGGATGCCTCCAAGCAATTCTGGAAGTACCACAATGAGGGTATCTTGAAGAAGTACAAGGGCCAGCTGCAGATCGGCTCGTTGGATACCAAGAAGCAGGCCGAGCCCGCTCCGGCCCCTGCTCCGGCCCCTAAGAAGGCCGAGTCCACGCCTCAGCCGCAAGCCTCCGGCGATTTCAAGCCCCCGGCGACTGCCGAGCCGCAGGAACCCTATGGCGACTTGATCCCCTTCGCCGACCCCTCGTGGTACCAAGGTGTAAGTTCAGTCGCTCGAAAAATATGGGGAAAGTGCTAATGTTTGCATGTGATAGTACTCTTCGCCCTACTTTAACGAAACCCACGCTGCTCTCCGCGAGGAAGTCCGCCAATGGGTCGAGACCGAGATCGATCCCTACGTTACAGAATGGGATGAGGGCAAGGAGGTACCCCCGCATATCTACAAGCAGATGGGTGAGCGCGGCTACTTGGCCGGTCTGCTCGGTGTGAAGTACCCCGAGCAGCACACTCCCTTCCGGGTGCAGTCTGTGTCTCCGGACCGCTGGGATCTATTCCACGAGATGCTGCTCACTGATGAGCTGTCCCGCGCTGGTAGCGGTGGTTTGGTCTGGAACTTGATCGGTGGTTACGGTATTGGTTGCCCGCCTCTGGTCAAGTTTGGCAAGAAGGCGCTCGTCGATCGTATCCTCCCCGATATCCTGGCTGGCGACAAGCGTATTTGCCTGGCTATTACTGAGCCCGATGCGGGTAGTGACGTTGCTAACCTCGGCTGCGAGGCTAAGCTCAGCGAGGATGGCAAGCACTACATTGTCAACGGCGAGAAAAAGTGGATCACCAACGGTATCTGGGCCGATTACTTCACCACTGCTGTCCGTACAGGCCCCGACGGCATGAACGGTCTCAGCGTCCTTCTGATCGAGCGCTCAGAAGGCGTCAGCACCCGCCGCATGGATTGCCAGGGTGTTCTGAGCAGTGGAACAACCTACGTCACCTTCGAAGACGTCAAAGTCCCCGTCGAGAACCTGATTGGGAAAGAGAACGGCGGCTTCAAGGTGATCATGACAAACTTCAACCACGAGCGTATCGGCATCGTCATTCAATGCTGCCGTTTCGCCCGCGTCTGCTACGAAGAATCAATCAAATACGCCCACAAGCGCAAAACATTCGGCAAGCGCCTCATCGACCATCCCGTCATCCGCATGAAACTCGCCCACATGGCCCGTCAGATCGAAGCCACCTACAACTGGCTCGAGAACATCATCTTCCAGTGCCAGTGCATGGAAGAAACCGAAGCCATGCTCAAGCTCGGCGGTGCTATCGCCGGCTTGAAGGCTCAGTCCACGCAAACCTTTGAATTCTGCGCTCGCGAGGCGAGTCAGATCTTCGGTGGTCTGAGTTATAGCCGCGGTGGCCAAGGAGGCAAGGTTGAGAGACTGTATCGGGATGTGAGGGCTTACGCTATCCCTGGTGGCAGTGAGGAGATCATGCTGGATCTTAGTATGCGACAGAGTTTGCGCGTGCATGGGATGTTTGGTATGAAGATCTAGGAGGCCCTGGACTCTGCATCTTGGGTTTTCTAGAGTATCTGTTTGCTTTTGCTTTTCTTTTTTGGATTGACTTTTCACCTCCTCCTTGAGGATCTTTTGGCTAGATATCCCGTCCGGTGTGACGCCATTTCTTTATCATCTTCGTCTTTGTACATTAACATTGACTGTATATTCGCAATCTTTTTTTAGAATTGAAATGGAGCTTGATACTTTATTAATTTCAATTACTTGACGAATACGAGTTTGTTAGATATCGCGAAAAAATTGTACGATTGATAGAAGCCCGAGTCATTTCTGGAAAGGAATGAAAATGGACCTGGCGCATTTGTGTCATCTTTTTGGCTTGACCGGCAAGGTAGACGCTTCTTCCCTCCATGCAGTGTCGCCATCGAGCAGTTTCAAGTCGCAGCATAAGCTTACCTCGAGCGAAACACAGCCATATAAGACCAACAAGTTCTAGCCCTCCAGGAGTTTGTTTTAAGGCCTTTGACATGTTCCAACATGTGCATAGAACCACGAACCATGGCTATAGTCGGTGATCGGGTAAAGCGACGAAAGTGCGGATACAAGGTTTCAAGATTGTATGGTTGAGGGCTTCATTGTCTATATCTGGAGACAGCTTAAAAAGAATGTGGCCCTACATGAATGGTATTGCATAGTTGAAATATATCCATTCTTATCAGATTCCTTTTTGCGTGTTCTGCAAGGACTAACGACCCAAGTTTGCTCTTTTGCGAACCTTAGGTAAGTTCATTCACAACTGTGCACTCTGGCTATCCTTGGCGACCAGATAATCTGACGATTACCCCAATGGTCTAGTCGTTTGACGCTTGGTCGCGGAGCGTCGGACTCATTGCACGGGCGGAGCAACGTCGAGGACAACGTTTAACGCGCCATTCGCACGCAGGAACAGTGTGGAAGCGCGGTTGGACGTTGTTAAGCCGCTGCTTTATTCTCGGAATTATATGCAAAAGATCGGCGATATTATAATCTAAGTAGAAATAGGTAAGTATCTTCGGGATGCATAGTTACTAAACTCTGTCTGAAATTCAAAGTAGGTGTTTGACATAGAGGTAGGAAAAAAGAAAGAATCGTATGTCAAAGACGGAAGATTGCATAATCTCATTTTCTGGAGTCAAAATGACAAAATGATTGAGGTTTGGCCTTCAGAATATTGAGAGAGCAAAGTGGCTCAGCGTGAAGTAAACAATTGGTCCGGCAGCCCGTAGAGACTAAGTGCGCAGCCTCCTTCAACTTCGCCGCGAATCGCAACCCCAGCTCTCCGACCTCTCCAATCTTCCGATTCACTGACACGACGTCCCAGGGTATAAATACCCCCATTCCCCTGCGTGCAGTGCCTTGATAATCTCTTCACCCTTTCACTCCTTTCAAGCGACCGGGATTGCCACCTCCGCGGCTGGCGGTCTTTGCGCCTTCGTTGAAAGGTTTCGGTACGTCAAAATCTCCAATTCTTTCTTGCTTGTGCTTACGCATCCTCGACCCCTGTCGCTGACCTTGCCTTCCGTTTCTCAGATATTTCCAGTGACTTGGACTCGATCTACAAGTCATTTACAAGAAACTGCGCGATCTTTCCTTCTGCGATACTCCGACTTGCTACCCTTCAAGATGTCCAACTTTCTCAACCAGGATTTTGGCTCGGAGGATGAGGATGACGAGTTCAACCCCGCCCCCGTTGATGAGTCTGAGGGCGAGGACTCCAAGGTTAGTCTCCAGCACTGAGCAGTGTCAGTTGAAGGTGAAGCTGATGGACCATCAATGAACAGCCGGCCAAGTCTCAAGGGCGCCAAGCCCCTGGCTCCGACGATATGAAGGATCAAGGCGATGCGGAAGAAGACGACGTCAAGGATGGTGCTGATGACGACGAGGATGATGATGAAGATGAGGACGAAGATGCGGACGAGGATGAAGATGCCGTGGTTTGTGCTCCCTCCGAGGCTCTGACCCGGAAATAGCCTTGTTAATATGATGTGCTATCTAGGAGGCTCGTCCCCGCAAGCGTAGACGCGGTCCCCTCAACCCCTTCATCGATGAAGAGGCTGGTGTCGACGAGGAGGAAGATGAAGCCGAAGACGACGAGGACGAACTCGCCGAGTTCGGTACAGAGATGCACCCCGACGACTTCGATCAGCTGCCCGCCGGCGCCGAAACAGATGACCGCCGCCACCGACAGCTCGATCGTCAACGTGAGCTCGATGCTACAATGGACGCAGAGAAGCAGGCGCAGTTGCTGAAGGAGCGCTACGGACGAAACCGCGCCGCAGCCACAGATGCCCTCGTGATTCCGAAGCGATTGCTTCTTCCCAGTGTAGAGGATCCCAGTATTTGGGGTGCTCGCTGCAAGCCTGGAAAGGAGCGCGAGGTCGTCTACTCTATCCAGAAGCGCATTGAGGAGCGCCCGGCTGGGTCTCGCAACCCTATTCGCATCATTTCAGCTTTTGAGCGCGGACATCTCATGCAGGGTTGGTTCTACTGTGAAGCACGCAGACAGGCTGATGTTACGGAAAGTCTGGAGGGTATCAACTTCTACTACCCCTCCCAGAAGATGACTCTGGTTCCTGTCAAGGAAATGCCTGATCTGCTCAGGGTCCAGAAATCGGAGGAACTGATGCCTGGTGGATGGGTTCGCATCAAGCGCGGCCGCTACCAGGGCGATTTGGCACAGATTGAGGAGGTCGAGACAAACGGCCTGAATGTTACTGTCCGCGTTGTTCCCCGTCTCGACTACGGCATGAACGAAGATGCTGCTGCTCTGATGGGACCTGACGTCAAGCGTAAGCGTGGTGCTACAAACGCCATTCGCCCTCCGCAGCGCCTGTTCAACGAATCCGAGGCAAAGAAGAAGCACGCCAAATACCTCTCGGCTACATCTGGTCTAGGCGGCAAGTCTTGGAGCTACCTGAACGATACTTACATCGATGGCTTCCTTATCAAGGATATGCGTGTCCAGCACTTGATCTCCAAGAATGTCAACCCGAGACTGGAGGAAGTTACAATGTTTGCCCGCGGAGGAGAAGATGGCACTGCCAACCTGGATCTGGCTTCGCTGGCCGAGACTTTGAAGAACTCGACTGCCGAGGACTCATATCAGCCCGGTGACCCTGTCGAGGTCTATCGAGGTGAACAGCAGGGCTTGATCGGTCGCACTGTCTCAACACGCGGCGACATTATTTCATTGCAAGTTACCGAGGGAGATCTGGCTGGCCAGACAATTGATGCCCCTGTCCGAACTCTGCGCAAGCGCTTCCGTGAGGGTGACCACGTTAAGGTCATCGGAGGAAGCCGTTACCAGAACGAACTTGGTATGGTGGTACAGGTCAAGGATGACACTGTCACTATTCTCAGCGACATGAGCATGCAGGAAATTACTGTCTTTAGTAAAGACCTTCGTCTTTCTGCCGAAATGGGTGCCGATGGGCAACTCGGTATCTACGATGTCCATGACCTTGTCCAGCTCGAGTAAGTACTTGTGAAAATTTCAAAGCTAGGCGTTTGCTAACTTGTCTCCAGCGCTGCTACTGTTGCTTGTGTCATCAAGGTTGACCGCGAGTCTCTTCGTGTCGTGGATCAGAATGGCTCTGTCCGCAATATCCTTCCTACCCAGATCGCCAACAAGATTCCACCCCGTCGTGATGCCGTTGCGACTGACCGCAATGGTGCAGAGATCCGAAACGGTGACACTGTCCGTGAGGTCTATGGAGAGCAGAGAACCGGAGCTATTCGCCACATCCATCGTTCCTACCTTTTCCTGCACAATAAAGCCCAAGCAGAGAATGCAGGCATTTCTGTGGTACGAACGACAAACGTCGTCACCGTGTCCGCACGAGGTGGACGCCCAACTGGTCCTGATCTGACCAAGCTGAACCCTGCCCTGAACATGCAAGGACCTGGAGGCGGCCGTGGTGCTGCGATGCCACCGCCTTCCCGTGGCCGTGATACACTCATCGGAAAGACCGTTGCGGTTCGCAAGGGCCGCTACAAGGGTCTGGTTGGTATTGTCCGTGATGCCGATGATAAGAACGCCCAGGTCGAGCTTTATACAGTCAATAAGCCCGTTCAAATAGATCGGAATATTCTCACACCCAAGGACCCGATTACCAAACAGACATTGGATTCCGGACGGGGACGTGGGCGTGGGCGTGGTGGAGGTGGAGCAGGAGGCGGGCGTGTTCCTTATGGGTCTGGCGCTCCTTCAGGTGCTCCTGGCTGGTCGGGTGGCCGTACCCCAATGGCCGCTGGCGATTCGTCGAGAACCCCGGCTTGGGGTGGTGCCGCTGCTTCTCGAACTCCTGCGTGGGGCGGCATGAGCGGCTCCCGCACTCCGGCCTGGAAGAACGACGGATCCCGCACATCCAACCCCTACGAAGCTGGAAACCGCACTGCGTACGGAGGTATCGGCAACCGCACACCAGCATGGAACTCTGGCTCTCGCACCCCCTACGACTCCGGTTCTGGCTACGACGCATTTGCTTCCGGATCCCGCACTCCCGCCTGGGGAGGTGCTGGCGCCGGCGCAAACACCGGAAACCGCACGCCTGCCTGGGGTGGTCTTTCCAACGGCCGCGACCAGCGCGACTTTGATGACGCTCCCACGCCCGGCGGTGGCTATTCTGCCCCTACCCCCGGCGCCTACGCAGCCCCCACACCAGGTGCCTCAGCACCCACCCCCGGCGCCTGGCCGGACAGCGCCCCCACACCTGGAGCCTTCAACGCACCCACTCCAGGCGGAATGCCGAAGCGAGGAGGCTACGATGCCCCAACACCGGCTGCATACGACGCCCCTACCCCAGCTATGGGCGGCGCGGCTGCTACACCTGGTGCTGGCTACGGGGATGATGACGGCGGCCCGCGTTACGACGACGGTACTCCCAGCCCGTAAACAATTTACTTTTTTGCATGTTATATCACCCCGTCGCACAAAAGCTCGATGCAATATGGTTTTAGATTTGGGGTGTGGTCGGCTTCGAACTTGTATTCTACTTTGATCGGATGTAATTTCTTCAGAACTAGCAAATGATACTTCATTTGAGTACAGTTTCCTGTCTTTCCCTATGGATTCCCAGTCTAAAATTTAAGTAGTAGCTCTGATGCAGCGAGTCAACAAGCAAAAATAATGAGTTACGCCAGATCTTGCTGCTTGAGGCCATGTGCAAATAGATTACAGCATCTCATTGTTTCGAGTGCGTGCGAGGCCCTTTTGATACTTAACTAATCTCTAACGACTTCAGAACTCCCTCGCATGATTCCACCTCTTGATCCGAGTCATCTCTCGGCAGTTAGTATACTCATAGATCCATCCGTACCTCAATTTCCACCGGTAGCCACATCCAAAAATCTTGCGACCAAAAAAAGTAATTCCCAGAACTCTAATCTCGAGGCTTGCAAGCTGTTCTTATGTCTTCAATGAATAGACTTGCGAAGAGGAACATTACGCGCTTGACAGAGCACTGAAAGATAAGAAATGTTTTCTAGATATTTCCAAGAGGGAGACGAGCCTTATAGAGTATTTTATAGAAAGAAGTAGAAGGAGGAGATACTAATGGGATCACGGGCAGCAATCGCACGGTCCTGCTTCTTGTCCCAGGGAACCTAGGAGAACATCCCGTCGAGGTACTTGGTGGCGTCGAGGCCGCGCTCCATCTACTGAAATAATGTAAGCAATTGCTTTTGTGGGATAATATAGAAAGGTATGTTTTATAGAGAAATCCATGGACCTAAAGCCTCGCGTTTAATGACCAGGGACAACTCGAATGAAAATATTTTGCCGGCCAATTTGTGCTGACAGCAGATTTTGGGGTGCCTTCCAATAGGTTTGACTGGCCAGGCATCTCACCTAGTACAATTTCCGCTATTTCCCGTGATTGCGGATTCTGTCACCACTATAGTTGCTGTCATTGCTTATAAAGTGGAGACAGTGTAGAGGAGCAACTGCGACTACCCTTGCAGAGGGAAGCTTAAAGCGCTTAGCTCTGAGCGACTTGGCCAGTCAGATAATTCAATTTCTTGAAGCTGTCGAAAAGACAAGGATGTCTATTTGGGGAGCCATATGGCTTGTTCAGTCGTGTTTCCGACATATAAATATTTTCTTTCTTTTTCATTTCTTGGTTTCTTGTTTCTTTTAGTTTGCACATAGCCACTTAATGTAGAAAGCTGTAACCCTGGCTGCTGTTTTTCGTAAGAACGCCGAGAGTCCCACACTGATTTGGACGGTAGGGGAGAGCAGAAATAACTAGTGAGATGATGTGTTATAGATTCCATGTGATCAGGACGGGTTTTATCTGGGTGAACGCTTGGCAATATGGATTGCCAGGTAGACTTTCGAACTGCTGTCCATCTGGTCCGCACATATGCATATTCCCGAACTCTATCTGTAGTATGAGGGTGAATCCCATTTTAATCCAGAAGAATCGAAGAGTTCTTACAATAAGCCCATAGCAGGATTCCACCGATTGATGAAGACCTGAGATGGATTTAAGGTTGAGATTTATTGAATGCATAGAGAAAAAAAGGGCAAGGGCATTCTTTTCCCCTGGTATTTTTCACCATTGGTTTCGACCATCGAATGTTCGGACCTCCGAACTTCCCAAATCCGCAACAACCGGACACTTGCTCGGGAAATCGGTCGAAGTGAAATGGTGGAGCTAAATTGAGATTCTCCAGCTTTTAACTCCGAGTTCGGGGCCCGACACGCAAACTCCTCATGCCCCCGTACCATCGCGCGAATTTTGCCAAGACCAACTATCAGGCTAATTTGCGAAAAAAAACTCAAGTGCATTCACTTATGTTCTTCTGAGGCGAGTACCAAGAAACTTTCACTTGAAAAGTGCAACGTTCGATATTTTCGGGGTCAACCCCTGTGAGCGTCTTATTTCTCAGCAGCATGCTCGGCAATCGGTTAGCCGACAAAGTGCCGACTCGGAGCGAGGAAGAAAAGGAGCACATTGAGCTTGATCCAGCATTTATCGTGAAATGGGATCGTGATGACCCTTTAAACCCGCAAAATTGGCCTGTCCGATACAAATGGTGGGTGACTTTCCAGCTGGGCATGCTCGCCCTGGCTGGCAGTCTCGGTTCTAGCATTATGACTCCTGCCGATAGTATCATCGCCAAATATGTTGGCGTTAGCAGTGAAGTCTCTGTCTTAGACGTATCACTCTATTTGTGAGTAGTTTCACTCGACGTCTAACCTGAAGAGGTCTTGTTAATGGATCTAGACTTGGCTTTGTATGCGGTCCGATTATCTGGGCTCCGATTTCCGAAATCTGGGGACGAAGAGTCTCCATTCTACCCGCCGTCTTCTGCCAGGCACTCTTCGCCGTTGGTACATCTAGAAGTACCAGCGCATCCTCCATCTATGTCACTCGCTTTTTCAGCGGGTTCTTCGGCTCTGCACCGATCAGTAATGTCACAGCTGCCCTGGGTGACATGTGGAGTCGAGAAACTCGAGGCGTCGCAGTCAGCTTGTACGCAGTGGCAGTGAATGGTGGCCCATCTTTAGGACCCGTCATTGGCTCGGCAATTGTGACGAATTCGAATCTCAACTGGCGCTGGACCGGATACATTTTGGCCATCTGGGTCTTTGTGACCTTTCTCCTGGGCTTTTTCTTCCTCCCCGAGGTGTATCCCCTGGTCCTTCTCAAGAACAAGGCCGAAGCTCTGCGGAAAGAGACAAATGACCCGCGCTATTATCACCCACATGAGCACATCAAACTTGATGTCCATTCGATTGTGACGAAACAACTATCTCGCCCGCTGGTCATGCTCTGCACCGAGGCCATCGTCACCTGCATTGCACTATACGCCTCTTTCGTATATGGTGTCATGTATCTTACCTTGGAAGTATTTCCCATCGTCTTCGAAGATATCCGTGGCTGGGAACCCGTCGTTGCATCGCTACCATTCCTGGCACTCTTGATTGGTGTGATTTCCTCCGTGGGGCTCAACATTTGGAATCAGTACCGTTACAACAGAATCGCAAAAGAAGCCAACGGAAGAGCAGTTCCTGAAGCAAGATTACCACCAATGGCTATTGGCGCGATCTTCTTTGTCGTGGGAGCATTCTGGTTCGCGTGGACGGCAGAACCACCTCATCACTGGATCCTGCCTTGTCTGGCTGCATTATTCATCGGTATCGGCTTTAATTGCATCTTTCAGCAGTGTCTCAACTTTCTTATTGATGTTTACGGCATATATGCCGCCAGTTCCACAGCGGCGGTCACGTTCTTGCGAAGCATTATGGCGGCTGGGCTTCCTCTGGCGGCCAAGCCGATGATCGGGGCTCTAGGGGTTGGTCCCGGAGTTTCGATCATCGGAGCTGTGGCTGCAGCCTTGCTGCCAATTCCATTTTTGTTCATGAAGTATGGTCCAAGACTGCGGAAGATGTCAAGGCTCACACCAGAGGATCCGAATTGAGAGATTTGATGAAGGGACGAAAAGTGAACTCTAGCATACTTTCCCATTATACCCCCCCGCAGACAAAGATAGAGCATGCAGAAGATTTTCTTTAATTATGTACATATTGTGCTTTCTAAATATACTTATCCAATGTCTATACATGTTCTGTCACCGTAATGAGTTCAAACCCCACAGGATATTTGCAGGCAATAGAGTGCCCAGGTTGACAGATCAGCCCTGATGCCGAGAGTATGGCATGCGATCCAACTGCGCGTTTATCCTAACGCTCTAATTCCTACTACTTAAAATATTAAGGCGAGCTTGAGGTTAATATGATTTTAATCCTAAGTGACTTCGTATGTTTTCCGCCGCCTATTATGCTATCTTGGAAATCCGATGTGCAAAAGTTCAGTGTATAGTGGATAACAAGAATCCGCTTTTCCGGCCCGGAAAAGTACCTCGGAAACCCAGATAACGGATAAACCCACACGCTCGGGAAGATCAACATGGGAGAAAGAACATCGTGGGGGTAGATGATTATAAGGCAATATAAAGCTACTTCTTCGCCAATGCCATGGCTGAACAAGTCCAAACTTTGAAGATGGCTACCATGACCGAAACAGCCACCACGGTGGAAGTACTACCGTCTTTATCCGCTGCAGACATCTCGGCGCGTTTATTGAAGGGCACTCTTCACGCCGGATACCCCGCAATCGAGAACTTTATGACTATTGATGGTCTCCTGAAATCGCATGCTACTGAGACTGATGACGCCCGAAGGCCGCTGATCTGCTATCCCGTGCGCGGAGCGGCGGACTTTGAAGAACACACTGCTAGTGACCTTGATCGGTATACAGATGTGACTGTTCGATACTATATGCAGAAAGGCCTCCAGACAGCTGTAAGAGCACATGGATTGGGGATTGAAGCAATCTAACTCTGTTATAGGACCCAAGTTTGGAGCAAGCGCCCGTTGTCGGTCTTCTGGCAGGATCTAGCTTTGAAGTCATCTTGACATTCTTTGCCCTCAACCGCCTCGGATATGCCGTGCTTTTCCTGTCCACGCGGCTGACAGCACCAGCCTATGCCCGACTGATGGATATGGCAGACTGCAACCAGCTCATCATCGTCAAGCAGTTTGAACAAACAGTGACCGATATCCGCACCGAGCGACCTGGTTGTATCAGCTTCCCAATGCTGCAACGAGAGAACTGGTTCAATCGCCCCGCTAGCTCTCCTCCATTCCAGCGATCAAATGTGGACTCAGCTCGCGAGGGAAAGAAGATCGCTTGGATCTTGCACTCTTCGGGAAGCACAGGTTTCCCCAAGCCGATCTTCTTATCAAATCTCCAAACTCTCGCCAACTTCCGGAAAAGCTTCGCACTTCGTCTTTTCAACATTAGCCCTTTATTCCATTCTCATGCATTGATGGAAGTCGGTCGAGCTTTCTATACCCGTGCAACAATGTATCTGGGAAACCATTCTCTTCCAGTTACATATCAAAACCTGTATGATGCGTTGCAGGTCGCCAAACCCGAGCAAATCAGTGCCGTTCCATATGTCATCAAGTTACTGGCAGAGAAACCAGCCGGTATACAAGAGCTAGCAAAACCTAAGCTCGTTCTGTATGGCGGATCTAGCTGTCCCGATGACCTTGGCGATCGACTCGTCGTGCAGGGTGTCAACCTCGTTGCGAACTACGGCGCTACCGAGACCGGCCAGATTATGACTTCATTCAGACCACCCGGCGATGCAGAGTGGCAGTACATGCGGCTGCACCGTCCTGTTGCAGACCTTACTCTGATGGATGAGATTTCACCTGGGGTCTTTGAATGTGTAGCGTTGGATGGTTTACCGAGCAAAGGACCTTCAAACTCGAAGCCCCCTTTCAGTGCAAAGAACCCGGAGAATAGCTTCCGCACCGCTGATTTGTTCACGCGCCATTTAGATCCAAACAAGAGTAATTACTATAAGTATCTCAGCCGACTGGATGACCGGATTACACTTGTCAATGGCGAGAAAGTGCTTCCCATCCCAATCGAAGGCCGTGTCAGAGAGGAGGAGCTTGTGAGAGAGTGTGTTGTGTTTGGATTCCAACGTACTGTCCCCGGTGCGTTGATCTTCCGAGCTGAAGGAAAAGCGCCTAATTTGAACAACGAGGAATTCTTGGAGGCGATTTGGCCAGCCGTGGAAGCGGCCAACGCCCGTGCTGAGACCTTCTCTCGAATCCCGAAGGAACTCGTTATCATCAAGGGTGCTGATGTGAAGTACCCAGGCACGGACAAGGGAACCTTTATTCGTGCTCAGGTTTATCATCAATTTGACGAAGATATCAAAGCAGCATATGCCGGATTTGAAGGCAGTGGACAGAAGAAAGGAGACCTTGTGTTCAGCGTGTCAGAGCTGGAGGACTGGCTACTGCAGAAGTTTGGCATTGATCTGGGTGTTACAATACCCGGTGCTGATGCCGACATCTTCTCGGCTGGTGTTGATAGCTTGCAGACAACGCAAATATGGAGGTACATCGTCCGCGATCTGGATCTCGGTGACCATGCAGAAAACCTCTCCCAGAACATCGTCTTTGAGAAGGGGACCGTTCGCGCCCTTGCAAATCACCTTTACCGGCTGCGTACTGGCGAGGAATCTGAGGAGGAAGATGAAATTCACGTCATGCAGGAGATGATTGCAAAATACTCACATTTTACCCAACATTATCCAACTATCGCCAAACAACCCGAGTCCGAGGTGGTCATCGTCACTGGTGCAACAGGAAATCTTGGAGCTTTCATCGTTGCAGATATTCTCAAGCGACCCTCAGTCTCGGAAGTCTGGGCTCTTGTTCGTGCGCCTGGTCAAGCAGTGGCAGGTGCCCGCTTGTCCAAAGCTCTGTCTGATCGAAACATCAGTCTCACAGAAAACGAAGCTGCAAAACTCCGCGCAATTCCTGGCGATCTTTCACAGTCCAATCTAGGATTAGACAACTATATTCTTGAGCACCTCCTGACATCTTTGACTTGCATCATACACAGTGCCTGGGCTGTCAACTTCAATCTCGGCGTGCGATCCTTTGAGCAGCAACATATTCGGGGAACATACAATCTGATGAACTTTTGTCTCCGCTCCAAACTCCCCATCCCTGCAAGATTCTTTTTCTGTTCAAGTGTGAGCACAGCCAGCAACACTCCAAAGCCAGCGTCTGTCCCCGAAGCAGCAATTGATAATTTAGATCATGCCCAAACCATGGGCTATGGCCGTTCAAAGCTGGTTACTGAGCATGTCACCCGCAACGCTATGCGCCAGACTGGCCTGCACACCCGGGTTCTGAGAATCGGACAGCTGGGTGGTGATACCATCAGCGCCCAATGGAACGAGACTGAGGCTGTGGCACTGATGTTCCGAAGCGCCCTGACAACCGGTGCACTTCCAGAATTGAATGAGAGACCTAGCTGGTTGCCTGTTGACCAATGCGCTCGAGCGGTCGCTGATATATCTATGGGTGTTGCTGAACGCGATACCGACTTGATATATCATTTGGTCAATCCCCAGACATTTAGCTGGAAGAATGATTTGCTTCCAGCTTTGAAGAAGAGCTCAGTTTTACCCAAGTTTGATATCGTTTCAACCCAGGAGTGGTTGAAGAGATTGGCGGATAGTGAGCAGGATCCGGAGAAGAATCCAAGCATCAAGCTGATTGACTTCTGGCGATCAAAATATGAGAATCATGGGCTGAGTCCCATTACTGCGGATGAAAGTGCTGGTCTTATTTTTGAAACTAGTCGGACTGTTCAAGATTGCCCGTCGCTAGGCCTGGTGAAAGATCCTGTTACGGAGGGATTGGTTCAGAGATACATTGAGGCTTGGATGGAACGATGGACACATATTTAAACTGTAGATAGATTCCATTTTTGGCAACTTCCAAATTTTCTGTTTATCTCCATTATATCATATACACTATGCTCGAAGAGCTTTGTCAACAATATCCGCTGCCCAGAGACACTTCTCATCTTGAAACTTAGGAGTAATGATCTGTACTGCACAGGGCGCACCGTCGACTTCATCGGGATGATCTGTCGCTTGTTAGGATATAATTCCGGCAAAAGGTGGAGAGAACTCACAATCTGGTTGCACATCATCGCCAGTCTCCATCTTCTCCGGATCCAGCTCCTTGGATGCCTTCCCGAACGGAATGATACAGGCGGGATACTGGGAGCAAGGTGAGTTAGTCACATGCCTCAATAAAAACGGAGAAGACACTTACATCCAACAGATTCCAGATCAGGGTATAAGGTGGCCATCCATACGTGTCGTAAGCAGTCGCCGTGCTCTGCGACCCAGGGGTGATAACCACGTCAAGCTTCTGATCAACCCAGGTCTGGCGCCAGGCATCACTGACCCGTGTCCGAGCTTCATGTAGTTTCTGAATCTTCTCAAAGGTTTCCAACTCTTGATCGACTGGCCAAGGACCTGTGAACATTGGCGATGCAAATTTAGCAACTGAGGCCACAAGCGGCTCGCCACTGGGGCTGATATGATCTTCATTTGGACCATACACGAAGTATTCGAATGAGAGGCGAGAAGAAAATGCTACGGATGTTTCCTCTTTACCCTGGTTATCAAGCTTGACAATGCGATGGCCGGCCCGACTCAGAAGTTCGACCGCGCGATCAAAAGCACGCTTGACAGGCGGATGTAGAGGGAACTGCTTATCCTCAGCCAAGACACCAATAGTCAGCACGCCATTACGCTCGCTGATCGCATGAGGGCTGCTATACCACGGCACAGCCAGAGCAGTCTGGTCATATTGCCATGTCTCTCCTTCGCCAATGATAGTTTTCATGAAAAGTTGCAAATCGGCAATACTGTGCGCCAAGGGTCCAGCAGCGGGCTTGAGACCGGGCAATCCTTCCATCGCGCCGGAGACCTGCCCACCAAAGGGCACGCGATCTGCCGTTGGCTTGAATCCGTAAACTCCGCAGCAGAGGGATGGGATACGGATTGAGCCCGCGATGTCGGTACCAACGCCGAGGATGGAGCCGCGGAAAGCCACGAGGGCACCTTCGCCGCCACTGGATCCGCCGGCTGTCAGATTCGTATTGTGTGGGTTGAGTGTTCGGCCAAAGATGTTATTCTCGGAATCGCCGGTCTAGAGTGGTCAATTTTTGAATTGCAGATGCTTACAGTGCTTACTTACCATCATAGTCTGAGGGATGTTCGTCTTGACGTATAACACCGCTCCCAACTGAAGTAGCAGCTTCACGAGTCCCGAGTTCGTCGAGGCCGGTGGGTTCTTTAAGAAGGAGACATATCCCACAGTCGATTGCAAGCCTTCAACACAGAAGCTGTCTTTCAGACTGATCGGCAACCCATGAAGAGGACCGATAGGCTTTCCTTCACGCTGGAAATACTCATCAAGATACTTGGCCCGATCGAGCGCCTGATCGAAGAACGTCTCAGTGAGGCACGATGTCTACCCAAGTTAGCCTTCACCACTTCGACTTTCATAAACGCAGACAACATACCACCTGCTGCGCAATCGCCGCCCGTTTACAAAATGCCGTGGTAACATCCAACGAACGAACATTTCCCGATGCCAATTTGACCAGAAGCTGCTCCGCAGTAAAGTTCTCCGTGAGATCGAGTTCAAGCTCAGACAGCAATCCACATTGCCGCGGTAGATCAAACTCCAGCAGATGTGGGGGCACAGATAGCTGCTCCGCACTAAGCGTCCATTCGCGGGGGATTTTCTGTGCGCACTCACGCCGCTTCTCAGCAACGATATCCTGCCAGGGGACTGGAGATGTCATTTCGCCCATATTGAGAAATAAATATGTAAAATGGCGGGGAATCACAGACCATCGTGGTGTTTATGTACTTAGGTGTGTCCACTGCGATAAGAGATTGGGAGGTACTAATCATCGACCCACTTCGCTTGGAATAGAATGCACCGGTGCGTCCACCTACCCAATTGGGATAGCTGTCGGCTACGCTCTGCAGTTATCATGGGATCGAAGAAGAATCTATTCGGTCTTTACTATATCCTATCTGCCGTTCATTCCTTCGCCACCACGTTCTCCGGCTTGATGCCCGGGAAATTTGTCAGGTGGTACGTATCTATCCAGATCTTCTCGCCTTCACAGGTCATTACGCCGAGGCAGACCAGCCCGTTGAGCCAGTTATAGGGACCGGGACCGGCTTCCAGTCTGAGGTGCGAGAAGAATTCAACATCGTCCTGAGTCACAGCGTACTGCGGTGGCTTTTCCGGGTCGGCTTCGACTTGCTTCGCGTACTCGGTTCCGGGGCCAGGGCGGTAGAGGCCGTGGGCGCGAATGTAGATGTAGTGGCCATCGCTTGTACGTGCAGTATAACGGGCATCGAGAGTCATGGACTATTTGAGTTAGCCATGAGGTTACGGGATTCAATCGCACTAGTTTTCATACATGAGTTCCCTTTACCACAGTCGCCCAGTCTGCGCCACCAAGAGGTAAGATAGAAGCCTCAATACTGGGTCCCTTGATGGTACCGCCGATGACATTGGCAATGCTCCGGATTGTGCCTGCATTGTATGGCGCGCCGATGTTGACCTCCTCTTTGGCGATGTCGCATTCGAGTCGATAGAGGAAAGCTAGGGATGGTTGGCGCATCTGCGGTCCATGAGGGAAGATACCGTTACCAGGAGAGAGAGCAGTAGACATTGTGAGAAGTATGACAGAGAAATGTGGCTTGATAAGTTCTTAGAGGGTTATAGAAACCATGGTCGTTACCAAGGGCATTCTTATACTAAGATTCCTTGTTGATCTGCAGCTGGTTATTGAACAGGGATTTCGGCTTAGTGGAGCCGTGCCACGGACATTACGACCCGGTTGAGGAACCAGGATAAGCCATGCTAGCTATCAATTAAAGAATATACCGGCCCCAAGAAATGTGTTCAGAATGTCTTAAGCGCGTGTTTTGAAATGAGAGTAAATTAACCGACGGAAGTGGAGATAAACATCCCCGCACTTTGAAGATCCAAAGCAGCAGGTCGACCCCAACTTTATCTATTCTTCCAAGATATGATTTGATTGATTTATAGATCCGGGTGGAATACGCTATTAAATGATTAACATACCAAATAGGAATGTCCAACAGAGAGTCCCCGATCGAAGATCTACTCGGCGCCCGCGGGCAGGTCATCTACAGAAACCATCCTAGTCTCGGCGTATTCCAATGCTTTATCTATTTGCACTGTTTTCTCATGCTTTGACCGTCGCTCCACACCGACTTCAGCTCTCTGTCTCTTTCCCATTCACCTTTCGACTTACACTCTGCAATTCACCAACATGTCACTCGTCCAGGCTCAACTCAGCAACCCTGGCATTCCAGCCCCAGAGCGCCAACAAGCTCTAAACCGAGTGCATGCAGACCCCGGCGTCCCTAAGGACGCCACAACCTCATCTTTCTGGCTGCAGGAGCCGCATCCACATTTTACCAACAAATCCTCGTTCCCCCTGCCCGCTAAAGCGGACGTCGTGATCATCGGCTCAGGCGTCACCGGCGCATCAATTGCCCGCACATTACTCCAGAGTCGCTCCATGTGTTCAAATCCGTCGTTTCCCAAAGTTTTGATACTTGAAGCTCGCGATGTTTGCAGTGGCGCTACTGGCCGGAATGGTGGTCATATCCTTGAAAATGCAGACGAGTACGCCGAATTCGCAGATGAGTTCGGAGAGGATGCTGCGCGGAAGATCATTCGGTTTAGGCTTGCGCATTTGCGCGAGATGCTCAGTGTTGCGGAGGAACTTGGGTTGACTGAGGTTGCTCAGGCTCGCAAAGTGCAGTTCCTGAGTGCTTATTTCGGAGATGAGAACTGGAAGTCTGCTAAAGAGCGACTCCAACGTTTCAAGAAGGGTATGCCAGAGGAATCCGAGGAGTGGATAGCTTATGAGGGAGATTCAATTCCCAAGGTTCGTGCATCGACTTAATCCGATATTCAGACCTTGACTGACAAGCCACACAGGAATTCAAGCTTTCGCGTGCAAACGGCGTTGTCGCAGGTCCCGCGGGTGCTTTGTGGCCTTACAAATTCGTGACTGGTGTTCTTTCTCGCCTGCTCTCTGAGTACCCGTCCGAGTTCCAGGTTGCGGATCACACCTCAGTGACCGCCGTTCACTACGACCAGGATCAATACTCGATTGAGACCAACCGCGGCACCGTCCACGCTCGCCATGTCATTCATTGTACAAACGCACATGTCGGACATCTAGTCCCCGGCCTTCGTGGCCGCATCTTCCCCGTCCGCGGACAAATGTCCGCCCAGACACCGGGAGACAGATTCCCCCTTCAAGCAGAAAAACACTCCTGGATCTTTAACTACGATCGCGGCTTCGACTATCTAACCCAGCTACCAAGCGGACAGATGATGTTCGGCGGCGGTTTCGTGCACAGTGAAAGCCTCGGCATCGCCGATATGGGTGTTCCAGCTGATAACGAAATGAGTCTCGCGATTGACATTCATCTCTCTGGCGCCTTAAGTGCTGTCTTCGGTCGCGAGTCCTGGGGTTGTGTTCAAGGCAATCCCATTCAAGCGATGTGGACCGGCAACATGGGATTCAGCGCCGATGGGTTCCCGTGGGTGGGAGAGTTGCCTGGATCTCTAACACGTCGGACAAGAACTAGCAATAAGACAGGCGAAGGGGCCGAGTGGGTGTGTGCTGCGTTCTGCGGCGAGGGAATGGTGCAGGCGTGGCTATCTGGAAAGGCGCTGGCTACTATGCTTCTGAAAAAGGATGGACACTCTGGGGAGGATCTGTCATGGTTCCCGGAGCAGTTGCTTGTGAATGAGCAGCGCATTAATAAGGCCGTGTTGCCTCAGGTTGTGTCCGATTCACCACGACGTCATGCGAACCTGTAGATGGTTGAGTTAGGGTTCGATTGGGTTATGCTGTGTAATGTCGCGTGTCGCCTTCTCTTTTTCCCGGCGGTTCTCTGTGGCTGGACTGAACAGGCATCCATATTTCATGGCTCTCAGGATTGGGTCTTTTCGGGATTCTCGGGATACGTTATCAGGTTCCAGAGATTCATGGTTTCTAGGGCCTCGTTTCGTTACGTATACGTAGAACAGACACCATGCAGTGCACATGAACAAATTATCATTACCATCAGACAATCGGAATTTATTGAATCCCCATAGACAGTAACCAAATTGGAAGAGAGAAAGAGAAAGAACTCTCACAGGCCAAAATAATGAAAGCAGTGCACTAATCAGGAAACTCTTAGAGTAGGCCACTCCTAGACTCGAGTCGCGCGCCCAACCATCAACCCAGCTGGTATCAGGTCGAGACATTATGTCCCTGCGCATCAACCAGACTATAATACTTCCCAGCCAATTTCCGGCGAGATTCTTTACCCCAGATGATCATTGGGATGATCAGACCCGTAACAGCCAGACTGATGAATCCGCTTGCAATGAACATGTTCTGAAGGCCATCCCTCTGGATCCATGGATTGATGGCAAATGGAATACCAATGCTCACAGCATTTCGGACAAATGCAATTCCCGTGAATGCGTCGCCGGTAATCTTAGTCTCATATTAGTCTCGAAATGTTAATGCAAGTTGGTCGAGTGAATCAACTTACATCACGATAGCTGTCAATAACCAGAGTCAAAACAGCATCGCTGACACCTCCAAGGCCGAATCCAAACATCGCACCAGCGACACTGGGATAAATCCAATGCATTCCCTGACGGAAGTAGTCATATTAGCAAGAAATGCTACCTAGCAAGGAAGTAGCTCATTTCCAGTAGCACATACCCTTGCAATAGTAGCTCCGAACATAATAAGCCCACCTGCCATAGTCAAGGCTGGGAGATGAAGAATATAGAGACGCATCTCTGGCTCATAGAAGCCTTTGTTCCGCCTCGAAAAGAACTGAATCGACCAGTCGCCAAGCACACCACCGTATACCGAGCCAATCAGGTTTCCGATGAATGGGCCCACGCTCATAAATCCAATTTGCTCAGGTGTGAAGCTATATGGTGGAAGGGGGAATACGAGGGAGATCACACTTGCTGTGATCGTGAGCCAGACTACGCCGGCGGCATATTGAAGGGCGGTGAACATGACTGCTGGGAAGATTACAAGGACATTGAAGGGGCGGTAATAATATGGCCAGATTGATTCGGGGGTCGGAGTCACCAGAGCGAGGCGTTTGCGCCATGAGTTCATTGGGATCGTCAGGTCAAGCTCGTGGTGGATCCTACTGGGCTCGTCGACTGGAGTAATGTTAGTTTCGCTCTGGACCGGATCTTTGATGTCGTCGTCTTTTGAGACAGGGAGATCATCATCGTCTGCGGCGGGAGTAAGACTCTCACGCCCTGAGAGGACGGGGACATATTTAGTCTCTTCGTAGAAAAAAATGAACAAGACCAAGAAGATGGCGTTGAAGATTCCCATTGTCTTGTAGGACCAGCGCCATCCTTGTCTTGTGGCCTGGGCACCCGCCGCCATAGGCGTTAAGAAGCTCTGTGAGTGTAGTCAGCGTAAGCACTATATTGATTGGGAACCTCCCAATGACAGATTGCTTGTGGATGCAACGTACACCAATCATAACCATGGTCATATAAACACCGTTCATTGTGCCTCGATGGTGTACAAAGAATAGATCTGAAATCTGTGTATTGTCAGCTAATAGCCAATGATGAACTCGGATAAGAGCGGCATACTGTGATTTCTACAATAGCTTCATTTGTCGCACCGGCCAGACCTTGCAGTAGATTGCAGACGTAGAGCTCCGTCAAGCTTGTGAGCCTAGAAGTCCAGAATGAGGTCACCAGCATCAGGGCTGTAGAGGCTATATAGACCGGCCGTCGGCCGAACTTCTTTGCGAATGGGATGAACAGAACGCAGCCCATGGCTAGTCCTACATAGTTGACGGACATTGACTGTGTGAGTTGGCTGTAGTTAACATGGAGATCGACAATCATCTGTTGCCAAAAGATCTGCTGGATGGAGAGACTGGTTGAATCAGCATGGTTAAAACAAGCCTGATTGTAGCGTATCTCACGCTGTAAAGATGATAATGCTCATGCCCGAAACGATGGTAAAGTTGATCGACTTCCGTAGAGTGCTCCAGTTCTATATTTAGGAGAATCAGTCTCGGACCAAATACAGATACTATGCCAAAGCAATGACAACATACCAAAGGCTCATTCGGATCATTTGTCGGGACCGGGTCGAGTATGACAACCTTTTTGCCTTGCATTTCCCCTCCATCGTCTGAGAAGAGAGTCAGTGATGCCTAGTAAGTAATACTTTCTTCGTGGTGCCCTACCTCCAATCAATTTGAAGGTTCCGGGAGGGAGTGCAGTCCTATCTTCGGCAGAAGAGCTGTTGCGAATGCTCGCCATGGCCCTAGTGAGTCGTAGTTGGATAGGAAGAAGCCCAAAATAGCTATGGAGCAAAGAGGTAGATATGCAATGTGGATACGTGGACCACACGAGAAGACTAGATGAGGGTGGAGCGCGGGTCCAGACTCAGAAGTAGATAAAGGGTAGAATTGAGGCAAAAGCAAGGTAGTTCAGCAGGGATAGGTCAAGTAGGGATGTGAAAGCAAAAGAATAGATGAACTCCGAGAAGGTCAGTAAGACCAAGTCCACAAGGGATTTTCGTTCTGCAAAGCCGAAGAAAATGGAGTGGCAATGGCTCGAGTCGAAGTCTAGGTGGTGAAACTTGAAGATATATAATTGTATCTCCCATTCTCAGTCGCGGCCAACAGTCCACATGATAGAACGTTATCGCTTGCGCCACCAGGAGGGCTACGAATCGTAAATGCCATGATAAGGCTTCAATTCGTTGATGGAACTTCTTTCCCCAGAGATGTCAAGTGCGGAGAGGAACTTTAGTTTACAGATCGCACCTCGCTACGGCAAATTAAGTCTATGGGCGTCGGCCTCCTCTTTTGAGAATAGCGTGATGTGATAATAGCGTATCGATTAGTGGGGTTATTTGTAGCCAAGAACGTCGAAATAATTAGCATTATCTCTATTCTCCACTCCTCCCTCCGTGTTGTTCAATAAACTAGTCCGTACTCGGTAGGCGGACGCACTCGTCCCGGATATGTGGTTGACTACTGACCGGAGCGTTAACCGGAGGTTTAGATGTCAAGGCGAGATGCGATAGGTTTTATTAGGCACCACGTTATTGCGAGAAAGAGTAAGTACTGCCGAGGATACATCATTGTTCTGCGATCTTAATATTCGATTAGATCTGAAATTCTCAATATTCACGCCTATCACTTGTCATGAGAACCAACTATGTCCAAGTCTAGAGTGACAGTTTCCCTGTCGCCGGTTCATACACGTTTGTTTTATCTTGGAAAAGATCAAAGCCAATCTTAGTACAACTAACAATTTTTCTGGATGTCAGATGCCTCTATCTCAACGGTGGTCCGAACCGTCAACCTCGCCTTCTCATCCGACCCATTGATACAATGGCTCCGTCCAAATGCAACACCATGGTCTGAACAAGACCCATCAGCATCAAAGTGGCAGTACCGCCGAGTACAGTCTATAATGTCCCATGGACAAGTCTTTCAATCCGCAAGCGTCGCTCAGATGGCACAAGACTATCTGAAAAAGCCACCCATGTCAGAAGATGAGGCAGCTCCCGAGAAGAAATCCCGCATCTCCGTGTCTCAAGACCCAGACATTCACAGTACAGATACAGGTACGGTTGTATTCCTGTACCCGCCCGCGGGATACCTCAGCTGGTCACTTAATCGGATACTCCTCACATGCAAAGTTTGGCTGCTAGAGCTCTTCAACCCGGCTCTTGATGAGGGTTGTAAAGAAAAGGTATCATTCAAGCCCTTTCGCGGAGCTATTCTAAGATTTAACGCCATTCTAGCGTGTCGATAAGCTCATGGCTGCGAACAGATCCAGTGCTCAGGCTTTGCAGAAGCAATACTCAAAGCAAAAGCTGTGGTACCTTGAGGTAATCGCTGTGCATCCTGCACTACAATCACGCGGTCTGGGTGGAGGCGTGATGAGATGGATTTTGGAAAGGGTTGGAGAACAGCCTATATACTTGGAATGCACGGCGCGGGAGAATGTTTCATTCTACGAGGCTTTCGGCTTTCGAGTCGTCGAAGAGGTAGAGTTGATGGATGATGACGATGGTGAAAAGCTTTTTTACTGGGTCATGATTCGTACGTGAGACCCAAGTGCTCCTGGGGATCTCGGAGGCAGCTGGAGTGACACAGGAGTCAGGTGAAATAGGATGCATATGCAGAAATACTTTACCCTGGACCGGGTTGGATTATAAAGTAATGATGACGCGAGGTTGTACAATTCCTTTATAAAAGTCCCATCTCGAGCTCCTTGGCCTGCGCCAAATCATCAACATCAAGTGTAGGATCGTTCCTCTGCCACATCTCCTCTAAAATTTCCAAAAGTATCTCGTCTTGCTTTGATGCCGAGGCACGATTGCGAATAACATCCTGCCACTGCGGATTACGATTCATCACCTCCACCTCAAGCCCGGCAACAAAATAGGGGTAAACAACGGCATTGTTGATATAAATATCTTCCGCCGGACGCTCAACACATGCAAGTCGTAGAGCATCGAGGTTGGCCAGTATACGCGATACTAGGATAGTAGCATCCGCAGGACACGCGCTCGGCTGTCGCCACGCTGAGAAACCGGAAGTCTTGCGTGATTGCTCGCTAGTGCGTGCATGCTTTCGAAGGGTCAAGATCCCAGCTAATCGGTGCGCTTCCCACAAATAACACTGTAAAAAGCTCCCCGCCTCGCCTGGCCAGTCCCAGAAGCTTTGCTCGGTAGTTTCCATGCCGATGCCGGCAAATAAATCAACTAAACTGCGGGGAAGTCCCGTTACAGGCTCAATGCCCTGCCTCGGTCCCGCGGGCTGGCAATAACGGCGCCAGATACCGATACAGGGGGTTTGACGACCAATGGCAAAGCATGGCAGATCCATAACCCCCATGACCTCGAGAAGATGCGTGCGGAACTCGGAAGGGGTAGCTGTAGGGTGTAGGTTATCGAGACCGTGGCTTTGCAGGATGTTGTGCATTCCTTCTAGATGCATGGTCCAGGGCAGCCCATGCATCAGCTGGACGTGGAGTCAGAACGTTAATATATAATGGAACATGAAAAGGACAGCTGAAACAGGAAGATCTGGGGCGACGCACACCGGTGCTACACAGTAGGAGACCCGCTGTCAGCGTCCCATCTGAGAGGGTCGTGCTGCGAGCCAGTTCGGATCGGAATTTGCGAAGCGCAGCATCGAAGTATTCGAAGAACAATGGCGTATGTGAGGCTGAGAGAGAGAGTTGAAATGCGATACAGATTGGGTACAAGGCGGTAGATTCTTGACATAGCTGTGGTAGTCGTGGCTGGAGCATGCTCTCTCGTGCGGTCGTTGAGTGTAGCACATTGATGCCGCTTCTCAGGACTATTCCGTTTAGCCTGGAATCCAAGACCATTAGACATAGAGTCACCCACATTCGTCAAATAGCATTCTATCGTGCTCCGATGCTTCTGGATTCAATAATGCCAGATCCATGTCATGGACCTCTACCAACAACGCATCAAGACCATGCAAGCACGAACTCGAGGACTTTGCGGCGGGCTGCGCATTGCACTTCATCCTTTCTCGACTAAGATCCCTTCGTCTTCCCTTCGGCCTAATCGGCACATTCTCCTCAAGTGGTTTATCAGCGCCGGTAAACCGACCGCGCGACGCAATGCCATTGCCCCATCGCAATCGCACTTCGTAGCCCTCGCAATCAACACCCCGTTGCGCGCAGTTCTGACAGGTCGGACGAGCATTATCGCATCGGCGCCGACGGCGCTTACATGTCCAGCAGCCTTGATATGAGCGGGTCGACATTCCGAAAGTAGAGATAGGTTCGTAGAGAGGGCGCCGGCTGTTGGTTATGTAGGAAATGCGGGGGATGTGGACCCAAGTTGATAATGCGTCGGACTTCCCGTTTTGGTTGATAAGGGTTTCGATAGAAACGAGCCATGGTTGGTTGTACATATAAATCTAAATCTCAGTGCTCAAATGCGAGATAACGAGGTTTCTTTCCCCAATTGCGGCTGAGATGTCTTTCCAATCGCCTGTCTCTAAGTGTAGAATCACGATTCCTGGTCTCGGGACTGTGGATGGCCTACAATATGCCAATGGGGTTCAGCAGTTCTGTGGGATCCCATATGCGCTTCTGTCAAAGCGTTGGACTCGCTCGGTATTGAAGACATCATGGGAGGAAGGGCATCATGATGGGACACGGCTAGGGTATGAATTGACAGCCAATATGAGAGTATCCTGCTAAAACAATCAACAGCAATGACTGCCCGAGTCCAATGATCGAAGGCGACGACTCAGATGACCTTGTCCCTGTTCCTCCAGCAGCTCATTTCTCCCATCCGCGTGAAGTAGACGAGCTTTCTGGACTGGTTATGAACATCGTGATTCCTCATGCGGTCAAGGACGCCACCAAGCTACCAGTTTTCGTCTATGTGCACGGTGGCTCTCTTCTGTATGGCGGTGCGAACCTTCCCATTTTCGATGCAGTCAACCTAGTCTCACATAGCATCTCAATTGGTCACCCGATCATCTGCGTGAATTTCAACTATCGCGTCGGCATTGGCGGGTTTCTGGCCGGCGAGGTGATCGCCCGCAGCTTGGAGCAAGATGGTCACCAGGGTAGCGGCAACTTCGGATTCACCGATCAAAAAGTGGCTTTCGATTGGGTACAGAAATATATCAGCTTCCTTGGAGGTGATATTCACAACGTCACCGCGGTGGGCGAGTCGGCTGGGGGTATCTCGATCAGCAACCAACTTCAATCAGCTCGGCCACCTGCCTTCCATCGTGCTGTTTGTATGTCTGGTCTTTCTGCTGCGATCCCGCCATGGACTATGAATCAACATGACTGTTTCTTCGAAACGGTCTGTATCCATTTCAAAATTGATCCCGCGGCGCAAGACGCTTTGGACATGCTCCGATCCGTCCCACAACAAGAGCTCGCGAACGCAACTGCCGAGATCCAGGGTGTTCCATCCGGCACGGGAAATCCATGTATGGATGGTTGGTTCTACCTCCCGGAAATAGATCCTCGCAAGGTGAACCCACCACCCGCATGGCTCAAAGGATTTATGTTCGGCGATACCTACCACGAGGGAATCATTTTCCATTTGAACCTGCTCCTTCTCGAAGAAAACTACCAATCCATCCGAGAAGCCCTGCAAAGCAAAATTAGAGATGAAGCGCAGACGGATCACATTCTCAGAGCATACGACATTACAGCCGACCTCTCACAAGATGAACTCTTCTCTCGAACAGAACACATGTGCGGTGACGCCATCTTCAAAATCCCCAATTATCTGTTAGCCAATAGATGTGCTACTGAAAATTTGCCAGGCGACGCATTGTTCTTATATCACTTTGATCAGCGATCTCGTCTGCTGAATGCGCTAGAAGGTACTGCGTATCATGCGCATGAACTGTTGTATCTGTACGGGAATTTGGACAACGAGATGAGTGAGAAAGAAATAGCCATGGCGAGGGAGTTTGCAGGTGCTTGGATTCGATTTGCAAACGGGTTAGCGCCATGGGACGCTGATGGGGAACGCAAGTGGATGGTTTGGGGGCAAGATAGTAAGAAGAAGGTCATGAGTGAGGATGAGGATGAAAAGGTGCGGGATTATACTAGGATGAAGATGATGCTGGGACTTGAAAATGAGGGGGAGAAGGTGTGGGAGAGGTGGTTAGCTGGTGTAGATGCTCTTGTTAATAGGCGATCGCATCTTTTTGGCAAATAAATTGTTCGGATTATTGTGCTTTAATTTGAAATCTTTGAATCTTCCTCTAGAAAGTTGCGTCCAGCAAACATGTCATAGACTGACTGTAATTCATCCGGAGATTACATTTGAAGATCCTAGTAATAAACTAAAAGATCGGGTCGTAAGAGCCCCCGATGTTCAAGACGGTCCGTGACGGTCCGGGCGACCCGCCGGCTACGGATATAAAAGCCTTGACGGTGGGCGCTTACCCCTCTTACTGCCATCCTTTATAAGGCATTATTTCGAAATCGCCTAGGTTTGATCTTACATGACCGGCTCGCCTACCGAAGACATCACTTGTTAAGGGTTCAAAACGAACGCCTTGCAGCTTTATCAGCCCGATCTATACCTCCACGTGATCGGCTCAACCGGGACCCCGCCCGACAAAGGTGAACCCCGGGTCGGAGTCGGCGTCAATTCAGATAAAGTCTCAATTGACTGATAAGTCGTCAATTTGCTCCGAGGAACGCAATTAGAAATAGAAGCTTCCTCGTGCATTTGGTGGTCACCTCTCATTCCCCCGCAGTTTCCTCGAACGGCTAGCGGATTTCACTTGCTCGAAAGGAACTCGCAAATTCATGTTCGAGATGGCCTCAAAGACCTCCTCATACCTTATTATTGGCGCCGGTGTCTTTGGTGTCTCCACTGCATACACCCTCATTCAGAAATATCCCAATGCCTCGGTGACTCTAGTGGACCGAGACGCATACGACGCCGAGTCCCGCGTAGCCGCATCGTGGGATTGGAACAAGGTTGTTCGCGCCGACTACGACGACAAGGTCTACTGCAGATTAGCTCTTGAGGCTCAAGATATCTTCAAATCCGATCCTCTTTGGCAGCCTCATTTCCATCAGACCGGCGTCTACTGGACATGCCGCAGCGACTACGCCCAAAACGTGATCAACCACCACAAAGATCTCGGCCGCAATGACGATATCATTACGCTGCCTGTCGCCGAGGCCCGGAAGCTTTACGGTGGACTCTTCGACAGTGCTGATTATACCGGTGTTAAGGAGATTCTAATCAACAGGGCCAGTGGTTGGGCCGCTGCTGGAGATTCTCTTCGCGCCATCACGAAGAGATGTCTGGAATTGGGCGTCAAGTATGTGGTTGCTGACGTTGCTACTTTGGAATTCGATGGCCGTGGTTCTTGTACTGGTCTAAAAACGAAGTCTGGACAGATTCTATCAGCTACGCATACTATCGTCGCCACGGGTGCTTTTACGCCGACGTTGCTGGAGTGGAGCGCTGCGAAGAGCGGTAATCACGGTCTCCGAGCAGGAGAGCGAATTGTTGCCGCCGGTATTACGACAGGAATGGCGCAGCTCAAGAAGGAGCAGTATGCGAAGTTCAAGGATATGCCCGTTGGATTCCAGGGTTACACGCCCGAGGAGGGTAGGTTTATCTGACATGTTTGCTTGGATGTCGCTAACTGTCCACAGGCAAGCCCTTCATTGGTACCCTACCCCCTACCAAGGACGGCGAGCTCAAGTGGTGGGGTTCTAAGATTTTCACAAATACTCGCGAAGTGCTGCCTGGTCGTCATATCTCTTCTCCTCCGCCTACACATGACTATAACCAATGGAAAGTCCCTGGGCCTCTCAAGCAGGACATTGTCGAGGCACGAAACCTATGGTACGGTCCTCAGAGTGCGAATTGGGAGATGACGAAGCACCGAATTTGCTGGTGAGTACAGTACAGTGCCTTTCGGGAATACGATAAAAAAATACGATAAAAAAATCAATTGATCTAACAATCAACAGGGATGCATTCACCACAACCTCCGATTTTATCATTTCTCCTCACTCCGCTTCTAAGGGCCTCTACATCGCAACCTGTGGCTCCTTCCATGGCTACAAGTTCTTCCCCGTACTCGGCAAATACATCACACAAATGCTGGAGGGCGAGTTGGAGCCAGAACTTGTAGAGAAGTGGGCTTGGGATCGTCAGCGTCCTGATTCTTCCCAGAACGTGGAGTACCCTAACTCAGAGATGAAGCATCTTCTCCAGCCTGCGGCAAAGCTGTAGTCGGGGTTGGAGAGATTCTTGAGGCCGGATCTGGCATGTTTAGCGCAATCACGTAATGTAATTGATAGATCACGAATGCTTGAAGGTGTGAAGGAATTGATGCACATGTGTAATGAAATCACGATTTGATTATTGGACATGAATGGGGTCAGTCAGAATCCGAGTAATCTGGCGTAAAATCTAAAGCAATTCACACAAATGTATCAAGAGTATTCAGCCTTGGGCATGGCATGGAAAGCTCAAGAGTTCGCGCCTGGTGAACATCTAACTCTCTCATCTAAAGTGTATTAAAATTTCAGCCTTGAGCAGGAATTTCGAGCTTAAGCCATCAGGTCATCAGGTCAAAGTCTCACCCTAATCACCTTGTCATCTACTTCGTATAATTCCACCTGACGACCTGATAAACTATTCAGCCCCATGTATATCGATATTCTGCTTCAGGCACCAAGCTGGTATCACGACCTTTATTATGGTGGAGTTTTGTATGAACACATTGGTACCATTCGGCTCTTTGTTGAAGGTACTGTGTATGAGACCTTCAGCCTGGCAGAGAGATTAGCAAACCTGAGGTTTGACTATGATCGTTCGGTTTTTTCTAGGGAAGTTCGAGAAAAGTACTCCTGGGAATAAAAAAAAAAATGAAAGCTCTGAAAAAGAGATTGGATGCTGGTCTGCCTGTGCTCTGGCCGAATGATCCCGAGCTAGAAGAGACACTTTCATAAAGTGAGCATAAGGTCTGTTTGAGAAGAACTATTATGAGAAAGTACAGGTGAAAGGAGACGTCAAAAACAAATAACCATACTCCTACTTGGCTGGAACGATCACCTATAGTCATTTGCGAGGCGGACTTTCCTGGCAAGACAAATAGGTCTTCTACTTAACTGACAAGAACCGCATTCTGCATGCGTACAGGAACCTCTTACAAAGCCCATGAAAACAGTTCAGCCAAACGCACCCTTTTGAGCATGCTGATATAAATCGATCTTCCTAGAGGAAGAAGAAATAAAGAAATAAAGGAAGGGCTAACCCGAAGCACATCTGAGAATACATAGTCTAGAAGAGAAAGCCCAGATCCGGGATAAAAAGAAGATTCGTCAAGGTCAAGGTGGCACTGCTCGTGCCAGGACTCGAATATTATCCACAAAGCCCTTTACCAGTTCTTCGTACTGATTCGACGGGTCACCAGCCATAGCCAAGGTTCCTTGTCGACGGATTTCAGCGGCCGAGATTTCGATCTCGAGCTCGTGCTCGAATTCATTTTTCGTTGCAAGCTATGATGGTGGTCAGAGGACATTCGAGTTGCACACGGTCATTAAGGGTTAGACGGGGGAAAAGACTCACCTCGGCCCTGGCTACCTGCGTCAGATCGATCTGATAGGCTAAGTGTCTGTAACTCATGCGGTCTTTGTTTCGCTCGCCACGGCCACCCTTTGATGCGTCTACCATTGGGAGCTGGGTGTGGTCTCCTTCGTATTCCATTTCAAGATTGACAGATACGCGCCAGTCAACTGTTGTGCGGGGACTGTACACGTCGATGTCGGCGACTCGGCATTTGATAATTTTGGCGATCACTTCACCGGTTCGTTGGTCGGTTGTCACACGGACTTTGGGCTTGTGGCGAGGGTTAAGATTTTGACGAATCACCGGGGGAAGGTCGTTGGGATCGACTTCGTAGAAGGTATCACGTTCCTTTTTGTGTGCGTACGTGAGTGGGATACGTTTTGGGTCAGCGGCCGGCATGGAATGTCTGACGGTTTCGTTTAGAAAGTTGTTCATGGCGCGGTGTTGCTCCTATTATCCGTGGTTAGTTTGATCGCCATTGCACGTTCTAAAGGGGACAGTGGATCACTTACGACTGTCATGCTGCTCTCAAATGCTGTCCGAAATCCGGAATCGCGATTGATGACGCTCTCTGTGAGAACAGGCAAGCGCAGTCTTTCTCGACGATCCTGATCGATGACATGGCCTAGCTTCGCCTCTACTTCAATGATTGTTCCTTGTCCAGTGGCAGCTGAGCCTGCTCCTCCAACAGCTACGTCGTTTCTCATGACGACATGCTTGAAAAGGAAATCACAGAGAGATTTTGTAATCTCCTCGAAGGGAATGAGTCCGGTGATTGAAGGTTCCCACGGTCCCAATGATCCCACGGGGCGTGTAGAAGCCTGAGGTGCAAGCGCAGGCGCAGGCATCGGTGCCGGTGCCGGTGCCGCCTGCGGTGGAGGACCGTTCGCGCTGGGCGGAACAGAGCCTGGTGTCCGTACAGCATGCGAAGTCGCAGTGGTCACTGCGGACGCATTTGTGGAGGATCGCCTGCGAGCGGCCCAGGGCTCCTGGCTCGACTGGCGTAAATGTTTCGGAACAGGAGATTGTGGGTTGGGAATCACAGGGCATTTGCCTTTGGTACGGACCGACCGCTGAGCATAAATTGGGGGCTCATTGTATCGTCTCCTCTTCGCCTTTGGTAGCGGATTATCGATTGACGGTTGGTTCTCAAAACGAGGCATTGGGTCGTGGTCAACCTCCATCTTCACCGACTTCAGGGGGTGGGATCCACTTCTCGGCCCTGAGAAGCTATTCATCTGGGCATTAGCCATTGCGATTGGAGAGACACGTGTTTCCGCCCCTGGTCCCGATGGAAACGATGCCGTAGGACTCTCGTTCCATCTTCCATCTTCTGATGAGCGCATTGGAGCTCCGGCTGTTTCAGATGTACCCGCGATGCTGTTCTGCCTCGAAGCCTCCGGGCTTGCTGTTCCCATATGCTCTTGTTTGAGGCCGGCCGAGTGAGGTTGAGGAGTGGATTCGGACGGTCTAGAGCTGGGTGAGAAGTTCCGGGAAAGAGATGGAGATTGTGTGTTTGTTGAGTCTCGCATGGGCGTGTCTTGCATCGGTCGAGGGCTGGACAGAGGATTGCGCGGAGAATCGCGGCCGGAGGACAGCGGACGCACAGAGGGGGATTTGCGAGAGGAGAACGCGGCGGGGGGTCCCAGAGGAGTCTCCGGGGCAGGACGATGGGAAGGAGGAGAAAAGTGATGGGGTGGAGGCTGCGTGGCGGTGGGAGGGCTGTCTCGTGGACGGAACGTCTCCCCCGGGGCTTGCGGATTCGTCATGACCGATTGTAACGAGTGAGATCTCTGCTGTGCAAAGTACGAACCCTGTTCCGGATGATGAAGACCCGCACTGAGAGGCTGCGGTGTGTACGGTGAGGCCAAGGGGCCGGCGGGGTGTTGTGGATGCGAATTGTACGCCGACGCGCTGTATTGGTCACGCGCGCCAGGTCCATATGGAGTCATAACCTGAGGAGGGCTTTGACTCCGCTGAGATTGCGCTCCTGTATTCAATGGTGGAGGCGCGGGGGCGCCCTTGAACTGTTGGTACGGCGATTGGGGAGGAGCATAGGGCGAGGATCGTTCTGGGGAGCCATGCGGATGCTGCAACGGAGGCTGTGGAGGACGAGTGGCGAAGTCCGAGTAGTTCTGTTGCGCGCGCTGCTGCTGAGTGGGATCGATCGGAGAACTCGAGGTTTGTGTGGGCGGAGCAGGCTTGGAACCGCCGTCGTTGTTCATGATCGTGCGCAAATCCATCGCGACGGCAGAGGGTCACCACGACCACCAGCGCGATCAAGGCTTTATCGAGAGACACGCGCAGCTGGCGATCGCGACATCAATAGGGAATTGCACAAGTCGAGGGTTGATGACAGGAGGGACAAAGAGAAAGGGAGAAGTTCTAAACCCGGATCGCGCGAATCAGGGAGCTTGGGAGGATCATCGCCGTTTCGGGGAAAAGCATGGAAAGGCCACGATTTTCCAATTACGAAACAACCAAGGATAGTTTGGTGAAATCCCCTTGATTGCACTCGATTATGATTTTTGAATGTTGTTTCTGATCTACATGTGAAGTCTCTATGATAGCTAGGACCTCGGAGCTGTGTAGCATTTGCAGAGCTCTGTATACGGGGTTCAGGGTTCGGGCGATCCACGTTGAAACAAACATAGGTATATACATTCCGAGGAAATGGAGTTTTCTTGTTTGACAAAGATTACTTCGAATATGTCTGAGTCTGAGAAGACAATGGATTTACGTAGTGGATTATCAGTAGAAGGAGCAAAGAAAGGAAAGGCCAAGTGGAATTTCTCTATACGGTCATGTGATATGCTGAGTCATTCCTGTTGCCCTCACGGATAAAGGTTTGACGCTATCAGTAACTATACATCGAGTGTAAAGGTTCCTAGTTGTAACTTCATCAAGGCACCTGGAAAGACCTATCGAGAATTTTTGTTAGTCTAATATTCTCGAAATGATCGCTTCAAGCTCGTGTGTCGGAATTGACCCCGGCCCTCCGTTCCTAGGGTCAAAATTATCAGCCATCTTATGACGCGTGTTGAAGTATAGAAATAGAACAAACTTCCCATTCACAATTTTGTTGCATGATTCCAGCTATATTCACAGTCAATTAACATTTGAAGCATATTGCAAAGTAGAAAAAGGCTCTCGAGAGATTACTGTGTTAACATCGAGAATGTTACTGTTGGGGCCTAGCTGCAATTCAACTGAACACGGCCCATGTTTGCGCCCGCACGCAATCGGCAGGAGATCTCCACTCATCTCTCCCCGTTTCAATGATCAATCTCCAGGGCACCCTCGGCCATCTTCTCACTTGTGATTTCAACTTTGAATCTTCCTCATATTGTAGGATTCTGCCGAATCGCCACGTCCCAAGGCCCCAAATTGCGGAGCCACGCCCATTCCCGTTTCCGCTGACGTGTTTCGCCGTGGAAACTGCCGCGTACTGTCTCCTGACGACCGCACATCTTCAACCCTCCGCTTTGCACTCTTGAGAACCTCGCTGGCGAGCACCTGATCCGATTCCCCCTGGTTACCCACGTTCCTTGCGGCCAGACTCGATGACTCTTTCACCATAATACCCTCTGTCGCATTGCCATGAACTCGAAACCACGCAAAAATGCCACCTTTTGCCGACGCCCGCGCCTCAACGACGGCCGCCGACATTCCCCTTACAGATCTCGAGCGCGGATCTAGCTCGAGTCGCAACGAAATTGCCCGCTGGAACGGCTTTTCCCAATTCCATCCATCCAACATCCTCGCGAATCCTAATGGACTGGCACCAAAAGTATCGCAGGAAGACTGGGTGGCCTACACAGAAGATACATGGCACCGGATGACGGTCGCATTGACACCGAGCTTTCTACAACACTATTTCGGGGGTGAAACGCCCGATGATACGAAGCTGCACGCCATCGCTGCACTTGACGGTCTTCGCGGCTGGGCCTGCCTACTCGTCTTCAACTTCCACTTCCTCTTTACGTACACATGGAAAGTCTCAATTGGATGGGGTTTCAATGGTGAAAATTTTGGCATTCATCAGCTGCCATTTGTGCATCTCTTGATCTCCGGCCATATCATGGTGGCCATTTTCTTCGTGATCTCCGGCTATGTACTCTCGTACAAACCACTCAAGACAATCCGGTCCCAGTCTTTTGAGCAGACCTTTACCGTTTTGGCTTCCTCAACTTTCCGCCGTGGCCTGCGTCTATACGTGCCTGCGCTGATTGGACTCTTGTGTGTCTTCGTGGCCGTCCGCCTCGGTCTTTACAACTACTCGCACAGCGTCATCAAGGAGGGTCTCACCATTCGCGGCACCAATGAACAACACCCGCCAGTGTACAAGTCATTCACAAAACAGTCCTGGGACTTCTACTATACAGTCGCACATTTACTGAACCCATTCGACTGGAATCTCTACTACAATAATTACAACCCGCATCTCTGGACCATCCCAGTCGAATTCCGCTCCTCAATTGTCCTATTTCTTACCATCATTGCCACATCCCGTGTCCGCGCAGCTGTTCGCATATCCCTCGTCGGGTCCCTCATCTGGTGCTGCATGCGCTACGGCCGCTGGGACGTGGTCCTCTTCCTAATCGGCATGATTATGGCTGAGATGGACATTATCAACGGGACCTGGGAGCGTCCAGCAGGCTCCAACATAATTGACGAGAAAACCAACATCCGCCTTGGCCCAAACGGTAGAGTCCTAACTACCGTCTCGCGCCGCAAACTATGGATATTCGTCTTCATAATCGGCCTATATATTGGCTCAACCCCAAATCTGGGATTCAAATGGACCCCTGGCTTTAGGTGGCTATGGTGCTTGACACCCCACACATACGGCGAACTTCAACGATTCCCACAATCCGTTGGCGCAGCCCTCGTCGTCTTCAGCATCAACCACTCACCCGACATCCAGAAACTATTCACCAACCCGCTCTCCCAATACCTAGGCAAGATTTCTTTTGCATTTTACATCGTCCACGGACCCATTCTTCACTCATTGGGCTACTCTCTCATGCCGAACATCTGGGCTATCACGGGCAAGGAAACGAACTTCCAATACTGCTTTGGATTCTTAATTGGTTGGATGATTTGTCTGCCTATTGCCATTTGGGCAGGTGATGTCTATTGGCGAGCTGTGGACATTCCCAGTGTTAAATTCGCGCGATGGGCTGAGAATTGCGTTCTTGTGAAGAATGCTCCGGTGGCTCCTACGCCAAGTTTGAGCACTCCAAGGGCGACGCCTAAGTTGCCATAGATATGGATGTTCTACCTGTTTTGTATAGATATAAGCGTCTTTTTCCCCCGAATTCAACAATAATTATCACTACACAGCTGAAGCTTCAACCTTTATAACCTGTGGCACCGATAGACTGCAGGACTTGCATAGTTGGTTTGTCTATCTTACATCTACAGATGCATAATAGTCACAAGAATTTACGCCGATCATGTCCTGAATACGACATTAATCTCACTGGATTACAATCAGTGCATCCGACCTATCTCAAGTCTGTTTGATGGGTTCTTCCAACTGTATGGCGATGCAGAAAGCTGTGAGCTTATTTCCCACCCGTTGTAGGCAGGCTGGCGGTATTCATCACAGCATCCGCCGAGAGAAAGGTCCTCCCAGAGACTCTGTACCGGCTTTACATAAAAAAGCAGTAGAGTCGAAGTTGTCGGCAACAAAGTACAGTGGAAGGCGCCGGCAACCAATGTTTCTGATGTATCATTCATTCATTCATTCACTCATACCAAAATCAAGTTAGATGACGATGAAACCCATTCATCGCAAAAGAGTCAGAGCCCACCCACATCGCAGCTAAGCATCGGGCATCGCTTGGTCTAACTAGATACATGAGGAGTACAGACAGGGTAAAATGCATCCGAAGAGCAAAGAAGGGGGTGTGATAGAGATCGAAGAAAATAAAACCATCTAATGCAGGCAGATCGCACAGAAAATGATAAGGCAGCATAAAGATAAAAGAGAACGTCAATCACGCTGTTGGACCTTTTTCCGTTCTTTCCGTATTTCAATATTCCTCCTTTTATAGCGACACGCCCCAGATGCCTCGTCCGCCGCAGACGCCGAGCCATTCTCGGGGTGATCCGTCGTGGCCAGGTCCGCCCTGCGGGGACCAGCTGATGTTGGATACTTCGTAGTCGCATTGCCAGGCGGCAGCGGGGCCGCGTTCAGTTGGGGCTGGAGCCTGCGCGCCTGGGACCGGAGCGGGAGCGGGGACGGGGACGGCGTTGTTCTGGTTGATCAAGTCCCAGACCAGGACGAGGCTATCATCTCCACCAGATGCGAGGACGCCGCGTCGGCTTGGTGACCATTCCACGCAGTTTAATGCGGCGGAGTGGCCCTTCAGCTCGAGTAGAGCTTGTCCTGGTTGACGCACATCGAGAACCCGCACAACGTTGGATTCAGATGAGAATGTTGACAGAAGATGGGCATCGTGTGGAGATGCTAAAGTGCTTGTTAGCGTGGTGAAAGCGATAAGGAGAAGCAGCACATCATACCAGCAATTCGCAACAAAGGAGGAGGGTACATCCCCGTCTGCGATGGGCCAGATGGACTGGCGTTACCGGGACTCGTAACAGCTGAATGGAGTTAGTCATCGAAATATGCAGTGCTCGGTATTTTCAGAGTTACTTACGTCGTTCGACCTTGTCGTTCGGCTCGTAGATAATGGTGCTATGTTCCAGACTCCGCAGGTCGAACATGCGCACACTGCCATCAGCACCACAGCTGACGAAAACATCGACACTATTAGCACAGAATCTGACATCATACACCTCTTTGTCATGAGCGATGAGCTGTGTTTTAGCTGTCAATGTAGGAATATCCCAGATCGTGCAGGTTGTGTCAATGCTAGAGGTGATGATGAGACTTGGAGAGATCGTGTTCCAGTCAAGGGAAGTAATCGGGGCGGTATGTTCGGGAGATTTCGAGTTAGAAAGCAAGGCCAACGGAGACAGCTTGGAAGTAGGAGTCTCTCGCTGGTTTGCAGTCCGTGTGATCGAGTTTGAGCTCTGCAGCGGCTGGGAACTGGGAAGAGACCAAAGGCGGAGGTGATCACCCGATGTGGCGAGGAGATCAGTGGATTGTTTTTGGGACGACGGAGGTTCCCAAAGAATGCGCGTGACAGGATATGAGTGCGTCGCCTCTGCAGTCTTCACGTATTCCAGCTTGATTTCTCCTGCTGCGGCGTCCAGTGTATCTGGGTCTGGTTGGGTCCAGCGTGTGTCAATGATTTGAATCTGGACAGCGGGTTAGCATTAGCAGAATATGTTGGAGGTTGCAGTCCTGACAAAGTTATGGTTGTCCTCTAGATAGCTTCCCAAAGCTAGCTTTCCTCCGAACGAGTTAGAGCCCCCTGTGATTGGCCATTTGCACCAGTCCACCGCGTATATAGGCCATGGAGCAATGTAACTGCTGTTGGAGGGTATCTGGGTTTCGCCATTGTAAGGCAGGAGGCCCCCGCCGCCGCCGCCGCCACTCCCAGGACTCAGGAGCGCATCTCCGAGACCGAGGTGATCGCCGGAAGGACGAATGTCTGAGAGTCCCAAGGGCGAGTACTTCGAGCCTTGCGGTGTGTGGGGCGGGTATCCAGCACCGGGGGAAGAGGGATATCTGGGGGCTTCCGCCGCACCTTGTTGCTTGTACATGGTCTGATCAAATCCGGCGGGGCTGGATCGCGAATGTGCGTGAGAGTTGACCATGCTCGCACGATGACTGGACTGTGGTGTCGTCTGCGGTAAGGAGGGAATGACGGACGAGGCTGTATTGACCGAGACGGCGGGTGGACGATGTTGACCACCTGGGGTCAAAGCACCTGGAAGTGTACCACTGCTGTTTCCACTGGGGCTACCATATTGCAAAGCCTGGGCGCTGGGGTGGACGTTGATGGAGGGGGCTTGGGTTGCACCGGCCTCTGGGGTCGTAGGGTATTCGTTAGACGAGGGTTGGCGCGACAGATTCGGATTGATCAGGCCAGTGGAAGGCATATGTAGCTCTTCTGGTTGGCGACCAAACACGGTGGACCGTCGAGGCGAATCGAACGAGGCGGGATTCGACATGGTGCGGAGGGTTCCACGGCGGCTGTCAAGGGGAAAGGAATCGAGATTGAGATCTCTGTGAGCTCCACTCCCCCGAGAAAGGAATAAGGTGTGTGGGAGAGGGACACCGAATTGAGGTGCAGCGAGCTTTAAGAGAGCTCAGAAGGAAGCAACGCAGGGTCACAACACCACGTCGCCGTCGCAGCTCGTCTGGGGCTGGGGGGTCCCGCGCTGAGTCAGCAATACCCCGGCTCTCAGCCACTTTCCTAAGGTTGACCTTCCGGTTCTACTTGATATCATTCCATCTCTACTCTTTCTGGTTGTGTCTTTCTGTACTCTTCGCTATGTCCTCTAAGAATGTTCACCCGTCTTCGGCGTTGCTACTGCTTCCCCCACCTCCATCCTTCGACTTTGGCCCCGTTAAAGATGTATTCCAGACCTCGGTCTCGGATGTTTTGGTCAAGCTCTCCGAGGCACTACATGGATCTAATGGGATTGCCTCGATCGATATTGCTCTGGCAGTTCCTGGTCTACTTGCTCCAGCTAGCAAGCCCCGGGCAAGAATCTTCAAGCAACTACAACATTATCTCACCAGCATCTACACTCTGGTGGGGGCAGCCGCGGCAGCTTTGGATATTGAGCTAGACTCTCCTGGTGGCATAGATGCTCGCGTGGTTTTTGTGGACTCCTCTTCCTCTGCAATTCGCTCACACTTTGGTCCAACTCTTGATCTACAGTCACTCGCAGCCTCGGATCGCGAATGGGATCACGTGTTCTATCCAAGCAATGAAGCTGGTAAGACGTTAGCCGACGCCTTTGTTAGCTATAGAAACCATCAAGCATCAAAATTGCGAGCCGTGTCCGTCAACACTAAATGGGCTGTTCCGAATCCTCTTTTGAGTCCCGCGCAGGAGGAGCGACTGTCACAGGTAAGAGATGTTCCCAATCGGTACTTCCATCACGCGAGTCTTAACATATTTAAAAGAATGACTCAACCTCTAAGAACCAGCTGTTATCAACTCCCCATTATTCAGTAGCCGTCGGCGGCACCTTTGATCACCTTCATGTGGGCCACAAGCTACTCCTGACCGCCACGGCACTGGTCTTGGAGCCACTCGAAGAGGCAGACCAACGCCGAGAAAGGATTCTCACCGCAGGTATCACTGGAGATGCACTCCTTGTGAACAAAAAGTATGCGGAATTTCTCGAGAGTTGGGAGGAACGCTATCAAAGCACGGCCTCTTTCCTTTCTTCCATTATGGATTTCAGCGGAGGAAGCACCCCACAGCTCGAACGCACCTGGGGATCCGGCCCCAACGAGAAGACTGTCAAGATGAGAGTGCGAGCCAACTTGATTTTCAATTTTGTGGAGATTGTCGATCCCTTTGGGCCTACAATCACCATGGAAGACATTAGCGCCCTTGTGGTCTCCGAAGAGACGCACTCTGGCGGCGAGGCCGTCAACAATAAGAGAAAGGAAAAGGGCTGGAACGTGCTAGGAGCATTTGAGGTGGATGTACTTCAGGCTGGAGCCACGGAGGCCAATATCGACTCCAAAATCAGTAGCACGGACATCCGACGCCGGCGGATGAACCTAGCGAAAGTATGAGAGGCTATAGATGACGGATCTAGCATAAGCATAAGCCACTAGGGCGAGAGAAAAGATGTCATGACAACCAACCGATATACCCAAATCCCCAACCCACGACTCCCCAAGGGCTAGAAATCGGCCAATTTCCTCCAATCAACGGGTACTCCACACGCGACCTCGTCACTCTGCAGATGTGACAACGAAGCGGGGGCCTGCATTGGCCTTACCTCCCTCATCTCCACTCATCGCCATGACTCGCACCTCTGCTCAAACAGTTATTCGCGTTCGCGCTGGCTGGCCGCAGCCTTCTTCAATCATGTGATTCCCCGGGAGTCCTTCGTCACCAATGAATCCCGCCTGATCGCGATGCAAAGCCTGAGCCTGTCAGCGCCGGTGTCGCGCTAAGCCAGGGTCCTGATGATCGTCCCGGTTTGTTAGGGCGAGAACTCTCGCCATGCGGCCCATGGTGAGACAGCCGTCTTGACCAGTCCATTCTACCCTATGCCCTGCAGAACTGCGCTGCTGCCTTTATAACGCCCTTGTGCCCCCGGAGATTCGGTCTGACTCCTTTTATCTTTGGGCTCCCTCTTGTTCCTTGTCTTCGTTATTCCATGTTGGCGCTACTCGCCCACGCCGCCTTGTTTGCGGCTGCTGAATGCGCAGATCATGGACCTGTCACGTCATATCCAGGACCTCGCGGACGAGTTGCTGAGCGAGATTCTATCTCTTGTGCTGGAGCCGAGCTCGAGTACCCCGAACGGTCACTCCCACGGAAATGGGCACGGCCACGGCCACGGCCACAATGACATTGATAAGCATTCCATTAAGCGTGGAGAGGCATCCGATCTCGATCGCTGGAGACTAGTCTGCAAAAGATTTATGCGCATCGGAACCCCGAGGAAGTTCTCACGCTTCGTGATTCGTTTCTCGCGGGATGGTTTTCGTCGACTGGACGAACTGCTCAAAATGCAGCTAGCCTGCTACGTGAGAACGGTGGCATATCTTGTGCGACCCTTCTATACCGGTAGCGGTACACCTCCACGTCACCAGACATCCAAGCGCATCGGCTAATATCTCCAGGATGGACACCTATTCTTCAAACACTCCACACCTCAAACGCAGCACTGGCCGAAATCCACGCCCGCCGGCTACGTGAACAGACAAACCTGCTAGAATCAGGCCATGACCTGACCCAACTCCGCCGCGCAATCGCCGCCTTCTCGGCCCTCCAAGAAATAAAACTCCTCCGTCTCCAAGACTCCGCAGATGAACAAATCATCGACTTCATCCACACTTCAAACACAACCACCAGAGCAACACACTTCAATTGGGAACTCGCCTGTTCGCGCGCAGTAACAAGCCTTGGCATCGCCCTCCTCGACTCCCAATGCACAGCCATCCGCTTCATAGGCCCTCAAATCAGCCCGGAAGCAACCCTCCAGCTCCTCAACGCCCCGTCAACCACATTAGCCGCCATGGGCAGCCGTCTCACAAGTCTAGACATAACCTTCCACTCCAGCACGGACATCTCATCCACCATGTCCGATCTATCTGATGTATTCGGTCGCTTCTTCGCAGAAGCCAAGAACCTCGTTTCCATCCATATCGGCTTCCCGCCGAAATCACCCCTCGATTTAGATCTTGAAGCTATCTTCCATGAGACTCGGTGGAAGACGCTTCGGACACTTAGTCTGCAAGGTTGGAGATTGGCCGATCATGAGATTATTTCTCTAGCGCGAAGACATAGACGGATGTTGAGGGAAATAAGGTTTTGTGCGGTTTACCTTAGACCTGGCGGGCGGTGGGGGGATATACTAGCTGTACTGAGAGAGGACATGGAGAGCTTGGAGAGAGCTGAATTGAGAGAGATTGATTATGCGGAGAACTTTGATCTGCTGGCATCGGGTAGTGGAGTGGAGGTATTTGATGTACCGGTTGATGCGCAGCTGGGTACGATTCTGTCGTCTTCGCTTTCTGTGGCGGCAGGTACGCCACCGCTGGAGATGAGGCATGCGCTTGGGGCTGAGCCTCCGGGTGCCTTTAGAGGCAGGGTATCTGTGCCATTGCGGCCTGAGAATTTGGAGAAATTACGCGCGTTGACGGTTCAAGATCTGGACGATGATGGTGTCCGGGTTCAGAGGGAACAGGTAGGTCTTTGGGAGGCGTGGGTTCATTCAGGGCTCAGCAGAGTCTCGAATGGCCAGTCATATTTGCATTCGCGAGAGAATTGATTTTTGAGATCCGAGAGAGTTTCGTTCCACGCTTGGAGTTGGCGGCTATTTCTATATTTAGCCCCTGCGTTTAGCTTTACACAGCAGCTGGATTCTACGATATGAATGCGAGAGAGAGATGAGATCATGGCCCGGCACAATTTCCATTATGGATCCAGTAAAACACATAGCCATGTTCTCATGGCAGTAAGGATTGTAACGGGCTGATGCAAACGAATGCCCGAAATAGTCAAGGCTTGGGTATTGAGCAAGCAAAGCAAAGAAACACTACAACACGCCTATGTGTAGCAACTAGACCAGTCACCTCCATCCTTCGCAAAGCTCAACCCATTGATCCAATCCTTTCGGCGGCATCGGCCGTACTTGTCGACGTTGCAGCCGTGCAGCGGGACGACGCGGTCGTTGACGAGGACCCGCACGAAAGGATCGGAGTCCGTGTCTTTGGAACACTGCATCATCTCGATGTAGGCGCGAGCAGCGAAGGGAACGGTCTTTGAGGCGGAGTATCCGTCTGCGGCAGATTCAGATTGGATATGCTTGGTTGAGAGGGTTGCGGTGCCGTTGTACAGGCCCATTGCGAAGAAGATTGGGATGAGGCCATTGTCGTGGGTGAAATCCGCGTAGAGGGTTCTGTTCACTGGGAAGGTTGTTGGGTTGGAGTCGAGAGTGTGGTTTGTGGTGGTGTCATCGTGGACAGGGGTGTGTGTCATTCTTGCGATGAGCTCGTTGACGAAACCCACACCTTGGGTTGGACCGAGGGGGTTACCTGCGCCGTAGCCGTAGTACTTGTCAAGGGACTGGAGGTAGTTGTAGTGGTTCCATTCGCGCAGGGTGAACATCTCGCAGAAGGGAGAGATGACGCTTCCATCATCCGACATCCCGATGGTGTCGAAGGAGCACATGTCCATCAGGTAGGTGACATCGTCGTTGGAGAGAGTCACACCTGGCATATCGTTTTCGAGGCGATGGGCAATCGGAGGCACGAATCTGGCCTCATAGCTGGCATCGACATCATCGCCGAGAGTGCTAGCCTCGAAGACTGTACAGGTGTTGTGGTTCAAGGTATTATTAGAGCCCGCGTCTTCGGAGATGACCACGTTGATCGTCGGAGGGCTTTGGTCACGGTCCGCCTTTCGGTCGGTGTTCTTGGTTTGCTGGAAGCCCTGGATAAACTTCTTGCCTGATTCGACCACGCGCGAGGACCCTGAGGATCGGACGAATGGGATAGTATCCCGGGTCAAAGATTCATAACGGTTGTAGAACTTGATGCCCGAATCAACCATCTGACGCTCGCCGAAAGTGGTCAGATCATCGCTGCCCAGGGTGTAGTTGTATGTCTTCAAGAAAGCAGTGGTGTCCTTGAAGTCCGTCGCATTGGCTTGAATATCCGCGATCAACTCGGAGTATTTTTTGCTCTTGGACGCAGTGGGGTACCGCGCACCGTGACGGGACAGAACTTGAACAAAGGTGACTTCGCAGCCGGTGGGCACATCACCGGAGACACCTCCCTCGACCGAGAAATAAGGCGAATAGGCGCCCCAGCGCTGGGAAATATCGGCGAAACACTCGTAACCACTGCTGACAGTGTCGCACATCTTTGGTTGGCGGGGGACCTTTCTCGAGCTAGAAACAGCCAGATTCCTATCAGGATGGTTTTCCTTGGTAGGAGAAGTAGAACGACAGGTTCCATACCCAAATACCAGGTACACGGTTGCAAAGGCAACACCGCCCATCAAGGCCACCATGCAGAGCACTGTCCACCGCTTGTGCAAGGACTTGGGCCTCATTTGCTGTTCATCGTTGCGAATGCCGAGCAGAGCTTCTTCTTCCTCTTCAACTGGAGCTCGACCGCATGGTCGACCGTGTCCCGCCATAGTAGATATCGCTCACCCGTTACGGATTGATCGATGAACCCAGGTCCAGGTGGAAAGAACTGGAACAGAGCGCATCGTGGAACATTAAAAAGGAGAGCACAGCGTAGAATGGCACGACACCTGCACTGCACCGCATTCCTTGCGAGGTTGAGCTCGTGAGAGATTCACGCTGTCTAATTGGTCCGTGCCCCTGCCCTACAACACGTGCGCGCATCAACGGTCGGTACTTGCCGGTACTTGCTTAGGCGACCAGTCAGTGCCGGATCGAATGTACTGATAGGTATCTAGATTCACCTTCTTTTGACACCCCCCGTGCCGCATGCATACCTAAAGTAGATAGGGAAGAGTGTTTTTCCATGCCATCGTTTCACAAGCTGCATGTACTTCCCCACTATCTATTTCGAAACCCTTTCCAAACATTTGGAACCATAATTCAATCTAAAGACCCTAGTCCCTAAAAATCCACTATTCTGCATATACTCTAAGCGGCGTCTCAAGTAAACCTCAACCCTCACGTCATCCACAGCTCTCCAAATAACCATTCTAGGGATACCTCGGCATTACAGATCAAGGGCCCACCCGGAACGAAGTATCCACTCTCAAATCGAGCTGTCATCTCGGGTCGATCCCGCCAACGCAGCAAGGGGCATCCCAATTGCCCTACTAAGGCTGTGATCTCCAGGGTATCAACGGAACATGCACGCAATTCCCAACATTTACAGCTCTATTCATAGCTGGCCTGGATCCGGGACCGCCGGGCGGCGCTTCCGATGTATATGCGCATTAGTGGTTCCACGTAGACGCTATAGACCCAGAAGCTATAGAGCACAGCGGGCAATGTATCCACGCCAATGCAGGCGGAACTGCAATTTTGGTGGTGGCGAGTGGAGGTGTTGAGTGAGGCTTGGATTACAATGTTGGGTTGTCATGGAGGTAGGGCGATGTCCACGACAGGGTAGGGCTAATTGGTGCTCTTCGATCGGTCTAAGCGCCATTTAATGCAGGCATGTGTGCAGATTTAGAATACGAAAAATTGACAGGTTGAGTCCTGGGCAGTCATATCGAGTCGGATCTATACTCCAAATCGCATTATCACAAGGACCAAAGAAAGTAGGTTAAAAACATAATTGAAATCTTTTTCAACTCAAAGCCAATGAGGTATCACCGTAAGGAAACCAGACACCAGGGTAACCAATAGATTCGGATTCGGATTCGGATTCGAATAGGGGAATGTGGGGGCGGGGGGACTTTTTGGGGAAGGGGTTATGAAGAACACATATCAATATGCATATACTAATACACCCGACAGGGAAATGCGTTTGTCGTAGGTAGGTAGGAAGGACGAAGGGTAAAATATGGGGGTTGCAGTCAAACCAGTGACTGTACATGATGGGGACGGGGATTAAAGACATAGGAAATGTGAGAGAAATATGAAATGAAGCAGATGCTTTTGTTCCAGTCGAAAGCACGGCCTATTGCCGTGTCCATGTTCCTTGGAATGGAGGGAAAGGTCCTCCAGCTACCGGTGGTGGTCCTGGAGGGAGTGCTCTCCCGGATGTGGGAGCGGGCGAGTAAGATGCCGGACTTGCAGGCCAATTTTCCTGTCTCGCTGAGTCCAGTACCCTGCCTGATGCAGTCGCGGTTTGTGCTGTTGCCGATCGCGGCACATCTCCAGCCCAGGTCGAAGTCGAAGTCAAAGTCGAGTCTGATGGGGGAAGCAGAGAAGACTGAGGATGAGGCGAGGAAGGCCGGGGAGGCAGCTGACTCAATGACATTGATCGTCCGAGCTGTTCGCGGTAAAAGTCCCGCTCGGAACGGTAATGGTCTCTCTGTTGGGCGAGAGATCGGATTTCTTGACTCTGACGACGGACTGTCTCGACATGGCGCTGGATTTCGTCCTGCTGGGCACCAAGTCGTTGCTCAAGTTGCACTTCGTTACGCTTGCGGTTTCGAAATCGTCGACTAGCGTCGCTGTTTGCTTTGCGCTTCTCTGCTTGACTGGATGATCCAGACTTCAAGTCCAGTACACATGGTATTAAGCTACCGCCGACAGGTGTGACGCTTCTGGTTGATTCTTCCTTTATGCGACAGGTCTCTGCTGTTGCTGGAGTTCCGCGAGCCATGGAATCTATTGCTTTGTAGGGCGGCGGTACTGAGTACGGCGGCACCGTTGGCGGGAGAGAGACATGAGTCACTGCGGGAGATGCGTGTGTGAAGTGACTGAAGCTTGAATGAGGTGTTGTAGGGCTCGTCTCCTGCGAATTCGGGTTCGTTAGAAGGCCTAGGCCTGTGCTGGTTTTTCGGGAGTGAAGACTGGGTGTCGAGTTTAGTGACGTCGCCGTTGAGGGTTGAACAGGCGGTAATGAAGTGATAGGCCGAAGTGCCGATTCCAATGGTAGAGATGAGCTGGATGGAGGTTGACGAAGTCCCAGAGGAGGTTCCTGGGGAACGACAGTCGAGTGTGCTACACTCGACTGTCCCGAGGTCCTACCACTACCAACAAACCGTGCAGATGGCGAGCCCGGCCCTTTCAAAGACCGTGGATGAGCCCTTGGAGATAATTGCTGCTGCGCTAGATGATGCACTATCCGCGGCGCAGGTGAAGACCCCTGCCGTGGCCGGGACGATGCCGAGGGTCCAGGCAAACTCAAAGGCTCGCGGCTGGTACTGACTGCATCGATAGCGGCTGCCTGACCTGGTGGATTCAAAATCGCATGAACCCCGATGGACCGTGCGGACGAGACATCCAACGGTGGCTCTACAGGACCATAAGGGTGCCAGGATTGTGGTCTAGCGCGTAATGGCGGCCGACGCGAAGGCTGACGGTTGTCTGCAGGCGCACGCTCAGTATCAATCGCGTTGGGACCATCGGTCGTCGCATCGTCGGGCAATGGACCTGTGCGCCGAAGCTCCTGCGACATCGACGGGACTCCTGGGGTAGACTGGGGATTAGGGCATGACCATACCCTCCCTCTCTCTGTGTCAACGGGAGTCTCACGAGAGGTGAGAGAGGGGAAGGGACCCGGATAGCGAGAATTTTCTGGATACTGCGACAGCTTAGGCAGATGCAACGGCCTTGGATGAGGCGCGGTCAACACGCTAAGGCCCAGGGTAGCCACGATGAAGGGTGTAGAAGGAGAATTGAGAGGGCAGAAGCGAGTATATTCTGCCTTTTAGAAAAATAGAGAAATGGAAGATTTGGAGAGATTGAAAGAGTGCGGAGATTCAGATCTGTTGATCAATTCCACTTCTTTTGAGTTCCGTTTCTTTGTAAGATCAACCATGTGCATGCAAGACGGAAGCGATCCGAGGCCCCATCAAGGCGAGGTCAAGGCTAAGCTTATGGAGCTAAAGGGGTGGGAAAGAAAAAAGGTTTAAGAGGAGAGGGAAAGGATTAGTTAAAGTGAGCCGTTGAGATCCAGCGGTGAGTGAGAGGGGGGGGGAGGGAAAAGGGCCCATGATCCATCACCTCCGGGTTCCTAAGACAGGAAAAGACAAAAAATAAAAGACAGAAAAAGACAGAAAAGAAAGTTGTCTGTCCAACCCAGACTACTGGATTAGCGTTGGGCAGGATCTGCTGTTGTATGGAGGACCCTAGCTAGCCATGTTGGGCCTCATGGGGCTTGGAAGTTACTACTTGGGCTCGAAACTTGAGATGATTCTATTCTCCACTGCTGATCTGACTTTCCTACCTACGGAGCACACTCCTTACACCTACAATATTAACAAAGTACAGATCGTCATGCAACGAATCACCGAAGCTGCAAGTGCGCGGGCGCCATCACCATGGACAAGGGACAAGGGACAAGTGGGGACACCCTCGGTGGTTCACCACTGTTCTCCTGTTCTGTTCTTGGAATGATGTCTGTGGCAAAGCTAGAGCCGGCCATCTAGAGCTGTGGGCCCCCCGGACAGGTAATCAGGGCTAGTACACTAGTGACAAGGGAAAGCCGGAACTTTGTGCCATGTGTAGGGCCCCAGAAGGGATGTGCGATAGGGGCAGGGCAAAGTGGGCCGATTCATGACGCAGAACCGATGACGATGGAGCAGAGAACGCCAATATTCATCTGCTTTTCTCAGATCCATACTGCCTCGGGCCTAGTCGGGGCTATGGGGGCTATGGGCCCCCCCCCCCCCCCGGCCGGCCGATAGTGCCTTTCCCAGTGTGGTCCTGTCATTTTCCGAGAGTTTGGCGCTCGGGGGACCAGGCAGAAATAGCCTCGAGATCTAGAAACACCGGTCAAGGTCATCATGAGGGACACTGGGCGTGGTACAGAGTTGACACCGACTGCGAAGCGAACAGAGGTTCCAGCAAAGCTTAACCCTCGAACCCCTCCCATGGATTGATTTTTTGATGTTGTGCATGCATCACAGCGTTCCCCATGTCAATCCCGGCAAAAGGGGGCGCCGTTGGTGGCCGTTAGGGGAGGTGTGGGTAGTGATGTACTCTCCACTTGGGTTCTCATCAGGCGAGAAGCTATTGGAGTGGTTCCCTTCACCGGTCCTTGAAGGTAGCTGATAGGTCCCATCTAGCAGTCTAGTGTCCCGGTTAGCATCCAAGTGGGGCTTCATTATTCCTTTCGGTTTGTTGATGGGGTTCGTGGAGCCCATCTCCGACAGGTGAATGGCACTCGGGTCAGCTACCGCTTTTTTTGTTTACGCGAACGTTAGGTTGTTTGGAGGTTGGCGAATCCCTCCGATCCTAGGCTCATCACGCTCGAACACACTCTACGTCACCGGACTGTTCCAGGGTAAATTCGGTGTAACATGAAGGCAGCATCGCCACCATCAAATAAGAGATTAGAAATATAAGAAAAAAAGAAATATATAAAAAAGTGCCGAGGAAACAAAGGCCATTGACCTGAGTCATAGTAGTCCGCATCTACAGTACTTTCTTACTTGAAAGGATCATGACAGCTCATTCATCGATCGACCAACTTACGGAAGGAATCCGGGAGCTCCCCTGAAGCTCACGGTCACGAACGCAGTGGGTACCAAGCTTACTTCGCCTCCCCCAGTTGCTCAGTAACGTGGAGCTCCTGATCTCACGGAGCAATCGGCATAAGAGAAAGTATCCGCGTGACAGGGTCGAATGACGAGCAAAGAAGATCCAGCTAGCGCGGCCGCGGCTGCGAAGAAGTGGATGCATGGAATCCTTCTAGGAGATGAAAAAGGAAAAAGGAAAAATTAGGACGATCCCAAAGCTCAGCTGAGCAGCACTTGCAGCTAACAGCTAGCGGCTGACGGCCGATTGTCCTATTGTCCGATCTAGGCGACAATGGGATTCTGATCGGCCTTGACAGTTTTACCCCTGATGGGGTAGGAGGGGGCCCCTATTTTCGTACGCGATAGATCCGTTTCAGTGCAGAAGCTTCCTTTGGAACTGAGTTTGAAGCGGCTGTCAAAAGTTTTTTTTTTTTTTTGTTTTTTTTTTGTTTATTTCTTGTTGCTAGGTGCTTATTCGAGGGACTCCCCAATTACAGGGGATGGGGCGAATCATAAGGCTGCCGGGGCCCGGGGAAAGGGGTGGGTGGAACATTTGCGGTCTGAAGGACTGAGGGTCATTAGTGGTCAGTGGCCAGGCGTCGACCGTTTCCTCGAATTTCCTCATGGTTCCTCCAATTCAAAGGATTTACCTTAGCCTAATTTAGAGGGGAAGGCTTTGTGGCGGGAAATCTCAACCCGTTCCCAGCCGTTCAGGTCTAGATTGCACGTAATCGTAATTTCGTGCCGGTGTCTCTAGTCCCAGACCCCGGTTCGATGCGTGTCATTAGATTACGTGGGTCAGGGGAAACAAAGCCCGGGAACCGTCCCAAGTGTTTGGTACGCGGGTTATCCCATTGAATCGGGAGAACTACGCAACTGACCTGTGCGTCCATGATTTTAGTTGCTCCGCCGTTTCAATAGTTTCCCTGTTCTGTACTACCTCGTCCGTACCTTTTTGCTGCCTATTTTCTCAAGTTCCTGGCGACGGTCTCCGCCCGTACCTCCGCCAACATTGCAAACATTGCAATGTGATATTTGCTTTTTTATCTTTTATTGTTTTTTTCTGTACTTTACTTTTCTCGGATCCACCAGGGGCTAAACTTGTAATGTTAATATCTCGTGTCCGCTACAACCGCCACCGTCAACAAAACAAGAGAAAAACGAGAAAAAGAAAACATCTCCAGCGCCCGGCTAACACACGGAGATATTTCCCGTCTCAAGCGCCGCTATCGCTCCTGCTACCGTTCTTATACGCGAACAGTACGGAATACCAGACTGCCCACCGACAGGCATCTCACCCAATCTCCGTGCCTGCATTCGCCCTGCAGAAGACCCGCAGTGGCAGTGCTTCCCTGTCCACGCGTGGGCTTTTTCAAGGTTCCCGCGGCTTCGGGCACGATTGCGAACTGGACCGACTTTTTGCATCTGAGATCAGCAGTAGTTTCCGACTCGATCCAGACCGTGCCTAGGTGCCTAGTCCCAGGTGCTGCTGCTTCGACCTGTAAGCTGCTTCAAACTTGCTTCCGGGCCCGGCTCCCTTGCGCGCTGCAGCTTTGGAAAGGGAAACTCGGTGTCAGAGGGGCCGACCCGTCAACTTTTACTTTTTGCCTGCCATTTGCCCCCTTTGGATGATCGACGGATTTCTCCACTTAGGCACTGGCCGTGCATATATCGATTTTCATGCGAAAATATAGCCCACAGCCAAGACCCAATTGCCAGGAAATGCGACTTTACGGTGAAGGTAGCCTTATCATAAATAACTTTGGGGTCGAATGCACAGTCGATCTCTTTAGCTACATGTAACCCGTAGAGACTCGCGACGAGTCACATCTCTAGGCTCTAGGCTCTAGCCACAACCGGAAGATGTCTAGTTTCCACTATACGGACAAAGGTCTAGAACCGAAACTCATTCTTCGGCCGACCGTGAACTCCGACCTCGACCCTAAACACACAGCCCCCGTACCTGACCGACTGCGGGAACCGCTCATCGTCGCGATCGTCCTTGGCAGATGTGATGAACAGCTCGGTGCCCACAAAGGCAGGACAAGTCGGGTTACGCGTGGGCAGGTCGATCTGCCCGATGACGGTGCCTTCGGGTGAGATGCGCACTACTTTGCCTCCCCCATAGATGGAACTCCAGATGCAGCCTTCCACGTCAATGGCGAATCCATCCGGCTCGAGCGGCTCGCCCAGGTCAAAGTGCACGCGTTGGTTGCTAATGGCGCCAGTCACGGCGTCGAAGTCAAACGCGAAGATCTTGCCCGTTGGTGAGTCAGTGAAGTACATTGTGTCATCCGCAGCATTCCAGCCGATTCCGTTGGGGATCGTCACCGGTGACAGCATGCGGTGGAGAGTTAGGTCTGGGTCGAGTCTGAACAGCACGCCCTCTGGGCCTGGAGACTGGATTTTGGGATCATTCATGGCCCCAGCCCAGAAGCGGCCTTTGCTATCGACCGCTCCATCATTAAATCGCATCCAAAATTGGTGTTAGAGGAGTTTCAAAGGGGGGACCCTCGAGCATTACCTCTCCGCCTTCCCTGGGCCATCACTTTCGCCCCAGGCTTCGCGGATATAGGTAAGTTTCCCGGTAGTTCCATCAAGACGGGCGAATCCAAGCTTGGCTCCGGCAATCAGTTGGTTCCCGGTCTCGCCCGAGATATTGGCGGTGACGCTATGGGACTATCAGCGGTGATTTCTCGGTGGAGAAGTCCGGCATGTAAAAAAGGTCTCACCCGAGGGCGGCATCGGTATCAATAACTCTCAGGGACTCGAGACCTTTGGCCAAATCGAGTCGGTAAAGCTTATGGTCCCAAATATCGATGAAGCGGAACTCGTTGTTGGCTACATCGTGATAGGGGCCCTCGAGCAGAGTCCCCGCTATATCGATATAGGGCTAGAACGAACAATGTCGTGTTAGCTGATGACTCGATGATTGGTCGTTTTCCTTCTTCGCTTTTTGCTCTTCTTTCCGTCGATTTCACCATCGTGGACGTGTCGGTCAGTGCCACGGCACCAATCACAAAAACCGAAAATGGGAAAAAGTAAAATAAAAACAAATAAAAAGGCCTGGCGGCCCAACGCTTCAAAAGAATACGAGAATTCAGCTCACCTCATTGACTGACCACCTCTGAATTTCAGACATGCCGATCGTGTCTCCACCAAAGAGATTGCACAGAAAATGAAGTGGGTGTGGACACCGCTTTTTCGGGGACGTGGAAGAAAGGAACAGCTAGAGGGGAAGGAGTTCAAGTGAGACACACAGGATGAATTAGAGATCAGGTCAAGAACCCCTGTTCACCGAGAAAGTCAAAAACTTGTTGGCAGCGCTGATCGCGGGAAGTGTCCGAGAGTGAGAAAGAAGATGGGCTGTGTCGTGTTCATAGCTTCAACTCACTCTCATGCCAAGCCCCACCCCCACAACCCGAATTGGCGGTGGACTCGGAACGCGATCATCCTCCGCGAACCGGTATGACGAGATAGCCATGGTGTATTGGACAGAGGCTATGGGAACGATCGCCCTGCAGAAATGTCCAAACTATGGATACTTCCGCACGATGCCCCAGCTGCGCTGTCAATGTGACAGCGCTTGTCATTTGAACTCTAACTAGCCAGGACCCTAAGTGCCGTAGAACATAAAACCAGCAGGCTAGACTGTACGATTAATTCCATTCTCTCTAATTCGGAAGCCAAATGAAAAACAAGCAGGAAGAAGAAATTAAAAGGTTAGAGATTAGAAATTAGAAATTATTAATCATAAAATATAAAATATAAAACCAACTCTAGAAGAGACCTGGATATCACACCGGTCCCCCAGCCTTCACATGACCAACTCTGCATGCATCTGCAAGAGATTCATGTGCGTGCGTCTTATGCTGGGCGCTAAGACGCCCCTCCCCCAACCCAATTTCGTGCCTAACCTCCCGACCTGCACACCCATTGGGCACAATTACCAGGCGCATTCACCAATAAGAAAATAAAATGCGTGTTACGTGATTTACAATGTCACACCTTTTTTTTGATTGCAACCCGCCCGCCGTCTGCTGTACATAGATCTACATCTGCCCTGCCAACCAACTATGAAGCAGAACAATCCATCCATCCATCCATCCATATCCCTGCTGGAACGAAATGAACGGAAAAAGAAAAAGAAAAAGGAAAAGTATATGTAAAACAGGGGACGGCCCATCCGCAATTCCCGCGAAGCAGGATATTCGTTTCGTGCACGGCATCCAATCACCGTCAGTATCCTCCCCGACAGGGCGACGTACTCGCGGAACCATATGCACCTCATCACTTCCTTGATGTGCGTGCTTTGCTTGCGCTCGTGCCTGTATTTTGCTCTGACCCTGGTCCTGACCCTAGCCTGCTCGGGGATTTGGTTGCGTTGGCGAGGCTTGCATGCATGTACCTGTGGCTGTACCTGTATCTGTTACACAGTAAATGGAATCGATTCCAAATGGTCGGAGCAGGATCTAGGTCTCCTGTGGAGGTGTTGGGCATCAAGATCAGGGACCACGTTGTTCGTGCTTCAAGCTTATGCTGGGAGGCAAATCATGCGGTCTTACATCATACTCGATTCATAGGCCGGAGTGTACATGTGAGTTGGGTGAGTTGTTGGTCTGTCGGTGAGTGCTTGGATCGTCTCGGATCGACTAGTGATGCGCCGCTAGGGAGATTTCCCCATTTTTTGGTATTCGCTTTGCGGGGTTGGTGATTGGCTCGTGCGTTGGTTCTGTTGGTGGATCGAGGACCAAGTATGAACTTGAATTGTCTGGGGATTACATATGAATGAGTGACGGGAAGGTATCCTGGTGGAGGGTCGTGCGCGGAAGTCCACTGGGGCGTACTCCTGGTTGTAATTGCAACGTTATCTAACTGAAACGACATTTTATTCTGGTAAATGTTTGCAATATGCCTAGGTGAAATTGTAGATATTTGGTGACTACCTACGTACCGCACCTCCTCAGCTACCTTGTGGCGCTCCCGTTCCATTTCAGTGCTCAGCCCTTGCCGCTTTTTGTTCACTTAGTAGAACCTAGCACGCCCGTAACCTCATCTCCCTTCCATTCCTAATATCTTTACCTCGACTTCGGGTTATACCTCGCTTAATATATATATATACATGTAAAGAGGTATTTAAAGTGCTGATAAAATAACGAGCATCTCACTATAATTTTTTGACTACTTTGGCAACTAAACTAGAAGGGTTATAGAGGAGGACAGAGACGGGATCTGGGGGGGCACGTTGGTGAGCGACCAGATTCGTTTCAATCTAGTGGTCCCTATAGCTATACCGCCCCGCCACAGTTAGATCCTGTGCAATTAGCATCTTTAGAATCATTAATCATAAAGTAACCAAAGTCAGTCATCTTGCTTTATTCACACTTCCAAATGTGCATTATCGTCAACTATAATTATACAAAATTTGCGTAACACAAGCAATAATATAAGCAATGATTGATCAAGATCTGATCGACTATCTTCTGCCCAAGCCACAGCTAGAAATGGCTCCAGGTCATAAAATAAAGTACGAGTCATATACACTGTCTTCGCGCATAATAGGCCAATAGAACAAATGCAATGAATTAGTAAATTGATCCGAAAGCTATTAGAATCCTAGATAGATAATTTTTTATCAGAATATTTTAATAAGGCCTATATATCAAAAAGTTCAAAGACATGCGCGCAAAGTGAAAAAGAAAAAGTTAAAATCATACCTAATATTAAAGAAAGCTCGACCCATCGTATAGCCTATTATATCCGCAGCGGCACGAAGGTTATACAGATAAGCAAATAGAGCGGTATTCTCGTTAAGTTAGCCTCTGAGTACCAGAGCTAGACAGGGCGTAATTAGATATAGTACTATCCCCGGCTATAGGCTCTAGATAACGTGAGCACCTACCCCGGGTAAGACGTACCAGAACCACTACAAGTACTATGTCTTGAAGGTTTCCAGACGAGGCGCGCAGCCTCCCAGTGCGGAGATGACTAGACTGGCTAGTATAGCCATCAGTATTCCATCTTAGGGCTATATAAGGGCCGGCACGAGCAACTAAGACTATGAATACCTACAATTTTGACCAAGAAGGTTAATAACTTCATAATTACTTCAACATGAAACAGAATTTTCAGGTACTCATAATAGAAATACAAAAAATTAAACGGCCAGCTAGGGGCCATATGAAATCATAGGAGTCGCCAGGACCATGAATAATGCGGTAAAATGCATCGCAGAAAGGACAGTTCGTGGAATAGTGGAGAGAATCTTTCCTAGAAAGTAAGCATTTTCCGAATGACCAGCTTGCGATTCTCGGCGGAAGATAGGCTCTGGATCAATTAAAGAAGAGATCACTAGCAAATGGAACGATCACAATTACATAAAGCTGAGGAAGTCATACTTTCCTCTCCGACTGTCTTAACGCCTAGTAAAACCTGAAATGAAAGCTCAGTCAGTGGCTCTATGCTCCCAGAGAACAGCAATAAAGTAGCTACCGCTAGAACTTCTTACCTATCGCCAAACAACAAAGAAGACTTTCTTCCGTCATAGTCGATAACTGACCATGGACGAGAGAAGCTCCAATGGCGAATGGAAGAGCCCCTGGAACAGATGGCCACGGAATTCATTATTCGACAAACCAATTAGAAGGCCAATCAATGTCTCCGACACCATCTCGAAGCAGAGGCTGCCTGACTGTCGACCTTGTTGTGTTAGTCCTCGGCGGAAGGCAAGAATCACTTGTCGATACCATGTTGCGGTTAGCCCTTCGCCGTCGTATGAGGCGAAGCACTGCCTCTACAGATTTGTTTGATGAATTACTACTATCCCGAATGCAAATATCCGAGCGGAGGTCATGTTCTGGATCATGGGAGGCGGAATGACAATTTGAACCTGGGCAATAATCCCCGCTCGAGATTGCATCCATGATTGCATCAGCAGCATTTCGGCTCGGGGTTGATTTGTCCCCAGATATTTCAAGGTGTGAGAGGGCCTCAGTTGCACGGTCGTAGAAGATCTGCCTCCCAGACTGCATCAGCATCAAGTCGCCGAGAAGGGTGAAGATCTCGGCTCTTGACTGGTGGATGGTGCAGACAACGGCAATATCTTTGCTCACGAACGTCTTCAAAAACTGCATGAGGCAAAGAGCCGTCTTCGTATCAAGATCAGATATTGGCGCATCTATAACTAGGTCTTTGTGTGATGTCACCAATTCAATTGCGATGTTGCAAGTGAACTGATGGCCAACATAGCTTTCGCTTGCACAATTCTTGATCGTTTTGTTGATGTCACTTCGGCATATTCGAACACACATCTCTATAATCGGAAACACCTCCCAGACGTGCAGATTAACGAGGAAAGCTACGAACTGAAAATCTGGTACCATGTCCTCGATGAGCTAAGCGAAGTGCGGAAGCATGGCACGAGCCTGGTATATGAGGCGGAAAATTTCCCCTGGGCCTACGCTTATGCCAAATATCTCACGGAATGGTTGTTGAGGTACCAGTTTAGTGAGCATGCTTCACAGGAAAAGCTCTTCATCGTGCGCCCGGGTATCATCGGCCCATCTCTGTGCCTGCCATTCCCAGGGTACATTACGCCTATGTCCTCTCCGTATATGATGCTCGCCGCGGCATTGGCCCTGGTCGTATCTTGGAGGATCACAATTCCACAGAAATGGATAACCCAGATAAACACGTTACTGGAGACGAAGTACCTGTTGATGTGGCCGCCGATCGTCTCCTTTGTCATCTTGCTATGGGGACATCGGGCTGCATTCATGCTGTTAGCGGAGTCAGATCGCGGCTGAAGCTTGAGGAGCGGCAGAAATCGCTCATGAAGCTTCGTCGAATCCCTCGGGGACTGCAGATTCTATAGAAAAAAGCAGACTGGAAATCGACCAACCAAACATTCGATAGCTCGTCTCTATGCATTCATGGGTACTTCATTTGCATTTTGTGAGGACAAAACGATTGCAATGTGCGAGAGGATACCTGAAGAAAAGCGCCAAGATCTTCAATTGGTCACACAACTCGACACAAACGGGAATGTTCTCACCCAAACGGAAGCCATTTGTTATGCTATGGGTAAGTTTTCTAGGAAAAGCATGGTGGCATGGAGAATAGTCTGGCTCTTCTACTTGTATTTGGCAAAGGACTGGTATTCCGAACTAGTATAAAAAATGATCCTTATAGAATCGAAGTATCACCGATTCTTATATAATTTGGTTGGAAGTCGTGCCTAAATCTCGCTTATGTCGTTAGTGTTGCAGTCTATAGCTGAAGGTGATACTACTCGGAGTCTAAATCAGGATACGCTGGAGGCGCCCCTCTTTTCATCGATCTCCGTCACATATATACCTGGCAGCCAACAAGTGACGCCCGATCTACTAATAAAGCAATCCAAAGCCTATGGGGCAGATGAAACAATTGCATCAAATTTCAGGTCATCAAGACATAAATATCATTTAGTTACATGATGTCCCAATCAAAGGCCGACATCCAGTTTACAGACGGCTACCCATGTTAACATGGACAGCCTTAACCTGCGAGTAAGCATCGAGGCCAGCCTCACCAAGCTCACGACCGATACCACTCTGCTTAACACCACCGAACGGCACGCGGAAATCGCTGTCGTTGCTGCTGTTAATCCAGACCATACCAGCCTCGATATCCGAAGCGACACGGTGCGCACGCTCAATGTCCTTAGTGAAGACGGCAGCACCGAGACCGTAGGTGGTATCGTTGGCACGGGTAACGGCCTCGTCCTCAGTCTTGAAGCTGGCGATGACAACGAAGGGTCCGAAAACTTCCTCGCGGTAAATGCGCATGTCGTCCTTGACGTTGGTGAAGATGGTAGGGGCGATGAAGAAGCCCTTTCCGTCGCCGACGTTCTTGTACGGCTCGCCGCCGGATACGAGGGTCGCGCCCTCAGACTTGCCGGCGTCGATGTATGACAGCACCCGGTCGTACTGCGCCTTGGTAACCTGGGGGCCTTGGAAAGTATCGTCGTGGAAGGGGTCGCCGACCTTGCTGGTCTCCTTGACGACGTCCTTGAAGAGTGCCACGAACTTGTCGTACACGGAGTCGTGCACCAGGATGCGGGAGGTGGAAGTGCACACCTGACCTTGGTTATACATGATACCAATATGGGCCCACTTGGCGGCCTGTTCGATGTCGGCGTCCTCGAACACAAGCAGGGGCGACTTGCCGCCGGTCTCGAGAGTGATGTTCTTCAGGGTGCCGGCAGCCATCTTCATGATTTCGCGGCCAGTGTTGGTCGAACCGGTGAAAGCGACCTTGTCAACGTCGGAGTGCTGGACCAGCGCGGCACCAGCCACGCGGCCGTGGCCGTTCAGGATGTTGATGACACCGGGAGGGAATCCAGCTTCCTTGATTAGGTTGGCCATGTACAGAATGCTGAGCGGGGTCTGCTCGGCGGGCTTCATGACGATGGTGTTACCGCAGGCGAGAGCGGGGCCAAGCTTCCAGGCGGCCATGGCGAGAGGGAAGTTCCAGGGGATGATCTGACCGACGACACCAATGGGCTGGCGGAGAGTGTAGGCGAACTTCTGGGGGGTGGTGCTAATGGTCTGGCCCATGACCTTGTCGGCCCAGCCGGCATAGTAGCGGAGGCAAGAGGTGACCTCACCGAGGTCATCATTCAGAGAAACGGAGTACGGCTTGCCTATAATTGTCTGTTAGCCACGTATGCATCGCAGCAGCGAGAATATCAACTATCACTTACCGTTGTCCCAGGTCTCGATGGTAGCCAGAGTCTCCTTGTGCTGCTCGATCAGATCGGCGAGCTTAACCATGAGAGCACCGCGGTCGGTGGGGGACAATCCCTTCCATGAGGGGTCCTTGAGAGCCTTGCGTGCGGCGGCAACAGCGAGATTGACGTCCTCCTCTCCAGCGGCGTACACGGAAGCGATCTCCGTTTCGGTGCTTCAAGGACAGCGTTAGGAATGAGTAGTACAGCATATCAGGGGATCACATACGAAGGGTTGATGGTAGCGAACTTCTCGCCGGACTTGGAAGCGACAAACTCGTTGTTGATGAAGAGGCCGATGGGCTGCTTGTAGGAGCGCCCGTTCGGGGCAGTCAATTGCACCGAGAGGTTAGACATGATGGCGGAGCTGTGGAATCGACGGCCGGAGACAGATAGATGACGCAGGGACCGGATGGTAAAGCTAAGCATAGCCTTGGATGCAGAGCAGATGAGGTCTTTTAAGGGAGCTTTTCCACCCCGCGCGATAACCGATAAGCCGAGCCCACTGTGTCGGCTACACTTACTCTTCGCGGGTAATAGAAGGAAGCAATGGATCGCCTTACTCCTTTCGTCTCGCTGGCGGTTTTTTGGTTGGTCCTGTCCCACCGGCCCCTCATTCACCCGAGATCTTTTTTATTCTCCGCGATTCTGACTAATTACGGAGACTTATCCAATACTCTAAAGTTGGGGTTTCCAATGCCTGGCGGGATCTATGCCGGCGATCGGTAGTCCGGACTAGGCCTAGGCTTTACGACGCAATGTGTTTCAATCAGTTGCTGTACTGCGTATATCACCTGCAACGCCGCCGCTATGCCTGCTGATAAAGTACATGGACAATGGAATTCGGTCGAAGCTTAAAATTGGGGCCCGTGTGGATCCTCACCCGCCATTTCCAAGATGGATCGCCATTCATCTGGGGTCACCCTCGAAACACTGAGTCTTGACTGCTTGAGGGTCATTAGGTTCTCGAGCGGCTTGCCTGCTTGGCTGTTGGCCTTGAGCTCAGCCAACGTGACCTGCTTCTTGAGCTTGTGACGGAACTCGACGTGCACTACCGACCACTTGGGGCTATCGCGGTTGGATTTAGCGTCGTAGTACGGGTGCTTAGGGTCAAAGGCAGACTCTGCAGAGTCAATTAGCCAGCCGACAGAATCCAAATGGGAGAGGTGTCTAACCGTCAGTCGAGTGCTCCTGCACAATCTCCATGATTCCAACCACCCCGGGGACCTTGCAGTTGGAGTGGTAGAAGAATGCATAGTCACCCTTCTTCATCTCTCGCATAATATTGCGTGCTGTTCAATCGTAAGCCAACCAGTCGTGTCACTAGATATCATGATCTTACCAACGGCGTTGCGAACTCCTATTGCCGAAGTTAGTAAGGATTTCCGAGTAAGATGGAGCAGGTGAACATACCATCCCAGGGCTCTGGGACCTTTGCAGCAGCAAGATCATCAATCGAAAACCTAACATCAACGCCTTTCTCAAGACGAGTTTCGGGCTCTGCCTTCATGAGCCAGTAAGAACGGCCATCACCTCCCTTGGGCTTGCTCTCTGTTGCGGCCTCGGCCTTCAGTTCCATAGCTTCGGAGGTGTCAACGTCTTTGGTGGTACTGATGGGTACAGCGGCTTTGATAGCATCGTCAACGTTTTGCCTCTTGGGTGGGCGTCCACGGCCTCTCTTAGGGCTTGATGTATCCGGAACTAATGCAGCGGGCATACTCTTGCGAGGCCGACCCCGACCTCTCTTGGGGCTTGTCGGATCGGCCGTTGTCTTGGCAGGCAGGCTCAGACGAGGTCGACCCCGGCCCCTGGGAGTTGTTGAAGCATTTGCGGTTGGCTTAGCGGGAAGGCTCTCGCCGGGTCGTCCTGGGCCACTTTGATCCGTAGTTTCCACTTGAAGAGAAGAAACCAGATGTTAGTACGCTACATCATTATTTATTTATATAAATCATACCTGGTACCTTGGGAGGGCGTCCTCGGCCTCTCTTCGCGGGCGAGGCCACTGCCATTGTGGCTGTTTCATTTTCCAAGACGATCTTGCGTGGACGGCCACGTCCGCGCTTGGGAGTTTGTGGCTGATCAGTCGGGGCCTCAGGGGTTTTGCGTGGACGACCACGTTTTCTCTTCTCTCCGGTCTTGGGCGTTGCAGTCTGAATCTGAATTAACGATCATTGAACGGGGCTCGGGATGAATTGAGGTGCGAGCAAATTGTTAATATCAGTCTCTGGGGTATCATTTACCTCGGAAATCGCCTCAGCCCCGTCAGAAGTTGCTGTTGTCGAGTTGCGCAGTCGCTTGGAGAGCGTCTGATTCGCTTGGGACATTGTTGCGCCGGTGGATTTGCGCTTGGGTGGCATTTTGACGGCAGGCGAGATCGTGTTTTAGGAAACCCTCACGTCAGATCCGCAGAGTTTGAGAGTCAAAATATTGCGAGGTGGGAGTGAGGATCACAACTTTTGAAGCTGGGGAAGCTTCGATGTTTGTTGTATTTGAGACGCGACGGTGGGTCGACTCCACGTGACGTAGCTTGATCGACGTGATCTTCGCATGTAACTTTCTTTTCCGCCTGAAATAAGGTATTATTATGTATCGATAATACCTTGTAGCAACCTTGAAATATCAAGTGTCTTTGAGGGCAAAGGTCCTGCTTAAATGATACTCTTCGTTGAGAGATCACCTGGGATCAAAGTCCAATATATATTTTCTACACCCTTGTGGGGAAATCTCCGAAACGTGAAGGTTGCGACTTAGTCTTGGAGACCCCCTCGGAAAAGCTCATCCCTCGTAAAATTTGTTCTCATGTGAAGACTGCCAGGGCATGACAGTATTTAAAAGTATTTGAAATCCTGTCTTCCATCTTGTCCCCATACCATCTGGACGCACGAGGCCTCGAGCAGTGTGATCAAAGTATTGGTTCTACAAGCTACAAATGATAGAGCCGCCCAGGTTCCCACTTGAAGATCATTTCAAGTGGTCCAAAAGTCACACCCTCCCAAAAGACGACATCAAAGCCGGGTGTCTTGAAGGGCGGACACTTTACACCTACACCAGTGCCCACTTCCGAGACGGCAAACACTGGTGGACTCAAGTCAACCCAGACATACTTCTGGACGAAGTCAAGTCTTGGATTCAAACCAAAGCGACCGAGGTCAAAACAGGAGAGGTAGTGCTTGTTTACGTCGTTGGGCACTGCACCAAAGACGACGAGGTTCGTATTGGCAACAAGCCGAGGGACGTTGCCGAAAGTGTTCAATTAGTTGGCACTGCCGGATTCAAAAAAAGGCGTCGCAATCGACAATATTTTCGCATCCTATCAATTTGGAACTTGCCACAATGCCAGATTCATGCTGTCTGACTATGAGCCAAAAGACCGGTTCTTTGCACTGCCTCGCAGCCCAAGTGGTCGGATCTGGAACACTACTTCCGCAAGTTGGGCCATCGAGAGATTATGAACTATGAGAAGCGACACTCCCTCGCTCCAACGCAAAACACCTTCGTACAGTAACGTGATACAATTGACACTAATCCACAGCACTGGCCCCGTCTTGAAGGAGCTTTGCCTCTGTTTTCCTGAACAGGGATATGGCCCAGATATTCTCATTTTGGACGAAGTTTACAACATTTTGCCTCACTGGAATGGCCTTTTACGCAACTTGTACTGCAGAGGAACTCGCTAGGCAGTGAAATGGGAATTATATCTTCATCTTCTGCGCGTTGGACTTGCCAGCCCGTGAGCTCTCGTTGTTCCCATTGACATCATGAAATCATGTTCTCACGTCAATAGAGAAGCCTCTCCAGCAGTTAGAACCGTATCATGGTTTTCAGTATGATTTTCTGCAATTCAAGGTCATTCAGATCGTATTTTCAGAGGTAATGTTCCTCTTCACACAACTGAATGGACGGTGGACATTGATTGGTACGTTCACATAAGGCCCTGACTCAAATCACCATACACAGTTTCCTGCACACCTTATTATTGATATACCTGGGTGCCTTTCAACCTCTAAGAGCCAATATTATTTTTATCAGGTTTGCAGCAATCATCGTGCGAAGTAAAGCGCGCCTGTCCACCAGTCGAATCGCCATCGAATCGCCATCGAATCCACGAAACCTACCGGAACTTGCCTGCCACAGCGATTCGAAATATTGTACAAATGGATGGATGGGGATTGCTTTCTGAAAAACAACAGAGCCCAAGAGAAAAAGCTCGATAGCCGCAAATTCGACCATGTTTTTGGCTCCTGGCTTCCCCAACGCCTAGGCAAAAACAAGAAATGCGCAATGTCCAGATAGCACTTTTTCAGAAAAGAGCAGGGAAGATTGAAGAGGCTTACGCTAAGATTGAGCCTCAGATTCCAAGATGTTTTTGTTGATGGGGTATGAAACGTTTGCTCATAAGACATGATACACATGTTTCGGGAACGCGAGTTTGGCATATATGTTTTGGATTGATAGTAGATAATTGTCCATTATTCAAACCTTGAACGGCTGAACTGAGCAGGCTTAGACTTTTGTTGTGTTTGCTCGATCTGATTGTACTACTGAAATGATGAGGACTGATCAGAAAAAGAGATTCTCCAGTTTATCGTGGCTTTTTCTTTCTATATTCATTTCAAGGTTGATTCCTTTGATTTACTCGCAATAGAAGCACACAATGGAGAAGTGAAATTCATTCGTCCTCCACTATTAGTGGCCGCAAAATGGCCTAGCAGGCTAGATAATAAAGCTATAGCGTGTTGGTGCCTACTATAACCTTGGAAGAAAACTGCTAGATCAAAGCATAGAAGATGAAGTGTGCACATAAGATCGCAGAAGCATTGAAGAAGCATATAGAAACTCTGCCCCACCCTGTGAGTCTCCGCGCTTCCGTTGCACATCATCCTGCTCCCACAAGCTGCACACGGTGCAGCGATTACAATAGGGTGTGCCATTGGCTCAGTCACCAACCCGTATGGGATCTGCAGTACTGGGGTTATTAATGCCGACAAAGAGGCCACCTAGTATTGCGCCATCCCGTTGAGTCTCCATTGGCTCCATGTGGGGGATTATCGGCCGATTTAGGCAATAACACGAGTAGCTCGGCCGATAGAACCAGCTGAACAATTGCCCATCATAGCAGGAAATGTAGAGAGTGATGTATGTTCTAGATACATTGTAGAGAGATGTGCAAAGAGTATGAAAAGTTGGGGACCTGGTAGTATGGATGTTGCGGTGGAGGGGTAAATCAAGAACCACCAAGAACCCCAAACCCACGCAAACCCACGCTAGGACACCCCTGTCCTGTCGTGCTCAGAACTGGAGCCGAGTGGTACCAGGAACACTAAACATCCCACTTGCCCTGTGTCCAATCAAGGATATTCTGCCCGGGGCGGTGCACAATTGCGTGATAATGGCAAGGCCGGATGAGGTAAGAAGTCGAGGCCATCGCAAGCAGGAGGGGCTCCCTCAGGTCTCTTATTTAGCTCCCCTTTTCCCTCCTTGGCCGTTCCTTCTTCCTCTTCCCAAAGTACCTCTGCACATCAATCACAATGGCTGAACGCGCTGCTCCGTACGTTCCCCGGCTCATGAGCTCTCAGAGCTCCGAGCTTCCCCCACATTCTTATCGCCGGGTTCCTGACATCTCTGTACAGTCTCCGTCTGGGCTCTACTGCCCCCAACTTCGATGCCGACACCTCCAACGGCCCCATCAACTTCCACGACTTCATCGGTGACAAGTGGACCGTCCTCTTCTCCCACCCCGATGACTTCACCCCCATCTGCACCACCGAGCTCGGTGCCTTTGCCAAGCTCGAGCCCGAGTTCACTGCTCGCGGTGTCAAGCTCATCGGCCTGAGCGCCAACCACGTCGAGTCCCACCACCGCTGGATCAAGGACATCGATGAGGTCTCCGGCTCCCAGCTCAAGTTCCCCATCATCTCCGACCCCGAGCGCAAGGTTGCCTACGCCTACGATATGGTCGACTACCAGGACACCACCAACGTCGACTCCAAGGGCATGGCTCTGACCATCCGCTCCGTCTTCATCATTGACCCCGCCAAGAAGATCCGTCTCATCATGACTTACCCCGCCTCCACCGGCCGCAACACCGCCGAGGTCCTCCGTGTCATTGATGCTCTGCAGACCACCGAGAAGCACGGTGTCACTTGCCCCATCAACTGGCTCCCCGGTGATGATGTTGTCATCCCCCTCCCGTCTCTACTGAGGATGCCATGAAGAAGTTCGGCGAGATCCGTGCGGTCAAGCCTTACCTCCGCTTCACCAAGGCTCCCCAATAAAGGATGGGCTTTACGATGTGATGTGAAAAGAAAAGGATTAGCGTAATTTGACTGGAGAGGCCAGATGATACCAATATGAAATGCCTTATCCTCTATTATTTCCGGCGTAGATGTGTGATCACCTTGACGGGCCAGCATAATGACCACTAGCACCAGAAACACCAAATGCGTCATACGAGTCTACGAATGACTATTCTTGATTGTAAATGTTTTCTAATCCCTCTGTAGGCCTATTTCATGATATCTTATGAGGCATGAAGTAATAATCCTGTTTTGTCCTAGTGGTCGCTATTCACGCCCGTACACCTTGTGGTTGGGCTTTGCCCACGTACCTTGTCAGTGATGCACGTCGGTTAAAATTAGGTACCTTAGAATGTTTCAAGCGCGATATGCATCGGCTATTTTCAGGTGTTCTCTGGATCAGATCCACTTATCTTCTTGCTCCTTACTGCATACTGCATGCGCGATTAACTCCGAGGTAGATTCACCCAGGGTGGATAAGCAACCAAACGTGTTCAGCATGGCCGAAGTTAGGGGCCATTGTCGGACTTACCTCGAGGCACCCACTAACGTATATTTTTTTGTCAATTGACGATAATGTTGTACTACAGTCAGGGGTCAAAGTAAAGTGCGGTCCCATCCGCGTCCAAACCCACTCGGGAAATAGGTTGAGACCGCCTTTTTTGTGCCGATCCAACGCTCACCGTCTGACACTTTCCTCTCCACCTTAAGACGCCTCACCTTGACCTGTGCTCGATCCACGGACTTCTCCGCGCCTTGCAACGGCGGTCTTGACGCGGCAGAGACAAGGAAAACCTACACGGTCCCAAAAGCACCCCACATCGCACCACAACAGCCGCAGCGGTACGAGGGGAGAGAGAGATTCCGATCGGTACACACTTCCAGCCTGAAGTCCCTTCACATGCGCTCAGACACCGACCAGCATATTTCAAAATAGGGGTATATTACATACGAACAGTTTGGTGAGCGCGGAGCAGAATCCATAACTCGCCCACCATGATGTCGAGGAGCCAGTCGAGTCTGGGGTTCCTGGATGCAGGTCCCCAGGATCCCTCCGCAGCTGGAGCTTCCCCGTCTCTTGGCCAGCAGTCTTCCTCCGGGCCTATCAACTTGTCTGGCCTGGTGTGCAATGTCCGTCGAACCACTGGCAAGGAGCCTCACCCCCTAGTCGGCGCCACCACTACGATTTTGGGCGATAAGCTATACGTCTTTGGAGGCCGGATCCTCTCGCGCAGTCGCCCGCAGTTGACCTCTGACCTATACGAACTGGACTTGATCCGCCGACACTGGACGAAAATTGAACCGACTGGGGATATCCCACCGCCTCGGTACTTCCACAGCGTTTGCGCGCTCGGTGATAACAAGTTGGTCTGCTATGGAGGAATGTCGCCTGCGCCCGGGACGCCCAAGGACCTGTCAAACCCAAATAGCTCAGAGAATCAGTCGGAGGTTGTAGTTATGTCGGATATACACATTTTCGACGTTCCGTCGCGCGCGTGGACGCGAGTTGCGGCACATGAATCGCCGCAAGGACGGTATGCTCATTGTGCTACGATTCTTCCGTCCAGCGCTTGCTTTACGTCTGCCAGTGCGCCTCTGTCGGCCATTCATCACAACCCTGAAACGGCTGCCCACCAGGGCTCCATCGGGGTGGATATCGATGGGTTTGGAGGCGCTGAGATGGTAGTTGTTGGTGGCCAGGACAGCTCAAACCACTACATTGAGCAAATTAGCGTTTTCAATCTGCGGAGCCTTAAGTGGACCAACACCAGCCCGCTCGGACGCAGCTGCGGTGCTTACCGCAGTGTGGTTGCCCCTCTGGTTGGCATGGACGTTTCAGAGGTCGGCTCGGCCTCGCCAGATCGGGATATGCACGAGCCAGCCGAGCATTCAGAGGAGGCGGGATGTCCTATGCTGATTTACTCAAACTATAACTTCCTGGATGTCAAGTTAGAGCTGCAGGTGCGCCTGCCGGACGGGCGCCTTGTTGAGCGACCGATGCAGAGCCATGCCTCTCCACCTGGATTGCGCTTCCCCAACGGCGGCATCATCAATGGCCACTTTGTTGTCAGTGGCACATATCTGACTTCTTCAAAGCAGGAATATGCTCTTTGGGCGCTTGATTTGAAGACCCTGACTTGGGGCCGCATCGATGCCGGCGGTTCTGTGTTTGGCCACGGCAGTTGGAATCGTGGCATCCTCTGGCCGCGTCGTAGTTCCTTCGTGATTCTTGGTCATCGGAAGCGAAGCTTGGTCGACGATTATAACCACCGCCGGATCAACTTCTCGCACGTTTGCGTGGTGGAATTGGAGGCTTTCGGACTCTACAATAACCCGTCTCGCACCGCCGCGACATCGGGATACAAATCATATAGTTCACCCTCGGTACCCGCATCATTACAACAAAAACTTACCCAGCTGACGACGGGTGGACGGCCATTGTCTGCTGCAGCCGACGAGCTAGGCAAGCTGGTTCTTTCACTGCAGGAATTGTCCGATATGGAGTTGCAGGCTGTTGGCGGAGAATGCATCTCGGTTAATTCCCGCCTGCTGGCCCGGAGATGGGGCCCCTACTTCATCCAGCTCTTGCGTGAGTCTTCAGAAGGTGACATCGTAGAGGGCGCCACTCTTCGTCCCGGTGCAACTCACCCCAGCCGCAACTCAAGTATTACAATTACTCCTTCAGTCGGACAAAACAGCACTTATTCCAACCCGACAACACTGGTGAACCCGGCTGTCCCGTCAAAGGCTCTACTTGAAAACCTTGAGGCGCCCTCTGCACACGGCCTGGCTCCTACTGCTCGTCCTCGCGTGCTCTACCTCCCTCATACGATTTTAACCCTTCAGGTGTTGGTCCAATTTCTCTACACATCCGCCCTTCCTCCCCCGGGCTCCTCCCTTTGCACGCCGCAGATTCTTTGCTCCCTGCTCCAGCTCGCACGACCCTACCAAGTCAACGGTCTCTTGGAAGCAACAGTGGAACGACTTCATCAAGTCCTTGACGGTCGGAACGCCGCTGCTGTTTTCAACGCCGCTGCCATGGCAGCAGGAGGGGGCCGAGGCACAGGATTCGGCGGCGGTCTCGGCGGTACATTGGAAGCCCTGAACGGCGCACACTCCGTGGGCAACGGCTCCATGCCCAGCGCATCGGAAGGCACAACCTCCCAACACAGCGTCCTCCTAGCCTCCGACTCCTCCGACACCGAGCACGGTATCACCGCTCCCTCAGCATCGAGCAGCACAGGCGACCTTACCAACTTTGCCCGCGGTATTCCCTCCCTCCGCATCGACACAAACTTGACCCAGCAACGCAGTCGCTCTCGTGCCCAGGCCCAGCGCGACCGCGAAGATTCGATCAGCAGCGCCAGCAGCGCCAGCACCGCCACCTCCGCTTCCAGCGCAGATTTCAGCCAGTCGGACTCGGAGTTCGTGAGCGACAGTGAGAGCCGCGCCGCATCGCGCGCGCACCGCCGAGGCACCGACGCCCGAGAAATCTGGACCGGCGATTTGAGCAGCGTGATCGGACTCCAGAAGCGTGGTCTGCGCGGTCTGATGGAAGGTCGTCGTATACGCGAGCGCAGCGTCAAGCCACCCAGCACGAGCAGTGGTTCTACCTCTGTACCCTCAGCCGGGTCAGGAGATCATCTTCCGATGCAGGGCGTGAGCGTTTGATCTGGCTGAATCTTTTCATACCTCTAGGAGTGCACTCATATTCTCGCATTCCCTTTTCTCTTGCCTTCATCTACATACCCTTGGAACTGTAAACATTTTCTTGCTTTTGTATGCCAGCAGGCTGGTGAGATAGGAGATGGTCTATAAAAAGGAACGATAGTCATGTTTATATTGTGCTCAAGTGCCTTCCGTAAGAGCCTGGTGGGTGTGCTAATCCCCTCGCAAACCTGGGTAACATAGTAGTTTCTTTTCCTGGACTGAAATGCGATGCGATGCGGTAATGAACATTGAATGAAAGGTTTCAAGTATATATACAATATTATAGGCAGCTTTTCACCAACAATCGACTCCCTCGCCGTAGATCAGTCATAGTCATACAAGATGCCCCCTGCTAAGACGAGGAAGGGGGCTGCTGCTTTGGCGCCGGCAGCTTCTTCACGCTCTTATTTCCGTAGACTGTTGAGCCCGTTAGCAATGTATAAACCCGCAGAATACATTATACCTAAAGGCACTCGGGCCCCAAGGCACAGCCCAAAAAAGAAGGATAAAACTCACTTCGCTCGTACAAGATCCAAGAAGTGATAATCACAAACGGAATGCCCACCATCGCACCCGTCCATCTGACACGCACCAGTCAGTCCAAGTCCAATATCAAGAATCGCAGCTCAGACTCCCCAACAACAAAGAATAGCATGGTGCTGGGTCCAGGGAAAAGATACATACTTCCGCGCAGCAGACTTATACTCCTTCGTCTTCCGAATATCAACCGGCCCCGTCGGGCGCGCCGGTCTGGCCGCACCCTGTACCGGCTTTTGAGGCAGTGGCCGGGGGATATAAGGTCCTGTCGTAGCCTTGGGTGCCATTTTGAGGGATTTCGAAGTGAAGATCCTGTGTTGGGGGGAATACGTTTTGAATGGGAGAAAAGATGGAGGTCGGGTGGAGGTTTGGTGCCTGAGGCATGAAGCGCATGGAGTTTGAGTCCCTGTCCCTTTTTGGAAGACGAATCTTCAAGAATACCATGGACAAAAGACTACTGAGAATAAAGGATAATAATATTTTAATGTTCCCAGTTTCCAGTTTTATGTGGAAATATGGTAACTAAGTAATTGATCAAAACACCAGGCTATGCAAGATCCTTTCTTCATTATTCGTTTTGATGTGTATTCGGCGACGGACAATCCCCCTCACCTGGACGGGTTTTCTTCCTTATACATACTCGTGCGCGTTGGATTTTAGCGGATGAGCTTTGGGTGCTGGTGAATTAAGCACCGCCACGAGCGCGGCCGCGGCCACGAGCACGACCTGGGCCTCGGGCGGCGCGGGCTTCGCCTTGTTTTCCACGGGTGAAATTTGTAGAGCCAGATGTAGTGGTAGCACTAGCTCCGGCTGGTTGAGCTGTAGTGGTTGCAGTTGCAGTTCCAGAACCACGACCGCGGCCACGACCTCGGGAAATGGGGGCGCCGCGAGGGACGCGAGAGCCACGAGAACCTCGGGAACCACGAGGGGCAGCGCGAGAAGAACCACGGCCACGGCCAGTGGGGATGATCACGGTGGTGGAGGTTTCAGTGATAGGAGCAAGGTTGGCGGAGGTCTTGGACTTGACGGAGGTGGACTTCTCAGTGGCGCGCTTCTTCGGCACGGTCGGCTTGGGCTCATCTTCGTCGAAGAGGACATCGGCCTTGCGTTTCTTCACCTTCGCGACGACAGGCTGCTTGGATGTCTCATCTGATGATTCCGAATCATCCGAGGTGGGTTCATTCTCTGACTCGGGAGCGGGGCCCAGCTTTAGCGTGATGCGCTGGACTTTGGTCGCGGGAGCGGAAGAAATGGTCTTTGTCGAGGTCTTTGTAGGGGTCTTTGTGGCGGGTTTCGGAGCAGACTTTGGCGTAGACTTCAGAGTAGACTTTGGGGTCGACTTCGGGGCATTCTTGGATATGATCTTCGAAGACTTGGACACGGACTTGGGGGTACCCTTAGCCACAGCCTTAGACGTATGCTTGACAGAATTTGTAGAAACAATTTTAGCAGACGGCCTAGAGATGGCCTTCGCTGGAGTCTTTGAAAGCGCCTTGGTGACTCGAGCCTTTTCTTCGAGGACGTTCTCTGTCTGGAAGTCCAGTCCGGCACCCGGCGGTATGTTTCGGTCTCCCAGCAGAGGAGGGAAACCGAGAGCGATATCGCCCTCAGCTTGCTGGTCGGAGCGCGAGCGAACAGGAGGATAAGGAAGAGCATCGTCACCGTAAGTGCGGGGGGAGCGCCAAGGGCTGTGATCGGTAGGGGTGAGAACAAGCTCCTCGCCGCTGTCATTAACACGGCCGGTCTTGACCCAGCCATCGGTTTCGATATCCGCCGGGGTGGATTTTTTGAATTGAAGAATAACCTTTTCAGCGGCCTCAGTGTCCCGGGAGGCCTCGGCGGTCTGTAAAGTCTCATTGGGGTTGACAGGCTCAAGAGATTCATCGTCCTTGACAGTCTTCACATCTTTCGGAGGCTTGGCAGAATTGGAGGCTTTGATGGGCTCAGTGTTGTTCACAGCATCATCGTCTGAGTCATCGTACTCGTCAAGTTGGGCATCTAGTGCATCGCGTGCTTTCTGGGCTTCCAGGGCGTCCTGAGCATCTCGAGTGGCTTTGACCTCAGACTCACGCTTGAAGTAGGCCGCGCGGAGTTCATCAATAAGCTCATTATGATCCTCGGGAATTTCAAAGTCGGGGCCCAAAGCGTCACGAGCCAACTCGTGTAGACCTTGAGCCGCATCGTCTTCCTTGATCTTGATGCGCTCAAGTTCGGCATTCTTCTTAACTTGCTTTCCTTTCTGGGCGGAGATGGCCTTGACGGCGTTCTTCGGAGCAATGGCCCTCTTCTGGGAAGATTTCTGAATTTTCTTGGTAGGTTGCTTCTCTACTGCGACAGGCACCGTGGCGTTCTTCCGGTGAGGCTTTGGCTGGGATGTTTGAGACTCAAGAAACCGTTCTGTAGGTTTGCGTACACGAGCCGAGGTAAGGGTTCCCATTGAGGAGGACTTGGTGGGAGAAGTCTGGCCTGCCAGGTCTTCTTCGTAGCCGAGTCCAAGGTATTGTTCGAGAGTCCAACCCGTTTCGGCAAAGTCGTCGTCTGAGAACTGATTTTGTACGGTGTTGGCAGTTGAACGACGTGTTCGTCGACTGATTGTTGAGGTTGGGGTTTCCACGGCCGGCGTAAAAACGGTAGACAATCTTGAAGGTCGAGCTTGGAAAGTTCGACGGTGACTCAAGGATAAATCCGGAGAACCAGCTCCGGGGTTAGGGTTTGTGGAAGAAGACTTGGAGGGAGTCTTTGGGTTGAAAAAACGAATGTTGAAGGAAGAATCGGGGGAATCGGTGGAGGAGTCGAGGGATTTGGAGGATTGGGGAGAGGAATTGGTAGTTTTCGCCGGGACCCGGGGTGAGCGCCGTGAGGGTGTTAACATGGTGCTATTGAGGCGCCCCGGCATTGATTTACGGTACCCTTTGGGAGGCATTGTGTATGGTGCCTGTTTCAATCCCATAGTTGTCAGTGATGGATCGAATAGACCAGAGATGGAACAATAACAAGAGACGAAGAACAATAGGAAGAAATAGTGGTTTCAATAGCATTCAAAAAGTCATAAATTGTTAGACAACAAGGGCAAGATGAGAGACGTCAGAGTCGGGTAGGGCAGCCGGGGATTATCTCGGACTGAAACACTCACGAGTCGGGCTATTGTTCGATCAAATAGGGCTATTGTGTTGATACTGCCTTGGATTTGCTGGTGTCAAGGCAGCAAAGGCCGGGGTTGGTGATCCAACATGCGGAGAAAGTGAAGTCTGAGAAAAGAAATTAGGGCTAAGTCGATCGGCGCTTATCGGCTTCATCGCCTTCCGCCTTATTCTGCTACTCTCCAACTACTTCCTTACTCCCATTCCCAATTGGAGTTTTGTTTCATTTTTTGTTTGCTTTCAAGATGCATCTGTGGCAGGCCACTCTTCCCTTCTGTCTGCTGGCTTCAGCTGCCCTACCTGCGGCCGCGGCCTCCGGTTGGGGCTTTACTGATGCCACCGTGGCAGTTCAACCTAAGGGCGCTGGAATCAACGGCGGATTCAAAGAACAGTACGTATTCGATCTCCTGTACTTGAATTGAAATGTACCGAGGCTCACAAACCATCCCTTTAGGTTCTCTTCATCCAAGCCGCTGTCCAAAGCCGTCTCGTTCGCCGGTGCCGATACATTGCGCGTCACCTTGACCACCCAAGAAGGTAGCTCTGCGAAGCGCCCACACCAAGCTTTCTTGTTGTTGCAGGATGCTCACTCTGGATTGGACATTTCCTACCCATTCACCGTCAAGGAGAATGGCAAATCTCGCGTCGAATTGGTATGCGACCTACGGAAAGTTGTTGCGGGGGAAAGCTAACAGCTGTCTAGACCCAGAAGGAGCTCCCTCTCCAATTCCTCCACCTCGCTGATCCTGTCGACGCCCGCGTGGTGATCGGTTCTTTCGGCAGCTCTGAGGCTTACGATAGCTCCGTCTTCAAGCTGTCCATCGACCGTGACCCCCACGTCCCCATCCCCACCGTCGAGCCCGCGCGTTACGGCAAGCTGCCCGAGATCCACCACATCTTCAGGGATGCCCCGAGCAACCCTACGATCATCATCACCCTGGCCTTTGTCGCCATGGTTGCTGCTGCTCTCCCGGTTCTCGCCGGCCTGGTAACATACCTTCCTCCTTTTTGTGAAGCTCCAATTAACGTGTTTTTCCAGTGGCTCTTGCTCGGCGCTAATGTCAACCACCTCCCCACCGCGTTCAAGAACGCTCCCCTCCCCCACGCCCTCTTTCTCGGCTCTTTGATTGCTTTCGAGGGCATCTTCTTCCTCTACTACACCTCCTGGAACCTATTCCAGACCCTGCCCGCTGCGGCAGCTGCTGGCGCCGTCGCATTCCTGAGCGGCAGCCGCGCACTGGGCGAGGTCCAGGGTCGTCGCTTTGCTGGCCTTCGTTAAATACTTGGGCATATCTCCTCCTCATCCAGTTCTCGTTGGGTCATCTAGTATAGCTGTCCGTGGCCGTCGATCGGTGTGAGTTTGTATCTTATCTGTGATGATATCCATCTTGTTTCAGAGAATCAAAATTATGAGTCGAGTTGTCTCCAGGCTCCTGGTCATTTCCCTACGGCGAGCTTCTATAAGGGATTGGTGCTTCGTTCATGGTCCATAGCCTACGCCATCGTACTCTGAATCATTGGGGACAAGTTACTTGTACCACTTCTCGCCTGCCACAATTCTTACCCTGGATAACCCTTTAGAGTAGTCAACTCTTTTGCACAGGCTCAGAGTCTTCGAATATTTAAATCATTTATGACCCATCAGTCCTCTATACTCTTGCACTGTCGATGTGTAGATCAAGCGCAAGGCGATACAGCCACTTCTCGCTGGGTAAGCAACACATTCATGTAGAATGTCAATTATTACAATCTAAGTTTCCAGAACTTTTCAAAGAAGTATTATAAATTCATTTAATGAGTTTGTCTTCTTCGTAGACCACTGGAAAGAGTGTGAGGGCTGATTATATTTTGACGTCACTTGAGTGGCCAGCAGCGGGAAAGCCAAGTCCCACCTCCGCGCTGTCCCCGATCTCCGCCGCAAAAGCTTCTCACAAGAAACAGATCCTACTCTCCCACCCTCACTAGCCCTAATGGGATCCTCCGCTTCAAAGCCCGCAAGAGCAGCCGCTGGTGCAGCAAAGCGCCAGTATCCTAAACAAGCCGCCCCTCCGCCGCGAGCTCCAGCAGCACCGAGGAAACCCAAAGCTCCCGAGACACCAACTCCTCAGCCTGCGCCATCGCCTCCCCCTTCTCAGCCCCCGAGCTCTAGTCATCAAGGACCGACATACCATACAAAGGAGCAGCCCTCTCAATCAAGGTCCAACGGTATGCACACCCTCATTTCAATCCACATGTATACCTTCGATCGCAGAAAAAAAAAACCCAGCCCTATACCACAGTACCATACACTAACAGATTCCCAGCAATCGACATGGACGGCCGCGACCCCGACTTCGCCGCCTCTCTTCGTTCTATCGGCCCCGTCGACCCTTCAGCCAACTATGCCAACTCCCCAGCGTACAGCCGCGGCCCCATGCAAACCGTCTTCCCCAAAGCCTCCAACCCCGCCCTCCTCACCGCCGCTGCACGCGATCGTCTCTCCAAATCCGCACAGCAGGAGATCGACCAGATGGGCCGATCAGACTTTGCGGGGCGATCATACATGGACGCCTTGACGATTCACCAGGCTTTGACCATGCGCGATGTGCAGAAGATGCCGCGCGCGGAGATCGAACGGACATTGCGTCTTAAGAAGGGAGTTATGGATAAGCTTGGCGAAGATGGCTTGATTTCACGTGCTATGTGAGAATTTCTGAGTTAAAGAGAATGGTTTAGCGGTTCTGGGTCTGCTTCTGCCTCTGCTTTTGTGGCTGGGTGTTTGGTGCGGTTGAGTTGCATGGCGTTGATTGGGTTGTATCCATACTCTGTTTTCTGTATAATATATCTCTCTCTTGGTCACGAGACTATCATCTCTACTCTTGATAATTTGTCACAGGGTGCTTTGACGTGGCTGAAGTATTCTCATGTCTTCGATCCAACATTTCTTGTATCCGTCAACCTTGCGATATTCATCCCGACTGGGATTGGATCAATGGACGCCTAGACAATACCACGGCAGATTTGCTTCCATTTCAATATTCCATAGCTTTTCCAATTGATACCCGTGTGCATCAAGCAGTGCTCTTTAGGCAGTAACACAGCATACATCCAAGACTTGGCACTTGACTCACATGTCGAACTTCCAATTTGCTTACGAATTTATTATCAAATATCACATGGAGGGGAAAAAACATATAGAACCGTGGGTAGACATTCGATGACCGAAGCTGTCAGACTATTCCACCCTCTGATGACTCACGTAATCTTCTTTAACGGGCCCCATCACAGCTCCGTCAGGCCGAAATTCTACACAGAGACCGAAATCGTTTCAGAAAACATTGTTCTGACGCAGAAATGACGCTGCTGTGCAGGTTTCGGAGAATATTAGTATTTACTGTGATTCCAAATCTAAGGCTACGCGTCTGTTCTTGACAAAGAAGTTGATGATCTACTACGGCACATGCCGAGTTTAGTGTTTGGAGAGATACTGGCGATGAGAGAGAGGCCTGATGCGTGAAGTGTGGATGAGGCCCTGGGGGCTTATGTGAGTGAGTTGAAAAAGGGGTTGGTTGGGATTGGAGTTCGGGTTATAAGGGTGAAAGGGTAGTCTACAGTAAGGCGAGTCAGGAATTAGGAGGGGGATCGGGAAGGGTTGGAGGGGCTGGGACTGGATACTGTAAATGTAGATATAGATTCGGGAAGGGATGGGATCTTAGTTGGGATCTATCTCGTAAATTGAGAATGTATAGAACGGCAATAGACGATGCACATACATAGGGTTGTACATAGCCCGCGTTTCAAAGGTGTCTGCGTATGCGCACAAGTCCCAAGAGGGCTGGTGGCTTGCAGGGTTAGTTGCAGAAACGATAGAACATAGCGGTCAGAGTTAATACTATTCAGGGTTAGCGCACTAGTGCCTGGACCCTTAAAACCGGGGTCATAAGTTCCTCGAAGGCATTAAATAGGTAATTTCACGAGGTTTGCTGTTTATATCTGGTCAGGCCATAGGGCTGGCCTTAATTCTAACCTGGGCTCGGTTGACTAGTTGAATCCCTCCACTTGCCTGGTAGGGCTTGCCCCTGACCCTGGGGCCAAGACTCAGGGTCGGAGCCAAAAGGCAGTAGTGCCCCCATTAATAATTGGGACCTCGGTAGAGGCTCTGGTGTCTGACTGGGCCATGCAGCACAGCCTAGCGGCAGGCTCTGACGTGATGACAGGTTTTCAGGGTCCTGTCCTCTAGTCCTTGAAGACCCTGAAAACTCTCCGATGACTCCGTATTGATTCATTCTCTCGTGCCCAGTGCCTCTTCTGGACGTAGCTCCTGATTTCGATTTTCGCATTCGTTCGATCGGCCGGGTCCACAGGGCTTAGATCCGATGGTGTCTGGGTCGTTGATCACGTCAGTAGTGTAACATTGGTGCCGATCGAGAAATGGTGCTGCCTTCCGGCGATCGATCAGAATTGAGCCTCGGGTACTTCGGGCCCTTCGGGCACTCCGTGGAAATGAGACAGCTCGCACGCGAGCAGGGCACGCGAGCAATTGGGGAGTTTATAGGCGAACTAGGAACCCAGGAACTGAACCATGACGTGGGGAAACGGAGTCGGGAGCAAAACGACATCCGACCATTCAGAGTCGTATCGGCGATTTGCACCGTGACTGGTTCGCGCATCCTTTCCCCGGACTTTCTTTGCCAGTTCAGAACACGAGCTTGTTATGCTTGGTGCCCCGAGCCCCCTTCTTTGACCCTTTGCTTATTTTAGGGGCCGTGGGGGGCTGACCTGAGGCGCGAAGGGCCGGCTGCAGGCGGCTGGGACCCTTTTTTTTAATTTTTTTTTTTTTAAAAAATAAAATGAACCCCCAAAAAATTTGGACCCTTAAAAAAAGGAAATGTCTCAGCGAGGTTCAAGTAGGCAACAGTGAATAAGGTCGAAATAGATACTATGTGGAACGTTCCAAATAATTCTGTGTAGCGGGCAGGTTCCGTGGTTCTGTGGGATCCGAGTCTATGTACAGTATCGACAGATCTCCACCGTTGACTGGGTCCAAATGGGTCCTTTGTGTCAGTCGATCCGAAGGGGCCAAAAAGGAAGGCAAGAAAACTCAAGCTTCAGTCGCGTGCCCCTATGCCCCATGGAGTTCCAATTGGCGCAGTTTGGGAGCCTAGTTTGGACCCGAGACCCTAGACCCCTGGAGAGGACTAGTCCGGTCCCCTAGACACCTTTTAGGAAAAAGTAAACCCTCTAAAGGGAATTATTATTCCATAATATTGCACATAAAATTCCTGCATCTGCGACACACCGCGCATTGATTGGTGCCACCTCGGGTCCGATGTTTATGGATCTAATAATACTTCGATTTCCATTTCTCGTGCCAACATCTGTTGCTCGACTCTTTTGACTTTCTATACATTTCGCATTCCGGGGTGCTAGCTCCCCATTCCAATCTTTTTTCTTTGCGCGTATTCCCCCTCGCGCGCCTTCTCTCTTTCTCACCTCTCGAACCATGAAATGATCTCGCCATGCCGCTCTTAGCCTTCCTTCCGCCGCTCCCCCCGTTCCTCTTCTCGGCCCTGGCCGTGAGCGGTCTTGCCTCAAAGGCCTTACACATCGGCCTACATATTCACTCGTTACCCTTCCTCTATTTCGTCCTCTATTTGCCTACCCTCATTTTACCAGACCTGCTAGTGATCTTCGTTGGGAGGCTGTTGTTGCAATTTGCGGCTCCGGGAACTCGGTTACAATGGTTGTCAACATGCGTGGGGGGTCTGCTTTCGTAAGTGATATGCGAGATATCTGCTTGGATTTGGAGCTGACAACTTTGCTAGCCTGGTAACATGGGGTGCCTCCTCCGTCCAGTTTGGCTTTTTCATGCAGACCGGCGCCGAGGTCGCCTGGGCTCAAAGTAATAGTTTCCTCAGTGATCCCGCCGCGATGAAAATCCTTTTGAGTGGCATCACCACCGTTACCGCTGCAGCTACCGTCCTTGGCCTGGTCGCTTGGCTCATTCACGCACACCTGTATCATCTGACCGGTCTTGGATTGCAGGCGATCCGAGAACTGTTCATGGGAGGCTACAGGGCCCGCTACACTTTACTTTCCGTGCCCAACAAATCTTGGTTGGCCTCTGTCGATCTCCGAACCGTGCGCCGAACCGCTATTGCTGTGTCGATCTTTGTGTCGCTGCTGTTCTTGGAGCTCACGAGACCCGCCATCCCGTATGATCACATCTCCGGTGCATTGCCGTTGACTTTGATGGATGCCTTCACCAAGAAAGCGGTTACCGTTGAAGGCTGCCGCAACCCGAATACGAACTTCCCTCTCTGGACCGCGGGTAAAACTAGCTCGGAGAGATGGGCCCGTCCTGCGTGGTTACCGCAAAACCCACCCTCGGGATTCAGCCGGTGGGATATTAGTCCTGAAGAGCGCGCTGAGAAGGATAACCCTTCCTGGTATCTGTGTAGCAGCGGCAAGGAGCCTGGGTTCTACGATCCTAAGAAAGATCCTCTCAAGATTTCCAATCTTGGCGGTGAGATCTACGAGCCCTTGCAGAAGGCCTTCAAGGAGCACTCAGTGGAGATTGATAATGTTGTTCTTCTGACCCTCGAAAGTGGGCGCAAGGAGCTGTTCCCAGCACAGCAGGGTACTCCCATGTTTGACGCTTTGCTCGAATCACATAAGAAGGAGAAGAGAGATGAGGCGATCGATCATCTGGCCAAGTTGACTCCCGTTGCACAGATGTTGACGGGCGAGTACGCTACCGATAGCAAGGGTGACAAGGTCGATCTGAGCCATGCGACATGGCAAGATACTGCAGAGGAAGGTATGGGTGGATTGAACGTACGGGGTGCACTCACAGGCAGTTCATTGACATTCAAGAGTATCTTGGGCAGTCACTGTGGTGTCAACCCGCTCCCCGTAGACATGTTGGAAGAGACTGCTCTCGAGATCTATCAACCGTGCCTGCCGCAGCTTTTCGAACTATTCAACGAGGTCAAATCGCCTGCGCCGCCCGCAATGCCCGAGGCCATTGAAGCCCGCAGCGACGATTCCGAGGCTGTCAAGTACCCGTGGAAGTCTGTCTTCATGCAGTCCATCACTGAAGACTACGATCGCCAGGATGTCTTGAACAAGAACATGGGATTCGAAAACAAGGTTGTCAAGAAGACTCTGACCCGTGCTCGACAAGGCTCTAAATATGCTCCTAAGGGCCAAGAGATCAACTACTTTGGATACGCCGAGACGGAATTGAAACCGTACGTGCAGGATCTATTCGAGGAAGCCGCCAACAACAAAACGCGCATCTTCCTCTCGCACGTCACTAGTACCACTCATCACCCGTGGAACACCCCAGACGATTTCAAAATGGAATTCTACATGGGCAATGAAGGAGCCGTCAACCATAACCTGATGAATAATTACCTGAATACCCAGCGATTTGTCGACAACTGGCTCGGCGACATCATGAATATGCTTGACGAAACCGGCATCGCCAACACTACTCTCGTCGTAGTCGTCGGCGATCACGGTCAAGCCTTCGGTGAAGACAACAAGGACATGACAGGCACCTATGAAAACGGCCATATCAGCAACTTCCGCGTCCCTCTCGTTTTCCGCCACCCTCACATGCCGCGCATCGATATTAATGCCAACGCAACATCACTCTCCATTATTCCCACCATTCTCGACCTCCTCGTCCAGTCCGAGTCTCTCGACGCCCACGACGCGGAAATCGCCTCCGCCCTTCTCCCAGAATATCAAGGTCAATCCCTCATCCGACCCTTCGTTCCCGCCATTGGCGACTTGTCTCCGAAAACTCACTCCAATAACGCCCGTTCTCCGCGCCCAACACACAAACATCAAGACGCTCAAACACAGCGCGTCTGGAACTTTGGCCTTATCAACGCTGGCGGCTCCATGATCTCCGTTACCTCTGCCGACACTCCATATCGCCTGATTCTGCCTATTCGCGAGAGCTTCGAGTACGTCTTCACACACCTTGACGAAGACCCCGGCGAATTACACCCCATGAAGACCTGGAAATTATCCGAGATCGTCGACGAAGTTACCAAGAAATTCGGTGAGGATGCCGCCTCCTGGGCCGAAGATGCCGAGCAGGTTGGCAAGTGGTATGTCAACGAGCAACGGCGAATCTGGGGTTACCGGGAAAAATAAGCTCCTGGCGCACGATTGAAAAGCAACTTTTTGCATTGATATCTCTTCACTCTACATCTACCTCTCATATACCTTGATTGTCATGAATTATCCAAAAACTGGGTCCGGTGTTTGGTTCCTCGGCTGCATCTTGTTACTTTAGATTGGGCCTCTGTTCTGATACTATGTGCATTCGGTGACACGTTTTCCTTGGATCGGTTTATATGCCTCTTTATCTGTACATATATCTTCTGGGGCTTGTGATTGATGGTTCGGTTTATGACACATGATTATGCATTCACGCTGGGCCGAGGCCGTTGTGGTATCTGGTATCCTAACCAATATAATCCAGTCATCCAGTAACTTTTCCTACTGTTCAATCTTCATATATTGGAGGATGAATCTAGAGACAGACCTCCAGGGTGTTTTGTTTGTATTCATGCCCTCCAGTGTTTTCAGCCCCATAGGAATCCTCTTCTACTCATACTAAATTTGAGCAGCAATAGCACCAGCCCTGTCCTCCAAAAGCCCCGGAAATCTCCTAGGAGACTTCGCTATTCTCTCAACGTCTCAGTGGCAAATGAGACGAGCCCTACGCATGAATGACGGAAAACCGTACGTTTGTCCCAAGAACGGTCGATGGTCATCAGGAAGTATTCAGACTCTATTTTGAAGACGAGGACATGGCATTCGCATGAACTCCCTCCCCACTGTGGATACAGAACTCATGGCACTGTTCCGCTTGATGTGGGTCACAATGACAGGGATCCTTTTGGAAATGGGTGCCAGGTGAGAGGTGGTCATTGATGCGAGAGGATATTTACCTCCCGGGGGATATAGGCCCCGGTGATGGAGTCCTGTATGGATGCAAGGAGATCTTTCTGGGTTCAAGAAAGCCATTCTCAATTTTTGTTCAAGGATCACGAAGACACTGACGGTATGCGTCCACCCTTGGCATGCGAAGCACTTCATACATGGACGGAGAAAGCCCTTCTTTCAGCGAGATGAGTCTCTACCCAATTGTGCTCTTCTAGCCAGGGGTTTCACAAGGCAAGATATAGGCCTTAAGATTCTCTCATGTGCGAATCCGTATGCTCAACATCAGGGAAGAAGAAATCTAGGAAATTCTCACTGAGTGGGTCATGAGTAAAATGTCCCTGAGCAAAGCCAGATCCGGTTGTTGAAAATAGATTGTTTCCCGGGCTAGCGGTGAAACCTCCCTCGGCGGGATCTTGCATGATAAAGTCCTGCTTCGGACTATCATTGCCATAAAAATGTCTTTCCATCGAGGGGCCGCCAAACGATTTGATATCGACGTGCTGTTGCGGAGAGGGATTCGATGGTAAATCACTGACATCGAGACCCATGGGCTCTGCGAGTGCACGAAGGGCGCTGTCACAGAGTTGCCATGCTCGATGGGACGCAACACTATGTCGAGACGTCCTGACGAGCCATCTGATACACTTCTTGGATAGCTGTAGTAAATTACTTTTTTCCTGTGGCAAATGAATGTTTCCAAAGGAAAGTTCAAGGATCATGACCGTTAATGTCTGCATGACGTAGTGGAGAAGACACCACCAGGGGAGAAATTCATTTGATCGACCAGTGTTTGCATCATCTGGTATCAAATGAGCCATTTGTATAGCAGACTTGAGGGCTGATACAGCCATGGCTTGGGTGAAGACCTGGTCTTCGTTGTGCTGAGGACTGTCCCTATCGTGTCGACAAAGGCATGGGCGGCCCAGCATGATTCGCGCGCTGTAATATGGTAACGCCAGGCGAATCTTCTCCTCGGGGTCTTGATCACCACTTTCCATGCGAGTGAAATCCAGGCCTGGTGGAAGTGAGGAGAGCCATAAATCAACGCTTGCTCTGATCTCGATGATTTGGTCTTTTATATTCTTCCAAGCTTGGTGGATAGCGTTGGCCGTGTAGACACGGTCTAAAAGCTCCTGCATGAGCATGTTGAGGTCACAGAAATACAAGAAATATAGTCCAGTAGAGACAGGAAGGTTATGGAGCCATTCATTAGTGGTTTTTGGATGCAGTCCACTGCTGGGTTTTCCAAGGGGTGCCTTCCGAAGATACGAGCTGGCCATGACATTATTCACATGACTGTCTCGGATTTCAGGATCACTGAGAAGAGAAACGGCCGGTTCTTGTTGCAAATCATTCTCTTCGAACGGGAGTGGCAATGGTGAACTACACATGTTCACCGAGATACAAGTAGGTCGACCAGTCATTAGACCGAGCTTGTTCTCGGTGGCAAGGAGAGACCACCAAACCTTGTTGCGAATTTCCTTGGAGACATCCGTGATATTTGGATTGTTATTCTTCAAGTTCATTCCAAGAGACACTGCAGAGCGGATCGCCAAAGCGGATATTCTCCAAGATCTGCATCACAGCTTAGCTTTGAAGTTAGGTATAGGCTACTATCAACATTACCGGTGAATCTGATGCGTAGAAAGAAGATAGAAGGCCATCAAACCCTCCACCTGGACTTGTTGAAGATCCGGGTGGCGAAACACTTCATCTCCGTTCATGCTCAGCATTCGAGCTCTAGTCAGATATAGTAGGTGGTCTTGGTGATCCCCATGCCATTTCAACTCGGCGACATGAGCATAGTTAGCGGCGATAGCAAATATCATATTCAGAATAGCCATCCATTTGTCCCCGGGCAGCGCAGGGCTGTCGAAGAATCTGTCATACTGATCACAAAACAAAGGACGATTGATGATAGGGAAGGAAGGATGAGCCACGCGAAGGTAAGTCTCGAAAAGTTGATCTGCTAGCTGTCTAGGAGGCACCCAATACATCTGCACAGGCTCTGACACCCCTATATCGAAATCATCAAGGTGATAGTTTATTTCCGGGGGTCCAAACACATTGCTCGTATTGCTGTCTTTGTCATGGGCACCATTTCGTTGCAGGGTCTCCTGCTGCAGTCGTTGCAACCATGTGATTTCCGAGCTTTTGCCAATATACCCCGTGGCTCGCGATTCGTTGGTGAGGTTAACATCGTATTCAACTTCGTCCAAGGCTTTCAGTGACCCCACAGAAGAACTTGAGCTGTCGAGTTCTTCGTCTTCGGGTTCTGGAGAGTTTCCTGTGCGTTCCTCGGAAGCTATCTCACCAGAGATATCGTTGGATACATATCCAGAATCCGAGACTTGCTATTGAGCCCCAAATTATGGTATCAGCCATATTGCACAATGTGGACCTATCAGAGTACATGGAATCGATTGCATACCAAAAAATGTTGAATTCGTTTAGCTGTGCGCCCGGGTACAAATGGCTCAGCTTCCTTCAAAAGGCTCTGACAATCTTGTAATTTCTTTGAAAGCTCGTCTTGTTGCCTGGTGTTCAGGTCGGTCAATGTAAATACTCCGTGGATACGATATCATGCTCGCCCACCTCTTCATTCTCTCGCGCATACCCGGTGGGTACACACAAGGCATTCGAAGATCGCGACATTGTCGGCAAACGGGGGTATCGCCACTACATTTGCTTTTTCTCATCCGACATGACTCGCATGCTCGAGGGACACGTCGGCCAAGCTTTGGTGCAGCAGTCGAACGTTGTCGGGGGATTGCAATCTTCGCATTCGGAGGTCCAGCCTCTAGAGAAACCGACGGGACGCTAGTGGTGGGTACCTCATTTGACATCGTCGTGGGGTTAGGTGCGTGAGGGGGAAATGCGGTCGGCGGGATTATCGCCTCTTCAGATAGTTCTCGGCAGTTCGGGAAAGACTTCGGCCGTAGACCGTGGTGCCTTTCCGGTGTTCTTTGGGGGGATTTTAATCTCATCCGTTTACATGTGATGATCCATAGGGAATGCTGGATAATGCTGGATAATGCTGGATCCTTAGGAGGACATTGGTGGAAAGAAGTCCGAGAGGAGTTCAGGGCCCAAGATAAAAAGGGCGCCTCATGTACGCCTCATGTACCACCACATTACACTGCAGCTAACATCGAAATTCACTGACATCAATTCCAGTGCCACACGAGTCCAGACTTGCGTGGCTGAAAGCAAGTTGGTTGTGACCAGTTGTGACCGAATCGGGAAAGACTGACCTCATAATATGGTAATTCTGAAAAATCCAGGTTTCCCGCCTGTATCGCCGATACTCCACCATATAGTGCCGAGTCTGGGTAGGACGCCCATTCTCTCGAGTATTACATCCTTGCAGGCATCAGAGCCCGACCTCGTGAAGACTCATCATTATGTCGAACAAACCAAAGGAGACCGCTCTCATGTTTGGGCCGACCGGACACGCGAATAAGCAGAATGTAAGCTAAAAGATGGGGTTTCTTCTTGCTCAAAAGTAAGAAGGACCAAATCGCATAAGAATCTTACGTTGATAATTTTGAAGCACAACCATGAGATCCTCGTGCCTAGTAAAGGCATTGATAGAAATGATCCATCACAGATGAATCAGCATCACACTGAAGTGAAAGGAGCGATCGCGGCCTTGCCGAGCGAATATCGTGAATTGATCTACGACATGTACGAGGCAGTCCAACAGCACGACCGGAGTCGCGAACAGGAACTATTTGCGAAAATCCGAGATCGCAAAACTGCGCAACAAGTCCGTGCGTACCTCTACGGGATGTTAGCCAATGCAAAATTGTCTGAGATGAACGATCAAATCGCCGGACGTTCATATGAGGCTCAAATCGACATGGAGATGGAAGATCATTTGCCGCGAGCTCGCCCCAGGGTAATGGATATCCAATATTTGTGTAACACAGCTCCGGTGAGGGTTCCAGCGAGACCGTGGACTACGGTTACGGATAGTGACGACTTGGTATCGCACTTAGTATCGCTTTATCTCACCTGGGGCTATCCATTTTACGCATTCTTTTGCCGTGACACATTTGTCAAACACATGCAGCTAGGGCATCTGAACTCGGACTTTTGTAGTCCCTTCTTAGTGAACGCCCTCCTCGCCAACGCATGCGTGAGTCATCAGGCGTCGTCGGTTGTCTTTCAGCTAGGTCTAACCAAAGAAAGTTTTACTCAGACTACGCGGAGGCGTATAGCTTACCTGGAGACGTGAAAAGAAAGGGCGCCCATTTTCTGGCCGAAGCAGAATGGCACCTGAGATCGCATCAACTTGAAGGCAGAAGCGATACCCGGCTGGTTTCATTACAAGCAACTCTTCTGTTATATGAAAGGTAACGGTGTCTATAGTCAACTTGAAAACTATTCTAACTCTCTCTTCCTTGATTTATAGATATTCCCTGTCGGGTTACGACAATAATGGATACACGATGCTTCATCGAGCGATAGGAATGGCCGAATCACTTGGTATAGTGAACAATTCTAAAGTGCTAAACCTGGACACACCACACTTCTCCAAGGACATGAAACACTCTCTCAAACGAACTGCATGGGGGTTGTTCCAAATTGATACGTGCGCGCACCATCAGCCCAGCAATTAAGAAGAGATTAAGCTGACGCTGCTACAGCATTGTCCACATGAATTTTCTTAGACAGAGTCAGATCAAGCGCGTGAGCCTCGATCGCATTTCCCGGAGCGAAACGCTTGCGGAAGAATTGTGGATACCCTATCCGGAGCAAGGCAGTCCTCGTCGGTCTAACATGAGCTGGTACTTCGATGAAGCTTGCAAGCTCTCTTATATAGCAAGGGACACCTCTTGGAATATTGCACGTACCGATGAAGATGGAAACATCAAAAAAGAGCTTTACAAACGGCTGTCCACGTGGGAAAGGGAGCTGCCCGATACTTTTGAGATGATAGAGAAGCCAGCGCCATATATCGTTATACTCAGGTGTGTCATAGCGTGGTCTTTCCAAGAATCAATGCTACAGGGTTCAATTTACTAACCAACAATGTCGCAACAGGATGCGCTACCACACTCTGGTCATCAATTTATGTTGCCATGACCTGCAGACCACCACGTTCATGATGAGAAGCAAACATGATCCCAATCTAGCCAGCTCAAATGGTGACTTCGATGCCGTCAAGATTGCTCTCCTATCGGCACGAGAAATAGTTGCTCTTGTCCGCAAATTTGGAACAGAGTATGGACTGGAACATAGCCATCAGTTTGTTATGTATGCCATTAACGTCTCATTGTTCTGTCTGCTTGCGCAGGGGGACTTTGATATCCTGGATCCTGATTTCTTGACCCTAACTGAAGCATTTTCTGTTGTCGCATGTCGCTCACAAGTTGGGAGGCATTTGTTTCGGGCATTTAAAATATCAGTCCGCTCCCGAAACCAAGCCGGGATGATTGAAAGACCAGATGATGCTCCTCCTGGAATCAAAGAGCTTTTGGGGCTACATGAAAATCACGGTGAGCTTGACAAGTGGGATTATTATGCAGATTGCTTGGCTGAAGTGGATGGTGAAAAAACCTCCAATAAGGATATTGGAATAGATCTCACGGTACCTGGATTACACCAGATGCTTAAGTGGTACGAGAATCTGAGCATCGGCGATGAAGTGCAGTGGAGAAGGAACACTGAGCCTGCGTTCTAATACACTCTTATCATGCTTGGTTTCATTTATTAACAGCGATACTACCTTCATAACAAGTTTCTCGATTCAAACTCTAACTACCAATCTCCTTACCATACATTACACTCTATAAATCATTACAATCATTATAACTCAATTGAATTAGATCCTAAGTCACCGAATTAAAAGACCTCATCGCTTCATTCTAGAGGTTTAAATTGTATAAAATCATCGATTACACGATTGTCACTTTCCTTCCAAACAGAGTGGTTGTTCTGCGTCATGGTGATAGAAGTGCTTGTAAAGGCTAAGAAACAGACCAGAACATTTACAGGGTGGTGGTAAAATACTTGTTTACCATGGCATAACAGAGGTCGTGAACAAAAATGTGAGCCTAGGTGCAGTGAACACAGGCCATAGCCACGTGCGTAGGTGCAGCGAGTTTTGAGGCTAGGGACCAAGCTGTGATCTGGGGGTAATCCGGAAATGCCAAGAATGTAGCCTTGATTTTAAGCGTTAGGTGGACAAGTGACCGAAAACCTGATTATATCAGCATTGGCGGACCATCGAGCTATGTACAATGCAGCTACATAATTCCCGCCGAATGATGTCATCCCTCAGTATAGCCGCTACCAACAATTAGGCGCCTTTTGCAACGTCATTTTGACGACGTGATCTGTGGTTGCTAACATCTACAACCTTGTTTGCAGCCTCACGGTCGATCATTTTCCCAGTTTACTAGAATCCAATTAATAGATTCAAATACTACATAAAGCCCGTAGACCCTAAGTTAACAAGGTATGCAACACTCCTCCATTTTCACGCTTTACCTTCCCATTCAAAACATTCAAGTTTTATAATTATTCGTCACTATCACTCGACTTATCCTATATTTCCAGATGTTCGGACGGAGCTCAGGACCAGCTGCTCGGCTTGCCCGGCAGCAATTGCAATCAAAAGCTCGTGTTGCCAACTCTCGCTTTCAATCAACCGCATCTCATGCAGCCTCCGCCGGTGGCAACCCTGCTTTGATTGGTGGAATTACTGGTGGAGCTGTCGCCGTTTCTATTGGATACATCTGGTATCATTTCTCCGGGGCCAAGACACTCGTGAACACAAGCAAGCAGACACAAGCCTACCTCGATCAAGCCAAACAAACAATCGCTCAAAATGCGCCCGAGCCCAACGAGGCATTCCGCTGGTTGGAGGATTCGGTAAAAAGCTACGCCGTCTTCATCCCTGGTGCGCGAGGCTACGTCGACACCGCATTTGAAGACCTGAAAAAGATCCAGAACGACCACCGAAAGGAATTTGATGAAATTGTCAGTGACGCATACAATGACCTACATGATATTACGCAAAAAGAGGGATTTACCACCGCTTCGGCGTCCAAGGGATTGCAGGTTTTGCAAAAGCACTCCAAACGCCTTTTCGATCTGGCTGGTGATGCCGCGGAGAATGTCCTCAGCAACCACCCTCAATTGAAGGAGAAAGTTGGGGGCAGCTACGACCAGCTTAAGCAGATGGGTGATGCTTACGGCCCCAAGGCGAAAGAGGAGGTGGACCAGACTTGGAAACAGATCTCCAGCATTGTGCAGCGCGGCGTGAATGCGGACTCACTGGAGGAGATCAAGAAGATGATCCAGGACAAGACGGACAAGCTGCAGAAAATGGGAGACGAGGCATGGCAGAAGGGCCTCGAGGAGTCTCAGCAATACTTGGAAAAGAACCCCAAGCTGAAGCAATTGGTCGAAGACAATGCCGATACCCTGAAGAAGGGAAACTTCAAGGACCTGTGGGGCCTTGTGAAGGATAGCGCTTCTTCGGGCAAGACGGAGCAAGTGGAAAAATATGTCAAAGAGAAGGCTGACAAAACCAAGAACACCGACTTGGGCAGCCTGGACAAATGGCTGAATATGGTTCCGGGTGGCTCAAACATAATTCCCCAGCTGCAGTCGCTACAGACCATTGCGCAGAAGAAGGGTAGCGAAGCAGAGAACGTGCTTACAGAGACCCTCGAGGAGCTACAAGATGTGCTGAAAAAGCGAAAGGAACAGGTGGAAAAGCTCGCCGAGGAGGCGAAGAAGGATGCGAAATGAGTTTTCTATAATTATGCATTGTCATGTACATTAATAGCCTATATTGTTTCGAATCATTAAACAGTTTCAGCACCAGTTTGAAATTTTCAGCTTGCAACCCAAATATTCGTGAATATATTCTCCGCCACCCCATCCTATTATTATATTTATGATGCTTTTCAAACATTCACAAGGCCTGTACCATATAAAACCCTATCTAGACAATTTTCCCTCATGGATATATTATGCCACAGTTTCTGTTGCCATTGGTCAAAAAGTAACCGGTAAGGTATGCTATGGTTCATATGTTCTCATTGTCCCGTTTTTAATAATATTCAACATGTAAACAATAGATTAACACCGTGAAAATCGAGAAAGCCGCGCGCGATTCATCCTCAAGGTCATGAATGATATTAAAGCCAAAGTTCCGCTCTATAAATCTATACTTTCTGCTAAGCTCGACTCTCATGATTGTATGATTCAAAAGTCAACTTTAATACCCGCTGCGAAAAATTATCCTATTGGTCGCAGTCATCGAAGGAGGATACCAGGTCGGCTGAGCAGCGGAAATGATCGGGCTGGGAAGACCTTTACATTAGGATCATCTTTTGTAAGTAAAGTTCTCCGCGGTAAATCCAGAATTAGCAATCTTTGATTGCTGTACCAGGTCATATTCTGGCACTGAAATGGTCGAACTCGCGAGGATCGTCTCGGCGAGATCACATTGCGTAGGCAAGTGCGCAGCTCCACCCGGGCGAGAATAGGGGCTTAGTGAATAACCAATAAATGGAATGATATCATCAAGTAGAAGAGAAGGGAATTTACTGGTAGGCATGGAGTAGATAATCTTCAAATGCCGAGCCGGCACCGGGGAGATCACTCGAGCACGGCTGTCTCAATCGAGCTAGAGCTTCAAAAAGCAGTGAAAGGACAGACTAGGCCAGACCACTCCGGAAAAGATATACTTAACCGTCCTTGCCGCTACAAAATGATCGTCACAGAGAAGCCCACATCCTAGACTAATTTCCAACCCACCCGACAAACAGATTGTTATATCAGATATGAGGGGAAAGGGAAAGCAAGTTCAGAACACGTGTTTCGCTACATAAGACAAGATTGCCACCGTGAAGAGGGCCATCGGTTGAAGGAGCGAAAGCCACCAAACCATGACAGAAGTGGTAACCCGTCTCCATCTTATCACTGCAGGCCATCGCAAGCCAAACAATACATGTGCCCCCACACCTTTCCTCGCCAACACCCCATCACAGACCTTACCGACCAGTCCTGATCCAGACCCGCAGATCTAGGTCGATCCACAGCACCGGAAATCACCCCTGACACGGGGAAAGGGACCCGTGCATGCCACGGGCAATTCTGTTGGTACGTTCCGCGTGCCGGGGGCATGGGCCGGACGGAGTCTGGAGGTGTACTTTGGACTGGGTTGTGTACTTGAGAATGGTGAAAGGGGATAAGGGGGGAGATAACAAAGTAGCATAGAAGGGGTCAGGAACAGGGCAGATCTGGGATCTAGACCGGGGTCTAGACCTGGGTAGCGGTGTGCGTTGGTCTATTCAGCGAGCGAAAGCTCTAGAAGATCTGGTGCGGATGTTTATTGCTGTTTAGGTCGTGCGCACGGGATCTCAAGCTGTGGTTGCTCGGATTTGCCCGATCAAGTAAGCTTGTGGACTGCGGATGGGACTAGTTACTCTCGGATGCCTCCCGGTGCCCCTAGATCGCGGGCTTGGGTCACATGGCACTTTGATGGATGTGTCCGTTTTCTAGCTTGTCTAATTCTGAGTCCTTTATTGAATGGTCTCGCGGGATGTATGCTTGGCCGTGATGGTCTAGACGTAGTCTTGCACTACCGCTACTCTGCTACTCTGCTACTATGACTTATTTTTAATTGACGCGTGTAGAAATAATCATAGAAGATCTGGAATGCATCCGGGCAAGAAAAAAAAAACGTCTTATCCCAAAGTCCCGGAATGGGCGATTGACTTTTCGCACCGCCCAGGAACAGGAGGGAGGCGCAGCTATTGGTGAATACCGGAAACCACATGACAGCAGAGAGAAAATCAAAATAGAAGTACGACTTTGGCGTTCGGCAATGAATCCCGGGGATCCCCCGATGGTCAGGTGAACCCCAAAGTGGCGCAAACCCGGGGGATCGGCTTTCCCAAAAGAGGAATCCGATCTTCCCCCAGATTTGTCTCTCTCTTCTCTAATCCCTGCACATCCTTGAGGTGGCCAATATTGCCATAGAGAAATCATGGCAAAACCCATTATTCAAAATACATGGTTTATTGCAAGATTAATTGTTTGGCTGCGCGCAAGTTTACCGTGTTGTTCTATAATTGTACGAGATTGTCGCCACGGCCGTTAAACCTGCGCCAACGCGCATTCCCCGGGCCTGGACCGAGCGTTGACGCCGCCCTTGGCCCAGTCTGGATTGCTCTCTTTGGAAGTCTCTTCATGTTCACGAGACCTCTTCTCGCCGGGACCTCCTTGGGTCTCGGTGCTAGCGGTGCCGGACGTAGCCTTTCGGCTCACCATGGTCAATATTTAAAGGCGTCGTTCATTCCATGGTTACTCTCCTTCATCATTGTATTCAATCTAATATCTTAATCACCCTCGACATTCAATTTTTGCACCTTTCAAGCTTCGGCTGATTCTGCTATTTCTATACCTTTTATACTCTTCTAATCACTCTCAACATAATGTCTGTCTCCATTGAAACCACCGAGGTTCCCACTGCCCCCAACACATCCCAGCCCATCCTCTTGGGCCAGAAGGCCAGAATGCCCGAGTTCAGTCTCGCCGGCAAGGTCGTCTGCGTCTCTGGCGCTGGCCGTGGTCTGGGCCTGACCCAGAGTGAAGCCCTCCTGGAGGCTGGCGCAAAGGTCTACGCTCTCGATCGTCTCGAGGAGCCTGCCCAAGAATTCGCAGAGATCCAACAACGCGCAAAGGATCTGGGCACCGAATTGCACTATCGCCGCATTGATGTTCGCGACACTGAGCTTTTGAACAGCGTCATCGAGGACATTGCCAACACAGAAGGCCGTATGGACGGCCTCGTGGCCGCCGCTGGTATTCAGCAGGAGACACCAGCTTTGGAATACTCTGCCAAGGACAGCAACACCATGTTCGAAGTCAACGTCACTGGAGTGTTCATGACCGCGCAGGCCGTTGCCAAGCAGATGATTCGCTTCGGAAACGGTGGCAGCATTGCTATGATCGCCAGTATGAGCGGCACTATTGCCAATCGGGTAAGTTTCCACCACCCCAAACTTTTATTATTTTTGTTTTCTACCTTTCTATCCTTGTACCCACCTACCATCCCTACACTTGCCTCATTGGGCGTCTCGTGTTCCACAAAAACATAGATCTTCCCCGCATCCACACAATCCCTTAAGAGCCAAGACTAACACTCAATACAGGGTCTTATCTGCCCCGCCTACAACGCCAGCAAGGCCGCCGTCATCCAGTTGGGTCGCAACCTTGCCATGGAGTGGGGCCAGTACAACATCCGCGTCAACACCATCTCCCCCGGCTACATCGTCACCTCCATGGTTGAGAACCTATTCATCCAATTCCCCGAGCGCCGCGACCAGTGGCCCAAGGAGAACATGCTCGGCCGCTTGTCTCGCCCCGAGGAGTACCGCGGCGCAGCCGTCTTCCTGCTCAGCGATGCCAGCAGCTTCATGACCGGCAGTGACCTGCGCATGGACGGAGGCCACGCCGCGTGGTAAATGATCTCGACGTGACATGACCGGTCTCTCATTGCATGGCGTTCTTCTAAATTGGCGTTTTTTTTAAATTGGAGCGAAATAGCGGGCTTGTCCTATAATTCTTTGTTTTTCCTGATTGGATCTAAATGACTCTAATATTACGATTAGCGCTGTCTGGCTACTTGTTACTGGCTACTGAAGAGTTAATTTAATTATGATGTTGATTAGACTCATATCGATCGCTCGAGTTGATGCACCTGCATCTGGAATCTGACATCCGACCCCACATGCTGCCCACTTTTGACAGACCGGCTCCACAGCCCACTACTATAATCCCTGTTAAGGTGTTTGCCGAACCAAGCCTCCTGCATCCCGATCAGATCATGTGTTTTATTCTACTCCTCAAGGGTCGCTTTGCGTAAAGGCATCGTCCACTCGGATCCGAACACACTACACTGGAAACACGTTCTGGGTATCGAGCTCGCACATGACACTTTGGACACGAATCAGAGTAGGAAATAGACGAGGATTTGAGTGTATGATGTATGACACGACATCAACAAAGAACGGACCAAGGTTCCCTCCGGCTCATGACAGAGATGACTCGGTGACTCGGTAACAAAAATGTCATAGCTCGGGCTAAAATCTGGAATCCGGGGAAGGTGCGGAGATGGATACCTGCTAATTAGAGGGGGTAGGAGGGGCTCGGTCCTTGGTTGTCGGGGCTCATTTCTGGTTTTGTGGCTAATTTCATCTCTTTTTCCAAATACGAGGGTTTAGTCCTAAATTTAGGTTAGGGAAAGTGGGGGCGTCACTGGTCGTCACTGTGTGATGGTGATTGGACTGGGATCGGTAAGGGAGTTGGGTTCTTTGACAATGTGACTACTGACGATTATTCTACAAAGGCTTTGTGGAGGGCCGGGTAACGACGGCACTTTTGTACATGGTTGAATGGACGTGTTGGGATTACGAAGTGGTGTGAAGTCATGACTCGGGATCCCCTCTAGCAATCCCATATGGGTAATTTGGCTCTTGCACTCACCTATCATGTAGCACGGGTCGTGCTCATTACCTAATGGCGATGCTGTGTCGCACGACTCCACGGCCCCTTCTACAGGTCGGGTCGGACAGTGTAAGCCGCGACAAGTTCTGGGCATCCTAAATAGTTCTCGGAGTTCCCGAGCAGGGGACTCGGGTGACACGATGCAAATTTTGACTGATTGAAAAGGGTTGCCACCGAAAGATAAGGCTGATCATGAACACCCTGTTCTATCGTGCTATGGCCGTAGGGTCGCAGGGGTCGAAATGCAAGAAATGTGGCAAGTTCCTGCCTACAGTGCCCAGGCAGGGGTACGAGGAAAGAGCAAGCAGATTCAGGGGCCAATTGCATTCGGGAAGTGCGATTAAGGAGGGGCAACTTCTCGATAAGGGCCACGCCACGCCACGCAAGTGATTCTTGGCGCTATCCGACTTTGTTTTCCTATTTCCTTTTGGGAATTCTAGAACACTTCCTGTGCTGTATCTATATCTAGTGGCGGCTTGATCCGTCTATCATCGGAGAGTAAGAAGAGTAAGCAGTAAGCTCATACAACACAAATATCATATTCGGAGGAGATAACAAGCTGCGTCCAGAGTGGAGTGCCAAGACATAGCTCATGTGAAGTGGAACGCGATAAGCAATGCCAAGCTGAATACAAGCCTTCAAAGACTTTTCGCGTCTGTGTGTTCGCTGCTCCGACGGTCTTCCCTCGGTTCTAGAATTTCATTGTGTTGTGCCTTGGTTGAGAGAACGGCAGTTGCTGCAAGAATTGTAGACCCGACTCCCTGGCTTCTCAACACTCTTCTTGACTCCGTTGAAACTACGATTCAAAACACATCTAACCCAGCTCAATTGACATTTCGACTGGCTAAATGCATTTCTCGCCTAATCACATTTCCCGAGGACATTGGTTTCGCATGGTTAAGCTTCCTTCCGCCATTCATCTTAGCGTGGTTTCTTTTCTGCACTAGCCACTCACAACATCCCGCTACCGCTAGTGTCTTCTACAGTTACATGGCACGGGATGGCCAGTCTCCACCAGGTACACAAGCCGGGCCCTTGCGATATTCTTATTTGTTGCCCATTGATCCTTATCTGCCGAACAGCACGGACATGTACCTCTTTTAAGGAAAGCGTAGTTGGTGGGTGGCGTGATAAGTCTGGGGTAAACAGTCGACTCGTGGCTGCTGTAGCACGATGCGCAGGAAGAAAAATATGGACATGGGCCAAGGTTCAACGGATACCTCTTGCGCCATCTCGTCTATTTTCTTTTCAGCTCTCTAAATCAGGTGTCGTAGATAGCGCGAGGAATATAAGAGTTCGCGATTTACTTTCCTTCACTTCTTCTCCTCCTCCCCTCACTCTTCTTCCTTCTTCTCCCTCACCCCCCTCTTTTCTCCCGCTCCTCCAAACTTGGATAATTGTACTCTATCCATTATGGAGAAAGCTGTGAACCCCTCTACCACCTCGTTGGAAGTCAACGAAGGTGCCGTGGTCACAACCAATATGAAAGATGAAAAGACGGGTCTGAATTACAGCGTCCCGGAAAAAGGTCTCGTGTCTGCTTCCTACAATACTTACCTTGGTGATGAAGCCCCCACCGAGGATGAGCTGAACGGCCCAAATGCCCTGCGTCGCATCTCTGCCCCCATCCCCTGGGCTGTCTACACTGTCGCCTTTGTCGAGCTGTGCGAGCGCTTCTCGTACTATGGAACTCAAGTTCTGTGTAAGTTAATTTTACCTGCATTACTTCTTCTGGGTGACATGATTCTAACCCGTGGTACATGCAGATTCCAACTTTGTGAACCACTCTCTGCCTCTTCCCTATCCTTATGGCCCTGCCGGTTCCAACCACAACACCGGAGCTGGTGGCGGCACTTCCGAAGGTGTCTCTGGAGCTCTGGGAAAAGGTAGCCAGGTTGCCAACGGAATCAACACTTTCAACACTTTCTGGTGCTACCTAGTTCCATTGTTCAGTGCCTACATTGCTGATGAGTACTGGGGCCGATACAAGACCATTTGCTGGTCGATTGGAGCTGCCATCATCGGACATATCATCCTGGTCATCTCTGCGATTCCCCCGGTCATTACCAACTCCAACGCTTGCTTTGGCGTCTTCATGTTGGGTGTTATTATCATGGGTCTTGGTACTGGCGGTTTCAAGCCCAACATTTCTGCTCTCGTTGTCGAGCAGATTCCTGCTACCAGCATGAAGGTCCGCACTCTGCCCTCTGGCGAGCGTGTGATTGTCGATCCGACTATCACCCAGAGCCGAATTTACCACTACTTCTACCTGTTCATCAATATCGGTGCTCTGGTCGGGCAAATCGGCATGGCTTATGCTGAGAAGTATGTTGGATTCTGGCTTGCCTACTTGCTGCCCACCCTCATGTTCATGACCACTCCCTTCATCATGTGGTGGGGACGCAACCGTTACCGCCAGGCTCCTCCTCAGGGATCAGTCACCTCCAAGGCCGTGCGCGCCTTCTTCTTCGCCCTGAAGGCCCGCTTCTCCTGGAATCCGGTTGCATTCTGGAAGCGCACTCACGACGGTACCCTGTGGGAGACCGTTAAGCCTTCCAATATCCCTCCGGCTCTTCGCCCCCACTGGATGACTTTCGACGATGCCTGGGTTGATGAAGTTCGCCGTGGTTTCGCCGCCTGTGCTGTCTTCTGTTACTACCCTCTGTACTGGCTTGCATACGGTCAATTGACCAACAACCTGACGACCCAGGCTTCAACTATGACCTTGCACGGCGTGCCCAACGACGTTGTCAACAACCTTGATCCCTTCGCCCTGATCCTCTTCATCCCTGTCTGCGATCAGCTCCTGTACCCTGCTCTGCGCAAGGCTGGCTTCAAGTTCACCGCTATCAAGAAGATCACTCTTGGTTTCCTCCTGGCTGCACTGGCGATGGTCTGGTCCGCCGTCCTACAGTATTACATTTACAAGACTTCACCCTGTGGATACAACGCCAACAGCTGTACAAATGCGGATGGTAGTATTAATCCCACTCCGTTGAACGTCTGGATCCAAACCGGGGCCTACGTCTTGATCGCTTTCTCTGAGATTTTCGCCTCCATCACCTCTCTCGAGTACGCATACTCCAAGGCGCCGGTCAACATGCGTTCCCTGATTCAGGCCATCTCCCTCTTCACCAATGCCATCTCGTCGGCTATTGCTGAGGCCCTGAACCCGCTGTCCGCAGACCCTCTGTTGGTCTGGAACTACGGTGTCTTCGCCGTGCTGGCTTTCGTTGGCGGTATCCTCTTTATCATCCAGTTCTGGGGTCTGGATCAAGAAGAAGAGACCCTCAACAACCTGCCTGCAGGTCGGGTCGAGGCAGACGAGAAGATCGCCGATCGCGCGATGTTCGACGCTGCCGAGATTGGCCCTGCCCGTGGTTAGATGATTTAACGCCTACCTATTCACATATGTTAATTACCGTCATGGGACGATAATACGATGAATGATACTTAATCTGCATTCTTAATTCTATTCTATTGTAGCTTAGATGTGATCGTCGATTGTCTGCAGTTTGTCGGTCTCCACGGCGTGCCGATCTCCGACCGACGCCAACTGGAGCCGATCGTAGTGGATCCCAGCACATAGAAGATTCCTCTTTTCATGATCGTAAGCACGATCCCCCAAAAGTGTTTAAGCCCTGGAGACCCAAAATTAAAACCCCTCCCAACGTAAGGTCCATTTAATCGCCTCACCTGCCCAACAGGGCAAGTATCGCGACCCAAACAAGCCGAAATGAGCCCCATCAGCCACCACCCGCCGTTCGCCGAGCTGGTTTCCCACCTTGGCCCCCCACCTTGGCTCCCAATTTGGCTCCAGCCACTACTGCATCTAGTGCATCTAGTGCAGCCCAATTAGCATGGGTGTCAGGGGAAATGTAGCTGCCTGTCGGATGTGTCGGTAAATACGATTACGGACTACCAAGTATGGAGGGTTAAAAATTAGATGCCGTTTCTGATTTCCGGTTTTTCTAGTGGCCAATGACCCTTGGTCCCTTGTTCACTTGTGGATCGGCGCTATCCGTTGATGTGCGACGGATCGGAACTCGGCGAGATTAATCAGTTGCACCGCCGCAGTGGATCTTTAATTGGAGCTAGAATATGTTGCCGGTACGGGTATAGGATTATGCTTGCGATGCATTACCTTGATGCCTAGAGAAGTGACTCTGGAAGGGGATAGCTCGGGAAGGTACCGTATACTTCAAGGGTCAAGGGTTGAACCCCTCGAGGATTTCCTGTGGACGCATAACACAGTAGCGCGAGGAATCCCGCCGTTTTTCAAACTGACATATGGTTTCCTGAGATATGGAAATCGCCTCTACCTCGACCTTCCCGGCTCTCAATACCCTATGTACATAGCAACCTTCGTGGACATGGCGATCGTCGGCAATAGCTACCCTAAATATGACATGTCCGAAAATAATAGAGAATAATCTTTTCATAATTCTTCATAATTTCATACATGGCCCCTGAAGGCTGAAGGCCTAAGTCTCACCTCAGCCCTGCACCTGCGCCTCATCGTTGGTCGAAGAAGCTAGTAACAGAACACAAAGACACAGATAATCGGTACACCGCTAAAACCTCGGGGCCCGCGGCGCGGTAGGTTCGTTACTTGACATCACCAATCTCCACCCTCCCCATAGCCATGATTCGCAGTTCCCGGGGAACGCCCATCCACCTGCTGAAAACTTGGGCATTCCACTTCTGAAATCTCGGCTGGGCTTGGCTAAGCTTCCGGCGTCCCCGGTGCATAAATATCATGTGCACATCCCCTGGGTGATCACTTCCCCAGCTTCTCTCCCTCGAATCACCGAGTCAGAATCAGTTGAGGTCAAGGTCGCGCTGCCACCATGAAACTATCTGCGCTGGTCGGCTCGATTGCCGTGGGCTTCGTGCCCGGTACGTTTTTTATTCGGTCGCGTGTCGTGTGATACAGACGCGCATGCTCCTGCTCTCCGAGACATCTTGCTAATAATCTGTCAGGCGCCATTGCTGCTCCTCCCAATGGCTTTGATACAAAAGATCTCTCTCTGGAAGTCGCTCGCCGTGCACTTCCGAATGCTCCGAATGGATATACCCCGACTAACGTGAGCTGTCCGGCTTCGCGGCCGTCGGTGCGTAGCGCCGCCAAGCTTTCGACCAATGAGACCTCCTGGCTTGAGACTCGTCGCACCAAGTCCCTGACTGCGATGAAGGACTTCTTCGGCCATGTCAATGTCAGCGATTTCGATGTCACTTCGTACCTGGATAAGCACTCTAGCAACTCGTCAAACCTGCCGAATATCGGTATTGCGGTGTCCGGTGGTGGTTACCGTGCGATGCTGAACGGCGCCGGTGCTATCAAGGCGTTTGATAGCCGAACGGAAAATGCCACTACCAGTGGTCACCTCGGTGGTTTGCTGCAGTCATCGACGTATGTCGCTGGTCTCTCTGGAGGTAGCTGGCTGGTTGGATCCATCTATATCAACAATTTCACCACTATCAGTGCGCTGCAGGAAAGTAGTGACGTCTGGGCGTTGTCCAACTCTATTATCGAGGGCCCTGATACTGGCGGCCTCCAGATCCTGGACTCGGCTAGCTACTACAAGGATCTGGCTGATTGGGTGGATGACAAGAAGGATGCTGGATTCAATACTTCTATCACTGATATCTGGGGCCGTGCGCTTGCCTTCCAGATGTTCAACGCCAGCAACGGCGGTCTTGCCTACACCTGGTCGTCCATTGCCGAGACGACTGAGTTCCAAGATGGAAACTACCCCATGCCTCTGGTCGTTGCAGATGGCCGGAACCCCGGCGAGCTGGTCGTCGGTAGTAACTCTACCGTGTATGAATTCAACCCCTGGGAGTTTGGTAGCTTCGACCCGACTATCTTTGGTTTTGCTCCTCTGGAGTACATTGGCTCTCGTTTCGTGAACGGCGAGATCCCCAGTGGCGATAGCTGCGTCCGTGGCTTCGATAGCGCTGGTTTCGTCATCGGAACTTCTTCCACCCTATTCAACCAGTTCCTGCTACAGATCAACACCACCTCTCTCCCCAGCTTCGTCAAGAACGTCTTCAACGACATCCTCTTCGATATTGACCAAGCCAACGATGACATCGCCGCCTACGACCCCAACCCTTTCTACCACTACAACAACGACAGCTCCCCATATGCCAAACAGAAAGTCCTTGACGTCGTCGATGGCGGCGAAGATCTCCAAAACATCCCACTCCACCCCCTTATTCAACCCGAGCGTGCTGTCGACGTAATCTTCGCCGTCGACTCCTCCGCCGACACAACCTATTCCTGGCCCAATGGCACCTCCCTTGTCGCCACCTACGAGCGCAGCCTGAACAGTAGCGGCATCGGCAACGGCACTGCCTTCCCTTCCGTCCCAGACCAAAACACCTTCGTCAACCTAGGCCTAAACACTCGTCCCACCTTCTTCGGCTGCGATAGCTCAAACCTCACCGGCCCGGCCCCCATCGTCGTCTACATCCCCAATTACCCTTACTCCTCCTTTTCCAACGTTTCAACCTTCGACCTAAGCTACGAAGACACCCAGCGCGATAACATCATCCTAAACGGCTACGAAGTCGCCACCATGGCCAACTCCACCCGTGACGGTAACTGGACCGCCTGTGTGGGATGTGCTATTCTCAGTCGCTCGTTCGAGCGCACGAAGACCACACTCCCAGATATTTGCACCCAGTGCTTTACCAATTACTGCTGGAATGGTACTCTCAACTCGACTACGCCGAATGCTTTTGAGCCCGTTACTCTCATGGACAATAGTGATAGCAAAGCTTCGGCTATTGTGCCGACTGTTCTTTCTACCGCTGCTGCTGTGTCGGTCGCGCTTTTCACTTTGGTTTAGTGGGCTGTTCTTTGTATATTCTTTTTTTTAAATGCATAGGTGTGTTTCTTTTTGCGGCCCAGAGGGTTGTTAGAATGTGCTTGCATGCTGTTTACGGCCCTTTTGATGTATTACTGTGTCATGACTACATAATTCAATTTTACGCTTCATCAACATAATCAGTGTGCTAGATCATGTCCGGGACACACTACCAACGTAGTCAATATACTATCTTGTTTGCTAGCTAGGAAGGACATCTGAAATGTCATTGAGTAGGGCTCTGTCTTGCCACAGCCACATGTCTCTTCTTTAGTCGAGTAGATCGTGCTTATTCTATCGGCTCGAAGCTGCTTCCAGATGCGGGAGTCTACGACCGACATACGTTGAATTATCTGTCAACAAGTTAGGCATAGAGAAAGGATGATCAATTCCAGTGCGCTAGTTCCTATAAGATTAATATCTCAGGGGTCTATGAGCGAGACAACCGACGAAACCACCAACTTGAACTGGCAGTCTGTCTGTAAATACAGCACCCAGCCGTCAGGATCATATCTATACCCTTGAAAGAGGCATCAAGTGGACGTTGAAAGACGTGGGCGGTACAGGAGTTTATAATACCCATTTTTAAAGGGAGCTTAGGGTAGCGATCAGACATGACGGAGATGGACTATTCATTATACGACCAGGGGTATCGGGTCAATCGTGAAGAGCTCGTAGGATCGGAAAATGGTGGCCAGGAAACACAACTCTACCAAGACGAATCCATTGTCAATTTGTGCAGACGGTTCTGACGGATGATGTGAGATGTATGATGCCTATTTAAGGCAAACCTCGGGATCAAATGCCCCCATGTGCCAGGTGGCTACTGGGCGGCAGTCCCGATAAATAGAGGCTAATCCATTCAACGTTGATCGCTATAAATGTCAAGGATTCCCGTTGGGATACAAACGCCAGTATGTAGATGTTGTGGATGCCGAGGACGTCTTGAACACTCTGATAGGTCTTCAATCCAAAACTTACAGTAGCAGTAGCACATCTATATATATATATATGCAGCACTTGTGACATGCATCAATTGTTCCGTTAGTTCCAAGGTTCTGGATGGATCAATGGGTGTGAAACCTGGACTGGAAGCTTCCCAGAAATATAAACGCATAAGCCAGAAGTCAGTTGACAGTCTAGAAATTCCATACCGGAGAATCAATTGCGAAACATTAGCTAAACTAAGCTTATGTAGACTAGATCGCTGCAACCACATCTGATACGTCAGTACCAAACACATCCAAGCCAACATCAATTGCCGCTTGCCATGAGCTGGGGCTAAACTCGACGCGGAGGCCACGGGCGGAATTGTGGATATCACGTGACGGTCGCCATGGCGACGCAGCGCACCTTCCCAGCTTCGCGCAAACACGCTCCACAATGGACTATTTTGCCCTGCAATTTCACTGCATTCCGCACGGCGCCCAGACACCACCCCGGCCCCGCTATGAGTGCATTGGGTGCATTGAATTTTCGACTCCCATAATACGGCATTAAGATTGCGACACGACAAACGACCCCGAAAACACCCCAACACAGTACGCGCCACAGATACGCCTTTGTCCCTCCCCCGCCACCATGGCGCGCGCGGCCGTTCTACCCCCATCTCCTGTCAAACGGGGGGCTCGTACAGCTCCTCGGACGACTTTGACAAAGACTACTGCTTCCGCCGCCGCAAAGAAGAAGGCGCCGGCCCGAGTGCCCGTGAAAAGCGCTCCCTTGTCAGATTCAGACGATACCGAAGATGAGCTTGGTATGATGATGAAAGAACAACACCAACCTGTTCGATCCCGCGAGAACACTACTGCACGGCCGGCTGCGCGATCAGCTGCACGACCAGGGGCACGACCAGCGACGAAAGCTATTGCCCGTGGTAAGAAAGCAACGCCACCTCCGGCCACAGAAGAACCACTCGCCGAAAGCGACGATGAAGGGGAAACTGTGAAATCAGAACCTCCGAAGAAGCGCGTTGGGAGACCACGGAAGAATCCCTTACCTGAGGAGCCCGCTGTCGCCAAAATCGAAGCCGCACCTAAACCTCGAGGACGACCGAAGGGTTCTCAAAATACGCCAAAGCCGACAACTACGCGCAAGACTACTCGAAAGGCTACTAGCCCTGAGACCGTACCCGATGAGTCAGGGCCGAAGAAGATTATCATAAACCCGAACGCCATACGATCCAATCTTCTCCGCGGTCCGGCAAAGAAGAAGACTGTGACGTTCCAAGATCTGGCCGAATCGGGATCGGATGAGGAGGAAGAGCCCGCTGCTTCAACCGCTGGACGAAGAAATGCAGCTACAAGGGGTGCTGGAAAACCTGGACTTGGCTCAACTCCTGTTCGTAAGCACGCGGCGGCAACTGGCCGGGGACGCAAGCCTGCAGCGGCGAAGAAGGATGCTTCTCAGCCTCTTTCCCCCAAAAAGGCGAAGCAAGTAGCGAAGTCTCTTTCCGCTTATGCCAGTTCTGACGGTGAGGAGGACGAGCTGAGTGCCGCAAAGGATGACTCCAAAAGTCCAGTTAAATTGGTAGTCCATTCGCCTGCCAAAGATATCACCGAGCGCGTGGGGATGGCATCTCCTGTTCGCAAGATTAACTTCACACCGAGGAAGACTCCCACTATTATCGACGAGAACGGGGATCTGAAACTCCCGACGCCCAAACACGGATCAGCAACTACAGGTCTTAGCTCCCCAGTGAGGAAAATCAACTTTACGCCAAATCGCAGCCGAAACGCCGTCGCCAGCAATGACCATCTAGCTCTTCCACCCGGAAAACCAATCGACTTCAGTGATTCTGTCTTCATGTCTAGCCCAGCCAGGCGACCCGAGGCATCCCCGTCTCCTTTCAAATTCAGCCGCAGGGACAGTCCCAACGGTGGTTTTTCCCACTCAGTCCCGACCCCTAATTTCACCCCGGGCCATGAATCCCCACTCAAGATGTCTCCTAGGAAGGGTCACCTGGCTGCGTCTTTCTCAGGTACACCTTCTAAAGCTGCGACTCCGTTATTCCAGGCCCAGTCTTCTCTGATCCAAAGTCCAGCTAAGAGAATAGCTTCTCCATTCAAAACTTCTTTATTTTCTTCCAAAGCTACGATCAATGAGGAGAGCGACGAGACTTTCGCTGGATCTGCCATCAAGGCCAAGAAATTTGCTTCTCCTTCAAAGGACTTCCAACCCTTCGGTGGCGATGAGGATCTGGAGATGGTGGAAGAAGTGGCTCGTGATATCTTCGGAATCGAGTTGCAGTCTGACAGGAAATCCTCATCCGCTTCACCATTGTCAAGAGAATCACCAAAGCCCGAACCAGTAGAGGAGCCTCAATCGACTCCCGCCAAAGCTGTTGAATATGATGCCATGAGCGAATCTAGTGAGGAGGATGTTGAACCAGTCTCGGATCATGAATTAACACTTGCTGAAGCTGGTGAATATGACTTTATGAGTGAATCTGAGGATGCGGATATCGATGAGAAATTGGAAGAACTGCATGAAGAAATTCGCCGCGAACCCGAAGACACGGATACATTCTGCTTCAATACCATGGAAGAACTTCAGGAGCCTTTCCAAAATCTTGAAGAACCGAAATTCTTTGATTTTGACATGAATTCCGATGAGGCTGATCCGAATAAGGAGCCGGCGGTTGAAGATCAGGGCTGGTGTGAACCAGAATTGCTCTCTGACACTGCAGAGCCTACTGATGAACCAGCCGTGTCACTGGAGACAGAAACAGATATTTTTGAAATACAGTCTATGGAAGTGCCATCCTCTCCTTCTCCGCCATCCGAACCCACACTCGGACTGGATGCTCTCGAGGAAACGCAATCTGCCCGATCGGTTCACGAGGACTGGTCCGAGCAGGAAGAAGTTGAGCAGGAAGAGGCTGATCAGGTGGAAAACCTCGCTGCATCCATCCGCTACCCAGATGAGGAGCAGGATATGGAGAGCGAAGAAGAGGACATGTTGGAGGATGAATTTGCTCTTGCGCAATCCGAAGCTGCGTTTTCGGAGACTCCTCAACCTCGCTCACCATATCAACAGAACGAGGGCGAGCAGAACACCAGCCCGTTCCCTAATATGCAATCTATTCCTCCCCTAGCACCTACTCCTCCAGCCGGTGGGATGACCCCTATGTCCACACAATACGAGGAGGGCCAGGAAAGTGTCAAGTCTATTGATCGACTTTTCGACATCAACTACTCACCGCGCCCTCTCACTCAAGAGAGCCCCTTCGACACTACTCTGACTGATGTCCCCTCTCCTGTTGTGCCGAGTGTCTCCAACACCCCTCGTGTTCAAAACAACCGGAAGTCTGTCGCAGGAGTCGACTTGGGATTCACCCCTCTAGCAGACCGGTTTGACGGCTGGCAAACCAAAATTGCGACTCAAGAGAGGACACCCCGGCCACGACGACGTGGTGTGTTTTCTCTTGTCGGCCCCCTGGACAAGGCCACCGAGAACAGTCCTACGGCCCAGGAAGACGATGTATCATACCCTGACCTCTCACGCACTCCCCTCGCCAATAGCCCAAATTTGTTCGTCGATCTACCTCTCCGCCTTTCTGTCTCCCCAACAAGATCTCCTACACGTTCTCCCCTGGCCGAACGGGATCATGAGATGATTGGATCACCGGGCAAGAGCAACATCTTCGAGGATGACGATTCTGTTATCATTGAGAATGAAGAAACTGAACAAATCAAACCACAAGAGGGGACTCCTGCCCATGAACCTTCAGACGATGAATCCCAGGATTCTTCTGATGAGGACAAGGAGAACTCGGACACGACTCCCCTTGCCCCAGCCACCCCAGTAAGGCCCGTGCCGGAACAAAGCCGGATGGTTCACACTGTCTCGAAGGTGCCGCTCAGAGCCGAGGGTGACGTCTCACCCTTGAAGCTTCCCCGAAAGCGCGGCCACTCCCTTGCCAGCGCATCTCCCACTCGCTCCTCTCCTCGCGTTCCCAAGCCCATCTTCCCCCAGCGGACTGGAAGCATGCCCTCGTTCTCTCCTCACAAGGCACCGCGAGTGTCGCGAAGCCCAAGTCCCAAGCGTCGCTGCAGTGCTCCTAGGCGCTCCAGTGGAAGGGTCACAGACATGACACCAACGAAGGCCCCATCCATCGCTGCAAGCCCAGCGAAGACTCCGCGCCCTAACTTCAACCCTAGCAGTCAGGCTCTATGCGGTGCTGTTGTGCACGTCGACGTCCATACCACCGAGGGCGAAGATGCTTCAGGCATTTTCCTCGAACTTCTGCAACAAATGGGCGCCCGATGCGTAAAGTCGTGGTCTTGGAATCCCCGAGCCAGTCTTTCCCCAGTTGATGACGTGGACCCCAAGGAGGCTAACTCTAAAGTGGGTATCACCCATGTGGTATACAAGGATGGTGGATTGCGTACACTGGAGAAGGTCAAGCATGCGGCTGGCCTGGTCAAGTGTGTTGGTGTCAACTGGGTTTTGGACTGCGAAAGAGAGAATAAGTGGCTCGACGAGACCCCATACACTGTTGACTGCTCGATCATCCCTCGGGGCGGAGCCAAGCGCCGCAAGAGCATGGAGCCGCGTGCGTTGAGCAACGTCAATGGCACTCTTGTGCGCACTGCGGAGCCATCCACTCCCTCTGCCAGTGGTCGTCGCCACGGTGCCAACCTTGGGGCGATCGAGACTTTCCGCAAGATCACCCCGCCAACGCCAGTTCAAGTGCCATCAACCCCTGAGCAATCCAATGATCACTATGCCATTCCTCAAACCCCCGGCTACAACTTCGCCAACCTTGACGCTATTGGCATGTCTCCTGCCACCCCTTACTTCTTGTCCAACCGCAATAAGCTTGTCCAGCAGTCCTGTCCACCTAAGCAGAGCCAACAGGGTCTGTTCTCGACGAGCAAGCCTAGCACACGTCGTGAACTATTTGACGACGACGACGATGATGAGAGACGCAAGCAACGTACTCGCATGGAAGCCGCACGGCGCAAGACCAACCTCTTCAAACCCTCCGCTGGAAGTCCACTGAAGCGGTGATTTCGTCTTTTTCTGCTCTTTTTGTTCATTTTAAATACATATGTCCCAAGCCATTGTAAATATGGGGGCTTTTGGAGTTCTGTGCGGCGTATTAGTCCAATTTACTGGATAGGATTGGAACCGGCCTCATTTTTCATTTCGAATACATGGAACCCAATCATCTGAGAACTTTTAATCCGTTTAAATCACCCTTGTCTTCTAAGATTAAACCAAAAAACAAGCCGAAAATATATTTTGGAAGAGAAGACACTCCTTCCCTCACTCCTCTTCCTCCTGCCGATAAAACCCGGCAACAAGGAAAGCAAGCTCCAAAGCCTGCTTCTCATTAAGGCGCGGATCACAGAACGTTGTGTATCTCTCCCCCAACCCATCCTCTGTCAATCCAGCCGCACCACCAACACACTCCGTAACAGCCTCCCCAGTCAACTCAAGATGCATCCCACCCAGGAACGACCCCGCCGCCCGATGAATCTCTAGCGCCTGCTTTAACTCCGCCAGAATGTCCGTGAAATGCCTTGTTTTTACACCCGACGGCGTCGCCTGCGTATTTCCATGCATGGGATCACACTGCCACACGGGGATATGGCCAGAAGCTTGCACGGCAGCGATGTGACCCGGTAGGAACTGACCGATCTTGGATGCGCCGTACCGCGAGATTAGGATGACTTTACCGATTTCCCGTGTTGGGTTCACGACATCTAGGAGACGGACGAGCTCGTCCGACTCCATTGTAGGCCCGATTTTGATTCCGATGGGGTTTTCAATACCGCGGAAGAACTCGACATGTGCACCATCCAGCTGGCGCGTCCGATCTCCAATCCAGAGAAAGTGTGCTGAGGTAGCGTAATACCCGGATGTCTGTGCGGAACCGGCCTGAGTGGGATTCTTCATGAGGCGGGTCAATGTTTGCTCGTATTCGAGGGAGAGGCCCTCGTGGCTGGTGTAGATGTCTGCAGTCTCGACGCCGCGGTCTTTGTCGATGCCTACAGTGCGCATGAAGCGGAGGGCGTCTTTAACTGCGTTGACGGTGCGCGAGTACCGTTCTTTGATTGAGGGCGTGATAACGTGACCTAGACCCCAGTCCAGAGGGGAGTGTAAGTCTGCAAGGCCTGAGGAGAGTGAGGCGCGCATGTAGTTGAGGGTTGCGGCGGAGTGGAAGTATGCTGAAACGAGGCGGGATGGGTCGGGCTTGCGCGAGTCGGCATCGGCGGCGAAGCCGTTGATGTTGTCGCCGCGGAATGAAGGCATTTCGACGCCATTGACTAATTCAGTTGGGCTGGAGCGAGGCCTGTAGATGGTTGTTAATCATGATCCATGGCATTGCTCGTTGGTTGGAGAATGGCTGCTTACTTGGCAAACTGGCCTGCAATGCGAGCTATACGGATAACGGGCTTGTTTGCTCCTGTGTGACATGGTCAGCGGATTCTTCTTGCGGCACGAGCTGAGATTCATACCCCAGATCAAAACTAAGCTCATTTGCAATAAAAGCTTAACCTTGGCCTCGATCATGTCTTGGTTGCAATAGTCGAACAACTCGGCGCAGTCACCTGTTCATATGAATTTAGACGAGGCCAAGCACTAGGGAGTTGTGCTAGACGTACCACCTTGCAAGACAAAGGCATTGCCCAGGGCAACATTTCTCAAGCTCTTCTTGAGGTTGTTGATCTAGGTATGCGTTTAGATTTTGGACCGACAGAAGTGATACAAGCTTGATCGGCATACCTCCTGTGTTGTCACTAGCGGCGGGAGTTTCTGCAGCTTCTCTAGCGCGTCTTTGACTCCCTGTGCATCTTCGTAGACCACATCCTGCTTAATAGGCTTGGTGGTCCAGGCTAGACATAATCAGTCCCTGGGTTTCGTTCAACACTTTGGTCAGGCCAGGAACGTACAGCTTGGGGTCCAGTCAGCCATGACTAGTGGGGTCGTCCGCACGGGGTAAAGCGGAACAAGTCGAGCTGAAGATGGAGCAGTCGGTCCTCTGATCCACGCCGAATGCAATTGACTGGCTGAGTACGTAGCTAGCGAATACCACGAAGCTCCTATAAAACTCGGAATTGAACGAAGAACAGAAACGCACACTCGAAAACCGCAAACACAAAACGGGTTGACGCCGCTTATTCACGGGGTGTGGGATGAGTCATGTTGGTGCCCAATAAATAAGGTGTTAATTCCAGTGATACGTTGGCCTAATGCATGAGGTGTCAACATTATTACATCAGCTGTTATCGCGCCTTTCCGCTTATCAGTGACGTTGTTCTCTCCATCATAACAAAGCTGAGCTCTTCATTGATCAGCACTTGATCACTACTGAGAAACCATGTCTGACCCCATTCCCTCCGCAAGCGGGGACCCTGATTCTGTGGAGCAGTCTCACCCCGCGAATGCTGAAGACCGCAAAGCTGCTGCTGCCCTCGACTCGCTCCATACCAATGAACTCGCCACGGATGGCCCAGCCAAGGGACCGTCGAGTGCGGATCAGGAGGCCCTCGGAAAGGCTATGAGCCGACTCGAGATTGCCGCTGGAAAAGGCTCAGCGAAAAGGGACACAGTCGAGACCCAGAAGAAGGAGGCTGAGGTGAAAAGAAAGGCAGTTAAGATCGCGGCCAGTGATGTCACTTTTCTGGTACGTGCTTGGCGCCTCCCGCGGCGATAAAATCTCTATTTTGAGGCTGAACCGTTTACTGATTTCCACTTACAGGCCGAACAGCTGGATTTGCAGAAGAATAAAGCCACCGATCTCCTCAAAGCCCACGAAGGCAACGTCACCCTTTCACTGAAGGCGTTTATCACACCATCGTGGAGGGTGTGATGGGGCATGTGCAATCCATGTCTGGGGTAAAGTGGAAGGTTAGCCGACCATCATAGCCGAACCCGAAGGGCCGTGTGTTCGGGTTTGAGTATCCGCGGGATCAGACACACGGCTTGCCACGTATGAATGGGGTTCGCGATGGAATAGTTACCATCACCCAAAACAAATCTATGATTAGACGAATACCTAGGTACCGAATGAAATTCGACGAATGATATTGAGTTAAAATCTCTTATGCGCCACTGTTATGAACACTCCGCGAGGCGAAAGGACATTATATAATGAGTCCCAGTGGGCCACCGGGGTTGACAGATGCAACCTTTCGGCCTGTAGTAACTGTTAGATTTCTTAGCAAGCAATAATCAAGGGAGTCTGGAGCGTCGCTGCATGCGACCGCGGTCGTTATGCAGCAGATTGACGTCAATTCTGCCTTTCGGCCCACAGTGGATCCGCCGAGGGTCCGGCGAGGGACAACCGGCGAGAGACAGCCGGCGATCAACCGATATCACCTCATCCGAATTTTCAGTCGGCTCTCTCCTTGCGTAGCTACTTTTCTCGGTCGCATTTGTTGCTATTTTTTGGATAGTCGGGTCTGGAATTTATGAAAAATTTACCTTGCACTACTTCGGTTCTCCTCGGATTCCTGCCGCACTAGAATGTCCGGCCGAGATTTTCGCTATGCACGCGCCAAGTTCGTCGGAATGTCTGAATCCACTTTTACAGTGGGTACACACCACGCTTAGTCTTTCGTTAAACCGGTTTGAAGGCTATGACGATGGTTCCGAAACACAGATGAGGCAAACCCTGTCCTGTTCCTGAGAATTTAATGCGCGGGCAAAGACGCGAAAATCTTGGAATGCAGGCCGTCTTTCGTCAACCCAATTTTACCCCTGCCCGACGATGACCGACGTCGAGCATCAAGAAACTGCCACCGGAGATCCTGTCACCAGGAGATCCTCCGTCAATGGCAGTTCCAGTCTTTCTGACAACCAAGTCGACCTCGCCCACGAAATCGAGAAGAAAGACTCCGTTCGCTCTGACGGCAAGCGCGAACTAACGGAAAAGGACTGCTATGAAGTCCTGGCTTACTCATGGCCGCGATGGAAGAAATGGACATACCTTGTGGCCGTTGCATTCGTGCAGGTGTCCATGAACTTCAACACATCGGTTTTCCCCAATGCGGTTAAACCTTTGTCGAAGGCCTTTGAGATCGGCCAGCAGGAGGCGCGTACTGGACAGATGATCTATCTTGTCCTCTACTCATTCGGGTGTGAGCTGTGGGCTCCCTGGTCCGAGGAGTTTGGTCGCTGGCCCATCCTCCAGCTCTCCATGTTCCTGATCAACATCTGGCAAATCCCTTGCGCAGTCGCACCTAACTGGGGGACTATTGTCGTTTGCCGTGGTCTGGTGCGTTTTCTATCTTTGGCTCATTTTCAATTAACCATAAGCTTACTTTCCGATAGGGTGGTCTTTCAACCGCCGGTGGCAGTGTGACCCTTGGTCTTATTGCCGATGTCTACGAGCGTGAAGACCAGCAATTCCCCCTCGCATTCATCGTCCTGTCTTCGTGCATTGGTACTAGTATCGGTGGTGTCATTGGTGGTCCCATTGAGCGCTGTAAGTGATCTCCTCAATTGTTGGCCGTGGTATGACTCAAACTCAACTAACGCGCAAAACTCTCAGTCCTCGATTGGCAATGGTTCTTCTGGATCCAGCTTATCTTCGGAGCTGTGACTCAGGCAATCATATTCTTCATGCCCGAATCCCGGTCGACCATCATCATGGACAAGGAAGCCAAGCGTCGTCGCAAGACTGGTGAAGACCCGAACATCTACGGCCCCAACGAATTGAAGAACCCTCGTATCTCTTTCAAAGAGGCTCTCAAGATTTGGGCGCGTCCCTTCCACATGCTGTTGCGTGAGCCCATCGTCTTCTGTCTGTCGCTCCTGTCTGGATTCTCTGATGCGCTCATCTTCACGTTCCTCGAGAGTTTCTCGACTGTGTATGAGCAGGGCTGGGGCTTCGGTATTTTGGCTCAAGCTTGGGCAGTCATCCCTATCAACCTGGCTTATTTCCTTACCTACTTCTCGTACTTCCCATGGTTCTGGCGTGATGAGCATCTTGCCAAGAAGTATGGAGCTGACTTTGCGCCCGCCGAAAGAAGATTGAAATGGCTCCTTTGGCTCGCACCTTTTGAACCTATTGGACTGTTTGGTTTCGCTTGGACATCATTCGGACAAGCGAGAGGCATCCCTTGGATCGCATCTATGATCTTCTCCACCATGGTCGGAATCGCCAACTACGCTATTTACCTGTCCTCTGTCGACTATATGATCGCGGCCTATGGTGTCTACTCGGCTTCCGCTTGTGGTGGTAATGCATTCGCCCGTGATTTGCTCGCTGGTATCTCAGCAATGTACGCCTTCCCGATGTACGAAAACATCGGCGACAAGTGGCACGTCGAGTACGCTTCCACTGTTCTGGCCTGTCTGTCCTGTCTGGTCGTGCTTCCTATTTACCTATTCTACTGGAAGGGCCCCCAGATCCGTGCGAGGTCCAAGTTTGCCCAGTCACTTGTTGCCGAGCGGGCTGATAACAATGGCCGCCGTGTGAGCAAGCCGAAGATTGAACCTTAAAAAGTTGATGACACAGGAGCTGGAACTCCTACACCGGGCTGCGGAGAATGGCCCCGGCTGTTTCATTTTTTTATTGAGCGTTTGTCACATCGCCGATGAGATTACGAGCATCATGCCTTCGAAGATCTGATTGATTTGTATATATAAAACGAATATCTTCGCTAGATAATCTTCTGTGAATAGAAAGAACCTTGAGCTGAGCAATATTTGAAGTAAAAACTTGACGTAGATGTAGTCGTGCATACTTTCTTAGTGCATATAATCGGACTCAGGCTATACTATGTACAAGGCAATAGCGTCTCTGGATAGCCGTACTTGAAGATACATTGAAAGTTAATACCCTGGAAATATGGCGAAAAGAGCGTTGACAGATATATACTCCTAGAAAGTGAGCTAAGTGGAAACAATTACATATTTACGATTCACTTTAAAATCGATTATTTTAAGTCTCCGAGCTATGCCTATGTAATTGCTGCATATAGACTGACCATTTTAATACATCAAATCCCTACCTCATAAAAGTGCGCAACGTTCCGATATAATGTTGGCTCGCTATCGCTCTACTAGTCACTAAACGATCTCTACCTCATACATATCACGTGACCTATATGGACTGTCAAAACGATGTCCACTCGACCAAAATTGTCAATGACACTGTCAGTGCCTAGATAACTGTATTCTCATCTCCACATGGCCTACAGAATCACAAAGTTCCAGAGCCATGTTAATTCGAGTGAGGGTTGATGTGTGGCCAAGAAAGTCAGGCTGCTATAGGCTACACGGGTAGAGCTAGACCTAAATAAGAAGTTGGAGCCTATAAATTTAAAAAAATGTACGAAAGTTTGCTACAATTGCGTATTTATGGCCAATATTGAAGACTGTTATATCAAATAAGCGAGAAAGGTATTCATACTTTGGCTAGAAAAAGCTCTCTGAAAAGAAACTGTGCCTATCAGGGCCTAGGCTTAAGAAATAAAAATAGGAATATAGAAATCTATCCGTGCAATAATGATACAAGACAGAGATACAATTAGAGAAGGAGATAGAAATCGAATCAATCTAATTCGATATTGCGAGGCTTTCCTGCTGTGTAGACAAGGCGCCCACGGGTGACTACCATCCGGTCTCGGCGGTCAGGGGAGTCCTTATCTTTCCCATTTAGCTTCCCCTCTTACTATCACCTATCACTGGACCAATATTTACCTCTTTAGAGACCACGGATCCCATTGAATTAGCGAGATTTACGAGGAAAACACGCTCAGTGATTACAGGAAATAATGTTCACAGAGCCGAAGAGACGCCACAATGGCCAACCACAGGCCTGCGAGCCATGCCGCAAGGCCAAAATTCGTTGTGACCATGCGAATCCGAAGTGCTCACGCTGTGTTCGACGCAGTCTGGATTGTGTCTACCATCCTGCTCCTTTGACCAAACCCCGCGTGCCGAACTACTTCGGCACGACACCCCCCGCAGGCCTACTGACCACTCCTGCTGTCATTAACGAATTTCACCTTCCAATCCAATCTCATGACGACATAAATGTCTCTGCTCCCCTTTCAGACCCCGGTACGACTGCAAGCTTAGGGACGATGGCCTCTTCCAACACATCAAAACGGAAAATGCCATTTCGAGAGGAATTGGGTCGACACGAGACAACGCGCTTCTCCGCCATTTTTCTTGAGAACATGGATAGCTTAGGTCCAGTTATGCTTAAAACCATGAAATCAAACCACGCACTGGACCAAGAGCCTGATGTGACTGCCTGGCCTCATCTAGAGTTGGCTGTCAGAACACTTCTCAACTTTCCCACCGCTCGTACGTGCGACATGCTGATGACGGGAATCCATCAAATCCACGACGTCTGGCTGTCTCCAACCATGATTCGACAGTGCTTAAATCAAGTCTGGACAGAATACGATAGTGAACTGGGGGAGCGTCGGACACGGGAGTCAGTATTGAAAGTGGCAAACGATATCTTTCTTAATCACAAAAAGCCACAAGTAACGCCCAAGTATGACGCAGAAAGCTCATTTGACCGCGATTCATGGATTAATTGGTTCGGTGGGCCTTACCTGCGATGGGAAATGATTGGGATCCTTTTCAGCTGGGCTGGCATTGCATTCAGATGCAAACAAGAGTGGGACCCAGTTTTCGACCTAGCTGAGCAGCATGGACGGAATCGCAACACTGCGGCAGACCGAATGAGAGAGTGTGCTGCTGCCTGTATCAGACTTTGCGAGGACAATTTTGAATTAAATGACATCATGGTAATTTGCATGAAAAATAGCAGCAGGTTGCAAAGCATCATCATCAGCGATGAGAGTAAGTCACCGTCCCCGGCCCAAGCTGTAGAGACAGAGCCATACTAATTTCAGCATAGGTGACCGTATACGAGTCGATTATGGTACTGTTCGCAGTGCTTTCATCTCCGCGGGATTGCATCGCCTTGGTCCCCTTCAGGAAGTTACGCCATTTTCCCAACATCGAGCATCAATTGCTTCGTCCATGTATTACCAGGACAAATGTCACAGTTTGTTCAATGCGCGACCGCCTATGCTGAATGAACGCTACTGTCAATGCCCACTTCCACTAGATTTGTGTGAGGAAGATGTCTATGGGGGCCGGGGCAGACTCACAGCAGCCCTTGCGAGGCTTGATTCAAATGGTTGGAACACAGATGGCCGAATATTCACAACAACCTGGCTTCGAGCACTCGCCATTCTAAGTCCTATCCGCGAAGGCATATTGGAACTCTCCCTAAGTGTGAATTTGAAGTTAACAAAGTTGCAAATAGAGTTAGTCGTCTGAAAACACTGTTTTATCATGATCGCTAACTCTAATTTTGCAGTGACCTAATAGCTCAGTTGGAGAAGAGAGTTGCTTCATATCCCCCGCAAATTCAGTATCACAGTAACATGGAATGGCCTTTGCAGTCAACTGTATCCTTCCATGGACGAAGCGTTCATGAAATGTACATCATCACACGGATACAGCTCGATGTATTGCAATGCAAATTCCTCTTACAGCGTCTTGTTGTCTCGCGGGGACTCGGTGGTGGCCAAGAATTGTTCGATATCGCCCGAGAAACCATTTCTGTTATCGTGTCCCTGTGGCTTAATCGCGATCAGTTACAGCAATTTCACCACGCCTTTGACTGGATTGTAAGTTTGTGAAGATACTTCCTGGTCACCTGAATTAGGAATCCATAGGAACTGACTTTTCTAGGCCGTATCATACGGCATGCCCTGTGCGGGAATTTTGTGCGTCGAGCTTCTCCGTGCAAGTAACCTGGCGCCAATTGCCTCAGGAACTGAATCTTTAACGGCAGCTACTATTCATGAGTCTGTTCGGCTTTCTCGGTCGGAAGTCGTTCAAAGTCTAATCATGTTTAAAGCCTTACTTGATTGGATACGACCTACGGATAACAATGCACAGCTTAGTGGCAAGTTCAAGGAAGTTCTCCAGAGAATCATTGACACTTTATTTGATTCTATGGAATCGACGTTTGGCGCGCAACTACAACAGATACCGAGCGAAGGCCAGTCCCAGAGACATTATGGTGCGCAAGACCGCAGGCCTCGAGAGCAAAACTTATCTTCCGTGACGGAAAGTCAGCATGATCTTGATCCTGAGCTTATCACCATAAATGATATGGATTGGCTGAACACTGTTGATTGGACGCAGGGAAGCCTGGTTGAACAGAATAACCCGTCGTTTCTGTATTAAGCGAGCTCAGCAGGCTACCACTCCCAACTCTTCTAGGATGAGTTTCGCCAAAGTCACCTTGCCATACCTTCATAATCAGCCTTTTCACTGATACCAATGTCAGAGGCGTTATTTTGCCTTCGGAGTGCTTTTGTATCCGTCGGAGTGGGGCAACCCAGCCAAGATAGGAGTGCGGGGCTACGGAGTTGATAAGAGCAAGCTATGATCTGTAAGGTTTTATCCGGTCAACGGCCTTTATTGAATGCTGTTTTAGACCAGCGTCTATTATCGCTATCTAATATATCAGTTCTACGGTTTATAAGCATCTATGGACGGCCAAGGATCTTAATGCAACCCACTATCGCTTGATCTCGGTGAAACAGGTCGTTGACTGGCTTAGCCCTACTTTTTAAGAAAATTTCTCGGAGCCCAATCACTATCAATTGAACAAAACTATCTGGCCATGTCTATATCCGGATCTCCCAATACAGGCCGCTTACCTGTTGAGAATTCGACAGTGCCATTTTGGCATCGAGACCTTCACGAGTTGCACGATCATCGGACGACAGAAGAATTGCCAGAATCAAGTGATGTGGTCATCATTGGTGCAGGCTACGCGGGCATTGCCACAGCTTAAAATTTGGTCAAAGGGGAGGCCAGTGGTAACAATCTTTCCGTCACGATACTGGAGGCACGAGGGGTCTGCTCGGGTGCGACAGGACGTAATGGTGGCCACCTGCGGCCTGACATGTACACCCCATGACCAAACTCATCGAACGAGTAGGTCTTGATATTGCTTTGGAGGTGCTTGAATTCGAAATTGCACATCTATATGCAATGAAGTCTCTAATCGAAGAGGAGAAAATCAACTGTGACTTCACCCTCACCAGGTCCATCGACGTATGGTGCAACAAAGAAGCCGCCTTCAAAGCCAAGGTGATGTTTGACATGCTGCGCTCCCGGAATTTGAATTACATGAAGGATGTTCTCTTCGTGCTCGGCAAAGATGCGGAAAGAATTTCTGGTGTCAAGGGAGCCAAAGCATGTGCTTCTTTCACGGCTGGAACTCTCTGGCCGTAAAAACTCATCCTGCATCTCACAAAATTGATTCTTGACACTGGGCTAGTCGACCTTCAGACTCATACTCCAGTGATCTCCGTTAATCGACAATCTTCCGGTGCTTTTGTTATTATAACACCTCGAGGCACAACAATTGCGCAAAAAGTCGTGTAGGCCTATATCTCGGGTCTTCTTCCGCTATTATTGTTGGAGCCAATTCAAAATATCACTCTTTCCTAGAGCAATGGTACGACAACGTGGAAGACTCTGTTTTCATCAAGGAAATTGAGAATTATTATGACGGCTACATGCAGCGGCTTTTCCATGGTTGGGAAAATAGCGGAGCCCAAGTGGACAAAATATGGACCGGAATCATGGGCTACAGCTGGGATTCTCAACCCCATGTCGGCGTTGTGCCCGGTGAAGATGACCAATACGTTCTTGCGGGGTTTAATGGTCATGGATGCCAGTGGTGTCCTTGTCTGCTCTAGGGGTTGCTAAGATGGTTGCAAAGGGAATTGAATTTGAAGATACTGGAGTCCCGAAGGTGTTTCAAGCCACCAAGAAGAGACTCGAGAGTGCGAAGAATGACCCTTCAGGAGGAGACATACTCGCCGGGTAGAAATGATCATTACTTAGTATTATTTCATGATGACTTTTAATCGGGTTGGAAGATTTGTTTAGTATTTGGCACGTTCAAGCTTAGTGTTGCAGGACGAAATCTTAAAATTGCAACATCTAGATATTCTAGTTTCTAGCAACCCCTAGCGATTTTTCCAAGTGAACATATTAGTACTAAAGTATACTTTCCAAAATTATCAAATCCGTAGAGCGCCGCACCAAGAAAACTCAAAGCAACCTATTTTCATGAGAATATTCAATTCGAGGCTCAATGACAGTGTCTTATGTGCCTAGTGCACAGGTGTTCTACTATGTCTTCGGCCCAGAACAACTCAGCTGGTCGAGAGTGACAAAAATTGCAAGTCCTATTCTCGATTGTGAACCTACAGAGTGGATCTGTGACTGGGTCTCAGTATACTAAGTATTGCTTGTTCACAAGCAGAGTAATTCAGCTGATTCTGTATGGGATACCTCTCCGTATATAAAATTATTTCCAAGGCACGCGTTAAAATTGTAGTACAATATAGCGCCTGCTACACATCCGTACTCAAGCTGAGCGTTTCGTACTTCATGAAGTTTTCTCGTTCCTCATCCAGCCTGGCCAGGATAGCTGGATAGGCATCTGTACCGAGCAAGATTCTCAAGGGTGGCTTGTCCATCATAGCCAGGTCGTAAAATGCTCTTGCAGCCTTCTGTGGGTCGCCAGGCTGAGTTCCATTGCGGAACATCATCATTCCTTTGGCATCCATGTGGTCATAGGCTGGATGGCGGTCGGTAAAAGCCATTGAGCGACCGGCCAAATCCGTTCTGATATGAAACATCTCGGATTAGGAAAAAGTGGCTTCCTCAGATTTGTATAGATACGCAACTTACCTGGAACCGCCTGGTTCGACACAAGTAAATTTGATTCCCCATTCGGGCTTCACCTCCTTTGAAAGAGACTGAGTGAACCCTTCAAGTGCCCATTTGCTTGCAGCGTATAGGCTGAAGCATGCGGCTCCGCGTTGCCCGCCTATGCTTGTGACTTGTTGGATTACGCCACCGCTAGGCTTTTGGGCTCTCATGGTGGCCATGGCTTCCCGGGTGACGTTGACAAGGCCGAAAAAGTTGACTTCCATCTGCATTCGGATCTGATCGTCGGTATACTCTTCAAAACATCCCGTGAGGCCGTAACCTGCGTTATTCACAACCACGTCAATTCTTCCAAAATGCTTGACAGCCTGAGCGAAAGCACCTTTGATAGACTCTAGACTGGTCACATCAAGCTCCAATGCCATGAATTTTCCTCCGTGGTGTTTTCAAATTTCAATAAGGCCGGGTTGCGAGCTGTCGCAATGGCAATATCACCACGATTCAGTACCTCTTGGACCAGGCCATTGCCGAAACCAGTTGAGGTTCCTGTGATGAGGAAGACTTTGGGCATTTTTGCTGAATTAATTCAAACAACTTGGTCTCGTTTTTGCAGTGGAATTCGAAGAATTTGACTTCGGGTTTGAGATATGGTTTGAGCCAGGAAGAATTACGATAAAAGAGCCTGAAAAATGAACCAGTGAATAGAGACTCTTTGGGGTACGTTCAGTGTATTTGATTCCTTGCTGCTCATAGTCCAAGATACCAGTTTCAAAATAGTGAACTATCTTATCTAACGGAGCTAGTTAACGGAGTAGGTGGCTACCTAACGGAGTGAACTCTAATTCTCGCATCTTTGGTTCTTGTTCCTATCTCACTTAGCCCCTAGCCCCGGGCCTCTTACCTCAATAGTAAGCACATCACTCGATGGGGCCATTGCTCTTGCCTCTATTCGTGCAAATCCCAATCAATTACTCCGAGTGCTTCTTCTCAAGCCAGTCATATGAACGATACTGAAGTGTATGTTAGCTATTAATACTAATTGTTTCTTATCCTATTAGCTCGGTTGTACTGATAACAACTTTACATAGACACCATGAATCCGTAGCCAGGTAGCCAATGACAAGAGCCGTCTCTGACGCTATAAGCTTGAGCTCAACTGCCATAAGAGAAACTTGCACTTTTGCTATCTCAGAGTCTAACACCTCGAGAGCTTTTTATTCCCCAAGAAAGATCGTTCGATTCTTGAAAACTTTTACAATGAACAAATATCTTGACGACAAGGGCTCGCGGGATGCGATGCCCGTATTGAAACAACACGTACAGCCCATAAATAGCGACCCAGAGGCCCCTGCACAACTAGCAGATGAGTCCACTGGGGAGTTTGAAGAGGTAGCAGCTGTGAGGCAAGGGCTTCATCAGCGACACATTCAGATGATAGCCTTGGCCGGGACTATTGGGACAGGCCTTTTTCTCAGCTCTGGTCGAGCAATTGCTCATGCCGGTCCGCTGGGTGCATTTCTCGGATACTTGGTCATGGGTTGCGTGGCAGGCACCGTTACTCTCGCGTTGGTGAAATGGGCACTCTTGTTCCTCTGAACGGAGGAATTGTTCGCTACGCTGAGTACTTTGTTGACCCAGCATTGGCGTTTGCCAATGGATACAACGTTGTCTATTCTTACCTCGTGTCCATTCCTGCCGAGCTTGTGGCCGCTGCTGTTTTGGTTCAGTTTTGGTCTGATCTCAGCAGTGCGATTTGGATCACTATCTTTGGGTTGGTCATGTTGTGCACTGCTCTTGTCTTTGTTCGGGTGTATGGAGAGCTTGAGTTTTTTTTCTCCATAATGAAAATCTTGCTCATCATTGGCGTCAACATCATGGTAAGTTATTGGTTGATATTCACAGAATTGACTATATTGAAGTACTAATAAGTCTACCGCAGGCTCTTGTTATCACCTGTGGTGGCGGTCCTGACCATCAATCCATCGGGTTTCAATATTGGCGTAATCCTGGGCCTTTGGTTCAATATCTGGGGATTGGCGGCGCCCTTGGTCGTTTTCTCGGTGTTTGGACATCCCTGAACAGTGCCCTCTATGCATATTCAGGCATAGAAACAATTACAGTCGCGGCCGCAGAGACAAAATCACCGAGACAGGCCATTCCACTAGCGGCCAAAAGAATATTTTTCCGTATCTTGATCTTTTATGGTAAGTTGGTTCGGTTAAGAAGGAAAACTTTTTCTGGTTCCAAAACCTGACGCTCTTTCTCTAGTAATCTCAATCTTCATGGTCGGCCTCGTGGTTCCATCCAATGATTCAAGTCTCAGCAATTCTACTGGCACGGCTTCCGAATCTCCTTTTGTTATTGCAGCTACTCTAGCGGGGATCAAGGTAGTCCCATCAATCATCAACGCTGTCATTATCACTTCAGCCTGGTCTTCAGGCAACTCCAATATCCTCGGAGGATCGAGAGTTTTGGTTGGACTGGCCATGAATGGTCAAGCTCCAAAGTTCTTTACTCGACTGAACAGATTCAAGGTTCCCTGGGTCGCGATAATGCTCTATGGCCTGTTCATGTGTCTGGGATACATGTCTCTGTCTGCGACGGCAAGCACCGTGTTTGACTGGCTGCAAGACCTTGTATCCATCACTACCCTAACCAACTGGCTCAGCATATTGGTCACGTATCTTCGCTTTTACTATGGCTGCGAGAAACAAGGAATCTCTCGGAACTCCCTACCTTGGGCTACACCGTTACAACCATATATCAGCTGGGCTTCGCTGATAATGCTAGTCCTTCTGCTCATCACTGGCGGCTATTCCACCTTTATTAAAGGGCACTGGGATAACGAAACCTTTGTCTCCTCATATATTAACATTCCGCTTTTCCTGATCCTGTACTTTGGGTACAAGTTCATCCACAAGACAAAGATTGTCCCCCTGGAAGACATTCCTATTCAGCCCTTTATCGATATAGCCAATCGCAATCCCGAGCCGCAACCAAAGCCAAAGAAAGGCCTTCGCAAGCTGAACATCTTGTGGAACTGAGTGCCAACTCGAATACTCTTCGGTATATGCATCGGAAATTAGAGGTATTTCATTACTCCTTAGATTTTCAAGCAGCTACAATTTGACTAATTCGTTCCACGATAAATCTGTGTAGGAATATTAGAATCAAATGTTTGATCATATTCCTGCCTAGCTTGCGCCCCCTTTGTTTACCGGGACCTTGGTTCTTCCATAGCTCCAATATCAATTAATTCGCTACATTCACTCACTTAGAACAGTAATTGAATGAAAGTCCAAGATGCTGATACGCCAGCACACAATGTGAACATGTTCAACGTGGGTTCCCAAACGTGCTCTCGATTATCTTCGAGCTCGGTCTCACTCCTGATGTATACCACGTCCGGAATTAGAATATATCAAAAATGCCGTCTCTACAAAGTATGCAACCTATCTGGTGTCATCGGAACGATCAAACATCAATCGAGCCTTATCACGGAGTGGGGCGGCCCGAAGGTCGCTGATAAGCGGAGTGGGGCCATGCCGGAGTGTACTAGGATGGAGTACTGCGCGACTTTTTCTTGATGCGTTGGAGGGTAGGCGAAACGAACATCGGATGACCCCATTCCGCAATCGGACAACGATGAAGAGGATGCAGGTAATCCCGGGGTAGCCCTGGAGGTTGAATAAATAATTCTCAGGCCCATGAGCTGTACACAGTTCAAAAATATATTTTGAACCCATCTCAATCTTCGTCTTCCACGTACCTATATTCACAGCATGCATGTACCCAAGAAACACATCGTTTTCGATGTGGTCGGTACCTGTGTGTCATTCGATGTTTTCCTCAACGCTATCGAAAAAATCCTTGGCCCACGCCTGATGCAGCACAGCGTGAATTCCAAGGTATTCGGTTTTGCATGGATGCAAGCGTCCGAGCTCGAGTCTCTGATGCTTCACATGTCAAAGCGGAGCGTGCCGTATAAGGAGGTGTTCAAAGCTCTTTTCTACCGCGTCTTGTACCTGTCCGGGATCGAAGAGCCGAGGTCGTTCGCGACCGACGAGGAGAGAGACATATGCCAAGACGCGTACTCGAAGCTGGAACTCCGACCAGACTGCCGAGCTATGATGGAAAGATTGAGGAGCAATGGTTTCACCATCTGGTGCTTGACCACGGGCGACACGGAAAGAGTGGGTGGCTACTTCAAGCGGGCAGGCTTCGACATGCCCGCTGAGAATCTTGTCAGTTGTCACCAGTTTATGAAGCATGAGTCCGCACTAGATTTCCCATTGGCTATGGTCAAGCCATCGATGGGATCCTATCAGCCCATGCTACAAAAATTCGGTTCTGAGGACCAAAAGTGGTTCGTGGCCGCGCATATGTGGGATGTTAGCGCAGCTGTCAAGGCCGGGTAAGTTTTGTTCATGCTCCAAAATGGTTGAAACGAGAGCTGATTCGACCCCAAACAACCAGATTTCGTGGTGCTTACTGTTCAGTCTATGAGAAGGAGTCATGTATCGAACTCTTTGATACCAAGATGGACGTCACGGCCAATAATTTGCTTGAACTAGCTGATAGTGTCATTGCTGCGGCTTCCTAAATTTCAAACTCATATTTGCTATCAAGAAAAAGGAACAAAACTTGTAATTTATTCGATTTTCTGATTGGTTCATTGATCATACATTAACAAAGAAATTCTCCGAAGAGGCAAGGACCCACACTTGTCAAAAAGAGTCGGACGACGACGACTTCGTTATATCCACGATTATTGATGAAAGACAGATGTATTATGTAGCTGGTGCACCATTTGTGATTATAAGCCTTTATGAATGGGCTAGACTGAATTCATCTCAAAAATAGGTATGCTAAAATAGGATTTTACACAATCACTCTTCGACTTGCTCAGAAATTACAGTCGCATATATCCGTGGACAGCTTGCTATTAACGGAACACAAAGCACGAGGAATCCGATTTTCCAAGTATGATATCTTGCAAAATATGAAGGGAATCAAGAATTTAAAGCTTTTAGGGAATTTGTAAGACATGAAGAATGCCTACGTACATGAAACGAGTACCGAGAACTTCTATTGAAATCGAGAGAATTATACTGACGCTCATGTGCGAATGATTTGCCCTGAGATACAAACTGAATCCCTGCGAAGCATGTAGCTCTATCTATGTCTTAGAAAGTCTCCTGGACCCTCCTTATCTATAGACCGATTCAATCCCTCCAATTACCTCTTCCCTCGTCTCCTTGGATGATAACAAGCGATCAAATACCTTTTCCAGTCGGAGGATGGCTTCATCGGTAATCTGGCAGTGGACAACGATCCTTCCACCAAATAACTTAATCCCTTCTTCTCTGCCCACACGTATCATTTCGTCAACAGTGATACGGCTGTAAGCCAGATCCAACAAGACCATGTTTGTTTGGACCGGTCGATTAGTTGCACCACCGCGACCAACCCACATCTTTTCGATAGACTTGGCTTTCTTGTGTGTCTCTCGCAGTCGACCACCTTCGCCATTAGGTCCTTTCCCGAAGTTCTCCTCGACCGCCACACGGGCCGCCGATGAGATGATCCCGGCCTGTCGAATGCCCCCACCAATACTCTTTCTCACCCATCGGCAGTGCTCTAAAGTGTTCTTTGGACCCACTATGATGCTTCCAACAGGGGCAGCCAGGCCTTTGGAAAGGCACATCTGGGCCGTATCAAAGCACTCCAAATAATCGACTAGCGAGCCGGCCCCAGCAGCCACGGCCTCCCAAATTCTTGCTCCGTCTAGGTGCATCTTGATATCGTTAGCGCGAGCGAACTCAGATATCCGACGGACCTCTTCAAGAGGAGTGATTACACCAGCGAGAGTGTTTTCCAGTGATATGACACGAGTCGGGGCGATGTGAATATTATTGCGAATGTCCGCATCTCGTTTAATATCCTCAAGGGTCAGGTACTGGCCATTGACCGGGACACAAGGCTGCATGTGCGCTTGCGATAGAGAAGAGCAACCACCTGCCTCAGACTTAATGATGTGTGATTGATGATGGCAAAGAATGGCGTGTGGTGGTTGTGTCAACAGGGAGCGCAGGGCAATCTGATTTCCCATCGTTCCTGACATGACCAAGAGACCTTCTTCCTTGCCTGTTAGGCTGGCCACGAACTTCTCAAAATCAGTCGTCGTCGGATCCTCTTGGTAAGCGTCGTCCATCAACGTAGATTGAGCAATAGCCTTCAGCATGGACAAAGTTGGAGTCGTTATCGTATCGGTGCGAAAATCGTAGGCCGCAGGCCCAGCACCGCACCAGGAGCTTGAGACTGAAATCTGCTCTGCTGCTTGAGTCTTTCCATCTTGGAAGGTGAGGTTTTCAGTGCTCCCCATAGTGGTAAGCGCGAAGATTTGAATTACCGAGTGGAGTGGAAAAGCCGCGGATAAGGATCTAGAGGAAGATTAGGACTGATACTTGGATTTTAGGAAAGCAACAAGATGGTTTGGAATCTCTAATCAGATCCAGTTTGTCCAACGGTCTGTACCTTATTTTCGTTATCTCCCTTCCCCGCTCCATTCTTGGAATCAAAACCAAAGAGGTGGCTGGTTCTTAAAGTGGGGACTCCGTAGTCCGCACTCCATTTAGCCCGTTATATCGTACTCCTCGGAGTGGACCCAAGAGCGGTAAGATAGTATCCGGAGCTATCAGCTATCACTCAGAAGCGCTGTGACTACAGGTCACATCACCGGTGACGCGATTTGCCTTCCGAGAAAGTCATGATATTGTAAAAATAGGGTGAGCTCATTAAACCTGGATATATGGTAACCATTGCACACAGTAACGGAAGCCTTGAAGCACACCGGGGCATGACATGGATTTTAATTCGAAACGCGAGCAGGCATTGACGTATATGGCCTATGGAGATGAGGCTTCTGCAGCGACTGTCTATTCGTACGCTACAAGTATTGCAGACATATCTGAAAGGAAGAGCGAGAGAGACGCAGCTATCAAAGACTAACTAGTGGGCTACGCGAGGAAAGACGGTGAAGGATGGTTTAACCACTGATCCTTCATATGATACATTCGCTTGATAGACAGGAGAAATTGATGAAAGTTCAATAGCTGTGCTCGGGGCGGAATAGATAGATTGTTGCTTGGATGGGTTACTTAATTGCCGAATTGCCAAAATGCTTGGTTCCCTGAATCCTTTATCACCTCTAATAGTTGCCTAAATTGAACGAACCTAGAAACGTGATGCTGTCATAGCACCTGACGTACTACGAGCTTGATTGTCCTTTACACCATCTCTTTCAATAGGTGTAAGTACATAATAAGGTCTCCAATCGTTTACTTCATGAAGAAAGCGTCGGGTTTCAAGCTTGCAGACTAGACACGGAATCTAGCATCCATAGATTTGGTTCACCGGGGTCTCCGAGTCATGGAACTACTCCAGCCCCAGCAATTTCTTTCATTTATCACCAAAATACGCATCGACTCAGCCGACAGCGTTCCGAGTTGCCTTGCTATCCCCATCCCACCAGCCCTATCCATTCTCAACCGTTTCATAGGGATAGTCCATGCTGAACAGTACAGGGTCAGCGCTGACCTCGCAAACAACTTACTTCAGCTTAGTAGTAGGAAAATGGCCACGGATGGTGATCCAAATATCTTGCTTGAAGTAGTCGTAGATGGTCTTCTTGCACATCAAACTGCCCTCCTATTTCGCCGGGCTGTTTGAAATCCCCCTTTCACTTGTGGAGCTCCTCGAAGGAAGTCAACCTATCTCACTTATAATCTTTGTCCATTATTCGCTTTTCTATTACAATGCAGCAGAATCTGGTGGAGCGAGCATATCCCCGAGCCTAAATGGATTGATGGCCAGTGCGCAAGGCCTCTCAACCTGACAGTTAAACGGCAACTCCACAGTCGCTGTCTAGTCAAGAACATCATTGGCTACGGAGTACCAGCCGCCAGTCTATAGTTGACAATGCTGCGAATATGCACGGGATCTGCTGGATTAATTTACCCCCACCTATGTCATCACTGGTGCGGTCCATGTTGAAACGCATTCAATAATGCGGCAGAGTTGATAACACCCGACCGTCAAAAGTCGGTCGGACACAGTCTTGATATCGCAGGCTTGTACTAGAAATCAAGAGTATTCTGCAATCACCACAGTCATTGAGACGGGGATCCCGTCGATGTCTAAGAGCAAGGATTCAGGAGCTATTGAGAGTTGGCTCGGACCATCCTGCAGATCGATGCTCCGACCAGCCCAATCAAATATGCCAGCGCAGCTTTTTGTACCCGCTCCAGATTTGACCTGTCATCCAATCTGTTTCTATTCGAGGGGCTGCAGATCTTTCAGCTATCGCAATCGTGCAGACTTGGAGCTCCGGGGGAGTAAATCGACCCTACCAAATCATGACCCTCTATGTGCGACGGCGGTTACACCAGCCTCTGCTCACCTGGAGGTAGTGCCCTACATGAATTTGCATCTCATTACCTGAAGTTCGCCCACAATCAATGTATTGAAATTGAAATATCACTCAGAAAGTGCTTCGTGCCGCAAGGTATTCAGAACACAAGAAAAGAGGCTATAAAAGCAGGGATAGCGTTCTTACAAGCTCAGCGCGCCAAATTATTCATCTCCCATTGTGATCTACATTCCAAGACCACCTGCCACCGATCGGGCTGGGTGCTTGGAGTCTCTCCCTTGCGTCCAATCCTCATCCCTCCTTGCTTGTCACTTGCCTCCAGCCCATAACTGACATTTTCCAGGCGGGGATGCATGACGCTGCAGCCCTGCTCTCGGCTGGCGCGGGCTGAGTTCCCCTATGGGCTTGAGCTTATTCGCGCTCACCGATCATGAAGAGTTGATCGATCTTTCTTTTTCAGCCGTGGCCTAAAATTGAAATCTGCTCAGGCTCCCAATACCATTGTGTGACTATGGCCGCTGACCGGATGCTTGTCGTCATGCTCCGCTTTTGATTCTTCCGCTATTTTTTTTTTGACAGCGATGCTCATGGAGCAGTCTTTTGCAAGCCTTAGGACGTGAGGTCTACTGTATTTTCGGAGTCTTGCGCTCCGCCCAGCAATATGGGGAACGTGTCCCCGACTCCGCATCAGCTGCTGGTGGAGGCTATCATCTTCTGGAGCATAGGAGTGGTGATTTTCTTTGGGCGAATGTACGTTTCGAAGAAAGCTATCTATGCCTATGTCTAAGCCAGGCTAACTTGGTGCCAGTATTTCACGTATCATCGCCAATGGATCCATCAAACGTTTATTTTGTACGTGTCTGGGACCTCACGGATCGCGATTAACGGCATTCACTAACTTCGATACAAAAGGGGACGATTATGTCATGACGGGAACCTTTGTGAGTGTTACGCTGCTTGATTATGACAGGCTTTGACTTTTGCTGACCGAGGATACATTCCAATAGATGATATACACTACGCTACTGGTTTTGATTCAGATATCCTCTCGCTACGCAACAAACCTAATGGACCCGAAAGATTATGATGAAGTGCTGGCAGACCCAAAGCAAGTCCACGATCGAATTTTTGGAAGCAAGATCGTTATCGGGTTAGAGCAGTGCATGCTGTTCTCCACATGGGGTGTCAAAACATGCATGTTGATTCTCTACTGGAGGATTACCCAAAACCTGCGCTCGAACCTTTACATTAAGATCCTAACTGTATACGTCGCACTCGGCTTCGTCGTCATCATGGTCTGTTACTACACAGTATACTGTCGACCATTTTCACAATATTGGGCTATGCCGGTGGAGAACATGCAATGCGCGACATACCAACGATACTCAATCACGCAAGCCGTCTTCAATATCTCATCAGATGCAGTGATGTTCGCTATCCCGATTCCACTCCTTATCAAAGCCCAACTCAAAAAGGCAAGAAAGGTCGTCCTAATCGGCGTGATGAGTCTAGGTCTCTTCACCATCATCGCCGCCATTCTCAATAAATACTTTAACTTCGCCTCGCCTCTCACCACAATCTATCAAATTTGGTACATCCGTGAAGCCAGTACCGCAATCTACGTCGCAAACTTGATGTGCTGGTGGCCACTATTGCGAAAACTTTTCGGCCTCACAGCCTTCTCCTACAACAGTAACCGAGGCCGACGCGCGAACGACCAAAACAAGGATAGCGGGTACTCCGGGTCCGAATCGCAATCGCGTCCGTCAATCTCTCGTACTCTCGAGAGGCTCAAGCCTCCTTGTCGCAAGAATGCCAATAATGTTCCAACCGCAAGACACTCTCGCCACGGCAATACCCATCGTTCTAGCCAAGAAGCCATCACACAGGTTTCTGGTGAACATGACTATGCGACTGAGACTGAAGAGTACAATATGGACGACTGGAACAAAAAAAAAGGCCAGGGCAATGATATTGAAGATTCAAGGCTGGCTACTCCGCAGCTGATTGCGCCTTTTCAGCAAAGTCCTTTGAAGGAATCGCAAGACCACATCAACAGGACTGTTTGACTCTGTGCACAGTGATATGATAATCGTTGCGCTATCTTTGACAGATGTCAGTTTTCTGAATTGGTACTTTGATTCGAATTTGTTCCTACACCCCCGCGTGTTTCTTTCACAGTGCTATCTATAGCCATGACTCTTTATACCCCGGAAGTTTTGTGGCTTTTTGATGACAACGTAGCTAGAAATCCATTGTCTCCAACTTCAACAGGCAATACAATATCAAATAGCTCTTTGACAATGTGAAGAGGTGGTAATTGCATGAGGGCATGATTTGTAAACTTGACGGGCAGCCTGCCATGGAACCGAAGGCACAACAAAGCCGAAATAGGATGCGTTGGATTACTACAATACACGAAACTCTAGAATCATCTGCTGTTTAGTGGCACCGATGGTCAAGTGGTTACGATGCCTCCCTCCCATGCATATATGTGACAGGTGGCGGCCCGGGTTCGAATCCCGGTCGGTGCACTTATCTTTTTTTTAGTACCGTAGACTATTCACCTCACTTTCTTTTTGCGGCCGAATCCAGAAAGCGAAAGCAGTTAACTGTTGGTTGAAGTGGCAAATAGGTAACGGTTAACTCGGCACTCCGCAGTGTTGACCGAACCCGTGTGGGGAACCCGCCGATGGTGTCAGTGTCGGAGTTTTCGTCGACTTCCCATCTTTGTCTTCCCTTGAGCACCTTCTTTCTTGTACCCTACAATATATTATACTATGCTACGACAGAAGCAACCCTTTCCACGTTGTACGACCCTTGTCCCTGAGACAACCTTGAGTTACACCCGGTCGCGTGCCCCAGTTCTTGGCTGATGGGGTCCTCTCCACATGCGGGCCAATCCCGCCCCGATTCCGGCATTCGATTGCCTTCCCAGGGCATGCACTCGCCACATGCCGATCCGTCGAGTGATAGCGGCGAGAGTATAGATACGGCTCCCTTCGATGGAAACCGTGATCAGACGAGGTTGGAACCTGCGTCTTTGCTGATCAATCATCGACGATTCCCCTCTGCGGACGAGGACGTTAGCGACGATGACCATGATGGTCTTCTTAATCATACACAAGAAGAGGAGAAGCCGGTGACATGGAAGTCTTTGCCGAAGAAAGGACAGCTGGCTATTTTGACATTGGCACGGTTGTCAGAGCCGCTTACGCAGACCTCGCTGCAGGCCTATATGTTTTATCAGCTTAAGTCGTTTGATCCGTCTTTACCGGATTCGAAGATTTCGGCACAAGCGGGCATTTTGCAAGGCACTTTTACCGCCGCACAATTCCTTACTGCTGTCTGGTGGGGACGACTCGCTGATGCTGGTTGGATGGGCCGGAAGAGAGTCCTTCTGATCGGCTTGATGGGAACCTGTATTTCATGTCTGGGCTTTGGCTTCTCTCGGTCCTTTGTGTCCGCTGCAATCTTCCGCACGCTTGGAGGAGCGTTGAACAGTAACGTAGGGGTCATGAGGACAATGATTGCAGAAATTATTGCTGAGAAAAAGTAAGTGATCAAAGATGCAACGTTCACTCCGATGCTGACAACCCAGGTTTCAATCCCGGGCGTTCCTTTTACTTCCCATGTGCTTTAATATTGGTGTGATTATTGGCCCGATCTTGGGAGGCTCGTTGGCAGACCCTGTCAACAGCTTCCCCCAATTATTTGGCCCTGGCTCAATTATCGGTGGTAAAGATGGCGTATGGTGGATGAAGCACTGGCCATACGCTTTGCCGAATGTACTCAGTGCTATATTCATATTCTCCTCTCTGCTGGCCGTCTTTCTGGGTCTTGAAGAGGTGAGTACTATAAAAATGAGACTCCATGAGATCAAAAATACTAATCCAATACCTAGACGCACGAGACTAGTCGCTATCGCGTCGACTGGGGCCGGAGAATTGGCAAGAAGATAGCCAATCTGTGCTCAGGACGGCCTCGACACTATCGCCGTCTCGATACCAATGCAGACGATGAATCCCTCTACATGGAGGGCAGCGTGGGAACATGGTCTGCGCCATCTAGCCCCACTCGCTCACGGATGCCGATGCCTAGACCCCACAAGCGACCAGGTTTCCGACAAATATGGACAAAGAATGTCTTGCTTACACTACTTGTGCATTTCCTCCTCGCCATCCATACAAGTGCCTTCAACGCGATGACATTCGTCTTCTTACCTACTCCGCGCGCACCCGAGAACTCGCGCGACGGCTTCTTCCACTTCGGCGGAGGCCTCGGTCTACCATCCGCTCGGGTCGGTCTTGCCACCGCTATCATCGGCGTCGTAGGCCTCCCTCTTCAAATTTTCCTCTACCCTCGAATCCAAGGGAAGCTGGGAACTCTCACCTCATTCCGCACATTTCTTCCTTTCTCGCCTATAGCATACCTCCTTATGCCCTTCCTTGTGGTCCTTCCTCGTGTTCCGTGGATTGTGTGGCCGTGTTTCACTGTTGTTGTATCACTGCAGGTAATTTCACGCACGTTTGCTTTGCCTGCTGCTATTATATTGGTTAACAATTGTGTCACCGATCCGTCTATTCTGGGAACCGTGCACGGAGTTGCACAGAGTATAGCCAGTGCCGCGCGGACATTGGGCCCCTTCATTGGTGGCTGGGGCTTGGGGCTTGGTCTTGCTAACAATATGGTGGGCGTTATATGGTGGGCTCTTGCTGTTGAGGCAACCATTGGTTGGTTCGTATTGTGGACCATTCACGAAGGAAAGGGGATTGAAAGACCAAAACAGGAGCCGGAGGAGGAGACAGATTGATGCGTAGCTGATGGCTTTTATATATGACCTTTTAGATTTACCCATATATCGATGTGAAACGAACTACTGATAGAGAAATACATCCCTTCCTTGACTAGAGAACAGAGATAGGAGGCCGTCATCTACGTACCCGTGAAACTGTACTGATTTAAAATCAGTTCTTAAGAGGATGGTTCCTTAGGGTACGTTCGTGTTTGATGCTAGAATTGATAGTGGATGAGTAATAAGATTTTAGAGGTCTATGGTGCTACAAGGATGGGGTGCTGAATGGTGATATGCTGAAAAGAATGTGAGAACTTGTTCCTCAGAGCGAAGTAGTGTATTTGCTCTAGTGGTGTCAACAAGAAGATTTTGTTCCACTCTCATGGGAAGAGCTTCAAATGTTCTTGCTTTTGCCGAAAGGAAAGCTCACAATCAGAATCTGGCGCGACGTTCCAAGCACGGCACGTAGACTACCACCTGAAATTGATTACCTACCCTGCAGGCTACCCCGCCATGCCGATACCACTTCGAGGCCACATTGTGTTGTCAGCATTTATCCCGCGCAAGCCCGCGGGATGAAAGAGGGGAAGCATGCGCACTAATTAAGCCGCATGAACCTACCGGCGAAAGCGCGCTCACGATACACTTTGATTTTGCTCAGTCGTAAAGATTAGGAGAGAATTACTAGATTATTCTATCAAATCATGCCGAAGGTCTTTTTCATCACTGGTGCTGGGAGCGGGATTGGCCGAGTCACAGCTCGCTATTTGCTTGAGCGCGGATATCGGGTCTTCCTAACAGATTATAATTCCGCCTTTCTCGACGATACATGCACGAAGCACCTACCATCGGCTCTTAGCCCTGAGTTCCAATCAAACTTCAAATGGGCTTTGATGGATACCACCAATCACGCCCAAGTCGTCGATGCTATCAAAAAATGCGCAAATGAGTTTGGGTCAATTGATGTTCTTATCAATAGTATGGATCTCCAACCCCCAATTCCATCCTTGGTTTCAACTGACTTTGTATGGCTTTAGATGCTGGAATCAATGTAAGCTCACTTCAAATTCCGGTTACTTTATGGATGACTTCTTACAAAAGCCAGAGCCAATATATGCGGGCTGGGATCCGTATGGACCAAGTACCAACATCGGACTTTGAGCATGTTCTTCAAGTGAATCTGGTAGGTACTTATCGTGTATCTCAACAAGCAATTCCATACCTTGCGAAGTCTCCCGGAGGGGGTGTAATTGTCAATCTTTCCAGCTGTCGCGCAACGCAACAAGGGAAACATGGTGAAGCATATACAGCCTCGAAAGCGGGGATTGAAGGCCTTACCATGGCAATGTCTGTCAGTCTCGGTCCAGACATTCGAGTTCATGCCATCAGCCCTGGTATGGTTGACGTTCGATCTGAACGCGATGAAAGCGCCCTGCCAGATGTGAACACAATTCGCGAAGATCTTAGTAGAGACTTTCAGAGTGAACATGCTCCTCAATGGGGAGCTGGGAAGAGTCAAGCGTTGCATGACGCACATCCAGTTGGTAGGATAGGGAAAGGAGATGATGTCGCAAGGTATGCTTTCAAATGTTTCCACTTCATAAAAGTCGAAAGTATTGTTTGTTGATGACGAATGCACAGATGGATCGAATTTTTGTCTGTCACCGAGGCTGGTTTCACTACTGGAGGAGTTTGTATCCAATCTGCCCATCCACGCAACATAAAGACTAACCTACTATAGACATATCTAGTCGATGGAGGCTACTCGAAAACCTTGGTTTACCCTAATTAGAGATAAAGCAACAGAGTGATTGATCACATAGAGAAAATATTCAATGCTGGGTCTAAGCCAAATCTGAACTTACATTCATCAATTAGAAAAATACTGAATTGGAAAGCATGGCTTTCATGAATCCCACAAACGATCGGCCCACCACTACAAAGCCTGACCAAGGCGACAATCACACAATTCAAATAGGATGGCCATGCCTTAGCATCCCGGATATATTTAAGGGGCGGGTTTGCATAATACATTGGAGAGGAGCAAAAAGATGCCTGGAAAGACTTTCATTTAAATTTTTAAAAACGCCGAAGAGATTGAAGTCTTTAGAGCCCCTTAGATTACTTTCTTGGCTGGGATGGAGGAAATGGCGCTATTTGTCGCGCGAGTAACAGTAAGTGGGGTTGCGCGGGATGAATGCTACTCCCGTGGAGTCAACTTTCCTATAACTCAGGGCACAGCCGCCCGGGTGACTCCCAGCCTAAGTTTCAAACATTCCATTCGTCATGTACCCGAAAGTGATTCTTCTGGGAACAAGCCATCCGCATATCTTTCATCGCATCGATTACCTACGTCAAAATCACATCACGGTTCTGGGATATTACGATAGTGATTCAGAAGTCTCGAGTCGAATGCAAGAACATGTCGACTGTCCACGCTCCACAGATCATAAGCAACTGCTCAGCCTAGATTTCGATATCGCGATGATTCATGGCCGCGATCATGAGAATCCCGAATATATTCGATTGGCCATAGACCATGGGGCTAAAGGAATCTTTGTAGAGAAGCCTGGTGCCGCTCAGCCCGACCAGTTCGGGCCTCTTGCAGCCGAAATTAAAGCTCGGGGGCTTGTTTTTGAGATTGGATGGGAGCTGCATTATCTTGAAACAGTTGAGTTCGCGCGGGAAGTAATCAGCCAGTCACTTCTGGGTCATATCACCGAAGCCAGATTTCATGGCGGTTGTCCCGGAGGTGCCGGGGCCGAACCTTGGCAATCAAACAATCAAAACATCGGAGGTTTTTTCTACAGCCTCGGAGGGCACGTAGTGGAGACTGTGGTTGATTTGTTTGGTCTGCCAAACCAAGTGGTCTCTTCTATACGAAAGTTACCGGAACAAAAGCCTCATGTTGGATGTTCTTGGGTTCCGGGACTTTTCGAAGGAAAGCAACTCAATCCCAAAGTGGCAATTGGAACACTCACTTACGAGGACATTGCTTCGGCCATCCTGGAGTACGATACAATAAACGTACATCTTGATTTCACGGCCTGGGAGTCGAGTGGATACCTAGTCGACTGGACCATGGATATGTACGGGGTTCAAGGATCCTTACATTTGAACTTTGATGTACCTGGTGGTCATCTTATGCTGAAGGATGCTAAAGGGAGTTGGAATGCAGGCCAAAATCCGTTATATCCAGAGACAGTTCATCAGAAGGGTGACATGCTCAAAGCTGCCTTTTCGAAGCAAATGAATTGTTTCTTCGAGCGTGTCGAAGATCCGAATTGCGAGGTAGCAAGGTGCGATGAAGAAAATGCGCAGAAATTGCTGCTTCTTTATCAAGCATTGTATGAGTCTGCAAGGACTAGATGTTGGACTGAGGTGGAAAAATAATCATTGAACAAATACAAATGTCTCTTCTAGTAATATACCTCAGATTTTGCGAGCCAGTAGGGGTTTTCAACGTTCGCAGACTGCCAGCAATCCTCCGTACAGGCAGAATACCATTCATTCAGAGGTAAATCAAAGGAGATGATCTTGCTCCCATTTTCCGTGAGAATGGTTGTAATATTCGCTTCCGTGGTAAGACTGCCAAGCCTGACTGCCAAATTATAGATGCCGCTGTTTTCTGCTTCTGAACAAGAGCTGTAGGCGTTGCATGGATTTGTATCTTCCAGCTCCAGGTATGCGTCAGACGGTGACATTATTGTGAGCTTCATAACCGTGTCGCTTTGGGTCAACATAGCGCTTCGCTTGTCGCTACTGATGCTGACCGTAGCCACCGTGTGCCAGCTAGTTGCAATGTCGACAGCCTTGGGTGCCAGAATCTCATCACGGATAAGTAACTGGGAGTTGTTCAAGAATGCGACTCCTCGGAAAACAGTGTTAGTCACGTTGGAATAGGCCTCTGTCAAATTTGCAACTCCGAAGCGGCTAGAGTCATCAAAGCTGCCCACCCAACGGAGTGAATTGTTGGCTGAAGGGATTTGGTTGGCGAAGCTCAACGCTGTTTGCTTTGTATTTGAGATACTCAGGGAGTTTGCTCCTTCGGTCCGACATCGATAATAAGTCCAGCGGCGAGAGCCAACAAAATAGTTCGTCAGACTATAGCTATCGGAGCCAAGCAACTCTGCCCATCGATAGCCGTTGTAGTCTATGACAAACGAGCCAGCATCCAGATGACCATGTGATCGACCATTGAAGCCACCCATGAAGCCAAAGAACCAACCGCTAGAATCCTCCCATGATGTGCGGTAGGTCATTCCTGCTACCCCTTCGAATTGCTCGTATCGAGGCATGGTAGACAGGACGTTCGGGGTCATGAGACTGGAGTTATAGAAAACAAATGCTTGGAAGGTTGCTGCCTCGCCGGTGTCAAAACGAGACAACATACCCTGCAGCCATTCAGGCCTAGAGAGCTTTTGTGCCCAATATCCCACGCTCCACAAGCTATTTGCGTTAGAGAATGTCCAAGCGCCATCAGCCCAGCTAAAACCTCCAGTTTGGCCAAACCCATGTGTTAACCAGGCGCCCAGATTTGACATTCCAGGGAGATTAGATATTCCCAAGTCATTCCCAAGTGCACTTTCCAAAGATCCCATCGTCAGACCTAGAAATATCCCAGCGTAGGTACCATATGAATATCCCTCAATCCATCCCCCGTCTGGGCCATACTGCTCTAAGGAAACATTCAGTTTGGGAAATGTGAAGTCGAGGATTTCATCAGCAATGGCTGAATTGGTATCTCCAATCGCTAAGGTCGCAATTATCAAGCATCCATTGGTGACTTGAGCCCAGTTATTGGTATGTTCACTCCAGGAATTTATCGAAGAGTTTAGCGCCGGGGTAAAAGCTTTGGAAATAATGGCTTGCTCAATCATGGTTCTCTGGTCAGTTGATAGGGTCTCATAGACCCAGTCATAGCCAATGGAAATTGTCATTACAATATCTGCAGTGTTCAGAAAGTTGGAGGGGTCCCAGTCGGGGAGGCCTGAAAGTAGCAAAATGCTCTCAGCGACCCATGTAGAGTATGTTTCGTTGCTTGTCAATCGATATGTCCCGGCCACGGCGCCAACATTCATTCGAATGGTACTTGACCAGGATGTTGCGGAAGTGAGCGATAAAGGAGTAGCGACCGCAGCATCTGCGGTGCTCTGCAAAGAGGTAAGTATATTATCGTAGAGAGTATCGCTTTCCCTCATGGAGTTCACGGCATTCACTCGCTCCTCTGTGAACATCAGTCGGGGATGCGAAGGGAGACTTGTGTAGTCCAGGCTAATCGCGGTCGAAAAGGACACATTCAAAAATATGAAAAGGGCTAGGCAATACATGTTGTATGGCTGTAAAAAGATTGAGTCACAAATGCCGGATGCATTCATGGTATGCCAAGTAGTCTCTCTTATTTCGTTCAGTAATAGCTGTGCTTAGACCTCCTCCCGCGGGGACGAGGGCAAGGTGTAATCGACGCCTGTGGATTTTTCACACCCACCACATCTTAGGATTGGCTAAACTCCACCCGAGGCTTAAGCAAGGCACAAAAACGGCAACAAGGGATCGCATCCCGCAAATTATGCGGGGGTAATGTTGTTGTCGGTGCCGAATCTTCACATTCAAATACAGCACTCCATTCCTCAAACTTGAAAACGAAGGCACGCTACCACCTCGATATCCACTCTTCTTCTCGCCATAATGAGCACCAAGGATAAGAAGGCCGATACTACAGAGACCTCGAGTGAGGTCGCTACCGGTAACATGGCAACTCTGTCTCACAAAATATGTTACACACGATACAATTCTCCATTCTGGCAGGTGGTAATCGTCAGTTTCGTCGCGTTTGGGTGAGTTTTTCGAGCCTAAGAACTTTCGTTTACATCTGGCTAAATTGAAGTTTGTTTTCAGCTGCCCGGGGATGTATAACGCATTATCTGGCATTGGAGGAGGCGGCCAACTCGACACAACGACTGCCGCCAAAGGTCATATTGCTCTCTCATCAGTCAGCGCAGTCGGAAATCTTTTTGTTGCGCCAGCTTTGACGAATCTGTTGGGTCCAAAATGGACCATACTTATCGGTGGTCTGCCCTACGTGCTTTATGCTGGCTCGCTGTTGGCCTACACCCACACAGGAAATCAGGGGTTTGTTATCGGCAGCAGCGCTTTATTGGGTATCGGGGCATCCCTACTTTGGATCTCACAGGGCGCAATCATGACTGGATATCCGCTACCTCAACAACAGGGAAGAATGATTGGTGTTTTCTGGATCATTTTCAAGTGAGTAAGGGTTACCGACACGAATAGCTCCCGATTGCTCACGTATCTGTTTAGTCTTGGGGGATTCCTGGGATCGATGATCTCATTTGGCCTTAACTTTCACTCGAAATCAGGGACCGTGTCTGATGGAACCTACATCGCGTTTATGTGCATCATGGCTGTAGGTTGTAGCTGTGCACTCGGCCTACTCAAGCCATATAACGTTATCCGCGAAGACAACTCTCGTGCTGCAGTTGATCGAAAGCCTCGAGTATGGGATGAGTTCAAGGCTACGCTGAAAGTTCTGAGGGACTGGAGAGTAGTTTCTCTAATCCCATTTTGGATCACGGCAAACTGTGAGTCTACATAACTCCCGAGAGAAGGGGAAAATGGAAAGACGAGCTAACATCTCTTTGAGACGCATACAACTATCAGCAAAACACTTTCAACGCTAAGCTATTTACTATCCGAACCCGTAGTTTTAATGGCGCGATGTATTGGCTGGCGCAAATGGGTTCAAGTTATGTTTTCGGCCTCTTCCTCGATAACAGATCGATGAACCGCCGTCAGCGTGGAATTTGGGGATTCGGAATCACGGCTCTTATCTCCATGATCGTATGGGCAGGTGGCCTCGCTGCGCAGCTTAGGAGAGGCCCTAACAGCGATTACTATCCTCTTAACGAGATGGACTTGATTACCTCAGGAACTAAGTATGCCGGTCCGTTCCTCCTCTACTTTTTCTATGGTTGCTTTGATGCAGTATGGCAGACCCTTGTCTATTGGACCATCGGCTATCTGTCACACGAATCTCCCGAACAGGCCGCGCGCTATGTGGGTGCGTTCAAGTGTATGGAAGCCGTCGGTGGCGCGATAGCATCCAAAGTGAACTCCGATAAGACGAACTACAACATCGAGTTCGCAATCGACTGGTCAATTGTGGTTTTCTCGCTTATCTGGGCTTTGCCATTTATGTGGAAAATCGAAGATCTTCCAGCGCATGCTGGTAATGAGGACGAAACTGAATACGTGAAAGGACCGACAGAAGAGGCAGTGGGGCCTTGAAAGTATTCACGGGTATTAGTTTCAGGCTATGTGTACCTTCGGCACTTTTTGTGAACCTGACTATGTTATCATGTTATCATGTTATCTGGTGATCGGAAAGTTGTATAGATTATTTGATTGGTGGGAAATCGTTGGCTCCATAAGAATTCAGCTATAGTGGCTGGATTGGATTCGGAATGATCCTAGTGACAGCCTGAACTCTGTAAGCGAGCTCCCCAGCAAAGCGGGGAAGACATGCCGATAAGAAGAATCTTGCTATGCAGCGTTAAAAATTCATCCATAAACTTGTATTTCTGAGGGTCAAGCGCTATTAACAATTATCGTGATGGATGCAGATCTCAAGAATCGTCGTCCTCATGTATGCACGCAGTCGGGTTGTGGTCGCACATTCCTGCGTAAAGAGCACCTCCGGCGCCATATGCTGAATCGTATGAATCCTGGACAGTGTAGAGAAAGCAATCAAAGAAAATCCAGCTGATAGAATACTAGATGCACCGGAACAAATATTCACTTGCGACATGTGTCCGAGAGTTTTTGTTCGTCGAGACCTCTACCGAAGGCATAAATCGAGACACGACAGATGCATTTTCTATCGTCGCCCTTCGGGTTCAGTTGACCTTTCTATTCTCGATGGCGATCAAATGTGCGCTGAGATAAATACACAAGAGATCACTCAACCTGCTCTTGATCCTCGAAGATCCAGCTCCTTGAGTCTTGAGGAGCCGGAGGCCGAGCATCGGCCTTATAATGAGCCTGTTGAAGATACAACGATGGCCGTTCCCGCTGATACCGACATACCGTCTCTTACGCCCGACCGGAACGATATTGATTGGATGCTCGACTCATTTCTAGATGCTCCCGAGCATGATTGGGCGGAATTTCTGACAAGCGACGTGGGTCTTTTGCGTGAAGGAAATGCCCCTCGCGAGACAGGGTTCCAAGAACTTGATCAACTCAAGGATTTGCCTAATGAGCAACACGAAGACAAATGGTCCGACTATCAGACTTATCTCCATCGTGGGCTTGGCCAACTTGATATGGACCTACTTAACTCTCCCTTCTTTGACCCGGAAAATCTCAGAAAATTCTATGAGTTATACTTCCAACACTACCATCCACATTTTCCCATTCTTCATCAACCGACACTTACATTAGCCACCACAAATCCTTTACTATTCGGAGCACTACTCGCACTGGGGTCAACGCTAATAGAAGATGAAACTCTGTTTGCACTTGGTCAACGCATCCACGATGGTCTTCGATTAATCATTATCAATGTGAGTACAAGCGCCTCCGTTCAGCTCTACCTCCAGCACATGGCTAATTGAAGCAGGCTGGATTTTTCGCACCGCCTTTGTCGCTTTGGTGCCTACAGGCATTGCTTTTGCTTCAAGCTCATGGGAAAATGATGTCTTCGCGCAAAAACCACGAGCTAGCCCAAGTGTTTCATGCCGCAATTTTGACGGCAAGTAAACCCACAGACATCCTTTTCCGTCTCACCTTTTAATATTATATCAGTTGATGAAACAAACCGGTCTTACGCTATCAAGAAGAGCATACACAGCATCGGATCCTAAATTGGAGTGGAGCCAGTGGATCCAGGAAGAGTCGTGGCGCCGAGCTGCCTTCTTTGCATTTTGCATGGACTCACAGCATGCGTGCATGTTCGGACACCTTCCTGTTCTTTCAGTCAGCGATATGAAAATGGCTCTTCCATGCAAAGAGACATTATGGGAATCTACCTCCCCCGAACAATGGCAAGATGCATATCGACCCGAGTCCGCACTCTGCGAGGACTTTCTTCCTACCTTGAAGAAAGTTCTCAAAAATGCATTGTTACCAACGGCGTACAGTGAATTTGGCCGATTCATCATTTTGCATGGACTAATATGCCTCCAGGCGCATTTGCAAAGAAGCTCACGGTTAACTTTGGGAATCGATCACGCGGGTTCAGATTACTCTAACCTACCGGCTTCTAGGGCGATGTTCACGCAAGTGGCACAAAACACGACGGAAAATTCCCCATCATGGATGAATGTTATGGCTTCTGCTCTGAATACGTGGTCAACCTGTCTGCTGTCTCTGAAGCCGTCTTTGTGCTTGCTTGCGGCAAGCCCGCTACTTCGCATGGCGCAGATTACCTTGCACGTCCGAGTTGCGGATCTCCTTACTATGGCGACAAATTCCTCAGAGGTAGAAATCCGGCAAGCACAGAAAAGCTTCGAAGCCGCAAAAGGTCGAATGTCAGATTGGTTCTTTACACACTCAGCGCGCGAAGCAGTTCGTTATGCATTAATTCTGGTACGAGAGACAATGTTCTCTGGGAAACCATATATTGCATCCGAGGACCGTATTGCACCAAGACCATGGTGCTTATATATTGCAGTGCTCACTTTGTGGGCATATGGAGAGACGGCGAAGCAACATGGGTTTGCAGCTGGAGAAGAAACGGCGAGTGCGGAAGAATATGTCATACTGATGACACAGATGCTGCAGAAAGACATGCCTAGTCCTTTCGGTGCAGACCAGACAGCTGGACTAGTGTTCGCAACACAAATGGCGCTAAGCAACTGTCGTTGGGAGTTGTTGCATGAAGCGTGCCAGGTTTTGGAGAGGTTGAGTGGCCAAAGATCTCGAGATTCGTAAATAGATCAATGGTTCTGTAGCGTGATGATATGTATTACTTTTATCAATCCCACTACCGGCGGTCTAATTACACAAACACACTTTACTTCATACTTTCACTCTTAGTTTCCACCCGCCCTTTGCTACTCTGCAACAAGCGGCGAAAAATGCTCCTAGTATAATGCAGCTTCCAGAAAATGCCTGCGCACCAGTGAAGCTTCCATTCATTCGCTGAATCAACACACCATCGATAGCAGGACCTGTCAACGTCGCAAATCCGACAATGCTCAATATCATCCCAATTCGCGTCCCTATTCTTCTCAGATCCGGTGTCATGGTGCTCGCAGTTGCAGGGAAGAGTGACTGGGCAGCTCCACCAACCAGGCCATAGACAACAGTGAAGGCGTATAGCCCACCGACTGAGTCTACGGCGATCCAAGCAAATATTACGATGGCAGCAGAAAGACTGAGAGGAACAAGGATATTAAGTTTGCCTGTCAATCGATCTCCCAAAATGCTGGGCACGATCCGGCCAACGATTCCAACACCGTTCAAAATCAAGATGAAAGGCATGGTGTTCTCAACTCCAATGCGATCTCGGGCAAAATTTCCCAGGAAGAAGAAGGCGAAATACAAGCCCCAGAAATTGAGAAACATGCTCAGTGTGAAGAACACAAATGGTGCTTCTTTGAAGGCACTCCAATCGATCCAAGGGCCTGACGCGCGCGCTTCGAACCGAGGCTTATAAAGGAATAGTCCAGGCATCTGAGTAATCAACATTACTAGACCAGCGGCGCGAACAGTCCAGCCGAATCCGATTTGTTGTGTGTAAAGCAGCTGGTCGACAAGAACAGGATAAATTAGGCCACCGGTTGCAGCACCGGCAGCAGCCATACCGACAGCAACAGCACGGTGCCTGGCAAAGTGAGAGGACATGATAGCAAGACCAGGTGCAAAGGTAAGACCATTACCAAGGCCCATACATACCGCCTGGGCGAGAAAGATCTGCCAATAGGTCTTGCAAAGAGAAAGCATGAAGAGCCCGAAAACTTGCAGAAAAGCACCAGTAGTGTAAACTATTCGAAAGTATCCAGCATCCGTCGCGCGACCTGCAAACGCTCCCAAGAAGAAGAGCAGCGAGACTTGTACACTTCCGATCCAAGCTATCTCCGATGATGACTTTCCTAGTTCCGCGGTGTATAGCTGCTCGAAGACAGAGAAGCTGTTGCTCACGCCCCAGGAATTGAAGAATGTAAAGTGCATGCAAAGGACTTGGAGCCAAGCTGTGAGACCTCCATCGGGAGGGGGACGTTCGGCCTTCGATTCGTCGGGTTGTGTGGAGTGGGATGGGTATTCCGGTTGTTTCGCGAGCTGAGACATCTTTGGGCTTGCTTGATCGGTTGTCTGCACATGTAGAGTACATTGTGGAATAGTTGAATAGAGACTCGCGACTTAAAGTACTCTGGAGGGAGGCGTCTCATCTCGGGGTGATTATGAATCACAATATTCCCAAAGACAGGCTCCGACTCAAAGCGGCCTGTGTTGCAAAACAGAGTGGGTCGGGTTTACGCTTGGCGACAGAGGGCTTGAAACCATGGGGTTCGATTAGTCTCAATGCCTCAATTCTAATCATCATTGACTAGCAAGAATTGATAGCGGGGTATGGCAATCTCTTAGAGCATTTCACAACTGGTGACCTGTTTCAGCTCATGGCTGTGGATTTTACTGTTCAGCGCCCCCGACGTTGTATTCCATAAAAATACAGCCGAGAAGCGTTTGAAATGATTAAGCTTTAGTTACAGTCAAATAAGGGTCATGGCGGTATTCTGCAAACGAGGTATCTCACTAGGGGAATCGGCCCACGGGTATCCCCTGCTGACCAATTTAACAAAACCCCGCCCGCGAACCGGGAAACCGGCATTGTTACAAATCTTGTTTGGAGGCCAATCATGCATTTCCTAACGGAATCTGACATTCACCTATGAAATTGGGCTTTGAACTGGTCATTGAGGTATAAGCACTTGAAGCACTTGAAGTCCTGAGTTATTGGGGTCATTCATGTCGGGTTTCTTGCCCCTCGAGGTCATTGTCTTGTTAGCTCGCCGTTGTGTCTGCAAGTAGTTTAGATGATGGAAATCGTAAAGAGGGTATGAAGAGGGTATCATTCTAGTATATTTATAATTAATAGAGGATTGAAGATCAAGAAGTACCGATCAACTGGGAAAGTTTTCCCTTCCAATCGTTCACGAGTTCTTGAGCTGCCGCTGTCTGTTCGCGTGAAACCTGCAAATCTGCTTCCAGTTGCGCATTCCTCGATTGAAGATCTTCCACTTTCTTCTTGAGAGTGTCATGATGGGAAATATTCGCTCGTAATCTAGCCAGTTCTTCATTCTCAGCTTTTCGATTGTCCAGGTCCCTGCGCAGAACAGCTATGTTGTTATCGCGGATCTTAACGGTCTGGAGATATTGCGTGTTTTGAATCTGTAGATCCTCAACTTGCGCTTTGAGAGACGCGACAGATTCCAGTTCACGGTAGAGAACGGCAAGCGAGGCATCGACTTCACTGGACAGCGTAGCAAATCGAGACTTGCGTTGTCGCTTCGGACGTGGTGATGCCGTATTACGATCATTATTTTCGCTAGGCGCGTTACTATTGGACGAGCCCGCGAGATCTATCGCGGCGGCTCGAGGCTGCACAGCGCGATAATCGGCAGGAAAGGGCGTCATGGCGTTCTTTGCTGCCTCTTGCTCCTGCATACTATTGAAAACTGCCGCAGGACCGACACTACCGTCGGGCATGCTACGCCTTGGCGCTATGACCGCGGGTTTCACTGTAGCATCTAGCTTTCGTGCAGGTGCTAGCCCTGGAGAAGGGGGAGGCGTAAGTGAAGGAGGGGCCACGTTCCAGCCACGTCGAACACAAATAGCGCAAAAGAGGTTGTCTGCAGTGTCGCGTCGAGAGCCATCTGGAATGCATCCGGCATGAAATGCTGGCTTGCACGTATGGCAAGGATAGAGATCGCCCGGTTGAAGGCAAACACGGCAGAATTTGTCATTTAAAGATCCGCTACCTGCATTTTGTCGCAATCCGGTGAGCATTAATCGAATGACACGGTTTCAATGTACGTACGACGCCAATCTTTGTGTCTTTGTATTTGAGCGGTCATGGGCTCCGTTTCGAAGGAATCAAGGAGCGCTGCCCATGAAATGATAGGTTGCTGTAATGTTGACTCTGATGCAGCATCCATTCCTTCGCTCTGGTCAATAGCTGGTCTGTTGGCCTGAGTTTGACCGGCATCGGATTCAACAAGAGAGGAATCGCGACGCGCTCGTTTGCGTGACGCGCCGCGGCCTGGGCCTTGTGCGCTGTCTTTCTGGGTCTTCCTAGGGGCCATCTTGCAAGAACAGAGTTAAAGCCAGGTAGGGAGGTATAGCTAGGCAAGTGGAAGCTTGAAAGAAATAAATCTTTGAATCTCGCATGGCCGGACCTCGCGAAAGGGAGATGGGAATTTGTCAGGTGGCCCCACCAGGATTGATTCCAGGTTGGTCAGCAATTGCCACCGACCGAGGGCCCGGCCTCCCCTACACCTACATTTCCGAAAACCTACGCAAGCCAATTCAACGATGACTTCCATCTTTTAATGTGCTCTTTTATTGGATCTAACCATCCTTGACTACTTAGATAGTATAATTCACTTCACATCAAGAGTATTTGCCCAATCCTTCACGGTCTGAACCTGGGCAAACAACGGCCACACTAAACCCGAGGCTGCATCGGTGAGCTCCTTGGACCAACCCGCAGTCGCATCCTTCCTGTTCAGCGGAAAATTCCCAAGTCAGTAAGGTAATTAATCTCCAACAGATTTCTATACTTACAGGAGCGTAACATGATAGCCGCTGAATGGAGCCATATCTGGGTCAGCAAAAAATGAAGGAGGAATCAATGATCTATCACGTACAGTTCAAAAGCGTGTCTTGCAGTCGCCTCCAGGCAAGTATTCGCCGTTAGTCCTGCAAGAGCGAGATGTGTAATCTCGCGTTGGCGGAGCTGAAAATCCAGATCGGTGTTCTGGAAAGAACTGTATCGAAGCATGAGCAATAAGCCAGGGCCCCCGCCGAAATTTCCTCATGATGCTTACTCGCTATTCCAATGCTTGCTCACGACCACGTCCCCGTTACTCGAGTCAGGCTCCAGACCCTCGTAAATACGAGAGCCAAAGGTGCCTTCTTCAAAGTAATGGATATCTTGCTGCTTCACGTTGCCAGGGGTCATGTGCCTCCAACCATTGAAACTTTCCCCTTTCCATTGTTGATGAAGGCCATAATACACAGGAATTTGATGAGAGCGAGCGGTCTGGACCAGCTCTTTCATGTTTTGGACAGCATCTCGCTCGTCAAGATCCTTGAGAAATGGTGTGAGCTTGCCCTCTGGATGGAGAAAGTCGTTGTAAGGGTCGACTAACACGACCGCTGTCTTTGCTAGGGTAGTCATTGTAAATACTGAAGAGTAGATAGATGAGACTGTGAGCTAGCATATGGGACCGGAGCTATTCGAGCAATTTATAGCCTTCGGCGCTTCCCTTTACTGCGGGTGACGTAGTGTAGGCCTCATTGGTGATTACCAATTTACGTCAAATTGTTTCCATGAAATGGAACTTCGCCTCGAGGTGCTACTTTAGCTGAAGAAGCTGGAACAAAACCGAGCTAGAACCTTAGCGCCCACCTCGATATATTACTAGGGGGGTCGAGCGTCTTCATAATTTGAACGGATAGAGATAGAGGGATCCTGACGAGATATTCTCGGGTATTGGAGTTGCTCATTATCTGAAAGAGATATGACTCTGTCCTGCTCTTTTCTTCAGATCATTTATATATCTGTGAAGTCAAGGTATCAGCGTTACCTCTAGTATACTGCTTCGGCTGCCCACCGATGGATTGATTGGTAATCTTTATTACTCTCTCGGCTTCGGGACAAGATTCCTGATCAACCATTGGTTCCAGCATTCCAACTGGTGCATCGAAATTATTTGTAATTTTCAATGGACTCGTTCAAGTTGGGTTTGGTGAATGTATCGGCCGCTTGGTATGATACAGCCTCGGCCTTTCAATCCCCCAACGGTGTCCCATTAGTCAACCTCAGGAGGGTAAGCGTCACGAAAATAAGCACTAGCATGGTAAGCACCACTACTGCTGTTGAGCTTTACTGGAAACTTAGCAAATTCCCAAGTTGAATTTGACACTTGGCAAATAATTCAAAGTGAGACAAAAATAACATTTAATCACAGTTCAGGAGTCTTCCTTAACAATTTTAGTAGATGGATCCTGGAGATGCAGTTCGAGTTGGAGATACTCTCGCCCTTCTTGATGGCTCATGAGAGTGAAGCTATTGGTAGATACAATCACCGTGATTGATATCACCGAGACAGACCTGTATCATGTCTGGGTTCGCGTTAAGTACTAGGTTCTTGGTCATCACCCAGGCAGGCCCACTGTCTGTATTGACTAACAACCTTGAGCCAGGCAATTTAGTGCCAACGATCAAGACTGGCCTTGGGAACACAGAGGCGGCATTCAACTTGCTGCAGGAGATATACTTCCGCTGTTGCACGATCTGACTGGGCTGCGCGGTCGTTGTCATATTCAACGGTCGAACGAGTTGGACTTCCCAATCTGAACGGGAATGAACGCAGGCTCTTCGTATATAATCCGGAGACGCAGTGGATGCAGGCAGTCTTGATATCTGCTCAGAGAAATATACCAGAAATATGCCAGGTCTGAAGAGAGTGACCAGAAAGTTTACTGAGATACACAGTGGCCACTACAAGAAGAAATCAAAAGCTTCCAAGGTTTGATATCAATGTTCTTCGTACAAAATACTCACTCTCCCCTTGCTGAGGTCCACAGTCAAGAATTAAAAGCAATTCAGGGCACCACAAATCAAGCAACGTAGCAATTCTGCAATCCAGCGTCTTCTTCTCCTGGCACCATTATTGATCATCTGCCGCTGTCGCTCTTTCTGGGAATGAGGGGATCCGTGCAATGATGGCGGCGTTGGAATACTCCTCCGCGCCTCTTCACCCAAAGACTGATGTTACGTACGAACCGCCGGGCGGCACCTGCTTTCACGCTGTGCTTGACAAAACAACATGGGTCTTGATCCTCATGAATCTGCATGAGACCGAGGCAATTTTTGAGGGTCACATCGCGCGCTTCATTGGTATTATCCCTGAAAGTTTCATTACTCACATGTGATTGCTGCCATTTGTTATATTCGTCCACGGTGACATCAAGCAGCCTATATATGATGGTTGATTTAGCAAAGCCGGCCTTAACAGGCAAGGCATCGTTAGCAGGAGTAGGTACCGGTGGTTGAGGTGCTTTAGTAGGGAGGACACTGATATTAATCGGAGGACACATTGAACGGATTGCGGAATTATCCGGGATTTCGTGTCGCTGGTCCTTCTTGGCATACAACTGCTTGTGAAGGCTATTGGGTAAATCGCCATAGGTCTCGATGGCTCCTTCTTGCTCTATGTATTTGACGAGGGCCTTCAAACGGTGTGTTTTCAATCGGTTGAGTTTTTTGCCCTCTAGGTCTTGCCAGCAGTATTGTCCTTCATGGCGATATGAAGGCCCGGGACATCACATAGCACGGTATATCTCGTGTCAGACGGAATATTGGCCGGAGACCTACTCGGCGTCCATAGGTAGGCCCGCGCTAGTAGCTGCTTCTCCGCTGCTCTCTAATTAATGCCATGCCTTCGAAGCGCTTGGTAAGATCTCGTTAGGTACGGTTATTCACAGATAACACTAGGGCCGTATCCTAAAATGAACTAGGCGGGGGAGTCAGGACTTGCTCCGTATCTTTTACAACGACTCGATTGTTCTATTTAAAATTCCACTCGATCTGGTAATAAATACAGTCTGAAGCTTGTTCATTCTATGCACTTCTACCTTCACCTTTAACCGCAAGATGGAAGCCCAGTTTCTCGGACGGATGTGATTGCAAGGAAGGTAAAATTTTACTAAGTACGTCCTTTGCATTGATAGAAGGGCATATTACTGATAAAGTCCATTCGCGGTACATATAACCGAGAGTGGGGCATACGAGCGAGTCCGTTTTCAGAGATCAGGTAGTTCAGGCCGGTATGTGTCATCATTATCGTTTAAAAGGGTGTAAGTCGTCGCCGAAAAGCACAAGATGCCACTAAAGAGTCTAGTAACATAGTTATGTGTTAGCTTTCACTGGGGTTTATCAGGGAGCGTACAGTAAAGAGAGCTATGGCTAACAGGTAAGCAAGACAAGGTATATCACACTTTGTAATTTTTGGTACTGAGTAAGCTCCTAGAATGTCATTTAGACATAGGAGTGGGAAAGGAAAGTGACACCTCGCTATAATCTCGTGGCCCTTCCAGGCTCTGGAGTTTGACTCGTGTGCATTACTACGGAAAATTAAATTTCCCTTGGGTCGCCAAGGAAGTGCGAGGCATGAATACATTTTTCTTAAAGTAAATTTACGGGAATGATTTGATATAGCAATGTTCATATCCCGGGCCTAGTCCCGATATAGACTAATGAGTTTTGCCATTGGGGTTGGAGAATCAACCGAATAGTGTACGTGGTCGCGTCAATTTCGGGACGTACTGTACCATGAATATTCGAAGTGTCTGCCCCTCAGTTCAGGCCACAGTTGACTAGCGGTCATCTGGGAACATATGAAGGGCTGTGGCTCTCGATCGGATAGGCTGGTAGCGGCGATCAAACGCACCGATTCAACACCCCTTGCACTAGACCCAATTCACTGCATAACTCTTTTAAATCTTCTCCCACCGACAATCAAGTCCCTGTGTAGACAGCCAGACGGATCACGCGAGGCCATGTGGATTGTTCAAGAGATACTCTGCATGAACCCAATAGGATGCCGTACAACTTCCCGAAGAATGCTACCCAGGCACAGGGATGCCAATCTCTCTCAAAATCCTGGATTCCATCGGCCAACACTGATCCTGGTTTTTCTGGATGTATTTCTGATCAGAAATTTTCTGTATTGGCAGAAATTGATTTGTCGAGTCGCTTAGGACCTAGGACCGTCTGATCGCCCGCGCAACTCGAATCCCGCATCCCCCTTGCAGGCGATGCGATACATCCAACGGCACGATTTGCCAGTTAGGAAGGTCCCCAGCGAGATTGTGCGTTGATTCGCGCGCAGATAAGATTTGAAACTCACATTGAGCGTCCGATCACTCACGAAAGCGGTAACTGACAGATTTGGCGCAGGAGTCACGGCGCCGTCAAACAGTCTATTGCCAATAGCCGCATTCTAGCTTAACCAAGACTATGTAACAACCTGCTTTGCCCACCACTAATCATTGAGAAATAATCAAAAAGGGCCGCTTCGATCGAAAGGCTCCTGGATGCGTCATTTTTGCTACTCGATGTATTGCCCAAATCGGCTCATGCACGTGGAGGCCATATGGTTGTTGACCCTCGCTTCAGGCATTCCTAAGGTTGCGGGTCGGGGTCGCCTCTTAGATGGGTCAGTTCGCTTGCTCTCCTTTTTCTATTCTGCTCCGAAGAGTTTTCTCTTTGGCTTGTCGCTCGTTTAGTCCTACATTCCTTTATGTCGCTCCTTTATGACTTTTTCTAACTACTGGCCGACTTGAACCAACGCGATGACTGTATCAGGGCGGAAAGCATCCCATGAGGGGGTCACACCGCTGAAGACGAAAGGCGAAATTGACGAAGTGCGACTGGAAGCTGCTTTGGGGCATAAGCAAGAATTAAAAAGGAACTTTGGACTGTGGAGTTTGACGAGTCTAGGTATTGTGATCGCAAAGTACGTCGTGTCTTGCCTTGGTGGGGTAGCCCTATAGACTAATGTCTTCTAGCTCATGGGCATCAACAGGAGGTACTATCGTTGCAGCTCTCCAAAATGGAGGGCCTATGGCCGTCATCTACGGCCTCATCCTAGTCAGCATCTTCTACACAGCAATCTCCGCGTCACTCGCGGAACTAGCCTCCTCCATGCCCTCTGCCGGCGGTGTATACTACTGGTCCTCAGTTCTGAGTCGCAACAGCGGTCGCAAGGCTGGATTCTTCACGGGATATCTTAACGCATGTGCATGGCTTCTATCTTGCTCGTCAATGAGCTCGATGCTAGGAAATGAGGCGGTGGCCATGTATTTGCTGAAAAACACGGAGACGAAATGGCACACTTGGCATGTCTTTATCGTTTTCCAGATCGTCAATTGGGCGTGCTGCGCGATTGTGTGTTTTGGAAACAGATTGATCCCGTTGATTAATCGTGCTGCCCTAACGCTTTCTATGTGTGGCCTGGTCGCCACGGTCATCGTTCTCGCTGTGATGCCGAAAAAGCATGCAAGCAACTCTCAAGTATGGCTCGAGTATCACAATAATACGGGCGGATGGTCAGATGGGGTATGCTTCATGACTGGCCTCTTGAATGCCGCATTTGCCGTTGGAGTTCCTGACTGTATCAGCCATTTATCAGAAGAAGGTATACTCAACATCCTCATTCCCTATGTACATATCGTGAACTAACAATCCAACAGTCCCAAAACCGGAAACTAAAGTTCCACAAGGGATAATGCTCCAAATGCTCACATCATTCACAACCTCCTTCGTCTACCTAATCGCCCTCTTCTACTCAATCAACGACCTCGACGCCGTCTACAACAGCAACATCGGCTTCTTCCCCACGGCCGAGATATATCGACAGGCAACAGGCTCAAACGCAGGTGCGATCGGCCTGATAGCAGTCTTATTCCTCGCCACCTTCCCAACACTCATCGGAACATTCGTAACAGGTGGTCGAATGTGGTGGTGCCTTGCCCGAGATAACGCGACGCCCTTTTCGAGCTACTTTGCTCAAGTCCATCCTACATTGCACACGCCTGTCCGCGCGACTGTTGCTATGAGTGCAATAGTAACATGTCTGGGATGTATCTATATCGGCAGTACAACGGCATTCCAGGCACTTATCTCGTCGTTCATTGTTCTGAGCTCGCTTTCCTACTTCGGTGCTATTTTCCCGCATGTTCTTTCTAGTCGTCGAAACATGGTTCCAGGGCCTTTCTATATGGGCCAGCGACTCGGCATGGCTGTTAACCTGATTGCTTTAACGTATATTGTGGTTACGGTGGTGTTTTTCTGCTTCCCGCTGGTTCTACCTGCGACTGCGCAAAATATGAACTATACCAGTGTCATCATTGTTGGATTGATGTTTTTGGTTGCGATGTGGTGGATCCTTCGGGCACGCCGCGAGTATCAGGGACCCCAATATAGCTTCGAGGCTGCGGAGAGATTGAGTGCCTTTCAGAGTGGGAAGGAGGGCCGGAGGTCATTTATTGATCTGGCGGGCTCAACATCTACACCTACGTTGGAAGATCATGGGTACGGGAAACGGTGAAATGAGGCACAAACAAAGATTCACTAGCGATGTTTGGGCGTATACTGTCTGTTAAAATTTCCTTGTGTGTTCTTTTTTTTATTTTTTATTTATTGTTTGATACCTTGTTCGTGATGTGTAAATTGTCGAGAATGATACGAAGAACATACTGCTTAGTCGTACTAGCCATTGATCATACAAGTGACGATTCCAATGAGGATGATTAAACGAATATTGGTTTCTCTTCATTTTGAACGGTTCGGAAGCATCTTGAGGTCATCAAATATTATGCATAGAGAGATCAAGCCGGGATGGAAGTCAAAGCTCACGACTTTACAGCCGGGACTTGATGCTCTGGCCACCCTCCCAGGAGTCACCAGCCTCCAAGGTCTGCCAAGCAGACACAGAGCCGGCCTCAACACAAATCATGTTCTTGTACGCATCATCGGGGCTGAAGTCGGCCATACCCTTGGCCTTCTCGATCCACGGGTTCCAGACCACTACATCGGTCAGCGCCTCCCGTGTGACTGAGAACAAAGTCTTGTCATCGGAAGAGGCAACAACGATCGGCTTCTCGGGGTTAAGGTCTTGGTAAACGCGATCGACCTCTTCAGCAATAGGCAGGGCATTAGAGGACTCGGTGTGGGTGGACGCGTTGCGGACCTTATCGACGTAGGTCTTGGACTCAAGGTTCTTGACACGAATTTCAGAGATGTCCTGCTCAAGTTAGATGCTGCCAATGCCAGAAAAACCAAAGGGAGTCTTACTGCAACTCGCAAGTAGGTGTGCATCAGGACCTGGAAGTCAAAGTTCTTCTTGCTCTCATTTGTAACATTCAGAGAGGTCGCCAATCCGTCCTTCGAAAGGGTGACACTGTAGACGAGTCCGAACTCGTAAGGCCAAGCCTCCTTAAAGTCCTCACTCAGCATGTTATGGTTGAGACCGAAATCCAGCTTAACAGCGAGATCACCCTGTCCAGAGTCCGAGGAAGACTTGCCCAGGAACTCCCAGGTGGAGTTGCGCGCGAATCCATGTTGGGGCAGGGTTGAGGTAGCGTGGTTCTGCGGGGGTGGACCGAAGACCTGTAGAGCGCAAGCATGAGGTTAGCTTCTGAAGCTAGTTATCTGAGGAATTTGAGACGTAAACATACCGGGAACACGAGCGGAATACCACCACGAATAGGCTTAGAGCCGTCCAGAAGAGCCTTCTCACTCAGGAACAGCTGTTCCTCTCCGTTGGCCTTCCACGAGGTGACCGTGGCGCCGTACAGGTAGACAGTGACGGACTCGCCGGAAGGCAAACTGGCTTCGATGGTGGCATCCTTGATCGAGACAGTAGGCTGGGGGACAGATCCACCCACGCCGATGGCGGACGGTTTCTTAGAGCGATCCATGTTGATGTGCAAAGGTGAAAGAGTTGAAGCTACGTGATGGCGGGGGATCGGAGCTTTGCCCCACTGAATTACTGCCGCCAACTCAACTTGTTCCACTATTCCACTTATTTTACTCCTGCATCTTCGAAACATCTTCGAAACATCTTCCCATTTTAAAATTATTTACTCTTCTAACCATGCTGCAGGAGTGCAGACGTGTTGCCTTTTAGACTAACCTCCTCAATCCGACGTATGTCGACTTCTGTCAATCGCCAGCCTAACGCTCGCATGTTCTGTTCCGCTTGCTCCGCGTCGCGTACTCCGACCATGGGTACGACCCCCTTGTTGATGGAGTAATTGAGCGCAACTGCTGGGACAGGCACCCGTCGCTCTTCAGCGATGCTCTTCAAAACTTCGATCGTAGGCTCGAGCATATGCATTGGGTAGCTACTGAAGCGTCTGGTGCGCGCAGGTTCCTCAAATCGCGAGTATTTACCCGTGAGTCGACCCTCGCCGAGCGATGCGAAGCCCTGGAAACAGATGCCGCGCTTACGGCACTCACGTATCATTCCGCTGGTTTCCGGAAGGCGGCGAATAACCGAGTACTCGCACTGGCAAACGGACAACGGAATGCCAGTCTTGGCCAGCTCATCAGCCATTGCAATCATTTCTCGCGTGTCGTAGTTGGCCACGCCCACTGCTCGAGTCATTCCGGACTCAACGCAATCCGCAAGACCCGTTGCGACCGAGGAGATCAGGCCGGCGTGAATGGGCCCCTGCACCAGGTAGATGTCGACATAGTCGAGACCGAGGCGCTTGAGTGACCCATTGAGCTTGGATTTGGGGCCGCGCGGCTGAAGGAGCAGGTTGCTCAGGTTTCCAACCAAGTGCCACTTTGTCTGCACTACGAACGAGTCGCGCGGCATGCCCTGGAACAGCGTACCGCAGATCCGCTCACTTTCACCGTCACCATACGACTGTGACGTGTCCACGAAAGTCAGGCCGACTTCTTTCAGTTTGGTCCATGCTTGATGGATCTTAGGAAGGTCAGTGGTCGGATTGTAACCAAATGTGGCCTTATCGCCCCACGCCCATGTGCCAATACTCATGTACGGGATAAGCACGTTCTTGCCACCGTGACCATGCAAAGCAATGCGGCTCTGTGGATCTGGTATTATTTCTTCTGGTAGGACATGTGCCGGATCACTGGCACTAGGGTCCACGGGCTTGGGGTGCGGTGATTGTATGCCCTCCGTTGCGGACATGCCGCAGGCCAAGCCGACCTGCATCATATATTGGGTTCCGGGGGTCGCCATGATGGTATTATGACTTTATCAGGTTCAATTAATCGAGGTCTAGATTGGCAGTTGAAATATTTTGAAAAAGGAATGTAAGGTAGGTCGAGGAAGGTTGGCGCCTGTGGCTTTATCTACTTCTAGTACCTAGGTGGCGGGTGTCCTGCGTCAGTCGCCATCGTCAGAACACGGGTTTGCACGTTACATCTTGAATGATACGGACTCCTTTGTCTTTGATTGGATCCGGTTCGAAGACCTAGAAGCTCAATGTCTTGCCTCCGATGGATGTTGTGGCAACTCCATATGGAGAGGTGGGCGTGAAAGACGGTCTAGCGCCATGCAGTGGCCAATTTAGGTGTCTGCCGTGGATCGATGTACTCATAATCTCACTAGCTGCGATCTTACACTCCATGTTCCAGTACTCAAGTAAAATAGAGGCTTGTAGACAGATTCCTATATCACGGATAATGGATGTTCCGAACTCATTCTGAAGGACCCACACGAAAGACATCTGAGTTGGTTGTGTCCTACATCGCCAGCGGACAAACTATGGCGTAACACTCAGCATCCTTGGAGATGAATCCTTTCACTTTCCTCACCCAATCTCGGGCAAACGCAGCCTGGCACCCAGTTGGCCTTGCTTCCGCGCTGCCTGACTTGGACCTCGATAAAGACGCATATCGAATTGCGCCGAGGTGCAAGGCTTTTACCATTCCGAAAAATGAAGGCGATTCAGAGGACAGCCCCCCGGTAGAAGCAGATATTGATACGCCGGGGGATTTAAAGGATCAAGTTCTCGTGTTCAAATACAAGGGCAAAATTCATGCCGTTGATCATGTACGTGAACTCGGAGATGAAGACACTGAAATAAGCTGAACCTCTATAGCAATGCCCTCATTCGGCATTCCCGCTTTCTCAGGGCAATATCTTTGACATTGAAGATTTCGGAATCACATTGAGTAGTGGAATTTCATGTCCGAAGCACGACTGGTCGTTCGATCTGCACACTGGGCGAGGAGATCGCGGAAGCTACACGCTCAAGTTGTGGGAAGTACAACTGCGCGACTCGCCACCATTAGATGAATCCAACAAGGACGATAAGGAAGTTTGGGTCCGGCGCAAGCAAAGAATCGGTTAGCGTTCAAGTTCTATGCAAATTAAATCCATCATTCATCGCTTTTGCAACCCTTCATGCCAAGCATTACATCTTTGAGATAAATAGAGATCATCGGCAGGGGACGAACATTCATAAGTTCCTGTATATGAACGTCTTTGTTCACGATAAGAAAACATGGAGGAATATAATCATCTATGGATGGGCCCCTTAGTTTCGTCCTTGAAACGCCTTCATGCTTCGGCATTGCGTCCAGAAATTCTTGTTCTAGCCTCATCATACTACCAATCCTCCTTATGACCATTTTCGGGAATAGTCGAATCTATAGGTAGAAAAAACCTTTTACTACCAAAAGCATCTTGGCACGAGTTCGAGAATCAAGATGAATAAACGGCCCGGAGCCTCGGCCCCTGGCGTCCCAACGACCCACCGGCCACACGAGCAGTCCCAACGAACCTGTCGTCCAGTACCGCGGTTTTCTACTACTCCGGACAAACTGCCTTATCGGGTTATAGCCGCACAGTGCAAGTTGATATTTAAAGATCAGCTAAAAATCTTCTCACCTCGTGCAAACTCCACACAATAGTTAGCACAATGCCGACAAAACCGGTGCCATTCTCAGGGTTCACCGCGCTATCCGAGCGCGTTTACCTACGCGACGGCCATGAATCAGCCAAAAAGGCACCCCCTAATGACCCAACCACAATCATAATCTTCGGCTGGGGCGATGGCATGCCGAAACACGTCTCGAAATACACGGATGGATTCCATGAACTCTTCCCTTCCGCTAGAATTCTAGTCGTTCTATCGGGTACGCTCCAAGCGTCGAATCAACCCCTGGAAGCGCGTATCGAGGCTGTCATGCCCGTTATCGATACTGTTTTCCCTACGCCTACAGGCGATGGCCTGGAAGATGAGCGGATCCTTTTGCACGCGATGTCAAATACAGGCGGCATCTTCTGCGCTGCTGCTGTTGTCGCTTATCAGCGCCGGCACGGCGCGGATAAGATGTTACCGCATAAGCTTCTCGTCTGCGACTCCACGCCTGGAAGTTTAGATTTCGCTTCTCAGGTCGGTCGCTGGTCAAGGGCGATGGCGGTCGGAACATCGAAGTTCTTCCCGTGGCCATTCATTATCACGCAGGGTCTATGGTATGCGTTCTTGTGGGCGAATTTTGCCTGGGAATACATGCGCGGCTCGGAGCCGTCTGGTGTGTGGGCGAATCGGGTGATGAATGATACGACGATTACGACGCTTGATTCGAGCAGGTTGTATTTGTATTCGAAGGAAGATGAGATTATTGGGTGGAGGGATTTGGAGGAGAATGTTGCGCAGGTTAAGACTGTCGGGTATCAGTTTGAGACACAGATGTTTGAGGGTTCGCCACATGTTGGGCATATGCGCCTGCACCCGGAGCAATATTGGAATAGGATTCTTGGGTGTTGGAAAGAGGCGCAGGCGAAGCATTGATTTGGGCAGTACTGGATGAGGTATATCAAAGGCGTTGGTACAGTGAATCATTTAGACTCTGATAATAGGTAGAATAATGCTTAGATAGACTTTTCGGCTCCATAAATGGCACAGTGGTTTACTTGAAAGAGTTAATAGTGGGTCTAACTGAAACTTCTCTGGAACGCGTAATACTACAGAAAGCAGAAATGACTCGGAACGAGCACTACAATGGAAGGAAGAAAATAAAGGGTATGAAAGCCAGTACATTTGCAAAGTCGCTGTTGGTTTTATGGATATAAGGTACATGTAGGGGAATAAGGACAATCCAACAGCAAAATCAACATCCAAAGCAAAAAATATCATGTAAACGCCATTCGCTATGCACTGTACCGGTGTGATGCTTCATGTGCCTCGATACGAATGTTGAAAAGCAAGTCGTCGACCTCGCGGAGAGCATCGGGTCCCAAAGCCGCCGATTTCATGTCACCCAGGAGCTTCTTCAGTGACTCAGCGATGCCCTCTTCGGCGGTGTCGGGCTGGGGGAGTTGTGGTGTAGTGTGGTATTCGGCATTATCGATGTTCGCCACTTCTTCGATCACCACGCTGAGTCTCTGGTGATGAGACATGTCAATTTCCATGTTCATTTTCGCATCAATGGACGAGCCCATGTCTGTCATTTGAGAGTCGGTGGCCTCCTCGGTCGAGACAATCGGGAGGCTGTCGGGAACCACGTCCTGATCATCTTGTTGATCTTCAAGTAATTTGCTTTGACGTCTAGACAATCGTGTTTTGCGTGAGCGCGTGTCTGGAGCTGACCTGACTTGAGTGGAACTCTCTTCGGTACTGTCCCGGGTGGATTGATCTTCGAGTTGAACGAGTTTGCGTGATCGCTTCGATGGGGGTCGCGGAGTTTCTTCATCTTCATTATGCTCCTGCGTCGATTCAGAGACTTCAGTTGTGGTTTCGTCATTCCGTTGAGAGCCACGGGTAGAACGGCGCAGCGTCGGAGATGATAATTTGTTTGAGGTATCCAGTTCGTCCATGTCACCGGCATCGACTTCCTTGGTCGATGACAGTCTAGTTGATCGACGCCGATCCTTTGCAGTGGGCGTACGAGATTCGTGATCATCCCGCTTCCTCTTCTTTGTGGAGACTGGTGAACGCGGTTGTTCTTCACGCTGAATTTCGTCAATATTCTCACGCAAGTCCACGGCGAGTTCCAAGTCTTGTTCAAGCTGAGAGGCGATTTGCGTTTCCACGTCCTCGCTAGAGGAATCGATAGAATAATCCGGAGCTGTAGCTGGCGCTGGAGCTGGGATGAGAAGGTCATTAGTATCGACCTGTTCCGTTTGTTGGTTCTCCTCATTCGTCGGCTTCGCTGAATTCCGCCTCCTTCTTTTCTTCTTGGACGCAGATTTGGACTTATTATCTTGCACGGAAGGAGAATCGGTGTCTTTGGCGGGTGTTTCGATTGGTGCGATGGAGCTCGTGTTCTGGTCATTGAACGCGCCATGGCCCAAAGCAGACCGCGTACGACGGCTCGGTGGCCTTTCATCCGATTGAACAGCTGCGTTGTTTTCCTTGGGGTCTTCAGGCACATTGTCCTGAGCGGGTTCTGCGGCGTACTGTTTGTCTGGATTCGATGGGGCAGGGCTGTTCATATCGGTTTGCTGCTCGGCTGCACGACGAAGCATCGCTTCTTTGGCTTTTGCAGACCTCCGCCGTTCATTTTTCTTGCGCCTTAAGCTTTTGTTTGGACTAGGACTGCGGGAATCTAGCCCTGGCGGCGAGGACGGGGGATCTGTCGCATCGATCGTGATATTTTGATGTTTCAAAACAGGAATATCAGAGTTCATGGCCGGAGTCGGATCCCGAGTTGCAGGAGTTGGCGAAGAGCCGACGAACCCCTCCTCGTTCTCTGCAGGAGCAAGAGTTGGTGTCAATGGAATTTCAGAGCTTTTATGCAAGATCTGCAGCCTGCGCACGTAGACTGGCGTATCGTAGCCAGGTCTTTCAGAAGTGTTGACGGGAGAAGAGGACCCGATGTTTGCAACCCCGTGAAAGAAATCTCGTCGGTTGGTTGGAAAATGAGCTCTTAAAATGTCGTCGGTGATCTGCTCTTCTCTGAGGTCGGGTTGCACATCAGGCAACTGGGGTTCAGCCGACTCTGCACTTTCACCAGCATTGGCCGGCTTTCTTTCAAGGGAGGGAGAGATGATTGAGCCATGCGATGAGTCTACACGCGATTCTGGCAGATCAGGGCTGGTAGGAATATAACCGGGGCTGTTCGTACTCAAGGCCTGCGGTTCCCAGGAGTCAAGAGAAGAATCGACGAGGATGGGCCGAGTTGAATCCACTTTGTCAACATGGTCTTCCATGATAAAGTTAGAGGCGATAAGTCGAGATTTGCTTCGGCGTGCCCTATCTTTCATTGGAGTTGAATCACCGAATGCTTTGCGAGCGGTCTCCGACTGTTCCCAGAAGCCAATGAAACCAAGGGCTCTTGACATTTGAGTAGACTCCAGCCCATCGCAGATGAGACGCTCAAACTTCTTGTAATTCAAAGTGTCGTCAATGCAGGTGTCCAGCACATTAAGAATGGCATCTGACAGTGATCGATACTACCAGTCAATTAGCCTCTATCAAAATTAATCCACCGTAGATGGAAACTCACCGCATTCTTAATTTGGCTATCTACGCCACCCGAGACATCAAACTTGTGTTCTTCATCTTTCATCCATGCTGCAAGAGTGGGCTGCAACATGAGGAGAAGATTGGAGCGGAACTGTTTTGTGCCAGAGCCGAGAAAGATAGAAAACGCTGTCAAGAAGTCATCCAGACCATCAGTCTTCAGGGAACCAAGAAGTCTGTATGCCAACCGCAGAGTTGATGCGATCGCCTCGATCAGCTGTGCGGGAATCAATGATGAGCTTTCCTGGTGAGTAACAGTATTCTCGATTCCCAGTCCAGTCTCTTGTGTGAAGAAAATCGAAGAGGCATGGTTGAGTAGTGATGTTAGGTGCCGATAAGAGCTTTCGGTGGGAACACATAGAAGACCTTCGGCGAGGGGCACAACGATCAGATTGACTCGATCACCCTTCTCTGTTTCCACTACATGCAGGAATGCACCTAGTAGATTTGACCACTCTTGGGAGGAATCCGTAAACTGCAAGCCATACAATAGAGTCTTTGTAATGTTGTCATAATCCCGTGAAACAGAACCATCACGTTCGCGGGCAGATTCAACTGGGAATGACCGCACGGTATCTGCAGCCGCTCGGGCACTGGATTTCCAAACCTCTTCATGAGACAACGACGGATGAGAAGAAAGTGGGGATTTTTCTGTACTGAGATTTGCACATTGCTGTAAAAGTTCGAGGCGGGACCCGCGTGAGATCCTGCCATTGCATGACGCGCCAATGGTCTCATCAACCAGCCGTCTATAGGAAAGAGTGGGTGCTGTTTTCACGGTGGTGGTCCTGATTATTCGCAAAAGATGAAGAATGGGACTATCCATCTCGGTGCCTGCGCCGGACAGGTGATGTGTCGGGGTACTACCAGCCTCGGACATCCCATCCAAAGTTTTCAGTAACAGCTTTTCGGTAAATGGAATTCCGCCAAGTGACAAGATGATCGTTTTGGAGAGGAATCTGAATCTTTCAAAAAAGATATCCGTAGATTTATCGCCAACCGCGTTCAAAGAGGGGGGTCCGGCAATCCACAGACGATGAAGTAGGCCAAGAGCACTTGCAACAGCCTGCATAGACTCGCCCGATGGTGTGATTTCTTTGCTAGAGGCAAGAGACAGAGCACTGCCAAGGCAATTCCAGGCCGAGGCAATATTTGAACGCTCGAGGGAGTCATCATCCCAGACTGATGACTTGAACAAGGATTCAAAGACCTTCAGAACCACAGATATTCTCGAACGTACCCATTTTGGGTCAACGGAAGGTATTTCGTCCACCTCAATCTTGTTGTTGTCGTTGATCCGATTCTCACTCCAAACTTTGGCTTGTTGGGTCCACAAGATGTTTCCCAACACACGGGAAGCGCTGTCGCTGAGAGCCGGCAATGTTGAAAACGTACATGTAGATGGCATGGCAACATACTCCTCCCAGATCATATCAAGGTATCGATGGGAGGAAGACGGACGGAAAGTATAATACAGCAGGTTATAATAGCTAGCCAAGGCAAGTTGTGTGGGTGGCGAAGCAGACTTATCCGACTTCTTTTTCTCAAATTGCGAGAGAACAGGCCTACCCAGCATCTTCAGCAGGGCCAGACCGGTGGATTCATCGGGGCTGACGGCATACACGAATCGATTCCAGCTGACAATAGCGTGTGCCTTTATGACAGGCTCGCTGCAATTGAAGCACTTTTGAAGAACAAGAACCCATTCCTTGAAGTACTCCCATTGGTCCAATCTCCACTTCTTACTCCGAAGCAGAAGGACGATAACGCTCCAGACCTGTGGAACATGAACCCCGCTATCAACGGAGCCCATCATCCTTGACATGCGTTCGTGGACCTCGGCGGCCATTTTCCTGTCACTCCCAATCGGTCGGTCAAAAAGATCGCGGATGCTCTTGGAAACACCGGGGCTTGGTCCTGCAGCCATAGAGATCTGAAAACCGAGTGCGACGGCTTTAGCGCGGGTCTCCTTCACCTGATTCAGCAGGCCATGGACCAATTGCTCGACCCAGAGTGTAGAATGGGAGACGAACGTTCCCTTGGCTTGAGTGAGAAGGCGCTGATAAATACTCAATCGGTGCAGCGCAATCGCTTTTCCGGCGATGCGCTGGTTCTCATCTTGTAAAACAGTGAGAATGCGAGTGATTCGAGTACTAGACATGACTTTGGAACCGAAGTTTTGAGTGGCCAATATTGACATGTAATGTGTCAAGACGGACTTGGGCGCTTTGCCTTCCTGGAGACCAGTGATTGCATGCTCCACGAGGAAAACCCTAAAATCCTCCGAGAGCTGCGCCGAGATTTCTTTGTGCCACACAAAGGCATTGCAGAGCTTCAAAGCCTGGATGGCGAGATTTGTGTCCAGTGGCGCGGGATCCACAAGATTTCGACTGACATCACGCTGGATAAAGTCTGTAATCAGGCTTAATTTTTCAGCAATGTCTCTTCCCGCTGGTAATCCATCATATGTACGCAAAGCTCCAAAGAATTGCATGTACGCGTCAAGGCGAGAGGTTATGGACTCTCCAGCCAACTGCTGGATGACCGATTCGAGGAGCATGGCAAGCGATTCGGTGGTAAAGGTATCGACATTGGGAGACCACACAGGAATCGGAGAACTGGTCTCTTTGAGGATGGATTTAAACGGCCGGTTGTCAACTGAGAGAGGACTCTTAACGTTGGGGCTGTCCTTCGATTTGGACTTTTTGAGGAACCGCGGCGACTGAATTGTGGTGGTGATGTGGGGCCATGGCGAGAAAGTCACACGTTTGGATCCGCGACTTGATGGAGGAGCCCTGGAATCTGGTTGGGATGACTGCCCGGGGGTTTGAGCGACTGGCGACTTTCGGTCTTCAAGGCGAGAGCCTGGCCTTGGGGGTGTGGGCGGCCGAGCAGGGACGGGGAGAATCTCGACCATGGTTTAAAGCAAGTAGCGAATGAAAGAAATTAACATTGCTGGATAGGAAGCAGATCGAAGCCCTCCCATGAACGACCGGAGTTGATGGAAGCCAGGGCCGGTTGAAAACTAGGTTCGGACGCGCCGCGCATCGCGTAAAGTGGCCGTGTTCGGCCTCAGGCACAGATTACGCGCTATCCAGGTGTCGAGGCCACTATCCGTCGCGCGACTGACTCCTCTTTAGACTGATCAATTTTTACCCAGCAATAGGGAATGCTTGAAGCTTCCGGCGGAAGAATGAATCTTTTTATCCTGTTTTTTTAATACTAGTTACTTTCACTTTATCTTGTGGCGTTATTGTCTCCCGCCTACGGTATGTGGCGCCCAGATATATACTTCATCACCATGGAATTGACCGATCCAATGTGTATTTGCAGAGTACACCTGGTACTAGGTTTGGGTAGATATATATGTAACCACACTACAATTACTTGAGACCCTCACACACTTCTACTCAAAAAAAAAAAAAATCAGTTTCAGCCGGAGACTTTCGATCTCATTATCAACTCTTCAATTATTCCATCGCATCTGGATGCATCACCGCCTGCCTAACTGGGATACACACTTCATTCGCCATCATTTTTGAGCTGTTCTGAGCTTTGTTCTTTGCCTTGAAGTCAAATATTCGAACATTGAACTATATCCTAATTTAGCGCACAACCTTTAAAACCGAAAGTCTCCGAAGTTCACCTGACACCGGAGCAGCGGATGATGCAGAAAGGCCCGAGGAGCTTAAGTGGGGTCTCCCTTTACGAGATTTTGGATCGCAACCCCTTCCCCGCGTTCTCGCTTTGAACCCCTCGACTACTCGCAGCCTGTATCCTTTTGCTGTGAAAGTTTTGCGGTTCTGCTTGACTCTGCATTGCCAGCGTCTCCTGTTGATAGTCCGCCGGTTGGCCGGAAATCCTCGAGTACCTTGATTCTTGCCGACCCGATCTGTGCAAATCACCATGGAGCTTCTCCAACTACAGGGTCCAGGTAGGTGTTGACAAATCGAAGTCTACGCGATCAAATTCAGTTTTGAGGCAAGCTAATTCATTGCAATTTATAGCAAAGCTACAGCAGGTTACAAAGTTGCTCGACTCCCTCAAAAAAGATGTGCAGGAGAAGCAGCTCACATCGGCCCGTAAGTCTGGAGGTCCCAGGAACATGGAACGAAAGATTTTACTTACATAACCTCTCTCTACCAGAAAGAGTTCAGACACTTCTTCAGTTGCGCCAGCACGGCACGAACCCCACCGACGCGGGACCGATCTACTGCAACGATGTACGAGGAATACAAAGGTCTCATTCGGACCAAGCTCTGACATTATCGACAGGGAATCGGGATACTAGCACGCTATGGCGTCGAAGGAGAGTCGGTAGATGTGCGCCGCGCCGCCTTGCGCTGCGTGGCTAATGCGCTCCTCCTCGACTCGAAGATGCGACAGGTCTTCGTGAACACAGGGCTTGCGGGCAGACTGGCGGAAAGACTGAAGGTGTGATTGAACGTGGCATGAGTCACTTGGCAGGTACTGACGAGTCCATGCAGGTTGACAATTCAGAAGACGAAATGGTCACAAGCCGAATTCTGTTTCTGTCAACATACGACAGCAACCTCGATTTCGAAGTCTTGATCAAGAAGCATGCCCTTGGTGATAACGTCAACTACGTGAGTTGAACTGTTTTCTCGGTTATCCTGGTATATACTGATCCGTACTCAGCAACTCGCTCGCCACGCAAAGCAATTCCCAAAGTCGGGCAGACAGCCTCTGTCACAAATGGACGAATTGGCCCTGATAGACACCTTGAAACTGATCTTTAACGTTTCGAAGATCTACCCAGACCTCGCAGTCACATTTTCACCCTCGATACCACACGTTTTAAAGATCATCAGCCGCATGGATATCCCCTCAAAGCCTCTGGAAGGCCTGGTCAGTTACTTGATTAACTCCTTATCGGTTCTTGACCTGGAAGAGAAGAAGAGCAAGGTGTTTGAGAGTAGCCCTCTTTTCCCGAAGTTCAACCAGAACTGCAATGTGGATAAGTTGATCAACATCCTTGACCAAGCGGTGTCAGTATACAGCCCAGAAGAGCTAGAAGAGAAGGCCGTACCGTTGTTACACTCCCTCATCGTCGTCCATGAAGTTGCACCCGATGGGCCGCGCAAATATATGCAGTGGCTTCTGCTGCCAGAGGACAGCGACCGCAACTTGCCCATTGGACAGTCCGACACACTATCATCACGACTATTGAAGCTCTCTACCAGCCCCTACCCGAACCTTAAGACTGGTATCTCCGAGCTCATGTTTGTGCTTTCTGGAAAAGATGCCGAAAACCTCACAAAGAGGATCGGTTATGGCTTCGCTGCGGGATTCTTGGCGTCTCGTGGTATGGAGATCCCACAGAGTGCCGGCGAGGCATATGCCGAGAATGGAGGTGACGCAACGGTCAATCCTATTACCGGCCAGCGCTGGGCGTCAGAACCAAAGGACGACGGCCCACCAATGACTATGGAAGAGAAAGAGAGAGAAGCAGAGAGACTATTTGTCCTGTTTGAAAGGTCAGTTTGCGTACTACGAAAAGATATTGTCAGTCAGCTGCTAATTATAATTACAGGGCGAAAGCAAATGGTCTTCTGTCCGTGGAGAATCCTGTAACCCAGGCTCTCCACGAAGGAAGATTCGAGGAACTATCTGATGATGCTGACAGTGATTAATGTTTGGAACTTTCTCAAAGTATACGTATGTGGTTAAAAGCATGCAAGGCGGTTCAGTTGCCGACAAAGATTTGCATGATAGAATTACCATGAAACATGACTTTGTAAATACACTTCCGTTGAGGATTTTCCAATAATCCAGCGGTTTTACATACAACCCCCAGACAAGACCCTTTTCAATGGTCATCTCGAACGAGGCAAGGTACCGGTCCATACAGACGTGGTCGCCCCCAAACGTTGCGAAGTGGAAGGCAATGACTCCAAATTTCGGTTTTGAAGGAAGGAAGTATGGATTGCGTGAAGTTACAGCCAGAGAAATCAACTGCCGTGTACATCCCCTGCAAGACTTGTGCGGGCATGAGTCCATAACGTAGACTTGATCATGATTCGCAAGGAAAAAGATACAATGTCCAGACGTAGGGGCTCAATTTTACCTGTTGTGCTCCACAATGGCAGAGATCTATACGCAGAGGAGGGTAGAATAGGCAGAGCAGGTATTGAAAAGAGCACAGAGAGAGATGGAGGGGCCGAAAGAAAGATCATGGACAGAAAAGTGAAACTTCGAGAGAAATATAGAGAAAGAGCCAAGAAGAGAGTAATGTGCTCAGAGATAGAGATGCGTCCGCAAAAACAACGAGGAGAGATAAAAGAAAAGCAGAACAACAATCTGAGAGAGATTTGTGATTCACTGAGAATTCTGATCCAATAAAGCGCCAGAGTTCTCTAGATGTCTAAATTCATGTAACTAGCTTATAGCCATAACCGTACCTCCCTTCAAATGTTCTTTGCTTCCAAAAAACTTCAATGTTTGGTGAGAGTCCATATACTCTCACCGCCGTTTGAATGACGTCGTGTGAGGTGGCAGAATTATGCTCCGCCCGCCGAAAAAATGTTCGCGGGGCACAGCGCTTTCCTCCCCACTTGACTCAACTCCATTGAGAATACCACCTTTCCCTTGTGTTTGTTTGAAGAGTGAACGCTTTCTCAAATTTGTCAAAATGTCGAAGCCTTTTGATCCGGAGCAGGCCGAGAACCTGGAGGATGTAAGTTGCAAACGTTGCCCCGCTAGCCGAAGAACAGTGAATCGCTGACTAGCCCAATAGATGGAAAAGCAGTTCGCAGTGAAAGGTTGGTATCCAAGCCAAACCCGGGCACCGCTCACATATACGCCAGAGAGCCCCTCGCCATGACTCCCCTGCGCGCCAAGCAGTACTGACTTGCTTTCCCCACAGCTGTCGAGCACCTCATGACATACTGGTCCATTCTCGAGAAGGTCAAGGGCTCCCAGCTGCGCCTGACCAAGATGGACGACGCGATCTATGTGCACTTCATGACGGAGTTCCCCGACTTCAACCCCGCCTCCACTATTATCGAAGACGACATGAAGAGCAAGGCCGGTAAGGAGAGGTGGCGCAACTTCGTCAACCAGTACGAGGAGACGATCGAGGACTACAACTTCGGCACCATCATCCGCGCCCGCGCCGATGAGGAGTACGAACAACACAACACAATTTTCGGTGCGTGGGACTCGAAGCGATGTGATTCGAGAGGAGTCACATGAGGACTGACAGGAACAACAGGTGTGCGTATGCAGTTCTACGCTGTTGAGATCGCTCGGTAAGTTCCCTCATATCAATGTACATCGCGCCATGAGAGACTGATCTGGGTTTACAGCAACCGTGCCGGTCTGAACGACTGGATCTACGAGAAGGCCCAGAAGGCCAGCTCCTGAAATCGAAACTTCTCGTTTTCCACCTTGCTTGATGGTAGTCTGGCTCGGCTCCACTCAGGCTGTGACGCCGACGGCATGTAACTTATACAGCCATGAAACAGTGGGGGGCCAGCGTGACGGATGATAACCATGACATAGACAAGTCATTTGGAGTTTGATAGAATCTTCGAGACCCAAAGGGGATCGGCCATGAGGGTTGACAATGTCAATATACCCGGGAATAAAATTTAAATTTCCTGCACATTTCCAGCACCTTCACTTGTTTATTGTCCTCGGTGAAGTCGCACCTTCCTTCAAGATCGATACAGTATTTCCCAGAAATCGGTGTCACCACCTCCATCCACTCTTTGATTGTTTCTTGAACCCTAATGCCAAGTCCCACTAGACCCTATGTAGAGATACCCCGGAATCTGAATATTCCTGATCGTGGCACAATACAGTCTTCGTCTGAATTAATAGGCCTGCCAGGTACATGTCCGAGAGGCATTACGTGGATGAATTCTATTGGTTTCACTTGAAGGTGCGGGCCTTCTGAGGGGCAGTACGCGGATACTTCTTGCGGGCTCACTTCAGGTGCGGCCGTGTCACAGAGGCCAGGCGAAGTCGAAGCACAGAGAGCTTTAACCCCGAGGCACAACCAGCATAGGCTTTTATGAGTGGAAGCTCAAGACGAAGAAAATAAAACAAACAGGCAGTAGATCGTCTAGCCCAATACTCTTGAAGTGGGGCGCGTCTTGCACGAACCCCCATCCCCCACTATCTTTCCAAAGGTTGGAAGGATATTACCCCAAACTTGTGGCATTGAATCACTTCGTCTCATCAAATATCCCCAGGGTTGGGTCACCATCCCTTTCTCGAATTATCTGTTCCAAGCTGATACATAAATCGCAAGCATGGTCGCTCAAGTAGCAAATGGTGTGGCTGAAGAGGTAAGATCTGACCTTGCTCAGCTTTGGCATGCAGCGGTGGAAGAGTACGAGGAGGCGACCGGGCAAAGCCTTCGAATGGGAAGCTTTAAAAATATGGACGATGTCATGAAGGGCACTGAAGGCATTTACATGAAATTTAAAGACTTTCGTGACGACACGTCCAAGGTGGCCAAAGTGCAGAGCGCGTTGAAGAATAATATGTGGTTGATACAGAATATTATCCACATCTTACAAAACCTTGGAAATGCTGCATCGGTATACCTTGACATATCCAAACGAGAAAGCGATATAGTACAGTATGCTGATAATTTACAGGCCTTTCCGCCGGCTATGCCAGCTAGCTTGATCTTTACGGCCTTTGGACAAGTCATGCAGGTATGAGACTGTAAAAGATACGATGAGACTTGGGACATTCTAATTGCCGAATATAGTCCTTCGCCGACGCGTCTGCTGATTACGATAAAATTATGGGATTTCTCGATTTTACGTATCGCTTTTTTGATAGGCTCTCTATGATTGACCAGAAAATGCCAAATATACCTCCGTTTCAACGTTGCGTCACACGTGTCTTCTCAAGCATCCTGACGATTTGCTCTGTTGCACAAAGATATGCCGCGGAAAAACGAATCAGTGAGCTCTCTAGCGCCCATACCTATAGAGGGCCTTTCTAAACATTATTCACCAGAGAAATGGTTCGAGAATCTAATGAAGGGATCCGATGGAGAACTGGTCGCAGCCAGTGCACAGATGGAGGAGGCCGTGAATGAGTTGAGTCAAGCTGTCGGCCTGGCTACGCTTAGGACCGTTGATGCCGTGCGTGAGGTTCTTCAAAGCATGATTGGAAACGGCGAGTTCCTTGTCTCAAACGCCACTCTCATAGACGAACGAACAGCGGCGATACAATGTAACACGGCCACTATCATCGATCAGAACCAAAACCTTGCATCCAATCAGAAAATGATGACGGACATGCAGCAAGAGACGCTACTAAAAATGGGAGAGTATTTTAGACAGGTCCAAATTACCCCAAAACGACTAGAGTTACCACCGGAGCCTATATCCACAATGCCGTTTAACCGTGATCCAGAATTTATTGATCGTGGAACACTCCTTGAGGAAATCAATGAGAGGCTGTCTAATTTGTCTTCTGACCCAAAATACCCAAATTCGAGATCAAGAATAGCTTTGGTTGGTCTTGGTGGCGTTGGGTGAGTTGCAGAATCTAAATTCTTCGTGGAGTTGCCTACTGACTATCCAAAAAGAAAGTCCCAGCTAGCCATTGAATGTTCTTACCGAATCCGCGAACAATCACCTGAGACATGGGTTTTTTGGGTCTATGCAAGTAATACAGCGCGCTTCGAGCAAAGCTACCGGGAGATTGCCAGCCGAGCTAAAATCACTGGCCGTGACGATCCACAGGCCAGTATATTCAAGCTCGTCTGTGACTGGCTTCAAGATGCAAAAAACAAAAATTGGGTTTTGATTCTTGATAACGTTGACGACAATGAGATTCTACATGCACCTATACCGATCAAACCGGAACAACAGGCGGATAATGGGAATGGCACTTTTAAGCAGCCACTCTCAGCCTTTATCCCTCAGTGCCAGCATGGCTTGATCATCATGACAACTCGAAGCAGGAGTGTGGCATCAAGAATGGTTGATGACAGCGACATCATCACTGTCAACCCGATGGATGAGTCACAAGCATCGGCTCTCATGGAGAAGAAGCTCGGAATGCATGCAAACAGAGAGGATATCTTGAAGCTCACAGAAGCACTTGAGTTTCTGCCTCTAGCGATCGTGCAAGCGGCAGCGTACATAAAGTGTCGAGCGCCCCGATGTTCCATACCTCAGTATCTTGAAAATCTCCAAGGAAACGACCATAAAACGGCAAGGCTTCTGAATCACGAGGCGGGCCACCGTCGACGGGACTGGGAAGCAAAGAATTCTATCCTGATCACTTGGCAACTATCGTTCGATTATATCCGGAAAACGAGACCGTCGGCGGCAGATCTTCTTTCCCTCATGAGCTTTTTTGATCGGCAGGGAATTCCGGAAGATTTACTCCATGATGCAAAGATCCAAAGAGATTTTAGTGATAGCGACGATGAGGATATCACTGATTGTGATTCTGATGACGGGTTTGAAGATGATATTATGACCTTGAGAGATTACTCGTTTATCTCTACGAGCCAGGATGCCAAGACCTTTGAAATGCACAGACTGGTGCAGCTTTCCACGCGGACGTGGCTTGAGACCTCTGGACAGATTGAGCGCTGGAGGGAGCAGTTCATCAAAACACTTTACCGCGAATTTCCTTCTGCCGAATATGAGAACTGGGGAAAATGCCAATTGCTTTTCTCACACGTCAAGTCGGCGATGTTACAACGACCCAATTCAGAGGAGTCCCTACAAGAATGGATTTCGCTTCTCAACGAGGGAGTATCATATGCGCTAAATAGAGGAAATGTGATTGACACAGAGTCTATGGCAGTAAAAGCGATGAAAGCCTGTAAAAGGATTTTTGGCGCGGAGCATCCTGACACTCTCACGAGCATGGGCAACCTAGCGGCAACGTTCTGGAAACTGGGCCGATTTACGGAAGCTGAGACGCTAGGGGAACAGGTGCTAGGCTCTCGCAAAAGGGTTTTTGGCGATGACCATCCTGATACTCTCACAAGCATGAGCAACCTAGCGTCAACACTATCGAATTTGGGCCGATTTCCAGAAGCTGAGGCGCTACACGTACAGGTGGTAGAGGCTCACAAGAGGATGCTTGGCGAGGACCATCCTGACACTCTTAAGGGTATGGGCAACCTAGCGTTTGCATTCTCGAGCCTAGGCCGATTTCGTGAAGCTGAGGTGCTGCTGGTACAGGTGGTGGAAGCTTATAGAAAGGTTCTTGGCGAGGAGCCCCCTGACACCCTAAACACTATGAATAACCTAGCGTTTACATTCTCGAGCCTGGGCCGATTTCCAGAAGCTGAGGCACTGCAGATACAGGTGCTGGAGACTCGAAGGAGGGTGCTTGGCGAGGAGCATCCTAACACCCTGAACACTATGAACAACATAGCGGTTACATTCTCGAGCCTGGGCCGATTTCCAGAAGCTGAGGCGCTAGAGGTACAGGTGGTGGAGATTCGCAAGAGGGTGCTTGGCGAGGACCATCCTGACACTCTCACGAGCATAGGCAACCTAGCGTCAATATTAAAGGATCTAGGCCGATTACAGGAAGCAGAGACGCTGCAGGTACAGGTGCTAGAGACTCATAAGAGGGTGCTTGGCGTGGAGCATCCTGACACTCTCACGAGCATGGGCAACCTAGCGCCAATATTCCGGGGGCTAGGCCGACTGCTGGAGGCTGAGGCGCTAGAGGTACAGGTGGTGGACTCTCGCAAAAGGGTGCTTGGCGAGGACCACCCTCACACTCTTCTAGGCATGGGCAACCTAGCGTCAACATTGTCGAAATTGGGCCGATTACAGGAAGCTCAGGCGCTACACGTACAGGTGGAGGAGGCTCGCAAGAGGGTGCTTAGCGAGGACCATCCTGATGCACTGAATAGCATGGCCGATCTTGCTCTCACTGAAAACTCTTAAGCTCGATATGCCGATGCTCTGGATCTGCTGAGAGACTGCTTGGCTAAGAGGAGGCAAGCCTCGGGGCTTCTTCATCATGACTTGTTGTCTAGCGCTAAAAAAGTGCGGGAATGTGAAATCGGGGGACAGTAGCAAACGGTATGAAGCCGACGTGCATTTCAACAACTCATGAACGTGGCGCCGAATAGACTTTTGTCCACACGCATTCTCTTCAGCATCTAGCTGGGGGATCTTGGATTTGCCTTCTTCTCTCCTTTCCCTCCAGCGGGTGGGGAAAATTCGCTCTTCAGCAACCTTCGAAAGGGCTTGAAGATAGTTCAAGGTATCCGTTTGTCGTTTCCATTGAAGCACATAATTTCTAGCTTTAAAGTATAGGTCGGAATAAAGTGTGAAAAGGTACAGTAATATTCGAAATCAGATTTACCTCCACACTCTTCGACTTCAATTCCTGAACCCTACTTTGAAACGCTTTAATCCAGATATGGTATAACCCGCGATCTCCTAGTTCGAATAGAAGCTGTATTTTACATGACGCGGGTCTTTGGTGGGTCTGCGGGTGACCCGAGGTCTACAATCTGGCCTCGTGCAGATCACAGTCTTTGGTACTCTCTCGGCTGCTAGGGTGAGGGGGACTGAGGTAGCCTGATTTGATTGAAAAATAAAATCGCACTAGTGTCTCCACATCCTAGCAACTTTGCAAGATTCCCCCTCTCTTTGTTTTAATTTGATTGCAAGAGCCCCTTGCTCTCACACTGTTCATCTCATTATTCTTTTTCCAATTCACCTCATAATTCGCCGCAACCACGCCATAAATACCTAGTTGCTTATCTAAACTTTTCTAAATGGCATCTACCACGTTTCCGTTACCAGGAATAGAGCATGGCGAACGTATACTCACCGCGGTGATCGAACAGCGCGCTAAAGATGATGCCAGTGAGCCTTGGCTATCTGTCCCGCTAGACGAGACGAATCTGTCTATTGGTTACAAGGACCTCACCTTTTGGCAACTGAACAATGCGGCCAATCGCGCTGCACATTGGTTGAGTGAAAATCTCCCCACTGGCGAGCCATTTCAATGCTTCGCCTACGCTGGTCCAAAAGATCTCCGTTATCCGATTTTGGCTGTCGCGGCAGCCAAGGTACAGAAGGTGGTAAGTACTCATGGCTTGCAAATTAAAAATGGAGTTAAAGATGAATAACCAACATAGATGGTACTGCCGTCACAATTAGTCACTCCAGAGGCCCAGTTGCAAATTCTTGAAAAGAAAGGCTGTGGGCTTTATCTTAAGCCCGAGGAAATGACTGACTCTGTAGCAGGAATGTTAAAGGGCACCTCGCATATCCAGCCTATTACCATACCAGGCCTGGAATATTTCTTGAATGAAACAGAGGCTAGCCCGGTAAAATACCCAAAGTCATGGGCAGAAGGCAAAGATGATCCTTGGTTGGTTTTTCACACTTCCGGAACAACAGGTATGATTCGATGTAGCACACCGAGAAATCGACTCTCGGAATAACATAGAAACCTTGAAACAGGGAACCCTAAACCTATTACCTATTCACACCAAATGATGGCCGGAGCGGAAGTAGCGGCTTCTCTCCCTGATATCGAGGAGACTCATATACATCAATACGCCCAAAGAAGATGGTATACGCCTTTGCCGTCACTACATGTGAGTTATTTCTTTCCACAAAGATAAATGTCCCTAAATGCTGACTCTGTTAGTTTGTTGGAATGCTTATGACGCTATCTATGACGACCTTTGTCAATATGACAGCTGTGATTGGCCCTGCTGGACCCCCATCTCCAACTATTATCACGGAAGTCTTCCGTCACGGACGCGTGGAGGGGGCCCTGCTTCCTCCAGTACTCATTGACGCCCTCTGTCTCTCTCCTAACGGCCTTCAGGCCCTAAAGGACCTACAATATATTCACTTTGCTGGTGCCCCGCTGTCTGCTAAGTCTGCAGAGCTCCTTGTTCCATATACACAGGTGGTACCTTGTGTTGGTAGCACAGAAGCTGGCGGTTACTTCACAACTATACATGGCAAACCTGATGCATGGGATTACCTTGCCTTCCAGAGACATGCGGGAGCCACCTTTGAGCAGCGATTAGGTGACCTCCACGAGCTTGTATTTATCCGTAATCCGGATTGTGCGATGCAGCAGATATTTTCCGTATATCCAGACCGTGACCGATTTGAGACGAATGACTTATGGGTTAAGCACCCTACTAAAAAAGGTCTATGGAAGATCATTGGCCGGAGCGACGATTATGTTTGTTTCTCTCATGGGGATGGATTGCATGCTTCGCTTCTAGAGCCTGAAATCACGGCTCATCCCAGTGTCAATAATGCACTCATCGGAGGGCATGGAAGACAGTCACCTGTGCTCTTAGTGGAGTTTGTTGAAGGTGCGGAAGACGATGGGACTCGTGAGGGGCTGCTGGAGAGTCTACGACCCTATATTGACAAACTTAACGCACGATGCCATGCCTCGGTTCGGATCTCACTAGAAAAGGTGATCATTGCTTCTAGGGAGAAGCTATTTATCACAACCATCAAAGGGAGCGTGGCGAGATTGCAGACGTTGCGCTTGTATGAGGATGAGATTGCTGCACTGTTCACTTAGAAGCCTGACGAAGCAACTTATGCACGTCGTTCAACATATTCGTGAATAAGGGCGCAAAGGGCTGGTAGCAGTCTTGCCCCTGGGCATTAGAGCATTTCGTGGTCTGTTATTTTCGTCTGGAAGAATGAAAGAGAGCTGTACCGAGTACAGCCGCTGGCAACATCTCGAGTTCGAGAAACAATGAAAGAGTGAAGCTGGTGACACCATTTCCCGGAACTAATGTATTAACCATATACAAAGAATCCCACTCGAGGCATCACGTAGTCGTTGGTTAACAAATATTTATTGTTTCACTCCAGGCTGCCTGCAGGTCATGTGATGCGCGTATGACCAAGTTCGCCTTTCAGGCTTTGTCCTTGACCAACACAATCTTTCCGCATCGGGGAAAAATTAAGTATTGTTCTTTGAATGATAATGGATATGCATGAAATGGACGGACTATCTGAATCTTCTAGGGCTATGCTCATACACTGGCCCTTGCAATTACTTTTACAATCGTGGCGCCCTACTCTTTTATCGTGGTCTGAATCTCCAAACCATAGTCTCTGCAAGGGAAAATTTGATACAATATCTGGGAGAGATGACCATGAAGCACAAAATACCGCCTGCAGATAGCACAGCTGGACTGAAGCCGAGCTGGAAATCTTTATTCCACTTCACAACTCAACAGCATCTACTAGCCCTCGTCATTGGAGCGTTGTTCGCTCTTTTGGCGGGCTGTGTGACACCGGTCCTCGCTATTTTCCTGGGAAACGTCTTCGATGTGTTTACGGGATTCGGAGGAGGAGAAACCGGTGCTGATGATCTCCGTGACAAGATTACGATAAACTGCATCAGAATGGTCGGGCTGGGAGCCGCTGGTTGGTTCCTCAACAGTGCATACTTTGCCATATTTGTTGCTTTCGGAGAGCTTCAAGCGTCAAAAATACGAACTAGAGTATTCGTTGAGTTACTGAAACGCGATGTTGCATGGTTCGAGGCACACAAAGAGGGATCGGGGGCTTTCCTTTCTGGGATCCAAGCGTGAGCCCTGTGTTTCCTTCCAGGAGAACGAATCTTTAACATTCAAATAGCGAAGTACATGATTTACAAATGGCAACCTCGCAACCTCTCGGGCTTGTTATGCAATATGCTTGTCGATCAGTAGCATCATTAGTTCTGGGAATGTATACATCTTGGAGTCTTTCGCTTGTCACGCTTGCTGGGATTCCCATTTTCTCATCCATCATTGCCTATCTCTCATCGAGAATGAAATCAAGTATCACTGCTCAACAAATCGAGCTGACTCATGCCTCCAAGATCGCAAATAACGCTATCGGCTCTATCGAATCGGTCAAATGTCTGAACGGTCAGGCTTTTGAGCATCGCAGTTTTTCAATTCGGATTGAACAGTCGGCTATCCATTATCTTCGCCAATGTCGATTGAACTCGCTGCAGCTCGCCTTTATCCGATGGATGATGTTCGGGATGTTCGTTCAAGGCTTCTGGTACGGCAGCTCACTCGCTCGCAACGGCACCTTATCATCGGGTGAGGTCCTGAGGACGTTTTGGGCCTGCTTGACTGCAGCGCAATCCATTGAAATGATCCTGCCACAGATGATCGTCATGGAAAAAGGAAAGGTTGCAAGCGAAGCTCTCAAGTCCCTTATTCAGTGTACCGATCACTCGGAGCAAAAGGTCAAGAGCGAGGAGAAGGATACCATATGCCCGCTTCATTGCGAAGGCGATATTGAGGTCAACAATGTGAGCAGCACACTGTGGCGCACAATGATGGTGAAGATCCTAATATTATTCCAGGTATCGTTTGCCTATCCTACACAGCCCGACCGACTCGTCCTGAAGCCATCTACCTTTTTCTTCCCGGCCGGGGAGACGACTTTCGTTATCGGCAAAAGCGGCTCCGGTAAAAGCACACTGAGTCAGTTGCTAATGCGGCTTTACGCCCCAACGTCGGGTGAGATACTTATCGATGGTAATCCCATCCAGACGCTGAATCCCAACTGGATTCGAAACAATGTCACCCTTGTGGAGCAGCGAAGTGTCCTCTTCAATGATTCTGTATACCAGAATATCGCATTCGGAAGTAGGAAGCACGGGGAAGTTCGCCTAGAAGACGTGGAAGAGCCGATCCAGCTGGCCATGCTCCAGGATACTATCCATGGGCTACCAAACGGGATAGATACTTGTGTCGGGCCTGGTGGAAGCTTTCTCAGCGGTGGACAGAAGCAAAGAGTGGCCATCGCAAGAGCCAAATTGCGTGACACGCCTATCTTGATCCTCGACGAGCCCACAAGTGCTCTCGATCACCTCAACCGTGTGGCGGTCATGAAAGCTATTCGAGAATGGCGCGTCGGAAAGACGAATATCATCATTACCCATGACATGTCTCACATCGTTGACGGAGACTTTCTTTACATCCTTGAAGACGGGTCAATCTTCCATTCTGGACTCAGGAAACAACTTGAGAAACTTCCGGGCACCGAGAAGTATTTTGGAGTAACAGCAAAAAGCAATGAAGAGTCCATTGAGCCTGAACCAACACTAGTCAGCAAAAAACTTGAGTCCGACTGGGACACCTCGTCGACCTCAAGCCTGGAAGATTTGGAGCCTCGTCCACCCCAGCGTGTTTATCACAACCGAAATCGAACATGGGCGCGGCACGATATTCCATCCAATTTCCGCTCCTCCCCATGGTACAGTCCAGTGCCTATAGGGAGTCCAGCAGAGGATGTTACATTCCCTCAAAGGAAGTGCATATCATTCTTGGGGGTACCAAAGGCTTCTGTCTCTCACAATGAAAGCAGCGGAGGTACTCAAGTACTAGTGAAGGAGCTTGAAATGGATCAAATTCATGATTTTGGCTCAAGCACTGTTACAGTAAGCCATTTTCCGAAATCAAACCGCCTTTCAAGACGCCTTTTCCGCCCTGCATCATCCATTGTACATCCAATGAAGCGCCGAAGGGGAAAAAAAGAGCGAATGACTCTATTCCATATCCTGGGTACTGTCATGCCAAACTTGACCATTAAGGAGCGTATCGTTTTCTTCCTTGGTATTGCTTCATGTCTCATTCACGCAAGTGCCACCCCGATTTTTTCATACTGCATGTCTGAGCTATTCACCACATTCTATGCTGGAACAAACAGCTCCAAGCTGGCAATGAAATGGTCACTGGCTGTACTGGGAGTCTCCTTCGGTGACGGCTTGGCATCCTTTTTCATGCACTTCTTTCTGGAATACTGCGGTGAGGCTTGGATGGACACCCTTCGAAAACAAGCGTTTCAACGAGTCCTCAATCAGCCACGAGCATGGTTTGAAAAGGATGGCAACAGTGTCCATCGAATTACATCTTACCTTGACCAGAATAGCGAGGACATGCGCAATATTATAGGCCGATTTGCCGGGTACGTAATTGTGGCTGTTGCAATCACGGTCATGGCGGTCATCTGGAGTCTGATCGTCTGCTGGAAGTTGACGATGGTCGCTCTGGCTTGTGGGCCTGTGATTTATGCGATTACAAGAGGGTTTGAACGGATCAATTCTTCATGGGAAGGGCGATGCAACGAAATCACAAGCACTGCTACTGATGTTTTCACTGAGACCTTTTCCGAGATACGGACTGTGAGGACATTGACGCTGGAAGGGTACTTTCACCGCAAGCAAGCAACACTTATCTCCTGCTGCCTGAAGACTGGCTTGAAGCGAGCTGTTTACACCGGATTGATGTTTGGTATGGTCGAATCGGCTGTCATATTAGCAAGCGGTAAGATTGTTCCTCTCTTGGCCTTAAGGATATGGGGCTGACCTAGTCACAGCTCTCATCTTCTACTACGGTGCGACTCTGGCAGGTTCTGGATTCACAGCCAACGAAGTCATGCAAGTCTTTTCATTGCTCCTGTTCAGCATCGGCTATGCTGCTCAAATCCTCTCGTGGAGTTAGTCGCTCCTCAACCCCATTCCTAATCCCTTGTAGCTGACTCCAACCACAGTCCCTCAAATCAACAACTCACGTGAAATAGCAGGTCAACTCTTGCGCCTAGCCAATCTGCCCGAAGAATCACACGAAAATCGCGGCCGGCTGAAAATATCCACTCTAACCCCAATCAGGCTCACCAATGTCAACTTCCGATATCCTTCTCGCCCACACACACTAGTCCTGAAGAACGTGTCCATCAACATCACCGAAAACTCCTGCACTGCTATTGTGGGACGATCGGGATCCGGCAAGTCAACCATCGCCTCGTTGCTCCTCTCCCTCTACGAAGCCCCGGTCTCTAGAACTGGTCGTCCCACGGTGACTTTCAGCGGACAAGACATCCTGCGCCTGCATATCCCGACATTACGCTCACAAATTGCTATCGTCTCACAGCAGCCAACCGTACTCCCCGGTACCATCTTCGCTAACATAAGCTATGGCATGGAGAAGACCACCTCACTCTCAAGGGTCCCCAGCGTCCGCGCCGCGGCACAAGCAGCCGGGATAGATGACTTCATCATCTCATTGCCCAAGGGCTACTTTACCGTCATTGGCGATGGAGGCATCGGATTATCAGGCGGCCAAAAACAACGCGTGGTGATCGCTCGTGCCCTCTTTCGCGAACCACAGGTCCTCATACTGGACGAAGCCACGTCCAGTCTCGATCCAGCTGGCGCAGAAGTGGTACGCCAGACAGTCAAGAACCTCGCCTCCTCACGTCGTGGCCTTACTGTAATTATCATCACACACTCAAAGGAGATGATCCGGATTGCGGACCACGTCGTTGTTCTGGATCGCGGTGTTGTCGTGGAAGATGGTCCGTACCATGTCCTGTCCCATAAGGTGGGGGGCAAGCTGCATGAGTTAATCAACGATCCCGAGGAAGGTGAATCGTAGATGGTGCGACTGTGTTCAGACCTTTTGAAGCTCTTCTTTTTCATCTTATCAAATATTATGCGTTCCTGCTTGATATATCCGTTACACTCCCAAAGCATGTTCATTCTTCACAACTGAAATACCTTCAAAGGTTATCGTATGTAGCTTTCAGCCATAAGTGGACTACCAGCGATGCATTGTAGAGATGTGCTTCCTCTTAGAGCGTCCGATGATTTTGGCCCCTTGTTGATCAACTGTTCCCGAACGAACGGTGTGTATAGCTAGGTACCATATGCCTGTATTTCACTAAATATTTCCGTAATGCCCCATTGACTCCCCACAATTTCCAAGTCATTTCAAACATTAATTTACGAGCATAGTCACTATGAAACTATATCGGGCAACATATTTAGATGGGAGGCCGTATATTCCACAATTACCGATCTGGGCATAAACTCCGAAACCTCCGACGCGTAGCCAGGGAGCGGGGCATCAGGACGATCTTGGAGCGCCCTAACCTCAAGCTCGGCAAAATTATTACCCTCAGAACGCGGATGGATTGCAGCCTACTTATTCCTTCTCTTCTCCTGAATCTTTAAACTCACACCAAATCAATGAACGATGAGTAAACCAACCTTCATCTTGGCGCCGGGCGCGTGGTACCCGCCCACGGCATTCCACCCCCTCATTGAGAAACTGGATGACTACACCTGTCACACAGTCGCATTCCCATCCATTCAGCAATCAAGCACAGTGCAAGACCTGCAACCCGACATCGACAGTGTCCGTACACTAGTCGAGTCCGAAGCTGACGCAGGAAACGATGTAATCCTCGTTTTGCACAGCTGGGCCGGGTTACCAGTCTGCAGCGCGCTGGACGGACTGAGCAAGACCGAGCGACAAAAAGAAGGCAAAAAAGGCGGTGTCGCCAAGCTTGTTTTCATCGCGGCGTTCATTCCCCAGATCGGGGAGAGTTTGATCAGTGCGTTCGGTGGAACTCCGCCTCCGTGGTATATTCGCGATGTAAGTCCCCTTTTTCCTATTGTCGAGTAAAGCATGTATTAATATGCTTAGATTGAGAATGGAACCGTCACAGCCAGTGACCCGTTCTGGCTTTTCTTCCACGATGTTCCTGATGGGCAGGAGTGGGCTGCTACGCTGAGACCTCATGCGTGGGCTACGAAGAATACGCCTGCGACTAGTGCAGCGTATTACCAGATTCCGTCGGCGTATCTGCTTTGCGAAGAGGATCGTGCCATTCCGATGGCCGTGCAGCAGTTGATGGTTGACCGGGCTCAGACGAGGGGTGCGACCATTGAGACGGAGAAGATCGCTACGTCGCATACGCCTTGGCTTGTGTACCCGGAGAAAGTGGCGGAGTATCTGCGGCGACAAGCTGGGGAGTCTGTTTGAATGGATTTACAGCGTGAGAACGGGTTAGTGGTGTATGTTACGCTTTTATGGCATCGCTATGGTATAGACGTTTCTCGAACATTCGAAATTCGTATTCACAGGGATATCGATACGTTATAAACATGAAGCTTCAGAGCAGATATCTACATCACTGGCACAAGTCTTCCGGTACCGCACAGGTGGTAGGGATCACCAGTTCATTTCTTCTGGAATAATTTGCGCAGGGTCTTCCTCAGACGACTCTGTTTCGGATTCCCAGTCAAGGGCGCGGGCGCATCAGTACCAGCAGCCACCCGCTCGACAGATTCCGCAGCAGTTGTCGTCGCGCCACCGCCCAGAGTGACAGTCAACAGCTTGGGACTCGAGTCGTAGACACTACCCGACTGGTCGGTACCATTTGCTGGAGCAACATCGTCATAGGGGAACGCGTAACCGCGGTTGCCCAACGTCGTCGCGTGGCAGATCCGCGAGTAGTGATTGGTCACTGGGTTCTGGTAGTAATTTGCGACTGTCTCGCCGTTTGGCTGATTTGTATCGATCAGGAGAGTAGACCGATTGAATGCGGCAGCCAGACGAGCAGTGATCGCATCCTTGGTGCTGTTGCCCGAGACAGCGAAAGCGCCGGAGCTGTTGCTGAAAATGTCTGCTGTGGATGGCTGGGCATAAGTGATGCTTCCAGTCGAGAAATTAAGAGTCCCATTTGAGACCGTGGCTGTAACATCGCCTGCGGAAGCTTGAGTGTTGACAGTCAAAGTGGTGCTTGCGTACTTGGACCAGACTTGGTTCACGTAGGCGGCATAGTAGGTACTGAACAGCCCGCTGTTAAGTACTATTCCAGTGTTGGGAGACACAGCGCGGAGATTTGTGCCATTGTTCGTCACGATGAGTTTGTCCCATCCCGCGCCATCTGTAGTGTTCTGAGCCTTAAGCGCGGTGCAGATTGTAGCCAGCCCGTCGGCTGGAAGGCCTTGTACAGTCTTCGTCGTGCCGGACGTGTTTGTTAGCGCTAGGGCAATGGGCAGGGAGACAAAGTCCACATAGGTGATGTTGACATAGAGCTGTGAAGAGTTCCAGGTGAATTCGCAGAAATCCCAAAACAAATTGTAGTTGGCGTCCGACGGGTTCGACGACGACGGCTCAACCAGCGCGGGGCCGGGGTTCAGGTAAAAGGTCAACTTTCCATCGCGCACGAACCACAACCGAGCTCCAGCCAGATGCGGGATCGTCACAGTTGTGGTGCTTCCTACCGCGCCAAGTGGAATCGCGCAGTCTTGCGCAAGGGCAGTCAGTGTAGCAGACGGAGAAGTCGGGTAATACGCCGTCTTGCCATCAGCCCGTAGGAGGAAAAGCGCATTGCTATTGTCAATAGCCTGGCCAGTAATATATGCGTAGGCCGTGCTCGAACCAGACTGGTTCACCAGGTTGAAGTTGAGGGTCGCCATAGACACGATGATCAAAGAAGGATCCGGGAAACAGGAACAGGTAAAGGTCCCCACAAGGCTGCCGTCGAGGAATCTGGCTGGTTAGTAACTAGCCACCGCGGGGCTGCACAACGGCCATAGTTATAGCGCCATCACTGAGATCCCTCGAGGTTTCATCCCCAGACCCTCGAGATGGAGTAGGGCAGGATGACAGGGCCCTGTGATACAATGGCGTTACTTCGCGCCTTCCCCTGGTCGACCCCCTGGACGCGCCGATTGGAGCGACGCGCTCTTCTTCATTTGACCTGCGCAGATCGCTGCTAGGAGTAGGTTCTGCACCGGCATCCGAACCGGATGAAACCCCCTGCAAGCGCGTCATCGCGCGATCATGCCGTGGTCGTGCCGTGGTCGTGCCGTGGTCATGCCGTGCATCTGCGTGATCTCATTGCCGCGTGTCGATCGTGGCCAAGTCTCTTTTGCGGGGAATATCTGTATGGGGAAAAATTTATCAGTATAATCTGCGGGGAGACTGCACATTTTCATATTTTAGTGGTGAGAGAACAGTCAAGTGTTCCAGTGGTGTGACGATTATGAACCCTTGGTATACAGGCTATGGAACCCTTGACTTTCCTGCCTAACGCTTGGGCCACCCTTGAATTTACGAAAGGCGAGAAGGACTTCAAGAAGCAAGCGGATCTTCAGACGAAGGTTACCTCGCATATGATATCTACTCTACATTATTCAGACTACTCAAGTTCTACGATGGGGGGTTTAGTTGCGGGCAATGTTGACCCTCCATCGGATTTGATCTACAAACCACTGCAACAACAAAACAATGCGGCTCGATGAAAAAAATTGGTTGTTCAAGAGAGGTCTTTTCTGATTGCTGAAACAGCCGAAGGGAAAGCATTATGTTGCTACCTTGGACACAATGGGACTCTTTAGCGGCTACTTTCCAACTCCCTTTTGGCCTTCCTATCCTCCAGTAGATTCTTCGGCGCTGGCAAATCCACATTTGGAAACCTGCCGTCTTTCGAGTACGGCAAAAAATCACTAGTCTCCACCATCCATCTAAACATCTGACTCTCCATAAGCCTCGCCTGGTGCACGAACTTCGGATCCGCCGCCAGATTATGGAGCTCCTGGGGATCGGCCCGTCGATCATACAGCTCCGCAGGCTCATATAGTCTATAGATATATGTCCAGTTGTGATCTCGCATGGAAATTGCCTTTCCTACCGCCCGGGTTTCTTCATGCTGGAGCTTGGACTTGAGATCGTATGGGAATGAGGCATTTTCGAGGAGCGGTTCCTCTGAGAGAAGGAATCCACCTTCTGAATAGGCGTACACGCGGTGTGGGGCGTCTTCGAGGATCGTTGGGAGTAATGACTTTCCATTGTGTGGAAATGTTTCGTCGATGCTGCAGAGTTGGAGGATTGTTGGGACTATATCGACCATTTCGGCCATGCTGTCGCGTACAAGGCCGGATGGGAGGCCACCGCCGCCGATGATTAGGGGCTCTCGGACTAGGGTCTCGGATAGCCCGCTTGGCCATTTTTCGATAAGACCGTGGTCGCCGAGGTATTCGCCATGGTCGGTGAAGAACATGGTGATCGTCTTGTCCCAAAGTCCTGTTGCGTCGAGCTTCTTGACGATACGCCCGAATTGGTCATCGAGTCGAGAGATCATGCCATGGTATGTTGCTGATACCTCGGCCCAGATTTCTGGAGTGGCTCGCTCGGTGCCATATCGATTCCGGATCAACTCCATGTACTTTGGCTCGCATCCCGTCTGTTGTGTGTCAGTCTACTCTGGCCAATTCACGCGGAAGAGTCTGCTGCGCGTACCTTTTGTTTATGTGATGATGGGGTAGTCATATCCTCTCGGCTATACATCGAGAAGTAAGGCTCCTCAACAGTGAATGGGCAATGGGGGAACAGCAGTGGCAGGAACAAAACCCACGGCTTGTCATCCGGAGGGCAGTCAAGCCATTTCTCTGCACCCCGAATCGCCGCTTCATCGTAATCCACTGCCTTGCTCACATCTCGGCGTCCTTTGTAGAAAAGTCGCTCCCAGATAGTGATTTCCTCTTCGGGCCTTTCGTCGACATGGCCTCCAATGACTTTCGTCATCTCAGGCGGCTCCAAGAAACCATATTCAGTCAAACTCAACTCGGTGACCGTGGGTGCAAAAAGATCACCCCGTGGCGCCATACAAGCAACATGATATCCATCATCTTTCAACGACTTGAAAAGGTTCGGCTCCCATGGCTTAATAAGATTCTCCAGCGATCGGTGACCAGATACATGTGGATAGAGTCCTGTGAACATGGAACAGCGCGATTGCGTACATACTGAAGCTTGAACATAACATTCGGAAAACCTTACCCCGCGAGATGCGAATGCATCGATGTTCGGCGTTTTGACGACGGGGTTCAGTCCGGAGCAGTGTAGTGAATCGTAGCGGAGCTGGTCCGGCATGAAAATCACGATGTTGGGCCGTGTATTTGGGAGACCACTTGGCATATGAGGGATGACATGAGTACTCTTACCATCGCCTATTTTCTGCATTTTTGGCGATGTATGTGTATGTGTATTTTGATTTCAGGAAATGGACGATTTTGATCACAGATTTTGAAATGCCGGTCAATCTTCGGAGTCGACGCAATTGAGTGGCTGTTCGCCGCAATTTTGACGATCACACTATTTGGTTACTGAAGGTGTGTGAGGACGGGAATAACATAAGCTTGTTGCGTGGGAAGCATCACAGTTCATATACGATTCGCAGTAACCGACAAACCACGGCCCTCGGTGACCGAGAGCCGTAGCGTGAAATTGGAAATCTGCACATTTCTATATCCTGATTGATCTATCTTTAAGTCAAAAAGCGGGGAGAGCTAGTAAGATTCGCTAATACGGTGGATATGCTCAAGGACCGACTCAACGTCCGCATTGAATTTTGGACAAGAATGCCCCGCCTCGTCCGTTTATGAGCACTTTTTCCTTTGAGGCCTGAGACTTGAAATAATATTTCTTGGCTTTGAATGGATTCGGGGTTATGTGCAGTTATTTAGAGCCCGGCTGTCGGGTTCCGATAGCCGTAGGGCATCCCGTCATCGTCTCCTCCGATGAGCAATCGTCGGTGGACTAACTTGAGGATCCACTCTTCACTGCACGGATAACTAACAACGCCCTGAGCGGACGGGGATAAAGATCAATGTTGTATTTCTCACTACTCTGTAGTACCTTGAAGCTCTGGTATAAGAATTACTCGCACTTCGCAATTTTCTAGTCGCAATATTTCTTGTACAGTATTGCTGTGCGTCATAGCAGAGTTTTTTTTCAATCTCAATAGGTAGCTCGTCATCATCAAATTGTCAAGCTATCATTCAACAACTTTCCACCGTGTCGGCCTTGGGGTATTCAGTGACCTTCCTCGTTTCATCGACGCTTGATTCGTCGCTAGAGGATTTCCATTCTGCCCTTGTTAGCAAAGAAGTCTACCCGATATGAAATAAATGTAAGACTTACCTCTGAACTCACGAGCCGGAACCATCTGAGACCACATCTCTTCCAACTCCTCCAGAGACCGACCGGTCATGTCCGGTAGGTAGAAGAAAGCCCATACAAGCCCAACCGCCCCACAACTACCGTAAATAAACCCGACCTTGGATTGGAGGTTCGCTTCCCCCGCATTCAAATGATATGGAAGAGTCAATGTGATAATAAAGTCGAATACAAACTGGGTGCAGTATACGACCAGTGCGTTCTTATCACGTAACCGCAGGTGTGAGACTTCTGCCGCTGTGACGGCCCCACTAGAGTCCGTGTATCAGTGAAACCCATGTAGCAAATAGGGCAGAACTCACATTGCTCCGAATGACATGACGTAGAAGAATCCGAACATCATACAGACGGCCACGATACCTGTTTTGTCTGATGTTGTGACATCGCCTGTGCCCAGGCCACCACAGATGAAGAGAACAGTTATACAAGCTGTACCACCGACAAGGTAGAATATGCGGCGTCCAACGATATCCACCAGTGAAAATGTGATTATAGGCCCGACGCATGTAATGGTAGCCGAAAGCGCGGTGAAGGTGAAAGTGTTCATTGTCTTCAGGCTTTTGATGAAGATTGCTCCGTACTGGCTCATGAAGCTCTGTCCGGTGATTTGGTTGAAGATGGCGACAGCAATCGAGATTACGAGGCGTCTCTGCAGATTGATCAGGTTAGCAATTAAGTAGACACACTGGAGGAAAAAGGTCGATGTAAGATACCCTGTTGTTTCCTTTCAAGAAATCTGACCATCGACCCTTTGTTTCACGATCTTGTTCAATGGTTTGCTTGAGGGTACTCATTTCGTGTTCCGCCTCCTGCTCAGATAGTTTTGAGCCTCTAATCCAACGAAGCTGTTTGGCCGCATCCTCATGCCGACCCTTTCGCACAAGCCATCGAGGACTCTCTGGAATGAACCAGCAGAACACAAGAACGAAGAGTGGGAAAGCAAACATCGAGGCCAGTGGAAGCTGCCAAGATGAGTCGCCCTCGAACTTGGAAGTTGCCAATGTCACAAAAGAGCAGATCAACGATCCAAAGATATGTGCGAATACGTACACCACGACGATAGCACCCCGAAGCGCGGTAGGACTAATCTCAGCCAGAAACATTGGAGCCAAGAAATTGTCCCATCCGACGAACAGCTGCACAATGATTCGACCAGCTAGCGCAGCACCATAGTTCTTCGCGGTGTAGCTGATGGCAATGCCAACGATAATGATGAACTGCATACTAATGTATGAGGTGCGTCTGCCGTATCGCTCTGCGACTAGGAGGCCACACAGGGCACCCATACATTTTGCGGGGAGGCCAAGGGAGTTCAGGAAGGAAAGATGTTCCGTGCTGAATCCCCACTCTTCTGTTGTGGGGTTATAGGAGCCGAACCGTTTTTCGTAGGCTAAACGAGAATGAGTACAACTTCAAAAGGTAGGAAAATTCAAGCTTACCATCCATAGCTTGGATTGTAGAAAAGACACTGGTGTCAAATCCATAGCTGAACACAATGACGCTGATCACGATGATGGCCAGCACCAGGTTCCATGATGCATGTTGAAGGGAACGTAAGTCCTTCCAGTTTGCCATCTTGAGTTATATCAGAGTAATGAAGTTCTTATTTGTGTTCGGAAAATTTGATTCTATGAGGATGATAGTCCTCTTTATAAACATGGTGGAGGAATGGCGCATTTCCCAATATCCCCCCGTCATGTCGTGATCAACCTAGATCTATAAGAACTGGACCAAAAATGAAGTGTTCTGCTTGATACAGTGTTTTGCAAAAAAGCCAAAAAAAAAGAAGAAAGAAAGAAAGCAAAAGAAATAATCTAATGGGTAATAGGCTAGTACTCTAATCCACTAGGCTGCGTGGAGAGCTCAGCTTGACTGTGTATTGAGACTAAGCGTTTAGTGTCGTCACGCCATGGTATCTTTGGATCGCAGCATGGCAACCGTAATTGGCGGTTCTGCAACTACTCACAATAATTATTTTAAGTTCAATCCTAATTCTTTTCTTCCATCCTTCTAGTTTTCTCATACGTTATCTACTTTGCAGTACTGGATATTCTAATCAAGGTGGCAAACACAAGAGGGCCTCAATCTAGACCGACTGGCTCAGGGAGGCATTCGCATGTCATTTTTCCATACTGTGGCCTCCTGCTCACCCATCAGAGCAATGCTGCTATCTGGAATGGACGCACATATTGCCGAACTGGGGGGAATAGCGGAGAGAATGAATAGCTTACCGTGGATTTTCAAGGGCAGAATTGACAACGAGGGTTACCTGATTTCCGAGCCGCAGCCCTCCCCGATATCATGCGTGACAGCGAGCATATCACCGTGATATTAGGCAAATTGCACCTATGTCTAGAGAGAGACCTCAGACCCTCCCGCCGAGGCTTCTACAAAGTCTTCACTTTGCGCCACGGTGCAGGAAAACCACTATAACCACTAACCAAACTCTACAATGAAACAGCAAATTACGAGCAATCTTCAATAAATACTATAAATGGAAGCGCAATTCCTCGACGGAGAGTCCAACATTCCAAAATATTTTTACTCCATCAATTCTCCACAGATTACATGCTCAACCACCTCAAAAGTGGCAACCAAGAAAGAAAACCCCGACCCTTCTTCGCTTGACTTCCCTTAAAGCACTCACCGAAGCCATTCGCAACTACGACGGCAAATACGACGACGGCCCAGCCGGTCTCATAACCAGAGGAATCGTCCCATCAGACGTTCCACCAGCACCCCTCCACGGCCCTCGGCAGGACACCCTGGACCGAGCTCCTAGAATTTGAACAGGGCAAATCATTGTGAACAATGGATATCGCCGCGATGGTAGACTTCATCGACTTAACCATTAGATCTGTCATGTCCGCGAATATCTCGAGTCAACAGACGACTGGGCGAATGCGTTCGTGGCCCTCATGTCGGACAACGGTGCAGGAATACAACTCCTCCAACTCCTCCAACTAATTTCCGGTCTGGCGGCTGTAACTATCGACGATATGATACGGAATTTTATAATAATTCGATTGATACTACTATGAGGACCCATAATTCGTTGGTATGGAATGAATCTCAATGGGCGTCCGCGGCTACAGTACCAAATCGGGGCGCCAAGTCGTATACCATTGAGGGTGGGATACGGAATCCTTGTAATATTCGGTATCCCCGGATGATATACGACACGCGAGTGGACGATGTGAGTTCGAATTTTACTAGTTCTATGGGTGTTCTTCCGACGGTGCTTGATTTGGCGGGGATTGAACATGTTGAGGTGTTCAGCAGTTTGGTATTGCGGCGGTGCGTGTTGGGAAATGGAAGGCGATGTTTCTTCCTCACCGCCACGAGGACAGGTGGGATGGGAGCTGTGTGATCTCTCGACCGATCAAGGTGAGAACCACGACTTGGAGGATAGTCATAAGGACAAGTAGATGGAGATGATTGCACATTATGCAATGGACTATCAGAAGTCCGGGTTATTCGACAAAGAGAAGAGGACTGAAGTCTCGTTGGTAGAAGTACTGAAAACATAACAAGGAGGTTAATACACAGATGGCGTATCCTGTACGATGGACTTTAAGGATTCGGGTGACAGTCTGTTGTGGAGGTTATCGCGAGGGCCGTCAACTGGGCCCATTCCTGTGTTGTCGCCGAGGCCCACGATGTTACTGACAACTCACTTTGCGCCCACACCAGACTCGGTGGGCGTAATTACCTGGTTGATCGTTCGAAACCCACACACGACTCTTTGTCTTCAATTTTGCAATGTGTTTACTGCCCTTGGAAACGTGCCCAACTGGGGCTCGTGTTGACTATGTTTGAGAGGACGAAGTAAGGGGGCGCTATCCAATCCATGTGCTTATCATCACAGCTTGGGCGTGGGGCAAACCGTGACAGCCTCCTAGCCATTTCGATAGACTGCTAGTTTTAGGTCTTTGGCTATTTATTTGCATCCCTCGAGTGTAGCAGAATCATAGGCTCTGCCCTCTTCTCCCCCTTACTTTGCATTTGTGTCACCCGTACCTCTCGCCCTTACCTGCAAACACAGGGGCATGGACTCACGTACTTCATCTACTCGTGCAATGACGAAGGCCTCGAGACAGTCTCATCCCGGGGATGTACCCGCCTCCACCGCGAAGATCTCCCGCTAACTGCACGATCCCTTGAGAGAAGGGGCGGAGCACAGGGCCTACAGACGATGTACTCCAGACTCAAGGCCAGAGACACGATCGACAGTCCAAACCGGGATTCTGGTTGTTGGCTTTGACGCCTCCACTGGACGCGCGCTACGTCTCACTGCTCCACTCGACCTGCGATAATAATAGGCGTGGGCACGGCTCCACCTCTGCCTAGAATTAAATCCGGTGGCTGATCACTTCTCTTCAGCTCGTCTTCTAACACTTTGGGGTTTCTCACCTTCTATGCCTTCCGAGGATCTCTAGGGCCGCTGCCCTCACATTCCACGCCATGTATATCCCACAAAAACGGGCCTTGAGCCACAAGGACAGTGTCTTCATCGTCGTATGTGCTGCTGCCTGCTTCCGATCGTATCCGCTATCGCTCTCGGATCGCCGTTTCGTCTTTGGACTCGTTGCTGATTTCATTCTTTTCTAGTGTGCAGCCTGTATCCTCTTTGTCGTTGCCTCGTGCGTGTGCTCGTATTTCGGCGCCCGATGGCTCCGTCAGCGACACTATAACCCGAAGTATATACCTGGACAGTTTTTGAAAGGAAAGTGGAAACAATGGTGTCCCGGAAGCGCCGCCTATGGCCAGGTGCCCAATCCTCGAGCACAAAATGCCAATGATACTACATACCATGGTGCTGGAGGAGCCCCTGAAATGACGACCGTCGACAACACGGGCGTCCAACGTGAGACGTCCGTCCGATCCATCATGACATTGCCACCCTACTCCGTCAGCCCTAAAGACTCCGAGCAAGTTGTCGCTCGAGAGGGCGAACGGGGTGGCATGGATATGGTCGTGGAGTTCCCCGACACGGCCGATGAGCAGGAAGCACGTCGCGAGGATCAAATGGAGTCTCTCTATCAACTCCGTCTTCAGCGTCGTCAGGAAATCGCCGAGCGAGAAAGCCGCCGACAAGAACGACGCGAAGCTCGAGCTCGAGGTGACGCGATCCGCCTAGAACAATTGACAGCAGAGTCCCGCGCCCGGAACGACGCTCGCAACGCCAACGCCAGCAACACTTCTATCAGTGCGACTGCCGTCATCGCCGAGCACCAGTCTCGCGAGCGCGATCGTCGTATCTCCAGTGTCAGCTACGCCTCGATTGGTCATGTTCGACACGACGGCTCACGTCTTCGAGCCGACTCTCACGACTCGGACCACCAGCCTCTACTCCCAAACGCCGTCGTGGACTCCGCATCGCCATCACTGATGGATCCGCCTAGCCTGCGCTCGCGAGTTCAATCGACCGCATCATCAATCATGACGGCATCGACTGCCCTAACGGAAGCCGACCCCTTAGTCCTTCGCCCAACCTCAACCCATCGATCCAGCCGACCGACATCAATGTACTTCTCAAGTCGCCCAGTGTCGGTCGCCCAACCCGACGAAGGCGACCTCGGCACCCTAAACATTCCCCCACCGCCAGACTACGAGCACCTAGATTGGGGCGATGCACCTGCATACGAAAGCCCAAACCTCGAACGCCACACAAGCTCAGGCCGTCAACTTCCCGAACTTTCGCGTCTGCCTTCCATCCACATCAACGTGGCCTCGCCGATCGTAGTCTCTCCGGTATCCCCGGTAACCACAACCTCGCATCGAGACGAGCTGGATAGTAACCCGCCTACACCACCAACCCCGACGGGCCCCATTCCAGCCGTTGTTTCGGCCGGATCCACTTCTGGCCATGCCCCTGTTTCATGAGGGCGCAGGACCTCTCGAGGGAAATTATTTCGAATTCGCTTTCGCACGGCCTTGATGAACATGATGACACGATTTGTATTAGCATAATATCCTTTATTGTTTCGTTGCGGCCTGTCCTTTTCGGTCGGAGGCTTCCTTCTTTCCGGCTAGCAGGGCGTTCAGGGCTTGTTGACCTGTTCTGCTCTTCTCCTTTCTATTTAGTTTTGGACCTTGGCTTCTTGTTGGTATACCATGGGATATTTGATTTTGGCGAAGGATTTAGTTACTGGGATGGTATTGGGATATGTAGAATTGAAATTAAATAGCATTTTGATCAATCTTCCACTGAGTGTTTACTTCTATAGATATTTCTTTCCTTGTCAAAAGGCTCGATATCAGTCCTAAACAATGACAAGACCCCACATCGAGATGTTTGACGTCAAATGCGCTCCACCATGGACCCGACCAGCGGGCCGCTACCGATCGTCATTCCTGGAACGGATTCACCCTCGTATTCCAGGGATTCTTACCTGCATTCTCTGAACATCAATCATTTATCGCAAAGGCAAATCGGGCAGCCAACGCATTGTTGCCATGACATCATCTACTCCACACCAATGTTTACAATCCGGAACTTTTCCGAAGTCGTCGCGTTCACTTATCTTCATCTAAACTCTTATCTACGGGTACCTATCTCATCAATCGAGAAAGTGTTGAATCAATTTCACGCTACGTACGCAACGCAATGCAATTGATTGGGGTTCTCGATATGCAAATGGGCCCCGTTGGAGCTAAACCCTCTGATCAATTTGCCACATGCTCTGGACACGGAGCTTCTTAGCGCGGTAAGGCCCAGGGTTCCACTGGCTGTAATCATTCTCGCCCCCTCTATTTATAGGACCATTGGTTCGATATCAGGATCCAAATTAGGCCTTCTTAGATGTAAAGGGCCCGATGGAAGGCTTTTGCGAGAAATACCCAGCTACTTTCGTAGGTCACTATCCACACAGGCACTACCGGAAGTTAAAAGAGGTGCGATTGGCTGCGGTGCTCATTTTGAATCCGTCGAGGTTAACTTGGAGACAGAAAGGTTTTCAACCTTCGCGCTGCCATCGCGGTATGGCCGGAGGCATGTAGACATGACTGGCTAATGCCTGGCTATTGCCAAGCTGAGCTTCCACATTGTATGCTATATAAACGGGATCTTATAGATAAAGATTGGAGAAGATAGAACCTGGGGTTATCGGATGGTGTATTTCAGGGTAAAGGAATGCTCGGCGGTTTTATATAAAGGGCATCCATAGTTGGTGGAGAAAGGGGCAGGTTTCATGACATCGCGTGGTGATAGTTTCGGAACTGAGGCAGGAAAAATTCTCTCAGCCTAGAGCCATATATTATCGCGCGAGTCTACATAAAGACCATCTCAAAGATCGAGTGATAAAAGTGAAAGATAACCTGCACCACAATCATAGGAATAGTATCGAAAATGTACAAAAATGCCTCGTGGCCCATGAGATAACCATCATTTCCTTGGCAGAACTCAATCACGCGATAAATGCAACGGATGATGATCAATCCTGACACGCCGAACAGAACATACAACAATGGTCCATATTGCAGTCGAAGTAGTGATCGCTTCGTTTGCTTCAACCGCTTTCCAAAAATCAACGATATCGTCAAGAATCCTCCGAAGAATATGAGCTGAACAAACAGACCCAGGATGGCAATGACTTGTCCAATTTTGGACATCGAAGAAACTGCCATCATACCACCAACACTAGCTTGAGTGAGAAACGCGATCACATCTCCAATGACGAAGATCTTCGTTACTTTCTGTGGAGATATGATAGATAGATGTGAGGCTCCGGCGAACAAGACGATGTGTCCGTATATCATATAGATCGTCGCGCCGTAGAGGGAGGGTGGGAGTAGAATGCAGACGTTTTGTGCGATGTAGGGGCCAATTGCCGTTGTATCGCCGGATGATACTGCACGAAAGATGTAACCGAGTGTCATCACTTGAGTCATACCCTGTTAGCTTTCGGGATTGGAGGGATAGTGAAATGCGGTGAAACTAACTTATAGCGCCAACGATGAACGTCGAGAAGAAGAATGACTTAAGCTTGATAAGTTGGAATACGTGATAGCCAGCACTAAAGCCAAAACAAATAATAGCGATGATGGCTCCCACCTTGCTGGGAGTATAGTCGTAGAAACTCCAGTCTGCCATGGCGGATGATGGTGATGGATTAGTATCGATGAAGAAAAGTTGCGGAAATTCAAGCAAAGTCTGGAAGTTGATACTGGTCTTGACGAAAAATGCAAAGAATTAGATAAAAAGGAGGACGGAAGGCTTAACAGTCTACCCTTTTAAAGCTGGGACGATGTCGAAGTACGTAAACCCCTTTTCTGGTCGACTTGGACGCTGTCTATGTTTGCCCAATAGAGCTACCATTTGTGGATACAGAGACGAAAACTGAATGGCTCAGCGATTTTAGCTATATGGTAAAAGTGGTTGAGCCTCTACAGGCTCTACTTTGGCCAATCGCAGTGCAGACGTACTCGTACCTGGTCTGTTGTGGGTCTTTTAGCACGAAGATGGGGATCCACCGTTTTCGATATTTTCGGAGTAACCGCGGGAAGAAGAATTAGAATCTAATTATTTAAATTGGGTTACCTGAAGGCACCAGTGAAAATTCTTCATACCACGTGCTGAATGTAATCGAAGGTGGAATACTCAAACCAGCAGAGTGGTTCATCATCGGTATTTCGTATTCCAAGCATACATTTCAGGATAGCTCAGTCTAATGATTCAATAAATCAGACATTCTGAACTCCTTCAGTGGCCATTGTAGCCACTCCTGGATTGAATGGTCAGCATAGCCCGAAAGCTCGCGCAATAGTTCCTTCGGCCACTGATCGATCCAATAACTGGGCTCTCCGTGTTTCAGCAGAACGCAAGAGTGAGCAAATACCACCAAAGTGAAAGGTTCTCTCCTTGCCAGTAATGAAATGAATTCATCTGTCACCTGAGACATCCAGCCAAAAAACCCCACTTGAGCATTCTTCAGCCACTGTAGAAGGTCTCGGATTGCGACAGAATTTACGGAGGACACTTCCTTCTCGACGCTCACCGACTTCATGTGAGCGTCAAATCGCACTAGGCTCTCTTCCAATCCTTCTATTCCTTTCTTGTCTTCTGGGAGATCAAACATAGATTGCAGGGGGCCGTCTTTCAGATCTTTCCACGAAGTGTTCATGATCGTTCGCACGCCTCGTAGATGTATAACCCAATGAGCCAAGGATCCTTCATTGTTGAAGAGAAAGTGCTTGCCATTATATGAAGACCCAATCTCAAAGACATATCCAAGGGCTACACAGGCATATAGTGCATTGCAATTCGAGAAAGAAATTTTGGAGAGAGCGGCGGATGAAAAGCGGAGTGACGCCTCGTATTGCCGATGTGCATAGGGGAGATATTCGTAATTTGATGATTTGTGGCAGAAATGCAAAGCTGAAATCGCAAATATCATCCGCAAGAGGAAATCATGATCGAAGGCTAATTCAGGGACCTGATTCTGCCATAAATCTTGACGCTCGGGTGTGTCGGTCAATGTGAGATAAGTGGATGTAGCGAAGTGGTGAAGGAACTTGAAATCGGTGATGTCGACTTCATTTGAGGGTGATTGTGAGATTGAGACTCTTGAGACATCGGCTGGCGGTATGGCATGAATTTGTTCCCTGGGACGTGCTTTGGAATGCGCAGATTTTCTTGGCGATATTGAAGTCCTCGGGGCTGGGAAATCCAAATCCACAAACTGGCAATTAAGCTTCTTTTGATGACAGTTTTGGCATCCTGGTTTTCCTTCGTCGCACTGTAGGAGGAATTAGCACTATACTCGGAATTCCTGGGCGGTATGTGAATTAAGAGCGGTATATCATGTGCATGCCGTAGCTAAGACACCTTATAAGATGCAGTACGAACTGAAAGGTGAATCTGATGTGATGAAGAAAGCCGTCCTACCTTAATTCTTCGCCTTTTACATTCCACACAACCACTTCTCACTTTTCGATGGGAGCGGCGAACAAGCGGCATTTCAGGAGAAAACACTCCACGATTAGTAGAGGCTGTACGCGAATGGAACTAAACCGCCAATCTCCTAAAACCTAGAATGGCGCAGAATAATAGGAATCACTCATAAGAATGGAGTTCTGGGGTTGTGAGTATCGGTCATGGGTCTTGGATAGATGTTTGGAGAAAAATGTTTAAAATTTCCGCCAAATACACGGATCACGTGGTTTATAGTTCCTTTGTACGTTCAATGTGCTTCAAAGTAAGAACGCTTCGGAATGCACTATTATTGGCCCTTGCCCTTGTTAGGAGTATGGGAAAAGATATTCCTATGCTCGCCGCGGATAAGCGAAGATTTGTAAATAGTAAGCTACCAGATAAGATATGGCAGGTTCAATTCTTGTACACGGTATTATATACTGTATCTTACCCCTTGTTACGTCAATTGTTATTCAATCCTCGCAATTTCTCTCAAGATCAACAGTCTTATCCTTCCGACCGATGCCCAGTTTTTTTCGTAGGTTCACTTTCCTCACACGGAAGGCCCGCTTTCGTCGTCGTCGTGGGTAATTTACCGGACTTTCACCACCCGTGAAGATAGCCATGTCGTAGATGAATGCGCCAAATAGTGCGCCGCTGATGTCTGCGCACCATGGACCCCAAACCCACCAAGCATGGGTCACTTGAAACAGATGGCCTCCCCATCCTGCCATAACGGCGACGAGTCGCGGGCCAAAATCTCGGGCGCAATTGAAACAGCTATAATAAGACACGTGTGGTTAGTTCATAGAGAGTTTGGTATATCTTGAGAGCGATTTGCATACCCTCCGGTATTGTAGCCAAATGCAAGGACCACAATCGAAATAAGGACCCCAAGAATGAAAGCGTTCATTCCGGCCCCAGGTGGAGCATTGCCATCATCTCCAAGAGCCATAATTGCTCCAACCAAGATCGCACTGCCCAGGAATTCGGTGAAAAATGCCGTTGCTGGATGGACGAATGGCTTCGGGGCGGTAATGAAAGCCTCCGCAGCGACACTAAGGCTCTGTGGCACTTTTGCTTTCGCGGCAACTTCAACAATAGCATCGTGGTAGATCGCATATGCAAATCCACCTGCAGTGATTGCTCCCAGTAGCTGCGCAGCAATGTAGATTAAGCTTTGGCGCGCAGGAAACCCCCGGAACACGGATAAGGCGATTGAAATGGCCGGGTTTAAGTGGCCACCAGATACACCGCCGGTGGTGTAGATAGCCACCATGAATCCGAAACCCCAGGCGACACTTTGGGAAGTGAATGATCCAGCTTGGCCAGATGATGTAAAATTTGACAAAGTAGCACATAGACCAATCGTCATTGCGATGGTTGTCTGCGATCGCAAATGTTAGCCACGAAATGTTCCGGTTTTAAGAGTTTGAGTACTGACCCCGAGCCACTCCGCCAGCGGTTCTCGAATGTAATGGCGGATTTTCGACCAGGTATTAAAAAACCCATCATCTCTTGGGCCAGTCGGCTGGTTCTGCTTCCTACCTACGGTTGGATCCTGGCCTGTCTGCCGATCTTCTTTCCTGTCTTCTGGCAATGCGCCGTGGCGCATGCCAGGTCTGATGATGTGAGGGAGCGGTTCAGCCAAACTCCATGTCGGGTCATTTTGTTGTTCGCCATATTGACGGTTGCGGGAGGGGATTTCGTAGGAATTGCTATTTGGATTCTGGGTTTCGGGGCCCGCCAGACTGAAGCTTGGGTTGTTTCCCAGGCCTTCGTTCCCGCTTGCAGCTTCTTGGGTACCTTCAGGGGGCTCGTATTCGCGAGGTTCAACAGTATCTGTCGTGTCATCAATGTTAATTTCTTGGCAGGTCCAGTACGGTCATATGGTCGCACACCTTTGACTTCGCCATCTTGGCCAACACCGCCCGAAGACGCCATGGTGCTTTAAGTAACTCAAAACGAAGACGGAGTTCAAAAAGCGAAGAATGAGAGAATTCAAATTCCGATGATCTTCTGATCAAAACTTGTGTGGACTGACCAAGCTGTCAATACTTGGCATCCCTGAGAACGAGGCTCCACTCTATTTCGTCATGGCGAGTTACAGACCCTGGATGCCAATGAATCACCACTAAGGATTAACCTCATATCACAGCGATCAATCGGTGGCTTTCCGCCAATCAAAAATCAGTCGAGACCACTCTATCATGTAAATGCGATTTGTACGCGCCTACATTTGGCATTATGTCCACCGATTCACTGCCTCAACCAGACGATGTTCAATACTATAGAGTATGGCAGCGAAGTTCTTTAATCGTGTCAGACAACTGCTATACTACAGAAACTACTTGGCCTCACTCTGTGTTCAGAAGTTATATTCTTATCGCGAAAGCCTTCCCTGGCTACTGGCCAAAATCTTCTTATTTACATTGCCCGACCGTTTCAAACTTGTGGGCGGTCATGCTGAACTGTTCCTTTCACCTTCGCAGTCTCGGTTTCTCCTTCTCCTTTCTGAGATAAGCCTGGCTCATTGACAAATGGGTTCGAGGTGTTGGTGTTAGACAGGCCTTCCTGCTTGAACGACATACTCCCAGTGCCGCCTTGCTCCCCTCTTGAGCGAGGCTGTATATGTGTTAGTCGCATAAGTTTCGTATATGCAGGCTCTCTCCAGGGCGAGATATTGACGAATTTCTGGAGGTCAAAGACTAACCTTGTCATAGTCGCGTGAAGATTGATTGCGCTCGTCGCCTTGCTTGGATTCTTTGGGGTTTGATGTCTGAGATTTTTGCCAGAAGAAAATCGATGCTGGTATTCCAAGCAGGATCGATAGCCTCAACCTATTCACGAGTTAAGAGGAAGGTTCTTGGACAGATAATAAAAGCGACCGACCAGTTTTTGTTCGGGGCAGTGCTTCCCTGTCCGCCAGTGCCGGTGGCATAGCTCCGCCGGTTCGCCATTCTCGGCAATGGCTTGGCTCTGTAAGCTCCAGTCACGAAATTATTCATTGTGGCTGCTCGCGCTGTCGTAACACGAGTACAATTCATGATGGTCGGAATCCGAATCAAATATTGATTGGTAACGTTGGCGAATAAAATTTTTCCAGGCGAGGGCCTAATAAATGCCCTTCTGCCGCATGTACTTGGCCAGGGAAGGGGGCGAATCTCAGTCTCCACATACCCGACGTCACTTAACTATCATTGCCGGGATGAACGTCACGACTTTGTTTGTCGTTTGTCTTTCTAATCTGTCCCTCGCCAAGTTTAATTCCAATGATCCCTTTTTTCCAGTTTGTTATTCGAAATGACCGAACCTTGGCGTAATCATTGCCGTGTCACGCGATCTACCTTGTTTTACTGAAGTGCTCTATCAGGAAACGGGTTCCAACCATGGTTGACTGACAATTGATTCGGGCCCATGCACGTGAATATTTCCATTGTGTGTTTCTTCTATCTGAATTCAGGTCGTCTCACATGGGAGCTAATCGCCTTGACGAATTTACACTGTGAAACTCTATCCTAGCCCCACTGCCAAGGCCGTAGCGCAGATCATTTGTTGAGCAGCCCGCATGAGATCTACATAAGGGCACAGTAAAATGCGCTTTGTATATTACAGTCCCTAGGTCCTTAACATTACACTATGCGTACGAAAATTCTGTAGAATTCCATAGAAACATATAGAATAGTGGCATCTGGTTCCCAGACGAGGTGCTAGGTGGCTTCAACTTTCCTTCTCAGAGCGCACGGCATGTACTGTATCCCCTCATCAATGTATCCATCCCCTTATCAAGTCATGTGTTCCTTGTCTTTAGCCTCTTGGAGGAAGTTTAAAATCTACTATAAAATTTGATTGACCTTCCGTATACTATACTTGGTATGACTCTCGCGATCCGAGAAATATTTTTGCTCCGGAAAATCGTATTACCTACATAGCATATCTCCAGGTACTACCACGCCACAGCTATATAAAGATAGGCCAACGGGTGAATAATGAACACTGACATAACTATGGACTTGAATCACGTAGCCGGTGTATTCACAGCACGAAAAAGTACACACTCCGAGCCATATATACCCAGAAACTCATCAATCTGTACAAACCCACTCTTAATCAGGACATTGATACTTGCTTTATTCGCCTTCCTTGCAATCGCAATCAACTCTGTCGTGGTACTTGGTGTTCTCGGAGCAAGAACTAACTCATGAATCCGTGACCATATCTTCACAAGCCCCCGTACGGCCTCAGTCGCATATCCCTTCCCCCAAAAGTCAGGGCGAAAGGTATAGCCCAGTTCCCATCTAAGGTAATCTGCACGTTTAATGCCCTCGAGCCCCACATAGAGTGATCCTACGATGCGGTCTATCAATAGAATCAGTACTGTATTTAGATAAAGGTGTATTGTAGAAATAGAAATAGAGCGATCTTAGATTGGAATATCTTACCCTTACCCTTCTTATCAGATACTGACAGGGTGTCTGTATGTATTTCTCTCACCGCGTATCCGATCTTCAGATTTGAAGTTGAGAACGCCCGAATCCATTCCCTAGTATCCGAGATATCTGTATCAGGGACTTTTCTGAAACTATTTTTGAATGTTTAGTAAATGGTGTCCAATTTCACTTATTTAAGACATATCCAATCTCTTAGGAGACTAGTCATACGTACCTATGCTTCATAGTCTCCTCCCTAGACCGGATATCGTACATTCCCTCTGCGTCGCTGTCTACTAGTAGACGAAGTTCGAGACGATCAGTCCGGAAAACTAGAGGGGGAATTGGCTCCATTTTGAGAGAAGAAAATAAGATAAAATAAAATGAATTATGGTTGAGAACCAAGTGTATAAATACAACCTATGATATTACAAAGATGAGTCATCTATATACAATGAGTCAGTCACCTTTGATCAATAGGACTAAACTAGTGCTTTCGTTAAACTGCCCAACCAATAAACTGTTAATAATCAGGCTGAGTCATTTCTCCGCAGGTAAACAGAACTTTCCAGCCACAGGGTAAGTATGAGTCTCTGCAGACAGCTGTCAACTGACTGCTTAGCTTCGCATTATTATGACCCTGACCACCTGCAAAAGCATCCAAGGCACTAGTTAGTACCTCTCGCGTATTCAGTTTGATGGAGGTTCATTTATGGGGTTCCATAAAATTCTACGAATTTTGGGTACAGGGATTGTAATTTTAAGTAGCAAAGTACTGTAATATACAGAGCGCATTTTACTGCGCCTCTCAATTTAACGTGGGCAGCTCAATAAATGATATGCGCTAATGCTTTGGCGGTGGGTCTAGAAAATAGATGTCAAGCGTGTATTGGTCAAGGAGATTTCGAGAATCACTGTATCTCGCTGCTCCAGAGAGCATGATTCAGCATGGCATCAAACAGTTACTTCAAGCCATCCGTCGAATATTCCTAGGATTATTTTCGTGGTCATGGAAATGTAATTCTAGGTATTGTGAAAATGGCGTTTGATCGTCGCTCTAACCGCAAATCTCGCCGCTCGTATTGTGATATCTGAAATGACACAAGCCCTCGAGGAAGAACAAGGATCTCAAGGGCTAGTGTGGAAAAAATATTGTACAATCAAAGGCTTCAACTTCAACATTGGACGTTTAAACCTAGAAATTTGGACAACATGTAAGTCACATGCAGGAGACCATGTTAGACTCGCAACCGTTATTGCCTTCCATATCCAAAACACCGAGATGCTCTTTCAACCCCTAATCACATGATGCGCTAAACTTAGTGTGAACTGCCTGTAAATAACATGTTTTGTATAACCCCCATGGGCGCTACGGTGTATCTGTCTCCACTACTTGCCACGTGATATTAAAATTTGGCAGGGCTTGTTATCCCTTTCTACCTAGGTATGAACAGGCAGGACCGTTCGTACTAGTGATCGCTTGTGTTTGAATATCAATACTTCTGCCACTTTTGGACAAGTTTGTTTCCTTACCTACGCTCGCTACCATGAAGATCGCTCCTTTCTGGGTCTCTAGTGCCCTATTAGTTCCACGGGCTCTAGCAGTCCTTACTGAATCCAAGGCGACATCTGCTACGCTCACTGCCTCTACTGCGGCGGCACCAAGTTGTACATCTTCCCTCACCATCAGTCTCTGCAGCTACCCGGAACCTGGCCCAGACTTTGCCGTCGCCATCGACAGCAGGGCCTCTTGCTGGGACTACTGTAAAGCCCATCCTCCCTGCAACTTTGTTATCTTCTCTGCCGGCAAACCTAATACGGGCACCGGCACGTGCTGGCTGTATCCGGGTGAAACCTTCGATGCGAGCAAAGGTAGTTCGAATTCCGCCAATCCCAGCCTGTCCGTCTACAGCCAGCCCGTGTGTGCTGGCGGGAGCGCATCCACCATTGCTGGCGCCTGCGCCTGCCGGCCTCTCGCTCACTAATCCATTGGCTATAGGCGTGGCTATATTAATATTGCAGGCCCTTTAATGAAACTCTTGTATGTATTGGTTGTTTGTTCAGCTAAACAAGCTAATGTGGTCAGTATGCGAGTGGGCCACCTCAAGACACCACAGTAAATGTAATAATTTAAGATCATTCTCAACAATCAAAAGTTTGTTCCACTCTACCTTTCATATAGTAAATTTTTAGAGCATAAGGAGCCTATTATATGAGCCTAGGTCAACTAAATCATGATTTGACAATATTTACAAAAATTGCACTAATCTAACGTTTTGAGCTTTAAAAATATATCATCTAATCACCACTTCCTAAAAATTATCGAGACCTTCGAAATACGTCAGACTCAACACGAGAAATACATATATACAGGAAGACTTTACGATAAGCTATGATTGTGGAGATATTAAGTTGTAATCTATCGCATTTACTATGGTGTTTTGGGGTGGCTCACTCGCTTGCCGGCCATGTTTATAATTGTCCATCTAGGGATTATATAATAACAGAGTTCTTAATGCCTATGATTGGGTGACCACCTTCGTATCTCCAACAGTAGTCCCTCGCCTTGATTATGTAGACCTTCGCTATGGCTACGTGTTCCTTCAACTTGGCCAAGCAGTCCCTCACCGTGGCAATGTGGGTGGGACCTCGCCATGACTACGTGGCTATGCGATACATTGTTGGTTGCTGGGACTTGGCCTTGTAAGCTCCATTATCTAACAGATGTAACCTCCAGAGTGAGGACAAGACATAGGGTCTTCCTCCCAACATAAAGTATTATTGGCCGAGGACCGGAAGAACAAATCAAGCCAGCACGATGGTGGATCATGGGGGTTCATTGCACACGCAACCTGGCTTGTGCCCCTTACTGCACACACTTTCCAGTACGGCGGCCACTCATGCCTTTTCTATCGTTATACCTGCATGTCGGAAATGGCCTTCAGCTCTGTTTCAAATATGAAAGGCAATAACGATCGCAACTATATGCACTGCTGTCTGATTTGCCCACGATATATATATCCATTGGATAGATTACACCATTCCAAACAGATACTTAGGTATAGGCTTTCCAATATCGACAGTCATAACTCCATCTTGGTACAATTCTAGCCATCAAACCGTTATGATAATAACAGTTCAAGAACTAGTATAGAGAATAGACATAGTCGAGACCGTGGAAACGACAAGGACGGGTGGAGCACAGGGGACGGGTAATGATTGGCAGAGACGCGCGATCAAAACATTCCGCGGGCCAAAACAAACTCCACTCAACTCAACCTTGGGACTTCCTCCGTTGCTTCCCCATGCACTTGGTTTGTTGATATGCCTCTTTCCGACGCCAGTTTTACGGTGTCTGACTTTGATCCTGAACACGAGGCTCTCGCATCCACCCGCGAGTTTGGCAGTCCGGATCTTCCCAAGATGAATTACCACGACGATGAACCCGACTTCGCCATCAACACATCCACTCTTGATCGCGCCTTTCCCGACTTCTCTCAGCTTCCCACTTCGGAGGAAGAAGACGCATTTGACGGCGAAGTTAGCGGGGGTGTAGACGCAGGCGCCATGTCCGATTCCGAAGGTGAATTGTCCTTGGAGCTGGGTCGAGGCCTGGGGAAAGCGTCTCGTCGTCTGGATGATTCCCGCGATTCCGTTATGAGCTTCCAGAATAGCGTGCGGTCTTCATCTCCCGCCGTGCGTGTCGATTACCCTACCCCTCAGAAACAACAACCCGCCCGCTCGACGCGACGCGCCGCCAGCGAAAACCTCAGAAAGGATGCCCAATTAAGGCGAGCCGCTCAAGCCCAGAAGGATATCAGGAGCCCTCAAGTCTCTAATAAGACTCGCGACCAACGACGGACTTTCTCAGATATGCACGCCAAAGTGCGTGACAACTACGACGGGTCTTTCTTGGGCGATGAGCGCCCGGCTCCTGTGGACACCAAGCCTCGCTCGACGCGTTTCAACCAGGTCAACAACTCACAAGAAATCGCCGAAGCCATTGAACGCGCCAGCCGTGAAGCTTACGCCAAGGAACGCAAAGGCAGTGCGGCAGGAACACCGCGCAAGAACATCCCAGTATCAAATGCCCTCAACCACAACAACACCATGGGTGACACCATGACTCGCCAGTCCTTCCTCCTTCCCGATCTTCCTAATATCTCCGAATTGGTTTCTGGTGTTTATGAAGATGGCACTCCGGTTTTCTCTCGTCATCAGAAGATGCGCTCCACACGTTTCGTCTCTCCTCCCCACGACGCGACCGATGTGTCTATGACCCGTGAACACATGCCTCTCGATGCTGTTCCAATTCCTGAGGACGAGAAGGCGCTCTTTGTTTCCCTCAGACTCTTGCAAGACAAGGTCTCTGAGCTGGAGATGTTCAAGGCCGATGCCGAGAAGCGGATCGATAACTATCGCCAGGAGAATGCCTCCCTTAAGAGGTCACGCCACTCTGACAAGCACCACGTTGATGATAGCAACAAGAATAGCTCCAAGCGACTTATCAGCGAATATCAAAGTTCGTACACTCCATTTCATCATTGTTATTCGTCCTAACATCCTTTCGCAGAACTCGAAGCAGCCAATATTTCTTTGCAGAACCAGCTTGACGTTGCGGACCGCAAGACCCAGGTCCAGGAGGCGGCTGTCAAGCGTCTGAACCAAGATCGAGAGTCTGCCATTTCACAACTTGGTGTGGCCTACCTTGAAACACGCGAACTCAAGATCGAGAACGAACAATTGCGACAGGAGAACGCAGAGCTCAAGAGCCAGTTGCCAAAATATTCTGGCAACAAGGCCCAAGAACAGGAAGCGCAGGAGACAGATGCCAGCTTCAGCGCATCGGATGCTGAGGATAGTCAACTTTATACCGAGCGCAGCGGTGACATGAGCCGCAGCACCAGAGATATTATCTCCAGGCGCACCAGATCGAACAGACGCCAGGAAGAATCGCGTGCCAAGGTATCAATCCAAGTTGACAAGGAAATTGGTCGACTTGAGAAAGAACGCGCAGAGGAGGCGCTCTTCTCCTTAAATGTGCCCAACGAGAGGCGTTCGTCGTCCAAAAATGCTCGATCCGAGCTTCCTCGTCATACAGAATCGAAGAACGCCCGCAAGCAACCAAACACGAGCAAGCAGCGCTCGAAGCGTGTAGTTATGGAGGAAAAGAGCGGACCCGTTGATTTGACAGAGCAGACTCGAGCATCATCCGAGGCGGAGGATCTCACCTTGCTCAGTGTGATTGATGTGAGTAGTATCAGACTGATCTCCATTTGATGTTTGACGCGACTAACCCACAATCCTAGACAAATGAAATTGCTCGTCTACGAAAGACCCTCGAGGAAGAGCGCCTGTCTCGAAAGAATCGTCGCTCTAGCATGCAGAAGGATTTGACCGCTAACGACACGGTGAACTCGACCCGCCAGAGCATTCTCAAAGCCCCTCTTCCCCGAAAGTCGTCGCTCAAGACACCCCAGCAGGTTCCTCTGCGCCCTGCGTCCGCTATGGGTGATATTACTTCTCGTTCTGTGGCCACTTCTGAGGGTGATGCTAGCCTGGTTGTTCCCACTGCCGATCGTCCGAGGCGCCATTCTGACCACTCAGTTGCCTCAATGTCGCAGAAGAAGAAGCGTTCCACAATGGAGGATATGACATCTGCTTTCATTCTCCCTGATATCACCTTGAGCCGTGCCGAGCTCGCTGCCAGCAACCCTTCAAAACTTCCGGAGGCCACCCAGCGCGCCCTCAATGGCATCGCCCAACACGACGGGAAGAACTGCATGGTTTGCAAGAACTCTCCTCCCCATGATGGGCCTTGCAACCACGACGCTGTCAAAATCCCCAAACTCATCCCTGTCTCTGAGCGCATGCCCGAGCCCACGCCATACAACGAGGACCCCACCATGCGCCCCTCTCAACCACCCGCTGTGGCCCTTGCCACTGTTCTCAAGGCTCTCGAGGACGAACTCTCCCACCTAAAGATGCAGCTTGCTGGATACCAAAGTGCTTTCAACAAGCTCGACGCATCTTTGGGCAAGAAGCAACGCAAAGCCCTCACCGAGAAGGTTGAGAAACTGATCAAAGACATTGATCTGAAGTCCGACCAGATTTATGCACTATATGATGTTCTTGAGGGACAGAGGGGCCGAGGCGATCTTACGGAGCAGGAGATGGAAATGACACTCCAGTCTATTGGTCTCGATACTACCACCACTACTATAGACAAACGCCAGGCAGGGGATGAGTCGGAGGATGAGTTGCCTTGGGAGGGCATTGAGAGTACAGCTGAGTTGACTGGACGGGCTTGATAGTGTACACAGGTGTCCTTTGTCTCTACTGATGTGTTTTTCCTGTGTACTTTACACATGTGCGGGAGTCTAACCTGCTTGTTCGAGCATGAGCGAATCTGTATTACTGAGAGATCCTTGCACTTGAGGAGTAATTTGAAAATAGGACGAATTTTAATTCATTGAAGCTGATATAATAATATTCCACTAAGAATCGGTAGTAAAAGACCTTGTCTTCATTTCGATCGCTTTATATTGTATATGGAGTACCTTAACTACCGTGAGATCACAGATCTGTTTTGAACGCCAACGCTATGCCGTGTAAAGAAAAAGCCCCCCAATGCTACAGATCCACTGCTGCCATCGCAGCGCCCTCATTAGCCGCCGATGCTGATCGATTCGCGTCGCGCTCTGCAATCTCTTCTTCAACGAAACAACCCAAGCCAGCAAAGGCCTCCATCAGAGTGCGCGAATAGTACTCCCGCAGATCAAATCCACCAGCCGCAGCTTGTGTGCTCTTGCGAAGACGGTCGAGGTACTGAGATGGGTAGGACTGCTGCAAAGTGACATAGTCGCGCTTCTCGGGCAGATATCCCATAAAGGGATCGTACGGCTTCTCCGGCTCCGGCGTCTTGATCTTCCGCAACCCCTTGATGAGTCCCGTATCTGAAGGCCCGGCATTTTCGACGCTCGAGAGATTCGTACCCCTCTTGAGTTCTGAGCCGCGTAGAGCAGCTTGTTTCTGCCGGAGTCGATCTTGTTCGCTGTGCCTAGCAGATGACTTCCTCAGTTGCACCTTGTGGCTTTCCCGTGCGATGGACGCAGCATCAGAGGATGTTCCAGCTGCGAGTCTGGATAAGAAGTCTTCGCGCCCGGCGTGCATCTCGCGCCGCTCGTTCTCGAGCTCCTCGCGCGCAAGTTGTCGGCGCATTCGAGCCTCCTCTTGTTCGAGAGAAATGCGTGCGTGGAATGATGTCGCCTCCTGTTCCTCGATTTTTTGGTTTGTGCGGATGGATGCCATGTTCTCGGTTGCGTATTTCTGGAGCTGGGCTTCGGTCTTTGCCACATCGCTTCGGGATACCAGGTTGGCGATTATCTCTTCGCGCTGCTCGAGGAAATCATCGTAGGCGCGCTTTCCGTCGAATTCTTCTTCACGGCGGTTTAGACTATTGATGAGGTGTTAGCATATTTATTAGGTTGTGTGAGAGTAGTTGTGACGTACATGTGCATCACGCGTCGCCGAATGTCGACCTCCCGCTCTACCCCGATATCCTCGAAGGTCTGCGCACGGAATCGATTCTTGCGCAGCGTCTTTCGGCAGCCGGCGACGGGGCAGCTGGAGGGACCAGATGAGAAAATGCGGTCCACGCAGGACTCACACATCTTGTGGTAGCATTCCGGGTTGATGAGAAAGCGCATGTTCGGGTTCAGGTACCGCGAGGACTTGCAGACGGGGCAGACCTCTGAGAAGGAGTTGAGTTAGCACATGGGACACATATAGAGCTCAGGAAAACCTACCGTCCTCATCCCGGCGGTCGATCCCAATATTGGAAGCCATGGTGTAGCTCCTAAAGGTTGTTGAAAGAAGAAGTGAAGGCGATCAGCAAGGCGGAGCGATAAGCATTCATCGTGCACGTGCCACATTACTGTTCCTTCCGTTCTTTTTTTTGCCGCCCCGGTTTTTTTCTTCTACAACACACCATGGGTGTCCCTACCCACGACTTGAACGCTCTCGAGCAGCGTCGCCTCACTCTTGAGGATAACATCCTTCAGCTCCAAAAGTCTCTGTATCACTGGCGCAACTGGGAGGCGGAATACGACGGCTTCCGCGATGCGATTAGCGATCTCGACAATGACGCCACCACGGACGATTTCGTTGCTGCCGGCCGTGAACTTGGAGGGGAGCTTGTGACCGACGACGAAATCCAAGCGATTCTTGGTGGAAAACAAGGGATCACGCGGTCTCGTGCACAGGTGGTTGATCTTATTGGAAGACGGATCGACTATGTTAAGCAAAATGTGGCTTCCATGGAGAAGAGACTGAGAGTTGCCGAGGATGAGCTGTACAATATGGACTCAAGTGACGCCCCGGGGGATGGTGGCGCGTTCGCTGTGAAGGAAATCATGGAAGAGCTGGACGAGGAGGGTAACGTCGTCTCCAGCTCGATCAATACCCCCGGTGATCAGGCTTCGCAGTTACTGGAGACCTTGAAGAAGGCCGGCGTTGAGGATATCCCCGAGAATGTCACCACCACTACTACATCAGGCGATGCTTCCAACGCGACTACCTCCTCTGCACCGGAGCAGAAAGCAGAAAAAATGGATACAGCCGAGGATCAATCTCAGCAGACCACTACCTCCACTAGCCAGCTCCCAGAAACCAACGGCGCTTCCGTGCAGGAGAAGGAAATCGATCTCTCAAAGCCAGTGTCCCTAGTGACAGCCGAAGACCGCGAGCAACCTCCCGTTACCGACATCGATGAGTCCGTTGAGGACGCCAGTCTTCGCCGGGAAATGCTGCAATACGGGATCGATGAGGTTGGCGCGATTGTCGCGGAATTGGAGCTTGATGAGGAAGGAAGTGAATTCTCCGTTGACGAGGACGAATACGACTGGGATGACGACGAGGAGAACGAAGATGAATTTGGCCGCTCGCACACTGTCCTCTCCGACGATTATCATCAGCAGATGCGACAGCTAGAGGCCAAGCTCAATGCTCGAGGGATGTACAACATGGGCAAGGACTCTGCAGGATTCCCGGAGGACATTCGAGAAGACCTCGAGAAGCCTTCCGCGGCAGTTGTCTCGCAGGATGACGCTGAAAGCTCCCAGAGCAAAAAGCCAAAGAAGCGTGTCGCATTTGCGGACGATTTGGACATTGCTCCTGCGTCTGAAGCCTCGGCTGCCGAGCCAAAGACTCTTCCGCCGCAACCAGATGTTCCAGTGCTCCTAGATGCCATCGTCGAGCGTACGGGTCGCACCCAGGAAGCACCAGCAGCCGCGGAAGAACGCCCCAAGAAGTTTTCAAAGTTCAAGAGCGCTCGTGCTTCAACTGCTACCGATGACGCGGCAGGCTTGTCCACCATAACTCCAATTACCTCCAAACCATCCAAATTCGCCGAGGCTCGCTCTCGGAAACAAGTCAACGCTGTCCCGTCGAACACAACCCCTGAACTATTTCCCGCCACTCCCCAGGAGCCGAAGCCGTTCTCCGCGCCCATCACGGTTCCTTGGGAGCCAGCCGTTCCTCAACCCCCTGAAGGCAAGACTCTTGCCGACAAGCTTGTCGAGCGAGAAAGGACCCCTGGCGCAGCTGCACCGGAACCCGATGAGCTGGATGAGTCAATCCACCGCCGTGAGATTGCTTCCGAGTTCTATAAAGTACGGAATCGAATGATCCACCAACAAGGTGGCTTCGTCGATAACGAACAAGAAAATGAGCCCATCGAAGAAGAGGGCCAGCCACGGATTAGCAAGTTCAGAGCTGCTCGCATGCGCTAATTGGAGTCGACTATGTATACCCAAATCAAAAAAGATAGATTATTTACATTCATCATACGCCTCTTAAGTAGGATCTGTCTGGGCGCCTCATCGAGTCCCAAATAGCAGGAATTCATGTGTCGTGGCATCTGCCGTGATACTGTGGGCATACCCTTCTACCCAGAAGCGCCATGGTATGTCAACATCAAATGAATTCCAATATCAAATTTAACAACGAAGGCTCTCTGGCTGCATCACCGCAGGTCTCTAGCTGGCTGTTTCAAACTGGGGACTTCCTCGTACTGAGCTCTTTAGTACTTACGAGGATGTTTTCTGGCGAGGGAGAGTGGGCTAGGGATCTGGTTTGTGGAGATGTGGTTTATTTTCATCCTCCGATATACTAGAAACCCCCCAAGTTAGATATATAAATAAGCAGTTGTCGACATGCTATCAACTTTGGTGGGCCTTTGATCTACAACTTCTTTGTAACGGTTGCGTGTATGGTAACCTTAGTATGAAACAGCATTGCCGGCTCTCAGGGTTACTTCAGGAAGATAGCGGAGCACTCTGGCAGAGGCTCAGGAGTTTACGATGACGGAATGATCTGATCGTTATTATCCAACCCTCTCTGGATGCAAGGCATGCATATACTGTACCCTAGTTGTTCTTTGATAGAGTCCACGGGCCCATGGTGAAGCATGACCTCATAGGCACATTACATTGTTGTGCACCCTTGCAACTAGAGCGGGTCTAGCCTCGCTTTTTTCGTCTCAATTAAGATTTATGCGGCAAAGCCATATTGTGGCGCAATGACATCGTGGAGGTATGAGCTAGCATGTCTCGATTGAGCAGATAATATATGGGGCGCCTCGGGTCAGCCACGATTACTGCTGCCTGTCCAGCTGCCGAGGACCTCCCTTGTCCATAAGTTTGCCACCTAAAAGATCAGCACTTTATCCTTGCCTTTTCTTCCCAGGTTGCCTCATAGCTCTCGAATCGTGGCGCGGTCCCATAAAAAGTGACGCCATTATACTCTGGCATTGGATTATTATGGACTCTTTGACCCGGGGAAAAGATTCCAATGGAATGACGACTCAGATGCACGTGGTGAGTGATTTACTTGTGATCCCCATCGTATTCAAGGTACCCTAGACAAATCGAATATTTGGTTTCTGGTGCTAGCTCCCAACAGACCCCTAAACCGGGTCAATGGGTCCGAGGGTGTTGGAGATGGTGTGATGGCCAAGATTTTTAGGGCTTCGTCTCCACTCCCGGGCCCTGAGCTCCAGGGTAACCAACCTTCAGGGCTGGTGATCGTCCGTCTACTATTTTTGGCCACGCGGAATTCCAGAAAAGGTTCCTAGGGTCGTAGTGACATACGCGTAATCACCAAAAGGCGCAATGAGTGGGTGAATAGCCTATCGCTTTTCGTAGCCCCTCTCTTTTCGTAGCCCCTCTCTACCCCTCTTTTACTAGGACTGGTCAGATCGAGATCAAATCGGGTCAGCTTTCCCAGCTAGCTAGTGGCTTATTTACCGACGTCATAGTTGGGAACTCTGGGAGCTGAGATGATTCCTAGAAGCTTGGGAATATGTTAAATAGTAGAGTTTTCTCGAGTTCTTGGAGGAAATTTAATTCTTTCAACTCTGACAACTCAATCCTATAATATCAATTTCATATTACGCCAAAATGTCTTACGGTAACAACGTACGTTGTCTTTATCCCATTCCTCCCTTTATTTCGCTCTTGGTTTATCAAGGTCTACCCTTCCTATGGAATGACTGTCTATCCTTGCACAGCTACACCATCTTATGTTTGTGCTTGTATTAATTGAAGGTATAGGACTCTTACGGCTCTTCCGGCCGCGATAACTTCGGTTCATCCAACACCGACACCATGGGCTCCGGCGGTATCTCCGGCGTCGATGATACTCTCGGCTCTTCGGGCCGTGCTGGTGACTCGTATGGCTCATCTGGCCGCGATAACTTCGGATCTTCCAACACCGATTCCTATGGCTCTGGAGGTGTCTCTGGTGGCAGTGATACATTTGGCTCTTCAGGCCGTGACACCCTCGGATCTTCCAACACCGATTCCTACGGCTCTAGTGGTCGCACTGGCGGCAGTGATACATTTGGCTCTTCAGGCCGTGACACCCTCGGATCTTCCAACACCGATTCCTACGGCTCTGGTGGTCGCACTGGTGGCAGTGATACATTTGGTTCTTCAGGCCGTGACAACCTCGGATCTTCCAACACCGATTCCTACGGCTCTGGTGGTCGCACTGGTGGTAGTGATACATTTGGCTCTTCAGGCCGTGACACCCTCGGATCCTCCAACACCGATTCCTACGGCTCTGGTGGTCGCACTGGTGGTAGTGATACATTTGGCTCTTCAGGCCGTGACACCCTCGGATCCTCCAACACCGACTCTTATGGCTCTGGAGGTGTCTCTGGTGGCAGTGACTCTTACGGCTCTTCCAACCGCGACGAATTTTCCGCGGGCCGTGGTAACGACAAGTCCTATGGATCGTCTAACAACGATTCTTACGGCTCCTCTGGCCGTGATAACTATGGATCTGCCAACGACTCTCAAGGTTCCTCTGGTCAAGGCGGTGATAGCACCATGGGCAAGATCATGGAGAAAGCTGGTGGTGTGCTTAACAACAGCAAGCTCGAGGAGCGTGGCCACGAGAAGCGCGAGGCTAAGGGTGCCTACGGCAATGACAACTACTAGAGCATAATGTGGGGATTATTCTAGTTTGATCGATTTGGCATGTTTTATATCAGCTTGAGATTAATGTGAATTTTATTCATTAATGCCCGGTACAACACGCTTTACTTGTAATTCCATGAAAAAAGTACCCTTGTTTCGTATTTCGTAAAAGAGGTATTACGGGCGTTTACGGTCATGACAATTATAGCAGTATGATGCAGCAGGCGTGGATAGAAGTGGAATCAGAATGTGATTGCCGCATCCCTACTCCAGACGCAGAGGGCACCGAGGCGCATGCCAGCCACCACCACGAACATATGTGCCAGTATGAGAAGGGCTTGCATTTGTAAAGATGAGCGCAGGCTTGCTGCAGCTAGAAGGAGAAGAGGGTATAAAATCCACGGCTTGACCGCCAGCGGCGAGCAGGGGTGGAGAATCGAGACCACTTTGAGGAGGAAAAGCGAGAATTGTAAGCCTGGAGAGACCGCCATGGATGTTTTCAAGAAGTCCAAGACTGGGAATCTACTTGGAGGTGGCGGAAGAAGATGTTGAGGCATGGGCGGTGGGGAGTTGTGAATGGATGAGTTGCGGTCTTGTCGGGTTGGAGATACAGGAGGAGATGTAGAATATCTTTGCCGCACAACAATGTCCCGATCTAGAATCAAGTCAGGAAGCCCATCGGTTAACGTATTGGAGGCTAGAGGTGTGCCAGAGGAGCTGCTTGAATCGAATACTGAATCGTGTCGGAAGGTCGAAGGGCTGCGCGGTCCCCTCTTGGTGGGGGAGAGAGCACGCTCTGAAGGCTTCGGACTGTCCACAGGACGTATGCGTGCAGACGCAGGCAAATCAGGATTAGGTGAGCTAGCTGCACCGGCGGAACTGGTCCTTTTGGCGTTGGCATTGGCACCAGCTTGGATTCCGCTCAAGACCTCATCTGCCGTCGGTCGGCGATCGGGGTCTACAGCAAGCAGTAATTCCAAGAATGTGTAAAGCTTCTGGGGGAGATCGGATCTTTTCCGCCGAGTTTTATTGAAGCCAGCCCAGCTTGTAATTTCTGCTCGAAGCTGATCCAGGTCTTCCTTTTCTTCGTTGATAATATCCGCACTGGCATATGGAAGCTCCGCAAAGCACAAAAAGTAGAGAATCATTCCTAGGGAAAAGATATCGGACTTGAAGGTGAAGTTTCCGAAGGGACCATCATTGTACTCGCGCCGGAGAACCTCAGGGGCGCAATATGATAGTGTCCCTGTCGCACCGGTCGATTTGCGCGTTGCGTCTTGGGACTGTACTTCTCCGAAGTCACTCACCAATACTCGGATGCCATCGCTTGTTTCATGGAGTAGACAGTTGTGAGGCTTGAGGTCACGGTGAATATACCCGTTCAAGTGTAGATGCCGCATGCCCGAGGTAATATCTCGGAAGAACGAGTAGATCTGATCAAGCTGGAGCATGCGTAGCCCACCTGTGCCCATTTGCGGGTCTGCTTCACCTTTGGACTTCCTTCGAAGCCGGTCCTTCAGCTGCTGTGCAGTGCTGGTTGTCTGGACAGAGCCACAAATATAATCATGAAGGTCACCGGCATTGCAATATTGTTGAAGAATGAACGCACACGGAACACTGGGACCGAATGTGCTGATTTTCGCATTCTCAAGCCAGACATGGCGATATGAGACAAGATTTTGGTGGGAGAGATGCTGGAGCAGCTGGACTTCGCCCAGCACTTTCTCTAACCACTCGTGATCGTCGCCAACAGGTACACGCTTGCATGCATAGTGTCCGAGAGATACACCGTCTAACATGTGCTTGACGAGCAACACAACCCCCTTTCCACCTTTCCCGAGAACCCTTTCTTCGACGAAAAACTTCTTGAAGTAATCTGTACTGAAAGCCGCAGAAGAAATTCCTTGGGGAGGGCGAGGTTCACTGGTGGGACCGCTGGTGGGACGACCGTCTGAGAGAGCGGGCGGAACGAGACGTCGCCTCGGAGATGGAGGTCGCGAAGAGCTTGCAGAGCTTGGAAGGCTATTATCAAGCATGCGGAAGTAATTTGGGTTGATGAATTCGGCTTCAGGGTCGGTGCTTCCGTGATGTCGGCCTCTGCTGTCCTCGCGCATGGGCTGGCGGCATAATGGACAATTCGCGAGCTCAAGATCTGCATTGCGAGCATCTGAGGCATTCCGGAGGGCTACCTGTTGAGAATCACGGTCGAAAACTACCACGGAGTCATTGTGTCGGCTTTTCAATTGCCATAGTCAGTCGAGTAGTTGGGTAAGCAGAGAAGCCTCGGGTTCTTACAGCACGACGTCAAGGTTTCCCCCGTAAGGGATCATAGACATGTCATCAGGCATGGCGGCGGCAGCTCCTACAGCATGCCGATCATTTGAGAGAAGAGTAGAGCTGCAACGTACTCGAGGAACTTGTGAGTGAAAGATGACGGAGCTGAGGCCCCACGCCGCAGGCGGTGAACAAACCCCGGATCGGATTCCATGGAACAAACATGAGACGTGTGGCATGATCAATGCGTTTGCAATTACTACAGGGCTTCTTATTACGTCGATACTTTACAAAGGAAGAAATGGTTGGGTGGGATCATTTTTATTTGATTCACTAAGAATCGGGTATCTTGAGGGTGATGGCTGGCTCTTCAGCTCTGACGCCAGATCTGGTTCGGACATTGACATTCACGACCTCTCGCTAGAGAAGCTTGGCCAGCCCGGAATGCGCCTTGGGCAAAGCCTGCAACGGTAAAGAGTTGAATCTTCTAAGCCGCGAAGCAGAAACCCGAGGCTCCCAAAAGGGAAGGGCACGGCTTGTGATGCCGCCGGAAGTGCCGATCGGCGAGCACATACACTCTTTTTTTCAAGAGCGAGCGCAAGGAATGTTGCGACGAATCGCCAATGTTAGAGAATTGAGGTATCAGAACCGCGTGGGCCTTCAGTCCTCTTCGCCACTCTCCACATCGCTAACCTCAAGGTTCGCAATTGAATCATCGCTATCCTCTCCAGCGTCATCGAATCCGCCAAACTCTTCGTTAGGCTTAGAGTCGGAGGAGTCATCTTCCTCCTCCTCCTCCTCCTCCTCCTCGTCCTCGTCCTTGGCGGGCTCGGTCTGATCGATCTTGCGCTTGCGACCCATCTCTCCGAGACGGCCCTCACGACCCTCGATCTTCTCGCCCTTCTCGCCCTCCTTGCTTTCAGTGTGAGGAGGCGGGGTGAACCAGGGGGTCTTTCCACGAAGGAAATCATTGATCACCATCTTGGCCACACCGTCCAAGTCAGGCTCGCCTCCTTTCAGAAGACGGCCACCCTTGCGGGCAAGACGACTGAGGAAATCAATGGCATCGGTAGGTTCCTTGATACCGTAGGTGCGCTCCAAGTGGCGAGGCTGGACACGGCGGAGGACAGCGGGAATGTATTGCTCAGGGTTGTGGACGTTCTCAACACGGCAGACACCACGCAGCAGAATGTCCTCCTCGCTGTCGTTCTGGTTAGGAGGAACCACACCAGGGCAGTCGATGAGGTAAATTCGCTTCATCAAGGTAACATACTGCCACACCTTGGTCTCACCAGGAATAGGGGCAACGGTGCAGACCTTCTTGGCGCGGAGAGTGTTGATGATGGAGGACTTGCCGGTGTTGGGGTAACCAATCAAACCGACGGAAATCTGCTTACGGTCGGAGTGCAGAGATGAGAACTGGCGAAGCAGTTGAATCAAAGAACCCTTTCCGAAAGAGTTGTTGATATTTGCGTGGAACGCGAGAGTAGGGTAGTCCTTAGACAAGAAACGGACCCAAGCAGCCTGATGAATGCCATATTAGTAAATGATCAACAGAACATATGAAAGTGCAGGAATGTGTGGGATGTTACTAAGAGTCCTACCACTGAGCCACCGAAAAAGGCAGAGGCAGGACTCAACTCAAAAACAAAACACATATGACCCTTGCGACCGGTCTTCAAGACGAAGACCAGTCAACCTAGCCTCAGAAAGAGATTCGGTGCGGGACACTGTTAATCTACCAAAGCTGTAACAGACAAATCTCCATGGAGAAACAAGACGACGTAAAGCCGTAGGAAGAAGCCTTGACTTAGCGATGGAACGGCTCGCTGCCGGGTGTAAAAGACAAAGAAAGCAAGGAAAGTAAAAGCAATGCAGACTAAAATAGAAAGGGTGTAATGAGGGATGGAGCGTGACACTTACAGCAACACCGGTAGGAACAAGATCTGTCTTGTTCAGCACGAAAATAAGATGCTTGTGAGGAGCCTCGTCGCGAATGTACTTTTCGATACTGCGGCAACGAGTTCCGTTCGGGTCACGGGCATCCAAAACGTGGATAACCACATCGGACGAGTCGATGACCTTGTAAAGCTCGTTCCAGATACGCTTGGACTGTCCTTTGGAGAAGACAGACTCGCGGGCAGTGGTGAGGACAGGGCCATCATCGGTGGGATTAGTATCACCAGAGACCGCAGCACTTCCATCGCCGTGGGTTTCTGTGTCGTTCTTCTCCAGGTAAGAATCGTGCAGCTTGATGGTCTCGCCAGCGAGGTCCTCCAGGGATGTCACGCCCGTCTTGACACGCTTGCGTTGAGCCTTGGGACCGAAAGTATCACCGAATGGGTTGTTCTCAATCTCCATCTTGGCTTGATGTTGCTTGAGACCGTTCACGGTGTTGTGATCATTGTCCCGGATGAGACTCATGGGCAGCTTGTTGGTCTTCAGCAGAACCTGGTAGGGATCCGAGGTTTGCTCGGCGACGGCCTCACGGAATGATGTCAAGGCCTCCTGGGAAATAACTCGCGTGTTGCCAAACCATTTACGGTTGGGCTCAATGCGAGCGACCGGGGCATCACGAGACTGGTACGAGGCAGCCCTGGTGATGTCTCCCTGGGCATTGCGCTGAGCTTTGCCATCCTTGAACATGTTCAAGTGCTTAACCTTCTTCGCAGAGCTAGACAGAGATAGTCAGTACGATAATTCCCAACGTGAGACCGAGATTGCATGGTGGACGTACCGATAGAAGTTTTCACCTTTGGTTTTGACATTGGCCATGCCATCGCCAGACTTCCCCTGCCGCTCTTTGCGGTTGGCCTCCTTCTTATGAGTACCCATGATGAGCGACTCCTGTGGTGTTGAGAAAAAAAAAATAGGAGTGACCTTCAAAAAGAGAAGGATGACCAAAACACAAGGAGTGGCAGAGCGCGAAGAAAAGAAAGAAAAAAAAAGGCGGAAGGGTAATTTTTTTTTGCCGCCAAGAACCCGCGTGCACGGACCATGGCAAAATCGCTTCTGTTTCTTCCGACGCTGCTTCCTCCGCGCATCCTCCTATTCTGCGATCGTGGTCTTCCAGACCAACTGTGATTTTATTTTACTGGTATCAATCTACTTCCAACCTGTCGGTCACACTGTTATCCAGAACGAACGGATTCCGCCGGTGCACAATGTCTGCTCTCCGCCACAGCCGGACTGCCACAAGGCAGGTCCGGGGCTTCTCGACCTCTACCAATCTTCGGGTTGGTCCGGAGTCGCCTCATTTCATTGAATCTCCTCGACCTATTCAGCCTGCGAATCCCGCCAAGATCCATGTCAAGGGTACCTTGCCCGTTCCTCGCGAGCTATTTCCGGCCCGCCGACAAGACAAACCGCGCAAAGCATACCTTGATGCCGCGACACCTCTTCCCTTGACCGAGCGCACGATCAATGCTAAAAGTGCCGACCCCGAGAAGCAGGCCTTCAAGATCAAAATGGCGGAGATGCGGAGGAACCACCTTCGGGAAGGTCTCCGTAAACTTTACAAGAGAAAGCAGATCGCGCAGCAAAAAGTGTTCGAGCGAAGTCTCGAGAGTGAGACCCGACGAGAGCGTGTTCTCCAACAACCAGAGCCTGAAGATGAAGTTCTGACTCGGACGTCAATTGTGGAAACGATGCGGCCCCAGAAAGGTGCTGCTCTGTCAGACCCCAACCGGGAAGAACGATTGGCCCTCTCGCGGGCGCGTCTGGAGGCCAAGCAGGCCCAGAAAGACGCCATTCGTCGGGAAGAGATCCAGTCGCTGTATATGAACGCACGCACCTTCATCGTGAACGAAGAACAGCTCGCCGCTGAGATTGACCGAGCATTCCCCGAGGGCGAGAACGAAGCCTGGCGCAACGACCACCAGCAGGGTGAGAACATCTGGAACTTGGGTGTTCCGCCGACCATCGTCAACCTTGTCAACGATGCCCGGAAGAGCGAGACTGGTCGCTGGGATCTAATTCAGGACCGAGTCAAGAAGCTCGGTGAGCAGATCACTGGTGGCAAGCTGTGAGAGGCATTATTATCATGTACAATATTTTGAAGCTGTTGCATCGTCATTCTGCGCATTATTTGACCTGGGATGGGTTTGTGCCATATATACTCCAGCCGCATGAGGCTGATCTCCTACTTGACCCGGAACTATTAAATTCTAGTAAAATAGGGGTCTACCATATCATTTTTGCGATATTTAAGCTTCTTAGATTTCCATTTCTGAATGCTTGATTACGAATTCCGCCCCTAAACGTGCTTATCCTCCGACGGAGTCATTGCTGTTTTAGCCATGTGTGTGTTGATTGATGTCTGATCGATCTAATCGAGGTTCAATGGTAGACGCTAGTAACCGTGATGAAGAAGGACTTGCGAGATAGCATCATTGGTAGATGGGCGGTCGTTCTCGCCAGCAAAATTCTGGAGAATGGCCAGCATCCGGGACACCATACAGTGTCAGAGGAGTGCTGGGAGTGCAAATCCCGCAGAAAAGCGTGTTCCACTGAAGGATTGAAGATTTTGGTTGTCATGCTTAGCCTCAACCAATGAAGCCTGTCAGACCCGAGTCTTTTAGGCTTAGGGCGGGTGGCAGTCAAGTTCCCAGTAGTCGCGATCGACAGCTTCTAGGGCGACGAACAATCCTCTGGACCAGGTTTTCCAACCGGGTAGCCCATTGAGTGCCAGTACAAGGTCCTTCACAACTCTGCAAGATGATTCTTTCTTGTTTAGAAAAGACAGCGACGGAAACTATTCAAAGAAATATGATAATGTTTTACCGAGTGTACATGATAGAGTGATTAAGATGGAGAAAGCGAGTTACGGTAAGAGAGAGAAGGTTGTTATAGATGGAGGCTTCCGGAAACCCTCAGTGCATAAGGGCCTTTGGCCTGAGGTTTCAAGAGACTTTAGATGAGAGCAGAGTGGCAGAGTGTGACATTTGTTCCTGGGAAATCTTTCCCAAACAATTGACAAGAACGAATAAATCTTCCCTTACTTCAAAGCCAGAGCAATAACCGAGGTATGAGTAGAAGGAACATAAGTATGAACATCCTCAATGCGCAAGCCCGCGCGATCGGCGAGATCCAACCACTGCTGCTTCGAGCGCTCCTTTCCAGCACACATGTTCATCAATGCCAGGTCTTGCATGGTAGCTTCATAGTGGGCGCTGATATCCGGCATGACGATCTCATCAATCAGAATCCGGGAGTCCGAAGCCATGGCACCGGCGATGTTTTGGAGGATCTTTGCGGCTTCGTTGTCAGGCCAGTCATGCATGATTCTTCGGAGATAGTAAAATTTGGCTCCTACGAGATCATTATTAGGGATGTGTATGAAGGGAATGCTGAAGATTGTAGTGCGTACCTGTAATAGGCTCCTTTTCGAAGAAGTCGTAGGCTTCGGCTTTCACGCCTTCGATAGGAGACAGCTTGTTGACTGCTTCGGGTAGATCTTGGAGCACAAGTCGGCCGAGGAGATTGGGATACTTCTTGCCTAATTGGATGCACTGGTGACCATGGCCACCTCCTACATCGACGAAGAATGGCTTCTCGGAAGACTGGGGAGGAGCGAAAGGAACCTTTTTGGCTTCGATGTCAAGGGTATCAAGACCAACAGCCCATTCCGCTCCCTGGAAGCCTGTCATAACCGTCTGCAGAGAGTCGAAGTGCTCTGGATGCTTGACCATCCAGTCAAAAGACTGGAGCTTGGTGTTGTGAGCGACCTGGAATGGAGTGTTTGTGTTACTGGTGATGTCCTGGTACTTAGTGGCTGCAAGGAAGTCGGGCAGTGCTTGAATGACAGGCCCATGGGTATTGAAGCCATGGTAGACCATTCCCTCACCCAGGTCGCTAGTAAATATATGGGTGATATTGCTTGCTTGGTATTCATTGACGCCGACCTCCTTAATTGCATTGTTCGAGGCCAGGTAACGAGTGATTCTCTCTGCCAATGTTGTGATAAGTAACGTTTGATTTCTGAAGCCGGTAACAACGACATACCCAGAAGCTCAGGGGTTGACTTTGTGAGGTCTGCCAACTCTTTAACCTTGAAAGACCTGTTATTCGCAGCTAAAGTGCGGAAGAGCCCCAAATCTACCCCGACGCGAATCATGGCGTACAGCATGTTCTAGCATCCTCAGTATTCGGTTCAATCTGCTGCGTTGACGGCCACCTACCGAGTTTACAAGATCTATAACCACATCCCTAGGACCTTGCAGTTCTGATAGGGCCCTCCGAAGGGCAACTTGTATGTTCAGTCGACCGATCTCGTCGGCGGATTCAACCAGGGTGCGGATTTGCGCAACAATGGAGTCCATGGTGAGAATTGAAGAGTTTGTTAAATTTATTGTGAATAAAGATGTGGTGCGATGTGAATGATCGTCTAGATAGGATACAATCGTGCTTTTATAGCAGATGTCCTCCCATACATTGAGTCCGTCCGCGACTCCGCGGAGGTTCCGCGGGCCTTTCGCGTCGCTGATTGGTTTGGAGCTCTCTAACCTCCACCCAACGTCATGACAGTGCAATGATTATCCTCAACACACCTCATGCAGAATGAGATAAAACATGAGCCGAGTCGAAAAGCGTCTGAGGTCGGCCCGGTCGCGCCCGGTGTCCTGTCAGTTTTGTCGGTCGCGAAAATTGCGATGCAGCCGACAGTTCCCGTGCCCAAACTGCACTAGTCGCGGCATCACCTGTGATTTGGACGCGCCCACAGCTGCGTCGATAAACGAAGCTGTAGGGGAAATACCTGAAATACCATCGAAGACATTCCAGCAAGATGTCCTGTCGCGCTTGCACAGATTGGAGGAGATTGTCAGTGGCCGGAGCGAATCATCAAATGCTCCCTCGGTACAGACTGGTTCGCAGCCATCGCCGCCTTCACTGCCAAAGGGCGACTTCTTTACTGGGGAACGATATAATTCAATGGAACTCAATTGGATTGAAGGGGCAGTCATGTATTCCGACTCTATGGTCAGTTGCGGCCAGAGACATATTTACCTGGGCAGCGAGCTAAAACATTGCTAGAGCTCCCTTGTGTCTTGCGAACTTGAGTTCAAGACATGTTACATTCAATCAATTACTTCTTTCGAGCCTCTGATACGCAAAACGGCACCTGGAAAGATACCGATGCGAACCATTTGGCTTCCAGTCTACGAAGAAGCAAAGCAGATTGTGGACAAATACCTGACCGAGATCACGTATATACACCACGTAGTTCATGCTCCATCTGTGCGTACACTGGTCGAGGATCTCTACCACAATCTCAATAACCAAAAAGCCGTCAAGATTGGCCAGGTTTCCCTTCTCCTGGCGATCTTAACGAGTACTACGTTCTTCTGGACGGAACGTGACATGGCCACGCCATTGTTTTCCTCAGTCGAAGAAGCCAACGGCCAGTTTACAACATGGATGAAACTAGCACTCGAGGTGTTGGAGTACTCCCGTCGCACGCGTTCTGATTCTCTCGAGGATGTGCAAGCCACGATCATCGTGTGTTTTGCCATCTGCAACGTCGTTGGGATCACATCGCAAGTCCGATCCCTCTTCTATACAGCGAACTCAGTGGCATGGCATCTGGGTTTACACCGTATTGATCATCCCCATAATACGGAAAACACTGATCATGAGTTTTTATCACCAAATACGGTGCGCGCAGAAATTGGAAGACGAGTGTGGTGGTATCTTGTTGCGTCCGACTGGTCTGTGCAACACCTGAAAGCACATTTGGAAGTGCAGAGACTGACTGTTTGAAGGCAGGTATCACAGTTCGCAAGCCCCCAGAAGGGAATCTATTCAATCAACCCGCATCACATGGCGACCAACAAACCTCTGAATTCAAATGATGACGATCTTGTTGATGGAGTGGAAAATGTCGCCAAGCCAATCGATCAGCCTACTTCCATGTCATACTGCCTCCAAAGAATTCGGCTCGGAGAAGTTTGTCGAGAAATCAGTGACAGTATTCCGTTCACGAAGATTGGATCCAAAGAACCGCAATATGAAAGGATGCGCAATATTGACACAAAGCTTCGGGAAGTGGCCGAAAGTTTGCCACCTTTCTTTTCCTTGGATTTCAATACCAACGAACTACCCGAAACAGACCAACGTAGGGCACCAGGCATCGTTATTCAGCGATACATCATCAACTCATTACTTCATGCACAAAGATGCAGAATGCACCTGCCTTACCTGTCCCGAGCCGCCACGGACCCGGCTTATTCCTACTCGAGGGATGCATGCATGGAGGCGGCACGCATGGTCATCCGCACTGAGCGACAACTCGCGAGAGAGGACCTTCCGTTTGTATTAGCACGCCTGAAATTTACGGGTGTCTTACATTGCGTTTGCATCGCCATCATCGTCCTTTTGATGGATCTCTGTCGTCACAAAAGCCCCCAGTCCGAAGGTGACCGAGACAGCCGAGTGGAGATTTACAATGCGTTTAGCATCCTGGAAGAAGCCCGAGGTCAATCGCCCTTTGCCGAGAAGATACTAGAGCAATTCTACGCGATTCTCCACCGACACAATATCCCCCTTTCAGGTGGTGAAGGCAGGCCGGTAACCCGACCGGGCAATGTCAGCGAGCAGGCATCCAAACAGACTAAAGATAAGTCTCTACCGTCTAGGGACAGCCAAATGAGCATCGATGGCATGCCTGATCCGAGTCTTCCGTCATTCGATGATCTCTGGCAGGTCTTTGACACCAATGTAGACCCTGCATCTCTCGTGGATTGGAATACTCTGTTCTTTGAACTGGACACTCCCTTTGTGTCACTGTGATCCGATCCAGTATCTCATGTTGACAGGTTCATGATTTGAAGTCCCAAGTCTATGACGCAGAATTTGGAAAATTGTTATGTAAATCTCCCTAGTCGTCCCATAAGAGGCCATCTCGATATTAAGGCCCGCTCAAAACCCCCACTGCGATCGACGCGGTTAAACTTGGCATTGGCGTCAGAGCCAACGCTAGGGCCCTTCGCTAGCTTCAACGGTTATTGTCGAGACAGGTAGACTGGAGTTCGATGTTGGCAGCTTGCAATGGTGGGGTACATTGCAGAGTTCTACCCAGGTACAGTAAGTGATGTTGTACCTGGACCCGATTCGATATTGGACGGTACTCGCCGATTGTGCCTGGTTCCTGGAATCTCCGACACTAGGCCTTGGCCAGGCAAAGTCTTGCGAATCACCGAACTTCTCCTTGCGGATTTAGTTTTTCGCTCTCTTATCTTTGAGAGTTCTAGAAGTGAAATGGGCTGGGCCAAGGGCGATCGACGTGAAGAATATCAGCGATCCGTGACGCGTGTCGTGGATCGCGTACTGTCACGAAACCATTTTTACATCTCGACATCTCGACTTGTTCGAACGGGCGATCGAACTCCGATCTCGATCTGGTTCCTGCACGCTCATGCACATGCAATAGGAACACTTTTGTTTCACATTGAACCGTACAACTGCAGCATTCCCGTCTGTGTTGACAACAACATCCGAATACCCGAGATTATTGTGCGTATCCAGAGGTCGTCGGTTCTTGGGTCAACCACAGGAACAAAAATAGCACCAAATGCCGTTGGCGAAGTGGCTTTATGGTCTCCACTCGCGTTCCTTGTACCGTACCAGGATGGATCTGATGATTATGTCCCGGCTCCACTCGCTTCCATCCAATCCTGTTGCTTCTTCGTGGAAAGCTTCCCTTCCCCCTCGCTATCCCAGTTTTGGGCAAGGCTGTGTATTTTCACTCAGCCCACTTTGACCCTGTCGCTAGGCCCCAGTTATGCCTCCCAATGACGGGATGCATCTGGAATTGAAACTCCACCTCTCAAGGGTCAAGTGAAGGCTACTGCCTCCTGTGATCAGATCAAGATTGCAATACATAAGTGTACACATACTTGCGTGTTTACGCCTAGCTGTGCTCAGAACCTGGGGGTGGCTCCACGACTACCTTTCTTTGTGTCCTGCCCGCTAGGTACCAGGGTTTGGATTTCGAATGAGAAGCAGTGCACAATGGCAACCATGGGAATCGGCGCATCGAATCCGTCCGATCCGGCATGTCATCGGTGCGAAGCGTCGTAGGCAGATGCGCATCCAACCTGTTGATCCGTGGTATACCGGCAGTCTCGCCACTCGTACTTGGCTATTCCTGTGCCTTGGAGACTCGCTGGAGAGGATCCAGACCATCAAGGGCTCAATGGATGTGATAGGCCCCGAGTATCCACGCGGCCTGACTAACAGCCACTGAGCACTTGTGGCTGCGTGGAGTAGCTGGAGTAGCTGGAGTACAGCATGGATCGCTTCTCCACAGAGAATGTTGACCTCAGGTTGAAGATGACGTCGAGACCTGAACGGACCTCTCTCCGGCTGGTTCGGACACCTTGCGTACCTGCTCTCCCCGGCACTCCACTCCCATCATCCATGGTCAATGGTGTCGAGCACGATTCTGAGAGGCCGATCCCTCGTCGTTTCTATTTTTTCCCCATCTTTCGGGGACGCCGCCCGGATCCTCGTCATGGCCCTGATCTATCTTGATTCGTAACGATGTAGTCCCAACCCACTGTCCGCTATAAAGATGCATCAGATCCTCCAGTCTTTGGGATCCCACTCCATCCTAAGCAGCAAGCCTCTAGCCGTACCCCATTCACACGGTCTTTTCTACCGACGCCTTTCGTTCGTTGACTAGGCTCTAGACGCCTTCGCTTGCTATAATGAAGACCTTCATCACCCTCGCGGCTTTCGCTGCCGGTACCAACGCCCTCGTTGGCCGTGGTGATAGCTGCTGCTTCCACCTCACTGCCTCTGGTGGTGCTTCTGGTTCCATTGGCCAACTGAGCGACGGCCAGAACCGCATTGGTGACGACAGCCTGTCTTCGGCTGACTACTGCATCAACTCTAGCGGTGGTATCACCGATAGCAACGGCCGTGGTTGTATCCTGACTTGTGAGTTTTGTTATAGATCAACTATAAAAATCAAACCCCAAAGCTAATACCTATTTTCAGCCTCCACCACCCAGTGGCAGTGTGATGAGGGCGCCTCGCCCACTACCGGCTTCTCTATTGCCTCCAACGGCGAGCTGGAGTACAACGGCAGTGATAAGTTCATTGCCTGTGAGACTGGCCAGAACGGCGGCATGAACATCTACACCACCAACAGCACCTCTGTCACTCAGTGCAAGAACGTCAAGCTAACTGCTGATTCCTGCTCTGGCTCCGGCGCTGGTACTTCTGGTTCTTCCTCCTCTGCCGTTTCCTCTGCTATGAGCACGGCTACCCCGTCCCCTGCCCCTGCCTCCTCTTCTCCCGCGGCATCTGCCCCCGCTGGTTCGGTGCCCGCTAGCTCGGCCCCTTCGGTCTCTGTCCCTGCTGCTAGCTCTGCTCAACCCAGTGGCCCTGCTAGCTCGGCTGAGTGCCTGGCCGGCTCGCCCGTGACTACCACTGTCACCGTGACTGCTTCAGACTGCGCCTGTGCTACTTCTGCTCCTGCTGCTGGCGGTTCCGGTGCCGCCGGTGGTGGATCTGCTTCTAGCTCTGCTCCTGCCGGTGGTGCTGGTGGCTCCCCTGCCCCTACTTCATCTGCTCCTGCTGGCAGCGTCCAGCCTTCCGGTCCCGCTGGTGATGTCCACTCTACCTCGAGCGTTGCCCCTGCTCCTTCCGGCCCTGCTGGAGGCATGCAATCCTCCAGCAACACCGCTCAGCCCTCGACCATGAGCAACGCCGCTCAGCCCTCGACCATGAGCAACACCGCTCAGCCCTCGACCATGAGCAACGCCGCTCAGCCCTCGACTATGAGCAGCGTCGCCGCTACCTCAGCCTCGAGCACCGCCTCTTCCACCTCCTCCGCTGGTGGCCACTGCCCTACCACCTTGACCTCCGGCAACTACCAGTACCCTCATCTGATCATCCCCGTTGACTCGTCCTCGCCTGACACTGCTGCCGGTACCTCTTACAACGGCACTGTGTCCTCGACCATCTCGACCATCTTCAACTTTGATATCCCCTCCTCCTACAGCGACAAGACTTGTAGCTTGGTCTTCCTCTTCCCCAAGAAGGCCGACCTCGAGACTTCCTCCTACAGCTTCAGCGGTGACGGCAAGATTGACGTCTCCAAGCTGTCCTCCGTTGCCACTGAGTCCACCGACTACAGCAACGCTCCCTCGGTTGCTCAGGACTTGGGTGATATTACCATCTCGCCCGGCAACTCCTACGTGCTCTCCACTTTCGCCTGCCCCTCCGGCGAGGCCATTGCCTACGAGATGAAGAACGCTGGTAGCACCAACCTCAACTTCTTCGAGGACTGGAACCCCTCTCCTCTTGGTCTGTTCATCACCACCTGCTAAATCAGCAGTTTGATTTCTGGACATCTAGACACTTGAATAGTGTATACGACGGCTGGAGTAATTTATGTGTTGTGAAGTTGGTAATGCTTGATGTCAACGTGCTATGGCTTTTTTGCCGGACTGTGGGATCTGGACATGCAAATCTGCATACGGACCCGCAGTCGGTTTTTTCTCTTGCTGTATTAGTACAATTCATTCCTTTGATATACCTTTTATACTACTCTTTCATTCCGTCCCAATTGTCCTTCACCGTAATTTCATGCGGCTTCCTGCACTGTGGTAGCCCGTATTCAAATGATGGAGCCTAAAACCGGTGGATCAATGCGGCGTCTCGAACAACAGTCTACAACCCACAATCCACAATCCACAGTCCTCAGTTCACCCACCAAATGACATGCCTGGCGTTAGGCACGTTTCTCATTGTGTAATGCGAAGAGTCGTACTACATTCCATATCGAGGTGGTCGATGTCGATCCTCACCGAGGGTCTCGGCCTGCAGAAGGCCTCCTGGATCGTCCTGAAGAGTGAACCAGGTACCAAGTCTCCACTCTCCGACGCGGAGACATGCTGCAGTGACAGACTCGGTAGCTCTGATTCGCGAGGCGGGAGAAGAGGAGGAAGGGTCTAGGGGTCAAAGAGTCAAAAGAGACGAGTCTAATTGATGAGGAACAAAAACGCCCTGCGCCAAGGCGCTGCGCCATCGGTCGATCGCGTTTTAATTAGCAAGTGCACACGCGAGCAGGCATCTTCATTCTTTTGATTTTTGACTGTTGTTTTCCCTTCTTTTTTCTTTTGTCATTATTTACTTCCATCCCAAACATGGAGATCCCAGCCAAATTGCCATTTTCCAAGCGCCGGCTACGGCCGCGTGTTGTCCTTTCGTGAGCTTGTTTTCCCCCGCGGAATGCGCCGGGGCTAATCTAATGTCCCTTTTAGCTACATCTTCGACTACGTGATCCTCATGCAAGTATAGCCTCGGACCAAGTAGTTCAATGGGCTCATTCTAATACCCTACAGTGCCTGTGTCATCGGATTCTGGATCCTCGACTCAATTGAGCCTTACCACCAGCACTTCTCTCTCACCAACATCTCCCTCCAATATCCCTACGCAGTCCACGAGCGCATCCCGATTCAATACGCCCTCTGCATCTCCGGCCTGTTCCCTCTCGTTCTTGTCATCGTCTACACTCTCTTCCTCGATGGCTTGTTCTCCCATCACAAGCCTACGGACCCCGCCTCAGGGAAGCGCAAGCTGCGCGGGCCTTGGCGCTGGAAGGATCGCCTTTGGGAGATGAATTGCGGTATTCTGGGACTGCTCCTATCCCAGGGCCTCGCATTTGTTATTACGCAGGTTCTGAAGAATGCCTGCGGCAAGCCCAGACCCGATATTATTGATCGCTGTCAGCCGCGAGCGGGAAGTCTTGATCTGACGCCGTACGGCTTGTCGAATTCCACGATTTGTACCGGCGAGGCGGCATTAATCAAAGATGGGTTCCGGTCATGGCCGTCGGGTCATAGTAGCTGTGAGTATATTTGTTAGCATTGGATGCGACACCGGGCAAGACTAATTCGACCCTTTCAATAGCCTCTTTCGCCGGACTATTCTATACCTCGTTGTGGCTGGGTGGGAAGCTTCATATAATGGACAACCGCGGCGAGACCTGGAAGACACTCCTCGTCATGATCCCGATCCTTGCAGCAACCCTCGTCGCTGTGTCTCGCATCATGGATGCCCGCCACCACCCCTTCGATGTCATCACCGGCTCGTTACTAGGTGTCGTCTGCGCCATTGTGTCCTACAATCAATACTTCCCTCCGCTCTCCGAAGCATGGCGCAAGGGTCGCGCATACTCGATCCGAACCTGGGGCTCGCAACCTGCGCACCCCGTGCACGGGAAATTCGACTCGGAGAGCGAAAGCACCACGCCACTGCGCAACCCCGAGGGAGACCGATTGAATCCTCCAGATCTGCGCCATACTCAGGCGTCCCCGAACTTACCAGACTCCGGAGCGACGGGGTACGGCGGAAACCCCTATGCGCCCCCCGCGTATCCCCGTCGCGCACATGACCATGACCCCGATGGCAACTGGTCTTCTAGTGAGGATGACGTCGCGAATGGGTATGAGATGCAGCAGGGGTATGTGACGGCTGCGAACCCTGCGGCTAGGGGCTACTCCCCGCCGTTTGAGACGAATACTGCATACGCGTCTCCAAATCCGGTAACGTCGGCTGGTATTCATCACCCGGGCGTGGTAGTTAGTCCTCACGACCGGGGGCGCCAGTTGACTGATGTGCCGGTTGGGAATGTGTAGGCGAGCGATTGTAATTGGGTGTGGGTGCGTTGCATTAGCATTGCGCTGCAGTTGAATAACCTCTCTTTTTCATTTTAAAGCCTTTGCTTTGTATGATGATGGCCTGTATGATTATGGATGATCGGAGTTTGGGAATTGGATGTCCATATTATTTGACTCGCTTTTGCCAATCACATTGACACTTGTCTAGAAGAAAGAAACCCAAGTCCGATGTACTACTTTAACTTGCCCTACTTTGATGAAGATTGGACGGGGACCCACACGGGACCGGGTTGCCATTCCAACACCCAACTACAGCCACGGAACCTCCGAGACTGGGATCAAGATCAACAATCAAATCAAATGCAAGACATTGATTAAAGAGATGGCGGGGACTTCCACTAGTCTCCTCTCAGCCCAATCTATGCCCGGCCTCGACCTTACTCCCTTTCTCGCATAGAGGAAAAAGTCCGTTGCCCCAGCCACCCACAAGAACCGAGCTGACAGGTCCAGCCTCCTCTTGCGCCCCGCGCGCAAGATGACGGCACCGTCTTTATCTTTTTTCGAATCCCCTCAGGCTTCTTTCTTCCTTCTACATCCCTTTCCTTTGACTCCTGGTGCATGCATCTGCACACGTTGCGATCGCAGACTTTCGCGCGCACGGTGTAGCTTGACTTCCGGTGTACAGCGCATCTGACAGCTTGTTTCTGAATCCCCCCATCGCATCTCGCACGCATTCCTCAGATCGAGTCCCCAAACTCTGTCGCCCACCGTCATCATGATTGGCAGTCTATTCTTCATCTTTAATCGGATCGTGGAGATCACTTTCCTGATCCCCATCATCGGCATAATGGTATGCTCCTCTTCCCTCTATACTCTATACTCCGCGATCACGCCGCCCAGAAAGAATCTAACACCACATAGGCTTACTTCGTCCACGGCTACCTCCAAGCAAACATGCTCACACCAGCCTACATCCTAATCCTCTTCATCACCAGCGTCATCGCCGTTTTCTGGGCCGTCGACACCCTAATCCGCTTCAGCACAACAAAACGATCTGCAATCTTCGTCGCGTTCGTCGACATGCTCTTCTTCGGCGCTTTCATTGCCGGCGTCTACCAGCTGCGCTTTATCGCAAACGCAGACTGCGCTCACTGGTCAGGCGGCAGCGTCTGGGTTTCTCTCGGCCCGTTCGGCGAGTACGGCGAGCAGACAAACGACCCGCTTGAACTGCACGTTGACAAGACCTGTGCGATGCTGAAGACTTGCTTTGCGATGGGTATTATGGAGACGGTCTTCTTCATCTGGACTGCTTTCCTCGCGCTGTTCTTGCATTCTCGGGATCGGGACCGCGTCGTTGTTGAGAAGACGGTGCGCCGACGTAGCCATTCTAGTCGACGGGGACACTCGAGTTCGCACCGTCATCGCAGCTCGAGCAGACGACCTTCTTACGTCGTCTAGGTCGGGGACCGTATAGGACCGGTCTTGTTTTCTTTTTCTTTTTTTTCTTTGGGGGATTTCATACTTTTTTTCTTATGATCTTATGAGGAGATGAAACGACTTGATTAATGAGGATATGCAAATGATCTGTGTCAGGGGACTTGGAAAACCTATGAAAATTATGTGATGAAAATGTCGTCTTATTGGTGGCTGTATAGGTAGTTACGTCTTGTGTCCAATATCAATGTCAATTTCCAATGGATCACTCGAATCTTGGATTCTCCGGTCTAGTCTAGTGTATGGCTTCCGGCGAGTGTTGTGTGAAAAGCATTTCCGGTTACTCGTCCCAACATTTACATGCTCAAGTCCTCCTGCGTAGAGGAATATATGAAGTGTCCTTTGCATATGAACTGCACCTAGGTGGAGAAGGTCCCGTTGGGGCCTAGAGAGGTGGGTGTCACTTAACCCGATGCGGAAGATATGCAGTCTATGAATTCGTATCACCTGTCGATTTCATATAGTGAATCGTTGCAAGACGAAGTCCTCTAATTTGACCTAATCTTGAAAGGGCATCGCGCTGAAAGTCAGAGATTGGGCAATCGAACGATCCAACGACAGAAGCCGCAATTGCGCCCATCCCGCACTTAGCCATCACAAACATTCGTTCAGCCCGATCTATGCAGGCACTCAACCACCCAATCGCAACATGAATGTCACGAAACATCCTCGGGACAATCCCTCACTGGAAGAACTAGCAGATGTGATTCAAAGATCCCTCGAGGCCAACTTCGCCCATGCAACTGCGAGCGTCGTGCAGTGTCCAGACCTGCGCCAGCCACCCTTCAACCTTGCTGCCCCGGGTCTTTCAGGAAACCCATGCATAGCAGATATTGGCGGACAGCCCAATCTGTTTCCAACGCCTAATTTCAAGGCAAAATACTCTCTTCTCGCCATGGCGAAGGACATGCAAATGTCCCCGGCGGAAGGATTTCTTCTCGGTGCCGGAGCGGCCCCGTTTCAAGACATTGGCCATAATGCCGAGCTGGCACCTAATATTTCCTGGAAATCGAAAACGGAGTCACCGGACTTGGAAGATTCTAGTTCCATCACTATAAACAATATGACTCGTGTTATTGAAGTGAAGCAGGGTGGTTCCCCATCATGCGCAACCCTTCCAAGCACAAACTGCGCCCTGATGATGAACCTCTATGGATCCAACGGCCACACCGGGCCAGTCCTGAGAGTGACCGGTCGAGGACGAATTGGCGAACTAAACTTCACGAATTGCATCCGGCTAGGTCTCAACTCGGTTTACGGGGACTCACACCCAATTAGCCTGGGTGGCGCATTCCTATTGAAATCAGGAAAAGCCAAGTTTCACGTTATGCCTGATTTCCCTGCGCCGGATAGGCTACCGTTCCGAGACCGTGCTCAGCTGGAAAAAGAGTGGCTCACTTATCATGTTTTTGATGCTCCGGTGGTATGTTTGACTGTAATGCATAGTGCTGACCCTGAGGGCCTGGGGCTGAGAATGGAACACACGCATTGTTTTGATGCCGAGGAGGGGAAGAAGGGAGGGCATTATCATTATGATGTTATGGATGGGGAGGAGGTGGAGTATGAGGCGTATTTGCATCCTGCTGGAGTTTTGTATCGGATTGATCAACCGGTGCCTTAGTACATAGGTGGCTATTATTCTAGGCAAGTTTCATAATATCATCAAGTTAAGTGACTAAGCTGGAACCGTCGTTATGGAATCAAAACGAGACTTTAAACGTGAAACGAGGAAATATGGAAAATGCTGAACTAGACTCGAGCGTAGATGAACATCTTTCGCAGTCCAATCCAATGGACAAATCCCGGGAAAGTAGATGCACCATAATTCGTAAGCTCCTGTCGCTCATCTGCGGCCTTCTTCTCCACCTCATAGAGCTTCAGAGACCGAAGCATCCACAGACCAAAAGAAGCAAGGAAGAACATGCACCCAACAAATACCTGTGTATGGAGATAACTAGAACCCTTCACAAGCCCAAGCGCAATGGGCTCAGCAAAGGTAGTCGGAATCACCAAAACCAAGCAAATCAGGGTAAACGTCGTTGACAATCGATTCAGTCCAACCACCTCAGCCACCACGGGCGTAATGGTCCCCCAGAAATTCCCACAAACGGATCCCGCGGTAAGCGCAAATAGCAAAAGTACCGCGTATGAATTTGCAGGAATCCAAATCGCAAGACAAAGCAAGCCGCACACAGCCGTGACGATTGTGGAAACAGTAATCCGCCCAAACACATCACTGACGTAGCCGACGATGGGCCGACCAATCGTCAATCCCAAGTTCAAGATCGCACCGGCAACAGCTCCCTGTTGTGCACTGAGGCCAATGGATACAGCGTAACTGGGAAGCGAATACCACAATGCGATGTATCCGAATTCAGTGGCTATGCCCCAAAGCATCATGAGCAGGATTTCAGGACGGGCGAGATCGCGGCAATCGAGTGTTCTCTCCTTTCGGGTGATTTGAGGCTTGTCGCGGCTCTTCATCAGCAATGACGAGACGAGGTTTGCTCCTAATGCACAGAAAGCTAGGATTTTATACGTCATCTGCACGCCAACGGTCTCAATAGCATGGCCAGAAGCAAGGTTGTACACTATACCTCCAATACCAGCGCCCGAGCCAGCGAGTCCCAGAGCCAAGCTCCGTCGAGTAGAGAACCACGCTGGAAGTGCAGATATGGTCGTGATGTAGAGAAAGCCAATTCCCAGTCCGCAACACATCCCCTGCGTGAGAAACAGGTGCCAGATCTCAGTAGCATAAGCGGCTCCGAATAAACCAACGAATTCAAATGCTGTGCCTATTAACAGAGTGATCCGGGTACCGAGCACCTTCTGGGACATGGAGACGATTGGTCCGATGAGAAGGGCTACTGAAATGATCAACCCGCCGATGAAGGCGTATTCGATCCGACTTGCACCGGGGAAGGTGGCGTGGGAGGTATAGTGGGATAGAATGACGCCCCAGGCGCCGGTCACCCCCCACGTGTGGGTGATGATCATGAAGGAACATACTGTGCAGACCCAGCCATAGCCTCCATTAGGCGGTACGTCCTCGAAGGCGTTCACGTCTGATCTGGAGGTATCCTCAGGATCACGCGCTGTCAACTGCATTTCGGACTCTGTCCTGCCCGGGTGCGGTCGTATTGGTACCATCTCTATAGTAGCCATAGCTTGTCACAGTTGCCGTCTGATGCCGTCCAATGGAGAGGTGAAGGGCTAATTGAAAGGGGTTGAGGTCTCGTTTTTCATCTGCTGGGTGTGCCCCGCCAAAGAGGAGGTGTCATCGGTGGTCTAGAAGAAACGATACAAAGGATGCCACCCAATCGGGTTTGCGATCGCGCCGACATGACTCAGTAGGGCTGCGGCAAGCATCGACACATCAGGAAATCGAGTCCATAACCTGCTTCACCACCCCAACAACTTCACTGAAAGGTCACGTCTAGGTCCACCCACGATAGACTGTAAAGACGATCTAGCTCGTAAATAAGCCCCAGTTCAGTTTAGTTCAGTTGAGGCGGCTTTAAAGATCTATCATCTCCACCCAGTCCCTGAAGCCTCGTATTGTCGGACCTTTCCCAGCTTACTGCGGCAAGCGGCCCGCACCCATTGGCCGCAAGCACGCCACGCCCCACGAACTAAGAACGAACGACTCACGCTGAGTACATGAAGAGACAATCGGCAGATTGTAAGCAAGTGATTGGCTCCACGAGAATCCCTGCTACATTTGGCCCCCAATGCCCTGCAGACTAAGCCGGCTGGTCACCGGTTGCGCACAGCATGAAGACCCTATTTTGTTTCTCGGGTCCCTGACGGCTTCCGTTCCATGGTTCAATACCAGTGTCGAAGATGGATCCCCTGAGTCTAACGGCTAGTATTGCGGGCATTGCGACGGCTGCGTTCCAGATTATTGGGATCTTGGGGACGATCGGCGCAGGAGGGGAGGAGCGCCTTCAGCTGTTGCAGGAGTTGACCGGGTTGTGGATTACCATTACAGCTGTGCAGGCGCAACTTGCCCCCGATGGGATTGTTCTTGACGAAGCGCATTTTCCGCCGCAGCTTAGAACCCTGCTCGAGTCGGATAGGCTGGTGAAGGAGATGAAAGGTCTGGTTGAGGATGTGGAGAAGAAGCTGAAGCCGCGGTCGTCACGCGTGAATCTTCGCCATATTGGGCAGAGCCTGGGATGGCCTTTGGCGAAACCGGATGTTGTTCAATTTATTGGGCGGATGGGCCGCATGCAGCAGACTTTGCATGTCATGCTGGATCAGACGAATTTATCTCTAACGCGCGAGATTCATCACGACGGCCAGGCTGTCAAGGCGGTTATTGATGAAGGGCGATTGAAGGCCATCATTGGATGGGTATCGCCCCTGAATTTTGTGGCGAGGCAAAGTCAATTCTTCAAGGACCATCATGAAGGATCGTGCAAGTGGTTTTTAGGCTGTGAAGACTTTCGACAATGGAAGGAAAGCGAGAACGCAGTGCTTTTCTGTCCGGGCATTCCCGGCGCCGGCAAGACATTCTTATCATCTATCGTGATCAACGAACTCGACAAGCTACGGCTAAGTGATAAAGGGGGTGTCAAGGACTCGGCGATCCTGATGCTCTACTGCAAGTGGGATGACTCTCAGTCCCAGTCGATCGATTGTCTCCTCGCCAGCTTGGTCAAACAAGTCGCCCAGCGCTATGGGCTTGTTTCAGAGGAGACAACCAACATGTTCTTAAAGCACAGCAAAAGCGAAACAAGTCCCGGCCGTGAAGAATACTTGACAATTCTCAACGCCGAACTGAATCGTTTCCCAAAGACATTTGTTGTTGTCGATGGGCTCGATGAGCTGCGAGAAGAAAGAAGCAGGCTACTACTTGTCGAGACTTTGACATCAATGAATATAAAAATCAATCTGATGGTAACCTCGCGCCCAGTTGACAACATCACAAGGCATTTTGCCTTTCTAGAGAGAGCTATCTATTGCGATATATGTGGAAAAGGCGGCCAGCGGTATCAGTTTCATTGCAGCGAGTGTGATGAAGAAGTCTCATCCGGCTTTGATCTGTGTGAATCGTGCTTCCAGAAAGGGGACCGATGCAGCCACAAAGGTCACTTTCTGGTGAAGCAGTTCAACAGTGGCATCATTAACATTGCTGCGATGGAAGAAGATCTGCTTACTTACGTCAAATGGCGTATCGGCTCATCGGAGTTTCTTGAGCGTTGCGTCGAGACCAAGACCGTGTTGATGGCGGATATCGTCGACACAGTCGTCAAAGAGAATGGGGGAATGTTCTTGCTTGCAAAGTTCAATATGGACACTCTCGCATCCAAGATGCGACCTGGCGAAGTCAAGGACGCTCTCAAAGACCTCCCCAAAGAGCTGGATGACACTTACAACGAGGCAATGATGCGCATCAAGGACCTACCATCAAGCCGCAAGGAAGTTGCGATGGAATTCCTGAGGTGGGTTGTCTTCGCCGAACGCCCTTTAGAAGTCCATGAGATCGAGCACGCTATTGCGGTCTCTGACGACGATCATGACATTGATCCGGACAATGTTATCCGAGCGCAAGTGCTTGCCTCCATGTGTGAGGGTATTGTCAGATTCGACGAATCTGACTGCGTCCGTCTTGTCCATTTCTCGGCAAAGAATTTCTTCTCCAAGTACCATGAAAAATGGTTTCCAGATGGAAGTGTGAAGTTGACTTCGACGTGTCTGTCCTACCTTCAGTTTGATCCGTTTTCACAAGGACCTTGTACTGGACCATCTGAATCTACTGACTTTGATGCTCGATTGGAGCAATATCCGTTCCTCGAATACGCAGCCGAGTTCTGGGGCAAGCATCTTCTGAAAACACCCCAAGATGGCTTCTTTAGTTCAGCACGCAGACTTTTGACTGATCCAGCGTACTTCTCAGCGATATCACAAGCACTGTGGTACGTGGATAATGAGGATTCAACAAGCTGGGCTGGGAAGGACGGTAGTACCCCCCTGCATCTGGCCACACACTTCGGATTGAACAAGTTGGTGGTTGAGTTGCTGGAGAGTGGAATTGACCCCAATACGCGTGATGTTAATGGTGTCACACCCCTCGCACTTGCTTGTATACGCGGAGTTGCCGATGTGGCCGAGACCTTGATCAAGGCTGGAGCTAATGTCAACTCGGTGGACAACGTCGGCGGTACTCCCCTCTACGGTGCCGCCCGCCATGACCAGGAAGACCTGGTCAAGTTGCTCCTTCAACAAGATACGACTGAGGTCAATTCCACAGTATATGAGTATACACCTTTAATGATGGCTGCGTTGAATGGATACATCGGCATTGTCAAGGCGTTCTTGCCGATTGCGCGACTGGAGATCAACACAGGATCCGCAGAGAGGAAATATACTGCGCTGATGGTCGCAGCTCTCTACGATCAACCAGAGTCCATCGAAGCTCTTTTCACCCATCCTGACATTGACATCAATCGCCAAGACGAAGGCGGATCAACGGCTCTTATTTTGGCCGCCAACGACGGTTACCGCCGAGTGGTGGAAATCCTCCTCGACAAAGGTGCGGATACTGAAGTCATGCAGGTCGGGTCACTTGGTACTGCGCTCAACCGAGCCGTCGATAATAATCAAATTGCTGTCGTGGAGCTGCTACTAGCTCGAGGAGCGAACGTGCACCACACAGACGTTTTTAAGCGCGGCATGCTCCACTCCGCCGCAATCAATGGCCAATATGAAGTCCTTGAAGTTCTTCTCAAATTCGACAAGACATTGGATGTCAACATGCAAGATGTCAATGGCAAGACGACGCTGCACGATGCAGCGCGAAACGGATCCGTCTTGACTGTTCAGGTACTATTGGAGTACGGAGGCGACCCCACCATCAAAGACAACTATGGTCGAACGCCGATTTATGTAGCCCGCGAGATGAGCCACATCATTCTTGTTGATATGCTACGAGAGGCCCGCCGAGCAAAGGCAGAGAATAGGGAGGCACGAGACGTCCCTGGTCCACTTCTAGAACGCACCGCTACCGGCTCGGCCATTCAATCCCCAAGGCGCACAGATACCGAGATGTCTGTCAATACTCCACTGGCTATCTGGTCACTTGCCAGTTCTGAATCAATTGATGAGCTCAGAAGTCGACTCATAACTGCGACGCCGGAGGAGATCAACGCTCGAGACCCGGATATTGGCGATTCGGCACTTCATTACAGCGCCACGAACGATAACCCCGACATCGCACGCCTTCTTATTGAACATGGTGCAAATATGAACCTTCCCAACAATTACGGGCGGACCCCATTCCATCTGACTGCCTTGTACAACAGTGTCAAGGTAGCAGAGGTCCTCTTGGATGCTGGCACAGATTTTGAAACGAAAGACCAATGGGGCGAATCGCCATTGAACACAGCTTGCGCGTATGAGTGGGTAATCAGCGCCATGTTGGTGGAGCGCGGAGTAACTTTACCCAAGAATCGCTCATTACTGAACGCTCTGCTCGAGCAAGCTGTCGTGTATGGAAAAGAACAGGCTGTTCGGCGCTTGCTAGCTGCGGGCGCTGAGGTTTGGAGGAAGAATTTACAGGGGCTTACCCCTTTTGCTTCCGCCAGGATTTATAAACACGAGGAGATTGCAAACCTACTTTTGGAGCTTGGAAGTTCGCCTGACTCACCCCCGTTGAAAGAATCGAATACAACAACGGATTATGCGACGGTCGAATCAGCTGAACAACCTGACGAGATATCGGACAGCAAAGAAAATGCCCCGGCGACAAAACCCCAGACGATCGAAACCATCAAGGAGCTATCACCCAACCACTCTCACAAGCCAAACTGCGACGGAAATTCACCAACTCAGAAACCGTTACTCGATCACCCTCCGCATCACCAGATAGCCACCAAAGGAGGCTGGCTAAAGGATTCACCCATGACCCGCCAAATCATCTTGACTCTGCTGGCGACATTGATCATGCTGACCGCAGTCATGGCGATGCCGAAAGTTGTCTTTGCAAGCATGGCCCCTTCACGTATATAGAAATCTGTATAGATAACGAACACAAGCATGATATTAAATGCAATATCCAAATAGGTAGAAAAGCGGGTGGGTTTGACATGTATGATCTCAAAGAATTGTTGAAATAGGAAACGGGATACCAACTGTGAACCATTTCTTGGATAGAAGGGCAAAGCTCATAACTGCCCCCGGCAGCAACAGCAGCAACATGCTAAGCATTCTGGTCCATAGTCGTAAAAGGCGCCGCAAACCCATAAGTCCTATACCCGGCCGAATAATCCTTCCCCTCAATCCTCTCATGCTCAGGCGGGAAGTTCTCAATCCGATGCTTGTAATACCTCTCCCGCAAATCCAGCCCATCTTTCTTCGAATGGAACGTGGCATAAAGACTCGACCGGCTCTTCTCCGTCTTGTTCTCCGCTGATCTATGCGCGAGGTGCGAGCCGAAAACGAGCATGTCGCCTGCTTCAAGCGGGATAGAGATCCATTCATGACGGGCTTCCCATTCGGGCTTGATGCGTCCATGCTCGGCGAATTCGACTTCCATCTTGTGAGAGCCGGGAACAACTTCCAGACAGCCGTTTTCGAGGGTGGCGGCGTCGATGGCGATATTTGCTGTTACATGCTCGATGCGCCCAATGTGGTCGTAGGCGGGGGCGTCGAGGTGGGCTTGGAAGCCGTTTCCGTGGGGTTGTTTGTAATTGATTTTGTCTTTGAAGAGGAGCATGTCCTGATGATCTTTTAGAAGCAGTTCGACCTTAGGTGGGAACGTTACTCACGTCGCCTGACACGGCCTTGAGGATCTGGGCCAGTTTGTCGCCGCACACGAGATCCTTGTATTGAGGGTGGAAATCGACGAAGCGCTCGGTTCGCATGAGTTGGCGCTCACCGTTGATGTTAATCTCATCGTATGGCATCCACTTGCCTTTGACGCGAGGCCAGGCTTGTATTTCTTCGGTCCATTGCTTCAGGGCTGTAGGGTCCACAAGCTTGTGTTCGTTTGCGCGCAGAAGAAGAAAGCCATCTTTGTGATAGGAAGCCACTTGCTCAGGAGTGAGAGGATCCATTATGGTGCTTTTTCTTTTAATAAGAAAGTTGTGAGAGATTGTGTCAAGTCCACGGGTGGGCGATCGAGTTAAATACACTACTTCGGGTGTCGCGGTCTGGCGACTACAACCCCACAGTCCTTGGGAATAAGGACACCTCTACAACCGTACAACCTTGGAAACCCACCGGAAAGTCCCTTCAGAGCTCCATCTTGTCTACCGTGTGACCCCATCCCTCACTCCCTCGATCCAGTGCCGATTTCGAGATTCCGCACGGACCGTCGGGCTTCGTGCCGGAGATCTGCGCGGACCCAGGTTGACTGGCACTTGCGCTGAATCACAGTGCTGCACCGTGCACGTGGGTAAGAATGTTGATTTACGACGGACTTCTTGCCTGGAGCTAGTCCCTGGCCATCTATTAGAACGGGTCTAGTTACTCGTGGATGAAGGGACTGCCATACCTAAATGAATTACTTATCCGAATTATCGGCAAGTACGTCCCGCAGTGACCCAATTGTGACTATGAATCTCAAGATGCCGGCCGTCCCGGATGAACCAACACTTGAGGCTGTTCAAGAAAATACTCGAGAGGCAATCAAGTCACTCTTTGCCTTTCTCCATGCCCAGGGCCAAGGCGACTACCTCGGGGAACGGGTAACCCAGCTCGAGCATTCACTGCAATGTGCTCATTTGGCAACCGAGTCCGCAGAATACGGCCAAGATATTGAAGTTATCCTAGCTGCATTACTGCACGATGTCGGACGCTTCATTCCAGCTGCTGAAAAAATGGGCAAGATGATTACCCCCGAAGGTCAATACATTGGCCGACAGAGCCACGAGATTCTGGGCGAGTCTTACTTGCGATCCATTGGATTCAGTGAGAGAGTGTGTCAGCTGGTTGGCGCACATGTCATGGCAAAGCGGTATTTGGTTGCTACGGATAAGAGCTACCATGATGATCTGAGTGAGACTAGTAAACGTACTTTGCGTTTCCAGGTAGGAGATCTTTCTACAGATAGCGCAGACCCCATGCTAACTACCCACAGGGTGGGGGGTTCACTGAAGACCAGGTCGCCGAGGCACAGAAAGACCCATGGCTCGAGGCCAAGTTAGCCGTGAGACGGTGGGATGACTTAGCCAAGAAGCCGGATTTGACTGTGCCTCCGCTGGAGCTGTATGAAGAGATGGCTTACGAATGCCTTTTGAGTAAGCAACAAACTGTTTGATAGTCATGACTTGCGCTGACATGAGCATAAGAATCCCGATCCAAGTTCAGGCTGCACTCGAAAGAATACCGCACCCCCACTCAAGAAACTGTGGTAATTTGCATCGACGGTTTCGACCCCGAGTATCTGCGCTCGGGCTTTGCAAGAGCTCTTCTGCCCAACTTCAAGAAGCTGATCGACAATGGGTTCCATGCTACAGCGAAAAGCTGTATGCCGTCATTCACCAATCCCAACAACGTCTCCATCATCACCGGTGCACCCCCCTCTGTTCATGGAATCGCAGGGAACTTCTTCCTTGACCGCGAGACCGGCGAAGAAAAGATGATCACGGACGATTCTTTGCTCAGAGGATCTACACTGCTCGAGCAAATGTACCGGCGAGGTGTTCGTATCGCCGCTATCACTGCCAAGGACAAGCTGCGCAAGATCCTTGCCCATGGTCTAAAGAGTGGTGCCATCTGTTTCTCCGCAGAGCGTGCGGCTGAATGTACCCTTGAAGATAACGGCATCGCTGATGTTGAGAAGTGGCTTGGCCAGCCAGCTCCAAGCCAGTATTCTGGGACATTGTCGTTGTTCGTGCTGGATGCGGGTATCAAATTGCTGCAAGAGAAGAGGTCGGACTTCCTTTATCTGACTTTATCCGACTACATCCAGCACAAGTATGCGCCTGGCAGTAAAGAGGCTGATGACTTTATGGGTGCAATTGACGAGCGACTGGGAAATCTCATGGGGTTGGCTTCCGTTGTGGGCGTCACTGGCGACCACGGAATGAGCCAAAAGTCGAACGAGGCCGGAGAGCCCAATGTACTGTTTCTCGAGGAAGCTCTCAACGAGAAATTCGGCGCTGATGCATCCCGGGTCATCTGCCCCATCACAGACCCATTCGTCAGACACCATGGTGCGCTGGGCTCCTTTGTGCGTGTCTATCTGAAAGATCTCTCGCAGCTAAAGCTTATGCTTTCGCATTGCTGCTCTCTTCCCGAAGTCGAGGAAGCTCTGAGCGGAGAAGATGCAGCACGGAAGTACGAAATGCCCGTTGATCGCGAAGGCGACATTGTGGTAATTTCCAAATCCCATGCCGTGATTGGAAGCAAAAAGGCCGATCATGATCTTTCCAACGTGAAAGACCACCCCTTACGATCACACGGCGGTCTCAGCGAGCAAGACATTCCCGTTATCATGTCGAAACCTCGGGTACCAGCAAAGGCAGCCCCGGTAAAGCAGTGGAGAAACTACGACATCTTTGATCTTGTGCTCAATTGGTCGTCATGATATTCTGCTATCCTTGTGGACCCATCGGACGCGTTGAAGTGCCCATCGATGTATTATAGTGAAGCCACCAGTCATCCACCACGTCGGGGAAGTTAGTTTGAAAATCAAAGCTCGCCATGTTTTCCATCCAGGCCAAGTCGAGTTGTGCATGTTGATCTAGTGCTGGGGAAGATTGGTAGACCGATTGCTGGGTCGTTTGACCAGGGACCTGGCACATTGACAATAGCCTTTCTAGCCCCTCAGCAATGACGACGAGTATATGCTGTCGATGCATGGTGTGTGTAATCTCTCGAAGAGCAGCGACAGTTTGTGTCACAAGGGAGAAAATCTTGATCGTGTCAATCCTGATGACAGTCGCGTACTTGGTAGCGACTTTTAGTAGGAAGACGACTGCGAATGCAAGCATCGTGTCAAAGTACAAAGGAAGACCATTCAGGAACGAGCGGAACTCATCATCGGATACAATCACACACAGGATTGACATAGCTGATAAGACGCCTGCGTTGGCGATTTCTTCCAATTCAGGAGTGAAATATTCCGCCGCGTTCCCTGCGGCGGGGACACCGCGGAAGGCGTGCGAACAAAGGTAGAGCTTCGCGAATTGGAAATGAAAACCCACGCCTTTGGCGGGATAGTTTCCAACTCGTCGGTTTTCTTGGAAGCTCTCGTGCCAATCTGCAAACCAGGTGTCCAAAGCGATGGAGTATCGGCGGAGTTGGGGTATTGTTTGGGGAGAGATCGCTGTGTCAACATCCACACCGAATGTATCGAAGACTTGACCCAGTACAGACCATTCTTTCACCTGGCTAATCAGCCTGGCATCATCCTCAGTCGCATGTTCGGTTTCCAGAAGACGGCTGGCCGACTCGATAATGAAGCTTTCGCGAGACATTGGTGGCCTGCCATATGCGATCGAAAAGTGGTGGTCGCAAACATAAACCAGATAGTACAGTCGGGCCTGAGAGTAACCCTCTCGGTCGCCTTTCAAGGCTTTGTAGATTCCACTGTGAAGATTGATATCGGATGCCACTCGCACAGCTATTATCCTTAGTGGTGTTTCATGTGTGAAATGGCGTTGACATACCATTTCCAATCAGTGCCCATGATAATTCATGAAGCCAGAATGCTCCAATACACAACCCCCGAATATCATCCTCGTTGGCAGTCCTTGAAAACATCTGTGTAGCAACTAGCGCTTTGTATTCGGCATAGCATGTCTCAAACAGATAGCCCAGGGACGGCGAATGGAGAGCGCCGACTGCGCAAACCGCCGTCGTCAACAGTGGTGATGCAACTCGTACTGAGTTTAGGCTGATATGATCGCCAAGGATGCGATAGAGAAAATGATCCAACCGCAGATGATAGGTATCAAACAACGCGGAAGCTTGTCGTAATGTAATCAAACCGGTCGATATTAAATCTGGGTGGCGTGAAGTTGGCAAGCTACTAGGTAGTCCTGCTCGAACACTTTCGGAAACACACGAGGCTGGTATTGAGCCTGGACCACCTCGAGGGTCCATGACTACTTCCCAGGTCTGTGTTACGTCTCGGGTCTCGGCTTTGTGGGATTCTGGGCTTGTTTGCATTGGTTCTGCATTGGCCATTTCAACCACAGGTGGACTCGGAGAAGCTGCGGGCTCTTCTGATGGTCTCTGTAGCTCAGGTATGTCAATTTTACTTGCAATCTTTGAGATCGCATCTTCGAGGCTCTTGATCTTGAGAGAAACGGCTCCTCTCCAACTATATGGCGTTAGTATAGGCATGGTTCCTCAACATCTACATCACTCACGTCACATCTTCTTCTAGTAATGTTTGCAGACTTCTGTTGACCGTGCATGGTAGACCTCGCTTCTTGCATCGCGAACATGGTGCCTGACCCTCCCGCATATGACATTTGATCTTCTCAATATTAGCGGGGTTTCCCACGGATGCGATCGGAACATACCTTTTGTTTGCGACATGCCACACAAGCAGTGATCTTTCTCGTAATATCCGGCGGCTTGCGATCACCAAATGACTCTCGCAGGGCACTCACTGCCGGTGGTGATGGTAGGGATGTATCCATGGCGAATCACCCGGAACCAGGCACCGAGCCGTTCACTGACACTTAGATCCGAGTCCGGGGGCTAGACGTCAACTTCTGCAGACCCTCTCAAGCCGAACAAATCAAAATAAGCTCAAAGCGCATGACACCTAGACTAGCATCTAGCCCTTTAGCTCCTGAAGCTCCAGGTCCACGAAACGCTGCAGGACTTCGCACCGAAGATATAATCAGACGGCGGGGACAGGCCGAACGCACGTGGGGACGGGAGTGGCCAACGTGTGTCTCCACATGGCACTGCCGTCGGTCGGGTGGCGGCAGACTGTGCGAACGCCCGTGCGTGGCCAAAACGTGGTGATCTTCGTCTTCCTCATTGCATATCGGCGAGTTTCGACTCGGGATATCGATCATCGAGAATTGACACTTCCTTTCACAAGTCATCGCGGTGTTGGTGCCGGCCTTCCTCCTACTAACGACGCCATCCCCTCACCGGCGTGGTGATTGTGTATAAAGCTCTAGGAGCAAACTCTGCTTATATCAAAAATCAGGATGCATCATTGCGCAGACATTCAGTCACCAGCTTCTCCGGATATCCCTTGATTTCTACATCTGCGCTGATAAAGTGACTTTTATACATTTCCAATGGCTTCTTTGGGGGCCAAGATTCGGTTTTTGATTACTGCTGGTGTCGGTTTCTTTGCCGATGGATATCTTAACTTGACAATTGGACTCGGTATGTGAATATCTGTACCTTGAACAATGAACAACGGGGCTGATGTTCAGCAGTGGTTCCGGTTCTGGGATACCTCTACTACCAAGACGGCAAGGTCCCGGCCGTCTCCAGTGATATTATAAAAGGTGGCCTCAGTCTAGGAATGGTCGTTGGCCAGCTTGTCTTTGGTGTACTCAGTGATGTCTGGGGTCGCCATAATATCTACGGAAAAGAACTGCTCCTCACAATATTCGGGACCCTGATGGTCATCCTATTACCCTGGAAAGGAATGAGTACACACTCTGTGACTGCATGGGTAGCAGTATTCCGAGTCGTGACAGGTGTAGGAATTGGTGCCGGTGAGTAATACGTGAATGGACCTAGAGAACGTTGACTAACCGATCCAAGACTATCCCCTTTCATCATCTCTATCCGCAGAAAAGTCGCCCTTTGGTTCCCGAGCCATACAGGTGCTGGCCGTGTTCGCGAATATTGGCCTTGGAAACATTGCTGCCGGGGTGGTCTTTCTCATTTTGCTCAAAGCATTCGAGGGTTCTATTGCAGATAATCAGAACCATCTGGAATGGGTCTGGCGACTCTTGCTAGGCATCGGTATCGTCCCGGCTGCTTTTACCCTCTACGCGCGATTGACCATCACGGAGACTCAGCCCTACAAGCAATGTGAGATATCTCTCAACCGTCAACTTGAATTTATCTGACTCCCAACAGACGTGTGCGATGAGTCGAATGGACAGAAGCGAGGATTCACCAAACAATGGAAAGACTTCCGCGAATATTTCAGCCAGTGGAGACACGCAAAGGTCCTCTTTGCAACGGCCGCTTCTTGGTTCCTTTTGTGAGTATCCATAACAAAAAAGACTCGAGGGCAACGCTGACAGTTCCAGTGATATTGCCTACTACGGAATCAACCTCAATCAAAGCATCATCCTAGGTAGAATTGGATACGCCAAGGGTGCGACACCTTTTCAAACCCTGTACAACACCGCTGTCGGTAATATCATAGTCCAAGCTGCGGTAATTATCCAGGTGTCCCTTTATCACACCCATGGTTTCCATTCTGACAAGCGATATAGGGATTTTGTCCAGGGTTCTACGTCGGCATCTTCCTCCCCGACCGCATTGGTCGCACTCGTCAACAACTTTACGCCTGCATCGCTGTTTGTATTCTCTATGCGATTTGGGCAGGTATTAGCACGCCAAGTGCGCATACATCAACAGCTGGTCTCATGGTTATTTTCACCATCTCTCAATTCTTGCTTACCGTTGGACCGAATTGTACGACATTTCTCATTCCGGCCGAGGTGTTCCCGACGCGTGTGCGTGGCACAGCACATGGTATCTCCGCTGCCGCGGGAAAATGTGGTGCCATTCTCACGTCGTTTGCCTTTGGAACTGTTGAAGACGCTATTTCGCTGGAAGGTGTTCTGGGTTTGTTCTCAGGTGTCATGCTGCTCACTGCTTTGGTCACATTGTTAATTCCTGAAAGTAAAGGCCTTTCGCTTGAAGCTATTGAGAGAGGCGCACTTTATGGTGATAATGATCCCATTGAGAATGGCATCGACGGATCTGTTACTGGTAGTATCACCCATGTGCACGTTGGCGCTACTGGGAACGGATCTATGGATAAAGTGATTTAGTTCAACACTGTACCGGTGTTAACACAATATCGTGGTCCACAATTCACAGAGAATAACTTGATGGAACCTTCAATTTCCACTCTTCAAAGGCTAAAAGCTGGAACCTAAACAGGGCTTACTGTAGCCCAAATCGAGTGCGAGTACATTGCCATAAGCATTGGATAAATTCTAGAACAATGTGGCAATTGCTGCAGCAAAATGACTCGGTTCCTATCTTCCATGAACTTTTACGCGGGACCATGGTTGAAGGAAAAATCTAGTGCAATCATCCATGGTTCTACAGAATGAACTAGTTGACGAGCCCCGTGAGTTGAAGCGCAGATAGTTGGTGCAGGCTATCAACCGTAGCAAATCGACGTCTCTCGTCGGCCCATTTAGATGGTATAGAGCACATCTTTGACCCAGTTTGATGTAACCTTGGCGCTATAATACATCGAGCCATTGGTCATTTAGAAAGCACCAGAAGGAATTTTCAAGGTGCAAATGATATCATGGCGGCTCAAATGGAGTATCTAGACCCAAAATGGTTAGTTGTTAGGGCTTCAAGGGCCAATCAGAGACTTCGCTTACCGAACACAAAATGAACCACAGACGCCAAGTTTAGTCAATGAAAACATTAATATAACGTTTATTTTGCTTGTGTCTCGCTTCTTGCATTATCTTAGCGGATATCGGGCGCAGAGTTGATTGAAAACTTCGAAAGCGACTAGCGCTGGGGCTACTCATGCATCTCGGGATCTACCGACCGGGCGTGATTTCCCCATCCGCGCTACGGCGCCTTCAACGCCTAAGCTTAGAAATCTAAACTACATCATTATCAATTGATGGAAAGAAAACAACGTGAAACTCCCTGAAGATAAGCGTGACGAACTGGAAGAATAATTCAGACTGATTAACGACAGCATTACTAAATCGGGAAAGATAGTCGAACCAGCTCAATTTTGAGTTTCTCAATATTCCCCTGAACCAACTGCAGTCTTGATGGAGCCAGCAAGACCAACCTACAGCCCTAATGGGCCCATTGATAACCGATAGAAGCTTACCCCGCATTGTACGTGATTCCATCTTATAATCGGATCCACCGAGGATCACCACGCTGGTGCTTTGACCTGGGCGTACCGGCCCGGGTACCTACCCGCAGCACCCCTCATTTTCGTCATGAACGCGCATACGAACGCTTACTGACGCCGTCGGCGAGGTCCGTGGACGAACAAGCTCGTTGAGTTCAAGCTAGATTATCAGTTGCCTTCGATTCTCGAGAAGATACTCGTTGCGGACCCACTACCGATTTCGCTCCAATTTGCTCTTTTGGTCTTGGCTGTGGATCCGGTGAGCGTCCACCGGCCCGGCCAGATACGATTGCGGAGCCACAGCGGCCATTTCCCTAGGAAAAGTTCAGTTTTCATTACTATTTGATTGTGACTTCCCCAGATTAGTACCGTATTCCTGTTAAACTCTCAAAATTTCGGCATTTTGGTGTGGACACTTGTTGCGGCTCAATTCCTCTCTTTTTGCTCGCTATTTCCAGATATGAACCAGGACGACGAGGTCACCAGTGCACACAGCCATGGCGAGATCGAGACTAAGGATGTAAAGCAATTGAGTGGTCAACATGATGGCCGTACCAATGAATGTGACTTCGACGCGGAGGAGAAGCAAGTAGTTGGTGAATCTGCACCATTGCCTAACTTGCAACGGAAGCTGAAGAGTCGGCACCTGTCGATGATTGCTATTGGTGAGGATGCCTTTCGCTGTCGTGACTATACGCTTGTTTTAACATTCGACTAGGTGGCACTATCGGAACAGGCCTGTTTATTGGAAGTGGAACAGCAATTGCCTACGCAGGGCCCGTCGGCGCTTTACTCGCCTTCATCTTCGTTGGATCCATTGTTTTCTCCGTCATGTCAGCTCTCGGAGAGGTTGCCACTTTCTTACCTATCCCAGGAGCGTTTGCCTCCTATGCCACACGACTAGTGGACCCAAGCTTAGGTTTTGCAATGGGCTGGATCTACTGGTTCTCATGGGCGTCAACCTTCGCGCTGGAACTGACCGCGACCGGTCTGATCATCCAATACTGGGAGCAATCACTCCCTATCGCTGGGTTCATTGCCCTGTTTTGGGTCCTTATCATAGCTCTGAATATGTTGCCGGTCAGCTGCTACGGTGAAACCGAGTTCTGGCTGTCAAGCGTCAAGGTCTTGACCGTTGTCGGGTTTATGATCTTCGCAATCTGCATGAATGCTGGCGTTGGTGAAGAAGGTTATATCGGCTTCAGATACTGGGTTCACCCTGGGCCGTTTGTGCCCTACCTCCTTGAAGACCCAAAGCAGGATGCGTTGGCGAAGTTCCTTGGCTTCTGGGCGGTTCTTATTAAGGCTGCATTCTCGTACCAGGGTACTGAGCTTGTCGGCATCGCGGCTGGTGAGACTGAAAATCCTCGCAAGAGCGTGCCTAGTGCAATTCGGAAAACGTTCTTCCGAATCATTTTCTTTTTCGTGTTGACGATCTTTTTCATTGGGATTGTTGTGCCTTCCAACGATACACACCTCACAGCTAGCGAAGGCAGTGGCGCGAGCGCAAATAACGCGAACGCGTCGCCCTTTGTTATCGCTGCGAATCGCGCTGGCGTGAAAGTGCTACCAAGCATCATCAACGCTGTGTTGTTGACCGTCGTCCTGTCCGCTGCCAACTCCAACGTTTACAGCGGAAGTCGAATCCTCGTCGGCTTGGCCCACGAAGGCTTCGCGCCTCGCTTTTTCGTGAAGACGACAAAATGGGGAACACCATACTACAGCGTGGGCTTCACTGCTCTTTTCGGCCTTCTTGGTTTCTTGAACGTCTCCAATGCCGGGGCTACTGTGTTCAACTGGTTGCTTCAGATCGCCGGTCTGGCTGGGTTGATTACATGGTGTGCATTGAACATCTGCCATCTAGGCTTTATGCGAGCAATGGAGGCGCGAGGTCTTCCTCGTAGTATTCTACCATACAAGTCTCTCTGGCAACCATGGCTGTCATACTATGGCCTCTTTTTCAATGTCCTGATTATCTTCACTCAGGGCTTCACTGCTTTTATTCCATCATTCAGCGTTACAGACTTTTTCATCAACTACCTCAGCCTCATTTTGTTTGCTGTGTTATACGCTGGTCATAAGATCGCTTATAGACAGCCATTTGTTGATCCCCTTGAGGCGGATATTGATACGGGCAGAGTTGACCTCGATGATTAATGAACCATAGAATGGATGAATATCAATTTCTTGAATATAAATATAAATATAAATATCAAGTTAAATCATATTCAGTGATGTAAGGTAGCAACTAGTAAGCAGCATAGATCAAAGCCAATTGGTCCATCTCGTCGCCATCCTGTCCCATGAAGCCAACAACAGCGTAGCCATCATCGGCAGTGAAAGTCAAACAGTCGTCGGTAGAAGTTCCCGCCTCAAGCGTGTTTCCAGAGCTGGTGGTGGCCTTGATGTAGAAGTTTCTGGTCTCGCTGTTGTATTTTCCGGTGCACAGCTCGGTCTCGATCCAGTACTCATCAGTTCCAAGGGTAAGGGAAACCGCGGTACCGCCGGTTCCACCGTGGCTGAAGGTGGTACCATCAGTGAGCTCGATGGCAACAGAGTCTAGTCGGCTGCCGCCCATGAAAGTGAGGACAGAAGCGGTAGGAGAAGAGGGCATATCAGGCAGATCGTTGAACCAATCTCCGTGGGGTCCACCAGAGAATTCACTCTGTCGGAGCGATTGGGACATCGACCAGGAAAAGTCGATCAAGACGGGGTTGTGGTCAGAAAGAACGTCGCCCAAGTAGTCCGAGTCCGTGTTCAAGAATTTTTCACCATCGTAGACGAAGCCGCTGGCATCGAGAGTGACGATGTCTGAGCCACGGTACAGGACTTTGTCCACGGTCTCGCACGTCTCGATCGTTGAAGGGTTGTCGCATAAGAGAGCATCTGCTCCCGCGGTAGGATAGACACCACCCTTCTCCAGTTGCACCCAAGCATCGGTCAAGTCGTTCTGGGACTTAAAAACGCGAATGCCAGTGTCGGCGGAGCGGGTGTAGCGGCTGTTGGTGTCGCCCATAATCAGGACAGCGTTTCCAATGGACCAAATGTCAATGTAATCAGCAACCTGTTGCAAGTTGGCATTGCGGGCAGTCTCATCGCCATCCTCGGTGCTATCACGAACTATCAGCAAAATTCTTACTCTCATGGAATTTACTTACCCAGCATCTGCGTGAAGGTTATAAACATCAATATAGACTCCAGTCGACGGGTTCCAACGCATAAAAGTGAATCCTTTGGGAGTAAGACAATCATCTTCCGACGCGTCGGAGCACGTATCCCACTTGGTGCGGCTGAAGTCAACCCAGTCGTAGTTGGAAACCGTATTCAAACCACTTCCGATGCCTGCGCCACCCGAAGTCGCAGTTCGGTAGGCGTGGTCATCAGTGCTGTACACGTAAGCGTGGTAGTTGAAGTCCTGGATCCATTAGCTCAAAGTGTTTGAGAAATCTGTAATCTTTCGCGTGGTCGCTCACCTCCTGCATATTGATGATATCATAGCCGTACTTTGCGAAATATGTGCCGATCTCTTCAGCATTCTCCGTTTTCGTTCCATTGACATCATTGGAGTTGAGGATTGCTGGAAGGCCTGCGACGTTGAAGCTCAGTGCGGTAAAGCTACCGCTGGTTGCTGCCGCGTGGGCGGAAGCCAAGAGAGAGGCGCCAATTATCAACTCGTTCTTCATTTTGAGAGTTTCTTAGTCTCGATGTCGGATTGTTCTGCTTAGGTTGTGTGTTTTTGACAGCCCACGGGAAAACAAGATCCTCTTAAATAAACAAAATCTGGATTGACATGAACATGGTCTACTTACAGATGAATTCATCTAGATGAGATCCTGCATGATCTTACCTCGACGCGAAGTTAGCTTGCAGACCGTCGGACACTATAAACGCCATGCATTAACTGCCTCTTTGGAAAGTGTCAAACGTGGGTTCCCCCTGAAGTTATGATTGGGGGACTGATTTGAATACTAAATGGCCTTGATCCTATGTAGTTCTTCCGGTAGTTCTTCGGCAAGCTCATTCATGGATAATGCTCGCGTAGTCTCACGACCGCGTGGTAGTTCATATCGATGACGTTCCACGTGTTGAAACTCCGCAGCGTTGATGGAATTGTTGCAGATACTAAAGCGCCTTGGCACTCGGTATCACGGCACCTATACAGCCAAATCTCCGTGCCGGACACGGTGCCAAGCTTAGTTTTCGGCTAATGCTAGTAGTTATTTATTAGCCTCGCTTGGAGCAGAGGTTTTTGATTCGCTTTGCTTGCAGAACGTTTACTCGTAGTTTACTTATTAGGTTCGTCAGCCATTAACAATAAGCCTTTCGAGTATGGCAAAGCCAGCCCCCGAAACCCACTTCCGGGTATATCAGGCTACGCGAGCAGGCTGTTGTCTACCCGGATTACTGCCCCGGGCCTCGTGGAAGGCTGGGCCAGTTTAAGGGTGAATAGGGCGAGACGGGTCCATACTCAAGGCTACATGAGCCAAAATCCCCCTTTCGGCCCAAAAATATGATCTACTTTCCAAAAGCGTTAAATTCCATCCCCGCCCTTGTGCATCTGATATACCTCACGGGAAATCTGCTTCGAAAGAAAAGGAAAATGGGATAGGTTGAAGTGTTTAGAACATGAAAGGAAAAAGTCAAAAGCTAGCACTGATCCTCCAGTCAAGATCGGTTGGCCACGTGCGGAAGAAATCATGGTCGGATCGCGTTCAATGCTTCTTCATGATGGCAGAGAGTAATCTCACAGTGTTTGGGTTGTCTTTCGACACAGCTAAATCCAAAGCCGAGCGTCCATCATCGTCGGGTATATTGCCCAATCAATTGCAGGCCAAATTCCGCAGCTCAGGCACCTGGTGGAGATGGTTTCTTTCAGCTGCATGATGCAATGGCGTCCGTCCTTTCTCCATGAGTAGCTGCTGCTCTTCGGCTTCCGTGGTCCAGCCCGACGACTGCGACTACCTTTTATCCAAGTAGACCGGAATCTTCGCTCGTTTTCTCTTCATGTTGGCAAGATTGTAGAAAGGCAGTGGCAGTTGGGAGATTTTCCTGTTCATACGCCAAGTCGAATGGTTTTTTGCCATGCATATCTCGGGCAAACATGTCGGCAAAGTTCCAAGTAAGTAGGCAGCGTGTCATGTATAGGGCCTTTTGCATCTCAATGATAAGAGTGTCATCTCCAAGAATGAATTTCTTGCTTGCAATGCATCTCTCTAATTTCTCCAAAATGAAGGCCTGGATTTCAGACTTGTTGTCCGGGATTGAGGTTACTGTCACCCATTCTGGGTGACCTCGGGTTATACCTGATGCGAAATCCCCGTCTTGCCGAATTCCAATTTTCTCAGATGTAGAGAATCCCGCTGGTTTTTCAGGAAGAAGGCTTGACCTTCGGTCGTATTGTCCGGGATTGAGACAAGCGAGGTGATTTTAACACATGTACGCGGTTGTTGAATCATATTGAGTGAACTAATCGCGTCTTGTCGTATTGAAGTGCAAACCCAATTCTATACTACTCCTCAGATTGAAGGTTATGAAGGAACTACCCCAAATTTTTGAGCTGCCTGCAGGAAACTCACAAACCTAGCTCCAGGACAGCGGCCGCCTTTTCCAACAGCCCGATCGATCTCAGCAGTGAAGGACAAGACATCTTGAGTACCTGGCGGTGACTGAAATGTTCTAGCTTTATGACTCGGAAAAACTGCTTTTTGCTCTCCGGAAAGATTGGCTTCAAACTCCAAGACTGTCTGCGCCAGGCGGATCTCGGGTTTCAGGCGCGAGGCGGATCTTAAAGCCGGAGACATGATTTATCTTACCGCCAATATTGCGAGCTGGATCTATGGAACGTCTGCAGTCGGTTCAGGAGAGAGCAAGAAGAAACATGTGGAATGAAATCATGGTTGTTTTGAAGGGGCTGTGAGGCTGAGCTTGAAGAGGTGCATGCCATCTGGCGCCTAAGCGGGATCTACGACTTGCTTATGCAACATCGATTGGATGATAGAGCTGGCACCGTTGCTGACTCTCCAGATCCTTATAATATTTAACCCGAAAATATGTCTTATTTGACGCTAGACTATATACTGAATAAAGATGTCGCCGTACGAATTAATCCCAGGAAAGAGATTCAGGCGGCCGAGATACGCACAGACCAAGGTACGCTTACCGATATGAACAATAGCAGAAGAGACCAACATGATCAGTCATTGTGATACGTGGGTGTCACCACGTCACCAACCATGACTGTCCGGCGGTCTGGTTGCAAGTCAAAGCTCTCCATCTCCTCCTGCGAGAGCGCCGCGTAGCTACCAAAGGAAACTTTGCCGTCGATGTTCCTAGTCTTCGCGAGCGTGGAGAACGGCTCGTTGCGTCGGAGACCGGTAAATTGGTCGATGCAAACCATCTGACAGCGTTGACATGCGTCTAGGATGTCAATGCGAAGCTGATCTGGTCCGATACGAAGATCCGACCAGTGATCTTCAGCATATGGTTGTTCTGCATCTCCGAGTTGAGTCAGTCGCTCAGCGACAACGATGTTGCCTCGGAAGACGTCTGCAGCAACGGCCTTGCTGCCACCTGTACCATGCTTTGTGTTGGCCTTGATGGTCTCATTGAGTCGGTTCACCGACGAGCGCGAAACTACTAGAATAGGCATCTCGTTGGCGAGAAGCAGGGGGGTTTGACCAATCTCCCGGACCGGTGGTGGTAAATCTGGTGGGAAGGAGCCTGGCATGATGAACTTGCGGAATTTGCTCTTCCAGTTACCTGACAGACGAGGTGGTCGTGAGAATCTGTTGGCGGTTTGTGCTGGGAAGCGTGCAAGTGTACAAGGAACACCGAGGAAATCGGAGAAGAACGTAGACACTACAGGTGACGCGTATGCGTGCAGAGAGATCTGGTCACCGCATACAGTGGACTTCTTCGTAGAGTTCGAACACAAGGAAGTCGAAATGAGACTTGTATCTTCCCAGCCAAGTGATATCTCAAGACTCACTTGATCAGTCATGATGCCACACGTGATCCGCAAGACGCCGCGATCAAGGTCAACAGACGGGTGGATGAGAGCCATGCGAGGGTAGCGTTTCTGGTTCAAAGCAGCACCTGTGCCTTGGTGGATGAGACACCATTCGCGGTCCCATGCCAATCCTTCGCGTTTGATCTCCCAGCGTTTTCCCTCGGGGATCTTGAAGGCGCCGCAACTCTTGATCGGGAACACCGAGAGGCTTTCAATGTAGAAATGTCGTCCAACAACTTCGTTCTCTTCCAGCGGTGGATTTAATGCGACAACTGGAGGGGATTTCTCAACGTAGAACTCTTCGATGAAGTCGACCACGGAATCGATATCTTTCATGTTGGTCATTGCGCCAAGACTGACTCGCAGAATACCAGTCGGCCGACCACCAAGGATATCATGATCATCACCGCAACGTAACCCTGTGGAATAGTGGCGACGTAGCTCAGGGCCAGTCCATCCAAGAGATGATGCTGTTCCGCCGGGGTTACAAACAGACCCTGTTCGTAGTTGAATATTCTGGACCGTAGCAAGCTTCTCCACTTCTGTTTTCGGAATCCAATCTCCTATGCTGTTCTGTAGGTTGAAAGCAATAATTGGACCCTGTGACTGAGTACATCCATACACAGATTTTGATGACTGGTAGATCTGACACACTTTCCTCTCGTTCCAATGACGCAAAACGGAGATTCGGTCAAAAAGACATTTGGCTAGGTAGGCGGTATGTACGGAAATATTTGCCATCGAGCCGTAAATACGATTATGCGAATCAAGGGCTGCATCAAGAGCAATAATGTTGTGGAATGGAAGGGTGCCGTCTTCGAGGCGTTCATGGATAGAGGTTTCCTTTTTCGCGTGCCACTGCGCTCCGTGAGCAAGGACCATGTCAACGGTGCCACCACCGAAAAAACGGCGCCTTTCAAAGACACGAGCCGCACTTTTTTTGACAATCAAGGCGCCCAAGTCGGGAAATCCAAAGATCTTATAAAAGCTGAGGGCAGTGAAATCCGGGGCTGATTCAACAGAACTCAGGTCCAAGGGTGCTGTTGAAACAAGCGAGGCTGCATCAAGCAGAGTAAAAACATTGCCTCCATTATCAGTCGCAACCGAACGGATCTGCTCGCACCATCTGAGTGGAAGGCGACGACCGTTCATGTTGGACTGCGCCGGGAAAGCAAAAAGTCGCGGGGCCTTGGTCTGGTTCATGGCCAGCTGGGAGATCCAAGCATCCACTTCGGTATCATTTTGGAAGCATTGATGCCCCAGATCGGCCAACTCTCGCACACCGACGATACTAGTGTGCGAGTCGATGTGATAGCCATACCAGAAGCCACGATGGTCGGAGTCCCGGAGAGAATCCGCAACAAGCTTGATAGCTGCAGTTGCATTTGCCACGAAGACCAAGTCAAACTGGTCTGGGTCTGCATTGAAGAAGCGTAGGACTCGTAGCCTAATGTCATCTGTCCGCTGAGTGGAGAGCTGCGAGGACAGAGACATCGAGTGTGGGTTTCCATACAGATTGGATATCATGTGCCGCGAGAAATCTTCGATCATAGATTTGGCATATGGGGTTGTCCCCGCATGGTCGAGATATGTTGTCTCTGCCCGAGGAGCCATGGTCAGCTAAGATCCCAAGCACTTCATTTAGGGGCCAATACCGTTCATCAAAGGATATTCCTTTTCGCGTATCGTATCCACATCTGCAGAGTATCCCTGGCTGTATTCAGCCCGGGGATTCTCTGCATTGCCGATCTCCGCCATGTTTGAAGGGGTGGCTTGGGTGCAGGTCAATGGGAGCAGAGCCTCGCAGATGAGAGTCCCTGTTAGTGTAACCGGTTCAATGCTGAATTAGTCGATCTCAAGCAGCACATTCACTTTGCTGCAAAAGCCCCCAGTACTTATAGTCACAACGTGTCCGCGTAAGTATTGAAGTATTGGGATCTAACAAAGGCCACCAGTCAGTCCCACATTTAACGCGAAGATCGAAAGCAAGCATCGACAAAGCAATCCCGAACAAGTATGTAGTTACAACACGAAACAATATTAAATGGGTTCGGAGGGATGAGGGGGGAGTACAGCAGATAAGGCGGATAACTATAATGCGTCGGAGCTTACCGAACAAGGGCCGTCAACCGGATGGAGTTTCCTTTAAAGTCCACTTCCAGGCAAGTAAATGATTGTTGTTGAAAGTCTGAAGATTGTGTCCAGCTGGAATCTCCATTGCTCTTTATAGATTGTGCTCCAGGCGACGACGGATGTGAAATCAAGATCCCCCGTCGCAATTCAGTGGCAATATCTCGATCGGAGTCATCATGTGACATAGCCTCCCAAAACGCTGGCACCCACGCAGATCCAGATGTGCACACGCCCAGGGTCTGGCTCGACCAGGAATGTCCAAGCCCCTCTGCGACGCGTGTGGTTCGTTGAGCTGACTGGGGCCGGTCGAGTGCGGACGAGTTCACGGTACTCGGCCACTCACGAGAGGGGTTGATAGCCGAACCTGCGGTAGGAATAAGCAAAACCCTGTCAATAGTCGCAACATACTAGAAATTACGCGCCCAACCAGGATTGAAGGATCGTGTGAATCTGCCAATATCACCTTATATCACACAGCTGGTTCATCAGATGAGCCTCAAGCGTAAAAATAGTTAAGCCGACCTGCAGGAGATCGGCGGAGCCTACCTGCCTCAGGGCTCCTCATATTTGAGTTCGGTCCCCCCCGTCAGCTTACCCATCTCATGTCAGTATGGATTTGCTTAAAATAACATCATGGTCCGTTTGGGGGCAATTTACCTGGAAGCCACGGCCTCTCGCTGAATCTGTTACCAAGAGAGAAGTAAGACGATTGGAATAGGTCCTCTCGCAGATCAAAAAAATCAATAATGATGCAGGGATTAGAGCAAGCTGAGAAATTGACTAGAAATTGGCTAGCTTGTTTATGACCATGGATTGTCCCAATTGTCTCAATTGTCTCACTTGTAGATCTATAGACGAGCTAAAGGCGATCTAAAGGAATGCTTCGTTCTCATACGCTCGTCAGTATTTCGGCGACCTGCCTTTGAGCTAACTTGACAGCTAGCACAATACCATTGTCAATAGTCTATTGCCACTCTTTACACTAAGATCTTACCAGTCACAAAGATACATCTTAGCGATAGTAACACCTGGGTAGATTCGACTAGATCTTCTGGGCCTTGTGACATCAGATCCTACACTAAATTTCAAGCACGAGGTCCATGTTCCCGGCGATTACATCGTGCATGGTCCCCGCGGGTTTTCATCTCTATCGACTTGATGTTAGGCCGGCTCCAGAGTGTATCCATTCGCAACATGCGATTGTTAATCTGTACTTCAGCCCATGCCTTTGGCGCACGGGCCTAGTGTTTAGAGAAACTGCATCAAAATTCTTGGTTGTATTCACACGATGACAAGATGGCCTGACCAAGGTGTCTCGGAGATCTTCGGGCTCCGCGCCCACGCTTGTATAGTATTGTACAGATGATGTCAAAAGTAAACAGAGAAACTCCCTTCCCAAACCCCTGCAAATGATTCATACAAATGCTTCCACCGAGGGGATGCTGAATGAGCCGGTGGAGCGTTGGTGTCGAACGAAAAGCGACAAGCGTAGATCGAGTAGCAATGCGCATAAACTAGCGAAAACAGCCTCAGCTGAACCTCCCCGTTTACCGCTTGGGCCACTGTCTCCAGCCACGACCGTGACCTCTCTGTGACGCAAAGTTAGCTCCATTCTGCGGGCCATGACGCGCGAGGTACTCACCTGCTTCCACTGCCGAATCATCTCTGGCATATCCACCATAGCCTTGCGACGGTCCTCGAGGCGAGCCTCCATAGTGCGCTCCCACTTGTGACCCTTGACCTTCTGGCCGATACCGGTTCCCTTGATGCGCAAACCACGCTCTGCCAAGCGAGCAGCCTTGTACTCCGTGGACTTGATGCTGGGAGGGAGAAGAGGCTCGACATTGTACTTGATAGCCAGCTTCACTAGGTCAGCCTGCTGCCGCAGGCCATAACGCGGCCCAATCCACTTCTGCTTTCCGGCGTTGAAGATCTTCCGGGGCAGGAATGGGTTGCGAATCTTAGGGTCATTCTGAAGAAGAGCCCGCGCGGAGGACTCTTCCTTGTTCTCGCGGTGGGCACCCTTGGCATCACGATCGGGGGTGTAGGGCGAGGGAAGGGTTTGTTCGGGGGTGGTCTCCGGGGGGGTCGGACGCGACGCAACGATAGCGGAGTAGATTTGAGGCGGGTAGCGAGCAAAGAAGTTACGGAGACGAGTAGGCAACAAGCCCACTGATGTCGGACTGACAGACATGGTGACCGGAAGGGGGTGAATGACCGGATGTTTGTGTCGATAAAAGTTGAAGCGCTAAAACCGTACCGGCAGTATAGAAGTCACCGCCTTGGGACGGATTTCCCAAATCGTCCATTCGGCTTTTCAGTGTCGCTTTCAACATCACCTTGCCCCATTGTTACCAACACCGCGCCCTATTCATAGTCGCCGCTGTCTCTTACTCCCTTTGATACACAACCTCTCGTGCGCGCACATTTTAATAATACCTGCCACCATGGCGGACTACAACTATGGCGGTACCGACGAGGAGAATGGGGAGCTGAGAACACTTGAAGTTGAACTGGTATGTCTGGATCGCACGACTTGATATCGGTCAAAGATTTTTCGCTGACACTGGTTCTCTAACAGAGCGAAGATCCCGATAACTTCGAGACCTGGGAGAAGCTCGTGCGCGGCGCCGAGGCCCTCGAGGGCGGAATCAACCGCAACTCCAGTCCTCAAGCTATCACTACCGTGCGCAACGCCTACGATCGCTTCCTTGCCAAATTTCCCCTTTTATTCGGATATTGGAAGAAATATGCCGATCTAGAGTTCTCGATCACGGGCACCGAAGCCGCAGAAATGGTACGAACGTTATCTTCCACCGTGCGCGGCCGTGCGCATTTCCTTGCCAAAGTTACTAACACGTTCTTGATAGGTCTACGAAAGAGGCATTGCCAGCATCTCGCCTTCGGTCGATCTATGGACCAACTACTGTTCCTTCAAAGCTGAGACCTCTCACGACGCCGACATCATCCGAGAGTAAGTAGTACAACAACACTTTCCTTCCCTTTCCCTGTAACGTTTAGCAATGCCAGCTCGCGAAATCTCCTGTGGTGCCCATGGTATAATTGGACATCTGTTGGTCCAGCAGTTGCATTGATGATGGGTGAGAGACCATTACCTTCCCACCTGGACTCGAGTGGAGTTTACTTCTCACCCATGGCTCATTCAGGCTGCTTTCCTTACCTACCTGACCAAAGACATCATTTTTCCTTTATCATTCCCGGTCATTCCTAGGAAGGCCTCGTCCGGAGGCTTCCTTTGACCCTGCGCACGAAGCACCAGCTACCTTCCCCATGGCTTGCTCACTGTTTTTTGGACTGTCAGCCATGACAGAATCGACCGCTTATGTTTGCCACGTCATTTCTTCCCTCCCCTCTCACTTCCAATCCATCCTCTCCCTATTGAAGGCTCTTGTCATGCTGACGTGAATGTTGAACAGACTCTTTGAGCGAGGTGCCAGTTGTGTCGGCCTTGACTTCCTTGCCCACCCTTTCTGGGACAAGTACATTGAATTTGAAGAGCGCATTGAGGCTCAGGATAAGATTCTCGCTATCCTTGGTCGAATTATTCATATTCCGATGCATCAATATGCGCGGTACTTCGAACGTTATCGTCAGCTGGCCCAGGGTCGTCCTCTTGTTGAGTTGGCACCCGCCGAAATCATGGCACAATTCCGTGCCGAACTTGAGGCGGCTTCTCCGACCGTCCCACCGGGCGCGAAGGCCGAGGCCGAGATCGAGCGTGATCTTCGACTGCGCATCGATACCTACCATCTGGAGATTTTCTCCAAGACTCAAACGGAGACTACGAAGCGCTGGACATTTGAGTCCGAAATCAAGCGACCATACTTCCATGTCACCGAGTTGGATGAGAGCCAGTTGACGAACTGGAAGAAGTACCTTGACTTTGAGGAATCGGAAGGCGAATACGCTCGGATTCAATTCTTGTACGAGCGTTGCCTTGTCACATGTGCTCACTACGATGAGTTTTGGCTTCGCTATGCCCGATGGATGGCTGCTCAGGCAGGCAAGGAAGAAGAGGTTCGAATCATCTACCAGCGTGCCAGCTATCTCTTCGTGCCTATCGCCAACCCTACTATTCGCCTACACTATGCCTACTTTGAGGAAATGTCAGGGCGGACAGATGTGGCCAAAGATATTCACGGTGCCATCTTGTTTAGCTTGCCCAGTCACGTCGAGACCATCATTTCTTTGGCTAACCTGTCGCGCCGTCACGGCGGTCTTGAAGCAGCCATCGAGGTCTACAAGACTCAGTTAGATTCTCCTGAAGTTGAAATGGCCACCAAGGCCGCCCTTGTCGCCGAATGGGCCCGTCTCTTGTGGAAGATCAAGGGCGCCCCTGACGACGCTCGCAAGGTGTTCCAGGCCAACCAGCAGTACTACCTCGACAGCCGGCCATTCTGGACCAGCTATCTCATTTTCGAGATTGAGCAGCCTACCAGTGCTGACATTGAATCTACTCAGTATGACCGTATCAAGCAGATAATTTCTGATGTCCGCTCTAAGAGTACCCTCGTTCCCGATGTGGTCAAGGAGCTCGTGCAGATCTACATGGCATACCTTCTGGAGCGTGGCACAAAGGACGCTGCTAAGGAGTACATGACCCTGGACCGCGAGGTTCACGGTCCACCCTCAGTGTCTGCCTGGGCTGGATCGATCTCCATAATGCCCGCGGCGCCCATTGACGGGCAATCCGCAGCCGTCCCGGTGGTACAAGCTACTCCTGACCCGGCTGCCGCAGCGTATGCGTACTACCAACAAAGTAACGGCGTGTCTGCTATCTAGTTCCAGCCTCACTGATTCCAACAGCCAGAGGCTGCACGCTTCGTCATGTTTCCGTTATGAATATTCTCGTCCGACAGGTCCCCTACTGAGGGCCTTGCGTTTCTGGTTTACCTGGGTGGGTGCCTTTCTTCCGATGTAGCATCATGTTCGTGCCTATACAGGGCATTGCGTTTTCTCCTGCAGGTTTGTTAGCGTTTTCGATGCGTCCGGGTGCCCCTCTCTGCTGGGCACCGTTCGGTCTGCCCTTTCGTTTTATGCCGGCTCTCATTTTTGATCGGGGCATGGAGATCCAACAGGATCATTGTATTCTAGATGCCCTCTCCTTTCAAGCTTTTGAAGCATATTTTTCACAATGAACCTTTTCCACGTTTTTCGTACCATATTCTGATTTTTGATACGTGTCAGTCGTTTCAATAGACTACATCCAATCTCGATTTATGGACGATGCAAGTTACAATCAACTGTCACAAGGAACACTCCTGAGTAGTCCGAAGATATGTGCGTATATATTTCTGCCCAAGTACCGCATGCTCCAGGGCTTTCCTTTCATTTCTCGATTTATGCTAGACGAGCACCGGAGTAACAACAACAATTTACCGGCTTGGTGAGCGGATTTCATCTCGTCCGTGGATATCTCTTCGTCCGTGGACCAAAATGTTCCCCGCCTTGAATGTCAAAGCTACCCGATTCAATGATTTTAAACCCAGGAACGACATGACAAGGTATAAAAAGGACATCTCTGTGCAGCCGCTCAGTGCCTCGTGCAATTCAGAAAACGCCTATCCTGTGCAATGACTACCACCCAGAATATCAAGTCCCGGTTCCCCGACCTCAACTTTGTCAAGCCCTTGCCAGTCGAAAGACACCCGAGGTACAAACCGTTTAATGTCAAATTTGACCCACAACATTTACTCCTACCGAAAGGCCATGTTAAGGAGACGGGAAGAAAGCAAATGCTTGTCGATTCGGTTGTTGACCGCGATACACCAATCCCATTACGAGACGGGCTTCATGTGTACGCCGACATCTACCGGCCAGTCTCTTCAGATGAAACTCAAGTCCCTGTCGTGATCTGCTGGCGTCCGTACGGAAAGTCTAGTATCAGCCTCGATGGGATTTGGCACCGTTCGGGAGTCCCCAAGGACTGGACTTCCGGGTATGAGACGTTCGAAGGATTGGATCCCGCCGATTGGTGTAGACGGGGATACGCGATCGTGAATGTCGACGCTCGCGGTGCTCAGTTCTCGGAAGGAACGTTCTTCTTCTGGGGCGATCAAGAGGCCGAGGATATATATGACACTATCGACTTTTTATCGAAGCAGTCATGGTGCAACGGCTCCGTCTGCATGGGCGGGAATTCATACTTGGCAAAAGCCCAAGTCAGCTTCGCTTCGAGGCAATCCCACCCGGCCTTGAAAGCACTGGCTCCTTGGGAGGGATTTACCGATATATACCGTCAACTTCTTCGCCGTGGCGGCTTTGCAATGCAAAATACCTTCATGTCAAAGTACCAGTGGGGGGTCGCTGGGAATCATGAAGTTGAAGACATGGCGCAAATGGTGAAGACCCATGCTTTATTCGAGACGAATATTGGGCTGGGAAGTATGATGAAGTTGAGAAGATCAATGTCCCGATGTATCTTTTGGGGTCTTTCGCCGACCCTTTCCATGTCTACGGTTCCTTCGACACCTATCGCCGTGCAGGTTCAACAAAGAAATGGATGCGTGTTCATGCTAATTTCGAATGGTATGAGATGTGCGAGCGAAGCTCCAATGACGACCTGCAACGCTTCTTTGATCGCTATTCCAAGGGAATTATGAATGGCTGGGAACATGATACGCCTCCCTTGCGTTTGTCTCTTCACGGATGTGGATCTATTCCGAATATTATGGAAAGACCAGAAATCGGGTTTCCGTTTCTCCGACAAAGCTTGCAAACATACTATCTCGACGCTGTAACTAAATCACTACATGCATCTCCACGCGACAGAGGATCCTCTGCTTGTCACGATGGGCATGGTCTTGAGGCTTTCTACATCGGTAAGTGAGCAGAAGTATTTGGATAAATTGTTTATTTTGAGCTCAGAGATCTAACAAAAATTACCAGGATTTTGTTCTGAAGTTTGGTGAGTATACTGAGATCGCCGGCTATGCCAAAGCCCGCCTCTGGATGTCCTGCAAGCAAAAGGATGATATGGACGTTGTAGTCCAGCTCCGGAAGATTGATGGCTCCGCCAATCTTCTTGAGGGTGTCAACTTCCCCTGTCTGGTACCAGAAAGCGAAGTGCCACCGGCTGAAACATCTAAACTCTTTGGCCCTCAGGGATTTCTCCGAGCTTCCTCCTCTATCTCCCGTGACCAGGCACGTTCAAGCACGGATTGTCAGGAGATCTTCTATAGACATGATCGCGCGGAAAAGATTTCACCCGGAACTATTATTCCGTTGGAAATTACACTGTGGCCTATGGGAATGGTTTTCGCAGCCGGAGAAGGAATCTTGCTTCGCATTGGAGGCCACTTTTTGAGTGCACCTCCGGTCGTACTTATGAAACCCCAGGAATCCGACGATGAGAATGTGGGCCAGCATTACATACACACGGGAGGAAAGTATGACTCGTGTCTTGTACTTCCGGTTATTGCTGGAAGCAGGGCGTAAGCTGAAGGATGGCTCTCGAGCCTGCTAGGGGTAGACGTTTAACATCAACCAGTGATTGTTTATCTTTCATTAAGATCTGTCGTTGAATTTGACTTTTTTTTTTGAGCAAATATAATAACAAAAAACAAACATCACGGATCCTGCATTCATTTATTGTACTTTGGCTTGATCAAGTGAAAGACTGTCTCATAATGGAAATCGCTGGGTACCTGATCGATACAAGAATAGCGTCAGATCTATTTCTTTCTAGATAAGCTCGAATCTGATGATATCACAAAATCTCAGACAGTTGAGCAGCTTCTAACAGAAGACGTTAAGGTAGACCATGTTGATACTAGTGGATTATAAGTGTGGTTAATTGGGGCCGTACTAGTACATTCTTGGCCTCCTTGTATTAATACGTGTCTGAGTCAGTTATCTCTCTCCCCTGAGGAATCTATATTCATTGTAATCCATAAGTATTAAGATTCCTTAAGCGCACATTCATGTTTACGTACTCTAAAATTGATATTGAGACGGTGATCGGAAGTAACCTTGAAGAGAGTGCGCGGATATATTATTCGTCCGCGGACTAACACAACACGCAGTCACTCCCGTTCCAAGCGTAAAGCCCAGATCGGATAGAAATCCTTGGACCCCCTACGTAGCAATCCACAAACAATCTCCATTATTACAAACAGTCTTCTTTTCTGGTAAATTTATCGACAGTATGCCTTCTCCGCCATTCACTGTCGAGGTTCTCAAAGGACCGGATAGTGAGCGTGAGACCAAAGACCTCGAAGCAGCATTCGCACGGCGATCAATGATGCTGATCAGACGCCTGTTAGGCGAGGACCGTCTGATCGAGCTCCTTCGCGACGAAACTGCGGCCAGCAGTGAATGGTGGCAAACGGTCGCTACCGACTCGAACGGGGAATGGAGGCCAGCGCGCATCGTCTTGTCTGCACGCGGGCTCATTTCGAAGGAATTCATCACCTGGTTTATTCCGGCACAAGGAGGCATGCTTCCCGAGCCGGAAAAGCTTGCTGCCCACCCCGAGCACTGGGTTGTTCGCCCTTCAGACGGGCCAAAGGCAATGACCGTGCTGGAAACTTTAGGCGAGAGGCCAACTCTATTCACGCTTGCATTTGATGTGCAGGCTCCCGCTTTTGTTCAAGACGACCCGCAGCCGGAGAGGACGTTGTGGAGTGCCACCGCCAGCATTTACTTGTCGAGTTTAGCAACTGGTCTAAGCAAGCATATGAAGCTTCAAAATTGACTTAAGCAAGTTAATACCTCCTCCTGTTGATGTTTGAAAGTAGCTTGGCATTATGTGTTATCTTGAGAAAAAGAAATTTATATTATACTTCATCGGGCTCGTCCACCGGCCCATGCAGCGTGTTCAATCGCGGCAGATGGATATATCCCCATTTAAAGCCACTTTATAGCAACTCATCGAAAATTCCTTCAGTAAGACAAGTAATCCTCTCCCATTGCACATTTTCCCTATGAAAGGAGGACTCCATGGACATATTTTGGTTTCGATCCAAACTTGGTTGGGGCCACTGCTCGTTTGTATTCCAAAAGCCGAGTGTTGAAAGTAATTGGGAGGTCCAGTAGCTATCAGTTGGAGAAGGGTGTTCGTTGCGTCTGACTTGCACTTTCCCCAGAAGTGGAGCAATAAACGCTATTGGGCTTGAGTCAATGTCATTGTCCGCTCTACGAAGCAGCTCATTCAATGAGCAAAGTGCGGTGAAGCCATCGTGAGCAGCCCTAGAGTTAGGAAATATGCTGGATTTTTCACGTAGAAGCTTGATAAGTTGCCCCACTTCGTTGCTTATTTTAATTCTGTCAATACCCATGTCCAAGGCGCGGTTGGATGAGACATGAGATATGAGAAGAAGAGTGACTGCCACAGAGAACGCTTGCAGATCCATCATCCTTGAAAGAAAGAGCCCGGGGGGAAGTCTCCGACTCAGGAAACGATATCGTTGCACCATACATTTCTTTTCAATCTAAAGAGCCAATTATTCTTAACGGCTGAAAATTCTACGTGCTTCTTGGATATACTCAGATATACGTCTACATTTCAAAATCAAGGACTTGTTTCGTTGGATAATAGAGCGTTGAAATTGTAGAGTCAGAGACATAGCCTTTGTATTCAATAACGGTATAGGAAACCTGGACCGGGAAACCCTCTATGAAGGCAGACATAAGAAACCCATAATGCAGAAAGAACTTGCGAATGACGATCCATTTATCTACCACTAAGTAGACCAAATAGGATATCCAAGGCCCAAGCGAAGGGTTTCGGTTTTCTTCTCTTTTCATTTATCCCATACTCGTGAGAGTAGCCACTGACCCACCGTGGTAGTTTGGCGCCTGTGGAGCACGCCTGCACGTGACTGCGCGTCTGGTGGCTCAGCCCGCCGTAGAATTTCGAGATGCGACAACTCGCCGTCAACCTTTTCTCTATCACGAAATACACTCTGGTAACGATAGACGGCATGGCGACGAATGGCTTTGACGGTCCTCCTCCTGGCCCTCCGCCAGATTCCACCGAACGCCCACCCTCGCCGCCACCTCCACCTCCAGAAGACATGGCCGCTCCACCGCCGCCGCCAGATGCTGCGGCACCTCCACCTCCCCCCGATGATGCGCCACCTGCCCCCCCGGGTGGAACTAAGAAGAAGTCAGGATGGGGCGGGCCCAAACGTCCTGCTGCGACACCTTTGAGTGTGGAGGAGCTAATTCGAAAGAAGAAGGAAGCGGATGCGGCAGCTTCAAAGGTACGTACATCTCTTAAAGCAATGAGGAATATGCATCTGGGTGACGATTTACTAATGTTTATTTCCTTGCAGCCCAAGTTCCTATCCAAAGCTCAACGAGAGAAGCTTGCGCTAGAGAAACGGGCCAAAGAAGTGGAAGCTGAGCGACAGGCGAAAGCTTCCACCAATGGAGCTGATCGCAATGGATTCTCGTCAGAAACACCTGCAAAGAAATCCGAAAATGCTAGACATGATGAACGAGATTCAAATGGAAGAGTTCCAACAGGACCACGTGCGATGCGCGGAGACGTCCCCACGGGTCCGGCTTCGATGCGCAACTCCAACGGATACAATAACCGGAATCAGGGCTCGGAAATGCCACCACCACCACCACCAAAGGGGAAGGGTTCGAAGGCTGATAAGCGTCCGGTGGAGGGAGATGAAACTGAAACACAAGCTGCTCTGATAAAGCAACGATACATGGGAGTCGAGCAGACCTCAACCTTCTCCGCGAAGAACAAGCGCAAGCGCACGACGGACCGCAAATTCAACTTCGAATGGAATACTGAAGAGGACACTAGTCTTGATTACAACCCATTATATCAACACCGACACGAAGCAAACTTCTTTGGCCGCGGCCGACTGGCAGGATTCGGAGAGGATGTTGCAGATAGTGTGGCCCGCAAGTATGCGCAAGCCTTGGAGTCTCGAGATGCAGAGTCTGGAGGTCTGCGCGCTAAGGAGATCCTGGAGATGGAGCGGCGACGTCGCGAGGAGAGCTCCCGAAGCCAGTTGGATAAACACTGGAGCGAGAAGTCACTGGTCAACATGCGCGAACGAGACTGGCGTATCTTCAAGGAAGATTTCAATATCAGTAGCAAGGGTGGCGGTATTCCCAATCCCATGCGCTCATGGGAAGAGAGTGATCTGCCTAAGCGCTTGCTAGAGCTAATTGACCGTGTTGGATATAAGGAGCCGAGTGCCATCCAGCGCTCTGCAATTCCCATTGCCCTGCAAAACCGCGATCTCATCGGTGTTGCCGTGACTGGTTCCGGTAAAACAGCGGCATTCCTACTTCCCCTTCTGGTGTACATTTCAGAGCTGCCCCGACTCGACGAGTTCGAGTGGCGCAAGAACGACGGCCCATATGCCCTTGTCCTCGCACCCACCCGTGAATTGGCCCAGCAGATCGAGATCGAAGCCAGAAAATTCACAGCACCCCTTGGCTTCAACGTCGTCAGTATTGTCGGTGGTCACTCGCTCGAAGAGCAAGCATACAGCCTGCGCAACGGTGCAGAACTTATCATCGCCACACCAGGTCGTCTCGTCGACTGTATCGAGCGCCGCATGCTAGTTCTCAGCCAGTGCTGCTACGTCATTATGGATGAAGCAGATCGCATGGTCGACATGGGTTTCGAAGAATCCGTCAACAAGATCCTCGACGCACTCCCCGTCTCCAACGAAAAGCCCGACACCGAAGAAGCCGAGAACCCACGCGCAATGAGCCAAAACCCGGGCGGTGGTGCCAAATACCGCCAAACAATGATGTACACAGCCACGATGCCTACAGCTGTCGAGCGTATTGCACGGAAATACCTGCGCCGCCCCGCAATCATCACAATTGGTAGCGCCGGTGAAGCCGTTGATACGGTCGAGCAGCGCGTCGAGATGGTCCCCGGCGAAGACAAGCGCAAGAAGCGCCTTTCAGAAATCCTCAACTCAGGCGAGTTCCGCGCCCCGATCATCGTTTTCGTCAACATTAAGCGAAACTGTGATGCAATCGCACGCGATATCAAACACATGGGCTTTTCATCTGTTACATTGCATGGTTCCAAGACACAGGAACAGCGTGAAGCCGCCCTCGCTTCCGTGCGAAATGGTTCCACAGATGTACTGGTCGCTACTGATCTTGCTGGTCGTGGTATCGATGTCCCCGACGTCTCGCTCGTCGTTAACTTCAACATGGCTACCTCTATAGAGAGCTACACTCACCGTATCGGTCGTACTGGTCGTGCCGGAAAGAGTGGTGTCGCTATTACATTCCTGGGTCCGGAGGATTCAGATGTCATGTACGATCTGAAGCAGATGCTTATGAAGTCGCCTATCTCGCGTGTGCCGGAGGAACTACGTAAGCACGATGCAGCGCAGTCTAAGTCCACGCGTGGACAGGGAAAGAAAATCGAAGACAGTTCTGGCTTTGGTGGAAAGGGTGGCTGGGCGTGATGACCATCAATGTATCATTTTCAATCTATACCATCTTACGATTTTTTCAATGGAGTTAGTTGGCTTGGCCATTCGGCCTTTTAACGCAAATTACTATGCAAGATGCATGATCTTTGTAGACCTTGAACACAATCTTAGAACTATAATATGAACAGCTAGGTTTATTTTGCTTTTCAGCTAGATCTAAGCTAGGCATAAGAGAGAGTAGAGTGTAGTTGGGAAGAAAATTCATCGGGGCGAAAAGACACAGCCTGTGTGCCTGAATGCAAAAAAATTCCCGAAATATTACCGCCACAAAGAAACTTCCTTACAGCTTGCTCTGGAGGTACTGGTTCTTGGCGAGCCAGTTCTCAACATCCTCGCGATCGCGTTTGAGCCAGTTGACCTTGGCGCGAATGGCGTCGAGGCTCTGTTCAACAGCACGGTCGTAGCCCTGAGGAAAGAAACATGTCAGCGATTTTGAAATTAAAGGTGCAAAGGTAAGACGTGATATATCTGTTAGACACGCCGAAAATTGAGGTCTTACCTTTGTATCCTTGGCGGCGAAGAAGTCCGTGACATCCTTGAGCTGAGCCTCAGTACAGAAGCTGGAGGTAGTCAGCTGAACAACAGTGCCCAGCATGCCGAGAGAGGGAGGAAGACGCTTGAAGATCTCGTCCCAGTTCTCCTTGAGCCAGGTCCAACGGGCCTCGATACCTGAGGGGTGGTTGCGGAGACCGCTAAGGGGCATGTAAATGTCCTGGTTCTTGACCTCGTCACTCGTGGCAAGGCCGAGGGTGCGCTTGATGAGCTCAGGATCCTCAGCAGTACCGAGGCAGCGGAGAGCAGTTGTCTTCTCATCGGAGGTTGGGGCGTTGCGGAATCGGTCGTAAACGACCTCGTACTCCTTGAGGCCACCGTGCTTGAGCACAATGGTGAAAACACTGCCGCGGATGTTGGGGTGGATAGCGGCGATGTCGCCAGCAGCGAAGCGGGCGAACATGTCCTGGGCAGCCTTGATTACGACGGGGTCCTCGGCCATACCGGCGGAGCCAAACATGAGGGCCTTGAACTGCTGCAGAATGTGGCCATCCTTCTCGGAGAAGTCCCAGCCGAGCTTGTGAGCCTTGGCGCTCACCAGCGAGCGCTGGAAGGCCTTGAGAGCGGCCTTGCTCTGATCATTTTCGAAGATCCAGGCGGCGCGGAGAGTGCCAATACGGGTGAGGATTTCGTTCCACACAATGAACTCAGACTCGGTGTCCAGGCCCTGGAGCAGGGACAACATGCCAGAGGTCTTCTGGAAGCCGGAGGCGGCAAGAGCACCAGAGTCAGCAATCATACCGGCACGGTCCTCGACGGACAGGAGACCATCACGAGCGGCCTTTCCAAGTTTGGTAAGGCGCTCGGGAGAGTAGGAGGTACGGTAGATAGCGGAGTGATCAGCGTTGAGCTTGAAGAAGTCCAGGTCGGGAACCTTGAATTCTTTCTCACGCTCCGACAGCATGGTGTTCTCATCGACACCATCCTTGGTACGAAGACCAAGCATGCAGGGGTAAAGAACTTTGTCCTCCTCGGGCTTCACGTCACCGGTGCGCAGGAAGCGGTTCTGCTTCACGCTGATGGAAGAAGAGGCAGGGTTCTCGGTCACACTGATGACAGGGAAACCAACATTCTTGGTCCAGATATCCATGACCTCCTGGACGGGCTTGCCACTAGCATCAGCCAGCGCAGCCCACAGATCACCAGTCTCGGTGTTGCCGTAGGCGTGCTTCTTGATGTAGTTGCGAACACCCTGGAGGAAGACATCCTCACCGAGGTACTTGGAGATCATGCGCAGAACGGAAGAGCCCTTGGAGTAGGAGATAGCATCGAAAATCTGATTGATCTCGTCGGCACGCTTGACAGGAACCTCAACGGGGTGACTGCTGCGCAGCGAGTCGAGAGAAAGAGCACTCTGCAGGTTATCGATCACGTAAGTCTGCCAGACCTTCCACTCGGGGTAGAATTCGTTGCAAGAGTACCAGGACATCCAGGTGGCGAAGCCCTCGTTGAGCCAGAGGCCATCCCAGAAGTCCATGGTAACCAAGTTACCGAACCACTGGTGAGCCAACTCGTGCTGCACAGTCTCTGCGATACGCTCCTTACGCGAAGCACCGCTGGTCTTCTCATCCAGCAGAACATCAACAATACGGTAGGTAATCAAACCCCAGTTCTCCATGGCTCCTGCGCTGAAGTCGGGCACTGCCACCATGTCCATCTTCGGCAGAGGGAACTCGTTATCGAAGGCCTTCTCGTAGAAAGCGAGGGTCCTGGCAGCAAGCTCCAGGGAGAAACGGCCGTGCTCGATATCCTGGTCAGGCGTAGCGTAGACACGGATGGGGACGCGGAAGTTCTTAGTCTCGATGTAGTTGAGGTGACCCACAATGAAAGCAACAAGATAGGTGGACATATCAGGCGAAGTGCCGAACTTGACGGCCTTCTTTGCGCCTCCCTGGACATCAGTCTCTGATTCAACGTCCATGTTGCTCAGGCAGGTCATGCTCTTATCGGCCACTAGAGTGACGGTGAACTTGGCCTTGAGAGCGGGCTCGTCAAAGCAAGGGAAAGCACGACGGCAGTCAGTAGGCTCCATCTGGGTCGAGGCAATATACTTGGTCTCACCATTGACCTTGTATGATGAACGGTAGAATCCGGCCATGTTGTCGTTCAAAATACCGGTGAAGGTGAGCTTCAGCTGGGCGTCCGAGCCAGCGGAGATGGCCTGGTTGAACTTGATGGTAGCGACCTGGTTATTCTTGTTGATCGAGATATCAGGCTTGGATTCCACTACTGTGCCCTTTGAAGAGACAACTGCGCTGTGAATATCGATTTGGTTGGAGTTGAGGGAGATAAAGTCGGTGTCCTCGTTGACCTGGAGGCTGTGTGCATGGATCAGTATTGCATCAAGTATAGCTATCCTTCATTCCACAAGTGACATACTCAATGACAACGGTTCCATCGTAGGTGAATTTCTCAAAGTTCGGCTCGAGTGTCAAGTCGTAATGCACCGGCTTGACATTGGTGGGCAGGACCTCACGGCCCTGGACATTGGTCGAGCCGGAGACCTCACCGCGTCGTGAGCCACACATTCTGCGGTAAGAGCAGTATCTCTTGGAAGTCTGGGAGAGGGTATAACGGGGACGAGGGCGAATAGTCGATCTGGCCGGAGCTGAACGAGGGGCGGAGAGAAAGATGGGGAGGGGAGATCTGGCGGAGAGAAGCGGTGGCTTTGCTTGAAGCAACGCGCGCGTGGAAAAGCGTCGCATCGGGAATCAACGAACCCCAAGGGAGGAAATCACAGACAAAGAAAAAGACAAGTAGTGGCCCCAAAACGCCCAAATATATTACAAATGATGTACAATTGCTCGAACAAATCCTTGAGCGCGCCAACGCAGGAGAACAATCGCAAAGGAAGAATCGATGGCAGAAAATGGCTCCGGCTCCCCCGGCGGTGAGTCGGAGCTAACTTGCTTTCTCCATTTTTTTTTTCTTCTTTTCTTCTTTTTCACCTCACGCAAGTCAAGCAGCGCATGCCCCGATTCTTCTACGGTAGACGACTGTGGAGTAGCTTATAGCTGTTCCTTCTTGCAAGAATATCACCAGCAAGTTTGAGGGGTTCATGACAACTTTTGTTCGTGGATGGGCTTCCATAAAGCGTTGGGACATTCCTTGTGAAAAATGATCAATTGACATCTTCTTGGAGATAATTCTAGCCTCCTTTTATGAATGATTCTATAGCAAACTATCATCGTTCTCACCAGGTTTAACCTTGATTCACCCCACACCGTATGAATAACTGCCGTCCAGCTTCAATATTGAAAGAAATATCTAAATACAAAATACAGATGTTGAATAAAACGAAAAGGAATGTCCATTGGGGCAAGGTGCTGGAAACTACTGCCCTAGGGCCTCCCAGAGACTGGCATTCGTGTCAACACACTGCGCGACCACCCGTCCTTGTCCACGACGGACTCCTTAACCAGGACATATCCACCCAGCCGAGGCAGCACGACCGCCCAAAGAAGATAATAAAGGGCGCCAAGAGCGAAAACGCCCAGTGCGACCACACAATGAAGATAGTAAGGCAGCTCTTTGTAGACGCTCTGGTCAGCCGAGGGTGGAATGTACGGCGCAATAACCAGATAAATATTCGACAAGAAGAAGAAAACGACGACTGGGAGTGTTGCGCGTATTCCAGGAGCCCAGTCTGGGAATTTCTCTTTTTGGAGACGTAGATATAAATGAGACCACCGGAGACAAAGACGTTGATAATTGAGAGAGGGTAGGAGATGAGACTATGTTATGTTAGACTCGTGCTGATCCGAAGGGCATGGGAATGGAACATACTTGAGCAAGAAGTTATAGGCGTCACCAGGAGGTGGTGCGAGCATAATAACGGCCGATACGAGATAGTGCTCAAACAGTCCTGCAGCCGGAGAGTGGAAGGGCCAATTGCTAGCCCAAAGCTTGGAGAAGGGCAGGACACCTTCACGACCCAGTTCCTGAACAACTGCGTGAAACGTCATTAGCGTTTTGCAAGTACTAATCGACGGAATCACTTACTTCGACCTTGCGAAAAAAGAACAGACAAAACATTACCAAAGGCGGACAGGGCTACAAAGACCGACATCACTCTCTCGGCCTTTTTGCCAAACATATTTCCAAAGAAGTTAGCGGCAACAACAGTACCAGAGTTCAGGATCTGCTCTTTGGGTACGGCCGCGAAGTAGGCAATATTGACCAGCATGTACAGAATTCCCACTAAGCCGATAGCCACCGGCGCCGCAATCTTCAGCGTGCGAACTGGATTCTTCGTCTCACTCAAAACCTAATCACTGTTTAGTTACGAAACACAGCCACGAACAACTCTCCAAACTCACGTAGTTGGCATTGGAATAGCCGATGAACGACCAGATCACATTGTACAGTGCCATGACAATGTTGTAACCACTCCCCTTTGTACCTTCAAAAGCGTTGGTAAAGTTATGCGGTGTTTTGATCTTGGTATGGCCAGCCAGCGCGACCCAGCCGGTAACAATAATGAGCAACATGATGATCAACTTAATGACACCCAGGAAATTCGAAAGACGAAGACCCCATTTGAGAGCAGTCGCATGGATGAGGAATGCAGTAGTGAGACATGCAAGGCCAATGCCTCGTTGATTCCATCGACCAGGCTCGATCTCAGCTGCATTGAGAATATACTCACCAAAGACGACGCTGTTGCTGGCAGCCCAGCCTAGTAGGAAGGCGTAGGCGGCAAACATGGCCGTGGCTAGGAGTTTGGGTTTCTTGAAGACATATTCGAGATAGTTTTTTTCGCCTCCGTTCCTAGTGAGATCAGTGACTCTGCCTGGTACGCTAGTTCAGGTTCAGATTTACTTGGGAATGGCAGTCCCCCATTCAAGGTAAACCGCTGTACCGGCCATTGCGATGGCAGTCCCAATTACCCACAAGAACAGAGATAACCCGACACTGCCTGACAACTGCAAGATAGTACTCGGTGTCGCAAAAATGCCAGTTCCAACAACACGATTGAAGATCAGCATGGAAGCGCTGATCACCCCGATCTGGCGGCGACTATCCGGCGATGCGTCAAACACATTTCCCTCGTCTAAGCTAGCCAGTTAGTGTCCATAATGAGTTCACAACACGATACTAATAATACTGACATAGTCCAGTGATTCCATCGGCAGGTTTTGCGTCATTTTCAGAAGTATTCTTCGTCTCCGGCACGGGAGTCTTTTGGGTGCCATCTTCGAGGGAAGACCCCGAGTCGGTCATTTTCAAACCTGACGCTTTGCGTTACAACAAGATCAGTAAAGCTCAATGATTTGAATGAGGCTTTACTTTATAAATCTCTTAATATCTGGCGTACGGTTAGCAACGGCATTTCAAGATGGTGTGCTGATGATAAATATGACACAATTTGCGAAAGGTCTGGGCAGATACTACCTTAGGAAGTGAATTGTAAAACCACGTTGTCAGCCTTGTCTCTTCAGACTCTCGCTCCTCGTGGTATTTGGAGGCTTGCGGAACGCTATTTGGCGGAAAAAGCAAGACCAAGAAGGTAGTGCGCACGTCAAGCTCGACTGGGCTGCGTGCAGTTGAGCCGATCAGATTACACGACCCGGAGATCGAGATGTCAAGCGATATTAGCAGCAAATTCAAGCAAATCTGATTTGAAGAGAGAATATAAGGAAGCGCTCTCCTCGTTTTTGCCCCGGTAAATGCGAAATAAATCGCTTCCCAGATCCACTAGAGTTCGGGAGGCCGAGAATAGCCAAGCCCGAGCCTTTGCGGGAAAGTCCAGGAACCGTTCTACAGCTTGCACCATTTTGATTTTCCCTTATTCAAGAAACCCGATTTGGATTAGATCTTCCGGAATAGACTTCATTGCACCATCTCGGTCCACGCATGCGTTCTAGATTCCATGATACTACTTAGTCGGGTCAAGCTCGCCAAGGCCCAGGCCGTGCCTAGACTTAGCCAAGTAGATCCCGATGAAACCCTGACACATGGAATTAGAGCACGTCATTCTGAGCTGCTCTTATTGATGGCATACGAAGTGACTCGGGGACATATCCTAGTTGGGCCATAGGGGCTTCAGCCAGGAAGGCTAGTTCCTGTCAATAGATCAATTCATTGCTGAAATACCCTTGTCGGGCTCCATAAGGTACTTGTCCTATAAAGCGATTGCTGAATGGAGATATAGGTATCAAGCAGTGAAATTCATTGAGATCATCTAAATATCTGCATTCAACGTGACATATGCATAAAATTCCTGGGAGTCCTAATCTCACTCCGCAGGTTCAGGTCAAAGAAACCAAAATCAAACTCCTAGACCGTAAGCAAGAAAAACCAAGAAAAACAACAAAGCAGGTGCCAATCTGTATATCCAGTTCGAAACGCCAAAGAATGTCAAAAAGCTAAAGAAACAGGCTCCGCGCTCCCCCAGTGCAGGTATACAACGTACTAAAATTTATGCAAGAAGCGCATCATGGATAGGATTAGGACCCCATTTCTATGGGGGTTAGAGGGGCCAGATTTCAAAGATCTCTCTCGATCGACTGGGAACAATGGGGTAGGCCGGAGCCAGAAGCGCAGAAACGGAAGTATCAGTATGAGTGATCGATCGAGAGCCAAAGATCGGGGTAACGGCAAAAACGTTCCAAACAGGGCCAAAGTTGGCGAGATAATGGAAGAAATTCATCGAGGTGGAGTTGCGCCAGTGGCATGAGAAATAGGGTTCAGGGTAGATGAGGGTCGGCCGGTAGCCAGAGTTGGAGTTGGGGCCGAAGCTCGCTTTTCAAGAACGCTCAGCTTCTTGCTAAGAGCCGTCAACCGGCCACGCATGCTGGAGATAACTGCGAATGGTGAGTATTTTCCAACTTTTTAGGGAGGAGGAAGGAGACTAACGTTTATTGACTATTTGGCGGTCTTCGCCATCGCCAAGGGATAACTTCTCGGTGATCTGAGAGGCCTGCTGGTCACTCTTGTCGCTTTTCGCCGAAGAGCGGAGCACATCCTCCTCAAGGATCGCCTCCAGCAGTCGAATGGCAGTGATGTAGGCCATTTGGCAGCCTTGTAGGTCTTCACCGGTCAACTCGTTAATAGCTGCGGCACGGCTCATTTCAAGCGCACGGTCGTACATCAGCCTCTCAGCGGAGACGCCTGGGCTCACAGCCACATCTTGAGATCCGTAAGAAGCGAAAGTCGAACCCACAGAATGGTTATCGGGGTGGCTGGGGTGGTCGTGAGGAAGACGCTCCTGTGCTTCAACGAGCTTGAGACGTACAAACTCGGCCTTCTCCAAGACTTCATTGAAACGGGTTCGAACCCACTGAACAACCTTATTGATCTGTGAGCCGGAAATCTTGCTAGATGCCTCGCTTCGGGGCGATTCGCCGTATGCCTCATCTCGGTTCTTGCGCGTCCACCACGACCCAGCAATATCCATTGACTTGGCGAGCAGAGAAAGAGCTTTGACGTAGAGAACCAGCGCTTCTTCTGAAAGAGTAACAATAGCATCGACGGTCAAGCCGCCGTCATTTGGATCGGTGGGGTCAATTGGAGTATCGTTCGGCGCAGACGGTGCGAGCGGCACAAGTTGCTTATATTTGACCTCGGCAAATCCAAAAACAACATCGCTGCGCGTAGCACATTCTTCAAGCGATTGGACAGTCCTCGTGTCCTGGTCCGTGGTAGGGTTGATCTTCCCATCACCCAGAAGCATCGTTTCATGAGGAGCGGGATAGATAGGGAAAGGATTATACGCCAAAGGTGGAGATCTTCCTCCTTTTGGTCCAGCCAAAGGAGGTGAGAATCCCATACTGAAAAGCCGGCCGCTGGCCATGTTCAGAGCCTTCGAGATCGCAGATGTTGCAGATGTCGGGCTTTGTCCATAGCGTCGCTCATATGAATGCTGGCGCTGATGAGTCGAATCGGCTCGAGCCCGCCCAGAAGCGATCTGCATCGCCTTAGAAGTGTTTGCGTGCGGAGAGGTGGATGACACGGTCGGTAGTCCTTGAGTGGTTGCACGTCGAGTGACAGAACCAGCCTGTCCCCGGGCAAAGCCACCTTGGATGCGTGGACTATGTGCCAACTCATCCGCAAATGCATTGACTTCAACCGCCTTCTTTTCCACAAGTACATAATCCCTCTCGAAGGCCACGTCCTGGGCTGCCCGCTCACGTTCCTCGCGCGCACGGTCGAGGTCTGCGGTTCGCGGTGATCCAGATGGAATTTGTCGGCCCTTTTGCCTCTCCGTGGCAGCTGTAGGGGTCTGGCGACCTGTAAGCTCTTGCCGAGCTGGCGCGGTGGCCTGGGTTATTGGGCTGGGCCGAGTTGGCTGAATGCCTCCTCGGGGTTGCTCCTTGGAAAGACCTGAGAACGGCCTATCTGCACTTCCCTGCCGACGCATCGGTGCAGAATTAGGTGTTGTATCGGATTTATTGCGCGGCGCATATGAGCGGTGGCTTGGCGGGTAAGTAGTAGGTTCTCCCTGATCAGTAGAGTACGGTGAATCTTCAGCAGCCTTCACATCGAGCTCGGCTGGTTGCGTTGGCCGGTTCTCAGCACGGTTGGACCCCGAGCTGCGGTCAAGCTCCAGGGAAGAACGGCGTGAGCCTCGAGGTGTATCGTCGGCTACCAAGCCTGGAATTGGCTCGATGATAATATTGTTCTTGAAGAATTCAGGGAAGTTCAATCGCTCGACTGGATTCCGCTTGAGGAGCCTGCAGATGAGCTTCTTAATATCCTCGGAAGCAGGGTTGTCTTCCGGGAAACGAATACGATCTTCACCCTTCTCGATCTTGCGGAGAAGTTCAACATGATTTGTAGCCCGGAACGGAGGTTTTCCCACGACCATCTCGTACAACACGGTTCCAACTGACCACAGATCAGCTTTGGCATCGTACTTCTCATAACGAAGAATCTCAGGTGCCATATACAGCGGAGAACCACACAGAGTCTCTGCCAGGGAAGTAGCCGGCAGGGACCGAGCGAATCCGAAGTCCGCAATCTTGAGCATTGGCAGCGACTCTAGCCCAGTCGTTGGCTCATATGAATTATCACTACCCTTGAACGGAATAACATTGGCGACACCGTTCCGGTAAGAAGACGGAGAAGGACAAAGGAGGAGATTCTGAGGCTTGATGTCGCGGTGAATTAGATTTCGGTCTCGCAGGAACTTCAAGGCACTAGCAAGCTGCTTGAGAAAATGACGGGTAACCACTTCATTCAAGCCTCCGCCGGAAGGATTCGGGTATTTCGCAATCATGTCCTTGGTGTACCGATGTGTTCCCAAGGTATCTCGTCGCTTAATGAATAGCGACAAGTCACCCAGCGCACAGTACTCCATGACCAGATGAATATGTGAAGTCGATTCATGGCAATCGATAAGTGCGACAATATGTGGGTGATGAAGGCCTTTGAGGATATCGATTTCGGAGGAAAGGTTTTCCTTCAGTTTCTTGTTGAGCTTCGACAAGTTCACCGACTTGATGGCAACGAAAGTCCGAGATTTCTAGAAGGAAGAACAATCAGTATTCGAACCGGGTTGCAACCGGGCACGAGAAGTGTATATGACTCACCGTATGAACACCCTGGTATACCGTCGCGAAGCTTCCCTACCGATCTCATCACCTCGTGTGTATCGACCGATGGACATTTCGTGGTGAGGGGTCTCGCGTGACCTTCGAGTATGTTGAGTCGCCATGGTCGTCACAGCGCGAGCACGTCACTTTCCTGATGTCCCGCAGAGAAGCTCCGAGGGAATCAGCCACCAGCCACACCCAACCACAACTACCGCAGCAGAAATGAAGATGAATGATGCTGCGAGAGGCCCATCAGGGGAGCCGTACAGCGTGGGGTTGTGTAGTTGCCGGGTAGAGGGGGAACCGGCGGAACGGCGAGTATGGCAAAGAGTGCCGTTATGCTGTGGAACAAAACAAGTGAACTCGACTTGATCAAGACGAGTTTCGAAGACGATGAAGGAGATCAGCTACTGACAAAGTAGACTGGAGCTCCGTCGAAGAAATGCCAGAGGTGGGAAAGCGGTGAAGTGATGATGTACAGCGGAGTGGTCAAGTATAAGGTGGTCCAAAGTTGTGGGAGGCAACTATGGTGATGATGTGATGCAGAAAGGGCGGGAAGGTTTAAAACCAAGGACTGCGTCCCAAGGTGATTGGGGGGTGTGACCTGGACCAACGATAACGAGTGACAGGCCGCGATGATCTGGTAAGGCGGTCAGAAGGGCGGCGGGAGTGTGAGTCCGGGGCTGGGGGGATGATGTACACAACGTTGGATGTTGGGTATGGGAGAAACGGGAGAGGAATGTGAAAGATGGGGTCAAGGCAGACTTGCGATGAAAAGGCGGGCAGAGAAAAGGGGGAGAGAACGCGCGAGTAGCTGCAGGTGTCCATGAAGGTTCCTAACGTTAACTGAGGGACTTCGTCTTTATCGATTAGATAAGAGATGTCGTGACCTATCAGGTGATTTACGCGTCTTGATATAGCGTGACTCATGTGTGAGGAGTAGAGTATACTTGCGATGCACTAGTGGCGTGCGTCTCAAAAAGCTCTATATTCGATCTTTTTACACAACTTCACTTCCTTTAAAGCACACGACTTCCCCCGTTCATCTGAAGACTGGTACCCACCCTTGGGAAGATACATAGATGTTATCTGGGCCGAGATCGGCAGCCAAGTGGCACCGCGATAACCAAACCTTATCGAGGAACCTTGGAGAAACCCTGCAAAGTGAATGGACTCTCTATCATTCTTAGCTATGTAGAATGTCTATATGGTACAGATGGGTAGCCAAACTTCCTATACCTCATCAAACACCCAAACCCCGCACCAGCAGCCACAACACCACCGGCACTAAAACATTATCATTACAGCCAGTGAGGATCGCCTCGGTGGCGCTAGTTCCTCCTGCGGCTAACACGGCTTTACAGCTTGTCCATACCCAAAAGCGAACTGTGGAGGCTGTTTCCCCGGCTGATTCGGTGCCTGCCACCGGCCATCCTCCCACCACCAGCCAGCCTCGAACGGCGAGCAAACCGCAAGTCACTGCCGCTGCAAAGGCCACGCTGCCTTCTAGCGACTTCCCTCCACCCCAGAACCATTTCAGCCGACCGTACCGGCGGCCCACCAGCGATGCCGCGGCGTCTCCCATCCCCACACAGATCACGCCACTGACCATGCTGACATCACGGGCGGGTACATCCCATCCTACCCAGGACCCGTCACCGGTCCGAGGGAGATCGGATAGCGAGAGCCAGAGCGGGATGGAACATCCGATCAGCAGAAAGATATGTGAGATGATGACCGGGCCGCGGTGGTCACGGCCATCCACGTAGGGAGCCAGGAAGTTTGTCAGCGGGCGGGAAATCGGAGGGAGCTGGGAGGCTCGGAAAAGGTCTAGTAAGAGGAAGATGGCAAGAACCAAAGCCAGTGCCAAAGCGCAAAATGTCGGGTCTACGAAAACCGTAGGAAGGAACATCAGCACCATAGTCCCGTGGAAAACTTTGCGCCGGGTGTCAACCTCAGCGACCGAGCTGAGCTGAAACACCACGGCCAGGCCGGTCGCAAGGACCAAAACGCAGTAAAGAATGATCAGCAGGCGACTGTTGGCTGGCCCAAAACCAGTCTGGCGCAGATGTTCTATCCGGCCAAGCCAACAATAGACGTCCTCATCGGCTGAGTCCGGGCGTGGAGCGAGCTGAATCCAGTACTCAAGATTCAGCATAAGCACCCAGAACCGGAAGCCTGATAGATTGCCCAGCAGATATCCCAGAGCCCATCCAACAGGATCTTGTCCTTGAAGGGCGCGCTCGGCCACGTACTTTCGGATGGGCCCAAAGATGATTGCCAGGGACACCAAATAGACATAGGCTGCATACAGCCATTTGCGAACCTGCGCTTGGGCTGCGGTGAGCGATAAGAAAGAGGCAAGGCCGGGTCCCATCAACTTCTTCCGTCGGCCGCCCGGTGTAGTGCGGATCCGTACTTCCTGGACTGCCTCCTCGAATGTGGAGATTGTATGACGCCTTTGTCGCTTAGAATACTTCTCGAAGACTTCTTCTCCTGCAGGATTATCGATGGCAGACGCGGGTGCCGCGGGTGATGCATAATCTCGAATGTCCCGCATCGTTCGGGTTTTGCGGGGCTTAGGAACGCCATCATCGCTATCTGATGTAGGCTCGTAGGGCCTGCTCAGTATTGAGCAAAGGCGGTGGTCCATCATGTTGATAAATTTTCGCGGCGACTGTGAGCCGCTAAGAGAGCGACGAAACTTCCAGCTAGGAATCCGAGCTAGAGCTACCTCCCAATGTAATATCTTTTGGCACGACACAAATAGACACATTCCTCCCAGCCACAACAAGGCCTTGAGAATTTCGGCCTGGGGGGAGGCAGCAAACAAATACAAATTGATCAGAGCTGTCGTCAGGAGCTGCAGCTCCGCAGGTAGAATGCTGGTAGTCAACAAAAAGTCTAGGGTGGGTATCAACGCTTGATGCAAAGGAAACAGAAGGATCAAGGATTCCGCATCGTGCCCACGAAGCGACAGCGGTTTAGGGATTGTATGGTCGAAGGAGAAGTGCTCGGAGACGAGTATCGGGGCAATTGTGACCATCCAGTGCGTAATGGATAGTCCATGGATCCAGCTTTGTAGTGGGACAACCGGTGCTGGTAGAGAGGCGAGGCTGAGTATGATATTTGGCATGACCAGCGCCGGCTGGTGTTGAGAGAGGGACATTGCAACGAATATCGGCACGAGTACTGGGTATAGAAGCGGAGCTGGGTCGAAGCTCTCCGGTATCGAGAAAAATAACCGGCTAGAGGAGCGTATGCGCCATCGTCGGCTCCTCGAGAGTCGGATTAAGAGGGGATGTGAGGCGTACAGGCCTAGGAGCACGATTCCATGGGCTGCGAGTTCTTGAAGCAGATCAGTATATCGTGTGGGCTACATATGGAATGTCGACTGATAGCCTTACCTTTTCTCCAGGCCCATGCAAGCAAACGCGCATCTCTCTGTAGCAAGACCACGGCCCCTACGGAAAGCAGCAGAGCAGTCTCCATTAACCGTCGCAAGATTTCGACCCGTCTTCTGCGTCTTGACCGTGACTTTTCAGCAAGTTTTCCATCTGCCTCTTCTTCCGAGCTTCCTCTTAATCCTCTCGTCGACCGCACGAATGACGGCCATGGTTGCAGTGAAGGCAGCCATGCATCGGAGTCCCCGGCACCGTTCCCGCCCGCACGCAACCCTTTGTGAGGACGTACAGGAGGTGCCGGAAGACCTCTTAGAATCCCAGTGCTCTCATCATCTGCTTCTGTGCCGCTGTCGCTCGGTGTGTGGGATGCTTTCGAGTAGCTGAGCGGATGTAGCCGGTCTCCTTGTTCGGATGGTGTGCGCGATCCAAGTCGCCTGCTTCGATGGTAGGGATGAGGAGAGCGGGTGAACTGTCGCAGATCTTCGGCCAGCACTTCGGAACTAGTAGCTGTCCCCAGCGTGCTGCATGCGATCGTTTCCTGTTCTTCGGGGTCCCGCGAAGTCATTGCGCCATTCCTAGAACGATGGATGTATCATGCCGAGTGTACTTGTACCAGGGAAAGGAAAGTAATAGGAGCGAAAAAGAAAATCAAAGACGACTCTAAACCGAAGTGTTGAAGGTGATGTTGTTATCTCTCAACGCGGAAAGGATCGTGCCTTATCACATGCTCGCCCCATATGACGTCCCGCGTCTCCCCACGCTTTTCCCTTAACATCCTGGACATCATGACATCCATTGTGATCATGTTCCATTTACTTATTTTCCATATGAGGGCTTTTGCTATAAGCCCCAATTCTAGTCTAATATAAGCATATTGAGATTTGGACAGGCCGGTTCTAATCGTAGTCCCTGTGAATACATATATTGGCCGCTATACATATTGTACATCATTTATTGTGTACCGCTAACAAGGTCTGTGAAACAACCCCTCAGGTTCATGACTTGGGCTTCCACAGATCACGCTCACCTTCATTCATTCCAGCTGGAAGACCACCTAGTTTTCCAACCAGAACACGGCCGGTACGTCGTTTGATGAACTTGCCAAAGCCCTTAACGCCGGTAACCCGGTTCTCATCTGCATTCCAAACGATCTCGCCACGTAGGATGGTGAGCCTAGGCCAATTCTTCACGGGCATGCCTTCAAAAGGCGTGTAATCCACGCTGTGATGAAGAGCAGTCTGAGATATGACTCTCTCTCCCTCGTTCTTGGGGTGCCAGATCACAAGATCCGCGTCATACCCTGGCAGAATGGCACCCTTTGCCGTCAACCCATACAGCCTGGCAGGGTTGCCGGCCGTGAGTTGAACGAACCGAGCGAGACTCAAACGAGCTTGATCTTTAGGCAGACAGCCTTCCGACTCGCTGAAAAGAAGAGAAAGCCGAGTTTCGATGCCGGGAATGCCCTTTGGGATCTTGCTGAATCTGGGGATACCATTGATAATACCAGCTTTCTTTCCTTGAGGGTGATCATATTTTGTCGGGGCATGGTCTGACGAGAAGACCGTGAATGTATCATTGGCAATGCCCCTCCAGAGAGCCTCGAGATCCTCTGGATGATGACGAAGAGGAGGCGAACATATGCCCTTGGCACCATGGAAGTGGTCATGTTCCTCATTAGCTAGCTTTTCCGACAAGAGAAACAGATAATGTGGACATGTTTCCGCATGGATGGGTAACAGCCTTGTCTGTGCATCCCTAATGTGTTTCATCGCACCATCAGAAGAGACGTGAACGAGTAAAACCGGAGCATCGACTAGCTCTGCAAGCCTGATCGCGCGATATGAAGCTTCGTCTTCGGCTATCTTGGGGCCAGCAATGGCGTGGAAGAAAGGAGCTGTGTTCTCATTCCTTTCGAGTCCTTGAATCAGAAAGTCGATCATGTCCCCGTTTTCGGCGTGAATCATCGTGGTTAACCCTAGCGACCGGCATGCTAGCATGGTCTCAAGTAGCTGACGGTCTGATAGCTTGTACAATTCATATGTCATGTACAGTTTGACACTTGTAATGCCTTCTTCCTTCGCAAGTATGGGAAGTTCATCTCGAAGAATCGATTCGTTGGGATTCGTGAGCACGAAGTGGAATCCGTAATCGCAATAAGTCTGCCCGCGAGATTTCTCATGATAATCTTCTAGAACTGGAAATAGCGACGTCATTTCTTTTGTCTGCGATGCAAATGCTAGGACGGTTGTGGTGCCTCCGGCAACAGCACTGCGAGTCCCAGCCTCCCAGTTATCTCCGGTCGGCGCATTCCTTTGGGCGAGATGGACATGTGAATCCACGCCTCCTGGAGTGATGTATGCGCCCTGAGCATCAATTACTTCTGTACCAAGGCCTTCTGGGATGTCATATCCTATGACAGATATCTTGCCATCGGAAATACCAATGCTTTGTCCCTCGGGAAGCACGCCGCTTTCCGTGACCTGGTTCACCCGTTTAGCTTCCAATGCTCATGAAAAGGTAGCTATGTCCGAATTGTATGCACAATGTGTGAGACAGCCTTCCAAATATAGAAAAATCAATGACTTACAATTAATCCATTCTTAATAATTGTATCCAGCATCTTGGCTGGCTCAACTCAAAGTTAAGGAACACCTGCACCCTTCTTGCCCATGCGATATTTCCTGCGCTTCGTAAAAGACTGAACCAGCTCAAACTTGCAGAATACTTTATGGTTAATGGATAAGCTCATTTAAATCAGCTATCTCTCGTTATCTCGCGCATCCTTACAGGTATTCTCCAATTCTCAAGTGGTATTTCCCCCTCATTTTGACTAGGCGAAAATTCATTGGGGTAGAAACTCTCCAAATTGTTATCTCGGCCAAGAGGCGGGCATGACTTATCTTCCAGGGCGCAATGAAAGAGACACTCAGATGATACAATGGAAAGAAGTAAAATACCAATCGGAGTTTCAAGACACGGCACATTTGAAATAGCTAAATTGATGTCCTATAGCTTCACAGTAATTCCGGCTCAACAACCCCTGTCTGTTCCAAGATAAGATTATAGTGCTCAGGTCTTCGATGCTTCTCGAACGCGAACACGGTATTTTTTGGCCGTCGGCAATCGGCTAAGTCAATAGTAGCCACCACCAGCTCATCTTCTTTGGTATTTGCCTCCTTGATAATATATCCAAGGGGATGAACAATCATAGTGCCCCCAACTAACGGGTTCCCGTCTTCCGCGCCGGTCTTAGCCACATTGATACTGAAACAGGCGTTCATGTAACTGTTTCCCTGACAAGATAGCTTATGATGCAGCATGACCTGTTCCTCGGCGGCTTCTAGACTCATCTCTACCATATGTCCACTGGATGTTGTGGGGAAAGCGGTCGTATTGTATCCACAGCACATAATTTCCATTCCTTGGAGACCGTATACTCGCCATGCTTCGGGCCATCGACGATCGTTGCAAATGAGCATTCCCACGATCGGGTCACCCTTGCCAGTTGTATCGAGATTTTCGATACCATCAGATTTCTTCAGAGCACCTTCGACAAGCCCCGGGGCCCGGAATGCAGGAAACCCGATGTTTCCAGGGCGAAAATAACGCTTTTCCAGCTGTTGATAGGCACCTGACTCGGTACGGGGCTCGACGGTTCCGGGGAGATGTACTTTACGATATTTTGCAATAACTTTGTCCTCTTGCGAAGAATAGTACACACTGGAGTTGTAATCAACATGAACGCCGTCTTTCTGAAGACTCCTCTCCGCGTAGCCTGCGTAAACGTCGATGCCAAGAGAGCGAGCATGATCGAAAAGTGGTTTGATAGTAGGAGATTGTTCGATTCCACCCTTTGTGGGATCTTCAGTCTCGAAATATTGATCGAGGTCTTCCCCTTCGAGCAAATATCTCGGGAAGAAAGTCGTGAAAGCCAGCTCAGGGAACACAGCGAGCTTAACGCCTTCTTTTGCAGCTTGGTCTAAAAGCGAAAACATGCGCTTTAGTACATCTTCACGCGAGTCTGCTAAATGGACCGGGCCAAGTTGGCACGCAGCAACGGTCACTGGCCGTGCGGTCTCGAATTCGCTAGTCATCGCAATGCTCAGCTCAAGGGGTGGCGTAATCTTCAAGGCCTTTGGGGACCAATGACATTTGAAAAGTGGACGCATGCATTCAAGCAGCAATTCTGAATTATAAGCACATCGGCTGATCAAAGTGAGGCGATTCGGTTGGAATTTGGAGTTGAAACCCCCGCACTGCGCCTGTTATCACCGCAACGCTGTTTTCACCCCAACTCATTATCGCTTATCGGGAACAGATGATCTTTAAGGAGGGGTAATTGGGGGATTTTCCATGCTAGTCTCAAATGCCTTCAGTGTTCTGGCCTAAAGGTACATTGGCTTCTTTGTTAACTTGTAACAGAGTGGATGAATAGACTGTGCCAACCGATATCTCTCGGCTGTGACTGATTCTTTTCTCCCTCTACTCTGTTGATTGACTGAATTGTATCGGCTGCAAAGAGTACAATGCATACTTCAAGATGACAAACTTGACATCGGAAGTCCCTATAGTCGTTCTTGGAGAGCCTTTCGGTCTAACAAGCTGGAAATTTCGACGTTATGATTCACCCCTTCCTAGTGTGAGAAGCTCTTGTTTCGCTTATCATGATATTGGAGATAGTGTATTTAGGGGAAAAGTCCGTTTAGAATAATGCGGTAGAACATCAACCAATGATTGTTCCAGCAGGCACTCTACCCATGTTGTCTGTTATCTCTCGCCCATTGCCGGGCATGTGTATTGTATACTTCCAGGTTATAAAGGGAGAGAGGCCCAAGTTATTATCTTGTAGATAGAGAAATTTTAGTCTGTGTGGCTATATCACTGAATCTTGGTGGTCAAGATGGCTATCAATTCAAATCCTAGCTCTCGTGATGAAGAGCAAGCCATCAAAGGTTACACTCATCAACATCACGAAATTCTGTTTGACGAGCCCACCTCAATTTGCGAGTATGCAGCTACCAGAATCACTTCACTTAAGCCTCCTATGGAGAGACTTGTCAATCCATTCAAGCTCCTGGCCATGCTCAACGCGCAACAATGGGCCTTTTTCGCGGTCTCCTTTGCTGGATGGTCATGGGAATCTTTTGATTTCTTCACTGTATCGCTTACAGTCTCCGATCTGGCCGAGACTTTCAGCAAAACCACCACTGACATTACCTGGGGTATCACCCTGGTACTCATGCTACGATCTGTTGGTTCAATCCTATTTGGCATTTTGGCAGACCGCTATGGAAGAAAATGGTACGTGTTCAAGTGGACAAACGCTTCAACTTTGTTGACTGACAAATCTTGCAGGCTATTCATCATCGCCAATATCCTTTTCATTGTTCTAGAACTTGGTACCGGCTTTGCTCAAACATATCCTCAATTTCTTGCTATTCGCGCTCTGTATGGGATTGCAATGGGAGGGCTGTATGGAAATGCAGCCGTCACAGCTCTAGAAGATTGTCCCGATGAGGCTCGTGGGCTTATATCAGGCTTAATGCAGCAAGGCTATGCCTTCGGCTATCTTCTCGCAACGGCATTTGCACGGGCTCTGGTCAACACTACCGGGTACGGTTGGAGACCATACTTTTGGTTTGCTGCTTGCCCACCGGTTCTGATTATTGCCCTACGACTCTATCTTCCGGAGACCATGGCCTTCCAGTCGAGGCAAGCGATTCGAAAAGAGCAAGGCAACCTGGCTGGGATATTTATTGCCGAAGGGAGAGTTGCTATAAGGCGCCATTGGCTTTTGCTCGTCTACCTGGTTATGTTAACAACTGGCTTAAACTTCATGGCTCACGGCACCCAGGACTTGTATCCTACGCTACTGGAGAAAGACTTCGGCTTTTCAACAAATGCTGTCACGGTCACCCAGGTAGTCGCTAATCTTGGTGCTATTTCTGGAGGAACAACGGTTGGGTACTTTTCGCAATTTTTGGGTCGAAGGCTCAGCATGCTCATCGTGTGCGTTATTGGCGGAGCCCTCATCTACCCTTATACATACGTGAGAACGGAAGCCGTGATGGCGGCGGCTTTTTTCCAGCAATTTTGTATCCAAGGTGCTTGGAGTGTGATACCTATTTATGTTATGGAGCTTTCTCCAGGCTCTTTCCAGACTTTCATGCTTGGTACAGCCTACCAAATGGGCAATCTTGCTTCGTCCGCGTCTTCAACGATTGAATCGACCGTTGGCGAAAACTACCCACTGCCACCGCTTGTGGGCACGGACGGTACTATTACTGAGCGGTACAACTATGGAAAAGTCATTTGTATCTTCATGGGAGCAGTTTATGCTTACAATGTCCTCATTATCCTCATTGGACCAGAGAAACGGGGCCATGATCTGAATAATGTCGAGCACGACACAGAAATGATGGAGGCGATAAACAAGGCCCAAAGGATTAACTAGAAAACAACTCCAAGGAGATTATGTTGGCGATCCAAGCCATGGAGTGGCCCCCACGGCCGCGTGATTTGAGTCCGCCTGGGCAAATGATGACCTCCTAACCTCTTGGCTCTTGGCATCTTGGCATCTTGGCGCTGTTTAAAGCCGATTGCTACAAGCTTCGGGTATAAGGCTTGTGATGATATTATCCATGTGGAGACTCCTGAGCTTGCTGAGGCAATTTTCGAAGCTACAATCCATGAGCGTAGGAAATACGAGAAGAACTCGGTCAAGAGGATCTCAGGTCTCTCTCCAGGACGATAATGACCTGGTGGGTTATTATTAATCTTTAGAGCTGGATGGCCAAATACGAGATTGGCTGAGGTTCTGAGGTTTTCCTTGACCCTCGTTCTTGTAATTCACTTCTGAGGGTCCAGTTGTAGAGATTAGCCGGATAGCTTGATTCAAATTTAGACTTTCTGACTCCAGCTTTCGGCCCCCATATGGGTGGAGTTACCATTGAAACAAAATCACTCATATTTGGCACAAATTGCCCGTCTTCCCCACCCGGCATCTGGCTGCCCGGTTTTACGGCCAACGATGCCTTCAAACCCCGCGCCATCTGCAGGGACCAAACCAAGTAGATCTCACACAACGTTACATTGGAAAAAGAAAATACTGTGAGGATTCTAACAGATGTCGATCAGGCAATGAAAAAGCGAACCTATATACTCCTAAAAGGTGAAAGGTGGACCCCATTCAGCCCCAACAGCTGCTTGGCACTTTGCCAATATTTCTCCATGCAGAGTCTATTCCTCAGATCTGAGGGTCTCATGATGTCAGTGTAAGCAATGAAGGAGCCCAGTGATCTTGTAAATGGTCTTTAGGGATTAAGGTGTGGCATCAAGCATGTATAAAATCTCTGAATAGCACCATAAGAATGGAAGCATCAACAAACACAAAGCTTCTGTTTCAGCTACAAACCCAAACATTCCTCTTTGAAATCCACAAATTTTCCCGGCAAGACCATGCCTTCTCTCCGCACTACCCTTGTTTTGCTGATGGCTAGCTCTGCAACTGTCTACGCAGAGCACCTGAAGGTCGTCTGGTCATCTGGTGACTTTTCAACCATCTCCGGTCCTGCCGGGGGCAATACGAACGGCCATTACTCTGGCTTCGCTATCATTAATGATGCAGGCGAGGCCATCTACGATCAGGGCTTCCCCGACGACCATGCACCTTGCTACAACACGGGTGATGGCCGCGAATTTACCATCGAGGGCGATTGCTGGAGTACCCCACGCAAGTTCAAGTGCAAGGCTGACTTCGGAGGCCACCCTGATACCTGCGAGGTCAAAGACGGCGATGGCAACAGCCTTGGCACTGGAGAGGGACAGGAGGACACAACATTCATCGGTATCGCTATCGGTCAAGACGCTAGCTGTGTCGTTGAATTCGAATCCGACAGCGACGGCTGCCCCGTTGATGACGGCAATGGTCCCCTTCACGTTACCTCGGGCTAAGCAAAATAATGAGTATGCTCGAAAAGACCAATTGCAAGCGTTGGAAGTCTTTTGTACCTAGAAAACAATTTATTCTTGGAAATCGGGGTCAATGGCCGGTGTAAGTAGCCGGCACCTGGGTGGAACAATCATTTTCTCCTGTTACCTACATTGTCTAGAATATGAATTTGAGATGCCTGATAATATGATAAACTTACTCTATTCCTGTTGGCTTTCTTGTCTCAGTCAAGATAGGTAAGGCAAGATGGGAGTCTTCTTATCAATTCTAGCGGGTCGGGCGTTATCTCGCGGAGATACCCCGTGGGAGGGGTTGATCTTCCACCGTCACTCGTCCCGAGGTCGCTCAATATCAGATAGAAGTAGCCGCAATCGCGCAAGTCAAATTCCGTCACCTACAACATGCGGCCTCGCGTTGAAGTCGCGCCGTGTAGATTTTGCCGGAGAAGTTTCTCACGCCGAGAACATTTACTCCGTCACGAACGGACTCGTGCGTGATCTTCCATATGCTGATGCCTCAAAGGAGTCAGGTCTAATATAGCCCAGACACCCACGAAAAGCCCTTCCGTTGCCGGTGTAGCAAGAAATTTACCAGACGGTGAGTCATGATCAAAGACGTCTGTTCACCGGGCTGAAAGTAACTTGGATGTTTAGTGACCTTTTGACGCGTCACTTGAAACTTAAAGGTGGCGACTGCTCTCATGGAGAGGCTGAGCTCGGCTCCAGCACGAGTGTCGAGTCTATTAGATCTGTAGGGGCGGAGACAACACAGGCCGAAGAACTTAACGTGCAGCCAGATAGCCCTGACAATGCTTCGATAGCAGTCTCCAAGCCAGTCAGCTTATCACGTCGAGACAATGTGGGAAACCAAGATACAAATATGGCATGCGATCTACCAATAAATTCCTTCGACAGTATAACTTCACAGATGATGCAAGCGTCAGCATCAGCTACGCTCACTCCGGATACCTCACCTCAATTATTTGACGATAGTCTCCATGACCTTCAGCTTCTTTGGGGTAGCATGGATTCGACCTTCCCCAGAGAAGAATCTTTCCCCTACGGTATTCCAAATGAGCTCATCTTCTGGCCTGGTTTCGATGTTCCGGAGCCGACATACTCTAGATCTCCGGGGCCACAAATAAGTTCAAACTCTCGCGAGTCACGATCAAGCACCCTATATTCTGAGGATGATGCCTCATTGTGTGACTATCGGCTTCCTTCATTGCAACAAGAAGATGAAGCCGATTCGCAAGTCCTCAAAAATGCCTCTTATAACAAAGGGTCCTCCACGAGCTTCCAGGAGGCTTCTGGGGCTGGAATTCCCTGGCGCATATCCAAAGAATGTTACCAAACAGTTGTTGAAAAAATCGACCAAGTTCGAGATATTCTTCCAGAAACATTCGCTTTACCCTCCAAGTATGTTTTTTGCAGATACATCGAAGGGTTTTTCACAGGAAGTCACGGGCATTTGCCTTTTCTTCACTTTCCGACTGTTTCAGTCGCATGTATAACACCACCTCTGATTTTAGCTATCATCGCCATGGGGGCGAAATATCGATTTGAACGAGATCGCGCGGTCTCCTTCTATAGGGCTTCGAAGTCTCTGGTTGAGCACCACATCCGACTGTATACGAACTCGAATCTTCAATCTGCTGGGTCGCAGATCGAACATGTGACCGAAGAAACAAAGATTGAGATTTTGCAAGCTCAGATTATTCTCACAACCCTGGGTGTATGGGGTGCCAATGACCTGCTTCATGACTCTTTTTCAATGGCTGGTCAAATGGCGCTCTATCTCCGCAGTAGTGGACTCCTCTCACAAGATAGCTACTGCAACAATGGGACATGGAGGTCTTTGGTGCGAGAAGAAGGACGGCGACGCACCAAATTTATCGCATATATGCTTTGCAATATCCAAACAATTCTACATAATACACCCACCAAGATTATGAACAGCGAAATAACGTCTCTTTATCTCCCTTGGCCGGAGGAATTATGGAGAGCTTCTAGCCCTGCCGAATGGAAAATTCTTCGTTCAAAATGGTCTGCCAATGTCTCATTTGGTGATGGATACACTCAATTGTTTCAATCAAAATCCACGCACAAAGAAGTCTTCAGCCTATCTTCGTTTGGAAATCTCATCCTGATTCATGCCGTGTTTCAGCAAATATACTTGGCACGAGAGTCTGAGGTCTGCTATTCAATGTCTACAGGCGCACAAAGTGGAACCTTCGCACCCGAGGTGCTCGCAAGATTCCATTCTGCACTTCATAGGTGGCAAAAGAGTTGGCAGATTAGCTCTGATCCTTCAATGACACCGTCCTCTCCAAATGGGCCATTGGGATTCAATGCAACAGCCATCTTTCGCATAGCTTACATTCGACTTCATATAAATCTTGGCCCTCACCGCAGCCTAGGAACAGGAGATCCGGAAACGATTGCCTATGCCTTTCTCAACGCACCTCTACCTGCACAAACGCCAAAGATCTATCATGCGGTTCTTCAATCCATTCATGCTCTTTCTATACCTGTGCGGCTTGGAGTTGAATACGTCGCCAAGACCCAAACTCTGACCTGGAGTACGATACATTCCCTTTGTAATTTTGAGTGTGCTTTGTTCTTGTGCAAGTGGCTGGAGACTCTTGCCTTGAATCCTTCAGGCCTGCATCGTGATGAGAGACGGCTTTTACGAATGATAATAAGCGTGCTGCGTGAAGCAGACTTGACCCCCGTGGGGGATGACTTGGCAGAAATTGGAAGCAAACAGCTACACCTGATAGGAGCCGTGCTCATTCGGTTACTTTCTCAGATAATGAAAGGTACGCATGTCTTTGAAGGTATGGACATCTTGTGTGAAGCTTTACAGACCTATGCCAATCTTCTAGAAAGTAGTCTCAACGTTGGCAGGGAGAATTAGACATAATGAATCGCCTCTCATATTTGCAATCCATCCACAATGGCTTATCTATATGACTACATCTTCTCGAGAAGATAGGGTTTATAGTCGAGCAGTTTCCCGTATAAAACTGACAGCTTCTTTAGCCATGCCCCAAGAGGCCTGGAATCCTGTCCCACCCGCTCCGTAATTATGAATGACTAATTTTTGGTCAAAGTATTCCGATTCAATTCTGGCACCGCCCTCCCGCCTGGCTATGTGAAGTATGTTAGTTGAAGTCTGGGTCAAATTCAGTCGCACTTACGCCGTAACCCTACACCATGCTTAAGAATCTTCAAGCCTTCCGGCTTTGCAAGCTGAGGTGCAATAGTGCAGCACTTCTTCTTAATGACCTCAGCAAAATTTAAGTCAATCTCCCCATCCCAGTTGTTCTTCTGTCTACAACCTCCGAGGATGATCCCTCCGTTCTTCCCCCGTGGGAAAATATGGGTTGCGTCTGCATCACGATGAGGAGCCTGGAAGTACATCGCGGGGATCGGCTCTTTCGGGCCTTCAACTAGCATAATCTGGCCCTATGAAAATTGTCAAAACTGTCAATGGCACATGAATAGATTAAGACGAACCCTTGCTGCGAACATTTTATCATCCTCAACGCCACCAAGCTTCAGCGAGCCTAATCCAGTGCAATTAAAAACCGCAGAAGCCTCTGGATATGATTCAAATGTATCTCGAATATCATTGAAACCCCGCCGATGGATCTCGATGCCAAGGGAGTATGCCTCCATCTGGAGCCTGTTATGAATCGCTCATGAGCCAAAGATCCCAAAAACATTGGAATAATGCATTCCACCATACCAAGGAAGATACCGTTGTACATCAAGGATAAACGACGCCATTTCATACCCAACAACAGCACCGGGAGGCAAATCGCCTTCTTCGACCGGCGTCAACCCTCCAACCAACTCCTCAAATCAGAGCTTCCCAGTGGCAGGAGTAAGGATGCCAACTTCCTCAATCGGCCTTTCATAATGGAACCGAATCTTCATTGCATGCACACCCGATTCGGGACGGTCCGATGCGAGTTTTTTGAATTTATTGTAGGTGATAGCATCCCATTTCTCCTGACGACCATTGTCCATGGATGCGGGGAACCAATTAGCGCCTCCCCAATTAGATGCGTAGTCTGGTGCTGCATCACCAGGCAGGTATTTGCCTGCGATCACGATCTCTGCGCCTGGGTATTGAGCTCGAAGCTCTAGGGCGGTAGTCAGGCCGATTACGCCGGCGCCGATCACCAGGTAGAATACTGTCGTGAGGATCGTCAATTGAGATTTGAATCATAATCTTGTTGCTTGTAGTCTTACCCATTATATCTGATGAACTCTTGCAAGTTCAGCTACCTTACATTATTTATTGATTTAATGGCATTTGAGGTATTCGGGCATCGTTTCGACCTTACTAAATCCGCCTAGGGACTCCCCTCATACCATCTTCATCGCTACCCCACCAAGTCGCTATGACATACCTATCTTTCAAGCTGTAACTAGCAATTGGAGTCTTGTGGGGGATCTTCACATATCATTGGAGGCAAAGGAGATAGTCCGCACTTCCATACACAGGGGTCTCTTCATTGGGCGACCTTCTTATCAACCGAGCCTGCTCCCTAGAGTTGGGGTAGAAACTCCACCCCCGCTGATACAAAGATAATATCTCCACTTCAAGAGCAAGGCAAACACACATTTGTCTATCGGTCAGTATAATTGACCTCGAAATAGATTACAACTCGTCTCATAGTCGTCCAATAAGCCCACCTGCAACGGATCAGGGCCAAATCCAGCTTCTCCAATATCATCAGTAAACCAACCCAGACACAAGACAATGGAGAGCCAAACAGAGTCACCACTACCCACCGTCTCCGGGCCACCAAGCCTCCAAGGGATCAATATCCTCCTAGTAAACCCGAACTCCACAGAATACATGACAAAAGACTGTCTAAAGGCCATCGCCCCAAACCTCCCCCCAAACGTCACCGTCCATGGCTTTACAGCTCCCCGCCCAAGTCCCACGGCAATTGAATCCCAAACCGATGCAATTCTCTCAAGCGAAGCTTGCCTTAGAGCCATAAAACCGATCGCGCATAACTATGACGCATTCTTAGTTGCTTGTTTCCGAGCACATCCCCTTATCGCCGTGCTCAAGGAAGAATTCATACAACCTGTTCTTGGGATCATGGAGGCTGCTATGTATGCTGCGCGCATACTGGGTGAACGGATGGGGATCTTGTGCATGTCTGCAAGATCGGGGTTGGTTCATGGGCGAGCTGTATCGGCCTATGGGTTTTCTGAGTACTTTGTTGGATGTGAAGCAGTTCAGTTAGGCGTTTTGGAACTTGAATCAAGGCCGAAAGAAGAGGTGCATGAGGTCATTTCCAATGCGATGAATCGACTTGTTCGTGATAAGGGTGCCGATTGTATTCTGTTGGGATGTGCTGGGATGGCGGAGATGAGAAGTATTTGTGAGGCTGTTGTGGAGGAGACTGGAGTAAGGGTGTTAGATGGGGTGGGACTCGGTGTTCAGTTCTTGACTGGTTTGATAAGGGAGAGGTTGGGGACTGCTAAAAGCGGGTTCTATATGGATGCTTCGATAGATAGAGCTAAGCGTGGCCAGGATTGGCTTTGATGGGGGATCATTGTCCCGTAACTCTTAATTCATGATTCATCAACTATTTACAGAGTCATCTGTTCATGCAAGTTCTTCTTGTAGAACAATACCAGCAGTCAAGCGCTGGCCTTCTCTACCCCAAACAGATCTGCATGGGACAACTTGGCCATCCCAAAGGCCTTCGGTAACAGGTTGCGTGGTATACAACACGGCCTGTGCCAGACTTTTGTTTTGGCAATGTGTAGCCATGATATCACGGAGACTCGACTCCAGAGGCTCCGGTGAAGATTGCACTTCCAGGCTAAGGTAACGATACCTCTCATCCACAGTAGCACAGATATATTCTGTCTTGTTCTCAATAGCAGCTTGTTCACATCGACTTCCAAGACCTTGCCATTCGATATCACTGCCACGAGGCAACTGATCAACCTCAACAGCGAGGAACGGCGAAATAGAAGGAGCATCCTCATCAAGAACAGAGAAATTGGGCAAAGTCGAAGCGTCGCTCTCAGGCATGAGCTCCTCGGCCCTTCGACCGTATTTGATATCCCATGCATCAAGCTGAGGGTCCTCATCATCCGAATCGTCACTCTCCGCCCGCGTATGCATCTTCTTCCAAAGATACCACGCAATCTTGACTTGGGTCTCGATGTTATTAGCTTCACCAGTCAGGAAAGCAACACCACCAAGCCACCAATCAACCTGCATAGCATCACCAATTCTCCAAAGATGCTGGAGAGACAACACAGCCCGCAAACAGTAGTTCTCGAACCAGGACTTGCCTGTCGTAGCAATCTCCATAGAAGCCGGTTCCAGCGGGATTTGACCTGCAATATAAATGACCCTACTACCCTGCAGCGGAATGGACATCGCTTGCGAGTAAGGCCCGATATTAGCAGGCGCCCAGTATGACCGTGACTGCACATGCAGACCCTGGCGACTGTTACGTGCGCCCATGTCTACCACGAAAGAGACCATTACTCTCACGTTGGAGGGAAGTGCGTCGCCGCATGCGACTGTGACTCGGGCGGGTGGGTTCGGTTTCTTGAAGAGGGAGACGTAGACGTTGTTCATCAGAGCAAAGTCGTCCATGGAGCGGAGGAGAACAGTTGCGAACACGATGTCCTCGGTAGATCGAGGCGTGGATTCCGAGATTGTTTTTAGTGCTGCTTCAGTCTTCTTGACGATCCCGTCCATCTGCTCGCTAGCACCGGGTCCAGCCTCAGGTGCGACAAGATTCGAGATTGACCACGTCTGGTTCGACTGACGATGGTGCGGTTTACATATGGACCACGCAGGCGACGCCATCAAAGTCCGCGTGTCATCCCCCGTCGAAACGTCAGGCACACCCTCCAAGGCCTTCACAAAAACCTCATCCAACAAAGCAGGCGTCCTCACATCCTCCGGCCTAATCTCATCCCCCTCTTTATCCACACACCTCGCGTCCTTCAACTTCATAAATGCAACTCCACCCTCACCAGTCCCAACCTCCCTCTCCTCAATCTCTATCCTCTTCTTCCAAAGAAATCCCGGCCCATCAATCGCCAAAGTCTCATACTCACCTCCCTCCCCCAACACCGCACCCCTTATATCCTCCTTGGCCGCAAACCTCCCCATTCCCTTAACAATCCTCTTTCTTACCCCGCGCCCCGCATTCCCAGAGCCAGAAACACTCTCCCATAAGAATCCATCATCCAATCCCCCCGACGCAACCTTGATAATCCTTGCATCACACCCACACCCTGCCATATCCTCCAACAAGCCCGCCTCCTTAACCGCCAAAGAATCACTATCCCTCTCCGCAGACGCAGGAAGAGAAGGATACATCCACAACCAAGCCAGCGGAACAAGCCCCAACCGCCCAGCAACATTCTCAATCCTCGTCCGCTGATACGTAGAGAGAATAGCACCCGCCGAAACCGCATTCGCCTCCGGATGCATTTCCATCACCCGTCGAAGCAATGGAACAAGACACTCCGTCTCATCCTGCACCGTGGTCTCGGCGCCCTGGTCCGCGTCATCGTGGCGGTATATGCGCGCGGTGTCGACGGCTCCACCTGTTATCGGCGCGCGGTATAATGGGAGACCTAGAGCTTCGGCGTATAGAGGGATCACGCTGTGGCCGATTGTTTGGTACATGAAGCTGTCGATGTCTTCTTCATTTTCGGAGGAGAGGTCTGGTTCCGGATGCAGGTTTGCGAGGGCGATGATGCGGTGTCCGTTTCGGAGGCAGTGGAGGATGGAGTAGAAGGAGTCTTTGCCACCTGAGATTAGGGCGATAACGTTCAAAGGTGGCATGGTGGGTGGTTAATTGAGTGAACTTTGAGTGCTGGTGGGATGTGGTTTTTTGTGGTCCTTTCTTATCGATAGTGATGCTGATGCTGATGCTGATAAGCGATAAGGGATAAGGGATTGTTTACCCCCATTGCCTCAGGCATGATTGAAGGAGAGAAAGAGAAATCACGTGACACGTGTAGTGAGGTGTCACCACAGGTGGAGTGACCTGTCCCCTCTATCGAGAGCAAATTACATGTGCCTGCTACAGCTACAAGTTTGATGTTTTTTTTTCATGTTATACGAATGATGTGGGTTCATAGTAATTATCCTTGAGATTTGATGCTTGATCCAAATGGGATCGATAGTTGACCTGAGACCAACACAGAAAGGGGCAGGCAAGAATGCAATACAAGAAGGGGGTATGAGTGTGCAAAGAAGGGGGAAGGTCAAATTAACTTATACACGAATGTGACCAGCACAAGAAACAGATGGGGATGGGGGGGGGGGGGGAGAGAGTAGGTAAAACACAGGCAAAAAAGTATTACATGAAATAAGAGCAAAACAAGCTGAACGAAACGGTGAAGGAATCGAAGGGAATCAAAGATGAAAAACAAAGTCACATCGAAACGAACCCAACGGGAGAAAAAGTGGAAAAAAAAACTGCCCACAAAGTGCTGATCCGGCGAGAACAAAAACAGAAAGGAAAGGTAACAAAGGAAATCAACGTCCCAACCAACCCTCATAGGGGCACAGAAGCAGAAGCCGTTTTGCTCTATTCTTTTCTTTTTCATGTGTTTCATGAAAAATCCCGTCGAAACCAGCCCGAGGCATTTCACAGCCTGTATAGTTCCCGTTCTTTTTGGGTCGTGTGACCAAGGGAACAATGCCGTACACCGATGACCCAATATTTCCGACACCAGTGTAAATGCCCGGACGCCAAACCCAATGACCGCAACGGTCGAGCAACTCCGCGACCGAGGAAATGTATGTTATTATATATGCAGTAGGAGGTTCTCCTAGTCTCATGAAAAATCATTAACGCAACGTCCCCGTTTAGAGGTCACGCTTGCGCTTCTTCACCGACCGGCGGTCGGCAGAGCCCTCAGAGCCGGACTGGGACTCGTACATGACACCACCTAAGGAACCGGCATCATGCTGGTCATCGAAGGACACGTCACTGGGATCCAGGACGCCCATGACGACCGAGCCACCACCGTGGGTGCGGGCGTGCTGAGCCAGGTTATCACTGCGAGAGAACTTCTTGCCGCACTCGTGGCACTCGAAAGGCTTGTCCTGAGTGTGAAGCGAGCGGTAGTGGCGCTTGAGGTGCTCCTGGCGACGGAAGCGGCGAGAGCACAGAGTGCACACAAAGGTCTTGGAAGGGTCCTCAGTCAGCGACTGCTTGCGGCCCCGACGGTTGACAGACACAGGAGCCGGCTCGGAGTCGGTGCTGCAGTCGGAGTGGGCAGACGAGTGAGAGTGAGGAACGGACAGAGACTTGCGGTGGTGGTCCTCGTCAATGTGGACAGTCTTTCGGGATGACTTGCGGTTGCTGCGCTTCTTGATGTGGGTCTGGGTCTCCTCCTCGGAGAGATCCTCCTCAGCCTCGACGTGGGGCTGGGCGGACTCAGTCCACTCGAAGGAAGGCAGACCGTTGTGCATGTAGACCTCGTGGTCCTCGGTGTCCTCGATGCTGTGCTCGCTCAGGAATCCCTCATCCTCAGCCACGTACTGTTCCACGCGCTGGCGCTTACCACCCATGTACAGAGCATTGCTACCGGGGTGGAAGTCCACCAGGTGGCTGAGCTCATCGTCAGAGTCGAGGTCTGAGAAGCTGTCAAAGGTAGGCAGAGAGCTCAGAGGGTCCTCGTTGGAAGAGGCAGTGTAGGAAGGCGAGGGGTTCTCGTTGACGGGCAGGGTCACAGACGCACTGGCCACAACGGCGCGAGGCTGCTCCTCATCGCATGTGAGGGTAGGCAGGGGAGGGAGATCTTGGGGGGTGGGCACATTGACCGAAGGCTCGACTGTGAGCTGACGAGGGTCGCAGAAACTTTGGCCAAGGTGCTCCAAGCCCGATTGGGCGAGGATGTCGGTCGGAACTGGAGAGGGGGAGGGGGAAAGCGAGGGGCAGGAGTGGGCGGAGAGCAAATCCGAAGCCTGGCTGGCGGTGAGAGAGGGCGGGTGAATGAACACTGGGAAAACGGAGTTAGTCTGCTGTCATATATCCCTTGCTTTGCAAATCATCCAAGGTGGCGTCATCTTTTTTTTTTTGCCTGGCGCCCCTCCGTGGCTGCAGCATGCATTGCATGACATGCATCACATTCAATTTCACATACCTGGTGTCATGGGCGGGGAGTCGCAACGCGCCCAGTCCGGGTTGGCCAGGATTTCCTGGTGAACGTCGGTCTCACACCCTTCCTTGACACCCTCCACCTTTTCAAAGGAAAAGAAGGTGTCGTTGATGGGAGTGTGCAGAGTACCATGTGCCGAGGGCGGGCTGCTGATGGTGCTGCCCGAGGACGACAGAGGCGGCGTCGTAGGGAATCCATAGAGATCGGTGCCAATAAAGCGAGTATCCAAAGGCATCAGGGCGGGAGAGCCCTGCTGCACAATGATAGCCGGCTTCATCTGCGAGGGCTGGGGCGAGGCAATGGGAGTCATGCTCATGGTAGCACCGCGGAACGCGTTCGTGGTGGCCATCTGGTGCATGTTCATCATGGACTGAGCCTGGTAGATGGGCTGTTCGCTGCGGTACTGCATGTGGCTGTAGTAGGGAACCTCGGAGGGCTGGCTGGTGTAGTGGCCCTGCTGTTGTTGTGTGTCGGGATAGTATGCGAAAGGTTGGTTTTGCACCTGAGGTGCGACTGTGTAGGAGTCCATGGTCTTTTCCAAATTTCCAAGATTGTTCGTTAGCAAAGAATCATGAGCAAGGCGCCATCGAGGAAGTGTATACCTTTTGACACGATATTCAAATCGTCAATTGGCCGAGGGAATTATTAGAGGGGGAAGGATCAAAACCGGTCAAGTATTCAAGGAGTGTGTAGACGCGGCACAATTAGGGTTGTGAGGTATAGCAATGTGAGAGGTCAGGCCTCGTTGTGAGGTGTAAATGAAGGACAGGAACCAGAAGGAACCGGGGTGGGAAGGAGAGAAATATCACGGACGAAAAACTACCCAAACCCAAAACAGATTCAAGTAGCTAGTGGGAAAGGTGGAAATGAAATAAGAAAACAGTCAAACGAGAAAAAAGGAAAAAAAGAGAGACAGGGCCGATGGCTATCTGGGATATGGGAAATAGAGAGAGAGTCGAGGGAGGGAGGGAGCGAGTGGATAAAAGAGTGATCTGCCAGTGCTATTTTCTACTTGCCGGGTCACTATGGACTGAAAGTGGGCCAGGAACAGCATTATTTTATTTATTAGGAATAAAATAAATAGAATAGAAAATAATGGGAATTATAAAAATAAAATTATGAAATTAGTAAATGTAAAAATAAAAATAAAAATAAAAATAAAATAATCAAGAATAATCAAAATGGGGGTCTCAATGCTGTGTAAGTAATGGTGGTATCATGCCAGTCCGGGGCGGGATCAACCAGGGTGTTCAGTCCCGTAAAAGCAACCAGGAGAGTTCATGGTGGAGTCGGACCCATTTTCCCGTGCTAGCCAAGTACAGTACATACCCAAGGGACACTGGCCCGTCTGTATCGGGTTTCAGGAAACCCACTTCGGTCGACGAGCCCAAAAAGAGAAGTGGAGCAGCACGAGCGGTGTTACGCTGAAATGCGGAGAGAGAGAGAGAGGCTGTGCCCAGAGTCATTTATTTTTGTCCTATCGTACCTATTCCCCGAGAGAGAGCTCCAAGGTTTTCAAGAGGGCAATGTCGGGCGCTTACCCAGCTGTGATGGTCGGGGAGTCTATGCACCAGTCCCAGTTCTGTCCTAGAGATTTCCTAGGTAGCACATGGTCAGGCACGCACACACACCAATAATTTGGGAAAAGACGTGTGGCCACGAGGTGCACAACGATTGGAGGAGGAGGATGGTGACAGCGGCAATCATTTGCAACTCTTATCAGTGGGTACGCAACAAATGAAGGTGGGGGCTTCTTTTCCACTCTCCGACTGCCAATGACCGCCCGAAGGAGTTGGAGGTTGGTCTGTTCGCGTGCCCCACGCCTGTCCCGTCTTCGTCATTCTACGACCAGGACACAAAGAGAAGAGAGCGCGCGAGAGAGAGATCTGCATTGGATCTGACTTTCTGTACTCTGTACTGAAGGTTTACACTGTACACCCTACTCGGCGATCATGTCTAGGGAAATCTATCTATTCCCTATCAGGCCCGTCCTGCCTTGGGAGGCTTGCCCACGGTTGCCCACGGTCGCTCATCACTTTCCCAGCGCTATCAGCGGTGGCGAGAACCGTGCAACCGGTCTGAAATCGTGAAACAGTCGGCATTACTCGAATGCTGACGTCTTTTTTTACTTAATCATTTTTTTTGCCTCCCATGTCAGTTTCATATGATCCCGGCCAAAAGTACAACGGACTGGTCCTCGGTATGGTCCGCGCCGATTGTAATAACCTTAGTCGCTCCTAGTTTTTGGGGTCAACATCCCCCAATCTTTTGGTGGCTAATCATCAATGGAAATCGTAATTTGCCACTGCTTATGCCTCAATTTTTCGAGGGCCTGTAAGGAGTCAAAGAGAACAGCAGCTGAAAAAGTTGCAAAGCTGATCGAATTGTGTGATAGTCCAGGCGGCCTACTGCAGGAACACGCTGTGGAGGCCATAGCCGCGAGAACCATCGGAGACTTCTGGGGATTGGCTGCACAAGAGGGCCATGGGAGGCAAGGCTCGTCTGCTTCTTTCATTTGAGGCATAAACTTTCCGGGGCGTTGGTTCCGACTGCTCTTATGCCCCTGATTGGAGCTCGGCGGACCCTCAGGTGCAGCGTGAATGACATCGTACATCAGCCTACGTCGACGCGCAGTAGACTACCGTAGCTCACAGGTGCCTACAGGAGCCGGCAGGAGTCTACCTTCCTTCACTGTTGGTTTACACTTTCGGTCTCCCCTATGATACATCTTATTGGTCACACTGCGGCAGCCATGTCGCGAAGTGATGTGTTCCGATTGCATACGGTGTGATGGCTCTACCTTGTCTCACATCTCACATCTGAGTAGATCCGGGGCAGCCACTGTGATCCATCATGACACCTTCCGATACATCGACTGATGTTAACACTCACACTCACTCACACACTCACTCACTCGCTCACTCGCTCACAGCCACCTGCACGTCGAGCGCCACGCAAGCAAGGTCTGGGTAACGCGACGTGGCCACACATCCAGTTGGAAGCCTACAGTGCAGTGCAGTGAGTGGTCGCTAGGCCATGGCCCAAGTTCAAGTCGTGGGCCAGGTTGACAGCACGGAGCAGCATGTAGACCGATCACCTAGCACTCTCGAGTCCATAGTCCGCAAGCAGAGCCAATTCGCATCAACAGAATCCGACCATTCACTTTCATGTGGACGGACCCGCCATCTATCCAATTGGCTGCTTCTAAACATAGCGGCCTCCACTCATTAGCTGCCACCATTCCAGTCAGAGACAAAGCGTCGGCGCGGGCGGGAAATCTGCCTTCTTCCGCTGCCAATGAGATCAATCTGCGGGAAATTGGGGATTTGGCCTGATCGCTAGGTAATCATACCAGGTATGCTTACAGTATTACGCTATGCTCCTTTCTCCTCTCTCTCTCCACTGGCCCACTACTGGATATCAACTTCGGGTCTCAAGTCTTCCCTCCTTGGGTTAAGTGCCTTTCCCAGGCAATTGGAAATGCATGCATGGAAGGCTGTCACTAATTCTTCTAAAATTCCGAGGGTTTACCTTGCGTCGGGCCTCACATCCGAGACACTTTCTACATTCACTCTCAGATAGACTCATCCAAATTACCCAAGTCGCTCAAAAATCAGGCCCTCTTTTGACTTTGCTACTATTTACAGCCGGGGAAATTATTGTTCGCCATTTTTCCATCTTTTTTTGCTTTGTTGCCACCGTTGTCGCACAGACGGTCAATCTTGTGAAAGCCATGGGGCAGCCATTGAGTCAGGTCAAACAGAATTTTTTGCCTCGGACTATTGCATTCTGGCAATTGATAGTCATTTCAGGTGATCCAGGACCTATATCTGGTCCCCACGTCGAATGAGAAGCTCGCTCGCCGACACGGTTCCTAAAAGCTCCCGGCCGATGATCTTACACACGGGAGCTGCCAGAGCTAGGAGCTCCATTTCATCCGTAATAGTGAGCTGGTCAAAGGTCTGCACAGCAGAGCTCTGGGCGGTGGACCCAAGCTGGAGATAGCGCACCCGCGACGGCGGCCGGGCGGCTCCTAGTCCTAAGCGGCGCGGAAGGTCCTCCAATGCAGCCGAGCTCGGTCTGGCTACAGACTGTGGACTGTGGGTACGGCAGACCTTCAATTCCCTCGCCCAGGCCACATGCCAATAGTCAAGCCCTGTGGGTTGAGGATCACCGGTGCAATTGCAAATATTGGAGACATGGAGACCTCCATGGAGTACGCACTGGAGCTTCCAATCCTCAAAGCCCAGGTTATCCTCTTCCCTATTCCCCGACGAATCACTGCGCGCGCGTGGAGCCTCGACTCTCATTTGGTAACGCCTGCCAGAAACCGTTGGCGATCATCATGTCTGTATCCGGCTGAATGGACATTAGAGCCATGCAATGTACGCTTACGCGGTGGATAGATCATTCCTTGGGTTCCGGCCGTTCGAGAGCTCGAGGTGATGCGTACACGGCGTGCTGCAAGGGTCCTGCGGATGCGTCTCCCGAGGCGCTTGGGAAATTTCCCCATGCATCCTAGCAAAAAGAAAGAAATATATATATATATATATAAAGCTTGCTCCATTTGACAGGCTCGGAGGAGCCTCGGTCGGGAACGTACATTGACTATGACTGTACGTATAATTGTCTGATTACCTAACAAAAGAGCCAATGTGGAGCGCTGGAGGGGTCCAAGGATTTACATCTCCATGTCACGCGCGTACCGGAGTTCATTTCTGAGCGTATGTAGAAGGAGTCGTGATCAACGGGTGGTTCGTGCCAAAATTGATTGTCTGCTTCTGCTCCGTAGCAGGTCCTAGGCTACTGTATAGTGCCACTTTTCGATATCCATCTGCTTTTCTAGCGAGTTGGGGATAGCAGGCGACTGTGGAGACTGGTGGACCGCCTAAACTGGGGTATCGTGAATCATGCCATTTTCATTTGATCATGGTCTCCTATCATGTCCCCGTCCGTCCGATGCCTGTCCTGTCCAATGTAGAGGTGCAACCCCGAGCGAGCAGGTATATCAGGGGCTGGACCGACGGCTATCCGCTCGAACATGGACTGGAACAGCGATAGAGTGGAACAGCGGGAGCCAGCAAAGCTTGGGCACTTTAGGAGGAGGAGCTACGTGTTCTGCCCGGGTGTCTAGGGTCGGCTTTTTGAATCGTGATGAATTCAACGACCTTTTGAAACTCTGATTTGAGTCGTGGCTACAGTTCAGTCCCAGAGAAGAAGCCGGGCCCGAACAGTCTTCGTACTTCTGTCAATTGGCGCAGCCATTGACTTTCTGTCGGTCCGCTGATCTCTCTTTTGGGCCTGGCACGGAAGTCTCTTGCAATTCTAGCGCTGGTCTAGCGCTGGTCTAGAGTGTCGAGAGGGTCAGGGAGATAGCATGACTCTGGCCAACTCTAGCTCGTTCTTCGGCGGAGTGAGTCCTTCTAGGGTGAGGCCGGATATAACACTAGACTACAGCATGGGCTAGGGCCGGGCTCTATTTTCGAACTATGGCTGGTTTGGGTATTTAATTTCGGTCGGGGCTTTCCGCACGTTGGCAAATCTGAAACATGTCGAGTTCGCAGGCGATTGGCGTGGCGGCGACGGAACACGCGTTTTCGAGTCGGTGGTCGACGCTAGTGTACACCGGGGGGCTTGGCCGCCCCACGCTTGAAAAAGCGAGACTGTCTGAATATTGTAGCGGTGTAATAGATCCCGAGTAGGATTACGGAGTACGCTATCTCTATTGCAATATGCTAATATTTGTGGTTGGTTTGTGGTTGATTTGTGTCTTGTCATGGTGTACTTGGTCACATCATTCGTCGTTGTTAGGGGAGCAAAATAGCGTGACCAACTACATAAACACAACTCGAATCCCGATCGGGTGATCAGTAGTGCCTCCAGCTATCTCTACCTCTATTTTAGAGCACCTATTAATTGATCTGACATTGTCACTGGATTATGCTTGTGTACAGTGTGTAGTCAAATGCACTCAGCTTATGCGACCGGTGTACGCGGGCTTAGATTGTCTCGCTTCGTGGCCCGGAGTCTCACATTGGGTTCGCCCCAACGGAGATTACTCTATGTCACCTTACAACCATGGAGCTAAGAGATTTGAGATAGATTGTAGATTGCGGCGGTCGCCCGAGACAGGGCTCATATACGACGCACTGGCGCGCCACCAACAAGTTGACCCATGTTCAGTGGCAATTACAGGCAAGTAAAAGGCGGGCTATGCCCGTGCCCGTGTGCCCGTGGTCCCCGAGCTTTCGACACATGTGTCTTGCAGCGGTGTAAGGGCCACTGTATGGCTCAAGCGAGAAGCGAACGTGAAGCGAGCACGAAAGTGCGGGGGAGGTATCCCACACTCGGCTAACTACTACTTACGTACGGCATTTCCACGGTACAGGCGCGTTCGTCGGGACCCCATCATTTACCAGATTGGGGAATTCTGGCGTCATCCATGCCCTGGTTCCCAGGTACAGACAGATTAGTGTAGCATAGTTGGGTGGGCGTTTCCCAGGAATGTCACTCTAATACGATGATACGCACGTGCGGGATAAAATGGCCCTCGGTATCCGCACTACTCCGGACTCCAGAAGAGGAAGAGTCGACCCAAACCTCCCAGCGTTTCCTGGGGACCTTGCGTGTTCCCACATCTCCCGGCACTAGCACCTAACCGGGTATTCAGTGCCCTCTTTGGGCATTAGGTTGCCGGTAGAGTTATGCAGGTGTCGCTAGGTAGTTGCCTCTGTCCGGGCCGTCCTGGACAACGTGTGTATCAAACCTACACTTTGACCTCTCAAAAAGGAAGTGCTGCAAACTCGGTCAGGAACGTGGCGTTTATTGCTTTTGCAATCCCGGCAAGATCTACTGTTAATCTCTCTCCAACTCCACAAATCCTAGCCTCAGGGCATTGATAGTCCAGGGCTGCACTAGACTCAGCGCCGATAGCCAATGGAAGATGTTTCGCGTCTTGGCCGACCTCGTATAAGGCAATCGCAATCTTCAGTCAACAGTCTTCAGGCTAAAAATGCCAGGAACGGGAACAGAGTTTTCGTCTCGTGCATCAAAAGCTTGGGAGCGCGGCCCCACCAATTTCCACGATGCCCACACGAATCAGCAATTCTGCCATTCTTTTGCGGATTGCGATCGCACTGGGCACGCCCCCAGGGCCCAAAAATGCGGAGGAGTCTCTCGCAAACTCGAACTAACGAGCCTATCTGGAACCTACTGTATCCCGCCTGAGAGGTCCTGCATTAGGGCCGAACGCCTATTCCGCGCAGCCAGTCAGATACCATAACTCGTTCCCAAAAAGTTTCCCAATGGAGCCCTCGTTCTCGTAACTTGCAGTAGTTCTTACGGTAGGCTCTTGCTAGTAGGCCCATTAGATGTTGCCACTGGCATCAACCCAAAACATGGGTTCACTAAGGGGCCGCGAACCAACCACTTTATTTACTGGGAACCACTCATTCAGGTATAGCACGCCATCTCACTAATCGGGCTCCATTTCCTCTCCGGTGGGTTCCTACCCAGAAGCTGAAACTGCGGAAGTCCGTATTTTGCGCTGTGCGCTTTCCGTGCCCTTCCCTCGATCTTTGGTACAATGCCCACTGCAGTCTCGCATATCCAACCATTCTTTACCCCATCGTAAAAGTCCGCGTATCCAGCCGAAACCCTATCTGGCCCAGATCGAGATGTGTTCTTAGGTGAAGTCATTCCCAGCTTTGTGGCTTTGTGGCTTTGTGGCGTGGGATTGTAGACTCCGTATTGCTATCTTACCAGCTCCAAGTTTATCTCGACGGAGTACTCCCGAGCGCACAGTGAAGCTAATCAGACCCTGGTCCTGTGGATTTGCACTCGATTACCACGCCCCCAACTCTCATCTAGAAGATCATTACTCGATCACTGCTTTCTGTCCGAATCGACTCCATTATCTGTGAATCTCCCGGCAGTGGACACTCTAGATAACACCCGTCCTCGTCCATCTCCACCACCAGAACTCCTGGCGCACAATCCCGCGTCGATTCTTGCCTCTTTTGCCCGATCCAGATCGACGGCGCCGTGCCTTATCTGATAGCGCCGTGCACACGGCTCATAACCAAGGAAGTGGGCCTCTACCTTGGGTTACTCTCTGCAAATGCGGACCCGCGGCGGATTCTCCAGATCGTCCGCCTGTCGTTGTACGTAATGAAAATGTGTGATCTCCGCTGGATACGATGAGCACCATAGTGAGCATCACCGTGCTTTTGGGGGGATATTCCGAGTGGGTGGACTCGGTGAGCATCGATTTTGCCTAAACCCCCAAAGCCAATTCTGAAACTCAACCAAGTCTGCAGAGAGGTCTCAAATTTCTAACTCAAAGCTACTCAAAGCTAAAATATCGCGCGTGGCAAGCGTGCATGAACCTTACTCCTATCGAACACAGGGGGCGTTTCTTGGAATTTTCTAGCTCTGCAGTCAGCACACTAAACGAAGTCTTGTCGCATCTTCATTTCCCCCTCAAGGCTTGAATCCGCCACGGGCTCTACTGTACATGTCTACACGTGCGACCGTGGAGTCCATCATAGACACATCGTGCGCCAGTTCCGTCAGATCACTGGCCACCTCTTCGGGGCCGGGTGGGCTGAGAGCGGGTCTACTCAGTGAAACGATCGCGCAGGAAAGTAAAAAAATATAAAAAACAAACCAAAGATGGGTCAATTCATACAGCTATCTACTAGCACGTGATCCTCAATTACCAGCCGGAATACGCGATGCAGAGCCAGCCGGAAATATAAGTGGCCGCTTGTTTCGGATTCGGACTACTGGAGGTTCGTCCGTGGGTCGGATCTGGGGCACTCGCCGATCCAGGCACCAGTCTTCTTGTCAGTGGAGGATACAAGGCGCTCCTACTGTATACGGAGAATCGCACGACCGGCCGGGTCGACACATCCACCTGTCTTGGTGGTGATGCCACCTTGTAACAAGGCTATGGGACCGAGTTTGTTCCTAGCGATGCCGAAGCCTGTAGGTGGGCTTCGGCCCGTGCTTGATATTGGTGGTCCACGAGACCCAGGCTTCAACGAGCTGTGGAAAACTTTGAGGGGAATTGCGTCAGAACCCGCGAGCGCCGGAGTTCATGTGAGATATCTCTTATGATTTGGTTGATCTTCGCTCTTCGGTCTGATCGTCGTTATGTGGTATACTGCACCAAGGCCAGCCTCTCTACCAGGGTACTCGCGAAAGGGAGTTTGAGGGTTCTCATTGCGTAACCCGAGTTTCACGAACCCTTTGGCAGGGCTTACGGGTAAAAGGCTAAGAAAAGATTGCATAAATCTAGGACAGTCTCGGGTCCGGAGGATCCTGGGATATCCGAGTTGAGATCCCAAATTCTCCATGGCCGACAGTGACCGATCCAACCAGGTAAACATAAAAAAATAGGCTTCAGGAATGGTTACAGTAAGATCACGCTCCCATTGGGAGTCAGTCTCTTCCTATCATATGATTCCATAGTTCTCATCATCAGCCGAATATTGTGGGAAGAGAAAAGAGCGAAGGCCGTCGAAGAAAAGATGGTCGGGGTTGATTATGTAATACGCGAGATATCCCCGGGGCGGAAGAACTATATGGCCGAGAGCACCATAAAATCTCGTGCGCAATTTCGACCTTCCCTTTCTTTTCTTTTCTTCTTCGTGCGGCGGCGCAACTCTACATTACCCGTGTTGCCTGGACTTCTCTTTCAGTGAGGTCACCAGGTGTCAGTTGCGCCACAGACGAACGGAATTGCACGGCGATTCTTACCTTACTGGTCTCACTGATTTTTCAAAGGATGAGACCATTTGGTTTAGGATTGAACATACTGTCTTTCACCAGACTTTCGGTTTATTTTTAGTAAAATTCTCAATGAAATTGGAAATTTTTGCAACCTCGATCCTTCCTATGTAGCTTGGTATAATCGCTTGTCTCTTGTATTGGTCGCTCTCAATCAGGATACCTTGTAGGTACTTTTTCTACCGTGTGTCCGCCAGAAGGAGGAGGGGGAAAATAGAATTTGAACCACGCCAGTAGCTCTCAGCAGCTCTCAGTAACTGGCATTCACTCGCCAGGCTCATCACCGATCTTCTCCAGCTTCCCCATAGATCTCTTCTCGCCCGCGTCGCCCACAATGCGAATGCGGTCCACGCGCAGCTTCTCGCTGTCGCCTTCTCCATCGACGAAGAACAACACGAGCGACGTAACATTCTGGAACTTAACATAGCGCAACGGCACATTGGCCGTCCCCGTCTTCGCATCCCAGTCCCCTTCCTTGATCTCCACCGTCTGCACGGCAGGAATATCCTCCGCCTCATCGAACCCGAGCACATGCGATCGGTTGGTGTAGAGCGAGATCGTCTTAGGCCGCATAGGCGTCTCATCCTCATCCTCCGCTTCGGTCGGAAGCGACGTAATCTGCAACGAGTGCACCTTCAGCGTCGACTGGAACGGAATGTAAAGCATCAGCTGCTCGTCCGTGTCACTCTCCACCCAGTCCTTGCTGTTGCTCTTGCTGTTGCTCTTGCCCTTGCCTGCCAGTCCGGACGGCTTGCTGGTATCGAAGAGAACCCGCGGCTCACCTGCATCAGTGTCCCGGTTCAGCAGGTCCAAGCCCTTTGGGTCGACTTGGTCGGTCACGTCCGCATATCCCTTGGCTACGGCTCCGCCGATCCAGCCTCCGTTCGCGCCGCTTGCCTCGCCTTCGCCAGAGCCGGCTCCATCGGACTTGGTTGCTTCGTTGGCGAGCTTTTGGATTACTTCGTTTAGGCGGCGTGGGTCGGCGCCTGCCACGGTCTGGGTCTTGCGGCCATTCTCGAAGACGATGAAGGTCGGGTATCTGTAGTAGAATCGGTTATTTCTGTTTGTAGAGCTTGTAGAGGGAGGAGTGTCCTACGCTCGCACACTGTACGCTTGCGCTAGCTCCTTCTGCTCGTCACCATTAATTTTGGTGAATGTGATCTGGTTCGGGCGCGACAGCTGGCGCGCCAGCGAGTCGTAGACAGGGGCGATTGCTTTGCATGGTCCGCACCAGTCGGCGTAAACTAGAGGTCAGAGAACAGGTCAGAATCAACATTTGTTGTGGTGGGAGGCGGGGTCCTTCCTCCTTCCCGGGATGGAGAACTCACAGTCGGCGACGACAACTCGCGAGGAGCTGAGGAGCGTGTTGAATTGCTCGTTTGAGGATATGTTGATGACAGACATCGTGGAGGGTTGGTGGTGGGAGAGTTGGCGGGGATGGAATGAGTGTTTGGGTGGCTCAAATATGTCATCACGCCGAGGGTCCAACTAAGCTGCGAATACTAGGGGATTTTTCCCTGCTCCTCTGAGGGCTTGAGGGTTCTCTTTAGTTCATTTTATTCTCACTATTTGATACTTTGGGATACAATCCAATTCTTTTTTGTCATACCGGTGGTCTGGATGGAAATCGGGTCGCCTGCTTGGAAATATATTACTGATCGCCAGGAACCGAATCAACCTTGGCTTGGCCAACCTTCCATGCTAAAGGGGGCACTACAGCTACCTTAAGAGATGACCTTCAGGAATTCAAAGATTCCAAATTTGAATGTCCACACTTCTTCGAAGTCTTTGCTTTTCGACTCATCTCTGATGGGCTAAACTAAGCGAGTGCCGCCTTTGTGTTCTGCCATGGGTGCTCTCCAGCACTTAGTAACGGGGACTTCCGAGCGGGTTTATTCTGGGATCTGCGGTGGATAGCTCTCTCCTCCAGGGAGAGCATAGGACCACGATGCCAACACGATTTCATGTGGAATTTTCTGGGCCAAGACATTCAAAGATTGAATGTCGCCGACAAATACAACCCTCCAGGAAAGCCCCCTTTGATCGTGATAACTAGGGATATTAGAAGAACATGATGAATTTCTCGAGCTAGCCACTCATTGCTGACTATGACTCCTTCTCGAGGAGAAGTCAGAGTCTACCAGATATTCACAGGAGACAGTCATCTTCTTGCCAGCCTCTAGGAGGTTTCTTCTAATAAAGATCGATAGAAACACGAGTACTCCGAACCCCCGATGTATCATCTACTTCGAAACATATCTGACATCGCTAGACGAAAGGTCAATAGTCGACTAGAACAATCGATAGCGACTTTGGAGCAATTCCTTAGCTTCCACGAGCTAGAACTTCAAGCCAAGCATCGCGCCGCATCCAAGCATAGCAATGCCGAAAGTGAGAATCAGTGCTGGGAGACCAGCTCGGAACATCCGTTCCTTTTTGCTAAGTTGGGTCTGGAAGAAAACTTGGTCAGGCTTTGCATGTTATTTGACAATTTTGGCGAACTTACATCGTACACCCAGTCATCTGCACGGTCCCAATGAGTCGAGTACCACATGGCAAAAGAGCTCCATGGATATATGAACCAATTTTTTTGAGACTTCTGGTCGATGAAATACTGCATCTCCTGGTCAACCCTCTTTCGCAGACAAGCAAAGAAGTTATAGAAGTGACTTACGCTTCCGCATGAAGTGTTGAAGACGGTTTTGGTAATCGATTCATGCAATCTCTCGTTGTAGAGTCTTTCGCTATCGGGTTTAACTTCTACAAAGGACGAATGCTCTTTGATGACCGGAGTGATTGCCGTCACGACCAAGTCGACATAGCTATATTTTGTTAGTAAGCATTCGTGGGGCGCAACGTCAGGTATTGAAGAGCAATTAACTAACTTTTCGATTGAATAGATTGTAGATGTGTGACCTTTTCCTGAATTTGGACCCAAAATATAAAAGAAGTTGGGAAATCCCGACATGGCAATTGACTTGTAAGCCTCCTTGTAGCCATATTCATCCCAATGGTCTTCACGGGTGCGGCCATCCCGGCCTATGAGCTCGACATCATACTGCGTCAAGGAGAAACCAGTAGCCAGAAGCTGTTGTCAAAAATAGTTCTTAATGGGAGAGAATATTCCAGACTGACAAAATTACTTACAATTGTATCCGCTGAGTGCTCTTGACCGGACTGTGTCAAAATTGAGTGAGGTTGAACACCAACAATCGGGTCATCTGTAAGATGAATGTTGTCTTGTTGCAGGCACCCAATGTATTTAGTGGTATCAAAGACCCGTCGCTATCAATTTGTTATCATTATCCGTTGCATTTCAGGTGGTCTGATCTCGTTCACCACTCAAGAAAGATGAACTTACTTTGCATCCAATTTCGAATTTCGGAATAAGAAGCGGCCAATACTTCTCTTTAGCAAAATTAGCTTTGATTAGGCATTCTAGTCTTATCTTTTCGTCCAGCAAACCTACCCGGTGCAGTTCTTTTTATGTAAGCTTCGCTTCTATCGGCAGACGCTTTTCGAGCTTTGATGCCGTTTGCATCCATATTGAATCTGGCAGCAGTGCCCTCCAGATAGAGAAACACGACGACCCTGAGGATCCACAAGGCGATGGGCATATGGCGAAAGATGAATCGCCATGTATCGGAAACTTGTATGTTTTCGTTGTGTAGGTAATGTTGCGGTGTCTGTAACCTTGGTAATGAGTTCAGTCGAGGTAAAGGGGGTGATGATTCTTACCCGAATAAACTGAGTTACACTCTTTGCCTCGTTGGAAATGGCGGGAACAAGTTGAGCTGCCGAGCCTGCACAGGTGGGAACTGGTTAGTTTCTGAGCTAGGTGAATAGGAGCTATTCTCGAGAGAGACTTACACCCATTGCCAACAACAATAACATCTTTCTGTTGGAAGGATATATTCTCTTTCCACCTTGCAGTGTGGATGATATCGCCTTGGAAGGTTTCGACTCCTGGAAGATTGAAGAGATTCGGATTCACCAGACCTCCGACAGCAGACACAAGTACCTGGCACTCCTGATAGAATATTCCACCAGTGAGTAAGTCCTTCAATTTCACAAGCCAAATCTTGCTTTTTTCTTGCCAATAGGCTCCTTCCCATTCAGTATTTGAAACGATGTGCCGAGAAACGTCAAACTTCTTCGCCACGCCGTTGAAGTATTCCAGTATCTCTGCTTGCGGAGGGAAAACCTTCGAGAAGTCGGGATTGGGAGCGAAGGAGAGGCTATAGAATACAGCTGGAATATCGACGGCGCATCCTGGGTCTGAAGTCATGTCAGAGAAGCAAAGATAGACTTGACATGGTGTACTGACACTTGTTTGCCCACCAGGCGCCACCAGGTGCCGCAGATCGGTCATAGATGGTATAGTCATCACAATTGAGCTTTCGTTGAAGCTGACATGCCATAGCCAAGCCAGAAAAACCAGCTCCGATGACTATCACCTTGCTGAAAGGTCTGTTGTCAGAGACAGGCATATTGAAAAGAGCAAGTGACTGTTTGATATTTGAGGGGACTGTGAAGAAAGAAAGATCGGTATGAGCCTTGTTTTCGTCTTCTCATCTCACTGATCAAATTTATAGACCTTTTGAGGCGGCTTTCACGTGTCCGAGAGGTTTCGCATGATTGGAAACATCCGTGTTCAAGATATCACTGACAATGCAAGATCACTGACCGTCGTGTATGTGTCTGTGGGTTGCACAGATACACATCTTGGCAGTTGCTGCGGTGTCAAATAATCCCAACGTCTACTCAGATCCCTCTCCGGCCCTCCTTGTTTGTATCTCGAGGCTCCACAGATGCATTCATAGTGGCATATTAGCTCCAATTCCTACTTGGAGTAATCTCAAACCAATCGCCACTCCTCGTGTCCAGTGGCACAAGGTATGCTGGTATGCTGGCTGTCAGTACTAGCCGTTCCACGCCTCTGTATGATAAGGTTATGACCAATGAATCGTAAGCCACATGTGCATCCTTTTCTATATTTGTCAAGTGCAGCCATGAGGTTTCCACCATTATGACCCTCAACATCCCGTTGTTTCAATTTCGGTGAGGTGCATGCTCCCATGCATGCATGCATGCATGCTTCACGACTTGGAGATATTTTTTACTTCGACCCTGGTGGCGGTATTGTGTAAGAAACCGAGATAATAGATATAAATGGACTAGGTGTCAAGAGCAGTTGATATAGTATTCAACATTTGAAGACTAAAGATTTCATCATATTTGAAGATTCGAAGAAATCGTCCATACGAAAATGTTATTTGATACATCCTATCATGTGCTTCCCTTTGCAACTTTGGGCTTCGTTACCTTCGCGACATGCCTGTATTCATTCAGACATCGCCCGGTCCCAGCAATGAAGAGCCTCTTCTTCGTTTTATTCACTTTTACTTTGGAAATTTCAACCCATGTTGGATGGTGGAAGATGTTCAAAATCATTTTTCCTCTCTCTGTGCTTTCTGTCGGTGGTGTCCTATTTGCGTGGGTGTTAGTGATAGCATATGTTCAGCGTAAGCTGATCTTGTGGACTGAAGAGCATTCAGACGTGGCAAAGTCTCTGCTAGGAAGGCCTCTTCTTTTCCCGACCCGACTTACGCATTCACGGATGTTTCCGGAAAAATACAATTACTGGATTAATTACTTCCTTGTCGGCATTCCCGTTGGACTCCGCGGTCATATTGGATCATTGATGGCCATCGACAGTGATGCGACGAGTCCCCATTCTCAGAGCGGAAACTTTTTCAAGTCACCTGTCACGAAGGTGCTGAGAAAATTACTTTGGTTCAGAGTTGATCCAAGCCTGTATCTTCATCGTGGGGATGGTCACTTGGGCTTGATGGCTAAGCTTGATTCTTTTCTGAAAGAGCAAGTAAGTCCTCTTATCTTGATTAAATTTGATTTCATGTTAATGATCCTAGGGCGAGAATCCAGAAGAATACCCATACGCCTATCTTGTGACTATTCCTGCTTTCTTATGGTGGACCAAAAGCCCCATTTCCTACTGGTATCTCTACTCACCACTGAAAGATTTGAGTGCGATGATCTTGGAGGTGAACAACTCGTACGGCGAAAAAAGAAATGTCTTCATGCGATTAATCCCAGAGAATACTCTTACCGAGGGAAAGAAATGCGAGATGATCAGTACTGCTTCAGGAAGAGGATGCAGTGGCACTCAAACCTTCGAGTTCACGTCTTCCGTCCCAACTGCAAAGTGCTATAAATGCAGCTGGGACAAGGACATCTTTGCGTCACCTTTCGAGCGGGTTGAAGGCTCGTTTAACCTCCGATTTGTGGACCCTCTCGATCCATCACCGGCCAAAGGGGGCCCGTTGCACAATAACATGACCCTAATCAGTACCTGTGGCAAGCCCAAAGTTACAAGTCGACTGTTTTCGTGTGCTCCACCACTTGATCCCCTCCAGGCATCCTCATGGGAGGTGACGATCTTCCTTGTGAAATGGTCATTCATCATACCTATCTCCCTGGGTAGAATTGTAGTGGAGGCCCTCCGCATCCGCCTCAGAGGGAATATGCCATATCTGAACAAGCCAGATGTGAAACGCAAGAGCATTCCTCGTAATGCTTCAGAAACAGAAAAGTACCTCTTCTTTCTCCTTGCTCATGCTCATTCTATTCTGCTATGATTATGATCTTCTCCATCTAACTTATGCTATACAGGACTCTAGAGCCTTTCTTTCGGCATTATCTCTCTCATCTCGTCGATACATGCACATTTCCTCTTGAATTAACCTACATACCTGCCAAATCATTACACATTAAGCCTGTCTCTATGCATTCCCCGATTGAGACTGAACCCCGACCAACTCTGACGATCCAGCCCCTTACACCTCAATTTTATACAAATATCTTGAAATACACAGATCCGGCACTTGGATTCGCTACCGAAATGGAAAATATGCCGCAGCCTTGCGATCCGATATCACAGCGTCTATGGGCTTCTGACGGAGGTCTTCTTCAAAAACTGATCGCGTGTGCAAGGGCCCCCGTGGCTTCGGAGGGAGCCCGGGTCTTCCCGCCATGGCAGCGGAAGAATATAGCCAAATCGTTCATGGACACCCATATCGAGTCTAACTTTCCGATCCGCGCATGCAGGAAGTATTGGGCCGCAAGATTTCATTGTTACATTACGGAACGTTTTGCGCATGGTTCATACAGAATAGTAGCGGTGTACGGCTTTTTCGTTTCGCTAATGTCCATGTGGGCCTTTTTGAGGTGGCTGGGATGGATTACGTATGGCTCTACTGCAACCGTGAGGCCTGAGTACTTCCTAGTGGTGTCAAGCGTGGGCTTTGCAGGGGTCATGCTTTGGGAAGGGTTTTGGGGATGGATCTATGGATGGCCTGAACTATATGTGTGAATCGACCCAAGGGCTTGGTAACCCTTGGGTCAACAGTGTTAGCCGCATGACACGAGAGAATGCATGCAGCTTATTCTAAAATGAGAAATTTTCTTGATTTAAGCTAAATTTCTGAACGCTCTTGTGTTGGCTAGTTAACTCCTGATAAATTTATTGCAGGCTAATGAGCAATGGGCCCCCCACCCCCCCCCAGCCGGCTCTCTCATTCCACGTGCAGATTTGGCCTACTGCACTTCGAACCGAAAAGAATTTTCATCTTTATGGCTATTGACCGCCGTTGCCGAGGAAGAAACATCCTTTTAATTCCTAGTTGTTATACATCATAGCCCGGGCGTAGTTTCTGGCTCGGAGAATTGACATCTGGACGGTGATCTATACCAAAGACGCATATAGTGGTGATCCGATCGGCACACCCTTCTCTTGAGATTTCTAGTCCCCGGTCAGCGCTTAGGAGGTCTTCGTCAAGGCCGTGCAAAGTGCACAATGACTTGAATAGTGGCAATGACACCACTACGGCCTCCACGGGACCACACAAAAAGAGAATACACCTCTTTCTGGAACGACCTTCAAAGCTATAGCCTTGGACGCTATGGGCTTCTTGAGTGAAAAATTTTCTAGATGACCAGGTAGAAGGTATGGTGACAAAGGGTGCTGCAAGTGGCCTAATCGAGCATCAGAGAAGCTTTGGGGCGTATGGGCGCCAGTTTCCATCTAATCTGAACCGTTGAAGGCATTTCAATGCAGCCTCGAGGCAGCCACCATGATTTGGTAGCCGAGGCCTACAGATACTGTCCCTACTTCATCCACATTGTGATTGTTACCTTGACAGGAATACCTCTTACATTGGGCATTGCCATGATTCTCTCCGGCACGTGGCCCAATTTTACAATTCTACACCTGTTCGCAGTAAATGAGGGATTCTGCCCCTCTTCATCGCATCCCTTGCCTCAGCCTCCATGATAGATCTAGTTCCTAGCTTCTAATCTCTAAAATCTACATCTCTCTCTCTTTTCCTCCTTCCTTCTTCATGAAATTAATAATTACGTTCGAGCCTGTTTATATTATCTTGGTCCGGCCGCATTGATGTGTCAAAGGGGTTATCTGGAGTTTAACGTGCACCGGCTATTAATTTTAGCGTCGGACCGAAGGAAGCTTCGGGATTCTCCAAAGGGCCCCAGTCCGAAGATTGGCGAACTTACGCGTCTCCGTTTTGGTGGGTCAATTATTGGCCGAGTGACACGAGGAGAGTAAGGGGTCAGGCAACAACGACGCTCTATTTGCCTAGAATTGCAGGCGAAGTTCTTCTTTGCACGCGCTTACGGCCAATGTACACGTTTCATGGTTCTACATTGGTCTAAATGTCGTTTCAAGGGCCTATCAATAGTATAGCATCATGTAGTGATCAGGGTGATATTCGTGGTGATTGCAGCAATTGTAGCATTGCCAATCTTTAGATTCACGCAAGTCCTGGGATCTCATGAGCAGCTCCACAAGACCCCAATGGATATACATGTACGCTTCTAGCTTGACAGGAGGCCTGTAGAAAGGAGTTTCTCGCGACAGCTTTCTTCTGGAAATAACGCAAAGATGAGCACATCTGGGGGCCAAGACTGAGAGGGAACAAGTAACTCGCGTCCGGCCTAAAGTTAGTGCCGATGACGTTTTGTGATCTCCCCACAGTCATCGCGAACAGGTTAAGAGTATTTGAAGTATGAAGTATCAAACTTGAGAAGGGATCATGTCTTTGCCGATTACCGACTATTCTTAATCGGCAGGGGCAAGGTAGGCTCATGCCTTGAATCAAGCAACAAGCTTGAAAATCATATGAAGATGATGTAAATCACTGACTTTTCCAACATTATAAGTATGGTATTATCGACCGCTTTGTTTGATTTCAATTACACTCTTCAATCCTCTTCATTTCGAGTACAAAGATCTTTTTCTTTCAAATCATTTGCAATCATGCGTTTCTCATTCATGACTATGCTTGCCTTTACTGGCCTTGCTCTGGCGACGGTACGAGAAGGATTGGCTCCTCGTGAGGACATTTTCTAATGAGATTATAGATCCCCTCTGGCGGAACCTGCAAGAAGGACGGTAGCATGGGTAACTGCGCATCGGGACTCTGTGTGGTATGTGCTGAAGACTTTCTCAAAGAATATGTGAGACTAACTCAATAACAGCAAGAGGCCAGGGCCTCTACTGGAAAGTGCAAATAAGCTTGCATTAACCTTTGTTCAGAATGTCAGGCGAATGAACGCACAGAGACTGATATCATAAGGAGTTATCATAGAGGATTTGAAGCGGAGGTAAATTCATTGAAGTTGATTGCTCTCTAAATGTCAATTCACTGTTGGTGTGAAACACTATCTACGCGCATTTACTCCGTAGTAGTGATAAAGCCTGCTCTTTGGGCATTGAATTGGGCCTGTATCAAAGTAAAAAACACCCATGACCTATTTATGCAAAGGATTGATGGCAGATCCAGCAATATGCAATAGCCTCGGACAACTCGGATTTATTTAAAGCTGGTCTCAAGGGTATAGTCCTCGGTGGACTGCCCAGCTTCGGCATGCAAAATTGTGCACAAGAAGCGTTGGTATAGAGACCGTTGCTGCGTGTCTGGGGGTCGAGCGAGAGCAGCCAGTCTTCCGAGTGGTGTGTTCGATTCGGCCAATTCTTGACGTCGATTCGAGACTCGATGGACGGGCCGAAGCTTCTCAGCAGAGAAGGCCCGAAGCATCCTGCACCAAGATCCGAGCAAAGTCCCACGACAGATGAATTTAAAGTCTAGGATAGGATAAAATCCCAACCCCAACCTAAAAAACCTCACCCATCATCCTCAACCGCAAAAAGCACCTTCAACCAAAGACTGCACCCCCGACACCCCACAATAATCTCCCCGTGCTCAACCTCTCTCTCCAACTCATCCTCCGTGACCAAAAACCCCCTATTGTCACCACACCGACACCCGCGGAACCAACATAACTCCTCCCCACTCTCATCGCACTCCAAATCCTCCAGATCGACAACCTCCAACCCAGTATGAAACACATCCGTCTTCTCCCGCTCCGCGGCCTTGGCCCGGTCCAGTCTTAGTGTACGGTCATATTCGGCGCGTAATCCCGGATCGGAGAGAGTTTTGTACGCTGTGGTAATTTCATCAATCGTGTATCGTGATTCGCCGGATTCCTTAGATGGAGTGCGGAGGCCTTGTGCGATAGCGCTGGCTTTGTCGGGGTGGTGTCTGAGGAGGGCTTTGTGATATGCGAGTTTGACTGTTTGTTTTGAGAGACCGGTTGATGTGCCCGTGAATGGAACGCTGAGGATTTGGTAGAAATCTGCGCGGCTGGAGGTTGGTGTCGTCATTACGGCGGTGTTCCGTGTCTGCTTTGCGCCTGCGGGATGTGTTGGCGCGGGCGAGGAGCCAGTCGGGGATGGGCACCCCGGATTTAAGATCCCAGGTTGCGTTAGCAGGAGGCTTGACCGCGCAGGGCAGGATCTGGGTGCCTGAGTGCGTTGATGCGGGGTTGAAGAGGTGAAGATTTAAATTGTGGGCGGGCCGCTGGGTGTTGCGCGCCACTTTGGGTGCGGAGCGCGACTTCCTCAACTCTACGCCTTCGCCCAATCTGCGTATCTGCAACTTGTGGTCAACAATGTTGGCAGCGTATTCCCTACGTCGAATATGTGCAGCTGCAATACTTGCTTCAGCTTGTCTTTGGAAGGTAGTAGCCGCTGTCGGCCTATTTCAGCCGAAAGCGCAATGTACTTTCGACTTAGGAATACGGGTCACCACTGAATAATCTAACAAGGTCACATTGGAACGTTCTCTAGTCTTCTATGTCTAGAAAGATCTCGGATATCAAAGTTGGAACAAAACAAGCGCAGTCTATACAGACAAGACCCAATCGGGCAATACTTACACTCTCAGGGGAATTTACTCGGAGGTCTTGAAGATGAAACGGTCCTCAGGCTTGACCTGGAAAGGAACACCGTTCTCAAGAAGCTTGACATAGACGTCAGAGAACTCCTTGAAGAAGACATCGGAGTCCTTGGCATAGCGCTCGACGTGAGACTTGAAGCCCTTGTCCTGGACCAGGGCAATATCACTGGGCAGCATCATCAGGGTACCGGTGGACTTGTCAGTGTACTGGGTAGGGCCGTTCCACTTGCGCTTGTTCCACTTCTCCTCAACGAGCAGACGGAAGAACTCGTTGCTGAAGACGGTAGGGCTGAAGTCCCAAGGTCCCTCAAAACCGGAGCGGTCAGTGTGGGCACGGCCCAGAGCGTGGGCTCCGATCAGAGCGACCATCTCGCGGTCATCGAAGCCCATGCGGCCGAAGACGTCGCGGATGTGACGGTGGCCCTGGGCGGCGTCGGGAAGACGGCCATCGGGAGTACAGGCGGCAACGTCCTTGTCCTCACGGCCGGGGCGCCAGGGGATGACGGGGCCACCAAGCTCCTGAATGGCGGCAGAACCGGCCAGAGTCCACAGGTCGGAGTAGGTGATCCAGGGGAACTTGGCCTTGACAGGTTCGAGGAAGTCACGGGCGTGCTTCAGACCGGCGTTGGCGCCGTGGTCAGACTCCGGGGCGAAACGCATGGTGGAGCCGTTGCTACCACCGGTGCCGGTCTCCTTATCATAGGTACCACTGGCGTGCCAGGCGAGACGAACGAGGACCTATTGGAATGATTATCGAGGTTAGTTTTATTCTCCATCATTGCCATGACATCTCACTTACGGGACCATAGCTGCCATCATCATAGTCGGTCTCGTTGGCGAGACGAGCGGCGACCTCGTCGTACACCTTCTGGTAGTCCTCCTGGGTGGGCACGAAGGGCTTGGTCTCGCCGTTCAGGTAGAAATACGCACCCACACCACCGGCAAGACCGAAGGCGAGAGCCCAGATACCACCGGAGCCGGAGGACTTGCCGGGGCCAGCCTCAGAGGCATATCCGCGGCGAGCAGAGGTACGGAAGCCCTGCGCGGGAACAGCGAAGCGGGCAGAGCGCGCGGCCGGGCGGAATGAGGAGGCCGGAGTCGAGCGCAGGAAAGCGCGAGAAGCGGAACGAGCAGCTGATGCCATTGTGAGGGTAAGGATATAGGGGGAGATGATAATGGGAGAAGGAAAGGAAGAAGTCGGGAATACAGCCCCTTACAAACTAAACCCAAGGAACGCAGTCGCAGAAGCAACTGGAATTTCGGGCCAATCATTCAGACATTGCCTCGGTCTTCAAACGTCCTCCGCATTTTGCTTCTCCAGATTCAGATTACCTCTTCCCCCTCCCCTTCCTTGGTGGCTCAATTTCCCCTCCGAATAATCTAGTACAGCGATGGACAATGAATGCGGATTTCTCTATCCCTATCTATAGCATAGAAGGCCCTCCCCCTCCCCCTCGAGGCCATCAGGAGAAAAGTGCCATTCCGAGCATCTGTCGGCTCCACATTTGGCGGGCCTGTAATTATTAACAGCTTGAGTATGTTTGGCCGATTGATCGCAATTGCTCCACCGCCGCCGCACGGCCTCCGACTGCTTACCTTATCGACCAGTCTGGCTCTGCGATCTCACTAATGATCGAGTACAGTGCTTATCATGTCAACGCTGTCGAGAATACTGAATGCCCCTGTACCGGTGGCCCGGACCGTGGCTCGGCTGATCTCAGGCCACCCGGGCTTACTCAACATCTGGGCATTCGACCTTGGGTCCTTGGATCCATCACCCAGACTCGAGTTGCAAAACATTTATTAGGACTCCAGGATGATTCACGAGCCTCGATGCCTCCGTGTCTATATGTATTCATTTATAGAGCACTGTAGAGCACGCATATGTGCAATGTGTGAGAATAGATAGTACCAGTCTTCTTGCACTCAACTGCTCATGCGCAGAAGGTTCGTCGGTGACCTTGACCTGCATCAGATATATATCACGACCGAATATCGATACATGATGTCAGCATTCTTTCACTCATCGCACCAGGCCAAACAAAATGCCAAATTCCCCACTGGGATCTTGCGACTATTGTTACTTTTAGTACGTAGATATATATGTATTTGACAGAGACTGCCTTTGGAACATAGTTGACTGAGACATGGAATCGGGCTTCATGGATTTCGGAAGCCAGAGGATATTGGAAATTTCACTGTATGAAATCGAAGGGCACACCTGCACAATTCCTACCGACTGGTTCCCTCAAGTACTGAAAAGTAGAAAGATTCTGCCGACTTCGACTACCATCTACAATCATCCTCACTTATGCTGCGATGTGCGGAATTAGGAGTAGAGGCTGGATCGTGTCGGTGAAAATCAGATCAACGACATCCGGCACCTGAAAGTACCCATGGACAAAATCCGAGTGCACAAGTCGAAGACGACTTGTACGCTGTTCAACCTTGATACTTGGTTGCTGTGATCCCAGGGGGAGCGGAGCGGGGACAGCTACGCCGGCACCTGGCAAGGACGAGGGCGGATTACGCGAAGACAACACAGCACAGCGCAAGTTCGCACACAAATTAAATTAAATTTCTCAATAGGAATGTCCGTCGTAAAATTAGTCCTGATGTCCGATTAGGGCAGACACCAGGGTGGAGTAGACGCGGCCCTGCTAGAAGCCGTTTGGTTTTGATATCCCACCGAACGAACGATAATAATCACCCATGAGACGTCGATGCCACGATGGCACCTCGCGGGTTGTGTGGGTATGTATCCAAAGTACTGACTAGGCGAACATTGACATGATCCTCACATTACAGGACCAGGGCAATGTCCGGGGCCAGTTCAGCACAGGGATGTCAAAGGAAGAAAGAATCGGGACGGGAAAAAATCCAGTGAAAAAGACAATGGCACGTGACCATCAGCAGGCGACACGCCATCACGTGACAACGCCCTATAATATCTGAAAATTTCGCGATCCGGTTTCCCTCCGTTACACTTATAACCGAACGCATAATCAACCTCCAAATTTCCTTTATGCCATAGGATGGCAGGTCATATTGGCGTACTAGATGAAATTGAGTGCTTAAGGCTCGTCGACGGCACAGGAGAGTTTCGGCTCTCTGCGTGCAGTGGTGGATGAGTCTTTTGATGCTCGGACATCCCATCTCCTTTCTACAAGGATGTGATTGTAGTTGTAAAAAAAAAAAGAGAGAACCAATTTGCGTGAAACCCTTGCGCAGACAAGCCCGGAATCTATTTCGGTCAGGTCTTGGGTTATGCGGGAGGCGCGGAGCTCCGACATGACGCTATTTCTGCTCCCCTGAGGGTTACAGCCTGTGATAGCTTCTAAGCTGAGTCTAGAAGTCCAATGGCCCAGAGGGCTAATAGAGATGCGCTATTTCCGTCAGAAAGTGGCCGCGTGTAGCACTCAAGTGTCTACGGTGCAACCTTAAACTTCAGGAACGAGAACTTGCCCCTCGCGGATTTCCAGATTTCCGATTTCGGGCCGCATCTTCTTCTCCGCCTTGGTCCCTTCCCCCTTAAACCCTTTACCACAATCTTTGTATTGTGTTCACTCCTTTTCATAATGCCAAACGGTATCAGCAAGCGCCAGCAGTTGCGCCATGAGAAAGCCTTGGCCGAGCTGGTCCGGTCTGTTCCTGGCAATGACCGGTGCGCCGATTGCGATGCCCCGTCCCCAGGTTTGTCTCGTTCCCTCACCATTGAGAGCCCTTGCTAACATTGATGAACAGGATGGGCAAGCTGGAATGTATGCTACTCCGATACCCTCGAACCCCCTGATCCTAAGTACCGTACTAATTGATCCTGATAGATGGGCATCTTCCTTTGCATGCGATGCGGCGCAATCCACCGCAAGCTGGGCACACACATTTCCAAGGTCAAATCATTGAGTATGGACACTTGGTCCGCGGAGCAGGTCGATGTAAGTGGGATCTGCATCTTCAAATACATGCAGCGGCTGACCATGCGACATCGCAATTAGAGTATGAAATCACACGGCAACCTCCTTATGAACAAGATCTATAATCCCAAGAATATCAAGCCGCCTGTCCCGACCGACGTTGACGAAGCCGACTCGAGCATGGAGCGTTTTATTCGACAGAAATACCAGTACCGCTCGTTGGAGAATGGAAAGCCCAAGCCCCCAAGCCGGGACGACGAGAGTTATACCAGGAACCGTGAGGACAGACGCGAACGCCGCCGTGAACGTGAATATGAACGCGAACGAGACTCATCCCCCGAGGGATCGCCTCCTCCACTTCCGCCCAAATCCGGATCTGGGTCTGGGTCCGGCAAGTGGTTCGGTCTACGGTCGTCGTCCTCAACCTCGAACCTTCGCCGATTTGGGACTAAGAAGTCCCCGGCTCTCGAACAGCGGCCGTGGTCCCCCCCACCCCCGAGGAAGGCCAGTGGTCTCGGTGCTCCGGTCGCAGATGTCACGACTGACTCGTTCGAAGCGAAGATGGCTGCTCTGCGGGAAATGGGTTTCAATAATGACCGACGGAACGAGATGGTGCTCCGCGGGCTCAATGAGAATCTTGATAAGTCTATTGAGACACTGGTGAGACTTGGTGAAGGTAGCGGTGCTTCATCACGGTCCAGGACGCCCGCACCAGCTTCTACCACAGCACCTGCGGCGCGTGCGACAACCCCGAACCCACCGGCTTCTGCTAGTACGAACCCATTCGATAGGGCTGTGTCGAATCCAGTCCCCCAGCCGCAGTCTGCATCTTATAACCCGTTCGATCAACCGACGGCCACGACGAACGTTTCGGCGCAACCTCTAGAATCATCCTTCCAGAACCTCCAAGTCTCCCAGCCGTTGTTCCCACACTCGACTGGCGGATATCCGGCCCAAACAGGCCTGATGCCTCAGACACAATACCAACAGCCTTATACGCCTCCTGTTACGGCCACTTTCTCGCAGAACCCTTACGTCTCCTCGCCTCAGCCAATGGACAACAGCTATAACCCGTTCTTCCAGACAGCGCCACAGCAGAACGGCTTGGGTGCTCAATCTTACCCAAACCCGAGTGCGCCCCAGAACAACCCGTTTTTCAACAATGCACAGCCTCAACAGCAGCAGCAGCAAGCACCTCAACTTTCGGTGCCTCAACCGCAACATGCAAACACCATGCCCGCGTTCTCTTCAAGCTCGCCCTTCGGCACCTCTCCATTTGGCTCTTCGCCTTTCCAATCGCAGCCTCCGCAGCAACAACCACAGGCTACTGGCATGGGTCATGGATCTTATAATCCATTCCAGCAGTCAATGGGACAGACTCCTCAAAATGCCGGTGGTTATCCCAACCAGTTCCAGCAGCAGCAGCAGCAGCAGCAGCAATTTCAGCCGCAACAGCAACAATACCAGCAACATCAGCAATTCCAACAGCCGCAGCATCTCGCCCCTCAACTCACCGGCCGAATGGATAAAAATAGCATTCTCTCTTTATACAACCTCGCTCCGTCCCAACCCACCTCAATCCCTTCAATCCCCGAACAATATCAACCCCAGCCCACAGGAACCAGCCCCGTTCCACCCCTAACGAACTCCCTCAACTCCACCCCCCAAACCCAACCCGGCTCAAACATCACCACCCCCCAACCGAGCAACGGCATGACCACCACAGCATCCCGCAACCCCTTCGGCGCCGCAACCGTCGGCTCAGGCCTTGCCGCCCAAGCCGGCGTCAACTACCAACAAACCCCCGGCCTAGGAATCGGCATGGGCACCAACGCCGCCCAATCCCAGGGTTTGAACATGAACATGAACCCAAACATGGGAATGGGATTGAAACCTTCCGCGCAAGGGCCCCCTCCTTCAAACGCATTTCCTCGAATGCACATTAGCCAGCCAAGCGTGGACATCAACGGCCTCCAAAACGGCCGACATAGCCCAGACGCATTCGCCAGTCTGAGCGCTCGCTACGGTTAATTTGAATTACCTTACGAGACCTCGACCATGACCCATGCCTTTGTGATAATGAGCTTTGCTTTGAACTTGTTTCTTGAGCTTGAAAAGTGATGGCATACGGGTTACTGTTACTGTTAATGAGGATATACACGGATCGACGACCGGATTCATGTTCATTTTCATGTTCATGTTTCTTTGCATGTGTGCATGGCTGGGTGTATCTGTTTGTCTGTCTCAGTTCTGACACTCTCTAATACTTTCTTTCTTTTTCGACTTGGTTTCCGATCTTTCACTCTTTCTTTTCTCTACTGTGTTACCGTACAAGAATTTTGGTCACCGTTTAGCGGGTCAATGGTACATATTTCTTTCATTCATTTCCAACAAAATAGACATCATCAATCTCGATCCAGGCGAGTGTAGTTACTGTAAGTTCAACTGATAACAATCTCAAATATACAAACTAGTGGAATTACTTTATTCACTTGAGGTATTATGTAAAAGGAAATCCACCATAATTGGTAACCAGCCATTATAGCAGCTAGCGGGTTCCTAGATCATGACCATAAGTCGCGGGCTGGGATGTGCTTGGTTTTCGACTCACCTCCCAAAAAAGAAGGCCAAGAAGGCCACGAAGGTGAAGGTAGAGAATTCCAAGAAGGCAAAGAAGGAATCCAGGTCCGAACGACGGGGCTTGGTTTGCGGAATCTTGATAAGAATGTATCCATACGAGAACGGGTGGTCCAGGGCCATGTCCTTGGAGATTGGGGTGCGAATAGGGACTTGGCGGAGCGGTTCCAGGTTGTCCAGGTTGAAGATGAAGAGGGCTTGGACAGGGATGGAATGAAGGATTGCCATGTGCGCTTTCGTTGGCCTAGGGCTTCTTTCTTGATTGCTTCGACGATTCGGTCGAATTGGTGGTCTAGGCTCTCTGTTTCACGTCGACGAGTCTCGGTGCGCCAGGAATCTTGTTCCCTTGGGTCGAGACACCAGACGATTATGTCTCCGTGGCGGCGCCAGTCGTCGTGCCAGTGAGTGTTGTGAGTTCGCCAACATTCGCCGTACGAAGATGCGCGGAGGAGGCTGTGAAGGGTTGGCTCGAGCTGGGCGAAGAAGATGAGGTAGTCTGGCCACTGGTGTTGGTTTGGGTTGACGGGCGTGGAGAGTGACATGGAGCCTAAAACGTAGCTGGGTCGTCGGGGAATACGGTGGAGGCCACCGACCATGTGTTTGCGGAGGAATTGACTCGTGTCATCGTAGAATTGGTCTGCTTCGTCGCGGTACACGGCTTTCTCCTCCTCGCTGAAGTCGACCGGGGGTTCACAGGACAGTGCCCATGCATTGATGGAGGGATAGACGAGGTGCGAGCGCCAAGGTGTGCTGTGGCAAGGCATCAAGAAGCCTGCTGTGATCCCTGGCTCGGGGATGGTGCCCACCAAGTGGCTATAAGGTGTATCTCGTCCGTCCGCAGCATGTCTGTCATGTTGGTTGCGGAGGTAAGTCAGGACATCCAAAGCTCCTGAACCATGGTATACGGTGGTATAAAAAGCGATCACCAGGTTGGCAAATACGAGGAAGAGGAGAGCAAGTCTCTGAGGAGTGTGACGAGACGACCGCGAGTATACAGCTGGGTAGAAATACTGTACGAGAGGCGGCGCAGCGAGAATGTGCAGCGATGGGAGCAAAGGGTAGATGAAGCGCACCTCCTTGTGGGCAATCAGAGACAGGACAAATGGCATCACAAGGCATACTGTCGCCAGCTGTACTCGGATCGTTGTCTGCACTTGGTCGGCGGGAGAATACGCTCGAATCTTCAAGGTGCGATAGAGACCGACAATGGCGAACGGCAGCGCAGTGGTGAGCAAAAGTGGATAGCCCTCAGTGATGTAGTAGTCCCATCTGTTCCGGCCATAGAAGACTGCCAGTGACTGGGCAAGGTTGAAGTACAGGAATCGAAGCGGAGGGAAAGTCCAAAACCCATAGAAGAGACGATCTGAAACGGCGGTCACTGCAAGAACCGCGGAACTTGGAAAACGGTCAGCTGATTCTCTCTGAAGTTCAGTAATGGTGGACTAACCCGCAAAGCAGGGTTTCGCGCACAAGGACTTTGCGCTGCAGCCAGAATGTCCGAACCCAAGCGACACTAGCCAGGGTCGCCCAGATCAAGATATTGGTGGGTCGGAGGATACAGGCGAAAGCTGCCAGGCACAGACATTGGCGTAGACTATATGCGATGCGGGTCAGCGGCTGCTTCGATTGAATTTGGTGATTCTCGTACCTCCACAGAAGCTTCTGATTTTCGGCCCTGCCCCTCTCGGTAGCACTCTTGCTGAGTTCATCATCGGATACAGCGCCTGCTGACCATTTCCATGGCCACAGGTCCAACGCGACAATTGTTAGAGTCGTTTCCAAGCAATTCGACAAGGTCCGCGTCGAGCAAAAGAATTGCCACGGACTGAGGACGGTGACGATCAACTGCAGCCAGTCAGCCAAAATTCTCCAGCACAGCCTAGGCACTGTTAACCTACCGCAGTCCAAGCGCCGCGAGAGTCAGTTCCGTAGACCCGACTCGCAAGTTTCCACGTGTAAAAATCGCCGATTGCCGACACAACGGCCTGCGCGATCTTGGGGCCGGCGATCAGGAGGTCCGCGCGCGTCGCGGCTGGGAGGCTGAGAGCGGAAGCGAGAAGGTCGATGACTTTGTAGATGGCGGCAAAGAGGAAGGGGTGTAGAGAGGATCGGAGCTGGTGTTCCCATTCCTAGAAGCCGATTAGACACATCGCATTGCGGACGCGCTTGCGACGCAACTCACCCACGTCACCCAGGCGCCCCGGTCTTTCCCTTCACCTTGGCCAAAGGCAATCTGCCAGGCGGGTTCCAGCGACTGGAAGAATTCATCGGGCTGGAAGAATGTGCGGACGACGAAGGCATTGAGGATACGGAATGCGACGAGGAAAAGGAGGATGCTGGTCGCCGGGGAAGGCGGATGCGACACGCGACGAGTCGCATTGGTGGTCATGGAGGAGGACATGGAGGAGGACATGGAAGAGGACATGGACGACATCGAGCTCGACATCGAGGATGCGACGGAGGCCGGCATGGTCGAATGAAAGCAGACGAATAGCGATCGAGCTAATCGTGGTTACCACTCGAGCTTAGAGATCCATAGCGGATAGCGGGGATGACATCAAGAGGACAAGTCAGGGAAGAAAAGGCACCGCAACCGGGCCGGGAAAGCCAAAGCACTGATTGGAAGTCCGACAAATAATATTTGGATCTTCTGGATCTTCTGGATCTTCTGGATCTGTGAGACAGGATAGACCGCGCAAGAGGGGGGGGGAAGTTCGTGTAATCCTGCTTATAGGGAACAGTGGATGAGGAGGGTATCGCGGACTCGCGACAACCTGCACTTAGGAGAAAACCACTTGCACTTAGAGGAATAGCGGCGGATCTATACGCCACTCTGTGCCCACGTTCAGAGCCTACATATTTTCGGAGGTCTCCCTTCTTCTTCTTCTTTTTGTTTCTTCCATTCATCCCTTCTTCCCTTCTTGTTGCTTCAAAGTCTGGACTTCTCCAAGTTGTCCCCTCACAGCTACTTACCATTTTCCATACCTTCTCCAATTCTTCCCCGCAAATCCACTCTTATCCACCGACACTCTTCATCTTCACCATGGCTACCAACGGGACTAACGGGACCAACGGCTCCCACGCCCGTTATCACGCTGCCTCAACTGAGGAGGCCATTCACGCAGAGCATGAGTATGCGGCTCACAACTACCACCCCCTGCCCGTGGTCTTTGCTCGCGCTAAGGGCACCTCCGTCTGGGATCCCGAGGGCCGCCACTACCTTGATTTCCTCTCTGCTTACTCCGCCGTGAACCAGGGTCACTGCCACCCCAAGTTGGTTGCGGCTCTGGTTGAGCAAGCCTCGCGTGTAACCCTGAGCTCTCGCGCGTTCTACAATGACGTCTTCCCCCGCTTCGCCCAGTTCGTTACCAGCTACTTTGGCTTCGACATGGTCATGCCCATGAACACGGGCGCGGAGGCTGTCGAGACTGGTATCAAGATTGCCCGTAAGTGGGGTTACAAGATCAAGGGTATCCCCGAGAACAAGGCGATCGTCTTGTCTGCGGAGAATAACTTCCACGGCCGTACTGTAAGTGTTCCCCTCTATCCCTGGTTATCCTTGTGAGATCTTGGCGCTGTTGGGACGGTGGCTGATTGTGGTGCCCCTTGCATTAGTTCGCCGCCATCTCTATGTCATCCGACCCCGAGTCCCGTGAAAACTACGGACCTTACCTGCCCGGTATCGGTAGCGTTATCCCCGGCACTGAAAAGCCCATCGCCTACAACGATAAGGCTGCCCTACGTGAGGCCTTTGAGGCCGCCGGCCCCAACCTCGCTGCTTTCCTGGTCGAGCCCATCCAGGGTGAGGCTGGTATCGTTGTCCCGGATGTGGACTATCTGCAGGAGGCTCGCGCTCTTTGCGATAAGCACAATGTCCTCCTGATCTGTGACGAGATCCAGACTGGTATTGCCCGCACTGGCAAGCTCCTCTGCCACGAGTGGAGCGGCATCAAGCCCGATATGGTCCTGCTGGGCAAGGCCATCTCGGGTGGTATGTACCCCGTCTCGTGTGTTCTTGGCCGCAAGGACGTCATGCTCACCGTCGAGCCTGGCACCCATGGTTCCACCTATGGCGGCAACCCTCTCGGCTGCGCTGTTGCCATCCGTGCTTTGGAGGTCGTCCAGGAGGAGAACATGGTCGAGCGCGCTGAGACTCTTGGCCATCTCTTCCGCCAGGGACTGGAGGATCTGAAGAGCCCACTGATCCAGACAGTTCGCGGCAAGGGTCTGCTGAACGCTATTGTCATTGACGAGTCCAAGACGAACGGCCGCTCCGCCTGGGACCTTTGCATGCTGATGAAGGAGAAGGGTTTGCTGGCCAAGCCCACTCACGAGAACATCATCCGTCTGGCCCCGCCGTTGGTCATTACCGAAGAGGAGATCGCACAGGCCTTGAAGATCATCAACGAGGCTGTGACCGAGCTTCCTACCTTGAAGGGCAAGATCGGTGGAGAGCACTAGAGAGGCCGAGAACGCAGAGTTGGCGATCCGCTTTACCCTGAAATATACCCCAGATGCACAGCAGCTTTATCGAAAAAGCTCACTGGATGGCACGTCCCATCCCATGACGTGACGATGCAATGGATTCCAAAATTGTATGCCATGGCTGCAACCCTTAGACGGTACACTTCTATGCCATTGGATTGGCGAATACAAAAACAATTCTTTGTACCCTACCTCAAAATCAATGTCCTTCTAGCTGAGTTTTCACGTCAAAATAGCCATATCACGTAGTTCTTACCTTCAGTCATTCCAGGGGCTGGAACTCGGAGGTGATGAGACGTCCCTGTCGAAGACTGTCATTAATGGTCATAAAAGGAATGAATGTTCTCTGGAAGGCCCAGCTCTCACTCTGATGGATTTGATCTATACAGAAGGTGTAAAGAAGTACCATGAGCCTCAAGGCCCACTCTATCTTCTCTTCCCCTGTCCTCCCATCTTTCTCATTTTACCTATCCAACTCTTACCCATATTATGACCCGTCCAACAACACGCCGGTCCCTAGATCTTTCATCATAGGCCACCCGATGGCTAACGTGTCTGCACACCTTACAGCTATGCTTACTGGACTCTCTTTTCAATCAGTCCTCAATAACTATACTACAGAGAGTTCAACTCATGAAAACGCTCTTTTGGGATACTTGTTTAGTCTAAGCTGTGGAGGGTACATACTACTTAGGTAGCATCACTACAGAGCCAGCGAGTTCGCCCATTGTCATCTGATCGAGATCGATGTTGCTCAATCCGTTTGCTCATTTCACCTAACTCGTTCACCTCGCTTGCCTAAAGTTAGCGCAAATGAAGCGCCCTCGATGCACAACTTTAACCATTCTCATTCTCCGCCCCTCATCTCCAATCCTTCCATTATTACTTCCGTTATTATCTGTCAAACCCGAGCCTCCAATCGTCAAAATGCAGGTCGAAGCTTCCACTCGTGCCTTCGTCATGGCTCTTAAAGTTTCAGGCAAGAACTATTCCGAGATCGCCGATCTGACCGGCCTGCCCAAGCGTTCGGTGCGTGGCATTTGTGATTTCGCTGTGAACAAGGGATTCGATGCAGACAAGCGTCCTCTGGAGATAAAGGATGCTTACTTTGCCAGTCAGGTTCGCGGCGAGAGGAAGAGATCGCCCGAGAAGAAGACCGCTGTGAGGAAGGTGGCTGCTAAGAACAAGAATGTTGTCGCCGAGGAGGAATACGAGGAAGAGGAGGAACAGAAGGAGGAGCTTGCTGATGACATGTGAGTCTCACTTTGGTTCCAGAAAAAGATGCACTATTGAACTAACTTTTGCGTTGCAGCAACGAGGACAGCGCGGTCGTTTAGACGATCCGAGAATCTTTCCAATGCGGAAAAGAGCATAGGGAGCGGGATGGAGTTGAGAACGTGAGGATATGGAGGGTGAACATGAGGTCATGGAGAGCGAACGTGATACGGAGACCTGATCGTGAGAACCGTCTTTGCTTAAGGCGACGCTGGGATATGAAACTATTAGCTGGCATGTCGAACATTCTATTCAAATCTGAAAAGCTTTGCCAGAGTGTCTCGTATTTCCTCCTTTAGAAACTCTCAGCGCGTACATTGCTACGCTGGTCGGCCTGATCAACTACAGAAAACGCCTACAAGGTGAGGAGTATCTAACTATGTGGAAGCCTACTTGGAATCCTAAAGGATGTATAAAGTTTGACATCGTGTACCTTCCCAAGCCTAGTAGGTCTGTGACAAGAAGTGCATTTCTGGCGAGCTGCCACAAAAGGAACCTCGGGTATAAAAGGCACCTGGGCAAAGTCCACTTCCAAATTCTCTTTCCAACCACAACCCAGCTCAATCAAACATTTCAATACCCATTCAGAATTCTACTGAAAATTCTAAGCTACGTGCCTACGTATTATCATGACAGGCCCAAGATATGATCATCTTACGCAAGCCTTCCTCCTCGGCATGAAGGTGACTGGGAAGAGCAATCCCGAGATATGTGCACTTACTGGGGTATCAAGGTGGACTCTCAACAAAATTTTTAAAAGAGCACTTAAGAACGGCTTCGATCCTGATAAGCGACCCTTTGAGATTGATATTGCCCTTTTTGTTGAAGACGAGAGTAACAACAAGAAAGCACCCAGCCCTGCTAAGAAGAAGAAGAAGGTAGAGCCGCATGATGAGCCGTATGAAGAAGAGTGAGTTCTACTGGAAAACTTGAGAATCCGTTCCCTTGAGATTGACGTAATGGGTATAGGGTGGAGAGCAGCGATGCCTAGAGGTTTCTCCTCCGGGGATTTGGAAATTAAGGGGCGAAGACGCACCAGGAATAACCTCAAAAGGGATCAACTGCCATTGGAGAAGGGACAGCCGCATAAGCAGTTGTTAGCTGCAATGGAATCTATGTGAATCTTTCAAACTCTGACTAGTGCGCTTACGTGGCTCGTAGGTTCTAACTATTGTAGGGCTTTGGAGTTGTTACACAATACATCACTTTCAGTAAATCCTGTAGGTCAGAGGCCTGGAGGGGCGGGCTGCTTGTAAATAACCGTGAGTATTGATGCAAGAAGACAATTTCAAAAGTGAAAACCTCCCCATGAACCAAGGTGGCGTCACTACACCAAGGTAAGCGCTCTCTGGCTACCTAATACCTACAAACTTCAAGGTCCCCTCCAACTTTTCCTCTTCACTTTCGAAGTTCACACCAAACTTCGAGGTCTACTCCATTTCCTCTCCTTCATCCACGTCAACATTCCAAAATTTTACACTTCATTTCAACGAAACATCTCCCTCTTTACTTGTCAATCTTTTCATTTGACGATATGGCTCCTCCCATGGATAACACCACTCGAGGCGTGATCCTTGGCCTCAAGATGGCAGGCAAAGGTAACACCGAGATTGCTGAGATCATCGGCATGACTCCCAGTGCGGTCAGTATGCTCTATCTACGTGCCGTCAAGAAAGGCTATGACCCGGAAAAGCGACCTTTAGGGGCCCTCGATTCCTTTTTCGGGGGTGGAAGCACTCCTAATACCCCTAAGAAACGAAAGACCCCCCCGCCGAAGAAGCGTTTGACTAAAGAAGCGGAGGAAACCACCGAGGAAAAGTTAGTTCTCATCGTTGATGAGAAAAAGGGTTTAAATTACTGACATGCTACGGAATCTCAGATTCGAGGGCAGCGATGCCTAGACAGGTCTCTACCACAATTTGATCTGACGAGTTCAAATCCAAAGGGATACAGTCAAACGGAAAGAAACAACTTTCACCAAGATCGGGGAGGGGCAGGTTACAAAAATGAAGGTGCATATGTGGCAGCTCGAACTTTAAGAGGCAGTTAGCTGGAATCACGAAAGTTCGGTGAACCTGAAAAGCGAAAGCGGCTCGTTCTCACATTGTAAGACAGTAAAACAGTATAATTCTCTGCGAGGTTAAATAATGATATTATATCTGCTAAGATTGACACTTGAGCCACAGCACCTAAAGCCACTTGGGCACTCAAGTGCTGCCAGTTCTAATAGATCGCCGGACGGAGTTGCAATGGAGTATTCGCTCCCACCCTCATCTATATCACTCACGCTCTGTCTCTCCCTCCTTCCCAATTTCTTTCCAACATTCGAATAATTCACTCCTCAAGCAAATACATTCTTACTTGCCTATCTACATGCTCATCCGTCGTCATGGCTCGCAATGCCGTTGACATCAAGGCCCGAATCATTGTCCTTGCACTGAAAGCCAATGGTAGCTCCCAGGCCGAAATCATCGAGCTCACTGGGCTGAGCAAAAGCACCATCAAGCGAATTTGTGCCAGAGCAGTTCGCCAGGGCTTCGATCCTGAAAAGCGACCTATTGAGATCTCCGACTCTCACCTCGTTGAGGGGACCAGTGCCGACGAGGCCTCCCCCAAGAAGCAGCAGAATCCTGTTGAGCCTAAGTGTGTCTTGATTACTGGCACAAGAAAACTGAGCTAATTCTTGACACACGCAGGCCTGAGCATGACTCCGAATAGGCAAACCTTACACCGGTGATTGTGGGTGCGTGAACGGAGCTCGACACGGAGAAGCGGCCGGGTTGCAAGCATGATTCATACGGAGAGCAAGGGGAGACGGATCTTATGAAGCATTTGCAAGAAAATGACAATCGAACGGATATTACTACCTACATATCGGAAATTGCGGATATTTTGTGAATCTTGAGAACGTAGACCGGGCCCTAATCTCTTTGCTAGGGATTAAACTGTGACAGCCATCTGGCGTCTTAGATATCTGCATGTAGTATCTAAAGAGAAAGCTGGTACACTTTGTTGACTGTGCCATGGACAAGAAGACCATGAGTTTCCTTGAGATCATGAGTCTCCGTAAGCGAACTTCAGAATAAAAGGAAGCATCACAACAGTTTTAGGTAGTCACTCAAATCAAAGTGAACGCGTAGCTGTATAAGTCGAAGGCAGCAGGTAGCGAGACGTGAAGTGACGCGACTGACTTCCAGGGAGATCCTTTTACTCCCTCATCTAGAGGTTCTCATCTTCCGTCCTTTGCCAATCCTCTTTACTGACCTCCATTTTCCTTTTACATCGAACTTCTTGAACCATGTCTCCAGCTATCGAGCCAGGTACTCGGGCCGTCATCCTGTGCCTTCGGGCAATTGGAACTCCTGCGAAGAGTATCCAGCAGCTCGTCGGATCGCCCATCAGCACCATCAACGGACTCTACAACGCAGCTCTCAAGAAAGGCTTCGACCCCGACGCCCGTCCTCTTGAATTCAACGAGCACATCACGGACTCTCCTCGTCGTACTGATGAGTTCAAAGTCAAGAAGTCAGGCATCAGGAAAGCGTAAGTACCGACTGACGAAGTGGGCAAGCTTGTACTCATATCACAGTGCTGGCACCCCTACTCCCCGCCCTCGTGCGCCCCGCAAGAAGAAGGGCGCCGAGAATACTGAGGAAATCGCCAAGGATTCTACCGAGGATCGCGTCGAGGTGCAAATCAAGGATCTCATCGAGGAGCCTACCGAGAAAGAGTACGTACTGATTCTTGAAATTTCAGAACTGTACTAATGGCGCTCGCGAACACAGGCCTGAGGACCACGGGGCTTAGACACCTCATCATTTGCTTACATAGAGAGTGGGTTTGAAGGAAACGGAATCAAGTCACACAGGCTGACCTTGTGAATAAGGATGGATGACTGGAGTTAGCTGTTGAGAATCTGGAGATCAGGTATATGAAGCCCGGAGACGATTTTAAACAATGGAAGGTGGTATCTCAAACCTACTTGAAATTATTTGCCTAAGTCCTGTAAAAATTGAAGCTGCATGGCTTGGACGGGCGCCCATTGGCGGTTCTAGAGACACAGCCCACATTGATGCTGTACGTTCTCGGCGTACATCGTCTATGAAACTCTTTCACATCCATTAAAGCATCCCATCTGCTACGAATCGAGTCGCCGCATTTGTTTTGCGGCCTGCTCGGCAGCTGTCTCATTTCAAGGTAGCTGGGAGAGGGGTATGTGAGCTTCAACCCCAGCCTTTTCACCGTGACACGAAGCTATGAGCGCCTGATCCGGCTAAAAGTTTCGGTATAGCACACCGCTTGTGTCTCCAGCAAGATTGCTTATCTCAAATTCGGGCCAAGTCACCGGGGCTATCTTTGGGGAGGTACCGAGGCCTGTATCCCTGTCTCTACCTGTATCTCAAGTTGGGATTCCATTGGACGCTCCCCCATGTAATTGAGATGACATAATCCCCCACATCTTGCCCACCCGAAGAGCCTCAAAATACCTGGAGTCTCGCCATATGTTTGCTCTGCCCCTTCATTGCAGGGAGTTGTCCTAGCCGAGTATGCAAATCACGACTGAAAAAAAGACGACAAGGTAGTTCAGTTTATCATGACGCGGCTGCGACCGCCCCTACAGATAAGCCGTGGCAAATGCACACACCTGAGATTTATGAGCGGAGATAAGGCGATAAATTGTCCTATAAAGGAATACAACGAAGGCCGAGACAACATCTCCCCACTTCGGCATATTCGCTTTATCCATTAATAATACACCGGCACGACGGGGGTTGCCAATCCCGATTGCCGATCGACGTCCGTGGTTAGACTCTACGCTAAGCGAACGCGAAAGCGAGTGGGAGCGAGCACCTCTAGTAGTAACCTCCAATGACCGCCTTTTTTTTGGCTGAGCAGAACTCGGATTCCGGGTTATTTGCGAAGCTTAGCTTCGAAATGGTGGGAACGTCGGGGGTAGTATCCGCCCACCCAAAGGTCCCTGACAGCTCAGGTTTTAAGACGCCCGGCCCCTGCGATCCTTTTCTCTCTTGATTTTACCATCGGAATTCCGCGTAAAGCCCCGAGTGACTCAGCTTGTTCCGATATGTCTTAAATATGAAGTTGGATTGGCATCGCGTTGAACCCCGTTTTCAGAACACTTGTTCGGCCCCACCTATTTCTGGACCTAACCTCTTAATTCCATACGCCTCCCGTCTTTCTCTTTTTTTTTCCTTCCTCCCTTAACAGACTCTGACACTGTTCGGTTGAGTCATGTCGGTGCCTGCCGAACCACTGACACAGGTCGTGGTCGCGGACAATGAAAAGGTCCAAGCGGCCTCGAGCGATCGATCGGCATCGGGAGATTCGACTGAAGCCAAGGCCCCGGATAATGCGCTGCAACCACCGGATAAGAAGAAATGGAATGGCAAGTTGAACCCGCTGCGATGGGCAACACCACCACCGGTCCCCGAAGAAAGGACACCGTCGAGAGAGTATGGCGCATCTTTCTTTAGTATAGTGTCGTTCCAATGGATGTCACCTTTAATGAGGGTAAGTTCCATCGCTAAGCCATTCCGCGATTTCGGCATTTACAATCAATCTGAATACTAACGAAATATGCAGGTGGGCTACTTGCGTCCGCTTGATCTTCAAGATATTTGGACCGTGAATCCCAATCGAACCGTCGATGTCCTATCGGAGCGTTTGGACGCTGCGTTGGAGCGTCGGACAGCGCGCGGCAGTAAACGCCCCCTTCTTTGGGCGCTGTACGACACATTTAAATTTGAGATCATTCTGGGTGGAATCTGCCAGTTTTTCAGTTCGTTGTTGTTGGTTTTTGCGCCTTATCTGACTCGTTACTTGATTGCCTTTGCCACCGAGGCTTGGGAGGCCCAGCACGATGGGCAAGGCGCTCCCAACATTGGACGCGGAATGGGCTTCGTCATCGGAATCAGCTCCATGCAGGCCCTACAGAGTTTATGCACGAATCAGTTCCTGTATCGTGGACAGATGGTCGGTGGGCAGATTCGTGCGGTACTCATCTCACAGATTTTCAACAAGGCGATGAAGCTCTCTGGTCGGGCGAAAGCAGGTGGGCAGGCTACATCGGAGGAGATCAAGGCCTTGGAAGCGACCAAGGAAGAACTCATCAAGTCCGACGGGAAAGGGAAGGGCAAGAAGGAGCAACCATCTCCTGCTGGCGTGGCAGGCGACGGTCGCGGCTGGAACAATGGAAGAATCGTTGCTCTGATGAGTATCGACGTTGACCGTATCAATTTGGCTTGCGGCATGTTCCACATGATTTGGACGGCGCCTATCACCATCATCGTGACCTTGATTCTGCTGTTGGTCAACATTGGCTACAGCTGTCTCGCGGGCTACGCTTTGCTCGTTATCGGCGTACCGTTCTTGACTTATGCCGTTCGATTCCTGGTCAAGCGACGAAGAAACATCAACAAAATCACGGACCAGCGAGTCTCTTTGACCCAAGAAATTCTGCAAGCTGTACGATTCGTCAAGTACTTTGGCTGGGAAAGCGCCTTCTTGGGGCGCCTTAAGGAGATTCGCTCACGAGAAATCCGCTCCATTCAGACTCTGCTCGCTGTCCGAAACGGCATTCTTTGTGTCTCCATGTCCATCCCCATTTTCGCCTCCATGCTATCTTTCATCACCTACGCCCTTTCGAAGCACGACCTCAACCCTGCACCGATTTTCTCGTCTCTCGCTCTGTTCAACTCTCTGCGTATGCCGCTGAACATGCTCCCGCTGGTCATCGGACAGGTCACCGATGCCTCAACCGCCCTTCAACGAATTCAAGAATTCCTGTTCGCCGAGGAACAGCGGGAAGACATCGAGCATGACGAGGAAATGGAAACCGCCATTGAAATCGAACATGCTTCCTTTACGTGGGAACGATTACCGACCGACAAAGATGCCGAAAAGCCCGGGAAGAAAGCCGATGCCGCCGCCGCCGCTTTAAAGGAAAAGGAGGAGGCCGAGAAGGAAGTGCCCACGGAACCATTTAAGCTGAAAGACTTGACCCTCGAAGTGGGAAGAAATGAGTTATTGGCTGTGATTGGCACAGTCGGCTGCGGCAAAAGCTCTCTTCTTTCTGCACTTGCAGGTGACATGCGAGTCACTGATGGCAAGGTCCGAATGAGCACTTCTCGATCATTCTGTCCTCAATACGCCTGGATTCAGAATGCCTCTGTCCGCAACAACGTTCTGTTTGGAAAGGATTATGACGAGAAATGGTACAATGAAGTCATTGATGCTTGCGCTCTGGTTCCTGACTTTGAAATCCTCCCCAATGGTGATCAAACCGAGATCGGTGAGCGCGGTATCACTGTGTCTGGAGGACAGAAGCAGCGTCTGAATATAGCTCGTGCTATCTACTTCAACGCCGAAATGGTTCTGATGGACGACCCGTTGTCTGCAGTGGATGCCCATGTCGGCCGTCACATTATGGATAAGGCCATCTGTGGTCTTCTCAAGGATCGCTGCAGAATTCTGGCAACACATCAACTTCACGTGCTCAGCCGATGCGATCGCGTTGTGGTAATGGACCAAGGAAAGATCCATGCGGTTGACACGTTTGATAACCTGATGCGCGATAATGAAATCTTCCAGCGGCTCATGGCTACATCAGGACAGGATGACGCCGAGGAGGAGACTGAGGATGGCGAAGAAGTGGATGAGAAGCTCAAGGAGAAGGAGGCAGGCCCCAAAAAAGCTGCACCCGGCAAACCAGCTGGCGGTTTGATGCAACAGGAAGAAAAGGCAACCGCCTCCGTGGGATGGGGTATCTGGAAAGCTTATATACAGGCATCTGGCAGCTACTTCAACGCGCTCATGGTCTTTATCCTCCTCGCACTTGCGAATGTCGTCAACATCTGGACTAGCTTGTGGCTATCCTACTGGACATCCGACAAGTATCCCTCGCTGTCTACTGGCCAGTATATTGGCATCTATGCCGGACTCGGCGGTTTGGTTGTCCTGATGATGTTCCTGTTCTCAACATATATGACCACCTGCGGAACAAATGCCAGTAAGACCATGCTTCAGCGTGCGATGAGACGTGTCCTTCGCGCTCCGATGTCGTTCTTCGACACCACACCCCTTGGTCGCATCACCAATCGCTTCTCCAAGGATATTCAGGTCATGGATAATGAGATCTCGGATGCTATGCGGATGTACGCGTTGACAATGACTATGATTATCTCCGTTATGGTCTTGATCATCGTCTTCTTTTACTATGTGAGTATTCCACGATGATTTGCAGCCCCACAGCGCATACTAACCATTTTACAGTTCGTCATCGCCCTTGTCCCATTGATGGTCTTGTTCCTGCTCGCCGCCAACTACTATCGAGCCTCTGCCCGCGAGATGAAGCGCCACGAAGCAGTTCTTCGATCCATGGTATACGCCAAATTCAGCGAAGCCATCACCGGTACCGCCTGCATTCGTGCCTACGGTGTCGAGAATCAGTTCCGCACCAGCATTCGCAACGCGATCGACGTGATGAATGGCGCATACTTCCTCACCTTTTCTAACCAGCGCTGGCTGAGTGTGCGACTTGATGCAGTTGCCACATGTCTTGTGTTTGTTACTGGTGTGCTGGTTGTGACCTCTCGGTTCAATGTTTCCCCCAGTATCTCTGGCTTGGTTCTGTCTTATATCCTATCAATCGCTCAGATGTTGCAGTTCACCGTCCGGCAATTTGCCGAAGTGGAGAATGATATGAACGCAACTGAGCGTGTCCATTACTATGGAACTGAGCTGGAGGAAGAGGCTCCCTTGCAGGGCGTTGAGGTCTCCTCCAGTTGGCCCGAGAAGGGCAGAATTGTCTTCCAGGACGCGCAGATGCGATACCGTGATGGTCTACCGCTCGTGCTCAAGGGCCTCAGCATGGATGTCCAGGGCGGTGAGCGAATTGGTATTGTCGGGCGCACCGGTGCCGGCAAGTCGAGTATCATGTCTGCTCTGTTCCGCCTGACCGAGCTATCTGGAGGCAGCATCCACATCGACGACCTGAACATCTCCACAGTCGGTCTTCAAGATCTTCGATCGCGTCTTGCGATTATCCCTCAAGATCCAGCTCTCTTCAAAGGCACCATTCGCACGAACCTGGACCCCTTCAATGAGCATTCCGATTTGGAACTGTGGTCTGCTCTGCGCAGGGCCTACTTGATCGGGGAGGACACTATGGGCCCCGACACAGAAGGTCTCCCCAGCATTCCTGGATCCGGCACCACCACCCCAGCCACCGACAGCCTGGCAAAGCCCCACAACCGCCTGACCTTGGAGTCCCCCGTCGACGAAGAGGGTCTCAACTTCTCTCTGGGCCAGCGTCAACTCATGGCCCTTGCTCGTGCTCTCGTTCGTGACGCACGTATCATTGTCTGCGACGAGGCTACTTCCTCCGTTGATTTCGAAACCGACCAGAAGATTCAGCGCACCATGGCCCAAGGCTTCCAAGGCAAGACACTGCTCTGCATTGCCCATCGCCTGCGCACGATCATCCACTACGACCGAATCTGTGTCATGGACCAAGGCCAGATCGCCGAGATGGACTCCCCGATCGTCCTCTGGGACAAGACAGACGGTATCTTCCGCGCAATGTGCGACCGCAGCGGCATCACCCGTGACGATATCTTGATGACCGATTGATTAAAAAGTTTATATTGCACATAATTATCGCCTCACAGGCAGTCTATAGGACAACTCTCGCCATATAATAGAAATAATTTGATACCTTCATATACAGTCCAAGATCCCAAGACTACTGAATCTCACTCCTTATCCAATTCACAAACGAGCTCCATCCCTAAATTTCTCATCATCCCCTCCACGCCAGCGTCCTTCCACCCTGCTAAATCCTTCTCGTCAAGATCAACCCTCTGATCCTCCTCAGATAGTGCACCAACAGGTAATCCAGTATATCTAACAACAAGCCCCGGTGCTGTTCCAACAACCCTCATCCTCAAACCCGTCAAAATACCTCTCAAATGGTCCGCCGCTTTCCCACCACCACGCGACCCATATGTAACAATCCCCGCCGGCTTCCCCTTCCACTCATAGAAAAGATAATCAATCGCATTCTTCAAACTCGCCGGAATACTCCAATTATATTGAGGTGTCACGAATATGAACCCGTCGTACTGCTGCACAACAGCGGACCACGCCTTGGTATGTCCCCTTGTGTAATGTGGCGTCGGATCGGAAGCGGGCAGGCTTGCAGGGATGACGGATTCGTCGTACAAGGGAAGATTCTGTTTGGCCAGGTCCAGAATTGAGAGTGTTATGTGCCGCGGGTCTGTGTCTTCTGTGTCGTCGGAGACTTTTTTCGTGGGGATCGTTGGGTCGTGGGCGAGGACGTCATAGACGTACTGCGTAATTGTGGGATTTAGGCGTGGAGAGCGCGTGCTGCAGGTCACGATGGCCACATGTTTAGGGGGCATGGCTTGAGATGGGTGTCTGGATGAAATCTAGGGGAATTCCAGGTTTGTAATGGGCATATTGGAGTTGCTGGATGGTGGTCTCATGTTCGAACAAGGCCGGATCCGCGGAGAAGGCTTTATCGCTTGGCTCTTATCGGTGGGGCAATGCGTGCCAAGCTTTGCGATCTGCAGCCGGGGGAATATTCTAAAGGCTCTTAAAGAAGTAGCCATGACTTGTCTACTTGTCTTTCTTCCCGGACCGATTTGAAAAGGTGTTTGAACAATATACCGGAAGCCAGAAGAAGTACGGTCAAAAAGTCTTATAACAAAATTTCATGGAACCGATCAAAAAACCCTTAGAGAAAGGACTCATTAGACGCCCGTTGATCACCTCCTTGGAGCTGTATACAGTCTCTATTCTCGACAATTGTAGATGAAGACTAAGAAAAAAAGCTTTAAATAACTCAGCGGAGCTTTATTGTTGAGGTAACAAGGCTTTGAAAACCCACCTGTCAGTCTCCAAAATTATGATTAATAAAAATGTGCTCGTGCAATAAGCCGAGCTAACTAGCTGAACGTGGGTTAGAACACGGATTACTCTGCGTGCTTCCGCTTAAGGCAAATGGTCCCAGCTCAAGTTCAGTGCGCTTCTAGATCTCAATTACATCATGTAGCACGCGGGTATACAATTACATTCACGATCTGAGTTCATACGGAATTGGTAAGCATGGATCCGAACGTCCGCAACAGGACTCGGTTAGCATATCGTGGGTATCTGAGATCCAAGATTACGTTAGGATATATAGATGCTTTAGGCGATGGAAACGGCTTGAGGCTTAATTCTTTTTGAATACAAGGTTGAAAGCGAAGTCTAGATGCTAGTAATGACATCAAGATAAGATTTGCGCCACGACAGAAACAAATGTGCATTTGGTAACCCAAAGTTCTAGACCACAGTTTTGGCCAAATGCTGAATAATGTGTCATTAGCAAACTTTCCACCTTCTGTATCCACAGCTCAATCCGGGGTATGTCATGATAGGCCCGTACTCAGTTCCAGTTTGCAACACCCAATTAAGTTTTGAACGCCCTCGCCAGTCTATATAAGGCAGTAATTCCGTGCCTAGTTTTATCATGCATTGAACAGCCAGCACGTCTTGATAGTTAAACTGCCGGAATTTTCAGCCTGAGAGCCTGAGAGCCATGGACATCCAAAAAGAGATATATCCTCTTCCCCGAGACAAAAATGAGTCTGATCGGTAATTGTCCGTATCTTTCAATAGAGCTTCGAGCTGACCATCCGTCTCGCAGGTTGAATGAGCAGCATGGCTTGATCATGCAAATGCTGGGGGGACCTGTAGCCCCAGGCATACCCAAATCACAGTTAATGAATATTGCAGATATTGCTACGGGTACAGGGTAAGTTACAAAATCAATCATTGCGTTGTGCTATGTATCCATGTTCAGGTAAAATCTCAAATTAAATTCTCTACAGAATTTGGCTCAATGAGGTCCAAACCACCCTCGGCGACATCCCGGTTAACAAATCGCGGTACTATCATGGCTTCGATATATCCGATGCCCAGTTCCCTTTTTCAACAGAAGAGGTACAATATTCGATCCAGGATGCTCTCAGCCCTTTCCCTGCGCAGCATTTGAATAGATACGATCTTGTTCATGTCAGACTGCTTGTTGGAGCTATCCAAGCCTCCGACTTTGAAGTGATCGTCGCCAATTTGATGAAACTGCTGAGTAAGCATTTCTTTTACTTTACGGGGTCTCACCGTCGTAGTGCTTCAGATGCTGTTGGGAACTTATAGAGCCATTGTGAGAATTAATGGCTTACCACATGTTCTACCCATTCTGGATTTTATGGATGCTCAACGCAGACAAGAGCTTGGCTTACCTAGGACGTAATCATGCAGGACCCCAAGGATACCTACAATGGACCGAGATTGATATCGATACATTCCTTGAGGGAAATACAAAGAAATACCCGGAATTTGCGGATATGGTACAGCCCATATTCAGCTATGCGGAGCGTCATACGATGAGTACGCGCCCGTCCGAGCAAGTACGCCTTGCATGCGAAAACACCGGCCTGGTCAATACTATGCGATATACAAGCTCAATTACTAATTTCCCGGACCTGAAAAATACTTTGCAAAAGTGGCAAATCAGATTGTTTCGCACTTTGTTGCCGCAAATCTTTTTGCGATCGGGGATAGCAGCTGACGAGGACGCCGCAAGTTGTATGACTCAAAGCTGGTCCGGTCGACTTCAAGAGTTATTCTGTGATGGTCTCCAGCCAGGCGTGGAGATCTGCGTGGTAGTGGCTCAGAAGCCGAATGGTGCTGGTGACTGAAAACCCAACTTGCTCACATCTGCACTCGGGGAACGACTTGCAGTGAGAGGAACACTTTCATACAGACTATAATGGGTATGCGATATGGTTGTGCTTGGTAAAGTTTTCATTTCAATTACTTAATCTAGCCGCTTTCCTTCTCTCATCTGCGCTTATCCTCAAGGTGAATAATACCATAACGCCATGCTGGTAATGACATGAAACTCACAGATGCAGCAACAGCCGCTGCAGAAGGCGCAGTTATCAGCGAGGGAGAGTGTGGTCATGCATGAGCTCCATCCAGTTGGAGATCCAAATCACCATAGTAAAAAAGCAAAGCGGTGGATATGAAATTAATGCCTAGTTCCGGCGGTAATGACTATTGTGCAGCCTGGCGGATATGTTTGGAATGCTCTTCCCACAGCAAGCAAATGAGCTCCCTGTAACTTGCGCTGACCTATGCTCAAAGAAGGGATTTAAAATTTTTTACAACATATTACAAATGTCAACGCGTACGATTTGCTTATCAAGAAAGTGTGCTGTCTGCCTCAATCAAATACGTACAAATATTTAAACTTGCTTGTGGATTGGCTGGATAGAAGCAGTCTTCAGCTCTCAGTAGGATTCTTTCAAGAGCCCGTTCCACATAAGTAACCAAGATTTTTGTATCATTGGGATTTAGCATCATAATAAAGTATTAATGTTTTAGTTAATTAATAAAGAATGAATTTTCTACATTTGACCTAAACTATCTCCTAATTACTAATTATTTCAGGGAGTTCAACTCAGGCCGAAGTTCAATTATGCTTCATTGCCAAATTAAAAAAAAACAGTAGCACCATCATATTTCCAGTTTCGCGTCAAATGAGATGCCAAATGTGCGAAGATTATCATAGCATCAAGTACTGCAGACTCAGCAGTATATGGCGTCCTCGAAGCATTTGTATTAGGTTCTTGCCTGCAACGAGGCTAATTGCATGCTTGGCCAGCGTATCTCCCGGGGTTAAAGTTATATTCATCCCAGAGACCATCTTTTGCGGCCATAAGATATCTTTGAGACTGCCATCCAGTCCAGAACCGTTGTTTCATATTGCTCCACCATAGATACATAGTGATGTTGTTGAGGAGCAATGATTGGTGTATAATGGCTTGTTAACAATGTCGAGGGTGAGCCCGGAGTGTGGTATACAGAACAAGAAGAGTGAATTGTTGCAAGGAATCAACGGAAATTGAGGCTGCGTCAAGTTGCTTAAATATAAATCTCATGCATATGAGGGTATATGTTGTTGATAATATCAGAGATAGGGTGTTGATAATATCAATGATCTCGACGCCGTACTTGAATAATCAAGTCCGTGGGGTGGCGAAAATGGTATTACTGGTGGTACCAACATAGGACGTGCAGCTGTCTCAAATATCCGTATTATTTGTACACGTAGATACTGGAAACGGAAGATATGTCACGGCTGGCCTTCTCCAATGAGATTATCATCTCGGTCACCTGCGTGACATCCTTTGTCCAACCGACAAAAGCTCAAACCCATTGTAATTATTCCGGTACGCGTTTACTGTTATCGGACCTGGATTACAAACGCGGCAAATTTCTGAATAATGAATGACAATGTCTCAGTCCGTGGCCAGTCAAACGTACCGCAGACGCCTGGGTTGTATCGCTGAGTTGCGAACATTGCTGATCTGCTTTTCGGGACCTAGTCGGCTACAGCGAACCCAGAAATCTCGAACTCAGAGACTCTGTTTAAGTGTAATATGAGGAATGGACTGACATGTGGGAATGGTTTGGTGATGATCCTCCCAAGTAGGTGAGTCGGAATTTCCTGGTCTTCTACCTCCATTCACCAGAGCTTGATTCATCTTTCTGATCTTTTCATCGAAGTTTAAATTGAATGTTAAGATATAATAGAAAAAAGAAAGCTCAAATGTATTTCTTAGACTGTATACCTCCTTGAAGACTTGTTCCAGTGAAAAAACTGCCCGATCGGCAGATGGAAACTAGACATATAGATGCAAGAATTCCAAAAGCCTTGTAGTGGGAGGAGCAAGGATTGTAAATAGCTCAATACAAACGACGGACGATCGGGGTTAGCATAAGAGTAGAATCGGTTAGCCGTGCAAGGTGCCTGATAGCCATATGGTGAGCCGATTATATTGATACAGAGGCTGCTTTGAATCTTTCTTACCCATATCAGGAGCATAGAGATGAAGAAAAGTAAAGCACGCTTTGCATAAGGCCAGACGATGGCCTGTGCATTAGTCACACTTGACACGGAGGAACGATTCCTTCCATGTGAACTAGGAAATGTGCCTTGAATGACAAGATGTCAGTTAAAAAAGGAGGCTCTGCTTTGCCGTATAGCCAGCTTGATCGCAACACAGGGTCCGCGAACAACAGAAAATTAGGTTGCGCACCTGATAAGCTAGTACTTTGGCGCGTAAGATCACTACTAGCGTCGTGACTTGGCATGAGTCGACGCATAGAAGACCCAGAATTGCGGCCTAAATGCTGTTCAGGCGACTCTGCATCGAGCACAACTCTCTGAAGGTCCTTCCGACTTTGAAGAATTTGACGGCCAGTCCAGATATATACCCCGATGGTCAATATGTTCGCAATCCAAATGGGTACATAATATACAGCCAAATAGAGAACGCGCCAATCAATACTTACCCAGCACCAAATCTAGCAGTCGAGTCAGCCTCATGTGCACATAAGCATGCCCAGACATTGAGTTTGCTCACGAAAGCTGATCCGTATACCTTCCCCATTGTGCTGGTTTCGATAAATAGGAAGACAAATGCCGGAACGAAGGGCGTGCCATAGCTGAAGAGGAAGTACTTCCATTCAAGGCTTCGTAGCATTTGCATATCATATCTTCGAAAGCAGGTCAAAAATATGTCGAATGCCATGCAGAGTGACCAAAATGCATCAGCAGGTGGAAACCTATGTAAGTAATTCACAATAAGCCGAGACTAATGAAGCATTGAATGGAGATAATGACCATTGGATTAGGAACGCTTGGAACTGGCATAGCGCCGAGTCCTCTCCTCGTGAAACCCCAGATAAGGCAATAAGCATGCCTATGTTGGACCAGATATTTCCCCACGTGGCAAAGAAGATGAGTCTTTGGACAGGCGTTTGGTCGTGATTAGCGAAGAAGAAGGTGGCAATGACTGAGCAGGAGCATAATAGTGAAATCGAGGAGCCAACTCGTTCAGTAATCTCGATTGCATGAGCCTGCCCGGCGGTGAATGCCATTAGAGACCGGTAAAGATGAAATCATGCCGAGGCGCTTTAATGATGCCTTATCGGACTTGATGATTTATGGAAATGCTCGAGTGGTGATGACGTTTCAGAGCCGCCAAGTCGCAAATTGGTCAGCATTTTTTACCCGTAATTTACAGACAAGAAACCAGCGTAATGGTAGTAATTTATCTCGTATTAATAATGAAGTAACGTATCTCCCATCGGGCTAAATTCTTCGATTCCGCGGACGGGGAAGCCCACAGTTCCCGTATGAGTATGAAAGTCGTATGTAATACATATTCTGAACTTATCCAGAGATTCTAGCACCATTCTCATGACTCAATTAACTCTTGCTGGATGAGCAAAAATGTAATGCCAGACCAAATAAGCCGCGATGACGAGAAAAGCTCATTTCCATGATTCCATGTATCTTCCCCGGCGGAGGCTTTATCTGCTCCCAGCTAACACTCCAAGTATTCTCGCAGCAGGAAGGGTGGGTATCTAAAGCTTCAGCTGCAGCTGCCGCATCATTATCATCCTCAGAGCTATTGCATGAATAACATTAGCTCGAAATCATTTGTGCAAATCTCAAAACCTAATTTTCTTCAAGCGGAGTCTTTCTTGATGTGGCTGGCTTCTTCATCTTCGAAACATCAGGAGGGTCGGCGACGGGAACAGACTGGATGTCCAATGAGCCCGTGGCGCGATCGAGTCCTCGCTTGACTGTGCACGCATGGACGCTCTTCAGAGCCCCGATATACACACCGATCACTTCGAAATTTGGTCGCAGACGTAGCCGACTGCCTCGAGTGTAAGAGAAGTGACACGGGTTTCAACAGTGGTGGGTCTGGGTATTGCTGGGTAGATAGTATTTTAGGTAAATGAATTGAGCTGCTCAAATGAGGGATAGTCAAATAAAGAGAGGTTCGCCTCTAGAATCAAGTCTTGCTCGTCGCGTCCAACTAGACTAAGCCTTTCTCGCATGCCTAATCATCTTGTCTCGCTATCACTTCAAACCCAGATGAGAACCAGTAACTCCTTAACCTACCCAAACAGAGCTTGGAAATGAAGCTCGACGCTTAAAAGGAGGCATGATTCAACCCCGATTCATTTGGTGTGTCACGAGTTAACCATCCTCCTCGTTGATGGTGGGAAACAATTGCATACAGATTCCAGAGACACAGAGTAAGTGTTTACCTTATTCCACGCTTATGTAGATGAAACCCCGCGCTCACTTGATCGTGCAGACTGGTTTGATGTGTACAGTACGTCCCGAAACTGGTGCAGCCGCCTACACTCTTCGAGTGATTATCTAGCCCCACCGCCAAGAAACCCTTGACTATAGCTCCGGAATATCAATATTCCTGTATCAGTCTCGATACTGTGATTTTACTTTATTAAAATACGGTACCTCGTCTCGTAACTGTATTGGAGATCCAAGGGAACATTGTCCCATAGGGCTGGCATAATTTCACTTTTTTTCTCATTTCAATTTCATTTGAAGGGGTTGGAGGCTGCTAAGTCATCTTGTAGTGAATTTGATTGAGACCTTGAGTGTAGTTCATATCCGATTTGGTATTATCCCCTGTCGCAAGACTTTGACGCTCTGATCGGCTATCACAGGACATTTCTCTCCTATTTAGGACTATTTCGATTTCATGATCTCAACGCCCATTTTGAATTTCCATTCAAGCGGCCAGGTTTCATGAATTTTGAGATTTCGAAATTACATTTTGCCTTCCCTATCGTTCCATGGAAATGTAAACAAGTTAAACTCAAAAGCTGGAGAGAATCTGGCGACCTGTCACTTCCTTCTGCCACTACCATATCCAAGTGACAGTCCGGGGGGCTTACACACCAAACACTGCAGCTAGTTATTTAACTCCTAGTAGGCATTGACAAAGACTTTGAAGGTACTGGTGTTGATTCGATAGCGGTGGAGAAACAGCTACTAGCGTGGGCCCATCTGGTCTGTCGAGCAAGGCTTTTCTCAAGGCTAAATCTAAGAAATGGTGGCTTAGCAGCGAAGCCACACCGACCCCTCGTGCTCGTTCAAACCCCTCACCAACCCTCGATAAACTGTCGTTCCAATCCTATCTCGTCTAGGTATGAAATACTGACTGTTGTTACCAAAACGTGTTTGTCACTTCTTCCAACCCGACTTGTGTATCTAGTAATGCCGGGATTTTTTGCTTCCAAATAATCTCTAGTTTCGTTTGCTGATTGTCCTTGAATATTTTCAGATCTCTGCCACGTCTTTACAATACTTGATATAAGGACCTATTCTCCCTCAGTATGGAGAATACCACTGCTGCAAATCCTGCTCGCTATGGTCCAGAAGTTGAAGGTAACATCAAGGTCGTCGACAATGAAGGCTCACAGCCTCTCAAACCTACCTCCTCAAATGAGAAAGTCTCCTCCTCAACCTTGAAAAGCCCACACACAGGTGCGAAAATCCGATACGTTTGAGTATTATAATCTATTAACCCATATTATGAAGCCTATATGCCCCAGTCAGGTAATGTTGAGATTCACGGCCAGGCTACAGTTTATGGCTCTGCCACTGTTCATGGCCCAGCCACGGTTTATGGCCCAGCCACGGTTTATGGCCCAGCCACGGTCTATGGCCCAGCCACGGTTTATGGCCCAGCCACCGTTCATGGCTCAGCTATGTTCGAAACCCGAGAGCAACCTCACTCCGTGTTGAAGGAGACCTCGACCTTGGGGAACATTCAAGCTGATCTACTCATTGGCCTCCGTGAGCTTCCTCATCCATTGCAACTAGCGTTCTCCGTTTATCTCGGCGATAAGATATTCGAGAATATTGTTATTGAGCAGCTTGATCAGCTTCGAAGCAACACACAATCTCGGCAGAAGAGTGCTCAGGAATTTCTCAGCTTTGTTGGGTCCTTTTTGGGAGAAAGTGACAGAGACACCGAAACCAGTGATGCTGTCAATCCGATTACAGGTATTACAGACCTACCCGAGCTACTTCAAGAAGCTATGGTTCCGTACTTGAAAGACGAAAGGACTAAAGTGGAATTCACAGAGCAACTTGGTAGGCTTCAAAACAATCCACAACTCCAGCAACGGACTGCCTCAGAAATCCTCGACGTACTGGCGTTGGAAGAAGAAGAGGGAAGCCACGAAAGTGGTCCAGCCAAAGATTCCGGACAAGAGGACCATCTTCACACTTCCACGCCCGTCGGGGTTAGTCATCCAACTGAAGGTCTCGTACCGAGGGGCAATGAACCGTCAGTTTCAGGTGACGACGCGCGCAATGACCATAATTTGACCGTTGACGATACGCCTCCTATGCAACCCGCACGTCCTCACGAAAAGTTTTTCGACTGGGCAACGTACAAGATTCATCAACTTGAGGCGAAACAAGACGTCCTGGAAAACAAGCACCTCGTCACGCTAGCGCTCTACGAGTCCTTCAAAGTGAATGTTGAAGCGCAAGGATTCAACATTGGCCTAGAAGGCTTCGCGAAACTTATTCGAAACTGGTTACACAAAGAAGACTTATTGGCATTCTACCGGTCATTGCCGCGTATAATCCTCCTACCGTTGGGTGATGCAGATGACCACGTCGACAAGCAACGTCTTGAGAAACTAGATATTGAATTATTCGACACCTCCAAATTTAACGGCTTCGATAGGCGCCTGACTTCACTTACTTATGGAGACAGCAAATATGGGGCTATAACAGTCTTTGAATTGAAGAAGGCAGATGACGGGATGCCGAAAACAATCCGGCCGAAGGCAGCGATGAGAGAAGTTCCCAAAATTATACTGAAGAAGATGGCGGAGGGTATAAAAGGTGGAAGCAAGACGACACTAACGATGCCTCATCATAAGATCTGGGAGGTGACGGAGCAGATAAAGATCAAAATGAGGAGGCTGCCAGTCCTGAAACCGAACCTCGGGACAATCGACAACGATGACAGAGACTGTTCGATTGGCGACGCCTTGAAAGATGCGCTCAGCATAGATGACGAGAACACACAATTGAGTAGGGTTATTACGACAGTTCCACAAATGATTGCAATGCTGCATCACAAGACAGAGCTGATTGAAAACATCGAATCGACGGACGTGACAACGCCCGTGATAGAAAGAGAGGGTCTGCCGTGGGTTAGAATGATCGATGGGCCAGACTTAAATGGACATGCACATAATAGCGCTGGATTTTATGTTATTGTGTTGGGGCCAGCCAAGGGAAGGTGGGTGGAAGCAAAGCTTGAATGGAAGTGAACTTGATCGCAATTTTTTTTCTTCTACAGTATGCTACTGGAAGTATAGTATATATGGTCAAATATCAAGTTATTATTAAGGTAACATAACCGGCGCATTTGACTTCGCCCTCAACTTGAGTCGAGCGACTCAATTAATAACCTGCGCTTGGCGGTGGGGACGGGAGAGAGTCTCTCGGTGTCTGTCAGTGATGTCAATTTCGAGAATCACTGTATTCGTAGCTACTGCCGGGGTTTAAAATACAACGCGGTTCGCAATGATATCTGGAAAGGAATCAGTTTCAGTCAGCCAGTGAGGTTAGTCCCGAACTTTGCTGCCGCAGCACCGCTATACTTCTATAGCTAGGCCAGCGCGCCATAAATTTCCCTCCGCGCTTTTCTCCCTCTTACCAACAACGTCCATACACCATTTTAGAAAGCTATCAAATCCTTGATCTGGATATTCTTTGTAGGATTGCCAACTACGCCGGATAAAGGCCTTGGGCTCAGCAAAAAGCTTCTCAATAGGATTCAAATCTGGACACTTGAGCCGGTGCGGTACCAAATGGGGACCACCCCCTTCGCCGGAAGCCTAACCTTTAATCATATCCAAATTCATCGACGTAGACAAGGTGGTAAGACTTGAAGTCAGCGATAAACCGATAGTATTCATCCCGAAGATCAAGGTTGCGTTCTCAGGCCTTAACCCAAGCAGTCTTTTGTTTTTTTGACCAGCCTTTGGACTTAAGGGCGCGACTGATACCAGATTTCGTTGCTCGAAGATCGTCCCAGTAGAAAAATCCCCATCTCGTCCAGATATAAGGTATACTTTTCAATCAGTTAGTCAAACAAGGCTTCGAGCATGACTGGAGTGATACTACGGAATCGTCCGCCTTAATTGGCCGTGCTCTGACGCTGCTAAATATTCTGATATTGGAAGAGATTCTCGAGATGGTGCTCGTATCGCAACCAGCAGCCAGTTCTATCTTCTTTGGAGATAGTTCGCCACCGTAGATCATGTTATAGATAAGCCATCTTTGGCTGGACCACTCGTGTTTTGGAGGTGGGGTAAAAAGGTGTTAGATGAATTGAATTTACAAGTGAATACATGCCTGAAAGTAATATGTATTCTACGAACGAAACAATACACTCGGAACTTACAGGGGAAACCGGAAGAACTCCAAATATAGACTAGCGTATCTCGACGCAAGGGCCAGGAAAGTTGATCGAAGAATAGGTGGTTGCACCAGTTTCGGGACACACTGTACAACCAGAACGTATAGCCGATGACTGGATTTGAGAAATTCTCGATCATCGCTGAAAGTAGGGTGACTAAGCCTTCCATTTTCCAGCGAGGAAGAAATTATCGGTCAAGAACGGGTCTCTATTCAGGTGACAGAGATAGAGGTGGATGAGTGAACCAATGTCATTTGCAATTTCAAATGATTGACTTTCAGTGCGGAAGTTTTGAGAATGGGAAGTCAGTCTAAGGAATTAGTCACGCAGTCCATGCGATACAAATCTATGACGCCGACAATTCTTAGCCAGCGACAGTCCCAAATCCTTCCCTAATCCTTCCCAAGAACACCCTATCAACCCAGGAGTCAGGGGTAACAAACTCTTTGGAAGGTTGGAACCAATATTTGGATTGATACGTGGAGCTTTAAAGTATCCATGTCTCAAGCCTCATAAGCACCAACACCTTCCTGTCTTGGAAACTACACTTCGGACTTGCGTTAATGTCCCCACAAGCCTCACAGATTTCAAGAAGTTGGCGGGTAATTTGACGCGAGAGATGGTAAACAATGGTGGGGCCCACCAGAAGGGAAAGGTAGCATTACAAAAATAATCACCAGCTCGGAGGAAATGAAAGTCCAAGAGCTCTTCTATGCAAGCGACCCACTCTAGCTCTTCGGCGGCAATTCACCCCCCTGGTCATCGGTGGAGACACTCGTCCACCATAGCGCACGATTACAGAGTGGATCTGGGCCAAGATGCTGGTATTAATCGGCCGATGGGGCAGCTGTGGATGACATTTCCCCGGTACGAAGACGTAGGCTCGAATAGCAGTGGCCCAAGTGCCACTAGTGGAAAGCAGACCTGAACGAGTCCATGCGTCTACAACCCGATCTTCCCGGCCCCATGTGGCGCCGGACAGACAACCCCATTTTGGTTTGGGAGGTCAAACATTCTTGGAGGAAATGTGATATAGGTGATACGGCTATTGTGGTTGTAGCCTGCCGAGGCTTTCCAAGGTTCGGACGTCAATAGTTTATCCCGGCCCGCTGAATCAATCATCTCAGCGGCGAATTTTCCTTCAACGGTTCTGTATCAAGCCGCGCACGTGCGTTACCAGGTAGATTGCAGTGGTGGAGTCGCGCCCCTTGTGGAAGTTTGACGGGCGAGGGTGCCCTTACGATAGTCCGGAACCCCTGTGGACAAACCCAGGTGATACTGGGTCATGCGCTGCGAATTTAAGTGAATACAAGGCAGAATGCACCGTGACAGAGCTTTTCATGGGTCAGCTCAATGAATTTCGATGTAGACATGTACTTAGCCCCATCAGGCGTGACGTGAGTCAATGCTCTGCAGGCGGAGCTATGACCATATGGGTCGATCGGCGAGAATCCCCAGAGCCCTGGATAACTTCGAGAAGCATTCGGAGAATTGTCGAACAGGAACTCACTTCGAAATCTAGACGATATCCCGTTCCATGGATATCGATAAACCCAAAACAAATCTTATGAGGTCAGCGGTCTGAACTCAACTTAGAAAAGAAACCCCGAATATTCACCATTCTACCATGACACGACTGCCTAGAACAAGGTCCCTACGTACAGGCATTTAGTACCGAGCCTAGGCGAGTGGCTTTGCCATGTCAGCCCGGGACTATCTCAACATGGCATCGGGGCCAACCCAAAGCCACATGGGAAGAACATGCGATGATGGGTGGATCCGCTCCCCGGATGAAGTATGAGCCAGCCATTTTGGCACGTTTACCGCATTGGGTCCACCTGCTCTAACCATCTCCCCGGCGTTTATCATCATTCTTTAAAAGCTCTTCTTGATCAAAATATACTATAGTTCCTGTCGGCAGATCTCGACCGAAGATCACTCTGCCATTCTGCCATGCAAACCTCCCGCTGAGCTGTCGCCCTCCGAGAGACGTTGCCATGAGCTTCGTCCCACATCAGGATTATCACGAGTGGGCTAGCAACTCTTCTCGCCGTGAAAGCACGGTCTCAACTTCCACAGTGTCATCCGCCTCCACCAGTATACTATTCCCAACCCCCTCAACCTCCCCCGGGTCCAACTCGCGCAAGCAGTCATGGCAGTTGTATGACGATGTCGTGCGGCTCGAGTTGAACCCCTCGATGACAGTGTACGTGTCGCATCCCACCTTTGCAATCGTGCCTGATCGGCGACTAACATCCCCACAGTTCGTTCGTGAAAAATGGCCAGCTCTTTAAGTTACGCTACACGTTCATTGATCTATGCAAAGACACAACCGGCGCATTGAAATGTCTAGAGCTCGGGGGAGGACTGGGTCAACAGACCCCATTCGTTCATGCCTGTGAGTTGCGCAGGCTCCAATCGTGACAGGTAGGGGGATGGGACTAATTCATCGCAGTTCACAACACTAAACTCCCTGTCCCACATCTCGAACACCCAAAAGAAGACTCCGACTATCCCTTACGCATTACCTTTCTTGAGCAACAAACGATACAAGCCGCCCATGTTGTCTTTATGACACAGTTATCATATAAGTTTGAGAACTGGGAAGGTACGCGACCGTGTCGATTTTGCCCCTCCCCCCTCTTCTCCGGAACATCCGCTAACCGCCTACAGACTGCGTCCAGTTCCAAGAACTCCTCCTAAGCTCTAAAATGATGTTCATCGGCGGTATGGCTGAAGCCAAATCCAAAGGCCGTGGCGAGGAATGCATCAGTCAGAACCTGCGCATCCTGCGAGGCCATAACGGCAAACGCGTGATGTTATTTTTCGCGAATTCCCAACGAGGAGGCCTGAAGCGATACGTGTCCATTCCCCGTGAGTTTCCCGTTCCTATTCACGCCCCTGAGTGTTATTTGTTCCGAATTAATTTTTATTATAGTCAACTGCGTTGCAAACGTCAAGCCTCCGAAAAAGCCCGGGCGACCGGTGATGGTGGAACTTAATCCGAATTTCGAAATCCTATCACAGATGCGGAATTTAACGATCCAGTTTCTCGACAATAATGGTCAGTGCTCCATTTAAACCTTATGAAGTGGACTTACGAATTGGACCATCGCTTACAATTGTCTAGATTGCGCGGACTTTATCCAGCTGCTGTCGACGGATCTTACGATTGGATGAAACATAAGGGGGGAGGGGGACTTTTAGATTATTGTATAGCGGAGTTTACGGCGTGATTAGAAAGTACCGTGTGATACCACCATGCAGCCTTGAGGGAATTGAGACAATTACGATCGGACCATTGAAAAATAAAAAGCAATTTAGTAAAATAATGCGGCGGAACGTGAGAACAAGGGAACGGAACGTGGAAACTAAGCGTGGAGGCAAAGTGGGTCTAACCCTCGCGGTAACGTCTCAATGACCCTGTTACCCGCACGTGGGCGATAATGCAATGATATTGGCCGAAGAAGCATCTCGGGCCCACCCTCCACATTGCATTAGCGTCGACCAGGGGTCGGGGGTCGAGCCTCAACACGGACGCCCCATTGGGTACTTTCTCCATATGTCCTTACTCTTAGCGAAAGGTGCTCCGATGTCCCGATGTACCGATGTCCCAATGTGCCCTGATTGATTATATCTCGGTTCCCGCAGGTTCTCTCTGACGCATCTGCATCCTTCCATCTAGCGGTCCACGCTCTTTATTTCGCTATGGGGAAGTTTCACGCTCGTCTATACAAGACTGACCGTGCGCGGGATTTCGATCATGAGCAGGTATGTATGCTTCCCCAGAAATGGCGGGGCTGGGCTAACCGCATTCTTAGGATCGATATGTTCGCATGCGGCAGATCTACGAGACTATCGACCGCCAGAATTATCAATGGGTTGTCGTACTAGTCGCCGGTCTGGGGTTCTTCCTGGATGGATATACTGTGAGTGGGTTTGAGGATGGGGTTGAAATTACGACAGCTGCTAATGCTACTGTTACCCCGCGATAGCTCTTTGCCAGTAATATGGCCCTTCCGATGATATCCTATGTTTACTGGAAAGATGAAGTCTCCTCGATTCGCCTAACTTGCATCAATATTGCGACATTAGCCGGTACCCTGCTCGGAATGGTTATGTTTGGATTTCTGGCCGACAAATACGGGCGGAAGAAGATGTACGGAGCCGAACTGGTGCTCTTGATCACTGCTACATTGGGTGTGGTCATGTCATCTCAAGGCAAGGATGGTAGTATGGATATCTTTGCCTGGTTAATCTGGTGGAGAATTTGCGTCGGCATCGGCGTGGGTGCGGATTACCCGCTTAGTGCCGTGATCACGTCTGAGTATGTCTTCAGACCCTTTGTTTGAGGATGCACGAAGCTAACCAGAAGCTAGATTCGCTCCGACCAAGCACCGTGCCCGGATGATGGCGAGTGTCTTCTTCATGCAGCCTCTCGGACAAATCGCCGGAAACTTGGTCTCGCTGATTGTCATCGCCATTGCCCGCAAGAATGGTGGCGAGCACATCACCAGTGTTATGGATAGTGCGTGGCGCTGGGTACTCGGCATTGGTGTGGTGCCCGGTGCTATTGCAACAGTCTTCCGTTTCGCCATTCCTGAGAGTCCACGCTACCTCGTTGACATCGAAGATGATCCCGTCACCGCCGAATTCGACGCAACTACCCTGTTCAGCGAACCGTCCATCCCTATGAGCCCGGGTACATTCGAGACGGGTAGCTTCACTACTGTTACCGTCGGCAACGGTATCCAGCTCCCTCCAATTTCGTCCCTTGCAAGCGATTCTATCCACGAAGATGAGGAGTACGGTACGCATATCCCGCCCGCGACTCTCAACTCGCACTGGCGACTTGCCCGCACCGATATCATCAGGTACTTCTGGATTGAAGGGAACTGGCGCACACTGGCTGGCACATCGATGGCATGGTTACTGCTTGATTTCGGGTTCTACGGTATCTCCCTCTCGAGCCCACAGTTTCTTGCCAAAACCTGGGGTGCACTGCACATCACGCAATCTGAGCCGAACTGGATGACGGACAGTCGGCCCGGCGCGAGTGTCTACGACATGTTCTTCGAGACCTCCGTCCGCGGTCTGATCGTCCTGAACATCGGCAGTTTCATCGGCGGTCTTCTCCTCATTCTCTTCGCCCACCGCATCGATCGCGTCGCCCTACAGAAATACATGTTCCTCGCCCTGGCACTTCTCTTCATTGCCCTCGGGTCCATTTTCGTCACCCTCACATCCAGCCCCCCTGCCGTCGTCGCCTTGTACATTCTCGGCCAGATCCTTTTCAACTTCGGTAAGTACATACCAATTTACTTTCCACAAATTTCCAACTAACAGCACCCTAGGCCCCAACGCAACCACCTACATGATTCCCGCCGAGATCTTCCCCACTCGCTACAGAGGCACATGCCACGGCCTCAGCGCCGGCGCCGGCAAGCTAGGCTCCATCCTCGTCCAAATTTTCTCCACCTACTACCGCTTCGGTACCGGCCCGAGCAACGTATCAACCTTCCACCACGGAGTTATCCTCTTTGTTTTCAGCGCCTGCATGATACTCGGCGCAGCAGTGACACACTTCTGGATTCCGCCCCTTCAACAACCCAAGGGTAACAATATGATTTGGGGCGGAAAACCGTACACCCTTGAGACATTGGCCCTTGGTCGTATGGGACGCAAGAGTCGCGATGCGAACCTCAGGAAGAGGTCATCTAGGCAAAGGGCCATGTCTTTTAGCGGATAAGTTTTCCTTTTTCTTTTCTCATATATGGAGTTTTTTGTGCTTGTATCTATGGCATGGGTTGGAAGTTGGGAGGATTTTATCGACTTGATAAATCAAGATTCTTTATGTGAATAATTAAAAAGATACCCCTTTTATTTCCGGTCTTGGACCATGGCTCGTTTTATATCAAGATCATATGGTCAATAGATACATGATTTTGCAAATTTTCACAAAATGCAAATGACTTCAGTTCTTTAGCCATTCTACTTCCAGGTAGAAGAACGCGCCCTTTTCTGCCCCATTCAAGTCTCGACTCTTGGTAATTCCAATGGGATTGATGCTTCCGTCTGCAGGGTGTTAATTCGCAAGGTCCCAAAACTTGATTGGGTATCCTGGTTAGGAAAAGGGCGACCATTACTTGGAGGGAGACTATGTATATCCACGAGACACCTGGGGGTATCATTGCAGGTGTGAACTACCAATTCTTCAAAACCAACTTTCAACAAATTAGAAGGCTACCCTCTATAGGCTTTTTTCCCTTTCAATGAAACAATTTCACAAAGCACACCGGCTGCGTTCGAAAAGACTTAAGTAGCCCAAAGATGGAAGCATAGTGCGGGTTTTCTCAGCCGAAAAGGCGTCAGCTTGTATTGTTGAGGTAACAGACCCATGTCTCCATGCTAATAATACTAGTCCCTAGACTCAGACCGATCGAGTTTTTTTAAAGGGCCGTAGATGATTTTCCAGGACCTTGCTGAGCTCAAGTGATGTCTGGGCCACCACCAAGAAGCTCACTGTGGACGATGAGAACTTCCGCAAAATTTGTTCGCATATGCCATTAGCCAATGGAGCTCAAATGTGTAAACGGTCGATCTCTTCAAATTTACGAAATGTGCGGACTATACCCACAGGAAGGTTCCAATGATTGTTTTATGTCTATGGAGCGCAAGGCGAATCGGCGATGGATAACCTCGTCCTTGGTGTTGGTCTAATTGTACCTTATGTCTCTTCCGCTTTCGACCTTTCCACAATGAGGCTGGTTGTGCAACAATTCACTGTCTTTCCTCATGTAGCCCTCTAGTCAGTCTTCGATAGCTGAATCCTGCGATCTCCACCTCTCTCGTCACTGTCGCTTCTGCTCTTCTTTTACGATCATTTACAATACTGTAAGGTTACAACTGGAGCTCACTGACCAAAGTTGCCAAAAGACCATCATTACCATCAAATTGATATCAATTTATGGATCTCGGTCTACTTATCTCGAAGAAGTTGTAACAAATGTGTAGTAAGATAGATAACATTGAAGCAAACGCAGTGCCCAGGTGGTTGACCGCCTGATCGATGTGATTTCGCAAAATAAACATTAGAAGGCGTATATTTCCAAGCTTCTCCCGGCTATCCAGCTCTTTCAAACAATTGTGACTTTTAGGTAACAATTGGTTTCTTTGCTTTTTATATTTAAAGCCTATTAATATAAATTAAGCCCCAACTTTCATGAACCAGCATCATTGGTCTAGTGGTAGAATTCGTCGTTGCCATCGACGAGGCCCGTGTTCGATTCACGGATGATGCACAGTGATTTGTTTTTGATCGTTCATTTTTTTTTCTGTCCGGCCCGAACACCGAGCGCTCGTATTTCATACCCGACCGAGGAAAGTGTCTCCGAAAATCTAGCTAAAATTGACCTTCGCAAACTCACTAGGAGAGCACTAGTAAGCCCAAACTTCACAATAGGTAGTCGCATAACCGCTCCATGGATGGAATGAATGTAATGATTGTACCTGGTTCGCTCCTAATAATGTGTTTCCACTGACCCACTCGTTTCAATTTCCCCCTACGCAGTGGGGGATGCCATGTCATGAAGAACAAGGAGTGTCTCTTAAGTGGTAATAAGTTTTTTTGATTTTCATCTAGACACGCCCGCTGTCTCACAGCGTTATGCTAAGACAATCACCAGCAGGGAAGTTTGAAGCTTTTAACTAACAATCCGCACGGTATTATCGTTGGTCTGGCTGGGCCTAGACCAGGGCGATTCATACCAGCGCGTCTGCCCAGCCACTAAAATACGCCAACCCGCTACTATAGCCGGAAGAAAGCGTCGTCAGCCCGAAGCGTAGTTTCGGAGTCGGCCACGCAGCCATTCAAGGACCACTCCTGGAAGTGAACCAATCTTTTCGTCGCAATGCTGACGCTGAGTACAACTCTTATTATTAGTTCCACTCTGTTCCTCGCGGGTGGCTTGTCTCCTTTCCCCTTGATCGTTTCCCGGTCCCTACCTTGGTCCATGGCACCATAAGATGCTTAAGTGAAGCCATTGATTGTGTTGTACATCCAGGATGAATCGAGCCAGACGGCAGTTGCTAGGTTGCGTCCTGGTGGCCGTTGTGCTGTTCCTGCTATACAGGCGCCGTCAATCGGGGGCCGATGTCAATGTTCCTCCGCCCGTGACCCCAGAGGCTCCAGAGATTCCTGCCCCAGAAAATCCCGAAGAGCATCCTCATGATGAGACAAAGCCTCCATACCTATGGCGAGATCTACCCTTGCGCTTTCCTCCGACTGTCATAGAGCTGCTGCCGGAAGGATCGCCGCGAGATCTACCCGGGCTCCAAGCTGGCTCTGAACACGTTTCGCGAATTACACTGTGGCATCAACAGAGCAGAAAAGCGGCAGTAAAAGAAGCTTTTCAGAGGTGCTGGAAATCATACAAAAACCTGGCATGGCAGACTGACGAGCTTGCACCCCTGAGTGGACTGCCACAAAATGGACTTGGTGGTTGGGGCACGACGCTCGTGGATAATCTCGACACGCTCTGGATTATGGGAATGCATGACGAATTCAACGAGGCTGTAGAGGCCGTAACTCAGATCCGCTACGAAGACACCCAGTCGCCAGAAATCAATACTCATGAGACCAACACTCGCCATCTTGGAGGTCTGTTAGCTGCATATGATCTGAGCGGCGATCGGAGACTCCTGGATAAGGCTGTTCATGTCGGCGACATGCTCTACGCTGCCTTTGATACTCCGAATCGCATGCCCATAACTCACTGGGATTCACACCGAGCGGAGCGCCAGGAAGAACAGCTGGCAGAGGAGGCGACATCTCCGTCTGAGGTTAGCTCGTTCGTTCTGGAATTTACGAGACTATCTCAAATAACAGGTGATCAACGGTACTCCAATGCAGCGCATCAAGTCATGGTGAGACTTCAATTAGCGCAGGATATGTCCAAGCTGCCCGGGATGTGGCCTGTGGTTTTAAACACGCGAGCAAACATGGCTGACAGCGATAAGTTCACCATGGGCCCAGAGGCTGACAGCCTTTACAAGTCTTTGCCAAAGGCATACGCTCTGCTGGGAGGTCGCTTATCTATGTACCGGACCATGTACGAGAAAGCCACACGGACCGTGGCAAGCCACAGCCTTTTCCGCCCGATGAATGCGCAGGGCAAGGACATTCTCGTCCCTGGATCTGTGCAAGTGACGATGACTCAGAACGGCAAGCCACGGACACATCTAGAACCCCAGGTTCACCATCGTGCCTGCTTTGCCGGTGGCATGTTCGCAGTGGGCGGTGCGCTCTTCAACATCCCAATCCACCGAAAGATTGCGAACAAACTCGTTGACGGCTGTATCTGGGCTTCCCAGGCCATGCCCATGGGGATTATGCCCGAAGTTTACGAAGCGGTTCCGTGTGCATCGCAAACTAGCTGTCCATGGAATGAGTGGCACTGGAAGCAGGAAGTATGGAAGAAAGAAAATACTGTGAATCCAGACCCATCTCTGGATGCCGATGCTTTCATTAGGGACCACCGCATACCTAGGGGCTTCATCGCTATCCCGGATACTCGGTACAACTTGCGGCCAGATACTATCGAAAGCATTTTCATGCTGTACCGCGTGACTGGTCGCGAAGACCTGCTCGACACAGCATGGGAAATGTTCGAGACGATTCAAAATGCTACCCGGGTTGAAAATGGCAATGCTGGTCTCGTTGATGTCACAGACGACCAGGGCGAAACAGGTCACACTGACTTGATGGAAAGTTACTGGATGGCGCAGACTTTGAAATACTTCTATCTGATCTTCAGCACCCCCGACATTTTGAGCTTGGATGATTATGTCTTCAATTCTGCCGGGCACCCGTTCAAGCTCCCGCGTCTTGCAGAGATGGAGAAGGCGTTTGAACTCCAGTGAAGCATCCTTTCCTGATATTCATCTCTTTCTGCCTCCAACTGTGAACAAAGCCCAATGACCGCCAATGAAAAGGTGGCTGAAGGATGTAATATAATGATTCTACATAGCGTGGGCGTCTTGGACCAGTGCATACCATATCTGGGCGACTTTACATACTTGCTATTATTTTCCTGCAGGCTCGGATTCTGTAATATAATGACCCTATGTGGCATCATTAACCCAGGCCTCTCCATAAGTTGGCTCTAAAGTCTTTCTCGCAACCTTTCAGTGAGGCAATTCTTACAGATTATGCAGATAGAATGGGGAAGCCTCCGCGAATTTGTCTGGTCCTTTCGAGGATCGCCATATCAGTCATCGAAGCATACTAAGCGTCTCCCACTCATTGGCCATGAGCATGGAGTTCCCGAATTACTCCAAAAATACACAAATCTGGCACGATGAGAAATACACGGCGTGACAAGGATTGACCGCCGGACTTCGTTCCGAGATGGAACACGGTGGAGATCTATAGTTTGCTGTGGCTTTGCAATCCTCTGTGTCCGTTTTTTCACAGACTTCTATTACCTATGAGACGGGAAAGATAAGGAGTAATTGGTAAATAAATTTCCCCGACCATGCTAAGGTAATTTCCTAGCTTCAAAGTAGACATAGTCCAAACCCCGGGCGACCTAGATCAAGACGTTCCAGTCTCGGAAATGCTTCCCCGGAATCTTCATTTAAATCAGAGAAAACTGGGGAATTGACGGTTTAATATAGCTCCCATAAGCCCCGTACCGAGACCAGCTGAGATGAACGGGAGTAATGCAAAGCAATCCTAAACCCGGGAGAGCTCTGATTTGTCTATCTGCAGTATTTTCAAATCTGTCACACCGAGTTTGACGAGAAGGGCGCAGCTGACCCTCGCTGTGATGTGAGGGGCCAGAGTGCGGGGTTGTGACAAAAAGCCTTCTCGACTTGGTATATCAACCTCGCCTCAGTCTATTTCATCATCCATTCTATTCAAGATCGCGTGTGAACATGGCAACAGTCGATGTTGAGACCCGCACCAAGGGCCAGCTCACTCCATCGCGAGAAAGAGTCGAGCCTGGCTCATTCAACATTCCTCTTGGCACTTTCCCACAAACATGCTCTGAGACCCCCAAGGACCCTGACAAGATTGCAAACTCTGTGACCGATCAACTAAACAGCGCACTTGGCGAGAAAGATAGTAACGCTGTGTCGGAGCTGTTTATCGAAAACAGCTACTGGCGCGACCACCTGTGCTTATCCTGGGATTTCCGGACTCTCAAGGGACGCGATGCAATCGCCAAATTTGTGACCGAAAGCTCCTCGACTATCAAGACCGAGGTTGATCGCTCATCAGCTTTCAGAACACCCCATAATGGACCCATTGATGCATATGGCGAGGTCCATGGCATTGAGTTCTTCGTCAATGTCACCTCCACCTTTGGGCATGGCCAAGGTGTAATCAGATTAGCACAGCAGGGAAGCGAGTGGAAGATATTTACCGTGTTTACGTCGCTGGAAGAGTTAACTGGCCATGGCGAAGCAGTCACCAACAGCAGACCGGCCGGTGTGCAGCACGGGGGACAACTAGGAAGGACGAACTGGAAAGAGCGTCGCATTCTAGACGAAAAATTCGAGGAAAAGCAGCCCTCGGTCCTTGTAGTCGGTATGTGGATGCTCACTCAGTAAGATGTCACCAATAAACACGACTAACATCAACCAAGGGGCTGGCCAAGGCGGTCTCACTATCGCAGCACGTCTGAAGATGCTCAACGTCGACACTTTGGTCATTGATCATGAAGATCAAATTGGAGACAGCTGGCGGCACAGATACCACCAGCTCGTCCTCCACGACCCAGTCTGGTTCGACCACATGCCCTACATACCGTTCCCGTCCACCTGGCCAATTTTCACGCCTAAAGACAAATTGGCCGACTTTTTCGAGTCTTACGTCAAACTCCTAGAGCTAAATGTCTGGACTCGGACCGAGCTCAAGTCTTCATCGTGGAATGAGACCAAGAAAGAATGGACTGTCGTGCTTGAGCGTAAGAAGGTAGACGGTACCACCGAGACTCGTACACTACACCCGCGCCATGTCATCCAGGCGACCGGACATTCTGGCAAGAAGAATGCACCTACTTTCAAAGGAATGGAGAATTTCAAGGGCGATCGCATCTGCCACAGTTCCGAATTTCCCGGTGCAAACCCAGGCTCGTCTGGTAAGAAAGCTATCGTGATCGGATCCTGCAACTCAGGACACGACATCGCGCAGGACTTTTTCGAAAAGGGATACCATGTTACAATGGTCCAGCGGAGCTCAACCTGTGTTGTTTCATCCCAATCTATCACGGATATCGGCTTGAAAGGCCTTTATGAAGAATCCGGACCCCCGACCGAGGATGCAGATTTGTATCTGTGGAGCATCCCTCCGGAATTATTCAAAACCCAACAGGTCAAAGTTACAAGAGTCATGAACCAGAATGACGCAAAGACCATCGAGGGTCTGGAGAAAGCAGGATTCAAGGTTGACCGTGGACCCATGGACTGTGGTCTTCTGACTAAGTACCTGCAGCGCGGTGGTGGCTATTATATCGACGTAGGTGCGAGCCAGCTGATTGTTGACGGCAAAATCAAGGTAAAGCAGGGACAAGAGATCAGCGAGGTTTTGCCTCATGGTCTTCGATTCGCAGACGGATCGGAGCTGGAGGGTGACGAAATTGTTTTTGCGACAGGTTACCAGAATATGAGGACGCAGGCGAGACTTATCTTTGGTGATGAGGTTGCCGATCGTGTTAGCGATGTTTGGGGCCTGGATGCGGAGGGTGAGATGCGAACCATCTGGCGCAAGAGTGGTCATCCTGGGTTCTGGTTCATGGGCGGAAATCTTGCGCTGTGTAGATATTATTCTCGTCTGCTGGCGTTGCAGATTAAGGCGCTGGAAATGGGCGCTGCAAAGTATTAGATGGTGGGTTCAAAATACGATTAGAACTTTTCCTGGTCAGGCGTGCGACGCTGCGGCTCTGGCCGGCTGAGTTATCCCCATTCTTGTGTGAGCTTGTATATCCATTCTGAAAAATCGAGACATAGAAGAGTAAGCTAGTAGATTTGTAGGCGCGCAATTCCCCATGGGGAAGCTGTTGCGTTGCCTTTCTCTACATTCCGAAAGATCCTACAATTATTCAATATTTCTTAGGTATCCCGAATCAAGACGTGCAGGCGGACGATTAGTTAGGTCTCCACCGGACTACCATCGGCTGGGTGCTTATGTTCACTTTTCAAGCGCTAGCCGTCGAAGCTCCGTCTCAAGAGTGGATGATTCTGCTGTGGACCGATAACAGCCAAACACCCGATTACTTATTTCCCTTGAACCATCTAATCCAGTTGCTGCGGATCAAACATGCTCGCATCAATCAAGGCGGGAATATCCCAGAAGTTCAAATCCTCGAATCCCAAATTCGGTATCTACCAAACAATCAGTAATTTCAAATTATTGTTGTATTCAAACTTACCATGAAGTCAGAGTCCAAGCTTGACGCAATGGCACTCTCAGGCGTCCAACCATTCGGCCCACCAGCAGACATCAACAAGGCCCCTTCCTTCTCAGAGACCTGGCATTGATCGATGTACCTCTGAAGTAGGATTCGACAGGTTTGCATACCATCCATGACTGCCTTCCTGATGTGAATCCACGTCGCTTGTTCCCCACGAGGGACGGCGGTGATCTGGGCAAGGATTCCACTGAGCAAACCATAACGTTTCATGCTCGGGATCCCCGCTTCCAAGCTCTGGTAAAGCTGCTCTTTGATCCGCTCAAGAGATTTGATGGGAGGGGCGCGGGAGGCTTCAGCAATTTGATCGATTGGGAAGGGGACAGTGGCCGAAGGATATTGCGCGACTTCTTCTTCAAGTTGAGTGATGAGCTCTAGACCAATCACGACCATAACATCAAGAGAAAGGTGGCCTTTGAAGAGACCTGCACCGGAAAGACAGAGGCGTTGGAAGTCTTGGTACGCGATCTGGTCGCTGCTTGGGGAGGCTTCAGGGTATTCGGCGTATGAGGCGATACAGAGGGCGGAGTCGAAGCTGAGCTTCCGGGATAGGTAGAACCGCGGGTCTTTGATGGCTTGTATAGCGAATGGACGGTAGAGGTTGAGCAGGAAGCGACGGAGGAGACTGTCCATAAGTCGATGGTGGAAGGGGGTTGGTCTGAATCCGCTTCCGGCAGTGTGGGAGAAGTAGTCATGGAACGTGGCGGCCATTTCTTTGCAAGCCGCGGCAATTTCGCTGCCCAAGTGTAATGTAGATTCGTAAGATTGTTTATGAGTGGGCTGATTAATGATTCGGGCTATGCGCAGTCGCGCTGGGAAGGACCGAGAAAGGAGGATCTGGAGTGATGAGTTTGTGTACCAATCTTTAGGCTGTGAAGGCGGGAGCGCAGTGGTAGTTTGATCAAAGTCCTCATCATCCAGGTTGGAGGGTGGACTCGTATCAGAGTCATCTACGCTGAAGAGCGGTGGCATGGATGCGTCAATCGAGAGCTGCACATTGATCTCGAGTATAGTAGCCCAGATACGGCGTCTCATTTCAGCGTCGAAAACGGACAAAGTTGAGAAATTCCGCGGGTCCCGGTGAAGCCCTTGATTGACCGCAAGACGCAGTAAGCTCCCAGCCGATATCCAATTTGTCTCCTTGTCTATCGCGTATCCCTGGCGACAGAGAAGCAGTAGACAGTGAACCTGTAAGCCTTCCAAACCCCCAGCTTCTTTCTCCGTTGGACCCGAAAGCCACCATTGTGCCGCATATACCCAGCGCCGTACCGGGATACCGAGCTCGTTCGACGGACCTGGCTTGCAGTGGAAAATAGACCCGATGGCGAGGATCAACAGAAGCTTTATCAGAAAACCGGTTGAGACTGATTGAGGTTCTTTCCAAAAGCAGTCATAGTTCTCGAAGAAGGATGGAATGTGTAGTACTCGATATACCAAGCCCAATGTCCGCAGGTAGTGTTGAATGAGCTCGTCGCAGATCTCCCTCGGAGGCAAGTCGTCCAATAGGTCCTGGGCTGGATTGACGAGCCGCGGTGCCTGTCGGGCTTTGATCGACCGCCGTATCGATCGAATCTCCTTTAGGGACTTGCTAATCTCATCCTGACTTCCGTCCGCGTAAATGGTGTTGCTGCGCACTTGTCTCAGGAGCCGAAACTATACCGAGTCAATAAGCCGAATGTGACAGGCACAAGTAAGAACAACTCACCTGCTGGAACGAAAGAGCCCAATGCGTCGTACCAAACAACTTCGTTCTGCCACCCGTATCTTTCTTCAAATGAGGTGCAAGTGGAGCAATGCAAGTCTGCGGCATCTCCAATCTTCGCGCCTTCGCCTCGGCCAACTGTCTCTCCAGATCGGCAATGTGATCGTCGAGCTTATTGACGTTGGACGATGAACTCGAGTCATTAGAAAGTTGTGGCCTTTGAAGACGAGCGGCATGCACATGGCCCTCTTCTTCCAAGATATGCACACGGTTCTGCAGATGCAGAACAGTGGCTTCCAGATGCGTGATGCGCGCCCCATCAGTGGAGCTGCTCGGGTTAGCAACGCCCCGCGCTCCAGATGGCGGCGACTCGTGCTCGCTGAGCCTAGACGCGTCGATTCTCGCATTCAGGGCTGCTTTTCCTTCGTAAACGTATTCGCAGTCTAAGGATGGTTGGGACTTCGCGCATGGGCCGCACGGCATTTCCCGGTCGCATCGGACTTTGCGGCGGCGGCACTGTTCGCATGACAGTGCGGGTCGGCGACGTTTGCGGGACATTGTTAATAAGGTTTCACGGTCTGACATTCTTAATTAGTCGATTTTTGGTCGATTATTGTGCGACAATAAAGGATTGTAGGGTATTTCAGTTCAAAGTCTGAGTGATTGTCAGACTCGCTGATTTCCGGCAAATTCCGGGATTTTGCCGGGATTTCCATCACCGCTTTAAATGCTGTAAACCTGTAAACCACCGACTTTGCAAAAGCAAGAAGACGAATGCTGGCTAGGCAGTGTTATAACTCACGTTGCTCCACTTCTGTCGTCTATATCGGCGCCGCGTAGCTTATTAAATACAAATATCTGATTGCTAGCCAAAACCATCTAATTAGAAAAGTATTATAGAAATTTTTATCGTGTATTGAGGCTACTTTCCTGCAGATCCGTCTCCTTTGCATTTTAACCTAAGCCAGTATGGCCAAGGTACGCACGCGAGAAGGCTTTTACGTCAAGAGAGCAGATCCAGAGGAAGGGTATCGCGAACACTAATAGCAAGAAGTGATCAGTTCGGGATTGTGCCTGTGTGCCCAAGCCATACGGCCTCTGGTATTCTCACGGCTAAACTCGACTCCCGCATCTTTTATTCAACGTGTACTTCTTTTGGTGCCTCTTTTCTTTTCTCTCGTCTTCGAAGCGTTTGTCCGCGGGCTACTTGGTTATTCACCATCCAGTGACATTGTAGTTAACTGGACCCAAGATGCCGCCGAGCCGCCAGCGGTACGGCCCCACAACCCCACCATTTCCAAGGCGCGTCACTAAGGTAGGTAGGGCTGCCCTAGCTGTTCTATTGGGATTGAAGTCATTGCACGGTCTTCACGTTCAGCTGACATTTTCTACACAGCAGCCTTCGGGAACTTGCCATTTGAGCATGCAGGTCAGCATTTAGACTCCATAAGATGACGTGGAAATAATTACATCTTACAACAGTCAAACCTTCCGTCGCGAGATAAGCAGCTCCTCTACCTACATGTACGTAAGCACAGGGAAATGGGGGTAGGGAAGTCACGATTTATTCAATCCTGTATTTCCATTCAGCTTATAGTACCCTTCAAGCACTAATTAAGCCACCCCTCTTGATACCCAACCCACACGCCCAGCGTAAGAGTCATCGTATACAACCAACACTCCAAAGCCTCACTGGAATCCCTCCCGGTGGAATCCAAAGGCCCCATCAAATCATAACAAACCTGCAACCCATCCAAAATAGAACTTTTCCGAACAATAATATCAACTTCACTCTTCGTCATGGTTGCAATACGACTCTTCCTTTTTGCTTTCCGATCAATCAACAGAAGCAAAAATTGCTCCGCATCCACCGAACCAGCCGGCGCATTCTCTTTACTCCGCTTCTCCCATTGCAAAATCATCCTGCCTGGATCCGCAGGGTCTGTTTCGTCGTCCTTGATTGTGAATCTGTAACACGGTGGTGATGCGTTGGGTCCTGTTGTCCCTGCACTGGCCTGCCAGCTACATCGCGCATTGCGGAAATGTATATTTGATGCTGTGTCGTCGTGACACATTGCCGCAATGATGTCTTTTGCAGTGGTGATATTTTCGGACTCTGGATCTGAAATAGTATTGGAAGTATTCTGCCGTCGAGTCGAATTGGTCATGTAGGACTCATCTAGAGTCGCGTAAATATCACCCGACCTCAATTTGACTCTTTGATGGAAGTCACGCGTCAATTTTGATTTGCGAAATGGCGGCTGCCATATTTCGAGGACTGGGACTGGTCTGTGATTTTGCGCGAGTTGTTGGATTTGTAACAGGAGTTTTGGAGCAAATCGGAGGGACGACTTTGGTGCTGGGTGTGCGATCTGGAAAGTCGCTTGGATTCTTGTTCGAGTGGGTTGTGACGGTCTGGATTTTCGTTAGATGTTGGCGGGTGAATGCTGAAGGGGTAATGCGTACCGCTCTTCGGTTGCCGTGTCACTTTCGTACACAACTGATGAGGAACTCATATTGGGCCCGTGATGCATGAAGATCATACTTGTTCTGACCTGGAAGAAAGGATGTGTTTTTTTTTTCCTTTCCGTTTTTCACCGACTTGAAGCCGAGGCCGTTCTTATAAATAGTTACTAAGTTCTTGGCTATACCTACTATGGGGCCGTATTCGTATCAATTTAGAATATGAGTGCACGAACCATGTGGGGGCACGGGTTTAGGGTTCTTGCACACCACCGATGAGGCAGTGACATTTAATTTTCTCCTATCGATGTCATGCCAATGTTTTTAGCCAATGTTTTACAGTTGCTTGGAATATGACACATTTTACCATTGGCTCCTGGGAGCCTCGCGAAGCTCCGCGAGCCCCGCGAGCCTAGGCAGTGATCGCAGCGATCGTACCCGTATTGAGGAAGTGTTGCGAGGTCGAATCCAGTGTCGTCTCACATGAGGATGAAAAGACGCTTGAATGGGTGCTATCGCCCGGTCGGGAAACCAGATCGTGTCCGTTTACACGGTACAGCCGCAGGGTTCTGGACGTGTTGGCCTGAGGCTTATAGGGTGTGTGGAGCAGTGCAATTGGCAGAAAAAAGGCCGATCAGCCGCGGCAGACGGAAGCTCACAGCCTCAATCCCGATCCTTTGGGCAGAATTTCCAAGCCACAAGCCGGTCAGCACCAAGGCTTACTGCTAGGACGATGCAACTGGCATCAGATGCGAACCGGAAATTCGAAACATTAGATACACTATGGAAAGTCAAGCATCCTTGGTCCCCTCGCAGTCTCCGCGGTCAAGGCTGCGGCGTTTCCATCCATGCTCCAGACCGAGAAGCCGACCGGTAAATACACCTTTAATCGTGAGGATCTGAACAGCAAACCACATGATCAATATAATCAACAACAGCGCAGTCGAAACGACGGCGAAAGCCGGCGACTCCATGGTCTTCCCAAACTCCACCGCCGCATTAGTGAAAACGCCCTGCTTACGATCAGCCTTACGCCCTACGGAAACAAGTTAGGGAAGAACAACGCACCCATGGAAAGATAAGCGACCACACAGCCATGCTGAATTGTGTTTTGCGCCAGCCGCCCGGCTGGGCGCACAGGGTATAACATATGCTGAGAATGGCGAAGCACCACCAGAAGATCCCATAGCCCCAGGTGAGCAGACCCAAGAACTGGCTTGTATAGCCGATCGGGACTGCTGCTTTGGACGTCAAGAAGGTCCCTCGATCGTATGCCGCGAAACTGCCTTTCATGACTGCTTCGCCCAGTACTTGGAGCGCGAACGCACCTTGGCCAAATGGCCCGCAGACGATCATGTCCTGGTACACGGTGTCTGCGGTCGGAGTAAATCCGTTAAAATGCTGCAACAGGATCAGTGTGTCTAGTCCAGCAGCCAGTGAAAGACCCGCGCCAATCTCGAGATACGATATGATGATGACGGGCACCTGTAAACGTGGGCTGATGTGGTCAGAGCCACAGAGCACGCCCCCACCAGCCGCCGTGGTCAAGGCTGCAATGAACGGAAGCAGAATGGTTGGAGGGAGGTGTGATATCCCCGGGGGTTGCAGCTTCAGCTGGACGTACGGAATGCCCAGACAAGCAACGACTGCGAGGCCGGTCTGGATCCACCAGAGGACGTAGAGCGTGAGGCTCGCGCGGCTTCCATACTGGAGCACCGCCAGCTGGGTGATGGAATCGTATGAGATAGGGATGCAGGCTAGACATGATATCTCGACGATATTGACTTGCAGCTGGTTTCGGACGCGTGCCGGGTATACCAGTATGCGCAGTATGTAGAGAGTCAAAAACAGGACAAAGAGGACAATGGTGTATATCCAGACAATCTTGGCGATGGTCATCAGACCTTCGAACTGGTAGTCCAGTCGGTGGAGAAGGATACAAATGATTCCGGTTCCTTGGGGAATGAGGAACCAGTTTGAGGAGAAGTTCCACAACGCGATCGAAAGTGGCCGCTCCGGTCGCTGCAGCGGGCTTCCATTCGCCATCTTGGAGCAACTCAGCGAGTATTGACTCAGAGCAAAACCGCGGCCTCATCACCGGAATAAGTCGTCTCGTGCAAGTGAAGTTGCGAGATCGCGTCTTGACGTCATTTCCCGGCGTTGAAAGGCAGTTTTGAAACAAAGTCAATCTGGAAGTCAAATGAATGTGTAAAAGGTTCCCATCTGTCACATAACAGATGGCAATGCATTGTTCGACATGACGCGAGTCCGCAGAGCAGGAAACCCGGGGGTCACTGGAAAAAAGGATTGATTTGTATTTTCATTTTTTTCATTGTATCTCTGATCGAGTCAATAAAGAATTGTAGTCCAACGAGCTTGAAGATACCCACAAGGTCTCCCATTCTGTCGATAAATGCGAATCAATGCAAATGTAAAAACGCCGCTGAAGTGACAAGGACTTCAGAGCCCGATTTCCCTTGATAATGTACCCGGTGCATTCCCAGCCAGTACATAAATTCTAACCCTGGGCCCTGCCCGGCAAATTGCCAAATCCAATCCCATCCCTAATCCTAGTCCTAATCCTAATCCTAATCCTAATAAAATGCGCCGTAAAATTCCCGTGATTCGTAGTCGTGAAAGGTTCGTAGAGGTGAGGGTATCGATACTACTCGCGGGGCGAGTGGGGTTGAGGGTGGATGTAGGCCGACGCTTCCTCCGATGTAACTAATCTGGGTTAGCTGCGATCTTATCGTGTGGTTTTTGGTCCTACATCGGGACTCGAGATCAACCCGACCGCCCATGGATTCCTGCCGCAGGTGGCTGTAGTTCCGCGCGCGAACTTGCCGCATGTATTGGTGCTGCTCGTGGTTTGGGCTGAAGCGGGATTCATTGGCGGGGTTATAGTGGATGAAGAGTGCTGCGCCCAGAGCGGTAGCGGCCAGGCAACCGACCAGGACGATGACAATGATGGCAGAGTTGCTGAGAACCATTGTGTCGAGATTTTGAACGAGAGACTTGGGGGTTTAGAGATGAGTAGGGTGAGATTGTGGTCAGTACATCGCGGGGACGGATGAGTCGATCGACGGAAGTGAAGGGTGAGCGAAAAAGCCCTCGAAGAGAAAGCGAGATGCGACAAGGAAGAGGAAAAGACCAAGAAAGCCCAGGGCACGGATGCATGTGCTACATAAAGGGAAAATGGGAAAGGCTTACGCCAGCCGGGGGGGGCGATGCCTCATATTTCGCAGTCTGATCAGTGTCTCGCAGTCGCAGCCGCGATTGGCCAAAACAGGTGCATTACTGGAACCCGGGCCGAGCAGACAATCGCTTTGATTTGGCCGTTCTGTTGTTTCCCTACAGTGCAGCTGTCCGATGATCGCTGAATCGTGTCGATCGATTCGGTGTATTTTCCAGGATTTCTCTCCGGTTTAACCGCTTTCCTCACCCCGCTACACAGAAAAACAATCAATCGACTTCGAAACTACCATTTTCACAAAGAGCCTTGATGGCTTAAAATAGTAGCACGCTATCGGCTCCAACTCGCGAAAAGCTTGTCGCGGGGCCCAGCCCCGATTGGTTCGTGGATTGGCCCATTGGCAATTGCGCTGCCTGCTGGCCTGTTTCAGTCCACAACGTTCCCCTCACGATCTACGCTCGGATGCCCACCACTAGGACATGATTCGGAACATTTTTGGGTCTTGGACGGATACCTAGAGAAACTGGCCAACGGATCACCCGATCGACAGTCCATCTCAAATTGAAGATCGTAGGAATTGGAAATTGCTCTCGGAAACAGACATCTGGAAATGAAGCTCCAGAAAGAACCAAGGAACCAAGAACCCGTGGACCTTGGGTTGAAATAGATCAAGATCAACATGCGGGAGACCTACTCACGCCCGCAAAACCCCGAACCCCAGCCATCATCTTTCCTGCATTCCCAAAAAGCCAATCCACGTGGAGAAAGTTTTCTTCTATCGCATTTCCCCACATAAATCCAGTCTCGGGAAATCCGTGACTTCGCATCCCATATCCATTCGGCGATCCATTTCCGTTTCCGTGTTCCCACTATGCCCATGGTTAGCACGCCCCAATAAGAGCCTCGAGTGGAGTGAGACGGGAGAATCATTAACCAACAATTGAGCTCTCAGACCATCTAATGTCGACTCTCAACTGTCAGATCACGCCAGACCCGCCTCATCGTCAATAGCCGTCGAATCGATTTCATCGGCTCCGAGAAGGCGTAGTTAGCAATGCTGCCCGGATGGTCGTGGATCGATGGCACGTATCTTTGATTGTAGCCGCCGAATATTAGAATTGTGCTCATGCACAGGTCGTCTCATTATCATCGTAATCGAGAAAAGCCAATCACGGGCCGTAATTAAACTCCACAGGGGGCGAGGGGATAATTTTTGATCCCTTGTTCGGGTGACCATGGCGCGAAACTATTAGTAGTAGTCTTGAATGCTCTCCCATAATGTGTTGGTACCTATGCTGCAGCGTATATCCGAAGTTTTCCCGGAAGCTCATATCTAGTGTGCTTCTCGGCAGTTGATAATGTGATAGCTCTGACTCGGATTCAAACGAATGACGTACGGCTCTCGGACCATGATCGGGTATTAGTATCTGCAAGGGTCGGTCATACTAGGACATCGACTATTACCGACCTGGAACTTTCAAGGTTTTCTCCCATCCTAGATGGAGATGGAACTTGGAATGAGTCGATGAGTGGGACAAAGAGGAATGTGAATTCTGTACCTCAGAGTGGCGGCAGGCCGGAGCTCCGTGATAAATCCATGTCGATTACCGTCGATGACTCGATCAACTCCAGAAGTATTGGGTGAATTGGGACATAAAATCTCCGTGGTAGCTCGTCATACTCATATATAAGAGGAGAAAGAGAAAGGGTTGGCAAATTATGTTCATTTCCAGGCAACTAACTAGCAAGTGACTCAAAGCATGCGAGACTGAGAGATACGGGCATAGAGAGATGGAACTCGCCGTCTTAATTTGCGGCTGGAACGATCAGCGTATCAATGCACCAAGTCATTTCAATATATACTAGGCCAACCCCTCACACAACTTGATTCGGCAAATCCTACGACTTATCCGTGACAAGTGGGTTTAGCGGAGAAAAGACATCGTCTAAATGGCTGCCATAATGAGTCCGTCGGTCTTGGTCCACGAGGCTCCTTTTCGGAAATTTGATTGGACAAGCTTGCTTTTTCAGGGTCTATGAGGATCCAGCAACTGTTGGATAAAAGATTTGATGTTAGAAGACCGTAATTGCGCCTAGTATCTATATCGCTTTCCATTTTGGGAAGGTATCAGTTGCGTCCACTTAGCAGAATAGTATCTGATGCTTCGGGATGATTCCTCTATTTTCACGACTTTGACATTTTGTGAGAGCGTACGCGGCTTTCACTTCTGCCCTTCATAGGTCAACAACCATCCCAGATGCGTAAAGCTTCGCGCTTGTGTACCTCTTCCATCCACTCATTTGAGACGCGAGAAAGGTACCTTGACAAGTCTCGGTGAGTATTTGCCATTTGAAGATTCTACATCCTAACAAAGCGTTAATTCGGGTCCCAGGAAGCTTTATCGTGACGTTCATCTGGCTTATCCTCACCGAATATGCCTCAGCCATCCACAAGCGCATTTGAGCGACCTCTGAGTGACTCTTTTCGTCATCTCAGTTCAATCACGAAGCTTCGGAGCGAGTGGGAGTTTATCAAATGGTCCCGTGAGCTGAATGACGCTTTTGATCTGATCAATGGTAACTTCTGGGAGATTCTTTGTGGAGACCGACCCATGCCTGCCGAGCCCGAGTACGCCGTAACCTCCCGCGAGGAGGTTCAGCGCTACATCGCTGATCGAGACCGCATCTCAGTCAAGAGAGTGACGCAGCAGGATCTCAACACAACTATCCAGGACCATATCCAGGAGAACGTACGACTCCATGAGAGATATGAGTCAATTCTCGAACTGTGGAAGGATCAGAACTGGCGAGCCCTCTCACTACTGAAGTCCACAGTTGAGTGCGAGTCACAGCAATGCATCTCCGGAATCCGGAATGTCCGCGAGGCTTATCTCAAACTTCTATCCAATTACGGCACCAGCTGGCAGAATGCCGTCCTGAAATGGTCCAAGTGGACCGCGGTTCGATTCGAACAGGACATGACTCCTAAATACTTCGTGATGAGGTTCGAGAACACCCTCCAAGAACTTCTCCTGGTAATGGACCCGACCACCGTTCCATCCATTATCCAGTACATGCAATTTGTCAACTCCATGCGATACCATGAAGGTGCCCATAAGTTCCTTGCGACTGTGAGGCCTGATGGCGATTCCGGCAGTCTGATGAAGACTACATACGAACGCTTCTTTGCTTGTGGGCCTTACAAGCTGTGAGCCAGATATCACGCCCTATTGTGACAGTGTTCCGCGCACGGATAGGCTGGCAAAGAGGCTGTCAGGCCACTTGGAAGCAGCGCACAAAAGGGGTCCTGATGCTAGTGGTGAGAAGGAGAGGACAATGGGAGGATTCGATTTACGAGGCGACAGACAGGCCCCAATTTTCAATATTACTTACCCCAGTTCCAAGGATCTCTACATTCGCATATTCCTAGCAAATATTCAAACCATCAATTCCGAAATACCTATAACTAATCTCCAGCATCATTTGACAATTTCCCTTGTCCTTAAAAGAAACGCTCTTACAGAAACCCAGATCGCTCGATGCTTCGCTAACTAAAAAAAAAAAAATCAAGTCTTGGACCTTGGCTGCCGAAGCATGCAATACAGCTACGATTTTCGTTAGTGAACGAAGAACGCACGTTTCTGTGAATGACTTACCCTGCAAACATCTCCACCCTCAACACACTCAATCTCCTTGGCCAACTCGAATCCCATCTTCTCATAGATGAGAACGTTGGGATACCCCTTCGAACTCTCGAGGTAACATGGCATCTCCTCCGCATCCGCCTTGTCCATAACGATGTCCATAAGTCGCTTTCCAACCCCCATGCCACGAACAGCAGAGCTGACGCAAAGGACGTTGCAGAAATAGTACCCGCGCGGATCCTTCCAAATCTCCTTTTGTGTCTCCCGCTGCACCTGCTTATAGACCCAGTACCGTGAGGCATTCAATCCACCACGGCCCCAGAACAGGATATTGTTCATGAGTTGTCGGAAGGATAGGAGCCAATCTTGCGCCCACACAGACCAGGTCTGAGGCACAGAGACCTCCCGAGGGGAACACCACCAGCTTACCCCGACGATGCTACCCGCTGGCAATTTTATCTCGTGATCGGTCTTGACTTCGCTGGCAGCGCGGCTTACCCGGGCAACAAACAAGGGATCGTCGCAATTGATTGCATATCGGAAGTGTGACGCGAGAGAAGCTGCGTTTCGTTCGATGTTGAACTATCGACCACGATTATTACTTGTCCGTTGTTGCGCCGGGGCAAAGGTGTTGCTTTGAGAAATGGCATCTCGTACCTTTGAAGGTTCGTTGAATACCCATTGGAAGTAGGGGTCATCGGAGAAGGCTCTTTGCAAGCAGTCTACGGCACCGGGGATATCGGCCTCGGCCAGTGGAACAATTTCGATTGACATGGTCTGTACCTTACCACTACAGTCCACGGTCAAGTGAACTTAACGGACGGGTTTAGGTATCGATATCGTCCGATTATTGTTTCTACTGGCTCTGCGCAAAGGTTGGGACAGCGATATGGTATAGACGTGCGAGTGGAGCCTTAGTGGATAGAGAGAGAAAACCGCCATCTAAGGGGTATTGGAGTGGTGCAGATCCACTGGTGGTGAGGAGAATAGGAGAGAGGAAGAGTAGTCTAGGGGATACTGGTGTGCCAGTCAAGGTGTAGGAGTGAAGTCTTGGATTTGAAGGTTGAAGGTTGAAGGTTGAAGATTTAGCTGAAGTTATTCAAGCAGAGCAGCAGGGGGCTGATATAGCTGTCCCCGGTCCGCTTCCTTTCGTTATCAGGCCTTATCGCGCATGCGCTAGAGAGCGACACCTCCCTTACCTGTCTAGGAAGCTCCACCCGGCAGAGGGCGCCAGTCCAGCACACACGTCGTACAGTGTCCCTCTTGGCGTGTGAGACTCTTGGCTACCGACCGTAAGCGTACGAGCTCCCCAACAAAAGAATGTAAGGAGAGGGACTTGGAGATTGGGAAAACCGAATCCATTCGACAACCTTGAGCCGATCTCCCTATCTTTACAAACGCGGGGGTCGGTTGCATCGGATTGTCCACGAGGTGGGGAGGCTAATCGCCATCTGGCAGGTTGTTGCGGGAACCCATGCGCATTGGTTCACGCGAGGCAAAGCGGGTCTCCGTCTCCGTCCCGTGGGTTAGTGACAGGCTTTGAGATCTGGCTTGTTGAGCAGTTGGATGGAAGTCGATCCTGGTCGAATATGAAGCTGTAATGGGATATTCCATGCTGGTAGTCTACATAGCGCGTACTTTATCTTTATTTTTGCTGGTTATCTGATCTGCTGGGGCTCCGGCTAGCCACGGATCGCTCACAGTACCTGGGCAGCGGGGTCTCTGAAAACGATAATCTATTTGGTCGGATAGGTCTAAGCCTAAAAGGGGACAGGGTGCAGCATTGTGTTTTCTTGGATGATTACATCTGGCTCTGCCACGAGTACGCAGGGATAGTCGGTGTGGATTATTCTAAATGTAGAGAGGCGATCAGGTTCTCTCGCGACCTTGTATCCGAGTTACTCCCGAATATCAAGGTCAAGATGTAAATATTAAATGAGTTTGAATAATGGTCGTGGTGAGGTCGAATGTATACGTATACATTTCAAGGCTAGGTGCCGATGGGGTTTCTCAATTATCAAGCCGTTCATTCACTCCGTGTTTGCATCACACTCATCAACATTATCATAATCACCCCAAAGGTCCTTGAGATCTTCCACTCGCCATGCCGTAGCCCAGCCAGTCTCGCGTTCAATCCGGATCAACGTCTCGACGATGGCTCCATGTTCAGAGTAGTGTGACATCACCTTGCCAGCAATCCAGAGTGGCTGAAGTGCATTAGTCCAGCAGCCACTTTAGCGAGAGAGAAATTAGCTTGATTAGATATAGATTGTTGACTTGGGTAAGTCATTATGAACGTACTGGTGTGCGTTCGAGGCAGAGATGGCACAGATCTGTCGCGCATGCCAAAGAAGCGATTTCTAGTAATTTAGCGAAAAAAACATCACTCATGCAAGGGAATAACTTACCGGTTTTTTTGACAGTGACAATGTTTTGGGCTTTTGCTGGAGCAACAAAAGGGCGCTCACATGGTATAGTTGATTTCCCGAAACTGCACCCATTAGCCTAGATCTTTCGGTACCGGGTTAGCAGACATACTGGCATCTCCATTCCCATACAACACAGTCGGAAAAGGCTGTCCCCGTCCTGCGTAGCCCGGTGTTGCGACAGTAAATATGGGCTTCATCTGGCTCGGTCGGTACTCATACCACTGCTCGACGTGGCCAAAGAGTTCTCTCCATCGATGGACGTATGAAATACCATCGCCCTCGGGTATTGACTGGCACGAAGTACATGGGTGAGATGTCTTTGATCCAAAGAGCACGCTGAGAGTTTGCGCGCAGAGATAGACTGTGTAGTTTGCATAGGTGTCGAGGTTGTTCTTGGCGGACAAGAGGAATAGGTTCGATGCCTCAATGCAGCTCATTTCTCGGGGTCGCCAGTTGTGAATTGGTATTATCGTTTCTTCTTCTGATATGAGACCACCACAGACATCTGGATCAACTTTAGTAACTGAAAAGAATAGTGAATCTATATAAGCTTGCTTACCCATTCTTGCAAAGCACCAGAACAATGCCTGCTCTTCCTTTCCAGAGAACCCGTTGATACCAGCAGCTTGAATGAGATATGCACAGCCTTCCAGATGACGCCGCCATTCTTTGGGATTACCTACCTGGTTTAGTGACTTGATGCTATATCTGGAGTTTGTCAAAACTTACAGCTTAGCATCTCCAGAACGCACAATATCACGCAAGAGGCGATGACAGGTGTTGTCTTACTCTCCAACTCAGGCAGCAAAAGGTGGATGGCCTCCTGATAAAGGAAGAGGCTCTCAGATTGTGACTTTTCATTTTGTTGTCTCTCGAGTTGTCTTGCAGACAATGCAAGGCAAGAGTAGCGCAGGTGGGGCGCGTTTTTGGCCATTTGCGGGAATGTAGAAGCGAAGTGCCGATTGTTGTCGAACATGTCGAGCTTTCATAGTCAGTTGACCTCCATAATAGTTGTGGGTGGTGTGGGAAACTCACCCAGGAACAGATCTCATTCAAGTAATTTTGCCATAAGATGTGCTCCCTCTCCGGTGAAAGTTCAAAGAACCTGCCCGGCCTCGACCGACTGGGCCTCCTTTCAGCCTCTGTGGATGAATTCGCATTACTGAAAGCACTAGGCGTGCGGGCCTGCGGTATAGATGCACCTGAGCTCCGGCGGATTGGCACATCAGGCCTGGCAGTCCACAACTGGCGGTTACGCAGAGTTGTATGCAGTGCTTCATAGGCTGAACCCGGCAGAAAGACGTCGTTGTTAAAGTCTGCTGGAACGGAGAATATGCTATGATCAAAAAGAGGGGGCGATGGACCGGCTTGATAGGAATCTGCAACAGACGAATGAAACTGACTACTATGGGTCAGACTTCTTAGTGCAGTGAGGTCGTCGATCACATATTCAGGACTAGAGTTGAGATACGCGTGCGATGAGGCGTCATCTGGTATAGATTGTTGTTGAAAATCGCAATTTATATTTGTCGAATAGGGCGTCTGGTCATTTGCATCAAGTTGATGGAGATGGGTAATATTGTCGTCAATGCTCTGGTGGGGCGAGGGATGGCTATATTGCGATAGGTGAGATGAGGCGTCGCCGGAGAGTGGCGGTGACAAAGCTTGCCCGATATCAACATTCGCCCTTGGAATATGACTAGCAGTCTGAGGCTCAATAGCCACGTAGGCGGGCCCACTATTCACAGTGTCTTGAGACGGAGGCGATGTAGAACGAGAATGAGAAATAGTCTGTGGCCCCACTGGATGTATTGTATCACATTGCTGAGTGGGCCCTCTTGCTCTAGATGCAGTTGGAATGGAATTCAGAATCTTGAATCTACTCTGGCGCTTGTTCTTGCTGGAGTCCACACCTTGGCTCATAGACGGATGATCGGACTCCAGCACCTTGATGTTGGCATCACGAAAAGAACCCAGCATACGCCATTGGCACTTATCACCTCGACGCTTACAACCGGTGCAAGTAGGCTTAATCTCGTCGCACTTGCGTCGCCTGCGACTACAGTTGAGACAGCCATTTCGGGTGCGTTTCTTGCGCTCATTCTGACTCTCAGATTTCGTGTTGCTAGGAGCCACTTGTGGCGTGCCATTCTCGTTATCGATATCCATCGAGGAGTCAATCATAAAGATGTCTCGCTTCTGTTAGAATCACCATCCTGGGAAATTCCTAGGGATCGTGTCGGGAGTGATGGAAAGGTTGAATCTGATGTAGATGAAATAAAATTGCCTGAAGAGGAGCTTTTAAGCGCCTTTTTCATCGAGACCCATGCTCCACTCGGCGACTTTTTGTTGGTTGGGTTCGCGAGTCTCGAGCCGAACGCGACGCCGTGTGGAGATTTATCTTGGCACTCGCGGGGTTTCCCCGAGTGGAGAGAGCTAGCTTGGGTCACCCGACACAACTAAGGGAAATGCAGGAGAAGGAATCCTGACTATTCGAGTGCCGTAAATTGTTAATTCTATACTGGACGAAAAGGGATTTCTCGGGAGAATCCCTAGGTGTTTCAACGATGAGGCCATCGCATTTATTGCAATTGCCGACTCTTCCTAGCTTGAGATATAGTGGCTTAATTTCTACTCAATATGTTCAGCATCGACAGCCTCCAAGTCCTTTCCATTGGCCACTCGGGTCTCGACATCGCCGGCCATGCCCATCGATGGGTGCCAGTGAAGCTGAACCTTCTCACCAGTGAATAGACGATCGATCTGCTCCAAGGTGAGGTTCCGAGGCTCTGGGTAGAAATAGTAGATGAGAGGGAAGAAGCAGAAGTTGAAGACTGCAGTGTAAAGTCAGAACTGTTCAATAAGATCTTGAATCGGGGAACACAAACTGGCGAAGTAAATGTAGGTGCGGTAGCCGATATTGTGAATGCTGACAGGCGTAATCTCCACAACCAAGAAAGTGCAAATCCCTGCGACCCTGTTAGAGTAGTGTGACAATTGAACAAGTTTGGAATTGCATACAATTAGTTGCTGTTGCCAAAGCAGCTGAGCGAGTTCGAATGGCAAGAGGAGAATACTCCGCGGGCACTGTAGGCCGGTTAGCAAACCCCATGAGAAGCGTCTTGGGGAATTAGAACATACGTAACCAGGGAATGGCTAGAAGACCAACTCCGAAGAAGAAGTTGAACAAGAACAGCATTACGGTCGCGACTAATCCAGCGGCGTGTCCGCCATCCCATATGGTTCCTGCCAGGATGGCCATGCACGCACCTTGACCGAGCACAGCAAACATCATCAACTTACGACGACCCAGTCTATTAAAAGTCAGTCATAGCGCATTGGTTTTCATCTTATGATTCATACCGATCTATAACCCAAATAGGAACCATAGAAGAGAAGAAGTAGGCGACACCGTTGAATCCAGCCAGCAGAAGGGCAGTGTTATGGTCCATTCCAACTGAATCTTCGAAAATTACAGTAGCATACTAATTGACTCAATGTTAGAATGCACATTTTGCTTTGATATTACGGGACTCACGTAGGTAATCAGGTTGATACCGGAAATTTGCTGCATCATTTGTCCACCCATCCCCAGAAGGGTGCGGTACAAATAGCGTTGTTGGTTATTTGAGAAGAGGAGCTTAAACGAGCTTTCCTCTGATACATCCTCTTCCTCTCTGATAGCTTGTGAGATTTCTCTCACATCAGTGTTGACAATGGCATCGTTCTCGTCAATCGCTTTGGCGTTATCTTGGAGCCTCCAGATGATATGACGGGCTTTGTCTTCATTCCCATGCTTGATGAGCTATATTATTGTTAGTTCTGGCTGGCACCACTTCTAGTGCGAACAATTAGTACATACCCAACGAGGGGATTCTGGAAGGAACACAATGCCGATCAAGGTCAAAATGGCGAAGAGAATTTGGAGAGCGATGGGCAAGCGGAACTGAGCCTCGCTTGAATTGTATGAGAATCCGTAGTCTAAAGACATTTTTGAGTTAGTACAAAGCCAATTACCAGAAATTCTTTGGTGATACTGACCAACCCAATATGAAAGCATGACGCCGAAGATGTTAATAGCCAACTCAATAGCTAGCTAAGCCCAGTATCAGTATTCGTAATCGCGATGTGTGATCTGAAAAGACATACTCCTTTGCCACGACTTGCTGCTTTACTCAATTCGGAATGCCAAACAGCTACAGCTATGTCAGTAACGGTGATGAGCTCTAGTAAGAAGCGGCCACTCACGGATAGTACTAGTGTTGAGACCATTGCCGACACCAGCAATGATACGACCAACAATCAGATGCGGGATGCTATAGGCACTGCACTGAAGAGCAGCCCCGATACTCAGGATAACGCATCCCGCCATAATGCACTTGCGGCGGCCAAGTCTCTCACCGACGAACAATGAAATAATGGCACCGAGAAAGCATCCCTAGATCGATCAGCAGTGTATGAGAGTATCAAGGTCATCGTAGAACTTACAATCTCATAAATAGCAACACTGAACAGATATCATATTAGCTGCATTTCAACGTTTGAGCAGCAAGATAACGTACACTGTTCCCTGTAAGGAAGAACTGCCATGACCGGACTTTGTCGTGTCGATTTCGGGGAACCTCGCGACAAAGGCGTCGCCGGTCAACAAACCAGACATGACACCTTGGTCATACCCAAAACTGGAAAATATAGGTCAATTCAGTTGCTTGCATCCAGTAACATCGTTGTCCACTCACAGCAAGAAACCGCTGCCAGCAGTGGCCGTAATAGCCCAAGCCAATGGGCGCCCCGTCAAAGTCATAATGCAGACAAACTTCGAGAATATTAGAGTTGATATTAGAAAAGCTCACTAGCAATCTACCGGACTCAATTGTCTCGGTGAGCCTTAAATAGGACAACGTTCACTCATAAACACTGCAGTGGGGCCATGCCATCCTTTATAAGTCATTTAGACTAACAATCATAAAATAATTGCCGGTAATCGGTGGCGCCATACAAGGTTTCCGGAACCCATGGCGTAAAACATGGACTGGGGTTCCTGAAATGCCCCAGAATATCGTGCCGTGTCCCTTAGCGGGCAGATTCCGTAATTGCGGGGTGCTTTAAGGGAAAAGTGACGATAAAAGTTTCGCGTGGAGACAGACCTCCCTAGTTTAGCAAAAACCGCTAGCTCAACCTTTGCCCGACTCAGACATAAAGAGTCGCATTATTTAGCTGCTTTATCTTATTGCAAGCGATTATGTTCTTTGACATCCCAATCTCGAAAGTCGCCTCACTATTGCATTGCACCTAGCGATGTATCAGTTGACGCAGGGACATGTACCTGGGCCGAGAGATATCGGTGGGCCGACCCGATTCCTCCACACGGCTGGTGCATGCTATCGGCATACCCGGCTAAGTCCTTAAAAGCCTCAGGAGGCGATCATTACTATTTCGGGCCGGTTTCCTAATCTGGAAGTATTAAGCACTTTTCCGTTTTATGATATTCCAGATAGGCAACTGGTTCTTTTTGCGATAAGTATATGACACAGACTAGTATTTTGACTCGATTGGGTGATATTACCTGTGATGATGGCCCTTGGAGTCATTCACACAACCAAGGTTTCCACCATCTCCAGTTGTTCCCCAGTGTTTCTACCCCGTTCCCCGCGGCCCCTGCAAGCCCATGTCATACTTACCCTGTGGAGTATCTTTTTGCACTCGCGAATGCTCATCTGACTACGCCATTCCCCGTCTGACCCAACAGTCCCATGCCAGTATCGGCACGATTTTCGGAGTCGGGAAAGAATTTAGAAAAATCGGAACTGAGCCAACGATGATTGCCTCCATTGAAGTTCCACTGTGGTCCTATGTGCTGGAAAGTTCTCTAGTCAGGCGCTACCTAGCCACTGTTCACCACAGCTGGCAGCTTGCGCCTGAGCTACTGACAGATTTCTTATATGAATCGTGGATCCTCCAAAAAAGCATCTGACTAGAACATAGTTCAACTAATTCTGATTTCCACGCATCTTCAAATACTCAAAATGGCCCCCGCAATTTCTCTTGACCACACGACCCCTGCAGTCGTCCCCGAATCTAAGGAGACCCCAGCGGCCTTCGCGCCTACCAATGATCTCTTCTCGCTAGGAGGTCGCACCGTCGTGATCACCGGGGGAGGTCGTGGCCTCGGCATTAACCTGACTGCGGCCGTCCTCGAAGCCGGCGGCAATGTCGCCTGTCTCGATTTGCTTGAGGAGCCCAGCGCTGAGGAGTGGGTTGGAGTTCAGAAGTTGGCCAAGTCGCGTGGTCTGCAGGCCACTTACACAAAATGCGACATTACAGATGAGGAGGTTACCCAGGGCCATCTTGAGCAGATTGCGGCCGATGCTTTGAGCCGGGGAATGCCCCTGCGCGGTCTCATTACTTGCGCGGGAATTCAACAGATGGTGCCTGCGCTTGACTACCCGATCGATGGATACCGGAAGATGCTGGATGTCAAGTAAGCATTCTATATGCTTCATAGGCCCCGGAACAAATATTGACTAGCTACCAGCGTTCTTGGAACTTTCATCCCCGCCAAGCATTGCGCTCGTATCTTCAAGGACCAAAAGATGGGCGGAAGCATTGTCATGATCGCGTCGATGTCCGGCCAGATTGCGAACCGCGTATGTTACGAAACTTGAGAAAGGGTGAAGAAGCCCAAATCTAATTGAATATTCAGGGGTTGACTTGTACCGCCTACAATTCATCGAAGGCTGCTGTCCATCAGATGTGCCGATCTGTTGCTCAGGAATGGGGCCAGTATAACATCCGCATCAACACCCTCTCTGCCGGAGTAAGATCCATTGCGATCCAGTGTTTACTTGTGCCTAAGGCTGACTATCCATCTCCAGTACATCCGCACCGCGATGACCGACGGCCTGCTGCAGGAAAAGCCAGATCTCGAAGAGACATGGATGCGTGGTGCGTTGCTCGGCCGCCTGGGTGCGCCCGAGGACTTCAAGGCGCCCACTGTCTTCATGCTCGCCGACGGTGCAGCTTGGATGACTGGTGCTGATCTCCGTGTTGATGGTGGTCACTGTGCTTCAGCATAGATTTAGTTGTTTTTCATGAACTAGATGTGGCTTGCTTACGGTGTTATAGATTGGCTTTGATTTCAATTAGTTATAGAACTTTGCAAATTTCTTTATTTGATTTCCACAGTCTCTCCACTTGTATCCGCAGACCACCTAGCATCAGTCTTCGCTGTCCCGAAGGCTCGTGTAAATCCTTCTCCGGGGTTATGGAAGCGTTGCTATTCCCACCGCCATGGTTTAGGATATTTTTGGGACTGAACCACCAGTCGGGCTCTTTGCTGCAATACTAGCTTGGTAGAGAAAGCACTGCTTAGCCGGTATCACGACATGACAGTTGTCCAGGGCCTTGGTAAGCTCCTTACTCCTATGTATTACTCAATGATATTCCACACCCCGTTCGCCGTCTCTCTCAACCTGGCAGAAAATGCTCGTCTCCTCATATGTAGTGAGAAACTCGTTTACTGAAATTTTACATCACGCACGTACTGAGGCTGAGCGAACAACCCAAGTACGCCTTCTCTTGGGCCCCGGCTAGCACATGGTTGTCAATCCAGAACGCCTTGCCGTGCCAAATGCTGTCGAGCATGGCAATGTCTGGCTCGCCATGGATATTTCTTGAGACTGTAGCCTTCCAGCATGTAAATTGAATGTCGTATAGACATGAATATTTTCAATACAAAATTGTGTGGGGGGATGTTTCAATATAAAGCGGGTGTGTATAGACTTCCGAGAGTGGATGTACCTCGGATACCCCAGTGGGGTGGAGGATGAGGGTGACCGGAACACGCTCAGGCCCATTTACCGAGTAGTCCCATCAACACGAGACCTGTCACTAGAGACAGTCCTCCGATCAACACCTTACTCAGGCTAGCATTCATCATCTCGCCTCCCTCAATGACCCAATCTCGAGCCCACATGTCAACAACACCAACCCATACGAGGATTCCAGCAGATAACGCGTCCAAAGTTCCCAAGGCCACCAAAGTACTCTTCTCATTCCCATTAAACGTATGCAGTACCCCAAGTCCAATAGCCATTCCGATTGGTGTTATCAAAGCAAAGGTACCTGCCATGATTGCTTTGGACGGAAAGATGGCGCCGGGGAGCATTGCGATCCGAACCCCTAGAGCCAGACCTTCAAAGAATTGGTGGAAGACAATCACCACCAAGAGAGTTTTGTAGAAAGAGTCACCGGCCACTACCAGCGTTAGACCGATGAGAATGCTGTGGAAGAGTACACCAGCCTCCATTACCAGTACGGAAAACTTGGTGTCAGGCTTGGTGGGGTCGAGCGCGGCACCATGCGAATGTCCAAGATGAGCCAAGGTGGAATGAGGAGGACTTGCATCCTTGCGAGGGGCTTGGTTTGATTCTGTCGCGCATTTTTTGCTACTTATAATGCGGTGACCAACAAACTCGAACAGGAAGGCAAGGAATATGCCGGCCATGACAATGGCGGAGGTCGTAGCTTCATAATCAAGCTCGCCCATGCATTTATTCGTGAACATGAGATTTGCATGCGTGTATAACTGATTTTTGTTAGTTTCTAATGCCCAAAATGTGAAGGTATTTCAACTCACATGAACAAAGGCAGTCGCGACGATAATGCCAGTTCCGAACTGCTTTATGACGGTCGAGAAAACAGCATTGACGTTTGCGAATGGAAGCTTCAGCAGCAGGATAGGCGCAAAGACACCAATGGCGCTTGTAACGAGGACAACAAAGAGTGTTCCGATTCGAAGAGGCACGTCGTAGTCTCTAGTCTGGATGCCGCAGGATTCGTGGTTACTTTCTTCTGACTCTCCTTCGCTCACACAGTGCCTGGATGTAAGTTAGCGAATTGAAAATATAACTCGGTATGCTTGAACCTACTCAACACCGGCATGGAAGTGGCAACTTGTCTTGTTCTCTTCCTCGGATCCCTCGTCGTCGTGACTGTGCTCGGATCCCTCATGATCGTGACTGTGCTCGGATCCCTCGTGATCGTGACTGTGCTCGCTTTCTTCATGCTCACTCTGAGTATGCTCCGTGTCTTCTGCCACGATCAATGCCTCATTTCCATCTGTATCCATACAGTATCTGCAAGGTAACAGTATCAGCTTTTGGGGATCTCAGTCTTATACTAAATTGGGGACTCACGACTCGCTTCCGTGTGAGTGGCAGCCAGTGTATTCAGCTGGGACTCCGCTTGTGGGTGTAGCTGTCGCCGAAACCGAGATTTCATGGCCCTCCCCGTCAATGCAATATATATCCGATCCATGTGTATGACAGCCAGTTATGGATGTGGTTTCAGCAGTCGAAGTTGAGGTTGCTGCAAAGGCCGTGGCCGCACTGAGTGAGATGAGGAACGGTTTTAAATAATGCATCGTGAGTGAAGTGCCAAGATTGGCGAAGTTGGAGAACAACACAAAATTGTTTTTTTCAGCTTAATGAGTAGAAGGAACTGCATTCACGTCTAGGATGCTGGTTATATATTTTCGCAGCTCGGTAGATACTTTGACTCCTACTCGATTTTGACCCCCAAGGTTCCCACCGCCAAGTAGAAATTTTCCTCCGAGACCACCGCCAAGTAAGTGACCCAGGACCAGATGAGGTTTGACTGGTAAAGCTCCGCTGTCAGGGCCCTCGTTTTATCAAGGTCCTCATGTCCAAGCTTCTTGGCAGGACTCCGCCGAGCTTATGTCTTGGCATGGGAGGCCTTCGCACGCAACTTTAGCGGAGAGAGAATTTCTTCCAATAAGTATGCCTTCTTTCTCTGCCAATAACTATGCCCCCAAGGTACTTCGGAGGTTTATTCAAAGACAAGTGGTGGATCGGAAGCATATCATCGCGATGCTCTGCCAAGGCCCGCAAATATCACGGCGGCGTGGAACTTCAGGGATGCTAAGATCATGAGGCATCAGCTATAAAAGATGAAGATAATGAATTTGTTAGAAGATGAAGAATAATAGAAGACGATTCGGGTCCATGTACTGAGCCCATTAGCAAAACATGGAAGGAACTTCCACGTTCTGTCCAAGGAGAAATCTAGTTCAGCTGCTGCAGGCAGACTTCCTGCGTCTGTGCTTCTTTTGAATGAAATGACCAAGACCGTAATCATATACCCTCTATCGATCTCCACACTCCCCTCTCTTTCCATAATTAATAGTTGACCAGTGGTGTTCAAAACCATGTCACCTGAGTATATATCTTCCCGAACGGAGACTATTTGAATTTCTAACGTCAGGTACTACCGGCAGACGACAGCCAGCTATTGCAGTTCATAGATCCTGCATCGCTCCCCCATCAAAACTTAATACACAGTCCGATACTCTCTAATCGGCGCATAGCTCTTCCGCATATAATCTCCACCTTGCGTATTCGGCCACAACCCCCAAATCCCCCGCAAAGAACACCTCACCCACCCTTGAAACGGTAGATCGGGCTCCTGCCACGCCTCAACAAGCTTCGCATAGCAGTCCCTGTCTTGCATTGGCGGGTAAACGGATCATGGGGTGACGGGGTGGGTTGCTCACCCCTTCACCCGGTGACCGAAACGCCTTGCATTGACCGAGGACAGTCCTTTGGATGTGGTGTGTCTAGCGGCGTCTGGAAATTCTCCTCATCAATCACGATGAGCATTCGGTAGCTGGGGAGCTTGTCGCTGCGTGTTCCGCTTATCAGCCCAGTCCTCAAAAAGAGACCGGATGTTGTCTTAACGATGCGCCGTTGAACTGTTCTGAGTCATCAATGATGCAAGGCTCATATTTGGCCCACAATTCATCGAAGACGGCCTTGTCGACTTGATTTGCTCTGCTGCCCTGTAGGAGGTCTTCATATGTCTCGTGGAATGCCCCCTTGATGTATTAGGTGATAAAATCCACTATCTCCGTCAACACGACATCAGATTGTGGGGTGTAGGTTGTGCGGAAGATTGTGAAGCCCCATGTTGATTCGTTTCGCTTTAGCAAGTCATAAAGGCGGCATAGGTATATTGGTAGCCAGGGTACAATGCTCTTGCTAGTTTGACATTAGACACAATGGTAGTAAGCTGATACGTGGGTATCCAGGTACAGTAAGAAGGGATAGTGCACATTTTCGGAATACACCCGGCCGGAAATTTAATTTCACATACTCCAATACGTACGTAATAATGGTGGCGGTAAAACTTGTCGCCTCGGGAAATGATCGGCTCCCGGAGCATAGGGTGAGTTAGTCACCGCGCCGCCCTATACCATGCCCTTCGCTGGCTTGTACGGCATGGAAGGCCAGTGTATCAGATGATAGTATTAGGTCGGAACTGCTTCCGCAAGAGTACGGTGCTTCATGATGGACACCCCCGGTACGATGAAGCCCCTCCCGGCTACGCCGGTATATACGGAAGATTCTGAACTGAGGCCACTTTATAATGAGGTTTCTATAAAGCTGGTGAATCAAGCAGATGCGCAAGTAATCCTTTCGTATGAAGCATTCATCAACCCGCCGGACAAAAATATAGATACCGGACCACTTGATCTATCTGATATCATTATCAATACTGGTGGTGGTAGTAATACGTCGGCAGAGGAGGAAGATATATATGGGCCACCACTACTTGATATTCCGACCGATACGCTTATCAAGGGACATCTAGATGAGTTACATATATGGGCTGCAAACAGGGAAGGGGTATCAGAAGAGCATAGGTCTTAGATTGAGGCTTTCATGAAGCCACACACAAGGCTACAGACAAATGAGAGGAAACAGAAGACACCAGAGGAGATGGGATTCAAACCTAAACAGGAAATCAGGGCTAGGTACACCTAAGGCACCCATGAAACTCCGAAACAGAATCTCAATTTTGAGACCCCAGGTCAAATCGCACACTCGAGATGATATTGAGCCTTCCGTCTACAGTACAGTGCCCTCAATCAACTTCTTACTTCCGCACTCAGAATCAACTTTGGTGGCGTTGATCGTCCATTTGCGATTTTGAAAACAGATAGACAGGCCATGAGCCTCGTCGTATGAACGTGGCACAGCATGTTCATCATCGGAACGCAGGGCTATAATAAGGAGCTATTAACTTGACATCTTGTTGTACAATCGACATCTCGAGATCGACGGCCCTGTGAGGGACCCAGGTGAGAGTTTATCCACGACCCTAAAGGGAAGACGGGGGCACGGTCGGCAACCTTGATTCCCAGGGATCCACCCGCGGACCCAGCAGAACACGGTACCTGAGAGTGGGATTTTCTCAATAATGGGGCAACTTTGCCTGACACGAATGCGGATTCGAAACAGAGATGGAGGGGAACGAGATCGACTGCAAGGCATGCCAGGTATGCCACAACCCCCCAATCACAGAGCGCCAACCCCCTGCAGGGGTCGTCCATCCTTTCTATACAGGGAAACCCAAAGGAATGTCAATCGACGGTGGCACGAGAGACGCAAGCCAGGGATGAAAACAAAACGGCCAAACAGCAACCTTGCATCCCCGTGAAACAGCATTTCTTTCACAAGGGCCGTTGCCCCCTGATCCAGAGTAGCGTCTATTCCCATTCTACACAATATAGATCGGCCAGGGCCGAGTCTGAGAAGACGAGAAAAACAAGAAGGCGCAAGTTCCTCTCGAGTGTTCCATATGCTCCCAAGCCTTACATACAAACACCCCAATCCGGCCATAGCTTTCTTTCATTTCTGTGTTGTTTTCGTCATAGTCTGAGCCATGGGACTTTCACGCTCTTCTTGGGCTTGGAGTGCATTCCAGCTTGACACGACATTGTTTATGTACGGGGGTGTCCCATCTGCTTGTGGTGCCCCAACCGTCACCATTCCACCCGAGGCCAACTTAGAACGCCCACCCAAACGATCAAAGCGAAAGACCGAATCGACCGAAAAGACCAAATCATCCAGGCGCCAAACCTTCAGAGACTCACTAGCCTCCACCAGTGAATTAAAGAGTCTACTCTCTGACGCCCTTGATCGAGGACGTCCCCCAAAGAATTATCCTCTCCTTCCTGAAGAGACCAAAGAGTCGAGACGCCAAAGGCTCAGAAGGTCGCTGTCCTCCACAACTGAGTTGAGGAGGTCAATCTATTCCTTCCTCTAATCGGGGGCATCGTTGCATCCCATTGCCACCCGCACAATGAGTCTGCATGGGCTCGGGGTGATCGGGGCCCAGGTGGCCGCGTCAATTAAGAGCAGTGATGAAAAGCCGTCATCACCAAAAGTCCACTCCCCTTCGTCTATCCAATCCACGCCAACCATGCCCACACCTTCTTTTCACAGCGACGCGCGCTCGCAAGAGTTTGACCCGCACGTCGGGGCCAAACCATCCTCGCCTTTCTATCGACATGGATCACCAACCCTATCCTACGAGCAAATCATTATTGAACCCAAGTCATCCACCCCTCGCACACGCACTCATCTGAGGGATATTGAAAATGCGGGCCCCTACATAGCCCTACGGAATGACAGTCCTCGACGTTCGAAACTGTGGGAGCAACAGGAGAATCCGCCTCGATCATGTATGGATTCTTTGAGCACTCGTCAGCGGATGACCCTCAAGATCATCGTGGCCGTGGTGACAGTGGGGAGCATGATAGCCATTGCTTTGGGAATTACTGCAGCAGTGGGAGGTGCTGCCTGGAGGAGTAGTACTGAGGAGAACGCCTTTGGAGGGTGATTTGTGAGTTTCCGCGAGCCACGGGATGATCTTTCGCGTTATTTGAAATGACCACATGGTCGGCCGTTCCTTTAAACTTGAGACAGCTGGTTGTCTCTTGTTCAGCATTTCCTTAAGATATTATGGCCTACGCCACTTGTAATACGGATTATTGGGCGCAACGGCGTTGACCCTGGTGTCTTGGATGTGTCCTTGCAATGGAGAGGGTGAATGACACGGCCACACCACATTGTACAGTTATCGATCGCATATTCTATATCTCTGAATGCACTTTACAAGCATCAATACGAGTCGTACGTTGTATAGATCCACCGGGAGAAAGGAAGCTAGAGAGAAGCGAGAGAAGCCGGTGGAGCAGGAACAAAGAAGGGCCGACCACGTGACCACACCACCTACAAAAGGCGCCGAATTTTTCCCAGCCAGCCTTCTTTTCTTCTTCATCAAAAAAGCAACGGAGCCTGCCACGACCATCGTTCTGTCTTCGGACAATTTCCACGGCGATGTGTTGCCTTCGATCCCTCCGGGGGTTGATCGGCTCTGGAGATTAATATCTCCCCGATAGGAAGTTCGTCTCCCGTTGTGTCTTCTTCAATGAGGGCGATGGGAGGGGAATGTCGAAGACGGGATACATTCTCTTCTTATGACTCTTAGCAGTCATTGTAGTCTTGGCCTCGTGTCATGTGCGTCTCGTAGACCTGAATCCATGTCGTCAATTGTGCCTGTGCAATTGCTGCGTGTAATGTCGGTGGTACAATTCCATCAATTCCACCTCCCACAACTCAAGCGTTGCGATTGCAGTTTGCTGGACAAAATCTTTGATTGGATGGTCAGTGATCTCAATGTTGATTGCACCCGACATCACTCGGAATTGATGCGCATGGCCAGATGTTGTTTCAGAGTAGAATCCGGACTCCTGGCGGATGATGTGCCATTGTTGAGCCCCTGCGAAGCCAAGCTCAACCACCGTGCGCCCCTGCCGTCATGATTGAATTGGCCGAGGACCGATGTGTACAAAGTCGATGAACTGTGAAGCAAAGCGAGATGCTGGTTGGCCGATGAACGCCTCCCTCGTGAATACCGATCCCCTGTGGTCGCATCCCCACAACCCGCGGAATGTCGCAGCACCACGGTCTACACCAACATGGTCTGGCATTTGTTTACTGATGTCCTGATCAGGAGGCATCGCTCGGGATTTCGATGTTGTTTTCCATTCTCGCCGACATTCTGATGGGGCTCATGCTCCTTGGCCTGCCCGTGAGGTCCGGTTTCTGGTGATGATTGCGCATTCCATCGTGTCGGCCGTGACGGTGATCATGAATGCAACGCAAGTACTAAAGCTCTAGTGACCTCCTCGCCCGGAATGAAAGCTTTCTGTAGCGTTTCTGGGAGCATCTTTGTCTAATCGTGCCATTCTTTTGCTACACTCCCGTGGCCTTGTTTGCAGTCACTCATTTACACTAACTACGGGCCTACTATTTTCTCTACAGTAATATTCAATCGTTGCAATCATCACAATGAAGGGCTTCGTTGGTGGAATTCCCATTGCCCTGCTGGCAGTTGCTGCCCAGGCCATGGAGCACACCGTAAGTGGTGCCAAAGAATGATATCGAGTTACCATTAACCTTTGTGAATAGGATAACGGTCCTCAGGGACATGGTGTTGTGCCTCACATTGGAGGTACCGCTATGGGGGGTCCGTCTGGTGCTGATCACGATGGTGGCTTTATCCCCATGAGCCCCAACGTCCACACTCATACCGATGTCAATGAGTACAGCAAAGACGACCACTCCATCAATATTAAGACCAAGGGCGTCTACCCGCCGCCGGCTACACCTATTCCCTACGGAGTCGCTATGGCTCCTGGTATGGGTCCTTTCTCCAAGGCTGGTGGCAAGCGCAGCTGGCCTCACGGCGGCACTGCCATGGGTGGCCCCTCTGGCAACGACGAAGGCCAAGTCTTCGACATGCCCATCACCGGCAACTTTTACACCAGCGTTGACGAGGAGACCAAGGACGACCACTCGATCAAGCTGAAGAACGAGAACATCCACGCTCCTCCTGCTCATCCCCCGATTGCTCACCCTCCTCCTGTCTTTGTCCACTCCCCCGGCCCTGGATCTGGTTTCCGCGAGGCCAAGCAGGATGTTCCTGAGCATTACCACGTTCCCGGACAGGCTTTCGAGAAGCGCTGGGGACCTGAAGAAGGTGGCACTGCTATGGGTGGCCCCAGCGGTGGCGACGGACCCTCCGATGGACCTGAGGGCTTCCCCTACCCCATCCAAGCTGGTGGTACCGCTATGGGTGGACCCTCTGGCGAAGATGATGGTATCGAATTTGACAACGGTATCCACGCCGACTTTCACACCAACGTGAACGAGTACAGCCACGATGATCACTCTATCGACATTAAGCACACTGACATCTACCCGCCTCCTCCCCCTCACTTCGGACCTCCCGGCTTCGGCGGTCCCTTCAAGCGCAGTTGGGAGACCGAGCAGAGCGGCTGGGAGCCTGAGAGCGGTGGTACTGCCATGGGTGGTCCCTCCGGCAATGATGGTGGTCAGGAGTTCAATATGCCCATCACGATCAACACTGAGACTGCTGTAAAGGAGAGCTACGCGGATGATCACTCCATTGATATCAAGCACAAGGATGTCTATCCTCACCCTCCCGCCTTCCCTGAGTTCGGTGGCCCTGGCCCCGTGATCCCCCAAGGTGGTCCCTTCAAGCGTGCCTACTCTCCCAGCTCCGAGGAGCGCACTGCTGGTGGTGGCGGCGGAGGCACTGCTGAAGGGGGTCCTTCCGGTGAAGATGATGGCATCAACTTCGGAGACCCCACTGATGTTGGTGTCGACTCCAACGTGAGCGAGCACCACGAGGACAACCACGCCATCAAGATTGATGACACCAATGTCCACAACCCCGAGATGCCCTGGATGCACTATCACGAGCCCCCGGCTTCTGCTCCTGCTTCTGCTCCCCAGCCTGCCGAGCACGAGCAATCACCTCCTATGGTCGAGCATGAGCAATCACCTCCTATGGTCGAGCATGAGCAATCACCTCCTATCATCGAGCATGAGGAGGCTCCCGCCTGCGCTCCTGAGATCCACAACGTTGTCCACACCGTCACCAAGACCGCCACCCACGTCGTCCAGGAGACTGCCACTGTTACTGAGACTGGAAAGGACCACATTGTCAATCAGGTCCAGACTGTCCACGAGACTGCCACAGTGACTGAGCCTGCCAAGGATCACATTGTTAACCACGTCCAGACCATTCACGAGACTCACACTGTGCACAACATTCACACCGTCTACGTGACTCCCAGCGAGCACGTCGTCCATGTCACTGACACTGTCACTGCTCCCGCGGCCCACCTTGTTGAGGCCACCGAAACCGTCTATGCCTCTCCCAGCCACGTCGTTGAGACTCTCTACGCTTCTCCTAGCCACGTTGTTGCGGCCGCCGAGACCGTCTACGCCTCTCCCAGTCACGTTGTCGAGACCCAAGCCATTGCCTGGTCGCAGGCCCCGATGGTGACCCCTGTCTCCAAGATCGCCTACTCCTCCCACATCCAGTCCATGCCCGTCTCGGGTGCCCCCTCTTCTTACATGGCCCAGGAGAGCTACAACTACCACCCCCAGGCTCCCGCCAGCTCTGCCTACTCCATGATCCCCGTCGAGGTCCCCATGGCTTCCCCCTCATCTTCCATGGCCCCCATGGCCATGCCCAGCGGTGTTGACCCCATGCATAGCTCCATGGCCTCTGCCTCCGCTACCCCATCCCACGGCGTCATGTTCACCGGCGACGCTGCTCGTCTGTCTGGTGGCATCATCTCCGCTGCTGCTGCCGTGATGGGTGTCCTTGCATTCATCCTGTAGAGCATTGGAATGGCGTGATAGAGTCCCGAAGAACTCCTTGTCGCTCGTTACATGTCTCAATTCCTTCTATTTTGCTTCTCTTTTCGTATAACTATGTGTTTTCTTCGCGCTGATCACCTCTTAATGTTGAATGCGTTTCAATGAGGTGTCACGAGTATTTACATGAAATATGATTTGATTTTTTTTACTTCACTCATCTCGGCACATAAACCTTCAATTGATACTGCGAGGTCTTAAATCCATTCATGCACTTTCCAGGGTTACTATCATTGGCTGGTAGCTACCCGAAGCTCAGACCCAGTAGATATGAATTCCCCGATGGGGCCGTGAGGGTTGGGGATTCCGGTTTCGTCATGTCCATCAACCTTGTTGGAACAGCAAAACATGAATGTCAGAGCCAAAGTCGCATTAACCTGATTAGCCTTCGCCTCTTATGGGTCCTTTGCGTAGTCCATTCTCTATGTGCACTCTCAACACCCAATCAAGGCAGACCTCGCGTGATATCATCCCTTCATCATCCAGACTGCCACGCTGACATCAGGACGAAACATCAAAACTTGTATCTTCTAAAGATATAAAGGAAGCAGTAGTGCTAAAATTTCTCCTTCCCGTCAATTGAATCAAATATTCAGCCAACACTGTCTTAAAAATTGAATTTTCTCAATATCCAATTACAACCTTCTACACGTCGGTTTCCAACCAATTCACAACAATGGTCCAAAAAGACTCCCACCAAGGAGGTAGCCTCTCCGATATGGCCCCCGGCGGTACCACAATCCCCAATGACGCTGGCAAAATGAATACTATCCCCTCTGTCCCACGCCCCGACCAACGCGCCGAACACTTCGGCTTCGACAATGTCGGTCTCGCCGAACCGTCACGCCCTTTTGCTGCAGACAATGCCACCGACTTGCCCCGTTCGACTCGTGATGTCGGACAGACCGGAGAAGTCGTGAGTGGAACTGGAAATACCATTCCTGCATCTATCGAGTCGAAACGTGCATACATGGGGTCAAATATTCCTGGTGGATCCGGTGATTCGAGGGATATTAAGCATCATAACCATAACCGGAGCGCATTTGATCGGTATGCGAAGGAGGATGAGGATTCTGGGGAGTTTGTTGGGGAAAACCAGGCGAGAAATGCGTGAATGTTTTTGTCCACTGAGTGTTGAGTGAGAATTGTGTACTACGTCCAAGATGAAGTTATGGTTCATTGTTATGGTAATGGCGATAAATTGAAATAGATTCGCCTTCATAATTGTCTCATCTTGTCATATATCGTAAGCATCTATTTCATGTATAACTTCTAGAATACGTCGGGGCAAGGAATCCCTGGTATACTTCTTCGAGAACATCTCGTTTCCTTTTGCGGTCTGCCATCTCGACCTCTTCTTCTTCGGTGGGTTCCCCATCCGGGTCTCGAGATACCCAAGTCCGAATGGTTCCATCGCCATGTGCGGAGAACATCTCTATACCTTCCCCAGAGGCTCCATTGCCACGCCAGACTAGATCATTAATCCGCGCTGCGCCGAGTGCGTTGGATCGACCCCGGGCTGATTGTGTTCCCATGAGGCCTGGGACACGCAGGCGTTTGATGAATGTGCCTTCCCGGAATTCAAACATGAAGATCTCGCCCCGATCGTCTTGCTCATTGAAGTTTGGCCATAGGATTGTTTCTTGGCCGGGGCCCATACAGCTCTTTGGAACTAGTAGAGGAGCTCGCTCTGCCAGGTGAGATGTTGCACTGTTGCGTACGCGGGGTCCGAAATGGACTAAGGTGTTTGCGCCCGTTGCTGAGTCCCAGACCCTGATGCGTGAGTCCTGTCCAGTGGTGACAATATGACTTCCATTGGATGTCCATCGCACGCCAGTCACGGCACCGTTATGAGCGCGAGCATAGCGGGAAAATGCCGGACGGCATTGGTAGGTCTCTGGTGCTGATCCTGAGTTTGGATCCACGAGTCCGACAGGATCATCCATGTCGAGTGTTGCTATAGCTGAGTTGTGACCACCGCGTCGTACATCGAATATGATTACTCGGTTGTCGACTGAACCTGATGCAAGTAGGTAGGGTCGGTGCGGAGCCCAAGCTACTGATAGCACGGCGTCAGTATGTCCTGGTAAGCCCTGGGTAGAGAGTCCAGATCGTAGATCCACGAGTCGTACGGATTGCTCCGATGTGGCGACTGCAACAAGTAGTGTTGAGCCGGGCTGGGACGAGAAGGAGTGCGCATACGGCGTGCAGTCGAGGTTAAATGTATGGACCGGGATTATTGCCGGAGATTGTAACGCGGAGAGCTTCAAGGTGCCATCATGGGAGGTCGAGAATATAGTTGATGGGACAGGATCGAATGGGTAAATCGAGAGCGAGGTGATCGCGTGTGTGTGCGCATCAGTATGTGAGGATTTGCTAACTGTCGCACAGGATCGATGAAGATGTTCAAGCTCTGAGCCTCGACTTTCAAGGTCCCAGAGATGAATGGATGGATCTGCACCGCCAGAGATCATACTGCTCTAGTCAGACATAGTTATAAATCAGATTGAAGATTTTACACACTATCGGCCTTCAAACTGATCGATCGCAAGGCATTTGACACCAGATTTGTGTGCAAAAACCTCATTTACTGGATCCAACTCCCGGTCGAAAGCTGTCGCGTCATCTTGAGATCGCGTCGTCGCCTTGCGACTAGAGAAGCAAATCCCCGGCGCAGGCTCCAGATGTTGCACTAGCCGAGAGGTCTGGGCAACATGGAAGGCATTCGGAGTGACAGACCCGAGGGCTCTGTTGAGCAGATAGGAATTCATTCATGAGCTCTGTGGTGCGCAGAGCAAGAACGCGGAGAAGAGGAAGGTGACTTCATCGGATCAACGTTGTGCCGGCGCATTTGGGGAATTTGTTTCTCGACACTTACTCGACAATCAATCTCCCACCACGCTGGAAGATGACGTCGAGGGCCTTTACGGAAGGCAAGTTTCTCGTGCCGCCTGATTTACGGCGACCTCTACCGGAGCCGAAGAAAAAGGAGCTGCCGCCCAAGCCGAGATCAAAGTCAAAGTTAACGCAACTAACGCAACCCGCGAAATCGCCCCAGCCCGAGTCAAGCAAGCGTGTGAAGTTCGCGAAGTCAAAGAGGTCTACGAAAGGAAAGAAGCCAAAGCCACAAAAACAACCTGAACAACCAAAGCCACAGCACCAACAGCAACATGAGCCGATACCTCCGCCACCGTTCCAACCGCATCCATTCCGACGGGAGACAATACTTGAGCTGAGGCAGAACCCGCCGAGTCTGTCTGCAGCGCCGACCAAAGAAGCTACAATGAAGTCTCAGATCGCTCTGCCCAGAGTCAAGCCGAAGAAAGTCAAAAGGCGTATGGCCACTATCTACGACGTTATTGCCCGTATGACCCCCATGCCATATCGCTTGAACATCCGCTCTAACATCTCCAGGTCGTGTCGGTCCTCATGGATTCCTTAAGAAGGCGAGGGCTTCCAAGTACCGGGATACCACATCGTCAACACAAAAATGCATTGCCCCGATGGATCATCTCTTTAAAAGACCGGTCCATTGGAACAACAAGGTCAAGGGAGAACCGTACTTGAAAACCGACAAACTTCCCCCGGATAACCCCATGGACCGGAAGATGAAGTACCCCAGGAACAGATTCCCCGATAACGATCTTCTCACTGCGATGCACGCCTACGCCGCCGACAAATACATCTTAGGACACGAGCGAGGCCGAAAGAACCGGAATTTCGTTAGCTTTAACGAGTCAGCCCTACTCGCATTCGGCATCTTAATCGAAGAGCTGAGCAGATCCGCAGTTGGTCCCAGCGGAGACATTCCTATGCTTCGTCCTTCTGTACCAGAAGCCGAGGAGAACAGGAAAATCGACGCACTGGAATGGTGGTGGCGAGGCAATAAACGCCGCAAGGACCAAAAATTTGTTCGTGAGAACTATCGTGTTGAATACAATGGGAATCGGGTGCGCTTTGTTCGTACGCGAAAGAGAAAGTCAAAGAGTCAGCCTGAGGAGGAAGTCAAGGACGAAGGCACGGATGCAAAGCCTGAGGATACAGATGGACACTCCGTCCAGGACGAGCGCAGCACTTCCATTCCGCGCAGACCTAGGCCTCTTAAACGTCGCAGGTCTACGTCCAGAAGCCAATCTGTGTCTCGTTCCCGGGCCGGTTCTAAGAAGAGGAGGGTTGAGCTGTCGTCTGAATTTGTTCACGACAGTGATTAACAGAGATACCCTGATTATATACCCCACGAGCACAAGCCATCGTTACTCATTTTGGATTAGCATAGCATGATATAGCATAGCATGGCCTGGTCTGGCCTGTAATTAGCACAGATACCCTACAAAGAACTATGAACTAATGGGTTCATCCCATAATAGAAAGCGATTCTTAGGCGTAGGTTAGCGCGTGTCAGTAAGAGAAGCGAGGTAGGTACGAATAAGCATGCAACATGCAGAGTGCAAAGTAGAGCACGCAGCCTGGACATCATCTCACCTCCCCACCTCTCCACAGTCCCATGCTTGTCTCTCCCATACATTCCGAAATGGGTAAGGCTGGTCAATAAGCTTCTACAAGCCGAGCGGAATCGCAGGAACGCCTCAGTGGGCCAAACTTCAAAGATCATGGTACGTGTGTTCAACACAGGTACTGAGGGAGCCAATCGAGTCACCGTGCCATTTGGGTGGACACTAAAGTGATTCAGACGAGTGCACTGACGCGTCCAGGCTCCCAAATTGAGCAAAAGCGAAAAACAAGAGCGCATCTTGACCCACCTCCGCAGCACGGCCACATGCCACACCCTGAAGGATCTGGAAAAGTCCTTGCCGAGCGTGGCCTCGATCCCCGGCATTCAAGTCAAGGAATATATCCAGGCCCTGGTCGACGAGGATCAACTACGAGTTGAAAAGATCGGCAGCGGGAACTGGTACTGGTGCTTCGGAAGTGATGAAAAGCATAAACGCCAGCGCCAATTGGCCCGGGCGAAGACGGAGGTGGAGAAGGCCCGGAAATCTTGCGCCGATGCTGAGGCGGCATTGTCCGCTGAATCCACGCGCCGCCAGCTAGAGGCCGACCCCGGCGATGAGTGGATGCCACTGGCAGAGAAGAAGGCCGAGCTCGAGGACGAGCTTGTGGGACTACGGGCCCTGCATCAGTCTGAGGGCAAGAGTGTACGGCAGCTACAGCAGGAACTCGGAGAGTTCCGAGAGCAGGCAACGCAGTGGACCGATAACGTTTATATCCTGGAGGAGTACATGCGTCGGTTAGCGGGCGGGGACCGGGAAATTGTCGCGGCAGTGCAGCGTGACTGCTATGGAGATGACTACGTGGACGGGGGTCTGCGAGAACTATGACAAAAGCTTAGCAGTGGATTTAGGGATTAAGCCCTCAGAATGGAACAGGATTAATGGGAAAAGATGAAACACGGAACAGTGATAGTCAAAGCGGATGCCCAGAAAGGGGCTTAGTTTGGCCCAAGAGAAGCTTGACTTGTCGCACGCGAATCGAAGGCCAGGCCTCCTTCTCCGCCCAAAGTTGGGGCGACTTTAGGCTTATCAGGTCTTTCCCCTCTCTCCTTCTACTCTTCACTACTCTACTCGACTTTACGCTCAACTATTCTACTCTTTACGCCACTCCCACATTCCTCGCCATTCCTCGCCCTCGCCCTTCCTTGGCCCACACCCTTCTAGACCCGAATCCACGCGAGTACCTGGCGGGGGGCAACTCTGGACTTCCTCCATCCGGTACCCCCTCCCTGCGCTTCGGTGTCTCGAGAAACAATGTGGTCTGCTCGATCATAATACCTATTCTCGCTGGTCTCTCGGCATTCCTCTCGCCTTATCCCCCGTGGCGTTTGGATTCGAACCGTGTCGATTCATCGATTCCCCCCCCGGACTGGACGCGCTCGACGTGTCGCTCGATTGGACCTACTTGACGTAGGCCCTTCTGCTTGCTCTTTTGTGTCCGACAATCCCTCCCCCGCTACTGCATTTACTTCAGGGGTCTCTCATCTCGACCGTTGCGTCCGGTCCCCCGCCGCAACCCACCCCCCTTCCTTACGTCCACGCCGTCTTGTATAGATGCAGCAAACGGCGGCAGTGTGTCATGTCCTCCGATCTTCCTCCCAAGCCTACTCCCTCGCCGGTCAGTCGGAATCGCAGCTCCTTCCTGTCCAAGTTTCGCTCTCCCCTCGGTCACCGAAATCGAAGCATCACCGACTATTACATCGACCTCGACGATCCATGGCGATCCTACTTCCCTGGTGACGTGATCAAAGGCACGGTTCTGGTGACCGTCGTCAAACCGGTGCGCATTACACATGTGGTGGTTTGTCTCCATGGCTATGTCAAAGTGTTCAAGAACGCGGTTCCCGCTGGGGAAGCCGCCCCCGACCTCGGGTTTCTTGGCCCGGGACGTGGCCGGCGAGGCGCGGAGTATATGGGCAATGGACTAGCCACTCTATTTGAAGATGAGGTTGTTCTTTGCGGTGACGGGCGTCTCAAGGAAGGAATCTACAAGTTCCGCTTTGAGATGGGCCTTCCTCCCTACGCGCTGCCTAGCAGCATTAATGTGCGCGTTCCTCCCCTCATGCGCGACCATCAGATTCTAACTTCCAACGATCTAGTTCGAACGAGGAACCGTCTCTTACTCCTTAACCTCCACTCTCACCCGACCGACCACCATAAATCCTACCCTCACATGCCGACGACGAGTCAACCTATTAGAAAACATCGATATCGCCCCCTTTCCTGCACCCAAAGCCCGCATCGTTACCCTTGAACCCATCTCAAAACGTTCCAAATCAAAAGCAAAAGCGAAATCTACGAGCTCCGACGCCACCGCAGCACCTGACACCTCCTCTATAGATACCCCAGTCAGCGGTGCTGCGGCTTCGGTAGATAACCGTCCGCCGCTGAGTCCGTCTCCGAGCAACGTCAGCTCCTCAAGTCGGCCTAGTGAAAGCAGCCAAAGTTTTCAGATACATAGCGACCCCAGTTCTTCGACAAGTGCCGGTGGGCGCAACAGTGAAGGTCGCAGTGCGACTCCTTCCATCTCGGATAAAACCATCACCGCAAAGGCCGAGGTTCTGCGCGCAGGCGTGCTTCCGGGAGATACTCTACCTATCAAGGTCACCATCAACCATTGGAAACAAGTGCGCAGCGCGCAGGGAATCATCATTACTCTATACCGGCAGGGCCGCATTGATCTTCATCCCGCTATCCCAGTTGGTCCCACCGCAAATGGGAAGAAACCAGTCTATGAAGACTGCTATCCGCGGTCGCGCACCGGTCTCGGAGGATTGACTCTGGGAACCAGTCGCACCAGCAGCACGTTCCGCAAGGATTTGTCACAGACCTTTGCACCGCTGATCGTGGACCCAACTACCATGAACGCTGTCGTCAAAACATCCATTCGAGTCCCCGAGGACGCATTCCCGACCATTACTCGTGTGCCCGGCGCCATGATCAACTTCCGGTACTACGTGGAAGTTGTGGTCGATCTGCGGGGCAAAGTATCATCTCCAGATCGTTTCATCCCGCGCTTCAACATGGTTTCCGGCGGCAGCACGTTCTCGCCGAGCGGACAGGTTCTCAACCCGGCGGATGCAAATGGGAGTGCCATCACGGCCAATTGGGCTGGCAACATTCTCGATACCGATCATGTTCGCCGAGAAAAGGGTGTCATTTCTGTGGCATTCGAAGTGGTTGTGGGCACTCGTGATTCACAACGAGGTCAAGCAAATGGCGAGCGCTCATTGCCTGTTGGGGCCAAGTCAGAGGTGAACGAATCTCACCTGCCACCTTCGGTCATTGTGAACCCAGTGGATGGCGAGGAATGGCCCGAGGCGAGCCCAATGCCGAATGCACACGGTGAATTTGGCGAATACGGCGAATACGGCGAATACGGCGCTGAAGATTATGACTATGGAGATTATGGATTCCCCGATGACACCTGGTCCGAGTACCCCGAAGACTATGCGCAGCCGTTCCCACCCATGGGCCCTATGGCGGCACATCCGGAAGTAGAAGAGCCGGTGGATGAAAAGACTCGGATACGACAACATGAAGAGGGTCTTCTGCCTAGTCAGCCTCCCGGCGAAGACGAAGCCGGACCGTCTAATGCTGAATCCGAAGTGCCGACCGCCCCAGTTCTATCGGACGACCATCATCTCCAAGATTACGAGCATGTGCATTCACCGGGCATCAATGGAATCCCGCACGCCGTGCAGTCTGCAGAATCATTACAGACCATCGTTGTGAATGGAAACGGCGCCGGCCCAAGCGAGCCTACCGGTCCTAGCGAAGACAAGCAAGAGCTGGAGCGACAGCGGCTCATGTACGAGGCCAGCGCACCCAGTGCACCACCCCCTGAAGAGCCCGACGAGTCTGGTGAAGGACCTAGTGCGCCAACCTTCAACGAAGATGATCAATTGGTGGGCGGCACGGCGCATGCGGACGAGTCTCTACCTCGGTACCAGCGATAATATTCTGATTGTACAGTTTGCATGGAAAGATACCCGCATATTTACGAACCGAGGCGTTGACATTGAAATGTATTATATCTACATCTATATCTATATCTATTATCATTCTTTTATGCCTTCAATCAGCAACGTGTTGATATGACCAAATCTCGGCTTATCTCCAAGTCTTGGCATCCGCTTAGCGATAAACCTCCTCGCCCTTTACCTCAGCCTTTCCCCTTTCTCTTCCCTCCCCCATCCTCTAACATCCTTCGCCATGGCTCTTCTCAACGGGTCCTTCGCGACCTTCCTGATCGTATGCCGTGAGTCTCCCATTGACTTTCGCCCCAACCCAAATCCAACTGGGTCCCGGGCACCCCCAGATCACCACCCCAGACCACCACCACTAACACCACCCAGCAACATGTTTCTTCCTAGGCATCATCTTCTCCCTCTTCCCCTACGACTACCCGATTCTCTGGTCAACTGTCCCAACCCCAGAATCCCACTTTGACTACCTAGAAGCGCATCTCCGCTTCCTCCATGCCTCCCCGCCGCTGATCCCGCGCATCCTCCACATCGTAATCTTCCTCGGTCTCGCAGGCCTAATCTCCAAGCTCTACCGCCCCTCCGAATCAAACATGCTCTTTGACGGCGCCTCCCTAGTCCTCTACATGTGCGGCGTCACCGTCTACATCGCCAACATCGTCAAGGGTCTCCGTCTCGCCTCCGCTGGACAGTATGGAAATGACCTTGTCGCCAATGCAGAGGACAAGGATCAGATTCTCGGGCGCGAGGACTCGCTCAAGGTTCTCGCCGCTAGTAATACTATTCTGGCGCTTGTGCTTGTTGGTATTTTGGTCCTGCAGGCTGGTCAGTGGTACGCCGATCGGAAGGATGCGCAGGAGTTTGAGGATCTGGCCACCGGTAAAAAGGATGATGCAGAGCCTGAGGCTGTTGCGTCGGGGTCGGCGAAGCCTGGTCGTCAGGGGAGTCAGCGGAAGAAGAGCAATTAGACTTGGTCGCTTGCTTTTCGCGAGGGGTTTTTCTTGTTACTGTTACTGTTACTATAACTGTTATTGTTACTGTGGGAAACGCTATGTCTATTCTACGACTAGTGAAATTGTTTCGCGAAATGACAGTCCTAGACCGTCTTCGGATTCGGATTCTATGTGTCCCATCCAGGCTCACTATGGAAGCATATTCTGTACGAAGTATGAAATATGAAATGAAAATGCAGATGTGGATGTGTCATGGCTCCGTTTCGTATGGCCAATGGTCAATGGTTAATGGTCAATAATGGGGGTTCGTCAGATGATCTGGATCAGTATCGGGATCAGGTTCAGTGGGGTATGTGTGCACCGCAGAAGGGGAATCATAAGGCAAATTGTAATAATATGGGCCGTAGCTAGGTGAATGAGAATGGACTCCGTGGGAGGTCGGGTGAGCGGGGGCTCAGCGCTTTGGCGAAGAGGTCTTCGCCAGATTCTGCGCTCGAGGTGCGTGCTAGAGAGCTCATTGAGGTCATGGAGTTCATGGCGGAGAAGCCGCTCGTCGCGCTGGTTTGTTGGAGGTCTTGGATGGACTCTGGTGGGTGCAGGGCGACAGGTTTGAGGTTCTCGAGGCCAGTGGGTTTCGTGCTGGAGCTTGGGGTCGGGATGGGATTGGTCACTGGTGTCGGGAGAGAGCCTGCAGAGCGGTTGGCTCCATTCCTGAAGGAGCTGAAGGATGAGACTGCCACGTCGGGCGACTGTGGTGAGAGGAGGTGTGCTGAGTTCGGGCCTGAGTCTTGGTTTGTCAGTGACCCGGATGGTGCGTTCGCGACAGCAGAAAACTCACTGTCGTTTGCAGACAAGTCCTTCTCGCTGGTCTGCAGCTTTAATCCCTTGAGCTTGTCGGTCAATTTCCGGCCGCTGATGGGCGATACAGGTGTGGCTGGGCCGGTTGGGTACATGGAGTTTGCAGCTGAGGATTCACGGCTGCTGTCAGCGGCGTGTGCAGTGACACCAAAATTCATCTCAATCCATTCCTTCTCTTGTGCGGCCATTTGCACAGCGACTCCTTCTGCATTGTTGAGACATTCCTCGCGGATCTCATTATCCAGAACTCGGAGTCGTTTCTTCGCCCAGATGGTGTGCAACACACCCTTCTTGCCGGCAGCACGACCTGTTGCGCCTAGCTCAGGCGGGAAGATAGCAGGCAGCGGGTTCAGTTGCAAGGTATCGCGAGCTTGTGAAGACGGCGTTGATGTGTTATCCGTCTCGACTGTGGGCAGAGGCTCGTATGAGAGTGTAACGACAGGAGGGATAGTGACGTGAGGCGGGAGCAGGAAGTAGAAGCGGCGTAAGCTGTCAGTCGGTCGATCATCCGCGGGGAGAACGGTAGTCTTGCCGGTCCATGAAACATGCCAGGAACCCTCGGCAGCACATCGGCTCAGATCATCATCCTCCCACTCGATCATCAGGATCTTGGTCCCCTCATTACCCCTGCCGGCTTCGAATTCGAACCGAGCCAACGCGGATATGGAGAGGCAGCTGCCAATGGGACCACGCGGGGTCTCCAGGTCGGCGAATTCGCTATCTGGTGTGAAGGTGGCCGGTACTTGAGACATGGCTGTGCAGGCCGCAGAAAAAAACAGTCGGACTTTTTGGGGCGCACGGAACGCTGAATCGGGATCTCGGAGACGGGCCTAGGGAGACGCACCACTGACAGAACTGGAGGATCGGGACAGTGACGGGCTGAGTCTGGAGGGGAGTGCAATCTGGAGAAGGGAGGAGAGTGGGCGGGTCGATCACGGGATTGTGAAATGTTTCTAAGCGCCGCTTCAACAATGAAGCGTGCTGGAAGCTTGATTCTAAACCCGTTTGGGAAAGCAATTTAGGGCGTTTCAAGTCTTGAGACTTTTCTATTCGTCGATTTGTGCATGAGAAGGATGATCCAACCCTTGTCTACTGTGCCCCGCCTCTAAATATAGATGTGGCGGGACGTGATGCTTCTTTCTTCAACTTCCAGCCTCCTTCAAATGAACATGTTCAATGAAATAGATACAGTGTTTGCTTTGTTGATGCTGTTTTCAGGCCGCCTCTTTGGAAATTTTCGCCTTCTTGATTGCGTGTATTTTGGTTTCAATATGAAGTTCGACCCCGCATGTCTGCTCGAATGGTCTATTTTTGGCAAATGCAGTGTGATTCGGGTGACATGCATGCATTCCTTCGCTTTCCGATGATGCTAACGGGGACTCCGACCAGGGTTTCGAGTCTATGTTAAAGAAATGCACAGTTGAAATGTTCTTTGATCTAGCTATCAAACAAAGGCGAGATGATTCTTTCCTTGGAATCGGAGGCAAATCTGCAATTTTACACATGGATGTCATCGCCATCTCGAATCGTTCTGGAAGGGTCTTGAGATATTTCAAATGTGAAAAAAGAAGCTTGACCTAGTCTAAGGGAATTTATGAGCACAAACATTGCATTGATGTAGTGATTTCATTCGCCTAGGCACCTGTGACATGAAGTGAATACCCAGGGATACAAGGTTGAGGGAGGTGGCTTTGATATATCTCCGATATACTTCGAGCCAAAATATCCGGATATGGAAATGATTTGTGAATAACCGAGCGATAATAAAGTGCGAGTTGATCAGCAAGAACCTAATTTGGGAATTAAGTTGAACTATTGCTACAACCTGGCTTATCAGTAAACTGTGAAGGGTAGAGCTTGGATTGAATATCGCGTCCCCTCGGCCGGAAGTTTGTTGCAGATGAAACAAAGATGGTTATACAGTTTGAAACTCCACACGCATACACGGAGTTTTAAAATAGCCTCGAGGCACAAAGGGTCCCTTCTACCATTTAAATGAACGCTGTAGATCTGAAGATATTTGGATAGCCCGCCGAGGAACCATTAGCACTCGGAACGAAACAACTTCAAGCTCGGGCTGGAACATGTCCGAACAATCACCATCACAATCACCATCAGGGACCCAATATGCAATGTCATGGCGCGCGCATCGCGAAGAACCAAAGACAATGTGGGATAAGAATAATTCCTTTATTTAGAACTAGAATATATGGAAAGCGAGGTTTAATTGAAACAAAAGGGCAGTAAGGGGGTGCTGTACCATACAGTATCGTACATGACGCCTGGTTCTAAAAGGAAACCTGCGTTTCTGTACAAAACAAAGCTATGAAACGCCCTAGATTGGATAAAATGGACAGTAGAAAGAGCTAGAAAGTATAATGAGCGTTATGGAGCTGCGACACGGTGTTCTGAGGTCGCTGTTGTGGTGGAGTGCATAAGCGGAGCGGGGAGAACATCACGGAAACAGCATAGGTGTGTACGATGTTCCTGCATCATGCGTGAGCTCATGATCTAAATTTGGCAGATAGAAAGGGAAATGGTTCTAAGAATAGTGATTTAAAGAGAGAAGAGGGAAAGTGTCAGTGCGACCACCCGGAACTACTGGAAAAGACAGCACTGAGTGGCTTAGATTCTGTTAGGCCCAGCCCCAACGGGGACGCTGGGCCAATAAAGTGGATAGCCATACATGCAGCATTGGCATATGTTGCCTTGTATATCATTTCACGGGGACTCAGAAGGTCCTACGTGAACATGCATTAGTCTGGAAAGGCTCGGGTCATGATATGCAATTGCGCGCGGGGCAAGGCACGAATGCCTCCAACGGAGAGGTTCTATTGGCAAGTATGCATTTACTGACCCCTCATCGAGATATTTTTGGATGGAAACCATATTTAGAAATGCATTGATATGGGCCTTTCTCAACACAAGAGCACCGAGAGGGGTTCTTGTGCTCATTGTCTACGAAAGTATTGCTATTATTACCATCTTGTGTGCCGCCGGGTTCCCTCAAGTCCCACAACTATAGCCTTTATATTTCGCCTCATTGGAGGCACCCGGTCTATCTTTGGAGATGCGGGGTGCTCGTGATTCAGCTACATGAAACACGAAAAGCTTTCAAACAAGGAGCCTCTAAATAAAACAGTGTGTAAACTATCGGTATGCTCATTCCGACTCGCAAGTTGACAATTGAGCATAAGTTGATCCCAAACCACCGCTGTAAACTAAGAACAGGCGAATTGCAACTATTTCTTGAGGAGGTGAGGTTCAGATTGGGATTTTGTTCCAAAAATAGTCCTCCACCTAGGATTCCACTGCAGGGGACCCTGAATGCCGGACGCCGATCTCATACCAGAGTGATGGGATTCTCAAGTGTGACCGTGACCATGCCATTAATTTCTTTGGCCACCCCTATCTAAAAATAATCTGCTAGGCGCTTAATTCAGGAGAGTGACCGATAGAAAGAGACCAAATTCATAAGTGGAGTTCTAAGCTGTGACACCGGAGGGATCATACTGTTACGAGAAGATGGGAGGGCAAGCCGAATGACGTCTCCACCAATAACGGCACGTGGCCTTTGTATGTGATAGTCGTTACTAAATTTGGAGTCTTCAGACGAGTTCCATGCCCCTGCTGCAGCCCTGCTGACCGCTACTACTGCTTCCCGTATTCGTGAATCCACGTTATGCTCGAATTGCATGCCTGGGCGTGAGCAGTAGCGTGACGGAACGCTGTTGCGGGTACAGGGCCAGCGCCTAGAGACACTGAAGGTTTCCACTTAATTGGACTATTGAAGTATCACAACCAGACGTAGGCAACTGATTCGTCGCCCACAGCAAGTTAGAAACCCGTAAGTAGGTGATTTGATTCTGACCCAGGGGACTTGGGTGATGATTGGCTTGTTTCTAGTGATGTGAAGTACAGAGAGCACAGAGCCTAAAACCTGGCCATTTCTGGGCCCAAAAATAGATCGTCCCTCCCTTGAAGGTGCATAAGAATGGCATCACGAGCAAATCCAATCCCCCAACGAGATAGGCCGACCGAGCAGATGACGGATTGATCCCGCGTGATAGCCCCACTGAGTTCAGCCAATCGTGTCGCAATAATTGCAGGTTCCTTCATCACAGCACACGCTAAGTGGGGTATGGAATAGCGCCGGCGCTTAATCGAGATTGCTGAGCGGGCCGTGAGATCAAAGCCACAGAGCTAACTCGATGATTGGCTCGAACTATGTTTGTGGGGCTTTTGTTGTTCTTCGGTCCTCTGCCGTGGCATTCGACCTGCTGCTTCATATTGTTTGTTCGCATGAGGAGCAAGAAAACTCAGAACCTCAGGAGATCCACTATATTCCTCCAAATACACCGCTGTAATGGTTTAGACAGTATACGATAAGATGTGTGGGGTCCCGATGGTAATGATTGGTGAGCCTGTAATATTTCGCTTGTCATCGTTATTTACGCCCCTCTTTAGTAAAACAGTCCTAAGGTTTCGAAAGTCTGATCGTTACCCGAAATACTGGTTTCACCTGACCCTGGTCGAACCTAGACTTACGATAAGCCGATATACCTGACAACTTGCGGGACAAGAAATAGGACAACGCCGTTTCCTATAGCATAATCTTGGTATTATGGTTTAGAGACCCATTAACCTTCCTGTATTGACTCAAACCAAGGACTCTTGTCATTGCCTTCAGAGTACAAAGCCTTCATGTGATCTTTGGTTTTTTGACTCTGACTTTAACGTGGAATTGCCACTTTGGCCATGCACATATGAGCTCTTGGTAAGGAATTACACATTGTCTCGTATATCTACAGGGATTAGTAGTGCTTTGGATTCCTTTAACGCTGTACGGTCGTCTTATTTGTTATTCTCCGATCCTTTCGTCAGACGCTGCCATGTATTCGATACGGTACGCCCGAAATTTATTACGTACCGTACTCGAAGCTCGGACAGCGTCAGGCTCTCTGCCAGGCCAGAACGTAAGAAAAGGGGCGGTGGCTGAGAGGCAGTGCTCTACTGGGCGTTTAAATGAGAATCACCATTTACAGGATTGTTATCCTAACAGTTAGCTCTTGAGTGGCTCACCAGCAACCTTGGAATAGGCGAATCCTTCGAGTCAGCAATTGTCAATAGCGCGGCTCAACTACAGGTCTATTTCTTGGGGCCAGAGTCTAGCTTTTCTAAATTGCTTGGACAGGGTCAAAGTCATGTGGCGTTCAAGATGTATTCTCTCATTCGTTCCTTCGCATAAGCGTCCCAAAACACTGGCACCCGTATATCATACGGAATGGAGAGCTTCGCGCTCTTCTGCCCAGCCTTCCACTTTATCTAAGCCTTCATTTCTTCTTTCAGCATTATTAACGCCTGCATAGCGCCCGTGATCTAGTTAATGTGGCCCCATCTCCCTGATAGGACACCTTTAAGCGCATTGTGTCCCCAATTTCCCGGGTCAGCGGTATTAACGGCCTATCGAAGACGGAATGGGGCCGACAAGAGGTCAGAGTCCTTACCGTTCACTCAACAGAGCGCTTAGTAGCTTCTCATGCGGATCTAAGCTGTCGTGGCCGGTGTAGATCGAATCCTTCTACCGAAGTGAACATATAGGAAGTGACGTTTGGTGGGAATTGAGGCCGATCCCGTTTGAGCCTCTCGGAAGGAATGAGTGCATGTGCATTAGTTCGATCGAAAAAAATTACCAGGATCCTTCTTGCGTCAAAGCATTGTTGGTTTCTTTACAGTTAAAGAGTCATTTCCAACAACAACATGCGGCTTACACGTGGAGAGAAGGCTCCAGTCCTTACCATCCGGTCGGGCTGGAAAGAGCCTTTTTAAGGATTCCATTCCCTGGGACCGCTTCCCCGTTCGCAACACACCGCTAAGAGGGCACAAATCTTACCAACAGTTCCCATATATGGTATTGGGCTAACCACGACTGCCTGGTGGCGTCGGGGCTCAGTTTACGGATCCATGTCATGGGAGGTACTTTTGACAAACAGGTATCTATAGTAGCTCAAATCATGAATGACAGCCCGAGAAAGGGCTAGAGCAATCCTACGGAGCCTCAGAAATAGATGAAGACGCGTAAAGGCTGTGTAGATTAGGCTAGAACACGCTGAAGCATACTGAACATGTATAACAAAACTTGTTTCACGTAATATTTGGGCTAAGGACACACGAAAACTCCAGGTAAAGTGCCCCCCACATATGACCTGGAAGAAAGCCTTGCATTCCTTTTCTCCGCCACCAACAGTAAAGCGAACCAAGCACTGGGCAAAAAAGGAACAACGTCATGAACACCATTCTCCTTCCGACTCTCAACCCTTTCATGTTGCAAGAGAACCCGGTTGAACGCAGGGAAATATTAGCCAATACCCTAAAAACAAAGTAAATCCAGACCGCGTAAGAAAAATGATGTGAATCGTTCTAACAATGCCCCCTCGCACCTAAGCCAATCGTTTCAAGAGCCAAATAAAAAAAGATGAAAATGAAGGTTGGATATCGGTCGCTGGACGCGAAGAGTAAAGCAAGATGAGAAATGAGCCGTGCGTAAAAGCTAAGTGTCCCCACTCTCACTGGTCTTGCGTCGCTTTCCCCGAGGCGGAGGATCCAAATGCGTGCGCTTGTATGTTACCGTCCGGGTCACCACATGTCTTACTCGGACTGGCTTCCCACTACCGGCGCTCCTTGGTGTTTCAATAACCTTCCAATCTGACGGTGTGAATGGCGATCTGATTGTGCGCGCACTTGCTGGTGAGTCTGAAATAGGCGAGTATATGCATGTCGGGGGGATGCAAAGCCGCCGTAAAGGAACGGCGAGCCTAGCAGATTGTGGAGTGGTGGATTTGGGACTGGTCATTGTGGGCGAGGATGGGAGGAGAGCGCCAGTAGTCTTTGGGCCGTCGCTAGATGCGCTCGAAGGTACAGAGATGGGTGAAGGGCGACGCTTTTCGAAGCGCTTTTCGAATCGCTTTTCGAATCGCTTTTCGAAACGCGTTTCAAAGTTGAACCGTTTGAATCCAGCACCAGGAGTGACAGGGCTGAAGGTCGGTGTGAGGGCTTCGAGGAACTTCGTATAAGAGTCCGGAGGGGTCAGTCTTGCACTGCCACTGCTAGGACTTCCGTCCTCACGTTTGATAATAGGGTCAAACGTGGTGGATGTAGAGGTAACAGGGGAGTCGTGAAGCTCGGAGGGGAACATGGTCGTGGTCTTTGGTGTTTTGAGAGGGTAAAGAAAGGGTTTTGGCGGCCCCATGGTGCTGAACTCGAAGAGCACCGGCGAGATAATTTGAATGGTGTGAAGAAAAATATATAAGAATGAATTGTAAGGGCTCGATAATGTCAGGGAGGGGGGGGGGGGGGGGAGCTGAGCGGGAGTGAATAAGAGAACGTTCGAGTCAATGCGCAACGCAAGTGAAGGGTGGGGTGTAAATCGAGAGGAAGGGTAATTGGAGGGAAGAGGTGTTATAAGAAAGTCAAAAGACCAGAAGCCAGAAGTCCAACGCTAGAAGTAAACTAGGAGTCAAATCGTGGCGCGGGTAAGAAGAGCGCAAGTTGGCGGAGCAAATTCGTGGACCCCAAGTCAGATCTATATGGAGCAACGAGGCAACACAGCCGTATCGTACGAAACGAATGGTAAAGATACCGTATCGACGTGCCAGACGGTAACGATACGTATCAGTGTAAAGGCGAGAGTCGCACAGGGGGCTAAGGCTATATACGGTTAGCGTTCCATGTTGGGCTTCTGGATGAAGTGTTGCCCACCTTTTCTGTGGCCCAGGACTTTTCACCTAGTTTAGATTGTTCAAAAGAAGGAGAACGACCGGCCCGCATGGGATGACCCAAGACCCCGCTTTTTCTAGTGCGGTGATAATCACTAGACCCCGGTGTGACGGAGCAAAGGCGTGGACTGTCAGTCCGGCTGAGAATCGTATGCCTTGGGTGGTCTGTGGGGGGGGGGGGGGAAAGAATGTCTGGAATTTCCGAAGGGTTTCTTCACTAGTTATAAACAGTCTGTTATCCTCCTACCACAACTGCGTGGCTGTTGACAGGAGTAGGATCGGCGATTAAAGTGATCTTGTCGGGCGCCATCTGAGGCAAACCTTGCGATCCGATTCACTAGAAATCCCTACGAGACAACCGCCCTCTCCCTAGAGTGTTTCAAATTGACCCTGGTCAGGGGTCACTATGGCTTACTCAACCTTCCTGGTTCGCCCTGACTAAAGCGCGCGGTTCCTCCTTAAAAACGCAGCGGCTCGCCCACGCCACCTTTGCAATGGAACGAAGACCACTTTAGCGACGATTTCTTGAAAATACAGGAAATGCCAAGAGAATGCAGTCACCCTATTCAACCCTCTAGTGTTGCATAGTAATAATATTTGCTAAGAATAAACGAAGAACAGCTCTTATCGAGTCAGTCGGACGATGGTGCAGATACAACAAACAAAAGCCCCATCACTCAAAGCTTTCTTCACTCCTGCCAGGGAGTCTCTCACTATACATAAGCTGCATTTTGTCTTCTATATCACCAAACAGGTCTTCTCAACCTCTACGGGTAGTTCTAAGCTATTTCGCCGGTGAAAAATACAGTCATCTACTGCAATTTAACAGGACAACTGGTGACTACGAAGCTCGGTCACAAGTTAGCACAACCACAAGAAAGCATAAAAGTGTGAGATGCTCGCCACTTGAATAGCACTGCAGCGCTCATTGCCTGTCGGAAACAGATGGTCCTCTCCACAAGAGCCAAGCGCCAGTTTCAACTCTGGATTCGTGTCCAGACAGGTTCCTCAGTTGCACCCTGCATCGACATCGACTTCCAAATATAGCCTGAAGAAAGCTAACTCCCAGGCCCACATTGGACAAAGCCGCGCATTGATAAAATGACTGCGTCAAACAAGCACCCTTAACACCATTATAAGACACCGTACCCATTATTTACGCGCCCATGCCCATATAAGCACCGTCGCCGCTTCAAGGAGTAGTTTGAGGGCTATGATTTTCTAAACAAGGAACAATATTCATCTTTTTGAGGTATTAAATGAAACAAAAAGTTCCTGCTTATATGCATTGGTTGCTGTTCGCCCACAGGCTACCTGAACTACAGATATGTAGGCATACAGTCAAAGGTGACTACTGGGATTTCATTAAAGGGTCTATTATTTGACAGCGCCGCGCATGATATTATTCTCTGATATGCTAGAATATGAACCGATATCCAGCTCCTCGCCCCTTTCTTTAGTTCTAATTTAACAGTTAACCAACATCCCATCAACAGACAATGGAAAATGGTTTCGAGGGCATCTGGGAGTGTGCCATTCACTTTCGTTCAAAAGACTGAGCACTGTTATAAGTAACTGTTGGCATGGAGCATACCTGCGGATCAATAGTTGACTTGGGTTTTTTGTTAGTGGCCATAAACTAGGTGGAGTCACACCAGCCGTCCCTGGATGATACCCTTTTCGTACGACTCTGGCCGCATAAATAGCATTCTGACGTGAAGTGGGACTCGGCATGGAAGCTACCCTTGAGCTTCATCCTTGGCTATTTCGTATCTGAAGATTAATACATACCCCTGCCTATGGCGACCTTGGTAAAGTATTAACATCCAAATATCGCTCAATCGCTCAGTCAGAGTCACGATAAAGTCTGCTGTAAAGTGATTTATTTCATGTGCTCCTGTAGTTACTCTCTATAAGCCCATTGTTTTTCACCATTTTCTATATAACCTATATCTAGTCAATGATCCTTACTTCGCCCTTAGGCATCCATCTCTGCATATCTGGGCCGTACCTTCAAGCACCAATGCCTTGGAGATCCTTCAATATAATGTTTGAAGACCCTAGAGAATTTCTTTCTTTGAAATCTTGCCTTGCATGTCCCTCAACACGTCACTTCATGTCTGACTTTCTTCTTCGCCGCCGTCGTCTCCTTCACCTTATGAATTGCTCTGGATTGCAGCTGTGAGATAGGTACATTCGCAGCTTCCAACAAGCCTTTAGTACTTTCATTTGTCCCCGATTAATAACCTTTAGGGCTTCTATAACATCCTGTGCCGTCTCTAAAGCCCTAGACCTCGGGTTGATCGATTAGAGCAGCATTTCACCATCCTTCTCAGAACTTGCGAGGCCCTTGCTGATGCGCTCCGTCAATTTACTACACTCGAGAGTTTGATAATCCTTTCTTTTTAAATTGTTCATCTTCGGGCCTTCTCGGTTGCTGCATTTAGTCGAGCATGTTAAGTGCCAGAGCTTTCACATTTCCGGGCTCCTGTAGGTGTGCCTAGGGTTTCTTTGCTTAGAATCTCACCTCACTCGTCGTATGCTTCATGTCTTCGATAATGACTTGGCTCATAACGGCCAGAAGTTCTTGTCGTCCTTGTGTGTGATCGCAGAAATTTTAGATTACCTGGAGAGATAGCAACATCTAAAGTGATGTGAATATATTTGGATGTAAAAAGACATTATATGTAGGCCGTGTTCAGTAAGTTAAGGTTCTTTGCAAAAGAACAAATTCAATGCGTGAGCATGGGACTGCTTAATTTCGAGGATGCTTAAGATGCTATTGGTTTGCTTGAAACGCCGAGCTGATCTATGGGCAGGGAGAAGAATGCACCCGGAGATGGATGGGAAAAGGACGTGAATCCGAGAGAAAGGAATGCACTAGAACAAGTATTGAACAGGCCAGAAGTGACAGAGAATTACTTCGAACTATATGCACCTATCAATTTTGTGCCCATCATCTGAACAAGGTAGTTCTTGGAGGGAGATGTAACGTCGCTACAAAGCGAACAATGGGAGCCAGTTCTTTTGATAAAGCTTAAAAATATGAAGTTATCAGGTTTGAATAAGTTTTCTTTCAATTGCGACTCATCACCAGTATGATCATGGTGTGATGGTATAACGGTATAATGGTATAGTGGTATAATGGTATAGTGGTATAATGCGTGAAGTTGAGAGACTCCGGCTCGCCAAGTTATCGCAGCACCGCTAAATAGCGCCAATAGCGCCAAAAAATCAAAAGGTATTCCATTTCAACTCCCAAAAACAAATGATAGAAGAGAAGCCAGACGCTCCAATCTATAAAACCGGAAAACTCCAGGCTTAGAGAACATGAGAACGAAATTATATCAACAAGTATCGCCAGTCATTACGACCCATGATATCGCGCCAGTGGGTGCTTTGCTTTTTGATTGATCGCATCCCAGTGACAGCAGTACCCAGAGTTTGCTCTTCCTTGAAGCCGGGGGCGTGAGTCTGAGACTGCTCTTCACTACCCATGGATGGCTCTACCTCATCGGAAAGTCTCCAAACCTCCTGAAGCAAGCGGTACATGCGACTGAAGCTACCAAAATCGCCTATCTCCCCAAGCGCCGCTGCACGCTCAGCAAAAACGCTGCGGAAGTCGCTGTCAGGTGTTGAAAAGCTGCCGGCCATAAGCAAAGGCCAGACAAGCGAGCGATCAAATCCATAAGGACCAGCAGGAATGAATTGTAGAGCAGTTGTGATGCTAGAGATGAGGGAAAAAACGCCAGGTTGATTGCGGTCAAATCCAGGTACAATGCTGCAGAGGTAGAGGCGAGCTGCAAAGCGGAAGATAGCGCTCATGTTCTTGGTCAGTTGGTCAGGCAAAATTGCTCCTGTGCACGCATAAGGGTGCGCCAGAGTTGGGTCTGCGGGCTCTGTGTATTCCAGTTGGGCACCGAGGGCGGAGACGTGGTGGCACACGGTAATGTCATCAACTCGGCCTTCGGCTTTTAGGGAATCCAAGCAGGCAATTTCGGAAATAAGGTACATGATCCGATCATCGCATCCCATCAGCTCGCGCAAACCAGTGGAGGTTCCGCTGAGATGTTTAGTTCGATAATTGTGGGCGAACTGCGGGGTTTTTCCAATCATTGTGGCACCAAGAATATCAATCCATGCAGTCAAAGACATACTAAAAGGTGAAGCAGATGAAGCTGGTACCCCCGGGGCTGCAATAGCACTTGGCATTTCCAGCCTGTTCACCAAATTTGATACAGCCTGGAAATGGTCGTTCCACGGAATATCCGGAAGGCAGTCATCAGGGGCACCCACGGAGCAGTGGAAGAAGATCATAGCCAACGTCGCATCTAGAATTTGCTCGTGGTCGGTATCTTGGTTGAGAGCTTGACATAACTGGGCAATCGCTTCATAACGATGTCGCATAATATCATGATCGATTTGTTCGGCGGCAAGACCAACTGTAGATTTTAGATGGATGGCAGCCACGCTCAAACAGCAGTGTAGGTAAGACTTGTTGGTTTCAAGTGCAGTCAAAATTGTCTTTGCGCGTGCTGGGCCTTGTTGGTGAACCTCTAAAATAGGGAAGATCATTCTTAGTACATTCTCGATGAAATGATCCAAAAGAGGTCGGTCATGTTCTTCAACGGGAATGGCAGCAGTGTGCAGGTAGGTTGCGGAAGCATCAATGTGCTGTTGGGGGATGGAAGGATCCAGCGGGCCAAAGGGTCCAACTTGATTGAAGCATTCTTCTTGTAACCAGTCATCACCATGGAAATTCGGCAGAGTGTTGTGAAGTTGTGGAGGCCCCATTGCGCTAAATGTAGAGATAGAAGAGTCATGCCTGAAAGGCACGTCGTTGACGAAGGTCTGTCGCTCGGTCCGGACGTCAACTTCATAAGGTGCATATTGTTGGGTGTAGGCAGCGGGCGGGAACCCGGGCGTGTGAGAATGCGATGCGTAAGGATCGTAGACATCTGTGTAAGTCTGCCGGTTGGAGTCATATGTTCCTGCCATTGGCGGCGACACAGAGGATGAGCCATGGTCTTCTGGAAAGACAGAATTGTTAGTGATTTTCTGCCGAGCTCACTTCTTTGGAAAGGATAGTTACCTTGGTTTGATCCGCGTTTCTCAATTGTCTTAGTCTGCTTGATCTTGTTTTTTACGCGCTCCTTCTGTTGACGGCGCTGTTCGGCGCTCGCCCACCACATTGGTCGCTTATATTCGCATTTCAGGCACAAGTTCGCGCATGCCTTACAGGTGGGGTGTCCTTCATCGCACTTTTTCCGTCGTAAACGACATGTAAAGCAGCCTACAGAAAGCTAAGTTAGCTTGAGGAGGCTCTATGCTCCATCGTAACGCAATAGCCAAACGACTGAATATAATTGAATTAACTAACCTGATCGCGAACGTTTGTGAAGCTTCCCGTTAGACTTGTCGGCCTCGCCATCGAGTGCGACAGTCTTGGAAATCCCGGCTGCCTTTGGCGCCGACATTGTAAAGTGTTTGGAATGGGGCATTTCAAAATTCGATCGCGAACGAGTTTTGAGTGTGGTAGGGTTTGTCTTCGAGTAGGGGAACTCTGTCTGTTTAATAGGTGGCGTGCGGCAGGCGTGCGGCAATGGTTATTATTAGGAAGTCGCCAGTGGAGCAACTCTCTCGTTCGGAGGGAAATGGAGGGCGAGAAGGGAGGCTGGTTCAGTGGCGTCCCGTGCGGTTGTCCCTCAGAGGCAGCATAGAATCCAAGACCGGGTATGGATGGTTGGGATGGGGTGGACTGAGGCGGAATGTTTCATCGTGTCATGTCGGAGAATGAAGACTTTAAAGACTAATCTGAGATCTAACCTACATCTCACGATGCTTCTATTTTTTGACCAAGCTAGGCGAGTACTGGACGATCCAAGGCCGGGCAAGCATGCGAACATGGGTGGGGATCTGCAGCTGGGACAAATGACACCAAACCTGGCCTAAATTTGGGATCATTTTGAACAGGCATAAGTCTCCTGTTGGCTAACGTGCATGTGTGGATTCGATCGGCACCCGTGCTCTCGCATGTCGAGAATTCAGCAAACCAGGTGTGATGTGTGATGCTTCCAGGGGTCCATAAGTCAGGGCATGCAGAGAAGATAGTATATCATAGACGCTGATAGGCTCCTCGATTCTATCACAAAGTTTAGCTACTTGTTATCACATCGTCCGTGCACAGTATCCTATTAGCCCCACCCTTCCCCAGCCAAACCACCATGGACCCGTGCCCCGCAAGCTTCACTTGTGGCTTGGCGGATACAATATGTCTTCTACAAGCTTAGGATAAAATTTTCAGGTTATGAGGGATGTGAATCGGTTCAGAAGCAAACTAGCGAGAGGCCTCATCAGTATAGACCGCCACTTGTCGAGGAAACGACTATCGGGAACAAGCGAGTTAGTTGGTCAAGATAGGTGACGAAAGGCACATATGGTGGGGTTGGATCGTGACTCGGCGGCAGCTGGTGCGTGCCAAGCTTCTACTTTCGCAAGCCTATTGGCCATTCTTTTCCTGCCATTAGCGGTTCGGGCTATGGGCCGAGCCCATCCTGTGCAGAATCAAGACTCGACAGCCAACCAACACTTTGGTGCCCCGAGCGGGGGAATATGGCACGTTACTCAGGCGGATGACACCTGCAGGACTTGGATCCCTAATTAGCAACAATTAACCGCCAATCTAAAGACCAAATACGGAAGTAGATCGGGAGATTCTAAATTGCTTCCCTGAGTTTGACCAAATTATCCTTTCGCGGACGAATTTACTATTAATAACTCTCATTTAGTTTCTTATTATTTGGAACCGGTGATAGATGTACGTCAATTGTTTCTAATCTCAGTAAAGTTGTAATGTTAAGCGCCGTTCCTTTTTGGAAGAATTGAGACATAATTAGCAACATTTCATTTTCCATGGTAGCTCGGACAAGGCGGTTTCATCCGTTGCAGAACTGTCCAAAAGACAGTCATTACTATCATAGGATTGGATGATATGTTTTGTTGGAATAGTAATATGAACGAAGTGACTCATTTCAAAGTAATCATGCTGACTCAAATCTGACCTGCCACCTTAATAAGGGGCATCTAGGTTTTACCAGAGGCAACAATGTCTCCTTCATCAATAGCATCATTGTTCAGCCCCAGCTGCTCTTGTCCATTGGATAGTGAGTTTGAAGAGCCAATTTCCCATTACGAGTCGCATACCTTTTATTGCCTAGGGGTCGCGGAGGATTGAATAGCCACCGTCAATCAAATCAACACATCTCTCTTCTACAGGCAATTGCCACTCGCATGGACATCAAATTAATAACCTATGATAATCGGTTGTAGACCTTGCTCTATTGTCAGGCTGTCAGGCACAGATTTGAAATTTCAGCCATGGAGATAATACAATTATACGCTTGTGAAATTTGTCTACGAGAGGAGGAAAAACTTTTGTTACACGAGACCGAACTCGAAGATGCCGTGTAATGGCGGGAAGGTGCATTTCTGGCTTAGATTGAGAGGTTGTCTACCTAGGAATGGAGTAATTCTTGTACCTTTTCTCTCGTTCGGCGATTAATAATATCCGAATACTCGTTCCCCCTTTTTGCCTATATCTTCCTCTGAGCCCTGGATCGAGAAATGCAAGGCAATTATTATACTAATCTACAACGCATGATGAACAAGAAGTAGGAGTAAGCGTGGCTTGATCAATATTTCCAGAAGAGTGCGTCAACCAACACGTGGTGGTGCACGTTTCTCTAATTTATTTATGCGAGCAGCGATGAACATGGTATGGCCGGAATAATAAGCGATAGGTGATGGGATATCATAGGCGGGCGAGAAGATAGATTGTCGTGATCAGTCAACTTCAAAATGATGTGCCGTGGTGACATTCACCCGTGCGGGGAAGTTGGACACAATTCAACAGTGCATATTAGGATTTCGGCCATACGCCTCATTATTTTATTGCCATTGTCAGCAGTGGTTTGTCGCCTCGAGTTCCAGGAGGAGAAAATGTTTCATTGGGCGCCCTGGAGAAGAACCGCATAACCAGTCGATCGTCGCATTTACTAAGATTTCTCTATTTCTGGAAACAATTAGGCGCTCCCAAGACAAAAAAAAAATGCAAGCTAATGCCCTGATGTTGCTAAAATTATCATCAATTGCTGTCTGTTCGGGACAATTATGGGAATTTTGGTTCGGTATGTGATTGACAGTGGATGGCTGCCTTAGCGCCGTTGTGACAAGTAATATCCAAGCAATTGGCCGTGCTGCCCCAGCCGTCTCGTGAGGGCGCCCAAGTCGAGCTCGGTGAGCCTATCAAACTGTGCTGGGCTTCTGTCACCGCAGTAGCGGCGTTCCTTGCAACCTCTCGCAAGGTTTTTCTACCCTCCTCTTGCATGATGAATTCTATGGGTTAATTTTGGAGCCGTGCTCTTGGTTTCCTTTTTCGTCCAACGAAAAAGACGAACCCCTCTTGAAACAGGCTTGAGCCCTTACAGCCTAACCAATGACGAGTTATGCAGGAGGTCGGGGTAGCTCGCTTCGTCTGTTCCTTAGCAACCCCGGTCGCAAGTCACCTCATGCAACTGCATACTCAATTTGTCACATCCTTCCCACTGGTTGAAACCGTGTCCGTAGTTATTTTTGAACATGCGCTTTTTTTGGTAACTGAATTCTCGTTCACCTCCTCCGGCGCCCATAATACATATACCTATAAGCCGCCCGGTCCCAACGTTCATCCTAAGCTAAACTTATTTTTTCCTATATTGTGTCATTGCTGTATCACGATAGCAGTGCCCCGCATCACTAGACCCTATCCTATATTGGGCTATCTCAATCGTCCCTGTCCATGGTAAACTCTCTCCCCGTCGCTCTGAAAGTTTGCGGCTCCTAGCCTACCTTGAGGGCTGGAGTGCTATTTATACGGGGCACTCCCTAACAATCCCCCTACTTTAGTGATCTACTAAGGCTGAAACTTCAAAATGGTATGCATAGAGTCCGCGCACACATTCACATTAACTAACTCATTTGTACAGGGCAGCCAATACGACCACCGGTTCCCATTTCGATTCCTAAAGTCGAAGCAAAGCGGCTCTTACGCGACCCCACGAATCGCTCGGCCACCAAGCCCTCCTTCCGAGACCACCGAGATCCTAGACACAGATTTCGATTCCGATTCCGTATCAGACGACAGGGATGGTTTTCGAAGAAGAAGTGAAGGTTCCGTGAGTATTCACACAGAATGAAGCTGTTTCTGCTGTCCATGAAATACTAATATTGCCGAATGCAGCTTGGAACAGAAAGTGTAACTACGGCTTCAACGCCCGATGAACTCAAGACGCCCGACTCAGCCGGTCTGAGTGGGTTTCACTTTCATATCGATGATAAGCCAATGTGTGGTCCGGAAGGGCCTTTCCTGTTTCAGTCACTTTCGAGTCCCTACCGCATTTCCGATTATTCTATGGACATCAAGTCCTCTGTTGAAATCGACCTAATATTTGACAACGAAGACGCCCCGGATAGTGCTACAACTCCTCTCTACTCCTCCGCGTCCAAGCTTGGCCCTGACAGAAGGGATACCCCTGTCCCTCGAGTTGTGGCTAATCCTAGCACACCCCTTCAATCCGTGCCTGAGGAGGAACACACGTCATTAAGGCCCGATGAGTCCAAGGTTGCCAGCTGGACCCCTCAAGATGTTGTCACCTGGCTTCAGAATAAAAGCATCGACGAAGGTATCATTGAGAAGTTCTTTATCAATGACATCTCAGGATCCGTCCTCCTGGATCTCCAGCCAGATGACTTGAAGGAACTTGATATCCAGTCTTTTGGAAAGCGACATGGACTCATGGGCTCGATTCGCCAGCTGCGCAACAATATTTCTGGTGAATCATTCGAAGCCGCGTTCCCAAGCACGTCGGAGCCGGTATCTCGCGAGCCGACTCCAGGGTCTACCATAGCCGAAGTAGGTGTCCGAAGTTGCAATGCGACCCCCGTGGCCGATGAAGATTGTACACAATCCCCGGCCAGAGATATTGAGCAATATCACAACAGCCGTAGGCGCCGCCGCCAACGAGTCGTTGGGCCAAATGACTCCATATCGATTGTCGGTATCGAACAAGTGTTTCCCAAACTCCACAGGTGCTCGAAAGGCGAAGATTGCCGAAAATGGCAGAGGCAACAAGCGAGATTTGCTCAATATTCCCAAGGCCTCCCGGCCGACTCTTTAGGTAGCCCCGTTGTTGTTGCTGGCGACCCGGGCAATGCTGCCACTGCTCCCAACATGATCAAGTCGCCGAAGTCCGATGTCACCGCTTCGGTCGTGGCATCTTCTGACGCTCTTGGCCCGAACCAAGTCACGGAGATGCCCATTTCTGAAAAGACACTCCAAGATGTTCGTCCCCGAGACGCCCAAGAGAATGTTCGTCATTTCATCAAGCTTCAACGTCTTAGCCAGCTCCAGCCTGTTGAGAATCCTGCCACTCCTCCAAAGGAGAATTTCCCCTCTCCCGAGGCTGACTCGCCTGGAAATCTGGCGGAAAAATTACAAAAGCTTCCCACACTTCGTATTCCAAACGATTATGATTCTTCTGCGCGAAGCTCAAAATTCTCGCCAAGTCTTTCAGGTCAACGGACTATCACTCCTTCTGTGATGCGACGACGGCAGGGACTCCAGGAATCAATTCCTGAGCAGATGACAACACCATATACCTCGTTATTCTCCCCGTCAGATTACTACCGTCAGGATCCTCATTACGGCTTTACTTCACAGACTCCTCTCTCCGAGATGGATGTGCCCCTGACTGCTATCCCGATTGGCCCAGTTGAGAGAGTCCTTTCCCAATCAGTGCCCCCGAACATGCGCTTTGGATACGAAGGAGAATATGCGCCCGATCCCATTCCCCGTCCAATATCCACAAAGGTCGAAAATCACAGACGCAAACTTTCCGTCAACACATCACAATCTGCGTTGCGCCGCCTGGACGAGGGACGAGTGATGTCACCCATCGAAACCCCCGAAGATCTGGAGCATACTCCGCGTGCTGCTCATTGCCGTGCCAACCCCTTCACTCCATCGGGTGAGCTATCTCGAGACATAATTCACAGCGGCTGGGTGAAGAAACGCAAGACCAAGAACCTCGTGCGCCACGAGTGGTCCCCAAGATACTGCGCTCTGCGCAACACTCAACGCGGCGATGAACGTGGGACAGAGCTCGCTGTCTATGACCGTCAAATGGATGCTGATGGCGATTCAAAAGCTCTAGAGTATATCGATGTTGATGATTATGCCGTAGCATGTTCCTCTGTCGCATCAAACTCGAAGTTGACAGCAGCATTCAAAAAGACAGTCTTGAAGCGCAAAGACAATACCAAGGGAGATACTGCATTTGCCTTCTCTCTGATTCCCTCCCCTAGTGGTACGTCCGTCTCCGACCGCAAATCAATCTTCCAGACCGGCAAATCTCATCACTTCGCTGTCAACACTCGCGATGAGCGTATTGATTGGATGCGTGAACTCATGCTGGCAAGAGCTCTGCGACGGGGCCGAGACAGCGGTGCCTCTCTCAATGTGAATGGAACTGTCGTACTTTAGAAGCCTCAATCATGAGCTTCTCACAATCTTTACGAAATTTCTACTACTTCCATTCTGCTTTCCGCCTCCGAAACTTGCGATATACCCTCTCGATCTTTCTCATGTTTTCCTTACCATGAATTTACGAATCTCCTTTCCGATTGAGCATCATAAGGGGGTTTTTACACGGGGATCTGACTTTTTGCTTTTTTTCATTCTGACGTTTCTTCTTTGCCTCGGCGTTGGCGCATGACCAGCCAAGAGGCACATACGGATATCGCACTGCACAGACGAGCGGCCTATGCCAAACTTATTAGATGTGAACCTCGCGGTTTAAACATTATCGACAACCATAGTCTCAGATTAAATCGAATTCGAGCTGGATCTCTTATATTGAAACCAATTACGCGACTGTTTTCAGTGTAAAAAAAACTCGAGGCGCCTAGTCTTCCGAATTAACCGAATCACAATATGGCGGAAATAGGATAGCTTAGCCTCGATTCCACGACCTTTCACTTCATTAAGAGATCAGACACCCAATTATTATGAGCCGAGCCTACCGGAAGACTTTTTCGTGGGTGACCGCAAGTTCGCTGGCTTGTTTCAGGTACTGTGGCTCTTGTCACGTTTTCGTACGTCTCCTGCGCTCCCGGGTGATCTGCTATTTCACTGGCTGTTCGTAAGTGCATGGGCTTGTATGGGCGGTTACATACTAGCATTTATTGGTGGAGCGAAAGGCTAGTGCTTTAGCTACAAGATGCGGGGTCATCACATTGCATGGCCCACGCGCCTTTACCCCTCTCTACCAACGAGATTTCATTTTTTATGTTGGTTTTGCTAAGGACAATCGCCGATAGTGCTACGTGTCGGATCGTCCTGTGCCATGGTCCTTTTCGGAGCAAGAGATTTCCATTTTGGCGAGTTCTAATTCGTGAGACTCCGTGGGAATGGCCCATCCGAGGGCCGGCCCTAGTCAATTGTCTGGAGAAGTCGTTAACCGCCCCCAATTATACCATCTCTCGGGCAGATTCGGTGGCGCTTGTGAATGGCACAGATCAGCCCTCGTCCACGCACACCTTTTCCACCCCAGCCGCGGACAGGGGTGCTGCAGGCGCTGTTAGTGCTGTTGTTAGTGATAAGAGCTTCGACTCATTGAGTCAGCAGTCGCCGGATCTCAGGGCGATTTGAGTTACGTTCCTAGTCTCCTTCCTTCACCTCCAGGCCACCAACACCACCCCTTTCTTATCGCCTCGATGACTATAGACATTCTACATTATGGTGAATGTGTCTGTAGTTCGTGATAGCTTGGCCCAGGCCGCTCAGTCCACGCGTGTAGCTATGCGCTGTTTGAACACTGGTCGAGACTCACACGATGCTTCGCTGCGGGCGCTATCACTCCTCACCGATAACCTCGACCTCCTCTATCGCATAAAGGACGAAATTTGTTGGGCGGAAGAAAAATGGTTCGTTGCGGTCGGTCGCTTACGGGACTTGAGCGAGTTGCTCTCGTGGTATGGGTTGAGCATGAGGTCTATTGAATTGTATTTTCAACCAGGAGGCGTCAGTCCTTTCTACTTCAGGAAGCACCTTTTGGACAAGACGTATATCCCTCGTCTGGAACAATACAAGATCATGTTCCTCTTGTCCATGCAGCCTGATTCGGAGTGAGATTCCGATATATGCGTTTTAGGTATTTGTTGGAATTGTTCCGCTAATACATCACAGGCAGCGAGCGTCATTAGACAAAGATATAAGAATCAGTTTGAAGAGACACCGGGAAGTTGAAACCGGTAATGAGTCCCATAGTCATTCGACTGGCAAAAGCTGATGCACATTTACACTCTAGCCAACCTCAAGGTCGACCTGCAATTCGAAGAGGACACCCTGACTCTTACAAGCCGATTATCTTCAGAGCACTTCATCACCCTCGCCGACCTCTGCAATAGACGTCAACAAGGAAGTTGCTCGTGGATCTTTGAGAACACACATTTCAAACATTGGTTGTTTGGGAGCTCTAGAACTTTGTACTGTGTTGGGCCTCGTGAGTTCCTACATTATCGGAGACTTCGGCTGTACGATCTGTTAACATATATTAGCTGGCGCGGGCAAGACATTCTTATCGTGGGTTCCCTATGATCTGAGGCTTTAGGACTACGCTTACTCGGCCTAGATCTGCAATCATTGATTTCCTCCAAAAGTCATTCACTTCCCCGGACGTCGCCACAGTATTTGTGTTCTGTCAAGAAGAAGGTGGCAAAGAGCGAACATCAATAGATCTTTTCAAGAATATCCTTGCACAGCTTGTATATCGCAAGCGGGGTTTGTCTTCGGCTACATCGGCACTTTATCTTTCCGAATCACTACAACAGGGGAGCGCTTCTACCAAGGCATATCAAAATGCGATCCGGGCGGAAGTTAACCGTTTTTCAAAGGTCCTTTTCATCATCGATGGACTCGACATGTATACAGACAAGGATCGCATCTTGGGTCGGCTTCAAAAGCTTCCACAGCAGGCTCAACTTCTCGTCACACTGCGAGACATGAGTGGTATAAAACCACTCGATAATTCTGGATACGTAAGCGTATTCGCAATGCCTGACGATGTTGGCATTTATACTCTTACCCGGGCGCGAACGGACAGCAGCCTTCGCAAAATAATCGGAGAGGACGAGCCAGATCTCAAACTTGAGGATGCGGTCATTCATTCCGTGGTGGATAAATCTCATGGAATGTAAGTTGGGTCGATTGCTTGCAAGTTTCCAGCTCGCTTACATGACATTGTTATTTAGATTCCTCCTTGCAAAGATCCATCTCGATCTTTTGTCTCAATATACGGATCGCGCTCTTCTTGAAAGAGCGCTGGTCCATCTCCCAGAGAACCTAGGTGAAGCATACGGAGAGGCAATGAAGCAGGTCGTCAGCCAAAGTCCAAACGCATCACGCTACATTTACTGGGCACTTTATGCGTTCCGACCATTGACTGTCTCCGAGCTGCGGAGCGCAGTTGATGACGAAGGTTTGGGGGACACCTTGGAAAAGATGTCTTTTGAGCAAGCCTTACATATTCAGAGTGGAGGTCTCCTATTTGTTGATGCTGTGACCGGAACCGTCCGCTTCGTTCACCGGACCGCGAAGGAATACCTCGATGGGTCGGCGTCCCGGGTTTTCTTCCCCGGGGCGCAAAAGGAAATTGCCCAGGCTTGCCTTTCTGCTATCAGTCCCGATGAAGTTGTCGACGAGTGTTATAGAGACGATACTAGCCCGTCGCGCGTTTTAAAGAAGGGCTTCCTGAACTATGCGGCCACTTATTGGGGGCTTCACGCGCGCGAGGTCGACCAAGAAGAACAGACTATACAAGTCTTGATCAAGACTTTTCTCAATAAGCTGCTTTGGAGGACTCCACCACTCGATTTATCTCGCGGCAAAGTGGATGGTATGCCTTCAGAACTGGGAATTGACAAATATCCTAGCGACTGGATTGGCCTCCATTTTCTTGCATACTATGGAATTCCTTCAAAAGCAAAACGTCTTCTCGAACAAGGCGAGCCTATCGATGGGCAGGATAATGCTTTGGGTGTTACAGCATTACATTGTGCTGTCTATCAGGGCAATGATGAGATGGTCGAGTTCTTGCTCGAGAACGGAGCCAACGGTGATGCAACCACTGCAAATGGACAGACTGCCTTGCATATTGCAGCTCAGAGAGGTCACCGTAAATGCATGAAGCTGCTTTTTGCTCAGCATGTTGACCTGCACATTGTTGATGATTCAGGCTCGCCAAGCTTCCATGCAGCTGTTGGGACAGCGACCGATGAATCGACAGTACCGCTTCTCGTCAAACACAAGGTGCTTTTGAACTTCCAGAATCCTAAAACCGGAAATACAGCACTTCATTTGGCAGTCCTCACCAGGAGACCACGGATCATCTTGTTCCTTCTGGAAAAAGGCGCTTCTATTGACATTGCTAATGATGAAGGCTTCACTCCTCTTCAGATGGCAGCGAACATGGATAACTGCGAGGCCATATCATTGCTTCTCCAGCACTGTGCTGCTGTCGAAGGTCATTCGGCGTCTGGTCCCACCGCTCTACAATACGCTGCTTGGAAAGGCCACTGGATTGCCTTTGATCTTCTCCTGATCGGTGGAGCAGACATCAATGTTTGGAACAAGCAAGGCGAGACCCTACTCCATGAGCAGGCTCGCCTCAGTACCAATATCTCTATCGTCACAAAGCTTTTGGATCAAGGTGGAAACATCGAGGCTCGCACCTCGCAAGGCTACACACCTCTTCAATGCGCTGCTATAAGCGGAAATAAAACGATGTTCCAATTATTACTCGATAGAGGAGCCAAAATCGATGTCGTCACAGCCAAAGGAGAGACTATCCTTCACATAACCCCGCCAGCCAACCAGAACTGTCTTGAGATTCTAAAAGCTGCTCTGGACGAAGGCCTCGATGCCAAGGCCACCTCAAGTCAAGGCTGGACTCCACTTCATCAAACCGTCTGGACGGGAACTGGTGCTCTTGACCTCAACTCGGACAAAACGGCAGAGTACATACAGCTCCTGTTAAGCAACGGCGCCTCAATCAACGACTGCTCGACTTCGGGTACAGTCGAGACACCTCTTCATCTTGCTACGACCTCCCCTATCCCGCGACCCTCCCTTGTTGAATTCTTGATCAAGCAGGGCTGCAATGTAAATACGACTAACGGTGAAGGCAAAACTGCCCTTCATCTCGCCGCTGAGCGCGGCCGGGAGCCACTCTTCCGTGCTTTGCTGGAAGCCGGTGCCGACTTGTCTCTTCAGATCCCCAAAGACAAAAAGTCTTCAGTGGGCACCGACAAGAGCGAAAAGGGCGACAGAAAAGATACTCCCATCACAGCCTTTGATCTTGCAAAGAAAAATCCTTTTGGATCACTGTGGTTTGACGATGACGGAAAGTTGCGCGATGTCCCTCAAAGAAGTGGACGAGACAGCGCTACGACAATTTTCGAGGATATGGAATCAGACTTCTCTGGATCAGAAACACAGGAATCTACTTTGGTGGGAAGTGAGCAGCCTTATGTTGTAGTATAAGGCTATTCTCTCTGGTGGTTTTTCTTTATTGCGTTTGATGTTGGTTCACTGCGCCTTGCTTTAAATCCTTCGATACCCACCTGCAGCGGTCTTCTACTCATTTGATGAGCGCTGAAAGATCCCACTGGCATCAAGTGATTTTTCCTCTCTTCTTCTTATGATCATTTTTACAGAGGTTGCATAGCTTTGACTGGATTTAATCGCACTGCATAATAGATGCAGGGACCACTCTTTCCTCTTGAAACAAGGGGGAATAATTAATAAGGATCACTGAGCAAGTTTTATGGACTTCGTAGCCCGTATCCTTTGTAAATCTCGCACTTTCTCTAGTCCATGACGCGCCAGTCTTTAGACACTACTGGACACTTCACAACTTAACCCATCATCCGGACAACGACATAAGCCCACCCATCCCCGTAAGCTGAACTCCTCACAACCTCTTCAATCAGAGCAGACATCGGAAGAACGGCCCCATGTAGCACAGGCTTAGCCAGAACCGGGGTTCTCCGACTGGGAAACAGATTAGGGAGTAGTGTATGTAGAACACCACCAATCGTTTGCAATTGCATTCCCGGACTCGACCGAGAACCGATCGACTGACTTGACTGTATGCTTGATGTTGGTATTGAAGGAGGCAACGGAGACTGGACTACTTTCAATAAGCCAGACTCCTCGTCGGGTGGTAGAGGCAAGAAGATGCGAATTGGAACGTTTCGGAATGGTTGTGAGAGTGGTGGTAGAAGAGTATTCGAGATGCGCTGGAAGGATGGGAGGTTGACTATTCCCAGGGTATTTGTTAATCTAGAGATCTTTGTTTCTGAATCTCATGTTATATGATCAGATCAAGTGCTCACCTTCTTCGACGGACTTCCAGAGACCCGCGGAGTCTTCCTTGGAAAGGCTCATGATGCCCTTTGCCGTGCCGTTTCTCAGGAAATCGGCCTCTTTAACACTGTTGATGAAGGCATCATTCATGACCATGCCATCTGGATCAAGACGCACAAGGTCTTCCGAGGGCCAATCACTGAAGTGCACTGTCAAACGCCACGGCAGTGGTGATTCGCCCTCTTGAGAATCGACACAGGACTTGGTGGCGGGATCAGCCCCAGCATAAAGGTCGAAGAGGAGGCCGACAGGGTAGTGCCATTTCAGAGGGACGCCTTCAAAGGCAAACCAGCCGTCATGGTGCTGGGAACTGGGCTCTATTAAAGATGGGGAGAAGAATGTTCGTAGTCTTGGGAGCAATGAGGGGAGATATGATAAACGTGGGTATGAGATCTGGTAAGGGTCAGCAAAGGCACGTTCTGGTTATTTGGCGAGCGTACGAGATATGGATCAGTCTTGTCGTATGACCGGCTCTCTGAAGGAGCGAGGACGATCTCAAGTGGTATCCGTCCCGCCCAGACGCTTCTTTGGAGAGAAACAAGTGGTGTTTGGTTCTCCATGCTGGGGTATTATGGGCTTTGAGCTGTGCCTGGGTATATTTTAGGCTTTCGTTCGGTCTGAAAGGAGATCTCAGGCTCGAAGACCGGCAGCGTACCTACTTCAAGCTAATATAGCGATCGAGAAGTGGGATTAGCATATCATGGACAGATAAGGCGTTCAGATCGTGACAGCCCCACTACAGAGGAGATCATAGTCTATGAATATAGACAGTAACATAAGCCAGCTAGAGAGCTCGGTTCAAATAGGCGATTTGGTGTAGAAATAGAGCAGCAGGTTCATGGTGACGGATGCGCGGCATTGATGGTTGCACGTGATTGTACCTGAGCAGGGGTCAAACCCCCGCGTCTACCGCCTCTCAGAAGAACTGGAATTGCTCAAACCCTCTGGAATTACGATTATTCACAAGCTAACTAATTTCTACTCGATCGGATTTGCAGTTCTCCCGGCCAACAGTCCCTCTAAGTCCGTGATGTCACCAATATTCTCAATGTCCAGCACCAGCCTCTCAATCTCGTCTCTTCGCCAGTCGTCCACAATACCCTTCGTGAACCGTCTGAATTTCTCCAAGATTTCCTCGTTCGACAATCCAGGAGCGACGTCGAGAGGCGCAGCAAGAGTCTGGGTTATCACTTCACCGTCCTCGAAAGCGAGGGTTACGCGCTGTTCATATTTCTCGCCCAACTCCGGCGTGTGGAAACACTCGGTCTTGTCAACCAAGGCCCAGAGAACATCTCTGTCAAGCAAGTCCTGATGGAAATCTTGAGGCAATACTTGGCCATCGACGAGCTGGACAGCAGCGACATAGGCACAGGACATCTGCGCTCCAAGTGCGGAGAGCGGTCGCTCTGCCTTCCATCCTCCGTGTTTGAAGGCTGCTTCCGACATCTCTATCTTGATACTCGCGATCGTTCTCAGGTCAGCCAGCTTCTCGGGGTGTTTCTTTTGCAGTTTTGCGACCGCGTCAATGGTACAGTGGGTCCCTGCCATTGAAGCGTGCGACTTGACACGAATATTGTCCGACTGCCACGTCTGTCCAAGCCCCTTGGTGAGTTCGTTCACCAGGTATGGAGGCTCCTTGCCAGAGTTCTGCCCGAATGTCGACAAAAAGCCACCGTATGGCTCCTCGAAGACATTCTTGATGCCGATATACCCTCCCTCGGCCATCAGAGCGGCGAACAGTCCGTTGCGCGCTGCGAATCCGTGCTGCATGCGTTTCACGTCGCTTCCGAACTGAGCTGACATCAACCCACATGCTTGGGTACACGCTATCCCGAGCGCGTCTTCAATGACGTCTTTGGGAAGGTCAAGCAGCTTACTGACTGCAGCTGCAGCTGCAGCGTGGCCAAATGTGGTTCCAGAGTGCCATCCTCTGGTCAGCATATGTCCTCCATAGAGACACAGTCCAACGCGAGGCCCTGTCTCGTATCCGACAATTGTAGAAAGTAGAAAAGCAGCTCCGTCGAGTGCTGGTGAGCCATTGCTCTTCTTTTGGCTGGCAGCCGCAAGTAATGGAGGCAACAGGATGGAATTAGAGTGCAACGGAGCTAACATATGCCAGTCATCAAGCTCAAATGACTGTATTTCGGTGCTATTCAAGAGTGCTGCCGGCAATGGACCTAGTTTCTATACAAATATAATATTAGAATGAATCTCTGTTCGGCATTTACTAGATCTCGGGACACGAGATATATTTCTCCACCTACCTTATCGTACCCCCATACAACACTATTCCCCGGGGGTTCGATCGCAAAAATAGCGTTTGCAGCCTTTTCGACCCATGGTAAATGTGCACCGAGTAGTGCACAGCATAAGCCATCCAGAATTAAGTATTTTGCACGAGTCCGGACACTTTCCGGGACGTCGTCTAGTCTCAGCCCGTGGATCCAGGAACAGAGCTCTTTGGTCACACCGAGACTAGGGCTGGATTGCGGAGACATGGCGATGTACAGCTCGGCAATAGTTTTGGAATTAATCTTGGCACTTGCGATCGTCTCTATGTCCAAATAGTTTGACGTGTCGTGGCACACTAAAGCTTACATTTGTTTTTAAGCAAATTCGGCCCGCGAGCGCAACGTGTTCCCCGAAAGCGGCCCGAGACACGAGATACCAGGGGTTGAAGTTGTGTCGAGTGGTGTTCTCACTTCACTTCACTAGAAAATTACGATTTGGACAGATTGGATAGGCGATGAGGTTTTCAGTCTATGCTTGAAGCTTCACCGGTGACGATTGTAGACTGACTCGTGAGGCGTGGTCTCCACTTGGCGTCTGCGAAAGGTCTGCAACAACATTCCGCCCATGGACTTCTGGCTTGGCCGAGGACCACCCGGCTTATTCTGCACGTCCGCTCGGCATAGTTTATGTCCATTGGGGAATCCCCTCCGGTGTCCAAGTCCCCCGGGTATTCACTGTGAACTTGGACCTCTTAGCTACATCATCCCCAGAGGGCAGAGGGGAATCCAGGGGGGAACCCAGGGCTATATGCTGAACCCCAGACTCGGAGGGTCAAAGATCATCGCTTTGATGTCAGAGGCTGTCATTTAGCACCTTCCTTCTACGTGATTAAAGTACTTCCCCACGATGCTAGGCCAATAATCGGCTCAAAAAGTTGGAGGCGACGTGGATCGCCTCGCCAAGAACGGCCTCACGTGACCGATATCCACGGATGCGTTCTGCCGCTTCAACTCGGCAAACTTCCGTCCCCACTCATGGCTAAGGGTTCTCCCCGTGGGCAACACTCATGGACATAGTAATACAATTTCGTTGAACGGGATTTGCAGAGCTAGCCTGGGGTATTCAATCTAAGCGGGACTACGCTGTCCCCTAGCTTGTCCCCCACAGTCGACATCCGCTCGATCCGGGGACAAAGGAAGTCCCTAAAATGTATAATTGCGCATTTGTGGCGAACGAGAGCTCTCACCGGAAAACCCCCCTCCACTCTGGGTGCCTGGGCATCCTGCTTTGACGGCTAAACGCAAAGATGTTGGTGACCATAAGAATATAGCCTCATTTCTTAGCCACAACACGATAGCATTCCTTCAATGCAAGGATCAGGAACGCTCCCGTGTGCTGGAATACCCGAATGAGTGAAAATGTCGTTGCTGGAAGGTTCTCAAAGCGAGGAAGCTGGGTTCCGCGTTAGCTATATACTGGCGGCCATTCGTTGACCCCGGGTGCAAGTTTCAACGGGGAAAACACTACCCCGGGTAAAAAGTTTCAAGTTCCCACCCAAGGCATTCAGTAATACTCCAAACTTACTCGCCTCAACATCTAACCCCATACTGTCCCAGAGGGTGGGGTCTTACGCGACATAGGTTGTGGGGATCGTGCATTAGGAAGAATTTCCACACACCCACACCCACCCTGGAGTCTGAGATTACTTAGGGCCTCCTGTCCCGTCTCAACCTACCTTCCTTTCTTCTTCATCTATACCACGAAAATTTTTCACGACCTTCCACACTGCAGCCATGGGTGGTATTCTTCACTTGGTCGAGGACCGGCCAACGCCAAGATCGGTCTACAACTGGAGGATCTATACCCTCGGTGTCATCGCGTCATGTGGCTCTAACATGATCGGTTACACAAGTGCCTTCATTGGTACAACTATCACCCTCTCATCTTTCATGAAAGAGTTCGGCCTGGACCAGATGACCTCAGCACAGCAAGACTTGATCAGTGAAAATGTCGTCTCTCTGTTTGTTGCCGGTGCCTTCTTCGGTGCTATTTTCACCTACGGTCTCGCCCACTGGATTGGCCGCAAATACTGCCTGACCCTCGCTTCCGCCACCTTCATCCTGGGTTCCGGTTTGACCTGTGGTGCCAACAGTAACACTGGCATTGGAATTCTCTACGCTGGACGTGTTTTGACTGGCCTTGGTACTGGTATTGCCTCCAACACTGTTCCTATCTATCTGGCCGAGTTGGCACCGCCCGCCATTCGAGGCCGTCTCGTCGGTCTCTACGAGCTGGGCTGGCAGGTTGGTGGCATGGTCGGCTTCTGGATCAACGTGAGTAATACCCTTATGTTCCGTCTCCGAATTCTGCAGAATGCTAACCTTGCTCGACAATAGTACGGTGTTGAGCAGACTTTGCCTGAAGACCATGAGCAGTGGCTCATTCCATTTGCCGTGCAGATCATCCCGGCCGGTTTACTGTTCGTTGGTTCCCTGTGGATGCGCGAGTCCCCTCGCTGGCTCTTCCTTCACGACAAGCGCAACCAGGCCATGAAGAACCTTTGCTGGATCCGTCAATTGGAGGCCTCCGATATGTATATCACTGAAGAAGTTGCTGCCATCGATCAGGCCCATGAGCACCAGAAGTCTACTGTCGGTCTCGGTTTCTGGCAGCCCTTCAAGTCCCTTGCCGCTCGTCCTTATCTGATGTGGCGTCTGTTCCTCGGCTGCATGCTCTTCTTCTGGCAGAACGGATCCGGTATTAACGCCATCAACTACTATTCGCCAACCATTTTCAAGGTCCGTAACTCCCTAATCCGCATGACGCACATAACCCACTTGGGTCGAGCCCAAATATTATCAAGTACTGACCTTCTTATTGTAGAGTATCGGCGTGCAATCCAACACACGCAACATCTTGACTGGTGTCTTCGGTGTGGTCAAGGCAGTCATGACGATCGTCTGGTTGCTGTTCCTTGTTGACCAACTCGGACGACGGAAGCTTCTTTTGATCGGTGGTATCACCGGTTCTGTCTGTATGTGGGTCATTGGTGCATACATCTACGTTGTGGACCCTACGCACAACCCTAGCGACCACCTTAACGGTGGTGGCATTGCGGCCATCTTCTTCTTCTATCTGTGGACTGCCGTATACACACCCACCTGGAACGGTACTCCGTGGGTCATTAACTCGGTGAGTTATACATCCATTGAATATTCAAGGCCTTCACTAACATGCAGCAGGAATTCTTCGAGCCCAGCTTCCGTTCCCTGGCCCAGGCCTTCACCACCGCCAGTAACTGGCTCTTCAACTTCCTCGTCTCCCGCTTCACCGAACAGATGTTCGAAGCCATGGGATACGGAGTATACTTCTTTTTCGCTTCCTTGTCCTTCCTCGCCTTCTTCTTCGCCTTCTTCCTCATCCCTGAGACCAGCGGTATCCCTCTGGAGAAGGTTGATCGTCTCTTCATGATCAAGCCGGTCTGGAGGGCCAACAAGAAGCTCAAGGCTGAGCTGCAGGCCGAAGAAGAGCAGTTCCGATTCGACGTTAAGGAAAACACGGTTCACCAAGAGAACATGAACCGAGATGAAGAGAGCACATAGATTTGATTTTGACGTTATAGACTTGTGAATAGATGTATATATTGATGTGTACATAGACTAACGCACTTACGATTGAGCCTTGATACACTTTTTGAATCCTGCATCGTCATAATCTTGATTCTCCCAGATTGAGGCCACGCGGCTTTCATGCTCAGTAAATTGGTAGGAACCGTGTGGAGAAAAGCATTAGAGTGCCATGTTCAAATTTTACCAAGACGATCGGAACCTTTCCGATGCTTAATGTTGGGAATACCCACTTGACATCATTAGAAATATCTGGGAAGGATCCCGCATGCGAACTTTGCCCTGTCGCGCCGCTACATATATCCATGGATGTGTGGCTACCACGCTAAGCACCGAGACCAGCCTGTTTGATTGAGTTACTTGATGTCTCCGTGCCACGGGAAGTCTAGTGATTTATTGAAATTGGTATGTGCTGTTCATGAAGATTTGTCGACTGACAGCCTCTGGAAGATTTATTCAACAAGCGCGATCAATTCAGATTCAACTGCTCTTAAAGTCCAATCTAGACTCCACCCGAATAAAGAAATTCGCTTTACACCGACTGAACCACTGAACCATTGATTTATTTAACCATCAACCTGTGAACCAGAAGCCTCATAACCCAATTTTTGGAGCCAGCCTGTTTCTCAATACTACCTTGAGCATTGTAGATATCGGATTCAAGCCCTTTCAGCGTCTTCAAGGTATGTTCCATGCTGCCTGCATGGCGCAAACGATCTAAGACAATCTTCTTGTGGGGGACGGACAATGATCCGGATGCCTTTCTCTCCTGGAGTATCCCGCGCAGTATCAAGTCTGGTGGTTGCGAATTCCAAGCATGAACAAGGGGGAACGAGAATTTCCCTTCATCTAGATCCTCGCAGAATCCTTTTTCGCTCGTATACTAATGTCAAGTTAGAAATTGTTAGGCTTTGGGTAAGCTGAGGTTCATACCTCATTATCCATTAGATTCATGTAGTCATCACGGACTTGGAAGTACTTTCCAAGAAGCGACATGAATTCCGAATCAATAGCGCTAGACAAATTTATCTGTGCCATGTCGCGCTTCAGAAAGGAGGAAGAATTACCTATCATGGGACGAAGAGGCACACTGAGACATCAGTCGTGCAATCAATCTGAATAGACCACCGGTTTCTAGACACAGTGCGTTAGCCTCAACTTTCGGAAGGTCGTTTTTGAAAATCTAGAAAAAACATACTCTGGCTAACCATTTCCAGTCCTCTTCAGAGGGACATTCGCTTTGCCGTGTCCTGTGTAGTTAAGTCAAAGTTTTGACCAACGAACAACTTTCGAAGTTCCTCAATGAGGATTGACATGCATTGAGGACCACCAAACTGGCGAACCTCATCCATGACGTCTATGAGCATGTAGTTCGCGCAGTTGATAGTCGATGCGGGACCGAAAACTGTGTGGGTTGCAGGGTTGCCGCGCCGAAGAGGTGAAGAGTCTTCGATATCATCCAGCCTGTGACAATTAGTATTTTGTAAACTTCCGACGTGAATTTCATCTTACATGAGAGATGAGCTGTGTAGCTTCTGCGCTATTGATTTTATCGTCTTTACATTGCGATCAGGAAGACCCATCCAAACATTCAACGCGTCAATAAGGACTTCACGGACACCCTTTGAAGGAAGAGAGCTGATGTATTCGAATGGAGCAAGGAGAAGCTGAATCCGAGAGGTAAGCACAATGTGGAAACTACCTAATTGAGAGAAGAAAGACACGAACCTCAGTGCCCAGATATGCGGGTTTTACGTCTTCATGGTCATCATCGAGACCGTCCAATGACCCCACTGAAGATCTGCTTGAAGGATGTGACTTGGGGGAGCTAACAGATGAAGGGTTGCTGGAATCGGAGTCCGAGTCTTCTTGCATCAATGGCTCTGGGGCTTCAAGAGGGTCACACATATTCTGCTCAGTCTGTGTATTTCTTTTCTCATCGGCACCGCTCTGCAACAAAGCTTCTCCTTCTGCACAGAGCTCGGGATGGTATCGAGGACACCGGAGGCTCCAGACAATATTGCCCGGAATTTGAAATGCCAAAGCTTGCAAGTACTTGCGCAATTTGGGAGAGCATTGTTCTTTATCTGCGATGAAATCATTCATCTGCTTCTGATAATCGCTCTCATAGTTGCGGACGACCCGTCGAACTCTCTCCTTCGCGTCGTCAATGAGAAGATTTTCCCACTGCATATATAACCATACAGCGTTCGTCATAGTGGGTTTCTCGCCGGAGTTCTTCTCTTCTTGGAACTCCTTCCATTCAATGTCAAAGGAGTAGTAGTCATTAGCCAAACCAAGGGCCGCGAAGCATGGTTTCACTACCGGGGCAGTCCGTTTCTCTTCTTCCTTGGTCAAGACGAAGCCCATTCCAAAGCGAATGACGGTGTCAACAAAGCTATGAATTAGTTAGATCGTTGGATTATGTTTTTACTTATTATAAGATTGGATAGAGGGGGCTTACGGAGCACCGGTGTCAATGATCCGATAATCCACGTAATCCTCGATAGTGTCGAAGATGCAAGATTTATCACGGGACGCGGTCGTCGCGACCATTTCCTTCCAAGACGCGATAACCACTTCAGCGCAAGGCTTATCAATGGTAAGAAGCTCCAACAACATCTTGGATTGTATTTGTTTTGTTCCGATTGTTGATCGGACGGTCCGGTAATCGGTTTCGTTCAGGGCAATGTTATCGGTTCCTTCCTCGAGCTTCATATTAGCTGGCATTACCTGCAGTCTCTACCCAAGCTCATGGAGCAAAAGCCTACCATGACTTTTGAAACCGATTCGAGGACATTATCGTACAAAAACGCGACTAAAAAGAGAAAATGCATGTTAGATCTCATTATCAAAGCTCGTGGCAGCAAGTATGTACGCATATTGACAAATTCAAACCCAGGTTTGCAACGCGCCTGCATATTTCACCATGATCTGGAAATATTTAAAATCATGGGTTGATCCAAATACGGCAGAGAAAATTGTGGTGCTCAGTAGCACGGAGGCCTTCTCCGTCCTTAAGGAGCACATTGATGACGTGAACATTCCAACTGCATTTGGAGGTGGTTTCACCTTTACGCATGGAATGCTACCAGATCTAGATGACAATATCTGGCGGCGATTCAGCTGGAGGCTACCAAGCCGCTCTCTGCCTCCGGGGCCGATTAAGTGGACCGAAGATTTGGACGGTCGGAAAGTGGCACTGGCCGTGGGTGGAGAAGCAGGATGCAGGAGGACAGAGATAATCGCGACATTGTTCCCTGACGAGGACGAACTTTGATAGCCTAGCTAATTTTCCACCGAATGTAGGCAAGGTAAATGGCACCATGGCATTACTGGCCAAGTGTAAGATTCCTTCTTTCGGGCACTTTAAACAAGGAACTGAATGAGCGAACCTCAAAAAGCTACTTTTTTTGAGAAGCAAAAAGTCTTTAAATCCTGAAATAGCAACCATCCGTCAGTTATGAAACCAAATCAACACATGGGGTCGGGCTATGTGGATTCCCTCGGCTCGGTCGGCGGCACCTCATCGCACTTGCAAGTAACGAGGCAGGGGTTCCCCCACCGTCGGCGCCGAGCCCCCAACCCCGATGTCTGTTGGCCGAGACGCCTAGTGAAAGCCGTTCAAGGCTGGACAAAGAAAACGAACAACGGAACCCTACGCGCCCAGCTTAAAATAGGATTTCTTCGAGCCCCGTGAAACCTGTAAACTCCCAATGATGTGCCGCTGCCACGACCTTACCTTGTGATTAGCGCCTAAGTGTATCAGCCACGCAGAAGCAGTTTAGTTCGTTGGCTGAGTTCGAACATAGATCTTGCGTCCACTCAAACAACAAGATCGAACAAAGTCAACAAGACCCACCTAGTGCTTTCAGATACAACGATAAAAATGATAAAAATAACAAATATCAGTTCAATATATCAGGGTCCAATTCTTTTGCTTCATCCCTGGAAAGCGCCGCCTTGGTTGCTTGCTACTTTCTTTCACTTCATTCATCTGGATCCTCCGACACCTTCAGAACCCGAATATGAACAGACCACATCGCCAAACCTTGTGCCTTCGATATCTAGAAAACTTTCAATGCTCCAAATGTTCTGGAAATACGGATTCTTGCTGGTCCTTCCTAGAGTTATTAAGGACTTGAATCAAGCTGCCGTTGATACTTTTATCGTGGTTCCAAAGAGCACCCCCAGCAATGCATTATTCGTTCCCGCCGACTTTTTTGGCTTCGGCTTTGAGTCTGGCTTTTTGCCATACTACAATAATGATTTCTCTCGCAATGTTGTCACTTCCATTCAAGCTCGCATGAGTCAACCACTGGTAATCCGAGTCGGTGGTACAAGCGGGGATAATATCACCGTTCATCAAGACCAAAAGGAGGCTTCACATTGCACGTCCGATCGCTGCAACAGCTTAAGCCACTTCGATATTGGACTAAGTTATTTCGACACTTTTACACAGTTTCCAAATGCTTCATGGACTGTTCAGGCCCCGATGGGTGTACATTTCAACATAACGAACACAATGACCTATTTACGACACGCGTGGAACGCAATCGGAAAAGATCGTGTGTCGGCTATTGCACTTGGAAATGAGCCAAATTGGTATCCTATGCAGGATAAAAGCTACGACTATGCAGCCTATACCAAAGATGCGATTGAAATTGAAGATAGAGTCATTAAGGATTTTGCACTAGAAGGCGACGATCGCAGAATATTTCAGGTTGGAGAAATTGCCAGCGAAGCAGTTTCTTCTGATTTTAATTTGTGAGTGATCGTCCAATCCACCCTTCCGACTAAATTAACTCGCTCGGACAGGCTCGGCATTCTACAAGGTCGCCTCGGGCGCAATGGGCGTACAAAATATGCTGCGGAGCATTTCTACCAACATGCGAAGACAGGAGTGGCAAAAAGCTACTTTACTGTTGATGTACTTCAGGGTAGGTCACAAAAACAAAGGAAGAAAGCTGAGAGCCCATGTCTGATTATCTTCTTTCCGCTAGATTTCCTGATGAGCCATGCCGACATCCTAGGTCACTTGCTGCCGTATGCAAAAGTTGTCGATTGGATCAAGGAGAAGAAAAGGCCATACTCTCTGGTTCTTTCCGAGGTGGGATCTGCTATCGGTGGCAGCCCCATCTCTTTCGGCGGTGGCTTCGGGGCCGCGATCTGGGCCGTTGACTTTCATCTCGCATCCATGTCCCGCGGCGTAAAGAGGATATGCAACACCATGGGCCCGGACTCAACACACTCGTTCTGGCTCCCCAGCGAGACTGGGCGCCAACCCACAGGCCCTGCTGTGCAAGGGATCTTTCCATCGGCTGCATTTATTGCCGACTTCGTAGGCAGAAGTGACACTCTGGGTAAGGTCAGTAATCTGACTTCAAACTTTCAGTACCTCAGTGCATATGCTATGTATAATCTCAATTCCGATAAGCCCACACGGGTCGCATTGATCAATCTTCGCGAGTGGCATGAGAGTGACACACCTGCCTTGAGTCCCACACGTGGGTTTTACAATGTCACACTCAGATTCGGCGATGGACTAAAGACTGTCACTGTGAAACGAATGCACTCTGAGAGTGGATCATTAGCCAGAGGTTTTGACCAGGGTGGTCACAGGGAGAATGTGACGTGGGCAGGGGAGCAATGGAGCTACAAAGTTGACAAGGGCAAAGGTCATTTTGTCTCTGGTCTTCAAGAGGAAAAATTGAATGTTAATCAAGGGAGCGCCCATATCATTGTGCACGACACTGAGGCGGTAATGGTCTTTTTGAGTTAGTATTACGATACCCTTCAAAGTTTTCATAGAGGATCTCGGGCTTTAGAAACCGAAGTACTTTGTAAAATATCGGGCTGTTCCAGGGGAAGACTTGATTAAAGTCTCACCCATAATCTTCATCATCTATAAGTCATAATTGAAAAACATAATGATCTTTTCTATCTGATTGATTCTTTACAATTTGGACTTGCCCTCCTCGCGGCCTTCAAGGTTAGGGTGGGCAAATCGAACAGGCCGAGTAACGGCGTAGAAGGCCATGCCGTGAGATTTGGTCGAAAACTGGTACAAAGTGATTCCGCGTTAGCTAATTGCTTTCCCAGGTGTGCGAGAGGTGACAAACCTTGACCTTGGATCCGACATGGAAGAAAGCAAAGTCTCCCGGGACTAGGTGGTGGGTGATTCCGGTAGCCTCATCCTATTTAATCCATACTCGTTAATATTGCTGTGAAGTACAGTAGCATAGTTCTTGCAGGATTAAAGCAAGATGAATTAATGAAGCCATACCAAGATATCAATTTGACCACTCAAGACATACTTGGACTCCTCGAAGTTGTAGTGTGCGGGGCGTTCAGGTCCAGCCTCAATCTTGTAGAAACCCGAAGTAATATGTGCGGGTGACTCTGTTTTAGTGCGGATAGAATGGAAGTCGGCAGTGATTGCATTCTCACCCTTCGGGAGGGGAATGAACTCGTGGCCGGCGCCTTTGATGACGGTAAGAGGAATTAGGCTATCAGACACTATTCGACCAGGCAATCGAAGTAAAAATTAGCGACTTCGATTCAATTATTTTATTTTGTATCTCGCACTCATCTAAAGAGAAAACACACTGGAAAGAGGAACTCACTTTTGCTTTCTGTTTTGGAGATGAGATTGAAAAAAGGTTTAGACGCGACGTTCCCCTTCACTAATATACCTGAGACTCCTCTATCGGATACATAAAACAGGGCATAGAAAGTTTGCGCAAGGTACAGCATATCTCCGTGAGGAGTATCCCGATGAGGGGAAGCAACCCCGGGTGCATCGCCCGAGTGGGGAATTCATCGGTTGAATGCCCGTGAGCCGGTATCCACCGTGAACGGCATTCTCATCAGTCGCTTACCTAGTGGTTGCATGCTATCTACCTTAGTTTCAGAATGGGGATATCCTTGTACTCTCCAAAATTCCCCGCATTTCTCCAATCCCTTTATATGGATCGGCTCAATGAATACAGAAGCTATTGAACACGCTGCCAAAGTAGGCAGTTTGTTGCCTGAGGACGCAAGGGTAGAGTTGCAGAATTAAGTGTTGAAGTTGAGGAGAGGTCAAACCAAATTTCTTTGCCTAGTTTATGCGCATTAATTTGATAGGATTCCTACTGCTTTCCCTTAGATCTAGAAGAAACAATGATTGCCTGGAGTCGCCACTATTGGAGCATCCGCTCACGTGGATCGGACACCGGCGCGCTTTCTCCGTCCCAACGATCTGACAATTGTAATTTCAAACTGCAATGGAGAATATGCTTACTGGGCTCTCATAGTGCCGGTGCTTTTGTTCTGATGAGCTCGAGTCCAAATTCAGGGCTAATTAAAACGAGCACCATTACAATTCCGACTTCTCATCTAGTGCACCGCTTAGGTGAAGTCGAATGTTTGTACCTCGGGATATTATCGAGTATACTTACTAGTCGCCACATCTATCAACAGTAATGTGATCCTCAACTTGTCATTGCATTCTACGTACAATTGAAATCCTCAATTGAGAGCTGCTACAAGACGTAATCTAAGCCCCAGAGCCCCTTTCAGGTGATCATGTGTTTCATCCATTCCATCTATCTTGTACTCTAATTCTTTGGATCTTACTTCGCGTTTTGCATTGTTCGGTCCGAGTCTTCTATTCAAAGTGTTGTAAGAAAGAACTCCGCTAGCAACTCTTTGTTCAGTGTCTGTGTTTTCTCAGTCGTAAAATTAGTCTGATACCGATCCGTAGCTCCTCTATCAGTCGTGATCTGGGGGAAACAAAACAAAAATGACCAGATCTGCAATATGTTCGACCAACAAGCAGTTGAAATGAAGATACTTGCGGCAACCGCCAATGGCCGCCTATGGCCGGTCTAGTGCCGGGTCGGCCACTCAATTAGGTTAGTCTTATAGCATCAAGTCACCTCGTGTAAGAAATGAACCCTTTTTCTTTCTTCAACACACTGCCTCTCCATCTCCCTCGGTTTGGAGTTCATCTCTCATAACGGTGTCCACGTTCGATGAAACCGAAATTCAATACTTGAACTTGAAGGACTTCACTTTTGAGGATGGCACCACTCTCTCATCAGTGCGCTTGGCATATCAGGAGTTTAGTCCTACAGGCCAGAAAGTAGCTCTGATCCCAACATGCTTCCTTGGCAGAATCAAAGATACGATGCATTTTACCAATGGAGCACTTCGCAATCACCGAGTGATTGTAGTCGGCTTGCTTGGCGGCGGCGAATCTGCCAGCCCATCTAATACACCCGATTTCCCCTCCCAAATCGACTATCGAGATTGTGTTAGGGCACAGTATGAGTTGATCAAAGACCACTTGCAAATTGATTTCTTAGATGTCGTGCTTGGATTTTCAATGGCTGGGCAGAATGCCTATTATTGGCTTGCATTATATCCTCAAATGATCCACAACGCGATTATTATCTGTTCGGCGGCTAAAACTAGCCTTTATAACTATCAACTCCTAGAGGGTCCTAAACATGCTCTTCTAAGCTCAGTTGATTATAACACCTCTTTCCAATCTCTGGGCACACAACCAATTCGAGGTCTACATGCATTTGCACAGGCATTCTCTGCCTGCGTAGCTAGTGTAGAGTGGTTTGAGGAGCGAATGTTTGAGAAATGTGGTTACAAAACGTTAGGGGACTGGGCTGCCGCTGAGGAAAAAGACCTTGATGATTGGCACCCGCACGACCTGCTCGCGATGCTTGGAATGTGGCAGCGGGCGGACCTTAGTGCTGTAGTCAGAGGCACCTCGAATTCGACTCTATCTATCGAAGAATCTCTTTGCACTCTGAACAACAGGGTCCTCCTTATGCCTTGCCGGACGGATCAATATTTCAGATGGGAGGCTAGTGAGAGAGAAGCCTCGTATCTTCAGAATGGAGAACTGGTGGTGATACCATCAATCTGGGGTCACATGGCGGGAGGAGGCTCCAACCAGACCGATGACGAGTGGATGGATGACAGGATCGACAAATTCCTCAATCATGATGTCTCAGGACCAGCTACGGATTGATTGGTCATTTTTCACGGATACTATGGCCCAATTGATAGATTTGGTGGAAAGGGAAAACATTGGAAATGAGAGTGTTGAAGAGAAATTGTAGGGGCTGATAAGAATGGTATTCGTATTTACATATGTACCTATACTTGACGGGTAAAATTTAGGAATAGGAGGTATTCTCCAATTTGGTGTGAGCAGTGCTGGGCTCATAACATGTTGGTTAATAGGGGAAGCTTCGGTGTTCATATTGTTGATGGGAGTTGATTATGTGTATTGTGCGATTAGATACAGGTAGGCTGATAGACAGATATAGTATGTGTATGCATGCACGTGATCCTGACCTCCATGATATTCAACACCGCCCATGGGCTTGCTGGCTATGACCCAACCCTACGCACGGGCTGGGTTTTTGTGGGCGGTTTTTGGCGAAGCCTAATTATGCCTCCCTACATTTCCCACACCATGCGACGAACAAAGACAAAATGCCACTCCGCTTCATCGAAAAACACAATCCCAAGATACCTGCTTGGGGGGAGACTGAATTGGATGTCTATTTCCTTTCTGAATGGGACAAACCTCACCCTGACCTCTCAGTGTCCAACGAGTCCCCCACCGACCGTCGCAAAAGGCTTTTACGCCAATTTCTCGCATTGGGATGCGAAGGAAGACAGGTGAATACCCTCTATACCTCTTAAAAGATCACAATCTTGAACTAACCGAATATCAACTTATTAGCCTTACCGACTGGGCAATTCACCACCTTCTCCTACTCAAGCTCAAATAGATAATATTCTTCGGCTTATAAGGCCCGAAGCACTGCGTGTCTACGCTCATAATACCGGTGCTGAAAGGGGCTGCTGGCTTCGTCTCTGCTACACGAATGAAGAGGGTCATAATGCTCTATGGACTGCCAATGAACTCGCAGAATGGGTTGCTTATAATGGGGTTGTGCTTGACGATGAAAGTATATTTGGTCGCCTGGATTTGGCAGCTGCCCTAAACATATTTCCTGAGCGTGTCGCAAATGAGCGGGTCAATTTTGAGCTCAGAGAGAGGAGCCTTAGGAACGCGATAGAGGATGCCGAAGAAGGCGACTTTAACGAAGACCCTCTTGAGCCATACGCTCTGTATCAGGCAGAGTTTGTTGTTACCCATATGTATGTGGAGGATGATGTTGCGGTAAATGGCGGGGGTTTGTAGCATGTGTTTTTGGACGACTGTGGGAATGTGGTCAGGCACTGGCGGGTGCAGGATGATGGATCGGAGAGCAATTATGATGGCGCTTGGCATGAGCGTCTTTGGAAAGAGGCCTTTGAATCTGAGTGTGGAGAAGTCGGTCCTGCTTATCATAAGGGTGGAAGCCGAGGCCCTCCATACACTCTTTAAGGACCTGAGGCTGTGAGCTAGTACATGTAGATATAAGGTCAGTCACTCTCGTCCGTTGAAGGGGGCTCCCTGCAGCATAATCCGCGTGCTAGAAAAAACAAAGTGCTATAAAATGAATTGCAAGACACATAAGAGACGTAATAAGGAAAGGTCTACTTGTACTCACGCCAGTACATCTGGCACGTAGAGTCAAGACGTTTAATTTGAATCTGCTGCATGCCCAAACTTTGTGTCTATGGGGCTCAACATGCCCTCCCAGTCCACGTTGTCCGACGGAGGCCACCCGTCCTCCTCATCTAGCAGCTCAATACCCGGAAAAGAAGGCATATGGTTAGTTCGATCCAAAATTAGGAGTCGAGGGGATATACTTTCAATCTTTCATGGATCATCCCCGTCCATCGACTCATCCTGGTCACGTTTGCTGTACGATGCAGGAGCCATTTGGCCGTTGAAGGTACTCCCAGCGAAGTCAACCTTGCACATAGTATAAGCACCATTTGAGTTTGCCACTCAAATGGTGCTTATAATTCGCAAATATTTTCTGCAATTCACGGTAGACATTTCCGTGGTTTTAGAAGGCCAGAGAAAGATTCGTTTGAACTTCGCAACCGTAGCGTTCTAATCCTAATATTGAACTCCCTAAAGTGGACTGAATGGAAGATAACTGATAGTAATAGTTGCCAGACATTATCCGGTACGTATGTATACTGACGCTAAAAGGTACATGGTAAAAAAGGAGGAAAAGAGAATGTAAGGACCCGGACTCACTCGTCACTCGAACGAAGTTGAATCTGTTCAACGGGCTGACCTTCTTCTGAAGGAATATGCTGATACGAGCGTGATCTCCTCACTCGGAGGAAACGCCGGATACCGTATACAATACCGGCGGTACAGCACAAGGTTAAGAGGATGATCAAGCTTCCGCCCAAGACTTGAATGATCTCGTAGGCTTTGTAAACCGCGGCCGCGACCGCTTTTGTTTGGCCGTAGATTATCCCCTTGCGGTCTTCAGAAGTCGAGCCTGCGCTGTAAGAATTGTCGCCTTCTTTTGAGGTCGAGATGATCGCTGGATCGTCTGGGATGGGTCCTGATGATGAACCTGTGAACCCAACTGCTTTCCAGCCGGGCGGTACTTCTGTGCGCTGCAGGGGAGTGGTGCCGAGAACATTGCCGTTTTTGTCAATGGCTTCGGCGGAGATCCAGTCCATGTACCCATCTCCTATGAAAAGTGTCTCGAAACTGGTCTTGTTGACGTAGCCGATGAAGATATCCTCGCCGCGGTCGAATGCCCGAGCATAGAAGTTGTATCCGGCTACATCAGTCGCACCGTTCCAGCTGATGTGGATAATGGTCATCATGTCCAAATCATTGGCACCATAGACGTAGGTAACCATGTCGGGGGGTGTAGTTGGTCTACCGATCCAGTCAAACTTGTAGGACCGGTAGCTTGAGAAACGCTCCGATGCAAACTGCGCGTACATGAGTGTGTCGCCATTTGGCGCATACTCGGCGTGGTAGCCCCACTGACTCCATCCAACAAAGGTGTTTCCGTTGGGAAGCGGTTGAACGTTTCCGCGGAGTCGGGTGAGACCTCTATCCGGGCGCTCAAGGCGCTTGATAACTCTAGCAGTCATCGGAGTCACGCTAGTGTCAAGTTCCACGAAAAGAGCAGAAGAGAGATCCTCCTCATTCTCATACTCATCTGAGGCGTTGTTCATAAATGAAATAACGTGGTGTGTGCCGTTCGACGAGACGAATTTGACATCGTGCTGCTTGGAGAAGGTAAAGTCCTGGTCGAAGTCGGTCGAGGCTGAATCACTTCCACCCAGTCGCCACATGATATGGCCGTCTTGGCCAGAGATCATGTAGATGGTGCTTGCGAACCGCATGGAAAGAATATAATCGCCATCTGCGTTCTTATCGACTGCGTTGATATGCACGTAGTCGTTTCCAGGCTCGCCTTGCGCGCCATCCCAGGGGTGGAATTTGACGGAGTCGGTAATGGACAGATGATCGCCTGAGTCCCATTCAAAGAGAACTGTCGCAGATTCAACGTCCAGTTCCACAAATCCACCTGTAACAATCCAGCTCTCCTCTGAGGGTCGGCCGAAGTCGGCCAGGCTAACCAGCTGTGATCGGTATGTGCACGCCAGAGCGGTCTTGCCACCATCCAAGATATTAAATTCATGCATATTAAATGCGTCGAGATCATTGGTTACGCCGACATGGTGTTCGTATTCGTATTTGTTGTTCAGAATGACTCCACTTCCGCGGTCGGAGTTGTCGAATTCATGCTGGAGAATGAATGAAAGGTGTGGCTCGGCATCGATGTTCCAGTTCGCTTTAAAGTCGAAAACGTTGCGGTTTTCGGTGATGGATGATCCCGCCCAGACGAGCATCTACAGTAACACAATTAGTTATCGCAGCGCCTCAAGGATCTTTGCGGGGGAGATAACGTACACCATCGTTATCGTATATATACGGTCCGATCTGGAACTGTTCGTATTTCTGGGTGGGATTCTCAGGTTCGATTTGGCCATAAGGCGCGACAAACCAGTAGCCGGGCAGTTGTCGTTCACGATCCACGTGAGTAATGTCGAACTTCAAGGCGCGCACCTCGGGGAGCTGGAACTGGTCAGACCCAAGAAGAGACACGGATTCAAAACTTAGACACTCACGGTCACGAAAGAAAATAAGTCGCTGTCCTGACGCTGTGCAACTCCCTCATGCAAAAAAAAAGCAGGGCGCCTAAAAACGCCCACATGGTGGTGTGTAAAGAGTGACTAGGAGGGGAAAAATCTCATCTTCAGGAGAAAGGGAAATTAATTGAAAGAGATCATCGCTTCTCCCAGTGTTTGGCGGCGAACCCCCAGAACAAGAAGATCGCAGAGGAGCCGTGGGGTCCATGCCGCTTTTAAGGAAAGCGGTGCGAATATCAATTGGAATATTATTGGATGTCATTACATTTGCACAGGCGGATAGTTCGATAATTAGACCAAATCGGGCAAGATTGCACGCGGCCAGACGCTTATTTCTTTGCAAAAGCGACGTAATGGGCTGAGGTGGATTCTGCGTGGATTCTGAGGTCCCTGAGCGCCTTCATGTCCAAGTGGGTAAAGCCTCCTCCACTCTTGGCGACTGCCCACGCGTCAGGTGGAGTCTGTTCGAGAGATCTATGAGCTATGGTTGGTAACAAGATCAATGCCAAGATCAGCTATTCCCGACACAGTTTAGTCTCAAATCAGCCCCTGTCATACGAAATAATCCACTCGTATCTCGTATGCATTCGAGCGGAATTCTTGTTGTCCGCTCTATGCCCTTTGACAGTACTGTAGTGTCGATGGCATCATTTAATATTCTTCAGGGCCCCGTTGCTTGATTCTATGATAGATTGAACACCCACCCGGTTCATGCTCGATTACGAGTCTGCCTTTTCACTCAGTCATCAGTCTCCGCCGAGCTCGGGAGAATGCCGCGGGGAAAGCATATTTTTGTTATCTATCCTTGGTTTACTTAGTGACCGGCATCGGGACTTGGTATACGCAGGCTGTTTAGAAGTCTACCATGCTGCACCCTCTTAGCGCTTCAACAACACTTAGCTTGGTCATGGGTCGTTGTTAGACACCCCACTGTACTGCACTCGCGGCCTTATGGGGTCAAGACTATGACCCATCTCCAGCCTATCAAATAGGCATTTCCTGCACGCGCTTCGAGAAATGCTTCTGACTTGACTACCCGACCCAAATTATTGATGTGCTACCTCACACCCCTCTGCTGACTGGTTTCATTTGTACCTCTTGTTCGGATGAGATTTGGTTGCCGACCGGGAGATTCGGAACTACGGCGTCAATATGGTTGACTCCATATCGAGAAGTGAGCTGGTGGCACATTTAGTCAAGAAACATCGTCTATGTCGAACGATGTGTCAGTCTAATTAACCCCAGTGGGCTAGGGGTACAATAATATATAATATATAAAGCAAAAAACAAAATGGGTATCGAATCACTTCGGGTTGGAAGTCTTTACTTCGTTCTTCCCTCGCTGTAACATTTCCACTGCCATCGCATAGGCATCATCTTTTGCTTTGCACTGCGACGTCCCCCTAACCGCTTCTTTGTCCCATCCATGCGCACAGTCGTCCATTCTGCAAGACTTCACGTATTTGCCTGCAGACTCGAGTTTGGTCGCGAGCTCCTCTCCTTCGAGCGCAAATGCGCATTGAGCGGCGGTGATGATCAAGACATTCCCGGGGAAGTTAAGGGGGTCGACGAACGAAGGCGACATTCGAGGATCTTCCGGGTCGACCACGCCGGGGTTAAAGCACTTGTGGCAAAGACGCGAGAATCCCGGGAAGATCTTTCTCATGATCCAGTTCGATGGATCGGCGATAGTCTTATCTGGGGTCTCCAGGGCCAAGTCAGTGGGACCATAAAAGGACAAGACAGCACGGAAGACGTCTGGATTGTCATTCTGGTTCTCCAGCGAGAAAATTGCAGACGATGAGGACACCGCGAGCGCAATGTTTGCTCCGGAACTGAAGCCTGAGAGCGATAGACAATCGATGTCGAAACGTTCTGGTTGTGACCTAACCCATTTCACGACGTCCTCGGCGTCTTGGAAGGCTGCGGGGAAGATGTGTTCTGGGGCGAGACGATATTGCACATCGATCACTGTGTAATCGGTATGGTCGGCAATATAGCGACAGAACTCATCGTCATTTCCGAACGTGGGAAGCACAAATCCACTGCCACAGAAGTTCACTAACACCGGACTGGGCTTCTGCTTCTCGGTGCTAGGTTTGTAGATGTTGGCTTTGATGGATTGACCGGCATCTCGAATCGGTATCGACACAACTTCATCCGGCTTTGGATTAAGGTGAAGTCGAGGCCGAACAAGACTGCGAAGGAATGCTGCGATCACTTTGTGGTGGACATATTGCAACCCCATGACCGGGTGAGGAACGGAAGGGCGAGCGATGTCGCATGCGATCAGACCAGGGAGGTATCGGCGTTAGCTCAGTCGTAGTTCCAAGGTTGTAAAGTGAGTTTCCGGTTGAAAATGAAGTCAGAGGCAGGGGAATCATGCCTTAGGATATAGGACCTAATGACAGAACATTCCTTCCATCCGGTTTTGCGCTGGCGATCTTACTGTGCATCGGCGCGGCTACGTCATTGATCGCCATATGAGGTGGGTGGCGGTCGCGATCGCGATTATCGACATTGGGCGAGATCGTTGATGCGGGTACCTCGACTTCCGGATAGTTCATGTTGAGCCTCTATATTGACTTTGCAGGAGGTATGCAAATAAACTTGACAGTTCTAGCCTTAGCTTTGAATGTTGGTGGAGTGGTAGATCCACCCGTGGCACCTGTCAAGGTCTACTGTACCTTGGAATGTGTCTCTGATAGTCTTGCCTCAAACTTGTGAATTTTGAAGATTGGATCCCGACTAGGATTTTGAGAACTAAATGGTTGTATCGCAATCTTGAAATTCGAGATTTGGCTTCTTCGAAATAACCACCTTGGGACCACCCGATCAAAATTAGGCGAAATTAGTGCTCGGGCTGCACTAAGACCTTGGCGCATATCAGCCATCAAGAGAAGTGTACAAGTTTGATCTAAATAGTTTATCTAATAATTTTTAGAAAAGACTCACTGACTCCCAAAACGCATTTTCAAGGGTCAAGAGGGGAGAAATGAGGGGAGAGTCTCGCAGGGCTGAGTTCCGCGTGGGGGCCGTCACATTTGTCATTGGCCGTCGGATATCTGGACCTGACTATTTACCGTCAACGAGTGCCTGACGACTCCCTTCAGTCCACCCCTTCTCGTCTCATCACTTCCGCCTGACGCCGAGGCGCCTGGGAACATCACCAGTACATCTCCTTGGCGCCAGCCATGTCGTTCTGGTTCCCCACGGATTTCGGGGACGCGTGGCAGAGGGGGCACGTCAACTTCCGAGCCATATCCTTCTGTTCTCTCGTTTTTGCGACCATCTCCTATGCTGTAGCGACTCAAGATAACTTTGCACTCGTGGTATTGCCCTCTTTCTTTGAACCTCTTCCTATTCATCCGGGCGACTCACACTCCTCCAGTTCCTCATCCCGGCGTTATGGTCCCTTACGGACGGCGGCCTGCGGTTCGCGGGTAAACAGCCATGGCTGGCAATCACTATGCTCCTCGACTGTTGCTCAACATTATTTGTCGGGTCATACGTCCCTGTCATGGTGTCGAACTGGATGTGGAGCGACAGTAATGCCCCTGTGTTGGTCGTTCTGTTTCTCCTTCCTCCTTTGTATGTGCGCCCGATCATTAACATCCCGATTCCAGTGCTAAAACATTGAAGATATTGCCACGGTGCTATATTCATCCGAACAAGTTTGCAGTTCTTGGAAATGTCACGGGAACAGAGCAGGGGGACTGTGAGTCTTGATTAGCGACTAGGTTGACGTGAACATGGAATACATGTTGAAGCTTGCTCTCGTTTTCGGATTAATTTTGATACCCAATATTGCCATCATTTGCTTTGCATCGCACCATGAATTGATTCTTCTTGAGATAAAAGAAGCGCAAAATATTGCAGGTAGCATCGGGAGCAACCGAGTCTTGGCCATGTAAAAAAGGGCAGCATCACACGTACGCATCCAAGAGAATTCTTCTGATCCCTGGAGTGATAGCCGCGTCGACAGCCAAGACGTCCAGCCTACCCTCGGGCACGTTGCAGGAGCAACGAGCTGACTTGCACATCCGTTTCGTCTTTTCCTTGCCTGGCCGCGCACCTTTGCACGACCACCTCGAATGTAGATCATTTTCCTTTGAATGATCATCACGGTTAATGTCCCCCCTTAGGTTGCCTCTTCAGGCCGTGCCCCAACGTCGATCCCAAAGAGGCTCCCAGACCCCAAATCTATCATGATATGAGCTGTCAACTTTCTTTTATAGCGTCAAGCTAACGTTTCAAGCTAACAGACTTCCCCAAACCTTGGAGCATCGAGATCCACGTCCCAGGAGCCCGGGTCAGCATGAACCTACGCTAGCCGCGCCGCAGGGATTCGTGAAATTGAGTGATAAATTAAAAATAATAAAACAATAATAAGAAGCGATCTGCTCTACGCCGGGGAAAGATAAACCGACGTGCAATCGACGCGCCATCGCGATCGCGCTGCGCCACACCCCTTGATTCGCGTAACAGCCCCAGAGCAGCGTCCAAATGGATTTCAGCCCTGTTCAAGTCAGCAGTGCGGGATATTGCGATTCTCAGTGTTCTATGTTTGGAAGGGGATGCCATCTCGTATTACAAATACGTTCATTCCAGGGCCTTGCAGGGTGACTGGCCAGGGTTCGCCGGATTTAGGAGTGTTCGTTCCGAACTCGAGGGGGGTTTTGTTCAAATCTCATTTCATTAATTCAGATTACCGACTTTCTATTTTCTGTTCCCCATACTTCAGCCCAGTCTCGGGGGTAGGTACTCTTTCCGGTAGTGATGGAATTCTGAAACTGCATGAGCACTATTCTGGTATTGTCGGGCTTGCGCTGCACGATTATCGGGGAAGCGTAGTTCTTCCCGGATTGCGGTCGCAGACTAGGTCTTGGTCTTGGTATTGCGGCTAGATGAACGTTGCATGGGCCACAGGGTGCAGCGGCTCTTCGGTAGCGGTGCCGTGATGCCGTTAAAGTACGTTTCAGACTGTGTTCAAGATTTACAACTCGGGCTAACGTCCAAGGGGTGTGGGTGATCATTACCTCGTCTGATCGACAACCCTGTGAACTACTGACGAGCTACCCCTGCGCACGATCATTTTAGGTCGTTGCTCGTGGTGTGATAGGTGGATTGCGCTAAATTCAGCGAACTAATTAATTATTACTCCGTGGGATCATAATCAGGGGGAGCTATCGTCTCCATCTGCAAGGTTTCTCTTCTATTCAAATCCAGATTCCAAAAATAGGGGGGGGGGGGGGGCCAGGTGCATAGAGACGTCACCTGGAATACCCTCACACCTAAGACCTCATTCACAAAAGCCTACATCAGCTGAACGGATCAGCTTGCGGCCCCGTATGAACCACTCCCCACTAACGCCTCCAGAAGGATCGACGCTCGGCCCAGCTGGTGCCGAATAACGAATAACGAGCGGAGATAAGGTTGCTGGGATTCCACAGCTCGGACCAGGCGTGTGCCTTGCATATCCTCGCGGTGGCCCCGCAACGTCGTCAAACATTGCTCGCTAAGGAAGGCTGGAATGAGGCCCCTGGGCACGCGTGGGAAAAGCAACCTTATTATCTGAAACGCCGGGTCCATATGGCTTTTGTGGCTTTGCAGGTCCCCGGGCTCCAGGGCTGGTTCTTGACCCAACGCGAAATTAATCTTGCATACCTAACCTAGCCTCCTGCACGCGGGCCTTACCAGTGATTTGCGGCTCGGCCGAGGCGCAGTCCGTATAGCCCAAGAATGAGGTATATTCTGAATCAGGCCTGTTGGGAAGAAGGATATCTATTTCCGGTCGAAATCTCGTGTTCAACATGACCAGCTGAGCCACATGAGATATAAATCGATCTAAATGTCTCGTAAACAATGCAATGGGAGTGGTTCAGACCTAGAGCGGTACGGCCCATAAGATCCAGGTGCCACCACCGTGGCGCGTTGGGTAACCAAGCGTATGCCGATGCCTACCACTTCCGGAAGCTCTGGCTGGACTCGTCATATGTATGGATAATGGGGGTACGAAACACCCAGCAACGAGATAGGAGTAGATACACGTGACCCCCTTTATTCGGAGTTTGGACCCTTGAACGACTCTGAAACAAGGCGTTCGCGTGGACGATCGTCTGTTTCCTGATCCATCGAGGTCATAGCATTCCGAGCACCTGGGCATTATGGCTATGCGGGATGACTCGTAAGGCTTCGGACGTGGCTGGTATGGACTTGCAATTGCATCTTCTGCATCTGTAGACGATAGACGATAGCCACGTCTTCCATCATAGATATTCACCCTGAGAAAGGGAATAGAAAAACATAGGATACTTCACGCGTGGCCGGGAGAATGCATCGTACCCTTTTTTCTTTTTCTTTTTTTTTCCCTCCCTGTACTCCGTAGGCCCCATGGACCAATGCGTGATCTCCATGTGATCTCCCACGTTGGTCCCACGACATTGTTTCAGCCTTTGTGAAGCTTTCGCACCCACGCGAGATTCCGCTTGCAAAGCGCATTTGCCGCCAAGCGTGATGTGCATCGGTCCACAGTCTAGAACGCTTACCCCCAGCTGGATGACGTTACCCTTCCTTCCCTGCCCTTGTTCGATCTCTCACTGTAGATCCAACGTCTAACATGCGTAAACCCGCATATATGCATCCCCCTTGGCTCATTCCACGGTCTTTTTACCGCATCTGGATATTTCCCGCGCTGAAACATGTGGCTCACCATGTGCCCTTGAGCCCTTGGAAGAAAAATGATAATAATAAAAAAGCCCTGAGTGGATTTTCTGGCTCGGTCCTCTTCGGTGATCGTGATCCACTCGGGGTCCTTGACGCATCTGTACCTGCCTCCAGCCCCAGTTCCTCTGCAGTAAGCCAATCGTATCCCTCAGGTCGCCTGTTCTACGTGGGTTGGCGGGTATGTGCCTTTTTCAATCAGTTCCTTTGGGGATTAGCGGCCGAAAGGAATTCCAGTGCCGGAACTGGTTCATGCGGACTACGGCTCACGCTTGAGTCTGATGGTGGAATGGTGTCACCGGGTCTGGTGGAGTCGTTGCGAACTGAAGATCTTTTCCTCCATTCCTTTCTTCGCTTAGCTCCTAATCTTTCCATGTGGGCCACGATGCAAGCTCCTGTCGAGCTCGCGTGTGTCGGAGCATGCCTTTCCCCCCAGCATAGCCGAGCATTCTTATGGCATATATAGCTCGAGGGTTCCTGCTGTCTCATCTCGCATCAACATTCATTGTTTCATCATCTCAAGCATCATCATTTCAAGTTATTGGCTTTGATAGCTTCGTAAAGCTTCATCTATAAGCCATCAATTCCACCATTCGACATTTTCATCAAGATCAGCATCTCAATTCACAACCACTCTACCGAGTCGACACTTCAAGTTTCTACAATGTCTATCCCAGAGCCATCTTCCACAAGGTACGCTAGTATTTACTTTGAAGATGACCGAAGGAGTGCTCACATGATTATCTAGCCAACAAAACGGTTCTGGAAACAATGCTCTCAGCCAAAACAACGTCGCCCAAGTACCACGTACAAACGGCAGCAGTGTTGACAACTTCGCCCGAGCCCCAGCAGCAGAGGTCCCTTACTTCGCCGGTGCTCGAATTCCGGAAAGGTCAACACATCTCCGGGGCCTCTCAAATCAACTCAACGCAATGGATCAAATCATGAACAAGAGGAATTGAAGGCGATCAAACCAAACCTGAAACTGTATAAAGAAAGCGTCCCATTCATCTATGTACTAAGTCTATCCTGTATCAAATACCAACCACCGACGTGGACCTTCATTAAGCAAGCCTTCAAAGTAATTTCGAGATATATGACGCAACCTCTTCATACTTGGTGCTGGGGAATTCATGGCCTGCTTCGTAAAACTTGAAGATCGCGTTCCCGCCAAGGGCGGCAGTGGCGTCAGAGACAAGTTCGTCCTTGATGATGATCGCATCGGTATTGCCACACAGGATGTGGACTTTGTCACTCGGAAGACCCGGTGCGCCCTGGTTGCCTGACGCGAGACTGTTCTGGGCACTCAGGTACTCTCCCAGCCGCGCCCAAGTGCTCCACTGACGCTGGCCCAGAATGGGACCATGACGCATGCTCGACATGAACGCGTGGACAAAGCCCAAGTGGTTGTTCACCTGCCATGCCACGGCAGATGGGATGTTAATGTGCGGATATTCCCGTGAAAGAATCTGGATCTCGGCTGCGCCCTGCGATGGAAGCTCCTCCGTGAGCGCGTCGGCGGCGTTGAGTTTGTGGTTCTTCGGCTTGGGGGACACCAGGGGACCAGCTCGCAAGCGACGGCCAACGAGATGACCAAGAAGATTTTCCGGCATCAAGCCTCGTGAATACAGAAGGCGACTTTGAAAACTAATCTGCGAGTCGCGAACCAGACCAGAAGGTGCCAGGAGCACCAAAGACGACAGCAGATGCGGGAAGAATGACGCAAAAGCAGCCGCGATACCACCACCGAGCGAGTAACCGACCATACTGAACTTGCCCGATTCGGCCCCAGTCCAAGCGATGGGTGACGAAGTCAGAGCCAGCATGATCTGCGTCGCGAAAAGCCGATCATCCTGGGGGAGATCGGCCGGGCAGTCAGAGTATCCTCTTCCAAATCTACGTGATATCTCATCAGCAAGTGTTCTACAGTATAATTAATAGACGTGGGCAGAACATACAGGTCGAAGAGCATAACTCGGCAACCCCGGTCCACTAGCGCATGGGCTACCCCACCGAGCGCGATACAGGGCGTAGTGATGCCATGCACCAACAGCACCTTCGGACCATCCTCACGACCCCATTCATATACCCGGATCGAACCGTACGGACTGGCAACATCGCGCGCCCCAGGAAGCACGTCGTTGGGGAGGGGCAGTTTGCGGTTCTCTTCTTCCGACAGGCCGGCCAACAGTCGAGTGCGGGGTGAAGGGAGGATGGTCGCGGTGAGCTCGCCGCGGCTGAACATCGTTCGAAGCAGGAGACCGAGCGTAAAGGAAGCTCCGGTGACTGCCAACAAGGGCAGTTGTGTGCGCTGGTTGGCCCAGGAGTCTGTGAGGAAATCCACGGTTTGATGGTATAGCGCCATGGTTGCTCCCGTTTGCCCACTGAAGGGAGTCAAGTGGTGGTAAAGGGCAGAGATGTGTTTAGAATGTGTTTAGAAGCCGTGGTGGAACAGAGGCTGGATATACTGTCGCCTAAGTTGCGAGTTGGAAGAAGGAAACAGACCGAGGCCCGGCTGATAAGCTGATAAGCTGATAAGCCCGTGTCGGAGACCGTCACCAGGTACCATATGTTTTTACAGCCTCTGATCTACGCCTTACAGGCAAAAGAAGAAGGAGCTCGGTTTGACTGATGTGGAAATGGGCTAGGGTTAAAGGAAGAAACCTACCTCGAAGGGTTGAATGAAGGAATGAATAGGCAGTATAGTATACCCGCATTTCTCGAGGTCTGATTAGCCGTCAGGGTAACTAAGGCCCGTGAACCCTGAGATGTTCATTTGTACTAGTTTGAATTAGTTTGAACTAGTTTAGATCACCGACCCTTGTTCGATGATGATTGATGAGATCCTATTGATTGCAATATTCCGAGATCCGTGAATGGTATTTGATTGGTTCACCAATGACGTGTGCGGTTCACGCCTGACATCACTAACCGTTAGGATGAGCTTTTGAATTTCTCAACGGCACCCCAGCAGAAAATATGGCATTCATGGAGAAGACCAAAGCTTCCTGTGCTGCCATTTTCCACACAAAAAAGAGCGACAAGTCTACGCAGTCCGCACCAAGTGCCCAAACCCGCGCAACTGACTCTTCTCCAATCAAATCACCACACCCGCAACAGCAAGACGATGATAGTGACAGAGACCCATTCAGCGCTCTCAGCGAAGTATCGGATCGGGAGCCCATCGAGAGAACTTCTAGTGGGGGGTTGCCGCGACGTTCTTCAATCGAACAGCGGATGACGAATATGGCACATTCACCTCACACGGACGATGGAGACATGTTTGAGGCTCTAAGTGAGGTTTCATCGGCGGAGCCTTGTGAAAGGTTGCTCAGGTGACGAGCAAGCACGCTAAACAAGATTGTTGAATTGATTGTTTTCTAAGCGGTTTGGAATCATTTCGTAATTAATTTACCAACTATCTACGATTTCACGATTTTCAAGTTGGATACGACCCTCTGCCCCGACGCCGCGACCTGCGCGACTAACTGTGCTGTGAACGGCGCAGACTACGAGCTCACCTACGTTGTGACTACCGATATCGATGCCTTCTCCCTGACCTTCGTCACTCGATCCAACATCGGTCCTTGTCTGTATCTGATGGAGGATGAGAACACCTACCAGATGTTCAGGCTGCTCAACCAGGAGTTCTCCTTTGATGTGGATGTTTCCAACCTCAGATATGGTCTGTACGAGGCTCTATACTTCGTGTCCATGGATGCTGACGGCGGTCTCTCCGGTATGAGCACCGCCATGGAAAATGATATAGTCCTGGTCATGAGCTTGTGGGATGACCACTACTCCGACATGCTGTGGCTCGACAGTGAATACTCAACCAACGCCACTGTTTTGGGCCTCGGTGTTGATCGTGGTACTTGCGCTAAAACCTCTGGTGCGCTGGACACTATTGAGTCGAGCGATGCGTCTTACACCTTGGCATTCTCCAATATCACGGTCGGCCCGATTGGATCGACTTACTCTTCGTAAGAATTCACCTTCGATGATGATTTCAGAATCGCTGTAACATCTTCATTTCCTGAAGAATAAACCAGCGACGCGGACTATTTGCACTCAATTGGTCAGAAATCGAGACGTTGACTGTGTCCTGATAAATGCCCATTTCTATTTATTCGATATAACCTTCATTTTCTCAAGAGATAGGCTCTCAAATCAATTCCCATTCTTATTCTCAATTTCAATTTCATACTTTAAATAGTTAAGCGTCGAGTTGGAAATTAAGGTCGGAGGCTCAATTGACATCATCAAACCAAAGGCGGAAGATTCTCGGGCCGCCCGAAAAAAACGGCACCCACCTCGAAAGCTCACGGCATTCTCTGAGCTCTGCAATTGACCCTCAATTCCCTCGACCTCTATTGTAGAGCGGTCTTTAGACCTTCCATACCCAGCAACCATGTTCGACACGGTCTGCACCATCCCGCTGTCCTCGGACTTGTTCAGTCAGGCCCTCCACCCTAACGAACCCGTGGTGTCGGTCGGCCTTGCGACAGGCCATGTCCAAACCTTCCGACTCCCCGTGGAAGAGAGTGACAATGAAGACGATGCTGCGTCAAATTCCTCGCGCAATGGAAAGGGCCACATCGACACTATGTGGAGGACGCGCCGACACAAGGGCAGCTGTCGTACTCTTGGCTTTGGCATTGACGGCGAAACGCTGTACTCCGCTGGCACGGACGGCTTGGTGAAAATTGCCAACTCAGAGTCTGGTGTTGTGTCGAACAAGATTGTCATTCCGTATGAGAAGGACGGGTACGAGCTCTGCGACTGACGCTTTGCGACAATTGGCTGATTTATTTTGCTGCAGATCTATCGATGCGCCGACTGTTATTCATGCGCTTTCTCCTCAGACTCTTCTAATTGCTACGGACTCTAGTGCGCTGCACCTCTACGATCTACGAATTCCCTATTCTAAGGTGTCGGCGCGCCCTGAGCAGTCGCACCACCCCCACGATGACTACGTCTCCTCTTTGACGCCTCTGCCCGCCTCGGATACTAGTACTTCTGGTTTCAGCAAGCAATGGGTCACCACGGGCGGTACAACTTTAGCCGTGACAGATCTGCGACGGGGTGTCATGGTGCGCAGTGAAGATCAGGCGGAAGAGCTGATCAGCTCGGCTTACATTGGTGGTCTTCCAAGCAGCGGTACCAGCCGTGGTGAGAAGGTTATCGTGGGTGGTGCCAGCGGTGTCCTGACATTGTGGGAGAAGGGTGTTTGGGATGACCAGGACGAGCGTATCTACGTTGCGCGTGACGCAGAAGGCGGCGAGTCTATCGAGACCATGGCGGTTGTGCCGGATGAGCTGGGCTATGGCAAGATGCTCGCGACCGGTCTCGGCAACGGTATGGTCAAGTTGGTGAGCATCGGAGCCAATAAGGTTGTGTCGGAGGTGATGCACGACGAGACCGAGGGCGTTGTGGGCTTGGGCTTCGATGTTGAAGGCCGCATGTTCACTGGCGGTGGACAAATCGTTAAGGTTTGGCATGAGGCTGCGGGCGCGGGCGCTGGAGATGGCATTGGTGGAAAGCATATGCTTGGAGATAGCGATGACAGTGATGATGACTCCGATAGCGAGCAAGAGAAGCAGAAGACGAAACAGGAGGACAAGAATGACCGCAAGAAGCGAAAGAAGGCCAGTCGCAAGGACGGTGGACAGCATGTCATGGCCTTCGCTGATATGGACTGAGCCATATGTGCAGGATTTTATCGATACCCATGTCTGCAAACAAAATATCCACATCAATATCAACATAACAATTAGATTTTACGACATTCCATTTCAATAATCCAATGCAAAGTTGAAATCACATCCGAGGCCAGGCAAATCTATATCCGCGGATGCTTATTCATGCTGAACTAAGATGCTGATCCCGGGGGTTTTCCGCGATCAACTTTGGTTTCTACGGCCATACGCTCAAGATTATTGGCACTGAATGGAGGCAATCGCGGACATCGGCTCTAGACAAATAGGCCTAAACTTATTCTGACATTCTACTTCTAAATCCCGGTCAAAATTTCGCAATATCGGAACTGAGCTCGCTCGAACTGCCGACCCCACAGCCCCACGGCTGCCCATGACGTTCGGATCGGATCTGTGGGGGATACTTAAAGACCTTGGGTTCCCATTTGAATTGCCAAATTAAAGATAAGATGGACGCCTTCGAATACAACCCCAATCCCGGCCGTGTCGTCTTCGGCAGTGGCACCCTGCAGAAGCTCCCCGATGAGATTGCCCGTTTGCAAGTCAAGGCTCCTCTGGTCTTGTCAACACCGCAGCAGGTCGGCCAGGCGGAGAGCGTGAAGGATGTGCTGAAGGGACAAGTTGCTGGCATCTTCAGCGAGGCTACCATGCACACCCCGACTCACATCACCGATAAGGCTCTCGAGTATGCGAAGGCGCAGGGGGCCGACTCGGTCATCTCTATCGGCGGTGGAAGCACCATCGGTTTGGGCAAGGCTATTAGCATTCGCACCGGTCTGCCCCACATCTGCATTCCGACTACCTATGCCGGCAGTGAAATGACTCCCATCTTGGGCGAGACGGCCGATGGCTTGAAGAAGACTCGGTCTGATCCAAAAATCCTCCCCGGGACGGTGATCTACGACGTGGACTTGACAATGACTCTACCTGCGGCTATGAGTGCTACGAGCGGTGTCAATGCCATTGCTCATGCTGGTATGTTCATCGATAATCATCTGCAAGGAAACACATAGCTAATGCGCAATCTACAGTGGAGGCTTTGTACGCCCGCAACACCAACCCCATCATCAACATGATGGCTATCGAGGGCACTCGAGCTCTCGCCTCTGCTCTTCCTGAAATTGTTGAGAACCCTTCCTCGCAATCAGCCCGTTCTCGTGCGCTCTACGGTGCCTGGCTCTGTGGAACCTGCCTGGGTAGTGTGGGCATGTCCATTCACCACAAGCTGTGCCACACTCTCGGTGGCAGCTTCAACCTCCCCCACGCAGAGACTCATACTGCCGTCCTCCCCCATGCCATTTCATATAATGCTCCCAGCATCCCTGAGGCCATGAAGCAGCTCGCAGATGCGCTTCCGGAGAGCAACGGTGATGCTATCCACGGCCTGAACGTCCTGCTGACCAAGCTTAAGGTCAAGCGTGATCTCAAGGCCTTCGGCATGAAGGAGGAAGACGTGGACAAGGCTGCAGACATTGCTGTTTCTAACGCATACTGGAACCCACGTGCCATTGAGCGCACGCCGATTCGCGAGCTGATCCGCCGAGTTTGGGCGGGCGAGCCTGCACGCGCGGATCTATAGTCATTTAAGATGCAGTGTAAATAAAATACAACGAATCGATCCACCTTCAGATCTATCAAAATTAGCAAAAAAAAGGGAAAGGCGTTCCAAACCAAAGAAGTGGTGGCATGGTGGGCAGCTACCAATGGGCTGATCCGTAATTTGTGTTATCGCGGCGTGGGAAGTGGGGGATTGCCATTTTTTCTCCAAATTTTTTTAGAACATCCCACTTCCAGTCATTCCGCGCACCCCTCCACGACGTTCAAATGGCTTCGGAAATGGAGGCAGCCCCCGTGCTGTCGACCCCCGATGCTCGCATTCTTGAAGAAACTACGCCTGTGGCCACCTCCGATGCGACGCACCCGCTCCCCGACGATGAACTTTCCATCACCTATGATATCGAGCGCACCTTAAAAGAGATCCGCCAGGCGCGGTACAAGCGCATCGCCCTCCAGTTCCCCGATGATATGCTCCCCGATGCTCCTCGAGTCTTCCAATTACTGAGCCGCGGGCTCAATTCGGACGAAGTTAGCATTGCGAATGGTACATCTCCAACTCAGACAAACGGTGGCGGGGCGGATGCGGATGGCCACCTTGCCCAGGATGTGTCTCAACTATCGGTGGAGGAGACGGAGAAGTGGTCCCCAAAATTATATATTCTGGCAGACACCTCGTACGGTCTTTGCTGTGTCGACGAAGTGGCCGCGGAGCATGTGGACGCAGATGTCGTGGTCCATTACGGAAGGTCGTGTCTGTCTCCTACGGCGCGATTGCCCGTCATCTACGTCTTCACCAACAAGCCCCTGCCTATTGATCCTCTTATCCAGGCTTTTAAGGCGACCTACCCCGAGACGACCACCAAAGTGATCATCGCGGCCGACGTCACCTACTCCCAGCATGTCCAGACGGTATATAAACGTCTAGTGGAGGACGGATACACCGAGTTATTTGCTACGGAGATCTTGCATGAGCCTTCATCGGCCATTCCGAACCGTACAGTGCCAATGTCCATTCGCGAGTCGCCTGAAACACTGTCGGAATGGCAGCTGTTCCACATCTCCGATCCCCCAACCGCCCTGCTCTTGACCCTTGCTTCGCGCGTTGCCGCCATTCATATATACCCCACGGATCGCCCAAGCGACGACAACGTTAAGCCTCTACCGGCCTCTACTGCGGCTGCATTACGTCGGCGCTATGCAATTCTCACATCCCTGACTACGGTGCCTATTTGGGGTATTTTGATCAACACTCTCAGTGTGAAGAACTATCTGCACATCGTGAACCATGTTAAGGAACAGATCGCTGTGGCAGGCAAGAAGAGCTACATGTTTGTGGTGGGTAAGCTCAACGCAGCCAAGGTCGCCAACTTCAGTGAGATCGGTGGTTGGATCGTCATTGGCTGCTGGGAGAGCTCGCTGGTGGATAGCAGGGACTTCTGGAAGCCCGTCATCACCCCGTTCGAACTGGAGATGGCTCTGAAGGGCGATGCCGAGCGAGTCTGGACTGGCTCATGGCACAGCGACTTCCAGGCCGTCCTCGACAGGCCTGCCGAGGAAGCGACGGCTCAGGACGGCTCCAACGCAGACGGAGACGAGGACGGGGATGATATGTCGGATCCCGAGAGTGCACCACCGGAGTTTGACCTGCGCACTGGTCGCTACGTCTCGCATTCCCGGCCGATGCGTGATCCCGCACCCCGCGCTTCTGCTCAGCTCGATGGATCGAATGGTCCATCTGCTGCTAGGGCTCTGGCAAGACGGGCCAAGGGCGACTTAGCCATGATCGGCGGCACAGTATCTCCAGGGGCGGAGTACCTGCGGTCCCAGCGGACATGGAAGGGGTTGGGCAGCGATTTCGATATCCGATACGATGAGGAGGACCCGGACAGCACACTGGTCAAGGAAGGGCGCAAGGGCATTGCTAGAGGGTACACAGTTGGCGAGGGGGACAAACACTAGAGTACAAAGGATGTATATAGCGCGAAAGACTCAATGCAGAGGAGCAGATAGTAAGAACCGGGGTCTTCCCATCACATGACGATGATTTTCTGACGGGCGCAACCGACACTCAAATTGTTTCGACGTTGTCTTTTCTAAGAGTAAGGCTTCTTTGCTTTTCCCATCGTCTAGTCCATGGACTAAGGAGGCTCATCCCCCCTCTCGAACCCCCTCTTCTCTCCAGGGCTTGTCCTTGTCCTCCCTCCTTCGGATACCCCGATCCGCCCTTACGATCCACACCCACACCTTATCGCACATCTTTAAGGCACTTCACCACCGTTGGCCTTGCATGGTGGCTTGGAAATGTGATTGCCTCCTCGTCTTATCATGTGCCGCGCCTTAATTCAGCCTGTCCGCGCCTTCGCGTCCCCTTCGACCTGAGAGAGAGACGAGCGAGACTAGAGAGATCCAGACCGGTCCCTAAGCTTTCCCCGGTGCGGAGGCAAAGTCCACCACGACACGATGGCCACAGATCTCGATGCCGCTGAGCAGGCACCTCAGCAGCTCGTGGAGAATGCCCTGCAACAATCCGTCGTCCCAGCCGAACGCCCGCTATCGCTCTTCGAGTGCGTAATTACTACTAATGCGCCTATCTTGGAATCACTACTTCTCCAGATTCCGACCGACACTATTATCAAGCTATACCATACCTCCCATTACCTCCGAACGTTCCTCCGCTCATATCCGACCGCATGGAAGACCCTCTCGTTCCGCCTGCTCTTCCCATCGGGCACGCTACCAACCGCCCGAATCATCATTCCGGGCACGTCCGACCTAGAAACACATCGCCAGTCAAGGCCGTATGCCCTGGATCAACTGTTGATGAACATGGTGATCCCGTTCAGTGGGTGCCTTAAGAGCCTGGAGCTCGATAACACCGCTGTCTCGGGTCAAATTCTCATTTCAACCGTGTTGCATGCGCGCCGGGAGACGTTGGTGCACCTGTCTGTCCGCGGTTGTAAAAACGTCTCTCTCAAGTACCACATCATCCCGTATCTGACTATGTTCGGGCTGCAATATGATGTGGATATGGAGAGGAATATAGGAAGCTCGCCTGCGACAAAAAGACTCGCGCTGAAGAGTCTATATGCTTATCGGTGCCGACATCACCGTCGACGGCCGTATCTTTCTGCTTCACTTTTGCGCAAAGACTCTGATTCTGAACCTACGCATGAGCTGGTTAATCTTTGCCACAAACTAGGTATCTGGACTGATACTGCGTGGTGCACTACACCTGCCGGTAGATGCTACCGAAGGCGCGGGTATGTCTCCATGAGAGTTCCCCAGGGTTCGCCTGAAGTTTGGGTTGTATTTGATCGACTCTGGAGATGCAAGAACTGGATCGGCGCAGTCGATGAAAAGGCAGAACGGTCAATCGTGCGCGATGGGAAGCTCTGGGAGAACTGCGACACGGGAAGCTATGGAGAAGCTATTGGCACTGGGGAGGGACCTGACCTGGGCGAGGGCAAGATGACCCCTGCGCATCTCCGCCGGAGCCACACACACTTCATACAGAATGTGAAATGCGACAGCTGCTTTGATGAGATATCAGAGCGGTGCGAGCAGTGTAGCATCCTGATGCACTGTGTGGGATGTCGACGAACCCTCTGCGCTAGCTGTGCCTATGAGCGACCATATCTTCACCGTGGTAGTTCTGCTGTATCGACAAGCACCGAAACGCCGCCCGTGCATGACCCTTTGTGGTGGGCACCGGGGGCAACTCTTTCACCCAGTTCTATGCAAGATCCAATTTCAAGTCCTATAGACAACGCCCCATTCCAAGGAGCAGCACCCACGTCACATCCGGCCCTTAATTTCCACTGGTGCTGCACGGAGCCGATCTTCTCCGGTGGTGGTGGTATCAGCATCGGCACCCCCAGTCGGGATGTTGATCAAGTACGCGCCGTACCTTTGCCTCGAGGCCAAGGATGGGAGGACCTCGAGTACACCGTCAGCGAGTGGAGCAAGACATTCCCGAAGTACGCCTATGGCGATCCTAGCCAGCCAGACTACTCCCTAGAGACCGGACATCTCGCGATGATGAAGTGGTTACTAGGACCGCCCAATCGGCAGGTCTCACCCTGTCCACGCAACCTTTGCCAGGAGTGCTACGACTCGCCACAGTGGAAGGTTCACTGCAAGAGTTGTTCTAAACCTCTCTGCATCGAACACGACCTCCGTGGTCTCCGCTTGCGCATTTGTGGCTATCGTGACCTTGCTTTCGAGAAGATGACCATCCAAACCCGAGCGGTCAACGCTTCATCATCTGATGCCGCTATCACTCAACTTCCCGGCTATGACCTCCCATTCCGAACCCAGCGCCAGGATTCAGCCAACAGCAGCTTCATCGACGATCCACCGGGTGATACTGTTGCAGACGACAATCTCTTCGAGCCACTGAACGGTGACCAGTCAACCCAGTCATTATTCCTTCGCAACACCACTCGGTCCTTCTCTGCCCCACCCTCCAATCACTCGGGCTCGTCATCGCCATCATCCGCCTCGTTTGAATCAACTTTTGAAGTGCAACGTTGGCAGGGATGCCAATCCTTCTATTGCCCTCAGTATCGTGCCGTCGGTGATCAGCGGCAACGGTGTCCGAGCCATCTCCGGGAATGCAAGGCCTGTGCTATCTATGTCTGCTCCGAATGTGTGGCGGCCAATCCGCCCTGCAAGTGCTCGTACTGTGAGGAGAACTATCTGTGCCCCAACTGCATGAAAGCCCGTGCCCGTGACGGGACTTGCCGCCGTCGCGAGGAAGAAAAGGCACGGAGGGAGCGGAAGTGGAAGAAGGACATGCAGGTGCTAGAAGGCATCCTCGAGCTCAAAGTAGCCAATGAAATGGCCGAGTTCGCAGGCCAGTTCTTTGAGTTTGTCGAGCACGGTTCCTCTCCGACTCCCGCTCCGCTGGTCAGCACCAGCGCACTCATTGACCTCATTAATATCCACGAGGACAACGACGCGGGCGTACCCGATAGCTCACGGCCGAACAACCTGACTAATTTCCAGTCTCCTTTATTTCTCGGAGCTCACCATGTCGGTCCAATCTACGAGTCGGAGTAGACTCCGCCTTATCATCGGTACACAGCAACCAACCACCATCTGAATTTCATACCTCGGTTCTTTTAGCGATCATCACATACCACATACCACGGCGCCGGGAATCTCTGGATAGTTTTCTCATTTACCGACTCTTTTCCGAAGCGATATTTGCATTAGAGCGGCCCAAAGCCAATACCAATACCCGAGGCGTTTCAGCACGGCGCATCTACGGATTCTTTGTCCTCACCCCCTTTCCCTCCCTTCTTCTGATCCGGACTGGGCCTGCAGACAAGGCATGTTCGTTTCGGGCGCCTTCGGTCCCTTTCCCTCAGATTAGCATTTTCTGTAAACAGGCCTGTCGACATGGCTGGCCAATGATGCAGGCACCGGTCAGTGCTATGACTCTTTCTTTTACCTTCATCCCGGGCGGGTTGTCCCGGCTCGGTACTAGACCGACGATGGCCTTTGGCATCTATGATGGCATACATTTATTCCCCTAGAAATCAATCATCTAGCCCATTTATGTCTTTGAATTGTTCTAGGATGTAGATCACATGTGTGTTTGAGTCAACCATTGACAAACAACAAGAACCGGTTGTAGATCCGATATTTTGATCCTCTGTATATGCACCGTAACGAGGGCTAGGGGATCGCCATGCCAAGGTCCTTGCTGAGGCTGACCCATAGTCGGGCCCGCTATTGCAAACAAACCTACATCTGCACGGTACTATTGTCGACCTTGGACATCAACGACATGAAACAGACAAAAGTCCCAAGATAGCCGAGCCGATAATAGCCCGCGTGCAGACACGGTCTGGTGATGCCACGGAGCCAAATTCCTGTTTTGAACTCTTCCTAGGACCGAGCGGCTGATGCAGATCGTTAATCATCTCGCTTGGATTGCCCCCGCTTGAAATTTCTGAGTAGATGGGAACTTCGGATTGGATAGATGCTGGGCTGACGATCCGGCGGTCAATAGTTGTTGGCAGTGGGCGTCAGGGCCCAGTGGAGATCCGGGCGGAAGGAGATCCGGTGACCTTGAAATAAGTACGGCGTTAGGCTGTTTCAGGGTGATGTAGGCTGGTGGATGTGTCCAAAGTACGGGTTTTTGGGGTACCTTTGCGTCAACGATGCATTAGTTGGGGACGCGTGTTGCTCCGGCATCCAAGGGTACGTCCCTATTCGTGGCGGGGGACGATCATGGACGTTGGACGGGGACGATACTGTTTCGGTAAAAGGTCAACATCGGGGAATCGGAGAAATTCCTATAGTCCCAGGTTTGGGTTCTATGCTAGGGCCCGAGTGACGGATATCGCCGTGGCGTCATGTCTGAGAGATGGGAGGTGGGTCTATGGAGTACCCATGGTAGCCCATCTCTATAGTCTATGGAGCTAGCTCCTGGGTACCTTGATTCACTCCGAACTATGGCCCGAGACTAATAGATGAAACGGGCCAATATCTTCCAGAAGGCATCATGTCATCCCCATCTCCCTCCACAGGGCCCAAGCGAATCGAAAATAAGCCACGATGACATAGACACCAGAAACCTAAACGAATCCGAATGCCGCGCTGAACGCGGCGACGGTGTTAAAGTGCCGATCGTCAGCGGAGGCTGTGCATAGGATCATCTGACATTGAGGAACGATGCGGTCAAGAAAGTCAACGGCCATGCTGTCACTGCACGTGGAAGATGCAACCTCCCGCGCTGCACTTCTGTGTCGGTGAACGCAGCTCCAATGACGACCCTTGAGGTGCCAGTGTCACAGACCTAAGCTCCGATCGCTGATCGCTGAGATCGAAACCCAACCCGCTTCCCCGGGACATATGGGTCCCCCAGTCCTTCGGGCGCCCCTTTAGGCGTCAACTTAAGGAAGACTATCAGATCGGCTGGCGCGGATGTAAAGTAAAAGCCCCCGATTGGTACGGATCCTTCAGGGCGGTGCCCTGGCGGCCTTCCCATTGGGTTCAGCCAGCTCGGACTGGGGCCGGGTAGATGGTCGGACATCTTGCTAGATGGGTCTGTGTCTAGTGTATCTAGGGGGAGGGGCTAAGAGGGTGTGGAGTTGAACCAGATGCCAGTTTCCAGCTTTGAACCCTGTAAAATTAGGGCCAATAGGAGAAACAGGATATCTCAATGTCTGCATATGCCGGGATTTACCCGGCCTCCCAGCGAAGGCTAGACGGACCGTGTCCCGCGACGCGGTTAGGGCGAATCTAGGGAGGAGTCGGTGAACGCGTTGGCGGTGCAGATGTGGCTCGTGATCGGAGCAAACATTTCTACGTGGATTTTTTTCGGATTTTTCTTTTAATTTATTTTATTTTTCCAGAGTTATTTTATGTTTTTTTGCTTTTTTTTGGGTTTCTTGATTTCCAATATTCGATTTAATCTTTTCTCTCTTCCCCTTTGGGAGTTCCAAGCTTCCAGAGATTCATATAAAGGGGCCTTGGACGTCCGTCTGTCACTAAGCCGCACACTATTCAGTCTTGCAACCTTATACTCTATTTCAACTAGCGAAGACATTCAGAATCCAGCACACGACACTACCTCACTACCACACTACCACGCAACCAAAGTACCGTCACTATGGACCATGTCAAGTCCAAGCAGGCTGAGGCTCAGAAACCAGCCCCCAAGCCGCTCAGCATAGTTGAGAGCTACCAGCGTCAATGGGATCAGCTCATGGAGAATACCAACAAGCAAATCGACAAGATCCGCCGTAAGTGGAATCCAAAGAATCCGATGGGATGCAGAATGAAGCTGACAGGCTGCAGAGGAGGAAGAAGCCAGAAACTCTAAACAGTCCACTCGATGATGTGATGTGGAAGTGAAATTTTGACGACAGTTCAAGTCCCTTAGCACACGCGGAGTTGGTGTTTCTTGTCTATTTTTTCGACTTTCGATCTTCGACTTTCGACTTTCTGCTTTTTGTTCATATGCATTCTCTGGAGCGGCGGAATGGGAGGAACCGGGGAACTGGGACACATTCACACATTCGCTACGGAGTTCGAGCTATGGTTTACAGGGGTCAACTGGCATTGTCGGCACCGCCACCAGCGCTGTTTTTGTTTCTTTTTTTTTTGTTTTTTTCCGCCATGTCATTTAGTCATTTTTTGGCACCAATGGTGTCATCTTTTTCTAGAATCTGGCTATCTGCCGTGCGGCTTGCATATCCGAGACTATCCCTGGACGATCTGCCCGGGCTAGATTTTTCGACTAGGAGCCTTCCTTTTGCTTCTCTGCCAGTAGCTGCGTACGACTTGAGTCGGTCAAAGTAGTGTAGTTCTGTGTGGTGTATGCCATGGACAGCCTTGTCCATTACGGGTTGTCATTTGCTTGGGTAGGTCCAGCTGTGCCCAACGGTTTCAGCTGATTGCACAATGCCATAGTGTGCAGAGCGGTGTGTCGTATGCCTTGGAATCTTGTATGCGCGTCTGGTCGCGTTCGATCCCCCCTGCAGACCATTTTGACAGCATTCCTTGCTGTGGATCAGTTAAGTCAGCTCGGGTGGCGCCGGTCTTGCTTTACCCCTTTCGGTGCTTAGGGGGCTTTTGGATAGCTCACACCGAAGATCTGTCATAGCGGGTAACCGGGTGGCCTTTCCGCCCACGCAAGGGAGGAAAAACGCGTATAGCGCGGCTATGGAGACCTGTCTCTTCCCAATTTCACGCAGGCAAAACACGAAAAGAAGGTTCACTGTGCGACGTCAAGTATGCAGTGAGATTTCCCAGGCAAGATTATCACCCAAGGCCGATCCAGGTCCGTTCGTTCCAATGGTCAGCGTGAGAGCGTGAGCGTGAGCTCTAGGTACTGTCCGAGTACGACGGCCAATGAGGGCAGTGACGGCCGCCTTTGCAACCCCACCTCGTTCCTCCCGCTTCGACCTGACACTTCTACCAATCAACCATGTCTGCCCCCGAGCCCGAGAACCCTTCACCGGCTGAATTGGCCGCGCGTGAGCTCCAGGAGAAGGAGCGCAAGGCTCGTGAAGAGGCCGAGCAAGCTCAGCTGCCCTACAAATGGACCCAAACCATCCGTGACGTGGACGTCTCCGCGCCCATTCCTGCCAACATCAAGGGCCGCGATATGCAAGTCACCTTGACCAAGACCAAGATCAAGATCGCCATCAAGGGTCAAGAGCCCATCATTGAGGTGCGTGCCGATTCCTGCAGGCTTCGTACCGCTCAACTAATTTATCTTTGCAGGGCGACTTCCCTCACCCGATTGTCGTGGACGAATCATCGTGGACCCTCGAAACTACCCCCAAGCCTCCGGGCAAGGAAGTCAATCTGCACCTCGATAAGGCGAACAAGATGGAGTGGTGGCCGCACGTCGTCACGAACGCCCCGAAGATCGACGTCACCAAGATTCAGCCCGAGAATTCTAGCCTGAGTGACCTAGACGGCGAGACCCGCGCCATGGTCGAGAAGATGATGTACGATCAGCGCCAGAAGGAAACGGGCGGTATGACCAGTGACGAGCAGAAGAAGAAGGAGCTTTTGGAGAAGTTCAAGGCGGACCACCCAGGTATGTGATTGGCGTGCAGTGGCTTGCAAGCCGCTTGCATTTCCGGCTTTCTAGCCCGCTTTTGGAATGTGTGGCTAACTGTGGACGACAGAGATGGATTTCTCCAACGCGCAGGTCGGTTAAAATCTACATCCGTATGATGGTGTCGTGATGCGTGGTGGATTCTCATGGAGTGGATGAAGTATGAATTATGTTGCATCGAGGGCTGAACCCCGCATGAATGATGAAATTGCATATGGTGGTCTCCTACTGAGATCGGACCGGCACATGAGCTTTTCTACACTGTCGGATCCTCGTAGATCTATGTAAATCAAACCATCTCTCTGACAAGGTCAGGTGACCTGGATTGCCCCATTGGGACGGATACGATGCCTTGCCTGTTCGGGACTAGCCTAACGTATCATGGAGGCGAAGTCGATCGTAAATGCAGCCATCGCCAATTTCTCCCACTTACGCCCGACGGAACGCCTAAATAATTGAGTGTATGATGTTCCGAGTTTGTTCGGCAATTGATTTCCGATTCTACGCCTCTTCTGCGCCCTTTCCATGCAGCCATGACAAAGGCTAAGACCGCAGATCCCAGTTTCCATATACATCAGCCGTGAAGCCACAGACAACTATACTGCAGCACCCTGAGAACCTCGACTAATCGATCTCGGGCCAAATACCCCTTCCTCAAATGACCACGCCTCCACCTGCGCATGTGGATCTTGAGACTCAACAACATGCGTTCGTCCGAAAACATCTCCACCCTCACCGGCCCGTCTGGACCCATGCAAGGGCAGAGTATTTTCTGCGTCCCTCAACGACAAATCACAAATGCCGACGCAAGGTGCGGAAGAACCAGTCGATCGGGTCTGCCATGCCAGGAGGGTTCATCGGAAATCTCGGGCGAGATGCGCCACCTATAAGCAGCGCAGAGTTAAGGTACCTCCACCCTTTCACAGAATGTGACATGTATACTGACGAGCTTAGTGCGATGAAACGAAGCTATAATTGTCTCCGCTGCGGGAAATTCGGTGTCGAATGTCCCCACCAGGATCCGAGGCATTTGGTGAGCCCCACTAAGGATGTTGCGAGGTTTGTTGGGTCGATTCTGGATATGATTTCCACGGATTGTCTTAGTGGCGGCGAAGCTGGATGAGTTGCTACGTCCAAATAGTGAGGCGGCAACTCCTTCGAATGTCCCACAGATTGGTTCTCCGGCAAAGGATCATTAATGTCTTTGAAGCGCTGCATCACTTTCATCAATCCAGAATAATCATTTCTGACACCAACATATGCGTCATGGTGCGAAAGGCGACATCGGCTTGCCTTTCAAGTCAAAAGTACCCCATTTAGGGATGAGTAGCTAGTAATCCTATACTTACTCGACCAGACGCCATTACTCATCGACGTAACAATATCCCGTCTTCGCAACATCCTACCAAACAACAGCGACTACCGCCTCGCCTCGGCCTACCACCGACAAGAAACGGTAAAGCAATACTCAGGGGAGGTCTAGAGCATCGAGCAAAGTAACATGGGCAAGGTCTTCTCCGCATGTATTCTTCTCACCTTTCGCATATTCATGTTGGAAGCATTCAACTCACGGAACTCCCTCTCGTCTTCTCCAATAACCCAACCGATTGAAACTGGCTTTTAAAGGGTCATCTGGGCTTTATAAGAGAACGATCAGGCAAGTGGTTATCAAAAAGCACGTGGTGGGCAGCATTCATGGAGTCGCGCGACTCAAATCTCGAGTTTGAAGATATTCGTCCAGGCCGTGAGGATTGAACCCCGATTTCGCAGATCTTTGCGGTATCACCGAATTCTTGACCTCAGAAAATAACCCTTACCAGTCACCGCTGTGCGCTCGGAGTTGTTTTGCTATCTGTATGAAGCTAGAGGATAGTGATGATCCGATATTACTCAAATTGCTTGAGTTTCCAGCACAGAGGTGTGGATATTTGCTTATGTGCAGGGGCAGATTTCAGTGGAACCTGGGATTGATGTGACTATGCTTTGAGCTGGACTGTGCTCTGGTGTATTCAACAGCTTGTCATGAGTCAATAGATGCCCTCTCAATTGATTCTTTTTGCATATCTATATTGGCGTCGTGCTTGAACTTGCACATCTTCTCTCAGTAATGGAAGACAGCCGGAACGGTCGAGATCTCTCCACACCCCGCAAACCAGACCCACGGGGTCAGTGGACACTTTATGGTTCGATGACTGTCACTTTCCGCTTTAGTCTTGCCTTCGTCGCGTTTTAGTCATAGAAAACCCCGAACCCACCGTTGTCCGAGGGTAGCCGGCCCGGGACCCTCGATCCCCGGTCTGGCCTCACCGAGCACAATCCGAGGATAGTACTCCGTATTTGCCGGGATTTTATCTAGGTTACTTGGAAAGATTAAGCGAAGACCGAAGAGTCGTAAAAGGCGCGGTTATCAAAAGCCTTGCCGCAAATTCCATGCTAGTAAATCTATTTACAACGACTGGGCTTGCCCAGTCATGCTATTCTATAGTAGCCACCAATAGCCCATATGCTAGCCAAAATACCAAAAACATTTATAAAACAGTCGTCAAGGCGAGAAGTTCCCCGTCGTAACTTTGGCCATTTTAGGTGGCGTTGTTGGCACAGGTCCAGGTGGCGTTGGACGAACTGTCGCTAATTGACTTGCCCGACACATACAGACCCAGTCCGCACTGCACATTTCGTTAGCACACAGCTCCACCGTGTTTGGATGGTTCAAACATACAATAGTACAGGCGATTCCCAGAATCACCAGGTTGACGATCGTGAGAGCAATCTTCTTCCATGACTCGATCCACCGTCCCTTGTTCATAACCAGCCACATGATGGCAGGGAGACCGTAGCTGAACCAACTTCCGAAAAGAGAGCTCTGTGAAGAGGTGTTAGCAATGCTCTGCACTAGCCTTGCAGAAGATGGGAACATACAATCAAACTCAGCAAGTCGTTGAACACGGGGATCGACTCAGCAATGATCCAGGCAATAACCCAGATGCCCAAGCTAATCGCCACCCAAGTGCCGGTGGCCAGCAACGTTCGCTGATGCATGTGGTGCGAACGCTCGCCACGGAAGATCCGAACATAGATATACTTGGATGCGACGTGGCCGAAAACAACACCGGCAATAATGACCTAGTAAGATGTTAGATTAGATTGAAAGTTCAAGTGGAAAGGAGGGAACATACCGTAGGAATGGCCAGGCCGTAGGCGACCTTCTTCATCAAAGGTCCAGCGGATGACAGAGCGGGCGAATCCACGTCTGGGCCGGCATAGCAGTAAATGACCATCGCCGTGACGATGTATAGGGTAGTGTCGACAAACTGAAGCATGGCCAGGGACTTGGGGAACTGCTTCGTGTCCTCCATCTCCGACATGAAGCCGAAGAACGCCACGTGAGCGATGAAAGCGAAGACGATGTTGGTGACGGCGAGGAAAGCGTCCACAAAGTCCGGCGAAGTCGTAATGTCGTTCACAACGTCATCGGGAGCCTGGACACCAATGGAGATCATGGTGACGATGGTGGCGATCAGGATACTGCAGGCGGAGACGGTGGACATGATAAACAGCTTGCTCGATGTCCGCGGGAGGGCGCAAATGCAGCTGATGATCAAGCCAACGACACCAAAGACGATGGTGCATGTGCCGTGGTCTGTGATAGTGTTGAACAGCACGCTAAATGTGAGAATATGACTGGCCATCAAGAAAATGATGAATAGCAGCTGGCCGAAGAAGAACAGCTCTCTACCGAACGAGCCCATGAGCAGCTCGCCGGCGTCACCCATACTGTGCACCTGGGGATACTTTTGTTTGAATTGACCCATGATGTATCCAGTATACCATGAGATACCCGACAGGCCGAGGATGAGGATAAGTGACCTGGTTCATGGTCAGCCTTGATTCTGTCACACGTATAAACAGTTCTTACGGGACGATTCCAAGAGTCGCCACTGCCGATGGAAGAGACAGAATACCAAGCGAGATGTTTTCGGCCACCATCACTAGATTAAAGAATTAGTTGGACATTCAATGTTGACTGACATCCATCACGAAGTCTTACGCATTCCAGCTTGCCTGTAAAAATCGTCAACATCGCGTAAAAAATAGGACTATACCACCCTCAAGGGCTCTGATACTTGGGGCAGAACTGGGGTACTTACCACCACTTCATCACACGATACTTCACTTCTCCAGTTTCTTCATTTCCAAAAGGATCATCCTCATGAGGCGATTTCTGGTCGTATTTTTCGGCGTCGATCTGATCATGGTAGGCATCGGGCTCCTGCACGATCGAGGGGTATTCTGGGACGCTCATAATGGCCTAGTATGGGGAGAGATGGAAGGAGCAAACGTCTGGGGTGAAAGACAAGAAGAAAAGGAACAGGAGCTCACGAGACGTGGAGTGCCCGGAGATGAAGGCATATTGACCCATTTTTTTCCCAGTCTTGGCGCGTGGCGATGGACATACCCTAGGGTAAACTGGATCAATCTCCACAATAAAGTCTGATAACGTTAATTCCACTCTACACCGGCTACACCGGGCTACACTATGCGGGTATAGCGTATCCTATGAAGCGAGAGAAAAAGACACACTAGGTGAGTTGTCGAACTCGCGCCGAAACTAGGCCTCTATACCTCGTTGAGCCTCGCATGCTTGAAATGCCCTTATATAGGCGAAATAACATTCTTCACGTCTGTAAGGTTTTCACTACCATGAGCACCGCCTTCTCCATGTGGATTAGCATTTTGCGCCCGGTTCGAACCAGCCAACCCCAGGCGCGGTCTGGATCCCGGCCCGGCGCAACCCCAAACCGGCCCGGCGACTACCCCCCGGGGCCCCGAGTCGGGAATATTCGAGAAAATTAGACAATTCAATCATAAATCGTCGCTTTATCTGGGGGGTTATCGCCTCTTTGTGTGGGGCAGCAGTCGGGCAATCTCGAAATGGCATAGAGCAAACATGAGGTCCGTCCAGCAGATGACGAACTCGGTGATAGAAGCCAATTGTACACCTTTTGAGGCGTTTCCCTTCGCCTTGGCCAACATTATGCATGTTACGTCTTGAGTTTTCATTACGTGATACTTGAATTGTTGTCCTCGACAGGCTGGGGCCCCGGAATAAAATCAGTTCATGGCGATCGCAAGTAGTTTATATTTGTCAAAGATTCGGTGGACCGGTTCTATCAGATAGCGTGTGCCTTGGGCCATCTTGAGGGAGTGGCTACTTAGCCTCGCCCCTAAGTGCGAGCTAGAAGCCGACTAGATGCTGAACAGGTAGGTGTTTACCCAAGTCGTGACGCGAAGGCGTGGAAAGCGGGGTATGTGAACGATGATCATGAACTGAAACAGAACGTTCTCCTATCTTTACCTGGGGTATCTGTGGGTAGTGTTTCAGAGGGACACAACATCTTGATGACATCAATTGTTCGAGTTTCGAGCCTCGTTGCGAAAAGTGGTCCCGAGCCATTCGGGTGAAAGAGGCTCTTGGCCCACCTGGTCCACTTATTGGAGTCTACTAAATCCGATACATGACAATGTGCTTGATGTTTATCTGGCAGACATGACTTGTACTACCATTCCATCGGAAACACCTGTCTGATCTGCTCTTAGATTTTGCACGACTCAGTCCGATGTCGGTCATCAAGATTATTGACTCACCTTTATTGAATATGCTTTTAGCGGATTTGAACGGTTGTCAGCACTTGAGAATCCTGCAACTCAGTTTTATTCCGATTCAGTCCTTGAACTTGAAAATTGATGACCGGGCTTGCGAGCTTGTGCCAACCCTGATTATCGGATACCTATTAGCCGTACCGAGAGCTACCATTTACACAAATCAACCCTCTAGCTCCTATCCATGCATTTTCGTCGTGCAGTAAGATGGTTCCCAGAATACAGATACCAAGGAGATGACAATCGAGGAACAATATCGAAAAACCAGATAGTAGGCCATATTAATGGCACAACAAGTGAACATATCACTTTGAGGTACCTAACTTTTGAACGAAACACCGACAGCAGCTAAAGGTGGCCAACAATTGATATCAGTGACATCCATATGCAACAAACTTCAATTGCCGAATGACGTCAACTGCGCCTCTCTTCATACCGAAGAATATGCAGTGCATTTTCGCATCGATCTCCACATCTGCCAGTATCCGAGGGTTCAACCCCACTCCAAAATGCGACTCGCCCAGAACATGACTCATGCACAGTCACACACACACACGGTCATCTCCCGTACTAGGGTCTCTATATCCGAACTATTAAACCACTTCATAATATCAATATCGAAAACTCCCCTCCCCTCTGCCTCGGAACCTTATCACTCAGAATGGAAGACTCTACTCCCCTAGTCACCTTCTACGATATCGCCTTCGGCCCCCCAATGGCAGAAACAACCTGCGCCCCAAACCCATGGAAAGCCCGCTACGCCCTCAACGCCAAGGCTGTTCCCTACAAAACAACCTGGGTTCCAATGCTCGACATTTCCAAAGTCCGTCTCGCAATGGGCGTTCCGGCCGCCCGCAAATTCGCCGACGGCTCGGACTATCACACCCTCCCCATGATAACCGACTCGTCGACAGACTCCATTGTCGGCGACTCCTTCGATATCGCTATCCATATGCAAACCCACTATGCCGACTCGGGCGTAAAAGATCTCTTTCCTCCGCAGAAACTCGATTATGTCTTTGAACACGATTTGGCTATTTTCGCGCCTCTTTCTGGACGGGATGAGGGCGTTTGTGGGGACTATGTAAGGTTTAACCATAATGTTGATGCGGCGTTCAGTGCACATGTCATGCTTATGGCGCATGGGTTGCCTTTTGATTCAGTGTCTGGAGATGATGTGAGGGCTGAGTTTGCGAGGAGGGCGGGTGTGCCGACTTGGGATGATCTTGCTGTTAGGGGAGAGAAAAGGGGTGTGTTGTGGGGTGAGTTTAGAGAGACATTGGCTGGGTTGGCGAGGTTGTTTATGAGGGATTGCAGGGGGCCTTTCTTATTGGGGGAGGAAGTTAATTTTGGCGATTTTATAGTCGGGGGTTGGTTGAAATTTATGAAGGGGACTTTGACGAGTGATGAGTGGGAGGAGGCGAGGACCTGGCATGATGGTGTTTTTGGGCGGTTATTTGATGCTTTAGAGAAGTATGCGGAAGTACACTAAATTCTAAAATAGTATAGATACTGGAAGCTGGTTTGGTCTAACGCCTCGACGGGGCGGATATAAACATTCCACACCAAGCCTAATCCCAATACTTGATAAGTCCGTCCAACGCACCAGTCACCACCTTACTGGTTTCCTGGGGATGCCAGTCCAAGCAAGTAACGGCGCCGCCTTCTTTGCCTGCCGCAGGAAGCTTATGATACATTTTACCCGTCTTCCAATCCCAGAAACAAGCGTAGCCACCGCTGTCACCAGAGGCAATGAATTGACCGTCGGGTGAGATCTTAATGTCGATACCGTATCCAGCAACGTTGTGTCCACGGAAGCTCTTCTTGCGGTTCTGGCGGAACTTATCCGTAGCTCCGTAGACGACAATCTGGTTGTCACCAGACTGGAACGCCACGTATTTGCCGTTGGGATGAGGCGTGGCTCGGGTGAGGGCGAACATGTAGGGTTCTGCAATGAACTTGATCGGTACGGGAATCCCGTACTCCCACGCACGCAGAGACTTGTCGTCGGAGGTTGTGATGAAGCGGCGGTTGTCGTCGACGAAGGTGATGGTGTTGACGGCTGCCAGGTGGTGATCGTATTCTTGGACGACTTCGCTGGTTCGTGTATCGAACTGGACGATCTTCTTGTCGGACATACCAGCAAGGAACTCGTGCGAGTGCTCCGGGCTGGGGTTGAATCGCACGACGTGGGGGGTCTTGCCAGTCGAGAACCGTCCCAAGCATTTGCCGTACTCGGTATCCCAGAGCTTGATCTGGCGATCGAATGAACCGGTAAGGAAAGTCCTCCCCGTCGGATCGAAGTCTGTGTCTGTGATAGCCTTGGAGTGGCCGGAGAAAGTCCGCAACAGCTCACGGGAATGATATGCGTCCCAGATCTTGGCCTTGCCGTCGGCTGCTGATGAGAGCAAAAGGTGACCGGATCCAGGGAAGAAACGAAGAGAGGTGATGGCCTTGGTGTGAGACTTCCAGGTGTGAATGAGTTTCTTTGGCACGTAGTTCTTGACACTGCCAGGTTCCTTGCGCAGGTCAATGTCCAAGTCCTGCGGCACATGCATATATGTCCGGCCCATGTAGTCGAATTGCTCAGAGCCGTGGAACTCGGTCGTCTCGTTCTTGGAGGTATCGCCTTGGTACTCGGTAGCCTCTTTGCTCATCGCTGGCATGGGCGCGGCCGGGGCCAGAGTCTCGTCTTCCTCCACCCACTCCTCATCACTTGCCAGCTGGCGATCCTCATCATCGCCGACCTCGATCTCATCGTATTGTTGAGTGTTCGTATATTTTGCCCAAGGTCCAAGGTACGCGCCATCTCCTTCGACAATGCTGGAGTCGCCCTTCTTTTGTCGCTTCTGTCGCCACGTAGCGGACGCCCCTTTGGTGGGTCTCATTTGCACCACGTCACGGCCACCGAATTGCGCAGCCTTCTCAATGTCGCCGACAAACTGATCCGGCTTAGTCGGGTTGCGTGTGTAGCCCAAGCTTTGGAACGTGCGGTGCTGCGCGGCGAAAGTCGACTCGCTGATGGCAGCCTCCTCGGCGAAACCAGTCGGGACGTTCTTCCTCTTGACTCCATTTCCCGGTCCGGCTGGCTTGAAAGGATTCACCGGTCCTTGAGACGGGCGCATCAAATCATCGTAGGTGGCGTTGTAGGTGAGGGCTTGGGATGAGGTATTGGTGAGGGTCATTTGCATATGCGCATGGTCCTGTAAAGTTGTTAGTCTTATCTGAGCATTCCGGGGATGTTGCAAATGGCCCTTGGAGCTTCAAAGTGCGCGATCGAGAGTAGGGGACCAAACCTCTGTATTGACTTCTGGAGCAGCAACTACTGTGGCTGCGGTGGTGACCTGAGGCTTGGTCACCCCGGCGTCATCATCGCTGGACTCATAGCTAGCGCCTAGTAAAGACGCCATGATAAATGTGAGAGAAGGTAGAAAGCAATGCCCACCGCGACTGAATGAGTTCGAGTGGAGACCGCAGATGCAAAGGCGGATCGAATTTTACGGGCGGTGACAAAGACCCAAGGCGAAGAAATGGACTGCCGCGGAACAACGTCAAAGTTGCATTATCGTTGACGACTGTATCACAATTTTACTCTCGGCCAAGTACCTCATAATTAAAGACTCTACGCTGCTGGGAAATAAATGGGTATCGTACGCTCTTCGTTGCCAAACCGCTTGGAGGTATATACAGCTCGCAGGCCGAAAGACATGGAAAGATCAACAAAAGAAGGACAAAATATAAGGCAAAAGCAGACCATGATAGAACCTTGTAAGACTCTCGATCGGTGCCAGAACCATACACAGCAACGTACATAATCTCTATTACTTCCCAACCCCGGACCACCCATCTATCTCAAGACTGAACGAAGAATTCACGCACATCATTCATTAATCCTCCAAGACAGCTCGAACGGCATCATACCACATTATATGACATGACGGCTGCCAGGGGAGGTCATCGTAGCGACAGACACAGCCCATAAGACAAGAAATCCATCTCCAGAGAGCGTCTTGCAGAAAACTAAATCTCTTGAGCTAGGTGGGAGGGCCATGGCGCATTGTATATTCGGTTTTGTTGCGAAGTCAATGGCCTTCATCGCGGATCAGAGCGACGATCATGCTGTAGAGGTAGAAGAAGAACATCAGGAGGTGGAAGCCTAGCTTGATGAAGGATTCCTATTGCGCGAGTCATGGGTCAGTTCCAGATAAACCAGTGTGGCGAAAATGGCGGGGGAAAGATAGCACTGACCTTCTTGTGCACGTTCAACTTGCGGAAGATCTCAGTCGCATCCAGCAGGTGCTGGTTCTCGTAGATCCTGTGGTCCCATGAGTTAGCCTCGTCCTACACGGTTTGCGGGAGTTCTTGCAGAGCTATATCAGCGGCACGTACTTCTTGGCGTTGAAGGCCAGGAGAGGCAGGTTGAGAACAATAGCGACCCAGTAGCCATTGATGACGAATAGGAAGGTCAGGAAAGCGTGGACGGCGGCTTCGGGGATGATGTAGGCGTTGAGGCGGTTGCAAAGGTCGATGGGGTTGATGTAATCACTGCGAAAAGGAGAAACGCAGGTTAGCAAAGTCCAGTGAGAACCGAAACAGCTCTATACAAGCGCCGAAAGGAATAGGGCAGAGCTACTCACCATTCCAAGTCGCTGTACATGATGGTGAAGAACACCTGAAGGAAGAGGTTGACGGCGTTGATCAACACCGCCAACAGGTAGAGCCACGCTTCTCCAGACATGATGGGCACGATTCACTCCTCGAAATATCTGGGAGAACTTTATTTAAACGGTGAGCGAGGTCGAAACAAGAGGGGGGGGGGTTTGGTTGGCGATGTCGGGGAGTGCGGATCGCAGAGTCCGGAATTGGAGTTGGGTATCTGTGGGGGATCCAAGAAAGATGGAGAGAACCACGAAGGAAAAGGCGAAGGGAGAGACGGGAGCTCACTCACAAATCAGAAGCAAGGTAATCGGTGGAGAAAGAAGATGAGAAATGAGGAGGCGGAGCTGCGAAAGTGCGATGGAAGGTGCGGGCGGTGGGACTTGCTAGTCACGGCTTAGCGCGCCAACTCACCGAGGGCTGGAGATAGCTCTGTAGGAAGAACTCCCTATGTATGATGTAGAATGCAGGTAAGTGTTAACTCGGATCTAGATATCTGAAAACTATTGCAAAAAGCCAGATCGACTAATAACGGGCGCCTGGAAGCTCGATGCGCTGCGTAGAATGACGTCGCACACATATTCGGCACCTCCACTTGGGCTCTCGATGCACGTGTTTTCGTACTGGGTCTACTAGTTCAGATCAATAGTTCGAGATCGAGTACATAGATTAACATGGAAATAATCGAGGCAGATCCAGTTATAAGTTCAAGTAAGCTATATCTAGGTAATAGTACAGATATAACACTATAACCCCAAAGCACAGTCTACCAGATATATACAAGCGGCTCCTGCACTACAAGTACAGGACAGCTCTCCTAATGCTCTAAGCAACATCTCCATAAACTACATTGCCCTCAAAACGCAAAACAGTCAAATAGGAGCATAAAATCACAAATGGCTTATCGCTTCTCCACAAGCAGGAAATGCATCGATGCGTATGCAATGAGGAGGAAGGCCCCCGAGATCACGGCCAGCCCGGCAACGTCGAACCAGTAGGCCTGCGTATCGAAGCCAAAGGCACTCAGAATGGAGGCACCGGGTACTTCGATATCCAGACCATACTTGTGGTCGATCAGGGTAAGGAAGGTGACCTCGTTGACGATGAGGGCCTCGAAGCCGTAATGGAAAATTGATAGCTGATGACCAATTAGCAAGAAAAGCACGACCAGGAATTATATAGAGACTTACGCTTTGCAGCCACAGTGCCGATTGAGGAATGGCATCGTGGTTCAGCAAAAGACCGGCAAAGAGCAAACTGAAGAGCATCACCAAGCTACCGATCAGATTGGCAACACCGGGATCGCGGAACACAATGCCGATGAATAAACAGATATTGGCAGCTGCCAGATTGAAAAGCACCAGAACCAGCAGGAACCGGAGGAACTCGGGCCATGCAGGGATCAAGCCTGTCATCGGGTAAACAATGATACCCATAATTATGGGCGGAAGGAGGCGCAGCGGCACAATGTCAAACACAACCTTGGATGCAAAGTATGTGACGGGGTGGTAGTATCCGTTGGCACGCTCACGAACGAACAAAAGTCGCTCCGTAGAGAACACCGTTAGACTTGTCAAGGTGCTAAAACCAAACAAGGCCAAGATAAAGAAGAAAAGACCGAGACGGTTCTGGAAACCCTTTATGTCGTCGGTCAGGCCATAGAATAGATACCCAGACAGAACAGCGAGGAGGATGGCGATCGCGTAGTGGGTAAGCATCAGCATAGGGTTACGGTACAGATTGCGCCAAGTGCGTTGCGACAAAATAATGAACTGGCGGGCCAGACTGATGCGAGCATAACTCATCGGCTGCGCCGTAGAAGTGCCAGACACGAGA